CCACCCATTCACAGAAACCCCAGGCAACAGATCAAAGCCGATTCCTCTTACACCTCACACAAGCCCGCAACTTGCAACCGTTGCACTCGAGAAGAAAGTTGTGCAGCCATTCCAAACACTCTTCGCACCGGAATCGCCCGGGGACACGGGTCCAACCCTCAGCGTGCCAACATTGGTGGTTCTTGCGCAGTTCCTCGACCCTCTGTTCCACCAGTACTTCGTCTGCTTTTCCAGCGTCTGTATCTCCGGGGGCACGATCGCGATCGAGAATCTCAAAGGCACGCTCGCGTAGTCGGTGTTCGTTCCACTCCGCACATGTGCACGTTCCCCACCGTTCGCCACAGTTGTAACAAAGCTCCGCGCCACATTTGCAGCTAGAGAGTTAAAGCAAGCAGGTTAGTTGGGTGGGATCCTCTTACAAGGGGTAATGGAGAAGTAAACTCGGCACTCACGTTATGTGGTTGCACCCACGAAGTAACTCGACGATTCTCTAGCACGCGAAGCATCTTTGCCATCCCTGGCGCTTGGCGATTTCCAGCAGACTTTTCAATTCCGTGTCCGTCGGACAATCCTCGGTGTGCACGCGCCCTTTGCAGCTCTTGCACGTTGTAAACCGACACTGTGGGCACGTCGCCACGTTTCATTTGATCAAGGTCGGCGGGAGAACGGTAGAGCAGGTCTTTGAGTAACAGTAGGTCCGGTCCGAGGTTTCAAAACTCGACCCTTTTCTTCTCGTATTGTTGAACCAGTTCATTGGTGAGGAAGATGCGGGCCAGGTCGAGGTCGATGCTAGTCCTGCAGCAACGGGGCGGGAACAAGGATTCGGCTGTGAGAGAAAGTTCGAAGAGTTCGGTAACGCAGGATCGACAGTACTCGTGTCCGCAGGGGAGTGTGGCGATATCCAAAAGGTTGACATCGTCCTGGCAAGCAACACAACGGGTTAGACGTCCAGGCTCGGGCTTGCGGCCGGCCGCCCAGGCGGAGGATTCGGGCTCGTCGGGCTCGGGGTAGTCAGGCTGCCAATCGCCATGCGCTTGTCGCTCAAGGGCTGAGAGACGGTCTCGAGTTGTTCTCGCTGGAGCTCAAAAGCTAGTTGCGTGTCCGTGGGATCTCGGGCTTTCCCGGTGCAGGACTCCAAATAAACACCAGCATCTCCTAACTGTAGTCTCAAGATGAGGTCGGCTGTCTCCTGGTCGATCGATCCGTCAGGAGTAGCAGACATGATGGACTAATGGTTTCGTTTGAAAAAATAAGGCTGGAGCCAAGAGATCTTGGAGATATGGGGGAAGTGAGAAAATGAAGACGTAAAGAAAGGGAGAAAAGAATAGAAGAGAGGAGCAATAGAAGATGTCGAGGCGAGAGCAACACCAGATCCAGCAATCAACGCAAACTAGCTTATTCTACGTTTGCTCCGCTCTTGGTAGCTAGCTTAAATTCTCAGACATTCAAAAGATAAGTAAGGGTATTAATCTTCTGTCAATTTATCCTTTAATTAATCCTTATGTTGGTCCTAAAGGGAGGAGACGTGGAGAAACAAAGGTAAGGTCAGGTAAGGGTTGATTATTCGCCTTGCAAGCTGTATCCTGGGCAGGACAAAATGAATGAAGCTGTCAAGCTCCAGAAGCCCTTTGAGGTAGCTGGGGATCATGTTTGCATTGTGTGTCCCATCGCGGGGTCAAGGGTAATCACCAGAAGCTTCCACCAACTCTTGAAGTTGCATGTATATAGCGCTAAAACAATGGACATAATGACCCTGGACTCTCAGGATTTTTTTTTTAAGGATCCTTGGATGGACCAGCGACCTCAGTTCTGCATGAATATGGTCTCAGTAAGAGACTGGGCATACTGGAATTTGACACCTTGTTCGTCTCCAAGGGAGGAAACAACGCAAGCACGAGAGCACAATATATTGTGAGAAAGATGCATAACCAGCTGAGTAATTCGCAGACACAATTCTTTGTGTAGATCCTTTTTCAGTGAAGCACAATGACTTTATACTTGATACAAAATGGCATCAAACCTGTCACATACCATGATCAATCTGCTCGCCAACCAGGCAACATCCAATCCCAAATCTCCAAGTCTCAGCTGGGCGATCCTGCGGCCGCAGCAACAACACATTGCAATCCCGCCCCACAAGAGGGTCCGCACCGCTGGACCGCACATTGCAATTGCATCACACCGATTGGCTGGATCAATTCTTGGTCTCGCGCCGCGTGGCGCCCCTGGCCCCATTCTCCAAGGCCGTATCGGCGTATTCAACTTTGCAACAGCGCTGCGGCTGAGATTGAAATTATAAAGCCGACCTGCATCCCTGGCATCTCCACCACTTCCTGCAACAATTGCGATTCCGAACCTGCAGGCGATGCTCCAACTATCGCACCTCGCGCTCGTCGGCGCCGTGACGGCCATCGGCTTCCTCCTGCACCGCCGATATTCCCGCGACCCCCGCGAACCTCCCGTCGTGGGCAGCACGATCCCCGTGCTAGGCCACATCTTCGGGCTCCTGCGGTATGGCGTTGGGTATTTTGGCCAACTTACGTGCGTGCCTCCCTTCCCTTCGCCTCTTTCGTCAAAAACCCTTCAATTACTAACAAACACAGCGAAAAACACCCCCACCCAATCTTCGCAATCGACCTCCTCCTCACAAAAGTCTACCTCGTCAAATCCCCCGAAATCCTGCAAGCGATCCAGCGCACGCGCGCACTGACCTTTGACCCCTTTGTGACATTCACCACGGAGCGACTAGCGGGCATCCGCGGCCCCGCGCTCGAAGCCCTCCGCGAGAAGCAGGCGGGCGGTGGGGGCGGGAATCAAGCGCTCCTGCACGCGATGCACCCGACGCTCACGGGCAAGCCGCTGGATCGGATGAATGAGCGCATGGTGCGGCTGCTCAGTCCGTTGGTTGGGGAGTTGGCGCAGAGGGACGGGGTTGTTGATTTGTATGGGTGGTGCCAGCATGCGATTACCGAGGCGAGTACCGAGGCGTCGTATGGGCCGTTGAATCCGTACAAGGAGAAGAGTGTTGAGGATGGGTTTTGGTGCGCTTCCCTTCACATTCCCCCTTTTTTTTTTTTCTTTGGGTAAAAGATCTGACAAATCGTAGGGCCTTTGAATCAAACCTCAGCCCGCTACTCCCGGGAATCCTCCCCTGGATCACTGCCCGCAAGGCATACAAGGGCCGCGAAGCCGCCTACGCCGGGTTTCTCAAGTACTACGCCGCAGAGGGCCACAAGCAGGGCTCTGAGCTGACAATCGCTCGATACCAGACGCTTGCTGACGCGGGCCTCCGCGTCGAGGACATTGCGCGCAACGAAGTCTCCATGGGTCTGGGCCTGCTTTCGAACACCGTCCCGGCTGCATTCTGGATCATCTTCGACCTGTACCGCCGGCCCGACCTCCTCCGCGAGATCCGCGACGAACTCACGGAGAACGCGCTTCGCGTCGATGAGGAGACGGGGAAACACGTGATCAACATCCCCTCGATCCGCGACAACTGCCCGCTCCTCGTCTCCACATACCAAGAAATCCTCCGCGTCCGCGCCGCCTCATCGCCCACCCGCATCGCAGCCGAAGAAGTCCTGCTCGCCGACAAACACCTCATCAAAAAGGGCAGCGTGATCAGCATCCCCAGCCAGCCCATCGGGCGCCGCGAAGACGTCTGGGGCAGTAATTCGCTCGAATTCAACCCGCGCCGCTTCATCAAAACCCCCGAGCACAACCCGCGGCGTCCCGGCGGGTTCATGTCGTTTGGCGTGTCGCCGGTTATCTGTCCCGGACGGCATTTTGCGAGCACGGAGATTATGGGTGTTGTGGCGCTTATGGTGCTGCGGTTGGAGATTGAGCCGGTGAGGGGGGAGTGGTGGGAGCCCAAGAGTAATTCGTTGGCGATTGCGTCGGGGATGAGGCCGATTTTGGGCAGGTTTGATGTTCGAGTTCGGGAGAGGGAGGAGGTCAAGGGGGTACAGTGGGACTGTGAGTCTCGCGAAGGGAGCGGGGTTTTTCCTTTGATGGTTGGTTAGGTTCGATCTAGTATCTACTAATAGATAGGTAGGACCAGTAACTACCAGCTTGTGTCTATCACTGGATATGCCTCTGCTTCTTACTACGGGTGTCCCTCTCGATATGGGACACCATCTCATGTTTGCGTGGACCTTTCTACGACCTAACGTTGTCCCTTGACGTAGGAAATAGGAGGTTCCCGCCATGGTCTCGATTCATGATTCTGTCTCACGCTAAGATGGAAGAAAACCTTGGATTGAATCTGCACCATGGCCCCTGCCCTACACCTCCAAAGTACTTGTAGAGACGGCTCGTTGTACCCCAAAGGCACAGAAGAACCCCCAGCCCCCAGACACAGGAAAAGGCTCTGCTCCAGTTCGTTCCAAGATGAAGGTTCAAGCCACCGAGGAGGAAAACACGTCCAAGACATTACAATAGAACCCCAACTTCCCCGGATCAAGGTACACCTTGAGCGCATACGCAAGCCCCTGTGCAGTAGGGTCAGAAAGCACAGCGGAAAGCCTCTGATCTACCCCGAATTCCCACTGCCGCTCCACAACCTGGACATAGCCAAGATACTCGTCTCTATCTCTCAGACGCTGTACGCCATCAGCATCTTTGAGCCGCCTCTCTGCGTCATAATTCCCCGGATCGTCCATCGCGCGAGGCAAGGTGGTCAAGAACAGCGGTGGCTGCACAACCTCCCACGGTACGCTGCATGCACCCCCCCAATCGATGATCCCGAGGACTCGAACGCGTCGTCGACTATGATATTACTCGTGTACAGATCTGGATGGTGCAGCGGGAACGGTCCCTCGTCATACTTGGAGATCTTGCTCGCGAGCTCGGCGAGACGGCACGGGAAGTCGTGAATAGATTGTAAGATTTCCTCGACCGGGCCGCCTTGTGCGCATTGCTGGATTTGCGCGTCGGTTCGAGGAAATCGGAATCTCGCGTGTGATGCCCAGGCCTTTAAGAACGCCGTCGCTGTGGAGAATGGGCCGCCTAGGCCTGGGAGTGGGCCGACTTCAAACGAATTCTCCGAGGATCGCTGGACTATCGTGCCGATTCTGGGGAGCCGAATTGACGATAGATGGACCTTTTTTCATGAATCGATAAGCATGCCGAGTGAATACCCGATGAAGCTCATTTTGAAGTTCGTGCCAAGCCAAGCCGTACCTGTATGCTCGCCATCTGACGATAAAACGCCCTCCTCCTCCACTCCAACGGGACCCATCCACGATGAACATCATATCCCCCAGCCGCGTCCATCGCCGACGAACCGGGGAGAAGCTCCATAAGGATAAATGCCGCGCCAACGACATTCGCATCGTCGGCTTCGTACCCATAGATATGCGGGACGACGAGTATCTCAGTAGTAGTCCCTCCCCGGGCTCCGTCTCCGTTTCGGGAGCGAACCAACTCCATGGCAGCGATCTCAGCTCGAAGGGCGGTTGCTGTTTCCGGAGTCGATGGCTCGAGCTGAATACGGGCGATCCATTGCGTATTGGTGGTTCCCTTGAAATCTACAAGCCGGATGAGATGCACGCCGCCGGACGTACTTTTGTCGAGGAGGGTGCATGGTGTGTTGCCGTTGAGGGATGAGGCGTAGGCGCAGAGGGCTGGCCAGTTGGCCCGTTGGAGGCAGGCGTCGCGCATCTGCTTACGAGTCGGGTGGTCATTGTAGAAGCTCTCGTCGTGCCAGTTGAGGTGTGTATATGCGAGGGGTTGAGTTACACGGGCGACTGTGGCCCTCTGTTGTGTATCGTGTAACATGGCGACTACTTTCGACAAGACTTGGGTACTCAGGGGATCCGATTCGCCAAGGCCGGATAGAAGAGGTCAGGGTTGAATCCGACAACTGAGAGGAGCAGAGCCTAGATACATGGCATCATATCCGTATCCGTTGCACAGGTTGATCTTGATAATATCTTCTCATGCTAAATGCCAATCTGGGGCTACGAGTGTCTTACTATCTACTTGGTCCCCTTCTAGAGTGTCATACCGGATCCGCTCTCAGATTCTCCAACGAACCGTATCATATACCTCTCACCTTCTAATTGTGCGTTTGGGATTATTTACGACGGCTCTGTAGTAGAAGCCGAATCTCGTTGGCTTGTGTATGGGGGTCCTAACTCCGCGTACTTTGATCATAACTCCGACGGCCTCGGCATCCTTTTGGACCCCAACTTGCATTATAAAGCTGACATGTCCATCCATCGACTCTACCTCCTCGTCATCCTGATTTTTGGATTGTCAAACTCACCATGACTGAGACGACCTGGAAAGAAAAAGCCGCCGCAAAGAGGGAAGCACTCCTCTCCTTGATCCCACCCGAATGGCGCCTTCCAACTCCTCTCCCTCCACCAGCAGAGTTACCGAACGTAACCGGGGAGGAGATTCGGCGACATCTGTCCACGCAGGAGATTTTGATCACAGAAAGTAGTGCTGTTGGTATTGTTGGCAAGACCTCAAGCGGAGAATGGAAGTGCGAGGATGTTGTCAGGGCATTTTGTCATCGCGCTGCGGTGGCTCATCAGATGGTATATGTTCCCTACTATCTCTTTTTCCGCTGCGATATAACGATATCGGCGGCTTATGAATGTAGATAAACTGCCTCCACGAAATCTTCTTCGACGCCGCGATTAAACACGCCAAAATCCTAGACGCCCACTTTGCCAAACACGGCAGACTCCTCGGCCCGCTGCACGGCCTCCCCGTCAGCCTTAAGGACACGATCCACGTCGCAGGTGTCGACACAAGCATGGGAATAGTCGGCTGGCTAGGCACATTCGAAGGCGCACCCCTCGCAGAGACAACATCTCGGCCAGAGAGCACAATCGTAACCCACCTCCGCGCCCTCGGCACAATCCCCTACGTGAAAACCAGCGTGCCGCAGGGCTCCTTTGCCGGCGAGACAATCAACCACATAATCGGGCACACACCGAACCCCGCGAACCGCAACCTCGTCGTGGGCGGGAGTTCCGGGGGGGAAGGGGGACTTCTTGCGCTCTATGGTTCGCCCATCGGGCTGGGCACGGATATCGGGGGGAGTATCCGCGTCCCTGCGTCATTTAACGGCTGCTACGGACTCAAGCCGTCGACGGGACGACTGCCCTTTCAGGGCATTGCGTCGATTGTGGATGGCCAGGCGGCAATTCCGTTTGTTGTTGGGCCGATGGGGCATTCTGTGGGGGATTTGGTCTTTCTTACCAAGGCGTTGCTGGCTGTTGAGCCGTGGAGGAGTGATCCCGGTGTGCATGAGTTGCCCTGGAGAGACGAGGTATTTGAGAGTGTGCGAGGGAGGTTCCGGGGGAAGGGGGAGAGGCTTGCGTTTGGGGTTATGCGGTCCGATGGTGTTGTTAATCCCCAGCCGCCTGTTGCGAGGGCGTTGAGGGAGGTCGTGCAGCTCCTAAAGTCACTCGGGCATACGGTTTGCTCATCCATATCCTTGCACCCCCATCTCATTCAGGCCTCGCTAATTTTCAGGCAAAGGTTATCGAATGGAACCCACCTCCCCACGCAGAAGCCCTAACCATATGGGTAAGTCATACTCCTCCTGCATGCACATGAAAAACCCAATCATCAACCCTGCTTACACAAACAGCGCGAAAACATTCTAATAGACGGCGGCCACGCCTTCCACTCGGCCCTCACTCTCTCCGGCGAACCCGCCACACCAACCGTCTTTGGATCCAAGCCAAGCGACCCGGTCGACGGAACCGAAGTTATGAGACGAACGATCGCCCTGCGCGACTACCGCAAGGCGTACCTCGACTATTGGAATAGTACTGCTGCACTAACCGGGACGGGCAAGCCGGTTGATGCGCTGATTGCGCCGGTGCATCATGGGCCGCCGCCTGCTATGGGGCGGGTGCGGTATATGGGTGAGTGGGGGCTTACCTAAATAGAGTGCCTGGCACTGGGAAGGATTCCCAACTAAGGGGGCTATGTGGTATGACTTTACTAATTATCATGCTGTATAGGGTATACCTGTGCCTTCAACGTCCTCGACTACTCCGTCTCCGTGATACCGGTGACGTGGGCGAGGAAGGATGTTGATGTATATCCCTCCGATTATTTGCCTTTGAATAGGATGGATAGCGTCGTGCAAAACGACTGTAAGCTGACGGTCCAATATCCACTTCCTTCCTGGATCTCTGCTAACGATCTAGACGACGCCGAACTCCTAGATGGTGCCCCGGTGGGTCTCCAGATCGTAGGACAGAGACTACAGGAGGAGACCGTGCTTGGCCTAAGTGAGGAAATCAGTCGAGAGCTTGCGAGAGTCCAGGTGGCGCGTCTATAAGAGACCAAGTGTGCAGAGTTCGATTGTACTATGATCGTAAAGAATGGCTTATTTATTCACAAACAGTGGAATCGTAGTAGCATCATATAAACCAAAATAATTTTGATCTGTTTATGCAGTAACCTACTGCCGGGTTTCTTCATCTAATCCCTTGCTGAGCTCCCCGGTATCCCCGCCTCTGACTCTGCTTTGCCCTGGTCGCGCATGTGAAACTCCCCTCCATCTTGCGCGAGAGAAACCTCGTCCTACTCTACGTCCGTGCTGTACCTAAGCACAGTCAAAGTCTCATAAAGTTCCTACTCGCTTGTATACGACTTGCTGTTAACTAGGTATTATTCAACCTCGATAATATGGATTTCCGAGGCAGGCAAGAGTTACAACTGCATGGCTGGAACTATTCACGTCCGCCCCCAGGATCCGACATTGATTGATATTGGGATGAAGGTACATAAGCTTTCCTAGCTCTTCTGGTTCGCTTTTGACTGAACATGAAATCCATCCCATATAATCCATCCATCACATCCCAAACACGGGCGGACGTCGAGAAGATTAAAGACTGTAACCCTATACGACTCCGTTTCGTGAATTACGTCGTAGGTAGTCAGAACCGCTCGGCGAATCGGAAGACCGTATCCAGCACCTCCTCAGGGTCTGGGGCCTCCGCCATGGTTGGAATTGGCTTAACAGCGATCTGGGATATGCTGTGTTAGATCGAGCAACGCGTTTGCGATGCAGAAAACTCATAACCACTCCTCTCTGGGAGGGAAAAAAAAAAAAAAAAAAAAAAAAAAAGACGAATCCGAAAAAGGAAGAGAGATAAATAGAAGAAAAAAAACAGAAAGAAACTAACCGGTGTCTCATCCACCCTCTTCGAAAGAGGTGCCCATCCGACTTTTTGACCCGGGAGAAAGACCCTTTAAGCGAGTAGTCAGCGACGACTCGATCCTCTCAATATACCAAAAGCCCGAAACAAGCAAGGAGATGCAGGAAGGGCTCGGGAAACTTGGTACGGCTTCCAAGTATCTGAATCAACGTACTGCCAGCCCTCAGGCGTGGGTCCGTGCTTGAATTCCCACGGATCTCCGCTGTCTCCCTCGTAGCCAAAGCAAAGCCCATCATCCCCCCGATTAAGAGGGATTCCATTCATGCTGATTGTGAAGATGTTGTTGGTGGGGGTTCCTACAGCAGCCACCTCCAGCTACCGACGCAGAATGGTGGTGGTAAGTTCTCTGACAGGGGGAAATCAATGGCGACACGCTACTTTACCTCCAGGGGCTCGCTTTCAGGCCTCAGCGTAATCACGGGCCGCGAATGATGGCTGGCTAGCGGTGCCCCGCGAGTGTATTGGGCCACGATGTATTTTCCGGGTTGAAACTCCATGGTGGGACTTGATGGGTGATAGTCTCGTAGAAGAGAGTAAAATAAAATAGTCTTCCGAATTTGATGTATTTTGTCGTTTTAACTAGCGGGGGAGACTGGAAGTATGTGCTGTTTATATACCTTTTGATTTGATCTATTTCCGATATGAAATCTATCCCGAAATGATGCAATAATGATACCCATACTATTCTGATGCAAATAGCCATCTGTTTCAGGTTACATTTCAATCGGTAGTCATGGCGTCCCAATGTAACATCGACAGCCACATGTTCCACGGGGCTTGCGGAACCCTACCCGATGAAAACGAAGCGGACCACATTCCAAGCTTTCCCCGCAGCCGTCTAGAACACGACGCGGCATTAAGCTTCCAATGTGGCTGGGGTCTAGAATCAGATTAGGGTTATTGTGGCTGCCGCCCCAGGATCGTATTGTTTGCCGAACCCCTAGCAGATTCCCGAGGTGATTCAGTGCCAAACTTTATCCCAGAAGCCAGCGGCGCGGTACGGATGGGACATTATTGCTAGCCAGGGCGGCGGCGGGATCCATTTACGATTGAGCGATTAGCAGAGCCCTCGGTCCTAGGCTAGATCTCGACCCCGCTGGATTGATTGATAGCATGGACTCGGGACGAAGTATCTAGGTTTCACTGTTTCGGACGTACATAGTTAATCCTCCAGAAGCGATGAATCAACCACGACTAGGTAGCGATGCCGTAGACTCTTCGAAAAACTCACGACAAAAGGATGGACGCACGGGATTCCACCTCAATTCCCTTTGTAGACACGCCCTTTTGGATCCGTCGTTGTTGGTAGAGATCTGGAAGGCCGGGGGTGGGTGAGGCCCGGCATATTCCGCGGGCCCCAACGGGTCCCAGTCTTCTATTCCCGCCTGCAGCCAGGAGATGGCATAAGTCTAGGTTCCGTGGCTGAGTATCGTCCGCGGAGTACTCGGAGAGCAGTCCTGGGGATTATTGACATCTCAGGGCTCCGCGCGACCCTGTGGGTTGCTGGATTGTGTAGGTAGGTCCCGCCTGCTTGGAGGCTTGCTAGCTGAGTATTATGCATATCCAGCTTCATAGTCGGCAGTCTGACATCATGTGGCAGAGATTGATATTGTATTCTAGAGCTATGTACTTATCTATGCCTTACTGCGTCTATAGTAGTCGAGAGCTGTTTCGAGAGAGGAATATAATCATTCCCAATCTGATTTCCATTCTAGATTGATAAACAGGTCTCTACATGATATAAAAGAGCTCATGGGGAAAGGGCCAACAGTATCAAGTCATTGAATTCCCTTCCGATGTCCCGCAGAAACGAATAAGGAAGAGCCGTAACAAAGGAATCTGAATGTAGGCCGAAACTAAACATACCTCCACCAGACCGCCTCCTAGGTACACTCTCCTCTCCATCCATTCACTACACACTGATAGTCTGCTTCACATCCTTCACCGAGACACCCTTGGCATCATCCACAGCTGGCTCCTCGTCACCGACAGGAAGAGCGTTACCCTCGATGACGGTTGTCGTCGTGGGTACATACTCGGTGTCGAGCGGCGGCGCATACGAGCTCCGCCCTTCGACGAACCACGACAGCGCCATGGCGAGCAGTAGCGCGCCGAGGATGAGGATTGTATAGTTCATGTTAAGGGCGGTGATTGGGTGTTTCTGCGGGAGCTGCAGGGTTCCGAGTTAACTTGGGCTTTTTGGGTTGGGTATACTTGTAGAGAAGCAGGCAGGGAGGAAAGCAAATGGGAGAGGAAACAAGGGAGAACGGAAAGGACGGAGCCACGTACCAACGCAACAACAATAACCAGAAGCGCGTATCCAACGACAAATACGTAGATTGGGGTTGCGAAGAGACCCAGGTTCCATCGGGGGCTGCTCGGTAGGAGCCGTCCGCGAGTGACGAGGAGGGTGAGGGCTGGGAAAGCTAGATGATTTCTTGCATCAGTCGTCATTTGCGTCCCTTCCCTTCCAGGAATGGCCATGTGAGAGAATGTTCGTAGTGCGTACCAAAGCTGATGATCATGCAGACGCCCTGGCCGCCTATAATCGCATTGAAGGCAGCGTCGGAAAAGAGGTAGCTGTGCAATGCAAAGAGAGGAGCAGATTAGATGGAGGTTCAATGTCTGATACACCAAGGAATGAATGAATGAATGATCTACTCACACTAGGCCGATAAGAGCGACCAGGACCGACGGGAGGTTGATGGACCACATTGGGATCTCGGTCGCCGAGGAGCGTTCGATGAGTCTATACAGAGGCCGGGGTCAGTCCGTCTATCCACTTATTTGCCGTTCATAGAGGAAAAGAACATGCTTTGCATTCCAGAACAACCCACCATCTCGTGCAAAGGCATACCCCTGCCTGCTCATCGCGACGGCGCTCGCAAGCGCAGACGTGCCGTTGTTGATGATAAGAACAACGGCAAAGCACATGGCAGCCGCATTGCTGCTGGTTGCTAGCCTGATGAGTTCAAGCACTGGGATGCTGTGTTGTTGTCAGTTGAACCGTCGTCTGAAACGAGAGAGACTGTGAGAGATAATCACCCCGTGCGCGTCCTCAAGACCGCATCCAAATCCGTAATCGAGAACCCCAAGACAAGGATCCAGACCACACCGACGATGACCTGGGAGACAATGACGGTAATCAAGATTCGAGGCAGAGATCGCTTGGGCGTTGGAAGCTCCTCCGCAAGGTGGCATGCTGCTTCGCAGGACATTAGCGTGGAAAAGCTGGTGAATAGTCCGAGCACGATTGAAAACGATGTCGATGCGTATCTAACATTCTAATAAGTCTGGAGAAGTTATAAAGGCAGATTGTAGAGGAGCGTAGCCACATACCCGGTCTCATTGGTCGGTGTCACAAAGACAGAGCGTGCAGACGCCTTGGGTGCCTTGACCAGGAGGAGGATTGTATATGCCACAAAAGCGATAATGGTAACGTAGCCTGACCTGAGAGTTAGACCGTACAAGTGACATCGCCATGGAAGGACAAGCACAAACATCCAAGGAGCTCCAGCGCAGGAATACTCTTGAGACCCCGCAGGTTAAGTATCCAGCAGATCCCCACAACAGCCAGATAGACGAGAAACAGACGCCATCGGGTCGTCACGTCGAAATCAGGTTGGCACAGGTTGACTAGGCCGAGCGTGGAAGTTGCAACAATCGCACAGCACGCTGCGTGCGTAAAGACTAAGCCGAGATAATTGAGCCAGCCGAGCGGGTAGGCCACCTGTCGTCGATATTTGGGCGGGGTGAGGAAGCAGGAGTAGTGGTATGCACCGCCAGCTGTTGAGAACCTTGCTGCGCATTGCGCCAGGGTCATGACGAGGAGGGTCATTGCAATACCCGAGCCGAGGCTGTACAGGCATGTCTGTTAGCACCCTTTCTCTCCGCAGGGAGCAGCTTTTGGAGGGAAAACGCACAAGCCGTATAGAATCGCAGGAAGCCCGCCGGCCGAGAGGCCCACAAACAAAATAAAGGACATCCCACCGAACGCGTTGAGACTCAGCCAGCCCAGGCTGATGGCACTCCATAGTCCGAATGAGCTTGGAACCTGCCCCAATCCTTCTTCAGTGGCGAACGTCATTGTTGCGGTCAGCGCCGAGTCACTATATTCAGGGGGTTTGAATCCATCTCGGTTGCCGGCGAATGTACTCCTTATAAGGATGGATATATCCGTCCAGTCACTATCAGCTGTACTTGGTATATCATGGCAGGTGTCGATACAGAGATAGTCAAGGTTATGCAGCGAGTGGCTCTGTAGAACAGTCACCAGTACGTGGGTATTCGCTGTAGGCTGAGTCCGTATCCAGTGATAGATGGTCTGCAATCACGGATCCTCTATCAATCGTTTACCTTGGAGCGACCCTTCATTTGCCGCCGGCGAGATATCGGGCCAGATCGTGGATCCACTGATTCTGACCTTTCCGAATTTGTCTCTGCTATCCTATCTCTAACCGGGATCTATCTTATCTAGTCACAGGTGGAAGCTTATCATTCATTTGAGAAACTGACTTCCTCGGCCCTTCTGTCGGTGCTAGATCTGGATCTAAAACAAACATCCATTCCAGTGTCCTACACAAGTGGGCCTCACCTAGACGCTAGGGCTGTACAAGCCTCAAGCGCAGTCAGGGCTGGCTTGGGGGACTTCTCAAATCGACGCCCCCAGCTATAGGCACCGCACAGTACTAATAGCTTCAGACATACGAATGAGGTTAAGCTGTGAGAATATAAGAGGATCTCGCGGCTGAGTCCCAGCGTTTAAGATGCACCGTAGTAATTTAATACAACCATAACAATTAAAAGTCATGTGATTTATATCAACGAGTAGATGCCACCATTGCCACAAGACATTGCGTCTGATTTCATTCAATGCCCGATCCACGCCCACCCCCCTCATCCATCCTATACCCGCTCCTTAAGCGCAAGGTCAGCCATCTTTGGCCTCTTTACATCATCTCACCTACTCACCTTTGATATCTGGTGCTCAACGCCGGAGGTACAAAGGGCAGCAGAACCCACAGCCCTATTGCGACAGCGGCTGGAATCCTTGCGCCACCACGCATACACCGTGTACTGTGGGCACAATGCGGGAGCAGTCGGCGTGACTGGATGTGAGGGCGTTGGAAAATCGAGAGCATCTGTGCTTGGTGAATACATGGATGGGTAGATAGTCGGCTGCCGTGGATGGAGAATTGGTAGGGTCGAAGAGAACCCACCATGGACATGGACCTCGTTTGCTCACCGCTGGAGCTTATCAGACAAGGGACGATAAGTTTTTGGAGTCACTGGAGAAGGATGGATGGCGACTGAGATAATAAATCTAGGCCCGTAGGGCTTATCGCCGGTATCAGCGGCCTCAGATTGGGTCCTACCCGCGGCTATCGTTGCCAATTCGGGTTGTCAACTAGGTTGTGATGGCGTCTGTGGCCTCGAGACCGATGGTTGTTGCATCGAATATTCTGGGATCAAGCTTCTAGGCGCTGCTGCTCCAGTGCTCATGACACACCGCACCTCAACGGGCTATTGTGGAACTTGGAACATATGCTGATTTCCAGTCGACGGCTAGGAATGTCATGGGTTATTGATTAGGCAAATGAGTTGAGGGTCCCATCATGTAACCCATAGAAGCACTATTTGCACCGTTATTAGAGCCATCTTATTCGGACGTGGTGATAAACATGTATACGGACTACAGTGGTCTTGGACTTGAGGCTTCAGTAGCCCAGGGTGGCTGCTTGACGCATGTATACAATGATACCCGGCAGACTACTAATGCTTCAATGATACACGCAGCACTGTATTTGTGATCTGATAGCTGTACCATTCTTGGATAAGACGCATGCACGATCAGAGAATCAATTTGAAATAATGTCCAGCGCCGGAATGAATACAAAGTGCATTTTGTTCTTGCGCATATTGGAAACAAGATGGGCACTTAGCCAGTTGCCTTTCCCAGGGATCATCTACCAGGAATGGCAAAAGTAGAGAGCATTCTCGCTCTTACTATACCATCAGCTTGTAGAATGATTCCAGTTTTCGTTCTAGAATACTGCCCAAGCTTTTAAGAAATCAAACTTTTCGCCCACATCTCTGTTTACGTGGAGATCTTCCCGAACCCCATTATACCCCCAGATCTCAACAGCTCACCAGACACGATATCCAGGGTCAGCGCATCTCCCCACCAGCTCTGCCTCTCTCGGAACACTCCCCGTCCTCCTCCACCCGATCAACATGCCTCAACCTCACAAACGCCAAATCCAGAACAAGCGCCGCAACAGCCAGTGCTGCCCCAAACCACAAGGCCGCCCGAAACCCCGCGACCTCTCCACCCCCCTTCGCAATCCTCCCTTCAATCGTCCCTGCAAAGCCCAAGCCAAGACTATTCCCATACAAATTCAAGGTCCCAATCAGACTCCCCGCAACGCCCTGCTCGCGCTTCGAGACACTATTACTCGCAATAATCTGCGCGGCCACGAAGACGAAGTCTGGTGATAAGCTGCCCAGGACAGTAGAGGGGAAGATCTGCTTCCAGTAGAGCTGCTGCTCGGGCATGCTTGCGAGGAGGGCGCTAGACGCGAACGAGGCGAGGCAGCCCAGTGCGAGGATATACTGCGCTTCCCAGACGGTGACGAGCCAGGCGGCGAGGATGACGGCGGCAGACGCACCGACGCCGTAGGGGATCCAGCCGATTGCGACGTGCAGCACGGTCCAACCTCGGATCAGCTGCTGCCAGGCGACCATGTACCACAGCGAGATTCCGACGGACATGTAGATGAAGAGGACGACGAGGATCAGGGCGTTGAAGCTGGGCGCGGTGAATGCGGATAGGGGCATGATTGGGTCGCTTGCGTAGGAGTGTTCCCAGGTGATGAAGGCTGCGAGGAGGAGGATTGATATGATGAGTGTTGCGATTGGGGCTGGTGAATCCCATCCGGTCGAGGGGGCTTGGCTGTAGCAGAACATTCCGTTAGATATATTCTTGTTTTAGCAAAGAAGGGAAAGAACTCACTTCCACGCAATGCTGAAGAGTAGAAGCCCGCTCAATCCCAACGCTGCGCCAGCCCAGTCAATCTTGCCCCCCTTGTCCACCGGTTCCTCACGCGGCAGAACCAAAAACAGACTTCCGACAGCAAGAGCACCGAGACATGCTCTATAACCACAATATCAGTGTCTAACCTCGCAACGAACCTCTTTCACCTCGAGAATGACACTCACATGATAATAAAATGCCACTTCCACTCCGTACTCTCCAGAACCGCACCCGCAATCAGCGCCCCAACCAGGGCCCCTATCGGCGGCGAGGCCGCAAAAACCGCCAGGGTCAGATTTCTCGCCGGCCCCGCGGGGATCATAATCGTCAGCGCGGCCACTGCATTCGGCATGAGGATGCCGCCGCCGATGCCGGTCAGCGCTCGGACCGCGATGAACGATGTGTATGTGTTGCAGAAGGCGTTGCAGATGGAGAAGATGACGATGATGGCGCCGCCGAGGAGGAGGAGCGTACTGTGTCCGTAGACGGCGCCGATGCGGCCGCTTATCAGGACGAAGGCACTTTGTGTGAGGCTGTGTTGGCAGGAATGGGTTAGTGGAAGTTCAGGATTGGCATGGAATGGTGACAGGAGCTGGTCTTACGAGTATGCAGCGGCCATCCAGTTCGTCTGGCCGTGTCCGAATTCGACGCCGAGGAGCCTGCTGAACTCGAATCCGCCGGCGACGGTCGAGAACATCGAGGTATACTGCAGGATAAATTAGCACGCCTAGCTAGACATTGTATAGAGCACATGGGTACGGAGAGGAATACCTGAATTAGATTGCACAGTATAACAAGCACAATAATCGCGGTACGCCGTGCTTTTCCCAGCTTACTGACGGGTTCCGGCTCAAACGACGTCTCGAGCGGATGCACTTCAGCGGTCACAACATTGGTGACAACAGAGAGCACATGGTCATGATTCCCCTGTGCCTGTGGCACAGATTCGGTTCGTGTTGGGAGCTCAGACGAGCTCACGTCTGACTTCTCCATGATACTGAGACTCTCTCGTAGACTCTGTAACGGATCTACGAATCTTCGCTGGCTGGGACGGATTTAAACGAGTGTCTCCAAATATCAAGGGCAGCGGGCGAATGGCTTGGACCAGCGGGGTAGGGTAGATGCGCCGATGTTGGGCAAAGTTACTCCAATGCAGGACGACCTACGTGTCAAAGGGGTCTAGACGCCTTTGCCATGGTCAGGTGCTCATGTCGGCATCGAACCTGGGAGGGGCAACCGCGGGTTTCTTTACCCCAAGCGGCAAATGTGGATAGTTTATCGGCTAGTGGGGGAGCATAAAGCTGCTTGAGTAAGAAGTCCTTGTTGGTCTACAGCTTGTATTATCCAGGTGACTCCTGGTGCATCGGGATGTTGATTGGTAATTTATGCTTGTAAATGATTGTTCTGTTTACATATTTGCTCTCTTTCTTTGTGGGTATGCGCATATATGAAGACTATTTCGTCTCCTTATCCACCCAGCTAGACTTTTCTTTCTTTTTGGTTGATCCGATCATTTGTATATCATTTGTATAGTTCTTGTAATTAGTAACCTATAAAATATTAGATGCAGAATTTTCTCGTGCTGCTATCTGGGATAATTCGATCTTTACCTTATAGTATGGACCAGACGTCGATTCCTTATTCAACATCGTCATGACGTTGCTACGGAACTCACCTTTGCATGCCTAGCTAAAATAGCCTACCGTCAGCCATCATTCCAAAATCACTAATTTGGTTTATAACGCCTTGTCGGCCCGCTCGAATCTTGGTGGCACCCAGTTTATTGTAGTCGAAAAGTAATCCTATTTCGCGGACACTGCCTAAACTAACTCTGCACACATCTTCAAACAAGCTTTCACTCACTCAACCACCACCTGCCCCCCCAAATCCCCATACCCAAAAGGATCCTTCTTCCCCCCGACCAAAACAATCGGATCCTCCCCACCAACATGCCCACAGTTCGGCCTCGCAACCGAATACCCCAGCAACGCCTGGACCTCCGGCTCATACCCCCTCACCACATCCCTCTCAATGCCCACAAACTGATTCTCATCAGCACGCATAGACCCCCTCGTCATGTGGCACGAATAGATAATCCGGCGCTCCGGCGGGTTCGTCTTGTTCTCGCCGGCGCCGTGCCAGATACTCCCGATGATAAAGACGGCGTCGCCCTTGTTCATTTCGCAGGTTGAGCAGAGGGATCGGTCGGCGGGGCCCCGGATGCAGGCTTCGGGCCATTTGTGGGAACCGACGATCACCTGGGTGGCGCCGTTTTCGAAGTTTGTGTCCTGCGTCGTGCGTATTAGTATGCTTGCGTCTCTATCGTGGGGTGTCCTGGGCAAATGCTCACCACACCGGCTAACAGGAGCCCGAGCAGGGAGCTCTCGCCGCTCCCCTCGAGGTGCTCAAAGTGCTGCGCCATGTCGTCGCGGTGTAGCTGCTGCGCGGTGGAGGGCGAGCCGCGGTTGAAGGCCTCGGAGACGGCGAGGACTGGGTACGAGACGGTCTTGTAGCGCTTGCCGTCGCGGTAGACGGTGCTATAGTGCGTGTTAGTCGTCATTTATCTAGAGATGTGGCTAGGTGCATAGGGTACGGCAGGGCATAGTGGGTAGTCTCACGATTCCTCCTTGAGCAGCGCCTTGGCGACCTCACGATACGTCGGGTGGTTGATGGCGGCGTGAGCGAACGTGGGCGACTTGCCAGCGAACCCACTGCACATAAATCAGTCAAATCTCCAGCCTTCACATCCGGACAAGCAGATTTCAGACGATACGCACCTCAACGGCGGATCCGCCGCATCGAACAGCTTCCCTTCGTACTTTCCAAGCTTGCTATAGTACGGCTGGGCCTCTTCCTGGATCTTGTCGATGATCTCGGGAGAGACAAAGTTCTTGATGATGATTCCGCCGTCGCGCTTGATGATGTCGACAATCTGCTCGATCGGGGCCGAGGCGTCGAGCTCGACTACCTCGGGGTTGTGGGACTGGTGAGGAGGGTTGGGCATTTTGGTGAGGTTGTGAGGTGTGCAAGTGGCAAAGGATATGGTATGGATTTAGCAGTAATCACTTGGCAATTGACAGGAGATGCAATGGATGGCAGTCTATGAGGATTATAAAACTGCATGCCTGCCTGGTACTTCCTGCAATTCCCAGGTTGCAGGTGCCAAGCAGTGGTTGCCCAAAGAGGAAAACCTAGCCTCGCGTATGCTTATCAGCACGACAAAGTAGTTTCCTCCACTTGATCTGTATCGCAAGATAACAGTTGGCCGATGCTAGCGCATTCCTCGCCTCGCCACATTTTGTGGAGAACCCCTCTATACTCCACCATTTGCACACTGGGCACTGGGCACTCAGTTGTATGAGTTTCGCCACGCTGTATACATATCCGAAGGCATTCCGACTCTTCCCTCCTGTTCACTCTGCACACGACAGTACTCAGCGCCATCCTGAGCCATCAATTGATCGTCCCATCCAGACCTACTGCCATCATGCCCGCCACCGTCCAACGCTTCTCCGCAGCCTCTGCAGACCCGCACATCCTGCACCAGCACCTCCTCGCCTCCGGGGTCGTGATAATCGAAGGCGCCGCAACGCGCTCAACCATCGACGACATCCTCGCCGAGATCGCCGAGAACCAGTCCCAATCCCAATCCCAACCCCAGCCGGAAGCACAAACCTTCGCCCTCGCCGCCAAAAGCCCCACCTTCGCAACACAACTCCTCATGAACCCGCTGTACATGGACCTCGCGAAACGCATCCTCACCGACACAGCCATCATCTACTACGAGCAGGACCGCACCGTCTCCATCTCCGAGCCGCAGGTATCCGCAACAGAGATCCTCACCGCGGTCCCCGGTGCGCAGGCCTGGGGTCTCCGCCGCCGCGACGAGTGCCACCATATCACGCACCCGGCGAAGCGCGAGAGCGACGTGGGCATCATGTATGCGGCAACGGATGTGACCGCGGCCAACGGCGCGGTGCGGGTGGTTGTCGGCTCGAATTGGTGGGTTGATGAGCGGGATCCCGCTGCTGACGAGGAGGTGCGCGTGGAGATGCGCAAGGGGGATGCGTTGGTTTGGTGCGTCCACCTCCATGAACACTCCCTTCCCTCCTTTCCCTAAGTCACATCCCATCTTCCTCCCATACTAACAGCCAAATGATGTCTAGGCTCGGCTCAACCTATTACGGCCGCGCCGCAAACAGCACAGCCGACGAGACAAGCATTCTCCTCGGCGCAATCGCGATCCCGGGGTACCTGCGGCAAGAGGAGAACCAGTACCTCGCTGTTCCCTGGGAGGGCGTCGCGGAGACGTATCCGACGGCCGTGCAGCAGTTCTTGGGGTACTCGGTTAGTCGCCCGTATGGAGGTGCCGTCGAGCATATGGAGCCGTTGGATTATCTCAAGGTCAAGGGGGATTGGTCAAAGTATGTTCCTGTTGATCTTATTTGAGTGGGGGTCGGTGAAGGGAGGAGGGGAATGGTGGTTAGATAGGTAGAAAGAAGTTGGCGAGATAGATGTGCTTGATAGGGTTGTGTATGGCTGGATACTTGTCGCTTACGCTGTTCTAGAATATAAAGACTGGGTATCTCATCTCACAGCACAAGTAACATAAACGGGCAACCTACAACAGGATATTCAACTCCATCCCCAACCCCCGAACAACACTCCTCCACTCCACTCTCCCCGCGCCTACAACACCATCAACCCTCTCCCACACACCCCTCAAAACAGCTACAACATCCAACGGCCCCTGAAACCCCAACCTCGCATGCATCTCAACCAGCTTCCCGACAAAAATCCCCCGCGCATCATCCCCGCGGGCATGAAGCGCAACCATGAAAAACGGAAACAGGCACGCCTGCAACCAGGACAATTCGACCAGCGCCGCGAGTGCCGTCTCCACGCAAGCCTGGATCCGGGGATCGCGGGCGTCCAGCGCGTAGATCTCGCTGTACACGAAACAGAGCATGCCGGCGCGCCAGACGGAGTTGAAGTGCGTGATCGAGGCGGAGTATTCGGGGCGGATGGAGGGGGGTGGAGGGGACCAGGATTCGATGCGGCGGATGAGGTCCGCGATGTGTGGCATTAGTTGCAGGAGAGAGTCGATTGTTGTTGATGCCGGTGGAGTTGTGGCTGTGGGTGTGATTGCTGTGGGTGTGATTGCTGTGCGCAGACGATCGACCGTCACGGCGTAGTCGGTTGCTTCGCGGAGGAGGAGGTGCATTTCGTAGTCCGGGAGGTCGTCCCACCAGTGGGATTGGTGTTTGGACAGGTCGAGGGTGGGGCTGAGGTTAGAGTCTCTGTCTGTAGTGGCATCGACTGGTCAATATCACTCGTCTAGGCGCTTGCGATTGTAGATAAATGCGGGCGGAGCCAAGCTAGGACTCACCTTCATCAATACATCTCAACTCGTCAATCACATCCGCTGCGACTGACCCCTTGAGCATCGCCCTGCCCATCGTCACAGCCCAGTTGTACTGCACGAGTAGACACTGCAGTCCAACGGGGGCCTGCTGCTGCTCAGCCGACGTGCGCAGCGCACCTTCCAGCAACCGGCGACAGCCGATGAGCTTTGCACTCCAGGTGTCGATGCTCGTGCCGATGATCTATTTCCAAGACATAAGCACACACTCGTGTTCCATGTGATACCAACGAATGCAATGCAAGGAAGAGCAACCTACATCCAAGACAATCGACAGCAGCACCGTCGCCCCCAGAACCCAGCTATCCTCCTTGTTGGTACTAAGCGCATCACGAAACGAGTCCTGAACAGCCGTCCGATAATGCTGAATCGCAAACGCCGGCAGCTTCCCTTGCTTCGCGAGGTGCGATGCACTGGCGAGCATGATGACTTTGAGAAGGGGCTCGGACTCTGTCGCGAGGGACCCGTAGACGACGCGGTACGGGTTTTGGTCCAGTTTTATTGGGTACAGGCGGAGGTAGAGTGTGTCCATGTCTATGGGGTATCAGTGTGTGGTTAGAAACGTGCGAGAGATGGAAGTATAGGTGGACGGTGGGACTTGCAGTAGGTGAAAAGGTACTGGTCGAAGGGATCCCGTGGGGTGGTATGCATGACGGGTTCGAGAGTCGGGTTGAAAAGCGCCAGTTCAAGCGCCTGGACTTCATCAGGTTGCTCTGGGTCGTCCTCGCCTGCCTGATACCCCTCTGAAGACCAGTTCCCTAGCGCAGCGAAATCGAGCGGGGAAGTCAAGTAGCGACCGGGATCCATCTCCACCGTCTCCATGATTCCGGGCGTCAGGCTATCGATCTCGTGCGAATCGCCCAGATGTGCAAGTACAGCTCTCGATTGTGACTGTGGCTGCAGCAGGTCAAAATTGCTCTGAGGGAGTAAGCCAGTCCGCGGTGTGCCCACGACTGTCGCCGCCATCGCTGCATCACCCTCGCCGTCACCTTCGAGCCCACTACCCTCGCTATCCCTCCTCACCCTCGAAACCATCTGCCCCTCAATTCCACTATACGCGGTAAAGTCACCCAATGTGACTTTATATCCTCCACATTCAACACCGCGCAGGCGACAGTTGAAGCAGGTCGGTTTGCGCTCGTCGCATTTCTGGTGGCGCTTGCGGCAGGTGCGGCAGCCTAAACATGGTCAAGTCAGTCCCAATTGATCTCACAGGAATCGGACGAACGGGATATACCATTCCGGGACCTCTTTTTGAGGACTCTCTGGGCGGATTCTTCGGGCATTAAGGACAAGCTCTTGGGATTGAAATGATGGAAAGCCAGGGAAGAAAATGCGGGGAGCCGGAATCGGGGGCTCTCTTATCATCAAGTGCTTGCGAGCTCATCTATCTACGCACTGATAAGCCAGTAGATGCTGTGTCAATGCGGTGGATCGACGATAAGCATGAAGCTAGTCAATCCATGGCATTTGATAGGTGCATCTTTTTCCAATTTTTACAAAGTAGTGGCTGCACTCCGCGGTCTGGATTCCGCGGGGGGCTTGCAAGCTGGCCTGCTACTACGATGTCGTATCACGCACAATCCCACTTGTAAAGCCCAGACAGTAACCGAAGCAACAAGTTGAGACAGAGGTCAAGAGGAAGACCCGAGTTTGGAATCAGAAACTTTTCATGATTATGTATATGATTATACTAGGATTAAACCTACCCTCAAACCGAGAGGGGGCACGATAAGAATAAAAAGCACAGCGTTCTATAATGCAACCGTAACCACCGAACCGAAAATGCTATGCTAGGCAACAATAGTACCGATTATGCAATCCCACTTTTCCCGTAAATGTGCGTCAGCGAAGCACATGTCGCCTCACATAATGTTCACTCCAAACCCAGTTACCACCACCAAAACGAGGCAAAAGGCATCCTGAGGAACAAAGGATCCTCTACTTGGCAAGCTCACTCGCCATCCGACTCCGCGCCCTGATCCTCTCGCCGTAGGCGAAGAGCACCCAGGGCACAAGACACAGCACGGCGCCAATCGCCCCGAGGAGCGAACTCGCCTCGGGAAAGCCCAGGTTGTTAAACATGGCATGCGTGACAAGCGGAAAGACTCCGCCGAGCAGATTCCGGCAGCAGCTCTGCGCGGCGATCGCGGAGCTCGCGTACCGGTGGTACGTGTCGGCGAGATAGTTGAAGACGGCGAGGTAGACGGAGAAGATGCCCATTGTTGCGAAGGCGATGGCGATTGTCGGCGAGATCCAGTGGATGCTGCTGGAACTTGTCCAGCCGAACCAGAAGAGGCCGATGGGCATGAGCATTGATTCGAAGCAGACAAAGTAGAGACGGGCTTCGGGGGAGGAGGGGAGGAGGTTGAAGTGGTTGGCGATTTTCTCTTGGTAGATGCTTATTAGGGTGATTGCGAGGGCGCCGATGCACATTGCTATCGAAATGTTAGTTTGCAACCTTGAAGGCTAAGGGGAACAGATGAACGAGTGGAGGGAAGGGGGAACGTACAGGTAAAGACGGCGCCGGTCTCTTCGGTATTAAAGTTGTGGTTCGTTTCAAAGACGAGTGGGATCGACCCGAATTGCAGGTAGAGGACTGCCCAGCTGAAGGAGACCCAGAGGGAGAAGAAGAAGACGACGGGTTCGGTGATGAGCATGTCTGTTTCGTTTATTAGTAGATATTCGAATTATAGTAATGACAAACGTGGACGTACGGAAAGGACGGTACAGCGAGATGGAAATCATCTGCACAAGCGACTCGCGCTGCTCATCGCTCTTGACCTTCCACCTGATCCGTCGCAGATCAGAGCTCTCTCCAGTCAACACACCGATGTGTCCCGCGGCCTCGAGCTGCTCATAGTATTTGTTCAACGCATGCGCCTTACGACTGAGAAGCACACTCCCGCGCGTCTCCTTGAAGAAGAAGAAAATAATAACCACAAACACACCCGAGACCATCGCATGAGACCAGTAAATCCACCGCCACGAGGTATGCTGTACTATAGCACTCGACAGCAGCGGCGCGAGCCCCGTACCGAACAACGCCGCACCCGCAAACAGCGCCATGGGCGTGTTCCGATCTTCAGCATGGTAGATATCGCTAATGACGCCGCCAACCATGGTCGAAAACGTCGACGCCCCGACACCCTGAAAGAACCGCGCAACCAGGAACCCGGAGAATAGCCTCGTCCCACCACAGGCGACGATCATTGCGACGAAGAGAACCCCACTCGCGACGAAGATCGGGCGCCGGCCGTTGATTTCCGAGAACGGGGCGAGAACCATCGGCGCCAGCGCGAAGCCGATGCAGAAGAGCGTGATTCCTAGGTTATACACGACGGCGCTGATGTCCCATTCCTCGGTCAGAGGGCCCGATGCTGGGGTGATTTCGCCGGCCGAGTACCCCGCCAGCGCGGTGACAGCGCACGAGATCCAAGTCATCATCGACTTGCGCCATTTCGGCCAGAGGAAGGGGGATGTGTATTTTTCGAGGTTGGGCGCGTCTGGTGCGGCGGATTGCCCGGGGCCCGGGGGTGCTGTGATCCAGGGTGTTGGGAGGGGGGTGTCAAAGTCGAGGTAGAGGTATTCGATTTCTTGCGTGGTGTCGATTTTCTTCTCCGAGACGAAATCGGGGGCGGGTTGGTCGAGCTGTGTGGTTGTTGAGCTCGAGGCGCTCCGCGTGGAGGGGCTGGTCATGGTGCAGGTTGAGGGTGTGAAACTGCAGGATGACTCCTCGAGCTCTGTGGAGGATGGCTGGGATTAATAAAGAAAGAAGCTCTGGGCATGTTGCGGTAGGGCGTCGATTGAAGAGGTCTGAGACCCCAATGGCCCTACGGGTCCAGTGCCGAAAATTGGAGATCAGATCGGCATTCGATGCGGGTCTCTTTGAAAGCTTTTTCACTCATTATGTAACACTGTATGTGAAAGCACGCAATTGTGGTTGCAAATTCAGCTCATATCAATCATTTTTTACAACTTTATAGCTGCTCTCGCCCGAAATTGACCCCCTGCTGCTCGTGTTTGACTGTGCGACGCTGGCCACGTGGAATGGGCGAGAAAAAATCTTGATAAGAGAAAATCGGAGAAGCCCCACTTTTCCTGTCCCCAACTCACTTCTCCAATTCGGAGAAGCGATGACTCAACTTTCGATCATCACTATGATGACCAATGCACATATCACAAATCAAGAACTTATGGTGCTAGTTTCATCTGTCGGTACATATGATTCAAGTATGGGCCAGAGTCAGTCAGAGCACAGGTTACAAATACCGCATCGTCTCCAATGGCATCAGTAGCCTGAGGCAACTTGCGGTATCGAAGCCCTCAGTATAGCCTCGGGATCAGAAGCATTGGCCTTGAATAATCGGACTAGCGGTCAGAAAGGATTTATGATCTATTACAGAAGGATATGATACCCGTCTTTCAACAAAACATGACAACGTTGCTGAGTCATTGCAATCAACGGCGTCCTGAGAAAGTAGACTCGTATAGTTCATGTCGGCATGGGTGCCTCAGGCATTCAGCGGGCGTAGCGAGTGGTCACGTGGCTCACAACCGCCACCATGACACCACTCGGTCTGCCCCGTAGAGAGGAATACCAAGCGTTTCCATGCAGTCAGTTCACAATGTGCCCGGTAATTGGCCGTTCCTCCTCAGCGGGCTAGCCAGGCACGATTCCCAGTCGAGCCGTACGTCCATGCGGATGTCGTTAGTATATATATCAAAACGCCATGCCAAACGCCAAAGATGTTTACTGGGACTGTTCCATCTCGAAGAAAAGTTGAACAGGTGATACTTCTGTGACTATGGATTATGGCCCGCTCTTTACTACTTCTTAGATCGTTGTTATAATGAATCTCGGGGAAGGATCCACTGACATGCAAAACCATTTTCTATATATAATATACCCAAGGCAAGGAAGAGGCGACCCGCAAAATGATCAAAGATGGTAGGTACGATGCCTGGGTGGCTCCTCCTGTTCTTGTTGATAATTTATAGTTGGGGAAGGAACGACAGGCCCTGTAACGGCGTGCCTTCCTTTTACGAGCTACGCCCAAGAACGCAAGGTAGTATACTTGCCACCATTTGTTGCCATAGTAATTTACTAGTGGAGCTATATTTTGTCACATACCGGGTATATGGCGTAGTCATTAGCGCGGCAACACTTTTGGTGTACACCTCCGTACATTCTCGAGGAATTCTGAAGCGAGTGAAGGAAATGACTGTGAGTAATGAACGCTCGACCTGAAGGAAAATGAAGATTCCTCTGTACTGTGGGACGTTGAGTAACTATATTATTGACGACTGTCAGAGCCAGGCGGAATATTTTCTTCTCTTAAAGGGTGCGTGTCGAACACAGATGCAAGAAGAAGTACCACCGCGAACGACGGTGGAGGGGTAGAGTTGCGGGCCTACATGAGCTCGACTAGTGATGCTGAGACGAAGCTGGCATAACCAGCTTGAAGAACATATAATATCAATGGAGATACTTTATTTATACTCGGAACAGAGACTCGTCAGACTGCGGATGATGGGGGTGGAGGAACCGGTTTTTGCGGTCATTGCTAGTTTCTGTTGCTATAATCAACAATTACCGTCCAAGGAACAGCCAACCCTGGAGCCGGGTATAACATTTGCGGCTAAAGCTCACACCATGGTGCATCGGATTGTATTGTTAAAGTAGGCAAAACTTGATAACAGCATTCCCAGGTCACTTTCGGCTGTGTCGGAGGTCACCATATCGCCGTTTTCAGGATTCAAGTTCTAAATATGGGTAAGGGAAGGCAAAATTGAATTTTATGCTCCAACGACTGTCAAAAATAGTGAGTTCGAGCGGTTGAACAAGAGGTGGGATGAGGGTTTGCTTGAAAGCGGAGTTGGGGCCGAGGCTGTGTCTACGTAGACAGTCTACAATATCCTACCTTGAAACAACACTCATGGTCTACTCGATGGTGTTCTTGTTTCATACGATTCTCACTCCGCACCGCGCATATGATCGTGCCCATTACGCTTGCCCTAGCCGCTCCAACTCTTGTACTCAACCGACGTGGGGCATACGTTCAATGCCCATGAAGATGCACGGTAGCAAGGTCTGCCACACATCAAGTATGCCGGATTCCAGCCTCTCTAGCGTTCTTCAGCAACCTCGTTATCCGTTACCTGACTACTGGGTCCCATATGTCCCTGAGCTCTCTTTTTGGCTCGCTTCTCGCTCCGATCCTGCAAAAAGTCACCGGAATAAACCTCTGATATACTAGTCTACCAACTCTGATGTTTAGGATACAATCAACAAAGAATCTCTGGGAAACGTGGAATCGAGGCAGCGGAAGAAAATAGATTCAAGGAAAGCAGGCTCTTCAGGGGATCGCATGCCATACAAGGGTAGCGAAGAATGCCGGTCCAGATCTGGAGCATATGTATGACAATACGTTAACGTTCAGTCAACAGGATGACAGCGTCTGGTATGTTCCAGCAGGTGATCGCGCCTCCCGAATGCCTTGCCACAATTCTCTGCAAGACACGGGAACGCAGTTGGGGCGATATGTATGGCTTTGATATGCCGCATGAGGTCGCTAACGCGCCGAAAGTATGCAGTACTCGTGCAGCCTTGCCATCTACATCGGAAGGATGAAGCGGTAGGGGGATTGTATGAGGTAAACCTATATAATTAGCCAAGACCAGAGGCTCGGTATAGCTCGCGGAGGCGTGAAGAAACTGACCCGAGGCTGTGGCAGGAGCTTGAAGCAATCAATTCTGGATTGGCAATGTTGCCGACGGGTATGTCTGGGTTTAGGTAGTGCTGGAGGTCGTGATTCACGGAGGCGGAGAGAGGGTGGATGGCCGTGTCCAAGTAGTGATTTTGTGGCGAATTACCCCGAATTACTGGAAATAACAAGGACGAATTTGCATTTCTTGTTAATGTGTTGGAAATGCAATCCCAACCGCGCACGCCCGCACCCTCCAGAACGAGCTCGTTCACTCTAGAACCGGACTGTGCTGTTATCTGCTGCAGAAGGGTCGGATCATCGATCAAAAGGAGACACTCATTCTCATCCCTTGTAGCTGCGGCCCAGTAGTTGATGAATTGAACATCCGTTGGTTGCGCCTTAAGTACCTCTTCTGCCTGGCAAGAGGATGTAGACAGATTCATTCTGCAAGAGAGTTGTTCAGTTGAGAGTCAAAAAATCCTAGGTGAGGATACTTTGTAAAGGTTTAGAAAATCATGACAGCTCATGCGACTTGACACCTTTTATGTTCTTCAGGGAGTGATTAGATTTGCAGTTTGGTGTGTGGCCCAGGGCAGATACAGATCGATCACGACGGGATCTCCCGTCCACGAACAAACAGTCTGGAGGTGGAGCCGAAATTGCAGAACCGGCCAATCACTTGCCCTAATCGCATGGTTTCTTGTTTTACTGGACTGGCTTCAGAGATCCAATATCAGAGTTGCAGTGGATCTCCCGTACACGAACAGACAGCCTGGAGGTGGAGCCGAAATTGCAGAACCGGCCAATCACTTGCTCTAATCGCATGGTTTCTTGTTTTGACTGGACTGGCTTCAGAGATCCAATATCAGAGCTGCAGCAAAACTGCAGCTGCCATTGGGCGCCCAAGAGGTTGGCTGTCCCATAGCCGCTCACGTCAGCTCCACCGTGCAGGAGAGGCTGGACGACGCCTTGGGCGCTGAGCATGACCAAACTGAAGAATGTCTCCCGTCTCCCGTCTCAGCATCATCAACATCACCTGAACTCTGCCCACGAATACCTTTCTGTTTCCCCCCTATCTCTCTTCTAGCACTTCAGCAAACATCTTCGCCACAAATATGGCCGACACCGAGTGGGAGCCGCTGAAAAGCGAACTTGAGCGACTCTACGTACGCGAGGGAAAGGCTTTACGCGAAGTCAAAGATGAGATGGCGAGGAAAGGATTTGTGAAATCGTAAGCGTCGAGATTTTTCGATGAGTTACATACGACTTACACCGAGCAGGGAGCAACAGTTTACGAGACAATTCAAAAAGTGGAACTTCCGCAAATATCAGAGAAGGCTAGGGGCCGAGGAGTGGGATTTCATCGGGAAGCGTATCTACAAGAGAAAAGAGCGTTTTGGTAGAGACAGCGAGGTATATATCGACGGTACCAAATACTCAGCCAAGAGGTTGAAAAAGGAAGCATACGGGAAGGCGTTTGTCAGGACATATGACAAGTTTGAAAGCACTAATGGTAAGTCTCATTATACGAGGAGCTCCAGATGCGTCGCGTCGACAGAAGCTAATCGATTCATAGTACCCTCTCCACAAACCCCAGACGGAATGTTGATCTGTACACCTGCCTCACCCAGCAGCAGTCCGGTTGCTGCTCAAGGTCTCTTTCAGCCGGGAATGTATGTTACTTGGAATGAATCTCTTCCGTGGCTGCGATTTTCAAAGTTATTGCAGCAAGGGGAGCATCAAGGTATGTACCCTTGCATTACTTAGTATAGTACAAATAATAACGATTAGTTAGTAGGTCTCCCATCCTTCCCTGTCTCTCTAAGGGCGCCTCCTCGTCGAGAAATCGATGGTTTATTCTATCACATAAACAGGGAGGTGCTACAATGCTTGAGCTCGATTTTGCCCTGGGATCAACTTGCCCTTCCACCGAATGTTCATAGCGATCTACGTATTGCGGCTGGTCTAAGCATTCTGATGACGGAGGAGTTTGGCGGATCTCACGCGGACTTTGCACTCCGATTGTGTGACTCGAGGGGGATGGGCATTGACCGGTTAACGCTGCATTTATTCCTGCTGTCGAACAATTTTCTCGGGCATGACAAAAGTCGCTCAGAAGAAGAAAATGACATTCATGTGCTACAAATGCTTCGAATATCCGGTTGGAGCCATGCTGCCCATATACGTACGCTGCTGTCCAGGCACGAACCAACAATTGACGCTATCATTGAGAAATTATACGCCAGCGCACTCCGGGAAGGCGATTTGGATATCGTGAGAGTACTTCTCGATGCCGGGTTAGAGTTGAATGCAGTTATTCCTGTCAACCGATTTGGTGATTTCTTTGCTAGGCCTGTTGGTGTCGCAGCATCCATCCCAGGCGACCGCGGATTGGAGCTCATTGATTTCTTGTTATCGCGAGGAGGAGAAATTAACCATCTACCAGGCGATGACGAACCGGGTGTCAACGCCCCTCTTTACTGTGCTGTTTTTGCGAGGAATGAAGAGGTGCTACGGATGCTTTTGTCAAAGGGCGCACTAGTTGATACATGGACGCTGGCGTCGGCCATTGAAATGGACGCAGAAATGGACGACGAACTGAACATCATCCACGAGCTCATTCATCACTGCCCTGATTTGACTCCTCCCTGCACCAACTTGTTATTCAATCCTCTCGCCCAGTCGGTCAGAACTGAGAGGTTCGAGTTTGTTGATATCTTGCTCATGAAAGGCGCGTGCGTGAACGAGGTAGTTACCATCATGTACGACGATGATTTTTGGCCGGTCTCAACAGTACTCGGCCTCACTATTCAAGCCGAGGAACGACAAATCATTGACGCTATGCTACGAGTCTGTGGAGATGCCAATCCTCGGACAGGTAGGCTGCAGTACGATTCACAAAGAAAACAGTATATCATACTGGGGCTTCGTAACTTTGACGGTTCTATGTCAGGTCCAATTCGTTATGTTTCCCCACTTAGTATCGCTGTCTCTACTGGGGACACTACCACTACAAAACATCTCCTGGGTATAGGTAGTGATATTCGAATTGGTGATCGGGACTCAAAGAGGACATTGCTCGAGCGTGCCGCAGTCAACGACAATCTAGATCTTTGCAGAGTACTGCTGCAGCACGGTGCAATGGTGGACAGACCACTGTCTGATCACGAACCGACCACATCTGCAATTCTAATTGCGACGCAAAACCAATCCATTGCCCTAGTTCATCTTCTGATTGAGGCTGGTGCACGACTGGATGATACATACCAGTCAGCCCCCGATACCGTGCTGGCCGCAGCGATAGAGACCGGAAATGAACAGCTGATCAGACTCCTACAAGTTTCCGGAGCAACGAATTTTGGGCAACGAGTACGGCGCTTTGGTACTCACAGGACTGCTGAGTACGTACAGAAACAAGGGGTACTGGAGAGCGTTCTTCGTGGATCTGGGCCTGGTCCCTTGATTGCTGCAATACATGCACAGGACGACAATCTAGCACAGTTTCTTATAGAGCACAGCGTCGGTATGAAGGACTATCTCACGTCCACGGGCACTGAAGGAGACACTGCTCTAGGAGCTGCGATTAGCACAGACAATGCGAAAATGATACAAATTCTGCTCGATTGCGGAGCAAGAGTAACCGACTACGATCTGACCGAAGCTGTTGATCGAATCTGTGACACTGATGAGGACGATCACCTACTCCGGCGCTTACTGGCCCGCGCAGTGGGGCTAAATGCTCCTACTGCGGTGGGAAGTGCAATAATGCACAATCGCGAAGACCTTGTGACAACCATGCTCGAAAGTGGCATAAGCCCGGAGGGAAAGCCGCAGACATGCTTTGACGGGGATCTTTCCTCGGCGTGGGCGTTAACCAAGTTCGGTGACCCATTGTCGGTACTTGAGATTGCCGCACTGAGGAATAATGCGTCAATTCTGCAGAAGCTTGTTCGATCATCCTTTTTTGACTCTCAATTTGCGGGCCGGGCGTTGGCAATAGCAATCCTCGAGAACAATGATAGTGTTGTACCGCCATTGCTAGATTGTAGGATCGACGTCAACCAGGAGATCCGTTACGACTTCGAGGGATGGATTAACGCGCATTTCGAAACGAATCGCTATCCAAGTCTTTCCATAACCCCAATTCAGGCCGCGGTAAAAGACCAACGGAGGTCTATTACATTGACACTCCTCGTTCGCAATGATCTGGATATCAACCATCCAGCGACAGGCATAAGAGGCCGTACTGCCCTACAGTGGGCGGTAGAAAATGGGGACGCAGAACTTGTATCTTTGTTGATTAACCATGGCGCAAATGTTAACGCCCCACCAGCAGAGGAGATTGGAGCTACGGCATTACAAATCGCAGCTATGAAAGGATATCTTGGGATTGCTCGCAGGCTTATTGACCTAGGGGCTAATATTAATGCCCCGCCTGCTCGTTCTAATGGACACACGGCGCTCGAGGGAGCAGCAAACCACGGTCGGATGGATATGCTCCATCTCCTTCTCGACTGCGGTGCCTCGGTCATAGGTGCTCACGGTGAGCAACAATATCAGAATGCCGTGGGGATGGCAGAGCAATCCGGACATCATGCTGCATCGAGGCTCCTGAGGGCCTTCAGGGAGCAGAAGGAGGCGGAGGCAAGTGCAAGTGCCGTCTTTGATTTGGAGTCTGCGGATGAGACAGATAGCAGTGTTGAGTGGAAGAATTGGGTTTGTTTTGACTAGTTATTCAAGGAGGGGTTGTGTATTTGGTTTCTATTGATTTTAGCCTATGATAAGTTAGAATTAAGGATGATGAGTCATAGCATTATAAGTAGTTATCTTAAGGAACTATAAAAGCTATAAAAAAGATCCTAACTAAACGAAAAGTAAACCCTAATTGTAGATTAAATAAGAATTATAAAAAAGGCTTCTTTATTGTGAAAAAAAAGCTTTATATCTGTAAGGGATGTGCAATAGGTTGATCAGGTATTCATACAAACCCAAGAACTTTCTAAATCGCACGCTCTTATAAATCAAGCAGCACTCGTACCAGTATACCCCAAAGGCCCCTCCCCCGCCGCCAAATTACACTGCCGAAACAACCTAACCTCGCCCTCCCCAAACGCCCCAACAACAGAATGTAGCACGCCGCGGTTATGAAATAGTACAAGATCTCCCTCCTCCCAATCATGCGCATATACATACTGTGGGCTGATCGCGGGTCTTTGCAGGTTATACACGATCTCGCGGACGCGCGCGAGGTCGTCGATCACGCTTCCGTCTTTCAGGTGGATCTTCCGGACCGCGGACGGGTGGATTTGCAGCGCAGGTTTGCCGGTTACAGGGTTCGCCCAGACCATGGGGAGGACTTGGATTTTGGCGGGGTCGATTGGGGGTAGTTCTGAATCTGGCAGCTCGAGGTTTTCCGAGTACAGGCCGAGGCCTGTTGGGCGGGAGTGTGCGGGGGACATCCATATGTAGCTGCCACCGTTTGTTAGTAGGGGTTTGTTTGTCTGCCTTGAAAATATTGGTAGATGGGCTTACGGATGCGGCGCATATTCAATCCGACTCCCCAGAACAAACTCCTTGTCTTCCTCGGACAGAAGCTCAAACATGCGCTCCCCACTAACAAACGCCGTCGTCCCCAGGGGCACATCCATCGTCTCCCCAGACCCATCATCATACCTCAGCGTCTGCCGTCTCCCATTGGGGACCCGCACAGCGAGCAGCGTCGTCACCCGCGGCGGATAAAAGTCATACAGCGCCGCGTCGATATGCCAGCGATAGAATCTTGTGAAGTCATAATCGTCCTCATCGGGAATCGCATCGCGATGAAAGGTTCGATGGTGCGGGTGCTTGAGGTGGATATCCTTCAACCCCTCGTACTCTTTCACGAATCCATGCCCGATCACCTGCACCTGTGGCTGGTGCGGGATGGTTTTGAGGTCGGGATGGAGGATGCTGCGCTTCGCGTCAACGGTCTTGCCGTGCCCGTATTGAGTCGCGGAGGGGTCGAAGCGGCGGGTGAGTTCGTATTGCGCTTTGGGGGTTAGGGAGTTTTGGTTCTTGATTATTACGACGAGGTAAGTGTGTAGGGCGTTTGAGATGGTGGAGAATGTGTCGTCTGTTAGGTTCTCGAGGTCGACGTTGTTGATGGTTGCGCCAAAGTCGATGGAGGACCCCGTTGGCGGGGTGAGGGGTTCGACTGTAGGTAGGGCCATTTCTGTGCGTTTATTGTCCAAACTCTTCGATCTTCTGAGCTTTTTTCACCACCTGGATTCTATCTTGAATTTATACAGTTTCTCAGCCTGCTCAGCGACGGGCCCTTCCGCACACGCACGGCGGGCGCCGAAAATCCTTATCGGGACGAGCCCTTATCACCATCTCGCCTCTGGGCAATTCCCGACGCATCGCTTTACGTCAACGCGCTGTCAATGGGATATCTGATTCTACTATCAGATGCCACCTTGTCCAGGTCACCTGGCTGCCGAATTCCGAAAAGTTAGCGGCCGCACTTGATCCCCGATGCACTGCGCCATACATGAACTAGCACGCACTAGCTCGTGAGTCGGGATCTCCGGCAAAGATCGGAGTACGTCGGGCGTCGGGCGAACTCTTCTCGATTTTCAGCCCCCAGTCCGCCTGGCCAGTGACGGAGAGAGCCGGCTACAGACAAAGAAAAGTACATCGACTCTCTCACCAATAATGGCGCCCGGCCCCCTGTTGGATGACCTCATTCAGCCGTGGACTATACATTCCGGGTTAGAGCCTCTGAGCATAGGGCTTCTAGGGACGAGTCGGGTTGTCTCCTTGCGTTCCTTTGACTCACACTGACTCGAGCCATGGCCTTGCGAGATCTTGCGAGGTCTTGGCCCTGGATGCTCCGACTTGAATGCTGGGTTGTCCATGTATAAAGGATCTCGCGTCTCCAGTTCCAGAGGCCGAGTCACAACAAACTACAAAACAATCTTAGACCCAACAAACCCCCCACAAAATGCCCTCCCTACCCACAATCCGCGCCTCAAACGCCCTCCTCCGAAGCACCCTGAAAAGCCCAACAGCCCTCTTCGTCGGCGGCACAAGCGGAATCGGCGCGAGCACACTGCGCCAACTGGCACGGCACACCGAGAGTCCAACGGCATACATCATCGGGCGCAACGAGACGCGCGCGAAGCCGTTTCTTAGCGAGTTGCGAAGCCTCAATGGGAATGGGAAATTCCACTTCATCGAGGCGGATGTTTCGCTTGTGAGGAATGTGGATGTTGCGTGCAAGGAGATTTTGGATAGGGAGAACAAGTTGAATTTTTTGTTTATGACGCCCGGCGGGATTTCGCTTGGAGGTCGGAACGGTACGTGTTTACGAACTAACTAACCGCATTCACTCTTAATGCTGGCGGCGTTTGGGGCGGGAATGGCTACAGTACAGAGTACTAATAAAGGACCCACCAGAAACACCCGAAGGAATCGACTCCCTCTTCGCCCTGCGCTACTACAGCCGCATGCGCTTCATAACGAACCTCCTCCCGCTCCTCGAATCCACCCCAACCCCCGAACCAACGCGCGTAATCAGCATCTACGGCGGCGGCTTCGAGTTCCCCATCGACACCTCAGACCTCGACCTAAAACACACATTCTCGCTCCTAAACGCATACAAGCACTCGATCACAATGACGACGCTCTCCATGGAGCATTTATCAAAGTTGCATCCGAACGTCTCGTTCATCCACGCGTACCCGGGCCTCGTGGGCACGAACATCTACAGTAATAGTTTCCCGGCGCCCGTTGCGGCGTTTTATAATTATGCTATGTGGCCGCTCATGTGGCCGTTTTCGGTTGGGGTGCAGGAGTGCGGGGAACGGCATTTGTTTCATTTGAGTTCGGGGGCGTATCCTGCGAAGGGGGCGCGGCGGGCTGGGGAATTAGTCGATGGGGAGCAGGTTGCGAGGGGTGTGGATGGAAGTGTTGGGAGCGGTGCGTATCTGCTTAACTGGAAGGGCGATGTACGATCTAGTGCAAAGATCCTGGAGCAGTATCGACAGGATGGGACGGCGGAGCTGGTATGGAGGCATACGGAGGAGCTGCTGGAGCAGGCCGTTCGGCAGTGATTGCGATTGGGCTTTGAGTTGCTGGTTTCAACTCGGCTCGAGGTACGGGGTATATGACGGTGGTGTGAACGAAATTCTCTACTTATATGTAGATGTTTAGAAATAGACACGATATCTTCTCTCTCCAAGACATCAGGGATGCAGTGGCTACTGCCATTGGCGTCTGAAATGTCGTTGTCCTTTCTCTGGGACTTGAAATACTGATTCTCGCTCCCACCGGGACAGGCTACTAGAGATGATCTTTTGATCAGATCTCGCTCACATACCATTTGTGACTAAATGGTCCCATCAGTCTCTCTCGCAGACAATGCCCGAGGCACCCTTAACCCTATCTCTGTGGGATCTGTATCATGAAGGTTATTTTGTACCTTGGATACATCCAGCAGAAACAGTATCCTAACATACGTACAGTATACTTCATGAATCCCACCCAAACCCACATGACATCCTGAATGTCCCCTGGGTTATCAGTGGCTTCAGAGGAGATTGTTGCGGAAGGCAAGAGACAGCCGGTTGCCTTGCTGCCGGGGGAATGTCAATGGATGAGGAAGACATATGCATCAGGTTAATGTAGTGAACACTGAATAGACATCCGCGATAGTAAATCGCACCTCCTGCTAGACTAATCATCCCCTCGACCCCCATATACCTGATAATGTCCTTGAGAGGCGACGGATGCCGCCCTGGCTCTTGCGGTTGAGGTGGTGGGAAAAGTCCACTGGGGTGTTGTTGTTGGAGTAGACATGACAAACGAGAACTATCTGCTTCGCATTTCTCTGATCTTAGTCCTCCTTCGTCCTCCAAAGTCGCTTAGTCCAGTTGCATGTCTCAGCCCTGCCCATTTCCCCATCCATCAATCAGCGTTAGCCCATTCTCGTACGACCATGTGCCCCAAAAACCATGCCACAGAGTCCCCTACACGCAAACCCCCAAGAAACCCCCTCGGTCCCCGAGACACGATCCCCGGCCGTTGATTTGACAACGAAGCTCGCAGGCGTTCCGTCCCCTACGCCCTCCCGCCAGCGTGCGCGCACTGCTGGAAACATCCTCGCCATGTACTGGATGATCACAGATATACAGACACTAATGAGGATGGCTCATGCGACGCCCTAGTGTTTAAGACGCTTTATCCATGTTAGAGGAGTGTGGTGTAGTGAGAGTTACCCTGAAGCGAATCCTTAGACGCCTGTTCGATACACGCAGATATAGAGACGAAGTAGGACGCAATAACCACAGCAACAGGGTCCCAGGACAATCACGGGCAGGAAATACCCATTATTAAAACCTAGTCATTACCATAGACTAATGGGAACCTAGGTGTTCTTTCTTTATACCTCTACACCCCACTACGCCATTCTTAGGCTTTATAGCGTCTAGATAATCCAAGCATGCTTTCTTAAGGATCAGGGTTAGCTAGGAGAAAAATAGTATAGTACTCTATAGTATGCCTAATAAATAGAGCACTCTCGCAGGTATGCTAAGGTTATCGCGACTCATAAATAGAGTAATCATGCCTATAATAGTACTTCTAGAAGGCAGTCTACTCTATAAAATATGTATTACGCATGGAGCTAGCTCGGTAAAGATCTATTAGTATAATTCTAGTTAAAAGAAGCCTGGTAATAGGGATGATTCATTAGGTATATATCCCTAGAAACTAACTTCCCTTGATTTACTCAAGTAGTATAGATAGTAGGGATAGTTCCTATTAGTAAGCTTCCGCAGTAAAAGAACCTAAAACCCTAAAATAAAGGAACTATTAAACCTAACATGCTATTTCAAGCTTTGTCCCCATTCCAGGCTAAATTTGGCGCTGCAGCCGTCAGCTGTCAAAGCACTTGGGGCAAAACGCACAAAGGACAGCATAGCTCCTTTAGCCCTAACAACACACGAGTATTCAACACGGATTCAACAAGATGGCGAGAAGAATGAACACCTTGAAAGACGCTCCGGGCTTTATGGTCCTCCCCTGTTCCAGTGCGATGCTCGGAGACTAGATTAAATCGATATTAACCAGAATAGTCCCTATTTCTATCGCGATGGCTATACTATACGCACTGAACATATTTGGCCCTTAACCTCGTCGTAGGCATCTTGAATATCCAGCATCATGTCCCCCCAGCAAATCATATCTTACAAAACAACCCCCGCCGTCATACAGGACCGCCTCTCGCAACTCTTCACATACCACAACCCCACAGCCAACTGCACCTGGTGGGTGCGCGCGGTGATAAACTTCTGGCCGCTCCCCGCGAAACCATCAAACGCCGACTATATCAAGCTCGACGAGGCGTTTCGCGCCTTCCTCGAGACTGTCGATTTCTCACGACTGCCATTGCTAGACGATACCGTGTCGCTTTTAACATTTAAACTGGATAATCCGGATGTGATTGATCAGCCGCAGTTTCTTTTGCCGTTTGAAGATGGAGAGAGGGTCCCGCGGCAGTATTTCATTACACTTCGACCGTACATGCGCTGCGATGTCGTGGTTGACAAGCACCGAATCCGATACCCGCCCCTGGACAAGCGACATCGCGACCTGCCGAAAGTCCACTACTCGCGTCTGCAGAGGACTACCGAGATCGACTCGGCCGTCCATGGGGTCACCGTCGACGGCAAGAAGTACGTACACAAGATCATCCGCCGCTCAAGCTACTGGCCCGGCGACACGAAAAACATCCTCGACGAGATCGACGCGTACGTGCAGTTCCGCGGGGTTCTGCATATCGCGCAGCTAGCTGGGATAGTTGTCTCCGAGAATCCGTACAGGACGCACCTGGCCTCGCCGGGGAAGCTGGTTAATCGGGCCGAGGTGATAATCGGGTTCTTGTTACCGTTTTATCCCAATGGGACGCTTGCGACTGTTGAGAGTCTCAATGTGCCACAGTGGAATGTGGGCTATCAGCCGATGAGCGCGTTTTTCAACTTTGCTTCGTTCTTCGGCGAGCAGGTGGATCAGACGATTCTGCCCTTTGATAGGAGGCTGATTGGGTGGGCGAAGCAGGTTGCGCAGGGACTCATCTCGATGCATGCGGCGGGCCGGGCGCACGTCGACGTCAAGACGACGAATGTCGTGCTGGACGAGAAACAAAATGCGCTGTTAATCGACATTAGCGGGACGAGCGGGTGGACGTGGGAGTTCCTTTCGCCGGAAATGGAGCCATTGCTCTCTGATAACGAGGATGTGGACATGGAGAAGATCCCTTTTGATATTCGGGTCGGGACTGATTGCTGGGCGTTTGGGAAGGTGCTGCAGTCTTTGTATAGAAGAAGCTCGGGGGGTAGGGAGGCGGCGCGAATGCTGGAAGTTGCGTCGCGGTTGACCGAGGACGATCCTGCGGATCGGATATCTTTGTCGGATGCCCTGGTGATGTTAAATAGGTGACGATGTAGATTGTCTTCTTGTATTATCCTGGAGGAAGGGAAATGTACATAGTCTTCTTGTGATATAGTCGCAAGTCCGGACGGCATCAATGGAATATAGACTGAGGAGCCATCGCTCCTGCCTATTCTGAGTATAGTCGAAGAGGAAGGCACGTCCATCCTCCGGGCACTGGTCGCGCCTTCCCAGACACGTAGTATGAGGTTGCAAAAGGAAAGCGCACTCCACCTACAGCCCAGCAACTTAAGCCGTGTAGTGGCCGCCTCTCCCACGTCTACTCCACCACCTTTCGACTCCGCGATCCCCAGAAATGCAACCCAACTATCGGCAAAAACCCACAGCCCATAATCAGCGCAACCACCACCCCAGAACTCCCCGCAACGCCCACACTTTCAAACATGTCCGGGAACCAGAACGGACCGATGAATCCCCACGTCGATCGAACAAAGTTGATGAACACGCCTACGCTTCCCGCATCGGCTGGATATGTGTCGACGGCGTAGGTTGTAAGCACGGTAGTGACGATCTGGTTGCCAAAGGCGGCGATACCCGTGCCGATGATTGGGCTGACGCTCCAGTGTCCGGTTGGGGCTTGCTCGGTGCAGACGAGAAACGTAACCATTCCCGCAATCGTGATGAGGAAGCCAGGATAAGAGAGCCAGAGACGGAATTCGGCGGGTGGGCGAGTGATTCCATGATTCTGCGGGCTTGCGGCAATCCGACGGGCTCGGAGATTCATCCACGCATCCGAGGTGTAACCGCCAATCTGCTCGCCGAGCAGCGAGCCGATAATGAGTCCGAGGAATTGTAAGCCGAGCTGCGACGCGGAGAGCCCAAATTTCTGTTGCAGGAGTTGTGGGACTTCGACCGAGTTGAGCACTGAGCCGAAGAGGAACACCATGCTGTAGGCAACTGCAGAGATGAGGACGGGAATGTTTGTAAAGAGTGTGAGGGGGTGGAAGAATTCGTAAGCTGTGAACGGGGTTCGATCGATGCGAGCGAGCCTGAGGTATTGGGTTTTCACAGGCGAGGAGGATGGAGCGAGGTAGCGGGTTTCGGGCCCGAAGAAGGCGTATAGGATGCATTGAACCGCGTTGGTCTAGTTGGTTAGATTATTTTTCGAAAGACAGTGAAACACCTACAATGGCCAATGTCCAGTAAATCCAGCGATATCCAACCCGCTCGGCAACGAAACCAAAGATGAATGGTCCGATTGGAACGCCGAGAGTCACCATGACCGTCCACACCCCCATGTACATGGCACGCTGGTGCTTGAAAAAAGTCTCCATAACGACTGCACTGCCAAGTGCCATCGCGGGAGAAATGAAGAAAGCAACTAGAGCCCGACACGCAGCCATAGACGCGTAGTCAGGGCTCTTTGCACATCCAATGTTGCAGACACAGCTCAGCACGAGCGAGGCGAGGAAGATGGGACGGCGTCCATATCGGTGGGAGAGCGGTTTCCAGAGTAATGGAGCGGCGCCGAGGATTGCAATCTGGAGAGATGTAAGATAGCTGACTCTTTGGATTGAGACGCCAACATCCTCTACAATCTCCTCGTAGGCTGGAATGATGGCGGCGGCGGTAAAGGTGCCCATGCAGGCGTGAAAGGCGACGAGTGCTAGGTTGCATGATTTCTATCTTGTCAGTTTATTCCAGTTAGTGGTGTTGCAATCTCACCTTCCACGAAGGCCAGTTGTACGGATCCGCCGGGTCCATACTGGGGACAGGATCGAGATCCAACGTGCCATGGCGTTCAATAAGATACGCCTGATGCTGCTCTGAAAGCGTACTCGCCTCAGACGGAGGAGTACCCGCCTCCTCCACCTGGGTCGACTGTGATTTCTCCAAGTTCGCCATGGTTGCCAGGTATATTCCGTGCTCGCTCTGGGGAGTCCAGGAGTGGGCACGGGGTATTCATACCCCAACAGTCCGGACTTTCCGGGCGGAGATACCCCGCGAGGAGTTGGTCTCGCCAGATGACAGTCATCTGGGGCGAAAATGACAGCGAATCCGGGGTGCTGTTTGGGTGAATTCACCGATTGTTTCCCAAAGCAGAAAAGCGAGACTGCTGACTGTGGAGATCAACGGTAGATGGCCCGGTCATTGAATGCCGCCCCCGATTCTCGGAAAAGGCGCAGTGCCGGCCCTAACTTGATTTCGGCGTCAGCTCAGACCTCCGAAATGAAGCTTGGTGTGATGGTCAGGGGTAATTCCGAGGTCTTGTCCAGCAACTGCCGAGCCCATTTTCCGTGTGATTCGCTCGACTCGTTTAGCTTGGAAAGGCTTGTCTCTGCCACAACGCTTGTCCATCCGCCTGGCTTGGCTTACGAAATCGTCCAGCCAAGAATCATATGTCGGCTTATGCCTCGTGTTCGTTTCATAATCTGGTGCCAAGCGTCAGTCGTCGCATCTCGTCACAGAGTACGAGCATATTTATAGCTCTCGTATTCTCGGGTCAATCAGGGACTCTCGGGAACCTCCCAAGCACTCACGCTGCGGTCGATCCTACCCTTTCTGGACACGAACACGAACAATGAGCTCGCGATGTGCCATCGGCCTTCAGACTGTTACATCGACAACAGGGATGAAATATATTGATATCCCACGTGTGCTGTTCAAGAAACGTGAAAGGACAGCGATGATTTTCCAGAAGAGGTCTCATTCCGCGTGAAGTGGTATAAATACCTGGAGTGTTTTGACCAGATCGTGTCCCATCAACTCACTGCAAAACCAGCCGAAGCATCATCAGGAGCCTGAATTCTCTCAAGATGCGGCTTCTCAATATCTTTGCACTTCTGGCCGCTACGGCCCTGGCGAACGTCGCCGACCCAGCGGCCTCCAAGCCCCAGTCCCACGCTGAATACGCCCTCTTCCGCAGCGCCAACATGGCCTCGGCCGATAAGCTCTCCAGCGGAATTGGCTTTCACTCCTTTCGTATCCCCGCCGTCGTTCGCACGCGAACCGGTCGTCTCATCGCCTTTGCGGAAGGGCGTCGTCACAATGACCGCGACTATGGCGACATCAACCTCGTGTATAAGCGGACAAAGTCGACCGACGGTGCAGGCAAGACTATCTCGGACTGGGAATCCCTTCGCGAAGTTGTGGGCAAGGGTTCTGGGACTTGGGGAAACCCTACTCCCGTCGTCGACGACGATAACACGATCTATCTCTGGATGAGCTGGAACAACGGAAGTTATAGCCAGAACGGAGACGATCTGCATGATGGAACTCCGACGAAGCCAGTCGATAGTACCTGGGAGGGAAGGCGCCATTTGTTCCTTAGTGTCAGCAAGGACGATGGCGAGACCTGGTCGGACCCTGTTGACTATACGGAGACGCATACCCCCAAGGGACGTGCGTGGGATGCTGTTGGACCGGGCAACGGTATTCGTCTTAGTACTGGAGAGCTTGTCGTTCCTGCCCAGGCACGGAATCTTGTTGGAAGAGGTGAGCCAGGGAAGCGGACCTGGGAGGTTCAGGATGTTCCTGGCGGCGGGTCCGAGGGTACGATTGTCGAGTTACCAAACGGCCAGCTCCAGCGGAATGATCGTAAGTCTGGTGGCTACCGTATTGTCTCCTATGGCACTCTCGAAGACGGCTTTGGCGAATTCAAACAGGACACTGGCCTCCCTGACCCCGGCTGCCAGGGATCCATCCTTTCTTATAACCGCAACGAGGAGCTCAACCGCACGATCTTCATGAATGCTGCCGATAAGAAATCGCGACGGACTATGCGCGTGCGTATCTCCTATGACGATGATGTGGCCAAGTACAACTACGGTCGTCAACTTAACGATGCCCCCGTCCCAAACTCGGGATACCAGGGTGGATACTCGAGCATGGTAAAGACAGGCGATTATCACATTGGAGCCCTGGTGGAATCGGATTTCTTCAACGACGGAAGTAACGGCGGGTCCTACCGCACAATTCTCTGGCGGAGGTTCAATCTTTCGTGGGTTCTCAACGGGCCAAATAACTGAGCTAGACCTGCTTAGTTCACTCGGAGCTTCTTGGTGATTGTGTGTGGCTTGTCTATCTTCGCGGGAGGCTTTGAATGAGCTTCGCGTCCGCACTCAGTTACCTAGCACGGTGTCAGTTTCTGGTCTTCTCCACGTAAATAGTCCTGTTGCGTACTCTGAATTTCATTTATCATCTTCGCGCTCGATTCCTTGTCTTCTCGCAGATGCACAACCCATCCTAATACCAAGCCCTAGCTCACGGCCTTCCTTCGAAGCATAGTATCGTACAACGCAGGGGACAATCCCGGGACTTAATAAACGCAGTATCAGACAGTATGAAGAATTGGCCATCGATTAACCGCCGCAATAAGTGCAGCATAACCTGGTCCAGCATGGAACGAGGTCTGTGTCGAACGGCGCTTCTCGTCACAGACACAAGCACTCTGGTACGCCGGGGGAGACCCTGAATCTCATAGTGAACCTGGAGACAACATGAGGAAGAGTCTCCAAGGCAAGAAAGACAAGGCTACACTAACAAGCCTGCGTTTCACAAATACGAGATTGCGGACTTGGGAGCTGTGGCTAGGTCTTGTTCGACCCACCCCAGCAGCAATGCATGCCCTAAGCACGGGCATCGTCCCTATCAGAGGTCAACACGTGCAGGATCGACGCTATAGTCAGCCAATACCCCGGAAATGGTGCGGAGGGCAGCCACAAGGTGTATGGTGAGGTATGTACGGCCCTGGCCTGAACACTCCGAACAGCAAAACCGCTCAGAAGCGGTACAGAGTGGATGGGTCTCTCCTCGTGTTGCTGGTATTTGTTTGAAGCTCATATTGTGTCAACCGGAGACATTCTCGTAGGAAAATCTATCCTCCTCCCTGCTTCGACAGTCTCTGTGTCATGGCCCCCAAGTCCAAGAGATCGGCGCCCTTGGCGCGCGCATGGGCTCCGCCTCATGAGGATTAACATAAAAGGGTCGTGGAACCATTGCTTCCCTCGTTTCCCCCCGGATCGAGTTTCTTTGGCGCGCTCTTCCTCATGAGTGTCGGTCCACGTCTCTCAGCACCCAGATGACGTATTTCAGCGACTTTTATTTCACGTCGAACCTGGCCAGCTTTGCGTGTCCAGACTTCGGAAGTTCACAATGTCTAGCACATGTGCGCGCGATCCAACAACAGGGAAGGATACTGCTGCGATCCTTCATTTGACGGCGAAACTGGTAGTGGCGTATGCTGGGCGTTGACGTCCGATTGCACCAACAATAACAAGCAACTTACCTGTCGCAGTGGCAGTTCTGACCGGTGCTGTCTCTATGAAACGTTGGTTTGCCTTTCTCTCTTCTTTCACCGTAAAGCTTGCGTTCTGACCTGCTATGCGAGATAGGGAGGAATGCACTGGGGTTCCTGAGCAGCGGAATGTCTGCTGGAATAGAGAGCGAAGCCCGTTACGCAGTGTAAGTACCGAAGTGCTGGAGGATTTGTAGTCGTCTTTGACCTCAGAGGCGCCAACTTGAAGGACGTGGGCTTTTGACCCAGCGACGCTGCTTCCGGGGACTTCCACGTCGACCACATGGACCACAACGCCAATGACACCCACAGCGACAGGCACAATCACTACTTCCCCGGTATCCAGTCCGAATAACGATTCCTCGGACTCCCTGTCAGGCGGTGCTATTGCTGGTATAGTAGTGGGTGCGGTAGCGGGTGTCGCAATCGTGCTCGGAGTCGCCTTCATGTTGATCAAACGACGACGCAAGCGGGTAGATGCGGGTCCTAAACCTCCCCCTGCCGACTTGAGTTATGAGGCGAGACCGGTGAACCAACTTTATGAAGCCGATGGTAATGCCATGAAGACGCCCCTGCCTCCACAGGAATTATCAGCTCGCGAGTTGCATGAGAGGATTGTCACAGGTTCCAGTCAGTGTCAGTTGCTTGGGAGGCCTGTCGAGAACTCAACTGACGCCGGAATCGCATTTTTGTCCACGCCCGCTTTATCAAGCTTGCTATCATTGCGGACAGCCAGACAAAAGCTGAGCTATGTCCCTGGAAACCTTTAGAAAGGTATTCAAAAGGTTTGAAATAACTCAGAGAGGTGCATGTGTCTTGGTCAGATGGTGGAGGGTGGTAAGAGGGGAGCGGAAGGAGTTCGGGCTGAAAGGTGCTGCTCGATCTAGAGTTTCATTCCCTGTGTGTTAGCGATTTTGTTCCAATGATACCCCTGTCATACATACGAAGCGGCCCCGTGGTATCTCTGTCCAAAATGTGCAGCGAAGAAAGGTCTGATAAGTATGAGTCGGAGGTATGGGTGCATTTTCCACCACGCCCACCAGCGTTATCGTAGCGCAACGGAGCAGCGACGATGCACCGAATAACGACTCTCGGAAGGTAATGTGGCATTGAAAGGGCTCTTTTGAAGAAGAGTAGAATCGTATGTTTGTCAGAGGAATGGCTGTCGGGACGAGTCGCGCTGCAAGCAAGAGACTGCTTAGGAATCGACCTGACTAAAGGGGTAGACTCGAGCTCGCCTACCAGCTCATTAGTTCTGCATGGAGGTTCCTAGAAGAGTATGTAAGACTCTGTGCGCTCGGCCTTTGGCGGTGTCGAGGGACAAAGACGAGGTTGTACGTCGAGGCAGGATCGGCGGAGGAGGAAGCGGCGCAGGATACGGCGAGAGCAGACACAGTCAGGAAGCGATGAGCGTATCCGTGCCCTTGATGCGGGAGACAAACGACAGAAACAACAATAAGAGTAGGTTCAAATCCTCAAAAGGTTCGGAATCGCGCTGACTTCACAAAGGCTTGGGCGAGATAAGCAACCGCCAAAGCGCTTAGCAGATGTAAATCCCGGAGAACCTCGATTCTCACAGGCCGGTTTAGTGCGGGGAATGGTTTGTCTCTGGAAAGGCTCAGGCCAGGAACAATTACCCCACGTGTGGTGACCCTGGAGATAATCACCTAAAGTCTGGTGAACTTGAAAGAGGAGCACGTGGGTTGTGAACCAGGCCAAACCTGCATTACTTCTATGCACAACATGCACATATTAGCTCTATGTTGTCTCCTCCCATCCCCTGCTTCACATACTAACTCATTCAGCTCCCCATTGACGATGCGGACAACACCGACCTCACCAACGTGACAACCACCGCCGCCGGCCAATTCCCCATCGCCCTTCTTGACCTCCCCGACTTGGCTGACCTGCTCGCCCACTATTCCGGGCCCAACCCTGACATCACATTCGGTCCCAGCGGCTACGCGACAGAGGACGGCTGGAAGTATGGAAACGGTATCAACTCTTTCAAGGACAGCAAGGGCAAGTTGACGTTGTACGGTGGGAAATGCAAGCTTCTGGCATGCGACGATGGCGCCGCTGTCTATGCTTGTAACGCCGTAAGTACTCCCAACCCCAGTCAACTTAGTGCAAAATAATAACCATGGATCCTCTGCCGCTAACCGGTTACTTTAGAACAAAGGCCGTCTATTCCTTAACTACAAAGATATTCCTCAAATCGGCCTGGGAAACTTGTTTTGACTGCGACAAAACCTTTAAGTACTATTTCGCTGCAATCCACCATGAGAAGCCCAAGTGGAGTATGGTCTTGAAGGGGGATGGTTATCGTTGCTCGAAGTAGGCTCAGGGGGTTGTTATGGCTGCCTTTGTATCTACCAGGATACCTACTCTTGGAATCTTCCATAACGACTTTCCCTGTCCCTGTTGTTTAGTTGTCTCGTTGGCTTCGTCTCTGGTTTAGACTGAGAAATCAATTGTCCAGCCTGGAATGTTCCCTGTAACTGCCTCTTTGGTTCCTTCAGCCTGACTGCCTTTGATCGAACACCGCGGAGGTAATTGATCATCCAAATCATAGGCAGTTTTGACAACATCAGCAGCAGCAAGTCATAACGTTGGATCTTCCGGTATCATTGCTCTTTATAGTCCAAGTATCGTCCTGCACATGTCCTTTGGACGTCCGAGATCCCCATTTGTACGCTGGAATTTCCTACTCCGCAAAGCAGTCCTCACCCAGAAGTCTTCCGCCTGTTGAGTCTTATTACATTCTCCTGCCCACAACCAGTTTGGCCCCAAGCCCGTCCTTCATGACTCCTCCTACCCAGCCTAGCAAATACTGAGACCCTCGCGCTTAAGGCCTGGTACCTCGTCCCGGCAAAGGCAAATCCCCGAGACAAAGAGCAAACGTCCCATTTTCAACAAATGCAAAAATAACCAGCGCAATCACAATTAAATCACTCAGACTCACCGCCCTCTATGTTGATTCACACCAGGTTCCTTTAGCAACCTGATTCCCATCTAGAGCCGTGAGTATCCATTTCTCCCCTCGTTGCCTGGGTTTCTCTCTTTCTGGATCCCCGCCGACGTGACGCTTCGATTCAGGCCTTTGCATTTCTCTCAGCAGAATTCCTCTAGCCTGCTCTCCTACCATACAGTTCCCATCAACTCACCAACAGTACTACCCTCACTGCCATCTACCTCGTCGTCCTCAGCCAGACCTGTCCTACCTCCTGTCTACTTTTCCAGAACCACCCTCTTTACCAAACACCGTCAAACGGTCAACCATACAGTTCGACTGGAGAGCTGTGCAGATGAGCTGGAGATCTCTCCAGGCGCACTGGAGGTCCTTTCATTTCAACCGCCAGTCCCTCCCCAAGGTCGCCATGGCCCTCTTTTCGATTGCCATCCTGGGTTCCATCGGTGCGGTCCTCTCGAAAGTTCTCGCTCCACGCCCCGCGGAGGTAAGTGTTTTTTTTTTCCATTCGACCTCTTCTGTCTGCTCTATCTCTTCTGTCTGCTTTTGGGGGTTTGAATCTGATTAGCTGACTCTCGTTTGCCTCTCCCAGGGTCCTATCTCGGCTGACTTTACCGTCAATGCCACCGTCAACGAGTCGGGCGTTTTCTTCCCCAGTGGAAGGTACAATGAATCAAACATCACGCTCCCGATTGAGAATTAAATCCGGAGGGATATGGCGCTCGAGACAAGCGCGTTGGCCTCTCCTTATATGAGCCATTTGCAGGAATTCTCTTGTCATTCCTGTCTCTACGTGAGTACTTCCGCAGCGTGTGCCATTTCGCCCGCTGGCAAATGAGAAAAGAGAAGTGAGGTCAGGACAGAAACTAATCAATGTACGTACTAGCGGTTCTCACTAGGATCCCAATTGTCTCTAAAATCCATTCCTTCCAGCGACTTTGACCTCGGCGGCGGCGAGGCCGGGTCGCCTGTCGTTAGAAGCCTGCCAAACGAGAACCAATCTGGACATCGCATCTCGGATGCGTGGTGACAACGGGATGGTTTTAAATAACGGGCTGGTGTTTCGCTCTACCTTGGGACTGCCGTTGGATGTCTTGGGTTTATCAGGCGTGGTTTCGGTTGCGGTCATGAGTGTCTGAGACATCTGATACCGTGATGTGATCTTACGTCGGGCGAATCAATCCACGGCCTTAATCTTAGCGCAGCGCTGGGAGCATGTAGTTATTGAGGTATTCCTGTCTTTTCTCATTTCGGCTCTTCCTTGAATTGGACGACAATCAACCATTTGTCTCTCTGTTGTTCCAATCACAGAGTGTATACTGGGTCATCGCAGATGTCCACGAGTATCACCTCCCCTCGTCGCCTTCAACCTTGAAGTCCATCGTACAGCCATTCCCGTTCTTCCCAAGCCGCCCAATCTATCTTCAAGTATTCCAGGCTTTCTGGCCTGTAACAGTTCGATTCCAAAACAAACTCGGGTTCCTATAAGCTGCCGAGAGATCTTGCCAGTATCCCATCATATCCCTTCTAGCGCTTGTTCCTCGTATGCAGCTCTATCCTCGGCTTCAACACATTCCACGACTCAAGGACAGCCAACCTTAACGAAGGCAGACGAGCTGTGCCGACATTCATCGAGTTCTCAAGCAACTTATATCACTGAAATCTGGTAGGATCCACATTGTCATTGTCTGCTCGGGGGTGGTAAACCGGTGATTGCAAGGCGGCCTATGGCGAAGGCAAAGGTCTCAGTAGGAGTGCATGTCTTGCGTCAAAGGTACGGAGGAAGGGAGAGAGGGGGGATGGGGCCGCGAGTACTGTTTTGCGAGAAACTACGTTAGCCGAGTTGAGGATGGAATGGAAATGCCAGCGACGATAGAAGATGAAAAAGCCGTAAGGTACCTGAGATATCGCCGACAGCGTCAGTCAGTCAGTGCCCACGGGAACTTTGCGGGCGAGGTTCGAGTTGTAGACGTCGTCTTTGCTCGGGGGTGCGTTTTCCTGCATTCCCCTCGGGATCGATTACGTCTTCCGTTCCTCTCCTCTTCTATTGTGAGTCTCTTGATCTTCCAGCCCTGTAGGGGACAGCTCGTGTCTGTGTCAGTTGTGAATTGTTCCTGTGCCTCACGAGGCGTCCACCGTTTAAACCACCTCGATCCCTGCGCGAAAGCGCCGCACCAAAGCCATCAGGCAGACGGAAGAACGACACGCAACGAGAACTTGGCCACCCTTATAGGGCCTTTGGGCTCGCATCGAGAAGTTACCACGATCTCAAGATAAATGTATGGCGAGGCGCGGGATGCGAAGGCTTCGGAATCGGAATCGGTTTTGGTCTTGTCCGTCAGGTGTGCTGAGTGGTGTAGGCGTTGTTTGTGCGGCGCAACACTCCGGATATCAACAAAACGGTGAGCCAGTAATTAACTGCTATACCTGAACAATGCTCGAGAGGTCTGGTAAAGAAGATGGAGTGGACGTTGCCGTAGATCAGTGGTTGTTGCGGGATCGAACGCTTAAGCGGCGAGAAATGCGGATCTATGGCTGAAGAGCAGGCAGGCCGTAGAAAGACCCCTTATCCAAGTAGGTTAGATTGCTTTTCTAAGACCGTAGTAAAAGAGTTGTGAGTACTGTAGGAAACGCTCAATATCCGATGTCTTCTGCGATCTTGTGGCACTCGCGAAACTAAGTGGCGCGTGAACTTTGGTGAAGATATATATTGTCGACGCCATCTTCCGCATGAGCGCCTTGGACTGAGGGTACTATCTATCTATATTAAATGCACAACGCTATGCAGACCCAACCTATAGAGAACGTGTCCGCCAACTGTGATATCCAGATATTTCAAGTGGATAGAACAGCTACCACGAACTCCACTCAAGGACCGCACGGCTTGTTCGATATGACATCGCGGCACCAATGCCACTATCGTGATCCTCTGCGCACTAGGCAGCAGACTTATATGGGAGCAGTGGCTGAAATCACTGGACTTGTGACTTGAATCGGGCTCGGTCGAACTCAAATGCAGAATATCGAACTAAGCAGGAAACATCGAAGGCTACTATCCAACCGTTCATTCCTCACCAAGCTCTAAAACAGACTGCACGACTCGATCCAAGACCCGCAGTATTCTATCTCACCCGCCGACTTCCATCATGTCACAAGCGCTATCCCCAACGAGCTTGGAACCGGGATCCCTCATGATTCCCATTCCATGGCCCTCCTCTCCCTGCCCCATACCAGACAGCCCATCCCTCCCGCTATGTCCACCAATGCCGTCCTTTCCTCCTGGAGTCTGGAAGTTGTAATCTTGTCGACCTCGAGATCCGTTACCGCCGTTCTAGTCAGTCTGGTCGGCACTGTCCAAATGAGCCACCTTCGATCCACCTTCCGCGTAGCCAAACCATTCCCTGCAGCTGGACCCGGCATCGAAAAAGGGGAATGGAACCGATTTCAGAGCGTTAGATAGCATCAGGAAGAAAGACAGACGGTGCAGCAGGAAGGATCCGATCAGAGAGTCCCGTTCCGGAGGGAGGCGATCAGCGTTGCGCGGAACTAGAGACGAGATATGGTTAGATTAGCTAGCTGATGCTTTGTCTTGTAGGGTCTCCAGCACGGACTTGGTGCAATCAGAATCAGAACAGAGGAATGAAGATACGTACGGCAGCGACCAAGAGGTATATTATCCCGAACCAGAAGGCGAAGCGGAAGATTCTCATTTTGGTGGGGTGGACGGTGGAGCGAGAGGGAGAGGTAGATGTGTACTGAAGAGAAAGGATGGGTTGCCTGAAGCTTGCAGGAGAAAGGAATTGGGTGATGCGATATCTCTCAGCGCAATAGAAGAAGGCGTTGGGTTGAGATGAGGCAGCGGATGGAAAGGTGAGGAGGAGGAGGAGGAAGAAGAGAAGAGAGTCGGGCCGAGAAGAAGAACTGCGCTGCAATACATTTGAATTGTCCAACACCACAAACAGACAGAATTTTCATCTCGTTGAATATGCAAAAAGGGTAAAAGATGCACATATTCTCTCTTCAAGTCTTCGTCTTGCGAAGCTATCTGTCTTCCAGCTGGGATACGATAGCCATGGCCGCCATATTGATCTTCTCTACATGAATTTACTGAATGGAACACAAGTTGGCGGAAGCAATTCAATTAGATCCTCGATCCATCTTCCTATGTGAGAGTAAAGCAGAAACTAGAATACAGGAAACAGCCAAGCAGCGAGGCAAGGCAAGACAAGTGAAGACAGGTCATAGTCGTCTATTCGTTACGTCCCTGATAAAAACAAAAGAAACTCGCCTTCTCGTTCACATGATGCGTTCATCAATCGCAGGTCAAGTCGAGCCAAGAAGACACGACAGACCGGAGGCAAAGAACAAAAGAAAAGGTAAAGCAAAGTCTGGAAACCTAGCAGTCATCCTTGTGAACGATAGTCCTCCATTTATCGTGATGCTTCGCCATTCCCGAGATACGACCTTCGAGAGGGTGGCAGTTGTTCATGACGGCAAAGACATCATCGCCGATGCTCTTGTAGGATTTGAGGGTGCGTAGCTTCGAGTCCTGGTTGTTTTGTTTCGAAGTGTTAGAGAAGATGGTACCATGGTAAGATGAACTGAAGAGAAAAGAGGAGAGGAAAAGGAGGGCAGAAGAGAAAGAAAGAAAAAAGGGAAAGGATACTCACATCATTACACCACTTAACACACAACCCCTTCTCACACCAAACACGAACGCACTGCTTAACACCGGCCGTGGGTGTTCCCTCCCTGTTCCTGAGCTCACGAATCGCCTTGTTGATGGGACCGTCGTCGACCAGGTCGCCGTGGTAGCAGGTCACCTGGGGGGTGAAAGGTGCGATGATTTCCTCACCGTCCTGAGATTCGTCGGCCTTGTCGGTTTCCTGGGTGCCCTCAATCTCGTCACGCTTTCCCATCTTGTCGACAGGGGAAGGACAGGGGGTCGGGTGGTGGCCGTGACCGGGGTGGAAGGGGATGCCGGGGACGTAGAGACCGTCTTCACTGTCGTTCCAGCCGTCTCCACAGAGATCGATGTTCTCGTGGGTGGTGGGGGAGGCAACAGTGACAAAAGTAGTGGGAAGGAAAGTGGAAGTGGTAGCAGACCGAGCTGAAGGGCAAGGGGTAGGATGATGACCGTGACCAGGCTGGAATGGAATACCAGGAACATAAAGACCATCATCACTATCATTCCAGCCATCTCCATAGAGATCGATGTTCTCATGGGTGGTAACAGTAGAAAGGGAAGCATCAGTAGACAGGGAAGTGGAAACAGAAGTGGCAGCATCACGGGAAGCAACAGTGGCAGTGGTAGTAGGATGATGGCCATGACCAGGATGGAAAGGAATCCCAGGAACATACAGACCATTGTCATCCTCGCTGTCATTCCAGCCATCGCCGCCGGTAACACCGCGAGCAGTCAGGGTGTGAGAAGGACGAGGACGAATAGTCAGGGTATGAGAAGGACGAGCACGATCGGAGGGGCAAGGGGTAGGATGATGACCATGGCCCGGGTGGAAGGGGATACCAGGAACGTAAAGACCGTCTTCACTGTCATTCCAGCCATCACCACAGAGAGAAGGGACACTCTCGACCTCGACCTCGACATCAGTCTCGGCCTCAGCCTCTACCTTCTTGGCATGAGGGTGGAAGGGGAAGTGTGGAAGGGGAATTCCGTTCTCATCAACCGGGTCATTCCAAGTGCTTCCATGAGTGCCCGTTGGGTGGGAGACGTGGACGGCGGTGTTGGTGGGGTGCAAGAGGCCCCAGCCAGTGAACTTGATGCCGAAGCTGGCGGTGGTGTCAACGGTTTCAGTGTTGTCGAGGCCTCCTTCGACGGAGGTCTTCTCGTGGGAAGTCAGTCAGTGTTGTTCTTCGCGTGAGGAGATGAGATGGATTGAAGGAAGGACGAGGGGATAGAATCGAGGGTAAACACTTACAGGAATGGCATCGTCTGCACCAACGACAGACATCATGGCGAGCCAGATGGCCGCGAGGAGGAGGCTCATCTTGTGGATGTGCATGTTGCACAATCACACAAAGACTAGAAGGTTTGATGTGTGTAAAGCTCTTAGCAGAAGTTGGAAGCTTTCAAACGAGGATACGAAGGGTAGAAGAAGAAGAAAGGTAGGAAGAGAAGGTGGTGAGGAAAGAAGAAGAAGAGGAGAGGAGGAAGAGAAACACAGGGGAATATATAGGGGAAACAAAACCGGCTTTACGTATTGCCAATTTGATTTTTCCCTTCACGTCAGGCAGAGTTGATTGTTATGAGCAGATTCTATACAAAGATGTCCGGTGAGGTGGAGGCTGGCCAGTCAGAGGGCCTCTAGAACCCGGCCGAACCGGAGAAATTAGGGCTGCTGCACAAAAGTGACTGCAGCCTGTGCAGCAAACAAGGCACGTGTCCTTCTTTCTGCTTCGAAGCTGGTCGAAAGCATGCAGTCACCGGCCGAGTCCCGGCTTAAAGGATGATTTCAAATTCGACAAAAGGCTGGCCCAGGGTAAAAATGGGCGAGGAAGCAAAATCGCCAGGCAAAGTTGGCGGATGCTTCCAGCCTCGTTTTGCGGGGTCGGGATCGTTTCCTTTCGCCGGCTTTCGTAGAGTCTGATTTGCGAGACTAGGAATTGCACGGGACTGCTTGTTGTCTCGTCAAAGACTCTGAGTTTAGGCCTTCGAAGTTGGAAGGACGAAAAGACGAAAGCCACTCGACCGCGGTGCCGGCCCTGCAATCACTTTCCAGACTCGTTGTGGGTTCAAAACCATGCCCCTGTCTCCAGCATAGACGAGAATGCGCCGCACAGCTCCTCTATAAGACTGAAAAAAAAAAGGCCTGACGTAGGACTCGGTCTGCAGTCATATTCCGGCCTCGTTTGTGAGATCAAGATTATGCCCTTTCCTCGAGGTTAGACGAGACATGCACCGCACAGCTCCTCGTAAAAGTGTAAAATGCAACGTACGCAGTGGCTGAGCTCATCGAAGGGCATGGAAGCTTGAGCATTCAATCGCTCTCGCAGACTTGTTGTTGCTATTCTCCGGTCCTCTAGAGCAGAGTCGAGGAGGGGAGGGAGTCAAGTCCGAAGGAGAGCTACACGACTCTACAGGGATAGATATTCCGAATCGATTTTTTTTCGCATTTTGACTTAAGTTCTAACTTGTAGACGAGACTATGGTACATTCAAAAACAACCAAAACACACAAAAGCTCGGCCTGTCTTGTTGAGAAGACGCCGCTTGAGTGGCCAATGGCACCGCCAACGGACGTTGAGATCCAGTTGAAGAAACATGAGACATAAGACAAAAGACAAGATGACATTCAAAACGAAACAGCCAAAACATGAACTCGGATGACCTTTTTGAAAGGCGACACTTGCAGCAGTGGTGACTCCTAACGGATGTTGAGTCCGTCAGGGAAAGAAGACATGGAACGCAGAGAGACTACATGAGCCAGGACGAAACGCAGGATACAACTGAAGAAGAGAGAAAAAAAAGAGCGGCCGCGTTGCCTAACATTTCCAGTGATCTTCCTTCACAATCACTTGGAAGCGGTCGACATGGCGTAGAATACCGGCAAGACTGGTCGGTGCGTAACCGAAATGCCACGGGCATTTCTTAAAGACAATGTTCGCGGCGTCACCGATGCTCTTGATGGTAATGTCCTGAACTCCGTTGGCCTGGAGAGCCAAGTTAGCACTCAAGATATTGAAGCAGTTTGAAAGAAAAAAACGAAAGAGACATCGATAGAGAGGGGACCACTTACAACATTGCACCAAATGATCGCGGAATGGTGCTTGCAAAAGAGACGGGTGCAATGATTGGGCTGCAGGACGGTGTCCTCAGTCTGCTTTCGCAGGTGCTTGATCCCAGTACGAATGGATCCCATCTCCGCCTGACCGTAACCGTTTGGATGGCACTCGACGTCCCAGTAGGGATTGTCGTCCTTCGCGTTGTCGAGAGAGGCAGTATCGGTGGGTTCAGCAGAGTCAAAGGCGAGGTCGGCAGGTTCAGCGGGGACGAAAGAAGGGTCGATTCCGAGAAGTTGGATTGGGAAGGTCTCGTCAGCCGTGGTCGCGCCAAAGGCCTGGGAAGCAACGGTAGCTTCGGTTTCATTGAAGTAAGCAATATCGGTATCCGGGGTAGGAAGCTATCCATCATCATGGTTAAGAACAGGACAAGCAATGAACCAAAGGAGCAGGAGGAACAAGAAGGAGAGCAACATACAGCAAGCGCCATCATGGCGAAGGTCGCGAACCATATCGCAAGGATCATCATGATGTTGCGCATGATGACTGACTCGAAGCCGAGTAGAAGATGTGGGAGTGTAGCTTGCAAATCTGATGTGAAGGAGAGGAAGGAAGGAAAAGGTTGGATTGTCAGGTCAGGTCGAAGACGGTGGGAAGAAGAAAGAAAAGAGAGCCATCAGACAGGGGGAAGAAGGGGGTACTTATAGCCCAGAGTGAGGTCTTCGAGATCATGCATGCCCTCCATATCAACTCCAGATCACCAGCTGCAGCTACATTCACAGACAAAACCATAATTTCTTGATTAGATGCCGTGTTAGGAAGTTTATGAGTGGGGCAGAGTCACCAAACGTGCAGCAGGAAGTTTGTCTTTGCAGGCGGTGGATTGTTATGGCATTCCCGCTGGCTTCAGGGAGCTGCACGGGGTTTTGCCACCTGCACCTGGAGTTGGATGCCACGAGCTCTGTGTTTTGGGAGCTTTGTGGGTCGGACCTGCATAGAGGTTTCGAGGCTGGAGGGAAAGGAAAGTGGTGATGGGACTCCTGCTGCAGGAAGTCTGGGATCTGGTGAGCGCAGACAGACAAGCGGATGCCTCTTTTGGGATTTTTCTATCTTTCTCTTTCTTTTTCTTTTTCAGCGTCCAGGAAGAGCAAGAACGGCAGGATAAACTGACCTGAGGCGCGGCGACTGGATGAGACCAGAAACAACAGATTTCCAAGTTGAAGGGCAGTGGTGGATCGAATTCTGTGTGGTCTTGTTGTGAGTTGATGCAAGGCCGGCAAGCCCACGTGCACGTTTCTCAGGACAGGCTGCAGCTCGAATCTGGAGATGCTGGATGAGCTGCAGGACTGGAGGAACCAGATTTGGTGACGTAGGTATGGAAAGGAACAGGAAATAACTTAATGAAATAGAAACGAAAAGGGAAAATAGACAAAAATAAAAATCAGCCAGGGAGGAGGGGGCTCGCTGGAAGCGCACGTCGATGGCGACATCATTCGCAGCTGGCGGGGCTGATTGGCAAAGTCTGAAGTAAAGGCAGCCAGAAGAGCAAGACATGGAAAGTCGTGCCCTCATGGAGGTTGAGCTCTGAGAGGGGTAGTTCTGGCGGGGTCAGGCTCGGCGATTTAGCAGTCAAGGAGAAACCAGAGAGGAGTCAGAGAGAGAAGCAAGATCGATTGGAATAGCACACTCGTTCCAATGTCTGTTCTACTCTAGTCGAATGAATCTAACCACAAATCGGATGGCTCTTTGTCCAGGAATTGAAAAGGTCAAACAGAGATCCTGAGTCTCCCCGTAGCAGATCCAAATCCAAGCCTCCAAGACACATCAAAGCATCAGAAAAAGACAGCGGCGGCAAAATCCAACAGTCTAGACACGGCAATAGACATGAAACCATCTAACAAATATTCTTATCCTCCTTGACAACAACCCTCCAATCCCCCACCACCTGGCGAATCCCAGAGACGACATCGTGGAGGTCTCTCACGCTCCAGGGACATCCGGTGACGATCATATTCGCTTTGTCGGCGACGTTGCGGTGGGAGATGGACTTGGGTTCGTTGGCCTGTGGAGAGGATTGCGTTAGCACGGTACAGAACGTTAGCTGGTTCTATTCAGAGGAGAGTTGGGAAAGGGAGGAGGACGTACGGCCATGCTGAAGGTTGCGAGGAGGACAGCCCAAATGGCGAGGAGGACTATGGGGGCACGCATCGTGGAGGAGTCAAAGAGAGTTGAGCTCGATAGCGTAGAGATGGGAAAGAGGTGAAATTTGCTGAGAAGACGAAGAATCAGAAAGCCCTAGTAAGGGAAAGGAGGATGTGAGAGGGAAAGGAGAAGGTGGGAGGGAGAGGGACGAGAGTTGGGATATGTGAACCAAGCCCTAACTCGCACACAGTCTGAATTCTCTATGCACAAGAAATTGCTCCCCCTCCCTGAATGCCCCCTGCAGTAAAATCAGGACACGTAAATCACAGAATAGAACAAGCAAACCAGTCAAATACAGGTTGATTCGAAGCCTACGGATGGATTGGGCAGCAGGCGCAGCAGAGTCGGACCGCCTCGCTGGAAAGTCTTTGTCGAGACATTGATGTCGGAGAGGGAGATACGGACTGTAGAAAAACAACGCTCGAGACAATGCCCAAAAGGAAAAATAGAAAGCATCATGAAGAAATTTCTACTTCGATTTCGATTTCCTAATCTAAAGACACGATAAAGCACAACGCAAGGCACTTTGCTGAAAAGCACCCTCTACATCCGTAGGTTACAAGAGTCATCGTAGATGCTGGATCCACGAGAACAAAAAAGAAAGGCACACAGGTCAAACGACACAAAAGGCCAGATCACCGTCAGCGGCAACAAAGTCAACAGACATCTAATCTAGCACAGCTTGGAGTCGCGCATCAACATAACCTTCCAGATGCCATTGACCTCGAGGATACCAGAAAGAGCTTTGTTGCCCCAGGGGTCGGTGCCCTCATCCTTGCACGAGTCGACAACCTTCTGAGCCTTCTTCGCAATGGTCTTGTGGCTGTTCTTAATCTCCTTGCCGGCCTGGAAGAAAGAACAAGCAAGCTGAGTTAGAACAGACTGCACCATGGGCAAGAGGGCGGGAAAGGAAGGAAGGTCAAACTTACGATGTTGCACCACCAGATGGCGGCCCCAGGAGAAGCGCAGTTGGCCCACTTGCACCTGCCATCTTCGAGGCTGGTCTTGTCGCCGTGCTTCTTCAAGAACTTGATGCCATCAATGAACGCATCCCTGCTCGCGATCTGGATTCCGGACGGGTTGCAGGTAAGAGATTCCTTCTTGGCCATCTTTGCCCATTCGGTCGAGTTGGCAAGGTCAGGATTGATCTCACGGCCCATAAAGTCGACACCAATGTCGAAGCCGACCTGGTCAATGGGAATGGATGATTTGGGGTCATTGTTGATGATGGCCGGGACTTCATCAGCGGGCTCAGTGGGGAGCTGTGGTTGTCAGTTGGTCAAGATGGAACGGGGAATGGACGCAATTAAAGCAAGGGAAGAATAGATGTGACGTACAGCAAAGGCAATGGCTGCAAAAAGGGTAACCAGAGTCGCAAGAAGCATGGTAAAGACACGCATCTTGAAGACTCAAGAAGGTTCAAGGTGGGGTAGAAGAAGGGTAAGAGGGAGAGCAACGGTAGCTTGGATGAAAGGCTCAAGAGAGGCAAGAAGGGGAGCGTCTGTTGCAATCAAAAAGACGTGATAAGGAAAGAGAATCGGCCTGCAGCAGGAAAGATGGGCCTATTTATACCCAGGGGAGAGGCCCAAGATCACGTCCGGTGAAAGCTGGGATCATCCTGCAGCGAGTTAAGCGAGATCACGAAGAGATGTTGCTTCAAAATCAGGCTTGGAATCACTGATGATGGAAGAGCTGTAGGATGTCTTGGATAGCAGAGAACGTGCAAGACGAGCTGCAAGCGTGAGTGGGGCAGGTAGGAAACAGCGCTTTTGTGCTCAACCATGAGTTTTTTTCACACGGGCGCGGGGTAACAGGGCTGCACCTCAGAAAAACACAAAGAATTCGAGGAATGGGCGGTAGGTGATGGCCAAAGGGCCGTCGAGTAATGATTCCAGGTCCATTTGCACATTTAATGATCTATCCACGTCGTCGAAAGACAGTACCAAGTAAGTGATATGAATCCTATCCGCTGCCCCAACAAGAACCAAAAGCTGAGCTCGAGGCAACAGACAGAATGAAGGAACTGAGAGTGGGAGATGGCTTGAAGGCAATCAAGGTACGATCCCAGGTCCAGCTACTCGTCTGATGGTCTATCCAGGTTCTCGAAACGCAGTACCAGGCTACCAGGCAAGCGATATCAAATCCCATTCGCATCCCCATTCCCTGCCCCAAAAGTGACCCCAAAGCCCCCAGAAGCCAGCTCCAAGCTTATTATGAGGCGTATCAGCTCTAATCTTACCGAAACCCTTCCAGGTTCGATCGATGCTCCAGCAGAATCGTCGCCATCGCAAGGTAACTTTCGAGGTCCGCCCTGAATCCAGCATCGCCATCACCATTTTGTCATTGGGAACATAGCACGTGTCCAAGCAACCTTCTACTGGCGGCACAGAACATTGCCGAGCGTCCTCGGTTGTCTACCGCGGATACAGCAGCCTGTTTCTCTAGAAGGAGCTCTACGACCTCGAGACGTCCGGCAGCGGCAGCGGCAGCAATATGAAGCGGAGTTTGGCCCTCGCCATCCAGAACTGCAGAACTGGAAGATCAGCGCTGGGATCGAGGGCATAATCGTTGCTGTATCGCAGTCCGGAATGAGCGGCGCGCGGATAATCGCGAACCTGGAATCGTCTGCACGGATATACCAGCTGCAGCCTTGAGCAAGGGTTTGATCACAGGGCTTCTATGGTCTTCAGAAAAGGCATGATGCAGCGCAACTGAGCCTTTGGTATTGTACGTACATATTAACAGCGCAACTGAGCCTTTGGTATTGTACGTACATATTAAGGTATGATCGCCCCAATATCCAACACCATCGGGGAAAATCTCCTCACATTGTCAGGTCACCGCACAGCGCAACATCAGCATCGCATTGAATGAGAACCTTCAGAGCCTCCGTATATTCTCCCGGACAAGCATAAAGCAACGTTATCCTATAACCCTTTCAAAGCCAAGCCAAACCCCTATGGCCCGCGTCGAGAAAACGCCCGAACTATACTCCCATCCCATACCTGAGGGAGCACGCGAGGTGCAGCTTTGCGTTCCACTTTTGACGTTTTGGGATCCAATATACCGGCCTTCGCTCCAATATCAGCTTGATCACTCCTTTCTGTCCTTCGCGAGCGACTAGCTGCGGGAACATTCGATTCGGAATGCGACTCCTGAGGGATACATACGGCGGAACGGACTGAAACTATTTGTCTGCCCTTCCAGTATTGTCCAAGTAAGGTCCAATACATCCGTATTGCCCGGGCAGTACCGCGATACTAACTCTGGCCTAAGCTCAAGTTATGTCAAAACACCCTTATGTCCCCGGACCACAGCGAGACGCTCCGCCGTTATCCCACCCCATCCATCCTATCGGAAATATCCATAGCGTCCCCAAGATGAGCCTTACGAGAACCCTCCACCGTTAGAAAAGGCCCAGGTACCCGCGGCATTCAGCACAAGCATACCCAGGTCATCACGAGCATCGAAATCCGCGCCGTATCTGATACATGGGAAGGTCAGAGGATGTCCAGGGCTTCGCGGGCTCGGGCAAGTGCAAGTGCAAGTGCAAGTGCTTTTTTTTATCTTGGCTTGAGTGACTATCGATACGGAGTGCTACGACTTGCAAAAATACTGCAGTGTCCAGCTATACTTGTCCGGCACGGCGAGGTCTGCGGTGCAGTCCAGGAAAGGCTCTGTTGAGACAGCGGTGGATTGGACGGCGTCGTGGAAAGGAGTCGATGCTTAGGAGTCTATTTCATTGAGAGGCCAGATTGAGGGTATTTGGGGTTGGTATGTCTGGACGGGGTTTGGTTCGTAGGCTGGATAGCAGTTCGTTGTTTTTTTGATCTGGTGTGGCGAAACGTGCGGAGAAGGGACAAAGAGCCCTGATCTCCAGCATGATACTTGCTGCTTACAACGGAGAAAGCAGAGATGAGAACAATGAAGACCACCATAAGTGTCAAAAATAGACGATTTGTATGTAAATCTAACTTATTCAATTATATACAATTTCTATCTACCAGAGACACGAGATACCAGAAACTCCTCCCATGGACAAAATCAAAGTATCCAACAAAACTACCCAAAAGAAACTCATCCAGATATCACAAACCACTCCAATCAATGTCTCGCCCGCTTCGCACCCGCGTTCCAGAAAGCAGGCGGATCCTGACGCTTCCTCTTCCACTCGTGCACATTCTGCAACATCCCCGCAATCGAATGCACCTTCATCCTCACCGGTATCATATTCGCAAAATAAATATACCTAAACATATTCAGGTTCATCCCAGCCGCGGAACTTCCGGGCCTGGTCTGGTCCGCGAAAATCGTGTCGCGGCCACCGCATGCCATCGCCTCCCTGGGTCCGACAAATGGGATCCTGTGCTTCTCTGCGGCGGCACGCATCTTGTCAAAGGGGACGCGGTCCGTGTTGTCGGCCATGATGTGAGTGAGTTTTCTGCGCGGGACGGCGTCGAGGACGATTCCTTCGAGTTCGGTCTCGAGCTCTTTGATGTATGTGGACATCCAGGCGGAGCGCTTGACGTAGAGGCCGAGGGACTCGAGGTTCGGGGGCATGTGGCTTGCTAGCTTGTTGGGCGTCTCGGCCGTCTCCTCTGTCTCGCCGTGCGTCTCGTGCTTCTTGCAGTTGTGGCCGTAAAGGACCAAAGGGTTTGTTTTGAGGACGCGCAGTTTGGTGAATTTGGGCAGAGGTGGGCAGAGGGAGAACTTCTCGTCGACCTCGTGGAAGTACCGTGTTTGGTTGGGCATGTAAGGGTAGGGGGCTTCGAAGAAGTCGAGGTACTCGAGTTGATCTTTCAAGTGCGCGATGGCGGCCCAGAATTTGTTGTGGAAGACGGGTCCCCTTTCGTAGCTGCTGCTGATGGAGAGCTGCCGGAGATCGGAGGATAAGCTCAACAACGGCGTGATCTGAGGGAGGTAATTCTGAATCTCGGGCAGCGACAGTTTCCTGAGCGCGGTTCGGTGCTGCACTGCGTTGGGGTCGATCCGGCCTTCCAGAAGCGTGAATTCTGTCAGCTTGGGCAGACGGTGATACTGACGCTTGCCGGAAAAAACTGCCTGGCCGTTGTGAATAATCCTTGAGCTGCCGAGGTAAGGATCACGGACACTGTTCGGGGCGACATTGAGGGTTTCCAGGTGCTGAAAGGCGATACCAGGACTGTTTCTGTCGCTGGGCGCTCTCGCGACATCGAGGATTCTTTCGAGAAACGGATCGTTAGCCAAGGTTTGCAGACTCAAGCGTTCGATCTTCGGCACATGCGCCAAAATCAGGGCCTGTAGGGCGGCAACATGGTTCAGATGATAATTTCCGTCGAGGTCGTTCACATCACAGCTTAGATATCTCGTCGCCAACGGGATCAAATCGCCTCCGGGAAGCGCAGCGAGATCAAATCGAGCCTGGATCATGGCCTGCCGGACCATGTCGACATTTTGCGCATAGAGGTCTGTCATGTGCTGTTTCGCATCCGGGCTCTCAAGATTGGCAAAATCAATGGGGAAGCGCGGGCTGAACATGGTGATCTCGCGGAAAAGCGCCGCGAGGTCGGGACGAGCAACCAGCGTGCGCAACAGGCACCAGAGTGGTTTGATCTCTCGGAGGAGGTTTTTAAAGTCAAATCGGTGGTATAGGATGGGGTTGAAGCGCTGATGCCACCGGCGACTTACGGCGCAGATTTCAGCTGGGAATCTCTCCGTCACAAGGTGAGGGTGTGGGTCCAACTGGTATTCGACATCCATGAGGTCTAGGAGAACCTGGTCCCAAATCTCCATGGGGAGTCGGTCCACAGGTGCAACCTGTGTGCTAGGATCGGACATTGTAAAGTTGACGGGTAGTGGGAAGAAAAGTGAAAAGTAAATTGCAGTGGAACATGATGCAAAGCTGCAGTGATAACTCCAGAGTACTTATCCGATCTCGAGATGCATCTCCCTCGAGATCGGAAATAGAACTCTTTGCTGGCGGCTCTGAAACAGTGCATTGTGGGCTACCCTTCGAGGTTAGCAGTGAAAGGACGTTGGAACGTAGAAGCATGGTTGAAACAGCCGCCAAAGAGCTTTGTTGTATCATCTTAGTCACATTTCCAGTATCATTATTTGCGTTGCCAATAAAGGCATCTCGGTCTATCAGTATAAGGAAGAGTATAAAGAAAATCGACTGCCGTTGAGCCTCATTTATTCTGAAGCCTCTTTGGGTTCCACCTTGGGTCGCACCTCAAGATGGCTCAGGTCATGCGCGCCCTGGAAAGTCTCGGTGATCTCCTCGAGACAACCAGCGGCGGCAGCAAAGAAGCCAAGGAAACTCTTGCTCGGCGTGATGACTCGGCTCAGGTACTCTGGGTGGAACTGCACCCCGACATACCACCGGTGGTCCTTGAGTTCAATGACCTCCATGCGCTTACCAGAGTCGTCCTTTCCAATAAAGGAGAGGCCGGCCTTTTCCAAAGTCTCCACCAGATCTGGGTTCACCTCGTAACGATGACGGTGGCGCTCCCAGATCTCCTGCTTGTCTCCATAAAGCTTACGGAACTTGGACCACTCGGTGCCCGGCTGGAAGTGTGTAGGCCGCTTTCCGAGGCGCATAGTGCCACCCATCTTGGTCTTGTCGATTTCCGGCATGTAAATAATGGCCGGCTGCTCGCACTCTTCAGTGAACTCTGTGCTGTCTGCCTTGGTCATTTCGCAGACATTGCGGGCATACTCGATCACAGCGACCTGTAATCCGAGACAGATTCCGAGGTAGGGGACATCCTTGGTACGAGCCCATTCAGCAGCCTTGACCATACCTTCCGTACCACGTTGACCAAAGCCGCCCTAGAAGTAGTCAGTATTATTCGCAACTTTTAGATTGAAAAAGAACGTACAGGAACAAGAATTCCGTCGGCCGTGGAAACCGCATGCCAAGCCTTGTAGTACTCCGCAGGGTTGGCCGACTGATGGTCCTCTTCCAGATGGGTAGACTCGACCCACACCAGGTTCAGCTTCTTTTGGCAGTGCATGGCCGCATGTTCCAGGGCCTTTGTGACACTCAGGTAAGAATCGTGCAGACTGGTATATTTTCCAACCAGGACAATGGACACAGTGTCAAAGACATGGTCTTGGCTCATTGCCAGACCCTGCCACTTCTGCCACATGATCTTTCCCTCTTCCACGAACTTGGGTGCAATGTGCACGGTGCGAATCTCAAGGAGATCCTTGACTGTGTTGAGAAATCCTTGGTTCTCGAGAAGGATAGGAACCTGGTAGGTGCTCGGCACATTGTGGACACCGACAACCTGATCGCGCTCCACCTGGCAGGTACCGGCGATCTTGCGGATGGTTACTTCATCCAGCGGCGTCTCGCAGCGGCAGGCGATCAGGTCAGGCCGAAGACCGCCGCTTCGGACGTCGCTGATTGCTCGTTGCGTGGGCTTGGTCTTTTGTTCTGAGCCGATCAACGGGACGTAACTGACGTGGATTTGCAGGAAGTTGGCCTTGCCAACGCGACGCTGCAGCTGGCTCATGGCCTCGACGAAGGGTGCGCTCTCGATATCTCCGACAGTTCCACCCAGCTGGAGTGAAGTCCAGGTTAGCCCTTATGCATTCTGCTAGCCACTCCTTGCAGTATCTTACCTCAACTAAGAAAGGTCAGTAAACGTATAACAAAGCAAGCTTGAGGACATACTAATGCAGACGTCGGGTTCCCGTCCAGAGTCATCAATCGGAACTCTGGCCACTCTCTCAACCCACTATCCGTTGTTAATACAGGATTCTAGCTCCTCTCAGGAGATACTGACGTTCTGGATCTCGTTGGTGAGGTGAGGCACGATTTGCACTGAAACTGTCAGCTCAGACCACACGCTCGAATCCATTCGACGAACCCGTCTTTCCGAGGTAATCACCCCGACGCTCCTTCTCAATCACATGTTGGTAAATCTTGCCGGTTGTGATGTTGTTATCCCTCCCAAGAGTGACACCAAGGTATCGTTCGTAGTTTCCAAGATCCAAATCGGCTTCACCACCATCATCCAAGACGAAGCATTCTCCGTGCCTTTCGAGGAGTCAGTCAAGCGGGGGAGGGAGGGCAATGGCGGGCAACTAACTCCAGAGGCTTCAATTGATCAGCTCACGGATCAACAAGACAAATATGTCAGAATGAAGAGAGATGGAGGACTCACGTTCATAAGACCAGCATCCGGGTTGAGGTAGGGATCGATCTTGATACTCGAGACGGACAGACCAGCAGTCTTCAAGAGCAGACCGCAACTGCTTGCGATAATACCCTTTCCAACACCGGAAATAACACCGCCGGAAACAAGGACATACTTCATCTTGACGAATTGGAAACTCAAAAGGCGGCCTTCCTGGCGAATACCAGGGAGGTAGAGTAAGAGATCAAAAAAAATCGATACGCGGCACCCGATAACAAAATTGGTTCACCGCCACAAAAATTCGTGGCAGAATTTTCAAGGTGGGGAAGCTTCCGCATCAGGAATTGTTGTGCCTGAGGCGGAAACCCCACATGGCAGGGCAGGTACGATCAGCGATCTTCTATCAGGAAGACAAATGCCACTACTCTACACATATCGTCGGGAGAGTTTGCTACTCCTGGCTCTTCAACCAAAAGTCGCATTCCTCTTACGCGAGTCATTCCGGTGCACTCTTTCTTTTCAAGTCGGCCCAAACAACCTCCACGGAAGTCAACGGACACGGCTCAAGATTCATAATGTCCAGACGAAAGCTGGCAAGATCAGACAATCAATCTATGGGCAATGGAATCGAATCGCATGACGTCGAAGAGGAAATCTTCCAGAAACCAGACTGTCAATCCGGAAAACAGCCGTGCTTCCCATTGGACTCGGGCTCTGCCGTGTTCGTGGGATATCGCCGATTGAGGGCTTAGCGCCGGGGGAATTGAGCTATACCCGGCGCCTGTCAATACCCTGGTTGCCTGCACATCTGCACTTTCTCTGCATCGTTTCAATATCCATGGCTCTCATCGGGATGTTTGCCACGTCCCCCCGCTATCCAGTGATTGGACCGGTTTGTATGCCGTGAGGCTGTCAAGCCATCCGACGCAACAGACGATGGATATATAAACCTCATCGATGCCCGCTCAAGTAGGGCCATCATCACAGCACAAACAAGATCCGCAAGCAACTCGAACGCCTACCTACCAACAAACACAATAGTCTACTTTAGAAACCGAATAATCATTTCTACAAGAACATCAACATGACTTCCACAACCCTCCCAACCAAAATCCGCGCCCTCCTCCAAGCGGACCCCAAATCAACAACCATAACCCTCGTCGAGCGCGACGTCCCGGTTCCTGACCACACCAAAGCCGAACACTTGATCAAAGTGCACTCCGCCTCTCCCTGCGCCGGCGAACTCCTCTGGCCGCTTATGGTCGACCTCCCCGGCAAAGAGATAATCACCTGCGACGATGTCGCGGGAACCGTGATCTCCGCGCCTGCCGACTCCCCCTTCCAGCCGGGGGCGGAGGTCTACGCGCGCACATCCTACTGGAGACCCGGGTGTGCGCGCGACTATACGATCGCGACGACTGACGAACTTGCGCGCCGCGCGAAGAACCTCTCTTGGACTGAGAGTGCGGCGACGCCGCTTTCGGCTATTACGGCGTGGCAGGCTTTCTTTATCCAGTCAGGAATCGGGGGCTTTGGAGATGAGAGCTGGAAGGGGAAGAGAATCTTTGTTACGGCTGCCAGTGGAGGTGTAGGTGTGTGGCTGGTGCAGATTGGGAAGCTACTTGGTGCGGAGGTTATTGGAACCTGTGGGCCCAGGAACGTTGAGTTTGTCAAGAGCTTGGGTGCCAGCGAGGTCCTCGACTACAGGACTACGGACTTCAAGGCCTGGGCCAGCGACGAGAAGAACAAAGTCGACCTTGTCATCGACTGTATTGGCGGGAAATCCCTCGAGGACGCATGGTGGACAATCAAGGACAACGCAACAATCATCGGAATCGTGCAGCCCCCCGAGCAGAAGAAGCCCGAGGGCTTGGAGCTTCCCAATGCTACGGCCAGGTTCTTTATTATGTCTCCCTCCGGCAAGGATCTAGAGGAGATCACGAAGCTTGTTGAAGCAGGCAAGGCTTGGCCCGTCGTCGACAGTGTTTGGTCACTCGAACAGTTTGAGCATGCATATGCACGGCTGGAAAGCGGACACGCTAGGGGCAAGGTAGTCTTTGATCTGACCCTTAATGTGCGAAAGTAGGGTTTGGTTGGTTTCATCTTGTTTGAAAGACGATTGTGATGATATAGTATAATACTTCTTTGTTGTCATGTCATAATTTACGAAAATAGAACTATCTCTTTGAACCTTTGTACTCGAATCCAAAACACCACATCTATTATTCCTCTAATCTATCTTTAACCAGAACCACACCTTAATTCCCACTCCCATCCTGCCGCATCGCCACATCCCACGTATCAAACCTTTGTTTACCGCCATCCTTTCGTCGAAACCCATCGAACGCCCTCATTAGTGCACCCCGATCAATCGTCTGAGCACTAGGACCAGTCGCAGCGGCAGTGGCAAGGAACTCGCCCTCTCTGTATCTTGCCTTGATAAGTTCCTTTCGAGTTTTCGACTTCATCGAGGCGTGGATGCTTCGGCAGATACCCTGGCCGGGATACGCGACGACGCCTAGGGCGGCTAGGTAAACCGGTTAGTGCCATCCACTACATAGACCGACGCAACTCGACAGATAAACAAAAAAGTAGAAAGCGAAGAAAAGTAGGGAAAGGAACATACCAGAACTAAACCCAACTCCCACCCCCATCGTCCCCTTGGCAAGACCCTTCACAACCCCAAGCGCCCCCCCCTCCTTCGCACCCTTCACCGGGTGCGTAATCAACCCCGTAAACCCATCGACCATGCCCTGTCCAAACGACTTGCCTCCAACAACAAATCCGGATTTCCAATCTGTCACCGGCGCGTAGGTTTTCGTTTCCTCGCCGTAGAGCTTCGGGACGGCGCGGAGCCCTTCTGCCGTCGCGAGCGGGATGTCGACCATTACGCCCTTGAAGTATGTGCCTAGGAACTTGCCGACGGATTTCGCGGAGGCCGAGGCGATTGTTGTTGTTGTTTCGAGGGCGCCGGGGCCCGTGGAAGGGGACGGGGATGTTGGGCGTGATTGTAGATTGGGACCAAGGAGATCTGTCGCTGCGTGTCGAGGGACTTGTTCGCTTGGTTCTTGGGTTGTGGGCGGAGGGGTGCTTAGGGATCGGATGTTTGGTGGTCTGTTACTAGACGAGGTAGATGGCCGTCCACGCTGCTGGAGATCCTGGTACTCCTTGTAGGGTCTGAGGAAGATATCGGCGGTGGATTTGACCATGTCTGTGCCTGTTCCGATGGCGGCGGATGTGGCGCCTGTTACCGGATCCCAGCGGCGGTTTTCGATAATAATGGGTTTTGGTTCGTATCTGATCATGTTAGTACCACTCGAGCCAGAACAAACGGAAAGGGGAAAAAGAATTGGCGTACAATTGTAATTTCTTCTTATCAACCCGGAGATGCTCAACCAAGACCTGCGCCGCAACCTTCGACAAGCGCACCGGTCCCGAAGGTGTCTTGCAAACCCAGGTTGCTGCGCGGTCTGGAAGCAGACTGCACTGCATTTCCTCTACCGGGAGATTTCTATGGAATGAGGCGACTGCGGCCTGCACTCCTGATTCGTATCGCATCTTCTCGGCAATCTCCTGCGCCGCGTGTTTGGTTTCTGGTCTCAGGCAGAATTGGAATGCTTTTGCGAGATTCTCCACGTCAACCTCTCGGTAGGGGATTGGCTTTGACCCGGAGCCCGAGGAGGCAATTAGGTTTCCCCAAAATGGTTGGCTGGAACGGTACAGTTAGCAGCTTCGCATGTTGATATGATAGGATTGGCTGTTCTTACTCTCCGAAGAAAGGGACAATAGCCGTGGGGCAACCGTATCGCAGACCACACGCTGTTGTCCCCGCACCGCCATGATGAACGACAGCGGAAACATGCTGAAAGAGCCATTCGTGAGGGCAGTCGTCGATATAGTAGACGCTATCAGAAGGCTCGCCACCTAGTTTACTCCAACCACGAGAAATTATAGCTCGGGTTCCTGTAAGTCGTACGGCTTCAAGAATGATTGCCGTGAATTGCTCCGGATCATCAATTACGATGCTTCCAAAGCCAATGTATATTGGTTTTGGTCCGTTCCGGAGGAAGAGGTCGAGTGATTGAGGAGGCTTATAAGCAGGAGGGTCTCGAAAGAAGAATCCGCAGACGTCTGAGGACGTTAGTCCATATCCAGAGTGCAAGGTGAGGCGGTGCTTACCGATATGTGCAGGCCAGTCCTTAGGCTTAGCCATCAGAGCCGGCGACCAGCAGTACGTAAATGGAATCTTCAACGTCTCTGCCAGCATGGGTCCTTCGGTAGCCGGGACAGGCTCCAAGTCCAGCTTGGACCGCCAGCTATTGATAACATCTCCTAGCCTACAATATATTAGCTCAAAGTTTTCGCAAAAAGCGATAGGTGGATGCTTACCCCTGCCATGTCAACCACTCAACAATCGCGTACGACCAGTAATTCGCCATCTCCTGCGTCGTCTCCGAGTACTTCAAATTCGCCAGCGGATGTGGGACCGCCCTCGTGCTACTCCACGGCATAGTAAACATCAAATGCAGCGGAATACCCAAGGCTTGAGCACAGTGCACATGTGCAAAACTAGGCGGATTCGCGATGATCGCCTCCGCCACAAACGGCTTGCCCGAAATTGGATCATCCTCTATACAAGACCTCCAGCATCCTTCAAGCATTTCGGCAACCATCTCGCGTTTCTTCTGAACTTCTCCAGCGCGCAAGCTATGCAGCTGTGGAATCAGTCCGGGATTTTTCACCATGTACGCCATCAACTCGGCCGGATCACCGCCGATGGGGTAGAACTCTAGGCCTGAGTCTCGGACAAAGGTGTCGAAGGTGTCGTGTGTTGCGATGCGGACCCGGTGGCCGTGTTTCTGTAGCTCATTTCCGAGAGCGATGAATGGTTGGACATCGCCTCTGCTTCCAACGACCTGGATGACGATGTTGAGCTTGAGCTTGATGGCTCGCTCGGTCTCTTCGTATGGGGGTGGCGGGCCCCATTCTGCTTCCGGGGGTGGTGCGGGACTGATGAATTCCGCGACGGCTCTGCAGGCTGAGGAATCGAGATTGACCTCGATTCGACCGTCCTCTATTTGGCTTCATGTTAGCGTCTCGTACCTCGTATACAAAGCTTGCCGATTGGCGGCGTACCTCTGAGTCTGGTCCCTCCCGGAATCAACGACTTGGGGTGATTCATTGTGCCGGACTATGGGATGTTTGATACAAGGAAGCAAGACGGTGGCTCGCAGAAAGAGAATGGCAGCCATTAAATAAAAGCTGGAATGGTCCCATGGTATGGCGAGGGAGCTGAGGCAAACTATTGCTCTGGTGGGGCCCGTACTCGTACCAATTTCCGTCTCCGGCTCCGTATCCGCCAATCCACCAAATTTTAGCTCTCGATTTGTTGATCAGCGCTATCATTCCTCGTGGCTTGACTGGTAATTGGCCTGTGTTTGCAGAACGTCGCGCTAACCAACTTCCAAGGTCGGTCTAGATAGATATTCCCCTGTTAGGCATCCGAATACCATACGCAGATAAGCTCGAAGTCTTAAACTCTCCATATACCCCCGGAAATGCACCAATATTGCAGATGGTCAAAACACAAATCTCCGAAACCAAGCAATCAACCTATATGCGCCTCGACCTCAATCTCAATTCTCATCTCCTTCAACGCCAAACTCTTGACACCAATGTACGTAAACAGCGGCTTATGATCCGGCATCCACTCGCGGAGGTTCTGCACCAGAATCGCCGTTGATGCCTGGTCCTGTGGATCTAGCATATAAACACGTACACTGTACACTTGGTTCCATCCCGTCCCGCCAGCGGTCTTGAGCGCGAGGTCAACGTTAGAGAATGCTTGGTGAATTTCGGATGAGATGTCGGAAGGGAATGTTTGGGTTTCTGGGTTTATGCCGCCTGTGAACGATGGATGTGTTAGAGACCGTGGATGCAATGTGATGGATATGCGGAATCAAAGCAGCGAGGTAAATCGACGAGAACTTACCTTGCCCGGAGAGCTTTATCAAGTCGCCGATTCGCACGGCTTGGTTGTAGTGGAAGTTCTCGGCTGCCCATTCGCCGAAGCCGGGGTAGCTGAAGTATTGCAGGTGCGACATTGGGATTGGTGAGTCGGTTGGGAGCCGAAAGACTTTCGCAGTTGGTTTCTGTGTACCAGCGTTTGTGCTGACCATTCGTTTGAGGAGGACTTCCTTATATAGGCTGCGTCCAAGGCCGCCGAGCCCGCCAAGCTAAAGCTTTCCGCTAGCCCCGCTCGGGAATCCAACGCTTCGGACTCCGTAAGACGCATCAATGCACACAAGACCCTGTCTCTGTGGCTAGGTTGTATAATCACAGCACCTGTGACGTAAGACACTGCATCAATATGGCTTATGTTTTCCGTATGCGGAGAGACGTTGCGCTGGTGACGGTGGCGGCGACGCATCTCGTCAAGAAATCTATGCCTCCCAATGCACAGATTGCAAGACACGCATATATCGCAGTCGCCAGATATGGTTGGATACATGGAAGCGATAACATCCTTCAATCAAATTCGAGGCGTACTCAAAGCTCCAATCTGATCCTCCGCACATTCCAAGCTCGCCAGGAGGAATTCCACAGTGGCTTTCCAGCATATTCGCCGGTCGCGTGCTTGAAATACGTCAATAAAGCATGCTCAGATAGAAATTGTGCCCCCATGCCTGTAGCGCTTCCCCATGCGCAGCAAGACAAGCTTATTCATGTGCCGCTCCGTCAGATCCGGGAAGTGCTCCGGGTCGGTCCGACCAACAGAGAGGTCCGTTTTGATTCGAGTGCAATCGCCTTCTTTTTTCTCTCAAGGTCGATGAACAGTATGTAGCGACGAGTCCTCGCTGTAATGTTGGGCTATGCCTTATCTCCGAGAAGGCGTGATCCGATGGTGAGGCTACGTTGTGCATTTGTAAGCAGGGCGGCCGCTGCTGAAGACGCAAGATGTTTGCCGGTTTGACATTCTTGCAAGGCGAGTCCGCCGGTTATTGGTAATTGCGTAGTCTCCATCGTGAATGGAGTCATCGCGAGTGTTCCCCTGATGTCCAGGATATCGTCTTCAATCATGATGAGGCACATTAAGGTCCCACAAGCCGCGCGGGAGGATCCACATCCAGATCGAGATGGGGCCAGCGCGCGGCTCACGGGTCTCGACTCCTGCAATGCTGCATAATATAGGTGAATTCTCTCATCTGTACCAGATTGACGCGACACGAAGCGGGGTCGATGCTAACAGAAGCAAGCAAGCAAAGGCATGGTCGTGATCGTGGTCGTGGTATAAATATGTGACCATATCCGACAGAACCAGCTCATTCTTCTTCTCTCCATCTCACCTCCAGTTCCCAGAGTCCTCATCCATCCATCATTGTCATGGCATCCCAACCAATCGCACTCATCCTCGGCGCCGGGCCTCGTGTCGGCGCATCTGTTGCCGCAGCCTTCAAAGGCAAAGGCTACAGCATCGCGACCGCATCTCGGTCCGGAACGGGAACCAAGACGTCCGAGGGATATCTCTCACTTGCCGCTGACTTTGGCAATCCCTCTTCGATCCCAGCGCTATTTGACTCCGTCAAGGCTACCTTCGGCGCAGCACCTAGTGTTGTTATTTATAACGCCGCGGCCCTCACCCCTCCACCGGACAATGACTCAATCCTCTCCATCCCAGCGGAGAACTTCGTGACGGACCTCAACATCAATACTGTGAGCCCGTATGTTGCGGCCCAGAAAGCTGTAGAGGGATGGGCGACCCTGCCGAGCGATGTGAAGAAGACGTTCATTTATACGGGCAACTCGCTAAATGTCAATGTCTTGCCTGTGCCGCTGTACTTGGACCTCGGGGTTGGAAAGCGCGCGAGTACATATTGGATTGCAGCCGCAAATGAAACATATGCGGCCAAGGGATACAGGTGTGTATTTTCGCAGAGCATGGTGTGGCTTCAAGCTAACGATGGGTGTGCAGATTCCACTACGCGGATGAACGCGGTCCAGGCGGAGTGAAGGGGAAGGGACCGAATCTGGATGGGCCTGCTCATGGGGAGTTCTATGCGCAGCTGGCCAGCCATGAAGGAAATATCCCGTGGCATGCGCCGTTTGTCGCAGGCGAAGGCTATGGCAAGTTCGATTGAACGGTCTGAGCTGGGACTAAGTAATCGCGGCATGGTAGTGGAAGAGCCGTTATCAAACGAGCAGGATCAGCTCCCCTGGACTGCTGAACAGTGTACCTAGATCAAAGTTGATACTGTTTTCCGCATCTCTATCACGCCATATATTCTCCATTAATTCAAGCGCTTTGCGCGCAGTGCCAAACACGCTTAACGGCTGTAGATCGTGCACTAGCTTTCGAAAACGCCATTCATCGTGAGGTTGCGCGAGAAACCCGGCTATGCAAAAGGGCCAAACAATGGCACGCAGAAGCCCTGGTGGTTCTACTCCGTTGGTCAGGATATCGAGTATCTTGGTGACATGGTAGGCGACTTCCGCACTGCGAGGTTGCCAGCCTGATACCACGACAAACAGATAAAGCAGTGCAGCATGCGCCCAGACAGGAATGGCAAGGGTCTTCTGACACAGAGATACTGGTCCTTGGCCACTATTTCCCAGAAAAATACTCAATAGAACGCCAACACCTCGAGTCGACTTCACCGGTTCAATGTCCAGACGCGCAAGGCCAGTCTCCAGTAAGGACTTTATGGGCGAGGCACGGCGAACCAGCTCCATCATATCGAGGCTTCCGGCCCTCTTACAGCGTTGCTTCCATGCATCAAGTCGAGCTATCTCGCTAACGCCCAGTAAAATCCAGTTTCGGCAACCCACTACGGCCTCAGCATTAATAGGGCTGTCAGCATCGTCGAGTAAATGGCGGTGGTATTCGTAGAGCTTTGGTTCCTCTTGCGAGACAGTGCTTGTAATAATATCATCCAATATAACAAGCGTAGACGCAAACGAGAAAGCGGCCTGCTCAGCGTTGGGAACCTGAAAGTTGTCGGTCGGTAAGATCCTCGTTGATGGTCCCAGATGCCGGAGGACAGTATCATAGGCTAGGCGTGGTCCAACGGCCTTCACACCACCAACATCTTCCATTAGTCGCTTGAATAAAGCTACTGCAGCGTTTAGGTGGGGCTGGCAATTCTGAAAACTCATTATGGCAACCTCAAACCGCTGCAGCTGTAGAATGCTAACAAGGGTTCGGGCCGCATCATGCAGTTGTTCATTTATATCCGAGTCGCCAATACTTTGGATTGACTGCCGCAGTATCGCAAATGCATCTCTTGTTCTGGCACCCACAAGCGCGTCAAGGCTAGCGCAATCATTCGAGCCGTGAATGACAGAAAAGAAATAAGAGCTCTGGCAGAGAGTGGCCTGGCGCATAACTGGGCTGTTGAGCATCAATTCCATGATCCATGCTCTGCCACCTTGAAGAGCGGGTGGGCGGTAGAAAGGGAACAAAAAAGGTAGTAGATGCTCGAGATAGAATGAGAAGAGGATGTAATCAGATTGACTCATGGTCGTGCCGTTAACGTTGTGATTCCTGGATTCTAGCCTGCAATTGGGTATGGCTAGCTGCGCTCGAGCAGCCTCGCCGTTCGTCAAAGAGGCCGCCGCCGCATTGGTCCAAGGAGGCTGGTCGCTAGGCAGTTGCTCGGATAACCCAACGGGCCCCGCCGTGATCGTGGTGTCAGTCTCAGGAACTGAGCCAGAGGCATGGATCACCCTCTTCCAGCGGCGGCGGTCGGCGCTTTCCTTCACCTCGGCCTTGATCTGGTCGGCCATCTCCCTCTGTCTCACACCGCCATCCATCCATTCCGGCTTCTCAGGGCTGTAATGGCAGGTGATGTAAAGAGTATCGCAAGTTCCACAAATAGGGCGTCTCTCATCACATTTCTTACGTCTGAGTCGACATGTCCAGCAACCATCGAAACTCCTAATTGCGCTTCTTTCTGGGCTGTGGAGTGGGGCCATATTCATTCTCGGAAACCGGAAGACTTGGAAGGTGGAAGTAGGGCACTTAGTACATTCGGAGAAGTCTTGGGGATCGTTCAATCCTGAGTCGCTTTGTCGCCAAGACAGATGGTCGAATGTTGGTTAAGATGAAGAGAAGAACGACCGGCTGACAAATGCAGTCTTGGAGAAGTACATCCGCAATGCTCACGTGATAATACCGGAGTCACCTCCCATACCTAGAGGAAGCAGCTGGGATGGATTGGAAGAGTCAGGAGAAGACATAGATATGAGGTCATCAAGAAGCTTCTGCGCCGTCCAGAATGTCTGCATACCGGTTCAGCGACCGCCCGATTAAGTTGACGAGCTCATAGATATAATCAGCCGTGAATAACCTTGCCCAAAGTCGCGTCACAGCTGCACTCAATCGAGTATTATTCGCCAGAAGCCATGGCCGTGATACTCCGTGGTGCACCTCCATAACCATCTCCAGCACAAATTCGAGAAGCTTTGTCTCTTGCTCCGTCAACTTCGGTTGGGGATTCGGGACGTTAGCGATCTCCAGCCATTTAGCCAATAACACGGCACATTCGAAGGAGCAGAGAGCGTATTGGTTGGACCATGAGACGACCAGTGTGCGTGCGACATAATTGATGCCCAGCTTTATTGGTGTGCTGAGTGCATGGGCACAATGTAGAGCGGCACGCGTCAACCGGTCACCTCGCTGTACTGAGAGGTTTTCTCGAAGAGATCGTGCTATTTCGTCTGGATCCCAAGTCTGTAGGCGACGTGCGGAACTAAAATCCGCATTCAGGCGAATGTATGCGAGGCGGAGAAGGGCCGTTGATGTAAATGATATGGGACCGTTAGGGTTGAAGGGATCTATCGAGGACTCTTGGTTGCGCTCCCAGCACTGGCACCAGTTTTCCAAGGCTTGTTCCAACGCTGAGATTTGCGCAGGGGATAGCGAGCTGCTGTTAGACAACGGAACCCGGCACGCCTTTTGGATGAGCCAGATTTTCTGGATGATGGCGTAAATCAGAACGTAGCCGCCAAGAGAAGTAAAGCTTTCGCATTCTCCCGTGCCCGGAGTTCGGGTAAACAAGGAGTTCAGAGCGACTTGCATTCGAGGACTTGCACGACCGTTTTCCCGTATCTCTAACCATTGGCTGGCACTGGTGGCTGTCCATTCCTTCTCAGTGCACGGCAGATCGAGCGTGATCTCCTCTGTCAAAATCATGGGCGGTAGGTCAAATACAATTGTGTGGATACCATAGAAACAGAACACGATCAACTTTGTCCGTTTCGCACTTTCATTCCGAATCCAGCTCTCCCATGTTCCGTCCTGACGCGGCAACTCATTCAACCCGTCTTTCCTAAGCAAAGTCTCCATAAGGCTGCGCATATAAAGGGCTTCGTGGTGAGGTGGATAATGCTCGAACCATGAGGAGACCGATATTAGCATTAGCAGAGATTGGACAGTCTCAAGAATATCCTGGCTTTGGTCGGTTGATGAGGCGCTATTGGGATGACAGTGGTTACCATTCCACTGAAGGTCTCGTCGAATATGCTCCAAAGTGACGGCCTTGGCGACTCGAAAAATGCTCATACTCGTATCATGCTCTCTGCAGTACTGGGCTCCCAGAGCCGCCATGGAGAGTATCAGGTGGGACGGGCATGACTCTGTGTCAAACGTAGGCATATGTAGGAAAGGGTAATGGTCATGGTATCCAGAGACGTACCCCGTCAGACACCGAGAAAGCGCATGTCGAGAAGGAATCGTTAGATCCGGAACCACGTTGGTATAGCGCTGGAGTTCATTGACAATTCGGTCGCGGCATTGCGTGGTAACCGCGATGGGAGCCTTGGGCGGACGGTTCCTGTACGGAGGATGTGATTCTTCAGGCTGCAATGACGGTAGCTGTGTTCCATGGCGTGGAAGCACAGAACCACGAGGTGTTACTGTCCCGTCATGGCCAATTGTCGAAGGATACTCCGACCCCGAGTCGAACTGGAGTGGAGGAAAGAGCGGTAGTGGCTGGTATGTTGGCGAGTATGGATGACTCGGCAGGGGAATGCTGTCTAGGAAAGACGTAAAGTCATCCCCTTCGTACGCGAAAGGCTCACTAAACGGGACCGGCTCGGCCTCTGATGTAGATGGGAATGACTCGTGCGCCGGGGACAAAATGTTTCGGTCGCCTCCACTGGCGGAAGAGAATGGATGATCTGCGACAGCGGAGGCTAACACGTTGAGACCATCAAACACCTCTTGAGGGGGTGCTGACGGAATTGACTCTGGGGTTGGCGCCACTGGAGGTGAACTATGGGCGAGACGCTCATGGCGCACCAGCAAATCCCTGAAGTAAATTTTGGTTAGCAAAGGGCAGTCGAAAAAAAAAAAGTCGAGGGACACACTTTCGCGTAAAGGACTTTGGGCATTTGTCGCAACCAAAGGGTTTCTCTTTGGTATCTAATCTCAGATTAGCAAAAGGATCAAACTGAATTTGCAGGATGTAATTGGATGAATACGTGATCGTTCATGGCGCTGGAGATGTTCCAGACGCGCAAATGGACGCGAACACCGCGCGCATTCGTATGTGCGCGTTGCTTTTCTGACCATTCCGACCGATGACTCTACCGCAACACCTATAGCCGCATGATCCAAAACGCTTGCATTATGCAGGTGATATCCTAGTACGAATCTAGATGGCGAGCGACAAGAGTAGGTGAGGTTGGACAAGCGCAAGGGACAGGTTCGGGAAGAAAGCCGTCGGATGCGGGGTATTTCCGAGCTTATACGGCTTTGGCCAATTGCACACGAGGCGTCAAGTTAGGGGTTATCTAGACTATCCTACAAGTTGGGAGTATTATGGTCTATTATCACTTGGTCATTATGTGGTGAAAACAGTATGTATAACTAACTTGATCTCATGTGGGCGTCACCTCACAATAGGCACGGGGATTAGGTAGAGGAATATATATGATGGGAGGCGCACCACGATGAAACTGCAAAGATGTTTCGCTAATCTTACTTGTTACCGAGACTGATTCTTCGAAATGATACCATTGTACCTCCCGCCTGATTGATACTGTCGAATACGATAGGAGTGCAGACGTTACAATGTATCTACAAGATTACGGTGTACGTTCTTGCTGCGAGTTGTTGTGATAGGGACAGCGACAATGAGACTGTCTCTAACCCATGAGCTGCCCTACTGAGCACTACATTCAGAGTAGCTGCAGGCGTGACGAAATCAATTGATCCCAGAAGATGGGCGCCGGTGCTTTCCCCCGCATTCAGGATACCGTAGGATTAGGCAATGATCAGTCAGGTTGCAGATCAACACCTTTAGCCCTTCCAAACTGCTGGACGTACCATAATATTGGTCTCCAGAAGAATGCAAAGCCAATACCCACGTCTTTGCCACATCTGCGAAGAAGATCGGCAATTCCATATTCGTTCGCGTGCGATTTCACGGGCTTGGCGGTGACTACGACTGTACTCCGTAGGTCCGACGATCCAGAGCACCTGGGACATATTTCAAGCATCTTCGACGAAGATACTCAGGTGTCAGCGGATCGAGGTCGGAAAGGCTGCATGGTTCGGAAACAGAGTGCAGCCCGTACTCTCAGTTGCTTGAGTGAGGGGAACGAAGGAGCATGCTCGACAACATGCAAGCTCATGACGGCAAGGTCCACCAGAGAAGGGTACACTCCAATATAGACGTGGATCTTCAAACTGCTGCACACGCGATAAAACCTGATCTGCCCGCCCGTTCGTAAGAAGCACATGTCGATCAAGAAACGCCGAGGTCGAAGCTTAGGCCAGACCCCTCGAAAACATATCAGGCGCATACCGCTCTAACTGGCTGATTATTATCATTGAATCGGAAATAATACCTTGATAGTGATTGCTGGCGATGCGCTGCTCGCCTGCTGCATGCAAGGGGCAAGCCACTGCTTGAGTCGGCCCGGGAGATAAGACTTTCTGAGATCTGATGACATTTTGCGTCGTCGGGTTTTAAACGGGAAAGGATCGCGAGAAATGAAGCAATCCGTCGTCATATTTTGTCAATCACTAGGAAAATGGTGAGTGATGATAATCGGACAGTAACCAAAGACGCGGGTGGAGACTCAGTATCTATTTACCCCGCCATTTCGACCGAAGGTCCCCAGATTGACATCGAGCCACGCGATTCCACGATTTCAGTTTGAGACTTTCTCCAGAAATCCAGTCGCTGCTGAACCTCCTTTCCGTTTTGCCTCAAATGTTGGGCGAAACAGGACCCGGGCCAGGATGATCGTGGGTGTGGATAAAGAGAAAGGATTTCGACTGGTTGCCTGGACGCCGCTGGTTGGCTTAGCGCTGGCGTGCGGCCATTCGACTCAGTTCCCCTGAGACGGTCTCTTCGAGTCTCCCTGATCCTCCATGGAACCCTGGAGGTCCGAGGTTCGTCGATCCTGTCGGCGGCGGGGATTCATATGCTTCGGTTTGTTTTCATGCGAGGGGCAGAAACTCAAGCTTACATTGCCATTAAATCGACTGCTGCGCCGCGCCGCAGTCTGACAACTTTCAGCTTCACAACTCTTCTCTTTTTCTCAATCCATCTTTTTCGACATCCTCTATCTCTTCTTCACCCTCCTTCCTTTGTATTATTATCATCACACACAATGGCTTATGTCGGTCACACCCCGCCTGGATGGCTTGGAAACCTCTCCGCGGAACAGGAGGCCAAGCTGCAGCAGATGTGGAACGTCGTCCTCGTGCTGCTAGACGCCGCTTCCCTGGGCGCACCCGAGCAGCCCACCGAGACCCAGAGCGGCGAAGCCGACAAGGCATCGCTCAAACGATCCGACACGATGGTCTCCGCCAGCGGAAAGGGAGCATTCACGGCGCAGCTGTCCCAAATTCTCAAAGAGACTGGCTTGACCGCCGCCGAAATCAAGTCCCTCAAGGACCTCCTGCAGGATATTACTGCCGATGAGCTGCGTGCCGGCCTGCTGAGCACGGCCAAGAACGATAACCCGGATGGTCTGCTTCTGCGATTCCTGCGCGCCCGCAAGTTCGATGTCGGCAAGTCGTTCAACATGATGCTGAGAGCGATGGTCTGGCGGATCAAGCAAGTTCAAGTTGACGAGAAGGTCTTGCTTAACAGTGAGCTGCAGGCTCTCCAGGAGTCAAAGAACAAGCTGAAGCCCCACGATGCCAAAGAAGCCGAGGATTTTCTTGCCCAAGTGCGCATGGGCAAGTGCTACCAGCACGGTGAGGATAAGCAGGGCCGCCCTGTCGGTATCGTGCAGGTGAAGCTCCACAAGCCCTCCGCTCAGAGCACCGAGGTCATCAACCGATACATTCTTCACATTATCGAGTCTACTCGCCTACTGCTCAGGCCTCCGGTCGACACAGTGGTAGGTCCGATTCATGCCCGTAATATAAGCTCTGCTGACAATTTAGACCATTTTATTCGACATGACCGGCTTCACCCTATCTAACATGGTATGCACCTTCTCCTCAACTACGCGAACAACAACTAACAACACTAGGAATACGCTCCTGTCAAATTCATCGTTGAGTGTTTCCAAGACAACTACCCCGAGTCCCTCGGAAACATGATCATCCACAACGCCCCCTGGGTTTTCTCCGGTGCGTCAGCCTTAGCCACCCTGTGTAACGGAAACATACCATCCCAAGAATCTCACTAACCAATGACGACAGGCATCTGGAAGATTATCAAAGGCTGGATGGACCCCGTGATTGTCGCCAAAGTCCACTTTACATACAACGTCAAAGACCTCAGCAAATTCATCGATATGGAGAAGCTGCCCAAGGCCGTCGGCGGCAAGGAGGACTGGACGTACGAATACAAGGAGCCCGTCGAGGGTGAGAATACTCTAATGGAAGACACCGCAACGAGGGATGCTCTGCAGGCAGAGCGCCTCAAGATCGGCGAGAAGCTCCTTCAGGAGACCTCGCAATGGATCAAGGCCGGTGGGCAGAAGAATGAGGACGAAGTCAAGGCTCACCAAGCCAAGCGCGATGAGCTTATCGAGGAGCTTCGCGTCAACTACTGGAAGATTGACCCGTATACCCGTGGGCGCAACGTCTTGGATCGCACGAATGTCATCCAGCACGGCGGAAAGATCGATTACTACCCCAGCAGCTCGGTGTCCGTGCAACCACCTGTGTTGGAGCTCAAGTCGTTGGAGATTGAGCACGTTGAGCGGAGTGAGGTCAAGGTGGCGACTTCTTAGGGAGTATTAGACGTGGCTTTAGATATACATGATGGTTTAAGATGCTATGATTCCCAATGAATTGAGTTTTGTTTAACATTGAAGTCGAGTGCTATTCTTGGAGTGTTATCAAGTGATATTCGCTCCATGGGTGTTTTTTCTGAGGATAATTTTCGGCCGTCCTAGATTCGATTTTCACATGGTCGCTCTTTCTTACTTTCATTTCTATTTTCTCAGTCCTCACCTGATTCAGGATGATTTTGCTAGATAATTGCCCTAATTTATGCACCCTTTACTACCTCGCCAGTTGGTACAGAGGTATCACGTGCCAAGACAGTCGATCGGCAGGCACTCGCATCTCCGGAACTTCCACAACCACTTTCAAGCTTGCGAGTTCTTGAATTATTCTCGTAGTTCGCAGGATCTGAATTTGCCGAAAATATCTTCATTGCTGACAGCGGAACAGCAACAGGGACGAGGAACAGAAGCCACCGTGCGATGGCATGCCAGAAATGCGACGTTTTACTGGAGCAGCTTGTCCTTCTCCATCCGAGATTCCACTCTTAATTTCCAACGACTCCAAAAACCAAGACATCCCGCTGCGCCAAGCAAAACAGAAGCAACGCAGAACCGGCTGACCTCATCATTCGTGGTTCGATACGGCTTAGAACCAGTTAAGCAAGGATCAACGTGGGAAGAGATAACGGTTGGATTGGCCCCTGGTTGGGCGCCCCAATCTCCGCAATTGAGAGCTTGGAAATGCGCAGCTCATGCATCCCAATCACAATTCCCGCTGACTGCATGTGTGGTTTTGCCAAGGGCAGACTATCTAAGATAACTTGAGAGCTATCCTTGTTGTCCCCCCAAGATCAGCAGAGCATAAATACCACGGCCATGGCGTCCCTGTCTCTCCGATTTTTCAATCGCGCCCTCCTGTGGAAGAAGAAATTGAGCCAGAATGCATGCTCTTTCGCTCCTCGTCGCGGCCGGCATTGCCGTCGCTGCTCCCGCTCCCGGCTGCAAGCCCCAGTACCCCGGGAAAATCACCAACATCCAGGTCGGCCCGCGCCCATTCTGGCTCGTCGACCAGATGGAGGACAGCGCGCTCAAGACCGAGCTCGCCGCCTGCTCCGAGAAGCCCATCCGCCATGCACCCTTCTTCTCCATCTCTCACCGCGGCGGCCCCGTGCAATTCCCCGAGCACAGTCGCGAAGGGCTCTACATGGGCGCGCGCATGGGCGCCGGTGTCCTCGAATGCGACGTGGCGTTCACGAGCGACCGCCAGCTCGTCTGCCGCCACTCGCAATGCGATCTCCACACGACAACCGACATTCTCCTGAAGCCCGAGCTCGCAGCGAAGTGCACCACACCTTTTACACCTGCGACAGCCGACTCCTCCGCGACAGCCAAGTGCTGCACGTCGGACATCACGCACGAGGAGTTCCTCTCCCTATGCGCGAAGATGGACTCGTCCAACCCCAACGCCACAACCCCCGAGGAATACCAATACGGCGGTCCCAGCTGGCGCACAACCCTCTACGACAACTGCGCGACAACAATCGACCACAAGACCTTCATCAACATCACCAACAGCCTCGGCCTACAATTCACACCTGAGCTCAAGACCCCCGAGGTCGAGATGCCCTTCCAGGGCGAGTACACACAGGAGATGTACGCGCAACAGCTCATCGACGAGTACAAGGAGGCAGGGATCAACCCCAAGCGCGTGTGGCCGCAGTCCTTCCTCGAGGATGACATCCTCTACTGGATCAAGGCCGAGCCCACCTTCGGAAAGCAGGCCGTTTACCTCGACCCCCGCGTCGATACGCCTGAGGGCTACGAAGTCGCTGTTGCGGCCATGGAAGATCTGTATGAGCAAGGCGTGCGCGTCATGGCGCCGCCGATCTTCGCTCTCTTGAACACCTCTGCTGACGGCGAGATCGTTCCTTCATCGTATGCGACGGCCGCCAAGGAGGCCGGCATGGATATCATCACCTGGTCGCTTGAGCGCTCGGGACCGCTGAAGCAGGCTGCCGCTGCGGGCGAGTACTACATTGCCACGATCGCGGATGTGATCAAGGGCGATGGCGACATGTACCGCATCGTCGATGCGCTGGCGCGCAAGGTCGGCGTCAAGGCTATCTTCTCCGACTGGCCTGCGACGGTGACCTACTACGCCAACTGCGTTGGTCTCGCATAGATAACGACCGCATTGTCGCGTAGAAGCGATGGGTATATATAATCGATATATAAAAGCAAGAGGAATGTATAATAATGAAATAATAGAAGAATAAACTTTCTCGCCACGACATGACATCACGACCTGCGTATATAAACCCCCCGCACCCGCGAAGCTCACCCCAGATTCACTAAAACACCACCAATCAATTAATCAGTACCATCTTCACGGAAAGAGAGAATCCACAATGTACGCCCTCGTCCTCAACTCCTTCAAAACAACCCCGGCCGTCCGCCGCATCCTCCCCTGCGCCTTCTACCACCCGGGCAAAAACCCCCTCATGAGCCCGCAGCAGCAGCAGCAGCAGCAGCCGCAGCAGCCGGGGTCGCCACAGGTGCACTCGACTTCCAAGGTCGACGACTTCTACATCAACTCGACGTACCCGGATGACTCGGAGACTCCGCCTACCATGACGCAGAAGAGGACCTCCATCCATGCGACGTCGCAGTGGCAGGAGACGAGGTCCACGCAGAGTGAGGCTGATGTATGTCGTTCGTTCCTTTCCTGGCCCTTATACTGGCTTTGGAGTGGAGGATGGCTGTAGGATAGGAGGTTGAAGAAGAGAGGAGAATAGAAATGCTAACGCGATTCTCTTCTACGATACAGGTAAAAGCAGACCGCGGCGAAGCAAAATCGCTGGACGATATCGTCGAGGCGGAACAGGAGCCGAGGCTCGATGAGATGTGAATTTGTTCCGTCTGGTTATCCTTGCGTCCTTCCTTCGTTCTCATTTAACGGCCTTCTCTACGATATTGTTCGTTTCCTTCTCTCTCCTCCTCTTCCTGCCGATTTCTTTTTTTGATACTTGTGACTTTAGGTCTTTCGCTTTGATGTGTTGTATTATTCTCTATATCGGGGTTTACTTCCTGAAAATAAAAGAGGTTTTTGTGTAGCTGTATATGCTGTATGGTGTTCAAGTCGGAGCTTGTACAGCATCAGTGTATATATACATGCTTCGTCCTCAAAACAGGACCTTTGTGGCTTAGGCTTTACTGCCGTGGACCTGGATCCTCTCCGACACGTCTCGATGTAGAGTGTGGGCAACACTAATATTTTGCTGTATACACTTTCTACGTGTTGACATCTTCCGACATATACAAGGAATATACTCAAAAAACGTACTGAAATTCAACAAAGCTCTAACCACCTAGTGACAAATCTCCAAACAAAATTAAACACAAACTGCCAGGAAAGATAACCAAGAAAGAACAAAAGATGAAAGTCACATATAAGATCAAGATCAACGTCAAGGAGAAGCAAATAACGCAGAGAGACTGCTGCAAACTGCCTTAGCAGGTCTGTTGAGCTGAAGGAAACCTGACATTTTTATCAACTAACCAACAAAAGACTCGCTCTGCCTGATGGTTTCTGCCGAAACAGGAATCCAGTCAACGTGCTGGTTGACAGTGCCATTGGTTAACACCTTTGTCCTGTTTCTGTTGACTATGAATCGATAGCGGACTCCAGGGCGTTTCCTGCTATTTCTCTGTTCCACTGGAACGAGAGCAGAGAAAGGCCCTCTGAGATACACCCCCTCCTCACCAGCGCCCCTCGATATAATTTCGAATTTGTGAATGTTCGCCTGATGCAACATCGTGTCGTAAGCTATCTTGAGGCCCCTGCCCCATGATCTTTTGATTTCGGTTTCGACTATAGTGGCGTTCTGGAACAGCCGAGTCCAGGCGTCGGCTCCTTCAATGTCCACGGCGGTACATGCTCGCAGCTCCGGCAGCTGGTATATACGAATGAATTCCGTAAAGACTGGTGTCAGCATGGCGGGTGACATCCAATGCCCGGTTTTGCCATCCTGAACCGGTGGGCGGAGGGCTCGACAAATGAACTCAACAACGTCTTCAACAGTATCGTTCTCCTGGGTCGTACTGTGGAATGTGGTCGGTTCAGCATCTGCCTCGGGCGCACGAAATTTGCAGACTATGAGATGTGTGGGCGTCGCCTGGAGAAACACCGCTTCATCTTTGAACCTGTGGCCTGTCAACGAGTCAGCAGTAGAACAAGAATTGGAACTCCCAGCAGATACTAACTGACGACACTCCTCGTATGGATAGCCTTCTGGATCAGATCCAAAATAGCTTGCCCTCTGTGATCATATCGGGCAGACACGAATTTCCGGCAAGGCTGGGCTTCGAAATATCCACTTGAACCGGCAAATATCACAATGTTGTTGAGGAGCTCCACGTGGCGCTGCGTCAGTTGCTCCCACTTAGTTGGCGCTCCTCCTTCTTGTCGCGAGTTGAACTTGAGAATCATATGGGGAACCTGCCACTCAAACGCACTAACAGACGGAATATCGCTAATGCTTCCTCCTCGTAACATGGCCTCTGAAAGGAGTTTACTGACCCAATTGTTGTTCAAAGGGTTTATGCTGATGTTGAGAGGCGACATAGGGAAAATATTCGCGAAAGCCTCTGCCAGGCCGGCTTTGGTGGCACCACGGTCGAGAAGCCGCCTTGCTGTCAAGGGCGATCCATAAGTCACGGCGTAATGGAAGGCTGTGGCGTTTCGATTATCTTTCACTGTGATGTCTGCACCCCGGTCTAGGAGCAGTTTCACTGGTAGGAACTCCCGACCAGCAGCAGCATGGTGCAAAACTGTGCATCCCTTCTCATCTCTTGCTGTGATATCCGCGTTATTATCAAGCAGGACGGTAATCGCATCCAGCGCTTCATCTGCCGATCCTGCAAGATGAAGCGGAGTCTTGCCTTCGCCGTTCCTAGCTTCAATATCGGCCCCGTTCTTGAGGAGCACCAAGATCACCTTCGATGAACCATTTCGCGCTGCTTCGTGGAGTGCAGTATCACCCTGCGAGGATCTAGTCTTGCTATCCATGCCCTTCGTCAGAAGCATTTGCACTATTCTGGAAGAACCCGCGCGCGCAGCTTCATGCAATGCCGTTCTCTGATTGTGGTCGGCAAGCTCTAGCTGTGTTCCCCGTGCCAAAAGGTCCGTTACGATCTCGATAGCGCCAGCGGCAGCAGCTTCGTGTAGTGCGGTCCTTCCATTGGTATCGCGAAGGCTTAGGTTTTGCTGGTGCCCCACCAGAGCTTGATAAACCTCCGTGCGGTTATATCCCGCGGCGTAATGCAGGGCAGTCCTGCCATCCTCGTCGACGGTGTCGTAGTCGGTCGAGCTGTCCAGCAATTCACGAACATCGGCGCCTACTTCTGCCGCGTAGTGGAGGGGTGTTTTGCCTTTACTGTCCATGGTATCCACTGCAGCGCCTGCCTTCAGAAGCTCCCTGAGAATTTCCGATGTGCAGTTGTGTTGAACTGCGTAATGAAGAGGCGTTTTGCCCTCGGCATCGGCGTTTCTTGCTGCTCCTTCGTCATGCAGCAGGATATCGCGTAGTGGCCGCACATTGGAGAAGCGAATCGCATAGGACAAGGGAGTCTCTCCGAATATGTCCACTTCGCGCTGGAACACGCCATGCTCTAAAAGATTATCGGCCCCCCACCCATACATGCCTGCATAATGGAGGGCTGTTCTCTCAAATTTATCGGTAATCTCGATAGTTCCGTCTGATCGGTTCAGTCGCTTTTTGCGTGTTGGCGGTTCAACTAACCCAGTTGTCCCAAATTGAGCTGCATAGAAAAGAGCAGACTTTTTGTTGTTGTCAATGCGGTTGTGCACGAGATCATGCTGGATAAGTGCATTGAGGACCTTGTTGGTAATTTCGACTCCATGCTCATCAGTAAGTGTCTCCTTCACCTTGTGGATGGGCAGCTTTCGATCACTGTCTGCCTTGTAAGGATCTGCGTCGTGGCGGAGAAGTAGTTGGACGAGTCTATCAGCATTCGGGTTGTATTTCATAGCATAGTGCAGGGCAGTGCTCCCCTGGGAGTCCCCAATATTGGTATCGCTCTCATTGTCGAGGAGAAGCTGGATTACGTTGATATTGGCATACCCATCGATTGCGTGGACAAGCGGAGTTTGATAACTGGGATTTTGGAGGTTGAGATCGGCTTCTTCTTTGAGAAGTAAATCGATCATGCTCACGGCATTGGGGCAGAAGACGGCAGTGTGTAGGGCCGTTTCGCCATCCGGGTTGGGATCGTTCACATCAGCGCCATGTCGGATCAGTGAGAGGGCAACCTGCACATTTCCGGCTTGGACTGCTCGATGGAACCTGCTCTGGACATTGTCGCGTTCCTGTGCTTTCCGCCTCTCCGCAAACGAGTCCCGGATGTTGGACTCGTTACAGTCCGGGGTGGTGTCCATAGTATCGATTCGTAGTCTGATGGTGCCGTTGTGTGACAAAGATTGCAAGTGTGTATATATACGAGGTGGGAATGGGCTTGGAGAGTAAGTTTAGAGAGGTCGAAGTCGGGGGCGAAGAGACGTCATAAGTATTAAGTAGAAGAGGGATACGGTCCAAAAAGCGCTTTGCAGTCATCCTTTGACGTCTTCTGCGGAAACCCATGTTGCTATAATCGGCATTCTTTGTTGTCGCTAATAAAGAATCGAGACGTCGTTCCCAGTGCCCTTGAACTCGATCGCAGAACAAAGGATTGCCTCAACCGGGGTCGACCCCATCGCGCCCGACCCAAGGAATCCTGTTGAAATGGAATCCGGTTCCATGATTCCAGAAAACCAGGGGTTCCTTTGTTGAATACCCCATTCGCTGAAACAAAATGGGGAGATGTGCCGTCCAAAGAGAAATTGGAAGCTCAACATATTCCTGAATCACCGCGGGCAACACTTCCGACATTCTGAATGGTGAGTTATAGACCTCTGGGCGATCCAGGGGTCGCAGTGGTGGTGCAGGAAGGGGAGAAAGCCAAAGCTGAAGCTTCAGCCTGGGAAGTTACGACTGTCTGCCTGCGGCGACAACAATGCAGGTGCCGTAATACGAGTACCGCTCAGACGGCACCTGCAGGAAGCCGACCTCAACTTGCGGGGTAACCTGGATAATGTTACGTATGGCTCCTGTATGCTCAATTACCGCCTTATTTAGGCTCGTTTACCATGACTGAGGTCCTGGCCTCTCAACACCAAGCGTCTGACAATGACTCCTTTGCTCTCCTTCCAGGCAATTGTGGAGCTATTTGTTGTCATAAGCCTGCGATAATTTCTTCTGCTTTTGATCTTGCCATGAGCTCACCCTCATTCGCTCCTTGGTCTCTTCTACTTCTCCGGGTACCTTTCCAAGCTGACAGCCCCCACTGCAAGGCTGACGACTATGCCGTCAAGAGACTTCCAAAGGGATCTAGCTCAGGCCTGCCTTCCCGGGGTCTTCTCCCGACTGAGTGATGTCAGAGCTGGAAGTGAGAGCGGGTCTTTCTACTTTACATATGCTACTCCCTCCAAAGCTCATACGATTGACGTTGAAGCAATAGTGATAGGTAAAGTAGCCTCGAGCGAGCGACTTCTAACTTTGGAACTGACTAGTCGCTCTAGATACGTCAGACTACCCCAAACACCACAATTACTTAGCGTTTGTCACGTCGTCAAATGTTCCCGATGTGGTTCCTATTATCCTTGAATCGTTGCAGTACGATGGGGCTTTTCGTGGCCTTGGTATCCATCGCTTCCTGAAAGCTATCACTGAGAGTCTGGATGAGGCAACGTTGGCCGAAGACAGCCAATGGCATTCTCCAGAGGAGGAGACTGATGAAGATGAACCATTCGATGAGATGGACTGGGAAGAGACTGGCCTCAAAGAATTTACCTCAGCCAATGTTACCATCAACGCCCGCGCCAGCATCCGTGACGATCTCCGCAAAGCCCGAGAGGCTGGCTTTCGTGTCGGTCACCTCGGGGATGTAGACGGGTGTATCATCTTGTCCGCCTCTTACCGCATCTCGAAACTTGGAATATCTCATGAGGCCATGGAGGCCTGGCGCGTTCGACCTTCCGAATATCTTGTGCTTCTAATTCGCTACCCGTCCGGGTACCGCCTATTGCCTGATATTATTCGCACTGGCCACTCGAGCGGCTCCAGTCTTATCCAACTATATGCCGGTCTCTGTGAGAGCTACAAACCCAGCCTTGCATCTGCGCAACAGATATTCCTGTCCGGGGAAGGAGTAAGACTAGCGGACCAAAATGCACCTACCAGCGTACATGGTATGGAGCCGGTCTTGAAATCTCTTTTCATCGGGAAGTCGCTGCAGTCCCTGCTGAATGATCGCTTTGTCAACCTGGTCAAACATCGCCTCGAACACGGCCTCTCATGGCCAGGGGCCGAGTTATACTTGAATGACGGCCAGGGGAGGCTTACCAACGCCGAGCGTACACAGAACCCAGAGTATCACAAGCTCGATAGTTGGCGTACGTCGCCGCCGGCCGTCGTTTCACAGGATCACTTGGCTGAGACCAAAAGCCAGTCGGAGATGTCACTGCTCCTGATTGCCATGCAATTTACACTCCGCCGCTTTGTCAAGTGTACTGAATTCTGTCTCAACTGCTACTGCAAGATTGATGCCGACTTTGAGGCCCTGAAACCCTACGTGTGCACAAAAAAGCTGTGTCTGTTTCAATACATCAATCTGGGCATGGGACCCAGCCTGGAATGGGAAATCTCATCACAGCCGTATGTGGTTGACCTCCTCATCAGCTTTGCTTATGCTAGGGCTCAGGCGTATAAGCTTGAAGACTTCCCCACTGGTCTCATGATCCAAGTCCCTAATACCGCAGCGAGGAATCAAGCAGAGCCTAGCGTTGAGATTCAAAAAGGGCAGTTGAAATCGATTCACGGCAAGCCATGTCTTCGGTTGCAGAATAGGCCTAGGATCGTTGAAGGCGATTGGGTTGTCCTGCTCACAACCATTGATAGACCGGGCATGAACACCGTCCCCCGGAAACTACACGCGCGAGTAGAGGATACGTCCAGCTGGCCCGAAATCATCCTCTCGGATTTGCTCCTCAACGGTGAACCGCTCCCAGTGAGTGAGGTGCTCACTGTTCCCGGTAAAGATAAAGTCTCCTTTGTGCTCTACGACACGGACTTTGAGTCGCTTTCCAATCAAGACAAAGCCGAAGCGCTAAACGCGCTCCTAAACACGCTGCCTACGGTTCCAGCCATGAAGGATTTCATTGAGCAGGGCCACGCTGGCCATCTCAGACCCCTGGCCGAATGGAAGCATCGAATACTCCCAGGGGCCTTACAGGTGCTTCAATGGATTGTTGGGTCGAACCGATCAGTAATCATGTATGATGACAACCCGCAGCACCAGGTGTCAGGAATGGATGGCTATCTCCAGTTTCGGTTTGCACAGGGAGCCCCTGACAAGGAACAGCTGTTTGTGTCGGCTGTGAGCAAAGCCGCGGCTCGACTAAAGCTCACGTATCCGACGCTCTTCGCCTGGCACGGGAGCGGACTAGCTAACTGGCACAGTATCGTTAGAGAGGGCCTTCATTACAAGTACGTCGCGCATGGCCGCAGTTACGGCAACGGTATCTACATGTCCCAGGATTTCAATACCTCATTAAGCTACACTGGTGCATACAGGACTCACGGCGTCGATACGACCAGCGTCTGGCAGCAGAGCCAGCTGAAATGCCAATTTGCGATCTCATTGAATGAAGTCGTCAACGCACCGGCAGAGTTCGTCTGCCACAACCCATGTCTAGTGGTACAAGATGTAGAGTGGGTCCAGCCACGGTATTTATTTGTCAAGTGTCATGGGGAGAAGCTGAACCGGCCAAAGTCCCAGCCCTTGTTGAATATTTATGCTCAGGACCCCAAACGCCCAGTGACAGGGTCATCGCACCCTAATGCTATTCAGATTCCCATATCAGCCATAAACAGCCACGGAGCTGCCAAATTGGCTAGTCAACAGCTGCCGGCGAAGGTAACGGCCAAGGACAAGTCGCCGAACAGCAAGAAAAGAGCCACTGGCACTGTTGACACTAACCCTATCATCATCTACGATACCGATGATGACGACGACGCGCACAGTATCGTAACACTCGCAGAGGATCGGGACCTCTTGCTCTCCGACGACGAAGAGACCACCGCCCCTACTGATGGAAAGTGGCCCGATACCAAGATGAAATTCGAGCCAGGCTCACTAGACCCAACCACGATCCAGCTTCTTGGTGAGCCAGCATACGCAACCTCTAGATCAACTCGCAGTCTTCAGAGGGAACTTAACGCCGCACGAAAAGCCCAAACCGAGCGCCCGCTTCACGAGCTAGGCTGGTATATCCACAGCGACATAATCCAGAACATGTACCAATGGATTGTGGAGCTACACAGCTTCGACAAGCATCTTCCCCTGGCACAAGACCTCGTGAAGGCCGGCTACTCCAGCGTCGTTATGGAAATCCGGTTCCCATCGGATTACCCTCTCTCCCCGCCATTCCTCCGGGTCATCCGGCCTCGCTTCCTACGGTACAGCGAAGGTGGTGGAGGCCATGTCACCGCAGGCGGCGCAATGTGCATGGAGCTCCTCACGAACTCGGGCTGGCTGGTCACCTCGTCGATTGAAAGTATCCTCCTGCAGGTCTGGATGGCGATCACCAATGAAGACCCTCGGCCCGCGCGGCTCGATAGGAGGTGCATGGGCAGCGAATATGGTGTCTTTGAGGCGATTTCGGAGTATAAGCGCGTGTGCAATGCTCACGGATGGAAGATCCCGAAAGATATCGATCAGATTCATTGGAAGTGATGGAATCTGCACCCTTCCTAGACGGATGACACCGTGGTTAGATGGGAATCTCTACTCATCTTCGGATTAGTTGCTCGCATATTTACAGATTGATCCTAGCGAATTTACTATGTACACCAGCAAAATTGAGCCCTCCACACACTTTCACAGACAATATAACTCGCAAACCCAGCCCCATCTCTATAGTCGCGCCTCCCCCTCCCTCTCCCTCTTCAGTCTCTCTCCCAGAAACCTCACATGCCCATAACCCCTCCACCCCACATTATGCAACGCCAACACAACCCTCTTCCTCCCAAAGTCCCTCGTATGATGATACGCATCATGGTCCTCAATACTCGCCCAACCGACATAAACAACATAACACCCATCGTGCCCATCAACAGGCTCAACAACCCACCCACCCGTGCACCCCAGACAGCCCTTGACATTCGGGACAATCGTCGTCCATAGTGCCCAGACTCTTTCCCAGCCGCTCCGCGATGTTGTCAGGTAGATTGCTGTTCCGGTTACGGGGGTATCAGACGAGGTTGTGCGGGGGTTTGACGTGAAGTTCGAGAGGAGGGCGTGAAGGACTGTCGGGTGGGAATCGGTCTCGTTGTATAGTGGTTCCAGGAGGGTTGTGAGTTTTTTCCAGTGCGGGGAGGAAAGGAAGGTGTAGTGGTGGTTTAGATGGTCTCGAGCTGTCCCCAAAGCACCTCGTTAGCAATGAATCCTCGAAATCCAAAGCTCAACCTCCCGAACCTAAAGTATCAATCTCACTCACCAACGTGAACCTGGACCTTCCCGGGCTCCTCAACCTGCCTTCCCCAACTCAACTTCCGGAACCCAGTCGAGCTCTCGAGGATATCCAGCGCGTGACTCCAGAGCTCTCCATCTGGTGAATTCGGATCATCGATCGTTGTCGATTCTTTGAAAGTGTATGTGATGATTTGCGTTGGAACTGCGGATGTGGGGGTGTCGAGCGGTGGGGAGGGGATTTCGTTTGCGAAATAGAGATGGGATGGGGGCTTCTTGTCGGTGGAGGGCCTTGAGGATATATTCGTTGGAACGTGCATTGTAAGTTTGGCTGGTTTGTGTTGCTTTGCGATATTCAGTGCACCGGAGATGGGAGTACGCGTGGTCGACGGAGTGGTCGGTGGAATGTCGCCGGAAGAGGATCAAAATCTGGGGTAGGTGAGAAAGAAGACATGGTGCCCGAGCAGGAGTTTGCTGGCTTTAGTTCTCCGCAGGATTTCTGGGGAGTTGGAGGAGACTTGTGCAGGTGGTTGGATGGCCGAGGAGCCGTCTGCCGAGGAGGGGTAGATGGATGGCAGGGAGGGGTTGATCGTGTCAAAGTTCGAGATAAAACTAAAAGGAAAAAAACTATAGTGATTGAGGTAAGAGAATAAATCTCTACTGACTCAAGAGCAAGATAAGTACACTAAACTACTACATTCAACACAGCGTAACAAGGAGACTACATCTTAGGGTTAAATCGACGCTTGAAGCCACCAAAGCCAGGAGCGCTATTCGGCTTGATTGCATTCTCATATGCCCAGTCCGTTAGTCCAATGGGATAGCTATCGAGCACGCGGTTAGTTGCTCTTCTGTCAAAAAATTCTGAAATGAATTCGTCTTACCAACTCTCCACCAAAATCGCCATCGTGTCGTCCGGCACACGCTCCGGACGGAGAACCTTCTTCATCGCATTCTCAGTCTCATGAGCCGACAGACCATGCGGGCTCAGGACATTGTGAAGCCCGCTCATGCCGTACATCGGCGGGGGAACGCGCGACAGATCGAATCCGCCGCTTATCACGGAGGAGAATTCGGACATGGTGTTGCGGTGGAAGTATGGAATTTGGAACGTATCTTCCATGACCATCCAACGGGGTCCGAGGACGAGGAAGTCGACTGCGGCGTGGTCGAGCTTGTCGGAGGGACAAGATAGAACGACGTAGATTGAGGGGTCCTGGGTTTGTTAGAACTTGTCGTGGTGTTGAGGTGGTATGGTGCTTACCTGGTGGTCGTAGAGCGTTGAGCCCATGGGCATAAATTTTCCTGCAAGGTTGGGTTAGCACAGGGCTCTTCCAACTGCATTTGGTACTTACCGAGATCGTATTTGAAGGGATAGTAAGTGCCATGCCACGCAACAGCGTTAAATGCACTCCCCTGCATCTCTGTCTTATGGACCTGACCACCAAACTTGGCAATGACTTCCGTGACCTCTTCGGTATCAACGTATTTAGCCTTCGGGATCTCGAAATCACGGACATTTGCCAACCCCAAAGACCCAATCGGCCCCAGCTCAGGAACATCATAATGTCCCGAGTATGCCTCGATAACGTGTCCACGAGACGGTCCATGAGGCAGCGCAACACGGAACCTGATCCCCCTAGGAACGACACAAATCTCCCTCGGCCTAACCCGCATATCGCCCATCTCAGTCTGAATATCCAACACTCCGATCTGCGGGACGATAAGCATGTCCCCATCAGCAGAGTAAAATGCCTGCTTCTGATCCATGCTAACACCGCAGGTGAAGAAGTAATACGCGACGCCGTTCTTAATCGTGGGATCCCCCGCTCCACCAATCATCTGTAGTCCACCGAGGAAGGTCTTATCTTCCTGGACTTCGGTAGGAGGCCAGATTAGCTGATCGGGGACAAAGTTGAGCTCAAAGTGTGGACGGTGGTTAAGCGGGTGCTCGGGGACTTTGCTCCATCCGGACTGGGCGGTTGATGGAAGGATTCTGTAGAGAAATGTCTGCTTGTTCACTGCGCGTTTCGCAGTGAAGGATGTTCCGCTGATGCGTTCGGGGTAGAGGCCCAGCGCGTGACGTTGCGGGAGACTTTGAGGCCTGGGGAGGGCATCCTTCACGGCTTCTGATCTGTTCGGTTGTCAGAAAGTTGTTATTTTTGTTGGATCAAGGGAGGGGAAAATACTCATGGTATGAATTCAGACAGGCGTGATATTCGAACGGATCCTCAACGTCGAATTTGGATGCGGGCATTCTGAAATAGCTCAGTCAGTGCCTTCAGAACAAACAATAAATGAGCTTAGAGACAAACTTGTTAGAAGGAAAGAAGCTCAAGTCAGCTGGATATACGTTTTCGCAGGCTCAAAAAAGCCGAGGGGCCGCTGACGAGGAACACTCGAGTCAGGCCCCATTCTTATAGCGAGAAAGCAACGGTTCGCTCAAGATCAAGCCTCCAATTCCGACCACGATAGCTTCGGAAATGAACCGCTCAGCTTCCTTCCCCGCATGATTTGCGCTTGCGGCAACGGCTTGTCTGGGCGGAATGGATGTGAGAGGATGAATGTGAGGGAGCTTGGAGCCGAGGAGTAGCGGGCTAGCGGGCACCAATGATGACAACTGAGATACACTCAGAATCCTTTGCTTGTGCCGAATCATAGCTCGACTAGCGAAGGGACTAAGAGGGTTAGTGTGAATTTTCTGGAAACAAGGCTGCTCGACCTCGGGAGTCTTCCAGAATAGATAGTGAGCTTAGCGGAAAGAAAAAGTACTACGCAATAATAGCTTGTCTGAAAGACGTCCAGTTCATATCTACTGCTCGGCGGCTAGTAGAGGTACGCTATGGTACATATGGTACAAAACAACTATCTAGAGATCGCGATAGGTACAACTCGTCCAAGACTTCTATGCAACATCTCACCACGTGCCCAAAAGCTCAGTCATGTCCCTCCCATCGACCGAAATCAACAACCTCAACAATCACAAAAGCAATCCAGCACCATCACGTTGACAGCGAACCGAGTTACTTTCCACCAAGACACTTGCCTGTCTTGCCGGCCGAGGCGTGGCAGAAGTGGCGAGGGCAGCAGTGCTTACCCTTGCCGCACTTCTTAGGGCACTTGTCCTTGGGCTTAGGCTTTCCACCGTTGAAGATGTCAGTGATGTCGGCGTAGTAGTAGAAGTCCTCCTAATTCGAGAAGTAATTCATTAGTATTGACTCGAATGACAAATGAAACGAAGAGAAAGATCAAGTGGTGTGTGGAAGGGTACTCACATCCTCAGCAATGAGGTCCTCTTCAATCAGGCTAGGCTGAACAAGTTCGCGCTGAATGCCAGCTTCATCGGTAATGACAGCAATAGGGGCGGCCGCTGTGGTGAAACCTTCACGAGACGCAAGACCTATGTAGCACAGGATATCAGATATGGCTTCGAGCAGGGCGACACTAAATGCGTGGCACTTACCGACAGCACGCTTCCCAGTAGCGGCATCTCCAACGGCAGCAAGGAGAGCCAGAGAGAGAAGGGTGGAAAAGACGTGCATCTTGACTGCTGTCAGAGGAATTGTTTGTAGCGGATTCGAGATAGCTAGAAGCCGAAGGTAGCAAGTATGCAGCAGAGGTAGAAGAGAGAGGAGGGGTTTGGTGAGAGGAAGGAGAGGAAGAAAGAAGAAGAAAACAAGTGTGCGAGGTCAGTTGATTTATAGACAAGCGAAGTGGAAAAGATCACGCCTTGTCCTAAATCCTAGGCATGCAAATATACTGGTTGTAGTCAAGGTGCTGGTGAATGAAGTCACACAGCTAGCCAGTCAACGTACGAAACACAGACATGTCTGCCTCGATGTCTCCACTCCTAAAGTTTGCGCAGGTATCTACCTGCAGCAGGATATTACCAGGTGATCTTGGGGAGTAAAGCCGACATTATGACTTAGACAGTGATTGGCTAAAAGCTTTGTTACTGCTAAATCATGCAGCAGGGCACTGGCTAACAAAGAATTGATAGCAGATCACCCCCTCCAGACAGGTGCCAAGCGAGCTCAGAAGCGAGTGCCAGAAGAGGGGCAACGCCTGGGGTCAATGGGTGAGATCATAGTGGAAAGGCATGCAGCTTCCAACCTCTCCGGCGAAAACAGGGGCGAGCCAGCTGCGAAATCACCAAGAAGGGGGCCAACCGACAAGCACTCGCCAGAGTAGAGAGATATGGTATTGGTCAGACACGGCATCAACATAGACTGGTTGGACGCTTCAGAAGTGGTTTGACGCCGTACAAGATATAGCTGGAATGCTCAAACTCCCTTATATTCGGGTATTCGTAAAAGCCTTATATGCTTAGATCCTATTCAAACGGTCATAGACAACAAAACAAGCCATGCTACCCTGCAAAAACTCATAAATACGCCAGAGAAGCGACTTCACACCGGGATTGCCCCGTGTCTGCCAACCGAGAGCCGGTTGCAATCGCAGGTATCGAGTACCTTCCGCCGCCAAATGCCCAATAATGTACATATAAAACAACAAGCGCGGCATCCACCAAGAGCGATGGTGGGCACAATCCAGTGAACGAGAAGCTCTTTGGCCGGCGCTCACATATCTAGGATCACGATGAGAAACATTCGTGGGACTCTCTCGGGCGATTTTCCCACCTACTCCGCGATGAACCTTATGTTTCCAACGCCATATCTTCAAGGTGTTCCGGCTCCCTGCTCAGATGGCCCCGCACGCTCAGCCTTCTGCCGTTCGTACTCTTGCCTGGCACGGGCATACTCCGCGCGTCTCTGGTCTTTCCGTTCATATTCGAGAACTTCAGGGCCGTTGTCCGAAGCCCAGAGTTCGAGATAGTCCTCGGCCTGGAAGCCCTTCTCAACGCTGACGGTCTTTCCATTTCTTTGTATCTCCTTGAAGTATTTGCTCTTCGTAGGCGGCATAAGTTTCGTCACGAATGGGGTAAGCTGTATTTCAACTCGGATCAGTCCCAATTCAGCAAAAATAATGTCACAAATCGGTAGCGGCAAGTAGCACACCTTGAAATCAGCCAGATTCTCAGGCACGTTGTATGTGCGGACCTTCTTCCAGTCGATAATGTATGATCCGTTCTTTGCGAAATAACCCATCGAACCGGTTCTGTTTCCCTTGTAGTAGCCGCCATTGACCTGTTTCGTTGTCAAGCGCAGGCGCGCCATCATCGGCTGTGTAGGTCTAACCATCTTGAGAAAGCGAGATGGCTAGATAAAGTCTGTGATCCTCCGTTGTCGTCCTCGTTGGCTTGCGGAGGAAGAGGTGGAAAGTCGCAGTTGGCTCGGCGTCGCAGCTCTCCGCCTTTGCCAAGACATTTTTTTTTCTGCCGCGATAAGAAAAAATTACTGCACAACAGAAGCTGTCCGCAAGCTCTTGTCATTTTCGATTACTAGGGGCTCTTGCGTTCTCTTTTCGCTGCGCCTTTCTTAATTGATTTGGCGTCAATATGCCACGCAAGCAGACTCAGCAGCGCGGTCCTCGCGACGACGATGCGTCTCAAAAGAAGAAGCAGACTGCAACAAAGAGGAGATCCGGAAAGATTCTGAACGCCCTCTCCATCGCCGAGCGAGAAAATCCACAGAGATACAAGATCCGAAGAAGTCGGCTAGGCGATGACGCCGACTACTTCAAGCGCAAGCGGAATGAAGACTCCGACGAGCCAGATAACAAGCGCCGCCGGACGGGCGATGATTCCGACGACGACGGAGAAGATTCGGGTGCGGGCAGCGATGGAGAAGGTCCCCGGTGGAAGATAGGAGTAGCCAGTGACAATGATAGCGAGCTGGATAGTGATGAGGCTATGGGCTCGAGTGACGAAGAGAGGTTTGAGGGGTTCACTTTTCGGGGAAGCTCAACATACAAAGACAAGCCGAAGCCAAAACCTCAAAAGCCGAAACGTGAGCCCGAGGTCAATTTGTCTGAAGGTGAAGACGAGTCCGATGCAGATGAGGATATGGACGAGGACGAGGACGACCTTGGAGAGGACGCAATCGATCTGGTAGCCGCTTGGGATATGAACGTCGCGGAGGAGGAAGCGGAAGCCAAGAAAACAGCGGCCAAATCGAAGAAGCGTGCTGAGATCGAAGATTCTGACGAAGACATATCCGGAAGCGAAGGAGACAGCGAAGAAGATGAAAGCGAATCCGACGATGAGAACGAAGGATCCGAGCTATCAGTGAGCGACGACGAGGAAGGAAATACCGACGGTCTTTCAAAACTACAAAGTTTCGTGGACTCTATGACGACAACGGCTGCTTCCAAGGCTACGAAAAAGACGAAAAGCGGACAGGAGCATCTCAACCCCACGGAGTTCGGATTAACAGCTACGCGGAAACTTACTGTCGCGGACCTTCTCCCATCCGTTACTGACTCACGCCTCAAGAACTCGCTCAAGCATGTTGACACTGCAGTATCCGCCCCAAAAACCACCTCAGGAATTCCGGGAAAGCTGGATGCACCCCTTGCCAAACGCCAACAGGGCCGTATTGAACGCGCCGCAGCCTATGAGAAGAGCAAAGAAACTCTTGGCCGTTGGCTTGAGACCGTTAAGGCCAACCGCAGGGCTGAGCACCTGGTGTTCCCCCTGCCAGATCCCGATGCACAAGTGTCTCACCGCATTGGCGTGGTTGAGCCAAAGACTGACCTGGAGAGTACAATTCAGAATATCTTGGTCGAGAGTGGTCTCGCCGACGCCCAGGGTAAATCTGCTGAAGGCCAAGTCCAAGAATTTGAGGAATTACAAGCGCGCCAACTGCCTATTGAGGAGATTCGAGCCCGACGAGCCGAGCTGCGCAAACACCGTGACCTGATGTTCCGCGAGGAAGTACGAGCTAAGCGGATCAAGAAGATCAAAAGCAAGTCCTACCGCCGTGTCCATCGAAAAGAGCAAGAGAGATTGGAGCAGAAAGAACGGCAAGCTCTTTTGGAGGCTGGCGTCGACCTGGAGGAGCAGGACCGAGAGGCCAATGAGCGGCGGAGGGCCGAGGCTCGCATGGGCTCCAAGCACAAGGAAAGCAAGTGGGCAAAGAGTCTGAAGCAAACCGGTCGAACAGCGTGGGACGAGGACGCTCGCCATGGTGCTGTGGAGCTTGCGCAGCGGGAGGAGGAATTACGACAGCGCATTGAAGGCAAGCGTGTGACCAGGGGCGAGGATGAGGACTACCTTGGGTCCAGCTCCGAGTCTGAGTCCGAGAACGAAAACCCATGGGAGGAGCAGGATTCCGATTCCGAGAAGCGCAAGCTCCTCAAGAAGCTCAATAAGCTTGAAGGAGCAGCTGAGGCGGACCAGGAGGCCAAGGGCCCCTATGCTAAGCTGCTATCCCTGAAGTTTATGCAAAACGCTGACGCTGCCCGCAAAGAGGAAAACGACGCTGAGATCCGCCGTCTAAACCGTGAGCTGCAAGGAGGCGAAGAATCCCAGTCTGAGGCCGAGTCTGAGGTCGGCCGCAGGAAGTTTGGCCACTCCGACAAGAAGACTGAAAAGGACAATTCTAAGAAGCAGACCACCCGCAATGAGTTTGAGGAAGTGCCTGGGTCAGATGAAGAGCCTGAACATGATGCCGATCAACAGCTTGAGCCCAAGCCCAGCACCCCCAAGAAAACATCGCAACCGAACAAGAAACCAAACGCCAAACCTCTCGCTCGTGCAAATAAGGAAGTTCCGGCGCAGAACGAGTCGGAGGGCGAGGAGGAGAACCCTTGGCTTGTCCAAACGTCCGGAAAGAATCGTCGCTCGAAAGCGGACGACTCCCAACAAACGGTTGACATAACTCCAGTTGGCCCGGAGCCCACAAAATCCAGCTCCAAGAAGACTGCCGCAGTCTCAAAAGCCAAGACGTCCACACCGCTGTTACGTGATACCCATGCCGAATCCGACAGCGACGACGAGGCTAACGTGCCGGTGCTGCTCAAGAACCACGATCTCGTGCAGAGAGCATTCGCCGGTGACGAGGTTGTGCAGGCATTCGAACAGGAGAAGCTCGACACCGTCAAAGAAGAGGGCGACCAAGTGATCGATGAGACACTTCCCGGCTGGGGCAGCTGGACAGGAGACGGTGTCAGCAAGAAGCAGAAAAAGCGCCAGAAGCGGGTCTTGACTACGGTCGAGGGCGTTAAGCCCGAACAGCGCAAGGACGCTAAACTTTCCCGTGTCATCATCAATGAGAAACGCATCAAAAAGGTAAAAAGGACATCCTCCCTCCAAGCTTCTTTTGATTGGCTGACCAATCATTCTCTTTCGTGTGCAGAACAACAAGTATCTCGCAACCCAACTCCCTCATATGTACGAAACGAAGCAACAGTACGAGAGGTCTCTCCGCATCCCCATCGGCCCCGAGTGGTCTACGAAGGAATCTTTCAACGCAGCCACCAAGCCTCGCGTTATTATCAAGCAGGGTGTCATCAAGCCGATGGAGAAGCCCATGGTTTAGCTGCGCTTCGGCTGCTGGTCAGTTGCTGGCATGGAATAATGTATATAGACTATTGTCATCTTGGGGCTTTTGCAGACATTTTGCTCATAACGAGCCGGAGTTATACTGTCTCGGAAAAAGTAGGAATGAAGAAATCCACCAGGATAAAGGCTATCCGTGTCAAATGTAAGCGACGTTTGGTTTCCGCAACTTGTAAACTTGGTCCCAAGGATGGCCTTGTATACATTCCTCATTGGGTTCTTTTTTCAACGTGACCAGGGCTATCTAGACCTAAAATCAACCTGTAAAGGGAAATTTTGCTGCTTATTTGAGACTAGCGTGGGGGGTCCAAAGCAAAACCCTGCAAAAGTGCAGCTCCCCGCCCCCACGCCTGTGTGTCCTCCCACGCTCCCCCACATCCCTTTGCATTTGATAATTCCATGCTTGCTCCGAGTCCGTCGTCTCCCGATCTTTCCCATAGCCCACGGATTGTCTAAAAATTGGAAAAAGAAGTCGGGAGTAGTCTTAATTGCACAATTCTGTACGGCAATGCTCCTTACCGCCCGAAAATTGATCGATATGGCCTGGAGAAATTACAGCGGGCACAGGAGGGTTCGGCTTGACGCCGTATCTCGGCTCGAGAAAAGACTGGCAAGGCCGAAGAATAGCCAGACGCTAGACCAGGACGCCGAGCATTTCGGCCTCCCAGTGGCCCCTGAATCTCCGTAATCCCCGGCAAACGGGTTACATCCCACGCCATATCCCCACTCCCATGCCAGTCGAGATACCGTCTCACGCGACGAAACGTCACAGCGAGCACCATATGGCAACCGAAATCAAGTCCCGGAAACTGGTCTCTGATAATCTGGAGATCCGATTGGGGGCGGGGTGAATTTCGGTCCACTCGAACCCCATACCTCCGGAGTAGTATTCCAGAACCGGCAAGCCGAACGGTCCACGGTACCACCTGTTGATTCGTGGTTTGTCGTGGTTTGATGGAAACGCACAGAGCCATGATTCTGTTGGGGGGAAACAATTAACCCATAAAACCCTACGAAATACCCCACGGGGATTACTCCTCAGAGAAAACTTGACTTCTTTTCTTCTTTCCATCTCTCAAGCCATGGCGGACGAAGTCTCGAAGACCGGCTCTGATGCCGCCCAGATCGAGAAGCAAACTGTCGAGACGATCGAAAAGCCCAATGCCAGGGGTGCTGCTGCAGCCATGGACCCGGAAACGAGGGTCCGGGTAGAGAAGAGCCTGAAGCGCAAGCTCGATGCTCGCTGCTCCCTCTTCATTCTCATCTACATCATGAACTACTTGGATCGCAACAACATCGCCGCTGCTCGCCTCAAGGGTCTTCAAGACGATTTGGACCTGAACTACAGTGAATACGCCACCTGCCTCAGCATTCTCTATGTTGGCTACATCCTGATGCAGGTCCCTTCCAACATCTTCATTAACCGAATCTCCCGGCCCTCTCTCTACATTTCGGCCGTCATGCTCCTCTGGGGTCTGATCTCGACACTGTCCGGTGTCGTTCACAATTTTGCGGGAATGGTTTCCATCCGATTCTTCCTTGGGTTCGTCGAGGCTGCTTTCCTCCCTGGTGCCCTCATGATCCTATCGAAATGGTACACTCGCCGAGAGCTCACTACACGGAATGCCCTTCTGTTCTGTGGAAATCTCATCTCCAATGCCTTCTCTGCTCTCGTGGGAGCCGGAGTTCTGTCCAACATGCAGAATGTTCTTGGTCACGCTGCCTGGCGCTGGCTCTTCTGGAGTATGTTCTCTGTTCTTCTCACCATACGCAGCTTACTGACAATATCGTCTTCCAGTTGAGGGTGCCGCCACAATGGCTATTGCTATTTCTGCAGCATTCATCCTCCCTGATCTGCCTACCAACACTCGCGGCTTCACGAAGGAAGAACTCGAAGTTGCTCAGCTCCGAATGACCGAGGATGTCGGTGAGGCTGATATTGATGCCGAAGAGCAAGGGCCTTGGGATGGCCTGTTCATGGCTGTGAAGGACTTCAAGATCTATATCATGATGATCACTTTCACTGCTTATGTTGTCGGCCTTTCGTTCAACGCCTTCTTCGTAAGTTATCCGCATCGTCATAGACGCTCACTCTCTAACGTCAAGCCCAGCCTACTCTTACCGGAACTCTCGGGTTCGGTTACGTCCCGACCCTTCTCATGAGTGCTCCCCCATGGGTCTTCTCCTGCCTCTTCTCTCTGTGTGTCGCCTGGAGCTCTGACCGCTACCAAGAGAAGGTTTGTCAACCGCTATAAGTGATTGTAATTTCTGTGGCTCACACTCTCTAGTTCTGGCACATCGTTGGCCCCATCTGCGTCGGCCTCGTCGGCTTCATCATCAGCATGTCGACCTTGAACGTCGCTGCCCGCTATGTCGCTCTCTTCCTCCAAGCCGCTTCTTATGCTGGGTAAGCCCTTGTCTCCACTCCAGCGTCGCTTTGCACCAAACTAACAAGCTCAGGTTCATCGTCTTCTACTCCTGGATCAGTTCATCCTTCCCTCGCCCGCCCGCCAAGCGTGCCGTCGCCATTGCCATGATCAACGCGTTCAGTCAGCTCGGAAACGTGGCTGGCTCGTACGTTTGGGATCTGGAGGCGAACGGCTTCCGCCAGAGCTACGGCATTGTCACGGCGATGTTCGGAATTACTATTGTCGGATGTTTCTACTTCCGTCTCGTGCTCTCCAGGCTCAACAAAAAGCTCGAGGAGCAGGATGCCGTGCCGGAGGTTGCGCATCACGCTGTTGATGATCCGGATGAGAGCTTGAGGATGCAGAAGGGATTCAGGTACCTTGTTTAAGGTTTCCGATAGGGTTATATTACCTTTGTTAGTCAGTGACTTGGTAGAGCTTGGATGCGTCTGGGAACGCATGGTATGGAATTTACGGCCGAAAAGTATAGCTATGACGGCTTGAATACTATTGGAATTCTACATGCTCATATAACTTGGGTGTTTGCTACCGATTCGACTGCATCCATTCTCGCAAATACTGAAATCAAGGTATCATGACACCAAGTCATCCATCCTCGGAAATTTCCAGATACTAGATCCCTGCTGGTTGGTCATTCCGGGGGTGCGACCGAATAAATGTTGATTTTGCGGAGATGACCAGGTCTGCTGAGGAAGCGCGGGGCATAAACGCGACCAGCCACTGTAACCTCGATTGAACCTCAGTCTTACCCCACCCTCCTTGATCGCGACCACATGGTTCGCATGAGGTTTTATCTCGCTTTATCTGATACAACAGTATGCGGTCTGAGTTTATCTCGTTGCGGGGCATTCGTCGCCCAGCGGAGCGTCCAAGCTTCAAGGCGCATTCCTGGCGCCGTTTCTATCGAGATGGACGATAAACAATGAAGATCCCGAAGTCAAATCGGGTGCGTTCAGGTCATGCTGGGAACTGGCAAAGCCTTGTCAATGAGTATTTCCTCTTGGCTTGCTTGTCTGGTACTGAGCGAGAATCGTGAACTGGGGGTATTTTAGCTGCCTGTTCTGCTACTCTGCTCCACATCTTTTTCTCTCGACCTGCGTCATTGCAACTTCTATCCTCTCAATTACTCTCAACATCGCGATACACACATTGCAGTTCCCTTATCAGACGATTCGGTCAGTCACTCATTGTGAGTTGCCCTTGTCGATCCCCTTTGCAGGCTCGTGGCCTCAAGGCTCAGGCCCTGAGCATGGAGCAACCCACATTCCAGTCCCTCCAGGAGCCATCCGCAGTCCTACATTCTAATTACCATCGCGGTTATTTGTTTTGACTCGAGACTCATCTCTACATAGATCCACATTCTCGTGATACGTTGCAATCTGCCGACTTCGTACGCCCATCGAGTGCAGCATAGTCCTGCGCAGGACGGCCGAGATTCCCATCAGCCGTGCCTGGAATCTGTTGACATTCGAGTCGGGTGAGCTATTTGTCTTTTATTCACCATGTCGATCTTTTTTGTTCTGTCTCTGTCCTGTCCTTCACGCCAGGCCACCTGCTCTTCTCTCGTTCGCTCTCTACCTCTGGGTTATTCTTCACGGTTCCCATCACGCTCTTTTGCAGGCTGCCTGTCATTTCAGCTATTGTCTTGGATCACGGCCTATCTTCTATTTATTGGATTGGGCTGTTACAGAGCCATTCATTCTTTGATCTTTTTCGAGGGCAGAATAATAGCTGCTCAGATGGGATTGAAAATTCACCTTAATCTCTAATCTTCACCACGGCACTCGTTATAAACCGAGTCTGCTTCTTGTGATTTTGTCCTTTTGTTGCATACCCAACATTCAAGATGCAGGCATTATCTAAGGAGAGCATGTTGACAATGCTAATATGGCTGCTTGCCGCAAAGACAGTGCTCTCTGCCCCAGCTCCCACCCAAGCAACCAGCGCCTCGGAGATAACACAACACCCTCCCTCTATCCAAGGCGCTAGACTGCTGCCACCCGAGACACAAGGTGTAAGTTGACCAAGATTTCATTGGGCTATACCTGTGCTGACCCGAGACAGGTCTATCATACTGCACTTGAACGCGAAGGCCACGAATTGCAACTGCCCGTGCGAACAAAGGAGTCGACCGGGCCTTTTGGATTAGATGGTCTTCTCGATACCCTAGGCAGCCCTGGTTCTCTGCTTGATTGGCTACTCCCCGGTCAGATTACACCGCCAGACACTCCAGCTGAGCCGTCACCTGAGGCCGCAGCTGTTCCTTCTTATACTGCTTCGGGTCTCTCGTCTACGCCTACAACCTTTGTCAGTTCGACTTCAACTCAGAGCATTATCGACAGTCCCATTTCGTCTACTTCGACCGCTTCGGATCTCTCGTCTACGCCTACAACCTTTGTCAGATCGACTTCAACTCAGAGCATTATCGACAGTCCCATTTCATCTACATCGGAAATTCATTCCGCTGCTGATATTACTACCAGCCTGAAGCCTGACTCGCCGGCAAGCACATTCGTAGTCCAAGCCCCTCAAGGTCCGTGAATGCAGCCCAAACATGCGGTCATCCTTCCTAACAGTTACGTGACCAGATCCCGCCCCAATGGTCAACCAAGACGCATTCGTGCCAGTAGGCACTGGCCCGATTCCCGCTGTAATCGCATCCCGAGATGACCACCCGGTGGCTAAGAACGGAGTCGTGAGTACTCTTATCAGCTCTGTCAACTGGTCTAACTTCGACAGGACTCGTCAGACCCTATCGAGACGAACAAGTTCCACAGCGCGCTGTTTCTTGGAAGCCAAACGAATGCCACTTTTACTCACCCCTACTCGCTAGCATGGGCAAAAGGAAGCGGAAACCTGGGAAGCTTCGGAATGTCCGTCTCGCACGTTGAACCGCATCTGCTTGCCTATGGCCCCACAAGCTCGCTTCCAGGGAACCCAGTCGCGTATTATATCAATCCCATTGGGATTCAATCGATCATTCTGTCTGCAGCGGAACTTTCTTATTCTACGACACTAACTGCTGAGAATGTCAAGCCATTTTCAGCAGACGCTGTCCTGCGTCCTGAGGCCGATTCTTCCCAGAAGATCACCATTCCTGTTGTGCAGGGCATGGGATACGTCACTGGAGTCTACGATGAGCTTCAGCCTGTGGTTCAGAGTGCCGTTCATTTCCGCCAAGTTGTTACTGCCGGTTCGCCCAAAGCCGGAATCTTCAAATACCGTGCTACTCTTGAGGATGGCGCTATCTGGCTCATTTATGTGACTCCACAGGATGGCCAGGATCCAAATCTGCAGCTGGTCTCGACTACCGATCTACGCGGTCCGGCGGACTGGTCAGGTACTATTCAAGTCGCAAAGAACCCCGCTGGCTCTTCTGGAGAAAGCCTCTATGACAACTCGTCCGGTGTCTTCCCCGTCGAGGCCGTCGTTTCCGGCGCAGTCAACGACCGTACTGGCACTTACCGTCTCTCCTGGGGTAAGGCCGGCAAGGACGTCCAGAGCACGCCTCTTATGATGTTCGCCCTCCCTCACCATGTCGAAGCGTTCGACTCGCAGACCAGTAGTCGCGCGGTCAATATCACTCTACGAACCACCACCAAGGGAGCCGCAAGAGCAGTCATTGGCGAATACTGGACTATGACCGAACCCGATCTCCCAACAACCATGGACTTTGCGCCCTGGAGCATCGCATCCGGCAGCTCTCCTCAACTTTCTCAAGCCGCTCAAGGAGTCATCAGAGGCGCCGCCGCGACGGAGCTACAACAGGACATCGACGCCCAAAGCAACCTGAACAGCATGTACTACAGCGGCAAGGCGCTCAGCAAATTCGCAACCATCATCTACACGGTGGACAAGCTCCTAAATGACCGCGCCACCGCCGCGCCTGCTCTTGAGAGACTAAAGCAAGCCTTTGCCCGCTTCACTCAAAACAGACAGCAGTACCCGCTAGTGTACGACACCGTCTGGAAAGGTGTGGTGTCCTCAGCCAGCTACGGTGGTGATGTCGGTGCCGACTTTGGCAACACGCTGTACAACGACCACCATTTCCACTACGGGTACTTTATCCACGCCGCTGCTATCATCGGAAGCCTCGATCCGAGCTGGGTTGGCCCCAACAGGGACTGGGTCAATATGCTCGTCCGGGATGCCGGAAATGCCGCAGCGAATGATCCGTTGTTCCCGTTCTCGCGCTCCTTCGATTGGTATCATGGGCACTCATGGGCCAAGGGCCTTTTTGAGTCGTTTGACGGCAAGGACGAGGAGTCGTCATCGGAAGATGTCATGTTTGCCTATGCGCTTAAGATGTGGGGGAAGACGAGCGGCGATGCGAGCATGGAGGCTCGGGGAAATCTTATGCTGGGAATCTTGCGGAGGAGCTTGCGCAATTATTTCCTCATGGAGAGTGACAATGCGAACCACCCGTCTAACTTTATTGCCAACAAGGTGACAGGAATTGTACGTTGCTTCCCTACTCTATCCCACTATTCAAAGGAGCATCATTAACAAATCCAGCTCTTCGAAAACAAAGTCGACCACACAACCTACTTTGGCAACAACCTCGAATACATCCAAGGGTACGGCGTCACTCACTACTATCACCCCTTACATCAACAGAACCCCAACTAACCACTCATACCTAGAATCCACATGCTCCCCCTCCTCCCATCAAGCACCTACACCCGCAGCCAGGAATTCGTGCGCGAAGAATGGGACGCCATCTTCGCATCCAACGCGGCCGCCCCCGCAGAGGGAGTCACCGGCGGCTGGAAGGGCGTGCTCTACGCCAACTTAGCGCTTATCGACCCCGCTGCGTCCTGGCGGTTCTTTGCCCAGGATGGCTTTGACTACGGCTGGATCGACGGCGGTGCCTCACGCACGTGGTATCTTGCTTTTGCTGCTGGTAAGTTCTCTGCCTCCAACTTCGGCCCTCAACTCAGCGGGCCTGGTCTGGGTAATCGGCTTGCTGATGGGTTCAAATAGGTCTCGGCGGCGCATAGATTTGTCTTGTTCTGGAAATGAGAAGAAGGCAGCGAGTTCTGCGTCCTCTCTTTACTATCGATCTAGATGATGATTCCCCTACTTGATTTCTCTCAAGAATTCTTCTGCTTACACGCGACATGATATCTCTCTCGTTTGCATGTGTACCCAACTGTATCTCAGGTGGACGGTTTCTTGCAGATTTTTTTCCTTTCGTTCTCTCGTAGAATACATTCGCTAATACACCGCGTTGCTTTGCTTCTTCTTGGCTACTCCAATTTTCGGGCCTCTATTACTTGAGATTCATTTTGCGTCTGAGTACTCTGTACTGTACAAATGTCTGAGTACAGCCTCAGCTTTCTTCAGCAGTCAGAAACCTACTAATACTACTCCGGAGTAGTAAAGAATAGTCAGCATCGCTCTTTCAAAAGTAATCTCTTACGCTGCCTCAAAAATTCCGTAAAGGCTGACGTCACGCATGGTGTGGCTTGCGCGGCCGGAAGATATACACGGAAGAGTACATGCGGATTGCGGACTATCGGCGGAGTATTTTGTGGCTGGAAGGCGCGGAGTCGCTGGCATTTCTTGCGACTTACGCAGCTGACCCTAATCAAGGCACTCGAATGAGGCGCGCCGCAATTGTCTTACGAAAGATAAGATTCGGACATCGAGTCCTCCATGTTCATAGTGCGGGAAAACGACCTGAGGCATTTTCCCTCTATGTAAGCGACCCCAGCCACGATTGCTTCCAAGAAGTAGATGTCGAAGGGCTTGGGGGAACAAACGCGAGAACGTGGCCTGCGCTGCGGGCCTGGCTTGCGGCTGCATGGTACGCTGCGTTGTCAAGTGAGACCACTCGTCACTCTGGATCGTGACTCGTGTGTGCCTCAGGTGAGGCTTCGCTGGCGAGAAATCAGCCATTGCATTATTGAATCCCAAGGCGCTAGAGAATAAGTCGGCGAATCACACTGCAGGGGAAAAAGTAGGCCAGGGTCTCGCTTGTCACCGTCATTGCTTGGGTTCAGAGCATTTTTCCCTTTGCGGGTTGGGGTGCAAGCTACTTGGCCTAGTGTGGCAGTGCTTCGAAATTATTGAAATCGAGAGGGGTTGTGATGTCTTTCAGGGTTTCACTGGATTTTCTTTGGTGGCTTGATGCGTATTTACGAAACGTCGAAAACCTTGAAGTGATCGATGCTCCGCTCTGAAGATCTGGTGAAATCAAAACTCCAAGTTGAAGCCGAATTGTTTCGTCACGGTGGTTTCCGTCTCCTGCCGAGAGGGCGCTAAGACGATCGGGAATGCGAAGAGGAAAACGCAGCTGCTCATCAAAAGTATCCATGTTTTTCCATTGAGGCTGTGCTGAGGTAGCTTCTCTTGACTTACGCAACTCCGACCAATTGGATAAACAACTCGTCTCCAGCTTGTTCTAAAGTGCTGCTCCAAAGTCAAATCTTCCAGCCACATCAATCGCATCCACGGCACCGTCACACTTGGAGACCCTGATTTCATTCCAATCACTCCATCACTGGGCACCCCCTCATCCAAGATAATTAATCTCCCTGTGCTACCGGACAACCGTCAAACAAAGTCAAGACTTTTTCCTATTAAGAGTGGCTCGTCGGCTTCTGAACCAAGCGCCGCCACAGCTCCGTGGTTTCCCCCAATGTGTAGGTTCTCTTGACCCTTGAGCTTTTCCCCTTCTCCCATCATCAACCGAGGAGATTCTGCTTCAGAGTTCTCCCTTTGAATTCTTTTCTCCTTTCATCATATCGACGTTCCGGTCGTCCCTCTTCCCGTTTCTGGATCCACACTGCTGGTTGTCTTTCAGTGTTTCTGGGTCACACTCTCCTTACCTTTACCTTAATTCTTTGAAATCTTCTTGTAATACTCTTCTTACCAACTACTTGTCTGTCCCTTCATTCCTTTATATCTTCTATCCTCCCACTTTAATGCGCAGACCAATCTCACCTGGCTTCGATCCGACTCAATCCCTCCGAGGACCGCCGTGAGCTAACAGTACCTGCGTAACTCCGACACAGCAAACCGAAGTATCTTTTCTAGTTTCCGACGACACAGCTGGGGTCCCCCAAGAAGAATGTCCGGTCTAGAAAACAGCAATGGGTTCCCTGACGAGCGAGAAGCTTTGATCCCCGACTCTCGTCGCAACTCAACACAGCATAAGCGCCACCTCCACTGGACGAGCTGGCCGGCGCACGCCCTTCACTTGACATGGGCTACGCTTGCACGAGACTATGTCAACGTCCTCCTCGTCTTTGTCCCTCTGGGTATCATTGCGGGTGCGTTGCATTGGGACAGCACTGTGGTTTTCACTTTGAACTTCTTGGCTATCGTCCCTCTTGCTTCGCTACTGAGCTTTGCGACAGAGGAATTGGCGGCTACGTTGGGACAGGCGCTGGGTGGACTGATGAATGCGACTTTTGGAAATGCGGTTGAGCTGATTGTATGGCTTTCTGTAAAGCTATCTGGTGTCGTGGGTTGAGCTAACAGTGCGGAATAGGTCAGCATCATTGCCCTGAAGGACAAGCAGATTCGTGTTGTTCAAGCTAGCATGCTCGGTAGCATTCTCTCCAACATTCTGCTGGTCTTGGGTTGCTGCTTCCTCGTCGGTGGTATCCGGTACCCTGAGCAGTCGTTCAACAGCACCGTGGCATCGACCATGTCGTCTCTCATGACCGTTTCCTCCGCCTCATTGATTATCCCAGCTACTCTCTACGCCTCCTTGTCTTCCGCCAAAGAGGGCCACAAAGATGAGAACATCCTCTTCCTTTCCCACTGGACCGCCATCATCCTCCTCGTTCTATACATCATATACCTCTTCTTCCAGCTCAGGTCGCACGCGCATCTATTCGAGGAGGTCAACAACGAGACAGCCGGTGATCCCGAACACGCCGGCGAGCGTGAAGAAGAGGAGGAAGAGGAACATCTTTTGAACCCGTGGGCTGCCAGTATTGCCCTAGTCATCGTCACCATTCTTGTCGCCATATGCGCAGACTACCTTGTTGGCAGCATTGACAGCATCGTCGAGAAGACGGGCATCAGCCGCACCTTCATCGGTCTTATCCTGATCCCCATCGTCGGAAACGCTGCGGAGCACGTTACAGCTGTTGTGGTCGCCTACAAGGGCAAGATGGACCTTGCCATCGGTGTTGCCATTGGAAGCAGTCTGCAGATTGCTCTGTTTGTTACACCCTTCCTTGTCATCCTTGGATGGATCATGCACATCGAAATGACGCTTCACTTCCACATCTTTGAGACCGTCGCATTCTTCATCTCCGGGCTCGTTGTGACGTTCCTCATCCAGGATGGAAAATCCAACTACCTCGAAGGTTGCCTGTGCTTGGGCATGTATATGATCCTGGCCCTTGCCTTCTACGTCTACCCAGACAGTGTAGACGAGAACGCTCTATTCAACGCCATGAAGCTGCGGTAAGCGTCGTCTGAGTGCGGCGATCCTAGCTAATAAAGAGTGGTTGTCCTGAGCGCATTGTTTCCATTCCTCTCATTTTACAATGCCGAAAGCATTCCATAATGCATGGTTTTCTACTGGTTCTAAAATTCCCCCCCCACACTCACTCATCTCTTTTACTCTCTCGACCACTCTAATCCAAGCTACGCTGCTTGACTATTTACTGCGGGTCAGTTACCTTGTACAGCGCTATCACTCGATTTTTCTTTGCCTACCATACGTTGTATTGATGCTTGTGCTCGTGCTTTGTTTGCACCGGAAAATGGGGGTTTATGGAATGGTTCTGTTCAGATTTGAGTCTCAGCTATTACTTGATACTCAGCTGTAGGAATAGTCGCTCGAAATTAATCACTGTAACCTTACGATTTTCCATAAATTCTCCGAATTTCCTTCTCCAACAAAACAAGTAAGTTGTATGAAATGCAGGTGGTGATTTCACCTTGACGCTATCTTGGCACGCATAAACCAGCTGACTAAGCTCAGGAAAAACCTCCGCCGACACACCCAAAAGTCCAGACACGATCGGAACGACCTCACCCAAACCGCGCAGTGCGTTCAATTAAACCTCAAAAGAATACAACAATGCCACCTTTACTCAACCTCTTCGCCGCCCGAACGGCCGTCCCAGCGCTGCGCGTCTCCGCCGCCGCTCCCCGAAGCTGCCTCTCGGCCACGGCATCAAAATCACACTCCGCACTTTCACAGCGACGATGGAACTCGTCAGGGTCGGATGGGAAGAACGTCAAGGAGGCTGAGGAGGCGCAGCGCGCTGCTACGTCGATGCCGCATGTTAGCGAGGAGGCTGCGGAGGTGAGCCGGATTATGGACAAGGAGAAGAGGTGTGATGGGGTTCCTTCGACGCCGGAGTTGCAGCAGGGGACGATGGTTTCTGAGGTATGCCAGCAAATATTTCTTGTCCTCGGTCATTGGAGGTCTTCGGGCTCGGCTTGTTGGGTCGAATTGGTCTGATTGAGGTGGTAATGGCTAATAATTTCTAGATCCTCTCCCGCGACAAGGAAGCCGCAAAGCACGCACCCAAGGTATTCCAGGATCAGATCAAAAAGGCACAGTCAGGTTCTCGATCTTTCTCAACCTCCGCACGGAGGGGACAGCTCGAGGAGCCGAAGCCGAGTGGTGGTGATGGCAATGCCAACGCGAACGACGCCGCCCAGGCCGCCATGGTCCAGAGCATGATCGCCCAAGTCACCGAACAAGCACAGGCCGCGCAGCAGGAATTGGCTCCGGGCCTCAAATTTCCTGCGCCAGAGACTCTGCCCAGAACAGAGAACTACCGCTCGCGGTACGAGCCGCTGCTCGAGCAGTTCACCAAGATGATGATGCGGGATGGGAAGTTGGGGATTGCTGAGAAGGTATGGCACCAGCCTCAGAGCATAAAACAACAGCCGACATACTAATCATATTGAAACAGAACATGGGCTACATCCTCGACCACCTCCGCTCCTCCCCCCCACCAAACCTCAACCCTCGCCGCCCCCTCCTCCCCGGCGGCCCGCCCGACCCTCAACTCCCCCTCAACCCCGTCAAATATCTCACACTGATCATTGACTCCGTGGCCCCGATCATCAAAAACAAGCCGATGAAGGGCTTCTCCGGAGGAGGCGCCAGTGTGCCGATTCCCATCCCGCTCGCGGAGCGCCAACGCCGCCGCGCCGCAATCAAGTGGATCATCGACGCCTCGGATAAGCGGCGCGACACAAAGTTCGCGCAGCGCGTTGCGAATGAGCTTGTTGCTGTTGCGGAAGGGAGGAGTGGCGTTTGGGATCGGAGGGATCTTGTGTATAAGGTTGGTATTCAGGGCCGAGCGCTTGTTGGGGCGAAGCCCAGGACTCGGTCGAGGATTTAGAGTGCGGATTGTGTGGTTGTTTGTCTCCGTCTTTTCTTCAGATGTGGTTTCTACGTCTATGTCTATGAGTGAGGTACCGGGCTGCTCATCAGGACGCCGAGACTTGGGGCTTCGTTATTGTGTATTTTTAAGATTTTTTTTTCCATTTTGAGCATGTAGATCGGATGTATAATTTACCACGGCTATGCCTGTACATGAGTATGATAGTATAGCGTAGCGGTCCTCGGATCGTGATGTACGACGTCGTTCGGGCGTTAGGCTAGCAAAATATATATATGTATATATATATATTGAGACTAGCAACACTTCTAGTCTAGGTCTGGAGCGACAGTGATACATGCATCATGAAGCTCCCCCTTGTAACGCTCTCCGATATACGTCTTTCACTTTACGAGTGCATCTAGGCTTCAGCACTAAGGTATGCATTTTGCGGTTCATTGCCAGGACTGGCATTCTCCTTCTCAGTGTATCTTCGAGAGAGTCCTTGGGTTACTGTCTGACCGATAACCTCGCGGGAAGAGCGATTGGTGGTAGGTAAGCCTTCTCATCGGACCTTGGTGCAATCGTCACAAGCCGTATGATTACAGAGAACACAATGTGTTGGTTGCTCAATACCTTGGGTCCGTCGCCACATTGGCACTATTGATTGACAAAATATTAGTATACTCAAGGAGATCGGAAGGGGTTGATACTTATGCAGACATACATCCCCGATCCTCGGCTATAACACCCTCCCTCGTCGTAATATAGAACTACTTGTTCTCGCTCAGGTAGAGATGAAACCTCTGTTCTTGGTCTGGGCTCATATTGACGGTGATTTGCCACCATGCTCTTTCAAATCATTAGTATCTGTATTTTGCTTCAAGCGGGGCCCATGCTTGGTGCTTACTTTCTCTTGCTGTAAATTGACTCCCTCGACCGTTTGTTGCGCCGTCCTGCTGTTCCTCAGACTCGCAGCTGCAATTTCTCGTCGAGAGATTTCGATATTGGACATCCGATTCAGAACGTCAATGCTGTCTTTGAGGTTGGTGTATATATCCTGAAGAGTGGTGGTTGGTTTGGTAACCTTGTCGTCTTCCAACTCGCTATCAGTATCTGTATCCATCGAGCCGCTCTGGTCCGGGTAGGATAATTCTTCTTCTATGTCCCTCACCAGTCGCCTGATTCTGGCCATCTGACGTGAAATCTGAGACTTAACTGGGGGGATCTGGGAGAGCCTCTCGTCCAGCGATGTATGTCCGGCCTGATATAGGCCGATGTCGTGAGCCCAAACCCGGAGTCGTGCAAGCTCGTCCTGCCATGCCCAGAAAGGCACTTCTGATTCTCGAGATCGCAAAGTGCCGGACGCCAGGCGAGTCGCGAGTTGGCTGATAAACATTGTCCAATCCTGGACACTTGAGAGTGTGCTATCCATAATCTAGCGATGGATAACAATATATCAGTTACCAAAGCTCTTGCCCTGCTGCTAGCGCTGTTCCTGTCTAGACGTGGAAACAGTGAGTGTCCGTAAAAAGCGTAGCTTGTGCGACTGGCAAAGATAATTCCGTCAAACAACCAGTAATGGCAATATCACAGGTGGCAGCCCTTTCTATATATACTCCCAACTGGTAGCAGAGTGGTGTAGCAAAGTGGTTTTCAGGGCTTGGTTTCGCGACTCACCCGTTGTTCACAAGTGTCCTTTGGCTCTGGGCCATCGCGTGCGTCAAAGATAGTGTTCCAGATAGTCTCTGCTCACGAGGACCTTAGCATGCGGGGCTGTCGCACTGGGCTGCAAGGCTGAGGACAAATCAACGACCCCGCCTGACGTGGTGAGTCTGTCCAAGATTCCTTCCTTGCAAAATAGCGCCCTTCCATCTCAGACGCAATCATCACCCAGTGCGCAAATATGGAAACAGCAGGGCTCATTCTAACGACAATTTCTTTCATCCTAACAGGCCTCGACAAATACGTCGAGATACTTGCCACGATAAGCCTATTCCGCACTGGCAAATACCGTCGCTACCTCGAGCGATATTCAGGCATTTTGGCCGAGCAGCAAGCCTCTCTTCTTAATGCCATCGAGATAGTACTCGAAGTCGAGATCAGTAAGGAGGGAGTAGACGACTTGGGTCATCCGAAGAGTAGACAATGGAAGGACCCGAACCTACAAGCCAAACTGCGATCGAAATTGGGTCGGGATTATAATGCATTTGTGAATGTCCTAATGATGCCAATCACACATTGCAGGAGATAAGGAACAGACTCGAGCAGGAAGTCCGCATCATTGTGAGTTGGCCCCATATATGAGCTTGCTTAGCTGCTAACCAGTCTTTCAGCCTGGCCAGTCACAATCGCGAATTGCACGAGAGTTTCGAAAGCCGAAGGTTATTCTCTCAAAAAAACGACACGACCGTCTATTTGAGGATTTGGAGGCTTCAGTCAGTCTGCTCATCAGGCTTGTGGACCAGTCGATTCAACATCGCGAACGCTGCCAGATCGCACTGGGCTCACACGATGGTGTAGTGCGCACACCAGCCGTAAGTATCTATAGAGCTATTCTTCGAGAAGAATATTGGCGCTGTTCGTGTCGCGATAAGCACTCCGTCGGGTTTGTTCTTGACTCAAACTTTCGAGACAAGACGCCGAATATAGTATTCCGAATGGGGATAGTAACGCTAAACGACCCAGCGCAGTCTCTCTATAGCTGGCAAGAAATCGAAGTCGAACCGTCTCAAGCAACGACTGGAGCCGCTCAGATCATGCATATGTGTACCACGATAGCTACAATTGGTGTGCTGAGCGAGAAACGAAAAATGGTGGGCAGTCTTTCGGAAGGCCAGTACCTACACTCAGTATTTGCCGGCAAGAACAGCGTTGGGAGTCTCGAGTCCCAGTCCCTCGACGAATTGCTCACGTCGTCGTCACTGGCCCCGTGGATTCCAGGATTCCATTTCATGAAAAGGGACCGCCTCGAACTCTCGATTCGACTTGCGTGGAGTGTTCTACATTTCCATGGGAATTGGCTCCCTGAAAACTGGCGTTCCCGCGACATTTTGTTTCCGAAGTACCCTGGAGGAGGAACGTTTCACAAGACACTTGAACATCCGTATTTGTCGTGGAATGTCTCACACCAGGGTGTGGCCTCTCCGAACAGTTTATCCATAGTGACAAGCCGGGTCCTTTTCCCTCTTGGACTAGCCCTGATTGAGCTATCCCTCTGCCGTCCGATTTGTGCCCTCCAGAGACCGGAAGACAATAATCCAGAAGAAGCTGTTTCGCTTCTCAAAACTGCCAACCGATGCCTAGATGCTGTCAGCAGTGAAAGTGGAGGACGGTATGGAACAGTGGTTCGGCGGTGTCTTTACTGGTCAGAGACGAGGGAGACAGACCCTGAGGACAAGACTTTCCAGGTCGCATTCTATCGACTGGTTCTCACTCCTTTGCTAGATCTCATCCAGGCATTCGATGGCAATAAGTCACGTTGAAGAGATTGGGAGTTATTAGCAGCATGAGATATAAGTGCTTCGTCAGTTAGCATGTTTAGCAAAAGCATTTGAAGAGATGGTGTTCTTCAATATTAGAGCGACTGATCGACAATAAAATGAGTTGATGGTTGGCTGATGACGAAGGCTGGCTCCAGAGCTCTAGGAACTATTCCGGATTAGGCAGGCTGCCTGGCCGGCAGGCGGTGCAGAAACTCAACCTGCAGAGCTTCGCGACCTCCTAACTTCGAACTGACGTGAGGAGTGTCTTCCGGCTTCAATATCCTTGCCTACGCTTCTTGCGCTTCGCGTCATCTGTCCTGGTCCTCGATGCTGGCCATTACAGGTTCCGCTAACCCCCCGTCCTCCTCCGTACTCCAACAGCCACCGAAGTTCAAACTCCACTCCTAAGCGGCTACCTGTCTCGAACTCATAGCCAGCGATTCGAGCTCGCCTCGCAGCACACCGTGTCGTCGAATGCAGGTAGACAGAGTGCGGCACACTTCGCTTCTGCGACGAGTGCCTCGACAGCTAACAGCAACGTGAATTCCTCCCCGCCTCAGGATATCGAGCTCGTCGAGTATCCCGTTCCGCCTCGTGCAACAAGACCCCCACACTCTTTACCCACTGAATCACGGGACACCCACGCACCTGGTCGTCCTAAAACTAATCGTGACCCCTCACCCAACTCGCGATTGCACCAGGATCGAGACCGTCAGCGTTGGGGCAAACCGATCAGGTTTAGATACTGGGTCGAGGCTCTTCGTCTGCGCTCAAAACCTCCAGAGGACGCTGACACAGAACTCAAGATGAAGTTCTCGCACAGCATCCAGTTCAACGCTGTTCCAGACTGGAGCGCGTATTACATCGCCTACAGCAACTTGAAGAAATTGTACGTCAAAATTCTCCGAATGGTTACCTATTGATTTCTTTCTTCCCGTCCATCCTCGTTCACACCGTTGGCTTGTGCGACACAATTGCCTTGCCCGGTGATACAGCTCTCCGGCGGCCTTATGCTAATACACTACTCAATTCGTAGGATCTACTCGCTAGAGCAACAATCCCACCGATTGAATGAACAAAGCACCGATGTCGAGTCTGCTCCTTTGCTTGACAACACCTCGAGCGCCGATAGAATATTCCGGCAGGCCTTGGATGCTGAATTGGACAAGATATGCTCATTCTACCGCGCCAAGGAAACGGAAATTCTCGAGGAGGTTGAGGATGTTCTGAGAGATGCTGAGGAGTACACGGCCAAAGCCGACGGTGCCGAGCTAAATCCGATGAACGAGAGCATAACCAAAGGCAGGAGAGCGAGCACGGGCTCGACGACGGACCGCCCAGCCGACTACGGTCTTGACCGCGGCAGGCGTCACAGTACCTTTAGCGAGCCGGCTGCTGACGACGATGAGGATAGTGATGATGAGCGCCCACGTCCTTCACTTGCACACTCGCACAGTGCTCATATCGGCCATGATGATGATGGGGCGGACGATATGAGAAGCTCGTTTTGGGCCGACTCCAGGTATGGTCTCAACAGCCATTCATTCGTTCGTCGCGGGACACAAAGCGAACAGTTCACCGACCCGACGTTGCTGGATCTATACAATTCCGCTGCTTCGCTCAAGAAGCGTATTGTCGCTGTCTATGTCTCTCTCTGTGGGCTAAAGTCTTATATCCAGTTGAACAAGACTGGATTTTCCAAGGCTCTGAAGAAGTATGACAAGATTATGGATCGCAATCTTCGCCGGGAGTACATGAGTTCTACGGTGTCCTCAGCTTATCCCTTCAGAGGCGAGGTTTTGGAGAAGGTCGACGGCCGTATTCTTCAAATCGAGACCTTGTATGCAGATCTGACAACCGCGGGTGATCTGGCTCTAGCCAGACGTGAACTTCGCTTGCATCTTAGAGAACATGTTGTCTGGGAAAGAAACACTGTATGGCGAGAGATGATTGGCATCGAAAGGAAAGCTCAGGCTGCCAATGTTGGTATTCGTCGGACGCTCCTCGGAGGCGATCAGGATCCCGCAACTGCCCGTCGACAGGGCGACGAGCAGGTCTCTCCAAGCAAGGAATTCCGAACACCTTTGGGCGTAATCCGTGCTCCTTCATGGCTTTGGAGCTTAAATTTTGCCACGCTCGTCATTGTGTTGACGGTATTTGTGGTGCTCCTTGAAGTTCCCATCATGGAGAAACCGGAACAGCAGAATTGCCTGGCCATGCTCGTTTTCGTCAGTCTATTGTGGGCCACTGAGGTAGGTACTCGACGCCGGGACATGGACAAAGCTGACTGTCATAGGTGATTCCCCTCTTCGTAACCTCATTGCTCATCCCATTCCTTGTTGTCACTCTCGGTATCATGAAGTCGGAAGAAAAGCCTTACAACCGCCTAGGCCCCAAAGAGGCCACGAAGGTGGCTTTCGGCGCAATGTGGACACCTGTGATAATGCTGCTGCTAGGCGGGTTTACAATCGCAGCGGCGTTGTCCAAATATGACATTGCTCGGCGAATGGCATTGTTTGTGCTGAGTAAAGCCGGTTCCAACCACCGCGTGGTCCTTCTTACCAACATGTTCGTGAGCATGTTCCTCAGTATGTGGATCAGCAACGTAGCGTCGCCGGTTCTCTGCTATTCGATCATCCAGGTTCGCTTCTTCATCTTCCTGCATAAGAGATCCTCGACTAACCGCGTGTAGCCCCTATTGCGGAACCTTGCACCCGATTCCAGCTTTGCCAGAGCTTTAGTTCTAGGGATCGCCCTTGCTGCAAATGTTGGTGGCGCAGCATCACCGATTGCTTCACCACAGAACATTATCGCTCTGCAGAACATGTATCCCAGCATTAGTTGGGGTACGTGGTTCTTCATCTCGCTTCCCGTCTGCATCATCTCGATTCTGCTGATCTGGATACTTTTGCTGGTTACCTTCCGTCCTGGTCGTGATACTACCATTGTACCTATTCGGCCTTTAAAGGACAAATTCTCCGGCATTCAGTACTTTGTCAGTATTGTTACTTTGACTACCATCGCGCTGTGGTGTGGTAGTCATCAGCTAGAGCATGTTTTCGGAGACATGGGTGTGATTGCAATCATCCCTATTGTGCTGTTCTTCGGCACTGGTATCCTGAACAAGGAGGATTTCAATAATTTCCTCTGGACCATTATCATCCTTGCTGCTGGCGGGCTATGTCTTGGAAAGGCGGTGACGTCTTCAGGGCTTCTGCAAACCATTGCAGAAGGTATTCGGGTCCGTGTCGAACACTTCAGCCTATATGGAGTGTTGATCGTGTTCTCGGCACTGATTCTGGTTGTCGCAACATTCATTTCCCATACGGTTGCCGCGCTGATCATGCTCCCCCTCGTCCGACAAATTGGGGTGGGCATGGACGACCCACACCCCAACCTTCTGGTTATGGCCAGCGCACTCATGTGCTCTGTGGCCATGGCTCTGCCCACGAGTGGATTCCCGAATATGAGTAAGTTTTCCTTGAATAATCCAATCCGAGACGAATTCGCGAGACTAACGTGTTCTAGCCGCCATTATGACGGAAGTGCCGCAGACCGGTCAGCGCTACCTGCAAGTGCGACACTTCTTTACGCGGGGCATTCCCGCCAGTCTGATGTCATTTGTCGTGATAGTCACGCTCGGATACGGGCTGATGTATGTTGCCGGGCTATAGATTTGCATATTTACAGGCTATACTATATTTACGAGAAGTTATTGTGATACAAAGTGCATGTGGATTGCTTCATCATCGTTCCATTTTCATAGAATACAAGCAATGCAGTCATAAGATAGAGAAATGGCACGCCGATTAAAACGGTAGACTGAAGAAAGTAGAGGGAACCAAAAGACGAATCTAGACCAAGTCCTAGAAACTGCCGCAAACCAACCAAAAAGGAAATGAGATCAAAATTCGTGGACGACATAACATATCGAGGGCGATGTATCATGAATCACCAGCATCGAGTCGGTACTTGATAACAAGTTGAGGTCAGAAGTAAGAGAGTCAAGGATCATGCACTAATTCCTGGTCAGTTAGTTAGTATCTATCTGCGGGCACACACATCGCAAAGAAGCAAGGGGTAGGATGAGGAGACATACAATAATCCAAGCGTCAAATCACCATGAATCTTCGCCTTGAGCTGGACCTCAATATCCAGATTCAGGTCCAGCCGCAGGCGCAACTGCTCATCGCTGCCCTTACCACCACCACCACCACCTTCCTCTTCTTGTTTACCACCACCAAGCAGGCCGCCAACAGCCTTTCCTGCGCTGCCCGTCACGCCGTTGATGGCCTTGCCAGCTGTGTTCTGCACAAGGTCACCAGCCTGATCGACGCCGCCGAGACCTCCGAGGGGCCCACCGTCTTCACCACCCTGCTGACGGCGGGGACGGCGCTGCTGGCGGCGTGGTCGGCGTTGTTGTTGCTGGGGCTCGCGTTCCATTTCGGGCTCACGCTGGATGTCTTCGGCGGAGTCTTCGTTCTGTTCTTCTTTGTTGTTATCTGGGGTAGCGTCTTGCTCGGGAGCAGGCTGCTGGCGCTGGGTGTCGGGCTCGTTGTCAGAGGACTCTTCTTTGGGGTTGGGAGACTGAGGGTTTGAGTCGGCCATAATGAAGGAAAAAAGAAGTTATCGAAGTTGTCGGGGGGGGGATCGAAGTATATGTGCTTTGTTGCGTGAAAGTTGGAGGAGTAAATATATTAAAAGAGGATGTTTTAGTCTTGAGTTTGACTTGTGGATTCTGTCCAATACCTGAATTTCTTATTTATAACCATTTAATTCTGCTGCAAGGCAAATAATTAATCACGATCTAATGGTACCGTTAATAATAATGATTTCACACTTTGCCTTGCCAATCCGTCACATCCTCAGCGAAAACCAAGAGGCAACAGCGTCATCGCTTCCCCGAATAGCCTAGAATGTCCTCATGTATGATGAAAGAGGCCCCTCCACCACGCAACCTTCCAGACCGACACCCCAGCCGGGTCCGGCGAAATTTCGAGGGAAAAGAGGGAAGACGGGGTGGAAACTGGGCAAGGCATGACGTCTACAGGTGCAGGGATTAGCACGATAGCGCGGCCAAGACTGACCCGTCATCGTACTCCAGAGTATGGGGTCATCGAGCACGTTGGTGCCGTTGCAGATCGACTAGGGAAGTTTTGTTTAGCGGCCTTGATTTCTTTGCGGTGTGACTGGGCCAATCAGCGGGCGTCCCGACCATCTTCCTCTCGGGCCCAGCCCTTTGTTGCTTTCTTACTTGATTTAATCTTCCGAACCATGGGTGTCATTCCAACGGCTAAGCTGAAAATAGTGTGCTTGCCACATTGACTCGCGTACAACGGCTTTTTTCAGGACTGACACCGAAGCGATCCCTGGGTCGGTTGAATTCTGCTATGCCAGGGGAGAAAGTGCGAGACTAGGTGAGTTGGTGGGCTCGGCTGATGCGGCAGGGATGGATCGGACTCTATTCCCACACCTACGTATGAGGCTATGACGATATCCAAGCTATCCAAGCTTGTTGGCGAGATGCGCCATGGTGTCATCGGCTCACTGGCCCTGCATGAATATTTCGACTTTTATGATATTATATGCAAAGGTAATTCACAGTCTGGTGATGTCGATAATCTGGTGCAGGCGCCATGGCTGCAAGTTCGTCAGTGACGTGATGGACGAGAGCACCTCGATTCTCATGGCGAACAGTCCAGTCCTCTGAAGTCATTTCCAGACTTTCTATTTTTATTTTGGTTAATATACTCCAGTCATTGCTTTGCTTTTCGCTTTATGTCATTTTACTTTCCTCTCGGGCTTTTTCGTCTTTGACATACATCAGCTCTTTATACTCCAGACCCTACTACTCCAGACAACCCTTATCTGGTCGACCATCCATCCAAACCTCTCCCTCTCCCCATATCTCTGTCACCGCTAGACATAGACAATCATAATGGCGACCGCAGAAAAGCAACAGCAAAAGAACCCGATCAAGCAAGAGTCCGACGATGACCAGCCGCAGCAGAAAGCCCAACGCCAACAGCCCAAGCAGGTAGACGAGGACGACGAAGACTACTACTCTGACGAGTACGACGATGACTATGACTACTCCGACGATGATGATGATTACTACGACGACGACGACGACTATCAGGACAACCAGGGCATGCAGTCATACAACGGTGGCCAGTCGATAAGCAGCAAAGACCAACAAAACCGTCCTATCCAAAATGGCTCGATAACTCGTGCCGAGGGCAAGAAGAAGTCCATCGACGACGAGGAAGGCTTGAAGCTAAAGGTCGACGTCAATTTGGATATCGAAATTGAGCTGAAGGCGCGTATCCATGGTGATTTGACGCTGGCGTTGCTGTGAGTAAACCCCATTCCCTTTCCCTCCCCGCTCTTGCCCTTCCCCTACTTAATACTTGCTCAAGGACTTGATATCCTTGAGATTGCTTGTCGGTGGTTTATCTCGTGGATACTTTGGAACTGCCTTGCCAATCGTGAATAGGAGTTAACGAACGTCGACATCAAACAGTGCGTGAACGAGGTATACAGTATTCGGATCGATATGACGAGTTTTCTTCCCTTCTATTCCTTCCTTCCCTAACGAGTTATGAGGTTTTTGGCTATTCATCTTCGTGTTGCGTTTTCTTTTTTACCGTGGGTCGGGCATTTCTAATGTGAATATATTATGATCGCTGTCTTGGTCGAGTTTCTTGCATCATGAGCCACTTTCGTTTCTTAACCATGTAATTGGCGATATAAACCGTTAATTCAAACTGTTCCCCGTATCAATCTGACGGTCAAGTCCATACTTCGGACTCCGGGAGAGAAGCTTAGGAATCTTAGTGGAGACCGACCGACACATGGAAGCTTGAACCGAGGTCCTTGGCACTGTCAACGGAGATAGCGTTCAACCCTCCGAAAAGCCTCATATAGACTTCCTCTCGAAACACTTCCCCGCTCAATTGCTCAACCACTCTTTCGCGCACAACGCCCGTATCTCAACCTACTTGAATCCCTTCATATCCAAATCTTGAACAGAAGAAGAAAATACCGCCAAAATGTCCGACGATGCCTCCCGCAAAGCTTTTATTATAAAGCACATGAACGCCGACCACAAGCGCTCCCTCTCCCTCTACCTACGCGCCTACTGCGGCCTCTCCGCAAAAGCCTCCACCTCCCCAACCCTCGAAGACGTCCGCCTCGACGACATGGTTATCTCCACGCCCAACGGAGGCCGTTTTACAATCCCCTTCACGCCCCCTCTCAAATCCCTGACAGACACCCGCGCGCGCGTCGTCGCAATGCACCACGAATCCCTGCGCCGCCTCAACCTCTCCGACACAAACATAACAACCTACGCGCCACCGAAGGGCGGTCACATCTTGGGCTTCGCGCTCTGTCTCGCTGTGTTTCTGGGCTATTCGCGACGCAGCAATTTCGAGGCCGGGTCGCTGCTCTACGACGGGGTGGGGTTGGACCGGTTTCCGCGTTTCACGGAGTTTAGCTATAATTGGCAGCCGTGGGTGTTGGGGTTCATGGTGATTGTGCATGGGTTTGAGGCTACGGTTCTCTTGGGATGGATGCGGTTGAAAAAGTACAATGTCAAAGTCTTCTCGGGGCTGTGGTGGGTGTGGATGGTTTCGGGGTTTGTGGAGGGGTTCCAGGCTTGGGTGAGGTTTGACGCATTGGTTAAGAAGGTTGAGAAGGAGGGGCATGAGAAATCTACTTGACTATAGGTTCATCATAAGGGTGCATAGAATAGTACTAGTGGTTGATAATAATAATGGAGCTACAATAATACTGAAAGATAAAAGTTTATAAAAGATGGAAGCCTGAAAGCCAAGGCATCAGCGGAGCCAAGACAAGTCCCGAAGCAGCAAAGTGTAGACGAGGTCACGAGACTATCACGGGACTACGGCGCTAACCACAGCGAGTTAGCGCCCACGAAAATAGGGCAACTTCGACACTTGGAAGCGAGACTCCCACACGGATTCCACGACCGCCGACGACAAGCACTCAACTCCTCGACCACCTAACGACAACCTTTGCCGCTGCGATCTTGGTGAAGGGCTGCCAGTTCAGAGGTGAGTATCTCTCTGTTCTAGATATTGTGTGTCTTTTTTCGAACCCGTCAATTCTATCTCGTCGAGCGAGTCGTCGGTGCGCACATTCGAGCCGTGTCAATTTGAAGGACAATATCAATTCGTCACAACAAGTTCAAGTCGACCATACCAGGAGTGAGAAAAGAGAAGGGATATTACCCGCGAAGAAGAGGACGATTCGCAATTGCTGCTGTCTCTGGATTGGAGCTTTGAGATTTTTTTCGTCCGGGGGTTCCGATATCGAGTTTTGCAACACAACTGCGCTGCGACTGCCGACTGTCACGCTCGACTGAATAGAATTGAATGCGATCGAATACTAGCTCACAGTACTTGCTTTCGACTCATACTGATTGATTCTTTCTGGACAGTCCCCCACATCGACCGCAAACATGGGTATTTCACGCGACTCCCGCCACAAGCGCTCGGCCACCGGTGCTAAGAGGGCCTACTACCGCAAGAAGAGGTATGATTAGGGAACAGGAGCGACCTGGATATAACGGCAGTTGTTGACTCGCATATGCAGGGCCTTCGAGAAGGGCCGTCAGCCCGCCAACACCCGTATTGGCAACAAGCGCATCCACCTTGTCCGCACCCGTGGCGGTAACCAGAAGTTCCGTGCCCTCCGTCTCGACTCCGGCAACTTCTCCTGGGGATCCGAGGGCGTGTCCCGCAAGACCCGCGTCATCGTCGTCGCCTACCACCCTTCCAACAACGAGCTGGTCCGTACCAACACCCTGACCAAGTCCGCCGTTGTCCAGATCGATGCTGCTCCCTTCAGACAATGGTACGAGGCCCACTACGGCCAGCCCATTGGCCGCAGACGCCAGCAGAAGACCGAGCAGACCGAGGAGAAGAAGTCCAACAGCGTCGTGAAGAAGCAGGCCGCTCGCTTCGCCGAGTCCGGCAAGGTCGAGTCCGCCATCGAGAAGCAGTTTGAGTCTGGTCGTCTGTACGCTGTTGTTGCCTCTCGCCCTGGCCAGAGCGGTCGTGTGGACGGATACATCCTCGAGGGTGATGAGCTTGCGTTCTACCAGCGTGCTATCCGCAAGTAGGCGTAGGTTCGAAATGGGATAATAAATGAGAAGAAGAGATATGTCTCGCTTTATTGCCAAAAATTAAACTTTTTTCTACCTTCTTATTTATGATGTGTGGAGCCTTGCGTGTCATGTAAAAGGGTGTCGACCGGAGTTAGCAATTCACCTTGAGATACTGTTGGTGCCAGTTCTACTTGGTAGACGAACATGATAATGACTTACGCCTGTTGTTGCCTCCCTTTTCATTAGTAGGATCTCTATATCTATGTTGCCTTGCCCAGTCTTCGAAAATTGGGGTAGCCTTGTAGGCTCCCGTAATCTCCCCGCACTGCGCTCCCACCCCCTCACCTCGTTCCATCCCAACAACACGACCTCACCTACAACCAACCTACAGCTACCCTCCCATCCAACAACCTCAATCGGATACAAACCTTCTATAATGAAAACAAAAACCCGTCTCCTGCTCCTCTCCGACACTCACACCCTCCCTCCGTCCCCGCCAACCTTCCAAACCTCCCCATACCGCCACCCTCTGCCCGCGGCCCAAATCCTCCTCCACGCAGGCGACATCACGAAAGTTGGCCTACGCCGCGAACACACCCTCATCCTCTCATCGCTCGCCTCACACCCCGCCGAACTCAAGATCGTCATCGCGGGTAACCACGACATCACACTCGACGAGGAATACTATACGCGGTTGGGATGGCGGAGACATCGATTCGTTAGTGACCATCTGTCGGCGCTGCCGAGTGCTTCTTCTCCTGGAGGAGGGAGTGGGAAACTCGAGGATCCGCGCGAGATAAAGAGTCTATATACGAGCGAGGAAGCGCGGAGGGCTGGGATCGTGTATATGGAAGAGGAGGTCCGGACGTTTGTGCTTCCGTCGACGGGGGCAAGATTCACGGTCTATGCCAGTCCGTACACGCCGGAGTTCTGTCAGTGGGCGTTTGCGTATCCGAGAAGTGTAGATCGGTTTAATCCACCGGATACGTCGCATACGGCCTCCTCAGGCTCTCCGGATACCTCGCCGGGTGGACAGAGTCTCGGAGGGAATACGAATGGCAGGGGAGGCATCTACGTCCCGTCGTACCCCGACGTCGATATCCTCCTCACGCACGGTCCGCCGTATGGGATACTAGACCAAGTGGTCGGAAGTGGGGAGAGCGTGGGGTGCAAGCATCTGTACCGGGCTGTTGAGCGGGCGAGGCCAGCATTGCATGTATTTGGGCATATTCATGAGGGATATGGTGCGAGGAGGGTGGAGTGGGAGGGGCAGCCTGGTTCATTGGGTTCTGGGTCTGGGTCTAGGAGGAGAAGGGAGGAGGAAGTTACGTGGGATCGGGAGACGGTCATGGAGGAGCGGTGTGCGTATGTTGATTTGAGCTCGGGATCTGGAAGGCCGTTGAGAAGAGGAGAGGAGACGTTGTTTGTTAATGCGAGTGTGGTAAATGTTGAGTATAAGCCGTTGAATGCGCCTTGGATGGTGGATTTGGATTTGGAGGTTCAGGAGAGTGGTGGCGATGCAGAGATGACTGAATAATACTTTTAAATATATACCTCGTTTGCGCGATGCGATCAGGTAATTGTGAAAATAGGATTCCATAGTCAACTTTGTAGTTGGGATGTCTCTCTATCCAGCTATGCTCGGTAGTATATATTTCTCGGATACCCGCTTTAAAGACCACCATTCCTAGTCTAGACATGAAGATTCGACACTCAATGGGATATTTTACAAGCCCGCAGCACAAAATAGCATGAAAGAGATGAATAGATAGGTATCAATAAATGAGATATGAGATAAGTATGGTATCAGGTCCGTATATGATATCGCCGCCACATGGGTTCATATCCAAGAGAAACAACAGGTAGGAGAAAAATAGGGAGAGAGAAGCAAGCCAGAACGTAATCTATCCTGAAACTTGTAAAAGCCAATTAAACGCTTATGCAAAAGGGTCAATGCTGAGATGAGAAGAAATGAAATGAGAAGATAATGTCCTGACATTACACGAAAGGAAGACGAGGATCACTCCTCGTGAACTGTTTGGCCGCTTTTGAAATCGAGTCGGCTGGCTTTTCGGCTGACGCCCTTGAGCAGGCTGAATCGCTTCTTAACCGAGTCGCGTACACCGCCGTTGGCGTTGCCGGCACCGTTGGAGCTATGACTTTGGGAGACGGGGCTTCGAAGCTCGGGACTTTGGATGGAAGTTGCACTGCTCCGTGTCACAGGTCGCGGGGGCTCTGTAAGCGAGGGTATAGTCGACCACCCTCCCTTGGGGCTGGTGATTATGGTTGGTGTCGGCCGATCCTCCACAGTACCGTTATGCCGAGAAGTGGCGTGGCTGACATTGTCCACCGATTTGCCCGCCACACTGCGTGACGCACTCCGGGATCGTTGCTGTTTCTGGGACTTGGTCTCGTCGCCGGCAACACTAGTACTTATCGACAATGAAGAGGTGTGTTTCTGTAGGACCTCGCCGAAGAAACTCCGTCGTTTTGTGTTTGTGTCTCGTGATTGGTTGGTCGTCCGACTGTGAACCGTAGCAGCATCATCAATGTCAGCCTCTTCAACCTTGGCAGTGGGAGTGTGGCCGTTCATCTTGCCGTTGGGCTGGCCTTGAATCGTAGCAACGGAGTTGCTCGTCCCGTGATTTGAGCGCTTGAACGGATTCATTATGCTGATTCGGTGGCTGACAGACTGCTTCCGAGAAGCTCGCCGGCCAATCTGGCTGTTCTTGCGTGAAGCCCGAATTAGCTCCTGCTCCGGACTGATAGATCGTGGAAGGGCAGTCGTTTGTCGACTCTCCGAGGAAATAGGTGACTGGCTGTGTAACAGCTGGGGAGGAACAATCTCAACAGGACGGAGAGAAGAGAGTTCAGGGGCAAAAGCCTCCTCGAACCGCCGCGTTAACTCGATTTGCGTAGCTTGATGTGATGGACGGGAATACAACGATAGAGCGTGCTTGATCGCCAAAGCGTGATCGATGAGGGCCACAGCAAGGGCATTCTTCAATGGGTCCACGGGTTTCGGCGTGTTGGCATCATCTTCCTCCTCATCCTCCTCATCCGGCTCGTCCGTCAGGAACACACGATAGTGAGCGACACAGCTTAGTGAACTCGAATGGAGCTCCAGCAATTGCTCCAGAGCCTCGGTCAAGTTCATTAAACTATTATCCTCCCCGGAGGCTGCGCGTCGGTAAAGCAAGTACAGTTCTTGCGTCTTGCGCCACGTGCGCTCAAGGGCCGTCTGCAAAGGAGATAGTGCGACCTCCTCAGTAGCAATAACCTCACTTCTGCGAAGAATATTCGGAAAGGGTTCGGACGTCGTATAGATGACCTTCTCCACCCACTGCTCTTGAACATCCGCGTCTCGAATGTGTCTTCTCAAGGTAGAGCTAAATCGGGTAGGTTCGGAAATCAAAAGATGATCCCGCACGGATGGCGGGATCTTGGACCGTTGATAAACCGGGTGGCTGATATCACGATGCGCACTAACCGGGCTGATGTAGAGGAACTGGCCTTCGTAATCGTGGACTTCACCGGAAGAGAGGACCTGCGCTGAAGGGTGCTCCTTTTGCAACCGGTCAACAAGCGTCGCCATGCGTTCGGTCGGGGCACATTCAACGATAAATTCTTTGTCACGTAACGTTTGAGGGAATCCAAGACCCTTGTAAAGAACCCGGAAGTAGCGCGGGAACTGCTTGTCGTCCTTTGCGATAGACTCGTGGATCTTGGCCATCGAGCTCTGCGCTCGCGAGAGCTTGGCGAAATCCATAACCGTGTCTTCGTAATGCATCGCAAGCTCCTTGTAGCAAGCAAGGGCATGTGTCCACGCTTTCGAGTCCTCAAAGTACTGGATGATTGCAAAGTACAATGATTCCTTCCGCTCAAAAGGCGTCTGCTCGGGAAACGCAGGGTTTGTGATCTCGGGTACAGACCGTTTGGGGTCCCAATCGTACAGGTCCGCATGGAATTGGAGTGCGAGACCAGCCTCGGTGAAGTTGCCCGCAGAAGCCTGACCTTGTGATAATTCGTGGACATAGCGAATAAAGATATCTTCTCGACCCATATCTTTCATGTACTCCATTAATCGAAGGGTATGCAGGCTTTCTGCCATAGAGCCGCCTTGTGACGCCACAAAGAGGTCTAGAAGCTCATCCACAGTTGCAATGAGAGCCTTGACAGCTGTTCCGAGATCCTCATCAAATGCTTCGCAACCGCCAAAGCGATCGAGCAATTCACCGATGAAGAGTTTCTGTATAACGCCCTCATTCATGTTTTTCGTCTTGAAGAGGTTGTCCAGGCTGGAAATGATCTCGGTCTCAATGATTGAGAGATCCTGGTTCAACCCCCATTCGCTGAGAATCATGGTCCGCAGAATATCAACTGCAACATGACGTAGCCCTTCGTGGACACTGAGGCAGAGTTCAATGATAGGAGCCACCAGTCCTGGGACATATTGCACTTGGTACCCGCCTAGCTTCTTCAGCCCGTAGCGCTCTCTTTCCTCATCGGTGGTCTCCCAGCCAATCGCTTCCCAGGCAGAGTGTAACAAATCCGCGCCCTGCTCTCGAACATCGCCGGCGATCTTCCAGATAGTGCGCCGCTTTTGCTCCGGAACGGTCTCCAGGGCAAGGGCATCGCTTGAGACGACCTTGAGTAAAGTCATAAAGAAAGACTCCCAGACCCTGGTGTCAAAAGTTTCAGCATCGTCCGGGGCAGGAAGGAGCTTGTCGGTCATTAGCGAAGCGAGGTACTCTAGACTCTTAACCGTCGCCCGGTGGTTGTAGACATGGATACTAAACCAGCTTTCAGGATACGGCTCGCAATTCAGAATTGATGTGTGGACCTCTAAGGCTTGAGACAGGAAGTTGGTAAGCTCCAAGCCCTTCAAGCGCGGTCGTTTGGGGTTCGGTATCGCTGCAGTTGCAGCCATGATAGCTGACAGCTCCACAAGGACTTCGTCAAACTTCTGACTTGTCTTTGAAGCCTTGAGCTGGAACGGGAATGACTTGCTAAAGAGAAGAGACAGATAATTGGTGTCATCCACGCCATCGGGGATAATCGAGTAGTACGAAGAGACGATCTTCGGCATGAAGGCGTAGAGCTGGGGTTCCGGTTGCGTCAAGAGCTCCGCTACAATAGCGGCGACCAGACGAACTTGATCACGGTATTGGTCGGACACCGCCCCTGTTGCTCCCCAGTAGGGATCCAGCCACCCAATACAGCTAGAAGCCAGACTTTGTCTCTCCGAGCCGGACCTGAAAATCTCGAGGCGAGTATAGTGTTGAATCAGAACCAGTTTGTACAGAACCAGCATACCCTTCACATCAGCACATGAATCCATGAAGCTGAGTGCAATCATGATCACCTCATCCCTTCCAAGGACCGCCAAGAGCTCGGGGAGCCATGTGTGGAAGTGTTGGACGACAAGCGTTTTGCTTCCAATCATGGCGGGGGAGGGATTCTTCATTAGTGCCTCCAAAGACTTGAAGATCGTATGCAGGTCTCGGTTGAAAGTTGACTGAACGCGAGTGATACCGATTCCTTCCTCCTTCAACTTTTGCTGTTGGCGAGCGTTGATGATGAATTTTAGGACATGTCGCCCAACCTTGAACGTAGCACGAAGATTTCGAGAGTGCTTCAGATCAGAGCTTGCTTGCAGGAGGCGAAGGTAGCTTCGAATCAGACAAGGTGTGGCGAAGGGGAAGTTGAACTGGTTTTCGGTGTAGTGGTCCACAACCGGACCGAGGTTGAAACGCCGGTCATGAACGATTCCGAGGACAGTGACGAGATTGTTGAAGATGAGGTCCTCATATTCTTCATTACCGGCATTCTCCACGAGAATCGCAAACAGCGCGTCAAAGACACCGCTCAGCTGCTTGACGATTTCGATTTCTGGAACAAAGAGAACCCTCTTAAGTGTGTCAAATACTTCATCCACTGGGCGCTCTTTCCAGTTCAGAAGACTTAGAATGACTTGGTCTTGTGAGTACTCCGTACTGCACAAATGTGTATCGAGACGCAGTGTAGCGAGGGGGCCAGTGAGCGCCTCATCCTTTGCGGATTCATTCTTCCCCAGCGCGCTCCACGGAAGCGAGAGGTAAGCACCTTTTCCGTTCTCAATGCTCGATGTATGCTTGTCATAGGCATGCAGCAGCAGAGAATGAGGTCCGTCCCGTATGAAAGCTTGATTATCCCACAGGGGCATCCAGGCGAGGGCGAAGGGAAATTCGGGAGCATCCGCAATGCTCATAATAAGATGAGACCCCGGAATCTGATCAGTGGGAAGATTGAGACGAATAGTCTGGTTCCATGGCTTGCCTTTCTCGGTAATCGTTGTTCTCCAGGCTGTATTGGCAGTGGTGGCTGACGATGCAGGAAAGACACATCGATCGACCCGAGCCCCTGACGCAGCGCGTACTTCCAGGGTAAGCTGCATATTGCGAAGTCCGGTGTATGCTGGCATCGGAAGTTGACCAGAGTGCGGGTGTGAGAGCAGTGCTTCTGGAGGGAAAGTGGCATGTGAGATTGTCACGTAGATGTCAGATCTAGGCTTAGTTGGGGCTTGGGAAAAGCCGATTCTTCGAGTTTGGACGATATCGTGCATAATTGTGGGATTCCTCTGGATCAGGGCGTCCGGGTCGGAATCGATGTGTGGATGTAAATGAAGATGGACACGAGCGGCGCGCGCAGACCTTACATACTTCCCGCTAGGGCTGGGTAGTAACGAGCGAATCAAAGCGTCGAAGCCGTCCGTGTATCCCTCCCCATCTTCCGCCTGCTCGGAAGGAGACCATATATTAATGACCTGCTCTGTGTCTTTGTCTTGACGGAGGACCTGGGAGACTTCCAGAAGACCAACACCTATCGTGCGGACATGAGTAGCCTCCTTTACTGATTGACCGGCACCCCCCTTGTTGCTGGCGATGCTTCCTGCGGACTGTGGCGGGGGCTTAGAAGCTTCTTTCGATTGGTCTGCGCTTTGAATACCACGCGGCTTAGACGACCACATCATGCTGCGGCGGGGTTTCAGACCACCCTTCGCAGTGTTGTTGGAGGCAGCAGGCGATTTCGGCGAGGTGAGCCCTTCCCGAGAAGCAGCAGGTGCTGGCTGAGATGGGGCGGCGGAGGTAACCTCTGGAGCGCGAACACTCACCACGAGGTACAACTTGGGCCCAGTGGCTGATCCATCTCCGATATCCGTGGCAACTAATTCGGTGAAGAGAGTCTTGAGTTTGTTGCTATGGCCTGACGCTGCAAATTGTTCAGGCGATGGGATATCTAGAACGTATGTCTCGGATAACGGTCTGAGAGTTCCCGTCTCAGATAGGGAGCACAGCTGAGCAGCTAGGGCCACGGGACCGGGGGCATTTCCTGACACAGCATTGACTTCTAGAAGCAAATGATGCAGCGCTGCGGCGTCTGAAGCGTGAGTAGGGCTGCTCTCTAGCATGCTCATCTCGGATTGGAGTTTTGCCAACTGCACAGCAGAGTCATCGCCCGTCAGAAGTCGACCTCTTTGCTCAGGATCTCGAACAATGACCTCTCCACCCATCAGCTTGTTTCCTCTGACGAGCTTCCATACCACCTCGTGTCGTAGTGCCTCCTTCTCTTTCGACGTGAGTACGTTGTAGAGAAGCTGTCGTCTGGCAAAATCGAGTTCTTGAACAATGTTTGACATCTCTTCCACGACCTGATATTGTTGGGAGAGAAGCAACTCATGAAGCTTGGTAGAGTGCCATTCGCGCAGGCACGAGGCTATCTCATCGACCAATGGCTCTGAAAACGACGTTGGAGTTTCGTCGCCAATCTTGAGCATGGGTACTGGCGCAGCCGGCTTGGGTGCATCGGGATCCCGAGGGGCTACGCTGACTGGTGTATGTGGAAGTGTTCCCCAGGGGCTGGCGCGGGCCGTGCGGGGGGTGGAATGATCATCATCTTCAACCTTATGGATAAAAATCTGAGACGGCTTCTCCTTCTTCGCGATTACCACATTAGAGACCTCACCGGTGGCGTGTTCATCGTATTGAGACAAGGCCAGACTGCTCCTCAGGTCCGACTCCGAGTCCTCCGGTTGGTCGCCGATTGACAGGGTTCCGTTTGTCAACGTTTTGTTTCCATCTCCATCACCCAACACTTCGCGGATCTCAACACAATTTCGCGGGAAGATACCCGAAAAGACTCTTGCCTCAAGGGTCTGGCCCTTGGTGCTCGTTAAACCAGACAGCAGAGACGGCGGAGCAACTAGATAACCGCGACACCATTCGCCATTGTTTCCGCCTTGTTCAATGATATAAAGCTCATCGCCTAGTTCTAGTGGCAGGTCGGCCGGTGTGGAGGGCTGGAAGGGATAGATGGCGACAGCAAAAGCGATCCGAGGCAGAGGCCGCCAGGGCATGTCTGCGATCGAGGTAGCGAACCAATGCGCACCCCGTAGCAGTTACTGCAGTGGATCAATCGATAGAGGAATGTAGGAGTGCGATTTCAGCGGCGGAGGAGGGGGACCTGGAATTCTCGTCTGAATCGGGTGGACGGTACGTGACATGCAGCTTTCCGTTGGCAGGTTTCGGAGACGGGAGAGGAACGTGAATTAATTCAGAGGCCGCATAAATCGAGAGTGACAATTGATCAACGTCCTCGAGTAAAGATATGAAACTGTAACTTGAAACCTAGAGGGAGGTGTCGCGAGATCAGCTTTCAGGTTTCGTGAGAGCCACAAGGTCTGATAAGGAAAGCTCTTGATGTGGGCCGCAGCTTTGGAACTTAGGAGCAAAGTGCGACTGAGACCAACACCGACAGCCAGAGAGGTGCCACAGCAAGTGTACACACGAACTGACAGTCAATTCCTCTCGGGGCATATCCAGTTTTCTTCAACCCCTAGCAAGCGGGCGGAGGTGGAGTCCCCAGTTGAGTGCTGCTGCTCGCCCTTGGCGGGAACGGTGGAGAAAGGGCACAAAGAAGGGGGAGAGACATACCAGTTGGAAGGAATGGAGAGAAGGTAAAACGGACGGAAAGGAGCGATAGTCTAAGGAAGGGAAGAAGAGGAACTAAGATCGAGTGCGCAAATCCATAAGAGTCGAGGACTGGACAGCTTGGGTTCAGCGATCGAGGAAAGAAATGATCGCGAGGTGTCGATCGTTCGTTCAGCGCGGGAGGCGGAGACCAAAAATTACTCGATGAGATGGAGCGCACGGCCTTGTCTCTCCTTGGGCTAGAGTCTGGGCTGTCAGTGTCAGACGAGCTTCATCAAACCTCTGTTCATGATTGTCTGATCTATAATGCCATTCTGCTCTGTTTGCAGCGGCCATTATTGCTCCTTGTATTGCAATCAATCCCGCGGGACCCTGGTTAACGGTCAACCTCCCCTGTCGCGTTGAGCCCCTGAACCCGAAATGAACCACTGCGATCCATGGCACCAAAGGCACCAAACTTGAGCCATTCCAGCAATCAAAATCCTGGCGTCAGCTTATTTCGCCGTCTTAGTTCCCAGCGGTTCTCATTGATGATTGCGGTTGTGATTTTGATTTAGAGACCAATAGTCCCCGTACCCGAGGTTTGCTCCTTACATAGTGATTTTTCTACTAGGGTATGGCTGATAGAATAAACGTAATGAATTGTTAGGATGGATATCCAACCCAAACGCCTTTCTATGATTCATACATAGTAAAACAATGACACCCAGTGCTCGTCATGCAAGTAAAGGATATAACATAGCGATCAACGCAAAGGTAACAAGAAGAATATGGGGGAATGCATCATTACTTCCTGAACATGGCAATCGCATCCTCCTTGCGCCATTCAAGTTCAAGCTGTCCTTCGTAAACCGCATGGAGGACGCCTTGCGTCTCGTCGTATGCCCTCTCATAACGGCCCTCACACTCACGCAGCACCTTGATCACAAGGCTTCGACTAAGACCCGGGTCGTCGGCGTCGCCAAAGTGCTTCTCGACTCGCTTCTTCAGCATCTCAATTCCCCGCTTGATCTCTTTTATGTCATAGGTGGCCAGCACTTTCTTCGCTACCGACCGTGAGTGGCTAGGGCGACTTGCGATATCGGCAGGGTTGCTGGTCGTGGAAATGAGGTTCCCAGCCGAGTCAATGAAGTCGAGTAGCTTTCCAAGTGGCCTGTGGATGACAGAGTCAAGGTACAACTTCAGATGCTCCTGCAGATCTTGCTGCGCCCGGTCGCGCCATCGTTCCAGAACTGGTAGGTTTCGAACGTCAACTTCTTCAATATAATGATTCATATTCTCGATCAAGAGGATATGATAGTTCAAGATTTCCTTGTCTTCTGGGTCGCCAGAACCGGCCGCCACTGCTGCAGACTGGCCTGGTGCCTCTTTGGCGATGAATTTGAGAGACTCCCACATCGCACGGTTGATCCGGTCGTAGGCTTCGTTGACGCTGATGCGCACGTCATAGAGCTCTTGCGATGGGTCGGATAGCATGTTCTCAACCGCAGTAGAAAAGTTGGGGAAAACTCGCATAAAAGAAATGACACCCTTGCGCTTGTTGACCTTGACTTTAGTCTCCTCAATGCCGCGAATTTGCTCATCAACAAACCGATTGAAGAGGCCAATCAGACGAGTGTGGAGTTTTTGCAGTGAATGGACAATGTAGTCCTGGTTGGAGTCATCTAGATCCGAGATGGCCTTTTCTAGCGCAAATAGGATACCGATTCCTTGCCTGCTAGGTGTTAGCAGATATAAGCCATGTGGGGAAGACAAAGAATGTAGCCAAAACTTACAGAGGATCTGATTTGAGAGACCAGTCCACGAGATTCTGCATGTCCGTCGGCCAAAAAGAGTAAAGCTCGTCCATTGCCTGTTCGACCTTTCGAGCCATATTCCGGTCCGGATCAGGCGGCTGTTTGGCTGTAAAGTCTGGGACTGGACGCTCATCAGGGTTGCCCGAAGCCACAAGGTCACCAAAGTCCGTGTTTGTCAGCGAGGTCAAGTGAAAGAAGCGTACAACAAAGTTTTGCTCCTCTGACATCATCTTCACTGTTTCCTGAAGAGTGCCAGCAAACACTTCGTAAGGTTCAAGCTTCCCATGCTGTTTGTCCCCAAAGGAGAGCCTGAATCCTGCTGCAGCGCGAATCGTCTTGCCTCTTCTAACGGTCAGCTTCCTTGCGGCGGTTGTAATGCCTTCAGCTTCCTTTTCTTTGTCCTGATGGGTGAATAGAAGCTCTGATTCTTCGCCAGTTATTTTCCTAGCAACCTTTTTCCATGCCATGTTGTTGTCACGGAACTCGGCTTGGTAGGATTGTTTAGCCTGCTGTTCGTATAGCGTAATCAAACCTTGCCACTCCGCGCCGCTAACTTCGCGTGCGAACAGGATTAAGCCGTGATAGAGCCATAGTTCTCGACGAGAGTAAGCCCTGGCTGAGCCACTTAGCTTCATTGGATCTCTCTGCGAATCCGCCGCGGCGTCAGCCCGCTTTTGCTCCGCTACTTTATAAGCGATGGCCATAAACTGCTTGAGCCGCTGAAGGAAGGACGAGGTGTGAAAGCGGTACTCCTCCTTTTTGTCCTTTATGGCACGCATCTGACCAATCTCGGTATCGGCGTAGATCCCTGCGCTACCATGGCCCACAGCAGCATCCAGACGCTTTTTGTTATGCCAGATGTCCGGATCAATCATCAGCATGGCATTATACAAGGTTGAAAGTGCGGCTTCCGTCTCCCTCAAGCCGTCAGGATTGCTAAGCGAAGCTTCCTTCAGAGGCTGCAAGTCTTTTGAGGAAATTGAAAGCGTCTTTAGCAACTTCTGCAGCTCACTGTGAAGAAGTTTCTGATTCGCTGTTTGTACCTGTAAACCTTGAGATTGGTCCTCTATGTATGCCACGTCGTCGCGAAGAGTCTGGGTCTGGTTAGCAAGGAGCTACAGGAAAAGGGGTTCGATAGAAGCTTACGCTAAGCTCGTGTGAATACAGAGTAAGGAGGTTATCCAGCTCCTCGCACTCTTCAATAGTTCTGTCAATCAGCTTAGCAAGCTGATCAACTTTGCCCTCTTGTTGTTCAAGATTACCAAGCCAGCTGGTAGCCTCTACACGTCCAATTTCCCGGCGGACATCCGCTTCAAGGTCTTCAATTCTTTGTTCATCAGACAGACGACCGTTCCAACCAAGGTCAGTCAGAATGTCATCAAAGTCCACACCTCGGCCTGCAAGAACCCTGGGGTCGAGCCCAAGGGCATGGCAATACTTGATCGTGTTATCCTCATGACGCCTGCGCCGGCGGTCGCGTGGGGAAGGCGACACGGACCGCGATCTTTCGTCTGCTGTAGCGGCCATCGCTGTCGTCTTCGCGGCGGCTGCCAAAGGTGCTACGCTAAGATCAGGGGCAGCTTCCGTAACTTCGACCTTGGGCGGTTCCAGAGGAACAGGCACATCTTGAGGCGGAGTATCCGTGGTTTCTTGCGCAACCGAAGGCGCAGCGGGTGATTCCTTGATGATTTCCTCCGGCGACGTACTGCTAGGATCAGTCGGTCTCCGAAGGAGAGACGGCGCGGGGACGACACCAGTGATCCCGTCTGGTTCTGCTGAAGCAGCAGCTTGCTTCTTTGCCGCTGCAAGAAGCTTTTCACCAGCACCTCCTGGTCGCGGCTTGAACACGCCATAGGCAGTGGCGGCTTTGCGAAATGCGCCCGCCACATCTTTATTAGACTTCTTCTTGATCATGGGCCCAAGGCCTGGTCGGTGGGCCTCGGAATCATCCTCCATATCTTGCTGGGGAGCATCTGGAGAGCTAGCAGGAGGAGACATTGGTTTACTCTCTATAACGGGCTCAGTTGGTTCTGGTTTCTGCTCTGAAACTGGTTGTGGTGTCTCGACAGGCTTGGCAGCCGTGTTGTTACTCGCGGATGAACCTGGCCGCAATCCGGGTGGTACGTCGGCGGCGTGCATATTGTTTGGACTGCTCAGTTGATCTCCTGCAGGGGGTGAAATTGGCCCTGACGGTGTGCCCTTTGTAGGATCTTTCACGCGTAACTCGCCCGGGGCTAGACCCGGAACAATCTCCTCGTTGGCTTTTCTAGTCCCTGGTATACTTGAGCTCGAATCTTGACCACGCAAAACAGGGCGGGGTTCAGGTATTGTCTTTCCGCTGCGCGAGGACGGTGGCCGAGGCTCAGTTTGCACGCTTGAGAAACTGCCTTCTCCGACATCTCTACTCGGCCTTTCTCTCGAATCGGCAGAGGGTGTTCTAAGACTGCTCGGGATCTCTCTGTTTCTCGACTCTGAAAGTGAGAGCGGGGATGGGGCCTTGTTATCGGCCGCAAGTCGCTCAATTGCACGCGGAGGCGGTTGATCTCCCGGCGAGACGGGAGCGACTGGTGGAGGATGTTGAGGTGGTGCGAACGGCGGCGGCGGAATGCTTCTTTCAGATTGCCCAGTAGAAGGCCTCCTCATCTGTTCCCGACTTATCTTTGGTAATAGTGGCATGTTTGGATTTTGCCCTCTCTGCCTCGGCTCACGGAACGCAAAGGCAGGAGACTGCGGCCGGCCGCCCTGGGACGAAGGGGGGCGAGGTTGCGGAAGGGGTCCTTCGGGATGTGAAGAGCTTGGACTTGGGCCCTTTGCGCTGGGAGGTGCAGACGGTGGTGGCCCAAGGAGGAGTTGACGCTCACGGTCGTCGAAACCTATAAGGTTCGGAATTTTGCCCCCAGTGTATTTCTTGTAGATCTTCACCAAGCTGCCGATGAAGAAGTCCTTCTCCTTGGAGGTTTTTGCGTGCCAGTAGTAAGGCTTTCCAACCGTTACAATAAAGCCAACATTCGATGCCCATTGCTTTTGCTGGTCTTCTAGCGGGGTGGACGGCACCCACGCATTGAACGATTGAATTGCAGACAAGTCGTCCAACATCCATGTTTTCCCAATCGAAAAAGTTCCATCATTGTTCTCCCTAGCTTTGTGCATGCGCACTCTTCCAGACCGTCTCACAGCAACAATTATCACTCTTGCCTTCTTATTTTCAGGGGCGGAATTTGGCGGGGCGGGTGATGATGGGTACGCTCCGTCTTCTATAATACGGACATGGGTTATGTAGGACTCGACCACTACACAGAAAGTAGGAGGGTTAGTCTCTTGTAGCGAAGCTCGGACAAGGTGCCGCAGAATCGTCTTGCTGCCTTGCAAAGCGGCTGCGATGAAGCGCGGCAAGCAAAGATCACCGTTCAGAAGGCTGAAGTGGGAAATCAGCGCACGGGTACCGTGGACGTACAAGAGCCATCACTGTCTTTCTTCGCAAAACAGCTTTGAATGATCCTCCGCTTTTCGTCTTCGAACTTCTCCGCCCTCGAGGCTGCCGTATCACCGGATCCAGCTGATCCACCATTTCGACTATCGGGAGCTCTTCGAGGATCTCGTTGAGGCGGTGTTTCACCGCGAGGCCCTCTTGAGCGGTCGCGACTGCTCATTGTTGTGTATTAAGATGCAGACAGCCTGAGTCACTCGGGAGGAATCCGAAGCCAGGTGAACATGATCGAGAATGCCGGCAAGAAAGGCGCAGTCCGGATGCGCCGTGCGTTAACGGACGGCCAATCGATGATCTCTCGGATCCAAGGCAACGGTCAAAGGAGTGCGAGGTTTTAAAGCGGGGCCAGAGACCTAGATAGCTCGTGTAGGCAAAGCCCGTGCAAAACGACGCGGAACAACCGACTCCAGCGCATTAGCTCATTGCTGGGGATGGAGCAGGCGGGCGGAGAGCTTGTGGCTGTTCCAAGGTTACGGCATCGTACATTAGAGCCAGGCTTTCCCCATAGTTTTTTGACTGCTCACGATGTTTTACTGTACTACATTGTAACGCCGCTGTACTTGAAGCATAGGCTATATACGACCTATTATATAGAGTTACTAGATTGAGTATTTCATGAAATTAGACTTGTGTATCCTCTTTATTCCCTCTCATAACTCCAGATGGTCGCTCCAAGGCCCATTCTAATGCATGACTAAGCGGCCCCCGATCTCCACGTGAGTTCAGATCAGGACCAGTGCAGGAGGCCAATCAAAAGCACTCCCCTTACAGACCGCCCTCTCACCGAAAATATTTCTTTTTTTTGCCCTATTTTTTTTCTTTATCGTTTCTCGTTGATTCGAAAGCGAAAAAGTCGACAGAGTTGCGCAGCAGATTGGCCTCGAATAGTTCGTTTACCTTGACCACAATGGGCGCCAGCAAGCAAAAGGTAAGGGAGTCTATACGCCTATCTTGGCGCAGTACGAAGTATGTTGACGACCTCTCGTTGAAGCAGACACAGGCCAAAAAGAGCACCACGCTGCCCACGGACTTGGTCCCCGCGATCTCGGCCTTTCTCGCAGAAAATGGATTTCCGGATACTGGCAAGGCGTTCGCCCAGGAGTTGGCTAAGAAGTCCATCAGCTCGAACAAGACGTCCGGCGTGTCCCTCCTAGAACTGTTCCAGCAGCGGGAAGCACAGACAAAGGTGGAGTCGACCACAAGCTCCAGTGCTGCGAGCAAATCGAGCTCCGACAGCAGCAGTGACAGCGATGCCGATAGCAGCTCGGACGATTCTGACTCGGATGTGGAAATGGCCGAGACACCCAAGTCGAAGAGACGTGGCTCCTCTTCGTCGTCTTCTTCCTCATCCTCATCCTCCTCGTCCTCGTCGTCTTCCTCGTCTTCAAGCTCCTGCGACAGTGACGCCGATGATGAGGACGAGGATGAGGCAGCGCTCACCCCCGCCCCTGTTCCCAAGGGCGTGAAGCGCAAGGCGGAATCCAGCTCATCTTCTTCCGGATCCGACTCCGAAGAAGCTCCAAAGACAAAGAAGACGAAGATCACCTCCGCCAAGGGTAAGGAATCATCTTCTTCGTCCTCCGACAGCGACAGCTCGTCGACTTCGTCCGGCTCCAGCTCCGACTCCGATTCCAGCTCGGACTCGGATTCTGACTCTTCGTCTGACTCTTCTTCCGGTTCATCCTCGAGCTCTTCGGACTCTTCTTCCGACTCAGACTCAGACTCATCCTCCGAGTCTTCCTCGTCTGATTCCGAATCTGAATCCGACTCCGTTAAGAAAGCCGACAAGAAAGCCCTAAAAACCGCCACAAAGACTCCCCTTCCCGAATCCGGCTCTGACTCCGACTCCTCATCCTCCTCAGAAGAGGGAGACTCCTCCGACAAGAGCAGCGGCACCCTCGACAACTCCGAGTCTGAAGCCGTCTCGGCCAGCAAACCCACCACTGCCGCTACCACAACAACCACAACGAGAACGATAACCGAGACTCCCGTCTCTTCAAGTGCCAGCCCTGCCCCCGGAAATGGAAATAAAAAGAAGCACACGGGTGCCCGCCCTACTCCGCTCGCGGCCCTCAGCGAACTCCCCAGTGCGAACGACCACATCTCCAACGATTATGTCCCGTACGCGTACGCGGAGCGGGCCTGGAAGGACCTCTCTGTTACCCGCGGCAAGGGCTTCACCAAGGAGAAGAACAAGAAGAAGCGCGGCTCCTACCGCGGTGGACCGATTGACATCTCCGGCGGGAAGGGTTTCAAGTTTGATGACTGATTGATGATTTTCTCTGTTTTCGAGAAAGAAGTGATACCAATTCTAGACTGAGCTATTTGGTCTGTATCTTAATTTTTCTTTTCTCATTTCTTGTTCTTGTCTTTTGTTCGGGACTCAGAAAGTCCCCTGTCCACGGTTATTTTTTTACAGGCCACAAAAAGCTCTTCAGTTATCTAGGGAGATAGATCTCTGCCTGCTGTCTTAAGTTCTATATCTTAGATCTCTTTTTATCACTTACAAGCAAGGCGCTACTGGAGCTCGGAATGAATCATCGTCTTTTCTTTTGTTATATAAATTTGGCGAACAACCGCGTAGAGATACTGTTAGAAGTGCGAACGACAAAGTGAAAACGCTTCTACCCAACCAACGCTCTATTTCATTACCCAGACGGTCAGAAACAACTCCGCGATTAATCCCTCCTTCTCCATGCCCCAGGCTCATCAAGCGGTCTCCATCTCCTATCCCAGCCCGTCTCCCATTCATTGACGAGACTCTCCTTCTCAATTGCCTCACAGGGCTGCTGGTTGCGCAACTTGGAGCAGGTCGTCGTATCCCCGACGCTGGGTCGCTCGTAGCCAGATAATTCTAGTATCTCAGGATGTGTTGGGTCTTGAATCAAGTCCAGATCAATGCGGTCACTGTGCCAGCTCTTCTGTGAACCGGTGAGGTCATCTGTTGAGGTAAAATCAAGGCGGACAATGCCGCCGGCGACGCCGGTGTAGATCGTTGGCGAGAGAAGTGAGGGAGAGGACATGGTGTAGATAGGTCCACGGTAGCGGGGCTGAAAGCGAGAGCGGTTTCTAACGCTGCGCGAGCTCACATCCTTGAACGACAAAAATATTGAGAGCTCTTTGCTGGGGTAGGTGGTTGAGACGGTTGAATGTGGATTGCCTGTGGCGTCCCTTCGTGCAAACGGCTGTGGCCTTGCATTGAGATAGTCGTAGGTTGATGGCATTCGGAGATCGAATATCTTAACGACAGCGTCGCCGCCGGCGCCGAGGACGAATCGGTCGTGGCTGAATGGGTGGATGCAGTATACAGGATTCAAGTCGGCCATATCAATGTACCGCTGTTCGTATGGCTTGTGTGAGCGGATATCATGGAGTCTGCTCGGCATTAGCACTGGTGACCAAGGAACGAGTAACTAAGCTGTAAGTTACCTGACCACACCATCGCCCCAGGCTGCGAGAAAAACATTGCCCACAGAGGCTGTGGTTGTCTGTCCGTTGAGAGGCTCAATCGCAGTGACGGCAGCTCTTTTGCTGTGTCCGTTTAGTGGATGTGGGACCTGAAAATCCGAGCTTATACTTCGATCGAGTGATATCCGTTCTTGTGAGATTGTAGAGATGGCGATGGCGTCTTCAGAGCGTCCTGTTCCTACTGCAAACCGATTTGGAGAAATGAACCTGGAGCTGTTATTCCGCGCTGAGCTTCCTGCATCAATCTGGAGCTCCGCAAAGGCTTCAACCTCGGTCTCATCTGCTGTTGTGCTATAAAAAGCTATGGCTCCATTTGTCAGATGGGCGGCAAGGATTGGGTCTGGGCCACCGCTCATATCGGTTCGTTCAATTGGCCTTCCAAAGGTCTGGAACTTTTGCGCATACTCATAAGACTCTGTGTCTGGGTTGATTCCAAGATGAACAAGCTCGCCACGCATTCGACCGATGATCAAGTGTTCTTGATCGAACTTTTTGGCCTTATGCTCAGGCCGTAGTAAATGAAGACCGCGAATATCATCGTGACTGCTGATATGTTCTAAGTCGTTGAAAACGAATGTCTTGTGTGCCTGTTTCGATCCGGTTTGGCGAATCCGGAGTATCAGTTCATGCGCAGCCCCCCATGCCAGTACCTCGTGTCGATCATGCCAGCTTGAGCCATTCCAGATTTCATAAGAGTCAATGGCAGGCCGATAGCCGTGAGTTGGGTTATCACCCCGTGTAGCTTGGATCGATCCGCCAATGGGTACTGGCCGGGCCGGGCGGACCATAAGTCGGCCTATAACTGCATGTCTATCCAATGCTCGAGAACGAGAAGTCAGAGCTTGGGCAGCGTCTTTCCAGTATCCTGGTGTAGGTATGCCGTTAAATCGAGTATCCACGAAAGTTCTGAAGATCCTCCAGTCTTCACTGGTAATAATCTGGTGCAGGCGACGGCAGGTACGCGCCAGAGAGGCCAAGCTGCTCGCTGTCGGAAGATGAGTTGCGACGAGATAGATGATCTCTGGAGGCAAGTCTGATAATAGCATGATAGTCTGTTGAATAAGGATAGAGAGTTCCTTTGATGTTAAAATGAGAGTTTGAAGTACTTGATGAATTTCTCTAAGACGACAACAAGGGAGCGCCTTCCAATCTATAGAAAATGAGAACCAAAAAATTGACCCCAGCGATTAGAGCAGCGCCATCAGCCAAGGCACTGTGGATCATCAAAGGGCTGCGTAAGGCTGTCAGTCACCGTGGCGATGAGCCATGATATGACTCATGGAAAAAGCACATTGTGGCTCGAGTGTAAGGGTAGAACGAACGTCTTTCAATAGATAAGTGAGATGAAATTTAGTTCTCCCAACATAAAATTATTATAGGAAAGGAATATGTACCTGAGTGTCGGAGAAAGGACGAAGAACTAAGCGTGGAAGAAATTCCAGTGGAGGTCCGTCCTTATGTCATCAGGCCATCATCTCTCGTATCACAAATCATCGTTTCTTCTGGACCACAAATGGGCAGCATTCTTACGGATTACCTGTGGTATTATCGGCAAGAAAGTGAGTCACAAAACGGTATCTGCGAAGCACACGAGACCGTATACTCTTCTAGGCGCCGTTGCGTCGTGTACCCCAAGGTCTCAATGCGGGGAAACACCAGGAGGGCAGGTCTATCCGGGGAGATGATCCACACAGAAGATAAGGATACGGCTTATAAAACGACATTTCTTTCCCTTTGATTTGCCTGGACGGCCTATCATCTTGGATTGTGCACCATGGAGCTTCCTTCTCTTACCACGAGCACAGTGGTTGTGCTGGCTATTTTCCTCCTATACCGAGGTGTGATCTACCCTGCATTTCTATCTCCGCTCGCAAGAATTCCAAATGCGCACTGGACGGCTCCAATCTCTCCTTTCTGGATTCTCTGGAAACGGTACCAGAGTCAAAATAATCGGACAATCCACGCGGCCCACGAACGGCTAGGACCAATTGTCCGACTTGCACCCTCGGAGATATCTATCAACTGCGTTGAAGGAGGCATAAAGCCAGTCTATACAGGCGGCTTCGAGAAGCATGAGTGGTATCCTCGAGTCTTTGGTTCCTTTGGGTAAGCGATACCAGGGATAGCAATGATGAAAGGCGAGGTGCGCTAAGCCGACACGAACAACAACAGGACCGTCAGTATGTTTACAATGACCGGGAGCAAAGCCCATTCCACCCGGAAAAGGATGTTGTCCAACATCTATAGCAAGTCGTTCTTACAGTCGTCTCCTCATCTGCGGCTTATCTCTCGCACAGTCATCTATGACCGGCTTTTGCCTATCCTCCAAGAAGCTGCCATTTCGAATACAGAGACGGATATCCATGATCTGAACCAGGGGCTGACCATGGATTTTGTCTCAGCGTATCTCTTCGGTCTTGCCAACGGTACTAACTTCTTGCAAAACCACGAATACAGACGCGAAATGCTGCATCTTTATCAATGCCGAAAGCCATTCGAGTTTTACCACCAGGAAGTCCCAGACCTTCTTAACTGGCTCAAGGCTATAGGCATTCGGCTAATTCCAAGGTGGTGCGATACTGCCAATGAGATTCTCGATTCCTGGGGCTTAGGTCTCTGCGACAAGGCAGAAGCATCTATAAGTTCGACCGACATTGGTGTCGAGCCTGTTGTATACAAGCACCTGAAACAAGCCATTTCAAAGCAGGACCTAAAAACCGACAACCTCGAACTCAACGCAAAGTACCTCGAGCAACAGCGACTCGACATCGCCTGCGAGATGTACGACCATCTCACAGCAGGCCACGAAACCAGCGCCGTCGTCCTGACATATCTGCTCTGGGAACTCTCCCGGCATCAAAACATTCAAGACGACCTACACAATGAGCTTGCCACCTTGGAACCAAGGATCACACTCCCTCTCCTATCGCAAGACACCGAACTTCCGTCACCTAAATCCATTGACTCTCTACCTCTCCTCGAAGCAATCCTAACAGAAACCCTACGCCTCCACGCCTCTATTCCCGGTATCCAACCCCGCGTGACCCCTTCCCCAACCTGCACACTCGCCGGCTACGGCAACATCCCCGCCAACACGCGGGTAAACGCCCAGGCGTACTCGCTCCACCGCAACCCAGCGGTCTTCCCAGAGCCTGAAACCTGGGAGCCGAAGCGGTGGCTGAGGGAGCACAATTCATCTTCAGACCTAGAGGAAAGAAAGCGCTGGTTTTGGGCATTTGGAAGCGGGGGGCGGATGTGTGTAGGGAGTAACCTGGCTCTGCAAGGTAAGTTTGCACCCGGTAAAAGTAACTCTTTTGACCGGTATATCCAGAGATGAAACTTGCCGTTGCGGCCATATACTCCAACTTCAAGACTACTATTGTCGACGATGATGGCATCGAAGCAATAGATGCGTACACAGTGAAACCAAGAGGCGAGAAACTGATACTCAGATTCGAGCGCGTTTAGGCGAAAACCATTTGCAAATGCGTATGCGCTCTTACACTCCATCAATCTAACTCTAAAATACAAGAAAAGAAGGGAAGCCTTGACTTTCAGTCAAATCACGATACCTCAGTGGTAGGTAGTAATATACAAATGCCACATATGTATACAAAAAAGAAGAAAACATCTGGCCCATAAAACAATAAACTCCATAGTGCAAACGAAACCCCTTCTAACCAAGAACGCCCTTCTTCTTCTTCGGCCCGACAACCTTGGGATACATTCTTGCCAGGTGGAAGTTGACGGTGTTTCTCTCTGCACTCTTGGGTCTCTGCAAAAGATAAAAGATGTCATTAGCCGCAAGTTTGGAATCATTCGAAAGTCGGGATAGGGTAAAATGGTACGCACCTTGACATCCATGCACGTCTTCAATTCTTTCTCGAGACCCTGGCATCCCTCAGCGCCATGACCGGATGAGGCCCAGCAATCTGTTGTTCAACATGTTAGTCCATCCTTTCTGTATCTCTCATTCCAGCGATCAAAGAATATGAACTCGAGAGACGAGTCGGATAGGATCCAGATCAGATCATGTCGCCAATTGCACATCCGCTCCACGACCATCTCCAGAATCCTGTGCATTCAGACCCATCTCTTCTAACCCAATACCAAAAATTCCACCGCAGAGAAGACATACTCAGCATCGAAGACAAGACCGCTGCACATGGGTTATTCTCGTTGGTGTTCGGACGCCGCACACGGAGATGATTGAGTGTGTTCAGGCGGACCGGGTTGAGCTTGGTGGGGGCCCCTTTGACAGGCATATTGGCGGTCTGCTCGTTCCTCCGTAGACTCGTATACGTATCCGGGTCGTAGGCGCCGTAGTGTAGGGATGTTTAGTTCGCGGGACAATCGTGATGCAGCCGTGGAGAGAAAGCTCAAGGACGGAAAACCCGCCAAGACATTTTTCGCAAATCTCGAGGTCCGCGGAGGTTGCTGACTAACCCGCCTGCATAGGACGATAGTTAGTTAGCTAAGGTGCCCCGGCGAAGGCGAATTGTCTCGAGGCTCTTGATTCATTTTCTCGCCTATAGATTTCTTGTTTTTTTGTCCTTGTATATTATTCTCACGACGCTATGACTGCTCGACACCCTTCGAGTTTTAGAATCACCAAATCGCTCACGCGATATTCATCACGTCCTATCCAAGCTCCGAACCCTCGGTACTTCACGACTACTCTACACCAACGACAAAATGCCGCCTCGAAATCTGAGTCCGGTGGCGAACAAGCAGAGACCAAGAGTAAAGACACAAGCGAGAAGAATAGATCACCAGAGGATGGCGCGATGACACGGCGCCTCTCCGAAATGACCGAACAAGCCTTCCTCGAAGGCGGCCGGAGTACACGCAAGAACCTCGAGCACGTGGGGTTCTCGGAGGAGCTCAAAAAGGAACTGGAGGAGCGGGTTGCGGCAGCGGCGTTCAAGAGTGACCATGCGGCTGCGCATTCGATTGCTAATATGCCGGTATGACTTGCGTTGTCCTTGTCTGTGACTATACAAACCCGAGAGGCGGTGCTTGTGCTAACGAAAATGGGTACGATAGGAAAGCGCCGGACAAGGCACAAGAGACATCGCCGGCGCTGCACCCTGGGCCGGAGAAGAAAGCACACACGACTCTACACTGCGCATGCTCGATAGCTCGAAGAAACGCCTCCGCGTACCGTACAAGATCCCGCAACCGGGTCCCATCGATACCCGGCTCACGCCGAAATCGCCCCGACACCCAGGCCTCCGCATTGCAGACGCAAAAGAACGGACCGCAACATACACACTCAGCCAGTCACATGGCGTCTCAGAGGACGAGCGCGAAGCAATGCGCCGGGAGATGCGTGATCGATTTTCACCAGGCGCACGGCCGATGCCCGCGACATTACAGGGCCTAGCTTCACTAGCGAACGAGCGAATTGAAGACGCAATTGCACGCGGGCAGTTCGATCGAATCAAACGCGGGAAGGGCGTCGGTACGGAAGTCGACCATAATGCGAACAGCGCCTTTATCGATACCACCGAGTACTTTATGAACAAGATCATTCAGAAGCAGGAGATTGTGCCGCCTTGGATTGAGAAGCAGCAGGAGCTTGCGCGGGAGGTTGATCGGTTCCGCCAGCGATTAAGGGTCGAGTGGAGGCGGCATGCGGCGAGGATAATTGCGAGCCAGGGCGGGTCACTGGAGGCGCAGATGCGCCGCGCAGAAGCCTACGCCGCTGCTGAAGTCCGTTACGCAGAACGCGCGAAAATAGCAAAGGCCTTTGCCGACTGCGACACTATACCATCACCCACCGACACGCCCTCCGAAAACGACACACCACTACCACACCTCTCGCCACTCCGCGACACGCAGTACATCGCAAACGAACGCTCTTTCCTTGAACTCTCCGTCAAAACCATCAACAGCCTCGCTCGATCATATAACTTACAAGCACCTCCCGTCGCGCAGAAACCCTACCTCAATCTCGAACGCGAGTTGGAAGCCTGCTATGCTGCCGTTGCACCCACGTTAGCGGAGGAGATTAGGCGGCGAGCTACGGAGAGAGTCCGCACACCGGTTTCTGTGGGATCCAAGGCTAGTAGTGTGCTGGATCACCTGGCGACGTCGCATACTTCGAAGGTTTATGATGAGGATCAGAGTAAGGGATACGGGTTCAAGGAGTTTTGGTCGGATTTGTTTTCAAAGAAGTAAAGCTTGATCTGAGGAGGTAGTTGGTGTGACATTTATACTATAGATACGACTTGCTACGAATATACAGCGATTCGGAGGTGGCTGTAACACAATATAAATGGATCTGATATATGGCCAGATCGACCAGAAATGGTACGACCTTGACTCTGCGACTCTACGCTCGAGAGAAGTGCCATGGCTGTTGACGCTCTACGCCGTGCTCTCCACGACGAAGGAAATGAGGGAATTTGAGGATAGAGGTCGATTCTTGTCAATCTCGAGACGAACAGCTATCGGTGTATGCTTTATGTTCCAGTTACGGAGCATCGTGTGGTATTAGAGTTCCAGAAGGAGAAGGCAAAAAGCTGGGAGCGTTCAAATAATCTTCATATTTAGTGACTAGAGCTACCTAGTAACAGCTCTGAGTATGAATAACACTGAAAACGCCCATCAAGTTCCTGTCGGAATGAACATGCGACATCACGCAACGAAACGTACCCCAATAAAGCTGCCAGCTAGGGATCAGATTAAGAAACAGTTCGGCAACTTCAAAATTGCTCCGGCTTATCCCCAGTACCCTCAGAATGTTCGTTGTTAACCGGCTGATACCCTCGTCTGGCGCTCCGAGTAACCTTCATCCAGTCGCACCAGTTGCTGTACACAGCGAACATAGAAAGAATCCCCGAAAGTATCACTACAACGTAGAACCCATACTCGATCAGCAGAAAATTCCAAGTTTCGAGTTGGTACACGTAGTGTGCCTTGACCCAAAGGGCCACAGATATCGCGGCAAGAACTAGGCCGACAACACTAACAATGGTGGATACCAAAACTTTGAATGAAAATCCGTGGACGTCACTCTTGGTGTAACTTTTGGTCGAGTCATACACTGGGTCGCATGGGCATTTTCTCCACGGAATTTGCAGAGCAACCAGGGTGAAGAGTGACAAGATAACAAGAACAACCATGAGAGTTGGGTCCCGGCTGATGCGGAGTTGCGTGAACATGTAATCAGTGGTATGATTGTCCGTCATGCAACCGAGCTGGTTGCAGCAAATCAACTTGTCTGCGGGCCACTCGGTAATCGTGGTCCAGTTGACATAGGCGTGTGGAATAGTACCTTTGAGGTCGTCGAAAGTGCTGAGGTCCCGCTTCATGGGAATGATGAAATTATGCCACGGTATCTTTGGCATGCCGCTCTCAGGCCAACCGGCTTGAGCCATGTCGCTATCGCCGAAAGGTAAACGAGATATGACTTCGGTGTTTCCAACCCAGATTTCGTTGATAGCGTTGCCGGGTGCAGTGAAGTTTTCTGATTTGACGCCGGCGACAGCAGAGACTTTGTGGCCCATACAGAATATAGCGGGAAGTAATTGTTTTGGTTATAATGTATGATAATTGAGAGATCAGTGTGAGAGGCGAATGCGGACAAGAAGATGGACTGGCGAGATGAGGTGACAACATCGTGCCTTCCGTTTTGAGTGCTACTCAGTCAAGCTCATGTTCTTGAAAGTTGGAAGGAGGAGCAACGGGCCTCGACTTGTATACTTCACCTCAGCTGTCGGTTCAGCAATCGCACGACGAAAGTGTCTGGAATTCTGAACTTGAGACACTGACGATCTGGTAGAGAAAGCGATTGATTCCATGATCGACGACGCTAGTCAGACGAAGGAAAGATAGTGTCTTCTCACTAGGCCCAAAATCACTTAGCGCGTCCTTACCAGTGAACCATTTCATCATCATCTTGTCCAGATTTCAATACTCTGTCTGGTCTGCAATGATAAGGAGAGTTCGTCGTCTCTGATATACTCCGAGATCTAGCTTAGAGGCTCTGGAAAAAGTCAAATGTCAAGCTCTCCAACTTATGCAGGTACCAGACTGTCTTTGATCCAATGGTTACCAATTGGACCCAGAAGCCGGCATTGCTTTTCCTTCAGGAACAGGAACCAACCAATCTGACGTATAACTTCGGGGCTGGCCCCAGAAATATCACTGCAGATCATGTTGAACCAGGCTTTGATCATCCTGTCTGAGCTGTCGCCGTATAAAGCTCTGATCCCCCACAACTTGACTTTTATCCGTTCTCTCGTGGCCAACTAACGTCTTTCAAGTCTCAAGTTTTCCTGTCTACCCAACCTGACCTCATCCAGACAATTGATATCTCCTTTTCCCTCTCATATTCCACTCATTCAGAACAAAATGCCTTTCTCTATGTACTCTTTCGGCCTCATCGCGGCTCTCACTGCCTTCGTCCAGGCTCTGCCCACCGCTCCCTCCACACCCTCCCTCGAGGACCTGACCTCGACTGGCAACTCTAACCAGGAGGTGCCTGAGATTCCAGAGATCCCCGGGCAGCCTTGTATGTTCTCCCTCCTACAGCTTACAATAATAGACCCCAAACTAACCAGTTGAATTACAGCCTCTGTATGAACCTTTTATCCCTATGCACCTTCAATCGAGCCAATACAGGGCACCGACGAAACTCCCCAAAAGATAAAGTACAAGAGCAATGCTAACAGACATACATCAGGACGACTCCGGTGACTCTGGCTCCAGCTCCGGCTCCAGCTTCATGGGTGTCGGGTTTAGCAACACAATCGACCTCGGAAACCTCGAGGAGCTCCCCACCGTCACTACAGACTTCCTCGCCGGCAGCATCCAGAACTTTGAGACAGATGATGAAAGTGATAGCGACGACGATGAGGGGGCTTCGAACTAGGGTGGTGTGCCAGTGATCTACATAATTCTTGTGACAGAAGACGGATACTGAAGAGCCATCTTTTGATTACACTTCAGCTTCAATCTACCTATAAGTACTGGTGAGAACATACATGGGCGAGTGTATATAATCATATCATAATCGGAAACGAGAATTGTTGAGCTATCATAGTTTTGAGTTCACTGTTCTAAAGATTTCATACCTGACCAAACTCCCTTAGCCCTAATACAGTATAGAAAAAGAAATAATAAGCGCTTAAACCTGTCCACCATCTAAGCAAAACAAGGTATATAACATAAAAGAGCAATTCCTCGAATAAAAGATTTGATCGCAATCAAGACAACCCATCCCCACACCTCTTCCTTCCATACAGATCCCTATCATCAACCTCACTAATCGACCCGCCCTCCTCCGCATAAGCACTTGACGTCGTCATGAGCTCGCCCGCCCCGTATATCGGCGCAATCCGCTCCTGGCTTTGATTCGCCTCGAAGACGCGTGTAATCTCGGTCTTTTTACGGATCCCACGGGTCCAGGATAGCTGTGATGAGAGCTCGAGGTTGTTGGGTGCGGTCCGTGAGTCATGTTCGGACTTCTGGGAGGAGGGCAAGTTTAGGGTTGAAGTGTGGCTGTCCCGGTTTCTCGTGAAGAGTTTTGGAAGAGAGGAGAGGGAGCCGGACATTAGGGCAAGGTTGAATTCGACTTCCATCCAGATTAGGGATGTTGCGGCGGAGTCTATACCGGGGAAAGGGATTAGCTGGTGTTGATCTTCAATGTTTGAGGTAGGGAGAAGTACAGGTAAAGTTTGTCTCATCCTTTGCGTAGACGAGGGTACTGAAGCGGACGAGTGCTGCTATGCAAGCGATGAAGCCTGGATATTCTGTAAGAATGCACGTCACTACAATGGTGGTATGGTAAAGACGAACCGATGGCAAACAGACCCAGGATCGACAGCCGTTTTTTCAATGGCATTTGCAGTCTCCAGATAACAGTGCCCGGCAGTGCTAGGATAAGCACATCTAGGACGAATAAAATGATACCTTGAGTTAAAAGAATAGCAAAGTTTGTCTGTGACGACCAACACTTTGCATCGGTGATGCTCTTATCCCAGGACGCTCGGGCAGGTCGACATTTCAGCGTCAATGCAAGGGTCATGGAGATCGTAAAGGCCCCGATAAAAGCCATGGTTGATATTCCTGCAATACGTATAAACTGAGTCGGAAAGAGACGCATGATGAATACCGTCAGGCTAATCTTGACGACAGCCCCGACGACGAGGTAGCTGCATTCTGCGCCGAAGTAGATCTTGAACCAGGTGGCCAGATCTCGAGCGCTGACGTCTTCTGTATTTGCTCCGAGACCGTAGTAAGAAATTGTGTAGGCTAGGGCTGAGAAGCCGTTGACTCCTATCTGCCTTGTGTCAGCGGAAATATGAGTTAAACCCGGAGAGGAATGTGGCGTACTAGGGCTAGGACGACTAGGTAATCGTCGAGCCCGAAGGAGTGGAGGATGAGTTTCCGGAGGTAGAGCTGTCAGTCGATTAGCAACGTCTCACTCTTCGCAATAATGAAAAGACTTACTCGGAGCCCACAAATAAGAGTCGTGAGAAGGGCAAGCACTAAAACCATAACACGCACCACTATACTCATGCGCGCTGTGGTGGTTGCACTTTTGACATTCGCATTGTGCTCAATCATGGAGGGATCCATGGCTGAACCTCAAAGACGTCGATGCCGATATACAACCCACTTTTCGAGAGAAAGAGTGACATTCTCCTCTGGCAGCGGACAGGGCCGGTTTTCTGGGGCTGATCGATAACCCTGGAGGCGATGACCATGACATGTTGGAGAAACCCAGTGGGGCGGGAACCTTATGCCAGGCACTAAAAGGCTCTAACGCTGATTGTGAAGCTGCACGGCATGCGAGAAGCAATCCAACTCGTGCACGCACATTTAGGTACTCCACACTCTGCTCCTGGCGCATCCATCGCCTCATGGGCGGATCAGTGCCGTCCCACCTCCGCGGTACGGATCCCTGGAATTATTCTTCAAGCCGAGATTCCTGACAAAACTTCCGGGAGCCGAGACCTGTTCCCTTAAAGCCTCCGCTCTTTCCCCTTTCTAAGTTTCCTGCTGGCCGAATTGCTCTTTCCTGGGTCAATTGAGCGCAATCATGGCTGGTGCAACGCCCTCACTGGAGACGGTAGTCGCCATCATCGAAAACGCAAGAGGATCAGGAGGATACAACTCGACTGTGGGAAATACTGAGGTGGGAAATATTCTCTCTGAATGGGCCGATCTTCCCGTTTCCAAGCAGGACAAGGTTCGACCATCGTTTGTGTCAAAAGTGTTTCCTCTTGTCTTTGGAGACAATGCCTTTGTTCAGGGGTCCGAAAACTACGAGCTGCAGCGTCAAGTGCCATGGTACTTCCATTTATTGCTGTTTCATCTGGAAAAATGCTGAAACGGCTAGGTCCACCAATTGCTGGCTTGAACCCGAAGTCATCGTAACTCCCACCACGTCCCAGCAAGTCGCCGCTGCGCTGGCCCTGTGCATCTTCTTCCTCCTCAAATTCTCGGTTCGCGGCGGAGGCCATTTGCACAACCCTGGATTCAATAGTAACGCTGGTGGCGTGGTGATCTCCCTTGGCGAGTTCCAACAGGTGCTACTCTCGGATGACAAGTCAACTGCTGACGTAGGGCTTGGGTTGCGGTGGCTCGATGTGTACGAAGCTCTTGAACCTCATGATGTCGCCGTCGCCGGAGGCCGCATTCCGACTGTTGGTGTACCTGGTTTGATCCTGGGAGGCGGCATCTCTTTCCAGAACAGCCAGTATGGTCTTGGAGCTATGGGTGTTTCGAATTACGAGGTAAGTCCCCTTACACACGCTTACCATACTATCTAACACCATAACAGGTCGTTCTCGCAGACCTTAGCATCGTTCAGGCTAATGCTAAAGAGAACTCCGACCTCTTCTGGGCCCTTAAAGGTGGGGGCTCAAACTTTGGGATTGTAACTAGGATGGAAATGGCCACTGTTTCGAACGTGATCTTTTCTGAAGCCCGCATCTACGCACCAACCGCCTACAACGACCTTGTTGAAGCCCTCATGGTCTATCACGAGTCCATTGAGAGCGACGACCAAGCAACTCTAATCTGGCACGCTACAGGCGACGCTATCTTACTAGTCTACGTCTACTGCAGCCCTACGGAGACCCCGGCTATCTTTGCCCCGTTCCTTGATGTTCCGTTTGTTCAAACCTTTGTACCGGCGGGGAACCGTACAGTCTATGAGCTTGTTCAAGCTGTTGCGAGTGTCATTTCGCCGGAGCCAATGCTGTACGTTCTCCTATCATCTCCCCTTATACCCCACGGGTATAACCTGAACCCAGGTGAGGCAAGCTAACCAGTCAGCCACGAATTCCGCACAATGTCCTCCCGCCCCTCGCTGGGAGTCTACAAAGCAATCGAGCAAGCACGCGCAAACCAAGTCGCCGCCCTAGCTGACGTAGAAGGCCTCGTTATAACAACCGTTTTCCAACCCATGTCCTCTCTCGCCATGAAACGGAGCGCCGAGTCCCCTCTTGGTCTTGATCCAGTTGGTCAACAGTGTACGTTTTCCTCACCTCAATCTCCCTCCCTCATCCTCTAGCCCTATCTACCCAGCCCCTCACCCACAGATAGTTACTAATGTATAAAAGGGTTCCTCGCAATGGCCGACTGGCGAAACGCTGCCGACGAAGAGCGCGTACGCGCCGCCGTAAAGACAATCGTTGACACCGCGGAATCCCTTGCAAAAGAGGAAGGGGTGCATCTCGAGTACAAGTACACGAACTACGCCTCGAGGGATCAGGATGCGCTTGCCACTTATGGAGAGGAAAACATTGCCAAGCTGAAGACTGTTGCAAAGAAGTACGATCCCCATGGGGTTTTTCAGAAGCTGCAGGCGGGTGGATGGTTGCTTTCAAAGGTTGGTAAAAGCGTTTAAATCGGAGGAGAGAACTCGGTTGGAGAAGGGAGGTATTTGGGCTGCCGATTAGACTGGGGATGAGAGTATAGGCGGATGTGAATGGTAATGAAATGGATAATGTATATAATCTGTCTAATAGACCAATTAGAGTATATAGTACAGAATCAATAGATCGCCGTGATGTAATTAAGAGACCAAGTCCCACACGTAATGCTGGAGATAAACATCCGACATGATATGAGTTAGCTCCCCTGAAAGGGATTGCATTGAACTAATGATTGGAACATGAGAATCTAAGGTAGGAAGTAATTCAAATTAATCGGCTAGTATCAATAAGTGGTATAGATCGACTTGTGGATATCAAAACCAAACGCCCTAGAATGAAACAAAATAGAACGAATCTTGAGAAAACTACTGTAAATGCACTCAATACCCCCACATCTCATTCTCATCCCGAACGGCGTCCTCCTCATTCAGCGCCCTCAACCCATTCTCCCTCCCTTCCTTCTTCCTCTGCTTCTTCGTCACAATCCGACTCGGCGTCATGGGCGTCAGTGGCGTAAACGGCATGTACGGAGAATACGGCGTCGGCAGCCCTGTGCGTGGCCCATTCAGACCTTTTTCAGGACGCTCGAGGTATGTCGTCTTTGTCGGGGGTGCGGAGAGGAGTTGCGGGTATGCCTCTCGGAAGGGAAGGGAGGAGGAGGAGCGCCCTGCGCCGGGGGCGGCGCCCGCGGCTTGGAGGTTTAGGGTTGGTGGTGCGGGTGCGCGGTTTCCATTCCCGCGGTCTTGGGAGGTGGAGGTTGATGTGCGGGTGATTGTTCCGGGTGGAGCGGGTGGTGGGGGTGGATTGTATAGGCGTGGGGAGAGGGGGATTTGGTCTGAGGCTGGGGAGGGGTGTCCGGGTGAGGCGAGCGGGGAGGAGATAGGGAGTTTGCGGAGGGGCAGGCGTGGGGAGCGGAGCTTGTGGCCTTTTTCTTGGATGTTGGAGGAATTGGGATTGGAGTTCGAGTGGAAGAGGGAGAGGTTTGAGATGCGGGAGAGGCGGGAGGTTGTTGAGCGTGGGCTCGTTGGCGGGGATGCGATTGTCGCTGCGGGGGCGAAGCCTGGAGAGCCCGGGGTTCGACCAAGCTGTTGCTGGAATTGATGCGGTTCGAACCGGTGGTGGTGTTGCGGCTGCGGTGGGAACTGCTGTGGTTGTGTCCGGTATGGGTCGGAGAATGGGTTCGTGCTGTGGTAGCTCAGCGGGGATCGCGGGGCTATTTCCTTCATATCGACCGAGTCCTGCGGACTGACTGGGGAAGTTGCGGCGGCGGAGCGCTGCTCGTCGTGCTCCATAACTGCTGCGTAGAGCATCTCCATCTGCTCCTGGGCCCTGCGGCGGTCGGCAGCAATGACAGACTCATGGTCGATCGTGCTCACACTGCCATTGTGCGAGGGTTTGGACTGGTGGCCCTTTGTGAGCGATGTCCACGATCGAAAGCCAGACTTGTTGGTCGGGGTGACCGGGCTGGGGTCGGTGCTGGCCGTCGTGGTGATGGGCGCCTTGGGCTTCATCATTTCAACCTGCAGCGTGTAATTCGACGATTGGACCGTTCTTCGAAGACGGCGTCCGACGACGAGAAGCAGAGTAAGTGTGATAGCGACAAATATCACATACGCTCCGACAATTCCACCAATTTGCACAGCAAGCAGGGGTTCGTCGAGTGGAGGGTTTGCAACCGTAGTAGCTTGGCCGACGGCGACAGCGGGAAAAAGAAACAAGACGGCTGCGAAAAGAGGCAGCATGTCTAATGCTTTTTTCTCGAGCTCAAGGGGAGATGGTTAGTGGGTTTATGTATGACTGGGATCGCAGCACATTGCGAGCCACCGCAAATCCCTTACGGAAACGGATGATTGACGGGTATGGTGGACGGCGAAGGGGGTGATATAGGATGGAGTCGCACAGGCTGTCGACGCTGGAACTTGGGATGATTGGGGTGCGGAATCCCGAGTCTTTGTGAAGAGTGTTTGCTGCGCTCTGGTTGGTGTGTTTACGCGCCGGGCTGCATCACTATCACAATCACGGCAGCCACTCACATCCATGTTCCCAGTCCCAGCAGTCCAGCCAGTGACTCTGGTTTGGCTCCAGAGATTTCCAGAGATCTGTCTAAAGAGTCAGGTTGACCTTTGGATACGAATCAACTGTTCTCATATCGAGCAGTGTGGCCTGATGAGCAGACCAACGCCGAGTAATCCAATATCTGCTAAGGCGCCAGGAATCGCACACTTAAGAAAGATCAAATAATCAATGGGCTCTAAGCGCCTGCTGTAGTCGCCCAACTCGGTTTTCTCCTTCAACCGATAACCCTAAGTAAGTGCCAGGCGAAAACCTAATCGACGGAACTATATCATCCTACTACCCAACCCTATGCATTTTGCCAGGATGTATCGATATTACCCTCCAGCGAATTACAGAGAAGGTGACTCCCAACATTCCCGACGAATCTTCATCACCGCCGACTGCTTATGAGGAAAGGTAACCTCTCCCTCTTTGTAGAACCCCGCGTTTTGCAGGTAGTTGATGATCCTAGCACATCCAGTTAGCACAGCTCGCGAATGCGATTCAAATACAAAACCAGCAAACATACTTCTTATTATCCACCCTCGGCTCCAACATCACAGTCTGAGTCCGCATATCCGCCAGCCAGCAGTAATGGACCAGCGAGCTAAGCCACGCAGTGACCCTATGTGGCCCGCGGAATTCCTGCTCGCCAACAAGTACATGGATACCGCGGTCATAGTTATCGGCAGTGCCGATTAATGGTCCCAGTTGGTCTTCCTTGACCCAGTAGATCTCGAAATAGCCGAACGGCTTTCCGTCCCAGCATCCGATGACAGGGAAACTGTTTCGTTTGGAGAGGTTCTGTCGGAGGAATTCCTCTTGCTTCGAGATTGGGCCGGCCTCGCCCCATGCTGCGTCGACGCGCGGTTCATTCATCCACTTGTGCAGATACTCGAGATCCGATGGGGTATTTGGGGTTGGCGGCTCTATGCTCATCGTGGGGCTAAGTGGGCGAGACGCGTCCCTTGCGGAGGGTAGTTGTGGTACTCGGAAGGAGAGGTACTGCTGAAGGCTTGGAATGTATCGCACATAGAATACTTCGCCCTGATGGGGAGGCTTCTGCCGGATCGGGTGCCGTATGCCGTTGGTGAAGGTAAACTGAGGTGGCGGGGGAGGGAAGAAAGTCGGGAGATGGCTATGCGAAGCAAACGGCCCTTCACTCGGCGTATAGTGCCCCGAGTCGGCAGACGTCGGACGCTTATTTCGGTCTGACAAGTACATGCTCTCCCGCGAGGGAGAAGCAACCCTCACAAACCCCGACCTAGCAACGGTCTGCGGTACGAACTGCGGACTCAAGGTAAAGAGATACAGACGCGGATCAAGCTGCCAGAAGCTGCGCCGACTGACAAACATATGCGCCCACCCATCCTCGTGGTATGGTCCAACCCCGACAGACGAGTCGTCGCACGCGATGAGTCCCATGCGCTCCAGCTTTTGCAGCACATTGCGCCCCGTGAAGATACCCTCTCGCCGGATATTCACCCGCCAGTCGCCCTTAGGTTTCCCGGCCACGGGCGTGCGCGACGAAGCTTCAGTATGTATGTGGAGATCCGGCTCGGGTTCGTGAAAGTACCAGCAAAGAGTGACCCACAGCATCATGGCGATCTGCCGGGTCGGAGAGGTGACGGGCTTGAAGTTGCTGTCCGGGGGATTGACAATGTATGAGATGTAGAGCTCATCGCTCGACAAGGTAGGGCCTGTGAATCGGACGACCCGTGGTCGGAGCGCAGCCTCCCTCTGGTTGACCTCTCGCGCTCGGCCTCGTTCTTCATCAAGCACTTCGCCGTCTGGCCGATTGTCGGCTTGCTGCTGGCGGGTGGAAATAACAACGTTCCATCCGGGGGGCAAAATTGAATTTCCCAGGTTCAGGTTCTTAGACTTGAAAGTGAAACCGCCGAATACGGCGGTGACTTGAAAGCACTGGCCATTAGGTAAACAGATACTGTTGTAGCGCATGATGGAGGGGTCGCGATCAGTGCGCGATAAGTAGCAACAATAAAGAAGTTGGAGAGCTGGAACGAGAGAACTCTACCTAGGACCTGCCTAGAACTCTCAAGTATATATAGAAAGAAAAATAGAAGAGAAAAAAGAAAAGCGCCGGCGAAGGCTCAAGCTGCATATGGGGTTGGGGTCAACCTGCGCCGCCAGTGGGATGACTTGTGCCCCTCAGTAGATCGGAGTGGGTGACACTTGCGTGTTGGCGAAAACGAGGTTGGATTTAGCTTCCTAATACTTGCTCGGGATTAGAAAGACTTCGGCCGCGTCTTCTGCGCATGCTGCGAGCCTTCATGGCCCGATTTTTCCCCCCTCAGCAGACTGCGCGAGAGAGATTCTGCGATGAAGCAAGGGCAGGGCGAGAGGTGATGCTTTGATGTCATATCAGGCCATCTCCCTTGCGGGCGGTCAGGTGCGGGCTTGCTTTTTTGGTTTCCGCAAATCACCATGCTCACAATTATGATTACTCGAGCTACAAGTACATGAAATCGGGATATCAACAATAGAAAGCCCATGAATGGTTGATTAGAAAAGATGTTTAGAAATCCTCCACCGTCGTGCCGATCTGTCTCGCCCGCGCCAACTCAACCAAATCACTTCCTGTTACCAAATCCATCAGGCCCAGCCCGACGCCCTTGAAGATGACATTGCCTCGTTCGACCCATTCCTGTAAGTGTTTCTGGTCGTCGCTAGGTGTGGTAGCGTTCTTGCTTGCGTCCCGAACCATGAGCAACTCGCCAATCTCCACTACCTGCTGCGGCTTGATATCCGCCTTGATGAGCTCTCCAGCCTCCTTCATCGCCGCATCCAGACTATCGACCACAACGACTCCGCTTCGATGGACGTGCTTGTGGAAATGGCGATGTGGGGGCCTCACTGCGACTTCTTCTCGGAGGATATCCGGATGCAGTTCCGACATGTGCGGTTTGTACGACCCAATAGCACTGACCAGGCGACCTTTCCGTCTCCCTTCCCGTGAAGTGAGAAGCTCCGCTGGAAACAGAGGCTCATGGGACGGTGTGCAGCAGAATATCGCATCTGCCTTGTTGATAGCGTCGTTGAGAATCCGCTTGTACTCTCCAAACTCGCTGCTCACAGCCGAGAACTTGACATTTCCGCGCCAGCTGGCATTGTCAGGTCCATAGATTTCGCGGAGAAGTTGGGCGGCGCGCTCAAATGACCGATTGACGATGAACACGCGCTTGATATCCTCCCCTCGGAGAATGAGCGCCAGTCTGATATGCCAGTAAGCCTGCTTGCCTGCTCCAAACACCACGATCGTGCGCACGCGCTTGCGCTTGTTGAAGATCATAGTAGACGTCAACGCAGTCCGGAAGGGAGTTAACTCTTCTGCATTGATCAACCCAAACGGCAGACTATGATCGTCGAGTAGCGTGATACTACCCTGCGGTGAGGTATCCCGCGAACCAGCCGCCGGCCACGCACCCATAGTCTTGGATACCCCAGCGTCGATAGGCTGCTTATCAACGGAAGCATTCGGAAGCGGATCGTTTTCGCTAGATGTACTCGACGACCGCTCTGTGGAGTCCTCCTGGGATGAAAACGACATCTCGCTCATCTCGGAGGAGAGCGAAGCCATCGAAGCCCGCGATCCTGCTTCATTCGCGAAAGTGACTCGTTTCGTACCGCGCAAGTCCTCCCCAGATTCAACTTCACACCCGGGTGTCCCGCCTTGGTCTTGTAGGGATATAACCTTTATCCCGATCGCACGTCGAGTGCTCGCCGGCATGAAAAGTGTAGTCCGCCCGCATAGTCTCGTAACCGCCGTCCGTCGAGGCTGGAGCGTAGCCGCGCACCCAGAGTCCTGGTTTCCAATGGAGTAATCGCGAAGGGCACTTCCGAGGTTCTGTTGCAGCGAGAGGATCTGATCACGATCTAACGAGGTGAGCAGGGAGCGCAGTTGCGCTCCGGATAGGATCGTGAGGGGCATCGTCGGCGGGTCGAGTGATATGAAAAACGCAAGAGCTGCTATATTATTCGGCTGTGGGGGAGGACTCAGTATATATGGTCAACCCGAAGCGGCAATAACGAAGTAGTTCGCTTCGATGTCAATAATAATCGGGCGTCACCTATCGGAGGTACCGGCGGTAGGAAGGGGGAAAGCGGCGGATTCGGAGATATAAGTGGCAAAAAAAGCGAACAGGCGAAGCTGGAACTTCGGGGCTATCAGATCTTTGTGGATTTTCGGCCGTTGTTGTCGACCGTTTCCGTTGAGTCAGACGGACTTGTAAACGATTTTATCGTTTCGGAGAAAGCGATTGTTGTCGATGGTGGAGATCGAGATGACGACAGACAAAAGGGCCCAGGGCGGGGCACTCCGAGGCTATCCATGGCTCACCCTAAAATAGCCCGTGTATGTATTGACACTATCAAGAAACAAATCGAAGATGCTGGGCGGGAAAGGACTCGAGACTCGAGAGCGAGGAATTGCCAAATGACTCAAGTTGAACTGTGACTCTGAAATTGTTGAGGGCAAAGCAGCCCCGCCACATTCCACGGCCCCATTCCTCAAGGATATCTCGCGATCAGTCACAACTGCGGCGTGCCTTCCGATTGCGACCACACTGTTTGTGAGGATGTTCTGGCCAAAGCCCAGTCGAGGTGACTTTTTGATGGGCACCGTCCAACTCTGCGCTTTTTTACCCCAAGTTAGACGGTCCTCTCCGAAAAGTCACGCAAATTGCGACGGACGCCGCCCGAATACAAATGGCAATTAGGACATCGAATTCACAGTTTCACAAAGTTCATTTCTTCTGCACTAAGATCACAGATCATACATGGCATATTACATACATCCAATCATGTCCCGGAACCACCCATAGCCAAGGCCCAAATAAGCAAGGACAAGAAACCAAGAGATACACAAAAAAACGCCGCCTCTGGATGCAAATGCAAGCTGTCACATATGAAACGAGACTGGAAACAAAATTGAGTTCTGGGTATGTGGTGTTGGGTTTGATGAAACCTGTTTTGGGCGACGAATCGCAGGGTATTAAGTTGTAGTTCGAACTAGTTTGTCCTTAGCGTGTTTGTGAGGCCAGCTCAAACAGCGCATGTGCGAGATATCAGTGGTTATTCGTGTTGGAGGAGGATGATAGATGGTTGGGTCGATCATGGGGGGAGGCGGAGCGCGGGCCACTTCAGGGGGGGACTAAGCGCGAGGCCGCATCCGGTTGCCCATGTAGGTGCCAGTAGCTGACGCCAAGAAGCGCGCCACAAAACCGCTACTTCCAGTAGAATGGCCGCTCATTCGCATCTTTTTGGTGGACTGCTGCAACCCATCTCCTTTGGCCACGTCGGCTGCGATCATCATTGAGGGGAGATGAACGTATCCACTGCTAAGCCCTGGGCTGCGCGATGAATCAACCACTTGAACGTCCTCCATGCTGTTGTATGAGCTTGAAGGGCGCAGGCTGGCAGGAGTGTTGCTCCTAGTGCTTGGGGCAACGCTCGACGAGCGGGAGCAGAGCGATGGGACAGTCTCTGTCCGCGACAATCCAGGGACATCCTGGACTGAGGGCGGAGATACCGACATGCCACTGCGGGACGATGGGCGCCGTCGAGGACGGTAGGGCTGGTACCGTTCAGAATCAGCCATGGAAGCAGAAGAGTCGCTCTGAAGGCTCGAGGAGGACGACATGGAAGACAGCGATGCGGAGGACTTGGGGCTCGGAGGAAGTCGGCGACGAGCCTCCAGGCGAGCTTCCAGTTTCTGGCGGCGGAGCCGGCAGGCGAGGAGCTCTGCAGATGCCTGGAATTTGCGCCATTCACGGGGCTGGCGCATCTCAGCTTCCCTTTGTTGAAGCTGGAGACGGTGGCGAATTGGAGCCAGGAAGGGCTCCAGATGGAGGAAGAGGTCGGCCTCGTTGACGCGAGTATCCCAGTCCAGGAGGAACAGTAGCTGGCGCTCCATCAAGTTGACCTCTGGAAGAGAGAAGCAGAAGCCCTCGTAGCCTTTGACAGCTGTGTAACGAGCCCAGTGCTTGTTCTTGGGGCTTGAGTCGTTCAGGTTCTTGGCGGCCAAAATAAGGGAAGCAAGGAAGATGCGGTGGACGGTGCAGCGCATACCCTTGGCGACTGGAGGAAGACGGGCACGCAGGCGGGCAAGGTAGACCAGGGTTGTCATCAGGGTCGGCACCTGAACCTGCGAGCGAGTAACAAGGGATGCGATGAAAGTCTCAACTGACGGCAGCATATCGCCAGCATCCATCGGGGGAGTACTCGGTGGTGTATGTTGTCCGTGAGTATGATGTGTGGTCGTTGTCACATGGGGCTCACAGCGGATGACCCGTGCAGCCTGATGGGCCAGATGAGCAACCATCTCCCGCGAGACGGGTTGAGTGATGAACTCTTGCAGCGCTGTTCTGTTGAGGTCCATCATTGTGTATGTTGTAGTATTGTTCAATATAGTTCGTAGGGAAAGAAAAGGGTGGAAGGCTGGCGGTGAAATGAAGAGCGATAGTCTGATGAATAAAAGCCCGTGCAGTAGATAGATAGTACGTAGATACCAGTCGCAAAATTCCTGAATGATCCCCAGGGTAAAGAATGTGGGATAAAGTCGTCCTGCCAGCAGGATAAAAAATGCGCTCGTTGTCCTGTCAACTGAGGATCTATTGTATGGGGCAAGGTGTGAGACAAGCGATGAAGACAGGGTGAGACACAGTTCGACCGATCAAATGCAATACAATGTATTAGTGTAGACAACAGAAGTCTAGAGAGCGTCAGAAGGAGGGAAAGACCAAAAAATAAAGGAAAATAGAGCCACTGGGAGAGTCGAGCTCAGGAATGGGGGATGATGATTAAGATCTCGTGCAGCATTCATGAGCGATTGCCTCCTGATATAAATAAGACCCTAAACTGTCAGGGCGAAGGAGGAGGAAAAGGCTGGACTGCAAGGACCAAACCAAGTCGCCCAACCCAAACGCGCGACCTGCATACCTGGCCCAGTCCCTGGCTCCATACTTACAGGTCTAATCGTAGCAGTTGGCGCGCGCGAGGCCGGGATCGTGGATGATTGGCAGGAGGACAGGCAAGCTAACCCTTCAGTCAGATGCCAAACATGCACGCTCAAGGGGATCAAGGGCGAATCATCCCCTTCCAGCGCGTTAGTCCTGCAACACCTGGAACGCGCCTCCTGAACGCTGTCCAGCGCCCAAGACAGCCGAGGACTCCCGTAGTGGACGACTCCAGGGCAGCTCGTGTCTGAAACTCGACTGCTCCATCTGTGCCTGGAGGATTCGGTTTGACTCGACTCGAGCGATCGATCGGCGGCGGGAGGTGGCCGCTGCTGCATGTCCCTCGGCGCTTAGGCACTGGCAAGCAGGAGACAAGCCAAATCTCCGCACTGCGCGCGCTGCTATTCTTGTCCGCTCTCTCATTCCTGGTCTGAGCTTTCTGAATAAAATTAGGCATCGATGATTCTCTGATGAATAGGATCATTCGCCTCTCGATTGCATAACTCGCGGGGTGCTGCGAACGCTCCACCACCCGGCGGGAACTGGAACAGTCACTCCCTTCCTGGCGGCCTCCTGCGAACCCCTCGGCCATCCCTCCAATACCCGTGGACGGGAGCTGAAACGCGGCGCGTATCGTATATACATTCTCGCCCTCCACGGGTTCGCGACCGACAGGCCTGCCAGCCTTGGGGGGGCGCGTAAGCACATTTCAAGGCTTGGTGTCCGGATTCTTCGTCGTATGATGATTGACAAGAATTCTCAAGTTGCTGGGTCCAGTTACTCGAGTTTATTGTTTTACACGTGACCAGTCGCTGCTTTACCATAAGTATATGCTCAACAGTCTCAACTTCAACCGCTATCTACCCTAAAAGACTCTTATATCACGTATCAAAAGGGTATGCAATGCTATGACGTAGATATGAGGTCTAAAAGCTATTGTCTTATTACATACTCTGCGGCTATCGAAGTTGATGTGTAACAGGCAGGAGCATATCAAGTTTCATAAGTAAAGGCTCTGGATTTTCCTGAGGTCAAGTCAAATGTCTTCAACAAGCTATTTTTGGTCGGCGTTAAGCGCAGACGTTCATCGGTGGCCTGATCATACCTTGAAAGCATCGTCCAATCATAACACAGTAACGAGTCAACAGGGCGCTTAGTGGAACAAGGAGATGGATGCCATCTCCTTTCTATCTAAAGATCAGTCAAGCGACCCAAGCAAGAGCCGAGTAAGCGCGCCTTCGTAAATCGCGTGTTACTCGCTTGGTCGATTGCTATTTTTGCTCGGTAGCCGCCGAGTTGCGTCAAGCTCCGCTGCTCCAGTCTGCTCCAGCGGCTCCACTGAGTCGAGCGCTAATAAGGATTTCTAATTTGGTCTCGTCTATTTTGGTCCTTAGGAGCTGTAAGGGCCTACTGGTAACACCATTGGTAGTCAGGTGTACAATATCAGTTGCATTGATCGACGAAGCACAAGTGAGTGCACCTTGACATTGAAGATTCAACCAGTTCATTCCACCGATTTTCCTCCACCCCACGAAGTGCCGGTGTTCTATCCATTTCCAGTGGCATGTCGTCAATTACGCAACGGAGACCGAGTAGGAGGAAGTAACAAAGTTTGCGTTAGAGCCAACAAAAGGCTCCGTGCCGGCCTGCACGTGGGTCAAGTACTGGCTGGATGAGAGGCCTTGAGAGTTCTCCAGGTAGCTGATGAAATCGACTAGATCCGCCGAGAAGCTTTCGGTTGTGGATGAGGCAACAAAGCTGTACACCTGCATGTTGCCATTCCATCCATACCACAGGTTCCAGGAGACACCTCCAAGAGTCACAGACGCAATAGAAGAGCCGCTTGAGGAGATTGGACCTGCGCCGCCGAGAGCGGCCAGCCAGATCATGATCTCGTATTCCGAGGAGCCTCCGGGGCTTGAAGTCGTGAACAGATCATAGGCTACGTTGGCCACAACGTCTGAGCCAGTGGTGTATCTGTTGAGGTTAGCTTAAGTCTCTTATATCGTTGAGCCAACCTACTGCCACTCCCAGGTAGTCGGGATCGAGCTCAGAGCGCTCAGCTGAGTTGCTGTGAATTGATATGCGGCGTTGGCGAAACTCTTGACGTTGTACTCGCCGCCAGACCAGCTCCAACTTGTGTGCCACGCAATTGAGTTGCCGCTGCCAGAGTCCAACCCTGTGCATTGCGAGCCACTGTCAGCATTATCTTGGCCCCAAAGATTGTTGTACAGGATGAAGTCCCCTGAGGTGACGGTATCCCATTGGCCGCAAAAGTCCGCACGACGATTCAGTGCCCCGGAAGTGATGGACGCAGCGGAGGCTAGTGAGCCCAGGGTGAGAGCGAGGAGCTTCATATCGTTGATAGATGGCCGGGATATCAAGAGATTAATTGTGTTTTCCTGAGTTGTGCTGCAGAAAATCAAAGATTCAAGACTGGAAAAGGTCGCCTTTTAAGACTTGCGCAGGCCCACAGAAGGTCTCATCTTGATGAACCGGGACCCATCGTGAAAATTAAGACCACCATACTTCTCCTCTCGGTGTGCCATTCGTTACAATGGCCCGAGATTCGCCAGGAGCAACGTTTCGGCGGCCTTGATCCCATCAATCCCATTTGAAGAAGCAATGAATATGCGGAGTCAAGTCCCAAGCAGTCCACTAACTGGAAGCAACAAGATCCGTCCATGCGGAGACCGGCCGGAAAGTCGGCAAAAACAAGCTAATCGCAAGTTGCAGTCGTGCTGTCAAGCCCAAATAGGAAATGTGAAACCCGGTTCCTGAATCTTTTGGGCATAGATTCCGTGATCGACACGCCCACAAGGTCATGGTGATGCTGCAGCACTTGGGTGCTGCAGACGCACGTCACATTATTCCGGCGGGGGAGGAGTCGCGTGAAAGCTCGAGTAACCTCGAGATGTTGGCTCATTCAGCGACGATGCCATTGCAGGCGGCCAGGTCAAGCCATGGACACCGAGGCTTGTTCAAGAGCTAAGTACCGTTGGTGGATCAGCCATAGTACTTTACTGCTTCAGCATGAAACACGCTTTCACTGATGACGTTGCGGAACGAGTCAGTAAAGGGCACAAAGTCTGACGAATGCTCTCCATATCACCGTGCGATAGCGTTCAGACGATATTGGCGGGAGATTTGTCCTGAGTTTGGAGATCAGTGCCGCAAACAAACAACGGAGGCTTGTCAAATCTGGGGAATCGCCCAGTAAGCCAATACTAAGATGTAAAAAGGATAGTCCGTCGTGAAGGAATAACGAGCTTGACCCTCAAGATCTCCATCTTTATGTCGAAGACTGTGAGCTTCATGGCTCACAAGAACATCGAGGGGTTGCGCACTCTCTCGGTGTACTCTGAAGTAAGCAAGGGAGATGAGCGATCGTCGCCAAGGCTTTCGGCAACCAGCGAAAAAAATCGTGCCATAGCTATGGGTTCCGCCGGCTCCAGGCATCGACAACCTCCACAAACAATCTCGTCTACTCCTTAATAACCCTTTTCCACCCCGGATTGTTCTACTTTTGTATCGTCAACCTCCTTGCGAACAGCGCCACCGATACAATGCGCTTTCTCAGTTTCGCAATCGCCCTCCTGGCGCTGCTTACCGGAGTGTACAAATACTTCGACTCGCGCCTGGAGCAATTCTACATTTTCGACCCGGCGCATCTGCACGATTTGTCTCAGCGCGCCATCGCTGCTCACGGCGAAGACACCCGCTCCATTGTCGAGTTCATTGTCGCTGAACTGAGCGAGAAGGTCGGCACCACGAACCTCAACTTTGACCAGGAATGGGTCTTCAACAACGCCGGCGGCGCAATGGGCGCCATGTACATTATCCACGCCAGTGTCACCGAGTATCTGATCATCTTCGGTATGGCTCACTCTGTTTCAGCTACTGTTCCTCTTTATGTTTTCTCTTCCCTACGCCTTTCAGATCTTCAACCGTCTTGAATCCATGAACTAACACGACCTTTCAACTAGGCACCGCCATCGGGACTGAAGGACACACCGGTCGCCACACCGCAGATGACTACTTCAACATCCTCTCCGGCACTCAGGTCGCTTACGTTCCTGGAGAATTCGAGCCCGAGGTCTACCCTGCTGGATCCGTTCACCATCTTCGCCGCGGCGAGGTCAAGCAGTACAAGATGCCCGAGTCGTGCTTCGCCCTGGAATATGCCCGTGGCTGGATCCCTCCTATGCTGTTTTTTGGATACGCCGATACCTTTTCGAGCACCTTGGACTTCCCTACCCTTTGGGCTACCTCTCGCATCACTGGTCGCGAGATGATCGCCAATGCCCTCAAAGGGAAGTTCTAGAGGACTCTTGAGGCCTGGAGGAGACATTGTTGTGTATTATAGACATAGATCACCCTAATTATAATTTTCATCGTCTTCTTCAAACCTATTTTCAGACTTTTTTTCATTGCTCTCAAGATTTACCCCTATGCGAACAAAATAAATACTGACTAAGCATCCTTATCAGCCGGTTATCGAAAAAAAAAAGCCTCTCCAAATAAGGCCCAAAGAATCCGAATCTCCCCTCCCCCACATTCTACAACAAGAAACGACGCCATGGCTCCTACAGTATGTTTCAACTGCCAAAACTCACGGGCGGTCATCATACGGCCCAAAAACCGCCACAAGCTGTGCCGCGAGTGTTTTCTGTCCGTGTTCGAAGCCGAAGTCCACGAAACTATCATCTCGAATTCCCTCTTCACACGCGGCGAACGAATCGCCATCGGCGCCAGTGGCGGCAAAGACAGCACCGTGCTGGCCTCGGTGCTTAAAACGCTCAACGAACGACATGACTACGGCCTTGATCTATGTCTTCTCTCTATCGACGAGGGAATCAAGGGTTACCGTGATGACAGTTTAGAGACAGTGAAGCGCAACGCAGTGCAGTATGATATGCCCCTTGTTATCGTCGGATACGGGGAACTCTACGGGTGGACGATGGATCAGGTCGTGGAACAGATCGGCAAGAAGGGGAATTGCACATATTGCGGAGTGTTTCGGCGGCAGGCGCTCGATCGGGGTGCGGAGCGCTTGGGCATCAAGCATGTTGTGACGGGGCATAATGCAGATGATGTGGCGGAAACGGTCATGATGAACCTGTTGCGCGGCGATCTGCCTCGATTGTCGAGAGGCACGAATATCGTGACGGGCTCGTCGTCCTCGGACATCAAGCGCAGCAAGCCGTTGAAATATGCGTATGAGAAGGAGATTGTGCTGTATGCGCATCACAAGCAGTTGGATTATTTCAGCACCGAGTGCATCTATTCACCAGAGGCTTTCCGGGGCAGTGCGCGCACATTGATCAAAGATCTAGAGAAAATCCGACCGAGCTCTATTCTCGACATCGTGAGGAGCGGCGAGGAAATGGCTACGCTTGTGCCTATGGCAGATGGAGGACATCCGGCACCCGAGGAAACGTCGGTGGGAGGGTGCGGAAGTCAGAACGGGCGAACGCGCGGTAGCGAGATGGCGGAGATGGAAAAGACACTCGCTCAGAACGAAGCTTCGGCGTCTCTAGAGACCGAGATCAAGTTGCCCTCGCAGCAGACCGCAGCAGTCTCACTCCCTAAGGGAAACACAAAGAAACAAAAGAAGATGGTCCAACAGAAGCCTGTAACCAAGAAGCAAGTGCTGGGCAAGTGTGAGCGCTGCGGATATATTACCAGTCAACGCTGGTGCCACGCATGCACACTCCTCGAGGGCTTGAACAAGAACAGACCCAAGACAGCGATCGAGATGGATATCAGCCCGGAGGAAGAGGAGAGTAGCACCACGCTACGGAGACAAATGGAGCAAGCCCAGCTGGCGGGGTGAGCTGACACTGTGTATACACAACTCCATCACATCTTTTGGACAACTTGGACGCCCATCTACTCTCTCAAACCGGTTTCATCGCCCCCTCACCCTGCAACAGCAGAAGGCACGCAGATGACTCTGTTGCCATAGGCCTCTGCTCCGTCATAATAATGTGCAGAGATCTCAGAAGCATATCAGCTCGGCATATAGATAGACCTTGCAAATGCATCAATTCCAGCGCCCAACACCATAATATACAAACATCATGTAGTATACACAATAAAACGCCTCAGTATGTGGCCAATTATACAAACTCCACCAAGTATCCGATGGTTCCTGTTATCTCTTCCATCTAATCTATAACTTCACTTCCCTCGACGACAATCCGTCCCATCGCGCCCCATCCAATCCAAACCGAATCACTCCTTCTCATTCTTTTTATCTCCCACCAACTCCGGCAAATCCAACCCAACCCTTCTCGCCGTAAGCCTCACCCTCTCCTCCTCATCCATCAACGAACCAGGGTTATACCGATCAACGAGCATCGCATACGTGCGCTGCGCCTTGGCATACTGCGCAAACTGCTCGGCCTCTTGCAGCCGGCGCAACGTCTCTTCCTCATTGGATGTGCTCGTGTTTGCAGGGTTGCGGTATGCGTCGCGGACGCGGTTGTGCAGAGGGGTTGGGGAGGAGAGCGAGCGCCGTGGGAGTTCGCGGAGGAGGGCGCGGTAGGTGGATTTTGCGGTTGTTGTTGGGAGGGACATTTCGGTGGCTTGGGTTTGAGTTGGGTTTCACACGTTGGTGAGAAAAGTTTGGCTTTTTTTAGGAGGGTGTTCGAAGGGAAGGAAGGACTGGTTGGATATTTTTTGGTTGGGTGTCTTTTCTTGCGGTTGAAAGTTGAAGCTCCGACAGGCCTCAATGGCCGATACCTTCACGTGACTATCATCTACTTCGCCTTCTATGATTTTCATGTATGTTAGATTGGAGATGTCACCGGAGTTATATTCGAAATATCGATTCTGAACTTCTAACTTTGTATGATGTATGAAAAGAAACATTCGCCTGGTCCCGCCCTGAACATTTCCCACTGATTTTTGCAGATACACATCGCCTTCGCCTTTGGCCTTGAGAAACATCGAGTAACGGAAAGGAAGTGCGCGATACGTACAGTAAACCGAGGATAAAAGGAGTGTACACGAGTGAAGACGAGGATTGGAAAATAGAATCGCCTAAAAAAAGTTCCAGCGCGCCATCCAGTCGTGAAGCTGAGGAGTCTATGTAGCAGCATTTAACGACAGCCCATATTCTTTCTTTGACCCATTGCACATGATTTCTAGTATCTTAAGGACACATTACAAGAAAAAAGAGATTGAGAAATAGTATGAAAAAAGGGGTTGGGGAAATGGAACAGGAAAGAAGGAAATTAGGTACAAGTTGAATCCACGGGAAAATGAATCCTCTTGAAAGGCCAAAAATGCCGTACAGTAGAAGAGGGAGAGTGGGTGAGGATGTCGAGCCGGTGAAGACGTATTCAGCGGCGGAAAATGAGAACTCGTCTCCTGTGGTTCTGGCTCAGGAGTTGAGCGACAGGCCCTGGAAACGACTTGCCCATTCACCTTGTGCGGGATTCATGCGGGAGGAGCCAGGATTACCTCCCGGGGACGCAACATAATCGTTGTATCCTGACTCCAGAGGACTGTAGGCGCCTTGCTGATACGTGAAAGCATCAACTGATCCGAGGCCACCTAGGCCAGCTTCAGGTTGGCGAGAATGACCGAATTGTTGCTGGTACGACTCTCCGTATCCATTACGCAACAGGCCCATTTGGTTGCCAGCGCCATCGCGGCCGGCATCTAGACCATCACGAGCATGTCCATATGCTCTAAGGTCGCGCTGGTGGGGACGGTCGTTCTGGGTATCTTGCGCATAACCCAACGGGTTTGGGCTTGGGAGACCAGCAGTTGGAGGGGTGACGAAAGATGCAGGGTTGATGGCGGACATCCATATTCTGGTTTTGTATATCTTGAAGAGGTCGGTTACAAGGGAGTTGAAGTTTATGTATGAATCGGCGAAATAGTAGAACGTAAGTTTCTTCCAGTCCCTGCGATTGTTAGTTACACCTTCATATCGTTGTTTATCGTGCACTCACATCTGGAACTCCGCATCAAGAATCTCCATGTTGAGACGATGCTCCACAACTTTTTGCTGGCAGACTCGCTTGGCTTTCGCTTCATTGCCCTCCTTGTCGCGCAGAGTCAGGATTTCATGGTTTTGGGCAAGCCTTTTGATCAACTTTGGCTTGATTTCCCCAGAAGGTTCCTGCACTCCATGCGAACCATGAGGTCCCATGCCACCAATCGCACTTCTGTTATTCAGGCCTGGGACTCCACCTGGTGAGCCAACGGCATTCGCCGCACCGGTTTGACCCTGTCGCGAAAACATCATCAACCATTTGTAATGCTCTTCAGCATACTTTTGCTTCAGTTCGCGCGCTTTCTGCAGTGTGACATTGGCATGCTGGATAGTTCCAAGGTCTGTGCCACGGTCCGCTTCAACAATCACCAAATCTCCTGGCTTCACCTGAAGACCAGTGTCCTTTTGGATGAAGAAAACGTCCGCTCGATGGCATTTGAACGTCACAATGTAGAGTAACTGGTTCGGAAGAGGGTGGACCTGGGGCTGGTGACGACCATACGGGGGGTAAGCTTGGTGGAGAGAAGTAGGGATTGGCGATTGAGCTTCGGTGGCAGCGCGAAGAGACGCATCGCGACCAAAATATGATTCTGCAAATCGACGAGCTCGTAAATATTCCGATTCCATTTCATGCTCCTCGGGGCGAGGGACCATAGAAAAGCCTGGGTACTCACGGTTTTGGCCTGGCGCATTCGGAACAGAACCATCGCCGGTGTTCGGGTAGCTCTCTTCCTGCTCCCCCAATCCAGCTCGTAAATTGTTGGCAACTGGTGTCTCTCCTGAGATGGAAGCATGCCGAATCGGGATTTCCGCAAAGGAGTGGCGCCTACTCTGGGGAATATCTTGAAGGCTGCCGAACCCAAGAGAGGTCTGCCAATGTGCCTTTCTGAGATTGTCCATAGTCCGGTACTCCAAGGGGGTGAATGCAGAAAACTGCTTCTCCAGGTTGACCGAGTGCTCGGAGAATCTCCTCCTTGGGTTGTTGTAGATGTCGTTGTAGCCCGGGATACTGCCTACTTCATCAAGGTCTTCCACCGCGAGGTCTGCTTCCTCAGGAACGCTACCACGAATTGGGTGCATGTTGCGAATACCACTTCCAACGGCATATCCACTAGCTCCCGACGCGGACGACATTGCACGATCCCTGAATGAGTTATCCAGGTGTCCAGCAGCTTGGCGTAGCAATGCATTCTCCCTAGAAAGCTTCTCAATGGTGCGAGCTTGGTCAAAGGCATTATTATTATAGCTAGCGTCCGACCCCTCGGGACTCTCGGCATCATCATCTTCATCTTCGCGGACTCGACCTAGAGTAGCAGGATCATGGCCCAAATCTCCCAGAAGGCTTGGTCGTGAGGAACGATGCTGCAAAGCAGAGTATTGCGCTCCATTGCGGGGGCGACCACCTTGATATGCAGAAGCTGCAGGCTTTGCTGTAGTTGGATTCAGAACTTCAGGGTCCAACTGGCCCACGGAGTACGACTGTGAACGGTAGGTCTTTGGCGTCGGATAAAGTGGAATCGAGAAAGGAATGGCGGAATCACCAGAGGTTGTCCGAGTAGTAGGACTAAGGAGCTCATCGGGCATATAGTTGGCCGAAACCGAGAGCGGTGGGTTGGACGTCGTGGGAGACGGAACAATCTCCGACAGTCTAGGAGGAGGCTCTTTGCGGGAGTCGGTATTCCAGATACCGGTGCCCCACGGAAATGATGAGGTAGTATTGGCGACGGCATTCCAAGTCAAGGAGCTGTTCAAACCGGGACTAGTAGTCGCTTGCCAACCGGATTGCTCAGTAGCCGGGCTAGTCGGAATGGAAGCTCCAGATGACAGAGGACCAGTCAAAGAGGATTTCCGAGGCATGCTAGCTGGGATTTCATTGAGCCACGAGGTTCGACGAGCAGGCTTATGCGCAGGCGCAGAAGTAGAAGGGGCGGGTAGCGGATGATCGCCGTCATCATCAGACGAAGCCAGAGCCTCGGAATCGGGAGTAGAACGACGAATTCCAGGGTGAGTTTTCTCTAGCCTGGCTGATGCATTATTAGGCGGGGTGTGGGACGCCGATGACGGCTTGTTTTGCGACATTGTGTTTTCAAAGTTATGGCAAGCCACGACTGGTGAAAGTGAGGAAGTCTGTCTAAGACCTAACTGAGAGGAGCGCTGGATAGAGCTTGGTTAGCCAAATTGGATAGGAGTGAATCGAGCTGGGCTGGCAGTACAGGCATGACAGTGCATCCAAAAGGCAGTGAATGTGTTGTGTGAGGGTTGAGACACAAAGGAATTTGTGTGAAGACAAAAAACAGTGCAATGTCGCCATATGAAGGTCGCCAAAGAAAGGGAACATATAGCAAGATGGCTGTAAAGACCTACCTATGATTACAGTAACAGATCACTGAGGGAATAAGAATCCGCTGTTTGCTTCCTGAAACAGAGCTGAGACTCTTTCAAGGCCAATGAGCAGATTCCCTGTTACTACTGGAAACCCCGAAGCCCGGACAGTCCAGGAGTATTAGTCTCGAATATCAAATAGACAGTTTCTGTGATGTGCGACCTATACAAAGTCAGTTATTGATCATATAGATTTTGGAATTAAGAAAGTGTGGTCAGAGAATAAGAATAAAAATGGGTTAAAGCATTGTGAAAGACAGCAATTGCGGTTGGATAGCTATATCAAACAACTAGGCAACTGCCAGATAGGGATATATCAGGGGTTAGACGCAGGCTTGTGGTGCGGTATCATTATAACAGCTCCCATACTTCATGGTTTGCGCCCTGAAGTATATTCACGCCGGATTTATAGAACCCTGTTTCGAAGAACTGATGATTGCCGAAGGGTATATCAAAAGTTCACCCTGCATGTCCTTGTCGTCCAGATGCGTAGAGTATGGCAGGGGAGAATTCAAGCTCCGAAAACAGCAACCCTGACGGAACCTCGCAGCACACATGACAGTAAAGAATTGCGCATAGGGTTACAGGCAAGAAGCATATGCGCATATGGACCGCAAAAGATAGCAAGAGCGGAAGGCATACCTTGCGATAATACAATGTGATTTGGGCGAATGGACAGCGCGGAGATTACTTGCAGTCCTAAAAACAAAAAGAGCAGTCGAAATTCGTGATCGCGTCTATCAAGGTTATCCGGGTTAGCGACAGTTGCTCCAGCGCATAGACCAGAAACTCACCAGTCTAGTATGAAAGCGAAACTTTTATAGTCTAACCAACCCAGCAATGAAGAATCGTAAACCGTACCACAGCGGGTATATCCCTTTTCTGAAAACAACTCAGCGCCGTAAGAGAAGCGACCAGGCTTCAGTCTAAAGGGATTCGACCCGGTGCGAAAGGCTGCGCTTTGCGACAGGTTGGAAGCGCTGAAGAGATCGAGAAGAATAGGTCTAGTCGGATTCGTGGAAAAATAAATCTCTTTTCCCTCTTCCCCCTTTTTATTGTATTATATTCCGGCTCGCGGCAGCAAAGAAAAAAAAAAATAGGTCTAGTGGCGTTTGATCCGACTCGCGACGATGGGAAGTCACTGCAAATGCGGGATCGTAGAAGGTGGTAGCGTGACCATAGGTGACGTTGGGAAGCAGCGATCTGGCTCCAGTAACTATGGGCGGATCCCCTCAGGAGCAGCGCATCTTGAGGTGGACTAGGAAAAAGGAAGCAAGCAAACCGCCGCGCGATTCAGGCGAAGCGAAATCAGGCGGCTATCAAGGAGGTTGGCGTGTCCTTCTTGTTGGTCGGGAGAAGGATGGGTGGAAGCGGGAGTGCGGAGTGTAGGACGGCGCAGGCTCAGGGACAGGACGGTTGCGTGAGGCGGACGGAGGCAAAAGTGGTGAGGTCGATGCGACGGCCCGCAGAGAATCTGGGGCAGACTGAGCTCTTTGGAACGAGGCCGGGGCGGTCGAATGCGAGCACAGGGGTGTAGCAATTCGAAAGACAGTGTCGAGGCAGTACAAAGGACTGAAGAGAAAAAGCAAGAGAAAAGAGAGAAAAGCCAGAGCGAGGGCAGAAGAATGGTAGAAAAGAGGAGAAAGAGGTTGTACAGTGGTAGGGAAGAACGCAAACTAAGGAGGTTAGCTCACCTCAGGCCACCGGACACAAAGGAGGGAGCAAAGACAACGAGCCACGGGTCGGGGCACCGAGCAGAGTGGCGCAAGTGGTGAAGCTACTACGGAGCAAGTTAGTCCACGCCTTCTCCCATCTTTTCTTTGCAGTCGATGGACAGTTGATTTTTTTTATTACTTATGACTTCTGTTTCTATGATTCGCCAGTTGCCGCTCGCCAGAAGGAGCATGATCCTGAGGATTATCAGCGGCATTATTGTGGCCTGTATACGACATCCATGGATGCTTCGAGTCTGTCCATTCGCCTGGTCTACTGAGCTGGTGGCCGGGGGGGGCGAGACAGAGACGAGATTAGATTAAAATACATCGATCAGGGCGGGGTAAGCAGCAGCAGAGAGGACAGGAAAGTCTGGATACAGGGTGGTCAGAGTCCGAGGCTGCAAGAGGGGCGACAAGCTAAAGTCGTTGGAGATGCTCTTACGCACACGAGCAGTGGAGGGACACTCGCCAGCCAATCCGGCCCTCGCGGTCTGCAGGCGTACGACTCCTCGTGAGGGTAGAGGCCGTAGTACGACCTCTTGCCGTGAGGTGGTCCTACTCGGAGTATGACAGGCAGAATCATCCATGAATCCATGATCTGGAAAGCAACAGACTGGAGCTCGCCTGGGCTGGAGATGAAAGCAATGGCGACGACGGTGGGTCTGGCGGGGCTCTGGCGGCCAAGTCGAAGATCCTCCGCGCTTCTCACTGGCCTAGGAAGAGTGCCCCGACCGGCCGGGCTCTTCTCGATCGCGGGCTCTCCTGAATTCCCTGGAAGTTACTGTTCAAAGGGCACGGCCCAAGATATACGCCTGTACCTAGGCGCAATTCTGTCAACAGGAAGTCTAATAATGCCTCAAGCTTGGACTCCCGACGTGCTTGGCCGGAAGGGCAGGGAGCCTGGCCACAAGGACCAGGATTGCCATACAAGAAGCATGCTTTCTGTACGCCCTAAATCCCTCATATAGTCGAAATGGCATGAGGAGAGAGAGGGCAGAGGCATTTTATCATGGACATTATGAGGATCTACTTGACAGACTTTACAGGGCGGTCAAATCTTGTCGTGGAACCGTTAGAGTAGTAGACGTCATTTCTACCACAATGTTACTATGTAGATTCACTCACACCATGGGAACGGAAGCATCGCAGACATCGCAACCAGAAAAAGCAAAATACGTCCTACAGGTGGCACTTCGTTCCTTCATGTCAGCCCTCGGGTGGCGGGGGACGAAAGCGATCGACTCGCAACGAGATGCCTTGCAATTCCGACGAGAGCGGATCCCCAACGGGGTCAAAAATGACTGTGTGGCCCTAATGCAGGATCGCCGCACAAATTGCGGAGAGAGCTTCCCGCACCAAAAGTTGCTTGCCCAGCCCAATCCCAAGGGCCGCCTGTTGAGATGTCGATGGAGCCCGTTCACCTCGTGGCGAATTGCCGCTCGAGTATTCTGGTTATACTCTCCGAAGGAGAGAGTCTTCTGACAGAGGCAAGGAGCGATCTATGGATGGCCATGACATGCACCGGGCCAGGACCATGGCTGGAAGCTCCGGCTTATCGAGCCCCTCTCCCAGGTCAACCCCTCCTCGGACGTTGGCGATCAACAACAAACCGTTCCTGTGTTCTCCGTACGTTTCAGCATGAGAACTATTCTCGACGAAGATGATATCAGGCTCTTCACAGTCACCTGACGATATCATCCCCAGCAGACGATGCGATTATCGCCCTCGAAGTTCTCGCATGGCTAAATTGTTCCCAAATTCCCAAACCAGCGCCGATCTTCCAGAACATGGGGTACATTGTTCAAGAGCCCTACGCTAGGCCCGAGCCCAAGAGGCCAACTGGCTGCTTCCACCCAGATCAAACCACATGTCCTTTTGCCATTTCGAACCCTGCCAAATGCAAAGTCCCCCGCACACACTTACTTCAGAGCAAACAACATCCTGCATGGCAAGTCAAGAGCCCTGGCCAGGCTGTCTTGCGGCCAGCGCCTTCCAAACCCTTCTTCTTTGTTTCGTCTCAGACAATTTCTTCTTCTTTATGGTGAGTGAGCATTGGAGGAGCATTAACCAGCGAGAATGCGGGGTACGTCAGATTTCGTCGCTTCAGGCCAGGATATTTATTGATCCCTGGGACTTTTATTCTCATCCTATTCGCCTCATCAGGAATAACATAAATCAACCATGAATAAGTCTTGAATAACTTGCACACTACTGCTTACGTCGTCATGCTCCCCCCTCCTTTCAAGCACAAGCCACCACCATCCACTTCCCTTTCATAACCCATCCATCTATCGACTTCAGAATCTAAATTCTCGAGTCCCCACAACCCTGAATCCCCGGCATAAGTTAAGAAAAACCTAGACAAGCCAAGCAGTAATAGGCTAATACCCCGTCCGTAGCCCAACTTGGACTCGAACTCTGAGACGCAATATACGCTAGGAGAGGGCCCGGCCGAGTTATAGGAGAGAATGCATATGTACTTTCGAGATATGTAGCGGACCGTGCGCGCCGAGGCTATCCGCCGTTGGGGCCCTCTCGGCACTCGCCTGTCCGCCACCCGGCGCCCGAGTCAAGGACTCGGTGAGGGGGCGGTTCTTGGGCAGTATCTTTGTCTGAGATTATTGTTAGAATTTTTTTATGAAGAGAGGAATGTCGATATGTCGAGCCTTCTCCGATTCTTGGAGTGGAGCCTCTGACACAAATGTGTGCGGGGCTGAGACCTCAGCGTAATATATATAATTGATGGGTACGAATCGTAGGTGGTGAGAGTATTGGCTTCAATTACATATGGTTGATGGTTATTAATTTCATGTTAATGTACAAGTTCTACTACTACTAATATCGTCGATCATCCGCTTTTGATTCAAGTAGCGAGCGAGCCCTAGGCATAAACTTAGTCAAGATGCGGTATCAAGCGGCGCAGAAGCAGTGGCCGATGCACCCTTTTGCTGTCGCAGCTTCTCCTCAAACTTGGCAAACTCGAGCATCGAGACCTCTTCCTCCGGATCAGTGGCTTGTTCAACACCCTGGACTTCTTCAATCTGTTCGCGAGTAGATCAGTGGACGTTCCGAGGGACGAGACAATGGCACAAGATGACTCACATAATGCATGAGCATAGACTCAATACCATTCCGCAGCGTAACCGTGCTCGAGTCGCACGTGCGGCAAGCTCCCCGCAGCTTCAGCATGACGATTCCATTCTCAAACCCTCTAAACTCAATGTCTCCCCCATCTTCTTGGATGGCGGGTCGGATTCTCGTTTCCAACAGTTCCTTGATCATGCTCACCACCTCGTCGTCCTCTTCATTGTAGCTAAGAGAGTCCTCCTCGCCGCCCTTTTGCGCGTTCTCTCCGCTCTTCGCCACGGTATTGACGATTGCTTCGCCCGATGTTACGGCTTGAGTGATCAGACTAAAAACCTCCGGCTTGATGTGCGCCCAGTTTGCGTCGCTGGCTTTTGTCACTGTGATGAACTCCGGTCCGTAGAAAATGGATTGCACGCCGTCGACGTTGAAGAGGTTTGCGGCTAATGAGGACGGGTGGGGAGGAGCTAGGGTTGAGCGCGGGGAAAGGTACTCGAGGAACGAAGTTGGGAACTCCTCGGGTAGCACTCTGTGATTGGGGATGAATTTCAAGGCCTGTAAGCGAAGCCACATCATCAGCATTTGTTTATGCATATAGTAGGAGTAACCTTCGGCAACATACATCAGGGTTGGGGGTCGATTCCGTCTGGATGAAGATTGTCCGTTTGTTAACCGGCGATTGTCCCGTCTGACCCGCTGAGAGGTGATGAGGTCGTAGTGTCGGCCGATGTCGAGTCTCCGATGCAGTGATAGCGGGTAACCGGGCTGAACGATGAATGCTTCTGAAAGATCCCATGGTAAGGGGTCTAATTGTCCGCGGGGAGCAGTCGGCAACGCTGGAAATCTGCGCGGCGAACCGATTGCCGAAAATGGTTCGCCTGATCATGTTTGCGGATACCGGGCTAGTAGCCATTTTGCAGAATGAGTAGTATGCAATACAGAACTATTGTCTGGTTGGAATTGTCGCTGGCGAAGTTTTGTGATCGGCCACTTTCGCCGGCAAACCTCTGACGCAATAAATTCACGTGATATTGCGCTGACAAATGGCATTCTCAGCCAATCATGTTTGAGTTATTTTGCACTCCACTGTCTCAATAGTCCTTCCAAAAGAGAAGAGAGAAATCGAGAACTGGATATTGTGTCTTTCGATGCTATGCAGTGGCTTGCTGCATATGTAGCACTCCAAAAGCCGGAACCTTACTAAATCACGAGTCAAACGAGATCTAGCATTAGAGCGTATTGTAGCTGCTGGCACGCAGAGCGGGTCAAGTCCCAAGCAACACCGGAACGTCTCTAATAGGGACGTCGAGAACACAGAGTAATTCACCAATAAGAGGGTAGAGCAAGACCAGGGTGGCCCAATAAACCATGAGACTCTGCACAACTCAGAGAGGGGAATTCTAATGCAGCGGGAATTAGATCGCTGTCGAGGGACTTTCGAAAATCAGGGTGAGGCATGGCACCGGGTGAAGAAGCTATTGGTGTACTAAACTTCCCTTGCATTAAGAGGCACGTTTGATGGAGATCTGCCTCCAGTTTGAGGCAATCCCGTAGAAGCTGGTCTCCGACAAAGCAAGATTTGTCGGACTCCGTAGGTTGAGAGGAAAGGAATTTATCAACTTTTTCCATAATCGCAGAGCACTCAGCAAGTTGATCAATAAACTCGTCAAAGGGGTCGGCTCTTGTCTGGCTATCAGAGTTACTCCGCCATATTGGTATTGTATATAGATACGGTGTTTTCCGCTTCCCAACAGCGTTGCAAAGCTAAAGACGTGGTCAGCATAAATTGCCAACGGTACCCCAAGGTCAAAACTCAAGACTAGCTGTCACGTATTTCAACTGCCGATGGAATAGCTTCTCTGCAGCGGTTTCCTCCCCTTGAACAGAAGAGATTGCAATGGCGCCCTGATTCGCTACCCAGGCCATAAAGCCCAGCGGGGCGCAATTAATCAACTAAAACTTTCAGTCAGCATAACATCCGATAGTGCTAGGTCTGATCGCACCTCATATATTTGAAGGACGATGGTAGTGTACAAAATATCCTGCCCGAGCTCGATGCCAGATTTTATCTTGCCATGAAGAGTCTTCAAGATATTGCCGTACAGTTTGTTACTATACCGAAGAAGGCATTCATCTTGGTTATGCTTGGCAAGAAAAGCAGCTGATACTGATACTGGTATAGCTGCCTTTTCCAAGACTGCACTGCGGCCTGTAAGACCTGGGAGAGTTTGGAGCAGACTTCGCCTGGTACTATCACGAAGATAATACGGTTGAGGAAGATTGGTCTCGATGAAACTCATCAGTAACTGAGCTCTAAGCTCTGGGTTGGTATTGAGGCGAGGTATGTCGATTTTCTGCACCACAGCCGATTTGGCATCTGGCCAAGCTTTGAGTTCTCATGTAGTGTTTCAGTATGTCCGTGTATGAAGATTTTCTTCCTGGAATAACCATTGCATTTGTGACCATGATTGATACACCGCAACAATTTGGTCTGGCTTCATCACACTATAGTTCAGGTCACTTCAGGTCGCTTCAGCTCACTTTATGGGCATGTTTTATGCATGTTTCTCTTACCTTTTACCTTACGGCGCCGGCAAGTATTGCAACCCGTGCTTGTATAAGGGATACCACCCATTATCTCGGCATCGGATTATCGCTCCAGATGAAGCATGACTAGGGAATGCCCCGAAGGATGCTTCAAGCGCTTAGAAGCTACTTCACAGGACGCTTTTGGGCGGCAAATTCGGCCCCATGGAGGATTGTTGTTAAGATTGTTTTTTAGGTTCCTGTGCTGTACTGTATTTGATATTTGCCACTCCAGAATCCAGATCCAACGCTGCATGGCACCACCCATTGAAGATCTTCTCCACTTTCAAAGATAACGCCCACGTGACTTTATTTTATTTTGAGGCGCAAGAGAGGTTCAAACCCACCGTTACGCGGCTCCAATTCTTGCTCTTTCGTCTCCCAGCCTGTCAATGTCTGCGGTATAACGGCCATGAAAGGAGCAAACTGATTGTGGTGGCTTGGGAAAAGATTTTGTGCCACGGGACATTGAAAACTCAATCATGTCAGGCCTTTGTGAGGTTTGCGCCTTCGAACCCTCCAAGTACAGATGCCCTACTTGTGAGATTTCGAGGTACGTTATCCGGACTCGCGGTGGGCCGCAGGGGGCTGTATCATTAACGCTAACAACTGCTGTAGCTGCTCTCTCGCATGCACTCGGACACATAAAATATACTGCGCTCCCAAAGCACCTTCGACGACCGAGGCCACGAACGCACCCTCTGATTCCCTAACGCAGCCCAATCAAGCCGCTTTACTTGTCGCCAGCGAGAACAGTCAAACAGCACAGAACGGACACAGGTTGGCGACGAGGGAGCCATCGGCAGAGATCAAGGACCTATTGAAACAGTATCCGATGCTGGGCGATCAACTACGAGACATATATAAAGCCACCCTACAAGAACAATGGGTGGAAGGGCCAGTCCATGGCGATAGGCCACGATACCATGGTAGAGGCAAGCCTCCCCAACGCAATCGTGGACCGTGGACACGGGAGAAAGGGTTCAGCCGGGGTCTGGGGAAGGTCCGGAAGTATAGAGGCCGTTGTGAGGATGGCCTCGAAACTGGCAAGGGCGCTGAAGCCTTCATGCGACTTTTGACCCTGGTCAACGAAGAAGGTGCCACAAAAGAGCCTCAATGAAGGCCACATGTGCATCTTTTATAGCCTCTGGACCAGCACTACCCTCTCTGTCGACTTCCAAGTCAAGTTCTCGGAGAGATTCTTGAGCACCCGGCGAGTTCTGGCGCATTACGGGGTCTTCTTGCAAAGGCTGACTACATATCATGCTGAACGAAGCTCAGACTGGTGTGACCAATCAATCCACGGATAAGCAAATCCACTCTGGGGCCAGCAGAACAACCGGCCTCAAGGGAAATTCACATGGTATGGAGCTTTATGCTCGAGCATGGCTCACCGTTTTCGACCAAATCCAGATTGGAGTTTGGCAGCAATTATCCATGGATATTCTGAAATTCGGCAAAACGTTGAACCTATCAGATTCACAAGACACTTGCCAACACTTTTATGGTCAAGGGAAATGGAAATTGGTGCTTTATTATTACACTACCCAATGGTTGTATTGGCGTGGTCATAGAAATAGTTAGTTTATTGAGACTCGAGGGAAATAGCAGCGACACAGTTGTGCTTCCTCCTCGTTCATACAAATATATATCTCCCTTCTCGACAGTAGCAGTGCTGCTCCGGGAACCTCGATTTCCTCCCCACGTATATACAACGCCAATGCTCAATTTCAAGCTTACGCTGGATCAGGTCTGGTTTTCATTCGAGCGTCAGCTCCGGTTCCTCTCCTTTTCCCATCGGGAACGGCAATTGATATTGATCTGTTGAGAAACCGTGTCTTGTCCTACACTGGAGTTGGACCGTGCGATGTTCAGCCCCAGCTCGTCACAATCCGATTTTTAGTTTTGTTGCCTGCGATTCGACAGTTCGAATTCATCCTCTCTCTTCCTTCCTGCCAAGTCCCTCGCTGCCTCCACGAATAATTTGGTGGCGTTTGACCCAATTAGCCGCTAGGAGTGCGATTAAGAGCCCCCGGTTGGCCTACCAGCGTGGTGTGTGTGCACATCTAGGCTGTTTGCAGATCCCGAGGTGGGCGCGTCAACTTCTGCTGAACACAAGATTTGCTGCTAAGCCTGGACTACTCCAGCTCCAAGCTGATCTTTTTGCCTGCTTCTTCTTGATCATACGCCAGCCCGTCCATCAAGTCCTGCCGGCCTGCTTTCGAGTCCCTCTGTCATTGGTGGTTTGCCATTAGCACGCGGCTTTTCAGGTCAGGTCTTCCTGGCCTTGCCAATTCGCCTCCAAATCCTTGCTGGGTCTCGGCCTAGTGACAATCTGCTGGCCTGCATATGACTGATTCGACAGATTGACTCTGCATCGAGCCTTATAGCTGTAAGCTCAATTCTTCCGACTGTTTGCACCCAGAGGGATAAAATCTTACCATCTTGTGATCGACTTTCTTCAGGTCATCCTATCTGCACAGCGACCGGAAAGAACAGCGACGAAGGGAAAAAAAAAATAAAAAAAAAACACAGACGAGGTGATCGAACAGCTCTACGCACATTGGACTTGATCGGCGAGCGATTAGCTGCAGAACTGTTTCCCACGCGGGCAGATAACCCAGCAACGGCGATTCACGCAGGGAACCTCTTTCGAGTCATTCCAAAGCGACAATGGATGAGCTGCCGTGTTCGCCCCAATCACTCACATAGCACTGCTTGACCTCACGCTGTCGCACCTTGTTCGCCTGATCGGATTTCTCTACTCGCACCGTAGGGGAGTCTACCGGAACACTCGATTCACTCAATTATGGCGTCCCAAGCTCCGAGACGTGAGCGAGCTTCCAGTGATCGAGCCCAACCTGGTCTCATTCCCCAGCGGCCAGGTCTTCAAAGCCGAACGATTTCCGCCCCGCCCGGCGGACTATACAAACTGGATACATCTAGAACAGCGAGGGAAGGTGGCAGTGGTCTTGGACGGACACTCATTGAGGAAGAGGAAAACCCAGCACATCAAGGCGGGGGAATTACGGTCCCAGCAGCTCAATCTGGGAATAATGAGGTACAGCTCCTGTTCTTGAACGCAATGGGGATTTTCAAGACGTGTCGCTCACCTTTTTGTCCCGTCTTTAGACTACACCCAGATCGAGTTTTCCGCATGTCAGTATCGCCGTCGTTGGTGGAGACAAAGTAGGGAAAACGACGTTTATACAAAGTGCCTTGGACATGAAACATCCTCTTACATCGCGATCTACAACGAAGAAGATGTCCTTGGATGGAACTGTGTACGTTGTTCGATTGCTGAAAGTGCATGCCAGCGAGATGTCTCTGAGCGATGATGGAAAGCTGAAATGGCCACGGCTGGCCAACGACTCACCTGCTCTTGTCGACGGTGTGCTGCTCTTACACGATGCCTCCCGCCCTGCCACTCGTCTGGAGACACTCAGGATAATAGGTCTGTACAATTACTTTCAGGGCGCTATCGCATCACCTAACTAATGGTCATTTGTATAGATATCTTCACCGCTGTCTCCATTCCCTTCGTGCTTGTCGCCACCAAATGCGATATTCACTGCGCAGAGGGACCGCTGGAAACAACACTGGGTCGGTATGAGATTCATCAAACATCTCCCGAATTGCCTCAAAAACAGAAAATGTGCATTGCTGTTATTTTGCGCGACGTTTTCAGCCAAAGAGATGGTGAGTGAACGCCGAAGATTTCCTCATATAGCCTTGAATGCCCAAGACCTGTTTTGCGGAAAAAATGAGAGAAAGAATGTGGTAGGGAGGGATCGAGAAAATAATTCGGAACTTGGCCACGCGACAATACCCTTGTATACGACCCGCTGCGGATGTGTATTTGCTTGAAGCCAAAGCCTTGGGAGGGTGGTCAACAATACCACCCAGACCGGCCACGTTCGCGCTAAATTCACGCGGCCGGGGTTTAGCTCGCGTACCTCTTGTCACCTCTTTTTCCCGCTGGGCCCTGGATTGCAACTCTTTCTGGGGCAGCGAAAGACTGGGCAAGACATTGGTCCCACCCCTTTTTTTTTTTTTTTTTTCTTTTTTTTTTTCCACTGTCGGGCTTGTTTCAGGTTTGAGAGCTAATTGTAGTACTTAGTTATCGTTGAGGGGCGACAGACTACTCCCGGCACACACGAGTGGCATCACACTCGTGCTCGCTCAGAGAACCCCACACCATCGCTTACTGGAGCCGCGGGCGGTCCCTTCAGTAGCAGTGCTCTTGATTCAGGAGTCGATGGGTACGGCGTCGACCGTCAGCCCAGTGACTCAACCACGTCTCCCAACCTGGCTTCGAATGCACAGGGCTCGCGATATGCCCGGAGCAATTCGCATCCGGTGCGACCGCATACACCCCCGTCCCGATTGAATCCGCATAAGCAGCCTTCAGCAACCGTTGATTCTTCCCCAGGTAAGGACCACAACCGACAACAGCGCCTCCACACAGCCTGGCGCCACAGCGGGGGCTCGGACGCTTTCAACAGTTTCTTGGATATGGAAGACGACATCGAAAGACCGCCTAGCCCAGAAAGTAAGGATAAGGCCTCAAGTGAAAGTTCCTCAAACGAGACTGGATTCACATTCGATGAGCTGGTCGACAGACTCGTTGCTCAACCCATGTCAAAGCAGGACTCGAAATTCGCGTCAATCTTCTTGTGCCTTTACAGGAAATTCGCTGCCCCGGCTACTTTGTTGCACGCATTGATCAGTCGCTTTGAGCGCAATGAAAAGAATATCGAGGATCAATTGACGCGTATCGCGGACCAGTTGAGGCTCCTCAACATCATGGCCCAGTGGGTGTCGGAATACGCGGGCGACCTGGCGTACCCCAAGACCCGGAAGCGGATCGTCGACTTTGTGAGCACTCTAGAACGGAGCCATTTCTACATGTTTGCAGCCAAGGAGATCGGATCATATCTCGAGGTCAAGGCAGAGGACGATGATGTAGGATGGGCATTCAAGGATGGAGAAGCCGAAGCTTTTGACGGGCACGAGACCTTTTTCGACAACTCCACTCGCAGCTCGCCGTCTATGATTTTGGGTAACTTTTCGGTCGGAGACGACGGCGCTGAGGCGGAAGAGGAGGAGGAAGAAGAAGACCCTATATACAGCATGAGTGCGCTGGACCTTAGTGAGGGCATGCATGATCCGTCGTCGAAACTCTCAACAACACTATCGAGTCCCGCAACTGAGAAGCCCGGCACTATCCCAAGTCAATCATTCACATATATGCCCCTTGACGCTGCGCAGAGAGAATCCGAAGCTTTGGAGCTGACGGGCCGCCTTTCATTAACAAAAATCCTGTGGAGGCAGTTGATGGAGATTCCCGACGAGGATTTTGCGAATGAGTTGACGCGGATCGACTGGATCATGTTCAACACATTCCGGCCGCGAGATCTTGTCCGACATGTTAGTCTTTCCGGGCCTGACAAGGACAAGATCCAGAGTTTGAAGCATGTTAATCGCATGGTCAAACAATTCAACCACGTGGCATTTTTCGTCGCTAGCGTGATTCTCCTCCGAGATAAACCCAAGCACCGAGCGCGGGCACTGGAGAAGTTTATGAATATAGCTCAGGTGAGCAAGCTTGATCTCGTAAGAGTCTTGCGCTGACAGACATACTTTTAGAAACTTCGCCGCCTGAACAATTATAATTCACTGGGAGCAGTGATTGCTGGAATAAACGGGACGCCAGTGCATCGACTCAATCAAACACGGGAATTGGTGCCAATGCAGACTCAAAAGGGCTTCATGAGGCTGGTCATCCTCATGGGCACACAAAAGAGCCACTTTGCATATCGTCTGGCGTGGGACAACTCGTTCTCCGAGCGGATTCCATTCCTGCCACTTCATCGCCGTGACCTGGTCTCGGCCGAAGAGGGTAACCGAACTTTCATCGGCGAGAACCGGGCCAGGATCAACTGGCGCAAGTTTGAAGTAATGGGCGAAGTTGTGCTCGGGATCCAGCGCAGCCAAAAGACTCCCTACCCACATTTGCACAGATACGACGAAGTCGCCAGAATCATCCTGGACACCAAACTTCCAACTGATGACGAAGTACGCATCCAAATCCCTCCAACTAGATGTTCACTGCTGACATACTTAGGAACTGTATGCCCGTAGTATGCAAGTCGAACCGTCTGTTGGCGGCGACCTCGGTCGGAAGAAGTTCGGCTGGCTACGACCGTAACCCGAACAAACCGACAAATCTATCCGGACCATGTAATGAGATCTATGAGACGAGGGATACACATAACCTCCTACTTTACGACCCCACGCTTGCATGCTTGCAACCAGCATTGACGAAGGATTCATGAACTGCTCACGATTGCGATAAGATAATGTACATACATATTGCTGAACATATGTACCGGCTCTACTTATAACTTTAGTACTTACCTACACGTTTACTTCCAAACGAATTTAATAATTTATACGGACCTGATACTACAAGATTGTACCGTTGGAAGGTAGCCCAACATGTCCCTGCAAATTGGATCTGTCGATGCCTTGCAGCCTTAGGGTTGAATCCGAAAATGGAGGAAATTGCCCTTTAGGTGCCTGAGGCAGAAATAATTGCCCACGCACCGCTAATTGGACGGGATCCGCTCGCCTAATTTGCTAGCGTCCCACACACAACCTCCGTCTCAAGAGATCTTGCACCTCGAACTTTTCCAGCTGCGACAACGACGACAAGCCGACGACCTTCAAAGCCGACAAGGTATGTCAAGACAATCCTACACGCCATTCTTGCGCACACTATCTCAATTGCTCTGCTGCGCTGCGACATTTGGGAAAATCGCTTTCAGTCGAAACTAACCCTTCATTTCTCCGTCCAGATGGGTGCCCTCAAGTACGTCGAAGAGATCCAGAAGAAGAAGCAGTCCGATGTGGTTCGCTTCCTGCTCCGCGTCCGTTGCTGGGAGGTGAGAATTCCCCCCCAAGAATCGATTGCTTAAGACATCCCGCCGGATGCTCGTCTGGTTATGCCCACAGGAGACCTTTTCCGTTGCAGAGAGGGAATCTTTTTTTCCAGGCGGCTCGAAAACGACTTTTCATCTTTTCGCCGGCGGATGATTGTTGTGGCACAGCTTTCCCTTACTGGGATTTTTGTGTGTCTTGCTATACACTCGTTGAACTTTGCTGAGAGTGCATCAATATAGCTCCGTCAACTGAACGCCATCCACCGTGCTTCCCGCCCTTCGCGTCCCGACAAGGCCCGTCGTCTCGGCTACAAGGCTAAGCAGGGATATGTTGTCTACCGTATCCGTGTCAGACGCGGTGGCCGCAAGAGGCCCGTTCCCAAGGGTGCCACCTACGGTATGCTCAACAAGTTTTTTTCCTGGTCAAGAGGCAGGAGGTTAATTTGATTCTTCTCGTACAGGCAAGCCCACCAACATGGGAGTCAACCAGCTCAAGTACCAGCGCGCTCTCCGTGCTACCGCTGAGGAGCGTGTTGGCCGCCGTTGCGCCAACTTGCGTGTCCTGAACTCCTACTGGATCAACCAGGACTCCACCTACAAGTACTTCGAGGTCATCCTCGTCGACCCCCAGCACAAGGCCATCCGCCGCGATGCCCGCATCAACTGGATCTGCAACGCCGTTCACAAGGTTTGTCACCGCTCTTGGGATTGAATTGCTTTGCACCGCATACTAATATCTCCTCTCTAGCACCGCGAGGCCCGTGGTCTCACCGCTACCGGCAAGAAGTCCCGTGGTATCAACAAGGGCCACCGCTACAACAACACTAGCGCCGGTCGCCGCCACACCTGGAAGCGCCAGAACACCCAGAGCTACTGGAGATACCGTTAGGTGTAGGAAGAACATTGTGGAGGTTCTTGGCTGTGGGAAAAAGCTATCTTTGTGGACGTGTCTATTTCGGCCGCAGCTCGCTTCTTCACTGAGCTGTTTGGCTACGAGATTAATGCAACAGATCCCTTGGATTGGGTGTTAGCAAAAATCCTTTCATTTTCAAGCATGATTCCCCGACTCGGCTATTTCTTTAACGAAGTATGACGACTGTTTTCCGCTTTCTTCAGAGCATCCTTTGCTTGTAGACGTAGGGCGTAGTATAAAGTGTGCAGCCAGTGGTCGTTACAGCCGTTTAGTAACTGATGCTATTTCAAGAGCTTTGGCGGGTGGAGCCGACTTTTCCGGCATATCTGGAGCAGTCGATAAAAAAAGAGTGATGATGTAAATTGCTACCCTGCGACAGGCGATTGAACATGCGATGTAACGGCTTACCGAAGGCTGACTGATGGCACCATCCGGAAATAGCAGCATCGCACGTTTCAGCGGGACGTTCGGTTGGATGGTGGATGATCAGAGGGTGGTAATTAGCAGTTTACCAGTTCCTGACTAGACTCACTCCCAAGCAGTCGGGTAGGAAGCAAATCAACCTTGGAACTTGGAAGGAGCAGGATATCTGCTTCAGGCCATCTGCTAGCTTTCCCACACTGTCTTACCTGAAAAATGGACCGAAGCCACCAGTCAAACAAGGTCTCAGCCCAATTAATTCAGTCGTTCTACTGGTCCACGCTGTCTTGCGTAACCGCTGTTGGCGATCCTCTTCGACTGGAGTCTTTTGACTGGCACTGGCACCCGGAATCCCGTTGTGCCTGGTCCTGATTCTGATGCTTTTTCACTCATTCTCCATCTCGCTGGGAATTTACCTTCTCTTCGTGTGACTTGTACTGCCGGTCTCATCTGCAAAAGTGCTCTCGTGACAAACAGCATCTCACGCTGTGGCTTCGTATTTCTGAAAGGACCTCGGGCGCACCTTCTCTGGTTGCTTTGTCGCAGTAGGTGTCTCATCTCCCCGCTGTTTCCTTGTTGGTGGCTCTGGACTTTCATTTTGGCTGATTGCATGGTCTCCGCGGTTGCAGGTGCCTGATAAACCTACCTAGGTACTCTCCCAGTCGTCGCGAATCGATCGTCGTCCCCACCGTCGCAGCTGCTGTCTTCGAACTACATATAGGTCGACGAGCTTCGGAAAGTCGTCGGCGCAGTAAAATAACTGCATTCTTGAACCGGTGGCACACACCAATTCCCCGACGATACCAGTCTGAGCGTCGAGGCGTCGGTGCGACCAATGCGCCCACATGCCGTCGCGGGCTGCGCATAACCCGTCGGTCCACCCATCAGCGAGCCCGCTTGGTGTCCAACCTAGCTCACTCCCGATTCGCATACCGACGGCGGAAGACCCTCGCTCATATCATTCACGAAATGTCGAGACGAACCCCAGGACGACCGATTTTCCGGTCTTCTCCCCGCCCACTTCCCCGCCCTACCGCCGAGGGCATTCGCGCTCGATAAGCCAACCCTTTGCGTCACTTTCCGCGGCGGGGAAGCGCCGGAATAGATCGATATCCAAGGAAGTTACGCTGGATACCGACGACGACGACGACGACGATGATGACGACGATATCTACTTGCCGAACCCTGTTTCCTCGAGCCCTCGTAAAGGCCCGCCGCGGGTACCTCCAAAGGACGACTTGATAACGGGCAAGTGTATGACATGCAACAATACGGTACGGTGGCCACGGAACTTGAAAGTGTTTCGTTGTACTGAGTGTCTGACGGTGAACGATTTGGAACCGTACCAAGAGACGAGAAACCTCGGGAGCCATGGGCTGGGAAAGGATGCAAACCCCCCTCCCCAGGTAATAACGAGGAAAGGTACATCACGACGCTTTGAAGTTGTTGAACGTGTCTGACGGTTGATTTAGCTATCCCACTGACTGTTGAACGGACAATGGCCATTCTTGATCGATGCATCTCTACTTACCTTCGGCAACGTTTAGAGCCACCAGTAGCGCCCTCAAAGGACGGATCTGGCGAATTTCCCGCCGGGCAGAATGAGAATCGGGTTGAATCCACTACCAGATCACCCGAACGTCTACCTGTTCCTCAACGTCCAAGAATGGCGCGTGGTCGCAGTGCGTCATCGTCAGATCCACACGGCAAGGATGATGCTGGGAATGGACATATTGGGAGCTCGAGCTACCCGAGAACTACCTTCGCACCTCCTCCTCCACCGCCTAAAGATGGGATAGACTTTCGGAATACGCCTGGAAACCCTAAACCGGGGGAACTGAGTCGGCCACGCGAAAGTGGAAAGAAGGAGAGGCATCCCTACGTTTTCCGAGAGCTTGAGGACTATATCATATCAGGCTTCAAAGGCTGCGATACTCTAAATGCGTCCTTCAAAACTGCCCATGCCCTTCACCGTGATGCTCCAGACATTGGTCACACTGAGCACGATACAGAGCGAAGCGCCAAACAAGTACATGTGGACCCGATTATCGAGCTGGATCCCAAAACACTCATGGTAGGGGATTTAGTCGAGAACTCGTCTTGGTGGGGGCCTGACAAGGAACCAATTACCGGGCCTAATCATACCCAACCAAGGCACAAACACTCAAGAACAGTCAGCTCTAGAAACCCTCGGATCAATTGGGCTGAGCTCGATCGGTGGTATCAGTTGATAATGACGGCCGGAACGGCATGGATTGAGAAATGGTCGGCAATGGAACCTACAATTGGACACGGGAATCGCGCTACTGTCGAGGCATGGCGTATGGCAGACTTGGGCGCAATTGAAGCGGAGGTCGTCGAATCGCGTGTACACTTACACCGGACGTTACTGAAAGCCACCGAGAACCTTCTTAAACGACCTCGGCGACCGTTGAAGAAGCCAGACGACATTCGGTTTCTTCTGATACTACTGGGAAACCCACTGATATATCCACTTAACCCTGCGTTAGCCAGTCTCACGGTGCCTCATGGGCTCTTGCGGCCAGGGGAAACTAGTAATCGACCGGCTGTGGGCAGCAAACCACTTCCTCCGCGAAATCAGGGCCCTGGAACCAGTCACCATCCTGGAATCGTCAAGCGCATTGTGGGGTTACTCGCCAACCTACCGTGTGACTGCCATCACTATCTTGTCTCTTGGTTTTCACGCTTTTCACTACCGCAGTTTGAGAAAATCGTGGAACTTGTAGGCAGGTTTGTAACCTACCGGCTATGTCGTCAACATCGTCGCCGAAAGAGTGAAGCAACAAAAGAAGACCACTACCTGATTCCCAGCTTTTCCAACGCAGCCATGACCAACAATCCATCGGAGCTACACGCCGCCATCAGCGGGAGGAGCCAAAATAAGCAGGCGAAAGATAAGCGCGATGTGCCCATGTTATACAGTGACGACTGGCAAGTCCGTGCTGCAGGCCGAGTTATGGCACTGCTGTTTACTGCAAATAACACAGATATCACTCGGAAGTCGGGTTCTCATGGCCAAGATCCAGCCCATGTGCCCAGGCAGCAAGGGACTGAGCGCGGCCACATGGTCCCCATCAGTTCATTCTACAATACAAGGCTCGACTACTCAAACCTTGTGATTGCGGATTTTGAGGCCTGGGAGTCGAAAACAACCAAATTCACGTTCTGCCAGTACCCTTTCTTCCTTAGTATCGGCGCAAAGATCCAGATCCTGGAACACGATGCCCGTCGACAGATGGAAGTCAAGGCCCGTGAAGCGTTTTTCAGCAGCATACTGACTCGCAAGGCTGTGAGCCAGTACTTTGTGCTCAGAGTTCGCCGCGACTGCCTAGTTGAAGATAGTCTCCAGCGTGTCAGCGAGGTTCTTGGATCTAGCCCTGAAGAGATGAAGAAAGGGCTACGGATAGGATTTGTTGGTGAAGAAGGCGTTGACGCGGGTGGTCTTCGAAAAGAATGGTTTTTGCTGCTTGTGCGTGAGGTGTTTGATCCGCATCACGGTATGTTTTGAATTTGCTTCGGGAGAGACAATAGGCTAATATCTGGACCAGGGCTGTTTGTCTATGATGAGGACTCTCAGTATTGCTATTTCAATCCGTACTGCCTCGAATCTGCTGAGCAATTTTTCCTGGTTGGAGTTGTGCTTGGACTCGCCATCTATAACTCTATCATTCTTGATATTGCCCTGCCGCCGTTTGCATTTAAGAAGCTGTTGGCAGCAGCACCTCAAACAACCGGGCCACAGCCGGCAACAACGAGACCCACGTATAAATGCGGGTTAGACGATCTTGCAGAGTATCGACCCGCCCTTGCCAGGGGTCTGCGAAGTATGTTAGAGTTTGATGGAGACGTGGCAGAGACGTTCTGCCATAATTTTGTTGCAGATGTTGATCGGTATGGCGAGGTTGTCACGGTCCCTCTCTGCCCCGGAGGCGAGAATAAGCCGGTGACAAACGCGAACCGCCGAGAGTTTGTGGATCTTTACGTGCATTATCATCTAGATACAGCGGTCACACGACAGTTCGAGCCGTTTCGGCGGGGATTCTTTAGTGTTTGTGGCGGAAATGCGCTGTCCTTATTCCGCCCCGAGGAGATTGAACTACTTGTGCGCGGATCCGACGAGGCCCTGGACGTCAAGTCGCTCCGAGCGGTGGCCACGTACCTGAATTGGGGGACCCCCAAGCCAGAGTCCGAACCTGTCGTGCAGTGGTTCTGGCAGTTTTTCGAGCGTACCACTCCTGACGCCCAGCGGAAACTTATATCATTTATCACAAGCAGCGATCGAATTCCTGCGATGGGGGCGACGAGCCTGACGATTCAATTAATGTGTCTTGGAGATGACTCCCCGCGGTTCCCGACAGCCCATACATGCTTCAACCGGCTAGGGCTGTACCGGTACGCGACGCGGGAGAAATTGGAGCGGCAGCTGTGGGAGGCGGTACTCAACAGCGAAGGGTTCGGGTTAAAGTAGTGTTTGTATTCTCCTCGGAGACACATCATGATGAAATGAAGCATTGAGTCATCGCCGATCCGTAGATAGCTGCATACTTATCCGTATATGGTCACACGGTGTCCAGTGAGACGTCACTCTTGTATCTCAGTGTCCGGCTATTCTTAGTTATGTATGTTTATCTTCGCTGAGAAACTAACCATTTGCTTTTTTTTTTTTTTTTTTCTTTTACCTCTGTGCCAACTCCCAAATTTCAGCTTGTCGCGGTAAGAGCGAGAGTATCGACTCGAATAGAGGGTATCGCGGGGAAGTACCCGAGACTCGCTCTAGATCCCGGCTGCTGACTCTTGGTGCGAGTCTCCCCAAGCTCCCGAGTGCACACGTACAGGGGGCACGATTGGTCGCGGCTGTCATGGGAACAGAAGAGGACCGGCACTGCTTCTGACGGGCACAAAGAAGAACTTGGAAAGAAAAAAACAAAAATTCGACCTGTATCTTTGCCACTGTGCTGCAAGTCTGCCACTCGGGAGTCAGACAGGTATGACAGGCCTTTCCTTGCGCGCAATCCTAGTCCCGTACATAAGCGCATGTACCTGAAGAAGAGCAGATTATTCCGCCTTCTAATGGCGGCCGTCATACGGCCGCTCCTAAATTGTGTGATGATGAGTAAACATAAGAGCCAGTTTCCACAATAAACACCCAGATAGAGCGGAGATTGTGATGATGCTGAAGCACAGCATCTCATATGTGTAGACAGCGAAGTGGGGTGAAAGTCATGCGGATCTCTGTGGGGAAAGTGCTTTTTCTTGACTTGAGCCGTCACTCTGCCCTCCCTCGACAACGGAGTATCTCGACGGTGCCAAGGGAGCCTTCGGTGAAGTAATGGAGAAGTCCGCGAAGATGCAGTAAACGACCAGGTCTGAGTTTGCTGAGTCGTGGGAGCACGCCGGAGAGCCATTTTGGAACTTGCAAAGGTACAGGCACAGCTGTATGAAATTGGCCCACTCCGGCCAGGCGGGGCAGCGCATCACTGTAGGCTGTCTCCGAGAGGATTTAGAGGATCAACACTACGACTGACCTGAGACTGGGGTGATACCAACGGATTGGTGAAGAAGAAACCTGAACTTTGGCTCGGGTGGCCTCTGGCAATTGGGCCTCGTTCACCGTCTCGTCTCGTCCGCTCACCTCGACCCCTCGTCCCTCGTTGGTACTTAGGCCAGCTCTTTTCCCTCTCTTCGCCTATTTTGTCTTCGTCTTCCTTTTCGCTTTCCCACCCGTGTCTTCTCTTTCCAATCTTTCCACGTCTTCGACTCGTCTTCTCTTTCCACCCACTGATCCAATTCATAACACACCATCCACCATGGCTGCCAACGTTCCTAAGACTATGAAGGCTCTTCTGTGAGTTGGCACCCCTCTATCATTGTCCCTGGTTCTCGGACACGCTGACTGGGAGCTGGCAGGTACGATAAGCCCGAGGTGCACAAGGTCACTGAGATTCCTGTTCCTACCCTCCGTGAGAACGACGTCTTGGTAGGCATCCTCTCCCTTCTCCATTCAAATTGACCGGCCATTGACCACAATCGCTCTCTAGATCAAAGTCAAGGCCTGTGGGGTTTGCGGTACGGATTTGCACATCCACGAGGGTGAATTCATTGCCCAGGTACGTTGAAGACAAAACCACATGACGCAATTGAACCCATTGGAATAACTGACATTCCTCGCAGTTCCCCCTGGTTCCAGGTACGTCGTCATCGTCATTGCCTGAGTGAGCGGGGCGGGCCAGTCCGGCCCTGGACCCATACATAGGTGGGGTCGTCGGGACGCCGATATAGTACTAACTCGAGAACCCCGAATCAGGCCACGAAACCGTCGGTGTTGTTGCGGCAGTGGGTCCCAAGGTCAAGGGCTTCGAAATCGGAGATCGTGTCGTTGCGGACAACTCTGAGCTCTGCGGCGAGTGCTTCTACTGCCGTCGCGGGGATGAGCTGTTTTGCGAGAACTTCCATGCTCATGGTGTGACCATGAACGGTGGATTTGCCGAATACTGCGCTTATCCTGGTATGGCTCCACGATTTATCGTGTCTTTGATCGTATTAGTTGAGTCGGTGCAGTGCTGACCCACACTAGCTGGCAGGGTATTCAAGATCAAGAACCTCTCCGATGTCGACGCCACCCTCCTCGAACCCGCTTCCTGCGCCGCTCATGGACTCGACAAGATCGCTCCCAAGATGGGCTCTCGCGTGCTCCTCTTCGGTGCCGGTCCCACCGGGCTGGTGCGTGCCTCACCCTCCAATAACCCCTCTTCCTTACTCATGCCTCAACAAGCCCTAACAATGACCATTACAGATCCTCGCCCAGCTCCTTCGCCTCAACGGTGGCTGCCACGTCGTCGTGTGCGCTCCCGAAGGTCTCAAGATGGAACTTGCCAAGTCCCTCGGTGCTGGTGACGAGTACATTGGCCTTTCTCGCCAGGACCCCAGCGCGCAGTTCAACAAGCTCAAGGCCGACAACCCCTATGGCTTCGACATTGTCGTCGAGGCCACTGGCAACGTCAAGATCCTCGAGGACTCGATCAATTATGTTCGCCGCGGCGGTAAGCTCGTCGTCTATGGTGTCTATTCGAACAAGGACCGTGTCTCGTGGCCTCCTAGCAAGATTTGTAAGTTGCCCTTAATTTCTTATCTATACTGATTGATTAGTATCCCTTCCGTCCCCGTTGGTTTCAAACAAGTGCTTACCAAGTGGACGACAGTCGGCGACGAGATCCAAATTATCGGCAGTTTCTCCGAAGTGTACAAGTTCCCCGCTGCTATCGACTACCTCGACTCCGGCAAAGTCAAGGTCGAGGGCATCGTCAACAAGGTGTTCAAGCTCGAGCAGTGGGAGGAGTGCCTTGAGGCGATGCGCAACAAGAGTGCCATCAAGGCAGCCATCACTTTTGACTAGGCTTCTTTCTGGATATATGATTGACGATCGATTTAACGATACGACGATTCTGTTTGTTTGAGTTTTTGGTTTGGAAAGCGAAGCGAAGTTTGGTGGGTTGGCGAATATACAATCACATACAATGAGACCAAAAATTGGTTCTAGATAAGATAATAAATAGAAAGACAAGATGAGGAGAGAAAGACAGTAATACAATTTGTTGGGGTCCTTTTCCATTTGAATGTTGTTTACTTAAGTTGTGTGGGTGGGGGTTCGTTCTTACTTATATCTTACCCAGATCTTTGTAAGCTGCTGGTTGCACACCACCAAGGTACCTACATAACGTCGCAGACCACGGCTTCTACTCCAATCATTACATAGATGCACCTACGATGTATGTAATGGAGTAGATAGTACCCACAATCAAATTGTCCCAGAGGATCTCTGAGGACCTTAGTGACTACTGACGTTGCTAACATCGGGATCCTGCAACGCATGAGAATGGATGATACTCCACCGTCGATCACGGAATAACTCCATTCTATGATGAGACCAGTCTAAACCGGCAATCGCTCGGGTCGTCCCGATCCTACTCGACGTTTACCTCGCTGAGCCTTCTTCCTCGCTCCACGCCCGGGGCCGGTACCCAGGAGCCTCCGTCTCTTCACAGCCCTTCCCATACTCTCGTCGTCAGTCGTTCCATTGCCATCTTCATCATCAGTCACTTCATCACGATATCCCATCAGCAACCCCTCGCCCTCACTGTCATCCTCACTATCATCGTCTCTCCATGCCGCTTTAACCCTAGCCTTGAGTAGCCTTAATGAGAGCACTCCGTGTCTCCATGTATACAGAACCACGGCGATGACACCACTAAGCATCACGACCCCTATCAGGGTCGGCAGGACAATGCGCACCAGCACACCAGGTCCACTGTTAGGCTTCTTCCCCTTGTGCCCATCTCGCTTTGGCCCGCATCTCACTCTTAGAGGCCGGCCGTTGCGGTCGGTGAAGCCCCACCATTTGTTCAGGAAGGCGGAGCAGTTGAAGCTTTCGTCGATAGGGTCTATGGTTAGGGATTTGAGGTCTTTGAGATTCGGGAGGTCGATGCTGGAGTGTGTTAGCATATGTTTGTATAGGGGATTATTGGGCCGGCTGCTTGGCCCAGAAAAGGCTTACCCGCGTACATAAGGGGATAGATCGATATCCCCCGCGGCTGTGAGGTTGGATAGTTGGAGGCTATTATTTGTCAGTGGAGATCTGCAGTAGACTACCGGACTTGGGGTTCATTCATTTTGGTAGATTGGGAGAGGGCGGATAAGGGGCATACCCGTATACATAACCGGAGAGATTGATAGCTGTCGCGCTCACAAGGGGCAACGACACGTTTAGGCCCGTGGGACTGGAGCTGCCAATTTCAATCGTTGATGATACATCCTTGACAGAGGGAATGGAGAGGCTAGAGAGATGGTTAGTATAGTGTACCCCACCTATATTAATCCAGACAGAGGAAACTAGGGACCACGTGGGGATAATGTTACCTCGTCAATGCACCTCCCACGGATAATTGTCCACCCAAGTAGTTGAGCTCCGGAAAATCAAGGCCAAAGTCTGGTTCTGCAGGACAGCTGGGGAGATTTGGATCGCAGCTGACGGTGAGGTGGTTCTTGATGCGAGTAAGTTTCGGTGTTGCAACCCTACGTCGCAGATGATTAGTATGCAGTAGCTTGTGTTATTCATTAGGGAAAGATATACGGACCGTGAGATCCTCGCTTGAATTCTCAATTCAGTTACAGAACCAAGCTGTGGCAAGGATAACTCTAACGAGAGCCCCGAGTCCGTCCAGTATGATCCGGGGCCGAAGATACGAAGTGTGTCCACGGATTGTAGAGAGTCGAGGTTGATACTGATTCAGACGTCAGTACCAAATCATGTCGCCCGATAGTATAGTAACAAACCTCGTCCACTCCGCATCAAGACGCAAGTAATCCGCCTTCTCCAAGCCCCTCAAATCGATCTCACTTGTCGTATTCGCAATATGATACCACACAATCGACTCCGCCTCCACAAGCTTGGGCATTGACACGCGGGCTAATTCGCCTATATACACTATTCGGAGCTTGTGTAGCCATAGCAAATCTGGTGCCTCGACGACGGGGATCTTCGGCGCGAGCGACGGGTCGTAATCTCTCCCCAATGATTCTTTGGGAGGCACAATCTCGATGGCGCCGTATATGTGTGTTATGTTTGGGAGGATGAGGGGGCCCGTGTAATTTTGTGAAACGATGATGTTGCCGTGAACGAATTCGCAGTCGGCGGATAGGGCGGCGATGTCGGAGGAGTGGTTGATATGGAAGGTATTCCCGTCGACGTAGCAATCTGGAGAGTTTCAGTATTGGAGGTGGAGAAGGGATGGTATGAGAATCTTAGTGGGAGGACGTGTACGCACCAGTACCATAGGTTATTCTCTCAGTGTACACGAGGGGCATCCAGAGAGAATTCGCCAGAAGGAGAAAAGGAAGGATGCGCATGATGAGTGAGCCCCAAGATGCGGGGAGCGGTTTTTATTAGGGGGCCAAAAGACCTCATAATAATTGCTTTGAAGTTCGCGTGAGATTTGAGGCGCTTTTATAGTAGCGCATCTCTTGAGGCTCTAGGCGCCGCTAGTCTACGCAAACACTCCACTATTTAGTCTACCACAAGGAACTCATTTCGGCTTTATCCGACTCAGCCCTGCTGTTGCCTGGTAAGAAATGCAGGAAAGACACTTCAGGGTCTCTTCGAGTACCCAATACAGCTAGGTTCACAAAAGACTTTCTCGAGCTGAGACTATAGGACACATGCCAAACTCAGCCCACAGCTTCAGCATGACCCTTTATCTCTGCCCATTCCAGCGGAGTTCTCCCGTCCTTGTCCTTGATCGTCGCAGCTGCTCCGTTGTCCAGGAGTAGTTGCACGATGGGCACATGCCCGAATATTCTTGCCCAGAACAGAATCGGCGGCTTCTCATAGACTGGTTTGTCTACAGCCGCGCCCTTGTTTAGAAGCAGCCTGACCATTGCCTCGTTCCTCATCTCAGGAGCCCAGAAGAGCGGATCTTGTCCGTCTGACTTTTGCGGGTTGGCGAGGAGTGGAAAAATAGAGAGGGTTCTCGAGCGGTTCATCCGGAGTATGGATGCTTTGACTGACGAGATTGAGGTGATTGGAGAAGGATGAATTTTGATCGGTTTGGAAGAGGACTGAATAATGTCTTTGGATGCCAGCTGAGAGGAACTGTCTACTCATCAAGCGAGATAATCGAATTGGATCTTGCCATCCCAACTGGTTTAGGCTCATCCCCTTCTAACAGCTCGCTTGTGGGCGAGAAAACTTTACGTCCTTCTCCATCCCAGTTCCAACTTGATCTGAAATCAGACAATCCCATAACAGATGCTGGGGGTGATGCGTAAGACGCTCGAGGGTAAATTTTCGAGTCCGGCAGACTCGGGCCAGGGCCTCTCGAGCGCGCCGCTTCCAACAACTCCACGATATCATCCCAGCCACATTCTTCAGCGAGCTCCAGCGGTGTGTACCCATACCCCCCGCTCTCATCAGGGTCAACCCCAGCGTCGTTCAGCAGCAGCTCGACTACTTCTCGTCGTCCTGCCTCAACCGCGATAATCAGTGGAGTGCGGCCCTCTGAGTCTACTGCAGTCGGCGGAGCACCGGCAGCAAGCAGCGCTTCGGCTACTTGCACATGTCCATTCTCCGAGGACCGCATCAACGGGGTCATACCATCATTGTCCACAGCGTTGGCGTCAGCACCCTCCTCCAGGAGTATTTCTACTACTGTAAGGGCCCCGCTCTCCGCGGCGCGATTAAGCGGGGTTTGGCCATTGCTGTCACTGCCTTCAAGGTCGACCTTCTTAGTTGAAAGCAGATGACTGACGGCCGTAGGATGGCCACCCCAAGCAGCCCATAGCAGTGGTGTTCGCCCCTCTTCATCAGGTATATTCACATCTACCTTGTCCATGGACAGTAGGCTCTCAACTGCGGCAGAGTGACCGCGTCCACAGGCCCAGGAGAGAGGGGTTCGGCCAGTTTTGTCTCTGTGATTAGGGTTCACCCTGTCATCGAAAAGCAGCATCTCGACGACATATGCCCGCCCCTCCCGCGCAGCAAGAGACAAAGGAGTGGCTCCCTGAGCATTCATCGAATTAATGTCGACGCCTGGTTTTTGAAGCAAAATCTCAACCACGTAGTCCCGCCCGAACTGGGCAGCTAGTGCCAGTGGTGTATCGCCACTTTTCAGCCCGCGTGGCTCCGGGTCAACTCTAGTGTTACTTAATAGCCGCCTCACCACCTCTTGATGGCCATTTTGTGCCGCAACAGACAAAGGCGTTTGACCAAACAAGTTCGTGCAGTTAACGTCAACCCCACGTATGTTCAAAAGGAGCTCCGTTACCGATGCGTGTCCCCCAAACGCGGCGAGAAAAAGAGGATTGCGTCCCTCTTTATCCTTGTGGTCAGGGTTCACTCGGCTGTCGGCAAGGAAGCAACGCACTGTATTCGTATGCCCATCTTGAGCGGCTATTGATAGCGCCGTCCGCCCCTGCACATTCTCAGGGTTGGGGTTGACATGTGGATGGCCGAGTAAGAGAGATACTGCTTCCACATGGCCATATTCTGCTGCACTCAACAAAGGCGTGCTGCCATGCTCATCCTGATAATCTGCATCAGCGCCATGTTCCAGGAGGAGTTTCACCACGGGTGCGTGTCCATTTGCGGCTGCGCTAACGAGTGCCCTATTTCGTTCCTCGGTTGCCGGAGGAGCATCGTAATTCAAGAGTAGCTCCGCGCAGTCAGAATGTCCCGACGCTGCTGCTAATCCGAGCGGAGTCTGTCCACTACCATCCTTGCAATTGACATCGACTCGATAGCGTAAAAATGCCTCCATGGCTTCTGTATTCCCATTCCGCGCGGCTGTGCACAGAGGTGTCGTTTGGTCACTATCCATGTGGTTGGAGTCAACTCCGCGACGCATGAGCAGATCTACAATTTTCCCATTGCCAATCTCTGCAGCTAGTGCCAAAGGGGTTTGCGCTTCGTCATCTTCATTGTCCGGATCAACCAGGTCATTCTCTAGTAAGATCTCGACAACAGCAGCATGTCCGTTTGCGGCGGCCCAGGGTAGAGGTGTCCGACCAGAACTATCCTTCACATCAGGACGGAGTTTGCGAAGCAAGAGTTTCACGGTTTTTGCAAGCCCAAAATACGCAGCAACATGGAGTCCTGTCATTCCTCGAGGACTACGCTCACTGCGCACTTGGCTCCGTTCAGCAAACATAGCCTGGGCCGAGCCGGATAAGCGATTCTCATCCTCGAGAAGTTTGAGGACTAGTGATGATTCCTCGAATGACGCAATCCGTACATGGTAAGCCCAGTTCCGGGCCGCATAATCATACAACACATATTGGTCGAGTCTTGCTTTGAATTCCGTACCTGTCGCACACGGGCCACCCTCGAAGGTATCGAACGTTAGATATCTGAGAGTGGTTTCAGCAAGCCTTTCGTGTGCATCATGAAACCATTGCTGCCATGTTCGTTCGAAATATTGCTGTGTCGTGTAGTGGACTAGACGGATTGTTCCTCGCTCCCCATCCACGATGACCAGACCTTTGCAGACGCTCACAATCAGACCCATATCTGGTATGCTCATGTTATCAAAGTCTGTATGTTTGTCTTTCACTGCTAAAGCATGCTGAAGTTCTCTAGCGAGCAGGAGTCTTCGACTGCAGCAAATCCATGACAGGACTTTCGTAGCGAGTTCACGTAAGCCTTGTCGCTGGCTTTGAATGTTGTTCATCGCTTCCAAGTATGATTGGTCGTAACCATCAAACCCTCTAGGAAGGCTCTTGATCGTATCCTTGACGTCCCTCACGGATATTTTATCCAGAAATGAAGTCAGGTGGAGCTTCGCTAGGAGGAACCTGAACATCTCATTAGTTTCTTCGTAGCAGTTGAAGAATCATACATGGTATACTGACATTCCATCGATAGCCATTATGATTCCGGTCTTGATCTCATCTTCTAGCCCTGGAGTTTCAGACACAAAGGCTGGTAACTCCCCGATATGCGAGTCCAGAAATCGTGCAACGTCGTCTTCTGCCGCCCGTACATCGATCAGGATACTTTGTTTAAATTCCCCTGCAATTTCAGGGACATATCGGGAGGTAGCAAATATGTTGATCCCTGATTTCTCTTGAAGGGCAAATATCTCTCTAACCAGCTGCTTGGGAGGGCTTTCGGATGTCAGCAACTCATCGAGAGCGTCGACCACAATAAAAGTTCGCTGAAAGCGCGAGATTGTGTCTAGCAAAGCATTCGCTATATCAAGAAAGCTCGGCCGGTCGCCAGCTCGGATGTGTCGATCGTACATACTCTTGACAATCTCGGGAGTGTGTGACAACTGTTTGATGAGCTGCCTCAAAAGGCTCAGAAAGATACCGCTCGGAGTTTGTTCTGCTTCATTTTGAACGCTGCAGTAAATGCACGCTATACCCACGGCTGGATCGCTCTGGAACTTTGACCGCAGATGATCCACGACCACCGCCGTCATGACCGTTTTTCCAGCACCAGGCATGCCTCTGCAGTAGATGGTCTTATTTCCCTCATTCACCCAACCTTGAAATTCAACTCTTTCCAGGAGCCATGCTCCGGTCCCCTCTTGACGCTGGCTTAGGATGTCCGTCTGCTCCGAGCCATAGTCTTTGGATGACAGCCAAAGAAGCAGCTCGTTGTCCCGCGCGGCGGTAATTGAAGAGTTGATAATGGATACACCGGTCTGGATATTCGATAACACGTCAAACACTGCACTCCATAGTCAGCCGATGCCTTTAGTATTCACTACGGAGCATAGTACTTTGACAGGACACACGAGCTAACCTTCTTTCATTTCGACAACTTTGGCCGCGCGAACCTCCTGCGGGAGGATCACACGGAGCAGGTCTTTGGCATACGCAGCAGCTGTTACAGCCGCATACGGTTGCCAGATATCATTTTTGTGCGTGTCGCAGTAGTCACTGATTCCCCGGATAACCAAGCATGGAAAGTTATCCATGAGTCCTGCAGCTTCCATCTCAAAACATGCAACATTCCAAGCCTTGCGCAATTCATCTCTATACCGCGGATCCTTTATGACTGCGTTACCAGATGCGATTAATCCGTAGTGTACTACGGGCACATCCGACTTCCTAGGTGTTCGGGTTTCGATCGAGTTCACGTCGCATTGTGTGCAGTCTTCTTCGCCCTCGTGATCGTAATCAACTCGATAAAGGCGATCGTTACTCCTCCCCGGATGTTGGTAAGCCGCAAAAGCATCCGATTGCTCGGAGAGCTGGGCAACCTCGGCAATGTAGAGATTCATCTCTCCCCTACCGAAAGGATGGTCTGACCTTAACAACTTCATCGCATTCAGCAACATTGTCGGGGGTTTATTCAAGTGAGACCGCTTGTGAAGCTTTCCATCGGCCTTTCGCTGTCCCATATCATAGTGGATCACCCCGCCTACGAGAGTAAGCTACCTTGCTAAAAGACCATGTCGGCATTGAAAAACCTCACCATGATCTCCCTTGGGTTCGCTTACAACCACGTCACCCAATCGAATATCTTCAGAGGGCTTTTTAAAGCGAGAGGGATTTGGCACCGCGCCTCCAATCCCCACCATCAGGCCGAAACGGATATTTTTAAAGGTGCGGATCATATTCGTGGCCGTTCGTGCCGCAGCTCCGACACCGTATACAGCTGGAAAAGCAATGACAACATGATGTCCTTTCATCTCCCCGAGGAGGTACATGTTGTCATCATTCTCGGCAGCTGGGAGCCTCTCATGTTCCTTGTCTAGCAGGGCTCGTGAGGCGTTGAGTTCGCATTCCAATACGCACACCCACCCCACGGTGTAGGCATTGTGAGTGAGTTTTTCTTGACTCATAGCCACGGTACGAGCCCCGATGCAACGAGGGACCAATCTGGCTTGTCATTGTTCCGGAGGACTCTCAGAACCTGAAAGAGCAAGCTTCGCCATTAAAAAGGAAACATCTGGCTGTGAGGCGCTAACGATCTTTGGGAGTAGTCAAGGCCAAGAGTATCTAAGCCAGATTGGAGATCATGCGAAGAGCAGAGAAACGTATGATTGGCCGTTGAGGATATCTGGATGATGGGGCCTCTGCACAGACAGCTGTTTCCCAGCTTCGCATATCCTCTTACAGTCGGAGATACTGGTGAAAGTTCTTTCTCTGGACGCTTCAGCGCGCCCGAGGATAAACATGAGAGTCATTTGAATATATTGGAACAAATTTGAAGAATGTTCACTCCTGCAATATGTCTGTAGAGTTATTTGTGAAGGAGGGAGCGTCAGGTGACCACCACTAGTCGCAAAGCGCGGAGCTCAATCCAAGCTCCGAACTCCACCTACTCTTCCAATCTTCCAATCTTTGAAGTGAACAAGTTCTCAATTGCTACTCAAACATATCTCACATATCGAAGAAATGGTAAAGCCACTGACATTCAAAGGCGACAAGCCGAAATCGTCCAAAAAGCGCAAGCACACCCACACGCACGCTTCCGAGGCTCACCCAAGCTCCGCCGCCGCACCACCATCAAAACTGGCTAAGCAATCCGAAGACCCCGAGTCCTCAGAAGCAGTCGACCCTGATGCCTCCGCCGAGGATCAGTCCTGGGTCTCTGCTGACACAACCGCCGATATCTCCGGTCCAATCCTCATCTGTCTTCCCTCCGACCCTCCGACAGCCATAGCCTCCGACATCCACGGCAAGGTGTTTGCTAGCGAACTCGAGAATCTAATTGATGGTGATGTCCGGACTGCGGAGCCGCATGATGTGCGCCAAGTGTGGGTTGCGACGAGGGTGGCGGGAACAGAGGGATTTAGTTTGAAGGGTGGGCATGGGCGGTATGTTCTTCTCTCTTGCTGGGTCTTGGTCAATCTATACGATTGGGCTATGTAATGGTGGAATGACGGCTGATTTGGCGTTAATGATCAGGTATCTTTCCTGCGACAAATATGGACTTTTCAGCGCGACGGCGAGCGCGATTTCCGCGCACGAGTCGTTCCTTATTCACCCCTCGCCTGACATCCCGGGAACATTCTTCATGCAGGCGCTGGGAGGCACCGGGGAGAATGACACATTTGTAGGGATCAAAGAGGGTGCAAAGGGCGTTGAAATTCGCGGCGACGAGACGAGTTTGTCGTTCCAAACAACGGTGCGGATACGCATGCAGGCGCGGTTCAAGCCCAAGATAAAAGCCAGCAAAGAGACAAAGGCTCGAGAAAAGGTCAGCAGAAAGGAGTTGGAGGAGGTTGTTGGGAGACGACTGGATGAGGATGAGGTGAAGAGATTGAGGAGGGCGAGAAAAGCAGGGAATTTCCATGAGGAGGTTTTGGATGTCAGGGTCAGGGGAAAGCATGACAAGTTCGCTTGGTAAGTCTCTGTTGTTCTTTGTTCTTCGTAGTTTGTTTCGATGCACACGTGCTGATTTTAGGGTACATAGAAATACAACTACGACTAGAGAGTTCTGCGGACAAAGTGACATGGTATCGGAATTTCAACATCATATTCGAGTAGGGTATCATGTACAACGCTTCAAGCACGAGAGTCTGTCTACGGCAGCCGCATACTGTCCCGATGTACCGCCTCGGGCATTGAGATGGGATAGAGATCGGGCGGCAACACACTCTTCTTGCATAGCGGACACAGGCTGCTATTCCTCGTCAGAGACACATCAATGCACTCGGGGTGGTAAATATGACCACACGGCAGTTCGCGTACAGTTGACGAAGCGGGGACGAAGTCTTCCAAACAGATTGCGCAGGTGGGTTGTGAATGACTTAGCCTATTGGCATGTTTTGTATACGAAGGTCGACGTGATGTATTTGCGGTTTGCGGGTTCTCTTCGATGTCTGTCTCGGCTTCCTTCTCGATTCCCCTCCGTTCAGATTCGATCACTAGCGTGTCCTGGGATTGACCAGGCTTATCACCTTCGCACAGGCTCTGTCGTGAGCTCCCTGGGCCTGAGTCATCCACGGTTGGATAGGTATAAATCGGGAGTTTGGCAAGGAACTCCCGGGAAACTCTGATATGCTGCAGTGCATGCTGTTCATAGTCCACTTCGCTGAATTCAAGGCGCCGCTGAAGCATTTCCCGACGTCGCCTTTGAATTAATTGGTATAGGAGAAGAAGAATGATGCAAAGGACCAAAAGAGTCCCAAGGATGGCCAAAAGGAAGCCCCAAATGCTCGGTGTTTTCCTTCCGCTTTTTTCTGATCTGGTGTTAGTCAAGACACTCGCACTTTGCAAGACTATCGACGCCTTACCCAAGTTAATGATAGTAAACAGCCGCACATCCCATCGCTCGCCTTGTGAAGTTGCGTTTTGTCTTTCTTGCAGTTCAGTTTTGTTGCCTGAATAATGTGACAGCTGCTCCATGAGCGTAGTTCCTGCTTGACCAGGGATTGCATAAATAGGAAACAGGTTCTCGTCTTTCCATGGACTCTCGCCATTCAACAGCCATGTCTCATCGTGTGCTGGTGGAGGCTTGTTATCAGCGCTGGACGGCAGGAAGAACACCAGAGCGTCTGTGCCTACACGCCTTGAGGTTTCTAGAAACCACTGGCTACAGCTAGGTGTCACCCACGGTGCAAGGCCAATTATATGATAACCAAACCGGGCCACGTCGTGATAGCGGGTGGCATTGGGCGGGATATGTTGCGCGACTGTGTTGTTGCACTCGTCATGCCCGTCCAGACTTGGAACATAAAGTAGTCCTTTGATAGGGCCTTCCTTTGGAGCATTCTTGGTCGACAGCGTTTGGATATCTCCATCAACAACGAAGTGAAAGCTGGCACTACCCTGGGGTACGTCAGTATTCTGGGTATCCTTCTCAATGTAAGAGGATCGAGGCTATTAAAAGGCATACATTGACCGACGAGGTCGAATTGTTCGCCCTCCCAGGACCCGCAAAGAGTGCGGCAGCCGTCGTAAGTGATTCGGCTGCTGTAGTAGAGCGAGACATTAGCTGATAATGTAGCTGCAGAGTGCGGTGTCGTATTCCAACAATCTCAATTCGAGTTCCTGATGATCGAAATGTCTCGAGCAACACAAGGGGCCATACACATTGCTAAACACTTCCCCAGCTGATTGCAGGAAGTTCGTCAATCAGAATCTCATGGTCAAATTGCTTGAGGCGGTCAAGTGCCAGTTTGTCTGAGTGTTGTCTGTTTGATGATGTGAGGGTGGAACTAATAGTCCATCGATAGATGATACGTCAGGTTCAAGCCGGCGGAAGGGGTTCTGCTGATATCCGCCGCTATAATGTTTCAAAAGCCAACGGGAGAGAAATGAGAGACACAAAAACGATTCTTGAACCTTTTTGTTGTTCTAGAATCCAGCCAGGTCGTTTCTCTCGTTCCGGAGTATGACGCTCTTATGAGTGGAGCACATTTGACGTTTGCGGACAAACGGCTGCCAGAGACGACGGTAGGATGCACCCAGAAGTAGTGAAAGCTTCTCGAAAGGGGTTTCTGCCTCGAGAATTCTGTGTTTAGCGGGGTGTAAGCAGGAAGATATCGCACATTCGTATCTCGGGAGATCGGAGCTGCAAGGCTAGAGGCCAAGCCGTTGATCTGTTTTTGGATCACACATCTTCAGCTGAGCGCTTCGGATGTAGCGAAAACAAGGCACAGCTGTGAATAACAATAATAAGAAGCGGAACGATTGGCTTGGAAATAATGTCATCTTTTTGTAGTACATGACACGCTTTACACTAGGCAATAATTTAAGGAGCTTGGGGGTATGCCCAAAGAACTATACGCACTCCAGGATTCGAACCTGTAGCTCCCCCGTCAATTCGGCAAAGCTACCCATTAGGTAGTTACACCAAGCGGGCTGTTACTGTAGGACCCAGCCGCCCCACTTATACCGCTCACTGGCCAGTGAGAGTCATAAACTGCCCAAGTGCTCTTCGCCTTGGCTACCACCACCCAAGCCCTTCAAGGGCAGAACAACATTGGAAGAGGAAGAGCGTCGAAGGTCGAGACGAATGTGCGTTGTGTCACAGGAAATTCTCTTCAAATATGGGATAGACTGCAGGGACGTACACTTTCTGGCTAGAAGTACAAAGTACATCTAGACTACGCTACTTCGTACTCAATGGAGCATGTTCTATGCTCTTATCTGACCCTTATCGTGCGCGTCAGGTGATATCACGTGAAAATTAGCTGACATCGAGCGCGACTCCACGATGTTTGGAGAACATGGGGAGTTGCAAGGCATTTCCAGACAATAATGGGCCGATCAATCTAAACCCTTTGCTATTTCTGGGGTTTTCGGCAACTGAGGGTATCAGATACTCGGCAGTCGCTTACCACCTCTAAAAACCACACCAGGCTAGTCCAGTGCATGAACAACATGGACGTTTGAGCCTCAACTCATCCCAGACGTCATCTTTCGATCCGTACCTCCTAAAACCATATTTACGAATTGCATCCTATAAAATGCCATCTGCGAGCAAAGGCAAAGGAAAAGGCCGCGATGTTCGACCGTCGCGGAGCCGCAACACCACTCCTAGCTCTGGTTTCAGCGCAGCCCCGACCGCAACCTCCGCACCCCTCTCCAGCTATCTCTACAACGATGCGTCCAAATTGATGATTCCTGTGACTATCCAATATGGGGAAATCTTAGAGCGCATGGGAGGCGTTGGCCCTATTCCGGACTCAAAGTCACTAGAGTTGTTGATTGAGCATCTGAAGTCCCTCGGTGAATTGGCAGAGGCGCGCGGAGATGCATGCAACGCCGGCATTAGGGAGCTGTCCCAGAAGCGCAAGGAAGTAGTGGATGAGCCCGAATATGACACCGGGGACCGCCCGAAGATGAAGCGAGAGGCGGATGATGATGAAGATGACAGTAAAGCATTCAAGGCAGGAAAATTGAAGAAGCGGAAGGAACGTGGGAGCAGTTCAAAGGAGGAACGGCCCTTGACCCATGGGGCACATGAAATTAGTCGTCAGGATGGTGCAGAGACAAAGGTGGAAGGGGGTGAGTTACTTCTCTCATTACCTCCACACAAATTGTTACCAGCATGAATACTGACCATTTAATATCAGCTGCCTCTCCGGCGTCCAAAAAATCCAAAAATGCCGCGTCCGAAGAAGCCTCTTCATTATCTCCACCATCATTGGCATCACCACGGCCGGCCGGCACCGATGCAGATGCAGGTTCGCCCGGGTCAGACGATAGCTCGGAGTCGCACCAACCTGAACCCGCTCCATCCGTACCTCAGATTCAGGTGTTCGGTCCTAATCCGCTTAAGTTCGATGATCCCACCATATATCATATCCGAGACGTTGAGCCAGGCATGACAGATGAGGAGAAGAAAGAGATATACAGCGTTAATGTGTTCCCTCCAAGCGACTTGCGCCATCTTATGGCTGGCATTCCACCGGACCGGGATTTTAGCAACTCCAAGCCTACCAATCAAGTGAACGCCAACACCTTTCTCCTCTACATTGACCCTTACGTCCGGCCCCTGATGGAGGAGGATATCGCTTTTCTGAAAGAAAAGGTTTGTTTCCTTGATAAGCCAAGCATTCAATGCTCACCAAAACCACAGGGCGACAGAGTTACACCTTTTATGATGCCGAAGCGCGGTAAAAAGCATTATACCGACGCTTGGGCTGAGGAGGATGGACTCATGAACCTCGACCAGCCCAACGGCGATAAGGAGCGTCTGCCCTTGAACCAGGGCCGCGGGAATATCGACCAAGTAACAGACGAGACAGTGGAAACAGACAAGGTCTCCGTCGGTCCGCTGGTCAGCCGTCTCTATTCCCTACTCCGCTACGAACATCGCGCGCCCGAGGAGGCAACCACAAACGGAACCACGAACGGAGACGTCTCACTGAACGGCTTGAACGGAGATTCAATGGACATCGACCATCCAACCGGCGATCCAGAATCCAAACCGAAACCCTCTGCAACCTCCTTCCGCGACGCAGACACCAACGGCTTCAAAGTACCCGCCGCAAAACTCGACCACGCGCAGCTAGACGAACGATTGAAAGCCGAACTCCGCCACGTGGGTTTCCTCAACCCAGACGATAATCCTGACTACGATGCGCATTACGATGACGACATCGCACAGCGCCTCCGCCTCCTCCAGAGCGAGCTCAAGAAACAAATGATCATCAACAGCGCGCGCAAGACACGACTTCTCGAAATCGCTCGCGAACGCATGGCTTTCCAGGAATACATGACCATTCACGACGATCTCGACTCGCAAGTTCAGCAAGCCTACCTCAAGCGCACGCGCACACTGGGGAAGAGCAAGAAGGGCTCGCAGGCGAAACACAGACCAGGCGGTGCAGGCGGTGGAAGCCACGTCGTCAGCGCCGCGGGTATCAGCCGCCCGGCTATCGGAGACGTTGCACGGACGCTCATGGACAGACGCAAGCGCTGGCGGGACTGCATCGGGCCGGTGTTCAAGGACTGCAAGACGACCGTACCTAGTGCTAACGAGAGCATCTTTACGCCATCACTTATGAGTGAGTATGAGAAGGCGGAACTTGATGGGTGGGAAGAGGAACAGGAGTAATCCTCTTCTCTTCTTTTCTTCATTCTTTATTCTTACAGTGTATATGCATTTTCTCCGCAAAACCTGTTTCATACGGGTGGTTGAACGGTGACGGAACCGGCGGCGTGAGGTAATCGGCCTGCTTAAGTGAATTTGTAGTTGGCGCAACATGGAGGACTTGTGTGATTTCAATCGGAGCTAACTAGGCGTTTGGAACATCCTTCCAGGTTTTGATGCTGTATAATCGTATCAGAATATTCTTTAAGAAATCCTTATGCCTATAATAACTTACTATAACCACGTAAACCATGAAGCGAGCAAAGGCTGGGTATCAATACAAGAAATCCTCTAATATCAAAAAAAAGACCACATCAACAACCTCAACGATGGATGATCAAAACCTCTCCCTGATAACGCTTCAACCTGCTCGTCAATTCCCTCTCGCTGATCTCCAGCTCCGTACATATCTGATCGAAGCAATGCATCCCATCCAAATACTTCGCCAAAACTCTATCATCAATGAACTCGTCTTCATCATCTTCATCATTAAACCCAGACCGGCTTCCGCTATGCACAGAGGCCCGGTCTCTAGCATCCTCGCTACGGTGATGGTGATGATGGCTGTGGTGCTGATGATGTGCGATGGGTGCGGGATCGTCGCCTGCACTTGAGGCGTAAGGGCTGTTTGCGCCGGTCCCAGGGCCCCGTGAGGAAGGCCCGCTATGTGTAGAGAGTTGATAGTGTGAGCGTGGCGTCGTGGCGCCTGATTTGAACTGCGGAGCTGGATTCCCCGTCGCAATCGCGTATTTGTGTACGCGATACAGGAAGCCCTTGATAATTCCGAAGGTGATTAAGCGGCGGATATCAATGTGGGCGAGTTGGCGGGTGTGTTGTAGGTACCACTGTTTGACGCTTTGGCCTTGTTTCAGGCTCGCGTATAGTTCGACGATTCGGACACCATCGACTAACTCTTGGTTGGGTGAGGTAAGATTCGCTACAGGGCCTGCGGCGCTTCCGACTGAAGCTTTAAGTGCGCTGGGATTGGCTGGACTGGCTGTGGGACTAAGATTTTCGCTCGCCGTAGTCAATATGCTCTCCGTCCCAAGGCTGGGTGTCGGGTCTCCGGCAGGTGGCCATATATCGTCTTTACCGCGGCCAGGCGAGAAATTAGATGGTGTCGTGGGTGCCATGGATGATGCAAAAAGCGTGTTAACGTAGCGAGCGCATTCCTGCTGCATAGATTCGTCTGCCGCAATTGTAGAACTGAACAGAGCTGTGGGAGCGTATATAGCAGAAAAGGAGAATATATCGAGAAGGAAGAGACAGCCGTAGTATAGTAGGTGTCGAATCGCGCGGCATGTGAGGGAGAAGTCGGTATCGGCGAGGAGAGAAATGATGCGGATGCTGTTCACACCATTGATGTGAGGGACAATCTAGAAATTAAAGAATCAGTCGCTCAGTATCCACATATATAGTCCACAAATTGACTTTGACATACCCGCTGCATGGTCAGATCCCAGTTCTCATCGAGGAAAGCTTTGTATCGGACGGTAAATAGTGGCACTTGCCAGGCGCGAACGGGCGGAGGAGTAGGATAAACAGGGAATAGTTTGATGTTCAACGTATTCAATTCATCTGTATCAGAACAACCCGTCAGTCAAATATCCAATACCACGAGGTAATAGCCAGAAGACTTACCGATGGGAATCATGCACTCGCAATAGTTATTTAAATCCTCCATCAGCGTCTCGCACAAGCTGTATACCTTCCCCTCACCACTCTTGGAATAGTCCTTCGATAAAAACCCGCTTTGTTCCTCCAGTCCATGCATCAGATCTGCCAGCTTCTGAGCCACGCTCTTGTAGCTACTAAAATCCTCATCCTCTGCAAGGACCAAGCAGAAGTTGAAAATGAACTCATTGCGGTCGTATCGGGGCGACTTCATGCATATCGGATACCCCAGAATACGAAACCCGTTTGTGCACACTTGTATCAGGTTCCCACATAGCTCCTGGCGTGGAATCACAAAGAATGAGATGTCGGCGAAGGTTAGGAAGAGCGGTTGAGACGGAGCGGTGGTGGAGGGAACAATCGCTCCATCGGGGACCTGGTGAACGACCTTCGGGCCTTGTTTGCGTTAGTACGGACCAGGAACAATCATATGTCAAGCTAACGCACCTTCCTGGGTGTCGAATTTGCTGTAAAAGATGGCCTTGATCATGGTTGTTTAAAAGCAGGCCAGCATGAGTTCAAGGAGGAAGAGACGCGGTCACACTGAGCTCCAGGCCATTATCCCGCGGAGATGAGGTTCGTCTTATCGATCATTGTCAGTCATGTGCTCATCGTAGGTCCGAATAGCGTACAGCTGTAATCAACCCCTATGGGAGCTTGTTGAGACGGGAAGAGGTCGGGTCTTGGAGTTGGGGGAGCTTTTGGTGGGGAGCTTTTGGTGGGGAGCTTTTGGTGGGGAGGCTTGAACTTGGGGCTTTTTTGACCGTCTAACTTCGGTCCCCACCAGGAACTAAACAGGACAGAAGAGAGAAGGGGTACAGGTCGTCAAAAAAAAATTATAGATTAAACGAGACTATCATATCGTATGCCAAAAAATAAATAAAAAAAATTATTCACAAATTGTCAGAATCCTGTACTCCCAACAGCCATTAAACCTGCATATCCAAACGCGCAATAAGTGTAGCAGCATGGAAAGCATCGGGGTATTGAACGAAGCCTACCAATATTGCCAGATGCTTAGGAAATCTATATGAATCGGAAAAGACCTTCAATCAGTGAATCAAGGAAGCCATTTCCCTTAAAAACGCAGTAAGAAAAGACTACCGCTCAAGCGCCGTAAATGCATCATTGGAAAGAAATGTCCGCAACAGGAACCAAGTAATCGATGCAACAGGAAAAGTCGCGTCAAGGCAGACCAAATAAAGAAACTCATTAGTCACATTATCGCGCAGCCCTGGCAGGCGATTGGGGCGAACGTCGAATCGCAGTGTTTGGTGAGAGCAAACTAGGGGGTGTCGGCAGGTTCAACGGCTCAGCGAAAGACACGGAATGTTGAATCGAAGCCCTGCTTGTACGATGCATCGAGGCCGGGATGTCGTACAGATAATTCAACGGCTGGCCTCTACGGATGGCGTTGAGCACATCCGTGTAACTCCCACGTTCCCCCGCTTCCTTGAGCCACTGTTCCCAATCCTCGTCCAAAGGTACATCAGCACCTCGTTCTCGTGCAGCCGTTGCGACGAGGAGACGGTGGTTGAGCTCCACCCCGCAGCTTTCCATCTCGTCATCACTTGAGTCTTCGCCTTCATGTGTCGGCTCACACTCGATACCTCGATCGTCGATTATGCCGTCTTGAATCTCGACTTCCTCATAAATCGCAGACCTGACTCGTGTTTCGTGAATGGGGCCCTGGCCGTCCTCAACATGGACTATGACCGAAGGGAGCGGTGCGGGAGATGCAGGTCGGATTGCATCAGCGGTTGTGTCGCGTACCTTCACACCCTCCTCTTTCTCATAACGCTGCCGTGCAGATTTCGTTCCTTCCCAGCGGCATAGAGAGCTTATTTCCTCCTCTGATAGACCAAGCTCGTCGAAAACTCGAAACAACTTATAATGCCACGGAAAACGGCTCAGCCTCATGCGATGCGGTCCGTAGGAATAATCCAAGCCAGGATACTGAGCTTCAACGCTGTCTAGTGACCCATAAAAGGTAGATGTTTCGATGCGAACTTCAGGGACCAGATTGAGAGCGATATGGGCGGCAAAGGTTGCTGGGTCGCTAGTACGCTGACGGGGAAAAGATGCTCGATGTACGATTTGAGCCAGAGATGGTTTGTGCATCGTAAATGGTAGGGAAGATAATGTCAATATGAGGTGCTGAATGAGTTGTCCAGAAGCTCGAGTGAGAGAAGTCCAATAACTATCAATTTAGGGGGTGGACTCGGAGCAGTATCGCGGAGTCGAAGGATAATTGGATAGGCTGGAGCGATCGGTCGCTCCGCAGAGCCTTGATATAAAGCGGGGGACGGAGCAATCCTCTGCTAAAATTAGGCAAGCCTAATGAGACCGTGTGAACTATGCAGAAAGAAAAAAAGTAATAAGAGGGAGAAACAAAGGAATGCTGAGAAAGGAGGCGAGGCCGGGCAATCGCTGGTTCGTAACACTCCTGAGTCCTGATTCTGGGAGGGGGAGTTTGGGGCTTGGTTGGGGCCCTGGAGACCGTCGATCAATAGTTGGAAATTCAGAAACAATGGAGGCCGGGGCTTGTACTTTGTGCCAAAAAAGTGGTTTGAGTTCTCGGCACAGCGGATTTTGTAACAGTAGCAGTATCAAGCAGCAAGATGATAACACAACCGGGGTAAAGAATAAGCCAGGTTCGTCGTGAATTGGGGGTAAGCTTCCGGTGGTGATGATGCTCCGTCGTCGTAGTAGTTGCAGAACTCCGGTTATGTTCTGAGGCCCTTCTTCAGATAGATCCAGATCGTCTCAAACCAACAGGAAATGGCGAATAAATCGGATGGGATACACCACCAGTTAGCTCTCAGTCGCCCCGGCTTCAGTTCAGGGACCGTCAGTAGGCAGAGTCAACACCAGCTTATCTAGAAAGTTGAAGACGAGAAAGGCGTGTCCATGGCGACGATACACAGGAGTAAAAATGTGGGCTAAGCAATTGATTGGATTTTGCAGTCAAACCAAGGAGACAAAGAGAAGAAGGTGAGCGGGCAAGCGAAAAGTCAAGCTTATAAGGCCGACTCTCTCAAGTCGGGTGACCACGCATACAAAATGACCAACACATCAGCGTACTTGCGTGGAGCACTGGAAGCTCACTGTAGATGAGTTAGCCACCTTAGATCTGCGACGACAGCTGAATACAGCGATGGTCGATTTGCCCATCTCTCCATCGGCCAAACCTATCCATTGCGGTGCGTTGGCAGCGGGTCTTTCGTCCACTCGTTTCGCGCAGGATACCTGCATGGCCACTTGGTCAACGATGGCCCAACTGTTGTTCGCCGCGCGCTATGCTGGGGCCCATGTAGGTACCTAGAGGAGGAAATGCGACTAGGTGTCTTGATAGGCTCTGCAGGTTTGGGCTGATGGAGGGTCTGGGCATGGCGAGAGGAAAAAAAAAGGCCGTAGTCTAGCCCACTTGTCAACGGGCGCTCCGACTTGTTGGTGTAGACGCACGGCATGCGCCAATCACTGGGAACTTTCGGTGTAGGGATCCGCTGCTCGGAGAAGTCATCGCTGCTGGTGCGATTGTGATTCGCCATCTGCGATTAAACTTGGACAATAAAGATTCATTACTGAATCATAACCAATATCCGATATCGAGTCCTGAACTCGACCGAGAATGACGCTTTTGTTTGGTGCTGAAGAAACTCGAAGTTATATCGATGAATTGACGTCACGTGCCGTCTGCCTTCATCAGGACTTTACCTTCGGTCTTCACTTTTATTCTCAGCAACATCGTCTCATCCAGGATGTTCAAAAGACCCGGTTTCCTGCGGCAATGACCTTCATTAAGTTTCAACTGCAGTGACATATAGGCCGTCAAGAATTCTCCATGTCGACTTTTAATGGGATCGTTGAAGGTACTAAATTAGCCAACACAGCAGACTTGAGCATTGACTAATACAATATGCAGAGTTCCCTTTAATTACTAGTATGGTTGCCTCGCAAAATAACAATATCAAGATGCTAAGAATGTCGCTCTAGTCGACTATTTTCGAAAGAACCCTGAGCGACCTCCTCCCTTGGCCTGCTTTCTCAGTCATGCGCATAGTGACCATCTTCAAGGACTCGAGTCCTTTCGAGCTCCTTTCATTTACTGCTCAGCAGCTACTAGAGAGGTTTGTTCAGGATGGGTTCATATGGAGAAGACACTCTCATTTTTTCTGCAGCTGCTCCTACAAATCGAAAAGTACCCCCATAGAATGAATTTCAACAATGGTATTCTCGAATCACGGAGACTGCATTATAAGCACCTCTCAAGGCTCCTAGTAAGTTTACATCAGTCATGGAAGTATCAATACATTTACTGACCATGAAAGCGGCCGATACCATTGAACACTCCAACCGAAATTGATCTAACTCCACGGCTGTCTATTAGAGTCACTCTCCTAGACGCAAATCACTGTACCGGCGCTGTGATGTTCTTCATCGAAGGCGATGGCAAGGCAATCCTATATACCGGTGATATACGTGGTAAGTACTTTCGCCCTTGCCCAAGATCCCTGTGTTGATGGAAAGCAGCGGAGCCATGGTGGGTTGCTAGTCTTATCCGGCATCCAATTCTCATACCATATACTCTGGGCAACAAAAGACTGGACAAGATATACCTGGATACCACATTTGCCAATACATCTCACGCCTTTCATACGTTTCCCTCGAAAGCGGAAGGCTTAGCAGAGCTCCTTCGCAAGCTAGAATCATATCCTGAAGACACTATATTTTACTTTCGGGCGTGGACATTTGGCTATGAGGATGTATGGAGGGCACTTTCTGCTACACTCAAGTCAAAGGCAAGTACAATTTCTTAATTGACCTTTCCTATACTTACATGTCTAGATCCATGTTGACCGATATCAAATCGGGTTGTATAGATCTGTCGCTTCAGCCTGCAAAGAAGGGAGCGGCGCGGTAGAAGCACCGTCGCTCTGCGGATTCGAACTCGGGAATAGAGTTGTACCTGGCTGTCTAAGTGAGGATCTGCAATCCCGCATTCATAGCTGTGAACCGGGTGTACACTGCTCCACCGTATCCTCAAACCACACGGTGCATATAACTCCAATCGTGAACCGGACTAGGAGCGGGTCTGACATACCCGAGTTGGGAGCTGGTGGTGGCCTAGGAGATCTGTATCAGATCCACGAACTAGAACTCGGAGATCAGTCATCACTAGATCGCCTCGAGCAGCTTTGCACTGAGAAACTACACGATCCTCAAGCGCTTAATAAGGCGATAGGAGCACTCTCCGAAGCGTTCAACTCAAGAAGTAAAGCTCTCTCGCTAGACAGCTACGGGATGAAAGATGCTCACGAAATGCCTCTGGATGAGCTCATCAATGTCCTTAGCCGGGGTCGCCCGAGCGAGGAATCCATCACAGAGGGTACAACAGACTTTCAGGATAATTCGGCTAAATCTCCCCCAAGAACTATTGTATGTTCAAACCCACCCCTTTGCCACCGTATTTACCTAATGAGGAGATAGCGCTTCCCATACTCACGGCATTCATCCTACGCTGAGCTATGCGAGTTAATAGCCGCGTTCGAGCCCAAAGATATTTATCCTTGCACTGTGGACCCCTCGGAGTGGGACGAAGATATTTCTATGCAAGCTCTATTCGGCCATCTTTGCTCTGACAAGAAATTCGTTCATGATCAATACATGCGTGGCCTAACAGCAAACGATAGAGGCGAACGACCCAGGAAGAGAGCTAGACGTGATCCTGAATCGCCAAACCTATTAACTCAGCAGTCAACTATTCCAACTGACGAAGACATTGATTCAAGAGCCTCACAAATTTTCGCCCCAATCATCGCCGAGGCCAATGACGCACCAACTTTAGGGCCCGCTCACCCACTCGCATCAGAGCCGCCCTCCTCGAGACCAATAGTAATCACCTCGTCCCCACTGTCATCTTCAAGAACATGCATCCCACCGACTGCAGAGCCAACTGAAGAGCTCAATGGCGTATCAGACAACGACTCCCTTCCTATATCTCAAGCAAGCCCAGCGACTGCTAGAGCCAGACGAATATCCGTCCGCCAAGCATGGGACTACCTTCGCACCGTTCAAGACCCGCAAAATAGACCATATGATCTCGGATCTTTACCTTCATCATGGCCAACTGAAGAAGATCAATCTCAATTAGACGCAGTCACCGCTGACATACCGGCTCTCGAAGAAACAGCACTCTCCCATGCTTCCCAGGAAACAGCTATCAACGACCCTGATGAGAAGGATCGACAACCGCTTGCCACTCATGGAGAAAGCGCCTCTATCCCAACAGCTATACCAACATCAACCACGGCGAACCCAAACCCGGTGATATCCACAATCATGGAAACGGACACCGAGTCCGACACCGAGTTTGACCCAAACATTACAACTATGGATGCCCAACCAAAGCTAGACCTAGCAAGCTCTAGCCAGCAAAGCCACACCTTAACAATATCCACCTCCGCGTTCGCCTCTCAAAGCCAGAACCAGATCCCAACCCATCTTCTTGATCAGAACCAGGGAATCATGGACGAAGAAGAGTACATAAACGAGGATGTGTACGTGCCTTCGGAACCAGAAGAAGACAAAGACGAAGTAAAAGGAGAAGGCGAAAGGGGCGCCACTGGCAATCCCAGGCCCCCGCCACCTCCATCTCTTGTGCGGATAGAGTCGTCGCTTCGGCGAAGAGCAGCGTATTTAGCGGCGAGGGAAGACAGTTATGAGGCGTGGGCATCTGTGTCGCTTGTTTCGGCGGGGAATAATCATACGGAAGAGGAGATTGAGCTGTAATTTCACCGCATATTAACGGTTCTATTGATATACTGGCGTGTCCGTACTATCGGGAAGATACTCTTCCTTGTGCTATCACTCATCAAGCAGCAGACGATACCCCCACAAGAAAGACAAAGCTCAAGTAGATGACCATAACACATGAAATCGTATACATCCGTTAAAATATATACCTATCTCCCCACAACCTAACCCAATTAATAAACATAATACCCCTGCGTAAGTGGCAAGGTGTTCGCAGCCTCAGCCGTACAAAGCACGCCATCCGCCTCCACGCGATAACTCTCCGGATCAACCTTCATCTTCGGCATGGTGTCGTTGAACTTCATGTCGCCCTTCCCGATGTTGCGGCAGTTCTTGACGGCCTCGACGCGTTTCTTCAGCCCGTATTGCTGCACTGTGTTTGTGTCGAGCGAGATTTGCGAGACGAACATTACGGAGAGGGAGGGGACGTAGGCCTATTTTCCAGGGTGATTGTTAGTTGGGTGTGGGTGTGGGTGGATATTGAGTGGATGGGGTACGTACGCCGAACTGTTCGCGCATGATCACGGGTTGGATTGTTGGGATTGAGCCGTTGGGGTCGCCCTAGAGGAGAAGGAGAAGGGGTTAGTTGGTAAGCCATGTTGAACAGGTGACTCATTGCAGGCTGTAGCAAAAAAGAACAAAGGAAAGGGAGCTTACCATCATAGAGGCAATAATCATTCCACTCTTCAAGATCTGCGACGGCTTCGTACCAAAGTAGCTAGGCGACCAGATAACCAGATCCGCGAGCTTGCCAACCTCAACACTTCCAATCAAGTGCGACATACCCTGCGCAATGGCCGGGTTGATAGTATACTTGCTGATATAGCGTTTGACGCGGAAGTTATCTGCCCCCGTTCCCTCATCCTGCGGAAGTGTCCCGCGCTGCTCCTTGTTCTTGTGCGCGGTGTTCCAGGTACGAAGGATGACTTCGCCGCAACGGCCCATAGCCTGGGAGTCGGAAGACATCATGCTGATGGCGCCAAGGTCGTGAAGCACGTCCTCTGCCGCGATGGTCTCGGCTCGGATGCGAGACTCGGCGAACGCCACGTCCTCGGGGATGTTCTTTGACAGGTGGTGACAGACCATTAGCATGTCGAGGTGCTCGTCGAGAGTATTCATTGTGAAGGGGCGGGTAGGGTTTGTGCTGCTGGGGAGGACGTTTGCGTGTTCGACGACGGAGATGATATCCGGGGCGTGGCCGCCCCCGGCTCCCTCGGTGTGGTAGGTGTGGATGGTGCGGTTCTTGAATGAGGCGATTGTCTGCTGGACGAAGCCGGATTCGTTGAGTGTATCGGTGTGGATCATGCATTGGACGTCGTACTTCTCGCACATGTCGAGACATGTATCGATGGCGGCGGGTGTTGAACCCCAGTCTTCGTGAAGCTTCAGCCCGGCTGCGCCGGCGATGATCTGCTCCTCGATGCTTATGCCTTCGCTGTCATTTCCTTTCCCTGTGATACCGATGTTCATGGGGATTCCGTCGCAGGCTTGGATCATCTGGCGCATATGGGTGGGTCCGGGTGTGCATGTTGTTGCGTTAGTGCCTGTTGACGGGCCAGTACCTCCTCCGAGGAATGTGGTGACGCCCGAAGCAATGGCTTCGTTAGCCTGTTGAGGGCAGATAAAGTGGATATGAGTGTCGAATCCTCCAGCTGTCACAATCTTGTTCTCTCCTGCAATCACATCCGTCGACGAGCCGATTACCATATTCGGATTGACGCCGTCCATAACATCGGGGTTTCCAGATTTGCCAATTCCCACGATTATCCCGTCCTTGATTCCAATGTCTGCCTTGTAGATACCACTCCAGTCGATGATGACGGCGTTTGTAACCACAGTGTCGAGACACTCCTTTGCTGACTTTCCCGACGCCTGTCCCATGCCTTCTCGAATACTCTTGCCGCCTCCGAATGAACACTCGTCTCCATAGTATGTATAGTCTTTTTCAATCTTGACCCACAGATTCGTAGCTCCCAATCGAATAAGATCGCCCGTTGTCGGACCAAACAGGCGAGCATATGCCTCCCGGTCTATCGTAAAAGGAGCAACGAGTGCTTCATCGGCAGTGGGTTCAGGAACGTGCGAGAATCCCTCGGCCTTCAGACGCTGGATAATCTCCTCCGCTCGAGTGAGATCAACTTTTCCAGTGGCAAGGAAATTGCCTCCTTTAATAACCTTGTGGCCTCCAATCTCAACCAGGGTAACAGTCTTCTTGTCGCCAGGCTCAAACCGAACGGATGTACCGGCAGGGATATCTAGGCGATACCCATACGCACGAATCCGGTCAAAGTGCAGCTGCGGGTTCGTCTCGATAAAATGATAATGTGAGCCAACCTGGATCGGTCTGTCGCCTTTGCTCGTGACTTTGAGCTTAATCCGCTTCCGTCCCTCGCTCAGCGTAATCCTCTCGTTCTTGACAGGGATCATCGCTCCCGGCACCTTCTCCGGTAGATACTCTTCAGGGTTGATGGGCGGGAATGTATCCGGTGGAGGTATAGGGAGGAAGCTCCCATAGAGAGCTTTTTCAAGGTCTCCGTCATCTGAGCTGATGGGGTGGTGGACTGTGACTAGATAGCTACCCATAATGAAAGTGCCCTCCACTTGAAGTTCTACCAAGGTGGACGGAACAGATGGCAGGACATGGCGACGCCCCAGCATTGTTTTGCCGATGGACATGAGGTCCGCCACGGAGTGTTGCCCATCGCGAATCAACTATGCATATTGTTAGATTGGTATACTCTTTTGAGACGCATAGTGATTCGTACCTCATGCAAGTTTGATGAAATTAGTGCCTGGCTCCGTAATCAGCGACGTTCAGAGATTGAATTCTCAAACTATCCAATGTCTTCAAAGAGACAGTCACACAACGTACCGCAGCTTCTGCATGGTTAAGTCGCACACCACGTGCAAGACGCCGCTGGGCTAAGAAACCTAACTGCGAGATGACGAGCTTATCAAGCTACGCACGACGAAATATCGAGTTAGCAAGAGGGCACAGTCGAATGGAAATGTAACATATAACAACTTATAGAACCAGATTCCATGAACATACCTCCTTCGGAACGAGGTGCATCTTTTTGAGCGCTTGCCGCTAGAAACGGGCGTTTTTCTTTTTCGTTTCGCGTATCTCTTGGCCTGCAAGTCATAAACGCCCTAGAGGCGATCTGGAAACGATATTCGCCAATCAATGGTAGTGGGCGGGGAGTCCGTCAGCGGGAGTGGACGCTGTGTGGGATTTGGGAGGGGTTTCACACAGTTGTATCTTGATATGGAGAGCGTTCAAGGGCCACTCGTTCCTTGGACGTCAATTTAGAGAAGAAAAGAAAAGGCGGATGCGGAGATGCCACCGGACTTCGGCGAAGTTGCAAAAACAGCAGCGTAAAAGAAATGCCCTAGCGGCAGTGGAAGGCCGGGGAAGTTCCTGTTCTATAGGTGGTGGTGGGGTTTGCGCATAGATAAGGTCTCGGGTGGGCTGATAAGGCACAATGCCGGCCTATGAAGACGAGCTGAAGAATTCATCCGCGTGACAAACACTTATTCACGGGTCTTAGTTATACTTCGGAGCATCGCCAGGACTTCATGAGTCGTGCATAGTATATACGATTGTTGACCTGGATACAAATTCAATATGAATATGAAAATACCTCCAACTCGCATCGCTAAACCACCCACCGCGCACCGAGGAGCCTTGCGGCTCGAGAATGCATACATACATACAAACCCCATCCAAGGTCAAAGAAGAGCAGCGATGAAACGAAACAACAGGCGAATCCAACTTCCTAGTATCGACGACAGATAGCCTTCCACTTTTCCTCCTCCTAAGCTCACTGTAAGACGGGCATTTATGCATCACCACCGACCTCGCTCTTGCGCTTCTTCTTGTTGCGCTTGGTCTCCGAAGCGGGAGGCTTGGGCGGCTCCTCCTTCTTACCACCTCGCTTCTTGACAGGGGAGGATGCCTCCTTGGACGGCTTGCCTTCGCTGCGGCGACGCTTGGGAGGCGGGGGAGTGGGCTCCTTGACTGGCTCGGGGGACTCCTCCTCTTCTTCTTCTTCTTCCGACTCTTCCGACTCTTCATCCGACTGCTGCGCAGCCTCGACGTCTCCTTGGAGTTGGTCGGCAGACTTGTCATGGTCCTCATCATCATGATCGATAGATTTACCAGCCTTGTAAGCCGCCATCTGCTCCCTATACGTGGCGAGGTTGTCTGCGTACATCTTCTTCCAAATCTAGTCGCCGCGTAAGTGAGTGTTTTCAAAATGATTACCTCGAGAGACAAAAGCTTACCTCTTTCTGGCTGTCTGGCATCTCAGACCAGCGACGAGTGCCCTCGTCAGCGACCTCCTTGCGCGCCGCCTTGTCGCCCAGCTCCTTAGCGATTGTCTGCCGGTTGTGCTTCATGTACAAGAAGAACGGGGTCAGAGCACGCTTTGGGGCATTAGGGTCAGGCTTTGCGCGCTTGCGCTTCCTCTTGTCGTCGCCAGCTCCAGGAGCGGAGGCGATGGGGCCAAGAAGGCCACTCTCACGGAGACTAGCGGTGAGGTTGGTGAATGCGGCAAGGTCACCATTGGGATTATCTTGGCCAAGAACCGTGTTGGTGTGGTGGATGTATGCGCGCGACAATTCAAAGGCAGCAGCCTGCAGTTGCGCCAGGCCGGCAAGAACCTGTTGATATGTTAGTTGAAGTCTCTGCGGACGTATTCTGGGGTGCGAGTGGCTGAAACAAGGTGGTATATAGGCGCGACAAGGGTTGGTTGCGGCGGAATGATTCATTGCGCTTCAGCGGGAAAGTGAAGTCAACTTTACTCGACGCGAGCAACAACTAACAAGACCATCAGACGTGTCAAGAGGTGGCTGAATTCTTAACACCCTGCGCGTCTCTAGTGGAACTGCAAGAGATGCTACGGTCGGAAGAGAACCGAAAAAAGCAAAGCGACAGGATAGACATGCTGTGTCGGGATTGGGGGCGAGGTGCGAAGCGATCTCGTTGTTTACAGAGACGCGCGCCGCGAAGCGCCCAAAGGAAATGAAGAGAAAAAGTGAAAACCTACACTGTCGCGAGTCTTGGTAAACTCCTCGATGTTGACGGTGACAGTCCCGTCCTTTTTAGAGTCGTCCCTCGGCATCTTGAAAAACTTCTGTGTAGATAACTGAACGGTAGGTTGTACACAGAATAGTGGTGAGTGTGATGGAAGAACTTCTTGGGCGCGAGAGCCAAGCCCAAAACAAAAACCAACGGGGGCGGTTTCGGGGGGATGAGAGAACGAGAAGATTTTTCGCTCGCGGGGCTGGGCCAGAGGGGGCGTCCGCCCACTAAATACCTCACCTAGCTCAGAGCTGGGTCCCCGGCGCACCCTTGACTTACCGTGTTCGAATGCCCAAGAGCGGGCTCCAGTGTTTCGGGGGGCACACAGCACCCTCCATAAGCCTTGCTGCTGCCACTGCTGCTGTCGCCCACGCCCGGCTCCTTCGGCTGCCCCTTTGCCCTCTTGTTTCACGAGACCCCCGCTCAGCTGCTTCTGCGCACAAGAGCCGGCAACCATGGGCGCTAACTTGAGCGCTCGCAGCTTTGTTCCAGCAGTCCGCGTCCTGCGCCCTCATGACCACCTTTCCACTGGACTCGAAGCTCCAATCCATGGATGCATGTCTCTTTTTTTCCAGCTCTACTCAGGGATTCTGAAATATTGCTCGAACTTTAAAGTCAGACACATAATACAAGCATCCAAATTATCTTCATTCCGATCTCCTAACCACAATTTCACATCTGTTTTTCTCTCTCAAAGAAAACATTCGTGCAGAAAGTCCGTCCACCCCTCACTCAGTTGCCTACCTACGCCATCAGCAAGCGTGCAGCAGCCTGCCGCAGTGCGGGGGTTCTACAACCCCGACCGAAGCCCAGGATACCTAAAAACAATCTTGCTTGCGCTCGACGCAGCAACGAGAAAAGCGACTTCTCTTCAATAGATTCTCGTAGACCTGCTACTCGCGACTCAGTCTCTAGTAGAATATTCGTAGGTAAATAGTGTGTTGCGTGATTCAGCAGCAGTCGCATTGCGACAGATCTGCGAAGCCTAACAGCGCCACCCACAAGGCGCTGAGATCATGGCGAGGAGTCTGGACGCAACCCAGCAAGATTGGGAGAAGGAAGGAGTTCGAGGCCTAGCAGCTTATGAATTAAGCGACAGTTAAAGAAAGCTGATAGTGACTTTCTTATAGTGTACGGTTCAGGAATCCTAGGTGCAGATTGCTGCTCGCAAGCAAAGAATGAATGGTTGACAACCCCTCAACGCTCCGCGCGCTGAGCTCCTTCTTAGCGCCGAGGGCTGGCCAGGTCGCCCATTGTCACTCTCAGCTAGCTTGTTAAGAACGGCGCACTGCTAGAGTGTTTGGATATGGCGTATGGATAGGCTAGGCTCTAAGCTTCTCGGAGGATGTTATACTAATAGTATCTTGCCGTAATGAGGGAAGCGAATCGAATCCATAATATGTAGAGTAAAATACATAGTCTTTCGATCTATCTTGCATAGCAGCACATAGAACTACTGAGCGGTCACTGACCACTTCTCGCGGGTATACAACCAAGTTGTAACAACAACCGTCGGGGTACAAAGCAGCGGCTAAGCTCACGAATGTGGAGAATAGGGTATCTAGGAAAGCTTTCTAGAACTTGTACACTTGGTCCTTGCTGTATCCCAACTCACTCAGGATACCGGTGAGCTCGCCCTGGTCCTTGGGGCTCACCTTGGGTCCGCTAATGGCCTTGTACATGCCGGGAGGTCCGCAAACAAAGATCTTGATGTTCTCCTCCTTGGGCTCGGGAAGGACGGTCTTAAGGAGCTCCTTGTTGATGTAGCCCTTGCCGCCGGCCCAGCCCTCGGGTGGGTTGTCAAGGACGTAGAAAGCTCTGAATCGCTGAGGGTAGGTGTTCTCAAGGTCCTCAAACTCTCTCTTCAGCAGAATATCCTCCTCCTTGACGTTGCCAAAGACGAGAGTAACCTTGGTCTTATCTTCAGGGTTCTTGAAGATCTCACGAGCCAGCTGGTACATGGGGGTGATTCCGGTTCCACCAGCAATCAGGGTGATGTGCTTGTGCTTGTTAGCTTCCCAAGGGTACTTAGGAAGGGGCCCCTTGAAGTGTAGGCGCTGGTCGACGTTCATGTTGTGAATGTGCTCGGACATGGGTCCGTTGGGGTAGCGCTTGACGACAAGCTCGAGGTATCCGGGTTGGTCTGTGATTTATGAGCTACTGTAGATCAGGAGACCAACGGAATCAAGATTGGAGCATACCCTCATCGCTAGTGGGAGTGTAGGGACGAATTATTGGCTTCTCGCCATCAGGAGGAGAGTACTTGGTCAAAAGAGCAGCTGACAACTTTGTGAGTTGACTAGACGACGACAAACATGTCTGAATGACTCACAAGCGACGTGCAGACCGGAGACAGCCTCCTTGTCAGGGAATTCGAAGCGCAGTCTCTTGGTGTTGTGGCTCAGAATCTCAATGTTGGAGAGCTTGAGGTCAACCCATCCCTGGTCCCCGCCGGTGAAAACCTTGGGACGGTCCTTTGGGGCCTCTGCAACAGGGGTGGCAGCACCAGAGTTATAGCGGTACAGTCCCGCACCAACACCCACTAGACCGACGGCGATGTAGACGGGAGCAAGGGACTTGCCCTTGGGGGCTTCGGAGGAGTACTGGCGGGCGCTCTGAAAGTTCCGATTAGTTGATGAGCCCGGAAAATCGATCAAGCAACTGGACACGCCACTAGCGAGCACTTACCTGCCTCAGGGGCTGCGCGCAGCGAAAAGCATAGCGAGAGAACATTTTCGCTGGAATGACAACACCAAATGCTCAATTGGACGAATGTGGTGTGAATGTTTTCGCGAGGAACTTGGAGGTTGACTCTCGGGTTAAAGTGGAGGAGGGCTCGAGTTATTCCCGGATCCGAAAACGCCGACTCTCCGTGACGTAACTCGGTCCCCTGGCAGGCGATTATCAATCATCACCTCATCGGTGCAATTCAGGTCTTGGCTTTTATCAAGATCGGTAGCTTTGCGTTCTACGGTATACATAGTCTGGGGTTGGTCTTTAGCGGTCTGGGGTTAAGTTTCGCGGGTTGTTTCAGTGTAGGCGCGGGAAACCGATGATATACACCCAAGAGGCCTTCCCGAGGCAGTAAGCATTTATAACTAGGAAGACGGGGACGTCGCTTCTGTAGAGCTCGGGCGCCTGCATCTGTTAAGCATTTTGTTGTTGATTTTGGATGTGTAGCAAGTATCAATCGTGTTGAAGGGCGATGTATGCCATTGAACATGGGTACAAAGACGTAGACACATGGTAGCTTTCAGTCCCTCGCACTTGTACCAGCGCTACGGAAGTATGTTGCGAATGTCCGGTGACAACAAAAAAATGAACCCCATGATTTTTTGGAATCTAACTTGAAAGGTCGCTGCAGAGGACTAGAGACATAAAACCATCCTTCCCTTTATACGGGCTGTAGATCCGCGGTTGTTACCGTGTGACCTGTGTCCTTCGTGCATGCCATAGCCATAACATAGTCATTCATCCACACACTCCATTCCCATAACCCAAAAGCTCACATTTACGCGAAAGTGGAAGGACGAGAGTAGGCGAAGACCTTCTGCTGGTTGGACTTGGCGGAGCGGTGAGGCAGAGGGAACTTGAGGTTCTTGGAGAGGAGCTGCTTGATGTAGGGGCGGCGGATGGAGTCGGTCTTCTCAATCTCAACAACCTTGAGGATCTGCACCAGACTGTTAGATATTTCCCTGCGATGAAACCAATGAGCGTAAACGTACGTGGATGGAGCCGAAGCGGGCACGGTGACGGGCAGCCATGTCCTGGTAGAGAGACTCGACGGCATCGGTCCGGCTCATCTCACGGAACTCCTTGTACATGTTGTGGGTGCCGGAGCGAGAGTCATAACGGAGCCAGATACCGAAGGTCTTGACCTTGAGGGGACGCTTCTCGCTGATCTGATGAAATTGTCAATCCCCAAGTTCGTCTCGATATCTTCTCCAGTATGAACATACCACGTTGAGGCTGACAATCTCACCGTTGGCCTTCTTGACCTTGCGGAGCTGGGTCAGGAAGTACCAGAATCGCGACTTGGCGACGACCGTGTTGGGCGCAAAGATGCGCATACGGTACAGCTTAGGGGTGGGGTTGGCCTCGGTGGGCAGATGACGCCCGATGACCTGGTACTCAGTGAGACGCCCTATTGCAAACCGAGTCAGTCGTTTCCTCCAGAAATCCAATAAATCCCAATGAGCCAGCAGCGGTTGGCAACAATTTCCAGAATGCGAAGCGAAATGTCAGACGGCGAACGGCTAGTGTCGAAAAACGTTCCAAGTCGGGCGGCCAGAGTCCTTCAAACATAATTCCATCTCAGCGAACTATTTTCCCCTTGGTCCTTCATCATCGTCTTCATCGATCTCATAAATCTCAATTCAGGTATGGCGCAAAGTGTTGTATAAGTCGCTCAACGTTCGTGGAAATTTGCCGGCTCAAACTGGGAATACGGGCACAGAGAAAGTTGGAACTCACCCATCTAGAAAGAATTGATAGTCAGTAATTAATTCGCAGGTCGATATCGGAAGTTCAATAGGGGGGTGCTCACTTTTATTGACGCTGTGTCGATTAGTTTGTCGAGATAGGTGTGCCGGGTTGTCTCCTCGTGAAAATCAAATGATTTGTGAAACTGGGGAGGTTAGGGCTGCCGCCCTTTGTTTAGCGATTAAAAGGCTTGGCGGCCTTGCTGGGCCCAGTCGGGCAGAGCACAGCCACATATGTGGCTAGGTAGTCTCCGGACTGCCGCCCCACTTCGCGATTGCCAGTGTCTATCGGAGGAGGCAGTTGGTAGTGGGTTGACAACTCCAGGCGCGCTAATGCTCTACACTGCCACTACTTATTTAGTAGAGCAATACATTACGGACATGATTTCGATCCTCGAAGACCTTGCACAGGGGCAGAGGGAACTCTCTGGCCCTCTTGTCGCAGCTGCCCTCACCCCCGTCGATACCTCAGAAGACCCCAACCGATTGCGATCGTTCTACAATTTCTCAAATGCCGCGCAAATATCCACCAGCCTAAGACATTACCTTACTCAGACCTGTCGCCTGAAGATACCCAAACAGGAGCTCAACGCTTGGATAGACCTCTTCTCCGCTTACTGGAAGGTCGTCGGGGAGCTCCTCAAGTTCGGGGAGTCTTCAACACGCGCAAGCTGGGTGCAGGTGTTTGACAATTGGAGGGACTTGGCAAACGTGCTCATCAGAGCTTATACAAATTTCGGATTTGAGAACTGGACTATATCCTGCTTGTACGTCGTCGGAAAGTACCTCCGGTTGTTCGCTTCAAAGGCGGATGCGGAGACGTCGGCTCAGAGCTCGGACGCTTTTTACCAGGAAGATGCTGCTACAGACTTTGGCAAGAATGCCAAAACCGAGGAGGCCGCACGGGTACTGAATCGGATGTTCACCTTGTGTCTCAACGACAGGTGAGTGCTGAATGCGAGCCCCTACGCATCCTTCACCATTGACAGGCTGTGGTAGGGCTCCGCTAGAGGCGTCGCGAAAGTGGGGGGTTTACTACATGACGAATCTTCTGTTCAAAACATACTTCCAGGTACGGCAAGCTGCTATATCTACAGGCGGTCAACTTACGGATAGATAGATCAATGCCGTTGGGCTGTCCAAGAATCTCCTGCGTGCGCTCAGCGCCCAAGCGAAAGAGCTTCCAGATCTGGAGGACTTTCCCAAGTCGCATATAGTGACTTTCAAGTACTTCGTGGGGGTTATATACTTCCTCGATGAGAACTATGGCGAGGTAGGGAGTCATCTACAAACCGTGCAACAAAAAAATGCTAAAGCTATCAAGGCAGAGGAACATCTTGCATATGCGTGGAAGCTCTGCCATAGAAATGCCACCAAGAACAAACAGTTTGTTCTAACTTTTTCTTTCCTAACGGAGCTTTCATTGCTGACTTTACCGGAAGGTTGATCTTGACGTACCTCGTACCCTGCCACCTCGTCAACACTCATACCCTCCCAAGCAAAAAGCTCCTATCTCACTCTCCCCGTCTTGAAACGCTATTCCGCTCATTATGCGACTGTATCCGAAACGGAGATCTTCACGGTTTCGATACCGCCATGACGGCCGGCGAAGAAGAATTCGTCAAAAGACGCATCTATTTGCCGCTAGAGCGAGGGCGCGATATCGCTCTCCGCAATTTGTTCCGAAAAGTCTTCATCGCTGGCGGATTTGAAGAATCAAAGGATGGACAACCTCCAATCCGGCGGACAAGAATTCCAGTCGCCGAGTTCGCAGCAGCTTTGCGCATAGGGACACACGCGGACTCGAGAACACGGATTGATATCGATGAGGTCGAATGCCTGTTATCGAATCTCATCTACAAGGTGGGTCTAGGTAAATCCATGAGCCAACGTTGACAGTGACTGATATATTCTAGGGTCTCATGAAGGGCTATATTGCTCGCGAGCGAGGCATGGTTGTCCTAAGTAAAGGTGGTACTGCCTTCCCCGGAACAGGTGTCTAGTCACCTATGTCTCTCAGTCTGTGGCATATCTTCAAAATAACAGGTGCAGTCAGACTGTTCACCTACATTTGATGGGGGTCAGACATTGTCGAACAAGAGGCTCGGTGGCGGTAGTTGAAACAGCGACTTGACGTTAACGCATCGCTAATCCAACGTCAACAACCACCGCGAGCGGTTATAGCTGTTGGATTTCTCTAGGCAAGCAACAGCGCTACGACCAACTATGAACATCGATCAAGCACATCCAAGCATAGATCTAAATGCGTTACTCCTGCATACTCGCAAGAACCGCAAGTGGCCACTACCCAGCAGGGGCAGCATACAATTCGTTACCATGATAAGAGCCCCACGGATCCCATTTTCATAGCCGCGGAAAATTCCGAGCCCAATTAGCATCCCGTTATGAAATAACAGCATTCAAATAAAGCAATCATATTATCATTCATAGAACTAGACTACCGAGAACCTCCATTTTGGACCACATAGGTTGGATATAGTACAGTAGAGGAGTAAAGCACAAGGACATAGAGCGCGAAACCCAAAAATAGTCAATGTATAACGCCAAAACAAACGCTAACCGAGATCAAAAGAGAACACACCGAGGTCAACTGGGTATGCGTACCGTGTAAGTGGTGAGCGGAACCATGAAGCGGCTGTCCTCGCTTCGAACAGCGACACCCGCATTATTCATATACAGGTCCACCTACTCAGCAAGCGGAGGCATGGTATTCTCCGCCGCGAGGTCATCCTATAACATCAAGTGTAGCGGTTAGCATTGATCTCAGAGCTGCATGCGTGCAAAGGTCACAAGAGGGACAAACCATATGATTGCACATCGCGACAAAGAGATCAAAGAACAGCTTCCCTCCCTTTTCCATCTCCATTTGCATTGTGCCGCTCCGCTTGAACGTTGACCTGCTCCGAATTATCAGGGCGAGATAGTGGGCTCGGAGCTTGGATTCGTGATCTGGCGTGTTGGCGTAGGCGTAGCGGGCGCTCGCAAGGATAGTGCTGCATTGAATACCGGTGTGGAGGCCCTGTTTTACTAGCGAGAGGCGCTTTAGATGCTCGAGGCCGTATTTGTTTGCGGCGCAGCTGGTGGGGGGTTGTGTTAGTATGTACGATCTGGCGATGGTTGGGGATAAGAATAGGGTGAATGAACGGGTATAGCACGTACTAGACGGCAGTGTCTTTCAGGATCTCTGCGCCGGCAGATTGAGAGTAGAGGGTAGCTCCGTCGCTTTGCTCGTGTTTCGTCGCAGTGGGTTCTAGTTCCCAGGTCTCGCGGCGCTCGTTGTGGATGAGTCGAGGGTAGTAGTCACCCCTGTATAGATACTCGAGGATGCATGAGAAGATCTCGGGCTGTTCTTCAGGAAGGGATATTCGACGGCAATTTAGAGGATCAAGGTTCTGAGCTCGAGAGCATGCAGTTGCGAAAAATGGCGAGGCACAGAGGACTTCTCTGTGGGCAGCGAAAAGTCGTTTGTCGGGGCCGACGCTGATTGTGATCACGGACGAGGAGAGGGAGCTGTCAGAGAAGGTTGTGTTAGCTTTGACGCATTCTAAAATGGTCAATTAGATATGTCGAGGGCCTCTTACCTGCCATCAGGCGGACTATCTGGCACCTGGCGCCGTTCAAGGCGCCTGGACACTGCCGAGGCGTCGCGAGCAAATCGCTTGGACCGAGCCTTCGAGGTTCCGTATCTCGAAGAAAAGCTATCGGAGTGGGGTTGAGGGTTTCGCCTGGTCGCAAGCATCGTTAGATTGATTTGGCGCTGTTTTGAGGAACTGTTGAATGTATAGAGGCCGAGGGGAGGGAATATTCTTGCGGAAGGAGGGATTTCAGGGGGATTTAAACCAAGGAGAGGAAGGAAGCTGGTAAAACGATAACCATCCCTGTTCCTTGTTGGTGGAGGTGTGGAGAGGTATCTCCAGCGTATAAATGACATCCTTGTCGGGTACATACAGGTAAGAATGGTGGGCAGCATACAGATTGGTCAGATATGGCGGGATCAAGGAAGGTAAGGCTCAATTTTCGAATGTTTGCTCCTCCATGGCAGCGAGTCGGAGATTGACGGTGATTCTGCATGTTTCCTATTCGATGAACCCTGGGCATTTAACGGTGGTGAGGGTGAGAGCCTTGCTCAGACGCGTAAGAACTGGTATTGGACGCGTAAAGTGGTTTTCCCATCGCCAAATGATCGCGCTATCACGGGACTTAGATTAGCCACTGAGGACTCATCAAGGGTGCCTGAGTGGGTCATTTTGGACTCGTCGCAAATTAAGTTTCGATGCATCCAGAAACTCATCGAGCTAGGTACCGTGTAGGCTCTTTGTCCGACGTGGGCTTGTGATACGCCATTCGGAGGCTAATGCTGAGGGTTTCTTTGTTCCTTAAGGCGTCTTCCCGAAGGGCAGGAGAGGAAACTGGGATCTGTCCTCGTGCCTGCTCGAAGGCGCAAACATGGGACGAGATGAATCAGTCTGAGCACAGATTCTCGCGCGAGATGTGAGAGACTGGGAGTGTTTGTGCAAATTACTATATGTGCTAAGAATACAAGTCCAGATCCTATCCAGCCCAGAATGCGCCGCTTCCAGAACGCCCATTGCTCCGTTAGTAATTCGAACAGCCATGTCCTTTGCATCGTTGTTCCAGTATCAAATGAGCATGTCCGGTTGCCGCAGAAGAGCCCAGCTCCTTCACGCGACCACCTTTCTAGACCATACTTCGTAACTAAAGGAACACTTTCTTTGCCTCTCGAGGGTGACTCTCATTAGGGCAATAAGGGCACTTGAATTTGGTGCCTTTGCAAAGCCGCTTTAGCGACTCCTCAGCAATCACATGCCCACACGGCATCATCATAGGCGGATTTGCGTCCGTGGTCTGTTCTTTAGAGACCGGGCACACGAAAATAGAGTGAAAGAGGTATGACGGCGGGAGAGGAATCTCGACCTAATTGCCAGGTTAGTGTCGGATCCCGTCATGGGAAAAGTCGGTCAAACTTACAGGCAGTTCATGTTCTGTCGTCCACTCTGTACGTTTAGCCTTCATGATAGTTTGCAGCTTCAATAATGTCGGCAAAGCAATTGCGCCTGCAGTCGCAGCAATGTACAGCGGCGAATCAGGAGATAGCCCCAGCAGTGCGCAGAACTCTCGCGTAAAAGAGTGTGACACATCTGTCCAGGCAGATGGGTTGTTGAATATGTTCCTGTAGGGAGAGTCCTGAAGATTTGGACTAAAGGCCATAGCTCCCATCAACTGCTCAATTTCTCGCATATATCTGGGCAAAAACGATTGGAATTCGCGCCTGGCGTACTGAAGAGCAGCATGACGTCCTTCAGGACTCGGGCCACGTTGTTCGTGACCACCATGAAACAGCCAAACGAACTGCAATCTGCACAACTCGAATTCAAGATTGCTCCCTCTTGCTTCCAGCGCCATCCGATTCTCTTCCTTTCGTGACCACTCTATAGCCGGGAGCAGATTGTTGTTCTCCTTCAGCTCGTGGAGTATACGATACATATTGTGGAATTGATCACGGACTTGGCTTGAGGGAACACCATCGATGTCCAGCAGTGCGGCGGCCTCATTCATAGTATCCGCATCCATTTCCTGGTGCTTCTCTTGCGCCTTCTTCTCGGCTATCTCGGAGAGAAAGGCAGATGCAACGGAGAACTGCCCTTCGCGGAGCAGATGCATTGCGATTGCCCGGTTAATGAGGTTTTCTTGCGAGGATAGGACATCGTGTTCGGAACTCGGCAACGGTCTATCTTTGAAAAGCTGAAAACTGTGAGCCTCGGAGCGTTTCACGGAGTGCAGATTTGGAGCATGCCACCTTATCAAGGGACTTTGAGTACTTATTAAGAGCACTGTGAGTCTCCTTTAGGTTATCGTTGATGGCATCAAAGGATGACTTGATCGGATTTTGGAGCTTGGCTAGCGATACGGATGCTTGACTCGGATCTAGCAAAGCGCTCATAGTCAATAATAGAACGGCGGAATGAGCCATGCTTTAACGAATGACCAGAGGGGAATACCTGGTCACTTACCCGAGGCGATCTTATCGCGAGCGGACTGAAGTAAATCAATTGCATCCTGCACGCTCTTAATGCTCTGAGATGATTTCAGTCTCTTTGAGAGACGCTCGTGTTCTTTCTGAACAAGGTCCATGGCGTCGAAGTTGGCGATGAGCTATCGGGGCGGAGCTCAGAACAGGAGCGGTCCGACAGTTACCGCTCATTCGCAACTAACAGAGCAATAGCCATATGGAAGTGTTGAGTGAGTCGTCAGTATAGCATATGTAGACACTATAGAGAGTAGAAAATAAACTTCAAACAGATCTCGCTCCAGGCGAAGGTCATAAGTTCAAAGCAGATGAGGAGACAGATCCAAGTTGATCGGGTGCTTCTCCGGATATTACGACATGAGATCATCACGTGTTATGGCAATTATCTACCCCTCGTTGGGAACATTGAAGTCTTTTTTTTAGCCGGACATGATTAACCTTAGGAAACATACCTCGGATCATATGCAGCTTAATTATAGGATGAGATGGACCATGAAGCAGTACCTTTATCCCGCTTACGACGAGATTGACTGCATCTTCGTATACTACTTTCTCGACCTCAGAGTAGTACGGACTACCTCATCGTCATCTTGGCGGTCTTGGGCGCATACCTACCTACTCCGCACTGCCCAACCTCCTCACGCACCGAGTCGAACTTCCAAAGCCGTTGCTTCTGGTAGATTTTCCAGTGTTTTTGGCTTCGACTATTTCCGTCATTTCATCATCGCCGTGACTGACTTTCAGGTGAAGGTGTCACCAGGTCCGTTGAGTGCCTTCGGCATCGGGAGCCAATCACAGTCACTCGTCGCTCTCGCTTACGCTAGCGCGAAAAGCAAGTCTTGGCACTTCTATATAATTCCGGGACCCCCGCCCAACTTTTAGAATCTTTTTTTCTTTTCTTTTCCATCCTGGTGCACGGGTTTTACACGTATCAGTGAGGAGACATCCGAGATCGTGTTTTTGCTAGTTGAAAACTACCTAGTTGACTGCTCTACTTGGCCTTCGGGTCGGGTAGGAATTTTTGAACAAAGAAGCTGCCCTGACTTCATTTTGAAGCCAGTCCTCGACGAGTCTTATCGTCGCGTTGATCTTCTTTTCACTGCTTTGCTTCCCTAGCTTGGAAGCATGTAGAGAAGGGATTTTCCGACGCTCACCTGTGGAGTAGTCTTAGTTGTTGCAAAATAGGGTTTATAGCTCTGGTTGACGAGGAAGCTCAAGGAGCGTGATGTTTGTTCTTGGGCAGGATGATGAGCGACTGGCTGCTGTCGGCAAACCCGGTCTCACCCTGTCATCTACTTGTGCCGAGGAATTCTGAGGACGATGGTGCCTACCGAACGATATGCGTTGCTGTTGCTGTAGCCGACTCTGGGGGGTTGCTTTCTTTTCAAGCTTGTTCGCTTGTTTCGCAAGCCATGTGGTCGGCCACGTCTTGATGAGACACTGTTTCTCAAAACAGTGGCGGTGCGAGGTCCAAATTATTAGAGTAGATTTGAGTTGTGGCTTTGTCCCACTAGGCAGCCGCTTTCCATGCGGCATTGCGGGATGATAGCCGTGCTTACGGAGGGAGTGGCGCAACAGGTTTTAGAAATATCAAGGTCAGCATGAACTGAGTGGGAAGTCGTCTCAGACGTAGGATCAATAGACTATCGCTTATTAGAGTTCTGCACGCTGTCGAGCGACGATGGGAAGGACTAAAGGTGCATTCGTGTTGCGGCTTACACACCGCTTCCAGATGTACCTGAGTTTCTCCCTTGTGACGTCGTTCGGCATATAAATTCCCCCATTCGCTCTCCTCCCCCAAAATCGCCGTCGAAATGATATGAAAGTCCCTGGGGTCCGCCACTTATATGCGCTATTAAAGGCTGAGGGATTTCTCGGTCTTGGATATGTCAGGGTTTCTTTCCATTTCGTGGATCGTTCTGGGTGGTCAGGGAGGTTTGGAGCTATTCTAAGGCAAGCCGCTGGTGCTTCGGAGAACATCTCTTTGTCTAATCCTCGATTTCGTGCTTAGGATGATTGCTGGCTTGACTACATGTCCGTGCAGTAGAACGTGTACGGTCGCCCACCATGTCATCAATAGCACCACCGCCTATCGGCGCACAGGCCGCATCTTCCACACCACATCGCGAAACCAAAAGAGCCTCGGCCAATTCTTTGGAAAGTTCACTTCCCAAGTCGCACGGGCTTGAGGTGCCAACAATACGTCCCGGACATCGACGAATCGTTTTTACAGATCCGGTTGCACTTCGGTACCTTGAGGAAGACCCATCCACTGTTGTGCTCCATCGCCGCTTGACTTTGGAGGGGTACGAGATATACATTGTTGAACAATGGGCGTGTTCAAGAATTCATCCCACATTCATCATTACAACATACACGGGGGACACGTCGCATAAGGTGATTGTTGGAGTGCTAGGAGTTCCTACCAACGAAACGGCATGGTCTCCTCGCTTGAGACTTTACTTTAACGCAGTCAAGAGATGCCAGCTGCGAGAGAAAGAGACGCCATTGGGCACAGTCATGGTGACTGACCTCAACTCATTTCCGTCAGGCCTCACGGTTATACCCGTACCCAATGGCGATGTGCTACGACACAGGGAGGATTTCATAGTCAACGAGAATTTGAAGCGGCTAGGTTGCGCTGGGCGCGCTGGTTTGAAGCTTCAGGCCCCTTCGGCTGCCACGGTGGCCAAGTTTTACCAGCTTTACAGGACGAGCGAAAGGATCCCTCTCTACAGCGCTGTGGTGGAACTTGTCAAGCAGTGTCAAATTGCGCTAATGATGTTTGGTAACCTCGCGCCGGAGTACGTTGACGGACTGCTCTGCGACGTCACTGAAGCAGCTGTAGGGGATTGGTGGACAGATATCGGGATGGACCTGTACAACATTGAACCTAGTGATGGAAGGCTTGGGCCCACCACGGTAGCAGCATTGCTAGGCACCCTTATGGGAGCTCGCAACCGGCTTCACGCGTCTGGCGCTCCTGTCAGCAAAGACGCATTCGACATATCGAATCTGAAACGCGGAATTGGAGACTTTCAAAAGTCTCAAAAAATGAAGCGCACCCGGCGGCTGGACCGTCACACTCTGGATAGACTACATCGAGCCACTGCAAAAGCGGCGAACGCAGAGGGTTGGACAGATGCTGTCAAATCTACAGTGGCCGAACTCAGCGGACATGGTGGGGAGATGGTCATGGGTATGGTTCGCCGGAGGGAGAAAGGTGGAATTGCCGACATCGAAACCATTGATATCGAGAACCTTGCTCAGCTAGTGACTGGCGAACGAGCCAAATGGCTTTGGCGAGGCAAACCGCGCAAGAGCGCCGTGGAAGCTAGTGGCCCACCAGCTTCTGACATGATGTTCACTACAGATGAGCAAGGTGGCTACGTGTGGACTAGCCGGAAGAGACATTCGCATGAGGACCTCGGCATGGACCCGTCTTTCCAGAGGTCAGATCGTTCGTGGAAACAGTCAGAAGTACCTGGTTCGCCAGAGGACAAAGACCAGAATCTGCCCAGAATGGTCATCAAAGGCGTCAGCGACAGGGTCTCAGATGCTCGAATCGGATTCGGCAAATTCAAGGACGCTGTCGGGATACCGGGTCGTCGATCGAATGCCCAGAAGCTAGCAAAAGATGGTGGAGAGTTTGGCGGTGATGCTGCTCAACTTGCTTCCGTGGAGAGTGATACAGAAATCAATCCGTTGGAGAAAGTTACCGTTCCACCTGGGCTTGGAGGTGTTCCTCCAGCGGAGGCACCACTTTTGGACGATCCCGACCAGACAGAACCACCCCCTGAATCTACCTTACATTCGACTGAACAGATACCTCCAGAGATTACAGTGGAGCCTGCTCCCTCCAACGATGACACAGACACATCACGCAAAGCCTCCATAGCCAAGACAGATGACGAGTTGCAAGACATGGTTCGGTTCAAGACACAATCGACAGATCTATCGGCTACATCAGGCGATCGGGATAGCACACCAACACCAGCATTATGCGCCATGGCGCTACGAAGGCCTCATAGCTGCGACGAATTACAGTCTGACGATGGTTCCAGGCGAGGAGACGAGTATTGGCCTCGGCATTTGTCTTTCAGTACGGTTGAGGAAGTTGTCCTAGACATACAAAGGCTAGGGGACGACGCGATTCTCGAGAAGCCCGATGCCACTCTAGAAGAAGCTATAGTCCACGAGGACGTACTTGCATCTGACGCCCGCATTTCTGGGGCTCGAATTCGTGATCTGGAAATGCATACTGTCCCGTGGGTAGAGGATCAAGTGTCCTCTGTTGACAGACTCAACCGAACACTATACGAGACCCATGAGAAGCTCAACTCAAGTTACCTGGAACGGTTTGAGATGTACCAGCGTTCCAGGGAGCAATCTAGTGACGTGCTCGCTGGAGAACACTCTGGACTCACAGAACAAATGAAACGAGTAGAGATGCTCGGCGCAAAGCTCGACTACGAATTGCACGCTCTAGAGTCCAAAGTCGAGGATGTTGAGGCCGGGCTCGGCGAATTCGAACGCCATGTTGACGATATTGAGCTGAGAATCAAAGCCCTAGTACGGGGAGAAGAAGAGCGATCGAATTGCTCATGGTGGTCCTGGTTAAGCCGGCTAGGCGGCTAGTCGAGTTATCTGTTATGACGTGGAGCATGCCACTCTGTATATGTGTTAATTCTAGTGTACATAATCCTCTAATAGATCTGCGCGCCTATCGGACGTGCAACGCAATGACCTTGATGCCCGAAAACCCGAAGTGCGCCCAGCTTCTCGTACTCTAGGTTCGCGAAGCTGGTCCTCGACAGGACGATTCCGCTCCTAGCAGAGGCACCGATCAATTCAAATGGAAGGAAACTCAAAACACTTCATTAAAAGCAAAACTAAAGTACAAGAGAACCGAATCCGACATGTATGTCCTTTACATCAATCCCAGACCACCTTGCTTACTAGCGGCCTCACCCTGCATCTTCTCGCTAACCTTGATGTTGACCTCAAAGAACTTGGCCACGCAGCGGTCGAGGCAGACGGACTCGCCCTTGTTGAGGTCGCCTTCGCGGTAATCGGCGGGGATGCACTTCTTTGTGCAGGATTCCGTTAACCTATAGATAGAGAATGCAAATGTTAGCGAAAGATCATACATTCTGCTGGAAGTATGAGGGCGTGGGAGCTATAAAGCTAGGCAGCCAGCAAATAAGTTGAAGCTAGAGCGCACCGGTTGAACATGTCTGAGATCATCTCAACTTCAGTCTCGGCAGCAGCAATCTTCTGCTCCGAGCTCATCTTAGGTTGGCCGCCGAAGAGGAAAGACATTGTGACGATGGATTGGGTGGATTGGGGTTGGAAAGTCTGAAAGGGGAAACCGTTAGCATCCGCTGAGCGATATCGAATTCAGGAGGCGAGATGATCGAAGTACTCACCGTAGATGGGAATGAAAATGGTTCTGCTGAGCTGTGCTTGTCAACTGGAAATTATGCCTGCTCCGACTCTGCGGAAGTTGCACTCGGAAGCTTTGGACTCACCGCCCTCGGGTTATCTTAAATGCTGCATCAGAGCTTTCTCGGGCCACAACCTCAACCCAACTTCTTCAAATCTACGCGTTTTCTTTCAATTATGTTTTGAGCACCGTAATACCTTCTAATCAATGCAGTCAATTCGCCCCTGGTGGGCTTCACAGTTGAGGGGAGGACTGTCCTCAAGGTAAGACATCTCCGCATCTACCCTCGGTGGCTTTTCACTCCCCATGATTGCATGATGAATCGAATCCCTTCCAGAACCGCTGCAATCCGACGCCTGGTTTTCCAGGTTATGAATGCAAACGGAGCTATAAGATTTTTCGATTTCTGATTTCACTTCTTTCCTACGCAATATTCAATTGTCTCTTATTGAGCACTGTCGCTAACTAAGAAGTTTCAGAGCAGGATCTTTGTTAGCACAAACCTCAGCCAGAACTAAACATTGTCGAGTAGCACAGCACTTCCGCACACCCCAGAGATGGAGTACCACTGCGGCCTCATCTCAGAAGGCACTTGAACGTCGCCTGCAAGAGGTGAAGGAGTCATCCCCTGATCCGTATCCTCGTCTTAGAAAATCCAGCACTTCAATCGATTGTTCTGAATTCCACTCCCGCTACAGCCATGTAGCCATTAATGAAACAGTAGAAGAGGACTCAGTCTCCGTAACTGGTATGTCCTGCTCTGCCATAGCTCTATCCTTGTTCTAGTACTTAGGTCAATTAGGTAGGATTCGTACATATAGACTAGCCGGGGGCAAGTTGATATTCTTCGATATTGTTCAGGATGGCCAGAAAGTCCAAATAATGTGCAACCTTCGTCTACTAGACGGAGTGACCACAGGGGATTTCAAGAGATTCTACCGTCTGCTTCGCCGGGGCGATGCCTTTTGTATGTCCAGAGCCTCATCCATCAACATGAGATACTGACCCAGATTGTCATAGCTGTGACAGGCAAACCGCACCGCACAGGACGAGGAGAGCTCACTGTACTAGCTACTGAGCTGCCCCAACTCCTGTCCCCTTGTCTGCACGACGTCCCTCTCGATGCTCACGAACACGAAAACTCCCCATATGACCGCCATGTTCAGTTCCTCGCCGACCCTGCGATGGTGGACGTCATCAAGGCTCGATCGGCCATAACTCAATACCTACGCCAGTTCTTCCTCGATCGGTCATTCATGGAAGTCAACACCCCTATTCTGAATTCAATTGCTGGTGGAGCAGTTGCACGTCCGTTTTATACCACTGCCACTGAGTTCTCGGACCGACAGCTTTCGCTCCGAATTGCGCCGGAGCTATGGTTGAAGCGCTTAGTGGTAGGCGGATTCGATCGCGTGTTCGAGATCGGACCGTCTTTTCGCAATGAAGGTAAGCGTTGTCCTCGAGATTGGTGAGACCTGGTTGACACTTTGTAGGACTCGATAAAACACACAACCCCGAGTTCACAACATGCGAATTCTACAACGCTTACTCCAACCTCGACGAATTAATGTCCATCACGGAGAAGCTCCTATCCGGGATCGCGCAACACATCGACGAATTCAACAGCAAAGCTGGAACCCTAAAACCAACCGCCGTAGATTTCACGGCCCCCTTCCGCCAACTCGACTTCATCAGCGGCATCGAAGCCGCAGTCGGCCGCCAGCTCCCCAACCTCACATCCCCAGATGCCACTGAACAAACCCTCTCCATCTTCAACGACCTCTCCCTCGAAATCCCCTCTAACCCAACTCTCCCACGCCTCCTTGACGAACTCAGCTCCATCTACCTCGAATCTCAATGCACAAACCCAACCTTTATAATCAACCCGCCCGAATGTCTCTCCCCACTCTCCAAATCCTTCACGCACCCATCGACAAAACAGATCGTTGCGGCGCGCGCAGAACTCTTCATCGAGGGCAAGGAGATTGTAAACATGTACGAGGAGGAGAACTCGCCCTCTGATCAGCGGCGCAAGTTCGAGGACCAACTGCGGTACTCTAGGGACGCGAAGGAGCCTGGGGAGATTGATGAGGAGTATCTGAAGGCGTTGGAATGGGGGCTTCCGCCGACGGGTGGTTGGGGGTGTGGGATTGATCGGCTTGTGATGTTGTTTACGGGAAGGAAGAGGATTACGGATGTGTTGCCGTTTGGAAATTTGAGGGCTGTGACGAGACGATAGGCTTATTGCTCTCCGAGGCTTAAGCAGTCAAGATGGGTGATGATCTAAGTATTAGGCAGTAGAAAGTGTACAATATATTCAACTCAATACACCACATTCGATATATATCTGGGTAAGCTCTATATATCCTCCGACGCATATTAACTCAATGAAGGAACAATATTTGCACAAACTTGGCCCTAAGACAGAAAGAAACTCAGACGAAGATCATGCAATACCTTCCAAGTCCCGAGATTGCATGAGCCACTAAGATAGATAAGTCATGTTGGCCTAGAAATAGAGTAGCATCGACAACGTCGGAGCTCCCCGTTGAAGCGGGGAGCCGTGAGGGGCACCAATCTATAAATCTACGCATCAAAGTTCCACCAATACCACCGTGCCTTTTACCTATATTCCAAATACAAATCCGGTCTTCAAAATGTCTCCAAAGGAAATAAAACACGCGCAAGCAGTCACAGTCAGTCTCCAGGAGCTGGTTGATGGTACAGTACCTGGGTCCTAGTTGGAGACGAAAAAAAAAATCCGAGGCGCAAAAGCTGCAACTTTGAGGACTCATAGCTAACAACGATGGATCATTTCAGGAACCGTCTCCTTTGATACTCTTACTGAAGCATTCGGTCCGTCCTCGCTCGGCATAATCGTCGTTAAAGACCTCGATGAGAAGTTCCAGCGGCTGCGCGCGCAAGTCCTCTCGAATGCTTCTTATCTTGCCGCGCTTGGGGAAGATGAGTTAGGTATGCCTTTCTCTCGCTACCTAGCTAGAAGCCCTAAAGTCGCATCAGATCAACTAACAACCCCGCCTCCTCAACATAGAAACCCTCACCTCCCCACAAGCAAAATACCTTGTCGGCTGGTCCTGCGGTAAAGAAACACTCCGCTCCGGCCATTTCGACACACTCAAGGGCTCCTACTACGTCAACTGCGCATTCTACCACGACCCCTCGCTAAACGGCGCTCCCGCCGAAGGGTTCCCCGACTTCCCCGAATACACCGCGGACAATGTCTGGCCGGACGTTGAGAAGTTGCCGACTTTCCGCAGCGGGCTGGAGGAGCTGTGTAGGCTGATTATTGATACGGCGGTGCTTGTTGCGAGGGCTTGTGATCGCTATGCCGAGGGGAATATTGGGGGGTATAAGACTGGTTATCTCGAGAGGGTTGTCAAGTCGAGTCTGACGACAAAGGCGAGGTTGTTGCATTATTTCCCGACGGCGGATGGTGGTGTGAAGGATGGTGCAGAGAAGGAGGAGGAGGAAGAAGAAGAAGAAAAAGAAGAAGAAGAAGGGGACGACGACGACTGGTGCGCAACACACCTCGACCATGGCTGTCTTACAGGCCTCACATCGGCGATGTTCGTTGACGAGGCTGCGAACCCGCCTCTACCTGCATCTTCCTCAGAACCACTCCCCGAACTCCAGGCGTCACCGGATCCCAAGGCCGGGTTATACATCCAGTCGCGGACGGGTGATGTTGTCAAGGTGAATATCCCCAAGGACTGCCTTGCTTTCCAGACCGGTGAAGCGCTGCAGCTTATCACCCAGGGGAAGTTCCGGGCTGTACCGCATTTCGTCAAGGGGGCCAGGGTTCCCAAGGGAAAGGGGAAGATTGCGAGGAATACGCTGGCTGTGTTTACGCAGCCGAATTTGGGGGAGGAGGTTGAGGAGGGGAAGACGTTTGCCGATTTTGCGAGCGAAGTTGTCAAGAGGACATACTGAGGTATGAGGCAAAGGATGAATCTGTATATTTTGGTAAGATGTCATTGGGCCTGTACATGCGCATAGTTGATATAAGCCTTTTGGTCAACCTGTTGAAATACTCCCCGCCAAATTTACTCCTTGATAACTACTTTTTCACCCGGTATAGAAACCCTCAATAATTGATACCCGGAGATTATCCAGCTGGACCGGAGATACCGTAGGTTCCCATGGAAACAGAGGCTAACTGAAAAGGAAGGAGCGAGGATGGTGAACAGCTATCTAAAGAAGGCAGGAGCCTTGGGCACCCGTTGGAAACATCACCATACCCATCCTGGTATAATTCAGGCGCTGACTCTTGAATGGATAGATTAAGTTACTTAGCGACAAGGTGGCACAAATAGCTGCATTGAACTAACTGTTTTGGTCTGATGTAGATTATGCAGGCTAATACCTGTGCCGCTGCATTATAGAGCTTGCGGGATTATAGATCCCCCCGTCTAAGCATCCATCTATTGGGGATATTTCATAGCATGTTCTGCGTGCGGATCTCGTCTTCAAGATCATCTTGTCTCGGTCGTTTGAAACTCGACTGGCTGCTGTCAGGAACATAGTCGCCTCCTTCCGTTTCCTCGGTGCCGCCACGAAGCTCTTCGATGCGTGTTTCAAAGGTCTCTTCAGGCTCGTCGCTGCTTTGGCTTTCTCCGTTGTCTCCTCCTTCCTCTTCTTCTTCCTGCTCAGCCTCCCCTTCATATCTGCGCTCTTCCACCTCTTCTGATGCACTGCCGGATTCTTCCTCCACGGAGCTCACTGGGTTGCTCGTGTCTACAGCCCCGAGACCAGCACTAACAAGCTTGCTCGTTTTGCCTACCTCAGCGAGCCCGGAGATGCGCGGTTTCACTGAGGGCCGTCCGAGGTCGCCGGGCTGCTTAGCGTCTCGAAGATCCGCTTGAGTGGCGGTGCCATCTAGAATCTTTAGATTCGCCCGCCACATCTTCACGTCTCGGGCTTCGCTGTAGTGGCCGACATCTTCACCGTTTAGAGTGTCGATGGCCAGTGTTTGTGTTCGAAAATCGCCCCAGAACCAGTGTTTTCCTTCTGGTATTCGTTGGTCCGCGTTTCGTGAATATTCTCTTCCGCTCACAACTCCCTGCAAGTCGTAATCTAGCGATAGTGAATTGAATAGTAGCTTCATAGCGTCCGGCTCGTAACATCGACCGAGGACCATGTCTTGAGAGATGTCCACGGTCGACCCGGAGAATAGCTCATACCAGTCGCCATAGCCACTCATCCCAACATTGTTGAAAACATCCACCACTTCATGGGGTGAGAGAGATCGAGCCGGTCGTCCGTTGTTTGATATTTGAGCCCGCTCAATGTCAGGGGTATACACTTTGCCAGATATGCGAACCTTGTACTCTTCCGCAAGCTGTTTAGATTTGACGTCTTCATCGCACTGAATGAGCTCAAGTCGAATTTCGCTAATCACCATCACGTCCGTAACTGGTGGCTTTTGTTCACTCCCTGCCTTGTAGCCCTTTGGTTTGAGGCGAATGGCATCCCCGAGGGCAACGAGTTCAGCTCCAATAAATATGCCTCGGCAACATACTGAAGCATTGGGCCATGTACCGCGGAAGTGATACTTGTCAAGCAAACTAAAGGATGACATGATAGTCATGGCGTTCTCAATAGAAGGGTGAAGCTGTTCGCGAGAAATTCCTTGAAGAAAGAGCTCAAATGCGTTGAGGGGCTTGACACATTTCAAGGGCACGTAACTGTAATGTAGTGAATAGCTCTTGTCGGCGCTGTTCGGATCCGGCAAGGTCTCAACGCGAAAACCAGAGTAGTTCAAGCCCCATTTCTTTTCAGTGGTTTCCACGAGGTCCTGAAGTACCGTATCTTCTGTGGGAATCTGACTAACAACTCCGACACGCCAGTCGGGCCTTTTGAGCCATTGATTCTTGACTGGAGAATAAATCTGTATGCTCTGTGTCTTTGGATTCCAGGCCAAGTCTCCATCAAATTCGGGAGCCCAAAGAACGAGTTCTCCAAGGCGAGGTAGGTACGAAGGGCGCATGTCCAGTACCTCTAGATACTCCACAATGGCTGATCTCTCGGCTCTCCAGTCCATGCTTGACATCTCAGTAATTTTTTGGTTCACGGTCGTCGTATGCTTGAGCTTCACCACGGCCAGTTTGAACACGTCCGGCGTGCCTTCACTGTCAACACTTGAGTGCCAGGGCCTGCCCCTGGGCCTTCCGAGAGGTCTTGAAGGCCCCAAAACAGAGGATCGCCCTGCTGGTCTTCCTGGAGGCCTACCTCGAGGCCTGCCAGACGACCTAAAGGTCGGTGTTCCCATTGGCGATTCCGTTGGGGTCCCAGGCGGCCTCCCGACAGGTCTAGAGGGTCCGGGTGGTCTACCGCGTCGAGCGCCCATGATCGAGCCTGATGATCTCCTCTGTTAGGTCCTAAGGTTGCAAAGATTGACATGCTTCCGAACCTTTCTGACGCTTCTCTAACTTTATGCAGAGCTCACATGGACATTTTGATGTACCCCCGGTCATCAAATAGTAGAAATGTGGAAAAAAGACTTTGATAGAAGAAAAATACTGCCCAATTGGATGACCGTAAAGAAATCTATCACGCTGTGAAGTAAGCAAGTCAGCTAGTGGTACGAGACATTGACTTTGGATGTTCCCACGATGCTTGGATTCGTTCCTCGTGGCCGGTCAAAGACAGCGTAACCAGCTGGTAAAGTATCAAGGATATAGATCAAGCCTTGCGTTGAGATAGTCAGCATTGAATAAAGTCATAGTAAATTAGTTAAGACGGAATTTCTGTTAGAAAACACGGGAGCAGTTGTTTGTAGCTACCTAGGGAGCAAACAATACTTGGCTGCAAGTGTTTATTGTGGAAGAATTTAACAGCTCAAACAGAATGTAGTAAATAGAAAGAGAAGATTAGTAGACAAAGGGTTACTTACCATTTTCATATGCACCAGTCTCCTTCAACCACATATCTGCCAATTTCAGCCGATAGAAACTATCGTCTGGTCTTTGGAATCGCTCCTCCGTAGGCCATTGTGCAGGATCACCATCACTAAAAGTTTGATTAATTGGTATTACCACGAGGTTTGAATCATCTTCCGAATCCTCCTCCTCAGCATCCATTGGCGGGTGCTGGTTGTATGGTGGGAAATTGAGTGTGTCCCGACTCTCGGGGTTGGGGATGTGAGGATACATATTTTCCCTATTCTTAGATATGTCTTAGCATCCTCGATAGCAAAATGCCAGAGCATAATCCATGATTATGAGAGGAGGCGGAGCGCGTTTTTGTTCTTGTTTAGGGAGGGCAGATTGACTGGGAAGCGAGTGGATTGTCAGGTAAGGACGCATCACGTGATCTACAGAGGACCAAAAGACAAAAAGTATAATAATTGAGGGAGATCTGGGCAGTGATGTAATGTCAAATATATAGTACTCTAAAAAAAAAGGGCTCGAGACAAATGGTATCTTTGCACAACCACATTTATTATATGACTCTATCACTCTGCGTTGCTTGCAGTGACCTCGACCGCTTCATTCTCTGTTGTGCTCGATGTCTCTTCATATGGGGGAGGCGCAAGCTCCCCTTTGTCAACCCAAACCTTCTGAAGCTCATGCTCAATTTCTTCTCGGCGTTTCTTCCAGTCTTCGACATTGTCAAGACGTTTGCGGATTTCCTGAATCTCCTTCTCAACACCGAGCTTCTCCTTTGCTGTGCCGATTCTTTCAAACTCCCATTGCTCCCCATCCGGACCAACGCCGATAGCAAGGTTGTATGTATGGTATTTTTTCAACGAGGCTCGCGTGGAAATCGTAATCACCGTAATCCCTCTCTCCTTTGCTTGTTGGTAGAGTAGTCCTTCGACGTCAGAGGAAACGGCAGAAGTTCCTTCATCAAGGAATGCATATCGGGGTTCATGGTAGAATATCCGCGCCATGGCCATTCGCTGCTTCTCACCACCGCTCAACACGTCCTTCCATTCTTTGCGAGCGTCCCATCCACCTTCGCGGGAGGGAAGATAGCCGAGGTGAGCATCTTCGAGGACCTTCTGGAGAGCCGAATCTGACACGCCGGCGTCTCGCATGTCAATTTCTGTATGGGGGTAAATGACCTGGTCACGTAAAGTCCCTACGCTCAGATACGGCCGCTGTGGGAGAAACATGATGCCGTCGAGCCCAAAGCCTCTCGGACGACTAACAAGGCCACGGTAAACGGGCCATAGCCCAGCCACAATGCGCGCAATGGCAGATTTACCCACACCGTTAGGCCCTGAAATGAGAAGGTGGTCGCCAGAATGTACAACAAACGACAAGGATTCCAAGAGCTCATCTCCACCCCGAGGATAAAGAGATGGCGCAACAACAGGAACTTGTTCAAGGCGTACGCCGTCGAATCCGTTGTGGATAGTGCCTTGTACGTCTTCCAAGGAGAAGAGGTCCGACTCGGCTCCAGGCGGTGGGTAGTACGCGTTTGCATGTACCCTATGTAGGGTGGAAATTAAGCTATAAATGCGTGATGTGTAGCCAGCCAGTTCGGAGATGTCTTTGATGCTGTACATCATCCGACCACCAGCGTCGGCCAATGACAGCATCAGTCGTTTGTTGGTAATGAACTCCTTCATACGGCCCCGTTCACGACCGGTGGCTTCGGATGCGTCGGCCAACTCCATGGCACCACCCAGACCACCCCATGCAGGAAGGAAGACGGGTAAAGATGTGACCAAGTATCCAAATGCCGACCAGGAGTACTTTAGGATCACGTCTTCAAGCATATTGTACCGGATCTTGAGGCTGTAAATGCCTTCCATCCAGCGCTGAAGATCTTTGAAACTTCTGGTCAAAAACACACGCTCCGTGTCGGCGCCGCCATAGAAAGAAATCTCCTCTGCGTTGGCCAATAACCTGGAATGTAAGCCCCTAAAGTCACCTTCCTTTTTGCCTTCGACAGCTTTGAGCTTTCCAAACGGTGGTGAAAGTTTCCGCAGAACAACGGCGGTGCTGAAGTAGCCCGTGAGTATTCCACTAAGAGCCAAGGGACCTAATGATCGATACAGCTGATAGTTGAACACGAAGAGATCTACCATAGGTTTCCCCATAGACGAATAAAGTGCCGCTGCGGCGGAACAGAACAGAGTAAGATCTTGGGTGATAAATTGATCCGGCCCCTGGCCAATGCTACCATCAAGGTTCATCAACTTGTAGTAGTTATTGTCCGCTGTGAGGTAGAGGTCATGGATATATCGTGTGAGACGAGTCCGGAACGCGATTGACACCTTTGACTGGAGAAACTTAATCATAGCATTGGTGTACGATGCAAGAGTACCGATGCCACACCATTTCACGATGCCCCAGGTGAAAGCACGTCCCTTCCCTGCGACGAGATCCCTGACAATCTCACCGTCTAGCCTTGCAATTAACAGCGACAGGTATGTTCGCAACAGCAGGAAAACACCGTGGCTCATCAATAGCCCAGTCTCTTTGCTGCCCCAGCGTGGCACCATAATGCTTCCAAGACTCAAAAACTGGTGCAGGAATGCAAGATTCAAGCCCGGTTTAGTTGTCGGAGGCGGTATCCCTCCGACTGGGTCCTCATCTCCTGTGCGAGCAGACGCGGGAGGGTTTAGGAAAAGCCTCCGATGTGCATCGAAAGTCGTGGGTTTTGTGGGATATATCTTGACCTTGGAGGTCAAGGAGTCCTTGTAAGGTACATATATCGTCCGAGTTCCATCCTTGCCCCTTATTCCAGAATTCCGCCGAAGTAGTCGCTTTCCCCTGGCACGTTCTTTAGCTGTCTCCCTAATCCAGCTATAGCCTCCATACCCGGTGCCGATGATCGAGAGGATAAGTGAAAGGGTAGCGATAAGCTTCGTGGTGTTGGATGATCGCTTGACCTTGTCCCGGAAGAAATTGGTGTAGTAAGTGTATAGCGCCACGAGAGGATCCTGCCCGAGCCGGAGCGTTGATTGTGCGGCCATTATGCTCGTATGGGTGAATGCGTCGTCTTCCTCCTAATTCCTCCCCCTGCGGCAGCCGGAGGTCTCAGGTCAGGCCGTTAATGGCCATGGAGGCGCGGTCATATGTGAGCAACTATCCAGCGGCTTTAGCGCGTGGTACGAAGAGGCTTTGAGAAGTAACCAGAGGCTATAAGAAGAGAGTCTGCGCTGATGGATGTTGCGAAGACGTTGGCAGAGCAGGTCACATTATTATTATGACGATGAGCGCATCGACCAGTTCCTTGCATGTGAAGACCTCGGGGCCGAATGTGGAGAAGTGGCGAAAGCGCCCATCTCACGTGCGCGTTCCCCAGACTTGACCTTGAGCCCTCTGATCACTGACACAACTGCTGTATTTTGATGCTGCAGAGAGGACATATCTGGAATTCAATTCCTTTTCCCAGGAGAGTGGCTCTGTACACAATCCTTGACAAAAACATTTGCCTCGCGTAAAGGATCAGAGTCAAGCAAGCCAATATATACTGAACGCCAGTTCTGCGCAAGTACGACTTAGCTGTGAACTGAGGCTTCTGTACTCAATAGTACTTAGTAGGTACTGATTTAGCGAAGAAACCACTCAAGGAGAATTTTCAAAGGCCAAGGAGTCCCTTCACCTCGACACTCTCAGCCATCACCCATCACCCTCGAGCCTCGTTTGAACCGACAAAGGCATCGGGACGACCTTACCCCGAGCTTCATAGAACTGCGTCTCGGACCACAAAATCAAAGAATCTTACCTGCAAATCGAATATCCCATCTGAGCCCAATCAAAGCAGTCGACTAAAAGCCCAGTCCTCGAAGAAGACCAATTTGTGCTGGGATATCACACCTCCCTGCTCTTCGGCGGCTAACTCGCCGATTTGATTTGGCCAACCCCAGCTTTTCCCAGCCACTCCTCGACACACACCTAACTATTATTGCTCAGCCCTGCATTGTCGGGAGCTTGGAGCTGATTATTTCCCGTTTTCCGCGCCCTCAAAGCCCAGAGCTCCCGCCTCATTTCCAGTTTGCCCCTTTTCAGGACCCATGGTCCATGAAAGTTTGAGGCCTGAGAGCCGTCAGTTTAGCTTCCGTTCCTATCGGCAAAAGGCGAGTAGCGCATAACATTCGTCTGGTCCTTTTCGGACTGGCTCGTCTTACCTGTTGGCGCTTGTAACTTGTAAGCTTGCCATCGGTCAATAGTCGAAGCAAGACCTGGGAATTACGGAGTAGCCCGCTTTTCTCCCTTCGGCGAGCCTAGCCCATGGGAAACCCGATCGCCAATCCAACCCTGGTCAATCACATTATTATTGTCCTCCTCCCTACCCAATCTCACTCCCTCCTCGTCACTCTTTAGATGCACCAGTCATATCGCAGGTTCAAGGAACTGGTGCTTTAACACCCTCAAAGGTGCCCCGACCACGTGACACTGTCGAATCCCGTCTCATTCCTCTCGACTTGACCCTTGAAGACTCCTGCGAGTAGCCTAACGAAGCAAACTTGCCGAGTTGCAGATTTGTTTTTCATCCTCGCTCTTCGTCCCACCTTGCAGAGCTTGGACTTGAAAAAGGGCATTGCCGACGGGTGCAATTTGCGACAAGTGCAGTGGTTTCCCGCCAAGAGCTTAAGCAGCCTTAGGTAACCCAACCTACTCACGACGGACTGCTTGCCTCCTCCCATTCATCCTCCAGATCCAGGAGGCGAACACCTTCCACGCCCTCTGAGCCGCCCTCTTCTCGGCGGAACCCTGGCGGCCATCGAGAGTGTGCCTTCTGACTTCTTATTGCCATATCTCAGCCGGAAGCCCGCTCAATCTTCACCGTCGTCCCCTCAGTGTTCTCCCAATTGCCCTCAATGCTCGGCGGAAGCCCAGAACCTGGTCCGCCCCAGTCGACTTCAAAGAGCGCGGAAGAGGTGCCAATGCCTATCGCGACAAGCTCCTCGGGGCCAGGTAGGTCTTTCTCATCTCCGGAAATAATCCGGCTCTCTATACTTCTAGTCGCGTCAATTCTAACATGCTGCTTCTTCTTTAGCCACTGAATCACCGCCTGAGGGCCGAGCCGCGACAACAGATACCTCTCCCCCGTCGAATCAGCCTGGCCCCTCGGTACAAACTCAACCACCCTCCGCCTCCATTCAAACTCCCGAAGCCCCATCTGCGTCTGTCCCTGATGCTCCGAAGAAGCATCGACTCCTATCCCTCCCATCGCGGACGTCGCTCAAAGCGGAGAGGCCATCAACCTCGGACAGAGCCCAGGATGGACCTCACGATGGATCCGAGAACACTCTTCGAGGCTCTCGGAGAAGTCTGCTAAGGGGTAGAAGGGACCGCAGTAGAGGAAGCAGCATGAGATCTCGCGATCAAATCCCAGATGAGCCTAGCTTGGAAGAGAACAAGTCCGCCAACCCTGATGTGCGCGACTCTGCCAAACCAGAACAACTGGCCAAACCATCACGCAAACTTTTCGCCTTCTTGAGTTGCTGTTCGTCTTCTAGTGTTGACCCTGAAGATGGCTCCATCCCCCCAAAGAAGACATCCCGACGACTGTCTGTCCCCCAAACTCAGCCTACGCCGGAGAAAGCAGATGTCAATGCGGCCGATTCGAGTACTGCCGAGTCGAAGGCGCCGAGCTTCTTCCGAGACGAAAAGCCCAATTTGACCGTGGTTGCCGACCAGCCAACGACCCAGCTGGATGAAGAGCGCGCAGCACCAGGTAGCGCGCAACAAAGTTCGCAGCTTGACGGAACGAAAACGGCGGCGGTTCAACCCACGTCTATCCAAATCCCTTCTTCATCAAAATCGTACACCGAATCCTCTCAGCTAGATATACAGTCACCTGTCGTGGTTGGGACGATAGTAACAGATACCGCAAAGTCCGACAAGCCAGACGAAACTACATCAGCAGACGAACATCCTATCGGGACGCAGAAAACAGAGGAACCCACAACACCGGCGCAACCCACTGCAGCGGAAGAAGACTCTAAGCAGCCGCTACGTGATGAAGAGGCAGTGAGGATACCACCTCCACCCCCGTTAGGAACTGGCAAGCAACCCGAAACGTCCGTATCAGATCGACAACAGCAATGGTTATTACCTCCAGCCCTGCCACATCTACGCAGTCGGAAGTGTTTAGTCTTGGATCTCGATGAGACACTAGTCCATAGTAGCTTCAAGGTCATATTGTCGGTCGTTTCATGGTGGTAACTTTTGGCTGACCAAATTCCCTTACAGGTTCTCGAACGTGCAGACTTTACCATACCCGTCGAAATCGAAGGCCAGTATCACAATATCTACGTGATCAAACGGCCCGGTGTTGATCAATTCATGAAACGAGTTGGAGAGTTGTACGAGGTGGTTGTGTTCACAGCTTCTGTCTCCAAGGTAAGTTAATCACTCAGAATATTTATCGATCATCGCTAACAATGCCCAGTACGGCGATCCTCTGCTAGATCAGTTGGACATCCACGGCGTCGTGCACCACAGATTATTCCGAGACAGTTGTTATAACCATCAAGGCAACTACGTAAAGGTTAGCTTAGCAACCCATACCTCACGCTGATTCGAGATCGAAAACGCTGACTCTTAGCTCTAGGATCTTTCTCAAGTTGGCCGCGACCTTAGAGATACAATTATCATTGATAATTCCCCGACATCCTATATATTCCACCCGCAACATGCGATACCAATCAGCAGCTGGTTCTCTGACGCTCATGACAACGAGCTCCTCGATCTCATTCCTGTCCTCGAAGACCTCGCCGGTACGCAGGTGAAAGACGTCAGTCTTGTCCTCGACATCACGCTATGATATCTGTAAATTATTACGCATGGAAATGGCAAGGCCCGCTTTACCTTGCCTCCATACGTCCGCCGTTGCTCAACTCGCCATCCAAAACCGGGATAGTTGACCTCTTCCTACTATGCTTATTCCTGCCTAGATGCATTGAAGCCTGGCCGCAGTTGTTTTCTGAACCGAAACTCTCGAAAACAGCGAGAAACGCGACCTTATATATGATGGCGTGCTTTACCTTTCCCATTTTCATTCAACAGCTGGTTGTTTTCCTGTACACGCTCCCAGCGAGCCGATACCATTACCCCTCTGTATCTTTCCGTTTTGATCCCCCAGTGAAATATCCCCTTCTGTGTTGCATTTTCGCAGGCGTCTGTCTTGGCTATCAGCTTGATTTGTGCTGATCTGATGTATACGCTCTCCGATTTACATTCCCTTTGCCCTCGACCGTCTTCTCCTTATAACTCTCTTTTGCCACCCTTTTGCTTAAAACCCACGCTCCCAAGAGGGCTCAACTCGACCATCTCGCTGACTTTCCTACTGTATCTCTGTGATCTCTCATCCCCGCAACACACCTCCCGTCATCTTGTTGGCCATGAATTCTATTTCTCCTTGATCTTGATTTTGGAGACTTCACGAGCGAATACCATCTGCATCCATGTCTCCATACCCATGTCACAGTTTCTGGTGCTTTTCATAGTCCTCCATCAAACCAGACTTCAGACTTTTCAATTATGGCTTGCACAATGTATATGTACCCCGGTGGCACATGCTGTACATAAGTAAAAGCGTCCGTCGTTTGCAATACAGCTTGATCATTCCTAGAACAACTTCTACATCCTGCTTTGGCGACTGCACAGAGAGTCAGCAGTAGTCAACGGCGGAGCTTGAACCAAATCACACCACGGGAGCGGAGGTGATGCGCATGATTCGACGAGACGATCGTCCCGCCTTCCGGGACCGAAAGCTCAATTCCGTCACTTGCGGAGCTACAGCGCTCTTTTTAGAACCTTCAACAAATCTTTGGACGTGCCCCTTTCCAAGTATAGAACTCCTATCCGTCGAGATTCCATCATTTTCTCAACGATATCATCGTCGAACCACCCCCGATCGCCACCCCTACCCCACCAACCCCTCCGCGTCTCGCACCAGATTACAGCCATGAAAGACAGCAAAGGCTGGGATGGAAAGCTACGGGTCGAACCGAGAGCTACGATAACAAACCCAGAAGCTCTGGAAGATCCAGAATACTCTGATTCGGACGCGCCGCCTGTGGAGGAAATTAATGCTGATGAGGGTGGGTTGAGCACCGAGGCACCGCGTCTTGAGAAGACGAGCCAGAAACAGACAGGAGATCTAGTGCTAATCGGACGTTTCGAACGTTGCAGATCTACTCGAAAATGAGGACGTCGATGTTGAGGTATATCACGCGATTCCGAGCTACAATCTAGATGGAATGTCGAAGAGCTCACGAGAGACTAGGATATCGATCTCGTACACTGCCGGATAGGTTCGACAGCGGCTCTGAAACTGGAAAGGTTTACAAAACTTCAGGTACGCGCTCGGATTTGCAGGAATTTATCATCTACACTGTGACGTGAGGCTGACTGAGTACGTGGTGCAGAGATTATGCCTTCGACAGAACCAAATAACGCGAATCGAACTACCGTCGAGCCTCGGCGCCTCGTTGACCGAGCTGGATCTTTATGACAACCTTATATCACATCTAAAGGGACTGGATGACTTTGCTGGGCTAACGAGTCTTGATCTGAGCTTTAACAAACTCAAGCACATCAAGAACATCTCGCACCTCGTCAAGCTGAAGGACCTTTACTTCGTGCAAAATAAGATATCGAAGATTGAAGGAGTAGAGGGGCTGACGGAGCTGAGAAACCTTGAGCTGGGGGCTAACAGAATTCGGGTGAGTATGGAAATGTATAGACGGAGGGTATGTCTGACTGGTCTCCAGGAAATCGAGAACCTCGAGACCCTGCAAGCTCTGGAGGAGCTCTGGCTTGGAAAGAACAAAATCACAGAGATGAAGAACCTCGATGCGCTGCAGAACCTCAAGATCCTTTCTATCCAGTCAAATCGACTCACAACTCTCAACGGTCTTTCGTCGCTCAAGAACCTGGAGGAGCTATACGTTGCCCACAACGCCATCACAGACCTCAGCGGCTTGGAATCAAACACCAACCTTCGCGTTCTAGAATTCTCGAATAACCAGGTCTCGAAACTCGAGCACTTGTCCCACCTGAAGAACCTGGAGGAACTCTGGGCGTCAAATAACCAACTGTCGAGCTTTGACGAGGTCGAGCGCGAGCTGAAGGATAAAGAAAACCTGAAGACGGTCTATTTTGAAGGAAACCCGCTGCAGACTAAGGGGCCCGTGGTATATCGCAATAAGGTGCGATTAGCGATTCCGCATATTATGCAGATTGATGCCAGTAAGTTCTCTCGTAGCTGACTCTTAGAGATCATACTAACGTCTTTATAGCGTATGTAAGAGTCTAATTAGTGATGCTGATGTCAATGCTATGATAATGCCCGAATGCAACAAGGAATGAGCGCGCGTAGGGACGCTCCGCAATCAACAATAGATCACAGTACCGCCTGGCCCTGGCTGAGATGATAAAACCGTAGACAAAACCTCTGTCGTGCAGAGCCGTCAGTTCTCATCCGCAAAGCGCATAGTGCTCCGTAGCCCTAGCAAGCTACCAGCGAGCAGGTAGGTGGGCAGCTCGGTGCCGTGGTGGCTGATGGCATAACTATGCCTGTTTGTAGTATCTCCCAGATAGACAGCATCTGCGCAGCCTATTCCAACCTCAATTCCCAGATGATAGGTCCATCACAAGGCCCAATCCTCCCAAGCTCGTCAATCCAAACAAACGACCTCAACATTCATCCATCCTTCTTCAAATCCTCCTTCTCCCCTCCCTTATTCTCAGTTCTTTCTTCGCCTTGCACAGCAACAGCCGCATCCTTCCCACCAGCACCCCTCGCCAACAACCCCATCAAACTCCCCGCTCCAACCCTCTCACCCCATTCAGCCATACTATCCCTCTGCGCAAGCGGCAAAAACTCCTTCTTCGCCGCAGGTACGTCCGCCAGCGCACGCAACCCCGGCTCAATCCCCATTTTCATCAGATCTTTATGGATCGCCGTCCTGGGGTCGGGCTTGCTGAAGGACGCGTGGAACGGGTTGCGCCGCGAGGCCATTATGTGGTTGTGCCGCGCGGGCCGCATGAAGATGTTTAGGGTGAAATCTCTGGGGTCTGGAGGGGAGTGCTGGGGGTCTTCGGTGCGGGAATCGGGTTTTGGGGGTGAGTTGGGGTGGTTGCGTGAGTATGAGTGGTCAGGATGAGGATCGGCGAAGAGGACGGAGGGGGAGTGTCTCTTGATGGGGACCTGCAAAGGCGAGGCGGATATAGCTGCTTGCGCGGCGTCGTCGGAGTCGAAGATTGCGATTGTGGGTTTTTCCTTTTTGGGGGCTGAGTTTGTTGGGTCGTACTGTAGACAGTTTGTCAGTCAGCGAGTCACTCACTCATTCAAATCTCACAACATCGGACACTAAACCTTCAATGTGCGAAAGAGCGTCGCGACAAGTGGGCTGTAAAGGAGAATGTGGAAGGCGTACCTTGAGATTTCGGAATGTAACGACCTCGCCGAATCGCTGGAGCGCCGCGAGGACGGCTCGTGTTTCCATGAGGGAGCGCGGCGTTGGGTATGTGGTTATGTGGACCGAGCGGGCCTTGAGCTGTCGGAGGGATGATATAAAGGTCATTTTGCCTGTGTCAGTGTATGCGATCGAATCTGGGTGTGGTGTTGCGGAGTAAGATAGGGAAAGTTGTGCGGAGGTGATCGCGGATTTGCGGCGCGATGTCTTGGCTTGGAGTAACTATACAAATTATAAAAAGATGATCTACAACTACAACGACGATCGAGTTGTTTCCAGAGGTTATTTATCTAAAGAGATTGGGATTGTAGGATGGAGATTTGATGGTCATAAACATGAATTTGATATATCTAATTTGCAGGTTCTATCCGCTTAGAAGATGGTGACGGGCAGATCGTACTAGAGTCTGTTAGCATATACTTTTCAACGGTTCATATCAGAGCACTCACGTTGTGAGGATCATTGAAGCGCAGACCCTTGTCCAGAGCGCTGATAGCCTCGATCTCAGTCGACTCGAGGTCAAAGCCAACGACATCGAGGTTTTGCGCTAGACGCGCGGGGTTGTTGCTCTTGGGGATGACAGCAATGTTGCGCTGCGTAGCCCACCGCAGAAGAACCTGGGCAGGGGTCTTGCCGTGCTTCGCAGCAATGCTCTTGATGGTCTCGTGCTCGAACAGAGGCGGCGTGTTCTCAGCCTTGGTGACCTGCAGCTCGAGGAAGCTCAGGGGACCGAAAGAAGAGTAAGCGGTGATGGCAATGCCCTCGCGCTGAGCATAGTCAACCAGGCGAGTCTGGGTGAGGTAGGGGTGGTGTTCGATCTGCAGAGTCGCGGGGCGGACGCGCGCATAGCGCAGGAGGTCCATGAGCAGCTGGGCGCTGAAGTTACTGATACCGATGCTGCGGGCGAGCGACTTGTCGACCAGCGACTCCATCGCAGTCCACGTCTCCTGGATCGTGGCGTTGCCGAGCTCGACCTTGCCGGCTTCGGAGTTCCAGCTGGGCGGGTAGCGCACGGAGGGGTCGACGTATTTCAGGGAAATAGGGAAGTGCACGATGTACAGGTCGAAGTAGTCGACGCCCCAGTCGGCGAGCTGCTTGCGGGCAATGGGCTCGACGCGGTCGCCATCGTGGAAGCTGTTCCACAACTTGGAGACAATGAAGAGGTCCTCGCGCCTGACAATGCCCTCCTTAATGGCGCGGGCGACTCCCTGTCCAGCTTCGACTTCGTTGCCGTAGTCTGTGAGAATTACAAGTTAGTTCTGTTTCGTTTTGCTTCGCAAGGACTGCGTACCGCAAGCGCCGTCAAACAGACGGTATCCAGCCTTGATGGCCTCGTAGACCTGGTCAGCGCAGGTGTCGTTGTTCACCTTCCAGAGGCCAAAGCCCACGATGGGCATGTCATAGCCACTGCTGAGCTTGATAGTGGGAGTAGTCATCTTGAATCTGGTGTTGGTGCTGTTGTCGCAAGAGGAAGAGAAAGGAAGAAAGTGCAGTGAAGGGGGAGAAAAAGAGCTCAAGAGAAGAAGAAAATCAGGACACGCTTCATCATAGCAGTTTTACCCCCCATGGGCCCCTCCTCCGCACCAAAAGGATAAGTGCAAGAGGAGGCTAAAATGCAGTGATTCCGGCTGTATTGGGCGACTCCACTGTTCCACCGACACAGCAAAAGCCGCCGGCTAAATTCGACGCCGGATAAATTGGCTTTTGCTCAGGACCATGCAGCCCACCAATATCCCACCTGTGAGCGCACAGATTCAGCCAAAGAAGACTGCCAAAAAAATTCTCGGCCCAATTCTTTCCAGTCGGATGCCGTGGGTTTCATGTCTCCCAATGCAGCGAGCGGTGTTCATGTTCAAAAGGCCGTCCCGGATTGAAAAGGTGATTAGCACTGCTCCACTATTATAGTACAGGAATTGGTATTCAAAAAAGAGGGGCAGAAAGAGAAGAAAAGAAGACCAAAGAAGACCAAAGAATTATAATACACTTTTGTGCAGCCATAATTATTATCATTACTATTACAGTCGCGCTTGCCTTCAATAACATAGGCGTAGATCCCCAAGGCTCCTCCGTTATACAGCCTCGACCGCAGTATGTTCATATGCCGACGTTGTAGTATGCTCGGGGCCCGCCCCGTTCATACCAGGATCCCCAGACATCCCTCCCACAAGACCGACCAAATCGTCCGGCGGCAATAGCCCCTCGAAACTGTTACTCTGGTGCGATTCCCGAGATACCGCAACTGAATGATCAGATGATGTAAACGGAAGATGGTGGTAGTTATTGCCGCTGGTGTCTCCAGGAATCGTTGTACTAGGAGCAGACCAAGCTGCATGGCTCTGGGTGATTTCATCGAGTGACTGACTGCTGGGTACGAAATATCCACTCAGTGCATTGCCGCCGCCTGTGTCATGCAAGCTTCCTCCATGGTGATGCGATGGCACATAATGGCTCTCATGAGCGAGCCCATAGGTCCCAAGACTTGTATGCGGGAGAGACAAATCAGGGATCTGGAGCATCACGGGGCCACCACTGGAGACGTTGAGGCTGGTGGATTGGCTGGTTGTCTGCTGCTGCAGGTTGGGGAAGGGATCGAGCACAGAGGCCGAGGCTGTCTTCTCGGATGAGCCATCGTCAGCTCTGGTGATGCTGTTCAGGAAATCGAAGGCGCCAGCTGAGTTATATAGGCTAGCAACATGGTCATGGGAAGGCTGATACAACGGCCAGTGTTGTTGGGAGGGGGCAGTGTGTTGCAATAGATCGTGAGCCTGCGGCGCCTGGTACAAGCTGGAGGGGGGCTTGCTCATCAAGATTGACTCCAAGGAAAGAGGAGGAAGGTCAATCGCGTTCGTTGGCCTGGGGCTGTTGGTCAAAGTCCGGTCCGGAGAAGTAATCAACTTCCGCCATGTGGTGGTGCCGACCTCATTTGGCCGTGTCTGCCGGAACTTCCAGAGAACGATGGCCATTCTCCTGCTTTCTTCGCCTGAGGAGCCCGAGTATTGGTTCTGCAGCCTGCGCAGACTCGGTGGGTCGCTGGCACGGATCTCCTGCACTGCAGTCAGGGTATGAAAGTACCTCCGGTTACGCTCTTCAGCAGCGTGGTGATGCCCGGAGTTCTCAGCCTCTCGCTTGTCCTGTGTAAGCCTCGTGAAGCTCTTTGCCCACCATGACGACTCGAATGGCGGCTTGACCTTGGTTGTATGAGGCTTGGTGAGGTTGTGATATGCTTCCATTGTTCTTCGGCCATCCTCGTAGATGTAAGTGCTGCACGTCCAGTTCTCCATCTGATTGATCATTGGCGCGCTTCCGGACGTTGGATTGGCAATGTCGAGTTCCAAGTGAATTCCTAGCCTCGAGCCCATCGGAGGAAAGTCGTCCATCAACTCGAGGTTCGCCTCAAGGAGAATGATCTCGCAATTCAAGGGATCGGTTATGTCTGACAACGACGTGTTCAAGTATGGAAAAGATGTTCGCCAATTCTTAACCTCTTCCAAGGGCATAGGCGCTTGTCGTTGGTCCCCCTGAAGTCGGGTATACACATGGAAAGCATCGTCAATTCGATCTGGCTTGTGCGGTGCACTGACCCACATGTCAAAGCTAAGCCCTTGAACAGCATTGATGTTTGTGTCGTGGTGAGTGGGCGTGGAAGTGTAATGCGGTAGATGCAGCTCTGTAGAATAAGGCGGTATCAACCTCAGAGGTTCAGGGTATGAAGCGCTGAGATGGTTGCTGTAGTGACTCGAAGGTAAGTGATCCATCGATGTCCTCCATCTTGGGCCAACCGGTTGAGTCTGGCTGCTGGAGCGATCTGTCGGTTGTTCTCGAACAAGTCTTTCCCCTGTAGTCATCGTCAGCTTGGTAGGGACTATATAAAGGGCAATGTGCATCTTACAGTCTGGGTCACCCTTGAGGAACGAATCAAGAACTTGCAAGTGACTCGAAACTTGCTTCCTTGTCCTCCGCTTGCCGGTCAACTTATGAATGTATTCCGCAATTAGTTCGTTCCGGCCGTATGACTTTCCACGTTCGGACCACTTTCTCCTGCCCATGGGTGGGTTTGCCTCGAGGGCTGCAATGCTTGTTAGTAGCTTCTGGTATCTGGTACAGAATGCTGCTCACCTTGTTGAAACGCGTCTTCCAGCTCGTCGGACCACACTGGCTCCCCATCTTTGCCAGTATCCCGGCGTGGTCTGGCCCTATACTCCAAATACTTTTGTGACTTCAGGTAACTCCTGTTCCTTCGAGAACCAGCAAATGATGAGCCATTCGACTGCAGCCGTCGCAGCTTCTTGACCTGGTACCGGTGGCTCAACAGCTGCGGATGATACAGGCTAGTGGTAGCAGTGGGCAGTGGATGACTTGGTACCGGAGGGTGAGGGTACTTCAGAGTAAACTGCTGAAGGTGGTCATCGCGTCCGGCAGCATCATTGTGAGCAAAGCCGTCAGAGTACGCCTGTACGTTCCCAGACGTATTCTGCAGAGCACGGTCTGAAAGGGCCCCTACGCTCTCCAGAGCTGCTTGATTCTGAGATACCATGCACTCTGATTGCCAGTCAGTAGCCATGGAGCAGACCCAGAAAGATTTGCTCTCAAGAATGAGAACAAATTCCAAAGACAAGATGTTTGAGAGCTGCCCCAAATGTTTACGACCTGGCAAAGAACGCAAGAAGGTCGACAAAACGGCTATGAAGAACGTAGATGCTTGAGGAGAATGTAAGAGCCTGGGAAAGAGAATGTGGGAGCGAGCAGCATGGTGTTTATACGAAAGAGCTCTGAGGAATCCGCTACCCCCTGGAGGGGTACAGTGAATGTATCCCCGGTAGCCGCATAGTTGGGTCACGTTTGCTTGTTTGGAGCAGTCTTCTCCCTCGAGGGCCCGAGGGCAACGTCGAGCGTTCCCAAGGCGGAGGAAGCTCCTGTGTGCTGCGCTTCACGCGTCCAGTCAAGGTGACGAGGAAAGGAAGACAGGTGCCCCTCCGTTCTCGCGAATCAGGCGGGACGAAACTTGTTGGATGCCAATGCAAGGGGCACTCGGGGCGCACGATCCAGTCAACGGCCGTTCGGGGATTTTGCTCGGCGCAAGACGGACGCCCACGGCCGATCAATCGACGGTATAGATGAGTGACGATGGGAGATTTGTGGCAATGACTGCTTGGAGGAATGCAGAGCGACCAACAACATTCGCCCATCGCCAGGTCTATGGAATGCGAAGGGTATTACGAGAAATAGGGACCGGAATGTAGAAGGAAGAGCTTGTAGCCCTATGTTGATTTCGATATCCAGGGTGTAAGCACCTAGTTGTAGAGGAGTTAAGGAGAATCTCGTACTGACGAGAGAGATCCCAGGTGAAGATAACGGGATACAGGGTATCTGAGTTTCGGATGCACGAGTTGACGGGCGCTTTGCAGGACGCGTATGTATGTACTCGCGGGAACGTGTTGGCTGCTTTTGTCCGGGACGCAAGGGATGCTATCGCGAACAAGCACAACCTGCTTCTGATGCCTATGCACAGGGAGGAGGGACTCCGAGGGAGAAGGGACTGTCCTCCTCTCTCTAGCTTTCTTCGTCCTGGGCCCCTACGGTGAATTTCTTCCGCCCGGCTCCCGTGAGCTTCTGGAGCTTGACCCTGTCCAGCTGCTCCCCTACCTTCTTCTCGATCCTCTTGATCTCGTCTTCAGCATCGATCGCCTCCTCGTTGGCGAATTCCAAGACTAATCTTCGGCCAAGCAAATGCGTGTTCTTCAGCGCGTCCATGGCATTCTCCGCTTCGCGAGCGCTTACAAAATCGGCAAAACCGAACCCACGAGCAGACCTGTCAAACTTCTGAGGAACACGCACAGAGCGTAGCTGGCCATATGCCCCGAATAGTGACCTGATATCCTTCTTCGTAGCCTGGAATGGCAAGTTCTTGATGATGATCTTGGTCCTTCGTGCAGCAATCTTCTTTGCTGTGTCTTCCCGTCTCCGTTCCTCCGCTGCATCCATACCTTTATGGGATGCTCTTACAACCAGTGAGTGTCGATCGAGGGTATAGCCATTCATGACAGCCAAGGCAGCCTGGGCCTGAGCGTTCGACTTGAAATCGACAAAGCCGAAGCCCATGCTGAGGGTTTGGCCTGGGTTCTTAGGGTCAGGTTTTGTCTTGATTCTAGCAGAGATGAAGCCATCCAGCGGCCGGAATGCTTCGACCAAAGACTGATTAGTTGTAGAAAAGTTGAGATTCTTGACAAACAGCGTCGCGGTGACAATGTTTTCCTCGGCTTGCTCATCAGCTGCAAATGTATCCGCTGTTGAGAACCCTTGCGAGACAGCCTTGGCTTCTGGGAGCGGCTTTTGTGGGGAAACGTTGGCGTCAAACAGGTCTTTCGGCGCCTTCTCTAGGAAGAGAATGGAGTCTCCGAGTTTGCGATAAGCCAGGCCTTTGAAGGCTTTCTGCGCTTCGTCCGGTCGTGCAAACTCTGCGATAGCTATCGTACCGCTGGGAGGCATCAATAGCCGAGAAGGCTGTCCGAAAGGTTCAAGTAGTTTGCTGAGATCGTCGGCTTTCGTGCCATACGAAAAGTTCTTGATCAAAATCGCTGTGTTCCCGCGCTCCCGTTGCTTGAACGCATCAAGATTGACGCCATTTGCTTTGAAGTAAGCTTTTGTCTCTTGAATTACGTGTGTTTCGGCATGAGCCTGCTTGACAGCAGCATCTGATGAGGTCGGGTCCAAAAGTTCAGCTTTTGAAACACCGATTCGTTCAGCCACTGATGACATTACAGCGTCGGCCTGTTTGATTTAGCATAGTTCTACTCGCCGTAAGAGAGGTGCGCTCACATTCATGTACAGCGAGTTCCAGCTAAACGTTGAAGAAGAAGCGTCTTGCTTTCGCTTGATCTGCTTCTGCTTCTTCAACGGTAGCTTGGAAAGCTCATGCTCATCTAGCTTGTACGTCTTCTTTTGGGATGCCGGTAGAATGTGTAACAAACGGCCCTGGAAATGCTTCCCATCAAGGTTTTTGTATGCTTCAACAGCTGCGTCTGGATCCACATATTGAATATATGCGAACCCTTTGCTTTTGGTAAAGCGAGTATCAAAGGCAACATGAATCTAAAAAAACAGTGCGATATTAGCGAATGTTTTCAGAGCAAATCGGTAAGTCAAATCATGCGGATTGATTGCTTGTTCAGATAAAGAGAGGCATCTACTAAAATTCTCTCATCTTGTTCACATCACTTGCTTTTGCATCGGATGTCCCTATCAGGAGGTATCATCATTCAAGCGGGGAAGACCATCAAGGTGTATTAAGGACCTGGGGCTCAACAACAAACAAAAGAGGGAAAATCTTACCTCTTCGATTTTTCCAAAAGGCGCAAAGACAGGTTCAAGATCGGACTCTTCCGTGTCGTAAGAAAGATTTCGAACAAATAATCGTGCGGAGATGCGAATATTTTCGATATTCGTGTCGACCTCTTGAGGCTCGGTTGCTTTCGCAGGACCATTGGCCGTCGGCTGTTCGGTACTTTCCGCAGGAGTATCAACGTCCATGTCACTGACTAGGGCAGCACTTGAAGTCTGCGCAGGTGGGGCAAAGTCGACTTGTTCGTCTTCATCGAGGAGCCCTAAAAGACGACTCGTTTTTGAGCGAAGCCAGTCTGAGTCAGATACAGCCTGATCTTCCACTTGGTCCTCTCCTTGCCCTGCTTGTTCCTCTTCTGTTTTCTCAGATTCAGGCTGCGCATCCCCATCAACTGTCGGTGAATGGCCGGCATTCTCCGACACGTGTGAGGTCGGTCCCGCATCCTGTCCCAGCTTCGCCTTCTTTCTCTGGGCGTAAGTCAGCTCCTGAGGGGCATCATCAACTTCGGCAGGCTGTTCATCTGAAGGTGAGTTGGTCTCAACCGGGGTAGGTAGTTGATCATCATTCGCCCAAGTCTTGGTCTTGGAGGGTTGTTGTAACAAGGAAAGATATTCCTGTACTTTGGGGTCTTGGGGCTTCTCGTCGCGTTTACGCTTGAGCGAGTTTTCCGCGGCGTCAGCAGGAAAAGACGTTCTACTGTTCTTGCCAGGCTTGTGCGCATCATTGGCAGGTTCTGCGTCAATCTACATCCATGGGTCAGTTACACGACCACTTTGACTGGTCAGCGCTGGACGGGGAAGACAAGAAAGCAAGGCGAGACGATGGAAAACAAGACATACCGGTTTAGCAATGTCTACAGAGATCTTAGACATCTTCATATATGTCTTGTTGAAATATGAAACAGCTTGCTGGGCAACCTCGGAGCTTTTGAAGCCCACAAACCCAATCCTGCGCTTCGGCAAAACATGGGCGTCTGTCACTTGGAAGCGGGTCGCAAAGTGTTTCTTGAGCTGATCATTGGTTAAGGTAGGCGGAAGGCCAGATACAAATACTCTTGTGCTCTCCATGGCTGTGTATTGCGGCCTGCCCAATGCCACTTGAAGTGATGAAGAAGTTTGAAACGAGAAAAACTTTTTGGGCGGCTTTTTTTCTGCTTTTTGATTGTGCCGCGGGCGGTGAAGGGTGGGTGAAAGTGGCTCGTGCGTCTCCATGCGGTGTTTCCTGCCCGCGAAGGAGCTGAAGGTACGGCTATCAATTAAGGACGCTCCCAGTGATTCGGAAACCAAAATTGCTGCATTGCGAAAGTTGCCTATCCATCCTACCTTTTATCTGATTTGTTGCCTATCCACTCGCTTCACGATGGCTACCGAGAAGAAGGACAAGCTGGAACGTAAGTCTCGAGTCCCACGCAAGCTCCCCTCGAGTCGGACTGACTCAGTCTTCAGCGCAAATCAAGTCCGTTGACATGGTAAGGGGTCTCTACCCGGCGGAAATGATTTCAGAATGGCGCTCATGATACGATAGTCGGAAGACATGCAGCAAGAGGCTGTTGAAGTTGGTATGGTCCCTTAGGCGCCCAAACAAATCAAAGCTAATTGTTTAGCTATTGAGGCAATGGACAAGTACCACATTGAAAAGGTATGGCTTTGATTTTATGAAGTTATTTGCCCCGATTACTGACATATACTAGGACATTGCTCAGTACATCAAGCGAGAGGTCCGCGACCCCACCCGATAAACGAGGACGGCACGATTCTCACAATTCTATAGTTTGATTCTCGCAAGGGCGCGACGTGGCACTGCGTCGTTGGAAGAAACTTTGGCAGCTTCGTTACACACGGTACTTGCGTCGACACTCCTGGTTTCGGCCTATACTGATCGCCTCCAGAAACGAAGCACTTTATCTACTTCTATCTCGGACACTGCGCAATCCTCCTTTTCAAGACGCAATAAACGCCCGCGGATACTATACCACTGTTATCTTTCGAGTCCGAAGGTGAATGTCGATATGACCTCTCAGAGAAAATAACAAACAACCGAGCCTACATACCTCTTCGTTATGATTCCCAACCTACCTTGAGAGGGCACTGGACCCGCCGGCCGCTGAGACGGAGCCTCTACGTGCGTATTCTGTTCTTCATTTTTTATTCGGCGTTATTATTGGTAAAAGCTTCCTGCCAGGACTATCTTCACATGGTCCCAATCTAGCCGCATACTACACCGATCACCTGTAGATAGCCCGCTACTACTTCCCAGCGTCTATTATTCTATTTCGAGAAACGCTTGGTTTTATGCTCCAAGAAGCAGTACAGTATACCTATAATAATAATCGAAAAGAATAATAATCGAAAAGAAGGGGGAAAGAAAGAAAGAAGAAAAATAGGCACGTGGTGAACTGTTGCTGCAGTATACGTACTCGCCAAGCCCCCCAAGCCACAGCGCGCCACCTCTTGAATAACTGCTGCCTTCACCCTTTCAAGTTCCAACACAACCAACCACACTCGCGCTCTTGATCCTACAAAAGAAACATAACTTCTCCGAAACTAAACCCCGATACGAGAAAGCTATCGATTGCTGTCTGTTTACTCCTCTGAAAAAGCCTCAAGCCAGCCATGGCCATCTGCATCACCTTCGGAACACATGGTTCGTCACTCACCCCAGCCCGCCGTGCCACAGCCGATGGATGGACCCTTCGTCATAGTCCTCCACCAGTTCCAGTCCGTTTCAATTGGCGGACTATATCCACCTCGAGCTTTGGGGGGACCTTATTGACTAACTTGTCTATGTGCAGAGTTCACGTCTATGCTAGAAGGGTATGAGAACGTTAGAGCTTATTGTTACAACTGTATGTTCGCCCTTGGATGCATAGCATCTACTGTGTTTTATCTATGCTCTAGTAAAGACTAACAATTCGATATAGGCCAACATTGGAATGGACGGTGTATAACGAGATGGTATGTTGAGCCCGTCTATTCCTAGAAAGAAAAAAAGCTAACTCAATTCATCAGGCCGTTCTTCACGATTTGCTTTGTTGTATGACTCTCGCCCACTCGCTTGGGCACCACCCACCTTCATCCATGGAAGCAGAGATACTAACATATCACCGCAACAGCCTCTAATCCCTCTATCAACGCACAAGTACAAGGTAGGCCCTGGCCCCAGCCCTCGTCTTCTCGTCGTTACTATAACCAGCCAAGAGCACAACTAACACCCGCTCAGGAAGTAACCTGCTACACATGCCGCTTCACCCAGGACATGCGGTATGCCCGTGAACTCCCAGCTCATCGAAATGCAACAAGCCCACTAACAGATTCTCAGGGACCGCCCCGACATAAACCCAAACACGCGGCCGCCACCAAATGTATACGGCCCGCAACCTCCGCCACAGGCACACTATGGAGGCTACCCGCCACCACAGCAGCAGCAGCAGCAGCAGCAACAGCAACAGCAACAGCAACAGCAGTACCCGCCTGTAGCGTCTGGGGCGGCGTCCCCGCCGCCGCAGGGGTATTCGTATAAGTGAGGCACGATGCTTCGGCGGTTGCTTTTTCTGTCTTTTTTATGTTGTTCAGGTTGTTTGAGTTCAAGGGCTCAGCATGCTTTGCTTGGGTTTTCTAGCTTGGTTTGGTGTTTTGTTTTGCCTTATTTTGCTCTCTACTAGTCTGCCTACTATTGTAATTGCTTATGGACTATCGGTTCGGTTCTAGGGTAGAGATTAATTCAGAATAAGTGGTTGAAACGTACTATATAATCATATCTTAGGTATAGCCATAACATCGAGCATCGAAGAAGACCTTGAAGTCACCGACAAGAAAACGAGACGGGGTATAATCGAACTGTCACACGCATAGAGGCCAGAACGCTGGCCAAAGAACAAACACAACTGGTTCCTGGAAACCAAAGCCCATCACAATTAAGCAGTCGAATCCGACTTTGCAACATTCTTCTCCGTGGGCGTCGCAACCCCGGAAGTCTCCTCCTCAACCTCCCTCCTTCCATCAAGCGCAGCCCTCTTCCTCCCCATGGCATCATAGTACATAAGCCTCGCAACCCGAACCATGCTACTTCGCCCCTCCCAAAGCGGGAAGAGGACGACTCCAAACGCCGTGCCAAACAACCAGATGATCCCCACAACAACCCAGCCCGTGAAGAACTGCTTCGAGAAGACATATGAGCTACCGTACATGGGAATCGGCCAAAGGAGTAAGAAGCAGATGACCATGCCGATGGTGAGGGTGCGCGAAAGGAAGGCGGCCTTGTTGAGCTTGCGGATTTCCTCCTCCTCTTCGGAGGCGCTGGTGTTTTCGCCGGGGACGAGTTCGAGGTCGATGTGGGCGGCTGCGGCGACGTCCGAGTCGTCGACTTTGCGGATCGCTCGCATGGACTCGTAGTCGTAGTTTTGGGGTCCAAAGACGTAGGTGAGGACTGGGGAGAAGACTATAGGCGATAGCAGCGCGGCGACGTTGCCTGCAAGCATGGGGTAGTTGGCGCCCGTAGTCTCGACAGTGAACTCGCCGTATTCGGTCTTTGTGGTGACGAGCCAGGCGATCAGGGACATGGCGAGGCCGAGGACTGGGGAGGCGGCGGCCGCGATCCAGTTCTGGCCCTTCCAGACGAGGGTCATGGCGCCGGGGAAGACGGCGGAGGAGATGATGACGCCCATGAGGAGGTAGAGGTAGCCCATGCCGATTCCGGCGTAGTAGAGACCGGTCGAGAAGCCGGCCATGACGAGGGCGAAGACGATGCAGGACAAGTGGGAGATCCAGACAAGGCGCTTGCCCTTGGCTTCGGGGTTGATGTAGGCTTGGTAGATGTCGTAAGTGAAGATGGAGGAGACGGCGATGAGCTGCGCGGAGAAGGCAGATGTGACGGCCATGAATATCATGAGAGTCGTGCAGACGGCGCCGCTGTAGCCGAGGAGTTCGACGGCGGCGAAGGGGAGCACAAGACCAGCAGTCACATCAACAGAGGCAATGCGGCGACCTCCCTCGAGGGCGAGGGCGGAAAGGCCCATAGTCGTAGCGCAGAGCCAGGGAATAGCAAACCAGCAAAGACCGCCAATGACATAACCAGGGAAAGCGTGGACTGGGTGAGCAGCAATGGCCTTGTTGTAGTATCCGTTGTCTAGGAAGACAGTACCGAAATTTCCGACCAAGTTGATGACCCAAAATATACCTCCGTCCTTGGACCTCATAGTGAGGTAGCTTCCCTCGGCGTTTCCCTCGACTGGGTGAAGTTGCGCAGCCTGGACCAAGAGATCGTACACCTTTCCTGGAGAGCCAAGCTTGTCACTGGTGGCGTATGCGGAGAAGGAGAAGATGAAAATGATGACGATAATGACAACCGTGTGCATGTAGTCGGTGATAAAGGTAGCCTTGATACCACCGAACAGGGTATAGAGCACCACACCGATTGGCAGAAGGAAACAAGCAGCAGTTGTCGAAACGCCAGTCATGGAGGTCAATACCGCAGAGCCACCAGTGAGCAGCATGGCAGTGACGAGGATGTTGGTCATCAGGCAGAAGACAATGAAGACAATGTGCACCGGTGTGCCATAGCGGGCACGAATCGCCTCGAGGAAGGTATGCGCATTAGGAGCGCGTCTCTTAAGCTCGATAGCTAGGGTTGCAAATAAGATAATCTGAACAGTGGCACCTATCAAAGAGTCAGCGCGAATCTTTTATTAATCCAATGCTAAACTAACCAGATGCATAGAAGAAAGGACCCGAAGTGCCATACTGATAGGCCACAGCAGACGACTGGAGAAGAGTAGCAGCCCAAGTCCAACTACTCACAACAGCAGAGGCAACAAGACCAGACTTGACACTACGTCCAGCCGTGGAGAACATCTCAGAGGTAATGACTTCATGCTGATACCTGTAATACAAACATGTCAGATACCGCTCACGCATTTAGATAGGAGCCAGTCATACCTCTTGAGAGCCCAGGTAATAAAGATCATGACCAGGGCGAAAGCGAACCCCAGCCCGACAATGATACCATATCCGAACGCCTGAGATAAAGGTGCCTCGAAAGCAACAGACTCCACGCCCTCGGCATCAGGGCCAGCAATGACAGCAACCATCCTGAGTGGGTATACCTAGTAGTACGCAAGGCAGGGTTGCAAGGACCCAAGTGGTGTAAAGAAAGAGGACTAGTCTGCCTCGAATGATCTGGAGATAGAAGAGCTGAAGTATCAAGAAGCGAGCCGGGCAACTGGCTGATATATGTCTCCCAAATCTCCGAACTCGCAACGACGACGATCAACCACGGTCTTGGACAGCTGCGGTAATCAGCAAATTATTGTCCATGGCAATGAGAAATAAGAATGAATCACCATGGCCTCGAGCCAAGGCCCAGACAGGACCTTGATAAGGGCCATCAGTTTCGTAATAGCCATCGAAGCTTGGCATTAGGCTCCCCGGGCAGACTGGAACATTGATCCCTCCCAGGGTTCTCTGGAGTTTGCAGCAGTAGGAGCAGTTAGCAGTGGATGCTCATGACGGAGAAGCTTCAGAGCTTCCTTCGCCCAAGGTCGGCGGCGGGGCCTCACATTATCGTGCCGATAGAGAATGGGCTGAGACTCAGAGCTGTCATTGGCGAATGCTTATCAGCAGAAATATAAGGATTGGGTCAAACGAGGGAGATAAGCCCGGATGGTGGGAAACCTCGAGAACGGCCGCCGCTCGCCGACGCGCCGTCCCAACTTCACTTTGCACTAACCTGCACTTGTGGGCCTGATATCTCGCGTTCCGCTGTCATTCTTCTTTGTATGCGCTTTTTGCATCTCGATAACGCTCTGGCCATGAGACTCACCTTTAAACTTTTACTCGAATCTGCGATTAATTGATACCCGCACTTTCCGTGTTTCCCCACGGGCTCAATCCTTTGCTTCTATATGTGCTCTTTCATTCGACGAAAATATCCCGAACCACCTGCTCGCTGCAGCCCCTGTTGAGTAACGTCTGAGACTCTGAGTCGAGGTCTCTCCTCTGGAATGCCTATCGTGGTTAGTCGAGCCTTCGCTTAAGACCCCAGGATATGGGGAAGACATTCGTCCTCCGGAGTCGTGGTCGATAGTCCGTTTGTGTACTTTCGACAAAGTTTGTCAGCAGCAGCTCTATGCTATCTATCCTTGGGCTCCAGCTCCAGCGCTTTGCAGAGGATTTGAGACTCAGCCCATTATCGCTGGAAAACTCACAAATCGGGTAGACTCATGAGCTACCGTGGCTCAATGGTCATACCTTGTATCAAGAGCTCCAACCCAGATATCATCCCCAGCCAGCCTCCAACACCCTCAGTAACCCAAACTAGTAGACTCCGAGTCCTACACCACCCCAGTTCCCACCATGACCATCCCGCCCAATCCACACGGCGGGCCAGTCCCAGTCCCAGTCCGCTCAGCCCTGCAGCAGTCTAGCGTGTGGCAACATGCAGTAATCTCAGGCCTTCGCGTGGCGGGAATCGCGTTTGATATCTCGATCTGCTTATCTAACGACTTACCCTAGTCCCCTCCTCAATGTCTAGCTAGCTTTCTGACCGAGCTTTGGGCGGTTCCAATTCGAGCCACTCGAGCAGCTACTCCCTCATGACTCGCGATTAGCACAAATGACTGCTCGACTAGCCATGCGGGAGAGTTCAAATCCATGGTCGTGTGTGCGGGACGTGTCAGATCACTGCTTGCTAGCATTTGAGCCACCATGCACTGTAAAACGGCATATCTACCCGGCGATGGTGGTGGACTAGGATTCAGCGAGATCTGAAGGGTCTATCCTTGGCTGAAAGGGTTCCAGATTGAACACACATCCCGACAACCTGGCGCCGATAGCGGGGGGCAAGATGGTGGCATCAAAATTCGTACCTGTCAAGACGAGGCTATACGAAGATCGGCAAAAGGGTACTATACATATGCATTGTTTCCCAACTGAACTAAACTGACAAACACTGCACTAACGATATGCCAATCCGAGCACCGAATGCAAACACAATAATGATATCCGAAAGCCTACGCTGCAGATAGGTCCCGGACGTTGAACAGGCGATCTCCAGTAGGTAGAAGAAAGGGGTAGGCGGTTTCCATGAGCTGTGCATCCCAGGCTCGCCGGCGCACGGAACGAAACAGCGGAAGAGGCGCAAAGGGTATATGGATTTAGAAGGTTCAAAATGTGTTGAGGGAATCAGTTCGCACGCCTCCATCGTCTCATTTCTTGCAGAGTGGGCGTTTGGTATATTCTTCGAGCAGGAATCACAGCCCAGACTCGTCAGGGCCGTGCCGCTCAGAAGAACATCCCCTCCCATTCTGCCATGTCAAGCTCGGCGAATCTCAAGAGCGAAAAGGCGATAGAACAGATCATGATATCGCAATTTACGAGGAGAATTTGCGGGTAATCTTGGCAATGACTAGACGAGCGCACAAGTTAGTATCGCACGAGACTCAACCCATAAAGCGATGTTAGAGCATATACCATGCAATCCGACAACAGAGAAGATGAAGCCCAAGCTGAGAACGAGGACAACGACGGGGTCAACCCTCAGACCAGGGCTCTCGTCTGTGTAGAGCTTGAGCATAGTGCTGGAAGAGCCACCGGCACCCGCGGCGCGAGTCGAGCTAGGACGAGCATTGCGAAGGGACTCTTTGTGGTCTGCAGCCGCGCGGCGACGCAGAGCAGCCCGGGGACCACCAGGGGGGGTAGGAGAGGAAGGACGGTTGACAGAGGAGACAGCAGAGGCGGTGCCAGCGGACTTGGAGTCCGGGCCTGATTCAGCACCAGAAGTCAAAGGGGAAGCAGCGCGAGCGGAAGACTAGAAACGAGATGATCGGGTTAGCCCGATTGCATAGAGTGAGCTTTCAATGAAGCCATGTTGTCAATGGATTCGCCCCAGGAAATGAAGTAGCGATCGACGAAGGGACACCCACCATTGTGCGTGAAAAGGAAATTGGACGGTAGAGAAAGAGTCGGCGAAAGAAGGTAAATATTACAGGATATATTGAAGAATCGAAATAAAGAATTGACTCAGGGCAAGCAGAGAAAAATGTGAAGAGGAGGAGTGGAAACTGGGAACTGGTGAGGTGAGGTCTGGAGTCGCTCCAAAGAGGACACGCTCACGATTTCCATCCACCCGCTCGGTATTGTAATGTATCGTCATTTTCCCTTCCCCCAGCTTCAACAGCCAACCAGTATTGAGCTTTTTATTACTTTGATGTATTGGTATTTTATCCCATTGCAACATCAGGAGTTCAAGTCTGCCAGACTGCTCGAACGGTCGAAGGATAGGTACCACTTAGATTAAGTAGTACTATCCCATTGTACTGGTAGGAGGCTGTCACTGGACTTGATTGTGTAGCTGTAGCTAGTGTATACCCTCGATCAATATTTTGAGTATTCGTAGTTTACTAAAAGCCTCCTCATTCGCATCAGTTCTACGAGATAACAAGAGGTTGGAGTCATGATAGTTTTTGTCATAAAATAGTAGCTAGGTAGATCGAGGCAAAAGAAAATGTTCATCAACAAACGCTATGGGTACCTTTAAACAGATAAGTGAAATCGAACAGTCAGGGGGCAGAAGGGACCCAGACTGTAGGTATAGAGTAACAGTCGTGACAAAAACCCGAGCAACGTAGGAATAGGTATCATATTGCAAATCTTCAAGACGCCCCAGTTCAATGTCAAGGCCGAAGAAGGCCAATTGCGCAGCATATATAGATTAAGCACGTCGCAATAATCTCAGCGCCGGTGTAGTATTCGATTGGGCGGAGAATGTCGTTCACGCCGGTTCGATTTTCGATTAATCGATCATCATTCGAGTGGGCACTTGCTCGCTGGCAACGGTCGACAATTCGGTAGAATTGTCGTTCTTCTCCGCATCCTTGCCCTTCTTTTTCTTGTTGATATGGGGCTTCAGCCCCTTGTGGAAGTTGTGCATGCATACACAGGCGTTGATTATGGTCATCACAATCAGAATAAGAGTAATGATGGCGAAGAATGTCAATGACCGTCGGGCAGAAAGGTAGTCGTTGGCGGTAGCTGGCTGGTACATACGAACCAACTTGAAGAGGAAGTATGCCATTGCTGCGAAATACAGGAGCTATCAAAACGTCAGAAGGACTCAAGAATTCGGGGGTATGCTCGGTAACCTACAATGATGACGATCATGCCAATTGTGCTTTCGCGACGCACAAAGAATGCGGCGCAAAGAAGAATCAGGATTGTAACCGGAATGGCAGCAGTGGTAAGTGCGAACTCGATGTCTTGTCTGTTGGTGACGATGACCAGGAATTGGACGGTAAAACCGAGGAAGAAGAAGAAATCGAATTTGAGCAAGGCGATGTAAATCTGCCAATGTGTCAGTCTCCCTCTCGAAGGCTCGAAAGCAAAGCACCACACACCTGATAGGTCAGGTAACGACGCTTCATGCGCAAATCGGCACTGATATGTTTGTAGATGGACCATGCAAATTCATCATAAAGCTTCCAGGCGACGAGTACCAACAAAACACTACCCAAAGCAACAACAATTGGAATGATAATCAGGAATGGCTCTGACTGATCCCAAATATCATAGCTAATAGAGTCGTTGTCCGTCAAAACCTTAAGACCCTCCTTGATTTGTTGGACTTGAACGGCTCCATAGATCAACAGACCAATATTGCAAAAACACAACCCGATGATTTGAATGGTGTTTTTGAGGCGGAGGGCATCGTATACTAGAATCAGCTCGTAGATGAATCCGAAGCAGTACAGGGCTAGGAAGGTCGGGATCGTTTTCGCGGCGACGACTTGTTCACCTTGAGGTTGAAGTTGGATCTGGAAGTTGGCGAACACATATCTATCGTAGGCCATGGCGTTAGCGACAAAGATTGAAGGGGGGAAGGGCCGATAAACCATACACTTCTAGGGCAAGCGTGATAATTACTTGAACTAAAGCGACAATGGCGAAGGACCATGTCCACATAGAGTTTGGTTTGTACATCTTTTTGCGTGATGGTGGAGTTGGAGATACATTTGTATACCCTTCTCTCGCGCGAAAGCCCCCGTGACCTCGTCGAAATGTCGGATCGAAAGACCCGCCGAAGAGGGAGTCACGCGAGCCGTGGGAATAAATCTTGACGAACTGCTCCGTTACGGAGCTGGTGTCTTCTAGAATATCGTTGTCGTAATACAGTATGGCGGTTTACCACGGAGGTGTGGTAAAGCAGGCCGAGGGCGACTCGTCGTCGATGAACAGGGGTGAAGGTGAAATGGTATCGACAGTCGCACCCGATCGTTCCCTGGGATCCCTTGCACGGTTTCGTTTTGAAGCCGTCCCAGAGTCAGGAGGGCAAAACTTCCAGGGATGGATGAGCACCGAGGAAGAGCTCCTCAGCGAACATACACTCCCAACAAACCCTCCTGGTAGTCGAACGATAGACTGGGGGTAAGATGAAGGGAGGATGAAGCGGTCGCGGGAGGAATCTGGAAGATGAATGGTTTGTATTTCCCCCAGAGGATGCCGGTTTGTTGCCAAGCCGCTCGTGATACGCCGTGTGGTGTCGGGCGGGGAGGCTCACATCGATCGTTGAAGGCGAGGTCGAAGGCTGAGCACCTGCAGGCTGGTGAAGATCGAGGAGGGCTGAAGTTTGGTCGAGGGAAGCGAGTGGTGGAAAACGAGAGAATTAAGGATATGAGCGGAAAAGAATGAAGATCAAAAAAGACCAACGGGACCCGGAAATGAAGGCTGGGGTGTCAAGAAACGATGGACAAGGCAAAAAGAGAAAATCGAAGTCTTAAACTGGGGGACGCGAAACAGCGGGCGACTCCGGAAATTCCCAGGGCCAAAACACGCAGTGCCTGGCCTGGGAACCACGGTTTAGGGAGGATCCTGTGGGACTGCAAAAAGGACAATTCCAGAACGTCTTCCTTTTGGCAATCCAACTGACAGCTAACGGTGACCTTTTCCAAGATCGCTCTTCGAGTTCCCACTATTATTATTGATCAGGTTTCTTCCCACTCTGTAATTATTGCCGTCAATCTTCTAAAAATACTCGATATCCAACACTCTCGATTGTTGTCCCGTCTTTGGTGGCTCGCATTGTTGTACGACCTCAAAGAGCTTTTTGTTCTTCAACATTCCTGTGCCACAGGAGTTTGAATGCTTAAACATGGTTGAAGACAGATGTACTCCTGTTCTGCTGGCAGCTGCTCTAAACTTCCGAGTCCCTCAGGCAAGCTTCTCCAAGTTAAAAACGTGGACGTGCTCTCTTTGCTACACGTCGGTCAGCCTGCCTCTTCAACCAGCCCATTAATGTCAGAGTCAGATTGTCAATCTTAAGGGCTCTAGCTATTTTTAGGCAACCTGGCATGCATCTGCAGGGGATCAAGAGCATTTGCCTGAGACCTGTGAGGACGAGTCTGCATTGCTGACACAGAGCCCTCTCGCCTCTGCAACAGATGATAGCTTTCTAGATGCCCTCACACTTCGCTCATCTCCAGCAATAAACCTGCCACGGGACCATGAATGGCGCAATTAACTCTGAAGCCAAGACGTATCTACAAGGACACCCCACGGAAATCTCTTGCATACTTGACACGGGAGCTAAGGCTAAGCTCCAACAGAGCATCCCAGCAACACCCGCTGTCTATTGTTTAACTGAAACCAGACGTCAACCCACCGAACAACAAAGGCAAGAAACATAGTGTTTCTAACCACTTGAGGCTCAAGCCGAAGCTGAATAATTCAAATCACCAGGATCACGGGCTAGCGGTGGCTGTGAGACACGCAAGCCACTCCCCACCGTGCGCGCTGCGCAAGCTGTACGGGGTGTGGCTTGGCCGCCTGGCTGCCTGGCCCAAGGCTGATTTTCAGAGACGGATCATGAGGGAGAAATGACTTCTGCAGGTGCGAATTTCGAGCATTGAGTCAGGCCTCTCAAATAACAGGTGCTATCAGCCGCACAGGAAAGTGACTGGTCGTATAAGAGAGCTTTCTTGCTTGAGGTGCAGCCGCTACTGCGCTCTGCAACTTAGATGGACCCTGCAGACAGCGTCCTACAGAGATTCAGGAACCTACAATGAGCATGCGCAGACACATGGATTGCCGCCATCTACAACGGATAGATGAAGCATTGAAGGTGTACCATACGAGAATGGATTGATGAGATTGTCCTCGGCCTCGCACAAGCGCGAGTGCTACCCGTGGACCTTCTCCATATAAGCCCAACGCGGAAGGCGGTATCGAAGCTTAAAGCACTCAAAAGTCGAAACATCTCAAAATTATTTCGTCCTCTTCCTTTCTTCTCCTCTCCAAGCGCCATCCCCACCAATGCTGCGTTTCTTTGCTACACACGACAAGACCACCACATCTTGTCTCACCAGAGATTTCCCAATCTCAGACGGTGAACCCCCTTGCAAATGAGAAATTCGGAGAAATCTTCAAACCCCCACATGAACCCGCTTCGCTCCCACGGCGAAGCCGGTACTACCCTTGAGGGTCTGGTGTGATATCTCGTATACACACCTGCAATCGGCATCAGAAACATCGGGGGGAGCGTCGGGGTCTCCGGGCCTCGGTTGCTCTTTTTCCCCTTGGGAGAGTCGTTGCGAAGATTGTGTGTGTTCGTCCCTTTGGGCGGACATGACACTTTAGTGCAATACGCAGCATACCTTTGCTTTTCCTTTTCCCTCTGGGGGAAGATGGCTGGTATCATTCGATTCCGATTATTCTGGTGAGGATGGCGCTTCACCTCTTTTTTTCTCAGGTTAGTTTGTTCTTCTCTTCCCCTGTTATTTGTGACTGTGGGAAGGCTGGGAAGGATGGTTTTTGTGGCCTTGCTAATTTGTGGGATCTGGCCGCCGTGGTCTGTTAGGGGGCTCCGATGGCTAAGGTGGTTGGATGGGTACTGTTGGGTTCGTTGCAGAGCGCGAGGGTACAGAGTACACCGAGTACATCATGTCGGAAGCTGGGAGCTGTCGATGTACGAGATAATGTGCATATACCATGCTGGGGTTATGCTATCGCTGCATGATGCTAGGTTTTAGGATTTCTAAGGCTGTGATACGAATGAAAGCTCTGTATTAGCCCGGCCGTCTGAATGTAACCAAGCAAACGTAGAACTCCGTCAATCGCTCGTCTAGACTAGAATGGACATTATAGTAGGCTTAAGTTCTACCTCCATGGGACAGCTCGTCGACATTCAAGGATATTTTTGAAGGACAATAGTAGAAAAAAAATAGAGCTGTAATCGTTGCCTTCTGAAGCATCCCCCTTCATGGTCATAAAATGGTTCGGTTTTCTTATATTACCCTGTTCACCTCGTTTATTCCTCATCGCCGATCTGCAGATAGATCCGTCAGTACATCTTCCTCAAGAAGACTATCGTAGTAGCCTCTGAGACTGGACATGCTATCACTTACCTTGGGAGCGAGGTAGAACCTCAAGTGGCCGCTTCCAAGACCATATTCGACGAGGAGAGGTACCTCCTGGGAGAGGCACAGGCTCACCTTATCCGAGAGATTAGTGGCCTTGCAGAAGTTGACGAGGTACTTGAGGGAGAATGTGAGGGCGACGGGTTCGCTGAGGACAATGGAGACGTTCTGCTCGGGCTTGTCGACGCTGGTGTGTTGGCGGATGGTGACGGAACCGCTGCCAATGTCACCCTGGCAGGAGAATTTGACGCCTTCCTTTGTGGCCTCGATCACGACTATGAGGATAACTATGGTTAGATAGTGTTTCGAACGAGATAGAGCACGGCAAACACCGGCGTCTAGTATAAAGAAAATGGAAACCTACCGGACTCAGAGAGGTTATTCAAGTCTCTGCAAATTCGTTGAAACTCGCTCGCGGGCATCTCCACTGTAGCAGCGTACTCTGTGTCGGGGATAGCCAAGTGCTCTTGGTCGATATCCATCAGCTTAATATCATACTCGCTCAGCCTGTCCGTCTCCGAGCTCTCGAACATCAGGTTGACAACATCCGGGGAGTCATCCGCCTTGAGGGTGAGAATGTCGTCGTTCTGAGCAGCCCGCAGGACCTTGGTCAGGGAGACCAGGTCGATACCGAGGGGGATGTTGCGGTCGCAGCGGTAGGGGGAGAAACCCTCGGCCTTGAGCAGCATGGACACGAGGGCGACGTGGGAGTTATCCATGGCCTGGAGGGCAATGCCGGAGTCATTGCAGTCGAAGTTACAGTACTGCACGAGATCTTTGATGGCGTCGACGACCTGAAAGAGGGGGCGCGTGAGTGATTCGTTTGATGAATTGAGAGGACGGTTATGGGTAACGTACGCGCTTGAGCAGACTGGCATGTTCTAGGCGAGCTTCCAACACTATTCTCGTGGTTAGACACGTTTCAAAGAACGGGCTTGTTCGCGGTCTCTTACTCTTGCTGTGCTATGTGGTGTTGAGTGTGGGTGCGGTGAAGGAGTGAGGTGGATAAAGAGGTAGAGTAAAGGGCGTTCAGTAAATTCTGGAGACGTGCCTTCAAGTTAGACGGATGTATTTAGGATCCTGGGTATCTTGTAAAGCTCACGGGTGATTATAAGGGAGAATTGGCTGGAGTTTGAGAGGGAGCTGGGAGATTTGAAGGTAAAGAGGGCAGGCCGTGAATTTCGCGTTCGAGGGTGGGGAACGAACACGCGTGAAGGTCGCGCGCGCCTCCTGCCTGAGGCGAGGTAATATGAACATTTTGAGCTTAGTCCCAAGGCAGATAGAGGCTCGTGTGCTCTGCAGAGCTAGCTGCCTGAGAAAAGAGAATACCTTACTCAATTTAGTTGTTATTAATAGCAATTACCAATATAAGTATACACTTTGATACAGGAACGAAATCATCTGGCATCTGTGGCGAGTCTTCTCCAGGGCAACACGTCCGCGATGTCCTTATAATAACACAGGCAATGTACAGGATAATGTACAGAACGAAGAGAAAACGTATCCAATCCGAATTAGATATTGACCAAAAAGAAATGAAGTGAAAATCCACAAACGCCAAGCTCCGACCAATTCTATACAGTCTGGGTATCAATCGCGCGATTGGGACTGAGCGACAAAGAAGGGTAAAATATGTGCAGAGTTAAGGAAAGTTTGTAAGGCATCCTGGCAGACAAGGGAGGCAGATTCGTAACAGAGTCGTATCAGAGGCTTGTAACCCGCTTGGAGTTTCCAGTTCGAGGCCGCTGTTTGATCACCATCTCAAGCTCCTTGAGCATGTTTGTATTGGCATCCACGCGGTCTCTTGCAGCGGCCTGTTTAGCTCGATCCTCTTTTACACGCGCAATGCGCTCTTCTCGAGTAAGGGAAGCCCTTTTATTTCGTGCAGGGAGAGCAACCGCCTCGAGTATCTCCTCCACATCGTCAATGCTGTAGGTTATGCCGGAAACAGGCCTGCTCTCGCCGTTCAAAGCCTTCAGCGCATCGGATGGACTGCCCTCTACTGCGGTGGTGCCACCTAGACTTGGTGTTGGTGACAAGGGGAAAAGCCCGCTCGGTGGACGTGAGCGAGAAGCAATCGAATCCTTGTCTAAACTCGTCATGAGGTTGGATTTTCCAGCCTCCCATTCCTCGAGTAGACCTCGGATATCAGTTCCGATCGATTCATATTGAGCCAGTAGCGACGCTTCGAGCTCACTGCTGTCAGCACGATCAAAGTCGCCGGTAGATGCCTCTTTGAAAATGTGCATTTTGGCGTGAAGCGCACGGATTCCCTGAGACAGAGAATTCAGCTTCCGATACTGAGCCCGCAGATTATCCTTGTTTGGAGAAGCTGTTGGCAGTGGCGATGGAGGGGCGACTGCATCTGTACGATCATCTTCATCGAGAATGCTAGTGACTTTCTGCATGTTGTCGCCTGTAACCTTGGCCAGGTTCCGCATCTGTTCAACCGCGGTACTCCATCTGGTGATATCGGAACCGTCGCCATCGGCTCCAAGAGCCAAAAGACAGCAAAGAATACTCTTTCTAACAAGATAAAGCCTTCCAAAAAGGGTGCGGAGGCCGCGTAAGGAATATTGGTCTTCGGCTTCTCTATCGGCAAATGTCGTCTCGGCTTCCAAAAGATCTGCTTGCGAAACGTCGTAGATGTCGTAATATTTTTCAAGGTTGGCGTTGTCTGTTAGTGGTTGTAGGATTTGTTGGGTTTGAAGGTAGTGCTCTAACATAGAGTAAAAGCACTCGGATACGGCGCGACGGAGTCTCAAGCATCTTCGGATCTGGCTTTGATCCTCGAGTCTGGTCACCGGAGGTAGCGGGGTGCTTCTATAAACAAATTAGGATCTAGTACATTATATATCAGACGCGCAAAGAGAAACCCACATGCGGTAGCCTCTCGAGACCAGTTCCACCTCTTGTATGAACACCACTGACGCTGAAGCTGCAGAGTCGAATCCCTGCGCATTGCCAATCAGGAGCACAGCCGCATCGACGGCTTGGTGTCGCAGATATTTGAGCCACTGGCGTCTCGCAAAAGCGTAGAATAAGACTCCAATGACCGGGAGTATCACCAACAAGACGCCGACTTTCCGAGTACTGAAACCCGCCCCGGTTCGAGGTCGACTCCAGCTTAATAGCCAGGCAATTGAGAAAGAAGTCGAAGCTGTTACAAATACGCCCTGAAGGCCAACAGTTGTAGTGATAGAGGGGAGGTCCGTTGCATTCGCGGTAGAAAGTACATCGGCGGCCGAAGTGTATGAGGGGGCGCTGTGTTCGTTCAGAAGTTGCGATGCAACGATAACATAGCCGAACTGTTCCAAGAATCTCTCGTTGTCGCTCCGTCCGATGCGTGAGTTCAGGGCGGACTAGTATATCATGTTAGCATGCCCTGTAGCCTGCTGTTGGATCTTAAACCTACTGCGCAGACATCATAGATCCGACCCAGAGCAGCTGTCTGACGTGAGGCCTTGAGGTTCAGTGGTTTTGGTAGCTTGTTCCGTATACGAGTTTGGAATTTCGAGGCTCCTCGCGGTGCGAAGTCGGCGGCGGTCGAGTCCGATAAGTCGTTCTCTTTCACTGTCCAGTCCGGGTTATGTTCGCCCTCCCCTGAAATTCCAGACACGTCAGCTTGTTTCCCCCGTCGAGCTGAGGTCCTCCGACTAACCTCGAAGATATTCGGCCAACGGCGAATTCTCATAAACCAAAGCTTCCATGACTTGTGTTCATTCCGTGTGCTTCGTGGGAGGCGGCAGCGTTCGGCGTTGGTGGATTCGGGGCGATGTCGAGTAAGATGAGGAAGGCGTATTATAGACGGATAACGTATGGACTAGATATAGACGAGGGGCATATAATCGGGAGTAGCGTGCTATTCCAAAGCCATCTCTTTCAACTCCTGAGAGCGCCGCTCGCTGGCTTAAAGGGGAGGGAGTATCAGCAGGTCGGGGAAGTTGTGCGCGTGAGATTAGAGCCCCGAATGCAGGCAGGGACGGATTTATCGTATCGAGAAAGGTTATCGTGAGTAGGATAATCCCCCTGGAGAGTAAACACCGAATATGCAAGACAGAAACCGGTGCAGGGCCACGTTGAAGATCACAGGCCGTCTGACGGCGTTTCTGGGGAAGGGGTAGAGTGGAAAGCCGCCGGCGGTCGAATCGGAGGCGGAATCACAAGGCGTTAGACGGCCTGGCCGGAGCTACTTCTTCTAGGAGTTAACGACTTCAACGGGCCTGGGCGACTCGCCCCACTGTCAATCCGAGACCTGAATGAACGCTTTCACTGACTCTCAGGCACATCAACAAGCAGGAGCACGAGGGGCCCGCGATATACGCAAGGGGTTGTCAGAGAAGTTATATAATGTTGACCAGCTCGTTCCCACGAGAGGCTCTCGTGAGAATCTCCGCAGTGGGCCGAGGTCCCCAACCGCAGCGCAAGGATGATTTCAGGTGTTAACTACATTGGTTCTCCCTCGGATCCTTCGTCGAGCATAACGTTTGTTTCAGGTTGACGTAGAGGCAGATCGATCGCCTCAGACTGGATGCCGCCTAGCGTCCAGCGACACTCACCGAGAGCGATGGTCATTCAAGGGATCACTATGACAAAACAATACTTGATAATCAGGTCTTCGCTCTTGCACATTTTTAACCCTTGTATGATATAGGACATTTGATATGGGGCTATCTCGTCCATAATCGCAACAACGCGAGAGAGAACTTGAAACTGTGTTATGAATATCGGGTCAGAGTCCCAAAAATATATACTTCTCCGCAGGTTCCATTCCCTCGGTGTAAACTCCACCATCAGAAAAATCGCTTGCCTCCTATTATGTACGGTATAATTTGCATTGTTTTCATTATGAGATTAACTCAGCTACAAGGGCAGACACATGCAGCTGTAAGTCGTATTTCTGGTGATGCTGTACCTCATCATTGCCTGAGGCCGAGACGCGTTGCACGGGCAACCAGACCATCAACATCGCGTCCCCGAAGATGCGTCGAGACTCGAACACGCATATCGATTGTGAAGAGGAAATTATCCCACCCGGTTCTTCCTCTTTAAACTTAAGGACAGCTCTTAATTTCTCATCCAATCTCCTGTATCCGATATTTTCAACCCACGATCCGGACTTACATCCCTTGCTCGTGGCCGCCGAGTCCGATCTAGTTTGAGTACTCGATAGGCGGGCCCTCTACGATTCTAACGTTCACACCTACCGCGATAAGTTCCAATATGTCTAGTTTACTTCTCGAAGTTGGAACTCCCTGTCCCAGGCGCTCGAAAAACTCAACACCCGGAGACTCTACCGGGACGGGAAGCGACTCATTCGGCTTGTGGGACGACAGCCTCGGAAATTATGACGACACCAAGAACATCGACTTTACCACGGAGATAAGAGCGCCTATTCTGACAGGAGCTAAACCAAAGCGAAGGTCAAAGGCCAGTACCTCTTTTATCATCCACAGCGATTACGAGGAGAAACCAGCGGCCATCAAGCAGAAGCGGGAAATCAAACCGGCTCTTAGTGCTGCGAACCGCAAGACGTCATTACTCGCGCAGCCTGCACAGAGGTTTCGTCCTCGAGTCAGCTTTGCTCCAAGTCCCGTCAAGCATTCACAGCAGCGCAATGAAGTTGAGCCGACAAAGCGAACCACAAAGCCGAGTGTGCACAAGAACAATGAGCTTCTCCGGCGGATTAGTAGTGAGGGTGAGGGTGAGCTGGGCAAAGATGTTATGAAGAAGGATGTACGACGAAACACCATCTATATTCCCCCGGAAGACACAACCGTGGCGAGCGTGTTCATGGGTCTTTTTAGCCCGCTCAAATCTGGAAATTTGAACCACGTAGCGGAGCTCACGGAGATCAACAGCCTGGGATCTCAGATCGCGAAAAAGCAGCAGGCGAAACAGCGACTTGCGTCGTCCCCGGGTCGCATTCCACTACAGAATAGCTCGAAGGTACTTCAAGAGTCAAACGGCACAGTCGATATCCCCGGGAAGAATGGAGGCAAGGAGAACATACCCCCGGGAATGGTCCTCGTTGGCGCCAAGGGAAAGAACCTACAAACGTCCAAGTGCATCGACTCCGCCGTTGACGAGCTAGCTGCTCTGAGCTTGACGGATAAGGAGTCTCGAGGTATACTTGCATCTGCCCAGACTGTCACCAAGCCACTCGCGACGAAGACGGTCAATATCGCTGCGCAAAAGACCAAAAAGAGCCAGGATATGTCCAAGCTTTCTGCCAGAGGTGGTGCCGGGGTGAGAAGAGGGTCGAATTCCGGAACTAAGGATACAGGCAGAAGGACTTCTACCGTGTCGGACCCGCTTAGTGCTTCAAGGTCTGGAATGAACCCGTCAATTAATCGGAACAGCTCGAAACATACCAAAAGCGAGTATCCCCCGGTACCGCAGGGAATCACGAATCCATCAATGTACGATGACAATTGGCTTTCTCACCAGGAAGTCATATTGACACAGTTAATAAATGGACTGTTTGACGAAACAAACGGCATTACACAAACAGACGACCCTGCCGTCCTTCGACGCGAACTACTCCTCATGTACCAAAGCCCATCCTTTACAGATTTGTACAAGAGACTACAGTCTTCGCTGCTGTATGGTGCCCTCAGCATCCCCAAACATGTCTTAGCGAAGAATAGCCGACTGAGGCACGATCTGGGATTGAAGCGGAAGTATATTGATATTTGGCTTCAGACATATGAACCCAGAGCCTTGAAGGCCGCATTGGAGACCGTCACTGGCAGGATCATCCCGGCCTTTAAGCCTAGTTCTAGCATTCAGAGCACCAGCGAAGGCTCTCCGAATGCGGAGAAGGCACTAAGGAGGAGACTCGAGAAGTTTCTGGGTGCATTCTTGGTACAAAATCAGGATATGGATACCAGTGAGAACAGCGCCGAGGAACCCGAGCCCCTGGGCAATGCGTATCGCCGAACCGTCCTCCGCAGCATTATGCTGGTTATCCTGTTGGACAAAGCGAAGCTCACTCCGAAGACATCACTATCTCATTGTTTGTTCCTTGCCTCGTCGCCTTACAAGTCGTCTTCTGCTGTGCTTCAAGTATTAACCCGGTTTCTACTCCCGTCATGTGGCGATATCATCAAAGCCCTAGGCCAACTGGACTGTCAAGTATCATACCAGCAGCATCCGCTCGAGGAGTACGAGTACGAAGTTTCCAACCTTGCGGTCGATCTGAGAGATGGCATCAGATTGACAAGGATAGTGGAGTTGCTTCTCTATCCCCTTACTCCGCCCGATAACTCCTGTGATGTGACACTCTCCGAGATGAGGTTATCTAAGGACTCCACAGATGACTCCGGCTGGCCGCTGTGCCGTCGCTTGAAATTCCCCTGTTTGAGCCGTACAGTCAAGATGTTCAACGTCAGAGTCGCTCTGGATGCATTGGCCTCCAACAGAGAGGGCAAACGGCTTATCAACAACATCCGGGCTGAGGATATCGTCAATGGACACCGCGAGAACACTATTGCTCTATTATGGGGCCTTGTCAGCAAATGGGGTCTTTCTGGACTCGTCGACTTGGGCGACCTACGAACAGAGATAACTCAGTTAAAGCAGCGAGCTATATCTCGACATGAACTTGAAACTCAAATTAATGAATCGACTGAACACGGCGAGAATGGTGAGGCTGCAGTAATGCTGAAGCAATGGGCCTCACTCCTTGCCCAGCTACATAGCGTACAATCTAGCGTCACCACAAAACTGGGAGACAGCAAAGTCTACGAGTGTATACTGGACGAATACGAAGGATACATCCTCAGCCAGAACCAGTTCGATCTATCCAACGGATGCAAAGCATCTTTGGAAGACCGCCTACGAGCTCTAGGATGCAGCACACAATTTAGTGAGTCTGCCAACCACCCCAGAATCAAAAATATCCTTCTAACAAGTGAAACCACAGTCCGCCTCGTCTCCCCAAGACGCACTTCCCACATTCCTGACACACACTCCAACACAGGCGCCCTAGCCTTCCTCTGCTCCCGGCTCCTTCCAGCCACGAAACGAGCCCGCGCAGCCATCGTCCTCCAAAACGCATGGCGACGCGTCCTCCGTAACCGCGAGAATACACGAAAAATCGCCGCAAGAGACATCGCACGGCAGTGCGCTGCCGTCGTGCAGACTAGAGACCGGATCCTCTGGGCGAAGAATGTCATCTTGCATTGGTGGAGAATGAGCAAGTCGAAACGACGGAGAAGGGCGACTGCGACGAGGAGAGTCACGCATGGGGGGAAATCTCTCATGACAAAGACTACGACGACGAGGATTCCCCTGCGTTGTGGGAGGTGACCTTCATCTCTCCTGGCTTTGCTGAATTTTATGTTGGGTTTTGGGTTTGGGGACTAACTCTTTCGCAAAACTTGGCCACGTACTCAATTGAGTGTCTTGCTACATTTCGTCTCGAGTTGGAATTTCGGCCTGCCTATTGTCTGGCAGGTTACGCTTACTCAATACTTTCGTTGGTAGTTTCTTTTCTTTTCTTTCTCAGCTTTCTTTGTATCTCATTTGTTATCCCATTGCATACTTTGAAACGAACAGCCCAAGAATGATACACACACATAGACACAAGCCAGCGTCTCACTAGTCGTCGCAGGCAGTGCGTCGTCTACCCTGTAGATCTTGGGCAGCTGCTGGACCCATTGGCAGAATTAAAGGGCCAGCAGTAGCGTGGAGACTGGATAGAAGGTGGGAAAGCAGCGTGGCCCCATGTCTGACCCCGACTCCGCGAATTGGAGTCTACTACGGAGTAAACCCTGACTCGTAGGAGTTACAAAATCCTGGCCTCTCTCCATCCTTCTCAGTTTTCACTGGTCCAGGCAGTTCGCAGCGGTTGCTGTAGATACATAGCCAGCCTGTGCCGTGCCGCGTCGCGCCGTCGCGTCTTGCGTAAACGAAGCCTCGATCTGATTTGAGATCAAGAAGCATTTCCCGAATCGGCAGTTGAACAGGTTCTGAACCTTGAGGGTAATTAGGTAGCCGCATAAAATATCCGATCAGCACCTAGTAAGCACCCTCCCTCTACATACCTTCGAATGTATGTAGAAACTGAGGCTTAGCAAACAAAGGCCATGCATCTATTTACCTGGCTACCACCAAATGGAGGTCTAGCGTGCGTGTATGTATGCGAGTCCACGAATGTTCTGACGCAAGCACTAAGCATCAAGTCCCTGCCTAGCCTGGGCTGGAGTCAAGAACGAAAATCGATGAATTGAGCTGCGTGATTCGAGTATATATTTGGAATTTTTGCTCCGAGAGCGATGAGTGGTAGGTTGCGCATGGCATGGCATTTGTTGCATTGCCACTGTCAGTTGGCGAAACGTGGGGTTGGTTGCTGATTGATGCGCGATAGATTGATGGGCTTATTCTGGTGCCTGTTTCCTCCGCCTCGTTGATCATTCTTCGCAGAGGAAAAGCTTGCGGACAAATCTCCAAGAGAATCTCATGTCGGTACTTGACGGGTTGGAAAGCACTGACAAATGATATAATGGAGTATTAGGCATGTATTCATAATGGAGTAGAGGATGATGCGGTGAAGCCAGTCGAAGCCAGAGCCGGATCGGGTAGAGAAGGAAGGATGGAGATGACATCATGGGGCTGGGCTCTTTTCGCCAAAGAAGGCTGGGTATAGACGACTGTCATGTTTCTGTTCTGTCACGATGGATTCGATTCATTTCAGTTACTCGGTGAAATATACACCGATGATGTCTTGTACTCTGGAGACTCGGTGTTGATGTGGACTGTCGTCGGTTTCTAGTTGTTGAGGCGACGATCACGATTCACGATCCAGGCAGCGATGTCATCGTCTCAGTCGAGGCCGCGGCTCATCTCATTCGTATTATGACATGATATAATTAGTAGACTCTAGTAAGGTCTCTCTAGCAACATTTTACCCGGTCTGAGTAATATAGCGAGGCGCCTACTTTACCCGATCGGTGCTTGTCTTACTTACCTATAGTAAGTTAGATATCGCAGCCACATCGTCATTTAGTCCTACAACTGGAAGCTTCCGTAATTCCGTCAACGACACGATTCGGTCGGACACAAGGAATACCACTCGCTCGCTCGCTCGTAAGGCTTACCTGGAAGGCGTAGACGGCGCACTAGTCCTCCTATGTGGAATCGGAAACATCCAAGACCCGTCATCCATGTCATGACTCGGACCGAGCCCTCATTCCACGTTTGGCAAGGCGACTATTTCCGTTCCGTGCCCTGTCTATACTCGCCCGTTGCTAAGTATGCCATCAGTCAGTCAGTCAGCCGCCGCGTTCGCGGTTTTTTCTCGGTGAATCGCGTCAATATCGGCTTTCTCTCTGCTGTTTTTGGGATTGAGTCGATTGACATCGCATGGGACCTGGGCTGAGATGAATCACCTGAGGCGCCACCCTTGCAATTGCGGGGATTCAGGGGCGCCCTACAGAGTAGGGCAGAACCGGTTGGATCCCGGCGGGGCATTGGGATGACATCGTTGTAATAAACTGTACCCCTGGGCCCAAGTGATGTACATCGCCGGCCCTATGCGGAGTAGCTGGAAGGGGTTGCTATCGCAGGGAGCGAGGGATCCTTGATGAATATGCGATATGTGGTATAGCTGGGGTGAACACCGGAGGTAGTATGAAGATCAGTTTGATATGCGTACAATGAGGTATTGTATCAGAGTTTTTTGATGAGAAAATCCTCAGTTGAAATGGGATAGGTACTTGTTTGAAGAGTGCTGGAACCCTTGCTTGAGCATGCGATGTGAAAGTCGTGGCATCCATTCAAACGAGTGGGTTGCACTTCAATGCCTAATAGGACAATAGAATGTATTGCTGCTTTGGTCCAACAAATTGTCGCTTCATTATTATTGACAAGCGAGTCGTCATTGCCGTCGTCATAGTTATGGGTGTCGAGGCATAGCAGCGGCCTCATTGATCCGTGCCATAGCTGTGACATGCTTGGCTCGACTTCTTGCGCATAATGTCTCAGGAAGGAGGATGCCTGCTTAAGCAATCAATAGATGTCGAAACAGGGGGTAGAGAGCGTATGAAGTCACTTAACGAATACTACGTGTGGATGAAGATGCTGCGGATTTGACCCCAGCAAGCTGTTGGAGACCCAGTCAGTATGCTTACCACTTGATCATGAGATCTAATTCGCCGACTATAGATGAGCTGATACCTTAGCTGGCGAGAGCCAGCGCAGGGGTAGCATTGTGATACTCGGGGTGGTACAGTTGTATACCGGCCCTGTCCTAGATTTTGCGGGGCGATAGTGTACCATGCTGGCCATGTAACCATCCATCAACTCACCATTGGTAAAAAGAACATCTCGCTCCCTCCTGTTCCAAAATAGGGGAGCAGGTGATGTGTTCTCCCCTGACCCTCCTGATTCTTTCTCGAGGGTCAAGACTCAAGCCTCTCCAAGGCCCAGCACGATGACAAGAATGCCAAGATCGCTGGTTCATCATATTAGCTCCAGCCCGGCCAATTAGTCAACGCAATTAACAAAAATAGCACTGATAAGGATTTGATTGACGATCATCCAAAGCGGCAATTGTAGAAGCTTGGCATCATGCCTCCTCCTGAATTCTGATGCCTTTAGTTTTCAACTTTCCGACAAGAATCGAGTCGCAACTCTGGCAACGTATGACGAGTGGCTTGGACGAGAGCGCGGAGTGTCTGCCAAGAGAGGATTGCGAACAAGACACGTCGATCTCCGGTCTGACTTGTTTGGTGAGATTGCTTCGGAGCCTGTGAGGCAAAGGGATGACGACGGTAGTATGTATGGATGTCACCGGGAATAAGTCTGTATCTCCGGCGTCCAACTTCAGAGACATGCCACTGCCAGAGCGAGCGCCCCGACCGGAAGAACCACCCGCATGTGCCTGTATATGACAATGATGACTGGATCTGGGCGTTATTGTGAAGAAGATTATGAAGATTACCGACCGGACGACCCCGCCCCCGGGGCGCCCAATCCTCGTTCTGGTATCGCCGGGCCCGCTGCACTCCGTAGGGTAGCGCGTCCCTTGTTTTCTTTTTTGAACATCATCTCCTGGCTGCTGGGCACGATGAGGAGCGGACACTTGCCAGTGACCACTTGAAAGAAGGGAGCAAAGTCTGAACGCCGGATCGCCAAGACTGTTTATGCACCATTATGGGCAGATGATCGACGATGATCTGCCGCCAACAGGAGGGCTGACGACCGGAATATGCGCCCTTATTCCTCATACGGACTCCGAGAGTCCCGACGTGCGGACGCTCGCCAGTTTGCGCGGCTGCCAAGTTTCGTCTCTCGGACTCAGCGCCGCGCGCGCCTCATGCCAGCTTCCCTCTTACCGGGATTCGTGAAACTCTGTGCTCAGGATGTCGTTGCGAAATTTGAAATAGCTCTTGGCGGGTTGCTTGGCAGAGCTTCGTGCACTTTGAGCCTGTGACTCCGTCCTGGGTAACATTGGACAAGCAAGGAGAAGGCGGCGAGCAATGCGCAGAATCAATTACTCCGTCCACAGAGTTGAGGGGAACACCTAAGCGCCGAGCGGACGTTCTGCCTCGTCCGGAGTTCTGAAAACCATCCGAAGTTGACATCAAGGTGATTGTACGCCGCAGTCGTGGTTGCAGTTGCAATCTTTCCTCGTCCACAGCCACCATTCTTGCATTCCTGTCCTCTTGGCGCAGGAGACGGGTGCTCCGTTGTACAAGACAAGGAGAGGGCGCGCCCAAATGAATTGCCGAGTTGCTCTATCCTCTACCCCAGGGCGTTGCCAAGCGCTGCTGTGGTATGAAACACAATGTTTGTCTCGGTCTGGGGGAGCAAGGGGCGGGTAAATGAGGCCCTCGAGGACCGCCTTCCATGAGAGCTTTCCCCAATCATATCGCCCTGGTCCAGTCTGGAGGAGGCGCATCATGAATATGCTTGGCGAGCCTTGGCGGGAGTCTTGGCGGTCGCACTGATCGACCCCCTGAGGAGGAGGCCGTCGATCATGAGATCAACCGAGCTCTATGCAAGTCTGTCACCAACATTCCAGTATTCAGTATGGTGTAACTGCTGGGGGTCTGGAGCTGGCTGGCACATTCCTGGACTCGCTCAAACCGCCAGAGCACGCATGACGGGCCGGGCCCAGGGCTTCGACTTGTGTACGGAGGAGAATAGTGTGCAGCTTCTGTGGCAAATGTCAGCGAGGTTCACCATTCGTCGTTGTGCGGAGGGATGAAATGAGAATTTTTGTTGATGTCGCCTCTTTTGCTCTCCCAACAACAAGCAGACAAGACTGGGCGAAAGCAAGGATTAGCGCGGTTCAATTGCTCGACTTCTGTTACACAACAGATGAAGCTGGAGCCAGCCATATTTCTCCGCGTTTTGTGACGGACAGTATCGAGTATGGTATTCTGAATACCAGCAGCAGGGTTTAGGAGTCGCACCCCTGGCCTTGCGGTCCGTGATCAAGGGTGTTTCTTCCATCGTTCTTCTGGATAAAAGCGGAGGTGCATAAGTTGGCGGCAACCGCGTATTCATACTTTTCAGCCCAGACTGTCAGCAGCTGAGCTTCGCTCAAGGTTTTGGTGGTTGGAGCCTGGCTCAGCTGCACAGGAGTCTTGTCTCGACAAACTTGATGCCCTCAGGCAACAATAAGAGCAATTGATCATCAAGAACAAGCGGATTGCTGCGGTCGCTCCTTTGTTTTTGTTTTTGGAGGTCGAGTTTCAACCCAAGAACGCGGGTCAAAGGAAGCCAGTCAGATGCAGCTCCAGGGTATCGAAGTTTCCATTGTTCCAGGAGCCAGTGCCAATAGTCGCTGGTTTACCGCTTTGGGAAGATCATGCAGCTAAACAAGAGGCCGGCGCAAATCCAAGAGAGAGAGTGATGTCCCGTGCACGCGAAGTTGTGGGGAAGGGCGCTGCAAAACAAAAATGCCTCATACAATCTCCCGCCGCCGTCGGTTAGTAGGAGATTTCACGGCCAATCAATGACCAAACCTCCATCATCATCTCAAGTCACTTGGGATAGACTGGAATCATCTGCATTGATTATCATCATGGTTCTTGCGTGCTAACGGCGCGTGGCCTTATGTCAAGAGCTATAGCGTGAGCGAGTAAAGCCATCTGGAGCTCTTCTTGCAACTCAACCAGTCCAAATTAGCCGAATGCCGCTCTCAGTGACAATTCACAACCTCCACTCAGAAAGGGTTGGTGAAGGGCTTGGTGCAGTAGGCCCCATCTCGAGTTGGCAAGCGCAACACGATAGCAAGGACTCTAATGATGTCTTAATCATGTCGTTCCTTGATGGCACACGTTGCCCGCCTCGCGTCAGGCAGTGTTCAGCGTCAGCGACTAATAATAGGAACCCCATCCTTTATGGGACGATTATGGAGGAATTGTAGTATCCTCTCAGAAGACTGGGCATATTCTTGCTCTCCAGCCACATGGCTCTCGAGTTGCTTTTTTCAGCAACGTGCAACACCTCATGCATGGCATCTTGTACAACTTCGACAGTTGGTCACAGATTGCGGAGAGTGCCTTAGCCGTGGAACATGAACGCGTACTCGACTGCGCTGTCGACAGAACAACAATATCGATGCGATATAACGGACTCGGTTATTGCCTATCTTGGCCTCCCGTTGTCAATATCCTGACCCCACAGCGGGAAATTTGGGGGCCTCAGGCTGTTTCACTGAGAGACGAGCCGGTGCCTACTCGTATCGCGTGCCCAGGACACTGAGGCATCCTTTGAGGCTGCAGGAAGCACAAGCAAGAGCATCCTGGAGCTTCGTAAACGACCTGAATCCCAACCGGCTGAATGCTTGACATTACAAACTGGATCCTGATTGCTGGGAGGGGCAGAAAAACACATCTCCTTGATCGAATTAGATCGCTTCTACGGAGGAGTGCAGGACCTAATCCCTGGCTTTCTGGTTATAGTGGGGGGATCCCTGAACCTCAAGAAGCTTGTCCAGGTATTAAAAGGGTCAAAGACACGAGCCGCAGCAACAGCAACTGTCGGTGAGATTATTATTGAGACTGTGTTCACTGACACCCCGCTTAATGGGGTTGATGCGTTCGATCATCATCGGGGTATATCATCAGATGAAGCATCTGTTTGCTTTTTCTGTCGCTCTGACCAAGCTACCGTACTCCGGAGTAGCCTCCTCCAGAATGTGGGGGATATTCTTGCTTCTTCTGGGTTTCGGTCAGTTCGATCTTCGTCGGGCGCTGCTACAACGAAGCTTCGCCCTGGGTCATGATGCTTAGAGCTCGAAGATTCCGCATCTGTCATACGCGAATGTGACCAAGGGACTTCCAAAGCCTCATAAGGTTCGATCTTCAACTACCATGCAGACGAAACAAAGGGCACGATTGAAACACGCTGAATATCGTGTTTCGAGGTGGCTCGGGCGCTATTCGGCGTTCAACCATGGATCTCTTGGGCGGCGTGTTCCATCCATCATGGGCCGTGTTGGGTGGTATTCAAACCGTCATGATTGCCGTCGGACTGTTTCAGCACTCTTTGAATCCAGAAACATCGAGACCACGGCCCAAAGTTTGAACAAGGTAGGGTGGCTTGCATCGAAGTCGTCACTACTCGACCCGAGTGCTTGAGTAGGTGAGGTTTTCTGAAGTCAAGATTTGAGATGAATGCGCATCAAGCAATGCAGCGATGGAGAAGGAAAAAAAATTAATAACAGCAAGTGTATCTTTACGTCAATATAGCAAGCTTTACTAGATCCGGGTTAGTATAGAATAAACCAACGGGAAAGGTAGGACTCGGCGAAGACAATAGCGAGCCAATACCAAGCCTTTCTATGGCAAGTAGTCAGCAATAGAGCGATGGAGCAACTCCGCGGTGAGGGGTGAGGGGCCTGAGGTGTCAGGATTCAGTGCTGTAGCGCGCAGAGCGCCGTGTTTTACGATTCACTTTCTCCAGTGTCTTGACCATGTCATCTTGTCTTGGACAGGACGGGTTGGAGTTGAAGACCGGATGGGGAAGTTCTGGCGGGAGGGGTAGCTCAACCAGCCTTTGTAATGGTGGCTACATAGGTATCCCAGGCACGGTTTCTAGAAAACACTGCCGGCTGGAGCTTACGCTTTACGAATTTAAGAGGCGCACTCCGGAGAATTGTGTGATCAAGAGTCACCCTTGATACCCTGATGTTGTGAGCTGTGATTCAAAAACAGTCAGACGCCTGGCAGATGATCGAAATCCGCAGCTGAAGGCGTGTCGGAGGGCTGTCGTCCTTCGACTCGGGTTGACTTGCCGTGCTCGCGGTAATGTAATTACGTGCATGGCTCCGGCGGTGGACGTTTCTCTGGCGGGTTAGAACCTCTTCCTAGGGCGACCCTCGTATGGAACGTTTCAGCGCACGGATGGCAAAGAACGGGCGAGGATGGCAGCAGCTCGTGCCGCCTTGTCGTTGTCGTGGGGGCAAAACTTGGAGAAGGAGAAACAGTTCATGCGAGGCTCGTCTTCGAGGCGACGCTTAGAATTTCTTTTTTCTAGTTGACAGTTTCGATCTGTGTAACATTCTCGTCTATCGATAATCCTCGTTGATGTCGGACGAAGTTCATGGATTATTTCTCAATGAGCTCTCCTTTGTACCAACAGCTGTTGAGAATGAGGATGCTCTACTCAATAGTCAAGTCCTTCCCCGTTGGGATAGATTTGGAGGGCCTCAACCAAGCGGGCGCGCCGAGGAGCTGTTTGTCTTGACCTCCAAATAATCCCTCATAGTAAAGAGATTTTCGTAAGTGGCAGTATGAGTGGTGACTTGGTTCGACAGCAGCCGCCTTGTCGGATGAAACCGATGTCTGGGAGAAACGGTACCAATAAAAAGCAGATCTTCTTCCGCGAGTGTATCGTCCTTCAGAGCATCTCTTTGAACACCTTGAAGTGCTTTGGCGGTTTCGACCCTCGTTTTCTTGAACCCTTGAAACTCGTAAAGGCGGAAGAAAGGGAAGAAAGAGGCAAACGTCACAGCCAGCCGCAGGAACCGATTCGAAGTCAATAATGCATGCATCGATTTTGGCAAAAGAAAAACGCGCCGGTGGTGGATCGTTTCTTGGCGGGGCTGATTGGACCAAGCGTCAGTAGTGACAGAAAATTACGAGGTTGTAGCGAAAGCGCCGGGAGGGATCGCGGCCAACGGGCTCAGGGCTTCCTGGTGGCAACCAGCGCAGCGAAGACTCGGTCATGGACTCATCGTGTCGGGATGGCAGTACCCGGGCACGGATTACGGCGTCCTTACAAAATTACGATACCATTAAAAATCAAAAATAATAATAATCGTTCTGGGAATTTTTATTTTAATATTTTAGCTTTGCATAAACCCACACCACCAGCGCGACAACCCCCTCCCACTCCAACGAGTTTAGTCCCTTATTACTTTTTCGATTTTCCGATCTTCTTCTCTGCATTCCTGCTTTCTGCATCGAACCCGATCTTCTTCACCTGCCAACTCACTACCTGCTTCTCCTCTCACAAGGCGCGTCTTCTTCTGGCGCTCCTTGAGCTGCCACCTTTTGAAGAAGGCGTGGAATTCCTTTTGTTCTTGGCTGCATCCGCCCCGTCCTACTCTCTCACCTATCTCCATATACCTACGCATATTTTACCTGCACCTCCGCCCATGATGCGTTTTATATTATGATCCTTCCGTCCTCATCTGGACCTCACTCCTTGTGACCCTGCAGTCAATTAGCACCGTCAACCAGTACTGAGAGTTGCTCCTCCGCTGCTACCTACTACTACCTACCCGCCATCGAGTCACTTCACCCTCATCACCAAGCTTCGACCCCGACATTCACCTATTACGACCTCGCTCCTACTTCCCGATGATCTTCTCTGAGCGTCGAAAATCATGGTGCATTTCCTCCGCAGTGAACGACCTTTCTCAGTACACCATCTCTTGAAGATGCTACTCTCATCACATCAGTCCAAGCCTACGGACCAAACGAACGAGATGGCTGAGGATATGGACGAACTTCCTGATCACCGTTTCCTCAGCACCTCGCCTGTCGCCATGGACGACGGCATCGTCTACGTGAAATCCACGGCCAACATGGCAGACCGAAAGGAATCCCTCCTCACCCGTGCTCTCAGGAGCAGCCCTGTCCTCGATACTACCGACCAACATACCTCCTCCCACGAACAGCCCTTCTACCGTTCATATTCCTACGGCAACATCAGCGGCATCTCAACAGCCGAGCTGACCAGCGATGGTGGCCTTACAAGCCCATCATTATCGCACACCTCGAGCCCGCCACTCCCCTCCCGATTGACTAGCAAACCTACTGTGACAGGCGACGCCGGCAAGGAATCAGGCACCGGTAGTGCTGAGTCAACCGTTGAGGCAAACCTCGGCCGCAAAAGGTGTATCAGCTTTGCCTGCGGACGCAAAAGTGACGACCAGAAACCGCCACCACCTCCAACACAAAAACCTCAGCCCCAGTCTGAAGACAATGAGCCGACTCCCAAGCGCAAGACAACGCTAACGTTTGTGTGTCCTGCAAGGGATCCTGGGTCTCGGAAAGAGCGGTCTCCTGCTCGCGGATGTACCTTGCGGGTTCGCCCTCGTGGATCACCCGCCCCTTTTGCACGCAAGGCTTCTCCGGAGAAAACACCTGTACCGGAGCCGAAACCCGTTGCTCAAGAAGTGAAGACGGATGAAGCTCCCAGAGGTGTGCCGACAAGGGGATTGGGGAAATTCGAGGATTCCGAAGCCACTCGATTTCATGAGTTTGCAAGCTCCTTTGAGGAGGACGCCGAATGGGTTACCAAGACCGGCGAGTACGCAGAGAAGATTACACTCAACGACTGTATGAGGAAGGAAAACGCCATCAGGAAACTTGCTGAGGAGGCAGATGAAGAAGCTTCCGATGAGGATGATGATGACGCCGACCTTCCCGATGATTCTTCTACCGTACATGATTTCTCTTCCGACGAGGATGACGGAAACGAGTCTGATAACGAGGCTGGCTTTGCCGATTCCGACGAAAGCGACGAGGGTTCTGAGTACGAATTCTGGGCCCCTGGCAGTACTACTGCAGCCACCAGTCCCCTTGAGCCCCCTCGATTTGCGTTCACCCGAAGGGATTCTGCAATGTCCTTTGATTCAATGAACGAGGATCACCCGCGCCGAAACTGGCCTCCAGCCCTTGCTGGAAAGAGTGTCGGCCGGCCAATGAAGATTCCGAAGATGCGTCCTGGCACTCCGGACCTGCCTGACAGTACCGACTTCGTATGTGGCACATTGGACGAGGACCGACCTTTGGAGGCTGCGTACAAGTCTTGCCTGGAGCAGCGTCGCCTCTCCAAGCAGGTTGTTATTCCTCAAGACATCGACCCTAGCTTCCCTACTTCGGATATTGAGGATGAGGATGGTGAGGACGAGGAATTGAGGGCTTCTCTCTTGCTCGATGAAGGCCCTCGAGGACGCTCTGGCGGAGAGCAATCCCGCAAGGTTTCCCCTCGCCCCTCTCCTAAACGCATGGTATCTCCGCCCCCACCCTCTCGCCGGAATGGCAAAGCTTCACCCAGGCGTCTTCGTTCGCCACCACCCCCAATGAAGCTCAAGTCGTCCGCCAAGGAGGACAGAGTTGTCGATGGCGCTCCTGTGCTCCGTCACGGTCTCAACATCAGCGAGCTAGTTCAGCGTCCCGTCCTCACTCGTACCAAATCGTTGCCTCGCACTCCCAACCCCTTCTTCACCATGGAAAACTCGTACCGTTGGTCGGGCATTCTTCCAATTCAAGAATCTCACGAACGTGATTCATCTCGTACTCGTGAAATCCATACACGAGGCCCCATCGATATCGTTGAGGGTCTCGAAAAGAAGCGTCAGAAACGCAAAGAAAAGTTCTGGCGTCAACACTGCCGCAAAGCTGCCAAGGAGCAGATGGAGCGGCGCCCTGTCCCTGGAAAAGGTGCCGAACGCATGAAGGAGCTTGGCCTCGAAGTTGCTGAGAGGACCAGGGCTTTTGGCGTTGGCGAAAGCTCTCAGCTTGTCCTTTCCGTCTAAACACCTTTATTCCTGGGAAGGAGAAAAATCTATCTACACCTTCTTGTATATACTTGGATGGCTGTGGCTTAATCTTCTTTTCGTCACACAGAAGCCTCCTTCACCCTGCATCTATCAACGTGCCCTACGTCTTTCTTTTACCTTTCTTTCCTCTTTTCTCCTTTTGGCTTTGGGAAGGCCTCGTGTCTGCATTTACACGGCGGTTGTTTTTGTTCTTTCTCCATACATATTTTCTGCCTTTCCCCATTTTTACCATTACCGTTTTTAGTGTACGACTTGTTGTGTCCTGGGTTTGCTGGGCATTTTGCATGAGGGCGGTTCATACGGAGTAGTATACCCCTTGCTTTGGTTTTGAGATTGTACTAGAACCTGGATGCATACCTTGAGAGCTTGAAACAAATAAAGAATGAAAAATTACCATCTAAGATTTTGTGCTCTGTCCTGTCTTGACTATCTGAAGCTGAAATGTGGCGGACCTGCCGCGGCTGGGTTGGGTTAGACGCTCGGCTAGGGCGCCAAAAGGAGGCCAGTGTCTCAACGTCACATTGCCTGGCCACCGCAATCTTGCCTTTCGCCTGCCAGCACAACCCAGACAACTCCAACCCGCCGTTATCTCTCATTTACGCATCTTGCAGGGCTCTTCACTGAGGTCTGAATTGATTGCACCATGTGGATTATCAACTGGTGTAAGTAAATCCGTGTTTTCGAGCTTATCTTTCACTCCTTGTGTCAAAACCTGGCCTGACCTCAACCCTGCACTCACCGCAAACCTTCACATCTTCCGTTTACAGCTCACTTTTCTGCGTGGAATTTTGTTGTTTACTCAGTTACTGATGACTTCTTGATTTCTTGGATTAGTCTACGACCTTCTATCGTCCCTTGGCTTGCTCAACAAGCATGCCAAGCTCCTGTTCTTGGGACTCGATAATGCTGGAAAGACGACTCTTCTGCACATGTTGAAGGTATATCAAGGCAGCAATTCTGGTCTCCGCGTGATTCTTCTTGTTCTGGAGCTGAATTCAAGGCGGGGACGGTGGATGAGGATGAGGAGCAAAGGCTAACGAGACCGACTTCTAGAACGACCGAGTCGCCATCCTTCAACCTACCGCTCATCCCAGTATGTAAACCGCAGACCTCAGCTCCGGTCACGATATTTTGGAGTTGCATTCAGGGATAATAGGATATGAAGGCTGATCGAACCGCACAGCATCGGAGGAACTTGTCATCGGAAACAACCGCTTCACGACCTTCGACCTTGGTGGTCACCAGCAAGGTTAGTCTCCTACAACATCCTCATAAACACAACCAATGAACCCCACAACTCATTCCCGCGACCAGCCCGGCGCTTGTGGAAGGACTACTTCCCCGAAGTCAGCGGCATCGTCTTCCTTGTCGACGCCAAGGACATTGAGCGCTTCCCCGAGTCCAAGGCCGAACTCGATGCCCTCCTCGCCATGGAGGAGCTCTCCAAGGTGCCCTTCCTGGTCCTCGGAAACAAGATCGACCACCCCGATGCCGTCAGCGAGGACGAGCTCCGACACCAGCTTGGTCTGTACCAGACGACGGGTAAGGGCAAGGTGCCCCTTGAGGGCATCCGGCCTATTGAGGTCTTTATGTGCAGTGTTGTTATGAGGCAGGGTAAGTTTTACCGTCCACCCGTTCTTCGAGAGAATCTTCTTTGTGCGCGTCCGTGGTGAATGCTATGCTAACATTGACCTATCAGGATACGGCGAGGGTATCAGGTGGCTGTCTCAATATGTCTAGACTAGCTACCCACCAAATTCTCTCTACCTTCCTACCATCGTCACCATGACGGGAGGCCGACCACCTCCCGTCAAACTCCCACGGATCACGATGTTCACTCAATCCTTCCAGCCACCCATACCCATGAGCTCATTTTATAACATCCAGAGATGATTACTATCAGTTTAAATTCCAAATACAATACAAACGTGTATCTCGCTTGCCAAGCAGAATCTCACCGGATACAAATCAAACCAAACCTTATTGTTCTATTTCTCCCCTGCTAAAGGCCGAACAACCCTCAGTCCAAGCAAGATACCAATCGCGCAAGCAAGCTATCTACTAGTAACAAGCACATACTTTTCGCAACGTACTCCATGCTCAGCTAGGTGCGCGCGTCGCTACGTACAATCCTACAACAAAAGATATATTTCAAAAACCAACCAAAGATAAAATGAAATAAATACGACCGCTCCGGCTGCAAAAGAAGACCGAAAAATAAAAAATAAATCTCTCCCCGACTGGGAGTCGAACCCAGGTCTCCCGCGCTTGTGATCGTAGAACGGATCTGACAAGCGGAAATCATGAACCGTTAGACCATCGAGGAATTGTTATAATCCGCTTAGAAATAGTGCATTATTAACCACATGCAAGAATAGCCTTTGCTCAAAGCTATGTCCGACGGCATAGTGCCGAGCGCGGCTCAAGTTGAAAACATATTGCTGATAGAATCATAAAGGGCTATTCTTGGAAGAGCCATGGAAGCAGAGCAAAGCGGGTCAAGGTACCGGGCAGGAAGTTCCTACGGTCTGCTTATTTTTCCATACATTTATGTTTATGCTTATATTCATCGATTCGATAAACGATAACACATGGCGGGTTGAAGAACGTTGGCGAATTCTCAGCCCGGTAGTGTGAGTATTTAGCTAGTTATAGTGTTGCTTGGCCGCTTGTTTCTCAAATGGTCGATCCTCTCGAGCCGTGCAATTCTCGAGGTGTGGAGGGACTCAGGAGGGGTAGCATGACGTTCAAGTCCTACATGGATGTCACGGACACACTGCCTCGGAATGACAAGAGATACTAGGGAAGGTATGGAATAAGCGGGCTTTCTGAACCAGTAATGGGAACAACAATGTTATTAGATATGCTAGACTGGACCCTGACGAGGAAAGGTCCGATATGCGGAGGAAAAGTTCGTATAAGCAGTGTCGCGTGAGCAGCTACCGAAAGTAACCACCGTATCATGACCGAGCCGGAGGCGAGGATGCAGCGGAATTAAGTGCGGTATAAAATCTTGGTACACATTCCAAAGACACTCGAGAGGCTTGTGTCGTTGCTTATCTGTTTGGCATTACACTCACAGGAGGATTTTGAAGCGGAAGCGGAAGGAAAAAGAGGCGGAACAGGGCGAAAACACAGAGGCAAAGCACAGAAAAACAACATGGGAACACCAGATGCAGCCGTCGCTTTCCCTCCCTCTGCCAAACGAATCCAGATAAACACGAGATAAAATGAGGTCGAGAAGATGGAATGAGAGCGAAAGAAATGAACAGAAGGCGAGGAAGAGGTTAAAGGTGAGGGAAAAAGGTAGAGGGAAAAACACCAATCCCTCCTGGGAGCACAAAGTACCTTCCGTATAGAAATAGAACACATTCAGCGCAAACAAGTCATGTCGGAGTCGTCGGGGCTTGGAATGCGGCGAGGAAATGGTGGCGATTCTCTGCATGTCGTGTAGTTCTCTCGAGAGGTCGAATCTGTTCGTTACTTTCGACCGTCTAACGCAAAGGACATCGATGTCGTGGGAGGTTGAGTCTCTCGTGTATTGACATATCGTGGATATATGACGTTTCTATCTCCGCCCGAACCTGCTGCACATGGAAAAGCTCGTATGCTTACTTCTTCTTTTGCTTTCGCGGAGGAGTGATGGGTCGACCTGAGCTCATGGCTCCGTAAACGTACTTTTGTTTCTTCTCTGCTGGCTTCAAAATCTACGAGAGAAAAGAATATGTTAGTCAATTTCAATGCGCGCCGTGTTTTTTGTAATAATGACATACCTGGAAAGAGCACAATAAACTCTCATCCACACTCATCATCGCACCAGCATTATCGAACTCTCCGCAGTAGTTTGGAGCGCTGAATAGCGTAACCAACTGTCGCTTCGAAAAGAATTCGTAGCCGTCCTCGACAACTTGGTGTGCGCGGCATATCAAGTCCATATCATGCTTCTGTAGGAATCGCGAGACGACGTCCGGTCCGAAAGTGAACGATACACCTCGGTCATTTTCGCTCCAGCCAGTGATATCTTTATCCGGGTCGGACCACAGAAGGTCGCACAGAAGGCCACAATCGGGGATCTATAGCGGTCAGCATATCAAAGCCTTGAGCTTTGCGGAGCCCGGCAGAATGATGATTATATGTGTAACTGCCTTGAGAAATTCGACAGGGGTGGATGTATTCTCTTTGTTTGCCGGGAAGCCCAGAGAGGGGAAGGGAAGCGAATCTGGGACTTACATCAGTGGGACGCATGACACGGCGAATCTGCTCCATGGAGTTGAGATCAGGGCTCAGACCGCCGTGCATGGTGAAGATCTTCTCGTCAATAATAGCGGCGATGGGTAGGCAGTTGAAGCAGTCTGTGAAAGTCTTCCACAACTTAATGTTATACCTTCGCTTGCACTCATCGTAGAAACCGTAGATACGGTTGATGGACGCGCACTCGTGGTTGCCACGGAGGACGAAGAAGTTCTCGGGATATTTGATCTTGTATGCAAGGAGAAGACAGATGGTCTCGAGCGATTGCTTGCCACGGTCGACATAGTCGCCCAGGAAGAGGTAATTAGCCTCCGGAGGGAAGCCGCCGTATTCGAATAGACGAAGTAGATCGTAGTATTGACCGTGGATATCACCGCAAATCTGTTATCGCAGTGTTATTAGTTTCCCTGACAAGACCTCGGATACAGGCAGCGGATGAGCGGAGCATCAATACCTTGATGGGTGCTTCCAACTCAAGCAGGATAGGCTGAGAGATGAAGATCTCCCTCGCCTTGGTGCAAAGGTAGCGAATCTCCGATTCCAGAAGCTGGACCTGCTTCCCAGGTCGGCTGCCCCTCACCTCCAGCAATCTGTCAATGATAGAATCCAGATCCACGTCTTGATCGGCCATGGTGTATCAAACCCAACGAGAGACGAACGCGAGGAATAAAAGAAGAAAAAAGGAACAGGGAAAAGAAAAGAGAAAAGAGGTAAATTAAACAAGCGTCCGGCGACGAGAAAAGAAGGAAGTCGAAAGGGTGGCTAACGGATCGGTTGGTGCAGTACGATGGATGACGCGGCGCCTACAGACTGTCACAATATGAAGAGCAGATTAGAGAGGTCTTTTGAGAGAACAATAACATCAGATAGAGAGGCAAAAATTGCAATATAGGCTGGGAGACGCGTGCACAATGCGCCCATGAAATTTTCATTGACGGCTGATGGAAGATAGCGATAGGGAGAGAGGGGCGAAGGTTTTGCTTACCAAACACGATCTGGATGTGTCGAGCTCAAGCGGGAGGGAGCAGGCCGAACGGCCTAGGAGAGGCGAGGACGAGGGATAGGCTGGTGAGGAAGCCGAACGCTGTGCGAAATGCGATAATCCAGATACCAAGGCACGAGAGTCGACGACGAAAGCGCGTTGATAGCGAGGTGTGATGCGGCTCCGGAGAGGCACCGACTGGCAAGAGACGATTCAGTCGGGCGTGGTGGGGACAGGGAGCGAGAAAAAAGCGGCACGAAGCGGCGGAGAGAGGTTGTGTTGAGGGTAACGGTGGGAGACGACGCGAGATGAAGTCAAGCAGAGATAGATCAAGAAGAGCTCCTGAGGCAAACTTGTTTAGGGAGAAGATCCTGGTGGCGCGAGGGCAGTGGAGGAGGGAAAGAAGTACAGGCAAGTGAAAGGGGATGATGGATGGCAATCAAGGGATCTGTTTGCCGACCGAGCACGTTGGGATGGAGCAAGCTGGAGGAGCCGGTTGTACAGACTGCACAGTGAGCTATTCTACTGAAGAAATGAGATCAGACTCAGCAAGGTGATGTTGGTTGAAGAGAGGATCGGAGCTGCGCACCAGAAAACGCGACCGAAGCAACAGGAGAGCAGCTTTCGCCTGGTTGGAGGAGATTTGAATGGATGATTTCAGCTGAGAAAAACTCGACCGGGAAGAAAACCAGACGGAGACAACAAACCGCGACCATCGTGTATTGCCAGTACAGCTAACTTTACCCCATCAGCGCTTGGTGTTCGATGATACTTGGTTATTGGTTGTGCCATAGGGCGGTCGGAGTCTATAAATAACGATGAGCGTATTTTTACCGAAGAATACCAGCCTAGCTGAGCCAGAAACCTGGAACAGTGCCCAACTACAACCGTTGTATACTCCCCCTTCGTCTTATCAGGAAGGCCATTCAATCTCTCTTATCATGAATTCATATATTCATAACTACATATTACTCTGACAGCTGGCGCTGAGGGCGCTTGCAATGACGCAGGGGCCTCGTCTGCAGGGAGACTCACCTGAACCCAATTCCCCAGCTTAGACTTTCGCCCCACAAATATAAAGCTTGCGCAGCACAGGCTACAGCTACTCCTTACTCTCTCCAGTCCATGGATGCCATAGCGCCCCAACGCGCATTGCATTCAGCTATCTGCAGAACAGAAAGATGACTCGTCACAACGTCTCATGCATTAAGTCCGAAAATTCGTCAAGCCTTGCCGGAAACCGAAAGCGAAGTGAGAATGAAGAGTCCGCCCAAAACAACAAAGGTTATACAATCCTGTAACAATGGCTCGAATCAATGATATCTCGGCATGCATCAGATCCTCATCAAGTGGTCATTAGGGTGAGGGGGAAGTATAAAGGAAACAAGACAAACCAAGCAGAACGAGGTATCGATGTGTCCAGGGATATACCCAAAGGACCAGAACAAGTGGAGGCTCGAAAAACACAAAAGGCCAAATCGTCCCAGAAACGCCGTTGACACCGATAGCCTTTCACCAATAAAATACAAGCAGTCTAAGCAAAAGACTTCAGTCTCTCTCGTGCAGTGTGCCGGATATATTCGACTGACAACAAATCTGAGTAGGTGAGAACGAGAAAGAGGAGGAGGGTGGGGGAAAGAAGATGTGAGATAAGAAAAGCATAAACAGTTCAGACATCCAGCCTGCGATCATGGGAGATCACCTAACGCCATGAACAATGCAGTTCAACAAGCAGTTGCGGTATATGCTTGCAAATAGTCGAGTATTGCGAGAATAGGGCCGCGGTATAGCTTGAAAATGATTTAATGCAGAAAGAGCACTTTTGTCTAAAGATTCTCTTTTAGGGTGCGGTGCATGGGACGGTGCAACCAATCGACCATGTAGTTTGAGAGTATGAGGAAGCGAGGTCCGAGGAAGGAGGGTGGAAAAGGTGAGTTGAGACAACCTAGACAATGGGATTGCCGCCGCTCAAGATAGGCTGACTGTTTGCCCTGGTCAAGGACTCGGGAGATAGCCGGGCCGACTCGCTGATATTGGTACCTGTACGAGCCATAGCGATATTGATTTGTGGACTGTTCCAGGTTTGGTCCCGAAGTGCTGCTAGCAAGGTGCTACCAAGCTCTTGCTGAAGAGCTGCGAGTTGTTGCTTCTGAAAGTCCCCCTCAACGTCCCATTCGAGACTTTGCAAGGTGCGCCGTAGCGCGAGAATGTCGCTTTCGGAGACCGCGGGGGTGTCTTGGGATTTGCCGGCTGCCCCAGTGCTTGGGGGACTAGAGGATCCGGCCTGAGGTCCACCATCAGATTTCCATTGACTGTCGGTAGGTGACGAAACAAATGGATCATCAAGAAATTGAAGATCTTGAGCAGGGAGGATAGAAGGTACCACCGCACCTGAATCTCTATCACCATCAACTACGAGCGTTCCAGACGGGTCGGCAATTCTTCTTCTGTGACTCTTCCTCTTGCGGCCGGTTCCGACGCCGTTGTCATCAGCAGCAAGGCGTTCTACCTGTAGGATGTCGACATCTTGACCAAGCCGACTAGTCAGAGTTCCAACAGCAGGAGCAATGGGGTGTTTGCTGACAAGGGTCGAGTTATCCGCTGCGGTAGATCGTATGACCGGAATAACCTCCGGCTCTGCCACTCTCTCAACCAGTTGCTTTCGTTCAGTATATCCCGGTCCGGAACCATCGATGATGATGTCTTCGGAGTACCCAGGAGTCCGACGGAACAGATTGAAAATCACAACGCGGTAGTTAGGATGTGTCTTGACAAAGGGATTTCCCGCCACCCAGATCTCTCGTATCTCAGGGAGATTGGTTAGCCGGGCAATCTCAGTAGGGTCGGAGAGTTTGTTGTCGCGGAGATCCAGCCGTTCGAGTGACAGAAGCCGCTCAATGCCGGCTAGAGAGCGGAGGCGGTTGGCTCTAAGATTAAGCGCAGTGATGGCAGGAAGGGGGTTGCGAGACAAAGAGTGGAGAGATTCTATCATGCAGTTCGACAGGTTCAACGCCCTCAAAGCCACCAAAGTTGCAAGACTGTCGGGGACCTCGGTGAAGAGGTTGGTAGACAGATCCAAAGAATGCAACGTGTTTGCAACGGGAGCCAGGCCCATGGCAGAGACGGAAGTGAGGGAGTTGTCGGCAAGACCCAAGTGTCTCAGGAACCGCCACTTGGATGGCGGGAGGACAGTGGCAAGCAAGTTCGAAGAGCTTCCAGTACGATAACCCGAGTTTTCACTCGAATTTGAGCTTCCGGACCCGGTCCTTCTTATCCGCGACGACTGACCTCTACCATGGCGGTAGGTGGAGTGCTTCGAGCTCGCTGGACGGGAAGGAGAAATGCTTCCGGCCCGTGGGCGAGGTCTAGCTCCTTCAGAGGCTAATCTTATCATAGACGCTGCTTGAGGGCTAGCACTGGTCCCAAGCGCAGTGTCTGCGATTGGGGATCCAGGGGCAGAGATAGAGCCTTTCGGTTCGTGTCTGCTGACCGGCTGAGGGTTGCTGTTTCCATTCCACCCTAGCACAGGCGAGTTCTGGTACTTCGAAGACCGCCGCCGACGTTTATCGATGTCGTCCAACACAATTCCCGTCAACAAGTCTGCCGGATCCTCGATGTTCGCCCTCTTTAGAGTCAGAGACCGCAATTGTTCCGAAAGTCGGTCCCAGCCGTAGAACGAGCGAAAGTCTATATCGATAATCTCTAGGGCGCTCAAATTCTTGAAGGTATGTAGGGGAACAGCGGTGTCAAACGGGAACTCCTCGTAGCCACGAATCAAGCGGGCGCGACGGTCAGGGGCTAAGCGTAGACATGGGATCTTGGTGAAGGCCGAATATAGGTATTTTATATCCGCTTCTAAAGCAAGCTTGGCTTTCTCGGATTTGGAGGAAGAAGTGTTGGAACTCAATCCGAATGAAGACCACAGACTGCTCATACCAGACATGACACTACGGACACTAGACACAGAGTGAATCGAGTCTCTGTCACCCTTTGACTTGGCAGGCTTGTTCAAAAATGAGACGTAGGACTGCGATACGTCTGTATGGATGTTCTCGAGTCTAACATTCATTGGGCCCACGGCAATAGGGATCTCCTCGAAGCGGGAAAGAAGGTAAAAGAGGTGGTGAGGGGTGAGGGTTAATTTCGCAGGCTTGACGCTCTGCGATGTGAATTTCAGGGCTCCGAAGGACAAGGCCGCGGCGAGAGTAGAAGAGGTCGAGCCCGAAGTCGAGCCCGACTGGGAAGAGTGACCATCCCTAGTGGGTTGGCGCCTCAGTTGGAGCGCGTTGGCGAGCGCTTTCTCATGGGTTCGTACAAAACTGGCAAGGTTCTGTTACAGAGTACAAGAGTCAGCAGGCCAAACAAGCGACAGGGGAGGGCGTGCGGGTCCAGCTGTGTTGCACGCCCACCGCAAGCCCATGGATATGCTAACCTTGATGAAAAGCTGTCCATCGGCAGTGTTCAGTTTCTCCATTACGGCCAAGTTGTTGCCTGACAAGACAAATTCCGGACGGGTGAACTCTGGGGACGACGCTCAAGCACTCGTAGGGTATGAAAGAGACATTTTGCTGACAGACAACGGAGGATGGTAGGGGTGCAAAGCGACCTAGAGTGACAAGACTATCAGTACCAGTTCAGCCAAGAACACATCTCTCCCGTGAACGTGACAAGGCCAAATACAAAGTAGGTGGGATAGGCGAGGTTCGAAATAAGGGGGAGGGGAAAGTGACAATAAACAAAGCTCAGCAAATTCCAAAGGACAGACAGCCCGCAGCCACAGCAATCCAATGGCTTTTGTTACCGTACCTGAGGAATCCCTGGAGAAAGGAAATAAAGAAAAAAGAAAAGAAAAAGTCTTCTCTATTCTAACCGCAGAGAGGTTGTCGCCTGGACGAACCCGAAAAGAAAAAGGGTGTGTTGAAACTGAGGTCGACTCCAAAAAAAGGAGAGGATAGGAAGGGGGACGAAGGAGAGAAAAAAAGGACTGGGGGAGCTAGTAATATGTGATATGCACGTAGAGACAGTGGCGCCTCGTAGTGCCGTCACGGAGGAAGAGGATGCAGTTGGTGATGGGAAGGAGGGGGTGGATAAGGATGTGCAGCGGCGCAGTGATCAATCAGCTGAGGGCAGGAGGGGCTTCGCTACTATCAGCGGCCAGGGTGGGAAGCGGCCGATGACAGACTAAGTCGTTTAGCCGCTCTTGGGAGCTGAGGTAAAAGAAGCACGGAGGGAAATTTGAGGAAATGAGGCGCTGAAGGGCAAATGGAGAAAAAGAAAAGATAGCGGGTACGGTCGAAAGCTGATACGAGATCGCACTTACCCTCAGTTCTTGGATATGATTTAGTCAAGGCTGCAGATGCGACCCGGAGCAAGCTGATTAAAGAAGAGAGAGGCAAAAAAAGGCTGGCGGAAGAAGAGACGATCGGCCTGATATTTATTCTCATGTAATGTCAGACGAATTACTATCCACCCATTCATGGGGAGCGTTGATGAATTTCCATGGGTCTTGTTATCGCCCGCAATAATTCCCTTGACACTGGATGGATCATCGACCAGAAAACACTGTACTAATCGTACGGTACAGTGGAGCCGCGACATACATTTATGATTATTTGAATGCTTCCTGTCTGCGGTGAGGAGTTTGCCGATTACATGATTGTTATTATTTCCTTGGAACAGGGCGCCAATTGAGACAATTGTGATACTTCTGAACCTTCAGACTCCTCTGAACTCTGTTGTTACCAGTGGTAACCGTGGAGGAACGGGCGGGTGTTGTTCCTGTAGATTTTGAGCTTAGCTTGTCAACAGACTCGCTCCTCTGCCGTCCCTATCAAATGCAGCCCGTGTCCGGCCTCCTTAGCGGGGTTAGAGTGAGATCCCCCTCTACAATCAAAGTAGTATCGATGTCTCGGGAACATACTCGGAAAGAATTTGGCTAGTATCCCTTTGTGAATCATGATCATGGACCATGGAACCTCTGCACGTTGTCCAGCGAGCTCAAATATTTGGAGGTTTCAGGGCAGACATATCAACCTTGGAAAAGCTGTCGGCAGAAGTGGAGCATTTTGCCTTCGGATCCCTTGAGACGGGTATCCCGATCGCTTTAGCTTTTGGGGTGCCTCCGGAGCATTCAGTCAACTCTTTGGTTCTCTCACAGAGAGTGCAGATGAGACAAAGAGCGAAACAGAAATCTGTCCTTAGTGCGCCCTCCTCATGGGCAGGATGGAACTTTCCTGTCACAGCCAACAGCCACCGATATAGGCGTCAGTCGGCCCGGTCATGGGAAAAGCACGGCCTGATTGGGTGGTGGGGTATAATTATCCAACGCGCAGCTGATAGCCTGCAGAGGTAGCCCGCCTGGGAAATCCACTAGGCAACTCGCAGTCTAGCAACGCCCGAGCGTCTTCGAGTTGATGCACGTCGAGCGAATAGCAGCCTCAGTTTGACCACCTGCATGACGCTCTCCTTCGAGCGGCTCCAGGCGAAGGATTTGCTGCGCCAAAAGAAATAACAGATCCGAGATCAAAGACGAGATGCACCAACGGTATGTCGCAAGATATGCACTTCAGAATGACCGTACAGCAGTCGCCGCATCGCCTCTAATCGGAAAGAAGAGACTGGGGTGCAAGATCGGTGCCAAGCGCAAGCGCTTATTCGTATACAGATCTCCTGCTGTTGTTGACAGGCCCGCTCTCACAGTCCGCGCCTTCATTCCGAATGACGCCGATGTTCCTTGATCTCCATCCCTATCAGACCATCAATACCGAGAAAGGCAACATCGGGAGGCTCAAGTGGAGCTTGGGACTCTTCTCAGCCTTGATAATGCGAGGTCATGGCATCAAATGACCATCGCGAGGCTTCCAGGTCAGTTCCTGTTTGACTCATGGTGTGGGAGAATATTCCCTGAATACCTGCACTCAGGACCGTCACCGTGCAATGCGATACTATATTTGCCATCACACCGCTTCCTCCCCCGAGCCGTCACACCACATTCTTTTTAGCTTTCTTACCCCTCCTCCTCAAACCGATCCCCCGTTACCCACCATTATTCGACAACGGTTCCACGGTCCAAACCCACCCTTCTTCATTATTGTACACGCCCTGGTGTCCTGATGATCTACGCCTCGGTCAAGTCATCCGGATTGGCTCATACTTGGGTTGACTGATGATTTCGACAAGCCTCGTGTAGCTGGGATGCCCTCCTTCGAGGAACGTGACAGTGAACCCTCCCGCCATCAACTGGAAACCAAAAGAAAAAGCAAAGAGCTGCGAAGCAGGCATCCGGTTTCAACAGCTTTGAAGGGATGCCAACTCCGGCAAAATGCCTTCGTGAAGATGCTAACCGAGCCAATGTCTCAAACAAATCTCCTCCTCGCTTCCTCCGCTGCCCCAGCCTTTGGCTTACAATGTAGATATCCAGGACAAATATGTAAGTATGTATGCTCCGGCATATACCAGCGTGATTGCCCTCCATGGAGGGGCAGCCCGAAAAAAAATTTACGTTGTGATAACCCCGCCCTCACCGACCTTGATCTGATATCGCGATCCGATAAATCTGGTCCGTGCAAGAGACCAAGCGGGAGAAAGAATCCAATCCTGTCAGAGTGCTGGGGATGCAGTTATGCAAAGTTTTTGAGGTCGGCCTCTTTCATCCTCTCTTCAACCTTCACTCTCAAACGAGATTCGCTCGTTGCGATGCTGCATGACTCTTGCGGACTCGGTAGCGCACGCTTCATGGTTCATGATGTTTCTGCTATCGGCCGCACTCGGACTTCGCGGGAGCAACTTGACCACTGACGGTTGATGATGGAACCACCACGTCTGCACCTGATGCCAATTCAAGACTTCTCCCTTTCTGGTTTTAACTCCACTCTCTGTCACCTCTCGCAACAAGTGCAATCCATGTTCATTCTGAGTGGCCCGTGTCCTTGAGAGATCGACACTACTGGAGATGAGAAAGCTTGCAAATCCCACCCATACAATTGTAGGATATACAGGCAGGACATAATGGCACTACTCCGTATGAGAAGCTCAGAACTGAGAGTTACCATCTCGTCCTCCTTCCTGCTCGGGCTCAATCCGATCGCTCTCCGCGCGCTGTACCTAAGTAAGTACAATTTGCAAAAGTAGGTGTGTATAGCTCGAGGAACCTCAAAACCCACGGTCGAGGAACCCCTGGATGACGATCTGTATCCAAACAGATATCCTTGACTTTCCTTTCGCATTCGTGCGGTCGCTCCGACGAGTGATAGGATGTTAGATATCCCCCAGCCCCAATCGAAGTCCCAAGCATCGGATCCTCCGATGTTGGTGGCGGACACGATTGTTTGTGTTACCTCAGAGTCTGAGAGGCTGAGCTGAGCGACGAGGATGCTCAAACTGCTGAGAATCCTCTATCTCAAACATGAGGACTGCGGGGTATCCTTGTGAAGGCATCATCCCATCGCCTTTTCTTCAAGCCTTTCGGTTCCCGCTTCGCCTGTGACAGACCGTCTTTTCCTTCTTCTTTTGTAACACCAACGGTTCCGAGCCTTTGGTAATTGGTCGGAGGAAAGGCAACAGACTAATCAAGTGAGAGGAACGAATGATTTGCAGCTAGTGAATATCGAGGATCCTGGTTAGGCTGCGAGTTGAACCACTCCCTGTTGCATCTCCAGGAGCGCACTAATGCAGTGACTAACCACTCTTGGTTCGAGGGCGCTTGGTCATCAACTCGTCAAGTCTCAACCTTCAATCATGATGCAATTTTCGCTGTTTCCGAGAAAAAGGAAAGCTGCTTCAAGTGAGGCGTTGCTTTTTCCGTCTGGATATCCCTCAGCCGGTTCCGTCAACATTGCGCACCAGAGCTCTATAGGCCTGGTATTCAACATTCTCGCGGAGACCACAAACTAAGCTCAACTGCGGGGAAGAGAACAATGCAAGCAAAGTAACCGCATTTTTAGTTCCATCGCGCGGTAGCCGCTCTCAACTGTTTCAGCACCTCTCTCTGAACCTTGGGACTGAATTAACGTTCAGCATCCCGGAACGCCACTCTAATCTTAATATCGCCCTTGTATACCCCTGCCACCGACTTTGAGGGGGATTGCCTAAAGGAGTGTCCTGCATGAGGGTCAAGGTTATTTCTGTTCAGCGCCCGCTTTCAATCGCTCGCCTCGGAGCTGGTTGAAGCGAATCATGCAGCCCACCTACTGGCGACTGCACCACTCAGGATCTAAGAGCCCGCAACGCTTTCTACCAGACGCATGGAAGCACAACGTTGTAACCGTCTCGGTGATTTCCCGAGAGAGCATACTCCGTATGCGCAATGCATCGAATTCAACTGGCAGACTGCGATTGTGCCAACTTGGCGCGGTTACCCCTCCATTCCGAATTCTTTTGATAACTGGCTCGCCTCACACGGGAAAGAGAAATGGAGATGATGGGCTTGATCAGTGAGCTGATTGGTACGTAGATGACACAGCGCGGAACAAACTGCTGATCATTTGGGCGGTTGACCCTGGGTGGGGATGGGGACTTGGAGACCCGCCCTTTGTCTTGAACCCTTCCAGGATTCCAAGGTTCCATCTCGGCTTCGACAATCCTGGTATGTATGCCATTCACGTGATATCGATCTTGCAAAGCTTCCCAATGGTCTCGTCAGCCACACCCTGAAGATGCGGCCTCAAGGCTGCGACTATTGTCTTTGTGGTCAATCAGAAAGAGTATCTTCCAGTTATTCAGAGCTAGGAGAGAAATTTGGTTCTATCGAGGTTTACAAAATACTAAACCGGTACGATATATATTCTTTGCTGAGGGACACAAGTCAAGTCTGTGTGATTAAAATACAGAAGATACCGCAGATACCATCGTCACACATGGAACAGTCAAAAGTATTTAGCATGCACAATCAGAACCGCTTAAGCCAAACGATCAATTGCATGTGATTTTGCTGTAAACACACATCATGTTGTCCGAAGTATAGATGCACGTGACATAGAAGGCGGCCCCGCGATTACGTTATTCCAGCACAAACAAACGCTAAGCCTGTCTTGATAACTGGATGTGGAGGCGGTTCCTTTCAAGCGGAACCCGTGACGTCGATGTCATCAGTCCATCACAGTGTCACGCTCTCAACCAGCTTCCAAGGTCCAGGACCAAACAACAAACCATTTACTACAACACCATGAATACCGCCCCTACGAACCGATAATGGAAAAGTCTGCATCCGGCGACATACTCGACATCAACGATCCGCGATCGATCCCCGACTACGACCATGAGTTCATCGAACCAGATGATCTGCGCCAGTTCGAAAAGGCCCTGACGGACCAGGACGCGGACCCGCTCGTTGCCCTGAATGACTGGCGGCCTGTATACCAGCGCGTGGTACGTCGAGGAGGGAGAGGGCGCAACAGCAACAACAACAGCGTCAAGAAGCGGCTGCCCCGGCGGACGAAAGACGAAACGAGAGAAGGCGTCCTCTATACCGTGCTCAAGTGGCCGTTTCTGTTTATCGTTTTGGGCTGGATTACGTTCCTGGGAATTGGATATGCGTTGACGCGGATCTACATCTTTTTGTATGAGCAGTGGGTGACGTGGAGGGGGAAGAGGGAGAGTTTGCGCAGGGAGCTGTATCGGCATACGAATTATAGCGATTGGCTCGAGTCGGCGCGTGCGTTGGACGAGTATCTTGGAAACCAGCGGTGGAAGACGATTGATGAGTATGCGTACTATGATCACTTGACGATACGGAAGTTGAGTGGACAGCTCAAGGCCGTCCGGACGCAGGTCGAGCGGGAGATCGAAAAGGACGATCCTGATTCTGCCGTGGTCATTGAGGAGCTGTGCAACCTGCTGGAAGCATGCGTCAAGAACAATTTTGGCGGGGTCGAGAATCCCAGGCTTTACAGTGAAGCTTATTCCGGCACGAAAGACTTGGTTCAGAATTACATTGATGAAGTGCACGCCTGCATCAAGGTCGTTTCAGATGCGCGGCAGGTAAAAAACGAGGACAAGTACCATCACTTCAAGCACCTGGACACGAATTTTGGCCGGACTGCGCTTTGCTTGTCTGGAGGAGCGACATTTGCATACTACCATTTTGGCATTGTCCGAGCACTTCTGGATAATGATGTCCTCCCGAGTATCATCACTGGCACGTCAGGAGGAGCGCTCGTTGCGGCGTTGGTTGGTACTCGCACGGACGATGAGTTGAAACAGCTTTTGGTGCCGGCTCTAGCGCATCGAATAAGGGCATGCTCTGAAGATTTCACAACATGGATGCGTCGGTGGTGGAAGACAGGCGCGCGGTTTGATACGATGGACTGGGCCCGTCAATGCAGCTGGTTCTGCAGGGGCTCCACCACGTTTCGAGAAGCGTACGAACGGACCGGACGTATATTGAATGTGTCCTGTGTACCCTCAGACCCCCATTCGCCGACGATCTTGGCCAACTATCTGACGTCGCCGAATTGTGTTATCTGGAGTGCTGTGCTTGCGTCTGCAGCGGTTCCAGGAATCTTGAACCCGGTGGTACTAATGACCAAGAAACGAGACGGCACCCTTGCCCCTTACTCCTTCGGGCACAAGTGGAAGGATGGAAGTCTGCGAACAGACATCCCGATCAAAGCGCTAAACCTCCACTTCAACGTCAACTTTACCATAGTCTCGCAGGTGCGTACTCCGGAGTATAGACTTTACGTCACCCCCGCCCCCAAGCGCCCTTACTGATCGACTGGCTGCAGGTGAACCCCCACATCAACCTTTTCTTCTTTAGCTCCCGAGGAACCGTCGGCCGACCAGTTACCCACCGCAAGGGACGAGGCTGGCGCGGCGGTTTTCTGGGATCCGCAATCGAGCAATACATCAAACTCGACCTGAACAAATGGCTCAAGGTCCTCCGCCACCTTGAACTCCTCCCACGGCCACTAGGCCAGGATTGGAGCGAAATATGGCTACAGAAGTTCAGCGGCACAGTAACCATCTGGCCGAAGACTATCCCTTCTGATTTCTACCACATCCTCTCCGACCCTACCCCGGAGCGCCTCGCCCGCATGCTCCGCACGGGCCAACAGAGCACCTTCCCCAAGATCCAATTCATCAAGAACCGTCTCAAAATTGAGCTCGCGATCCTAGAAGGCCTGCACCGCTTCTCACCCTCTGGCGGAAGAGACGCATTCCCGAAACAGCCCTTCCCGCTCGATGACACAGACGGCGACGCCGACGGACAAGATCCAAGGGAGGCTCGCCTCAACCGCAATCTACCCGAGCGGAAATCACAGTATCATAAGGGTGACTCGATGTTCTCAGACATCTCTGACGCAGACGGTGTGATATCCGCTGAATCGAGCTCCGTGGACGATAATGATATGGTTCATCCGAGGCCGAGGAGGGGGAGTGTCTCGAGCATGTTTGAGGAGATGCGGAGGCAGTCGGCTGTCTTTTTTGATGACCCGGATATTTACCGTGATGGGAATTAGGATTTTCGCTTTTTCCACCTACAGAGTATTGGTGTACATTTGCTGCGAGTCTTTTACCTTGGTGACTGGGTAGATTGTTTGTCGATTCTCATGCTTAGACTGGTTGGTTGTATGTATTTGTTACATCATATAATGTATGACTAGAGAAACATATCTTGGCGTTGTTCTTCTTCATTTCTCTCTTGTACTTTGTGACTAACTAGCTTTTGCCTGATCGATGCAAAACAATCACTCTTGAGACAAGTCCGGTCATCGGATATCGCGAACTATAGGACCCCACAACCTCACAAAGTTGGACCGAAAAGGCTCCATTCCCAATCAACAAATACCAACGCACCACGAAACGCACAATCAATAATACACCAAAGTAGCGGGAAACTATGTTGGCGCTCTGCGTCAATCTGCATACTTACTCAAGTGGCGCGACAATCCCTGCTCCGCATCGCAACCTCCCACGTCATTGTGCATACGCTAAGAAACACTAAGAACAGCTGGGGGACGCGACACAGGGCACTCCTGGCTCCATGGCCGCCTGAGCTTCGCTCCCATCATCGCCAATGTCGACCACGTGTTTTCGGCGCGGATAGGCTGGCTTTCTCAGATATTCATGTGGTGTTATGTGATATGATGGAGGAGGCGGGAGGGGGTGGCGACTATTTTGTCGCTGTCGCTCATACTCCGTACACCATACGTCGAAGAGTGCCTTGGTATGATTGGGATTATCGCTATCGGGGAAGTATGATGCGGTGGAGATGGATGGAGCGGAGAGGCTGGTTGGTGGCCGGTATAGCGTACTCCAGTCCCGGGGTTATCCGTTCAAACTTCACCCCGAAAGGCGCGTGAGCGGATTGATCCGCCTCATATCCTTTGCCCTGAAAACGGGTATGTTGTAGTTTGGTTGGTTGGCCTCCCGAGTCTCTGTTACAGCAAAGCTCAGATCACGAGCCAAGTCGCGGTGATCGCCCTCGCTGATTGGAAGTCGCCGTTCAGGGCGTGGAGCGTTTGCAGGGCGAACGCTGCCTCGCGTGAGAAGTCCTCGACGAAGGAAGGCGATGCCGCCACGCCGCTGATAGCCGGGTCGACGTCGGTCATGGGCACGTCCGTGTCACCGTCTGCTGTTGTTGCTTGCGCTGGTGGTGATGCGCCTGTGGATGCTTTGGCGGGAAGCTGGCCCCGAGATTGGGCTTGGATTTGCTTGCCTAGGTCGAGGACGCGCTGGTAGCCTTCGACGGCGAGGTGCGCGAGGCCGAGGGTATGCCAGACGCGGGCGAAGTTGAACTCCATCTCTTGTCGCTCGACGGGAAGGCTTCCTGGGCGTTCGCGGATGCGTCTGTACTCGCTCATGAAAGAGAGACCCTGCATAATATGGTAGTGGCGGTTCTCGGACTGTCGTTTCATAGAGTGGTGGATGTAGCAGAGGGCGATGGAGAGGAGGACGGCTGGGTTTTGATCATCTAGGGCGTAGGCGCGGAAGAAGTAGTTGAGGGCAGGGTAGAAGCTGTTGCCGGAGTAGAGGATGTGTCCGTACAGGACTAGGAGGGCGACGTCCATCTCGTCGGCTGGGATAGCTTCGCCCGTGTCGTCTCTTGTTGATAAGGCGGCACGCTCCTTGTAGATTGACTCGCGGACTTGTCTTGTTGGACGTGAGCCGGTCACTTCATCGGGGAGTGTAAAGTCTATGGCTTTGATTTGTCGGAGCATGAACTTCATGTTGGGTGAGGAGTGAAAGAGGGATCTGTGAGGATCTCCGATGAGGCAACTGAGTGTAGCAAATAGACGGTATGTGTCTGTTACGAATTGGTACTCCTTGATAAACCAACGCGCCTCGTTTGCGAGAGTTTCCTCGTCCTTTGCTCGAAGTGCACAAGCTGTAAGAGGTGGTCAGTCGATGCGCCAAGGACAGTTGCAAGGTAACTTACTGAACCAGCAAACATGTATCAAACGGGTACTGTCCTTCGAGTGATACCACACATTTGCATCCGCAGCAGCGGTGAGAGTGTCATACGCTTCGTCAGGCTCATTTTGCCCTGCTACCACCAGACTGTACTGCAGGAATAGGTCTAGCCATTCTTCGAACGTAATCCCGTGGTAGTCCGTAGGGATGGCGGTTTGCAGAGGCTCCTCAGTGGTTCCTAGGTACCAGTCAGGGCAGTCCCCAGTGATATTGGTTGTAGTCTCAACGTACCCAAAGACTCTTGAAGACGACCAGCCATCTCTTGCATTTCGTCCAACAGTGTTTTCTTCCCGGTTCTATTGGTGTATCCAAGGAACACCACATTGCGCTGAAGGGGGTAGAAGGCCCTATTTGCTCGGAATTCACGCAGGAGGGCATCAGCAATATCGAGCCAGTCTTCAGTGGCTTCTCCATCCCCGGCTTGCATGGTAGGTTCCAGTTGCAGCAGCTTGCGGAAGAGAAATTGCATATTCTCTGTCCTTTCCGATTCACCTTCCGCACCAGACTTGGTACCAAGAAGAGCTGCAGGACCAGAATCGGCGGGCGGGCCTTCCTGGTCTTCTGCTTCGGGCTCTGCGGAAATGTCCACAGATTTGAATTCTCTTGCAAGTTCCTCAAGCCGCGTGTCTTTCCGTCGACGGTGACTCCTGGTCTCCTGTCTGCCTAGAAGCACGGCATCGTTGACATACTTGAGTGCCTGTTCAGTCATCCCGATGGCCTCGTACAGTTTGGCGAGTTGCACTCGTGATTCGATGTTCCTCGCATCATAATCGGCAACCGTCAGGTAGCAGTTCTCGGCATCTTCGAGTTTACCTAGAAGCCTGCAGCAATCTCCCATAGCCATGAAATAACCGACATCAGCGTATTCGTCGGTATATTGGATAGGTGTATAGAAGCTGAGCGCCTCCTCTAACATCTCGGCTTCCTTGAGCGCATCGGCTACTTCGCGGAAGAGGTCCCCATAATCGTGCAGTCGGGCGCCTTCGGAGGTATCTTCTGGATTAAGCCACTCAAAATGGTGCTGTACAAAGGTTAGACTAGGTGAAAACTCAGAGTGATTAGAGGGCCTACAAGGGCTTCTTCGACATTGCGACCTCCAAGCTTTAGGCGAAAGATACCCATTTTGATGCGGAGTTCAAGTGGTAGACCCAGACCATAGGAGTCGCGCGGCCACCGTTTCGGGACATAACCATCCGCCTTGATCCTTCGAGGAGAGTCGTCGGCGTCCCATTCGCGATCGTCTTCGTCAAATTCTTGCCACATTGTGTCGTCTTTGCGCCCCAAAAGCCATCGAGAGACTGATTTTAGGGCTTTGAGCCCTTCGGCGTGTTGCCCAAGGTAGGCGTAAAGCTCGATATAAATGTTGGTGTCGGACCAGGTGAAATCCGGAGTCTTTTCAGGTGCTCGAGTCATAAAATGCTGGATGCTCTTTGACCAGTGGTCAGCGGCCTTTTGATACTCACTTTGATCTATATAAACCTCCACGAGAAGTCGAAGCGCCCGTATGTTGTGCGGAATGTCTTTAAGAATCCTCTCGTACTCAGTGATCACCCTCCCATTATGACCAAGTTCTCGATAGATAGCAGCTCGCTGGAAGCGAGCATTGAAGTTCTGAGGGTCAATCTCCACTACACGACTGTAACAGTAGAGAACATCGTTCAATGCGCCCTGCCTATCATCGCCTGCCTGATCCAAGATCATTCTTGCCACCTTGGCCCATACACCGGCATCTCTTGGTCGGGTGTGAGCACCACTGAATAGTGCCGTGACAGCTTTGTCTTTCTCGCCCCGAGACAGGAAGATTTCGGAAAGAAGGGAGTGGGCGGCGAACATTTCTGGATTGACCTGAATTGCACGCTTAACCAGATCGATGGCACGGTCATAATCTCCATCAATAAAGGCAGATGTTGCTTCAGAGTGCAACATCTTGAACTCTGGGCTGGGCTCTATGGGCTTGCGAGGGCCGCGCTTGATACCCTTACCACCTCGAGCGCCATAACGACCAGAGAACCGACCGGAGCGTCGAGCTCGCCTTCTCCGGGAATATTCCTCATCTTCATCCGAGCCTTCAACGCCATCATCTGAAAGTTCTTCTTCCCTGTAATAGCTCAGTTAGTGCACTTAAGAAACATTTCGTACACTTAGCGACTAACGTTGATTCTTCTTCGGAGGAGGACAGCTCAAAAGAGGAGTCCTCACCACTATCATCCAGACCAGAACGATCATCATGCGCTTGCTCTGGCGCTTGCGATTCGCTACCAGTGAAAAGACCTCTGTACAGTCGCGGGTCTATTACTGATTGAACGGCGGGTTCACCTGAGGCCGGTGGCTGACTGCCTTGCCAGGGGTATTGAATGGTTTCGTCAATGTCGGGATAGGCAAACTCCCCGGAAGAGGGAGCTTGACCAGAGACATCCTCAGGATAGTCCATTTTGGTTTGTTATCATCGTAGTCGGTGAGGCTTGTTTGGAGACCATCATTGGGCGGATTGCAGGATCAACGGGTCCAGAACCTGGCACTCAGCACTAGCGAAAGCAGAATGAATGAGAGCTCAACCATGGAAGATACGAGACGAGATGAAAGGAATGCGTTGAACGCGAAAGAGAACCCTGAAGTAAGGACGGAACCTCTGTTTGAGTAAAGAAGTCCAGTGACCACTCTTCCCAATCTGGACAAGCGTCGTTTGCCTGAATTTTCGTGGTTCTTTGATGAGGATTTTCCTGACTAACGGCGTTCATAAAAAATTCATTACTCCATTGAATCTAGTCTCGGCTCGAGTCTTCAGCAGTCCTTGTTTCTTCAGTTTGGCGTTCTTTAGCTGAGAATCCCTCTTCGCTTCCCTTCGTCTCCCTCCCTCTTCATCACCCCCCTCCCTTTGCCAGTTGATCGTCTTCTCTTCGTCTCTTTCTTACTTTCCTTTCCCTCTCCCCCCTCCTCCTCCTCTTCTTCATCCTATCCTTCCGTGTCTTTGATTGATGCTTCGGGACTCACTGTCAGTCTGTGTTTGACACACTATTGCAGTGGTTCCTGACATCCTTTCGTTACAAAAAGCGATTAGGGACCGAGACAGCAAGGGCAGGAAGAAACGAAGCGAAAGCCTCGCTGCCTGGGAATCCGCCGTGACTCCGCTGGAATTGATCTTTTCTCGATCTTCTTCGATCGCTCTCTTTGTTCCTCCGCTCTCTTCAGTCTGACAAAAAAACTCCTTTGATGCTCTTTCGATTCGATTCGTCTTTCAGAATCCGAGTCAGGTAGTGCAGCCACTGGACTGGTCTGTGCCTCGAACGACATCGCCTAATACTCCGCGGTTGGGTTCCTCACGCTTCAAATTCTGACAAAAGCAACGCCAGCGACTCTCCCTCTAGCCAGATCGCTTCACCTTCTTAATCTTAGTATCAACGCTGAAACGCCCGCTTCAACCAAGCCAAGGCTCTCGATCCGAAATCCACGCAAACTCAGCAGGTGCTGCAGGTGTTTTGCAGTAATAACTATTTTTTCTGTATCTATTATCCTCCGAGACTTCGTGAACGAAAAAGACCCCTCCAAACATCCACCGCCCGCCGATTACCCTTGAACCGCCTGCCCTCCATGGCTAGCCACATAATCGGAAACCGCAATAGCACCCCGGAAGCCTCCAAGTCCTCGCTTCGTCCGCCTTCGTCGTCTCGAAACCTGGCTACTCACCAGCTTCGGGCATCCGCCGACATGTCGGGGTTCCCTTCCCCTCTCTCGTCTCGCAGCATTCGCCCTGCATCCGAGGTGTACTTCAACCAGCAGGCTCAGACGCCTAGCAACACCGATGACCCCCTCGATCGGGCAGCACAACAGTGGCTGGCGGACATTGACCAGTATGAGACCACACTGGAGGAAATGGCTGCGGCCACGCTGGACCAGGACTTTAAGGATGAGCTTAGTGCCATCGAGCAATGGTTTCGTGTGCTGAGTGAAGCGGAGCGTACCGCAGCTCTGTACGCTCTGCTGCAGCAGACCACCCAGGTGCAGATTCGTTTCTTCATCCAGGTTCTGCAGCAGATGGCTAAAAGCCACCCCATGTCGGGTCTGCTTTCTCCTGCCAACTTTGGAGAAAAAGGTATGCTTTATTCCTGCAGCTTTGTGCACGACAGAAGCTAACGAGATTATCATAGATGCCATGTCCAACCGTCTGAATGATGCCATGTCAAAGCTTAATGTGGATACCTCTCGCAACTCTCTCGGTCGTCCTCCACCCTCGCCTGGTGCCAAACGCAATTCTGGCCTCGATTCGTCTACGATAAATGCCATGTTCCCTGATGCAGCTGCTGCCATTGCAAAGAAAAAGGCCGAGTTTACCCAGCAGACTGGAAACGCTCCCCCGTCGAACAGGAACAGTGCTGTCTTTGGTGACCGCACTTCGTTTGTCGCGCCTACTATCTCCGCTCCTGACAACAGTTCGGACAATCTGTCCCAGCCACCTGTGTCGCCTTGGGCTCAACGCGGTGCGTCAGAGCCTCAGCCACCGATTGCTCGGCCCAAGTCCTCGTCAGGCCAGCAGCCTATGGGTCAATTCAGCCAATCTGGCCTGCGTTCTCCCCTTCCCACTTCGCAGACCGCGACGATCCCTGCCCCCGAAATTGAGGCGCCGCTGCTGTCGCCGTATAATGTTGGAAATGCCAGCTGGGCTTCCATGACCAACACACCCATGACGGCAACATTCGGTCACCAGCTTGGAGGCCCCCACCAACACGCCTCTCAAGCTGACATGGTGGCCAATGCCACCGCGATGAAGCTCGCTGCGCTTTCGACGGTGAACAACCGCATTGCGCTGGACGATGCTCGCAAGTATCGTCGGGCTCGGTCGAATGACGGCCAAGGAAAGAACACCGCGGGCAATCCTTCAATTCCACACGGTGGGTTGGCCAGCCCTGGTCTTCCACCTGGCGCCAATCATCTCGTCGCTGGGCAGCTTTTGAATGCCCAACAACTCGCTGCCCTTCAGGCACAGCAGCAAGCCGCAATGGCAGGTCGTCGATCTCGACCGACATCACCCGGCATTGCCATGCAAGGCGGAGCACTGGGACCCATGGCATTCACCTCGCCTCAGAATAACGGGTTCTTGGCTGCCTATGATCCAAACAATCCCCTCATGGGCAACGGCCTTGGTGCGCTCAGCATCGGACAATTCGGCCTCGGGGGTCACGAGGGCTATCTCTCAGACCACTCGGAGGTCGCTCGTGGGCGCTCTCCGCGCGGTCGTCGTGGCAGCTCGAAACCCCCAGAGGATCCTACCGACCCGGCCCTCCTCAAGGATATCCCCAGCTGGCTGCGATCGTTGCGATTGCACAAGTACACTGATCACCTCAAGGACCTGAAGTGGAGTGAATTGGTTGAACTCAGTGACAAGCAATTAGAGGAGCGTGGTGTCAATGCACTTGGAGCTAGGAACAAGATGCTCAAGGTGTGTATTGTTCCACAAACATTGTTTACGTCGTACTGACAGTATTTAGGTCTTTGAGCAGGTTAGGGAAGCCAAAGCCGAGGGCAAACTCGACAACGTCGCATGATATACATCTGACTGAACATTTTCATTGAATATCTTTCGTTTATCCTTCGTTTCCTTACATTCTCTCTACTGCATTAATTTGACTAGATTGGCTATGGGCATAAGTGGCAGGATCCGATTATATCCTGCGAGCGATCTTGGAGCACCGCCTAGCTGCGTCCGGGCCGGACACCTGCTGGCCAGTCAGAGGAAGGTCTGAGAGTTGATTGATTGTATGCTGTATGCACTGTTCGATGCGGTGATATGATGAGAAGACTGGACGCGACTTTGAGGGACCCGGTTGTGCCTCAAAGCGTGTCTTGTTGAAAATGTTACGACGAACATGTAATGGTTGAGTACATTAGTGATAATATGACTGTACAAGAACTTTCTGAATATATTTGGTTGATCTGAAAGTTGGAGCTTTTATTGAATTTGGATCTCATGGTGAAGGCGGCGCTTCACGGCAAAATCGCTGCTTAACTTCACCTGTCCTTCCTTGACCTTGAACGACACTCAAGCCTCCACCACCACTTCGGTGATCAATCCTCAATCCTACGCGTCAGTGTAAAAAGTTCACGATACAACATCAAGATGCCGCCAACGTCACAAGAACTCTCCCTCCTGATCAATCCGCTCGTCCCCGAGTCCCTTCAACACAACAACCGAGTCAGTACTCCAGCTCCCATCTTTCAGCACACCCCTTACCCACGATACATAATGCCACCAAGCACCTCACAGAAACCCAGCTAACAAATTAATACAAAGGTCTTAACTCAACTCCATTCCCTAACCTCATTCCTCCTCGGCCTGACGGCCGGAATCCTCGCGCTGCAATCCGCAACGGGCTTCATCTTCTATTTGCTCGGCACAATCACCGTCTCCGGGCTATTCCACGCAGCCTTGATATACCGGTCGACGGGAAAGGGCGCTGGCGGGTTCTTCCCGGGCGCCGGCGGGGAAATCGAGGGGCTTGTTGTAAGGGGGGATGGGATTGTCAAGGATGCTGGGAGGGGCACACGGAAGGGCGCTTGGAGGGACGTTTGGTTTGGGGGTGGTGTTTTGGGCGAGGCCCTTAGTGGGTTTGTCCTTGGTTGGGCGGGTGTTGGTGGTGTTTTGAGGTGATGTGCTGTGTTCTTTTTTTCTTTCTCGGGGAGCTAGATTGGGATGGAGGAGGGCTATGGTTGGGGCTTGTTTGAAATGGTAGGCTCTACAAGGCTGATTTGGCTGGAGAACCATGAAGAAATGGAACGATGCTGTATTAAACTATCTATCTGCATATGGTCTATTATTTTGGAGATGCGACTTTCCTTGCTGTTCTGCACAAACGATGCCTTTGCCCGGACTAACCTACTAACCATCCACAGCCTGGTTCAGGGCATTAACCCGATAGCTCTCACTCCGCTCAATCAACTCGGCATGCGTGCCCCTCTCAACACACCTCCCCTCCTCAACAAGGAAAATCACATCCGCCTTGCGAATCGTATACAACCGATGCGCAATCGCAATCACCGTGATTCCCCTCGCCGCCTTCTCCAACCCATCCTGCAACAACCGCTCCGACTCTGCATCCAGCGCGCTTGTCGACTCATCCAACAGCAACAGCCTTGGCTTCCGAATCAGCGCCCGCGCAATCGCAAGCCGCTGCTTCTGCCCGCCACTCAGCCGGTCTCCGTTCGGTCCACACGCCGTCTCGTACCCGTCGGGTAAACCGACGATGACATCGTGGATGTTTGCGAGCTTGCATGCTTCCTCGATGTCGGCTTGTGTGAGTGTTTGGTCAGGCCGCGCACCGAGCTCGAGGTTGAATCGGATCGTCCCGTCGAAGAGCACGCTATGCTGCGGGACGTACGCGATTTCGTCGCGGAAGCTGAGGTCGCGGTGGGCGATGTCGGCGCCGTTGATTTCGATCGTGCCTGATGAGGGCGAATACAGTCGCTCGATCAGCGAGATGATAGTGGACTTGCCGGCGCCGCTGGGACCGACTAGTGCGGCGAATTGGCCTGGGGCGATGGAGAGGTCGAGGCCGTGGAGGACCTGGCTGTCGGGTCGGGCGGGGTAGGTGAATTCAACTCCCTTGAAGGCGACGCTGAGGCCTGTTCGTGGAGTCGTGCCTGAGGGTGGAGGTGGTGGGGGTGGTTTCTCAGTTGGGTGGGTGGTAGACTCGAGGTCTACTGCGCCGGCGTATTCGGGGGTTGTAACGGGGTCTGAGAGTTTCTTCGTCGAGCCGAGATCAAGCAGGTTCAATAAACGCCGAGTCGCCTGGACAGCGCGCGAGACATCCGGCGCAAGCGCAAACATCTGGCCCCAGAGCTGCGACGACACGAGCAAGGCAAGCACGACGATGAAGAACTGCGTCTGCGTGTAGTGGCCCGCGATGATATTCTTCGCGCCCCACCAGTACGCAAGCGCATAGACAAAGTTACTCAATCCATACCCGACCGCCAGCCAGAGGTTCGTCCACGCGGACTGGCCCGCGATTTCGCGGACGGGACCCTGCAGCGAGCGGCGGTAGGTGGAGAGGACCTCGGACTCGATCGCGAGCGCGTGCACGGTTTTGATTGATGTCACTGCCTCGACGGTGATACCGAGGGAGCGCGCGAAGGCGTCGTTGTGCCGCTCTTCGTAGCGGGAGAGGGAAGTGACGCGCATCCAGCCTGCGCCGAGGAGCAGCGGGACAACTGAAAGACAGACGAGGGCGATGCGCCAGGCGATGATATGGGTCATAACAATGGCGGCCACGAGGTTGACGAGGATGCTAAGGATCGTGCAGACGACGGAGCCGGTCAGGCCGTTGAGGGCATTACTGTCCTTGACGATGAGGGAAAGCAGGCCAGAAGGAGTGCGAGCCTCGTGCCATTCAAGCTTCTGTTCAAGGATGGAGCGCAGTGAGAGCACGCGGACCTTGTAGATGAGTTGCTCGGCGATCCAGCCGAAGAGCGACCAGCTGACGAGGTTGGCGAAGAACTCGATAATGGCGAGGACGAAGAACATGAGACCCCAGAACTCTCCGGCGTCGCGGATTGACTGTGCGGTTTCGCACGAGCTGAGTTTGCCGACTACGTTACCGAAGATTACTGCAGAGGCACAGAATGTACCGCCGATGACGACGGCGCCGGTGACGGCGATGAGGAGAGCGAGGGAGTACGGACGGAAGAGCGACGCAACGGCCTTTGTTGTTGAGCTGGTCGAGCGTTCCGTGGTGACTGGCTCCTCCTCCGTGGGCTTTTCCTTTGGGGCTGTGGCAGAGCCTTCGTCGTCTTGCACGGAGGTTACTTCTGTGATCTTCTCCTTCTCCAGAGTGGTGCTATCTAGCGAGGGTCGAGCAGAGGAAGAGGCATCGCCGTTGTCCGCGGAGGCGTTGACATTGAGGTTCTGTAGACGAACCAGCTCCGCATAGGCGCCGTCTGCAGCGAGAAGTTCCGAGTGCGAGCCCTGCTCGATGAGCTTTCCCTGGCGCATGACAATGATGTTGTCTGCGTTGCGAATAGTCGAGAGCCGGTGAGCGATCGTGACCATGGTCCGGCCAGCAGCCGCGGTTTCTAATGCCTGCTGCACTCGTATTTCCGTGGCCGAATCAAGCGACGCAGTCGCCTCGTCCAGGATCAGAATCTGCGGGTTCTTGACAAGCGCACGAGCTATTGAGATACGCTGCTTCTGGCCACCACTAATGAGGTTTCCACTGGCACCAACCATGGTCGCAAACCCGTGGTCGAGCTTGCTGATAAAGTTGCTTGCATCCGCCAGACCAGCTGCGGTTTCAACAAGGGATATAATCTCACGGACCTGCTCACGCTCAGCAGAATCGCCGACTCTAGCTTCAATCGCATCCGCGAGCGTTTGTCCCTTCTCACGAATAGCTGTCGCGATGTCCTCGAGCGCGCTGCCCTTTAGCACATCCACAAGATGCGCATGTGCCGATGAATTCACCAAACCGAGCGCAATATTCTCCAAAATCGACCGATCAAGCAGACAAGGTTCCTGCTGCACAAGACTAATCGCGCTGCGCAAGAACCTCACATTCAAAGACTTGACATCATGCCCGCCGACAAGCACCGTCCCTTCCTCAGCATCATAGAATCGAGTAATGAGGCCTGCAACGGTACTCTTTCCGCTGCCAGACAACCCAACAAGCGCCGTCTGTTTTCCAGCGGGGATACGAAGTGACAGATCCTGGAGAATAGGCTTATCGGGACGAGAAGGGAATCGGAAGGAGACGTTGCGCAATTCCACGTCTGGCGTGATTTCGCCTGCTGGGATGAGGCCAACGTCTTCAGCTGTTCCGTCGATAGTCGAGGGCCGCTCAATGTCCCTTTCAAGTTTCTTGAACGCGACACTCGCGGCGTCGAAGCTCTGCAGGAACGGCGCAACTTGGCTGAGAATGAGCGATGCGTCGACGAGGACCAGAATCACGGTATACGTGTTTCCAACAGTAACACCGGACCCGCCCTCCTCGACGGCGTTGGCAATCTTTGTCGAACCCTGCCAAAAGGCCAACGCATTAGCCGAGAACGCAATGAAATAAAGCAGTCCCGCCTGCGTAGCCGTCGCAATGGACTTGCGGATCCCAGCAACGCGTGCGGGACCTAAGTGATCAATAAACCTCGACTCGAGCCGCAGGTTCGCGGAAAACGCATGCACAACCATGGTATTAGTAAACGCCTCCAGCGCAACCGACGACGCACTCGCCATGCACTCGAGCGCCTTTCCAAAGTACTTGCGCACAAAGTACCCGCCCACAAGCGACATGCCCAGGTACGCGGGGACAAGCGAAACGAGCATCCCCGCGAGCCTGGCATCCTTGATAAACGCCACAACATACGACGTAATGAAGAATGCAATACTATTAAGCACAATGCCGACCTTCTCCGACGTCCCCTGCTGAATCGTCGAGATATCCCCCGTGATTCGCGACGACGCCTCACCCGGCGCAAGCGTATCGAAAAACGTCGCATCCTGCCTCAACAAACTATGGAAATACCGCTCGCGCAGCCGCTGCGCCAGCCATTCGCCCGAGAGGTTCCAGCAAAAGACGTACAGGTAGATGAGGACGAAATACGCGATGCCGATGTAGACGATCTGCAGGACTTTGTCGTTGATCCCGGACTGATATTCGTCGGCGTTGGCGGGGGTTGCGTTGCAGGTGGACGAGTTCATGTCGTCGACAAGTTGGCCGAAGACGATGGCCATTATGGGGAAGGGGACGCCCGAGGCGATTGCGGAGAGGAGGCCGCCGAGTAGGAAGAAGAGTTCCTTGGGCGAGGGGTTTGCGTAGACGAGGAGGCGGATGAAGGTTGTGCATCGTGAGAGGAGCTGTGAAGGAAATTAGCATGGTGTAGTGAGCGAGGGTAGCAAGCGCAGCGAGCTCTTAAAGCTCACGAAGCCACCTGGGAGCAAAAGTTCGGAACGAGGGGAGGGAAACAAACGCTCGCCTTCCCAGTCTCATCTTTCCCCCCCATCGTTGCGAAATCGACAGCTAGTCGGAGTAGCACAGGCAACACAAATTCAATCCAAACTTGAAGTTCAATGAAAGAAACCTGAAGAACAAAAGAAGACGAGGCGAGAGGGAGGGGAAAGTCACGAAACTTGAATTAGCGAAAGAAGGGCAGTGGATCAAATAACTAGTCGGCAGTCCACCACCTTTAGTGACCTGGTCTGGGTCCGATTTTATAAGCGAAGTCGGACGATCTTATCTGATGGCGGCGTTGTATATTACCGCTTAGTGACAATACTGCAGGACTGCTGTGGGCAAACCCCCACTGGCTGAAATTGCATGTGGTTGACTTTGATGATCGCTTTGGGTAGGGATCTGCGGGCGTGGAGGGTCTTGTATCTGATAAAGGCCAGGGGGTTGAGATTGGGTTTGAACGGCCATTCAGTTGAAAGTTTTATGATCTTTGTTTGATGGTTTAGTAGGGGTCTTAGGTTTTACCTATACTTCCTACTCGGCAGTCCCTGACACAAATCAAGAGATGCCCTGAATTTCCTCGGGACAGTGATAGAGTTTGGCGTGGGACGGAACCTAACGCCACTTTATGCAGGACGGAATAGCCTTCCCGAGCCTGTCGGCCTCCTGCTCTGGTGATTCATAGCGGTTACTCGCGAGGTTTTCCTTGGACCGACCTAGAGTCTAGATGATCGTTCCTTGCAGGGTAGTACTACTGATGGGCGTCGTGAGCTGAAGTTACGGGGCTGTCAAATATATCGTTCCATGCAATAATATCCTGTTGTGCAGGAATCTGAAAGCTATTGTTCTTTTCCTGTAGAAATTGGTTTACATACAGGCCTACCAAACTAAATAGTTCACTATATTTCATATAGTCGATATTATGTTTATGAATATAAACCCAAGAACATATTGAAAGACCCGAGCAACTCTAATCTTAAACCGAAGAAAACTCAATGAAGAAGACGACCCCAAGCCCGAGAAGGAATACTAAAGCCAGCAGAATAACTCCCAACCAAGCACGAAGAAATACCTAAATCTGCACCTTTTCGACCTCGACCTCCGTCTCAACCACCTTCTCAATCATCTTCTCAGCCTCCTTCTCAACCCCTACAGCCTTCGGCATCGGCGTCCCAAGCTGCATCCACTTGTAGCAAACTACAAAACCACGTTAGCCCACACACACACCAGGGAAAAGTACGAAGGGAGAAACATACTCATAAACCCCAAATCCCCCTGGAAAAACAACTCCCTCGTCTCCTCCCCACTCTGCAACCCCATACTCGGAAAATACCCAACCGCACTCTTCCCCAATGCAAGCCCCATGCCCGGCTCAACCTCCGCCAGCTCCACAAACTCCGGCGGCGTCCCGTACACTCGACTCATCATCTTCTGATGGATATTCCTCGCCGCATAGTGGCCCTGGTGCATGGCGGCCCCCGCGCGCTTGATACCCGTCCACCGCGCGACGTCGCCGGCGGCGTAGTGGTCGGCTGCGTTGGGGACGGAGCCGTCGTCGACGAATTGGAGGGTTGGTTCGATGCGGATGTAGCCCTGGTCATCGCAGATGGACTCGGGGTTTGGGAGGTAGGAGGGGGCGGTCGGGGTGAAGCGGGAGACGGCGTTGATGACGTGGCTGGTTACGAGGGTTTGGCCGGTTGAGAGGGTGAGTGTGTATTGGGGGTGTTCGTCTGGGGTGATTTGTTGAGGCTCGGAGATGTCGATGACGCGGGCGCCGAGGATGGTGGAGATTTTGTTCTCGTGGAGGATTTCGAGGGCTCGCGCGGCGAACTCATCGGGGAGGGATTCGGAGGAGAGGAGGCGTGTTCGTGAGTGGACTAGGGTTACGGGGATTTGCGGGTGGAGCATGTTTATCTCGGCGGCGATTTCGATGCCGACGGCGCCTGTATTTTTTATTAGATGGGTGTACTGTGTGGTGGGAGTGAATGATACGCACCACCACCGATAACGACAACGCCCTTGGACGCGTCTCGGACGTTGGCGAGGTTCTCTGCTGTCTCAGCGAGATACTTCTCCCTCTTAAGAGATCGTGGAGCACTAGGGTACTCGCGCTGCAAGCCCGTAGCTGTGATGAGGTAGTCGTAGGATTCGTGGATGGCTCCTTTGGCCGTGGTGATTGTGGCAGTCTTGGACGCGCAGTCGACCGTCTCAATTGAGCCCTGGACTGTGCGGATCTCTGGTGTTTGGAGGGCAGCGAGGTCGGTGTATTTAGTCCAGAAGGCTTCGGCAAACTTTTGTGAAGACAGGGCAAGGGGTTGGCCGATTAAGTGGTCTACACGTTGTCAGTATAGGTGTAGATATAGAAGCTGAGATTGGGAGACATACAGAATCCATCTCGCGGATCAACAATAGTGACCTGCACTGGAATCACCTTCCCAGTCCCATTATCTGCCTCATCAATTGAGAACCGATTCTTGCGTCCGTGGCAGAAATCAACGAGGTTCAGTGCCGCGGAGAGACCGGCGTACGAGCCGCCGAGAATGAGCACCTTGAAGGGTGTCTGTGGTTCTTCGAAGCTAGGCATGTTCACAAGTCAATTCAACCAGCTCAACAAAACCAAACGACGACGATTCTCAAGAGCAGAAAGCGACAAAAACAACAAAAATAACGCAGAGAAACCAAGGACTTCGCGCAGTAATAGAGGGGAGCGCGCGAGTCACGAGTGGACTGAGTCGGCTCGAAACGGATGTTATCAATCTATCCGGGCCCCACTGGTAATGCGCCAAGCGTGGTACAGCTGCAATACGTACCGATACAGCGGCCCACTCGAATAGTACGACGCACCAAGTTGTCCCGCACTAGTACGAGGAACTCCCACGCTCCGCGAGTTTGGCGTGTTTGGTTGCCGTCGGCGGTCTGTTCGCAGGATACTGGAGGCTGCCATGTTGCCGTGTGTCTGTGTTTGGTGAATGTGTCGCCGTGTCTCGAGGGGTGGTTGACTTTGGTCTCTGCGGAAGGGAGAGCATTGTGGCCGATGTGCGGATTGGAGACGCCAAGGTTGGGGTTGGCAATGGGTTCGGATGCGGCCAATAAGATGGCGTAGGCGAGTTGGAGGTCGAGGCATCCTTGCTGTGATTTCTGGTCAATGCTGCGCTCCTTTTCGGTCCGCTGATTGCATGCCAGGACTGGGAGCGAGGAGATATATGACTGGAACCTGAATGCGCCATATTTCTCCATCTCCACCCGATCCACTGCTACAGGGTCTCGTATCCGTAGGTGCCGTCACTCTTGGAACTTGATGGTGTTTGATGTGCGTACTTGGTGCGAATCATGGTTGACTGCCACATCATTGCTGGCACTCTCAGTGTTATGCCAAAGAGGAACAATCCTCACAATTCCAGTTTAAACATGCAGTCGGCGGCTGATGCCGACACTCCTTCACCAAGCCCATATTAAACAAGCGTCAAGCCTCGACCCAAAGCCAGCTCTGGACACCCTAAAACGCGGAGTCGCACCGCGCTGCCCTCTCGTGACTTCAAACTTGACATCAGTAGTGTCTCCATAATCGAGGCGCAATGAACCGCAAGACCATCAAATCAACCCCTCGCACACTGACTCCTCCTTGAGTGCTTGTCATGACAAACCGCCAAGACACAAATGAAGAGTTTTCCTGGGTGACTTCTCCTTGCTCCGTCGGAGAAAACACGGTCGAGTGGGGCTCAGATTATCAGATTGATAGTGTCCGGTCTCGGATCAATGATTTAATTACGCGATTACGCGCATTTCCGTGGTTCTGACGCAAGGACGCGTAATATTACAGATCAGATAACTTCAAGGGGGCATCTGATAAGATTGAATTATTGATCGATCGCCTGCCCAACGCTTCAGGGGCCGAGGCCTCAGGCTAGACTCGTCTCCTTCTCTGCTGGAATAATGCTGGGCTGGATTGACGGAATTCCGAGTGTCCGAAGGATGGAGCTGCGTGTGGATCCGAGTCACATCGTAGCCACATAACCGGGACAGGAGCTGAAGCTGTGTACATTAATGGAACTTCAGAGTTCCAGGATAATGGAGAGTCGACGTATCGTTTCTCTTCGCTTCTTTTTCTTCTCTTGCTTCACTTGCTACTACTAGATGATACTGACGGTAGCAGAAACCAGATCCCTGGATTCGCTCATTGTCGCATCTGCCGATATCACTTTCCAGACTTGTATTCTACGCATTCGTATTTATTGCAGTAGCCAAAGACATAGCGCATCTCGAAAGGGAGTCAAGGCGACGACTGGGCAGCCTTAACCGGCCCGGGCTTCCCCCCTGCGCCCGCCCCAGCCTAATCCATCTGGTGGCGGATTATCCTTACATTGATGAGTTCTTCATTCAGAAGTTGGCTCATTGAGGCGCTGGACTTTTTCGAGACTGGAGTCCCTCTTTCAAATAGGTGCTGACAGATTATGCTTCCTTAATTGGACAGGTTGGCTGTTCTCTGAGCTCACTTCTCCATCGATCGTTGTAGATGAGCAATCTGCGAGTCCGCTTTATCCAGCGGAAGTTCATGACATGCTGCTTGGAATCGTGGCATCAAGTAGGAATGCCTGAGAAGTACGCTTTAAAGCACTGATTTGCCTTGTGTGTAGTCACCGAGAAGTTTTCGGCAGAGGAGAGCAGGACCCTAGGCTATATTCACATAGCATATGGTATCCCACTTCCACCGTTCAAGCCACTGATAAGTGGTCGGCTCCAGGCCGAAGACGCAAATTCTATACTCCTATATAAAACATCACAGAACCAAAGGCTAAGCTATATACAATGGCCAAACTCCCTGTTCATCGTTTCCACCATAGAACACGCTACAGCTTTGAGGCCCTATACCTCGCATATTCCGGCGCAACAATCTGCTTCCCCCTATCGAGACCACCAACCCGATCCCTCAACGCCCTCTTCAGGATCTTCCCGGACGGGCTCTTCGGAATCTGCTCGATCCAGATGATGCCGCCACGGAGGTGCTTGTAGTGCACCACTTTGGCTTTCAAATGCTCCATAATAGCCAGGGCAACTGTAAAGCTATCACCCGGATCTGTATCTGCGGTCGATTGTTCAGTCTTCGTCTTCTTTCGCACGATATATGCCAATGGAACCTCTGTCTGCATCTCTTCATTCCACACCCCAATTACCGCCGCGTCGCTTACAGCGTCATGATCAAGTAGGATGTCTTCGAGCTCCGTCGGCGCGATCTGGAATCCCTTGAACTTAATCATATCCTTTGCGCGGTCTGTGATGTGCAGATTCCCCAGCTCGTCTTCGAAGCCGATGTCACCGGTCTTGAACCAGCCGTCGTGGGTTAGACAGGCGGTTGTTGACGCCGTGTCGTTCATGTAACCGTTGAAGACCGTGGGGCCGCGGATCCAGAGCTCGCCTTCGATGTTGGGAGGGGCGGAGGAGGTATCTGCGAGGGCGATCTTGGACTCGATTCCTGGGATCGCGGGGCCGTTGGAGCCGATAGTAGTTTGCCATGTGGTCCATCTCTGCTCACTGGGTTAGAATGGTGCGTAAGAAACGCGAGGCGAAGAGCACGGTACCTGGATGTGCGATACAGACGTCGTCTCAGATAGTCCATATGCCTGTCGTACAGGAATTTTCCAGCGATTATACGTCTCGTGGATCAGAGCTGCCCCCAACGGCGCTCCTCCGGATGTGATCATGCGCAACGACGCCAGGTCAGATTGGTTGATAGTGTGGCTTTTGGCTAAATGAAGGACGACTGGCGGCGCGACATATACATGGGAGATTGCATATTCTCGAATCAACCGGCAGAACGTTTGCAAATCAAACTTCTCCATGAAGATGGTCGTAGTGCCAAGCCAGACGGGGAGATGGACGAGGCAGATCAGGCCTACTCTGTCAGCGACGAGGAATTTTACGGTAAGGAGAGACTTACCGTAGATATGATAGGTTGGTAAGACTGCAAGGGTGCGGTCTTTCGTCCAGCTCACATGCGGGCCCTCTATTGACGCTTGTAGGACGACGTCGGCAACCACATTTCGGTGGGAGACCATAACGCCCTTGGGAAGGCCAGTGGTTCCAGACGAGTAGACCAAAAAGGCAACGTCGTCCGGAGTAACGTCAACAGGCTGAGATTCGGTCAACGAAGCTTCTCCAAGACTCTGTATAAACTGATCAACGGTCGCAAGCCGATTATTACCGCTTGTCTCGCCCAGCACCAAAACCCGCTCGCTCGGAAGATTGGCTAGTTTTGCTGCCTCGAGCGCAGTTGACAAACAGCTCGGATGCACCACAATCCCCTTCGCCTGGCTCCGAAGTAACTGCTGCTCCAAATCTCGCGGAGAAAGTCCCGGATTAACCGGTGCAACGACACCCCCGTTATAATGGCATCCCCATGTCACGAGCGGCGTTTCGATGCAATTCGGGGACATCAGGACCAATACATGGCCTTTTTCCCAGGACCATTGGGATCGTAGAGCTAGACCGAACTGTTTTGAAAGGTTTCGGAGGTCATTGTAAGTGTAGGAATTGTTCGACGCGCCATCTTGCAAAATCACTGCCACGAGATATATAGTTAGTGATACGGCTCGTACACGAGGTAGCAGAAGGGAGGTACCGTGACTACCAGGAAACGGTAAACTCTGGCGCTGAAAGAGCAGCTGCCAGATGCCGACTTCGGGGACTGACGGGCTTGACATGCTGTGCGTGGGAAAATGGGGGAAAACGTCCCCGAGGAAAGAAGAACTGAGAGCTTCCCCTGCCTCCGCGCTGCTCCCCGCTCCCCGCATCTCGGTTGTCTGCAACTACCGAGGAATCGGACTTGGCTCTTGCCACTACGGAGTACTTTCTGTTGACGCTTACTAAAGAGGCTTGGAATATGCTTAATTATGCTTATCATTCACAATTCGACAAGATAATGCTGCTGCTCTCTGCACAAGTCGCTACTGCCTCCCCTTCCCATGTGAGGGGACAAAGTCCCTCGCAATATCCACTACCGTTTCCCAAGCTGTAACCTCTGGATCCGAGTGAATCTCCTTCTCCCTCTTCGTAAGCTCATCTCCAGGGTCTTTGAAAAAGTCCTCCACGCCTAGCCGTTTCTCAGAAGACCCTGAAAGTCCTTTTCATTTGATAATGTCAAAGGCAGTCCGCATTGCAAGGTAAGTCTTGATCGTTTCAAGCCACTTGTCGCTAACAGAAGCTTTACTGATAGGGACGTCGCTCGATCTGGTCGCATTGTATATCGCATTCAGCCTCACACAGTGGATGATTAGAGCTGCCAGGCTGGCTGCAAGAGCGGTTGCGACTGAAGACCCGGTCATTGGCGTCATGGGCCCGTCGCTTCCCACTAGGTCGTTGCTGTGCGGTAACACATTATGACCCGGCAGGATATGATCAACATCGTCGCTCACCCGTGGATGCGCAAGTCCATCTACGGTCGCCGCACCAATTCGGAACATGTTTGTAATACTTTTTGCATCCGAATGGATAATAGTCGTTCGTCTTGTGGTGGCCGATGTCCGGGGCCGAGCAAAACAGAAGAGGCATCCTTTTGTCCTTTCGTTCCAGGCCTTTTGAATGCGATTGAAATGATCACGAGAGTTGGAGCTGGTGCTGTCTTCCTCCACGGTCCACGACATTGACACGATATCAAACTCTTGCTCAACGGCATACTCGACCGCCTAGAGGGTTGCAAGTTAGCAGCCGCCATGACGAGAGAGCTTGTTCTTTCTTCGACATACATTAGCCGCGCTCTTTGCGGTAAAATTGGCCTTCTCGTCCAGTCTTTGCATCACATCAATCTTGCACACAAAGATCTTCACGGCAGGGCAGATCCTCTGTATGAAGTACGCCATTCGAGTACCATGTTCGGTGGCGGATCCATGGAACGGAGGGTCTGGAGCTCCAGCGACTGATCCTCCGTAGTCACCAAATTCGCTCGTTCATCGTTTCCGCTTTTGGGCCTTGTTCAAGTCTCTGGGCTCCTGTCTTTAACTTCCCCACGAGGCCAGTCGTCGGACCGTCAAACGTGTGATGCTCCACGGCCATGGCTCTATGGCCTTTGTGAGCGGCATTCAATCAGACTCTGAATTCGCGAACCCGCTCTTCAATATATCTTGCCGAATCAAGAGGCCTCTGTGTACCGTAAATGAGGGTTCACCATGCAGGAAATGAAAGGGATAGACCCACCTCGGCTTCATAGATATGGACAGTGGTAAGATGTTTCAGCATCGCCAGCCCCTCTGGCTCACTCCAAGCCCGGAGGACAACGTTGCTGCCGCTCCAGCGTAGATGAATCTCATGAAGGTTGCTCCAATCTTTACCCACTTCCTGCAGAACAGCGGGGCACAGGTCGAGCTTTTGCCAGTCGAGTATCTCCACTTGGAAAGGCTTGAGCGCTTTGATGATTGCCTCGTCGCTGTGTGGCCGCTTGCTGTCTTCGGCTACCATGACCTTGATTATGTACCTTACCTGCTTTTCCTGCAGCCAGCCGAAGAACTTGCCCAGGTCACCTCTTCCGGTCGCTCGGTTTCGCACGATTCGAGGGCCTTTGTCCGGCTCAGCAAGGTCGAACCGTCCGAAGTTCACGTACTGAAGAGTCCTGTCAAACGACATGCTGCTGTAGCCTTGTTTGAAGTCTTCAAAGTCGATCGTTACTGATTTACGCGCGGTCGGTGGGAAACTGAAGCAGAGAGATTTGTCTTGGCCGGTTAACAGGATCCCAAACGCCATAACACGTCAAGTACTTACTGTCAGGATTATTCCCAAACAAGAACCTCTCTGCATCATTGTGTCTGCGCTTCGGATACCCTGTATTGGCCTTGCTGGGAACAAAGGTGCTCCGAAGAAAGTGAAGCTTCAGCAAATCGGCGACTTTCTCCCAGTAGATGCTGGGCCGATCGCCTGGATCTTGGACTTTCTTCTTGCTCTTGCTCGGTTTCGTGTCCCTTGATGGGCTTGTGGCACGCCGATGGTCTGATCGGTGACGGCCCTCGTTCGGCAGAGGCTGACATGCTCTTGAGCTGGCGCGGGAAAGAGCGTCCTCTGGCTGAAACGTTGGTCGGCGTCTCGGCTTCGCCATCAGGAGAATGTGACTACCGTCAGTCCAAGTGGTGTCTTTCTCCTTGACCGGCGAAAGAAGGTCACGCTCTTTCCCGGTCTCTTCCAATCTAAGAACGGACTGATAGTCCCTTTGCTTGCTCTCAATATCAAGCTCTATGTTGGGTAGAGATCTACCAGCTCTGCCAGAATCATCAAGCCCTCTAGTGCGGTGGCTCACTTTGGCGAAACTCGAGCTCTTCTTTTTATGCGACCCTCTCCGCGTGGAGAGATGGTATTCAAAGACGGACTTGCCACTGTTATCGTATTGATCCAAGGCCCCTTCACCGCGCTCTAACAAGGCCTCGATTACCTTGATTTGGCCAGCATTGCATCGCTTACCGTCTACAGCGTAGTGCAAAGCTGTCCTGCCATGACTGTCGTGAGCTTCAAGTGTGTGCCTGGAGGCTATCTTGATAAGCTGCATGGTAACATCGAAATCCAGCCCTCCTTTCACAGCCGCAATGATGCAATTCGATTTACTGTCTCCGACACTTAGTATTTGACCGTCCAAAGCAGTAGGACCTAGGGCCCGCTGTAGCGTGTCTACCAGAACATCGCTCGCGAGGATTCTTTTCAGAAACCAGACATGCTTGTTGCTCACAGCAGTGCATAGAGCTTCCACCCCCTTATCTTCCTCGAGCAGTTTGGGGTAATCACTGGCAAGACGGCCTATAGCCCAAGCACCCGCGTGCTCCTGGTCCTTTTGACTATTCTCAACCATCCAGTGAAGGATGTTCTTGAGCGCTCCTGAGAGGTAATTGGCAACGTTTTGCCAATGGGCCGAGGTACTCCTTATAGGTCGTATAGAGCTTCGTCTGCTCGCCCCATTCATTTTGTTGGAAATTCGATCAATGAAGTCTCTCTTGTGCCTCGCGATTTCGTTCGCTTCCTGCCGTTGGTCCTTGATCCTACTGGGCGGTGCTTCGTTCGTTTCTTCGTTTCGGCCGTCATCGTGCTCGGATCCACTCTCAAAGTATTGCTCTTCGTCACTCGCTGGGTTGCTTACTCCGGTCTCGTTTCCGCTGTCCATTGTATCTTGAAGCGACATGGCGCTTGGTATTAGATCCGTGATCTCGAAAATAGTTTCGGAAATGACAGATTCAATTCAGAAAAGCCTGCGAAATGACCACAGAAGCACAAATGCACTGCTAACCGGGGGAATGCTAATCGCCAACCGACAATCTGACAAACTGATGGAAGTGTTACCAGCGTCGGGACCAACCAATGCGTCTCCTACCAGGACGACATATGATTCGCATTTTGATGCGGGTAACAATTCGCCAAACGCCCCAAAGACTCAGCTGATAGCGCACGCCATTCTACGGCTTCCACGACCAAGATCTCTGTCTGACCAGTGCCCTTGTCGCACAGCGTGCAGACGAATCAGCTGTGTTCCCTCTCGACGAGAATAAATCTATCAAGCCCCTCGGAGAGCTCATGTCTGACATTTCAATTCGGACGAGATTACAATTATGCCTGCTAGTGGGAGGCAGAAGTGAGGCAGCGCAAGGCGCATATAACCCTCAAAGGCTTACAGAGGCCCGACTGATTTTCAAGCTCGTGTTGCGAATCCTTAGCTCAAAACAATTGCGAGTATCCCCGACATGTCCGACGAGGAAGCGTATGTCTCGGACGCGGAGAGGGGGGTGGCTTTCGCTGAGGATTCTCCAACACTGAATATCCCCATTTACCCTGCCGGCGACAATGCCGGTCTGCACCTCCAGAATGACCCAAATGACCAATAGCAGCGAGAGGCTATCATCCAACGCAAAGGGCGCGTGGACATTCGCTGCGAACATGTCGGCATTGCCCACGGGTACCACTCCGATGACTGCGACGACTTGTACAGCCTGATTATACTGCAGTTTCGATTCGATCCGAATGGCATCGCGGCTCGCATCAAGGAAGCGTTTACGACGATCAAGTTTGCGGCAGAAACACCTGCCGATCGGGACCCCGTGGTCGAGAAAATATATCCAGCTGGGCTTGTATTGAATTGAGACTGTGTGTGAAGGCGGGAATTGCGTCTTGATAAGGATATCGACATTGAAGTGAAGCGCACCGCTGTTGGCTAAAAGAGCATACCTCAAGAGACATATGTGCTCCAGGAGCAGTAGTAGTCAAACGCGCCATCGGATCTCGTTTTTCTAGGCCTGCTAGGTGTTCAAGGCTTGGTAGCCCACTTTTAGGTTAGGGCTAATCGGTAAAGGACCTCAACCTTGAAGAGGGACACTTTCCCTTGAGCCAGAAACACCAATAATGCCATCATAAACGAACCCCAGCAGATCTCAAGAAGTTTTTCACTGTGGTTGCAGCTCGAGGCAAAGACTGTATGGCCCAAGACTCAGGCTGACCTTGTACGCTACGGCGTGCGGTGGGGCTACGATGGTATCATCACCAAAGAGGATGGCAAAGAGTACCACAAGTTTCAACTCCAGCCAAAGGCCGGCAAGATACCCTCGACAATCAGAGAATGGCGCGAAAAGAACGGCGGCTCCCACGCAGTGATGACCACGATGTATATCGAAACAGGAACCGAGCTGGATGAGGAAGTTTTCGAGACTTCTCTGAAAGCCGCTTTAGAAGGAATCTAAGTGGCAACGCTTACAATGACTTGGGCTGGCATCAATATGCGTCATTTGATAATTGAAACCTCGAAGCGGAGTTGGAAGTGGAAGTATGCAGAGCAGCAGTTGGGAAAGTTGGGAAGGGCGCCTTATGGCATGTGATCTAGATCGTTCTGCCCTCTGGGATTACCTTTTGCTTAAGGACTTAGTTCAATTTGATATCTTCGTCAATTTGCACCTGTGAGCTCCCTAGTAGACTAACAAGTTACTACTCACGTGACTTTATTAGCGCCATGGGGCTCCAGTAACACAGCAAATGCCTGTTGCAACCTGATTCTCCCATGCACAGGCTTTCTCAATGGCTACAATGAGACTCTACTCAATACGTTACTCTACTCTTTCCAACACCATCAAATAGGCGTTACTCATCTTTCGACTCCCCTAGATAATGGTCACTCCGCGGCTGGTTCCCCAGAGGATTCCAATTTCCGGCTGGCGCAGTCTCCTGCTCCACAGGCGATCTTACTCAATGGGTTTGTACACAATCAACAAAGCCTCGCAATCATCTTGTACCTAACACTTGTACAGGCACCATGGCACAACCGGATCTTTTCTCCTATACCTCGGGCAGATATATTTACAATGAGGATGCTCGATTACGCGAGCGCTACGTCGAGTTCGACCCTGGCGCCCTTTTACGAGAAGTGGAAAAACACATTGGCCTCGGTCATGGACGTGCTTCACGCATAACCAAGCTGGCCGAAGGGGACTACAATCGAGTATTCCAGGTAACGATGGATGACGGCTTCGACTGGACCCAAATATTACGCGACTGCTAGTGAGGCTGCCACCCTCACCTACCTCCATTCCAAAGGTATTCCAGTACCCAGAGTATACGGATATTCCTCCTCAGAAAACAATGGAGTATATCCTCATGGAAAAGGCCAAAGGCATACCTTTAGATACTACATGGTTTACAATGAGCAAGCGCGATCGGCTCACTCTCGCCTCTTCATTCGTGGATATTGAGAAACGGCTTTTTGAAATCCCCTTTGGGTCCATTGGAGGTATCTATTTCAAGGGAGACGTTCCTTCTCACCTCCAAGCCGCGTTGCTTCAAGCCGACGCTGACCAGGATACTGCCCCGGAAACATTCTGTATTGGGCCAACTGCTGGCTCAATGTTTTGCTATGGGAAGCGGGCTGGGATGGATCTATATCATGTAAGTCACCAGGTTATATGTACTCTTGTACGGTCTCTTACTGGTACAGGGAAAAATCCCACCGAGTATCTCCGTTCGATCGCAGAAAGGGAGATCGAATGGACGCAGCGATTCGGAAAATCACTTGAGCTGGACTTTCCGCACAATGCTGTATTTCCAGGCGAGAAGCTTCCTGAAGATTACCTCGCTCTTCTGCACAAGTATCTCACATTGGTACCGTACCTCCTTCCCAAAGACGGTGATGGTCCCCTGAATTCGCCCACCCTTCGCCACCCAGGTATGCCATACCCTACCTGATGGCTAAAATCATCTAACGGTCCAGATCTAAACCCGTACAACATATTCGTCTCTCCGGAAACTGGCGCCATATCCTGCATCATTGACTGGCAGCACACAATCATCGAACCACGTCTTCTAGCTGCCGGCTACCCTCGTGCATTTGAAAGTCCAGACCCTGAACAGCCTCCCAAGCTCGAGGAACCATCACTTCCATCAGATATCGAGACTCTACCCAATGACGCAAAACTTGAGGCCGAGAAACTCTACCGCCGGCGCCTCCTCTTCTACTACTACCGTATATTCAACGGCAACTTTAACAAACCTCATCTTGAGGCCCTCCGTGATCCCATCTTGCTCCTGCGTCAGCACCTAGTCGATCGAGCCGGCAGACAATGGACGGGAAACTTGATCACTCTCAAAGGAGCGCTGATCCGTATGGCGGAGTACTGGCCGCGACTACCTGATACAGCGGGTGTACCGTGTCCTGTCCAGTTCGACGAAGCAGAGTTAGCCGAATTCCACGAGCAGGAGGAGCAGCTGTTCGCGTTAAACAGTCTAGTTAACTACTGGCTCGACCGAGTGGGCGGCGTGAGTGAAGAGGGCTGGGTAAGCAATGATCGCTATGACGAAGCCGTTCGGAATATCGCCGAGCTGAAGGCGGAGCTTATCGCTACTGCGGAGGGGGATGAAGAGGATCTACGGCTGTGGGAGAAGGGGTGGTTGTTCAGAGATCGTGAGGAGAGTGATTGATGCGATCCGTTGTAGGATTGGCTTACCAGTGCTACTAAGAAGACCCCCCAACAGGAAGCAACATGGCTTGTTCGTGGTAGGTTCCCCGACAACAGCTACCTCTGAGTGACGTCTCGCGCAAGATCCTGGATACTTATGTTGGCTTTGTGCTTCCCACGAGAAGATCAAGGATCTCATCTCACCTCACCGTCGAACCGTGTGGATACTGAGTTCCGCCGCTTCTTTTCCAACAAGCATCACTCATTAAATAATCGAGAACAAATCATATCATTCCTTTTAGCCTTTTCCCCACTGCTTCCGTCGCACCCCGTGCTGGGGGACCGGTATACGAATTGCGGACCTGGTCTCCAAATGAGCTCCCCCACAGCTAGCTAGCCCTACACATCCCGCACTGAGACTTTAACTTCCGACAATCTTTCAATGCATTTATTCATTCTCTACACCGTTCGCCTCCAAATCCCCATCGCAATTCTACCGACAAGAGGCCAAGTCCAAGATGCAACCTCAGCACGCACATCACGTCACAGCTCACCAAAATCCATGACTAGCGCGATCCTTCCAGGCACCACCAATCCAGTCCAATCCAATCCAAAAGTACACTTTTTTCCCCTCGTAAACAACCCGAGCTGAGGCGCTAAAAATCCAGTCTTAAATTGACCGTGCCTTCCCCTCCCTGCGGCTGAAATGCCCCAAAAATCTTATCAATCATCCGGTCATCCGAGCCGTCGGTTGGTCGTCTTCAAAATGCGGCTCTGTCTCTGTGTAGCCATACTCGCAGGGCTCGTCCCCTGCCGAGCCCTAAGTTTTCAGGGTATAGATGAGGATCAGATTCCTCTGGGGGTTCCACAAGGCGGCAATCGGGATGACGACTCGAATCCGCTCACCGAGGCGTTCGACGACAAGGTCGAGCATGTCCTCGAGCATTATCATGTTCCCGGGCTCGCGGTTTCGGTTGTTAGGGGTGGGAAGACGTATGCTAAGGTACCACCTATCCTATCCCCCCTCCTAAGAAACCATCCGTTCATAATCACTCCCCATTCATGCGAAGAAAAGAAACACTACTAAAACCCCACACAGGGCTACGGCACCTCCAACCTCTCCACCACCCCACCATCCCCCGTCACCACAGACACGCTCTTCTTCGCCGGAAGCACAACAAAAGCGCACACGGCAGCCGCCATCTCCCTCCTCGTCGCGAACAACACCCACTACCCGCACATCCAATGGTCCACACCACTCCACGACATCCTCCCCGAATTCATCCTCGCAGACCCCTACGCGACGACGCATTTGACCCTCGTCGATATCCTCTCGCATCGCTCGGGACTCCCAAGGCACGATCAGGTCCTGCTGCAGGATATCAGCATCGAGGATGTGGTGCACCGGTTAAAGTACCTCCCGTTGACGGAGGAGGTTCGGACGAGCTGGCAGTACTGCAACCTCATGTACGTCGTCGCCGCGCATCTCATCGAGAAGACGTCGAACCAATCGCTCTACGAGTTCTTCGGGGAGAATCTCTGGGAGCCGCTGGGTATGCACTCGACATACCTCGACGTCGCGCCCGCACGGCGCGATAACCGCGATGTAAGCGAGGGGTACTGGTTCAATCCCGAGACGAACGAAACGCTCTCGACGAATCTGGCGTATGCACCCGTCGTGCGCGGCGCCGGGAACACGCTCACGTCCGTGAATGATTATGCGAAATGGATATCCGCCCTCTTATCGCGGTCCGCGCCGATTTCGGAAAATGGGTACGAGATGCTCTTTGGGGCACATTCGGTCCTTGCGCCGGCGGTGCATGAGCCCTTCTCCGCGCCGGATCTGTATGGGTTCGGTTGGACTTTGCAGAGTTACAAGGGGGTGCAGATTATACAGCATGGAGGGGCCCAGGTTGGGTTCGGGGCGTTTGTGGTGTTGATTCCGAAGATGCAGGTTGGGTTTGTGATTCTGGGGAATGAGATGGTGGGCGCGAATCGGGCGAGTTTGGTGCTTGCGTTTGAGATTATTGATAACCTTCTTAGGATAGAAAGGGAGGAGAGGTTCAATTGGGAGGGAGTGTATGGTTTCCCTTCCCCCTTTATTTTCTTTTCTTTTGTTCTTTCGGGTTCAAAGGTGGTGATATACTAACAAGAATCCAGCATCGACACCCAAGCGGAGGCCCTGAAGCTGTCAAACAAAACCCTCGCAGCGCTATACCCCGATCTCCCAGATACAGACTCCCTGCTCCCGCACCCCCTCCCCCTAGATTCATACAGTGGCCGGTTTACACACCCGGCCTACCCAACCCTGTTGATAAACTCGAGCTGCCCCGACCGCTCATACCAGCTCAAGAACCCCGAAAAATGGACGGGCGCGCGGCTTTGCGCGGACTTTGACAACTACAAGTCGGGTTCCTTCTCGACAGAGATCGGGGTTGACTTGTTTCATGTCACTGGGACGTATTGGACGCTTGTTTCGAGTACGGCGGGGATGGATGGAGCGGCGAGGGTGGAGTTTCGGATCACACCCGATGGAACGGTGATTGAGGTGGGCGTTGAGTTTGATGAGATGATGCAGAAAAAAGGGGAGAAGATCTGGTTGACGAGAGCCTGAGTTGTTGCTCTGGTTTGTTTTTGAGGGTGAAGACGGAAGGGTCCTGTTGGTGGTTCCGAGTTCTGGTGTCGTCAAGTGCTATACATTATGCGCATTATTGATATGTAGGTCCCTATTCATTCATTCTTCCACGCTGTGCTTCCCCTCCTCCTTTGGAGGTTCCTCCACCTTGGGCGGCTCCATACACGGCTTGCCCCAGAGGGCATGACACCGCGCGCTCTGCACGATATTCTCCGTAAATCCCATTTCCGTCTCCACCTCGACGACTTTGCGATCCGACCCGGAGTTGACCAAACTTCCCGTGAGGTTCGGCGAGGGCTTATAGTGGCGGAAGAGCTCCGGTAGGACCGAGATGCAAGTCAGATTCCGCTCACGGCAGCCGTTCATCAGCGCGATGTCGAACGCCTCGTCCTTTCCCGCTCCGACGTCCAAGAGGACCTTCTTGGCGCCTTCTCTCGTCAACCCGTATGCGAATGTACAGATCGGAGCTCCGGAGTGAAAGACGACTCGTTGCGGTCGACCGCCTCCCAGGCGCTCCATCGGCGCCTTGGCTAGACCACCGTACTTTGAAGCGGGACACGCGGTCTCGTCGTCGACGTACACAGTATCGAAACTCTTATCCCATGTTTCTGCGCAGAGCCCAACCCACAGAACATCCCAATCGCTCCCATAAGGCGCACTCTCCTCTTTCCGCGTATGGGTCAACTGCCGCACAGCCTCCGCAATGGCAACCATCTCCTCGCGAATCGAAATATCCCAATCCACATCATCCTCAAGTATCAACGCGGTCTCGTAATTCGACTGCACGACGTGCTTGATCAGGTCGAGGTGCGCGACCCAGGCGAGTGCGGAACCGTGGTTCGGGTGGCGTGCTTCCGCGGGTCCCAGCGCTGCGAACGCATCGATCATCTCCGGGTGGATGGGCGGTTGTGGTGGGATGCGAATGTCGAGGCCTGTGTAGTGTGCTGCAGCCTGAAGACCTGTTGTGCGCCATGATGGGAAGGGGGAGAGGGCGAGGATTGCTTCGAACTGCACAGAGTCAGTAACACGAGAACACAACACGACCGTGTTGGCGCAAGGGGTCGATGACGCCACTTACCCCCAACGTCGAATTCGCCGCTGCGTCCGGACCAGAAGGGATCAACCCTGGCTGTTGTGAATGAGTTTCAGGAATCGAGGCAGGAGGTGTGTTTGTGTTATTGGCATCAAAGCCAAAGCCATGCGGTCGCGGGACAACGCGCGGCGTGTGCTGCATTGTGGAAAGGAAATAGAGACTCCATAGCAGGGTACACGCAGCGCCCGCGCCACAGAGATACCAGCGCCAGCGATTGAGGAATGCGTGAGCGACCGTCACACGTGTCATGGTTGTCAAGACTGAGAGGGCATGGGGATGGGTTCAAGGGAGAAGAATTCAGGGGAGACGCTGCAGGGTGCGTCGAGGTTCCTGGCCGTGGCGGTCGGGATTCCGATGGGTTCAGTGCAGGTGTTACTCAGGATGACCACAGCCAGCCAGTCTCAGCCAGTCTCAGCCAGAGTCTCACAGTTCCGTGCGAAGCTTCCTGTAACTGGACCCTGGGCCGCACGTGGGCCCGAGAACAGTGCGTATTGGATCCACCGAGCGGGTCTTTTGTCCACCACCGGTCGGTATTTATAGCTAGTTGCGTTCTTTGCGGACTAGCGATCGCCAGGAACGGGGGCCGACGCGTCATGGACGAGGCCTGGCTTTAGGGGGCTTATGCTGGAGCCTGGGCAACGAAGTAGGGGCGATTATGCGAAAGAGGAAAACATCAGTCCAAGAAAAGGACTCGAACCGCCGCGTAAGAATATACGAGAATGAATGCAGCTGGTGTTGATGAGGGAGTCAAGGGAAGAATCGGGAATGGAAGTGGCTAGACGCTCCTTCCTCCCGAGGAACGAATATTCGGCAGTTGGCAGTCACCACCGGGAATCTACAAAGTTCAATACTCAAGAGCCGAGGCTATTGTCACGGTAAATTCAATTTGAGGCTCAAGAGCGCGGTCTACTCTTTCTCGTCTATCTCATCGTCTAGCGGTTGTTTCGAGGCACGGGCCGAACCCAGCTGAAGAGCAGCGTGATGCCGAGAATGATGAACCCGATAATCCACAGCGCCTTGTGGTACTGTGTCCCGTTGTACCGAAAAACAATTGCAAAGATGATGCCCCCAAAGTTGCCCATGCCGCCCACAATCCCGGAGACGATGCCTGCACAGCAAAAGTCAGTACAAGCCCACACAACAAAAAAAGACAAGGCGCTTACCATTAGAAGACGGGTGCACATGAGGCACAATCGCAAAGTTGGCTCCATTGCTCGCAGCGATGAAGAAGGCCATCAGCACGACCAGGCCAAACATGAGGCCTTCCTGGTGCGGGTCCAGGAACCCAATGAGAATCGCACATGCCGACATGCACAGACCCAGTCCGACAAGCCACATCTTCTTGGCCCAGACCGAGTTCGTGTAGCCGTAGATCACGTCGGCGAAGAATCCACCTGCCGGTCGGAAGACGACGTTCACGAGCCCGAACATGGATGCCCAGCGACCGGATTGAGTCTGGCCGAGCTCGGGGAAGTTGAGGAGGTAGTATGCGCCGAGGATGGAGTTGATGGCTAATTCCGCACCAAAGGAGCAAGCATAAGGAAGAGCGACAGCCAGGGCAGAGGGGTCAGTTGCGATGGAAAGGTAGCGCCTCGCGGTGGGGGCCTCGATGACTGCATCCGTGGTATCGATCTGGCCCGGGCGAACCTGCTGTGCTTCGGTGTCGATGACATCGGGAGTTCGGACGCCTTTCTTTTCGTCGTTGGGGAGGTTGACGCTGTTGGCGCTGGAGCCGGAGGCAGGCGTAGCGCTCAGGTCGACAATGTTGCTTCGCTCAGCAGGCTTCTCGCGGTCCGCCCACTTTCCGGTCGGAGTGTCGGGGCAGGTGAAGAGCATGGCCAATGCGAGGGAGATGATGATGATAAAGGGCACAACGTAGGCCACGCGCCAGGCTTTGTGCGGAGTGAGACCGCTGCTGTGGACGAGAGAGTCGTAGATGGCAGGCATGACGAAGCTATACGGTCAGTCTTGTTGTCAAGGCATGTATCAGGTCAGTACTCACTATGTGATACCACCACCTGCATTGCCGAAACCTCCTGCTAGGGAGTTCGCCGTACCGACAACGTTCTTGTCAAAGAATCCAGTACACCACACCTGGCAAGGGACAAACGTCGCACCAAGAATACCAACGAAGAATCGCAGAGCAATCAAGCCTTGAGGTGAGGTGACAAGACCAGCCATGGCCGTGGGAATCGCACCACAAATCAACAGACCAACAAACACCAATCGAGGGCCAAATCGATCGCACAGCGGGCCGGCAACGAAGCGCATAACAAAACTAATTCTTAGCGGCGTACATGGATACATGGTAAGATGGTACTCACGTTCCAAGCAGCGCGACAATATTCGAGTTGGCGACATCATTCTGTGACATTCCCAAGTCCTTCTTGATTGTGACGCTCAACTACCCTCGGGAATGAGCATCGGAAGCCGCTCAATGCGCGTTCGAGTCACTTACCAGAGGTGGAAATGCATACCACGAGAGGAATGCAACCAGGAATCCGAGCCATGAGAAGAAGAAGACTCGTCCATAGAGGTTGAACGGGTTGAGAAGCGGAATGGAGCGGGCCTTTTTGGTGAGAGGATTGACCTGTGGAGCGGCCACGGCCAAGCGAAGCACCTCGGTGGGTTTCATGGTCGACGGTGAGAGATCTGGTATGTCTGAGTCTGTATCTGACTGTGTTCGTCCTTGTCGAAATTGTGTTGGCAATCGAGTGAGATCAAGCTGTCTTTAAATCCTGATGTTCCAACATATAAAAGTCGTGCGACCCAGTGGCGTCAGGCTCATCCTCACTCAACTTGATCTCCTAGGAGTTGTTCACTCGCCAAGCAAGCCAGAAAGCAGTCAGAGCCAAGCTGTGTGGAGAGAAGCAACGAGACCGCGGAAACAGCGTAAGGATATATCGCAAGCGCGTCAGACGTCACGAGCAAAAGAAAAGTCTCTTCCCGCAGATTCGGAACGGACACCTTCTTGGCCAGAACTTGTCCTAGCCAGTGATGACCCGTCCACAATCCATGGCGTCCATATGCCAATCCAGAACGTGGTCCGGGCCGGGGATCTCTTCGATGCAGGATTGCATCAGCCGTGAGCGAGAGCTTGATTGAGCCGATAAGCTCCGTGAAACAGTCGTGAGAACTCCGCGGCACAACATGGGCGGAAGCACCTCGAATCATCTTATAGCTGAGCTCAAGCCAAGGATTGCACAAAGCAGGGGCTGAATGCCTCTTGAGATAAACGTCGGCACTCTCATTGGTCGTAGTGATGGACGACGATCTTTGCGCCTTGGCCACCTCCGCGGGAGCCCGATAGCCCTGATAGACCATATCGGGCTTATCTAGACCCGTTTGGCTGACACTCGGAAATCCACCAGCAAAGTCTTTGACCTGTCATGGCAAGAATGGAGCATATCAACCATCATCCTGCCGTCATTTAAGGCAGAAATCCACGGAGATGTTCAATCGTCAAAGTATAAGCTGATTCCAGACTCGACCATCAATGAACCTGCCCTACACAACCGATTTGATCTTGCGTCGATACTCCAGAAGTGGAAACTCTTGCCGGCTCAACATTCTCCTCGCTTTCAAATAGATCAGCGTATCTCGTTGGATGGGCTGACTTACCTACAGTCGCCCTACAGCACAACAAACCCGCCCATGTCAATAGACTGGTAGACTAAATAATGTGTATTGGCATTGAGAGCTCTCTAACTGCTATCACTAATACTAACAAAGCAGGCTACCAAAGCTCACTCAGTGTGCTCGTGCACACTGAGCAAGTCAATATCCTCGCCTCCCGCACCCTCCGCAGCGGAGTAGTAGTCTGGTAGTAAAACCCGATTTATCTCCTCCAGCGACATATCCTTTGTTTCAACTATACACGTTAGCACAAACAGCAATATCCCGGACATATAGGGGGGCCTACCTAGAGCAAATCGGACAAAAACAAAAGCCACCAAACATATCATGGCATAGACGAGATACAATCCCCCTCCGATTGCATCGCCCAATGATGGGCAGACCGTCACAAAATAGTTGAGCGCCCAGCCAAGCGCGGTCGAGAGCGCGATCCCTCTTGCTCGCAGTGACGTTGAAAAGATCTCAGAAGCATATGTCGACCCTGCAATTGCCCAGCTGAGATTGTGAAAGATGTAGAATAGAAACGGAAATGGAAGCACCATGTAGCGTCCGTACCAGTCCGGGTCTTGTTCCATCTTGAGTTGCAGTACAGAAGTCATGGACAACGACAGCATCATAACATTCGTGCCGACCTTCAGCCAAGTTTTACGACCGAATCGATCCAACCACTTCTCTGCAATCCAGGTGCTGTGATAAATCACTGCAGGTATGGCGATTGTTGCAAAGAGGCAATCATCAGCGACACAAAGACCCGCTTTCTCGAAAAGAGACGGCTATGTGATTTAGACTCGGTCCGCTCTAAAAGGTAGGAATCACTTACAGTCAGTGATATGATCGAGTGCGTGCCAGTGATTTGCTGAAAGGTTCGGACTCCGCACGTCATGGCCATGAGTTTCAAGATCGGGCTTTTCCACAATGCCGTCCAGGACAAGTTGAGATGTTTCTCGGCTCGGAATGTCACCTGTATCTGCTTCAGTTCTCGCTTCGCAAGATCTGCCCCATGCAAGCGGTGCAGCACTCCACGTGCCTGGTTGATGCGTCCCTTAGCGACCAGCCAACGGGGACTAGGAGGCGCCCATATGTAGCATCCAACACCCAGTATGAAAGCCGGAAGGAGCTCAGGTGCCAACGCAATGCGCCACTAATGCGGCGTTGCACCCGGGGAAAAGCGAATGTAGTAGCCGAACCAAAATCCCGCCTGGAATCCGGCGTAGTACGCTAGCTGCTCGCTAGCCATCATCTGGCACCGACGCGTGGCCGGCGCGATTTCCGAGAGGTATATGGGTATTCCGGTAAAACAGGCACCTACTCCCCAGCCGAGGACGATGTTACCGACAATCTGATCGAGTTAGCACAGCCGCCAACAACCCTGCGCTCGGTACGTACCCATTGAGGAAGAGTAAACGAGGAGACCTGTATCAAGGTACCAACCGCGCAGACCAAGCCAGAAAGCACGAGGACCATCTCACGGCCGTACCGATCCGCCAGGTGTCCCGCACACAAGGAACCAATGACTGCGCTGAGATTATATGCGGAGAAACTGTCGGTAGCCGCCCCTGTGCCGGGTTACTTCAAGGTAAAAACCAGAGAGAGGACAACGTACAGTTACCCGCAGGGTTCATCAGGTCATTCCACCGTGGTTCGCCCACGATCGTGGACGTGACACCGGTATTATAACCCACGAGAAACGCCCCGACTGAGATAAGCGCCGCGAGTCTGTAGGTATGAGAGTACAAATCATTATCATCCATGGCGTATGCGAAGGACGGGATCCGTTCTGTTTGCGGCGGTGACTGAAACTTTGTGACTTGAGGTTATGAAATATTGGCGACAAGGTGAGTCGAATCTCACTATGAAATGTAAAGACTGTAGCAGAAAGAATGAGTTTCAAGAATGTATCGATAATCGTGTTGCAAGGTTGAGCTGACGGAGACTTCAGAAAGGCGGCTGACAAGGAGGGTGAGTTGGGTAGGGGTTGTACAAGGAAGGCGCGACCTACACACGAGAATAGTAGAGACATTCCATCCACATAGTCTTTCCCATAACCCGAGAAGATTCTTCTCTCCGTCCATGCCCTCTAGTATCTGGTCAGCGACACCGACCTCTGACAGCAACAGACATGGCATCTTTATCATAGAATGCTCACTACACCCTCACATAATAGGCGTCATAAATTACTGGCTAAGAGACCACATCCATGGTGAGGCAGCTGGCCTTCGCTCATGAAAAGGGCTCGGAAATTCTCATTCAACTCCCAATCAAACCATGTAAATATGCATTTCCGAGAAGGAGTCCGATATCACCACCGCGATCGTTGCAGCCTACATCCAACAATCAGCAGTCCATCCGTCTTGAACGCGAACAATGCTAGTATCTTCGAGAGCTTGGAGCAAGGAACACGTACCAGAACCGAGTCCATCCCCTCGACCAGTTCCACCTCCCACCTCGGTGGCGTAACCTTGAACGAACTCATGGCATTATGCATCATATTCGTGCACCGCATCTTCATCACCGTCTGGTCACCCAGTACAACCGTAAACCCGCTTCCCCACAGATTCACCGATTTGATCTGTAACTCGACGCCCCCAGACTCAGAGCGGGCTTCAGATCCAGAATTCGATATCGCAGCCCCATTGATCTTGATCGTCATCTTCCACCGAAGCTGATCATACGACACCGTGAATAGCCTCTCCTCCCCTTCGTCCTTCTCCTTCCCCACCTCTGGTTCACCCTCCCTGTCTCCATCATCCCCACTCTTGATCCTCGTAAGAACCCACGCCCCATCCCTCTTCAGAAAATTCCTCTGCAACCGACAAAGCGGTGTGCCCTCTCTATCCCTGAAAACGCGATACTTCCCACTTAGCCTCGTCTCAACGGTGAAGAGCGGCGACGCCGATGCGCGGTCCGTCAGCTCGGTGATTGTGTACCCGCGCCCGGTGCTTTTGAACCAGGACCAGTAGCTTTGGGTTACGCGGAGGGTTGTGGGCGTGGTTACGCTGTAGGAATTCGAGAAGACGGTTGGAAGGGGCATTTTGTTTTTTATAACTGAAGAAGAGGTCGTTGGTAGGGTAAGGTATGATTGGTGTGGGTGGTCGTTGGCATTATATGTTGATGCGCACACTCGAAGTCCGGATCATGTATCATATGGATGTTAGGCGTGCCCGTTATGCCTTTATATGGGGTAGATGCGGAGGGTGGAAAGGGTGGGGGCGGTTTCATGGGGCGCAGAGCCGGATATCAAGACCATTGCGCGTCGTCAACAGACCAGCGGACAATGCAGGTTAGCCTATGAGAGCCATAAGAGGGGGTGGAGATGGACTCGGAGATGGGGTCGAGGGAGCTTGGCGAGAAGTTATTAGGGTACGTCATAGCCCATTGTGCTTTACAATGTTGCTCCATGGTTGCCCGGCTAGTGCCGCCCTGCTCCAGGGGAGCATAGATACAATGTATTTAGATTTAAAGGTAGTTATAATACAGTCCAGAGCCATTCGATGTTATCATGCGTATGGAAGGAGGGCCCATAGTTTTGCTCAAATTCGACCCCACCCCCCCCTTACATTGACTGATCCTCCCTGAGGTCTACAACATGCGATCTTTTGTTCTTTTGGACCCCATGTTATCTTTCCTGGCCAACCACGCCATACCCCGTACTCCGATGGACTATCGTCAAGCGAGATCTGATGTTATATGCTAGACTTGTAGATGGGCGTCGCCAGTTACACGCCAGAGATGAGCACAATGCAAGAGCTCGGGATAATAGTAACCCCAGCAAGTATTGAATATTTTGAACCACAGCCAGGCTCAGCTCTTTGAGCGTTGATCGTGATGCTGCGCTATACATAGTGCTTTGGGGTGGGGATACGCATGCCAACATCAGTCGACGAATCCATCTGTTTCTCAGCTTCGTTATCAGGCGGCGACCCAGACAGCCGGCAATACGCCACAGCCAGACTGCATTCAGGCGAAGGGCAATCCCGAGAAGGGTGCCTGGAATTCCAAGGCGAATAGTATTCATCCTTCTCGTGTTCGGTAGAATCTCCTCCTAATACGAATTAGCTGCGCGAGGCTGGAAACCCTGTGATAGAGACTGGTGATATTTAAACAAGGAATCTGCGACTGGGAAGCCATTTGGCCCGAGGTCAGGCATCGTTCGGGACAGACGTCCGAGCCGCGGTAGCTGGGGCTCGCGGAGTTTCTGGAATAATCTTTCGCTGCGGACGCTCCTGGGGTGCAGGAGAGGAGGGCTACGCCGGCAGCGCTCAAGGCTGTGGCGAGCGATGGTAGTGCCCGCATCACGGCTGGAATGAAGGCAGCCAATCCGTGGAAGATTCGATCAATGAATGCTTCAAAGAATGTATGAATCGATGAGAGAGCGAGAGAGAGTAAATAAGGAGAGAGCGAAGGAAAACGAAGAAAATGAATGAATCAAGATAAGTAAAGAATGACTCGGACTTAAGGAAGTGAGGGGGACTGCTGTATCGGGATCAACATGACTTATAGTTTTTCTAGTAGAAGATGCCATGTTCCCTCTGGTTCGTGTCCAGCATCCTCGAGCCTCCACGGAGCGACTTCGCACGGTGCGCACCCCACGCCCTGCTCCCCCCTCAAGCATTAGTCGATGCAAACTCAGTAGGGCTCATTTCCGGCCATCTCCTAGCCCACCCTCTCATATCGTTTAAAGGTCTAGCGCGGTCACCGTAACAAGGGACGCCATCCTGCCGTACAATGCCATTGTAACTGTGGTGATTGTTGGTGGTGCCGGAGAGCCCGATCTCCTGATTAATATCTCGGGCATGACTAGCGCAAGAGTGTGTTCTGATGTACGGCGTATACAACCAGGAACTCCGTCGGGCCACATCCATTGCCAAGAAACATCCTAGTAGTCCAGTGTGGTATGCAACGTTATAGCGGTGGGCAGAACGTGCCTCACGGAGGCAAGCACATCCTCGCTCAGCGGGCGCTACCAGCCCACCAAGGGAGGAGGGCACGGTCTAGCTACTAGCAGGCCTCGCGGCAAATCCGGCCTTGTAGCCATGCGAGTATCGGGAATAGAGCCAATACTAGAGCCAATAGTGAAGCATGAATCCTCGACCCTGCGTCAGAGGGTTTGAGTTCTGACTGGCTCATTTGCGAGCCCTCAGTCCACAACGCCAAGCAAGCCCGGAGCCTTGGCGCTGGGAGCGGAATGGAATCCCTCGGGTGAGGGGATCATCTGACATAGGCGAAAGTTAAGACTAAGTTTGCATTGAGCCCTCGAGGCTAGAGGGGAATCAGGGGATCCCAAAACGCCACGGGTGCTCTGTGCCATCGGCCATTCCCGCGTCCCTTGCTGCCCAGACCCTTGGAAGCTTGGCAGCGCCTACTCTATCATTGCTGAATCAAACTCTGCTCGTAAAGTCTTGCCTGGTGCGGTGGCGGGGCCGTCCTGGGTAGCATTGGCGATTTGGCATCCTGCTTCTTTAGCTTGTGTTGGTTATTCTCTGGGCGTGGGATGTATTCTGGCTTCTGTTTACATGTTGAGATTCGTTATGAGCACGGGAATACTATGCTGTCGGTCTAAGGCGCTGCGGGGCAGGGGATTCCGGAGTCTCCGTGTATAATGTATCGAGATACCTACATACACTGAGAGTATTGAGTACTCCTGCACGAGTCAAGAACGAGGTTTACCGTAGATCCACCGAGCCCTTGACATTTTCGATCCTCGCCGCGACGCCGCACGCACCCGCACACTGACGATCGCGGTTCATGCGCCGGGATATGGACATGATCATCATTATTGGTTTCATTCGCTGCTCACTCCAGACAGAACACAAATAATGCGCATCAAATTTCAATTCAATTCAGGCGGAACGATATTACCGCACAAAAAGAGACATATTATATAACAATATCGAGAGTAACATTTCATATCACATCAATTCAAAAAAAAAAAAGAAAAGCCCCAGAATCCCAGTGCTCCACACAAAGCCAAGCCCAACCCCCTCGAAATACCACCCACAATCGCCCTCCGCATCGGCGGAGCAGAGTTCTCATCGTCCCCATTCTCCTCGGGACAATCTTCTGGCGGGTTTACCGTATGTCTGCAGAGCCAGGCCTTGTGCGAACCCTGCATACTCTCGGCCACGGTGCGATCAATGTCCACCCTGCACGGATCCGGGACCGTGGTGGTGGGAGTCGTAACGGCACAGGTGTAGTTCATAACTTGCCGGGCATTCCAGTCAACCCAGTGGGGCAAGGGCATGGTTTCGGGTACATTGATGGCGAGGGCAGAGTCCGAATTCGTGTCGGGGCAGGAATCTTCAGAGGTGGCGGATACGAGATCCACATCTACGCTGTCTGCCATATCCTGGACAGCAAAGGAAACGGAAAAGCTCGTACTGTTGGAAAGCATTTGGGAGATCGGGCTCCCACTCTCGAAACCCTCTTTGTCACACGAGCGCCACGTGATCGACCAGTCCAGCCGCCAGCTGCCTGGTGAGCCAAACATGTCGAAGTGTGAGTACGCAAAGTGCGGATCGATGGAGGACAGATTTTCATGTCGGAATTTATGAAAGCTGGTGCGGCTGGGGTTCTGATCGTCGATGGAGCGGAGGTAGTAGGTGATCTCCATGTCAAGTTATTGAGCGAGCGATGGATTCTGAAGGGCGAAGACCACCGGAAACCATTCTGTAGGCGTGTACGTCTTGTTCTGTGGAAAGACGAGGTCCACCTCTAGGATGGTGTTCCCGGTAGTAGTAGAGGCGAACGCAGAAGCGACCACGGCCCCCAAAATTGCTAAATGAAGGCGCATGATGCCGTCCCAGAGTCCGAGGAGGGGTGTACTATCCGGATACGGGGCCTAACTCGAGATTTATGTAGGCGAGGAAGGATCCATGAGGCACCTGCAGGGGAAAGGGGAATCCGCCATCATAAATATTAGCATGGGACTAAGGCTGGTGGAGGATACCTGAGCGAGTGGATGAAGTGGCGTGCCGAGCCGCTACGGGGTAGAGCTGAGCCTGGAAAGGAAAGAGATCCTACTCTGGGTGAAAAGTATCCGTGCCTTACTGCCCACCCACCGCCTTCGTCTTATGGGTGCGCCACGCATTTACCGTAGTCACGCATTTACCGTAGTTTTTCGATATTTGAAGTTATTCAACAACCACAACACTAATTATCAATAAAAAAGTCCTCTCCCGCTTCTCTACTACGTAGCTCGTTCTCAATTGCCTGCTTTATTCGTTCCTCTGACCGTGGGTTGGGTCGAAATCCATAGACTTTCTCGAACTGCTTCGCCAGCCGCTTTTGGTCCCTCGCAGTCTCCTTCCTCTTTCGGTCCTGAATTGATCGAATTGCATCGCTAGTCTTTAGGACCCCGTTGCTACTAAGTGGTTTTACCTGACGCTTAGTAGGAAGCCGGTGTTGAGGCTCTTGCGCGGTCCTAATCCTGCAAATTGCTTCCTGGGTCATTTGGAGCTCCTCTAGCTTCTGCATCTGGTGTTGAAAGACCTTTGCTAGGTTCCGCTTCGTCTTCTCTGAAATATCAGTGATATCCTTCATAATCTTCGCCTGATTCCTTGTAAGCGCCTCGATTGTTGCTGGAGGACTGTTTTCAACGCTAGAGGAGAGTAATAGAGGTGGTGTAGGGCTTCCGCGGAGTTCTGGCACTGATATATCTGGGATCACCAGCTGGTTGGTAAGTTGCTGGACGATTTGTCTTCCATCAACTGGCCAGATACCGCGATCTTTGAAGGATTCTCGAATAATTCGCTTTGTCAAGGCCTTCTCGCGGATTGGTTGAATAATCTGCAAGAACTCTGCCTTCCCATATGGCTTACCACCCCAGAAAGACAAATCATTATTTATAAGCCTGAATTGCTGCTTATAATTAAGAAAAGGTTTTCCATCAAGAGGTTGGCAGAGATGTGTTGAATGAGGCAAGAAACCAAAGGGAATAATATTATTTTGCTCGCAGTATTGTAGGAATTCAAGCGTAAGGTGTGAGCCGTGGCCGTCGAATATTAGATATCGCTTCTCGCCTTGCTTTGTACGATCCTTTGTAGCTGTATTAAACTCTGCTAGCCAGGCGAGCGATAGTTCATCTGATATCCAACCATTTGGTGAGACCGCGGTCATTGTATCGCTTGGTAGGACCTCGCTGCCGTGATACCAGGCCTCCATATGATTACTACCGCTTGCTTTGAATATAAAGAACGGGGCCATTAGCCAACCATCCGCGCTAATACATTCAACAGCAGTAATATTTTCACCTCGCTCGCCCTCTGCAAGATTAGGGCAAGACTTTGACCCAAGGACCTTGCGAGCTCGCCCCTGACCAGGTTGAAATCCACATTCATCGAAGTTGTATACAAGGCGCGGAGGAACCCCATCAAGAAGGTCTTTTAGCTGGTCGTACCAGTGTTGGAGAAGTCCTGCATCCTCTGCTTGTATCCGCCTTAGTTCCTTGGTCTTTTGCTTCACTGGCGCGAGTCCTAGGTGTACTGGTACACGTGATTCGAATCGGTATGGCCACATCTTGCTTGCGCGCTTCTCCGAGCCCGCGCGGGCAAGCGCCTGATTTGCCCACGCCTGTATAATCGAAGCAGTCGGGGGGAGGTTCCAATTCCGCATTTGTATAATCCAACTAATCAAGGCCTTCTCCTGATACGGCTGTAGGAGGTTCTTCTTCGACGGTGTTGGTGTAGCTAGTGTTCTTGGTTTTTTCAAGCGGTCTCGGAGGGTGGTGTAGGACACGTTGAATTCACGCGCAATTCTCGCGATATTCGGTTTTTTCTGGGTTGTAGCAATAGCGACGGCTTCATTTAATCGAGATTCATTAAATTCAGGAGATTTCGTCATGTTGTGTGGCTTCAAGAAGTAAAAATATTGACGATATAAAAAACTACGGTAAATGCGTGACTACGGTAAATGCGTGGCGCACCCATAAGACGAAGGCGGTGGGTGGGCAGTAAGGCACGGATAAAATGATACTCCGCTAGAATGCCTATACCCTTGGCATTGGACCCGGTCTTATGATAGGACGAGGGCTTTCTTGGCGGCTGCAGTGCCCAATGTTACATTCGCCTTCGCAGGAGCTTCGCGAGGGTTCCTGAGCTCAGCGGCTCGAGGGCACTACAGTATGTAGCATGTCATGCGGCCCTTGCTAGAGGGCATATTTTGCCGGTGTTCATCCGAAAGCAGCCGTATTACGGACAATGCTTGTATTCGACAAGCGGGGGGTAAAGAGAGCAAATCACGGCTTGATGTTAGATCAGACTGATATGTCCTATGATTTGTCTCCCTCCGGCGACCTGTGTGTCTGGGTAGCGCGGCTTCGGCCATTTCCATTGCCTCCACCTGATAATCATCGAACAATTCCTGGAGGGACTGCTGGATCTTTCTTTGCGCTCATCTACTACTACTACTACTACTACTACTACTACTACTACTACTACTACTACTACTACTACTACTACTACTACTACTACTACTACTACTACTACTACTACTACTACTACTACTACTACTACTACTACTACTACTACTACTACTACTACTACTACTACTACTCAAAGCAACTCGCCCACCATGCCTGGCATCGCTGAGAACTGCGACGCGTTCTACCTAATCTCGTCAGGAGATCAATGCGACAGCATTGCCTCCCGCCATAGCATCACTGTTGATCAGCTGAACAGCTGGAACAGTGAAATCAACGACAGTTTGCCTCCCCTCACCCCACCGCACCCTAACACCACTTGGTAATGGAAGCAATCTAATATATGGGATACTACATAGACTGCTCGAACCTCTGGCTCGGATACTACATCTGCGTGCACGTCCCCGGCGCAACAACCACTCAACCCCCAAACCCCGGCCCGACAGAGGATCCCTCAACCCCTACGCTGCAGATGCCTGGGATCGTTGAAAACTGCCAGTCATTCCACCTGATCGAGAGCGGGGACAGCTGCTGGTCGATATACACCGAGGCTGGCATTACATTGGCGCAGTTCAGAGTGGAATACGCAGGTTGATGCGGCGTGTAGTAACCTGTGGCTTGGGTATTATGTTTGTACTGGGGTATAGATGGGATGGGATGAATGATGTCGGAGAAGTCAGTGGTAGATTATGATGACTATAGTTGCCAGGAGAATAAGTGGGATAATGATAGAATGAATGCTTCGTTACAGTTGGGCCTGAGTGAGCTCTGTTTATGATTCGATTGATGGGCTGTATCTATCAAAGTAGACATCAAAAGTATTGGGTGGCTTATGACATAAATCATGGAGCCAGGAAGTCTACACACTAATCGCCGATCTATGCTTCTCTCGAATCCTGAAAGTTGGAGCAATGATACCAAATTCTTCCACATGAAGACACAAACATTATCGATCTTAGAACTACTACAGGTATAGGTATAACATGCCACTATAACCAAAGAGGGTGTTACTCATGTATTTCTGGCTGCCGTGGCAGAGTCCAATTCCAGTCTGCTTGTTGTTCTGCTTCTTAAAGCAGAGGGAACTGCTGTACATGTCTATGGATAGTAAAAATCTAGCACTGCTAGTCCAGCTTCTTCAAACCCGCGCTCTCTATGTAGCTTGCGCTTATGGCCCCCACCACCATTGGTCCTCAACCGACTCCCTGATCGTGGCGGATTCTAGTCAATCAGACTTCTTTGGTGACTCTGTGGCCTCGCTTGCGGAGGGATTGGCACACGATATGGCGGTGTCTGTCCGCTTTCTCCTAGCATGCTATATAGATATATTCCACGACCACTGAAACCACGAGAAAGTCTCAACGACAGTACCTGTTGACGTTGGCTTTTTATTCTTCCTTGGAGCTGAGATATTCCTGGGTATATGCATTGGCCGCATCTAATGAACCACGTTTTTCTTCTTTCCTCGTAGCGCTTTGTAACAGTGGACATCCTCGGGATGGAATACTAGGTCGGAGACCGAGGAACATCGTTTTTGTTAAAGTTCCAGGCTTGGAGTTCAAATCCCTCTGAGACAGTAAGACACTATACATAATCTCCTACTGTCTTTGTTAAAATACCCTTTTTAGTAGTTAGTGTGGTGGCTAAAGCAGTGTGGTGAGGACGGGGAGAGTCATGACCAGTCCACTTAAATGTTCCTGCCGGCTTGTCTCCACAACCTCAATCCTTCCCCGTTCCTCCAGAGTCGCGCCTCGACACGGAGCGTTCGGTCTTTTGTCTCATTTATAGCTGAGATCAATTTCAAGGGTTCCATCCTTAACCGAGCTACCATATACTTCATAGGTTTATGGACAATCCAATGTCGATAGGCACAGCTGCCAGAGTAGCCGACCATGGACTCTGCTTCCCGCCATACTCGAGCTCACAGCCGCCAGCGCCCGCCAGGAACAAAATGTGCCAGCAGGGCCTGCGCCCAGTGCAGATTACGCAAGACAAAAGTGAGAAGATCCATTCCCGTAAAGGTTTTACGATATTGTGGACCTGGCACCAACTGATCAAATGTCGGAGCTGCCTGAGGCCCGACTGTGACAGGGGGGCAATGTATGTAAAACTCACGATTCCTGACCCCTGGCTGGGGCTGCTGGCTCTCCTGTATCTTCTGTGATCTGTTTCATTCTAAGTATCTTTAGTTGGGCATTGTAGCTTCACGTTTCAACATGAGACAGCCCTACCGTGTCGCACAAACAGGCCTGGACCCACATAAGCCCCTGCCCGGCATCTCGATTCTCGACGCCAGGCAGCGTAGATCATGTGGCAAGTTAGTTTCAGAGAGAGTGAAGACGCATCTAGACTCCTTCCGCAGATCCAATTTGCAAGCCATTTCCCATGTCCTGGACATTTGGCGAGGTGGGATTCTTGCGGCTAGTAGCATATAAATCCACGTCTTCCCCAAAGTCAATCCAGCTGTCTACTTAGGTTTTGAATTACCTAAAACCACTATAGCTACATCAACGAGATGAAGCTCACAAACCCCCTGATCATCCTTATGGGTTTGGTAGCACCGGTGCTTGTCGCGGCAACACTCGATCCAGCCTCATCGAACACAAAGGGCTACAAGCCCACGGCCCTGAATTGCTCAGGTGTGTCTATCTATCTCTGTCCAGTCCTACTCATCAACATCCCAACCTACCTCCATACCCCTTCCTAACCTCGTTCCTTCCTCCACAAACCAGCCGCAAAGATATCCGCCGCAATCCAAGCAGCCGAATGCAGCCACAACACGCGCACATCCGCTCCACAGACCTTTGCCGTTTTCCAGATCGACCACCAGTATGACGGGATCAATGGATCTCCCTATGGGACGTGCAGTGCTTACACGTGTACGCCGCCGCCTGAATTTGATGATGGTGAGCTGGATCCGGATGAGGATTACTGGATTTTCTACTGGAGTGACAGTGGCACGGAGAGTGGCGTTGGGACGGGGTGTATTCGGGATCCGAATACGGGGGAATGTGGGTGTGAGAATTCTGATGGGACGTTTGTTGTTGGGGGGGATAGTTGTGTTTGAGGGTTGAGCGGGTGATACTGGTCCTTTTAGAAGGGGTGAGGATTTGGCGAAGAAGTGTGGCGGTATGCAAGGGGAGGATTAACAGGATATGCCGACCTGACTTGGATATTTTGCCTGCCATTGGAGGGTTGTGTGCCCATCCCGTTATTCTGTTGATATGCTGTTTTGGTACTTCTAGGTTCTACTATTGGGTGATTTGCCAGAGCTAGGTAGTACATATCAATGCGCTCTGTAGACGATGGCTCGAACTGACAGATGTGTGGAACTGAACCATAATACTCCGTATGGAGATAGATCTCTTCATGGACTCCTGTAACTTAGCTTTGCCTGCTCATCGACCTCTCTAGCTAACAGTCATGCTTATCACGAAAAGGAGAAACGTCTGCCAAGCGACAGTTTCCCCGCATTAACAGAGGACAGGCGTCAGTCGAATCAAGGAGACATAAGAACGGTACAGGATCATCAGTGGAAGAAATATAAAATAAATGTTTCTGCTAAATCACGCAAGGCCAGTCTTCTGCTTTCAAAGGGCAACGAGGGGGAGGAAAAAAAAAAAAGAACCAGAACTGGCGCTCGGGCTATGTATGAGCTACATCTTCCACTTCCAGCTCACAAATAGGCGATGCCTTTCAAGCAATATGCGGGTCCATATACCTGCACGTTCTAATATGCAATCTCAGCTGAATCCGGTTGGTGAATAAATTTGTAAACCAGTCGGCCGTGTATGGAGGATCGCCTCCGAGGAGGCTGCTTGGGGGACGTCTTTTTTCTTGGTCAATATTCAATCAAGGCAAGATAAAAAGGATACGACGATGGGTTGGGAACGCAGGAGAATTGGAAGTCCTTCTCGTTAAACATGTCGTTCACGGAATCCACCGCAAAGTACGTCTCCAGGTTCACGGGGTCATTTGCCGGGTTCTGCCAGCCGGGCATCTCGGCGTAGTACGTCTGACGCGGGGATAACGCCTGTGTGCCGGACGAGTTGCGAGCGGAGGCCGCCTCGTCGTCGGCATCGGGTGTGAAGTCCTCTTTGGCATTTGCGTAGCAGACGCTCCCTCGGTCGGGGGATTGCTGTTGTTTGAGGTTCTGCGTTAGCATAAGGTGGGCGGGTAGCAGCAAGGCATACAGAGGTTCGGGCTCAACTTACCGCATAAAGTACAAGCTGGACGTCCGTTTCATCCTCTCCCAATTTCACAACGCCGCTTTCGGTCGGTTAGTGCTCAGCCGGACGGACAAGTGGAGAGGATGTTAAGCGCGGCAAACCCACATGTTTTCTGCTGTCTGATAGATGTTGATGATCACCTCGTAGTCCGTGCATGTCTCATCGGGGCCACCAGGGTAGTATGAGAACTGAGAAACAGTATTGTATACGAGAGATATCTGGGACCATCGTCAGTTGACCTAACTTAAGGGACGCAGGTCACGGTTAGTCGACTCACGTCTATAGGATGCTCGACCGGGCGCATAGACGGCAGCCTTAGCTTGAGCCCGAACCTGATGAATGTCCCCAGCGCGATCTTGCCGCCCGGGCCACGCTAACTAACCATACGTGATGATTGATCATTGACGTCTCTCTGAATTATATATTCACGCAGATTAAGCGCGTCACAGCCCGGTGTATACCTGATCCTACTAACAATATTCAGCTAGCCCAGAAAAATTAGAGGTAAGGATTTGACACAAAGCTAAGGCCATTATTTTCCAGCATTCTAAGTAGACTATTTCTATGGCCAGAATTAGAACTATGACAAGAAAATATGCTAGCTTATTATATGCATAGCAAACGCTCCGAAATTCTTACAGTTTCGTTTGGTGGCCCTAACAGTAACCTCGCCCATTAAATGCTGTGAAGCAGAGAAAACCACCCTGTTCGAAATATCCGCATAAAACCCTAATACAAAGCCACTCCGATATATTATTCAACCGTTAACATCCTTTGAAATCAAGTGGGCCTCGTATCTTTGTGCTACTCTACATAAACATATATGGATATATACAGATAATCTAAAAGGACAACCAACTGTCACATCACGCAGGTATCTACCCATCTACAACTCCACCATATAACCCCACCAACCGAACCCAACCCGCTAAACACTTACTAAAACGCACCTAAAACGTCTCCCTCCCAGACTCAAACGGCACGAACTCCTTGACAACATTCCCATAAGCCCCCTTGAAGCTCGAATCCGGCTTCCCTTGCAACGCCTTCCTAAACAACCGCGAAGAAACAGTCCCATTCGCAGCAGCCTCCACCATAGGAACCGTCTCCGAGTTCTCAAGATGCCGATCACACGTCCCACCGGGGACAAGAGCGTCACCACCAATCTTCTTGATGTAGCTATACTGGTTCTCGATTGCCGTGTAGTTGGGTTGGATACCCGGGAACCCACCGGGGACGTTGCTGTCGTAGACGGCGACGACGGTGTTTTGCGCGACGTTCTCGGCTTGGCTGGACCGCGCGTAGTCGTCGGGGACGTGTGTGTCGGCGTCGTAGGCTGCGAGGAAGTTCTCGCTTGCTAAACAGTCCGTTAGTACAGTCCCACCAAGCAAGCAGAGCCAGGATCCACAGCGCGCAACGGGGAATCAATGGGGAGGGGAACATACTATTAATAACCTCGCCAAACGCCGCAAACCCATCCAGGCAGTGCGCCGACTCGTGGATAACAACATCCACATTCTCGTCCGTCGTCCCGAAAAACGCAACGTTGCCATTTACTGCAAACGCCGAGTTCCCGCCGGGGAGAACGAGGATCTGCCTCACCCAGTCGCGGATCTTGACGGGGACGCGCCCGAATGTTTCGGCGATGGCGGAGATGTCGTTTGGGGCTTCTTTGTGCCGGCATACGAGCCAGGGGTCGGAGCACTGTACGGTCAGAGATATCAGCTGGTTGATCGCGGATAGAGGGAGAGTATATAGTGAAATTGGGAGGAACGGCGCGTACATCATCATAGCTAACCTGATAAATCTCAAAGTCCGTTGCATCCAGATCCTCGCCCTCGCCGAGGTCCTTGCAGTCCTTGGGGATCCAGCCCTGCGACCAGATGGCGATCGAGTGCGAGGTGGTCGGGAGGTTGGCGGTGTTGCCTTCGAGGAGGTAGTCGAGGTTGGATGTTAGGGCTGGTTTGTCGAGTTGGGCGGAGGCGAGGGCCGCGAGGGAGAGGGTTGAGAGGAGTTTCATGGCGTATTTCATTTTGATAGCCTTGGTTTTCTAGGATGGGAATGGATGAAGAAAGGACCAAATATGCAAGATTAGATGAGAAGAATCTACAGTTCAGATCGAAAGCAGCAGCCTCGCGCTCTTTATGCAACAGGAACTCCAAAGCAGGCCAGTGGGCCCAGGGGCAGGCGCAGGGCAGGGCAGGGCAGGGCCAGGCGGGCTATTTCCATTCCCAGCTCAGGGAATTCCCCATCGCAGGGCTGCCGCGCCATTTCGTCTGACATCAAGCCTCAGCCCCAGGAACGGAGCCCTCGCGCATCCTTTGGCCCCCAACCTTGGCGCCAACAAAGCAGGGCCGGCGGGGCTCCAACACGCCGATGCGGACCAAGCACGGTTAGCCCGCCCGGCGATGATGGGCGATCGACACGCCGGCGAGATTAATTCTGCAAGCCACCCCCCTCTGCGGGACTCGGTTGCTGTGCTGGCGGTTCTCCGCTATTCGTGGAGTCGGTTCTGCTCAGCCTCTGTCATCATCGAGCTGGGGCTGCTGTGACGAGACGCGGGCGTTGATACTCTTCTCGGTGTTGATGGGCGCTTAGTGAGCTTACTCAGGAGGTTGCGATTGATATGTCATTTTAGGGAGAAAAGCGTTGCATCACTAGGCATATGTATGTCTCAATATCAGGTAAGATGAAGGCAGCCCCTGATGATCGCATACTCAGCCTTCCGCATCTCTCGCGCGATGTGACCTGATCTTGTTGATCAGCATTAAAACAAGGAATCCTCCCACATTCTGAAACGACGCCCTTCACCATCGGCTCTGACACTAAAGGACCCGTACTAAGACTTGTGCAGCACGATACAACGTTCTAGTCGGTCATGTTTCAACCTTCCAGAATCCTCAACCGCCTGAATCCCTGATTGTCATATCACTCTTGCCCAGCTAAACGTCCGACGCACGAAACGTCCAGTCCTCTGGGAACCTCTCCTCCTTGACCCCATACTCGGCGAAAAGCCCACTATACTTGGCAATATGCGTTTCCGGATCCTCAGCCTGCAGGTAGTACCAGTGGATAATCTTCCTGATCTCGGGATCATTCCACATTGTCTCGATCCATTTCAGCGCTTCGGGTGTCGCGCCGTCGAGAGGGAGGTTATACGATCGGAAGCGCTGCCACAATGTTAACACAATTCTCTCCAGACACGAGTACAGTACGTAACATCAGAAAACAGTGGAAGAGGCTAGCTTACCCAAAGAACCGGCCAGAAAAACGCATCCGCAATGCTAAACCCGCCAAACAAAAATCCCTGATCACTCTCCTCCTCACCAATCGCCCTCAGTCGGCTGACCGTCGCCTTCCGCGCCGAATCCCAGATACTCAGCGCCCGGGCGATTTCCTTGCTCGCCGCCTCGGAAACGGCTATCTCGCCGACGTAGTTTGTCACAAAGTTCGTGTGGAATGTATTCCGCAGTGTCGCGAACCCAGCGTGCATTTCGGCTGCTGCGCTGCGCGCCAGGGCGCGGAGAGCGGGGTCGCGAGGCCAGAGGGGGAGATGCGGGTTGCTTTCCGCGAGGTATTCGGCGATGGCGAGGGAGTCGTTTATTGTTATGTTCAAGGAGTGGGATTTTAGGAGGGGGACGAGGCCTGAAATTGAGACGTCGCGGACCTGGGTGAGTCAGTTGGAACCTCTGGGTACTTTTTTGGAGGTAATATGCATGGCGCAGGAGGACAGAAGAGGGAGGGACCTTCTCGAGAGGTACGAATTGCTTCGTATATGGGATCTGAAAGTAGGAGAGGATGAGCTCGACGCGGGCGGTCCAGCCTGAATGATGGTAAGTCTGTGCTCAATTGCTTGGATGGGTGATGGCGTACTTGAGTAGCGGGTATATGTCCCCGTGAGGTGGTAGTCTGGTGTGGTCGCCATGGTATGTCGATATCGTTGTCCACTCCTGCGGTTTTGGTGCAATTGAAAAAGTTTTCTTGAGAGTGGAACAGCGGAAGGCTTCAATTTATCGTCTTTGGTGCGGGGTGTTCCCGCTGCGTGTGACTCACTCTACCCCTCGTATCTGCAGACGAGCTTCTCCTATCCAATCTCGTATTGTTATCTATTCTTAAGCTTGACGTGCGCCATCCGGTGACATGTCACGAATACCGAGTCGTTCTGATTGGTCAATGGGTTTACAGTATGTATATATTCCGAGCAGAGAGGATGTCGAGACTTGGCTACAACCTCACGAGCATAACTTGATTCATAGCGTATCGTACAACAATTTCCTCCCAAACGGATACCCAAAAACAAGGCCTATAACTTAATCAAACCGATTCCTCACCTCATGCTCACCCACAGGCGCATCCTCATCCTCCCCCGCAAACCGATCAAACGCGCTCCGATTCTTAGTCTCATGCTTCAGCGTCCTCAGCTGCCCCTTGGCCCCCGGATCATTCGCCCCAATCTCATTGCCCGCATTCTCGCCCTCCGCCGGGAACGTATTGCCCGTGCCCGTCATGACTTCGCCGGTGAACCCCAGATCGCGCGTGCTCCGGGGCATGTCCGTTGGATTGTCGGCGGCAAAGGCCGTCGAGGGTTCGCCGAGCCCGCGGTAGTCGTAGTCGGGGTTCTCGGCGAGTTGGTCGGGGCGGGGGACCGAGGGGATTGTGTTCATGAGGCCGGCGTCGTTGGGGATTTTGGTGCCCTTTTCGGCCATGTCGTAGAGGGAGCCGCCTTGGTGGGGGGAGGACATTTTGATGGCTGATTTTGGATTGGTAGGGAGAACTTGTTTGAAGTTGCTGTAATTCAAATAGTAATTATGATGATAGTAGCAGTTTGTTTGATGGAATACTGCTGGGTTGATGTTCTGAGTGGTTATATACCTTGGGGGTCAGGTGATGTCATACACACGATGATAAAACGATGAGCTCAGATGGAGGCGACAATGTCGGGATGACAAAGGCTCTCCCAAAAAACGGGTACATGATTCAGTTCAAGCGAGTTATGATGTGATCTGATCTCAGGCCGACTCGCTCTAGAATCAACCTTGGGTCTGCCGATCATCAGGTGGCCGTTATACTCCCTATAATGTGGATAGCAGGGGGACTTATACACTGCGGGGCATTGTAGACAGGGCTCATGCAATTAAACCGAGCGGCGTGGTTTGTATTGAGCATTTATAAGAAACTTGGTACTATATGGTGCGAGCCAGGGAAATGTTGGTGGTAGTCCACGGTCGATAGATCGAGGAAACAACCAGTCTCCCCCCAAGTTCCTGCGCGATAAGCAAACCCTGAGACCTATCTTAGATTTGACATGGTTTTGTCTATACCATGATGGCCATTGATTTCCTGTCAATTCAATCCTAGTTACCATTCTCTCGTGGATCACGATGAAGAGCATGGCGGGAATTGAATTGAGTTTGATGAATGATATCCCCAAATCTGCCTGACGACATGAACACTCGACTAGGGCCAGAAGTACGCGAGGTACTCTAATCTCTCCATTGAGGCGTTCTGTTCATGATGAGACTTGAAGGAAGGAAAAGATGGACGGAAAGAGGGCAATTTTGAACAAGCAGACGATGAGCTGAGTTTCAAAGGAACTGTAGATAGAGTCCCCGCATGTATGGAGTTTTGGTCTCATACAGAAGAGCAGGTTACGCCTAGAATCCAGTGAAACATCCTAGGGATTGAATTGGTGGACGATTCCCACCCGAGATAGCCTTCATCGCCACTGCTCTGCCCCATGTTCATGTCTAGGTTCCCGTTTTCTCATCGTCGACCTGGCAGAACCTGATCTGGTTTCCAAACGGGTCGATAACGCCCATCTCCTGCGATCCCGCCGCCGGACCCTCTTCAATACCTGGCCTCATGTATCGATAATCTTTGGCATTTAGCTCGCGATGATACTCTCCGATTCCCCTCATCATTATCCGGACCTGCACACCCGGGCTTCCATCCCCGTGATGTTCACTCAGGTGAAGGATCAGCTTACCCCGAGAAATCTGCCGATATAACGGGGCGTTGTCATCGAACCGATGATCCCAATCGACCTTAAAGCCGAGATAGCCGAGATAGAACTCGTCCGCCTTGGTGATATCAAAGATGCGGAGGATCGGGATGACTGATTGGAAATCCATGGACATGAAGTCTGGTTACAGGTCAATTTTGTGCGAAACCAGTGAGACCAGTGAGCAGTTGACCATATAGCGTATCCTTACTATAGTCGAGAAACTGATTAAATCGGGTGTTAGAGGGAGTGAAATATATATAAAGGATTTGGACGAAATAGGAGCGCAGGATTATTGGAACGAATGCCAGAGCGGGAGCGAGCGGGTTGAGAACAGAGACTGGGCACGAGCCTCTCGGCAGATCATCTGGAAATACAGTGGGTGATCACCTGACGCCCGGTACTACCTGCCGCCTGATTTCACCACCAACCACGATACCAAAAATGAAGCAATTCAACTCACGTCCCAACGTCCTACGGCAGATGCGACCCGAGAGACCGCCTGTTCGTCCCGAACGTCTACGGCATGGAGCGAGCTGGCACATGGTAGCGACCGTTGCGTTTTTTCCAGGTTGGCCTTGTTACGTCCGATGAGGATGATCTTGGTTGCCCCAGCGCGGGCAAAGGATGAGGCTGTTGCGCGGCCGATTCCACTTGCCTGTGTGAATGGTTGAAGGTGTCAGAGGTTGCATCACTCAACTTAGGGTGTATCCACAGCACCGGTCACAATCACTATTTTGCCCGCGGCGCTTAGCTCTGGTTGCAAGGGGAAGATGAGGGCGTAGGGGGCGTTGTGCCAGGTTGCGGTGAATGACGGCACTGGGGGCAGCATGTTGAATATAGTGGTGCAGTTGCACGGCTAGTATGTATACCTTGCGATAGTGGTTTTGGAGGACAATCGTCAAGAAACTTGCACTGCGAGCTTTCTAAATAGTCTGAGACTGATGAGATTGGAAACGTCCACAGCCTTAGCAGACAAAGAGATGTCAAAAGCGGCGGTCAGCTTCGAGGAGCAGAGCTTCCCATTCAAAGCACGCCCCGAAAGGATTCTGGCGGGGACCACATCGTGCTCGGCTCACTGCTCGAGCCCCATCCTTCTCTATTAGCGTTGGCTGCTTGAAGAGGGGTTACACCGGTGCCTAGGGGGCATAACCAGTAGCGGCGGTGTGTGGGAGTGTTCTTTGTTGATGCGTTTGCGCTGGGCATGCGTGTCAGATTACCAATGCAGTTCCTAGCCTAAATAGGCAAGTGAGACTAGCGGGCGTTTGTTGATGGAAGAGTGCTCTGTTGGGGGTTCTCACTCCCTTTTCTCACTTACTCTCTTCCCCTAGCTACGCTGTTTTGTTTTCTCTTCTCTTAGCATCCGACACTCCGCCACTGCCCGATTCACTGATTTCACCCCAACATGGCCTCCTCCTCGCACTACATCATCATCGGCGGAGGCACCGCAGGCCTCGTAGTCGGCTGTCGCCTCTCGGAGAACCCCACCACTCGCGTCATGATTCTCGAGGCTGGTCCAACCCGCACTGATGACTTAAGCGTACAGAACCCTGCAACGTACCTTGGTCTCGCAGGATCTGAGCTAGACTGAAGCTGACAACGGTTCCTCAGGGAGGACGCACGACGGGAGGGTCTGGATTCAGCCAATGCTTCTTCAGACCGAGCTGAACAACCGATTAGTCGAGCATCCAGCTGGAAAGCTACTGGGAGGCTCATCCGCAATCAATGGTAGTCTATATCTCCCGCCATCCCCTGCAGGGTTCGATGCTTGGGCTCAATTGGGTAACGTAGGCTGGAATTGGGAGTCGATGAAACCGTATATCCAAAAGACATACACCCTTCACCCCCCTCGTCTGCCGTCCAAAGCCGCCGGCGAGAGTACACCGCGTCATGAGAATTCTGCGAGTGGGCCAATCCAGGTCGTCTACGGATCACCCGCGAACAGTGCTGACAAAACACTGGTGGACGCCTGGAATGCGGCGTTTCAGCAGAATAGCTACGAATGTATCACCGACTTCCTTGCAGAGCAGAAAACCGTCAGCACCCGGGTATACACTGCGGCCATCGACCCTGTGTCTGGCCAGCGCAGCAGCGCCGATACTCAGTACGGGGCCCTGCTGGCTGGCCGTGGCAACGTCACGATCATGACGGGCGCCACCGTCCAGTGCATTCTTTTCGAAAAGACACCCCAGGGAACAGTGCGTGCGATCGGAGTGGAAGTGAAAGTGGATGGCCACCTCACTACCCTAGAAGCATCCAGGGAGATCATTCACGCCGTAGGAGTCTTCCACTCTCCTAGGCTTCTTGGGCTATCAGGTATCGGGAATCCAAGCTGGCTCCACGAGCTGGGAGTTCATACCTTGGTCGATTTCCCTGGCGTCGGCGAGAACCTGCAAAATCATATTATCGCTGGCCTGCCTGTCGGTCTGAAGCCTCATCCAGGGATTCAGGGTATAACTCCAGGAATCAAAGCATTCGCCTTTGTCAGCTTGGATTCTGAGCCCAAAGAGAAGCTCTGGACTACCACCGACAGTGCAGCTGAAGATCCGCAATCCAGCACCATCCGATCCATCTTGTAGAGCCCCGACGAAGCATCTGCCATTATCAGCCTGAGTGTTCTTTCCGAAAGTCTTGCAGGTCTGGGAATCGGCCTTACTTTCCCCTTCTCCAAGGGGAGCAGCCACATCGAGTCCACAGACCCCGATGCGAGCCCTCGCTTCGACGCGGGGTTCCTAACGAACAAGTTGGATCTTGAAATCCTCGTCCGGGAGTATAGTCTGTTTGCCCTGCAGTAGCCTCATCTAGCCCATCCAGGTAATCTCAAGAACACCCAAAATAGATCCAGCCGGTTGTCGCACAGCAGTCAAGTGGAACGGCTCATCCGCCGTGGTAAATAGCCGTGCCCACTCGGCTCTGCTTCTTTCGCGCGCATTCTGAAATGCCAGCATATATAGGTCGTAGTCTCTGTGCAGCAGTTAGTACGAAGATATACTGTTTTGTCTTATCTTTTGTTGTAAAGCTGCCCCAGTTAGTAAGCTGCGTCACCCTAAGGTTGTTGGCGACGAACCTGATAAAGGAAGGAGCAAACGCTTGCCCTTTTCCCCTCTGCTCCCCTCTTCCCCCCTTCCATCTTATTTTCATCCCCCTTTTCAAACTAAGCTGCCATGCCTTGCAGCACTTGGTATGGCTGCCGCCTTCCACTCCTGGGGCTTGCGGTGCTGGTCCGGTCTTCTACGAGCTCGGTTGGATCATTTACTGCCGTTTCTTTCATCCACTCAGGTCAATCCCAGGGCCGTTGCTAGCATCGGTCAGTCGGCTTTGGATTGTACGTCAGGCTGCAACGGGCCACCTGGAGCAGACCCAGAGAGCGTTGCATTGCAAGTACGGTGGGAGGCCTCTGTTAGAGCTCGGTCAATGGCTGAAATGCGATATAGCTGACTCTTTCAGGTTCCCTGGTTAGAATTGCCCCAAATGAAGTGATTTGTTCAGACCCCGCGGCTTTGAAAGTAAGTTGGGAAAGGGAGGACGTCCTTACCGTGGCACTCACGGCTTGCAGACAATCTATGGCCACAAATCGAGGCTCACAAAGGCATGAAAACCACGCCAGGTACAGCTTAATCTTCAGCTAATTAGCAATGGCACCAGAACGACTACTACGATGCCTGGGCCGCCCCCAGCGACATTGGATACTCTGGCCACTTTGCTGCACGAGACGGGAAGCTGCATACTGAGCAGCGACGCATTGTCAACAACCTCTATTCGATGAGTAGCATTCTCAACTCGGCGCAATACATCGGCTCCTGCACGGAGACCTTGACCAAGCGTCTTTACGATATTGCGGACCAGAGTGCTCCTGTTGACTTGGGGAAGCTGCTAAACATGCTGGCACTCCCTACATTGTGTATATGACCAATCGAGATACTAATGGCGTCTAGGTACGCTTTTGACGTTCTCGGCGAGCTCTTCTACGGCAAAAGCTTCGGCATGGTGGAGCGACGCAAGGATGTGGGATATTTCGGCAAGTCCATTGAATCCCTCCTTCCCATCTTCGCAGTCGGCGGTACATTGCCCTCCTACCTGACCAGTCTCTATCTGATGTACAAGATAAACCCTTTCCTCGTCACTTCGCGGCGCAATCACTGCGACGAAGAGTATTGCCGTTGCATCGGAAGAGGCTATCGGCAGACGTTCCCATGAGCTGGACAACAACTCCAATGATAAACCGGATATGTTTCGCAGGATGCTGGAGATCACCGCCGAGCGTGGCGGGAAGGCGGAGTTCACACACAGGCATGTCCATGTTGAGTCTCAGGTTGCGCTGTAAGTAGCTCTTTGACTTAATCCGACTTGCTACCCGAGTCAATCAGCAAAGTAAAGCACGACCACAACTGACGATTGATTTCTCGTGTATCGCTACTATAGCTTCGCAGGCGCCGACACAACTTCCATCGCTCTGACCAGTATCCTCTACTACATCCTCCAGGCCCTTCGTCTCCACCCGGGGGTCGCCTTCCATCTCCCCCATGTCGTACCCGCAGGCGGAACAACTATCGCAGGTGTCTACATACCTTCTGGATATCGCGTGGGTGTCAACGCAGGCGTTGTACATTATGACAAGGAGATCTTTGGTTCCGACGCAGCCAATTTCAATCCGGATCGCTGGCTTAAAAGTGAGAGGGCGGTGGCCATGCGCCGAGTGATGATGCCGTTTTGTATGGGGGCGAGGACTTGTATTGGGATGCATGTAAGTGCAGTGCTACGTTTGTTCCCCTCGTGCTTCGCGCTCTATGCTTCTCGTGCCCCACTAGCTTGGTGAGTAGGCTGCGGAAACTTGATTGCTAATGCCTGTTTCTTTTCCTTCTGATTTTAGACTGCTATATGCCAAATATACAAACTGATCCCGCACATCCTCCGCCACTTTGAGATTCTCTTCGTCGATCCCGAGAAACCTCTCCAAACGCGGAATTTTTGGTTCATGAAGCTCGTGGATGTGAAGGTTTACTTTAGTTATAGAAAATTGGATACTTAGTTGCAAATGGCAAATTGACGTCGGCCGGTTACGTGGTCAAAACCTGGGCTGCTGGAGTTGGCCTACTGCGAGGGGATTAGAGGAAGGTGGAGAGGCCATCACCTAGTATATCGTCGACCAGCTATGCGGCTATCCCGGATAGGAATCAAAAATCTCATATTGTTCTAGTAGCAGCTTTAAGACCAACGGCATGGGGGGCCAGACATGTTCGCCCTCTGGGGCTTCAGCCTTTTTCCTTTACAGCCTGAGCTAACAAGTAACCCTACCTCGCCCATACACCTACCAATACGACCCTTCCAGCTGAGTAGGAATACCAGCACCTTAAAGTCTCTTTGTCTTATCCAAGCGCGCCGCATTCAGCTCTTCAATTTCGCCCTCACGAGATCCTAAGCCACTAATACGACCGATCAATCCACGCCACCCACCCACTCCCCAGCACCGTCGTCTTATCAACCGCCCCGGCAATCTCACTCTCGTACAACCTATCACTCGTATCGGCCCCCTCCCCCGTATTATTCACCTCATAATAAAGCGGCGTTGCCCCCTCAGCCATAGTCGTCCAACCCTGCGGATTAATAATATCACTCAACCCCGAATTCTGATAAATCACCCTCGCTAACACCCGCCAGGGTCGCCCGAGGTATACATCGCCCGTGAGGTCGAGACCGGATTTTCCGGAGATGTCGCAGTGGTCGAAGCAGTACCAGGACGGGTCAGAGGCCACTTCGCGAGACATGGCGGTGATGTAGCCTGCTCCATTCGAGACGACTGTGCATTCGCCGAACCAGGCGCTTGCGGCGCCGAAGATGTAGTCTACTGCGCCTTTTGTGGTTGTTAGTGCTTTTGTTTTTTGTGGGGAGGGCGAGGAAAAAGGGATGGGGGGAGGTACCTTCAATGTAGCAGTTGGAATAGTACTGGATCCCAGCCCGCGCATACAGCGTATCCTGGTACCCGAGGAACCGGCAGCCATAGTAGCCCTGGCGCTCACCGCTGGCAGCGAGTCTATCAAACAATCAGTTAGCCCCGGTCTTATACTGCACGGAAACCTCCCCAAAAGGTAGGCGAGAAAGGGAAAACATACGCAACAGCCTGCGCCCCCTTCCCATACCCATTAACAACATTGACATTGTACATGGCGAAATCATCCATCTGCGCATTGACCGTGGCGCTCGAGACAAGCGAGCCGGACTCGGGAGACGAGATGGTATGTGTGATCGTCACGGTATTCTGCTTGTAGCTCCCTGTATCCGTCGTCTCGCCGTAGATTGTCAGAGAGCCGCCGTAGTCGATTGTCAGTTGCTCTTGGTAGGTGCCTGCCGCAATGAAAATGCAGGCATCGGATGAGGAGGAGCCGAGTGCGGAGAGAGCTGCGGCGATTGTGCTGTATGTGCCGGATCCATCTTTGGAGACAGTGAGGCAGCCGTCTGGAGCGGAGGTTCGGGAGGTGCGTTTTGTGTGGGGGTGTGGTGCCGCGAGGGCGGGGACAGCTAGGAGGAGGGTGGAGAGATGGCGGTGCAGCAGCATTTTGGCTTTTGTATCCAAGTCTAGGTGACGGCAGCAGTGGTCGGCGAGGTATGTGCTGTGGAGTTATATATCCATGTTGTGCAATGTATAGTTAGTGGTTCCCTGCACAAGTCGCGGATGCAATTTCTCCGCCGGCCTGCAAGGACCGAGCCAGTTGGCATTTTGAAAAACGGGGGCCATGAAACAAGCCCATTTATGCTAATCAGGGAGAATGCGTAGCGAGACACAGAAACAATGGCGGTGCGACTTTTTAATCTATGTGCTACGGAAGATGCGGAGCCCTAAAATCCGCTGCAGAAACTGACGGACGTCCAAGAAAACTTCCACAAATCAGATATAAGTGCCCCTGGAATATTACCCCGGATTGGAGGTTTTTGCGGGGAGACTCTGCCTCCAACTCCACACTCTTCGTTCTTCTTTAGGCTAAAGTCCAGCTTAGGGCTAAATCCAAATCGTCAGATGCATGTGCAAAAGCTTGTGTTTGTTCCGGTGGGGAGGCCTTATAAAAGCCCTGAAACGAAAGCGGTCTCGGTATCGTCGCAATATCCATGGCAAACATGGCATACAGGACAGCGGCCTTGCTCTCCCTCCTCGGGGCCACATTGGCAAACCCGTCTCACACAGAACACGCCCGTGCCGTCTGCACCCCCGCTGCTTCCGGCACCTCAGCCACCGACGACGTTCCCGCAATCCTCGACGCAGTCTCATCATGCGGCAACGGCGGAACAATTGTCTTCCCCGAGGGAAAAACGTACTACCTGAACAGCGTCCTCGATCTAAGCGACTGTTCAAACTGCGACATCCAGATCGAGGGTCTACTCAAGTTCGCGAGTAATACCGACTATTGGAGTGGGAAAACAGCCATGATCAATGTCAAGGATGTGGATGGGCTGAAGATTCGGTCGCTTACGGGGAACGGGGTGATTGATGGGAATGGGCAGAATGCGTACGTCACTTTTCCCAAGGCTATTCTCCGTGGATCTTGGATACGGAATACTAACAAGAAGCAGGTACGACCGCTTTGCCGAAGATTCAAGTTACCGCCGCCCAACACTGCTGTACATCGTCGGCGGAAGCGACATTGAAGTCTCGAACCTGCGCCAGAAGAACCCGCCCAACGTCTTCATCTCCGTCAAGGGCGGAACAACCAACGCGGTCTTCTCGAACCTCCGACTCGATGCAACCTCCAAATCCGGAAACCGCCCTAAAAACACCGACGGCTTCGACATTGGCGAGAGCACGTACGTCACCATCACCGACACCACAGTCGCAAACGACGACGACTGCGTCGCCTTCAAGCCCGGCTGCAATTACCTGACTGTAAGGGATATAACCTGCACCGGATCCCACGGCCTCTCCGTCGGCTCGCTCGGCAAAAACAACGACGACAGCGTGAGGAACGTCTGGGTCGAAGGCGCGACAATGATCCGGTCGACAAAAGCTGCAGGCATAAAAACGTATCCGAGCGGCAACGGCCACGGATTCAGTACGGTCAGCAATGTTACCTGGAAGGATGTCGTGGTTCAGGACTGCGACTATGCGATCCAGGTTGAGAGTTGCTACGGGGAGGATGATGAGTACTGTGAGGAGAATCCGGGGAATGCGGTTCTCGAGGGGATTACGTTCCAGGGGTTCAGTGGGACCACGAGTGACAAGTATGATCCTGTGACGGGGAATTTGAATTGCGGGGCGGATGGGGAGTGTGATGTTTCTGTCGTGGATTATCAGGTTACTGCGCCTTCTGGCGAGGGAGTCGTGCTTTGTGCGAATACGCCGGAGGGGTTGGGGGTTGACTGTACTGCGGGGGCTTCGGGGTGATTTTCTCTGTTTGGCTGTAGAGTTAGGGTTTGTGTCAAACCAGCGTATCGTGGGATCCAAGGCGAAGTAGGCTAATCGGTAGCTGTGGTTGGGGTCCATCTCTCTCTATGCGGGGAAGATCTTTGGAGATAACCGACCAAATCCCGACAACCGAGCTGTACCCACAAACATAATCTCTCACATTGCCCCTCTACGCTGTCAAAACCAACTCTTCAAAATGATCATCAAGTCCCCCCACCAAATCGATATCCCCATAACAGACGTCGCCTCCTTCGTCTTCAGCTCAGGAACCCCCACCTCCCGAGAAGCATCCCAGTACTTTGATGCCGCCAACCCGGCAAAGAACTTTAGTCTTGCGCAGGCGGAGGGATATGTGAAGCAGATCGCGAGCGGTCTACAGGCACTCGGTCTGCAGCCGGACGATAAAGTTCTCCTGTACTCGAATAACAGCCTCTTCTTTCCGGTACTGCTCTGGGCTGTTCTCGCGGGGAGGTTTGTTTTTACGGCGGCGTCGCCGGCGGCTTCTGTTACTGGTTCGTGATTGAACAACTCCTGGGATTCTGGAGCTGACTGGTGTAGAACTGGAATATCAACTCCGCGACTCGGATGCGAAGCTTCTCCTAGCGGGCCCTGACCAGGTGGCTGTTGCACTCGATGCAGCGTCGAGGGTCGGTCTCCGCAGAGAACAGGTGTATCTCTTCTGCGACCCAGAGCACGTTCAAAAGGGCACACCACAGCCCATTCGGCCATGGACAGATTTCTGGCGACCCCGCGCGGAAGCACAGTCCTGGACATGGAAGAAGATCAACACCCTCCAGGAAGCGCAGGACACGACTGCCATCATCAATTATTCCAGCGGGTACGCATCGCATCCCGAGGGCAAGTAATGAATAGTCCAGCGCCTAACGTCTGTCTCAGAACAACCGGCCTCCCCAAGGGCGTCGAAATCTCGCACTACAACGCCGTCGCCAACTCGACGCAGCTGCTCTACAAGCGGACTCTGCGATCCGACGACCCCAAAAGTCGGGCTCGCAAGGAGAGGCTCGATACCGCTGGCGAGAGATGGCTTGCCCCGTTGCCGATGTATCACGCATACGTAAGTCACCTTATCCACACTCCATCCTCACCAATAACCTGCCCTTTGCACGGAAGCCTTGACTTAGAGTGGGGATAGGGCCAAACATACTACTGCCTCAACGCGGCCCGCCTCGGCGCAAAAGTCTTCATAATGCGCGCGTTCGACGTGCAGAAGTACCTGCTGTACATGGACATCTACCGAATCACATTCATGGCCTCGGTCCCCGCGATAATGGCCACGCTCGCGAAGCAATCAAACGCCCACAACTACAATCTCCGTTCCGTCGAACAAGTAACCAGCGGTTCCGCGCCCCTCAGCGCCGATCTCGGGAAGATCATACAGAAGATGTATCTCCGCCCCGAAACAGCCGTAAAGCAAGGCTGGGGGATGACGGAAACAACCTGCTCCATCAGCGGCTTCTCACCAGACGAAGAAGACGACGGGCGCTCGATCGGCTACCTGAACCCGAACTGCGCCGCGCGCATCGAGCCCGTGCCCGATCGGGACTTTACCGGCGTTGCTCCCGCCGGTGTCCCCGTCGGCGAGATCTGGGTGTCCGGTCCGAATGTTATGAAGGGGTATTATAAGAAACCTGCCGCGACGAACGAGACGATTGTATATGCAGATGGACATCGCTGGTTGCGGACGGGGGATATCGGGTATGCGGACGCGGATGGAAGGATGTATATTGTTGACCGGTTGAAGGAGCTTATCAAGGTCAAGGGGTTGCAGGTTGCGCCGGCGGAGCTGGAGCAGTTTCTGCTTACGCATGGGGCCGTTGCGGATGCGGCTGTGGTTGGGGCGAGGATGTGAGTCGCTGTCTTTTCTGTTCTGTTTCGTCCATGCGGGTGGGATGATTGTGGCTGACATGGTGATGTTCAAACAGCAACGGGGGCGAGTATCCTCGGGCATTCGTGGTACGGAAGGAGGGTGCTACAGTGACCGAGACGGAATTGTCCAACATGATCAAGAGACACTTTGCCCCGCACAAGTGGCTCACAGGTGGTGTGTACTTTATCGACAAGATTCCGCGAACGGGAAGTGGCAAGATTATGCGGCGGCATCTACCTAAGATCAAGACGGATGATCGCGCGAAGCTATGATATTGAATAGGGAAGGTTCTAGCACTCATTTCATTAGCAGACCAAAACCGTCTAACCACTACACTGTGTTTACAACGCCTCCCGCCTCGTAAAAACCAAATGCAGCGGATTCAACGCAACAGTAAAATGATCCTGCGACTTCAACAGCCCAGTCCCGTCCTCCCCCGGTGCAAAGGTGATGTCGTACATCGAGACCAGATGGGCAGTCATCAGCCGCATCTCCATCAGCGCGAGGTTCTTCCCGATACATCCTGCTGGACCGGCCGAGAAGGGAATGAGCGCATCCCTGTGTTTGATCAGATCGGGACGCGTCGTGAAGCGTTCTGGGATGAAGTCGTCGGCTCCGACAAAGTTGGCTTCATCTTCTCGTGTGTTAGTTTGTTACCGATAGGTCAGATGTGTGTTTTGGGATCGTGGGTCACGCTCCCGAGGTTCCAGCTTACCATGAGCCATCGCATAGAAATTCAGCATCATCACCGTATTTCCGGGGACGTAGGTTTCCCCGACATACACCCCCTCGGGGGGCGTCTTCCGCGGAAGCCCACTGGGCACGGCCGGATGCAACCGCAGGGATTCCCAGATACAGGCATTCAGCAGTGTCGCGCCCTGCTGCAGCCTGCGGTGCTCAATCGCCCCGCCGTCAGCCTCCGCGAGGCCCCGAATCTCCGCTCGTAGTCTATCGAGTAAGCCCGGCTCGCGCGCGATATGGTAGAACAGAAACGTCATCGTCGACGCCGTCGTATCACTCCCCGCAACGACGATCAGCTTGCTATCGAAATGAAGCCGCGTCAACTCGACTTTTTTCTCCCTTTCGGTCTTCCCAGCCACAGCCGTCGAAGTCAGATAATTCTCAATAAGGTAATGAGTAATATCCGAATTGGCCTGCTTTCCCTGAATCTTCAATCTCTTCTCGATCTGGTCCGCGCAAAAGTGCTGGAAGCGAAAGTACTCGCGGGCGATGGGCGGGAAGGCGAAGAGGAGACGCGCGGCCCACGTTGGGATGCTGAGGCCACCCCCGGCCTGGGCTTCTTTAAGCAGGGTGATTGCCCAGTGGCCCTCGGGGGACTCGAGCATGTTGAAGGATTGGCCAAAGGCCAGATCACCCATGATGTCGAAGGACCAGGATTCGAACCATCGTGCTATGTTGGTTGGTTTGCCTGGACATTAATGAACGAAGCATTCGTGAGCTGGATGGGGCCAGAGACGTACTGATAGATGAAGAACTCAAGGGGAAAAGGGGGAAGGATTCCTACCATCAAGCCCCTCAATCTGCCTCAGCAACGTCCTGTTATATTTCTCAACCCGCACCTCGTACCCCCTCAGCGCCTTGTCACTGAACGCTGGGCTCCAGATCCTGCGTCGGCGGGCATGGGCCTCGGGGTCCCGCACGGAAATCAGTGAGCAACCCGGATACTCAAACGCATACCACGGCGCCTTGTTGCACACAGCGCCCGAGCTCAGCGCCAGGCGCACTACATCGGGATCCGAGACGGAGATGTCGTTCGGTCCGTACCGGACGAAACGGCCCCACTTCTTGTGCGCGTTGTACAGGATCATGTGGCGGTCCATGTTCTTGCTTATATGGATTGTGTGTGCGAAGGCGGCTATGCGGGCGAGGGGAAAGCCGGGGAATTTGTTGAGGGGGTTCAGGAAGAGGCGGTAGAGGGTTAGCGATGTGAATATGGCCGCGAGGTAGATTGTTGTTAGGAGGGCGGCTTGGGAGAGGGCGGTGGCGGTTGTGAGGGAGGCATCGAGTTGTTTCAAAGCGAGGGCGAAGAGAAAGTAGAGGGATATGGTTGCCGGGACGTTCCGTTGTGGGTAGAGGTGGTGCTCGCCGCGGTGGTAGTAGAGGATGTAGATGGCGCAGCCGAGGACGCCGGCCAGGGGTCGGAAGGAAGAGGGAGTGAGAAGGTGATGAATGGCCATCTTGCAAGCTTGAATGCGGGTTGGAGACAGTTCCCTTTGCCTCGAGGAAGCTGCTATAAATACGATTTCCTCCCTCTTACCCAGGGCATCTCGAGGACAATAGGAGAAGCGACCGCATCCACCGAGTACTCTTGCCGCAGTGACAATGCAGTTTGCTTGAAAGAACACCGATCTTCAGCGTCTCATTAAACACCCTCGTATCGTGATGTCAAACCTGCCCAGTGGCTGAATCACAGTGCAAGGAGAAGGAGTATCTCCAAACTCCGGGACAAGGAAAAGCAGTACATTTAAAGCCCCCAGTGCGGCGCCGAAAGCCGTCCCCATGCAGGCCGTTGCGCACATCACACCCGTCTCTGTATCGATGGGGGCGCCATCTTGCCAGTATAAGCTAGGTCATGTTACACCAGGCGCTTTGTATCTTATCTGTCATACCCTTGTTGACCCCGGGTTGTGGATCGTGGGGCAGTCGGCTTCTTTGCGGACGGTTCAACTCGGCAGTTGCTTGGTGATCGCCGCCCTTGCGTCAGGATTGCGACATGCGCGAGACAAGCCTTGCCTAGAATAGGGGATCGCCTCGGAGTATCTATTGAGATGCCACCGGTGATAAGGTTATGCACCTTGGAACCCCACCTATGGCACAATCCGTGGGCTCTAGCTTGTGCTTGATCCACATCCCGCGGTCATATCGCGACAAACCGATCCACCCCCAGAATGCTCCAGCGGAGCCGAGCAGGAATAATATAAGATCGGTCGCGGGATATGATACGCGAGCATTACCCAATTTATAGCCCATGCGCGGAGTAGGAAAGCCACCACAAACCTTCCTAGAACCCCCTGATCCGGGCGGGATTTCGCCTTCCCGACCATGAGAGTCGAGCAGGAGCATATCCAACTTGCAAGTGCTCTAAAAGACACCAAGCCAGTTCCTGAGTGAGCTGCCAGTAAGGAAATCAAAAGCTAGCGGGCTGGATACTTGGTGAAGCTAACACGATCGAGCCCAACGGGGTTGGGCGACGGGTGGTCTGCCTCTGCACCGTACGTAGTAGTCTCCGAGCGCCTGCAGTTTGTTTGATCAACGAAAAAAAAAAAAAAAAAAAAAAAAGCAACGCTGCCCACCGCTGACGCACATGGTAAAAGTAGGGCGCTTGTCCCACCAAAAAGCAACCATACGCACGTTTTTGCTTTTATGGCGCGCGGGGGTACTTTCCCCAGAGCTCCAGGCCTGGAAACAGGTAGGAGCGATGGAGAGGTGAAGATAAGACAGACTGACGGAGCGTGATATACACTTGCGCCATGGGATAGGCGCACGCCAATGGCCATTTGTATTGCGGGAAAATGCGAATTCAGGCAGATCAGGATGCACCATGTGCGGATATGCGACAAATACAACAAGCCCAGCCTACGCTATGACACCAGCGACAGAGTGCAGCAAGACCAGAACCCGAACGAGGGTGACAGGATATGAACCTTGAACGACTATCCAGAGCCCAGACTAGCTCCAGTAAAACGCCACATATGCACCTGCCGGCGGAATATGTGACCGCGCATATGTCCAGCCCTTGCCGTACTTGCTGGCGCCCGATTTGCCCTCCGCCGACATGAAGGGCACTGGGCTAGGCCGGAATATGGACAGCTTGATCCATGCCAGAGATTTACATTTCGTTGTCTGCGGCGCGGGTCTATTTGCTATACAACTAAATCCAAGTTCGGGAAATACATTGCTGAAAAAGTTCCCATTTGTCCAGGTGACAGCGGGGCTCTCTAGAAATTAAACCACCCAACAACGAGGATCATAAGTTGGGCGGCTAGCCCACCACAACCAAGAATGCATGCATCAGGGCTAACTGGCAATCATGCAACAGGTAGACACCCAAGAATTTACCAGCGGGTGATGTAAGTAGGACTTGGTTTAATCTACCCCAACAAACTGTACCGCAGCAGCTGATGATGCGCCACAGCGAGGCTGACAGCACCCAACAGCACCGCCACCGGGTACGCGCCGTGCCGCAGCGATTGAAGATGCCTCGTCCAATCGCAACCCTACCTTGCGCCCCAGGGCTAATTGCGCCGCAGCTCAATACATGTGAAATGATAGGCTCCGGTTTTATCATGCTGGGCAAGGTTGTTTTACATTGTCATAATATCTGATGGAAGTATCTGCCTCATTTGGATGAGGCAGACTGAGTGTCATGTCGAGGATATAAGGCACCTTCCTCTCTATCCAGGACAGACTTGACTAGCTAAGCATATCATTATCATTGTGTCTTGAAGGTACCATGTCGAAAGGACAACAAGCAACCAAAGCGGATCCCGCCAAGTCAGGGAGGTTCTACTGCCACACCTGCCAGAGACGATTCATCGACGCGAACGCGCTACGTATGCACATTCAGAGCTCAAAGAAGCATCAGCAGAGAAAGTCCGGTCGGTTTTCCATCCAACCCGTGAGTGTCGAGACTAATCAATCTGTATGTAGCGCCGTCTGCTTCGGCACCAAACGCAAACAGGTCCAGCGTCCCAGCGACAACGCAAGTGCACATGTGTACCCTCTGCAATAAGGGGTTCAAAGACAAGGCGGCCTTGCGTAAGCATAAAAAGGACTCTCCGAAACATGCAAAGGTCTCGGGCGGATTACGGGAGACATCATCCAGCACGACCAGAGTACCAGTCTTGTCGCTTAACTACGGGAACCTCACAGAAATAGGGGGGGACTCAAACGAGCCGGGAGAAGAATATGAGGCGACAGACGACGATACCAAAGAGGCACTGTGGTCCCTGCAAAACATGCTCTTAAATGAACCGTACACGTCGTTTGCGCGTGGAAATCCTGATATCTGGACTGCCCTGGCAAACTCATTTCCGGCAGCGGGCAGTGGATATGATTATAAGGAGGGCCTTTCGGTCTCACCGTTCCATACTGACCCAGTCGACACAGACGACTATGCCACAGTTGCGCGGCTATCACCAGCGCCTCAAGGGGAGGATGCCATTCCCCAGATTACCAAAGTCAACCCCGAAATCCCTGCACCATGGTCATCGATCCCAGTAAGCGAGCGCGGCGCGGTGCTGGGTGCTCTCCAGGCGCAATCTCATTCAATCGACTGCCTGGCGACAGAGCACTATTGGACAGAGAGGCCATCGGCCACAGATATCGACATGACGAGCAAGTGTAATAACTGTGGAGGTAAGTAGTTCCCTCGCCCAGTTTACCCAACATACTAATGACATATCCTCAGCCGCAAAGCGCAGCAGTGACGCAACGGAGTCGGTATGCTGCTTCCACCCGGCAAAAAAACCGTTCGAGGTGAGTACTTGGCATAATCCCATTGTGAGTGCAGAAACTGACGAGCCGCCGCAGCGAGGAATCATACGCGGCCGAGGCACCAGAATCCCCAGGACAGCGCGGTGCGTCAATTGCTTGAAGCTCGGGCCATCGGGTGGGTGTATCGTTCTCCCCACGCACGACTTTGCCGCTCCGGATGCGAAATTAAGCGAGATGGCACCGGCCCCGGGATACAACCCCAATGCTCGCCAGGCCGTCGTGCTAGACTGCGAGATGGTCGGTGTTCTCGGGGCGAATCACCGTGAGAGCAGCGAGGTCGTTCGCGTGAGCGCGGTCGACTTCCTCAGTGGGGAGGTGCTACTCGACACTTACGTGTCACCGCAGGGCCAGGTCATATCGTGGCGGACGAAATTCAGTGGCGTCAATGCGTCCATCCTCAGGGCGAAGAAGCGGGAGGGCAAGGTGGTAGACGGGTGGCGGGCTGCGCGAGACCTTCTATGGCGAGTTATTGATACGCGAACTGTCCTCATCGGGCACAGTCTCAACAACGACCTTGGTGTTCTCGGCATGGTGCATACACGCATCGTTGACTCGGCTATCATGACGCGGCTTGCCGTGGGCGAGGACTGCCAGAGGCATTGGGCGCTCAAGATACTTGTCAAGCAGTTTCTCGATCGGGATATCCAAACTGGAAACCATGGGCATGATTGTCTGGAGGATACCTTTGCGGCGCGGGAGGTTGTGCTGTGGTGTCTGAGAAGTCCATCCGAGCTACAGGCTTGGGCGGCTGAGGAACGAAAGATCATGGCTGAGAAGAAGAGAGCGAAGAAGGCTTGTGCCGCGGAGGATATGGCGGCGAAACCACCAGGGATTTGATATCGGCATGATGTACAGTATGTTGTTAATCTCTTAGCCCTGTGTTCAGTCAACTCACCATGGGAGTCCCAGGGCGTTGGGATGCGGTGTATATATATTTGGTCTAGCACTAAGGATAGTTTGTACAATGTCTTGATCAACATTTGATAACTACCCGAGTACTTTACGCCGTCTATTAAGCAGTACTCTACAATTGTAGCAGCATCTTCTCCGTATACATAGTCCTACGTAGCAATGAGGGGCGGGACGCCATTGGTGCTGGAATACGAGCGCAGGCTAAATTCCGGCCAATAGAGCTCCTCCCATTAAAAGCCCAGACCCTTCCAAGGTTGGCTCCACTGCTGAACGTTCCCACTAGCGGGAAGACGTGCGGTGGATGTTATGATAGGCCTGATCCAGAGCGAGGTCCACACGAGCTGAAGAAATAAAAGGGTCAGAATATCCTAGAATGCAGACACAACCTGGAGAAGACATCTTTCCGACAACGGCGGAGGACGCACCACGAAGTGCAATGGCTCTCCTCCACGCGATTCTGCTGCTCCTGGTGGGCGCGGTGACGACTTTCGCGTTCCGGCTCATTCGACATCGCCGTCTCTACAAAGACCTCGTGGGAACCGCCCTCCGTATCCAAGCAAACCCATACCAAATGCTAACCCATTCCCCAGCCGAAACCCCCGCACAGCCTCCTCTGGGGCCACCTCGCCCTCTTCAACGAAACAATGCAGAAATTCCCCGCCAACACCGCACTCTCAATCTACTACACGGCAATCGCACAGAAATACAACCTAAAGGGCATTTTCTACATGGATCTGTGGCCCTTCGGGCCGCCGCAAATGATCCTCGTCTCACCCGACGCCGCAGACCTCGTGACGAAAGTGCAGGATTATCCGCTCCACGAGATGGGGATTAGTTACCTTGCCGGCCTCGTCGGGGAGAACGCCATGGGCGCGACGAATGGCGACAAGTGGAAGGGCACGCATCGTCTGCTCGCGCCGGCATTTCGCGCGTCGAGTGTCAAGGCTATGGCGGGTGTTGTCGCGGACCAGACGGTCGAGCTGTTCACGCCGTTTCTAGAGCGGTGCGCCGATGAGGATGGTGTCTTTTCGATGGAGACTGCTGCCGCCAAGTTGCTGCTTAGTATTAGCACCGTGACGATCCTTGGTGGGCATATTGCCGAGGACGCGAAGGTGCAGTTGTTCGAGGATATTGGGGATATTGTTGCGTATGCGACGATGATTACGCTTACGACGTCGACGAATCCGGTTACCAAGTGGAGGACCTGGTGGAAAAAGACGAGGGCTGTGAAGCGAGTGGATATGTTCTTTGAGGGGCTTGTGCGGGCGAGAGAGGAGGTGACGCGGGGCGTAGGGAAGGATGCTGCTGGTCTGAGCATTTTGGACCGGACACTGATTGAGGGGCGAGGAGGTTATTGGAATAATGGACCACTAGATCCAGCTGCTATGAGGCTACTTGTTGACAAGTAAGTGGCACCTAAAGTCGGTGCAATGACATGACGCTGACCCATCTAGTCTCAAGGGCCTGATACTGGGCGCCTATGGGACAACTTCGGATACTCTATGTGTTTGGCTCCCATTAGTTTTCCCTCTCGTGCTTGATGACGTTTACTAACTCCGACAGGCCATTTTCCTCATGCTTGCAGCCCACCCAGACGTTGTACACAAGCTACGAGAGGAGCACAATCAGGTCTTTGGCGATTTGAAAAGCTCACGGCGAATCCTGAAAGAGAGCCCCTACAAGCTCAATGAGCTGCATTACACCACGGCAGTCATCAAGGAAACCCTCCGCCTCTTCCCAATCGGGTTCAGCCCGCGAACGGCGCTTCCGGGGTAGGTTTATCACGCATATCCCGACCTGTAGAAAGTGGCCTAGCCTGTCTAACTTGCTTAATTCAGAACCGAATCGCTGGTATACGAGGGCAAAGCCTATCCCACACTTAACCAGATGATCATCCCCTGCCAGCACACGATCCACTACGATCCCGAGATCTTCCCATCGCCCGGCAAGTTCGACCCCGCGCGATTCCTCGATCCGAACGTCGTTCCCGCCGGATCCTGGCGTCCATTCGAGCGAGGGCCGCGAGCCTGTGTGGGTCGTGATCTAGCCATGGATGAGCTGAGGGTTGTGCTGCTGTTGACTGTTCGGGACTTTGACTTTGAGTGCGCGAGCATCGAGCCGAGGACAACACCACGGGCATCCTTTACGGATCTGGATCTTCAGCTGGGGGATTTGGCCTTTCAGGAGAATGCGTTTTCGGCGAAGCCGAGGGGTGGGACGATGATGAGGGTGAGACGGACTGAGCGTGGAAAGTAGACCACGAGCCTCCAGGGCGGACGAGTATTCTAGTGAGACCAGTCCTCGAGTCTCAATCTACAGCAAGGCCATGTAGAACGGAGATTGCTTGGGATATCACATTATCATACATGTATATCATTGCTCATACCTGCCACAAAACCTCCCCTCCCTGCAGCGCACCGCACCTCACCCCGGACCCCCCGGCTTAAACTCCTCCCCCAGCCTAAGAATCACCTCGTCCTCGCCATCGGGCCTCTCAAACCCCAACAGAAAGCTCTCAAGCACCTGCTCCGTAACCACAAACGCCGAATCCCCATCCTTGACCGCGAGCGCATTCCTCTCCCTCACCCTCCGCCTCAACTCATCGTCCTCGACCTCCAAATACGCCAGGACCCACCGCCCACCCGCCTCTTCAATAAGCTCCTTCCACTCCTCGCGCGTGGCCTGGAACGCAAAGGAGAAGTCGAGGATCGCGTCGTGCGTTCCCTGCTGGATCAGGCGCGGGAGCTCGGCGCGCAGCGCGGCTTCGGCTTCCTCTTGGTACTCGTTGTATTTTTCCTTGGGGTAGTCGATGTTGTACAGTCCGTGGTGCGTGTAGATGTAGCTGTCGATGGAGAGGCGTTTGAACGATGGGTGGTGTGTTGTTATCCATTTGGAGAGCGAGGATTTGCCGGAGCCTGGTCGCATTAGTTACACACTCTCTGAAACATTCCAACTCGCAGTTATAATGCGTTGATAATCTTGTTGCTTACGTACCGGCAATGCCACAAGTCATGACTACAACCGGCCGCGGATCGGCCTCCGTCCGGCGGAGGAGCGGGCTGAGCACCGCGGGGGTGTCGTAGGTTCGCGACGACCCGGGCATTTCTTTCCAAGTCTCTGCTTCGGCGCGATGTGTAATGTACCCACTATATCAGAGAAAACAGTTCTATTTAGGGTATTTGGGTGCCTGGCATTTGAGGCGCATGGACGCACGGGTGTTGGAAGGGCGAGGTGGTTGGTTGGTCGGTGGGGGATTCGAGCCAGACCACGAGGGGTGACTCATGCATGATAGTCTTGGTGCCTGAGGCAGACACATGTGATTCCGCTCCACCGGTGCGGGGTTCAACGCGGTTGTGCTGCAGTCGTGATTCTGCTTTCCAACAAACATGGCCAGGTTTGTTATCTTGGTTGAGATCCTGCATCTTCTCGTGTCTTTGGGTTGAGGGAGGATTCCTATAGCAGATGCTCGTCTCTCTCCCCGGTTATATATCTACGGGTTCTGCAAGAACAACGGCCAGGATGTCAACATCTCTTTCAAAACGTGGAGAAGATCAAGTCCAGAGCAGGCAATCATCTACCTCCCAAAGATCACATTCGCTGATACACCGGCTCTTCTATTCTACTCTATTGAACAAACTCCAGACGCTTTACGCACGCGCTACTCGACACCCATAAAACACAACCCCCGTCAAGACGAACCCGTGGATCCAAGACGTATCAGCATGTTGAGACCGTTGCCATTCCCGATGGTTCCCTCTCGTTCCCTCTCTGCGTTTCAAAGGTTAGCGAAATCGCGCTCTAGAAAGAGGACAGCAACTTGGGTGGGATCGCGGTACGCACCACTCGAATGATAGTCTTTCCATATCAGGCCAGTTTCTCTCACGAGGCATTACAGTGTAGGCCGAAAGCGAATTCGGGCATCTCATCCAATTTCATCCGGATGCACACATCCCGACACAACGCAAGCTTGTTCTGGTGCTCTCCGCCCCATCTGGGCAGCCGGTGTCTGATTGATGTGTTGGCTTTTATGTGGCGGCGCAATGGTCGAAACGGGCTGTACTCACGTATCAAAACCACCTGGTACAGTCTAGGCTACACAGGGGTATCAGTCACTCAGCCGCCAGTCATATATATATGGGCTGCCGGTCCATATTCTCATTGCAGAGCTGATCAGCCCTCCAGTTCTCATCCCTGGGAATCCACTGATAATAGACAGAACCAAGCTGCTTCAGTCTCTGATCCAGCGCAGATGCCTTCATGATGAGATCCCTATTCGCGACGGGCTCCCCCCTCTGGTTCGTCCATCCGTTCCTCCGCCATTTGTGGATCCACTCGGTCATGCACCCGATCGCATACTTGGAGTCCACATGAATGGTCACATCGAACCGGGGTTGGGTCAGCATTTTATCGTACTCCTCCAGCGCTTTGGACAGCGCGAGGATGACGGCGGTCAATTCGGCGCACTGGTTCGTTGGCGGCGGATTGCGGGGTAGCGCGACGCTGTGTTTTGAGCGCCAGCGGCCTGGGCGTTTCTTGAAGAGGACTGCAGCAGCGCCGATTGCGCCGGGCTGGCCGTTGCCGTTGCCGCGGCAGCCGCCGTCGGCGTACAGGTTGATCCCGTAGACCATTTTCTGTTGTTAGGCGATGGTCTGCAGCGGGGTGAGGAGTCAGGGTAGAGTCGAGTTGAGCGGAGTGTTGTGGTGGAGAAGAAGGGGCAGAAAGTGTTAACTAGAGAAAACTCCGTAATTGAAGAGTTTTTCACTGTGGGTTTGCGCAAATTAGTTTACGTTGAATCTTGCATGGGCGAATTTTTTGGTCTGCAAAGATTCAAGCGTAAACGGATAGACAGGGGTATATGTATGTGGTGCTGCACTGTAATAATAGAATCAGGGAGCAATGGCAGTGGGGCTTGGAATTCTTTCTGCGATTTTGGAGGTAAAAGCTTGCACTGAAGGTTAAATGGGTTAAGATTTTAATAACCTCGGATGGTGGGAATGGGGCGGAGTCGGTTCAAGTCACTCTAGATGCTTCCAAACCGGGGGTCGCTTCTCCAGAAACGCCGCCACGCCTTCTCGCTTATCCCTCGTCCCAAACGCCGCATAGTACAGGGACCGCTCGAACTGCCCATCCTGACCCAGCTCATCAGCTGCACATGTTAGATTGGAATCATTGGAGGGCGTCACCATAATGGAGGGTCAGCTGCCACTTACCTCTACAGATGGCCTCCTTCGCCAATCTAACAGCGGAGCGGCTTTGGGACCCCAACCGCTTAGCGAGATCAAGTGCACCTTCCAAGGTGTGACCCGGCTCGGTGAGTGTCGCCACTAACCCTAGATCCAGGGCTTCTCGTCCGGAGAGGGGTTCGTTGAGGAGAACCATCTGCATTGCCTGGGCATGTATTAGGAGGGCAGCCATCTCTGGAAAGGATCCTCTAAGCTCACTCTATACTTTCCAATCGCAGTTGTCAACCTTTGCGTCCCTCCGGCACCCGGTATAAGGCCGATCGTGACCTCTGGCAGGCCGAACGATGTATCTGTTGTTGCGACAATGAAGTCGGCCTAGACGCGTTTAGCAATCTCCAAGAACATGTGCAAAGAGCCTCGGTGTACCATCAATGCCAGCTCGAATCCACCTCCCAGCTGTCTCATCAATCAGCTCGTGGCTGGTTCGCTAGATTGGAGTTTATGCGGCTCACAGCTTTCCCCTCAACGGCAGCAATCACCGGCTTCCGGACACGCTGCATACCATTGCACAGATCCTCGAGATATCGTTTCTGGTGCGCGCCTTCCGCATCGAGTTGCGAGATCTCCTTGATATCCGCGCCGGCTGTACCAACAGAGACACCTCCGCATGAGCAACCGCATTCCGATGTCAATGTACTCAGATGGATGTGTTGAATACATACCTGAGAAGATCCCGCCCGACCCAGTAATGATTATGCACGATATTTCTTCATCGCTCTCTGCGAGTCGTAGCTGGAGGAGCAATTCATCGATGAGGCCTTGGGATAAGGCATTGCGTTTCGTCGGCCGGTTTAGAATGCACACACGAATTCCTGACGGGTGTGTTTCGACGAGAACGAGCTTTGCGCTTTCTTCCTTTTGAGCCATGGCAAGCCTTGGGACTGGGGAGCTCCACCGGATGCCAACCGCGGGGGTCGAAGTGCTGGTTATACCAGTCTGGAAAGACAACGGGGATTCAGTCGCAGGGCACCGCCGTTGGAGTGGATCCCAAAAAGAGAGAAACAAGGCGGACTGGCGTGACGCGGTGCTGTCCGACTTATTTGAGGCTGAGGTTGTGAGTAGGTGCCTAACCTCGCTGTCAGTCAGGGACCGAATGTTTGCTCGAGCGGCGCCAACCGTCTCGAGTCAGGATCCCTCACCGACACCCGCCTCCCTCGACCAGTTATCTGCCTCAGTCCGAGCATCCCGCATGATCGACCATGGATCAAGCTTGCGGACGGCATGACAATGGCATTGCGAATGAAAACATACCGTGGTACAGCTGGCCGTTTCCCATTGCATCCGGGTTATTGACCCGACCCACAGTAGCCCTCCTAGGCGTGCTTATGTGCATGCGAGATGTGATGGCTGCGACACATGTACGGTTCTCGACCCAGAAAGGTGAAAGGTTGCGCTGCCTCAGTCCACTAGCCAAGACATTCCAGCCGGCCCGGGGATGACGGGCCTGCCCTGAAGAGGGCAAATGATCGGCTAGTGTGCTGGGCCACATACCTAGCCCGTCGATCACCCGTGTGATTCTGGTGATCGCTCTGGAAGGAACGTGCGGGGACGGCGCCAAATCTGGGTGCCTCATTCCAGCCGAGAGGACGCTGGAATAAGCTGTGTTTCGGACGAAAGAATTGTACCTGGCACACGCTTGATAGGCGTGAAGATTACCTCAGATGTCATGTCCTAGGACGGCCAGAATAGCAATCCACTCAGGCTGACACACAAGCGGTCTCAGCCAACCCCCTCGATGACCAGGTGAGAACGTGGTCACCTCGCTGACGCTTCCTGGGTACCACCCTACCTCTCTGCAGTATGCAGCCGCAAGCACGCATTCATCGCCATCACACCGAAAGTGGAGCCGGATTCCAAGGCCTTGTCACCCTCATCGCCGCGTGACAGGGAATAAGGACCCAGGACCGCAATTGCACTCGCTGGCCGACGTTTCCGGATCCCTGCACTTGCTGACTGCAGCCCCCCCACAAGAACAGCTGTCATACCCACAACAGTCGAAATACCAATTAGCAGAGTCGGATTCGTTGTTTTTCTGCTTGGCCGCTGGCAGGGGGGTGTGCGCGGCATTTGCCTGAAAGCAGAAGCAGGCACGGTGGAGAGCCTGCTGGGCAGTGCGTAGTAGCCCTTCCCCACCGGGTAGATCTACAGATCGATCGACAGCCCCGACTTGGCCCGTGTGTGGCTACGAGGTATAAGAGGACAAACACCGGCAGTTGTGATGTACCAGACACAACACAGCCCTGGACGACGTCATGTCCGGTTCCGCGACCAGTATGCACTCCCAGCCTGGTCTGGTATCTCGTGCAGACCCCGACCTCTTTCGCAGGTTCGGGTTTGGGGCCAAATCGGCGGTTCCGTTTCCAACCGTTCATCACGCATTTATTCACCATGCAACGCGCAGTCCCGAGGAGATTGCCCTGCTCGATCTCCGTGGTGGCCAGCGACGAAAAGTCACGTATGGGGAGCTGCTCCGGCAGGCGCAATGCATCGCCACTCTGTTGAACCAGAATGAAGTGAAGCCTGGAAGTCGAGTATTGCTGCTCGCGAAGAGAAGCCCAGAAATGGTCGCTGGGATCCTGGGCATTCTTATGGCTGGCGCGCAGTACGTCCCCATGGATGGCTGCGTGGTCCCCGATGAGACCTTGCAACATGCAGTTGGTCAGTGCAACATTACGGTTGCGCTCTGCCTGCGGGAATTCGAGTCACGGCTGCGAGACATACATCTCGTGTCGTCCGTCCTTGTTCTTGAGGATATTCTTTCCTGTGACAGGTACATAAATGCCGAGCTCAGCCCTAACGAGACCATCTGTGAAGGAGACGGAGATTCCGGATGCTATGTGATATACACGTCGGGTGCGTGCCCTACCCTCGATAATTCCACCTCCTCTAATTCTTGCCTTGCGGGATCAGGAACAACCGGCGAGCCTAAAGGAGTAGATGTTACGCATCGAAATGTCACAAATATTCTCTGCCAGTCTCCCGGCAACCTCGGCATGGCGTCAGGTAGAAAGGTCGGGCAGGTCCTGTCCATTAGTTTTGACATGGGTGGGTCTCGCAATCCCCAGGCATCCTACTTGGTATCTCTACTGACTAGATGCAGGCGCCTGGGAGATCCTCGGCAGCATGGCCAACGGGGCAACATTGGTTCTACGTGGCTCGGACTGGGAGGCGACATTGAAAGAGGTACGGCATAACTCCTTCGCGTCATCAAGGCTGACTCACAGAGTACATCTTCTAGATTGACATCTTAATCTGCACCCCGAGTATCCTCGCCAAGTACGACGCCGCTGAATACCCAAACATCAGATGCGTCGCGACGGCCGGCGAGCCTTGTCCACAGAAGTAGGTTGCACACCTTGCACACTGAACCCGCACCAGCTGAGAGAGACACACAGCATCGCAGACAGATGGTCAGGCGCAGGAGTAACATTCTACAACTGCTGCGGCCCCACCGAGACGACGATCATCAACACAATGCACAACCATACGGCCGGAACAACTCTCACAATCGGAAAACCAACGCCGAACAACAACGTCTACATCCTCGACGGAAGCATGTCTCCATGCCAGATTGGCGACGTCGGTACGATGTGGGCCGGCGGTGCATGTGTAACGAGGGGGTATATCGGGCAGCCCGATAGAACTGCTGAAAGATATCGGTATGATAACTTCGTTGACGATGGGTACGTACGTTTCTATCACAGTTCATCCCTCCCTTTTCTTGAACAGGCGTTCCCTCCACTTTGATAGTACGGAGGGTGTGTTTTGGTCGCGCCTTCCCGTACAGCCAACGCAACAGTGGGAAGGAACGGCCGGTAAACCCCCCTGACCGTTCCTTCCTGTTCCGTAATCGGAAGACACGAGAGCTGGTCGCGCCTTCCTTGCCAGTCAAGGGGGGCACACAAGGAAACAACGACCCAGGGACGTGCCTTCCTATCCTGGTTTAGGAAGGCGCGGGTCCCTCCTGCCTCGCGGTTCACCATGATACGAGAGGAAGGAACGACCGGCCCTTCTTCGCTGGTCGCTCCTTCCTGTTTCGTTTTAGGAAGGAACGGTGACGGGTCGCCCCTTCCCGTATTGGGACCGTACAAGCAAGGAAGATACGACCGTGCCAGTCGTGGCTGTTCCTTCCTGTTTTGCTTTGGGAAGGTACGTTGGACAGTCGCGCCTTCCTCGACTGCCCGCGAACAACAAATGGAAGGAGCGACACAGGACCCTCACCTTGTTCCTTCCTATTGCGTTTCAGGAAGGCACGGCTTTGGGATTGCACCTTCCTAATCCGATCGTCAAAGAGAAAGGGAAGGAGCGACCAGCAGCTAGGACTCGCTCCTCCTTATCCTGGAATAGGCAGGCACGTCTTTGGCTTGCACCTTCCTGAGACTGCCCTCCAACAGACGGGGAGGGAATCACCCGGGAATATGTCTTTGCTATTTCTTCTTTTACTTTACCTGAGGACGTATGCTGGCGGGGCTCGCTTGCGCCTTCGTGCATTTGGCTGCGTACCTATACACGGACAGCCTAGCGGACCCACGAGCTTGAGATAGAGACCCAAAAGTCAAATCGGGCCACTTGTCTAACTGGATTTACAGGCAGTCGATGATGTACAACACGGGAGACCTTGCCCGATGGCTCCCAGATGGCAGTCTCGAGACACTGGGGCGAAATGACGAGCAGGTTAAAATCAAGGTATACATGTACCTTCTCTCGCAGCCTATAGCAGATGTATGCTGACCAAAAGGAGGGATTCCGGGTTGAACTGGATGGCGTCAGTGCTTGCTTGGCCGCCTGTCCGGGCGTGCAGCAGGCGACGGCGCTCATGGTTGGTGGAGACCTCGTGGGCGTGCTGACACCAAAGACGTGCAGTATCTGGTCGGTCACGGAACATCTAAAGTCAAAGCTACCTTACTACGCTATTCCGACTAGGTGGCATATCTTGGATGAGTTTCCCTTGACGGTGAACGGAAAAGTCGACAAGCGCGCTCTGGCCCTCGAGGTCGATCATGCAAGCGTGCACAACAAGGCAATGGAAAAACCAGAGAAACCACATATTTTCTCGCGCGAGAAATCCTCTGCCTCGGACTCCTCGTCATCATCGTCTCTACCCAAGGAACCACATCCCTTGCCCGAAAAGAAGCCAAGCAAGCCATGGCGCGGCCTCCGACACCGCATCTTCATAGTGTACCGCACACTCTTCTCATCCATCTGGCTAACAAACATTGTCGCCCTTATATGCTTCTTGGCAGTACCGTCCATTGATCGTCGTCACATATCGACCATTGCGTTCGCCAACCTCACAACAGCCATCTTAGTCAGGCAAGACACGGTGATCAACATTCTCTATACCGTGTGCTGCTCAGTACCAAAGTCATGGCCGCTCGCTATCCGCAGACGATGTGCAAAGATCTACCACCTCGGCGGAGTGCACTCCGGAGCTGCCACAATGGCCGTTGCCTGGTATACAGGCGACATCTGCTACAATGTATACTCCTTCATCGAGCGATCGGATGAACCTTCCAGACCATCCGTGCTTACCATCACACTATCCCTGATAGCCTTGACTATATTCCTCATCATGCTTGGATTCGCGTACCCTACGATACGGAAGAAGCATCACAATACATTCGAGCGCGTCCATCGCTTCGCAGGCTGGACTGCGCTAGCAATCATCTGGGTGCAGACCATGTCTTCTATACGTGATAAACGTGAACCCGCGGAATCGTTCACGGATAGAATGATCGCTACACCTAGCTTCTGGATGCTCATCCTGATTACACTGAGTATCGCGAGCTCCTGGTTCTTCCTACGGACAGTCCCTGTCGACGCAGAGGTTCTCTCCAACCACGCCGTCCGGCTGCATTTCGACTATACTGTTCCGGTTATGGGTACATTTACACGTTTGTCCGAGAGGCCATTGATTGAATGGCACTCATTCGCGACTGTGCCTGCACCGACAATAGAGAATGGTCGCCCGAAGGGCTATTCTCTCGTCGTATCCAGGGCTGGGGACTGGACGGGTGGGAGAATCAGCAGGCCGCCGAGTAGGATTTGGGTGAGGGGAATTCCGAGTAAGACTCTCCAGACCTTCCTGTTAAATATCCAGCGATTGCCTTTGCTAACAACATGATCCAGCATGCGGCGTAATGCGAATCGCAACCCTCTTCAACCGTGTCGTCCTCGTCGCCACAGGATCAGGAATCGGACCACTGCTAGGCCACATCCAGATCCCGACATGCCCCTTCCGACTCGTCTGGTCAACCCCAAATCCCGTTGATACCTTCGGACAGGATATCGTGGCTGCCGTATATAATGCAGACCCCGATGCTGTTGTCCACGACACGAAGAAGCAGGGTCGTCCGGACTTGGTGCGGCTTACTTGGGATGCTGTGCAAAGCTCGGGTGCTGAGGCGGTGATTATCATCTCGAATGAGAAGTTAACCAAGAAGGTCGTTTATGGGATGGAGACGAGGGGTGTGCCGGCGTATGGGGCTATTTGGGATAGTTGATGGCTTCAGTGACTCTGGAGTGAGTTTTCCTTGACTGGGATTGTATGTAGGTTCTTGGTAGCAGTAATACGCGAGATTAGAATCAATGTATATATTGTGGATGGAGTACTTTATACGGTAGACTCCGGCGGATGAAAATGTGACCAAGTACCGTGACGTACCCCACCTTGTCTGGGAACTTTGGTATATTTGTCCTTCAGCTTGCTTCAAAGTCACAATTTGTCATACTCCTCCCTATAGTATAGCCAGTAACTTCTTATCCACGTTTGGGGAACTTCTTTGTGAAATGTGCGCTGAACCCTTAAATCCGGTCAGTCTTCGCGGGCGCTTTATCTGCCCTGGCAAACGGGCTCGTGCAAGGGCAACGTCTTCCCAGCAGCAACTATCATCTCTGCAAATACATGGGCAATACATCATGACGAGGAGGAGTTCGACCAGCCCCGAGATTTTCAACTCAGACTGCTGGCTCGGAGGAAATACGTGTGGTACAAAAGCCAGCAGCATCACAATCGATCAGCAGCGGAAAACGTCGTATGGTTGGGGCGCAGGACGATGAATCTGCTCAGGCCAGAAGATGGCGGAGACTTCGTTGAAAATCGCCATGCCAGAGATGGTCTGGGCTCTCGACTTTGAGATCGAGGAACAGGGAGGAGCTGGAGGAAGGGGTCGCCCAGATGCGTCTGTGGAGACGGGGTATGAGGCCGGGTTCCTGGTATGTCCGAAGAAGTCTCCTATCAGGATTCGACCGCGGAGTAAGGCTCATGCGGAGGTCATGTGGAGAGAGTTTGACAAGTTCGCGGGGTTTTTGGAGGGCCTGTCTGCTTGATTTTTCATTTTTGAAACGCAATTCCTAGCTTATATGCCAATATGAATCCATGTCATCCAGTGCTCGCAAAGTGCTGCCTGGCAAACATCGTAGTAGAAAGCATGACGTGTCTGCCCCCCAGGAAAAAGCAAGAATCAAGCTATACCAGCACATTAACCCCGCACCAGCATAAAACCTGTGCACCATCTCATCTGACAGTCACGAGATCTGACAGCATCATCCACACCTCCGGTCAGGCACAATCAGCAAACGCGAGCTTTAACCTGGCGCTAGATTCTCTGCATCATTCAATATGGGTGAGCTTGCTGCTCTAGGGCTAGCGTGCAATATCATCCAGCTAGTTGATTTCGGCAGCAACCTGTTTTCCAAGGCGCGGGAAATTGGCAACTCAGCTCATGGCATTGGCGACGAAGAACATGATGTCGAGATGATTGCTAAGGATCTAAAGACTCTGCTGCATGGGCTCAAAGACGATCCTGCCAATGACAGCAGCTTGAACGAGCTTCGGGGAGGCTGCTGTGCGGTCGCAGACGAACTGGTGACAATCATGGAAGACCTCAAATCAGCAAATGTCCAAGGTCGCAAATGGGGTAGTTTTAAGCAGGCCATGAAGCTTGTGCGAAAGGAGAAGGAAATCCGAGCTCTTGAAAAGCGAACTTACGAGACTTCAAGCTCAAATCACCACACATCTCGTCGCGACTCTCACGTGAGTGGCCGCTGTACCAAGGAGTCAATATACTTGTCCTGACCTGGGATAGTTCGCAACAGTCGTCAACCGTCACTTGCATTGAGCGTTTGGTTGAAAGATCTACCCGCCTAGAGATGAGCACTACACATAGCATTGAGGTTCTTAGGCTAGAGCTTCTCGCTGCTCTTAAAGGCTTCCAAAAACAGACTCACAATCCACCATTGGCCGATATAAGTGACAAACTAGCAAAACTGACAAGAGCAGGATCGTCCTTGGAGAAAGAGCATGACATACTGCAGAGTCTGGGTTTCAGCACGATGCGTTGGAGATACAGCAATATTAAAAAGGAGCACGAGCAGACGTTTCAGTGGATATTCAAGGGCCCCGATACCCAGTTTCTGGAGTGGCTGAGAACAGGGGCTGGAATTTACTGGATTGAAGGCAAAGCTGGGAGTGGCAAGTCAACTCTGATGAAGTATATAGTCAACGCTGACCACACCCACATGGCACTGAATGCATGGGCAGGACACCGCGACTTGGTCATGGCAAGCTACTTTTTCTGGGCGGCAGGGACATCTATGCAGCGGTCCCTGGAGGGCTTTCTTCGGACTATCTTGTTCCAGGTGCTAGGAAAGTGTCCAAACCTGATTGCAAACGTGTGCCCGAAAAGATGGGACCATCCACTAGACCCTTTCAGGGATTGGGAACATGATGAACTGGTTCTAGCTTTGGATCTCGTTGCGAAACAGGCAATGTCCCATACACGCTTCTGCTTCTTCGTGGATGGGATGGACGAGTGTACAGGTGATCAGAGGGCGCTTGTGCAGCTGTTGAAGGTCCTTGCCGCCTGCCCGTCCATCAAGCTTTGCATCTCTAGTCGGCCCTGGAACGTCTTCGTCAATGCCTTTGACGGCAAGGTCCCGCAATTGAAACTAGAAACCCTTACCAAGGGTGATATCCAGAAGTATGTTGATGACAAGCTCAACGCAGGGTTATCAACAGCCGGTGATGATGCCAGGACGCGGAAGGAGGTTGCTGCAGAAATATCTACCAGGGCTCGTGGGGTATTTCTATGGGTTTACCTTGTTGTTGATTCACTTCTGAGGGGCCGGGAAGAGGGTGATGATATCGAGGACATGCGACGCAGGCTTGACGCTTTGCCAGATGACCTAGAGGAATTCTTCAAACGCATCATGTCAACAATCGACAAGGTCTATCGTGAGCAGACCGCAAAGATATTCCTAATCATGATCGACGCCGAGCATTCACTGCCCGCCCTGAGTTTCTCGTACCTTGAAAAAGAGGAAACCGATGAACAATACCCATTCCAGCGTGCGATAGCTGAGATGCCAGAGTTGGAAGTTTACCGAATGTCAGAAAGAATGAAGATACGCATCAACGCGCGCTGTCGGGATCTCCTTGAAACAACAATATACCCAGAAGAGAAGTTGTTCGACAGATATCAGGTCGACTTTCTCCACCGGACCGTCCGCGACTTCTTCCTCGAAACATCAGCAATTGACGATATTCTGAAGCCAGAACTGCGAATCAGCTTTGAGCCTTCCCTCTCCCTTTGTCGGATGATGCTTGCTTTAGCCAAGACGTCGCGTGGCATGGAACATAGAGAAAAGAGGCATAAAAGCGGCACGCAAATGGTGAGATACGCGGCCAAATTGGAAACGAAACATATGCAGGAGCACAAGTCACCTGCCCAGATGCGTGACGCGCTTGTCCTCCTCGATGAGCTACAGCGCGTTTGGATTGATCCGCCGGCAGGCTCCCAGTCTCGGCAGTTACCGCACGAGATCAACGACCGGGCCTTTCTATGTGAGTGTATCGACATGGGATTAGAGTTTTATCTTCGTCATAGGCCGGCTCAAGAGCCTGAGATTTTCCAAGGCTCCAAAGGTCGATCATACCTGATACACGCGTTGAATGGATGGGTGGAGGAAAAGTTCAACCCTGCCGAGGACGAGCAACGAGACGCGAGGGTTGAGACTCTGCAGCTCCTTCTGGAGCAGCAGGCCCTGGACCCAAATCCAGACCCGAAAAACCAGACAGCTTGGGCTCTATGTATGGACTTTCTCGCAAACCATCATCGATTGATGCCGGCTTCTGTACGACAATGTATGTGCGATGCAATGAAGCTTTTTCTGAATAATGGAGCGGACCCAAGAGCGTATTTCTTCTATTACTCGGAGGAAAAGATGTGCCGAGCGATCTCTATACTCCAAAGGCTGTACCCAGCTGAAGCTACCGTTTTCGAGCAGCTCGCAAAACCCAGTCCCAGGAGGTTATTGACACTGCCCGCGTCAAAGCAGCAGCAGCACAGAAAAACGTCGCCTATAGGAACACTAATGGATCGCTTTCGATCTAAGGACTAGCCATATACTATGCTACCACGAGGCTTTCGGAATGGCCGAATAGACAGAGCGCGATGGCAATGATACTCCCAGACTTGTCGATGTTTTTATAAAGCACAGACCAAATGTGATGACAGGTGCATGGACGAGACTGTCGGCCAGAGGCTATGGTTGGGAGCCCTGGGACGTGAGAAACTGCGATCATTCCGTCCGCAGTACCGTTGGATATAGTAACCGGTACAAGGCTTCTACAAACCCAATCCGTGTTTCGCATTTTCTTCTTAACCCCATGTGCAAGGGAAAGCTCCGTGGACTATATCGTCTCATGACCATGGGATACGATGTATAATTTCCGCCCCCTAGTGTCTCGAACACAACTCCGTATATACATTGAATGTTGAAATCAGTCGAATCTAAACCACGATCTAGTATTTCCTCACCGACAAGGAGTAACATGTTCCAAATATGCAGACCATTTTAACTGAAGGCGTCTGCAGCCTCTAATTCCCGTATATCAGGATCTAATGTAACCTCCAACATCGGCTTTCAAACCTAGTATGACGTCAACATGCAGCAAATTCGCTAAGGCGTTAGTAGTTAGTCTCACAAAAATGGCCACCTGTTATCTCCGTACAGCTCGACACGTTGCAGTAAACAAGGCCCTGGAGCGTTTATTGTGTATCCTAAACCCGTGGACAATGTCTGGAACCCCGCTGGCGAGAAGCGACTTTACAGCGACACGCCATTCCACCACCTACGACTACATCTCCCCGCTGAAGCTGAACCTAGCCGGCAAACATGTCCTTATCACCGGCGCCGCCTGGGAAAACGGAGTCGGATATGCCGCCGCTACAGCATTTGCACGCGCAGGGGCCTCCGCGATAGCAATCGCCGATTTACAGGGTATCCCGCCCGATCTCGTCGCCAAGCTTAAGACTGTCGCAACTCAAGCCGGCCGCCCTGAACCGACCGTATTGAGCTGCATTGTTGACATCTCAAACCGGGAAAGCGTGCAGGCATTTCACGGTACTGTAGAACAGGTGTTCGGTGGACGACTAGATATCCTCGTGAACAACGCGGCACACATGGAGCCACCAAGCAAGTTCCTCGATTCCGATCCGGATGTGTACTGGCGGACGTGGGAGGTGAATCTCCGCGGTCTGTTCAACATGGCGCGTAGTTTTCTCCCCATGCAGCTTGCGACGCGGGCCAAATCCGATGGGTCGTGCATCATGACAAATGTCGCTTCCTCCGGTGCATTAAGCGTTCGACCCGGAGGCGGAAGCTATCGGAGCTCAAAGCTGGCAGTATTGCGGTGGACCGAGTCCCTGCAGGTCGAGTACGGTGATCAAGGGCTTTTGGCATTTTGTGTCAACCCTGGTGCGATCAAGACGAAGATTTCCGAGGGTCTGCTACCGGAGGCAGTGCGGGATAGGTTTCCGGATTCTCCGGATGTCGCTGGTGATACGATTGCTTGGCTGGCTGCTGAGCGGAGGGAGTGGTTGGGTGGGAGGTATATCAGTTGCCCGTGGGATATGGAGGAGCTTATGGAGAGGAAGGATGAGATTGTTGGGGGCGATAAGTTGAAGCTTTGGATGGTATTTTGAGCCCTCCATTGACTGGACTAGATCTAGAATAGCCAGAGGTCAATATCTGTTTTTTAAGGTTATAGAGTTATATATTCCGGGGCTCGTCTTATATTCCAGAAATCTGACTGCTCGATCTACCGAGGGTCTTTTCAGAATCATACCTTGGTAGGTGGGGAGTCCGTCCACATAGCGATACTATACTCCATCAATGAGCCACAGGACTGCAGAGCTTCCTAGCCAAGTATTTCTTTCCAATGGTATTCGCCGAAAGCGTGACTGCGAAGATTGAGCATGGAACTGGAGCTAGGTGGAAGGAAGCCCAATTCCAGCTGTCGCCGCATCCTCCCTCTTACAGACTAAAGGTAGCTTATACAATTCTAGCCATCCACCCACTTGCTGCGCTTTGTGTGATGGTCTTGTTAAATGCCGAGACCTCAGCCCCGCTCCCAGCCGGCTAAGATATTGGCCCCATGGCAAGTAATTGTACTTTGGTTTCGTGATTGCGTCGACTAGTGCTTACTCTGCAGTATAAAAGGGTCACTGCAATATTTAGACTCACTATACAGCAGGGATACTTTCGTCAGCATGATAGAGGGGTAGCGGACCCTCCCCGTGGCGGAGTAAATGCGGGGAATGGTCCAAGTGCCAAGTACTGGATTGTGCGGGGGTTTGTCGGTTTATATAATATAGCCCCGCGCTGAGTGTAAGAATATAGGCACTGGCTAAAGGCGCAAGCATTGCTACGGATGAGGATGCAGAATGGCCGTTCAAACCGAAAACCAAGCCACCCACGCAGATGTCAACGGCGGCCTCAAGGGCGAATCGAACGGGGCGAAGCCTAAGATCGTACGGGCTCTCGACGATGAGGGAGGCACCACGGACGCGAAGGTGAGTCGTGCGATCCGGCTACGTTCCGACCTCACTCTGTACTCCCGTCAGCGTGCAACTAACCAACCGGGATAGTACCCCCATTACCTCCCAGTCTGGGAACACGCTGAGCAGCTCCCCCCATTAGAGCCCTTTACACATCATGACCCAGGCAAAAACGCCGATCCATCGCTGAAGGATCTTCTTCTCCCAGGAGTAACGTTCAAGAAACTAACGCCCACGACGGGCACCGAGATAACCGGACTCCAACTGTCCTCCCTCACAAACGCCGGCAAGGACCAGCTCGCCCTCCTCGCCGCCCAACGCAAAGTCCTCGTCTTCCGCAACCAGGACTTTGCCGATATCCCCATGGAGCAGGCAATCGCTTTTGGCGGCTACTTTGGCAGACACCACATCCACCCCACAGCGGGGGTCCCCGAGCACCACCCCGAAATCCACATCGTGCACCAGAAGCAAAGCAACAACGGGGACTTTGCGACGTTTGTCGCGGGCAAGAACAGCACCGTGCTCTGGCACTCGGACGTCACTTACGAGGAGCAGCCGCCCGGCATGACGATCCTCTACGCGCTGGAGCTGCCCGAGGTCGGTGGGGATACGGGCTTCGCCAACACGGTCGAGGCATACCGCAGGCTGTCGCCGGCCCTCCGAGAGAGGCTACACGGGCTGACGGCCTTGCATGATGGGGTGTCGCAGGCGGAGCCGTACTATCGGGCGGGGAGACTGGTTCGGAGGAAGCCGCTGAACGTTGAACACCCACTGGTGCGCACGCATCCGGTTACCGGGGAGAAGGCGCTTTTTGTCAATGCGCGTGAGTTGCTCGTCTTTACACTGGATTTTTGGGAAGGCTGACCAGGGTAGTGACGACGAGTATCGTTGGAATGAAGAAGGAAGAGGGCGATATGTTGCTGGGGTTTCTGGTAAACCATATTGCGCGCTGCTTGGAGCACCAGGTTAGGGTGCGGTGGGAGCCCGGGACAGTTGTCATTTGGGATGTGAGTCGTTTATATGCTGTCGCAGGGGTTCTTGCATGATTCTAACGAGCCTAGAATCGCGTCACTGCGCATACTGCGATCGTCGACTGGAACACGTACGAGCGTCGGCATCTGGCGCGCCTCACCCCTCAGGCTGAACGGCCGTTTGAGACGCCGTACGTACCGGAAAAATGAGTCAGAAATAGTCGATATTCGGGTGGTACTAGATCGCGGCAAGAGTACTGGTGCTGTTCCGTTAAAGTGTGATTATTAGTTTTGCCACGACCAGCAGTATGCTACTGGTCTTAGTGATGGACGGGCTACTTCAATCTAGCACTCGCAGATACGCTCTGATTATAACACTTGACGCCTGTAGAGAGAAACGGTTAGCTCAATGGCAATTGCACCTTAGCACCCAGAATAGTATGGTGATGGACGAGAAGGAATGACAGCGTGGCGAATATACCCCGTTTCAGCGCCATAGAACCTGAAGAGTAGTGTATATTCCGCCCTCAGGTGTAGTTTATTTTGTTCCCCACAAGTACTTCAAATGGTGGGCACCCCAAGTTCTCAAGTCGATAGCTGATTAATGGCAATCCAGCGATTACCCACGGGTTGCTAAGGACCAATTTTCGCGGGTAATGTTGCAGCACATGCACGAATCACCTAGGTAGGCAATGCTCACGATCGGCTTGGTATGTGCTGATTCCCAGTACTACGAAGTAAGATGTTTAATTGCGCAATGCTGACCGTCTGATATCTAATTAGCCTGGCGGCTAAATTGTTCGTCTGGGGTTTTGGCAGCGGGGAGTGTCCCCGGATGTTGATCTGCGGGGGGCCTGAGCTTGCCTCCAACACAGGCGCAGCGGAGATGCCCCATATATTTTCTGTGACGAATCACGATGCATACACTATGTAGACTCGACGATGGAGGCCTCCGGCAGCATAATCTTGGCAGCCACCGCGCGCTGCATCTGGCCAGCTTTGGCAGAGACACGATATGGCCTCAGCACTCCGTGTTGCGAGAAGCCAAGATGAAGTGCGAGAGTCTGTCCTTGCCAAAAGGTTAAATACCGCGTCCTTCCCTGCCTCTTCATGCATCCCTGCTCAATCTCAACCAAGACAGAACCTTCAAACCCAAACATCGCTTTCCATCAAAGCCTAGCACTTCCGATCCTCCAATCTTAACAAGGTACGAATAAGTCTATTCCAGGCGATTGATTCTCTCCTTTCTCTCTTGCCACCCTACTGACACTCTCAATAACAGACCTATTTCCCTCCACATCCAGTGAGTACCCAGCATCCGGAAGATGTCATGAAACTGCGGCAGCAGCTTACGCAGAGGACTGTAGCCGAAAATGTATCCCTGGGGTGATATCGCTTCCGCTGGTGCCGCTAACGGCGAGGGCGAGGCGCTTCCCAAGTGAAGAGGATCCGATATGCCGAACTTGCGTGTGACACCAATGGGGAAGGGGAAGGTGGACTTGGGGTTGTTTGTGTCAATGCTGGGGATGTAGTGCGGTGTCATGTGGTGATCCAAGTTGGCAGATATCGACTGCTGTCCACTCTTTAGCTGGAATTGAAGCTCGTGTTGCATGCAACAAGAAAAATGTGCCATTGTACTTCGTGTGATACGTTAAGGGCCTGGCTAGCCGTGTAGTCGGGGCAGGTCTTGAATAATCAGCTCAGGTACAGTTAGCCGGCGTACCTTTTCGGGTAGTGAACCGTGTGGAGATATCTGGGCTAGCTAGTCTCAGGACTATTTATATGGGCTCTTCCCCGCAGAAGATATCGTACCAGGTCCGTTCAATTCTGTTCCTCTACACTTCCTCCCTCCACCATACTACCTGTCAGAAACATGGACGAGAAGGATGCTGCCACCCAGCATAGACTCTCATCATGCCTCGCACAAATCCAGCAAATCTTCTCAACATGCCAGACCCCATCTATCACGTTGGGTGTAGTCCACCACGGCCGCGTAATCATGAAGAACAGCATCGGCCATCGCGATAGCGAGTTGACCCTCCCCGCCGACGAAGATACTATATACATGCTGGGCTCCTGCTCGAAGATGTTCACGTCCGCCGCGGTGGGCATCCTCGTCGACGAAGGGAAGCTTAGCTGGACCGACCGGATCCAGAAGCATCTCCCGGAGTTCAATCCAGAGGGGGATCCTAGAATCGGACAGGAGGTAGATATTATTGATTGTTTCCGACATACGACAGGCCTTGCCTCGCCTATGATGCTCACGGTGGGTCCGCGGGGAACGATCGCGAGCGATCCAGAAGACTTGATTGCCATCCTCAACGCGATGCCTACTCGAAACGGAAACGGACAACAGAGGTTCAACAGGGAGTGGCTCTATAACAACGCTGCCGCGGGCCTTATGGCTCTCATCGTGGAACGAGTCTCAGGCCAACGGTTCGCCGACTTTGTCCGGGAGCGTATCCTGGAACCCCTCGGCATGACCAGGACAGCAATGACGCGAACTGATATCGAGAACGATGACAATATTGCCGCGCCATGCACGAAACTAAGCAATGGGCAATTCTATCATCTCCCAGATTCTTCGTGGCCGTGTGATGAGCATTCGCCGCTCCTGGCTGGCATGGGAATACGCAGCAGCCTGAATGACATGCTTACCTGGTGCATCGCGGTGCTGGACGCCGAGCGCAGCGAGAACGATCCGTCCTACAAACGCACTGTCCCCAATAACCCGCTGAAACAGATGACCCGCGTCCGTCGCGGGTACTGGACACGTCCAGCAGACGATCCGGACTTCAGCAAGCCCGCCGCGTATGGGATGGGCTGGTTCCGAGTCGGTCTGCCCTCATCAAAGCTGAGCTCGTTTAGTGGGAATGCCCTTTCGCAGGGCAAAGTGCATCAGTGCCACCTGGAATACATCCTTGGAAAGGAAGAAGCACCCTCTCCGTTTACGGCGGTGGGGCATACGGGGGGGATGCGAGGGTCAGTGTTCAGCGTGTATACGTTTCCGGAGACGCAGAGTGCGGTGGTGATTGCGACAAACGGGAGGGATTTGGGGGATGCGAGTGACTTTACCGCGCAGATCCTCATACAGGCTCTGTTTGACTTGAAGCCGGTGGTTGATTTGCTGCCTTGGGCGAAGAAGGAGGCGGAGCTTGCGGCAGGGTTTTATCGTGAGCATGTTGAAGCTCCGTGGGAGGAGAACAGGCGGCCGAATGACCGGGAGCGAGATCGCTTGATCTATGTGGGCGACTACCGGGGCTTCAACGATCGGTTCACGTTGAGTGTTGTCGCTTCGAGTCAGCCTTCTGGTCCGGTGTCTTTGGCTGTGATCTTTAACCACCGTCCTGCCTCCAAATGTCCATTGATCTTCTACCAGACCGACGTGTACAGCTTCTTTCAGCCGGATGAGGACTATACGAGGACACAGGTGATTATTGCCAGGGAGCATAAGCAGATGTTGCTGAAGTTCCAGGTTGATGAAGGGGGGGCAGTGGAGGGTCTGTGGTGGCAGTGGGATATAGAAGCGAAGCCAGCTTGGCTACAGAAAGTATCTAGCTAGGTGGCTGATAACAGGATGTAGGACAAACTGCGGAAATAAATAGGGAATCCGGATCAGAATAAGAGGCAAAAGGATGCCAAGTATGATGTTCTGATTCTGGATTGTTTTCTCACAAAGGGGCCCATTATGACTTTAATCCTCGGTCCTGCTCGAATACGGCCACACCCAGTCTCACTTTCGATGCAGCAAGTCCTGGAACAGCACTCTTCCACTCCTCCACGAACCCCTTCACAAAGTCCGACGATAGAAAGCCTCAGTTAAGCTGCATGATAAATGCATCCTCCCATCCCACGTCCACAGATGTAACCGCCTGAACAGCAAACAACCAATCCACCACTTCAAGAGTCCCCATACAGCCTGTATACGACTTTCGGAGAACGTTATCGACGATGCCCAGAGAGCGGATCGGGCCTCCCTGCCCCAGGAGACCCATTAAGCATCTCCGTCGGCACGCTTAGGACGCGACAGAGCTTCTCGTGGTAATCCGCCATATCGCTGTAGAGAGTCTGCAGGTCCTGGCGGTAGTACGCAGGGAAATACTTTGCGATGGCGTCGAAATCGGCATGTTGTGTGACCTCGATGCTGCACGGTTTACCAGGGTAGTCGATACATGCTGCGCCACTAGATTCGGTGCCATTCCATAGGGCAGGGAGGCGTTTTTAAAGGTCGAATGGGGTGATGCCAAGCATACGGCCGCCAGGGGTATCACTGTGGTGGCGCATTGCTGTAACAAGGGCCGCGCGCATAACTATCCTGACGGTTGAGCCGCGGGCTTTGCTAGCAGCAATAATACTCTTGCTGGTTTCCTGGTCGAGCTTGATGGTAATGCGATGGGAGCTGGCTGGGCTTTTGCTTGACGGGCTTTCTTGCAGTGATTCTGATGGTGACCCCGAAAAATTCACACCCACGGTGTCAGAGGCCTGGCTCATTTCCGGGGTCACGGTATCATCTGGGAGCCCTACAGGCTGCCGAAATGAGGGTGGCAGATTCATGCTCTCGAGCCCATCTACCACGGGCGAAGCAGGCTCAGTGCCTAAGACAGTACAGAAGGCGTGCTGCAGAAGGAACATGCCTTGACTGTCTGTTCGCCAATGAGGGGTTCGAAAAAGCACCACCCGCGAATATGGTAGGTAGTGCAGCATTATAGTATCCGTTGGTGGGAGGGTCCCGTCCAGGTATGCTGCATCGCGACGATCGTCATCCGGGTCGGTAGTCAGTGTATCCTGTCGGACGGGACGGTGTACTGAAACTTCTTTTCCACGAGGAAGAGCACCTCATTACCCGCCGTATCTTCGTTCTTGAACGCTGTATCGCTCCATCTCTGCCGTCATATTCTCAAGCATTGTTCGGGCTGGTTTAACAAGCTCCATCATGCCAGGGACTAGGAAGCTGAACGGGCGGTTGCTTGGTGCCCTGAGGCGGGAGACGACCATGGAATTGAGGGCTAGGGTCGCGGAGATTGTTCCTGTTGAAGTAGTGTTTTGTCCAGTGCATTCTGTGCGAAGCACGCTACCCATGTAGCGGCTACGTGCTCTGCCGAGGGTCATGAGGAGATGGTCTGTTGTTCGGAGGAGGACTAGCAGGGCGGATGAGATGAGGATGTAGTCGTCGAAGACGCGGAGGAAGAGGTCTTGGAGGACTGCGCCAGCAAGTAGCCAGCCTGAGACGGCCATGCCGTCTCGAATGGTGGCGGATAGGGATGGGTATTTAGGGGACAGCTGAATCGGGGCGCGGCCATGGTTGCCGCCGACCTTGTGTGGTGGGAAAGGGAGGTTGGAAGGCCGACATTGTGAAAGATGGGATGGCTCAGTGTGTGCAGCCGATGTTCCAAGTTTGTCTTGTTGCTGAATGGGACAGTAGCGCCAGAGGTAGAAGGTCTGTATTGCCGTGCAGCATCTGGTTAGGACGGTCGTTGGAGACATTTCTACTTAAGCGCAGGCCAGAGGCAATTTGGCCACAGCGAGGATACTCAGCTCCTGGCGAGATTGGTGATCCGTCAAGTTCGCGGAGCAGCCTCTTGAATGTTGGAGACATGACACTGGGAAGATCCACGTACCTGGAAGTGGGTCGCAGCCAAAGTCAAAAATAAACTTAGCCGGCCCAGCCAATCACAACGTTTCCAGGTGAGACAGCTCAAGCAGGTCGTTGGAGTTCTGCACGCGGTATACATTAAGAGAGTCGTATACCCCATGGTTAGAAATCAGCAATTGCATCCTGTACAGAATTCAGCCATAAAGCCATGTTCATACCATATCATTCGCCCAGTGAAGACAGGAGGAAGTGGCGTCGAGTAATCAACAGCTTCACCGCGGAGAAAGCGGCCCAGAAGCGCCCTCTCAAGACTCCAGAGGTCAGTTTAGGCTCCTTTGTGGAGTGGTCGGACCCGGAGCATAATAATGCAGAGCGCATATCACAGAGTTCGGCAAGAAATGGCCGGCTGCGCATCAAGAGGCCAGCTGCACGTCAAAAGGTCTACCGAATGACCAGCATGGGCCGCAGGCTCCCAGAGCCGCTTGGCTCCTGGGCACTCTCGTACTGTGAGTACCGACCCTGATTTGATTTCTTGGTGCATACTTTGCTGAAACGGTCCAAGACTTTGACGTTATCTGTCCGCACGATTCCCGGGTATTCGGCCATTGCCCTTCAAGCGCAAAATCTTATGTATCCGCTCTACATGACTGGTCATCCAAGAACGCAATCACCCGGCATGGGCTTGTCGCCTTTGCCCTGTGCACGCTGATTCCGGGGGATCGCACTGGTGAAATTTACGCAGCAACCATCTTCTACCGCAAGAGACTCCTGGACGATGTACACAGGATGCTGGCGACCGACACGGTCGACGACGTTCTAGTCCATGCACTGTCGCTGCTGATACCGATTGACGACTATCTCGGCTGGGAAAACTACAGCAGAACGCATGTACCAGGTTTTCGCGCGGTCATTCAGGCCCGAGGGGGCTTTGATCAGATTGGGCAGTCATTGCCGGCCATGAGGGACGCCGTGGTGGCGTCATCTCTCCTTGCACAGAGCCTTTTGGTCTGCCATGAGGATACACTTCCCCGGGACCAGTTTACACATTCCAGCAGGAGCTCGGCGGCCTTTCCCGAGCGATACACCCATTCAGACCTGCCTCGCGGTTTCGTCGAGCTCATACAAGGGGGATATCTCTCGTCGACCATGATTGAGATCCTGCAGGGCTTCTCCGCCTGGCACGGTACATATCTTCAGCACAACCCTCGGGAAACCCCCACCTGGCTCTCCCCGACGACCACCCTATCAAACCTCACACACCTCGAAAAGTGCATCTTGGTCAGCTTGCGATGCCTCGCGGACGACATGAGCGCCATGGCCCTGCACCCGGCATCTCAAATGCATAGACAGACCGAGAAGCGGGCGGAGATGCTTCTAAACCTGGCATACTCAGGCCGGGACTCGTGGAAGAGCAACTGCGCAGTTACCGACTGCTTGATATGGTTATCGTTTGTTATTTGCGCGCCAGTGGACCATGGGATTGCTGCTGATGGCATGCAAAAGGAGGTCTTTCGGGCCTTGCTCGTCCCCGCTGTTCTTGAGCGTGGCTCTGCGGCTTGTGGGGCTGTGCAGAGGGTGCTTCGCTCCTTTTTCTATGACGAGGGACGGGCTCAGGCGTGGGAGGCGACGTGGGAGAAATTCCTTGCTCCTTATCGGGATCCTCACGGCTGAGGTCAGGAAGAATGCTATGCTCTGCAAGCAATAGAAGATAGAGAAGAGAAAGATATACCTCAACCACCCATCTGTCCCTATTTAACCCACCACCAACAATAGCGTCCATTTCCCTTGCATACATGAGAAATTAAAGTGCACCTATACCAAATCAATAATACCACCTATCAAAAATAAGGTCTACACTGGCTGCCCCCTCCTTTAGATAAAACTCCCCGTCCTTATCCGCCAACGCAATACACTTGTACTCCTGAATGATCCCCCGATGGTGTCCATGGGGAGTTCAAGTGGGCATACTTTTTAGGCTGGCGCGAAGGTATGAACGGAACAGTCCCTGTGTATTTGCTGGTTTAGTTAGTTTATACAGGCCTGTATCTGAAGGGAGTAAAAAGCAGACTACCCCACCCTTGGTGTATCAGCCCGATGTCATGTGTTAAGAAATACGGTGATATTTGCTGTAAGATCTGATAAAATGCGCTATGCCATGCCGCTCGCCTTGATCAATATAACCAAACTATGTACAGTCTCACGAGTACGGTTTCGATTCCCTACGCCAAACGGAACCCCAATGCCTCTACGCATGCGGAATAGACATCCTGGCCCGGAAAGCCCTGATGCACGACCAACTCGCCATCCCCTTGACCGGCCCCACCGCATTGAGCGGATCCCACTGATCGTCCAGCGTTGCACTTTCCAACCGTTTGGTTCGCAGCATCATGTCAATCTTCTGCCTTCGTATCCTCGTGAGCTTCTGTAGCATCGCGCTCGCCGTCACCTGTCCCCCAACCCCGTTGACGACGAAACTCATCTCCGCGAATCCCGGCTCCGCCGTACACCGCTCGTGCAAATCAAGCCGGAGCGCCTCTTCCGCCAGCGACGCGAGCCAGTTTGAATCAAAGGGGCCCTCGCGATGTGGCCAGGACCGGAGGAGCTCGATGGCGCGCCAACGGACGCCGTACTCGACACACAGGATAGCAGAGAGATACAGGGGCGGGAGAACGCCCGCTTCGAGGGTGAAGGATGGGCGTTCCGGGAACTTGCTCATGATCTCTTCCGTCAATCTGCACACCGTCTCCAACTCACTGGTGTAGTGTGCCATGGCCGCGTAATTCTTTCCTAAAAGGCAGGTCTGCAGGCACACGGGGAGGCTGATGAGGTTCAGGTTGATGATATCTGCGCCGCGCTGCTCCTTCGGAGAGAGCTTGTGGTAGGTGGTTGTGTAGAATGGGCGGAAGGAGTGGGTGAATTGGTTCATCTGCCACCAGACCTCGTGCTGCTGCGCTTGGAGGACGGAGTAGCTCGCCACGACCTGTTCTTCGGTCATGCCCATGCAGGGGGCACTGAATTCGTAGGCTGCGCTGAGGAGGGAGTCGAATGCGATGCGGGCTTCGGGGAGGGTGTGGAATGGCGTAGGGGCGGCGGGGGGGTGCGCAATATGCTGACCGTGGGCGCGGAGGATGGGGAAGACGCGGTCGTAGTGCGCGGCGAGGATGTCGAGGTGAGCAAAGGCCGCGACGATGCATTGCTCGACTAGACTTTGCCGGGAAGTGGGATTCGCTACCGGCCCGGTCAGCTGGAGGTCTCTGAGGATGCGGAGGCCGCTTTGCAGATGTAGAAAGGCATTTTCGTAGAATCCGCGCAGCAGATCAGCGAGAACAAAGAGCAGACAACACACGAGTATGACTTCTCGGAGGCGGGGATCCTGCGAGGTTCGTCGTTGGTTGATGAGCTTAATTGAGCGAGCTAACTGATCCTCTGCGAATTGGTGCCAGGGGTTTACGGCGCTTGGAGCCGGGGTCGCTAGGGGCATCCCATTCTCTTCGGAATTCTGGTGGATCGCGCTGAGGGCAACAATGGCGTGGTAAACAGGCGGCTCAGAGCGGCTCATCTCGAGGACAAGCTTCTGCCATAGTGCCGAATCGAAAAACTCCAGTAGCGTGGGGACGGTGTGGAACTGGAAGTAGGAGAGACAGCGCCGCTCGTCGGACGTCATTGCCCAATCCAGGCCGGTGCCCAGGCTGCTGGGACTGAGATACTGATTCTCGGGCTGCTTTAGGGCCGCTTTGAGCTTCGGAGGTAACCTCTGGGCATCGTAGCCATCGCACCGTCGACCAGTCGACGAGCAGTTTCGGCAGGCTACGGGGGTTTCGTCGCATTTGAGGTGACGCGCACTGCATGGTTGTTAGAGAGATGGGCTGCTATACGTCTGCCCGGGTAACTCACCGGCATGTTCGACATCCCGTCTTGGATCGCGTTCGACGAGCGGCTGGCACTTTTGAAGAACCCATGATCGTGACGATGGATTGAAGGAGACTCAGCTGCAGCCGACTGCGAATCCAGCTGGCTCCTTAAGAGATTACTCATCAATACTATCGTCAGGCCCACATGCGTATCAACGGTCATTGGTCCGCTCGCCAAAGTAGTGGACCAGATGGAATTCTACGAGAGTCTGCGAGGCGAACTTTTGCTTCAAGTCATTTTGGAGTGGCTCCCAATCTGTCGTTATGTTATTTTGATCTTTGTCCCTTCTCATAACTAAGACGTGAAACTGCCCATGACTCACCCTCATTGCCAGGAGTAGATGTACAGCCGCAGGACTGGGCCCTCGGAAGAAAATATATCATGGATAACAACATTTACCTCAGTACTTACATTGGCAAGACGAGCGAACGACTGGAGGAATATGTATTGGTCAGCACCAGGAGCCAAGCATCGCTGGAACGATCCTTGCCCAGATTCCAGTTCTCCCTTCTTCTCCACACCCGTCCACCTCACTTCTGCACCTTGATTTGCAACCACGCATCATCCCACGCTGGGAAAATGTCCAAAGTGGACAAGAGGTCGCGAAATTAGTAGAGGCAGCCGTGTCTGCGAGAGCCTCTGCCCATCTCATGCTTGATTGATGTCGGACAGGAGGTGGCGGAGGAGCAGCAAATGCTCATGGGTGTCAAGGCTTCCAAGGCCCCTCTCCCTCCTTCACCGGCAGGGCACGAGCTTGTGAAGGCATAGGTTGACTGACCATATTGCGCGTATCTTTCAAATATTGAACTACTAATCAGTTCTCTAGCTTGAGTGGTCTGCATGTTCTCCATTCAGTCCTCAGATGATCAACCGTGCATGACGACTTAGAGTCAATGTACTCGCAAAGCACAGCGCCATGCACCCAGGAAGTGATCTTCCATATATATATGGTGTTTGCGATCGGAGTAAGTCCGCTTTGGGGAAAGGCCCTGCACAGGGTTGCTCCTATTGAGTACTATGTAACAGGATGGGCGACGTAATCTCAATCCTAGTCTACCCGGTTTTGGCCAGATCCAAGCCATCATGCTGATTATTCTTTTTTCGATTGAGTATTATATTGGAATCAAGTACATCAACAGGCTATATATCGACCTTTTTGCTGATATCGTGAAGTGGGGAATAAATAGGGCTTGACACGCATGGCCATGTGAATCTGCGGGAGATCTTCATGCTGGGATGGACAAGAAAAAAGTACATGGAGTTTAAGATGTCTTTGTTGGTAAGGAGCGAGATATGAAGGGAGCACCAGGGGCCAGCAAGGCTTTATACTCACCTAGAGACATGAAGATCGGGTTAGATGGAGACTACATGATCAACTAGCTGGTGGAATGGACAGTGATTGCTCAATACTATAAAAGATTACTCAAGAACTGGGAAGATTACTCAACAGCCTGCCATATAAAAGGACTAGTTTCACTCAAAGCAGGTCGGAGAACATGCCCTTCATTCTCCTCTGGCTCGCGCGGAGCTTGAGCGTTTCCAAGCATGTTTAATTAGAGTCCGCAATATAAGGTACTCTATAATTAAGTTAATACTAGAACCCCCGCTATGTCCCAGGAAGGAGTTTATAGAGTAATTTATCAGTACTAAGAGAAAGGCACCAGAAAGCTGACCGAATGGAAACGCGAGGCCAAGTCTGTCGTTCTAGTCGCGGCTTGAGTCCGTCCTACCATCACCATGCCAGACTCTTGAATAATAACGCAGTTACCATATATAAGTCTTCAACGAGACTGAGCCTGCGGGGCGAAAAAAAAATCCCAAAAGGAAACGAAACTCTGTAGATGCAGGCACAGACAATCGAGTAGAATATGAACCGCTCCATCGCCAGCAAGAAGCTAGAGTATGTCTGGCGTTTCTTCACGTTCCTAACTCTTCAGCACCGCCTCCACGATCGCGGTACTTTGCAGAAGCTCTTCGTCTCTTAGAGTTCGGCCTATGAGCTGGATATGACACGGGGCCCCCTCAACTTCCCGTGGTTTGTCTACGGAAAAGGTTAGTCAGTTATTGGAGCCAGTATGATACTATGTCTCCAACTTACATTCCGGAGTATACGGAAGGTCTCGGACAAACGATGCATCCTTGGCGCTGTCCGCCTTCTCGAATGGTATGACACAGGCTGGTAACTATAGACACGGTTAGTATGAACGGAGTGGGTGGTTTGCCTGGTCTGCTGCCCGCAGACGCTTCACGTACGTTGAACAGGTTACAGAACACCGTGTATGTGGCAACGCCATACGTGTCGTGTGGCACAGCGCAGCTCTGGTATGCGGGTCCAATAATTATGTCGAGTTGGTTGTCGACGAATACACGCCTCATGGAGGGAAGGAGACGGGCCTTTGCAACATTGAGGTCGTACAGCTCCAGGAGCTTCGGCTTTGGGGCGCGCCCTTCGATGTCGTATGTGGACTGCAGGGACGGGATGAACGGCTCGTTCCCGCTGGTAACATGCGTCAACGCGGTGCGGGCGGGGTCCATGTTGAAGAAGCGAAAGGCAATATCCTTGGCGGCTGATATGGATGGCATCTGATCCGAGATGTCGACCACGGTATGTCCTGCGGCCTCAAGCTTGCTGAGGGCGGTTTTCAATGCACGCTGCATTGGAGGATGCAGGGGGTAGAGGGCATCTTCTGGAAGCTGGCCGACTCGGAGCAATGGCTTCTGATCAGCACCCGCCCGCCAGGGAATGTCTAATGCGGTGTCGTCGATGTCTGCCGACTTCGAGTTGAGCACTACTTTCAGCAGCAGTTCAGCGTCTCTGAGCGTATGAGAGAGGGGACCCGCCGATGGGACAATGCCTGCCATCCCGGGCCTCGCAACAGATGTTATCCCGCCATAGGGGACTCGGCTTGCAGAGGGTTTGAATCCAATAACTCCGCAGCATAGCGCTGGGACACGGATCGAGCCTGCGATGTCTGTTCCAAGTCCGAGCAGCGATCCCCGCATGGCGATGAGTGCTCCCTCACCACCGCTACTGCCACCGGCTGTAAGCGACAAACGATGGGGATTCAGCGTCCGGCCAAAGACATTATTATGCGTGTCAAGCGTCATCATTGTCTGGGGAATGTTCGTCTTGACATAAAGCACTGCCCCAGCCGCTAGTAAGACATCTACCAAAACACTGTTGCTTTGCGGCGGGGGCCGATCAAGGAAAGACACAAATCCCATGGTCGTTGGGACGCCTGCAATGTTGTAGCATTCCTTGAGGCTGATCGGAAGACCGTGGAGGGGTCCCACTGTCTTGCCTGTGGCCAGGAGATGATCATCCAACTCTCGAGCCCTGCGGAGAGCAGTTTCCAAAAACATTTCCGTGAGACATGAGGTCAGCTGCTGGGCGATGGCTGCACGCTTACAGAATGCCCTGGTGACTTCAACTGCCGAAAACTCATGAGAGGCAAGTTTCTCGAGCAAGGCCGTTGCATCAAACGCTTCAGTGATATGAATCTCCCTTGGTGATAGGATCCCACAGCGGCGCGGGATATCGAGAACGGACTCATGACTGTCTTGCGACACATCAAGATAGCATGTTGACAGGCGCCACTCGACGGGAATATTATCCTTAGTCTCAGATGCTTTGACTCTGACTTTTTCCTGCCATGTACTTTGCGGCATCTTGGTACCACGGTTGCGAGGAGGAACTGATAGAAGGCAGGGTGATTTCAGGTCCTATTCTGAAGGGAAAGGGCACGGATGCCCATGCGCAGAGATAAGTTATATCATGTGTCTGGAGGGTGACTTAGCGCCGCATGGGTTGAGAAGTATGGTTGCTATCCTTGGCTGTGTTTAACGAATCGGGTGTTGCGCGGAGATGGCGGGGAAGTTGCAGTGGGCGTCGGATATACGGAACTATATCTACGTATCTTTTGGATGGAACGACACACCGAAGCTACTATCGCGGATGTTGCCCGGGAAGGAGCAAAGGGAATGGATCCTATTCTCCTGCAATGTGCCCTCCAGTGTTCCAACTACCCTAGGCATGACAAACTGAGAGCGAGGTCTCAGAAATGGAAACCAGTTCAAAGGCCAGCTCTGCATTTTCATGGACCTCCACCGTTGTCCTTGCTGAGTTACAGCAACCTCGAGTGCCTCTTGACGGGCTTGCTTCCCGCAATGTCCCCGGTCACGCAGCGTTATCGGGGCCTCCAGCCACGGACTCTTTCATTGGTTGGGGCTTGCAGTGAGTGGAGAACCAGGGCGCTGGCTCTCCGATTAATAATCGGGGACTAGCACTGCAGGTCCAAGGCCAGCAGCCTGTGATGAGGGGCAAGAAGGATCTGCAAAAAGCAAGGGACTGCTCCGATCGTGTGGAGTATGAGCAGCATATCTCCTTATCAGCATCCTCTGCACTCCGCTTTTCCATAGCGGCGCTCGTGCGGAGATGGACAGCAGTAACCCCCTCATTTCAATGCCGCCACAAGATGTCATCCTCCCCATGTCAGAGAGCCAAACCTCCAAATATTCTCTCGGTCCTTCCCGACGTCAATGGCTCCGACAGCAGCTCAGCAACCCGGGAATACCGCGCAGGTATATATGCCAGACGGGCCACTGGCGAAGAGGCGACGCGTAGCCCTGGCATGCAGTGCATGCCGTGCGCGAAAATCAAAGTGAGCAAACCTACCAGATCTGTGGTATGCCAAGCTAAACGGAGTTCTCCTTGCAGATGCGATGGGCGGCGACCATCGTGCTCAACATGCGCCTCACTTGAAATCGACTGCTTGTACGAGCCATCCGAGTCGACGACGAATGTCCTCGTGCGCAAAGACTATGTATCCGATCTTGAACAGCGCCTCAAGGACGTCGAGCGTGTGTTGCAGCGACATGATGATCTTCTAACAGGGCATCTCTCTGCGTGTTCCCCGAATAGCCAGCGAGTCTCTACTGCACGGATCGACGATCGCTCGAGCATCAGCACGGTCGGTCGGCTACACGATGGAATTCATCTTCAGCCTCTGAATGTCGACGACCCAGCCGCGGACGACACCAACACAGATGGGCTCGCACTCGGATTTGTAGAGGAAACTACTCCAGTATTTTACGGTGATTCGTCAAGCATTGTGTTCACTCGTTGTCTTCTCGAAGCCATCGCGACGGTTTCAAAGCCCAAGGGGAGCGAGGACACTCTGATGGAGGCAGCGTGCGAGAGGAATAGCTCTACGGACTGCAATCCCGCGCCAGTAGCTCGCCCGCAATCTCCGTCAGTCATGGAGTCGCCTAGGGATATAGCTTTCTCACCCACGGCACTGCCTTCGGAGGCGGAGATGGATGCGCTATTGCGCACATACTTCAGTGGCTACGGCTCTTTGTTTGCCTTTCTGCATGAGCCCACATTCAGAGAGACATACGATGAGTGCAAGGAAAATGGCTTCCTCAGGGCTCGGAGAGGCTGGCTGGGCCTGCTGAATATGACATTTGCAATGGCTGCGCACATCGATCAAGCAGCAGACAGCTCTGCAAAGTATCGCTTCAAAAGGTCGTACGTTTTCTTCCAGCGCGCTGTATCTCTCTGCAGTGAGTCGTCCACGCGCACCGTCAGCCTTGACATTGTACAATATCTCTTACTAGCCGCGCTGTATCTCCAGGGGACACAGAGACCCATCCAAGCGTGGACGGTGCATGGGATGCTCGTGCGAACAGCCATGGCCTTGGGTCTGCATTCCGAGAAATCGAGTCAGGGACTTCATCCGGTGCAACAAGAAGTCCGCCGCCGGACCTGGCTTACAATATATTGCCTGGATAAAATTCAAAGTGTTCAGTGCGGACGTCCCCCGGCGGTACCGGACGAATACATCGTGGTGAAGATGCCATCACCGTGGCCTACCACCATGGCCACGGGACGGGATCAAGGGAATGACGTAGATAATCAGACCGCATTCCTCTATGCGACCGTGCGCCTGCTCCAGGTCGTTGGCCAGTCCATTCGGACACAGTACGGGCAGAATCTAGGGCTGCGAGATGACGAGGTCGACGACAGTACGGCGATCCAGGCGGCCAGCGCCGTTCGACAGGAACTCCGGCGTTGGGCATGTAGCCTCCCCCCGTCTCTTGCACTCTGTGAGTCCACATCGTATATTCTCTCCGAAGAACACAGCAGCGAGTCCAGTCGGATGCGGGTCATTCTCACGCTGCGCTATCACTTTGTCAATATCCTAATCCATCGCCCGCTGCTCTGTGCTACACTGCGTTACCTGACCATCAAAGCGCCCCCAGCGGGAGCTCCATTGCCATACAGAATGCAGCTTGCCATGGCGGAAGCCCACGAGTGCATTCGTTCTGCGGAGGAGACAATCGAAATAGTCCATACGGTTATCAGCGGATCCAGTCCTTCCTACACCAAGTTGGATGTTTGGTTCTTCACTTTGTTTCACGGTACGTGGCCCCCTACTCCAGCACCTTACAGGCCAGTGTAGTACTTATTCTGTTCCATCAGTATTCAACGCTGCTCTGGTAATCATCGGGCGCTCCGTTTTGGAACAGCAGGGTGTGTATATCAACGACGGTGCCGGATCTCCAAGCTCGGCCCAGCAGCACCTCAACCAATCCGTAGAGGCTCTCGATAAGCTCGACAATGAAAACCGCTTAGTACGCAACTGCGCCAAGGTGATCAGACGCCTTGCCCAGCCCCAGCATGGCAAAGGTTAGTGAGCCCGCAATTTAATAACTAGTTAATTACCCTGCTTTCTCATAATAGCTGACATGATACCACAGGCCAAGGGCCTACCCCTGCCGAGCAATATCCTCCTGCAAACCGCCACATAGTCCAATTTGAAACCGAAGGAGACCTGTCTTCCTTGGGGCTTCCATCTCTTTCTGATCTGGACATTGTTCAGTTCTCGAGCGGCGAAATGATGGGCAATGGGTTTGGTGAAACGTCCTTGAGCTTGGATCAGCTATACTCTGGCTATTAGACCAAATCGTTCTTGGCTTTTTTTTTCTGGTTTCTCTTCTTGAATGTGGTCGCAAGCAGCTAGAGTATATGGTGTGATACATAAAAATCTTACTGCGAGGATGCAGAATACCAAATTCCTACAGGGTTGAGCGGGCTCTGGCGATGCCGTCGAGGTGCGCCAGTACCAGACGCGCACAAGATAATTCGGCTGATATTAGCCAACAACCCAACAAAATAAAAGTAAAACGCATTTGGTAAACACAGGTCGATGAAACACCCGACAGCCTGACAGACGGGGACCACTATCATGCCAAAGTATCAGGATTACTAGCCCACTTGCCCTCAGATCTTGGCCCTATATAGAACAAGACGTTATATTAGCATGCAAGGTCCTGGCAGCCTGCCGGCGGGATGTTCACTCGGAGAGCCCAGGGCCCAGGTCATAACTTACGCATTCAACGCCTCATCCATCTTCCGGAACGCTGCTTGGACATCCCCCTCCAAGTCATGGAACCAAATCCAATCGAACCAGCCATCCTGCAGCTTCCCTGCAATCCTCTCCATTTCGCGCCCAGTTTCCGGGTGCTGGAAGTGCAACATGCGGCTCATTTCGTAGGCGCGCTCAAGCTGCATCTGGGCACGCGGCCGCCGAATGGCGTCGTACGCGGAAAGCCCCGCTCGAATGTATGGGTCCAGTGCTGCGCCCTTGTCGGGCGTGCTGTAGATCCTGCCGAGCACGTTGGAGAGAATCAAAGAGTCCTCCAGCCCCTGGCCCGCGCCGGCGGCTTGGAAGGGGAGTGATGCGTGGGCGCTGTCGCCGAGGAGGACGACACGGTCTCGGTAGTAGGTGGAGGTGTGGCGGTGGTGGAAGAACCCCCATTTCACGGGCATTGCTTTGTTTAGTAGCCGGCGGAAGCGCGCGTCCACTGGTCCCTCGAAATCGGCCATCATGGCCTCGTGGCTGATCCGCTGGGAGACGGCATTGGGGAACTCCCACGGCTTGTCGTCGAGGGCGCAGAGGAGGAAATTGAATTCCTGGAACGCGTGTGCAGTCAGCGTATGTACTTGACTCTGCTAAAGCATTCTTTTCTCTGGCAGGGCAACTTACATCGCCTTTCGAGATTAGATACGTCACACAGCAACGCCTATCTCCAACGTACATCTTGGCTACGTTGTTGAGCTCCTCTCCGAGTATCTCGTTGGCCTCGGATGTTGGAATCACGCCTCGGTAGCAGTACGAGTCGGCATAGACGGGCGCCACTTGGCTCGGGTGCAAAGGTCCCAGGACGTGCTCTCGCACCATGCTCTTGATTCCATCCGCGCCCACCAAAACACTCGCCTCGGCGACCTCGCCGTCGGCAAACTTCAACTTGACCCGATCTGGTCGCTGCTCGATCTCTTTCAGGCACTTGCTGAAGCGGACATTCTCGATTGGGATGAAGCTCGTCATGATTTGGAGGACTGCGACGCGATGGGCCTAATCAGAGTTAGAAAAGAAACTACATATATTACAAAGTGGATGGGGTCACCAACACCTCTGCGGACATAGTCCGGGTGGCCCCAGGCTGATTTCCCTCGCCAGGGCTCGTTGAGACCTGTGGAGTTAACAGAGGGTTTTCAATGCGAGATATGGAGATGCGCTTTGCGTACCGAGACCTTCCTTCAAGAGCATGCCCTCGTAGTAGATATCCTGAGGGTGGCCGGGCATATTGCCTACACAGACCTTGTCATATTCTGCACGGAAGCCCTCCTCGATCATGTCCAACGCCAGATCTCCATTTGGGCCGAAGCCAATGCCCGCTCTAGTTGGTTGCTGCGGTCAGGGAAAACAATCGGTGACTATGCTACATGAAGAAAATAGAGAAATAGAAGAAGAAGATGATGATGATGGAGATGGAGATGGACAAGAAACCTTACCCAACAACAGAGTACTCGGCAGCTGCTTCATAAATCGTATAGGGCACGCCTTTCTTCTCCAGCCCCATGGCCAGGGCAAGCCCTCCAATCCCGGCGCCTGGAGTCGGTCGCGAATCAGTAATGCGGGGGGTGGCGGTTGGATATATCCTGGCGAGACGTACCGACAATGGCAACGTGCAAGTCTTTGACGGTATCTTGAGCCATGATGAGATCTCAGCTACGGCTCTTTGTGCATGAACAAGCCAATATCAATCTCTTGCTGTATGCATCCCCGCTCAGATATATCACCCGCCACAACATGGCACCACCTGAGACGCAGAACCCCGCGGAGTTCCGGCCCGGATACGACCCCCTGGGAAAGAGTAATCCGCGTACATTGCACTCATCGGAAGCAGATAAGCTTGGGGCTGCGCGGCAATGGCATTAGGCGGGTCCCACCTGGTGTAGTACAACGCAATCCCGGCTGTTCCCCGACTCCCCGCGCTGCGGGAGCAGTGATGCGCGTATAACCGCAACCCATGGCTGAGTAGTTGAATACGCGACCAGATCGATCCCGCCATTCACCAATACAATACAAAATGAGCACAGTGGAAGACCCCGTCCTCGCCAAACCGGCCGAGCTCTGCTGCCTCCGGGGCTCCATCCACTCCGGAGAGCCAGCGGGCGGAGTTGTCCAGATTGGAGGCGTCGATACCTATGTCGCGACGCCAGACGTAGGCGTGTCGAACGGGCACGTCCTCCTGTTCTTCCCGGATGCTTTTGGCCTGCACATCAACAATTTCCTCACGATGGATGCGTTCGCCGCGTGCGGCTATTTGACGCTGGGCGTGGATTATTTTGCTGGGGTATACTTCTCTCCGTAGGACTAGATGGAGAAAGGGACTGACGCTGGTGATGTGGATTGCCTCTTAGGACCCTATTTGGAAACATTCGCAAAACCCCTTGGATGATCCAGACTTTGACTTTCAGGGCTGGAAGAACAAACATATGGCGTCTACCGATAGCATCGCTGCGAAATGGGTCAAAGACGTCGAATCACGATACGGGAGAGATGGGCAGGTCAAATTTGTTGCCGCAGGGCATTGGTCAGTGATATCGCGGCAGGTAGCTAGGGCCAGGCAGGGAAACTGACGATATTATTCACCAGCTGGGGCGCTCGGTTCGTGTGTACGCAACTGTCCACAGACGGAATCTGCAAAGCCGGAGCAATCGCCCATCCATCTTTTATGAACGAAAGCCATGTCCGCAATATCGACGGTGAGCGCCATCGCCATCCGGCCGTACAGTGGCAGACACGCTGACCAGTACCAGCGCCCATTCTGTTCTCCGTCGCGAATGTAGACGGCCTTTTCATGGCCGAGCAACGCAGCAGGGCCGTGGAGATTCTGACACAGGGGAAGAAACAGTTCAACATGCAGGTTTTCTCTGATGTTGGGCATGGATTTGCGGTAAGTGTGTCGGGGTGGCTCTATAATTCATGACGCATGCTAAGAGCTACGTCTAGTCGCGGGCATTTTTGTCCGATCCGTACGAGAAATGGGCCAAGGAGGCTTCGTTTAAGAGTTTTGTCGACTGGTTCGACTTTTGGCTTGAGGCTGCGGGAAACTAGAATAGAACCGTAGCACGGGAATGTTAGGCTAACCTGTATTATGTCGAGTACAAATGCAACCCCAATGTCTTGTCAAATGGCGCCGGACAGTAAGGACAGCCTTTTAGACTAGAATCATAACTTAGTAGACTTCTTGCCATAGAGCGGATTGAGAAAACTATCATCTACTCTAGAACAATTGAGCGGCAAATGGAGGAAAAGTCGACTAGGCATTGCACCATGTGGCCAAGCCGGCGCTTTACACTGAAGAGTCCCGCGATTTTGCTTGCAGTAACTGTAACAACATCCGATCTCTCTTCGCGGTAATGGCGTCCCAATCAACTGACCCCAGCCACTTCAACGCCTCCGTATTCAGCATGGAGAGCTTCTCCTCACTCCAATCAAATCGGTGCTCCAGCATATCTTCCTCCCAGCCCCGAATCGCCGGCCCAAGCCGCTCAATGCGCTGCGTGAACCCATTCGGCCCTCCACCCCCGCCCAGCGAGTTTGTAACAAATGGACCTGTCAAAGCCCATCGAAGGCCTGGACCCGAGGTCACCGCTGTATCGAGATCCTCGGCGGAGACAATCCCGCGACTCACGAGGCTGTATGCTTCGCTGTTGATTGCGGCCTGCAGACGATTCGCGACGAAACCGGGGACCTCGCGGCGGAGGAGAATGGGGCTCTTGCCAAGGGACTTGTACAAGTCCATTGCCGTGGATATCGCGCTCGTGCTGGTTCCTGGGTGGGGGACCACTTCGACCAGGGGGACCAGATGTGGTGGGTTGAATGGATGGCCGACCAGGATGCGACTCGGGTCTTTGCCGCACAGCTTGATGAAACCTGACGCCGGGAGACCAGAAGAAGACGATGAGATGACAATGCCATGTCTGGTGTACAGGTCCAGTTTTTCCATCAGCTCTTGTTTGAATTCGGGGCGCTCCGGTCCATTCTAGAGTGGTATTCGGATTAGCCCACCTTCGTGCTGTTGGTTTCAGGGCTGCGGTCAGTAGCTACGAACCTCTTGCACGAAATCGACTTGTCCTAGGCTCGACTCCAGGTCGTCAACAAACTTGTAGTTCTGCGCCCAGGTATCTTGTCGGTCGGGTATGCATGCTTTCAACGCAGGCCAAGCGTCCTGAAGGTATTTCTTGAATGCTTCCTGGGCGCCTTGGGCGGGATCAAAAATGATGACCTTCAGGCCCCGAGAGAGGAAGAGACACGCCCAGCTGGCACCGATAACGCCGCACCCAATGACGGCGACCGTTTTGATGTCTTGTTGCATGGTGAAAGTTATGATGGGAATCCGCGCCGTCGGACAGACACAGACACTTGGGTCGGAGATATAGATAACCACATATTAGTGAGCTCCCTCCTCTAAACCGCAGGTGATATACACCAGGAGGGAATCAGAGCGCAGCTTGCATGCGTTGAGCTATGGGCGTTTAGTGTCTTGGGGAGTCGGGTTAACCCTGCTCCCCTAAATGGGTCTCCCGGAGATTCCCCGAGATCCGCGATTGGGCGAGACGGTGACCGTCATTAGGTAGGCTAGGTATTAGGGAGTTCAGTGTATAATCCGAGGGTCAGTCGTCATTGTTGGAGTGCAGTGATACAAGTGCTCCATAACCCGCCAAAGCTGGCACGCTGACTTTTCTCCTATCCACCAAGGTTCATCTAAAACATGACCACAGCTCCGCCAACAGAGTCGCCGGACGACTACGGTGCCGGGACGTACACCGACACAAGTTTTACACCAGTGCCACAAGAATGTAGGCGACTGTTGAAGGTCTTTGCTGCAAAGACGCCGGGATTTACGCAGGATCAAGGTCTGCTTGACGGTGTCAAGTTCGAGGGCGACGACCTCCCCTGCATCCCCGGACCGATCAAGGCACAGGCTGTAACGGCAGTACTCCATGCAATGGTCGGTATCGTGGGTCTTGAACTCCTTCATCTTCGCGGCGAGACTGTCAGCGCCACGACGTACGTCAACACGAACCACGCAGGACTGTATCCAGCCACTCCCGGGCTGGTCACAGTGGACGGACAGACAGGCCCGGCCGTTATCGCGCTGCCGACGGTGCCTCAATGGGATAAAGACCGCCAGTCGGGCTCTCCTTTGATCTATCGTTCGACGGCCATCTATCCAACCGCCGAAGAGGGAACGTGGTTCCAGCTTCATGGCTCGCTTGATTCGTGGGCCATGCTACAGACGATCGGCATTACAAGGGACGACGAAGCGAGTGTGCGATCAAATGATGATGCTTACAGGCTGATTGGCGAACGCGTGCGCACATATCGTGCGCGCGAACTCGAACAGCTCATGCTGGAGCATGGCCTCTCCGGCTCGATAGTTCTCTCCCCGGAGAGCTGGCGAAGCACGGAAATGGGCAAGTCCCTCGCGCGGCATCCACTCGTCAACTATACAAAGCACGGAGGCGGTCCGTCTCTGCCTCCGACGCCTCACCTCAAGCTCGCCGATAAACGGCCCCTGGCTGGAATCAAAGTCGTTGAACTGGCGCGCATCATTGCCGCCACGGCGGCGGGCGCCGCTCTCGCATCGATGGGTGCCGAGGTCATCCGCGTCAACTCATCCAAGCTCAAGGACTACACGCCGGCGCAGCCTTCCTCTCTAATGGCCGGCAAGGTTACAATCGATCTGGACCTTGACGAACCCGCCGATCACGCGCGCCTGACACGGCTTTTCGAAGAAGCCGATGTAATCATCCAAGGGTACCGCCTGGGCTCTTTCGCACGTCGTGGGTTCGGCTTCGAGGACGCGCAGAAGATCGCAGAGAAGCGTGGCAGAGGGATCGTCTACGTGGACGAGAACTGCTATGGTCCGGACGGCTACTACGCCGAGCGGCCCGGGTGGCAGCAAGTGGCCGACGCAGCCGCAGGAAGCTCCTACGTGATGGGCCAGGCATTTGGCTGCCCGAGGGGGCAGGGAGTGCTGCCGAGTCTGCCCATCTCGGATATGTCGACGGGCATTCTGACGGCGCTGACCATCATGTGCGGCCTCCGGGACCGCGCAAAGGTTGGTGGCTCTTATCACGGGCATGCCGCACTCACAGCCTACAATATGGCAACACTAGATCCGGATGTCGGACTGTACCAACGGGATGTGGTGCAGAAGATCCAGGAAAAGTATCGCTTCGCGCCGTGGTCCAGCGATGCGCATGTTGCCCCGCTGTACTACAATATCATCAAGGCCTGGGATGAGAACAGCGACCTGGTGAAGAACGAAGACTACTACGTGCACTTTTCCAACTCGGTGTTTGGGGACCAATTGCGTGTGCTTGGACCTGTGGTCAGGTATGCTGATGAGAAGACGACGCCCAGGTGGACGAGTCCGCCAGTTCCCTTTTGCCACCACGAATTTCGATCCTTTTCTCGCTCGGTCTAGCCAGCGCATAAAGCACTTGATGCCAGCATGACTCTGGTTGAGCAATACAGGGTGGCTTCTTATTAGCAGATCGTATTGTTTTTTCCTCGAGCATACATTGCCATTAAACCAAGTTGTGCAAGAGACCCAATTCCATGGATGTATTTCCCGTAGCTCAGCAGATACTTCGCGGACAATTCAACCTGTATCAATTGCCCATTCAAAGATTGTCTGCTGACGATTGTCCACCCCTCGGGGGTCCGGTGGTCTACTGTTGCTTTCATCCAGATTCCGAACGACACTGGTTCATCGCCCTCCCCCCTACCCAGCTTGATGCATAGCATGTCTGACTGGACTCGCCTAATGTGAAATGAAGAAATGTGAGTCAACTACGAATAGTCCTGATTGGGCGGGGAAATCGCGTAACAGCGGGATAAAGTGGAGCAGAATGAGATCTTTGCTGCTCTGGTGGAAACACTTGCCACCACCCCCCTCCTTCACCAGGGGTTCCGCCCAGTAAAAAAAAGAGACAAACGTACGGGTCTATGTGTATATAATGAAGGATCCACCCTGGTGCGGCATGCATCTTCCTTGTCGTAACACAGCCATATCGTCCATAATGCCACCCTACCCTCCGACCCTCCGACCCGGTCAGCTAGAACAATATCTCCAGCGCATCAAATATGACGACGACGGAGCCCCTCAGACGGACAACAGTCACCCGCGCTTAACGAAATTGCAAACGGCCATCGAGAATGACCCCTTGACAGCCCTCGCTGCATTGCAACGGCGCCATCTCGGCTCCATTACCTGGGGAAACACCGCCCTGCACTACTCGACCCACCATTCCATCTCCATCCATCCATCCTCCGTCTTCGAGAAGCTCGTTGTCCGTGGCCATGATGGATACTGCATGGAGAATACGAATCTCCTGTATCTGGTTATGCGCTCCCTGGGCTACAATGTGTATCCGACCGGGGGCCGAGTGAGCCGTGCAGTCGTCAAGGGGGATCCTGCTGAGCAAGGGTATATCTCTTTGTAAGTGGTGATCGGCAGGGCTGCCTGCATCCAGGATATTGTCTCGTGCCGTCGCTGACGCAAGGAAAACAGAAGCCACATGGTTCTTATTGTGACCATCGCCGACCAAAAGTACATGGTATGCCAACGCCGATTCCAGCACAGCCGGGCGAAATAACGAATTGACGAATACTGATCGAATTGGACACACTCTACAGGTCGACGTTGGTCTGGGCCGGAATACCCCTACCAGCCCGCTTCTTCTACAGGAGGGTCCCGCGCAACCCTTGATTTTGCCGAGCGAAATGTCCTTGATCAAGCGGCCCCTCGCCGAGTTCGTGGACCAGACACAGACGGTCTGGATTTACCAGGCGCGCAACGACCCACAGAGCCCCTGGATCGCACAATACTCGTTCTCCGAAGTGGAATTCCTCTTCCAGGATTTTGGCATGATGAACTTCTTTACAAGCACCAGTCGGTCGATCTTGTTTACGCAGAAACTCGCTTGTACCCGTGTCATCCTGGACGAGAATGGCGTCGAACCGGCTGGGATCTATATACTTGCTGGGAAAGAGGTCAAGAGGGTGCTGCGGGGAAAGACCGAGACGGTCCAGGTATTGAATACAGAAGAGGATAGGGTGCGTGCGTTGGAGAAATACTTTGATATGCATTTTCACGAGCACGAGGTCGAGGGAGTTCGCGGGCTGTCTTCTGAGATTCGATCTCGGTAGTCCCGTTGCAGTGCCAGGATCTTTGAATCGCATAGTCCAGATCAAGGTAATGAATGGTCAAAGACACTGATCCTCGTTATTGAGAATGTTCAAGGATTCTCCAGTATGGATTACTCTACACGTGGACAAAATGACTTGAAGTCGTAAAAAGTAACAATTGCTGACTAGCCCATTATTTCTCCCCCCTCCATACCCTCTCAATGGCAGTTGCAGCCCCCAAAACCTTCTCCTCTTCAAGTCTCTTCCCTATAACCTGCAAGCTGACCGGATGACCATTCATGGTGTTTGGATCATACAGGCCCCAGTTCCAAGCATCCAGCTCATTGCGTGGCTCGTAATCATCCAGCTTCTTATCGACTTCTTTCCGAACTTGATCCACCGGGAAACTGATGGCCGGGTAATCAAGCAAGTTCCAAACTTTGGTGTAGCCCACCCATCGCAGCTTCCGGTGCGGAACAGCAGTATGAGCAGTTGTCGGCCCTAGCAGGACGTCCAGTGGCTTTCCAGAGGGAGAGCGAGCCGTGGTCCATTTCCTAAGGTACGCTTGCCTCAATGCCGCCTTCTTCTTGTTCAGCTGCCAATATTCATACACCGGCAATGCTTTCCCCTGGGCCCGATCGGCCATCGCTTGCACGTGGGGGATCATTGGCTCTCCGGCAGCGTTGATGTTTCTCAGGATATCCTCAAACCCATCTGCGACGTAATACTTATCCATGAGTTGAGCGCACTCGAGGTGGTCTGATGTGTCCCATGGGATCACTTCATGGCCCTGTTCCTTGAGTTTGGTCGCCAAGTCTCGGAGAGTTCTTTCAATAGGAGGATGCACTCTGACAACGCCGTCGTCATTGATCAATCCAATCACCAAAGGGCGCGTCTGTACCTCCTGAAAAACAGCCTCATTCCAAGGAAGCGGAGCACACTTTGGGTCCTGTTCCCAGGGCTCCGAGCCCGCGACCAGACGGCTTATATAAGACAGTGACTCCATATCACGAGCCATGGGGCCAAACGCGAAATGCACATGTTCCTGACCTTCCATAGGCCCAGGCGCTCCGATGGCTGGAAACCTGCTACTCTGTGACGGGTAAGCGGCTGCAACGCCCTGGAGATATGACTGCAACAAGTAATCCACAGAGGCAGAACTAACCGTCGGCTTGAAGGCATACACTCCATTCATGCTTCCCGGAATCCTAATGCTTCCTCCAATATCCGATCCCAATCCCAAAATGGACCCATGTAGAGCCAGCAGGGCACCCTCACCACCAGAAGATCCACCAGGGATGAAGTCGGGGTTCCGCGGGTTGACTGTCCGGCCCCAAAGCGGGTTTTCCGTTTCAGCCCACTGCAATCATAGTTAACCCAAAATATTCCCATGGGAAGCGACCAGGGCGAGGATCATACAAGGAGGGTCTGGGGCAAATTGGTTTTGCAGATCACGACCGCGCCCATGTCTTTGAGGATCCGTACAATGACTGCATCTTCAGTCGCAGGCGAGAACGAACGGCCCACGTATCCGAGCGTAGTATCCACCCCTTTCACATTGAACTGATCCTTGACAGTCACAGGGATGCCGTGTAGAGGCCCATGAAGCTCTCCAATTTTTTGGAGATGATGATCCAAGGCACGGGCCTGGGACAGTGCCTGCTCGAAGACAGTTTCCGTGATGGCATTGGTCTAGTCCATAGTTAACGGATCTGAGTACCAAAGGAAGCGAACAATACAGCGTACCAACTGATGAGCCACCACCGCCCTGTCAACCCAAGGTCAGCGTTCCAGGTCCTCACATCGGGCCAAACATCTCAGACCTATTGGTGGACACACTGACGCGGTACGCACCTTTTGATATATGCAAGAGTCACCTGCTCAGCCGTGTACTTCCCTGACCTCAGTTGCGCGAGCAGAGCGGGAACACTCGGTATATCGGTGATCTCTTGTGAAACCAGATCATCAATCCGGGAGCGCTCATGGACATTATGCACTCGGGGAGGCTGTTGGTCCAGGTCGGATACTGTGTATGGCTGGATGGCTCTGTCCCGAAGAGACCGTTTGTCTGCCGCAATTTCTTCCCAGCTGCGGACGCTTCCCATGATGGTGTGTATCCCGATTTCAACCTAAACTGCGAGGAAATCGAGCTGAGATGGAAAAGGTATCGAGGCTCGATGATATACATGTATATAAGCGCGATGTTCTGATTAGACTATGAGTCGCGTCCATCCGATAAGCGACTTCATCGCTATTCATCAGCCGGGGAGTTCGGGGTAACTGCGGAAGACTTTGTCCACGGATGCGTGTGCCAGCGTGGCTCCTCGCACGTGTTTCAGCTGGGTAGGGGGCCCCGAGATCTAACAGGCCAGACTTGGCAACAACTTCCCAGTGAATGACTTTGGAAAGGTAACCCTGGATCCATCTATACAGCAGCCGATTTCCCTCTACAACTACCAGCCAGATAATCCCCCAGTCGACGCTTTCCGATGAGTAAATGCCTCTTGGAAACCAGTATTACAGGTCGCTGTAAAAGGTCACTGGCACCGTGTACCCAACATGCTTAGGAATCGACTTTGATTATCCCCATGACTGTGCTAGAGTCAGCTCTCCAAGACCAACGCGCGATAGGTATAATAGATCCAAGGACGTATAGGTTGCCCGTGTTCATCGAGACGCGATGCAAGAGGATATGGCAAACTAGCCAACTGCTAGAACCCCCGAGACGAAATCGTTATTTACGGACCCTGGTAGGGTATATAGCCTGGCTGCCAGCAAAATTGCAGCGTATCGAGTACCGACGTAACTTGGCTACTCCAGGTACTCGGCTCGGCGGGCGGGATCGCCCGTGGTCCAAGCCGGTACAGTGAAGATCTATTGCAAGTCAAATAACCCCACTCCAGGCACAGTCTGGCTCTTTGCGTCGCTGGATGGATCTTGGTTGTGCAGCAACAGACAATATTGAACTGTTACATAGTATACTCGTAATAGGCTCGTAAGCCTAGACGTATAGGGCATTACAGACAAGAACAACACCATATTTGCACAACCCATGCATAACCCTGACCTGAACTACCTCAGATACTTCTCGAAATCAAACTCCAAATCCTGATCTCCATTTTCCGGCCCCACCACTCAACCCAATCCTGCGGCTGACACGGGATTCGCGGCTCGCGTTTGAGCTGAAGTCGCGTCAGCGGGGTTTTCGGATCGGAAATAAGACCTAATATTTAGCGGCTGCCTAGTCTCTTGTCGCGGGGCTGTGATTATGCTTATAAGAACTGGACTAGACCCCGCGATCGCTCTGGCGGTGTGGATTTTCGAGGAATTTATCTCTGCTGACCTTCTGAGGGTAGAGTCCGGTACACCGTTTGAAGCGTTTGCAATCGCGTCATACCAATTTGCAAAGCCAACGATTTTTCTTCTTCTCTGCAACGACTCGAATATCGAAGCGAGATCAACGAACCAAGAGTCGCGATCGACTGTGCATCCCGCCCCAAACCCCCCTCGCAGCTACACAACCAAACACCATCCATCAAAATGACAGTCCCCAAAACCCGCACCGCAGCAGAGGTCATCTCCCTCCTGAACCTGGCTCCCCACCCGGAGAAGGGTTACTACATCGAGACATTCCGCGACAAACCCTCCTCTACAGAGACTACCTCGCGCGCCGCAAGCACCTACATCTACTACCTCCTCGACAACACCTCGGGAAACAGCCACTGGCACCGGGTCCTCGACGCCGTCGAAGCATGGCACTACTACGCGGGCGCGCCGCTGCAGCTCTCGCTGGCTTGGAATGATGGAACACCTATTCGGGAACATGTTCTCGGACCGGATCTCTGGGAGGGCCAGAGGCCGCAGGTTGTTATTCAGCGTGGGGAGTGGCAGGCGGCCAAAACGCTCGGGGAGTGGACGCTTGTTGGGTGTTCGGTCGCACCGGGGTTTGAGTTTGGGTCGTTTGAGATGGCGGAGGAGGGGTGGGTGCCAGATGAGGGGGCCAAGGGGCAATGAGATGGGGAATTTAGTGGAGATTTAGTGGTGGATCTGGGTGGAGAATGAGTGGATGGTGCGAGGCTACTAGACAATGTGGTTGATTGTGGCGCGTGTGCTGAGAAGCGCATCGAGGGAGAGCTGGTCTTGTAGATCACGGCACATTACGCTTTAGTCCATTGGAGAATGCCATCATTGAGGCGCCATATATCACAGACGGACCAGCTCGAGCCACCATCCTCCTATGAACTGCCTCAAATTCATCCTCCGAGTCTCTGATTTTGAGTTGGGCGAATCAGCACCAATCGACCCACCTCATCCTGTTGGTTTCTTTGTTCGTTCGACACGGCGTACGCCGCCCAGGTGCCCCCTGTAGGCTTAAACGAGGAAAGCTCCTCTTCACCGCACATAGTTTGCCTTGGCATGGACCTTGATTCGCTAAACGATGGGGCCCATGGTAGGTCCGGGTCCTGCTGCTTAATGGCCCGGCGCGGTCCGGGGATGTGATCGAATGCCATTAGTGCAGAGTGCCTTTCATATAAATAGCAGGCATGTCCTTTATCTCGGTGTACTGAAGCTGCACCGGGTTGGTAACACAGCAGTTGGCGAAAACAAAAGTTGACGCTAGGTTGGGATGAACTTATGCGTGGGCCTCAACAATCTGCCCATCTCGTTGGCGCTTGCTGGTCTGTACGGTATTACATGGTACCTGGGTGTCGAGCTTACCATCTCGCTCTTCCTCGTCTTTAACCGGCGGCGGGGACTCTATTTCTGGTCCTGTGCACTGGTCGCATGGGGTGCCATCTTGACCTCCGTGTTTGAGCTCCTCTTGGAATATTGCCTCTGGCCGGATCGCGTACCGGCCTGCACATTGCTTTTCATCGCATGGGCCATCATGGTGGTTGCGCAGATCTGGGTCCTCTACTCGAGACTGCACCTGCTCATGCCTGGCGCGCCAGTACTCGGAATCATTAAGCGCGTGCTCGTATCTACCTCTGTTATCCTCCTCCTCCCAGGGCTGGTAATCGACATCGCGTCCGTGCGTACCAACTCCTGTCCTAGAGCGCTCTACCAGACGGCAACTGATACAGTTCCCTGCAACAGGAAGCGAGGCCATCCAACCCCAACTTGACCGACTTCAGCACGACTTGGGGCCGAGTACAACTCGTGGCCTTTGTGATCCAAGAGACAGCTCTCTGCGTTCTGTACATGGTCCAGGCACACAAGTATCTAACCGAGCGCTCCCCCCTCCACGAGCGCACATGGTCTGCGCCATCGTCGACCGAGACCGCCGTGTCCACTGTCCAACACGGCGCTCCCGTTCAAACGACAGAGGAAAGGACTGTCCTGCTGCATCTGACGCTCGCCAACATCCTCATTATTGTTCTCGACATTGCATCTATCGCCGTCATGTTGGCAAATATGTCCTACCTGCAGGCAGCGGTAAACTCTTGCGTGCATGCGGTCAAGCTAAAGGTGGAGTTTTCAATCTTGAATCGTCTCCGGGATCTCGTTTCCCAAGCTGTAGCTCCAGAATGGGGAGTCGTTGGCATGGGCCGGCGTGAGGGTCCGGATTCGGGAGTGCAGTTGACTCACTCGGCGCCTGGGAGCTAATCTTGCTGGCCTGGGCCTTTTATTATACGGTCAGCTATGACCAATATCAGGATTCGTGGTCTCTGATCGACGTCGGATCCCTCCGTTTCCTGGTGCTGGTTGGTGACAGTAAACGAACGATCCCTTTGTTTCGGGGTTGAATTACATTCTGAGAGGAAGGCTTGCGACCAATTTGACGGCACTCGAGGTCCCCGACAGGGCGACTTGGGTAAGATGGAGGTGGCGCTGGTGGGTGACTGCTCGGGCAGGTGCGCCTGGAGGGGGGCTGCCATATTCGTCCACACTGATCTTAGGGGAATCTCGGTCGGCAGTCTCTTCCCATTCCACAACATCTTCTCAGCTCATACCCATTCTCACTATCAGTCTTTATACCGTCATTACTATATCATCTACTACTACTCACCATGCCTTTGACAGAATCGACGCTCACTTTAAACTACGAGGGCCACCTATTGGTGGCGCCAGTTCCAGCCCCAGCAGACCAGCCGACGCCCCGGCGCAGTCTCCGCGAACTGGCCATAAGTGTGCCCCCGCGCAACCTACAGGAGTTCTTGCGACGAATCTCGGGCGTCGGCAACGTCAACCGCCGACTTGATCTGGCCCAGATACTCAGGGAATTCCTTGGCGTCGGAAGCACGCTGGATGTCGACCACGCCGCCCTACGGATTCTGCGCATGTTTGAACGAACCAAACCCAGAGGCACTCTGATAGACCGGACTCGCAAGCTGGATTCACTCTACGTGTTTGAGTATCTCGCAGGACAGATTCCCTTTGATGACATTGGGCACGTCAGACTGGCGCGGTTGGCGCAGAGACTGATGCGTGTCGATTGTTTCTACAAGGGGTACACGTGGGAGGCGAAGGATCCTGGTGACAGCCTTGATGGTATGTCGATGCAACGTAAGTGTATTTTGCAGCCGGGATTGATGGAAAAGTATCCGTGGCTGACGGTTGGTGTGCAGAAGCGGTAGGGGATGGATTCCGCTTGCCCAATCTTTACGCCTTTTACGCCCGCCTCGCCGCGTATACGACTCCCGACGCTCCTCCTACATACATGGTGAGGATGCTTCGTGACACACTCGAGGTGGGCTTGTCTGGCCAACCGAGTGACTCCACAAACATGTCGGATGGCCAGGTACGCGGGGTCGCGCAGTTCATTCTCTGGAACGGCCACGATCTCTTCAACAAGATTGACACCGGCCTTCCCTTCAATCAGGCCGGCGGAACATTCGTTGCCGGGGCCGGGCAGCAGACAGATTCCGGGCTTACCCTTAATCGATGGACATTCTGGAGGCGCGCCTTTCTGGGAGTCCAGCACAACATGAATTACCAAATTGAGACGAGGGCCATGGCGGGCAGGGTGGTGCAGTTGATGCGGACCTGGGAGAACACGTTGAACTTTCAGCAGATTCTTGATACCTCCAGCTCGAGCTCACCTGGTCCTTCAAACTCCCCTGGCCCGTCGAATTCACCTGGTCATTCTCATACACTTGGTGCTGCAAATTCACCAGGTCATTCGAATTCACTTGATACTTCGAATTCGCCCCCTCCTTTGGATCCGCCGGGTCCTTCGAATGCAGGTTAGGTCTATGGGACCTTTTCGTGGCTGTCCACACTCCTTTCTAACGGCTTCGATCGTTGATGCTCTTGTTTTCTTACTTTGCACATTCATTGCACTAGCTACTGGTGTTAACATACACCTATTATTACTTTTTTATATTCTAGCTAGGCTCATATAGCATAGAATCACAACCGTTATTCGTTTGAGGAATCCAACCTTTGAGAATGCATATCCTGGCAGCCTGAGACGGTGCTGATTCTATTTATGAACTCAAGTATCACGCCATAAGCTGTGCTATATTATGGAAAGGCGTAACTAGAGGTGTTCACACACCTAGCAGTAGATATTTATTATTTAGTGTATCCCGCTCCTTCGCTGTGCCCCCCGTGCAATATCTGACACATCATCCATGGCGCTTGATAATACTCAATTCGCAACAATTGCCCAGATGAAACCGTAGCTACCATCCAAAAGCCAATAGACACATAAGGACCGTTAGCACTCTATTAATCAGGAGATCTATCTACCTCAGCACACCCCCTCAAGGAAGATACATGGGTAAGGAACGTCAGGCTCTACAAATGATACTGCTGCGGCTTGTGGATCTTGACCCCCATCCGCTCCCACCACCCTTCAACGCCCATGTCGTCTCGGCCGCTAGTAGACACGTTAGCGCTACAATCCTAAGGAGACAACATCGTGTAGATATCAGATGGGAAAGGGGGACATACTCATCCCGCTCGATAATCGTCGGCTCCGTCTGTCCCGCCGCCTCATCTGGGTTCCGGAAGACGACGTTGTATTTCTACCCTCGTTAGCCAACGACCAAAGATGGGATATGGGATACCCAAAGGGGAAGAAAGCACATACCAACCCCAAACTCAAATGAATCCCCGCCGGCTGCCTTGGGAACTCTTCCAGCGGCCTATCCCTGTCCTCCCCGCGGATCAGCGCATTGATATTCCGCGCTGCAACACCCGCCTGGACGGCGCCCGGCCTCGCGGCTTTGCGGAGTCCTGTATCCGCGATGTCGCCGACGGCGAAGAGGTGCGGGTACGCTTTGTCTTGGAATTGCAGCGTGGGTCGGATGCGGATGAAGCCGTTGTCCGGGTTGAGCAGGGATTCCTCTGGTTGTGCGGAGGGAGAGGAGTGGGAGGATGTGGATGTGGATGGCGGGAGGGAATTGAGGAGTTCTGTATTGGGCGTTTGGCCGGTAGCCAGTATGACAAAGTCGTATTTCGACGGGAGGGTTGTTCCGTTTGTTAGTTGCACTTCGAACGGGGTTTCGGTTGGGAAGCCCGTTTCGGGGACTGCGATGCGCGAGCCCGTGATGAAGCTGGACATACCAGTTAGCATTTTCCATCCCCATCCATTCTTCCCTCGCCCTTTTTCCCGTCCACGGGTATAAATGTACGAGTAAGTTCAAAGGGTCGCGGAGCGCACTTACTTGATACCAAGCTCATCGAACCTCTTTTTAATCAGCCCATGCAGCGCCGGATGATACTGCGGCATCAGCACGTTGCGAGACTGCACAACGGTCACCTCCTTGTCCGGATACACCTCCTTGAGATCCGTCGCCATCTGCACGCCGACCGCACCGCCTCCGGCAATGAGAATCGACTGTGCGTTCTTGATGTCGTTCTGGTGGTTCTGCAGGTACGCGACCGAGGCCATTTTCTCGTTGTCGCGCATCCCCGCCGGCTCGGTGAGGCGTGTGCCCGTTGCGAGGACGAGGTAGTCGAAGGGGATTTGTGGAGACGAGGTTGGGGACTCGGGCCAGGGGCGGTCGAGGGTGATATGGTGTGGGTGGACGGAGAGGACGCGTGCTTGGATTACGGTATTATTTGTCGTCTTGTTCTCTGAGGGGGGAAGTAGTGAGGTGAAGAGGTTCGTGTAGGGGATGAACGCTTTGTGTTCGTGGCCTGGGAGGATGGCGAAGCGGGGCTGTCACAGCATTAGAACTACCCTTTTCTTATTGACAAAATCTGAAATCTGGACTGTGGAAAAGGGGGGACATACAAACGCAAAAAGATGATGAAAATGACTATGCGGCTCGATAAGCAGCACGCGATGTGTACTGGGGATGATCCTGGCCAGTTCCTGCGCTGTCGCTTTGCCCACGTAGGAGCCGCCCACGACGATGACGTTTTTGAGTGTGGTTGCCATGTCGACAGTTATAGCAACTCGATTCGATAGCTATGTGTTTTTCAGATTCTCGAGAGACTTTGGGGTGCGATTCGCACCCTTAAATGCGCGCCGGAGTAAATCTTTTCCCCCCACCATCCGGTGTCGGCTGTTCTTATCTGATCAGATCCGGGCTTATCTCCGAGCCGAGTCCTCGGGGTCCGGATTTACGGGTCGCCACGCCAGCCCGGATGGTGGGAGTGGCCGAGTGGGCGGTCACTAGTACTAGGTACTACTAGTTACTACTAGTCATAAGTTTGAATGCTAGCTTAGTACGCCCCATACCCCAAGGGAAGTCCCAAGGAAAGAGATCTTAGACCAGGCCTGTGTCCTCCATGATTTACTACTACTACTACTACTACTACTACTACTACTACTACTACTACTACTACTACAGCTCGGATCGTGCTTGCCGATGCATGCATGCATGCATTTCCTAGTGAGTGGATTGTGGAGATGTCCTCTGCTCCGTATCATACCTGGTATCGGGTCCAGGTTCTACTTCACTCGGAAGCCTCCCGGATGAATTCCTCACCATATTGGGTTATGAAACATACATCCGACTGATTGAGCCACCTACTTGCATTATAATACATATAAAATATATAGAAGAACCCATTATATACACAGACCAACTTCACCTCGTCTCAATCGACTTGAATCACCTCACCCCTTGGCAAAGTATTAGTCCTCTCCACGACAGTGTCCGCCCCATTCGCGGACCCAAGCGCCTGATGCCTCTCTTGCTCCCTCTTGGCTCTTTTAATAAACCTCAAGCCAAATGGTGATTTTTTGAAGCACGGCGGTGCATGGTGGCGGCAAAAGTGGCGGAGATATGGCAGGCATCCGCACAGGATGATTAGGTTCGCCTCGATGAGACTGGTAGAGTTAGCGATTCGATGTGATGTCAGCCAGTGAGAGCGCAAATGGTCTTGACGTACATGTAGATACTCGCCTCCGCAAGCCCGTAGGTTTTGTCCGGCGATGTAAGCTGCGGCATGAGCGTTGCGGCGCGGACTATGCTCATTGCGGTTGTCCTACCACCAACAAAAAGAAGAAACTGTTAGCCCATTCTAGTACAAGAAACGAAAACCGTGGAAGGAAAAATGGTGTAAAGAGACATACACCCCGCCAACCCCAAAAAGACACAACACGCCCACACGGACCCAAATCCCCTTACTCATGCGCAACCGGCTAACAATCCAAATGGCCACCCCTAAAAGCACAACATCGCTCGCTGTATTCGTGACCGCCGTTGCCAGATACACGGCATTCCGATTTATGCAATTTCCATGCATGACGCTTGCGTCCCAGGCGCGCGCCATCGGGTGGCAGGCGAAGATTAGGGCGAGGATCAGTGCGATGCTGTAGGCAATTATTATTCCGCCGATGGTGTAGAGGAGGTATAACGGTGTTTTTGTTGGTGTGGTTGGGGAGAGGATTGAGTGGTAGAGGAGGAGGAGGAGGGCGAGTTTGGCGAGGGCCAGGCAGGGGATGTAGAGGATTGCGGAGGAAACGAGGGCCTAAACGGAGAATAACTGGATTAATAAATTCCTTGGTTGATTTGACTTGAGCAAGAGGGAGGGTCGTCGCACCTTCATGAATTTTGTCAGGAGGGGGACTGTAAAGTCCCAGGCGTGCAGACCGTAGCCGGCGTGCCAGTACGCCCCTAGGTTATGCTAATGGTTAGCTAGAGCTGTAGCATACCTCCGAAGGGTATAACAAGGCGTACAGAGGATAAGAATCTGCGTCGCCAACGAGAAAATCCACGCGATGATAATGAATACTACCAAACCCCAACATATCAGCCATTACTCTCCTTCCAGGGCTCAAATCGAAGTGCAAGGATGGCGCACCATCATCCAACCAAAACCGATGCAGCAAATGCGCCTTGGTGTATATGCGCATCGCTAAGAAAATCGTACAGAGGGACATGCCCACGGTAGCGATGATGAGGTTTGTCGTTCGGAAGCGCGCGTGGTTCCGGTTCGGGGCCAATCCTGGGGGCGGAGGAGTGATTGTTGGGATGCTGACCGGGGCCATGCTGAGTGCATCTTGGCGGGGCTTGATCTGTCGCTCTCGCTAAAGTCTTAGATTGTAGAAAAGGGCCTGGGAATAAAAAATTTTGAATGTGGTTCTGGTGTTGAGGTAGACGGTTACATGCGGGGAAGCTGTCGATTGCGTCACTAGGATGAAACCGTGGTTAGGGTTCCGCTGTCCGGAATGGACTTCCACATCTGGCACTCTGCCATCTACCTGGACCATTCTCTATCATGATATGACCATCTAGTTGCTTCTGCGCAACGTCTCTGACCCTCAAAGTGTGCAGCCCCGGTGGGTGGAGGCATCTTCACGGTAGAGGCCACTTGCAGCGTCGGAATCGAATGAGGTTATATAAGAATTACCCCCGCTAGACGATATAGTAACGGTAAGGCTGGAAATGGTCTTGGAGGAAAGGTTTGGAGTGAATTGAGGCTCTTCTGGGGGTGACGAGTGGCCCTTTGCGCCTTCTCTAACAGTGGCGCCGGACGCTGGGCGGCAGACTCAATTGTCAGGCACTGCTGGCCGAGATAGTAGGGCGATGGGCATATCGACACCGTCCACCTCTTGTATGGTATCTGAACTATATCTAGTAGCAGCATCCGTAGATGAGAATCAGGTGCAATGCGTCAGTTAGATTCCAATTCCTCCACGGTTATATACGCACATAAGGAGGTCTGATGAGATCCCCGTTGTGCAGGTTCCAGGTGTGAGCGTAGTACGCGGGGGTATAGATCATTGCGTAGCCCGCATATGCCATGCCCCAATATGCGCCCTATGAACGAGGTAAGAGATTAGACTGTATCCACACAGGCCTTTCAGAGGAGAGCCATACATATGCACAACCGTCAAGACTAGAAGAAGTGCTGCAGTTAGATTCGAGCAATCAACAGTCAGATCAACCATCACTTACCCTCTTCCACCCGTAACTTCTTATCCAGCCACACCCGTGCGAACAATCGTAAAAGCAGACATACCGCGGTTACCACGGTACAGACAGTCGTCACCACCCACGCGAGAGTATTGTCGTTGGGGGGATTGTCAAACTCGGGCGTAACCCCAGAGGGCGCCGGCAGGGCTGGCTGGGCAAGGAGCGCTGTCAGTACTTCTGACGACATTGAGATCTCGCGTGAAGAATTTCTCACCGGCGACGAGGCATCGAGATGTGACGAAGACCCAGAGAAATTATTGTCGGCGAGCTGCGGAAAGACTTGAGAGCGACTCATCCTTGTGGGTGAGGAATTCCAGGCCTCTGCAGCTAGGCCCACCATTGGATCTGCAATGGTTGGCCTAGCGGTTCGACCGCTCTTGAACTGTGGACCGTTTCAGGGGACGCATCGTTGGAGTCTCGCAAGAAATGGGCCACATACATACGGGGCTTGTCCTGCTTTCTGCAGAGACAGAAAGAGAGAACATCCTTACTCAAGTGGGTAGGAGATGGTCCATCCGCCTGATAATATGGGCGAAGAGGCAAACCTTGGACTGCCTTGGTAAAATCGATCAGTCCGATTATCTGATAGCAGTGCCAGCGGGCTGGGTGGGGCGGGATTTGACAGTGGGCTCATCCTCCACCGGAAGCTGTCCGCTGTAGAGTCGACACGGCAGAGTCGAGACAACTACTGACACTAATGAGAATCGCGAACAGGCCGTTGACCCGGCATTCGGCAAAGACGCTGGAAAGTTTGCTGGCGACTAGATCCCATATGGGTACGAGTCTACCTCGTTGCAGTGGCAGTTTGCAGACTGGGCGACTCGGCATTGGCGTCTGCGTCTCTCCCTTACAGAGGATGTAGCTTCGTTGCTCGGATTGCACTGTTGAAGCCGAAACCACCGGCCAGAAGTGAAAGCCCACTCCGGAAACGGGCACTGAGCCTTTGGACATAACAAAGGTACGAACTGCAACCCCCGAGACAAAGGGTGGGCGGACGTCCAAGGGGCCCGTCCATCCTTGTGAATGCAGTGACGCTGCAGGAAACCAGTATACCAGCTTCCCGAGTGCGCAATGTTCAACACTTAACTGCGCATTTCGCATCGAGACCCCAAAAGCATAACGGTGCCAACGGCCGGGGTTGCCCAATAGAGGGTGATGAGCTCAACACTTCAGCATTGCAACTCAAGAGAAGCAACAACTTGACTCTCCCCAATGGTCTTTTGCTCCTGTTACAACAGACCCGAGATTGTGGTGGAAGCATTTCATCTGGGATGACCCAGTGGACGAAATTGGGGTCATCCTACTCCAAGCCATCTCGGATGTTCGCAGCATGGTTCTTATTGCCTTACCTGACTTGACACCGTTGTTTGACAGGTGTTGGTTGAGAGGAATATCGGATCGAGGTCTGAGTACTGTACACTCTGGCATGTATTGACTAGTGCGGAAACATACTTTTAGCTGCTGGTCTCCCCTCTGGGCCTTTGGAAGTCACCTTGCTTCAGCAGAATACGGGAATCCGGAATCACTCTCAATATAACCCCGCTGGACAGGGTTGTTCGAGGCTTCGTCGAGTGATTGAATATTCGACGCATGTGCGTGCATGGCCCCCGAAAGGGGTGGAGCAGGGTAGTAAAATGGGGATGCTCTCCGTCGCGAACTTGGGGCGGTCCTGCGGACATACCCCAGATAGTGACCTGATCTGGAGACGGCCGGTTCTGGAGGTCTCATGTCAAGCGACAGATCAACAGCGCTCGAGAAAGATTTAGAACTTGGCAGAGCATATTAGGGGGCCTGAATTTGACCTGGGGGCTTGGGCTCATGCTTGTCCTGGAAGTGCTCAGGATCACCCTGGCACCTGAATTCATAATCTTGAACGCTATCCTTCCAACAAAACAGGTCTGCGGCTTTCCTCTTCACGTGTTTGTCAAATCGAATAAATCCAGCCTGTAGGCCTTTCCAATCCATGGCTAGGGGTAGATAGTACAGCTATGCACCCACTGCTTACAATATGTCTGGAGGTCTTTATAATATTAGCTTGCCGAAGGCTGGCCCTAGCCTGGCCTATCTGAGCACTTAGCATCGAAGCTCAATAACAGTATGATAATGTGGACCAATATCAGTTTGTAGAGCTAGCTGTATATCCTCAGTTTTAAGAAGTGGAGATGGTTTCGGGCAGAGTCCAGACCCTCTTGTATTGGCTGTTCCGACTTCCGAGCCACCTCTGGCTATCAACTGTGATCGACCAAGGGCAACGAACACGGACCATCTCCACGAGTAAGACTCCAAATGCAGGATTCCATAGGTGCGTTACTGGCCCGCTAAGTTTCATGCTGAGACTGATCTAGCCTGCCTGATCCAGCGCTCCCACAGATACGACCCCATTGGGCCCGATTTTGCTGTGTAGGTGAGATCACGTCTCGCAAGCCACGAACTGAACGTAGGACCTTCTCGTTCCTGACAAAAATAGTGGACCCATCAAGCTTGGGCCATCCATTTCCTTACTTGTCATTGCAGGTGGGTCGCTGACCCGAAGATCTGTGAGACCCTGATCCATGATTTTCGTTGACATCAAAGAGCACAGATCCATCCGGCAATCGCAGGTTTGGCCAGAGAAACCCTGCCATAATATACATGCTAAGTAGCTCGATTCAACGCTGCTTCGTTGTGCGGAGATATATACACTGAGTGCCTGTCTCCCTGTTTTCTAACATCCTTTTATCTCTGTCTCTCAAGCTACTACAGCTTGTCGAAGGTTTCTCTTATTGTACCAAATCACAAGCCTTTCCCACCTCAAACAAGCCAGTATCTACACCATGGCGGTATTCAACCCAAAGGAGTTGGGGAATGCAATCAACTGCCCGGCGCGTGGTTTACAACAATGTAACTAGGAGCACTCATTGCGTTGGGAAAGTAAGTGACGGCAAAGGAGGAGTTAAAACATGAGGCACCCCACTGCCAGAGGTCTTCTTAATCAGTAAGGATATTCTATGCCTTTTGTTCAAAGTCAAAGCTAATTAAGCTATGGCCGCAGGAGGGATTCAAAAGGGTGCACCTCGGTTACTTTGACATTCAACATATCAGGTATACTGGCATGGTATTAGTAACATTCAACATGCTTTCCATGAACTGATTACTTTCCTGCTTGACCACACTCGTTCAAATGTAAGCTAGTTATTGCGGAAACATCCTCAAGGCTAAGAGAAGTGCGTTGTTGATCCTCTAATCCATGAACTTCTTGGTGCAAGCTCAGCCCACAGCCCAGTACATCATCATCAAATGCATAACCGAGCGTTCTCCTCATAGTATTTGACAAGAGCAATCTGTGTTCCTGGAGATCAATATGGATAACTAATACCACCAATTCACCCACTCCTGTGTAAAGTCCTCAAACCCACGCTCCCCAAGTAGCTTTTGGGCTTCAGACCTCCACCAATGTGGATCCTCAACCGATTCCGGAAGATTCAGCCCACGGCTTATTCGAAACTTGGTTCGAATCCATCCTCGCGGGAAGAACCCAGCAAGCTCCCAATCAATAATTCCAACCATCCCAGTTGTGGGAGTCTCTTCCACAATTATATTGCCAGGGCCCAAATCGGCATGGTAAAAGACAAACTCCGAGCAGTCCATGCCCATTGTCCGGCAACCTTCCAGGAGATTTTGAGGGTTGAAGTTCTCGACTGTTCCATTTGGAATGAGATATGACTCTGGTATATGCTGTCCATCAACGCCACCAATCATACTACCTTTGTACGCGGCCAGAGACTCGCAGATATCTACCAGCGTGTTCACATAGTGACACCTCCATTTTTTATCCAGAGTAGGCCAGGCATCCGCGAGTGTTCGTCCAGTGACTCTGCTGAGAAAGAGATAAGACCGTCCGTTGAATTGTGCTTGGTAGAATATGGTTGGAAGCTTGAAACTCGGCTGCTGTTTATGCACAAAAGCCAAGGTCGTGGACTCCGGCGTTGTATTCTCAATGCAAAGTTTAACCTTGCAGAAAGTACAGCTTCCTAAAGCCCAGACTGCAGAGCTATCACCAGCGTCATATACCAAGCGGATTATTGAATCATCCAAGGTGATCGGGGCCGAAGGAGGAGGAGGAATAGGGGCATTGGTAATAGTGAAACTGAGTTTGTAAAAAGGATCGAACCAAGTTGAAGTGTCGGAGTAGCCGCTCGAACAGCGGAGGATTAGGGGGCCGATGAACCATGTATTCACGTCCACTCGCCTGAATGAGTCTTTCAAAGGTTCTTCCATGGCATCAGTAGAATAAAGTCAATAGCTACATTGTGATGGAACAACTTGGAAGGAGGGTAGTCTGGACAACGCTGATGATCACGTGCATTGCATGTAGTCACCGCCCTTTGGCGTGGAAGTCGACGAGGATGTCAAAGGCGGTGTTAGCGGAGCCTATTATTGTTACAGTCTTTTATCTTGATGTTAGGAGTTGGTTCTTCTGGTGTGTTGGGATATGGTAGGATAGGCGGACCTTCACTCCATGTTCTCTCAAAACATCGGCATTTCTCTACTCAGCCGAGTGAATGCTGATACCCTTATACAGATGCCTGTCTGCAATCTGCGGCATATTCGGCTCTGAGACCCGGTTCCCGTTGTAAGGATGAGTTAATTTGTCGCCAGGTCCCCCACCTACTTTATCCCCCTCTCCTACGTCTGTCATCCCGTTAACCTCGGCGCCTACGACGCCGGCGTCGAGAACGCAGACACCCTCTTCCTCTCCCTCCCCTCCATCGTAGACGGCCAGTTAGGCCGCGGGCTCTTCGCAGCCTTCGCAGCAAATGAACCGGAGCGGTATGCCAACCTCGCGGCTACCGGCTTCCCCGTTCTGGATAGCCGGAATCCGTCCTGTGCGCTTATGCATAATCTGCTTGAGCGCCGGTGGGCATTATGTGGATATTGGGTTGGGGGGGAGAGCGAAGTTGATTGAGGAGGGGAATGTGAGTTTCGGGGCTGGTGTTGAGCCCGTGGCGTATACGGAGACGGGGCTGCGGTTTTCGGATGGGAGGTTTATCGAGATGGATGCGGTTATCTGGAACACGGGTTCACTGACTCGAATGTCGTTGACACGGCGGCCGAGATACTCGGCGGGACATCGAATCCTCGCGGTACAACCCAACCATGTTCGCACGAGCGATGGGAAACACACCCAAACCCCACTCGAAATCGCGTCGCCCCCCGACGCAACATGGGGCGACGGCAGCGAAGGCGAGATCCGTGGAATGTGGAAGCGGCACTCGAATGTGGTGAATATCTGGATCATGGGCGTGTACACGCAGCAGCACCGGTGGCACTCGCAGATCAATGCTGACCTGGAGGGGGTGTTCCCGGAGGCTTATGACGGACTCCGACGTCGCCACTGACGCATGCACCCAGAGTTGAAGAGCATGCAAACTTGTGATTGCGTATGTACTGTGAGCTTATTTGAAAATATATGAACCTAATTGGACGGCCTATCTACAGGAGGAAACAAGTTATGGCGAGGCTAATCGCGTATAAACCTTGGTGCTAACCCTAGTTCTTGCTAACCCTAGTTCTTGCTCTGCAGAGTCGATACACGAAGTGGTCATGATACCAGTATGAGCAACAAAACTGCGGTGTATCCATTCTGGCACCATGATAACAATAACTCTACGTCTATCAAATCAATATTAGAGAATTAATGACCGGAACTCCTCGCTATAGATCCGATCGGGTACCGTGCGTACGCTTTTCTCCTGCTCTCCCGCTCGGCCGTGATATAACATGGCCACCAGGGCCTCATCTATCCCAAAAAGATCAACAGAGACCCCAACTCCTAGCTAAATGAATAAAAAGAAAAGTTGTCATACCATGAGTACCAAGACACCAGACCACTGAAGCAATCATGTAATGTATCCTAGAACGCCAGAGCTTCGACGTAAGAAACAGTGTAGGGCATGTAGGTGGAGAAAACAAGATATCAGGCCTTGGCATAGGGCCTCAACTGTGTCCAAAGGGGAAAAAAATGGTCATTCGTTAGTCCATTGCTCAAAAGGGGACTCGCTTTTCACCGAGCTGCTTTCGCACGCGTCGTTGGTATGTTCATCGTGGGTAGTAAAACCCTGTGCATCTCCAGATCCAGTTGCAGCAGCGAGGTCTGGCAAAGCCGACCCAGCGGCCTGTAGCTGGAGTGTAACGCCTCCCTTTTCATAAGCCTCCAGTCTCCGCTTCAAGGTTTGAACCTCCCGCTGCAGACTCGCAATATAGTTCAACGCACTATCGATAATCGACGCCTTGGGCGGCGGCGTCCGATTGGACTGGGTCGTGACGGTGGATACGGGTGCAGATGCCGCGCCTTCGGAGTTTGAAGTCGCAGAGTTGGAACTGCCATTGGCGTTGGCGATATCCGAAACAAGGTCTCCGTCCATCCCGCAGAGGACGATCTCGTCCAGCTTCTTGAACTTGCTATTGAGGTTGATGCGGTAGCGCTTCTCGACGATGTTGTGCGAGGCGCGACGGCTCGCGTGCTTGTTTTGCCGCTCCTGCTCGTGCAGGTTCAGCTCGGGCGCGGAGTTGCGGCGGATGCGATCGAGTTTCATACGGTTGGTTGTTGGGATGGGGATTCCGAAGGGGTTTCGGAATTGCGGGTGGAAGGGGATTTGCGGCTGCATGTGGAGAGGTATTTGGTGTGGTGGTGGTGGAGGCTGCTGTTGCTGTTGCTGTTGCTGTTGTTGCTGCTGCTGCTGCTGCAGAGGAAGATTGCCAGAGTCGGCATCGTCCGTGGGCTGCGGCGACTCAAAGACGTTGAAGTTGATGGGCAATCCCTCCTCTGGCGTGATTCCTCCTCCGGTCAGAGTCTGAGGCGTCAGATGTGGTGCGTTACTGCAGTCAAATGCATGACCCAGTGGGCGTACATTCTGGAACAGCGGGTCGAGATTCATAAACTCCATTCCGCCGCTGTTGTTCAGCCCTAACATGTTGGGCGGCGTGTCGGCCATTGGGTATCCGGTGAGCATACCGGGCGGGCAAGTGGTGGGCTGCATGTAGCTTGATACCCCAGAGACGTGGGGAACGTCGGACCTCTGGTGGCCTGGCGGTGCGCAGTCGACAGGGAAACCCTGAAATTGGAAGCCGGGGTCTTCTGTCTTGACGGGGAGGTCGGTGGGGAAGGGGCCGCCTGAAGGGTGGTTCATGGCGCCGAGTCTTCGAGGGTCTAATGTCAACATGGGAAAATCGTAGTATAGAGTACTGGGTAAGATCACAAAGCGATATATGGAGAAGGGAGCGTTGATCCTTCAGCCGAGCGGTGCTGCTTATTTAGAGGGGGATGAGAGCAGTGGCGGCCACAATGCGCAATCCGATCCAGGGAAGAGCGATCTGTGTGCAGTTTCCTGGAGGGGGGCGTCACTGGCTGGAAGTTATTAAATGGGATTGAGTTTTAAATTTCCTGCCAATAACGTGTTTGTTGCATCGCATAGCGGGCGTCAATTGAGCCCACATGTGATCTAAGGGGGGGGTGCCAGATCTCAAGGACAGAAGCCACATCGCAGGAGACGGCCGACAAATAAAACACCAGTGATAACACCCCGTGCTAACGGCCGAAGTTTACGGATCCGAAGCCCGTCATAGTAACTGGCAGGGAAGATGAACCGGGGCCAGACCTGAGCTTCAAAGCACCGATGAACTGTGTGGTTACAGGGAAGGCCGCTGGTTCGCTGGGAGTTGCATTCCTCACTGGTTCGGTTTGGACCAGTTTCTGAGGTAGGAAGCCGCACGGCCCCAATCATCTGCTTGAGCCGCCGTGGCAAACGGTTGGAACCGTGAGTCTCGAGCTTGCAAAGTTTGGTCCGCGAGCTTTGAGTCAAACGTCAGCTACCCGGGCATTTGTTAGTGAGGAGCTGCGCCCCGGAGTTGACAGCTTGGTCAAGGTGCTCACAGTCGCTCGGAGCCGACTCGGCCATCTGGAGGAAAGCATAAATCAAGGCCTGCAGAACATCTAGACTGTTGGTTTCTCGTCGATTCAATCTACCTGGTTTTAACTGTCATGATTCTTGAGGTCTCAATTGTCAGTTTGCTTGCAGACATGCTCGATTTCACAATGCTGCTTCCACATGTCAATCCTCCGAATACGTGCCAGTCAGACGGCAGTCCACATGACCTGCTCAACGAGAGAGAGGACGTGAGAGCCCCTCTCCGGGTGTGCCACTCGATCCCCGACTCGTCCTTTACTCAAAAGTCTTTGTCTCCGATTCCTGAGCAGACGTCAATCTCAAGACGCGATTCCAAAAAGGTACGGTTCGCTACGTATGGTGAATCCATACAATATTTTGACCCTACCGAGAGGGCATGGTGTGTGCAGAGAAGTATGTCCTCCTCCCCCTCGAGTCGATCCGCGAGGCTAACACGTCAGTGGGCGATATAGCCGCCCCAGAAACGTCAGAAACAGTTTTATAGCCTTGCTAAACTGATAACAATCCCATATGATGGTCATCGACAAGTCTATTAGATAATCCTCCCGGTAGAATAATATCTTGAGCAATGTTCTGTGAGGAAGTCATTCGTGGAGGGTGTTTGAGTACCCATTGCTGCAGAAAAATTTCAGCGTCATTCTATCATGACACTACGATAACAGAAGCCTATATAATAGCATTAATTATAATATTAGTAGCATTAATTATAATAGTATGCTAAGACACCCAAATACTGACGATGACGTCAGGGCCGTAGCCCGTCGACCCCGAAACCCACGGGAATTCCCTAACAAAACCCAACTGACAATAAGCTCTCTTGCCTCTGGAACTGCGACCGCGCTGCTACCGGCCGGGCAGAAACCTCTCACATGACTTTTCGCCGACAAAGAGAACAAAGGACTACCTACGAGGTCCAGACTCTCGCGCTTCAGTCCCATAGTTCGCCTCCTGCTCGACCACAAACCCTCTTCGAGTCCCCCTGTCAGTGAACCTGTCAAACTCCCTGCTCTTGGGGCCGGACTCAGCCACCGTTGGTCCGGTTCTCGCCGGAAATGATCACCGTCACGGGTCGCTATGCCGCAGGTTGTATGTTGGCTGGAACATAGTCTATGCAGCAGGGTATTTCCATGTATCTCGATGTTCCTTGCCGTTGGTCATCTAGGTAGTTATTTCTGCTTGCTGGTGTTGCTCATTAGTGTAGATGTTGTTGAGTGGCAAGATATTGTCGGGCGAAGGGCATTTTTTCCCAGTATCTCCTGCAAATTTGTGAATTCCTACCAGCGGCGTGGGGTGATATCTAAAGTCAATGGAACTTCCCATCAAGGAATGATGACACGTAGACTATATCTTGACGTTTGGCAATTTGCCTCCGTGTATTCTCCAGGTCGCGGAGCTCCCGTGGGATAAACGGGCTCCCAAGACACAGCACTTGACGGTCTGAATGCAATTGCTATCGATACCTAAGGGGAGGATTGGGATACGTCAATAGGTGAAAGAATGCCAGGAGCCCACCGGCTCAACCTAGGTTTGACATGGAGTGTGAGAAAAGTGTGCTTCTCCCAATTTCATCTCCCTTGATATGGGAATGTCTGGCTGCGACAAAGCGTTTAGTGGCGACTTTCCGTTGCCGAATGTTCAACGAGCAAGCTGCTAGCCTTTTCACACCCATAGACATTTGGGTCATGAGCATGGTTCACGGCCTTTGGATTATCAGCAGCGGTTTTCAGCCGTCCCAGACCGATCCTCCAAGGTAGAATACCTAGCGGCCATCTTCGTTATGAGAATTTTGTCGTAGAATGGGTTGCTATCTCATCTCTGGGGGATCGTTTAATGTAAAATATGTCCTGGTTTATATGAAACGCCACTTTTTGATCATTTCGGCCAGTCATCAAAGACACTTGCGGGATAAGTGAACAAAGGTGGTTGATGCCGTCTGTGCCAAAGTCCATCCCAATAACCTGACTCCGCCGTCCTTTGTCAAAGCATTGAGATTAGTAGATGCTAAGGATCCTTTGTGTTGCCCCAACGTGTTCCTATACCCCAGCTATCAAGGATCTGCTGGCTCAGTGTTGAGGGTGTGATCACGTGATGACACTGCGCGGAGATTCAAGGTGATAACTCGCGCTGACAATATGCTTTGCACGGGCTATTGGTAGCTGGACGAGAATACTGTCATGTTGTATGATTGGCGGTTTGAACATCAGGTAGCAAGTGCTTCAGTGGAAAGGCTCTTTATGCCAGGTGGCTTGACGCGCGCTTGTCCGGAGGGAGGCTGTTGGGGGAGGGGAGGCCTGAGAATAGAGTCCGTCCAGGAGCAGGCATTCTGCAAGCTGCATAATATCGTCTAGCTCGTATAGTTCGAGTCAGACAATTGGTTGAAGGGTAGCGTCCGATTGCATTAGACGCGATTCCTCGTAATCGTATCCAACACCAAAGTGACGGGCGAAAAACGGGTGCCTGAAGAGTCCGGAACGGAGAAACAATGATCTCGCCCAGACAAAAAGGAGACGCGTTGCTGGTCTGGGCGAGACAAATTCTCCCAGAGCGGCAAAGCGCTGCCAGGAGGCGCTCTTGGCGCTGCTCCATTCTTTATTCGCCCTGGGATTCCCATTGGTTCAGATCTCAATTCGGGGGGCTGAGTCGGGCTTGGCGCGCTGGGCAAGGGGCTCGCTCGCGGCGTGATTTGCGGCTATGTTTAGGGGACTGGAGTCGGGCATCTTGGCCAGATCAGGTGCGAGTTTCTCTTTAAACCTCACGCGCATCGATCCGCTGCTCAGGGACACTGCATTTATCCAGTTCTGCGTCGGCCCTGCGCCCGTATTTGCTCCAGATCCCCCAACCCATCGACCCCGACAGAATTAAATAATCCGACGGGAGGACGAAAAATGCGCTGGGGCTCTTTGCGATCTCTCGGTGGGGCCGCGACCCTGGGGCTCCTGCTCCTGCTCCAGGGCCAGCCCGTCCGATCAGACATCCCTATCGATGTGAGCTCTGCCGGTATGTGGTCTCTCTAGTGCTATCCTGTGTTGCGCCTCCGGCTCCGTCCAATGAAATCCCCCGGATGGAAAACCTCGCGGCATTTGTGATGCATGCTCAGACTGCTTTACAGATTCTCTCAAGTCGGCTGGCAAGACCATCGCCGCCCCCATGTGGGACTTTTACTTGCAGAATCAGACCGAGGGTATCCCCGGAAAACTCACGGATACCTGGTACGTTGCTGGCGCCATGTTCATGACCCTGATCCAGTACTGGCAGGTGTCGGGCGACAACCAGTACAACAAGGATGTCTCCCATGACTTGATGTTCCAGGCGGGACGAAACTACGACTACTTTGACTCGAACTACAGTCAATGGCTGGTGAGAATCGTTCCCCATCTTTGTGACCGTTTAGCTCTAATGTAGCCAGGGTAACGATGATCAAATGTTCTGGGGCCTTGCAGCCATCACCGCCTCGGAGACGGGCTTCCCCGAGGTCGACGGCAAGCCGACCTGGACATCGCTCGCCCGGGCCGTGTACACCATGCAGGCCAACCGCTGGGACACCAGGGCGTGCGATGGTGGTATCACCTGGCAGATTCACCCCTGGCAAGCCGGATACACGCTGCGCAACTCCATTTCAAACGGTGGACTGTTCCAGCTTGCTGCCCGTCTGGGTCGGTTCACGAAGAATCAGACATACTTTGACTTTGCAGAGAAGATCTGGGATTGGTCTGCCGAGTCGCCGCTGATCAATACTCAGAACTGGAACGTGGCGGATTCCACGTCTGGTGATAACAACTGTATTGATATGGGCAATATGCAATGGTCGTACAACTACGGTGTATATCTGGCTGGTACAGCATTCATGTATAACGCGGTATGTTCTCCTATAGCATCCTTCTCCCGGTCTCCCATCCAAACGAACCCGAAAGCAGAAAGAAACTAATCCTCGCCAGACCGGCGAAGAAAAATGGCTCCGCCGCACCCAAGGCCTGCTAGGCAAACTCTCCACGCACTTCTTCCCAGAAGAATACGGCGAGAACGTCTTCTCCGAAGTTTCCTGCGAAAAGCTCCACACCTGCGACCGCAACATGCTCAACTTCAAAGGCTGGTCGTCAATGTGGATGGCCATGGCGGCCCAAATGGCTCCCGTGACGTACGACACGGTCCTGCCCAAACTCCAAGGGTCGGCGCAGGCCATCGGGCGACAATGCGACGGCGAGACGGAGAACCTGTGTGGTTCCCGCTGGTACCAGGAGACGTGGGACGGGATCAAGGGTCTCGAGGTGCAGATGGCGGCGTTGGGGGGGATAACGGCGAACCTGATGATGATGTCCAATGCGCATACGCAGACGATTGACACGAATCCGAATGCCAAAGAGCAGTTTTTGGATACGTATAGTGATGATACGCCGGATGCGCTGCCGCTGATTTCGACGGGGGATCGCGTCGGGAGTTGGATTCTCACGGTGCTTTGGGGGCTGGGGATTATGGCTGCTGCGTGGTGGTTGATTAAGCAGGCTTGATTCTTTTGCTTCTAATAAGACATTGCTTTCTGCGAGAGGTAGATTTGTCTAAATAGTTCGGGCGATGGTTTATTCTGCTTTATTTTCATTTATAGTGCTAGTTTTAGTATGTTTATAGGAGTTTTTTTTTTACTATTTGAAGATTCCGTGTCTTGTCATACTGTGGATATACTTTGCTTCTAGGCACAGACCTTTCTCCGCCACTAATGCGCTTGAGCACATGGATATAGTATAATTTCTATCGCAGCAGCCTGTCGCGTGATGGATAGCAATCAGCTGCCAGGGCTAAAAGTAAGCTCAAAAAAAGCAACCCTAGTGCTTCGGAGCCCTCCGAGCCACAGAAGCTACTACTACCATGCAACCCTGCACCGTTGAAACAAGCGGCACGCGAGTCAGGCGAGACTACAAAGTACGGAGCACGAGCGTCGAGGACGCCTCGAACATCCCAACGAACTCCCCGGGCCACCAAGCGCCCCCTGCTTCGTGATGATCCCGAGGCCAGACACCAGATAAGGAAAACGATGCATCGACTCTTCTCCGCGATGCCCACAGCAGCACCCAATAGCACGGCGTCAGGGGTATATTGCTTCTGTGCACCTCGGAGATCTCTGCGTCGCCGGCCGACCCGTTATCTCGATCGCTCTTGTACCTGTCACCCGGCCCCCGTTTCATCCCTGTTATCGGGGCGCCGTTCCGGTTATTGGGAGATAAGTTGCTGCGCGGTTGCCGCTGGTGCGTCGATCAACTCCGCGGGTTATTTGATACCGGATATGCGCCTGGAAAATGTTCTTATATTCGCTGCTACCATGGGAATTAGACAGTAAACATGCGCGTGAGGATTATTCTGTTCTAGTATATGATACCGATTCTGGTTTCCTCGGTCCATGGACGGGCTACCCTCCCAGTCGACCCTGTCTGCACCGAATTCGCTCGATGCTGAGAAGAAGCTATGTACGGCCGTGTTGGTTGTTTCGACGCTTTCGGTCCTCGGTGGAGGATGGATCATCTTGAGTTTCATTGTGCGACACACGTATCCTACCTCTCCCTTAGCCTTGCTTGCTCATAGTCTTAAGGTTGTTCCGTCGCTCCGCACTTTTCGACATCAATTGATCCTCGGTGAGCCCATTCGTTCGAGATATACTTGCTTTCTCTATACCTCTGGCTAATCTGACAAGGCCTGGGCCTAAGTGACTTCATGATGGCGCTAAACGTCGTGCTATCAACGAGCATGAACCTCTCCGGCCGCCATATCTGGGCAGAGGAGCAGCACGCGTTTTGCAGCTTCAATGGTTTCATGAATCAGATGTTTGTTATACAGAGTGGGTCTCCCCTGCCCCTACTTTGTATCTTCTATACCCTGCTGCTATCGGGACACATGGCTGATTGATTAGCCGACTATTGGATCCTCATCATCGCCGTCTGCACATACCTCATCCTAATGGACCACACGGCCACCGCGTCCTGGATCCAAGAGTACCGCGTCGTGCTGTGGTGTCTGCCTTGGATACTATCGACACTTTGGGCGACGCTCGGGCTCGTCCTTGTTGGGTATGGGAATATCGGGGCCTGTACGTTTCCCTCCGTCTCCATCTCCTTTCTACCCAATTCCGCACTCAATTTCTCATACTAATGACTGTACAGGGTGCTGGTTCACAAGCGACCGCATCCGCCTCCTCGTAAACTTCACACCCCGCTGGGCGATAATCGTCATAATCCTCGCCCTCTACACGCGGCTGTGTATCTTCCTCTACCGGTCGCACAAGTCGATATCGAGCGACTACGAGATCAGCGCGAGTGCGCTGCCGACGGAGCTGCAGCAGTGGCAGATACTTGATGGGCAGGCGGGGATTCCGGGGAATTGTGAGGCTCACTCGGTGTATCCGAGTGCGACGCCATTGAAGAATGTATGTCTCCCCTTTTCACAGGCAGATTATTGGTCATGATGAGCGGTGTGCTTGGTTAACTGACGAGGGCAGATATCCCGGCGCATGATGATCTATCCGACTGTGTACGCGCTTATTTGGGTCATCCCGACTGCGGTGCGGATCTATCATGGGACGACGGGGAGGCAGGCGCCCGTGGCGTTGAGCATTATTGATAATGTAAGTCTTCACTAACGCGAAATGGTTGTTACTGATTGGGTTTGAATGCATAGTCCTGCATCATCAGTCATGGGCTCGCTGATGCGATTATCTATGGTTCGTGCCATCTATATAGTAAAAAGTCAGCGCGGCTAATATATATAGGTGCGAATGAGCGAGTGAGGAATGGCTGGTTGGAGAAGCTGCATTGGCGCTGGCGCTGGCCGTGGAGGAAGGATGTCCAGGTTGTCTAATTAATAGAGCCCGAGTAATATATAAATATAAAACTAGTTAGGTACAATAATCAATTGATGTCGGCAGTTGTTTCGTACCCCGAGCCAGTAGTGGAGAAATCCCCGCACTTGTGAACCGAGGCTCTCCAGCTCTTATCGCGTCCTTATGACCCCCAACACTGCATCTCCCATCTTCTCCTCACCACCATCACTGCAACACCATCGATTGCTCAACCTCAATCGCCATCTATTCACCATGCCCGGCCTAACCCTCCACCTCCTCACACTCTCCCCCGAAACATCCGCAAAAGACTTTGTCCGCGACCTCAAAAAAGCCGCCAGCACCCGCGTCATCGTCGCCTCGCGCCCGCGCCGCGTAATCATCAGCCCAACAATCCTCGACACAACCACCCTCCTCTCCGAGCCCTGGGACCTTCTCCTCCTCCTGCTACCACCAAACCCTCGCGAGCCGCTCTTTCCACCAACCCTCGCGTCGCAGATTACGAAAGAATACAAGATCAAGGTCGGGATTCCGTCCAAGTTGCTGAATAGCTACCCGGAGCGCGATGCGCAGCTCAAGCGCGAGGCAAAGGGTGTGCCCCTGACGGGGTCGCTGGATAATCTTAGCACGGAGAGTACGGGGGAGAATCTGGAGGTTTCGGGGGATTTGTTGAAATTCATGAATGAGTTCAGCGCGGTTTATGATAAGCCGGTTACGATGTTGAATCTGTTGCATTTTCAGAGGCCCGATGGGAAGCAGAATTATTTCAAGTATGGACAGGTATGTACCCCCTTTCTTCAAATCTCGGTCTTATCTCGTTCCATCCTTTCGCTCTTGATCTGACAACCCATTATGGCAGGGCTTCACCCCCGTCGCCTCGAAACGCGGCGGAAACGCCAAACTCGTCGGCAACGTCGTCAAGCCTGCGTCGGCGGCGGACTCGGATTCGAGGGGTCCACACGATCGGCCCGAGCAGGAGTGGTGGAATGAGATTTCCATTGTGCATTATCCGTCCATCAGGCATTTCTGTGATATGCTCGCTGCCGAGGATTACCAGGAGGTTAATCGGAAGTATAGGCTTGCGGTGAGCTTTCTTTTTCCTTGATATTGTGCGTCTTGTTTGTAAATGGACGGCTATACTGATACTGGTGTCTTTAGGCGCTCCGGGATACGTTCCTTCTGTGTACGACCGAGTTTGACTTGGAGGATGAGGCGGCGAAGTTGTGATTGACTGGTGTCGATAGAGATTGGGATGTATATACGACAATGATACTGATGACACTGCGGGCAGATCATGCTGATATCAGAGTGAGAGCAATATGCAGAATAACGCTGCAAATCCCAACGAAGCGGGATAGATAGTGGTTCCTGCGTTATCTGTCATTGTTGGTTCCGTCGAGTCCGCCACCGCCGAAGCATCTGCTGAAGTACTCTGGGACCAGGAGATCTCATCATCCGACCCTATAGAGGAAGCCATACTCGCATCCGTCGTCCGCGTAGGCTCACTCGTCGTTTCCGGACTATCAGTCGTCGATGCATCACTCCTCGCAGATCTCGTATCTGACGCAGAGTGTATCCCCTCAGAAGCCGTCGTCGTATACTCCGCCGGATTCGTTAGAACTAAACACTGTAATCAGCACTCCGATTCCCTCCTTCCCATCAACTCGAAACCTACTTGTAACAGTCTCCGTTCTCCCGCCAACAACCGTCGTGATCGGCACATACGCCCACCGCGGCACACACTCGATCCCCAAAACCTCCTCCTGAAACCCATCAACACACCAATAAAAACACCACCCCAGCACTTCAATATTCCCCGCATGCCCGCTCCCCTCACAGGCACTACTGCATTCCGGCGCGAGCGCCGACTGCGCCGGTATTGCGTCGCTGTGCACGCAGTCGTGGTAGCAGTAGGGAATCGCGGTGCTGTTTGTCGAGCCGGGGAGGAGGGTTCCTGTTGCGATGCTTAGCGGATCGTGGCAGCGAAGGAGGCAGGGGGTGGAGTTTGAGGTGTAGGTTGTGTTGGGGGTTCCGGGGAGGGGGGCGTCGCAGTTGAGGGCGTGCGTTAGGGATGGGAGGGTTAAGGGCAGAAGGAGGAGGAGGTTCCAAGTATCTGATGGTGCCATTTTGAGTTGGGGAAGATAGTTCATGGAATGAGGGGGTTTGTGGGCGGGCTGTTTTAATTTATATCACCCTCGCCATCCACGCTCTGAGCATGGACTAGGCATGGGAGGTCCTATCAAGTCCCTCAACTCGGATGCAGATATCCGGGCTGAGATTAGGCTAAGACTTGGCTATGGCTCTAGGCTGTTGACGGCGTGGGAAACGGACGAATGATTGGGATATGTTTATGGGGCGAAATGGAGTTGGGCTTGAGGTGTCAGCGCTAGAAGGGAACATGTGAGCTATATATCCAGATATCACTTGAGTCATTTGAGGTTGTTTCTTGATTTTTGGCGGATACCGAGGGATCTACGGATTCGCTGATTTGGTTGTTGATGGATGGGCTGTTACTACTGGATTTATACTTGCGCCGACTTGATAGAGCAATTGACCTACACATGAGTCTGCTTCACGACTCGTCGCCTGCCGGATTTTTCATATCATATCCGATGCATATCATCAATTTAGTCATCAGTTTGTACTAACTATATCCTCAAAAGGGGTCGCTAAGAATGTATAGTTCGAGAACATTGGTTTCCTTGTGCAATACAAGGGTTTGTTGGCCAGTTGTAATTTCTGCTATTTTATCCCTCGCTTCTTTGAAGCAAAACCAAAACCAGAAATAAAAACAAGGATATACGCTGATAATGCTCGATTGCGTGTCTGTACAGCTCAATCACTCGTCCTCGTCGGCCACGTGACTTTGTCCTCCTGTCCTGTTGTTTCCTGTTTCTTTCTCTTCCTCGTCAACATCTCCGCATTCATCAACTCATCGCCAGCAACATCATTGTTTATCTAACAATCCAACTTTATTCGTGTCCTATCCACGGTTCGACTCCCGGGATGCGGCCTCCAACCAATGTTCGCCTATCGGATCTTCGATCCAGATCCAAAAGAGGAGCTGTTACTGCCCTTGATGTCATTGACTTGACCTTCAGATCGCCATGACACCACCACTATTACCATCACACTCCTGCCAGGATGCGATTGACCCCGCAACCTGTGGCCTCTGCCACAATGGCTCTCCCAATAAACAGGCCTCCTGCGCATACTCGTGATGTCAACATGCCCCGCAAGGCCGAAGCTCCGCATAGCACTTCATGACAACATAGCTGCTCGAGATATAACTATCTTCCAGCAACTCCGGACGACAACAGTCCGACGACATTAACTCAACCGCAACAGGATGTCTGCAGGAGGGTTCATGTCCGACGAAGGCGGCGCAACGTCGCTGCCTATCTTGCGGGGCGCCGTGGATACGGTGACTGAAGAGTGTCCCGAGCGCCTGGGAACCAGCTGCGAGGAACTACAAGCGAAGTCACCCACCGTCGATACATTCTTCGATGCTATTGCCCAGGAGCGGTTGAGGCGCATGCCTGCCGATGGCAGTCGCTTGGATAGTGCTCTTCGCCGCGCATCGCGCTTGGCGTTTGCTGTTGCTTCACTGCGCGATTCCGTCGCTAGTTTTATGGATGGAGCAGAGGAGGCTGCAAAGATTATTTGGGGGACAACGCTGCTTTTACTTGAGGTAGGTTGGCGCGTACATTGATCGGTCGAACTCCGTATCAGCTGACTGACTGTTGTAGATGGGAATCGACAACATAGACATCGTCGATAACCTATTCAGCAACTATGGTCGGGTTACACTGGGCATTTCCTTGCTGCTTCAGCAGGAGAACGACTTTCAGACCTCAAGGGCTCTTCAGCGAGAGGTCGGGGAGATCTTCGCACATCTCCTGCAGCTGGTCGTTCACGTCGCGGCCGAGTACAGAACCGATTCGCGCAGTCACAATTGGCAATCCATGACCGACGTTGCGACCCTGGCCTTTTTCTGCTATTTCAACCGATTCACGACCCATTGGCGGAGGATATCTAGCATTGTTCTCGAGTCGACTGTGGTGAAAAAGCAGCACGCCGACCTGGAGTCGATTTATCAGTTCCTTGAACTGCAGGACCGCCCTTTACACATGTTGCTGGAGAGTCAATCCCACTCGCTTGCCGATGGATCCTTCTCGTGGTTTGAGCCGCACCTGACGACCTTCACTGTTGGCCCCCGGAGCTTGATGCTTGTTCGCGGAAACCCCGGCGCTGGAAAAAGTGCACTGGCTCAGTGGACCATTGAGCGTTTGCAAGTTTCTTCGGAATACGATATCTGGAACATCATTCCAATCATTATCCGGTCCGATGTGCCAATCACGATGATCAGACTCAGTGTTCTCAAAGGGATACTGATTCAAATGCTCGACTGCTGCGTGACGAGCAGAAAGACGCAAGGCGACATCATTGGAGCTGTTACAGAAGCTCTCAAGGCGGCTGAGAAGGGCGGACAGGATTCCCAAGTCGAGGCTCTCTTATGGTCCTCTATCCGCACTGCCGTACAATCGAATCTGCATTTCATGATTGTTGTCGATGGAATGGACCATATCAAGCAGGCCGAGAGTATTGTCGGCCCTTTTCTAGAGATGATCCAGAACGCCATTTTGGATACCCCGTCAAAGTTGATCGTCTTCACCCGCCCGATGACCACGGAGCAGATACCCATCAAGGAGACCACTACTACGCACCAGGTCGCCATGAACCAATCTATTTTGGAGCACGACCTGTCCTGCTCGATATCTGACGCGATCGCTGGTGATACCACATTCGCGAGCTTGAACGCGTCTCAGCGCAAGAGTCTGTCAGCTGCCCTCACGTCCCGCTCCCAAGGCTGCTTTGTCTGGGCACAGCTGGCGGTTGAAGTCTTGCGTGGTGATGCCTCGTACAGCGACATGACAGCGGCAGTAAATAAACTCCCCAATACTCTCGGTGATCTCATCGATATGCATATTCGCAATATCAATTTTCAGCAGGCGGGGGTTGAGAGTCTTCTTGCCTGGTTGACCGCTTCAGAGCGCCCACTCCGCCCTCAAGAAGTCGAGCAATTACTCGCTGTCGACACAAAGACGCTCAAGGTCACGCCCCGGCATCTAAACTTGAATCGGGAAGTTTTTCAGCCACTTCGGCGCTTAGTGGCAGTACAAGATGGTTTTGTCATGTTCCGCCATCCTTTGATCCGTGAGCACATTCAGGCAAGAGCTCAAATGAAGAAGGGCGTTCCGTTCTCGCTGGGTGATGCCCACTATGATATCCTCATTCGGTCTCTGGCATGGGTCCGCCGAAACCTCACGGACGAGGTCGCCATCAGTTGGGACAAGATGCCCGTTCATGCCCGCGATCGCTACCTCGATGCGTTCATCTTGCTCGAATATGCCGCCCGTTACTGGCTATCCCACATGCTCAACTCGTCCATGGCCTCCTCAAAGACTGGGCAGCTCAATCTGACCAAAACATTCGCCAAGGCACTTCCCGACTCGGCTCTGTTTGCACAGCTGGAGCTCACGAATAAGGAGTCTCAATTCAGTCGCTCGTGTACAGTTGACCTGTACCGCCATGCAGTCGATGTGCGCCGTGAAGTATTTGGCGACGACTCCCCTGCCCTCCTACAAAGCCTCATAACTAGTGCTCGCGCGGCCGATCTTGCCCAGGCCCCTTGGGCCAACGATCATCTCTACGAAGCTTGGACGCGCAGTCGCGCACGCCTGGGGCCAACCGCCCAGATCACACGCGATCTCGAGCAGATGCTTGTTTCATCAGCTGAAGGGGCCGGTCGACCCGATCGCACCGCCGGGCTGAAGAAGGATGCCCTTCGCGACATGGCTCTATCAGGTTGGGGTTCCTCTGACATCAGCTTTGCGCAGAGGCTACTCTACCTAGGCAAGCTTGTCAAAGCTTACCAGGAAGACAATCGACGTGATGACGCATATGCTGTTTCGAAGCAGTTTTACCGACAGACCGTCCAGGCATACGGACCATACTCGGCGGAAACCATGGCAGCGGCGGAATATCTGACGACGCATTTTCAGATCGGCCCTCCAGATGAACTGGCCCTCGAGCTTGCGCGCACCAAATACGAGACTATGGTCCGCTCAATGGACGCGTCGGATCCTCGGCGCGTCGCTTATTCACTGTCTCTAGCTCAGATGTACGAGGAGAATTCACAGCCCGCTGACGCTGAGGCGGTCTTGTCGAAGCTGTGGCATAGTCTATCTTCCCCGGATAAAGAGAACAGGAGCTCATGGGACCAGAGGACAATGGTTGCGTTCTACTATTGCCAGTTCCTCCGTCGACAAGGTCGTCCCGACGAAGCCACTGCCATCCTTCGCGACCTCTCGGCTGATCTCGAAGCTGATGGCGGTGTGAGAAACGCGGCGATGGCTTCTCGTGCGCAAGAACTTCGTCGCGAGGCTAGAGAAATGCACCTCTATGACATGGACCGCGCTCTGGCAATCCAGTTGTGGAAGTACTACAAGTCGACAAACCAGCAGTACAAGGACGAAGCAGTTGACTTGGCCAAGAGCCTGATTGAAGGAACATCCGCGACAGAGGGACGGCCCATCGAGGCCATGGGTAATCTATCGCTCAGCGAAAGCAAAATGCTCCCAGAGTGGATCGATAGTGTGGCGTTTGCGAACAAGAATGTTAGCCAACTACGATTGCCTCTTCTCCATCTATGCCATCAACTCGCTCGCCAGCACATCCGGGACGAGCAGTGGCGCCGTGGTAGCGATTGTGCATGTGCGGTGTTGAAGCATACTTGGCCAACTCTCGAGGATCCCACGTCCAAAGCCAAGTTCTCAGATGAAGAAGCTCCTATCATGGCCAACCTAGCCCTGGATCACGGTTACTGCCTGTTCCGGCGACTCGATGTCCCAACAGCAACGGTCGTCTATGGCAATGCGTTCAAGGCGGCGATCACTGCGGACCAGGTTGCTGTTCCTTCGGTGACCGCGGTCGTCAAGACGGTCGTGGAGTTCTACGAGACCACATTCCAATTCGACGCTGCGTTGGCCCTCCTCCGGCAGGTCAGCGAGTTCTTTGCCTCGCGACTGGGAGAAAATGACAAGCACACGCTCGACAGCCGCTACCACGAGGGTGATCTCGCGCTTCGCCTTGACCGCCGCGAGGAAGCTGAGAATAGCTACCGCCATATTTATCGCGCATTCATTCGAGATGGCAAGATCACCTCGTCTGGTGTGCGTGCTGCCGTTGCGCTGGTGACAATATACGAGCAGGACCAACAGTGGGATGCTGCTCTGGAGGTCTACCGCCATCTGTGGCCGACATTGGTGCGATTCGACGAAAAGGATGGCTATGACCGCGCTCTGCTTGATGGCTTGCTATTCAAGACGTACAACGGTTACATGGCCCTTCTGACCAATTCCGCTGTCAAAGCCGGATATGCCGAACGTCAGCAGATCGCGTCGGAATACCAGCAGCTCTGCCGCAAGGTCTACGGACCAACTCATCCGAAAACGCGTGATGCAACGCTGTGGCTGGCGCAGCTTTGCTCGGAGAACGACCGCCATACCCACGAGGCGATCAGTCTATACCAACAGGTGCTGAACACGCATGACTGGGTGCCGCAGGCCGAGGCTGCGCGAGCGTTACCTGATATGAGGGACCCTCTTGCCATCGATATCAAGCACCGCATGGCGGCTTTGTATCTCCGTCAGAAGCAGTCGACACCCGAGGCCCGCAAGCTGTATCTTGAGGAGCTTGCTCTGGCTAAGCAGACTCAGGGCCTTTCCGCACCAACGACATTGAACTGGCTAAGGGAAATTGCTCGCATGTATGCGAGCTCGGAATCGGCTACATCGCGACAGCAAGGTGCTCAAATCCTCCGCGACCACGTTGAGGAGGTGATACATGTCACTGCCAACCAGCAGCTGCTCGTCGACCGCGCGCAGCGACTGGCGGGGATCTACCTCGAGTGCGGCTACATTGACGAAGGCAATGCCTTGATCGATGAGCTGCATCAGCAGGTGATCCAAGAGACACCTGTTGCACACCGCCAGGCGCTCGACGAACACCGACCCGCTGTCTTTGTCGCAGCGTTCGAGGAAGCCTTTGGCAAGCGCCAGTCAGCCCGCGAGATTCTAAACGAAATGTCTCGCGAAGCCCAGGTCTACAACAACTTTCAGCAGAGCCTGTCAACTCACGATCTCATGCCGACCTTGGCCGCTGGAGAAAAGCTTCATCGCCTTCAGACTCAGCAGAAGCATACCATGGCTGCGAAGCATACCGAGGACCAGCTGTACCAGTACTTCTGCAACACCCTGTCTGTTGGCCGGCCAATTCGGGCAAAGGACGTCGTGCATGTATTTTACGGCATGTGCCGACGCGAGAGTCTGAACGAGGACTACGATTTGAATATCATCACGCAGACGACTGATCTGGTACGCGATCTGTGCAACACCTCTCGTTTCGAAGATGCAGCTATCGTAACTGGGGTCTTCCATTCGTTTGTCCATCTAACCGACGGCCTACGCACACCCGAAACGGTCTTCGCCGCGCTCAAACTGTGCATGTATCTGAACGGGTACCAGACGGCCAAGTGCGGAGACGAGGGCATCGCCAAGGGCATGAAGCTGGAATCGCAGATGCTTCTGCAGGAGATCATGACGAACGCAAAGGAGATGCCATTGGAATTCACGCAGCTCCCATTCGACGAGCTCAACGACCTCGTCACCGTGCTAGGCGAGCACGAAATGTTTGATGACCTTGATGTAGATATTCCCTACACCCCATTCCATCCTGTAATCTCCAGGCTAACAAGTATAGAACATCCTAACCGAACTCTGGACCTCGCGCATGATCCAAAAGACCTGGTCGACCTCGGCCGTCGTCTGGATCGGCCGCCGCCTCGTCGAAACGCGCTTCTGCCGCGGAAACATCAACTCGGCCACGCAGCTGGGCAAGGACATCTGCTACAATCTCCGGCAAGTCTGGGGAAACTGCGACCCCGTCACGCTGGAAATGACCAAGCTCCTCTCGGGCCTGTACACTGCATCGGGCAACTACCTCGCCGCGGCCGCGCTGCACGAGACGGCGCTCGCCGAACTGCTGAACAGCGACGAGCACGAGAAATCAGGTGCCGTTGAGGCCGTCACGCAGCATCTTGAACTCCTGCAACACGCGCAGATGCGCCTCGCAAAGGAAGGACAGAGCGCGGCGATCGACGCTGCGACTGCGCAGGAGCGCGTGCAGCAGATCGCGACCAAGTTTGGCCTCCCCGTTGAACGGTTGGAGGTTGCGTCGACGAGCGACGAAACGATTGGGATGTGGCAGCGGCCGAGACGGTTTAGTCTGGATGTGGAGGAGCCCGAGGCGCATCGGAATCATCTGCGCCAGTCGAGCGGGTCGGCGCTGCTTTCGGGGAATGCGGGGGCGAAGAGGATTTCTATTACGGCGTTGTAATATTGTCAATTGTAACCTAGTTTACCTCAGATAGTATATGTTTGTAGTTATCAGTAGTTACCGTTAGTGTTTGGTAGTAATCGTTGTCTCGCTTTCCACTCCCTCATCCGCCCTACTACGCCCCAGCTTGTATATTTCAGGTTATTTAGCCACGCACCCCATAAACAACCCCTAACAGATCAACTTCATCTCCATCCCTCCCATAAACCCCCAGAACCTGCCACCCACTCTCAGCCTGATACTCCACACACTCCTCCGTCTCCGTCCCCACCGAGATACTATTCCCTGCACTCGTCGTAACCTCAATATAGAAGATCCGCGTATGGTCGTTCTGCTTCCCCTGACACAGCCTCGTCCCCGTCCAGAACTCGTCGGCGCCGAGCTCGAGCTCAACGGGCGTTCCGCCGTTACCGCCGTGTGTGGTTGTTGAGCCCGTGGAGAGGGTGAGGGTTAGCCCGTCGAGGCGGTTTCCGCCGCGGAGGATGATTTTGGAGAGTTTTATACTGGTACCCGTTGTGGTTGGGAGGGTGGGGAGGTCGTTGAACCACGTCCTTTATACCAAATCAGCCAGGGTCATCCTCGAAATGCTAGAAGGCTATAGATGGGGAGGTGGGGATGGGAGGTAGTTACCCATGCGGCCCGCCAAACAAATCACTCATGCGGAACTGCCCCGACCGCGACCAGGCGAACGTGCTCGAGATCGGATTATGGTCTGAGAGGATGGATCCGTTGTTGAGGAATTTCTCGTCCTCGTAGCTCCACGATGTTGCGCGGAGGGCGAGGGCGCGGCTGCCCCGGTAGCTGGCATTCCTGATTAGCTTGTGCTTCTGGCTTCTGTCTAGAGGAGGCCAGACGACTATAGAATCAGGTCTATCAACTGGGGAAGGAGAGAGGACATACAAGATCTTATCAACAGTCTCACAAGTCTGGCTAGTCGTCGGATTCCCACAGACGACCGCATCAGCGCCCTCGACTGGCTCGACGCCGTCAAGGATAAGTTCGACCCAGGGATTGATCAGCTCGTTCTGGGTGTGAAAGATGCGGATCCCATCGCCGACACGCGTATACCGCGCGTTTGTATCCCCGAGGACGAGAACGGCGTTTCCGACTGAGTTCGTCGTGATGTAGTCGGATACCTGCTGCAGGTTTGCGGCGCGGGCGGAGATGTCTGCTTCTTCTGATCTAATAACCAAGAACAGTGTTAGTTGCTTATATCCATCACCCATACCGCAGGGTCTTAGTTCATCCGGCGTTCGAAGAGAGGGCGTACACACCCCGCATCCGCATGCAGATTATAAACGTCAAGATAAACCCCCTCGTCAATCCTCACCCTCATAACTGTAAAGCCCTTGGGGGTGAGACAATCCGCTCCACTCGCACTCTCGCAGACGTCCCATTTCACTCTTTCAAAGTCGATCCAGGGGTAGTTTGCTAGGGTGTTCAGCCCCGAGCCGAAGGGAACGCCGCCGGAGGTCGAGGTGCGGTAGGGGTATGTTGCTGTTCTGTAGAGGGCGGCGTGGTAGTTGAAGTCCTAGACTGAGATTTAAGAGGTTGTTCTGTTTGGTGATGGGTGAGGGGGAAAGAGGTACTTCTTGAACTTGGACGATATCGTAGCCATACTCGACAAAGCGCTCGCCAATGATCTCCGTGTTTGTCGTCTTGTCGCCCGGCACGTCGTTGCCGTTGATTATTTCCGGGAGGCCGGCGACGTTGAAGGAAAGAACTGACAAGGAGCCGCTGAGGGCTGCGGATGCCGGCCCTGCGAATCCGTGGAGGAGGAATCGTGAGAGTTTCATTTTGACCGTCTCACTCTCAGTTTGATGCGAGGGCGTCGGCTCTTTTTCTCTCTCGTAATTGCGATTGATGCGATTTGCATGTGGTGTTTATTTATATTGATCGACATGAACTAGCAAAGACACTAGTCGTGGCAGCTGCCATGCTACTCTCTGTTTGTCAATTACTCCGCTCTGCGTGTCGAACAAGCGCCGGGCGTGGTGGCCGTGAAGAATTGGGGTTTAATCTATCGAGGATCACGTTGGAGGAGGAGGGGTGGTTATAGGTTATACGACTCGCGGCTTTTTCTCTGATCGAGGCTGCGCCCACAATGAGCACGATTTCTGAACAGGGCATCGAGTGCTTTTAATATATTCAGCGGCACGTTGCTGGACAAGGAAGATTTATACGTTGGGCCTTGCTAAGCGAGTAGAGACGCAGAAGCCTAAGCTTCTATATACCAGCCTACTTTGGCACTCATTAATATATTTAGCACCACGTTTAGACATGATGGACATCTATAGGCCAACTAGTTCTGTCTTGCGCAATTCCTCAGACGATCGATCTAGTAACGGACACGGCCATAACCTATCGTACATGGTTATGCCTTGAATTTGGAGGTCTGGCAGAGAGTTAGGGTTATCCATCTCAGACAATCTTCCCCCAACCTTGGGATTCAGGTCGAGTTAAGCATGGACATGTTTCAGCCTCAGAGCAGACACTGTCCATCCCACTCCTGTTACTAGTAAAGATTTATTGCGTACCTTACGGGAGGGACCTTCTCCTCTCGTTTTGAGTTTCCAGAAGCGGCGTTTACTTTGAGGTTATCTATGGGCTGTGTTTTCCAAGTGTTTAAGTGAGCAATGCGAGCTCTAACTTATTCGTTTGCGCTGCATCTTTCTTTGTCTGGTCTAATTCGTCTCAATCTTTGACTACTCGTTTAGAAGCAGATCACATTGGCAGTTAATCGTTGGATGATATATATTCGTGGCTTCAAACGATAAACTGTCCTTTATCGTTGAGCGGATATTGTATACTCCGCTCCAAGTGACCTGCAGAAAATTTACACAGAAACATTCTTTGTGAGATTAAATGGAGAAAATAATAGTACATGGTATTTCATCAAACAAATAGATATCGATCATAAATCATACTCATCGTCGTTCTGCAAAGAGTCGAGTCTCAACTCAGAAGCGACCTCGGCCCGGGAAAATGTCGGCAAATCCGATCCGCATCCTGCAGGACCAAGCCAAGTCGTCCGACTCCGCTCAGACTCAAGGTCAAAGTTCGAGAGCAAACTGCCCACAGGCAATGACAAATTTCAACACATCTCGGCCCTCGCACTCAATTCGAATAAGTCATTTGACTTGGTTTGCCAATGGTGCGACGTGGGTGGCTTGACGCCTGCCCTTGATTCCAGCGTCTTGCCTTCTCGGCGACGCAAGGCGATCGACGTGGCTTGGTTGTTGATTGATTGAGTGGTTGAGTGACGGATGTCGTGGCGATGTTAATTAATATTAGCCGAGTCGAGTCCGTTGCTTTGCGTGCTTACCCATCGTCTCGTCATCGAGGCCGCGCGCAAAGTTGGAGTTGGAAGGTGAAGGATGCAGTCAGGGTTGCGGAGTGCGTGCCGCACGGGCGAGACTAACGCATCAACCCCTCATCCTTAATTAGGTCGACCGTGGAGCCAGCCAAAGGTGGAGTAGTACTCAGAATTTCCATTTCACACTCCAGGTCCGGCTTCAGCACCACCGTGGTTTTCAATCGAAATAAACGCATCCCGGTAGTTGTAGTTACTGCGTCCATGCGCATGTCCGTGGTCGAAATGTGTCTCGAATTCCATCATGGGGTCGAGGTCCATGAAATGCATGGGCTGCACGGGCGGACGGATGGTGAAGCCGCCCTGCGGGTCGACAGGGAGCCAGTTGGCGGTGAACCGTGTGCTGCCGTCGGGCATTTCCAGCGGGGTCAGGTTGTTTTTCTTTGACTTTCCTAGGTTTCCTTCGGCGTGGGCCTTGCTTTGGGGGTTGCTCTCGCTGTGCGGGACTCCGATTACTGTCGCTGCTGCGGGCGCGTGATCGCGGGACTGGGTGTGGATCGGGGGTGGGAAAAAGTGCGCGTTAGTGTTGCTGCCGCCGCTGTTGCCGTTGCCGTTTCCGTTGCCTTCTGGCAGTCGGTAGACCTGTGCAAAGTCAAAGGCGGGTGCTGGCTCGTCGGTATCGCTCGCGTTGGAATGATGGCTTGGACTTGCGCCGGGTGAGCTGATGTAGGCGTCTGCGGCTGGTGCTGGAGAGTAGTGGTAGGCTGGTGGAGATTGAGGGACTGCAGGAGGGATGTTCATGTAGAGCGCACGTTCGGTGGCCAGCTGCGAGGCGGTTCGGAGAAGGTCATCCAGACTGTATGGTGTGCTGTTGGCCGGTGTTTGCATATTCCCAAACCTGTATTCCCAACGAGTCAGTGTTGTCCTCGTCCACCTTCATTTCCCAGCCATACCTTGGTAGGAGTTTATCTGCCCGGTTGGGAAAGCCTTCTGTAGGAAGCGTTGACAGCTGGTATGCCGTCTTGCCTGAACCAGGAGTCGCAAAGTCATATCCTGCGAGCGTTTCCTCCCTCTGTAGATGCCCTTGGTCAAAGGCGCTCATCCCCAGCTGGCTTCTATACCAGAGCTCTTCATCGCCGGAAAGGCCGGGTTCGAGGTTGAAACCTGGGCCTGGGTTCATAGGGTCGAATCCCCAGCCAGGCACATCGTAGGGCATGCTCGTTTCCGCCATTGTGAGTCGACTGTCCAGATTCAATATTTCCGTCAATATATCAGGGAGGAATCCCAGCGTCAAACAATCGGCATGGCACGCGCAACGAGATTCGAGGTTAAAAAGCAAAGCAGCTATGAATAGCTACTCAGGAGAAAAAGCGCGAAACTGGATCTTCTGGAGATTTAAACCCGCAAGATTAACTAGACTGTTCGGACAAGGAGAGGCCGAGAACGGCCTGACGAGTCAACGACGCAGGCACTAGAGCTGGTAGAGCAAGGACACCCTTCGGTAAATTGCAGTTCCCCACACGAGGTCCGTCCCATCTCCAGCCCTTGTTAATGAAGGAGGCTTGCAGGGGGAACCATACGATGGATGGTTGGGTTGTTTCTGAGAATTAACCGAGCTGTTCCCCGGATTCCACTGGCTGGGCTTCGGTTGCGCAGTGCGGATAATAGAAATTAACCGCCCTGCGGGTTCTGGGGAAGGCTTCCTTGCCGACTGGGGAAAAAAGTCCGCCACTGCGACTGCTAAACCTCCGCTAGCTTGTTCGGCAGTCAGGAATCTGGAGTGTGGAGACAAAATCATGCGACCTGCCGATTTTTCCAGGTTTCCCGTCACTTCTTCTCATCGATGATGAGCATGTTACGCAGTACAGGAAATCATGTCCATAACATTCGTATTACAAAGTCATGAGATTCGTGGGAGAATCTAGAGTTGCGGAAATTATGTGTGTATCACAATGCGGTTAAGCATCGGATAGAATCCTTCGAAAGCCGTTTCAATTCCGGGCACGATCGTCCGTAGCCTCTCAACGTGCCTGACGATATTCGTCGAATTAAGATTAGCGCTCCCCGCAGAAGGCAGAAGGAAAGCCTGGAAGCAGTGGCAAACTCAAAGGGCCAATCCAGTGCCCTTTCTTGTCCATCGGTAGAGCGCTAGCACGGCCTTGCGTCGGTGTCGAATCTCACTGTGATTGACCGGCCTTCCCCGCGCCTGGGCCACCGCGCTGCGCATGACCTGCCGGAAGTTTCGCTGATATTCAGTGTTCAATGTGACCACGCAGGACTCGGTCGCTCGGATCATCACCTCGCATGCATTGAGAATGCCTTCCCCGGCTTCCTTCTGTAGTCGTTCAACGATCAGCAGCAGGAGGAAGCTCCCCTGGAGTAATTGGATACCGAAAAAGTAAGGCATGAAACTAATGTCGGGATCGAATCGCAGAATTTGGTCGACCGAGTCCGCAGCTTCCAGCGCATGGGAGATCGTCGATGCAAATGCCGGGGATGATGTCCAAAAGTCTTTGTCTTCGATCAGGGACACGGGGTCCCACTTGCCCACGAGCAAAATGTGGAGCACATGCACCAGATACGACGCATATGAGATGACTGTTTGCGTGTGCCACGCGTAGGCCTGCGAGAGAGATGGTTCAGGGGGCAAATTATCCGGCCCAGCGTGCGCATAAGCAGCGGACAGGGGAGCTTCAGGATCGGATACAGTAGCGGCGAACGTAGTGAGACTAGCCTTGTAGATCTCGAGCTGGCGAAGAACTTCGCTTACATGCACATTCCACGCGTCCTTGCCGTGTAGTCGCGTGCCAAGCATAGGATGGTTCCTTGCCTGGTTTAGGTCGATGAGTTCGCCCGTGATGGTCATGAGGGGGAGGAAGAAGCCGAATATTGAATGGTCGTGGCAAATAAAGTTGGGAAAAAGACGGCGCTTGTTCTTGTCGCCGGATAGAAGACATTGCGGCCCGTCAGGCTTTGGACTGTTACTGTGGATGTTGCCCGATTGCCATGCCCCTTCATCAAGCGGTAGCAAAAGGTCTTCGCTTTCGGCGTCCAGTAAGGCGAGGGGTCGGTTATAGCATAGCGCGAGATGGCGATCCATGATATAGAGAAGCCACCATGTGCGACGCCGTTCCTCGCGATGTTCTTCCGTGATAGCGTTTGGTTCAACGCGATCGCAGACGCATCTCAGGCTAGACCGTGTGGGATTCGAATAGTCAAACACAGGCCCGGGGTCTGCTCCATTCCATCCAGCTAGCGACCACTCAAAGGGTGGACTCGAAGCGTCGGTCTGAGCGTCTGAGTTTGGCATCACCTCAATCTCCTGGTTGAGCTTGAGCTCTCTTGCCAGAGTAAAGGCAGCGTGCCACCTAGAATTGTCAGCAGCGCTACTCGTTGGGGGTCGCAGGTACTGACCATCGCATACTGGCGGCCTTTTGCTCGCTAGACGAGATGATTGAAGCCACATGAATGTAGGTAATCACATCATCTAGCGATCCCGCTGGCCCGACCAGTCCGCGGTCATCGCCTCCTCCCTCGAACGGATGGTGTACTGTCGTCGGAGGCAGTTCCTGGCCGAGACCAGCGAATGTTGGATCATTCGTTGCTGCCGCTGTAGCAGCTGCAACCGCTGCGGCAGCCCCTCCCTGATCTTTGAACGAAACATGGATCAATGGTCGTAGTAAGCGGATTGTCAACGCACAGAGAAACTGGCAAATCCTCTTCCGCTGAGGAGGTGAGATTGGCAGCGAAAAGGCCCTGTCGTCCAGGGCAGCCACCCAAAGCATACTTGCCATAAGGGCAGGACTGCTAGGCCGTGGAGAATCCCTGCTGAGAAACGACGCTTTGCGTAGAACGTAACAGTGGATATGATGGCAGACAGGGTGCATGTGGGTGGAGAACGCGCTGGTGAAATACAGATCGAGCAGGTCGAAAACGAGTTTCCGGGGTAAGGCTGTTTCAACAAACGGCATCAACGGCTGCAGGACTGGGTACTTCAAAGGGGCCGACGAGACCGACGCGGCGGTCCCGTTGCCGGCCTTTGAGCCCTGCGACGCAGAAGCGCTGTATGCTGCTAGGTCGACCCCATTCCACACATCGAACATTCGAGGGAGCGGCCCATCACCGAGACCTGCGCCGCCTAGGAAATCATACGAATTCGGCGACACATGTGTCCCTGCTAGCCACTCCTCTGTCATATTCCCTCCATTGTCTCTTCGCACAGCAGGCGGCAGATCCGCCTGCGACCGCCGCTCGTCGACACTCGCGCCCGACACCGTAGGAACATTCGTCGCGGGCGACCGGTGTTGAAAGGTAGACGTCGGGGAGGCATGTTGAAGCGGAGGAGGGACTTCGACATCTGTAATAGCTGCGACAGAAAGAGGATCGGTCGGACGTTTTGAGGGCGTCGGCTCCTCGACTTTGCTGCTCGTATTATTGTGCTCCATCTCGGCTAATTTCGATCGTGCAATTCGGCCGCGTTTCCGGCGCTCGCGAGTGAATTCACAATGGATTTCGCTGCGGAGACAGCGCGAGCAGGGAAACTGCCGGTCGCATCGCACGCGGCGCGAGTGGCAGGAGTCGCAGGCTATGCGATTGCGTCTCCAGCGACGCTTCGCAGAGGCATCGGGCGGAAGGTCCGGGGTCGTGGTCTCGGCCGGCTGGACGTTTCCCTGCTGGGGAGACGCCATTTCAGGACGGCATTGGCAGCGCAGAGGGGAAGGGAGCGAGGATACAAAAAGAAAAGGTTCAGAGCTTAAGCTTGAGCGAAGGGACCAGAGATCGAGGGTCTGAGGTGTTCTTATCGAACAGGGGAAAATTCTGGAAGGGACTTACTTCCCAGCGACAGGCGGGGGGCCGGGGTGGTCGGGGGACTCCACAATCTCGCTCGCAGCCTGTGCTCCAGAGTCCAGAGCAGGTGCGTGCTCCGATCCGTCTACGTAACATGTCTCGGCCTCGTGAACCACTTGTAACACTCGTTTAAATTCATCTCTCTGGTTCTCTCCAGTGCTAAGCGAATACAAATGAAGAATACTTTGCGCCTGCCTCTTCCTCGAGCTTTGACCGATAACTCTGCAGTCCAGCTAGATAAAATGCACTGTACTTCTTCTTCCCCTCAATGTTGTTGCTCTGGATCCACGACTTGACCTGGTCGAACACTGTGACTTTGGAGATGCCCTGCACCGTCTCGTCCCACTGCACCTGCGCCTTTGGTTCGGCTTCGATGCTCTTGGTTCCTCTTTTGATCACCTCTTCGATCAGCTCAACGACAAAATTCCCCTGCACCTCAATCGACGTGGGAATGTTCGCAAACGGGCCTCCAGGGCCGGACACGGTGAAAAAGTTCGGAAAGTTGGCAACACTGAGACCATACAGCGCATTCGGCCCATCTTTCCACGCCTCGGTCAGTTTCGCGCCGTTGCGACCAGTGATGTCGATATTATAGTATGCACCATCGACCGCATCGAAACCGGTCGCCCAGACAATCACATCGAATTCGAGCTCCTGGCCGTCCTGGAGTTGAAGACCGTTTGGTGTGACTTTGGCGATCGGGTTGGTTGCAATGTCGACGAGCGAGACGTTTGGACTATTAAACGCTTCATAATACCTCTCGGCGCAAAGTGGACGACCGCCATACGCTCCCTTGGGCTGGAGGAGCTTAGCAGTCTCGGGGTCTTTCACAATCTCAGCGATCTTGCTCCGCACAAAGGCAGCAGCCGTCTCGTTTGCTTCAAGACTGGTCCCAAGATCGCCAAAGGTCTCGAAGAAGAATCGGAATCCACCGCCCTTGTTCCAGACACGCTCGTACACCTCTTTCCGCTCCTCCTCGGTGGCTTCAAGTGCAGACTTCTTGCTCTCGGAGAATCCCATCGCGAAGAGCGAGTTGAACGCAAGGTCCCAGATGTCCTTGTGCTTCTGGTGGATTTCCGCCTTTTCCTCCTCGCTGATCGCGCGATTGTTGACAGGCGTGATGTACTGCGCTCGCTGCTGAAAGACAGTCAGCTGCTTCACGATTGGATGGATCGTCGCGGTGATCTGGCTCCCAGAGGGCCCGGTCCCGACCACAGCGACCCGTTTACCAGTAACATCGAGGCCCTTAGGCCACCGCGCAGAGTGGAAAGCAGCACCCTTGAAAGTGTCGATTCCCGGATGCTTGGGAATATTTGGACGACTCAGGATCCCGAGCGCAGTCACAAAATACGTCGCTGAAAACCGCAAACCCTTGTCCGTAGCGATCTCCCATCGGTTACTCGCTTCATCATACCGTGCCGAGACGACCTCATTCTCAAAGATAAAGCTATCATATATCCCAGCTTTCTGTGCAGTCTCCTTGATCTGAGCCTGGATGTCCGCCTGCTTCAGGTACCGCGTGTTCCACTTTGGCGGATCGCGATCGTCGGAGAAGCGGTAGACCCAGCTCTCCGTGTCGGACTGAGCGCCCGGGTACGTGTTCCAGTGCCAGGTGCCGCCGACATCCTTGCCCTTTTCGATGGCGACGATGTTTGTTAGGTTGAGTTTGGATTTGAGGAGTTGGGCGAGGCGCACGCCGCCGAAGCCCCCGCCGACGACGAGGGCGTCGACTTGTTTGATATCAGTCATGTTGTCTTAAAATAGTGAGTGGTATCCGATGTAATTTTGCTGATACTGCAGGTCGAAAAGCCACAGGCACGCTTTATAGTTGCCTTCATAGCGATTCTCATCGTCGTGCTTGCGATATTCGCCATCGTTGTCGCCATCGCATCACAACGACCACACCCAAACATTTAGACAAAGCTGGCGCTGAAGCTCCCCTATACAACGAATCAGATAGCGCCGTGCCACAGACAAAGTTTACCTAGCCTCGCGACGAACGATATCGTCAATACCACCCGAGTATGAAGAGGGGCAGTTACTCAATCGACCCCTCTGTCACAACAAACATATGGCACATCGATCCAATGAACACGACTAGATTGACGTACCGCATGTCGTGCCAGGTCTATCCCAGCTCTCTCGCCCGAGAGATGCACGGGATCTGCCCTGAAAGGGTAAGTGAGGGGCTATACCCCAGGTGTTCGCAATCCGACCCCCCTGTTGCGCGGCTGGATCGATCTTTACTCGATGATATATGAGGGATCTGCGATGTAGGCATAGATATCACAAGCGTAGCGGCGTATGAGGCGATTATTGCCGGTCAAGATGTTATTATTGTGGTTTCTAGGTGTGTTGTTGGCACACAAGCTGGGTATGGTGAATTTGAGCTGCGGATGGTGCAATACTAACCCACTACCCCTCTTCGTGTTATACTTGCTGTTGAAGAATAATTTGTCCATCAGATGCATGGCGGAGAGATTTTTCTATTACTATCTTTGTGCTACTGCTGTGCTAGTAAGCTAGAGAGAATAGGTTTTCATGTATCTCCGGAGATATGCAGGAAACACCGAGACTTGACAGTGCCAGGCATAGTCAGTTCTACGCCTTCAATGTATGTATACGCAGTGTAGTGTATCACTTTCCACCACCAGAAGCCTCCTTGTATCTCTTCAGCGCCCTATCCCTCGCCTCATTATGCTTTACAATCGGCTGAGGATACCCATTCCTCTCGGCCACAGCCCCGGCGCCTCTCTCATACGGCGCATGTACCGCATTCCCCTCCACATCCCTCAATTCTTTCACCCACCTTCGAATATAGTCTCCGTCTGGGTCGAACCGCTCACTCTGCCTCAGCGGATTGAAGATTCTAAAGTACGGCTGGGGGTCCACTCCCGTGCTTGACCCGAAGCCCCAGCCGCCGTGGTTCGACGCAAAGTCCCCGTCGACAAGGTGTTCCATGAAGTACCTCTCGCCGCGCCGCCAGTCAATGAGCAGGTCTTTGGAGAGGAAAGAGGATACAATCATGCGCGCGCGATTGTGCATCCATCCGTCATGGTTGACTTGCCGCATTGCGGCGTCAACGATGGGGTATCCTGTTCGGCCGGTTGCCCATGAGGTGAAGTGGTCCTCGTTGTAAGACCAGTCGAGGTTTGTGTAGGTTGGCTTAAAGCATTTGTTCATGCTATAGAAGGTTAGTGCTTGTGGGGAAACAGTTTATAGGGGGAGCATGCACCAGATAAATGGCCAGTGAACCAGAACGTGTCTGTAAAAGTCCCTCCATGCGACCTCGCTAATCCATGAAATATATCCTACTTCTCCACCGGCAATCCGGCTCCCATTTGCCTTCCGGGCCTGCGCGACCGCGGTGCGTGTGCTCAGTAGCCCGGACGTGAAATATGGGCTAAGCACTGATGTGCTTTCTCCAGCCACAAAGTTTCTCTCCTCATCATATGCTTTCGCCTTCTCCTCAAGGAAAGCCTCAAGCCGTCGCTGACCTTCGTGTTCCCCGGCCGGGTACAATTCTTTCATCCTTGATGCTGTCTCCTCGTCAAGTTGTTTCCCCTCTGGTGCTTCTGGAACAGGACAATCAAATAGACTGGGGAACAACCGCCTCGTGTCGCCGGGATTTGATCCTATCTCTTTACCAACGTCTAGGACATCCGGATTGCGGTCCAGGAATGTCACCCACGCGCGGAACCAGTGTGTATACACAGCGTACTGCTTTCCGGTCTGACTCGCCAAGCTCCCCGGGGGAACAACGCATGTATCATGCTTCGTCTCAAAGGCGATTCCGTTCTCTGCGCACAGCCGGATAAGCGATGCCTCGCGGCGCAGCTCGTCTACCTCATACTCGATGTTTGCAAAGAGATTGCTCGCTCCCCACTCCTGACACAAGTCGACGATGCGCGCGGGGATGGACGAGCGGTTAGTCTGCGTTTCTATGTAGAGCGGAATGTCTAGCTCTGATAGATCGCGCTGCAACTGGGCGAGAGTACGAAGAATGAGATCGACCCGTGCGGGACTAATCAGATGTGCTATAAGATCTTCGGGAGAGAGAATGTACAGCGTAATCAAGGGGATTTTGGCCTCGCGCGCGAGATTGTAAGCGGCCTGCAAGGCGCGATTGTCGTGGATGCGGAGGTCGGTTTTGAACCAGTGAATGACAGCGGCATTAGGCGCAATTTCTTTCCGCTGCTGTGCTGTCTCTGTGTTTGCGCGTTCAAGCGTTTCAATGGGCTTTTCGAGCGTTCCATTGGTGTAAGCGTCGCAGCGGGCGTTGCTCATTTCCGGGGGATAATATTCGCGCAGGACGATACCAAACGAGGCGGCTTGGTCCGCGTTCGGATGGTAGCGACTCGATGTGTCATTTTCGTCTCCGTGTTTCCGTTTTGCGGGCATGCTTCCTTCTTGTAGGGAATACAAGCGGCGATGGAGGTGGTTTTGTGCTCCGCTGCTCCGCGATCGATCGATCGAGCGGCCGCTTCGCACCTGACGTCAGGATCGTGTGGAGAAAATGTAAACATTGTTTCCTCTGGGATGACAGAAGCTTGTCGTTGATTGAGGCGCTTCATATACCGATAAAGGCCGTACGAGAGATTATGATACTATCCAGAAATGTCGTGGAGTCCGTAATCTATTGAGGGATGATGGTCGATTGTCCTCCCCTTCCTCGACGACCCCTGGGTCTGTGCGGTGTTCCCAACTTCCCAAAGTCGGATATGCTCGATCAACTCTATATAATCGGCACTAACTGCCTTATGGCAGTTCCTCAAGTGGTCCCTTTCCTCAGCCTCGAAGGCGACGAGCGACGGGCTTTTGTCATGTCACCTCGATGATCAACATCGTCACAAGAAGCACAGGGCCACAGGCGGTAAACAGGGCCCAGTCCGCCCCAACCGATGCAGCAAAGATGCGCAAACCCCAGTCTGTCGTTGATCTCCACCTACAAGCCGCCTCGTGGTTGGACCTCCGCCGTGTCTAGATTCAATAGCGCGCCTTACCGACCAGATGGGAGGCGCCGATCTTTTGGGGTCGAAACATGTCAAATAGTGCCATGGGAAAAAGTTCCGATGGGAATCAGGGATAAATATGAAATATCACAGACCAGGCCCCGGATTCCTCGCTCGTCAAGCAGATGAGAGAGATGTCCGTCCTATCCCTCCCCGGCGTCGGCGATGACCCCATTGTCCCCTTTGTCCTTGCCGCCTTTGCAGCTCTGATATACTATAACGCCGCCGAGCTTCTGATCCTGTGTCTGGCCACGTTCAAGCATCGCGGGAGTCTATACTTTTGGTGTCTTCTCGTTGCATCGATCAGTCTGATTCCGCACGGCTCGGGTTTCGTTTTGCTCTTCTTCCGCCCCGAGGTCTCGCACTATGTCTCCGTGTGCCTCATCCTCATCGGCTGGTGTGCTACAGTCACAGGGCATTCGCTCGTCTTGTGGTCCCGCCTGCACCTTGTCCTCCAGAATCCTCGAGTCCTCCGGAATCTGCTCGTTATGATCATTGTCAACGCCGTGCTGTTGCACATCCCACAATCCGTCCTCCTCTTCGGCTCCGTCTCCGAAAACCCCAATACCTTCGCAACCGGCTACAACATAATGGAACGCATCCAGCTGATCGGTTTCTGCATCCAGGAGACCATCCTCTCGGGGATCTACGTCTGGGAAGTAGCCAAGCTGCTCCGATTGCGGTCCGAACGTCGAAACCGCCGCATCCTCGCGCAGCTCCTGGTCATCAACATTGTCGTCCTGATCATCGACTTTGTCGTGGTTATCATTGAATATGCGGGGTTCTATGCTGTGCAGGTTATGTTCAAGCCGGTCGCGTATAGCATCAAGCTAAAGTTGGAGTATGTGGTGCTACAGCGGCTGGTGATGATTGCAAAGGGCGGGCCGGTGGCCGATAACCGCTATGGGTGTGCGTTTGATGCGGTGCCCTCGACAGAAGAGCTTGACCGTTCGGGCTCACGGGCCAGGACTTGTTGTCTGTTGGAGATGCAAGAGGGAGAGGTGAGGGGGTCGAAGCCTTCTTGACGTTCCGGTGTCTGTTCCGGTGTCGGCGAGATTCTCCTCAGACAGACGCAAGCGCATTATTTCAGGGTTGCTTGGGGCAGTTGGAATTGCTTACCTCCTGAGGAAGTCGGACAGGATCATACCAACCGGGCCAAACGCTATACAGTCGCAGACCAACTGTGGAGTGCGGGATGGGGCCATGCTCCGATCTTGGGTCGGCTGCCGCCCGCTGGCCGCTGGCCCGCGTCACTAGACTCACTAGTCGACCAGGCTGTCAATCAGAGTCGGTCCATAAGAGATGACCGATGCTTAGCAAGGGCAGGCGTACCAATGGTATGATTCGGCTCCTCCAGCAGACTCTTGTCCAAGTTACAGGGGTGGTTTGGGCGCTTTGGGGCGGAAAACAAGGCTCAAGCACGCCCTGTCTGTGGCATCCGAGTCCGGCGAGGAGAGAGGCGAAATAGCCCACTTGACTCCACAGGAGCTGATCAATTGTATATGTACTCATTGCCGCTCATCATCTGCTCCCGTAAGACTCCAATAGCCTATTCGTCGCCGGTGTTTGAGACATTGTCGGCATTTTGACGCAGCCTGAGTCAGGTCTGTGGTGTTTAGTAAAGCCGACTTCGGACGCGGGCTTCCGCATCTGAAATATCTCAGTGCTTCACCCCGCTCTTCTTTTCTTCCTCAACCATTCTCTCATACCACATCCTCACCGTTTGAAAAGCCTCGCAGATATCACAATGGCTACCCAATTCCCTCCTCCCCCAGTCGACACCATTGACTGGAGCAATGTCGGCTTCAAGGTCCGCGAAGGTGAACCCCTCCATACCCCTCACCGCAACAACACTCCCCCATTTAACAGCCATCCCCATGCTTTCCCCTCTCGAACAACCCAGCTAATAACTCCCAAAAGTCAACGGCCATGTCGAATGCCACTACACAGCATCCACGAAAACATGGTCCGCCCCAAAACTCGTCAAATCCCCCTACCTCCCCATCCACGGGATGGCCCCTGGCCTCAACTACGGACAACAGGCCTACGAGGGCCTTAAGGCCTTCCGCCACGCAGCCTCATCCACTGGCGAGGACAAAATCACAATCTTCCGGCCCGACCGCAACGCCGCGCGCCTCGCCCGCTCCGCATCCTTCATCTCTATCCCGCCCGTCCCCGAACAACTCTTCCTCGAAGCCGTCCACCTCGCCGTCGCGGCGAACGCCGAGTTCGTACCGCCTCATGAGACCGGCACAGCAATGTACATCCGTCCTCTTATCTTTGGATCCTCGGCGCAGCTTGGCTTGAGCCCGCCGGAGGAGTATACATTCGTTGTCTTCGTCATGCCGACGGGCGTCTACCACGGTGTTTCCGCCGTTGACGCTCTGATCCTCGAGGACTTCGACCGCTCTGCGCCCGAGGGAACTGGGTCCGCAAAGGTCGGCGGAAACTACGCGCCCGTCCTACGCCACTCCGCAAAGGCGCACGCCGAGGGCTTCGGAATCACACTGCACCTGGACAGCCGAACACGCTCGGAAATCGACGAGTTCTCGACGTCGGCGATGATCGCCGTGAAGAAGGATAAGGCCACGGGCCAGATCACGCTCGTGCAACCCGATAGCCCGAACGTCATTGATTCCGTGACCGCAGCGAGTGTGTGTGAGATTGGGCAGCGGTGGTTCGGGTATAAGGTTGAAAAGCGCCGGATTCCCTATGAGGAGTTGCCGGAGTTTGAGGAGATTATGGCAGCGGGGACTGCGGCTGCGCTGGTTCCTATTCGGAGTATCACGAGGCGGTCGACGGAGGATAAGTTTGAGTTTGAGGTTGGGGGTGAGGGGAAGGCTGGTGGAGAGGTCTTTGGGAAATTGTTGAGTACACTGAAGGGGATTCAGCTGGGAAAGGTCGAGGAGAGCTTGGGGTGGAATCAGGTTGTCAAGGCGCCACCGAAGGAGTGGGTGGAGGCTGCTAATGAGAAGGAGGAGAGTGGGATTGAGGTGCCTTAAGACGCTGATATCTAATTTCGATTCATCTTTTTTTTTTTTTTTTTTTTTTTTGGAAAGTGGAATTAAAAAGTGCTTCATGATCCAGTCATACGACGCTACCCTTGCTATAATACATACAGTACAGGATGCCCTCAATGGGAATTCGAACCGCGAGAGAAACAAACAAAAAGGGACCGGAAATCCAACATCTAACATTCCTATCGCGTCCTTGCAGGCCGTAGTTTCTGAACATGTCCACTAGACATGATATCACCTTCATCGCGGCTCTCATCGTCGCTGTCTTCACTGCTGCTGCTGCTACTGCTACTGCTCTCGTCGCTCTCACTCTCCGTGTCTTCGGAGTCATCCGGGGAGAAGGCCCCTTTGCGTGGTGGCCCATTGACAGCGCGCTTAGGAGCAGCCTTTGCAGCAGCCTGGCTTTCGACTTCGCCCTTGAGAGTCTTCAACGAGGCACGGGTGGCGCGGGTGTTTTGGGAGTTGACGCTGGGCCAACTCCACCCTTGGCTCTGCGAAGCGGTTCCCTGAGATCCGGCTGGTGACTTGGCCATGCGCTGTGCAGAGGGAGGAGATACGGACTTAGGTTTCTGCGAAGTAGCCTTCGACGCTAGGGATTTGCTGGCGTGCTCCTTATCGGAGTCAGACTCAGACTCCGACTCGGATTCGGAAGATGACTCTGAAGAAGAAGACTCGGACTCTGATGCCTCCTCTTTATCCTCACCATTTTCCTCATCCGAGTACACCTCGACGGGGTTTTCTGCACTCGATTTATTTGCGGCGCTGGCTCGTGCGTGTACTTTCATGGCTGGTAATTCCACCTCATCCGATCCAGAATTCTGGGATTGACTTGACGCGGGCTTGGATGCTTTTGTCGGCTGTGTTTTTGTTGCCGTCTGCGTCGCAAATCCGCTTGGTGTAGCTGTCTTGGATGTGCCGTTTGGTGTAGGAGCAGCAGCGGGCGGTTTACTGTTGACCGCGTTCCAGCCACTCTGGACTACTGGCGATGTCTTCTCCCCTTTGGTAGTAGCCGGCTTCAATGACGCCGCAGTCCCAAGATTGGCCTTCTTACCAGCAATCTTCGGAGACGCCGACTTCTGAGACGACGCCGTTTTCTTTTCCGTGGTTGAAGACTTCAATGAGGCTTCGGCCTTTTTGATTGCTGCTTGTTGCTCCTTAAGTGTGACCTTATGCCTCTCGAGTAGCTTCTTATCGGAACCCCGCTTGCTCTTTGAAAGCGTCTGTATCGTCTTCCAAGTTTCATACGCACTCTTAACTCGATGGATATAACCCGCGTTGAGCTGCCTTTCTTCGGCATCTTTGATCTTTTCCTCAAATTCTGTCCTTTCTCGATCTTGTAGTGCCCACTTCTCTGCCGCTTCTCTTTCCCACTTCTCGATTTGCTCCTTCGTGAATCCAGGAGGGAAGACCATTGTACCGCCGCTGATGCGCCGGGTTTCGGAACTAGTCGACTGGGAGCTTGGAGTGTCCTTCCGAGTCCCGGTCGGAGTCTCGGCGGTCTCTTTCGGCACTGAGGTAGGGGCTAACTGGGAGCCGGTAATACTGATATCATCGCCGTCCACAAATGAGACGGAGCGCCGTACCGAGTTCCTTTCCACAGGCGTATCTTTTCGTAGTGCAGAGTGTAGATTCTTCGCTTTGTCTGCCGGTGTGTGCAAGTTCATCGGAGCGGAGACGACATCCTTTGCTGACGATCCACGCCGGCCAGGCGCACTGCTCGATGGGATTGGTGTACTGTCAGGAATAGTGTCATTTGATTTTGTAGAGTCTTGCGAGAGATCGACCACAACCTGAGGCTTCTTCTCCGGGCTTCTCGTAATACCAAGCCCCAACCCGCGGTTGGGAGAGTCTGATGGTTTGGTGAAGCTTAGACGGCGCGCCACCCCGGAAAAGGATGATCTGCCCGGACTGAACTTTGGGGTTCCGGGAGACGCCTGGTTGTTCCGCTTGGCAGGTGGGGGTGTAGTCCTGTCCAAGCGCGGCTCTTTGTTGGGAGACAGCTGCTCGGCGCTATTCTTCCTCTTCCGAGACTGGCTTCCGGAAACGCTGGGTTCTGCAGGTACGCTGGGAGGATTTGGGGGCCTTTTCTCGGGGGATGAAAGCTGCTCCGGTTGTTTGGGCACGGTTTCCTCCGCCATCGTGACATCGCCATCCTTATCGTGTCCGTCTTCCTCAGACCCAGATTTGGCAGAAATGTTGTCACTTTTCTCAGATACAGGGCTCGATCCAGACTCACTTCCCCTGTCTGCACCTTCATCTAGAGAGATATAGTCCACCGGGCTTTCCTTCGGAGGGGGCTGCTTTTGCGGCGACGCGGAGTGACTGGCGCTTTCAAGCGCCAACTGCAGTGCAGGGGAATCCGCAACAGGTGTAGCACCAGTAGCAGACAGTTTGGCAGAGTTCTGGCTATGAGTTGACTCACGCCTAGAGGATGTCGTCCTTTTCGGTGTGGGTGCGCGCGATGAGGGAGGCGAGTCACCAAGCTCCTGACTGGCCAAGCGCCGATTCGAGGAGCTGATATCATGGCCATGAGAGGCTCCGGCAGCATCAAACATTGAAGACTCTCGTACACGCTGAGTTGGCGATAGGGGAATCTCCACCTCCTTCTCCACAGACGAGAGAGGGATATCTTTGCGGCGTTTTCGGTTAGGAGCATAATCGGACCATGAATCATAGTCAGATGTGGAGCCAAGCCTAGACTCCTCCGCGATTGTCTCGAGCTCGGCCTCCTGTTTCTCCTTCTTGAGCTTGCGCTGGAGCGCATACTTTTCCGCCGCCTCGTCCCAGTCTTGCGTAACCGAAGGGAATCGAACGGGAGAATTGTCGCCGTAGGCTGCCTTTTGAATAACCCGGACAACTCTGCGCTGGTCAAGGCCGTCGGCTCTAGCCTTTCCGTTGTCAACAAACACATCGGCAACAGTCATATCCGCATCGAGATCGTCGGATTCGTGCTCATCGTCGACGAGCTTCTTGATTTCGAGAGGACTAGCAGTAACACCCCCGTTAGCGCATCCACAAAGCCCGCTTCCAGACATCCATCTTCATCATGGAGACTTGGAACAGAGAAACGGTAGGAACGAGGAACTCACTCCGCAAGCGGTCTCAGCTTCTCCCATTTACTCTTGATCATGCCCGCCAATCCGCCCAGTGTCACGTCTTCCGGGTGCTCGAGGACGATAAGAAAGCTCGCGGGCTTCCCGCTTGCCGCGCTGGACCCATTGCGACTGGAGTCATCGCGGTCACCGAGGATCGAGCGGAAGGAGAATGTGTTGGACGGCGGAGCTTGGTCGCGCGGGTAGACCTTGACGGTCAGTCGGAGGAAAACCATGTTTGGAGACAGAGGATCGAATCCCAGTACTTCTTGATTTCAGTTGCAAAATAGCATAATCGGTTCACCGAGGGGTTGGTTGGAGTAGAAGGAGATTCTGTTGCCTGCAGAGAAAAGTTGGCTGCAGGTTGCGGTCGAGATACGGAGGAGTGGAGGGTCGGCGGAGTAACACTGGCAAGACTGATGACGCGGATGGGGATAAAAGCAAGAGCAATGCAGAGAGAATTGGCTCAAAAGAGGCTGGTTGCCCAGTCCGCAGCTGTCACACGGCGATGTGAAGTTGGAGGAAGCTGCAAAACGCGAAGAGACGCGCTCACCGCCGCTGCCTCAGGCCTACAAGTGTCTACTCAATATCCTTCCCTTGCATCGTTTCTCAGTCTGATCTTGAAACAATGATTCTATTTTTTTTTTTTTTCTAAATACATCTCAGTACCCAAGATCCAATGACATGTATATCTTAACGAAATCCAAGAGCATCAACTCCAAAAGCAGATATGTTGACATCCAGCCGTGCAGAAGACAAACGCCAGCAACAAATCATCCAAGTGAAAAGACAAAAAGAGATCAATATTCCATATCCAAACATCCTGTTCAAGAGAACCACCAGGTAAGCAAACAAAACCACAAGCTGATGAAAGTCAGAGTCGCAAAGACTGCGCCAGCACGATCCCCCGATGTGATATCTCGGATATGCTTTGGCTGGATGTCCTCACGGGCACCGGCATTCGGATTGCTCTTGCTCGTACCACCAGTCGCATGTGTCAACGGATGCGACTCGTCCCTAAAGCTGACCATGGAGGAGGATATGACACTCAGGGCGCTCATGTCAGCCTCCAGCGATGCACTACCGTCCCATTCGTTCTGATGCCAGCGTCGTCCGCACTGGGTGCCGGAGTCTCCACCGGAGCATTGTCGTGCAGCTGCTATGGCGGATTGTTGGATTTTAGGGATGATTTCGGGGGCGGTATACGGCACGATTGTTGTCATGAAGGTCAGCCATGAGGAGAGGAAGCCCTTGAAGCAGTCTTGGTTGCGGTCGCAGATCATCCACGGCTCGCAGGAGGCCTCGGACATGATTTGGCCGCCGAAGTCCTGGGGGAAGAATGTCCGGAACGTTGTTGCAAGGTAGTTGTCGATGGCAGTCTTCCATTTCGTGCGTTCGTTGGTCTGTGATGGTTAGCCTTGTTCACTAATGGTGAGTGCCAGGGGAAGCTTACCAAGTTGTACATGTATGCGGCACCGCTGAGATACGTTCCATAGTTGTACGACCACTGAGTGTCGCCATGGTCTTTGCAGTCGGCTCCAGAACCTGTCGAGTCGGCAATAGTCCAGTCTACCACATTGAGGAGAGGTGTTGTCGCGCTCCAGTCCCAAATCTTCTCTGCCCACTGGATGTACGTCTCGTTCTTGGTATACCGTCCTAGTCGAGCAGCCAGCTGGAACAAACCTCCGTTCGAGATGGCGTTCTTCATAGTATACCCAGCCTGATATGGGAAGATCTGCCAGCGAAGTCCTCCACCACAAGTTTGTGTATCCCACCTGGGCACCTGTGTATTGAAGACACCCTGTGCGAGCGAAAGCCAGGATGGATCACCTTCCCCTTCTGGGAAATTCAACTCAGCCGCAGTCATAGCAGCCAACCCCCAAAAGACCTGGTCGTCGTTTCCCAGGAATGAGCTGTCGTTCTTCGGGAAGAAGTCGTCTTTCCCCCTCTGCCAGAGCATCCCCTGTGTCGTTACTTCATTATAAGAGGTATCACCGGTCCAGTGCCAGTACTGGATGAGCGTCATGAACATGGCACCGCCCTCCCACCAGGTGCCTTGCAGTTTGCCCGGGATCTGGCCGCTCTCGTTGCCGTGGTAGTAGCTCATCATGTTGTAGGCTACCGTTCTGGCGGCGTTTCGGACGGAGTCTAGGATGGTTAGCAGAGACTTTTACTGCTCTTGAAAGGGAAGAGACTTACTTTGGTCTCCGACATTCAGCTCCATGGCGTTGGCCATGCCTCGACCGGCGAGGGACGTGGTAAGAAACGATGCGAGCAACTGTTTGCAGCGGACCATTTTGATAGTAATAGGATAAGGTTTGTAAAAGAAGAAAAGATAATATGAAGAGAGAATGAGGGAGGTTTCAGGTATGCCCTCGAAGGCAGCCTATTTTTCAACGAAAGAAGCTGCTTCAAGAGGTGTCACACGTACGACAGGGCGTTAGAGATGCGTTCGTGATCAGAGAAGCTGGTCTAAAGGCTCAGAAGAGATGGTATAATGATGAGAAAAAGTGGTTGTAGCGATACATGAAGAGATCAGGATAGAGAATGCGAGTGGCGCAGAAGAGTCGAGATGAAATACCCAGGTTAACTTTTTGGACAACGAACTCAAATCACGCCTGGACAACAGTTCCGAAACTGAGAAATAGCATTTAAGGATTCGTCAAAAGAGTTTTGGAGGCACATGGACCTCGACTGCTGTCGAGGACTTGGGACATCTCTAGAGGGCAGTATAGTTCCGAGTTTCGAGAGGCATGTCTATATTGACCAGGGTATTCTAGGCCAACGCCTATTGTTATAGTAGATTTGCCATCAGTCATTATATATTGTATACATTGAGAAAGCCAAAGTTTAAAGTGTTGCAACCAATATAACTACATTTGGATAATATTACATCAACTTTTACGCAACTTCCTGAGGACAATAACACATCACAACCTCTTCTTCAAGCTCCGCTCCGTCTTCAATCGAATAGCTGCAGCCAGGACAGCAGCTGTAAGTGCCAAAGATCCAGCATAGAATATAGCTGGTCTGTATGCCTTGGTCCCACCCTCCTCACCTCCCGAGGCGTCAAGAATATATCCGGCGATCGGAGCACCCTAACATGATTGTCAGTCATACACCACAACAAATTACAAATATTGAGCGTAAAAGAAAGGAATAGACACTCCGGAAGGAGAATATAGTGAGAGTAGAATTGACATACCAGGAGATAGCCCCCAGCCCAACCCGTCACAATCATCCCCATGGCCACCGAAACTCTCGCAGACCCAAACACATTCCCAACAACCGTCGGCATCGTTGAGAAGAAACCACCATTCGACATCCCATTGATGATCACAAACGCAATAAGTGGTCCAATACTGTTTGAGACGGGCCACAGAACGAGCATGCTCATGGCGCTGAGCGTTAGAGAGAGGAAGAGCGTATTCAGCGGTCCTAGGGCGTCACTGCAGAATCCGCACATAAGGCGACCCAGGGCGGAGGAGAAGTTGAATGCTGCGACAACACCGGCGCCGACGCTGGATTTCATGCCGAGAGAGTCTGTGTACAGTGGGAGGAAGAAGGGAGGGAGTAGTAGAGGGAAAGTGGCGATTGCGCCGACGAGGAAGAGGAGGGTGAAACGGACGTCGCGGAATAGGTGCCTACGCTGTGTTAGTAGTGAGATCTATGAAAGTGAACGACTGACGAAGTACCATTCGATGATTGCAGCTCTTGGAATGGGTGTCCGCTCTTTGATGAAGAGGGCCGCGGGAATACCTGTGGCGAGGGTCATCAAGCCCAGCGTCCTGAATGTCCAGCCGATGCCGGTATTCTGAACGAGAGAGTCTGCGATGAAGCTAATGACCGCGCCGCCGAGGCCACCGCCAGCATAGACTATGCCATTGGCGATTCCTCGTTTGGCTTTGAAATACTGCGCGGGGATGATCGACACGACCTAGATATGTGTGGTTAGAATCGCACTCGTGTTGTCGACATGGGTTTCTCACCATAAAGCAAAGACTAGCACCATCATTAGCGAGCAGCAACATTAGATCTGGAAAACGGAAGCATACCTGATCCCAATGCCCATGACAGCTCCAGCGGTCACAAACAACCCCCCAACACTCTTAAGCGCAAACCCGCTCAGAATCTCTCCCATTCCCAAAAACACAACGCCCAAGACCGCAGAAGCCCGAGTCCCCAATAAGCGAATCAGACGTGCATTGATGACCCCCAGGAAAGAGATACACGCGACGGCTAGCGAGCCGACAAAAGCGAGGGTCGACGCAGACGAAACACCTTCCTTCACCAAGGCTGCCTGAATAATTCCCCAGCTGTAAGAGGTTCCAATGAACCACCAGGTGAGGATGGCGCAGGCAGATATGACGACCCATCCATAGCCGCCATCTGGGACTTGTGAGTCGGCAACCAGAGACTCTTGCATTATCTGGTCATCTTCGACGATGGGCGAGGGGCGCTCTGCTCGGTGGAGGCGTTCTTCGGCGCCGTTTCTGGAGGTTAACTCCACTGAGGTAGTGGACGACTGGACGATTGTTGACATGCTTGTTATGCTTGACCTTGAACCTCCAACTGGTGTTGTCGATGAATGACGAACAGGAGAGAAGCTTTCTTTAAACTAAGGGCAGGGTTGCAGTCATCCAGTCATGGTGGGGCCTTGTCCTCGGCAGGGCGTGTTACAAATCCATTTTTTTTTGAACCAGTTCTCGGAGGAGCTTCGAATTGAGAAGCTAGATAGAGAAACGCTTCGTTCTAGGTCAATATCAGTCATTCTTTTCGAGTCTCAACTGGGGCATGGGAATCGTACTCCATTGATCCCACAATCCAACGGAGAGTGATTCCAGCAGGTAGATAAAGTTGGTCACCATTTCTTCAGATTCAGAGGTGACGAAAGATTGGCTATATCTTTCTGTTACAGCAAAATTGATTAGTTGAAAAAGAGATACATCAAGGAGCAGTAAGAGTGTGTTCGTCAGTGCTTTTATTTCATAAAAGTCGGATCTATAAATGGTGATTATACTCGCTAGAGCATGTACTATTCACTTCCATCCAGCACCAGATTGCCGTCTTCAACCGCTCAATTAGTATCATTCTTTAACCTTACATCCGCTCACGTCGACGAGGGGCAGCCCGGATGATGTTATCCACACGGAGGAGGAGCTAGGAAACGTGTTAGTTTGCGATTTTTGGAAACAAGCTGTTGATCTTACCTCAGCTGCCTCGGACGCAGAGGAAACAACAGCCTTCTTCAGCTTGTAGCTTTCCACTACGCCCAGCTCGCGCATATCGGCGATACCACCGCCAGGTGTGAGCAGGTCCAGACCGGAGCTGGTCATGCCGTTGTTAATGGCTTGTCGCAGGCGGGTAACGAGGTCGCTAGAGTCGAGACCGGCGTTGTCGGCGAGGATCGTAGGGAGTTGCTTGAGGGCGTGTGCGAAAGAGTCGACGGCGAGCTGTTTCTTGCCGGTGGTGTTCTGAGCGGCTTGCTCGACGGCCTTGGACATGTTCATTTCTGCGCAACCACCGCCAAGTGTGACACGGGGGTCCTTAACAGTCTGTGAGAGGACAGCCAGGGCGTCGTGGAGAGAACGCTCGGCTTCGTCGAGGAGCTGCTCTGTGGCGCCGCGGAGGACGATGGTGCAGGCCTGGCCAGCAGCCACACCAGAGAATTTGATGAGGGTGTCTTCACCGATAATGACTTCCTCAATCAGGTCACACTGACCAAGCTTGACCTGATCGGGATGGTCGAAAGTGGAAGCAATCTCACCGCCGGTGACCAGCGCCAATCGCTCGATTCCGTCAAAGTCGGCGTGTTCAATGGACATAATACCGGCCTCGGTAAACAGCTGCTCAGGCCAGTTGTAGATGAGTTGTCGGTTGACAAAGCAGTTGATACCGTGCGACTTGATCTTCTCCACCTTGGCCTTCATCTTCTCACGCTCCGCCTTTTCCAAATCTGCCAGCTTTCCTGTCGACTCGACCTTTACGCGGGCACCGAAAATCTTCACCTTGTCCGTGTCCATGGCCGTGTTTGCAACAAGAATCTTGGCGTTCTCCAGGCGCTTCGGTTGGTTGACACCGATCTTCTTGTCCAGAATGAATCCCTCATCGAGGTACGAGTCGCTCAGCTTCCCACCAGCCTTCTTGATAATCTGGATATGGCTCAGGTCGGTGGAGCCCCGGAGACGGAGGACGGCATCACAGGCGAGGGTAGCGAAGTGGTCGCGGTCCTGAGCGAGAACCTTGGAGCTGAGGGTGGTGCGGGCAATAGCGTGGAGGTCCTTGCGGAACTTCTCCTTATCCTGGCTGCGGTCGACAGCGAGGTTCTCAAGGCAGTCGAGAGAAGCACGGGCAGCTATGCGGTATCCTTCGATGATAGTCTGGGGATGGATCTTGCGGGCAACGAGCTTTTCGGCTTCCCGCAACAGCTCCGCAGCCAGCACAGTCACCGACGTTGTTCCGTCACCGACTTCGTCATCCTGGACCTTGGAGATGTTGACTAGTACTTTCGCAGCGGCGTTATCGAGGGCAATGGATTTGAGGATCGTAGCACCGTCATTCGTAACGAGGATTTCTCCGGTTGACCTAGCGTTCCATCAGCATTCTCCTGACCCCGCCATTGCATTTCGAGCCCACTAACGCTGATTGTAAGATCTTGTCCATTCCCTTGGGACCTAATGTGCTCTTGACCAAGTCACCGACCGCGATCGCGCCGACAAAGGCGGAGAGACGGGCGTTCTCTCCTTTCTCCTCGATCACATCGTCGGCAAAGATCTGTGTGGGGTTGGCGAAGGACGCCTGGATTACGTTAGTAACGGGAAAAAAAATTCGCAGGGAGTATCTCCTGAGCACTCACCATAATGAAAGACTAGCTGAGAAAAGAAGAAACTACCGCGAAGTGGATGTTGGTAGCTCAGGGATGCGCAGGAACTGGCGGAGAGACTCCCACACCTTTTTTTGGCGGCACCTCGACGCCATTTCGGAGAAGGGAGGCACGTGATCTTGACCGCCCAAAACAACCCCGCTGCGGTGACCGTTCCTCTTCTGCTCAACATCTGTCCTCAATCTCATGCATCTACTCAATTTGCGCCCAGGCGGAGATTCAATTGAGCTGTCGAGACTTCGCACTGACAAGTCGCAAATTCGCAAAATCTACCAGCATGACCTCCTCGCCTGTTCTTGACCTCTGTCAAATCAACCTTATCCCTGCTCTGCTTGGTAACAGTTGCGTGAAGACATGTCATGCCATCTGTTTGGCTGCCAGCTTGAGCTGTGCTCTTACAGCATAGTGTCGTCCAAGACATTTTCTGCTGCTCGATCGCCTCCGAAGGTCCATCGCCTGTCGACCCAAGCTGAAGCGCTCCCAGTTTCGTGCGGATACAAACCAAGGCATGAATAAAGAGGGGAAATGACACGTTCGGACACACTGGAACCCGCGAATAGTGGATTATACCTTCAAGATTGCGACGGTTAAGCTTCGCCTTGAAACCGGTAATAGAAAGGGCTCAGGAATGGTGCAAATCAGGTAGGTTGACAAACGCACCTTGCCCGGCGCGTAGTAGCTGCCGTGCCTTTCATATGCCTAAATCCACCCAAACTGCACAATCAAATCATCCACCCTACCATTTACGCGAAAGGCCGTAGAACTGACAGTGTTGGGGAACCAAAAAGAACTTCAACACTATCCCCCGCACGGCTATCGGGGGCCCCTGGTACCCAACAGGCCGTACGTGGTGGGTCAAAATTGGTTTATTAGCTATGCCTTCTGCTAACCATCGCCGGTGTTCATTCTCCCTCTCTTCCAAATCGGATGCAGTCGAAGTTGAAGGTACGAGCTTTCGTACACCGCGGGAGTATTTTATTTGAGATCAGGATCCGCCAGGGAGGTTCGGTTGAAGCGAATCTCTCTGTCGTGACTTTCTTATCGTCAGGCCCAAGTTTGATATGAGAGCGCGAGCGCTCCATAGCCTGCTTCGCCGCATCCTTAAAGCGAGTTAAATTACCAACAACCCCCTCTGTGCTCCCACCAAACCGCATAGCCTCATGGATCGTGTCAACTAACAGACCCTCAACTTTCTGTACGCACTCGGATACTCGCCAACCACTCTTGCAAAGTGCCCCCGCGCCAGAGGCATTTCGGTCGGCTGCAGGGTGGAAGAAGAGTCCGCTGGACTGAGTTTCCTGGCCGCCAGGTTGGCGGGACAGATCCGGGACCCATGATGGGAGTAAATGACACCAACCTTCTGCTGATTCATATATTGCTCGTCGTCGTTGGGACTTCCTGTTATTGGAATTGCAGGAAGCGAAGTGAGGGTGTATCGAGTCCGGGAAAATAGGCTCCAGGGAGAGAATAGGGGCCTTCGCCTGTGCTGAAAATGTTTTCGACACTGCGTCTGTGTAGACCTCCCAGGTGGGTTTTGTGTAGTCGAGTCTAAACTTGATCACGGTGGTGCCGTCGTCATCATTATTGACGGAGCAGCCCTAACAAGCCGTACAAGAGGGCTCTTGGGTCGGTTCTTCGAGCTGTCCGTTGGATATAGGGTAGTTTAGGGAGACTATCGCCTCTGTAGGATATCGAGCTTAATCAGGGCTAGTACTTCGACGTCCTCACCTTCCTTATTGCAGCTATTGTTGCTGCCGGCCTCTATCAACAACGTCTCACCTGGCGTGCCACGAGCACAGGTACCAGACCAGCAAGCCCTGTGGATTGCAATCAGGTACTAACCACCTTGTACATCGGGACTCGAACTTCTTTCCCATGGCTTGTTGGAGAAGTTTAGATGTGCAATGCCATTGGATGAGGTTCCAGCAGGAATTTGGCCTAGCGTTTCTCTTTAGGTAAGGTAAACGATATACGAAAAACCTGTCCTATACGAATAATAGTGCTGACTGCTATAGGAGCCAGGTGGGACCTCGTTTTCTTCTGGTTTCTTTAGCCTTTGTGGAGCTGGGTCTTTTCCCCCATCCTCCAGTTTACTCCCCATTCCTCGCAGTTCCCACCTTGTGGTCCGCATCATCGGGCAATGTCGGCATTTGATACATATCTCTTGGGACTGCTTCATGTTTCTTTTAGCCAAAATCCGCTATAAATTGCGACGAACCCTGGATTATTCTTGGCCAAGATGAAGCCCACAAGGATTTTGGCCCTATCTTGAACCTTGCACCACTCTACGAGGATGCAATTAAAGGACAGTACGATTCAGATATCAACATCTTCAAACGTGCACCACTTATCCCCAGCCCCTATCATAAAAACGCCAATGACAGGCCCCGTAAAGTCATTTGAGGACATATCCAGCGTGTCGATCAAGCCAAACGAATTCCACCCATGCCTTTCTCCAGCCTGCTCCACCTGGTACATAAAGTGAATGAACTGCCCAGTATAGAGTATCCGGAACTGAATCTTGGTTGCCCGCCGAAGATCAACCTCCGCTCTCTTCTCCCTATAGATGGCGGGAGACTTTGCGCTGTTCTTCACTTCAAAGACAAGTGTCCCGTGAGCTGGCTCATACGTGATCCTTGCATAGCGATGTTCGTCTTTATAGTATGCCATTCCCGTTCTTACATCTTCGATGTACCCAGACAGAGAGGATAAGACCAGATCGGCCGTTGCAGAGCCATCCAGTCGACGCTGCCTGCGGCCAACAAATGCTGTTGACTCTCCAGTACACTGCGCAAGGTCCGTTGGCAACGGCAACAACGATATCGCCCTTCCATCACTCGACACTGAACATCTTCCCAGATCCGGATCTCGAATCCACACGAGATCCATCTTCGGATCGAAAGGCGACGGAACAGCCTCGATAGGAGGCGACAACGATATACCTTCTTCATGCTCCCCATTTGGGACGCGCCTCCACAACATCCGCGGAATTGGCTGCTGGATCCGCGGCCATATCTGGCCCTCCGGCCACTCAACGGCGGTTAGGAAGGTCTCACGACCGAGCACCATACGTCCGGCTCGATCCCTTCGCACGGCGAGACAAACCAACCACCAGCTTCCTTGCGTATCCTGTACTAGATCGCCATGTCCGTTATAGTGGCAGTATACGGACGGGTCTAAAGTCGCGGTAGGTTGGAGAATGGGGTTCTGATTGCAGGGCTCGTAAGGGCCCCAAATACTCGGGGCCCGGGCGATTGTGAGACAGTGGCCCTCGTGCGTGCCACCCTCGGAGACGAGAAGGTAGTAGGACCCATTGCGTTTGTAGATGTGTGGACCCTCGGGTATGACTTTCGTATGACCTTCCCAGAGGGCCTTTTCCTCAGTCAACTTCCGTCCCGTATCGAGGTCGATCTCAAAGCAACTGATGCAACATGAGGGCGAGGGCCTCCAATATGAACCCGCGATATACGCGCGCCCATCATCGTCAACAAACAAATCAGGATCAATCCCGTAGTAATCAAAGAAAACCGGATCACTCCATTTCCCCAACCCAATATCCCCCGTCGAAACGATGAAATTCTGGAACGTCAATCCTGACACCCAATCCCCGCTATCCTTCTCCGGATCATATACCACATTCGTACACACGATATAGGTCGTCCCATTGTAGTGCCGGATCGTCGGCGCGTATAACCCACCAGTAACAGGAGCCGTTTCGTCTGTGCCGTCATTCAGCGGGTTGAGCTTTGTACCCGACTGCGCAAGACTGAGTTGCGTTGGTCGGTGGATGGCGTTGCCGATGTGTCGCCAGGCAATGAGGTCTCGGGAGGCGTAGATTGGGAGGCCCGGGAAGAGATGGAATGATGAGGTCACGAGGTAGAACATGTCACTTATTCGCACGATCGAGGGGTCCGGCGCGAAGCCGGGGATTATGGGGTTTCGGTAGGGCATGGCGGTGATGAGGGAAGGCTGCTAGAGAGAGGGCTTCTGCTGTGTAGTGGATGATGGTTGATCTGTCTCAAGTGACTTTCAACCTTTTTCATGTCTTTTAGTAGATCTGGTCGGCGGTTGGAGATGCCTATTCTGTCCGATACCCGTGGCCAAGAAGTCGAGTGCTTCCGGGGAAGTTGGATCAGTATGTATGTGGAGCGCATGCGAGGCTATTCAGGCTAAAAGCATCACTGGCCGTCGGTGGAAAAGAGACCGACGGAGGCATATCGGCATGTTACTCTCAATGTCGCCATGGCCCAGACGGTACTGCTCTGGGTTTGGCACAGGATTTTGTGTCTCTTCCTAAGGACAGCTCCCTCGTTGAAGGCCGCACAGTGGCCCTATAGAACAAGAATATGGAGTGAGATAGAAAACCAAATTTCGGCATTCGTTGGAGTAGTCTCCACGGACATTAATAGTGACGGTGCATGTCAATCCTTCGAATACGAGTACGAGATTACTTCTACTTTAGACGAGCCTGCCCTAACTTATCATCCTTGGCAGCCCCAACTTCTTCCAACTCGTTTTATCATACATGGCAACTCGGATCGATTGATCTCTCGATACTGTTCTCTTGCTCTATTGATTCGACTCAGTCAAGACTGCATCATGACTCCGGCACCAGCACCTCCAGAGTATAACAGCGACTCATCCCCTCGATACACCCCACCCACGAGACCAAACACGCCAATCGACATCAAAACCACCCACTATTCAGATGATCCAGTTTCTATCCACCCACTCAAGCTCTCAAACGACTACAGGCTGTACGCTTTGACCCTCGCAGTCCTCCGGACCCTCCAGTACCTCCTCGCTGTAATAATAATCGCCATCTACGCCCCGGACCCCGCGCCAGACATCGAGCACGCGCGCCCCAGCAGGATGGCTTTACACCGGGCTCGTTGCCTGGCTCTCGGGGATGGTTTGTCTCCTCTACTTCCTCATCCCGGTTAAGCACACCGAATGGTGGTACACGGGGGACGCGGTGGTGGCGATCTTGTGGCTTGTGCAAGTCGCTAGTTTCGAAGGCTTATTATATCCGGATTGTCGAGTTGAACTTGAGATCGGAAATGCTGCGCTGTCGGTAACAAAGATTAGGAGCGGTGTTTGGGCCTCGCTGGCCTCTTTGATTGTGTGGGTTGGGTCTGTGGTGGTTGGGGTTTTGGTGTGTGCTAAAAGAAAAAAGTCTAGGTGGGGTCTGGGGAGTGAGAAAGAAGGTATTGATGCTGGTGAAGGGTTTTGTTCTTTCGAAAAGACAAGGTCGATTGAGACGAGGTGTATGGAGGATCTCGAGAGGTTCGACAGCAGGGATGTGGACAGGCGATGAATGTATACTTGAGGCTGTTTTGGACCATCGCATATTTGCATTGTCCGCGTGTGTTTTTCGTCAAAAGACCGCTTTGAGATGGTTCTGGTATTTTTTGCTTTCTTAAACTTGATCATGATGAACTCGGTATCGAAACTATGCTTAGGATGTAACACATTTTGGTTCACGAAAGCAGGTGTAGCGAGAATATATGTTGAGCAGTATTGCTGTGTATGGGGAATCTATAATAGTGTGCACTGACGCTTGTGATTGGCTGACGGGGACTGTTCCAGAAAAGTCCACATGTGGCCCGAGCCCCAGACCGCCCTGGACGTTTTGCGGCCCGGCCATCTTGAGCTTCAGTGAAACACCTCAAGTATTGCCTCAATTGCTGGTTTTCCCAGAAGTTTCACGTTACTTTCCTTATAAAGATGGCAGCCGAAGAAGAGCAAGCCGCACTGGCGCAAAACAAGCGCCGACACTCGGCTGTCGACGCCGAGGAGGAGAACGGTATATTCAACACCACCCACCATCCCTCTCCGAACAGAACTAACATTTGCAGCAGGAAGCAACTCATCAGACGATGACTTCGGTCCCGCCCTCCCCTCCGCCGATGCGCCGAAGAAGAAACGCAGAAAGCTGCCGTTCGAGAAGGTTTACGTGAATGCGCTCCCCGCCTCGCCGCGGTATTCGAAATCGCTCATGCACAAGGATCAGCTGTCGTTTGTCACTGTGACGCCGCATACGGACTTTTTGATTACATCGTCGATTGATGGGGTCGTCAAGTTCTGGAAGAAGATGGCTGTGGGGATGGAGTTTGTCAAGGAGTTTCGCGCGCATGCGACTGAGATCAGGAGTGTCAGTGTGAGTGCCGATGGGCGGAGCTTTGCGACGACGGGGTCGGATAAGACGGTCAAAATCTTCGATGTCATTACATTTGGTATGCATACATCTTCGTCCTATGGGAAATGTCGGAAGCTAACAGTGTAGACTTGCTCTCCATGCTGACCCTTGAATTCGACCCCCGGTGTGTCTGCTGGGTACATCCCCGAGGCGCATCGCTTCCCCTCCTCGCCGTGACCGATGAATCTAGCAGCACGATCCAGATATTCGACGGGCGAGGCGAGAATTCGGCCCCCCTCCACACCCTCAAATCCATCCACCGCAACCCTGTGGCCGCCATCGCATTCAACGATGCCTACGACTGCGTCATCTCCGCCGACGAGTCAGGAATGATCGAATACTGGAGAGCGTCGGACAGCTCATTCGAGAAACCTGACAATGTATTTGAGCTCAAATCCTCTACAAACCTCTTCGAATTCAAAAAGTCCAAGTCAACCCCGTCATCAATAACAATCTCCCCCTCGGGCAAACAATTCGCAACTGTCTCCTTCCCCGACCGCCAAATCCGCGTCTTCGACTTCGCTACCGGCAAGCTCTACCGCAAGTACGACGAATCCCTCTCCACAATCACCGACATGCAACAAGCAGGCACAGCGCTGCACACACTTGACGCCGTCGAATTCGGCCGCCGCCTGGCCGTCGAGCGTGAGCTCGAAAACCCCGTCACCAAACCGAAGATCAACGTCCTCTTCGACGAATCCAACCACTTCCTCCTATACGGCTCCCTCTACGGCATCAAATGTATCAACACCTACACAAACCGCGTCGTTCGCCTTTACGCCAAGGACGAGCCCTTCCGACCCTTAAACCTCGCCATGTACCAAGGCGCGCCGCAGAAAAAGGGCGTCGTGACGGTATCCATGGCCGCGTCCGCGAATCCGCTCCTCGCAGAAGCCGAAGAGCGCGACCCCATCCTCGTCTCCACGGGCTTCGCAAAGATCCGCTTCTACCTCTTCACCAACGAAACCGACATTTCCAAATCCACCCGCGACGTCCAAAATGAACGACCCACGGACCCGTCCTCCTCGCGGGAATCCGCCGCAGCCCAAAAACAAGCGGAGCTCGGCACCTCCGCAATCCTCCACACCACCCTCGGCGACATCCACCTTCGCCTTTACCCGTCCGCGGCCCCCAAAGCCGTCGAGAACTTCACAACACACGCCCGATCAGGCTACTACAACAACACAATCTTCCACCGCGTCATCCGCAAATTCATGATCCAGGGCGGCGATCCGCTGGGCGACGGGACGGGCGGCGAGAGTATCTGGGGCGGGGAGTTTGAGGACGAGTTCTCGTCGCTGAAGCACGATAAGCCATATACGCTGTCGATGGCGAATGCGGGGCCGAACACGAATGGGAGTCAGTTCTTTATCACGACGGAGAAGACGCCGTGGTTGGATGGGAAGCATACGGTTTTTGGAAGGGCGGTGCAGGGGTTGGATGTTGTGCATAAGATTGAGAATGTCAAGACGGTCAAGGAGAAGCCTGAGGTGGATGTTAAGATTGTTAGTATTTCAGTTTCGTGAGGTTTTTAGCTACTATACTGGGGGTAGGCTGCCCATGACTTGAGATTATAGGCTTTGTACTTGTAGAATATATATCACATCTGCACAGTACACTATTGGAAGACTTTCAAGATCTGTTCCGTCTGTTATATCTTGCATTATTCCCCCTTCTGACAACCAGTAACATTGTAAATCATACCATCATTGATTGAAAACGTAGTAAAAGTTAGAGTAAAGAAGGCAGTATATTCAACCAAGATGAAGCAGGCACAAGAAGAGAGCCAAAGACAAATCGTATAGACACACATCCAGGCACAGCACCCGATGCAAATGAGTAATTCTGTACGTGGATCTTGATAATCCAATAACGAAGAGAAGAGCAAGCCACGAACGCGGAACGCCGGTATATGCATATCAACGAGCCATTTGCACAGGCCAATCGAGTGAAGTGATCGACGAGACTGGCTGTGCGTGATGCTCAGTCGATCTAGTTGCTTTGCAGAACAGAGAGGTGTGACCGCGGAAGCAAAGTTCATCGCGGTGCCTCCCGGATCTCAATATCGTCTACACCTTGTGGCGCCTTCTGTAGTCGTGACGGCGTATGACCGGGCCGGGTAGGAATGACATTTGTCCGTGAGCTGCTGGCGATAGAGACTGTGTTCATGGATTCGTGAGGACGCGCAGCGACGCCAGGCGCGAGGGCGCCGGAGCTGGGAACGGGAGAGTCAAAGTTCCGGGTCGAAAATACTCTGCTCCCGCTCGCTGATTCGTGACCGTGATAGAGATTTGGGTGTTTTGCGTCGTGACGCTTCTTGAGCCAGATTCCGACGGCGGCGATGAGGGAGAAACCGATGACGAGCACGATAACCATGATTACCCATTGGTAATGGCCGTCCCACCTACATGTTTGTTAGCTACGTTGTTCGGTACGGGGTTCTCGGCACAACTGACCAGGATTGTGGTTGCGGATTGTTGCGGCTCCCCGTGGCCGGGCTGGACGTGGCCGTTGTGTCTGCAGCGGCGCTCGTATTTGTGTTGTCGGCATTGTTGGAGTTGTTATTGCTGCTGTCACTATTGCTGTTGTTGTTGTTACTATTATTGTTGTTGCTGTTGCTGTTGGTATTCCCGGTGGCCGTGTCGGTCTCATCCTCCGTCTCGGAAGTCGAGTCCGTGTCCTCCGTGTTTCCCCCGTTGGCACAAAAGTTGGAGTACCATGACTGTAAGAGCTCGCTATCGGATTGGGTCGTGCAGGTATCACAAGTGCCCCACGGGGATGTCTGCAAATTCGCGAGCAAAGCTGACTGGCAGAAACACGACACGTAGGTCTGTTGGTTGGTGACTGCCACGGTTGGGGGCGTACAGCCGGCGTCGGCTTGGATGAGGTTCGTACAGGTCAATCCGCAGGCGGGAAACGAGGCGGAAGCGGCGGTAGGGAGGAGGGATACATCTTGAGCGAGGGTCGAGGAGGAGAAAGCGAGCGCGAGGTATAATAAGGTCGGGAGCGATCGTGAAGCGAAGGGCCAGGACCCTGAAGTCCCTGAAGTCCCTGGAATTGAAGGCATGGCTGCGGGCGACTCGGAGGCTGGCGGTGGAGACCGTCGAGGAATGTGAGAGTCGCGCACCGTCAGTTGCCCACCATTCCCTGGAAGAGGAGCGAGAGAAAGAAGGGGGGGAGGACGAGAAGGGAAATTAATTTAACGAAAGACTAAGTTAGTCGGATGATGGGGAATTGGCAAGATTGAGAGTCGAGCAAGCGTAGCGTGGGCAAAAGACACGGCCCGGTTGAACTTGCGGCGGACGCCGTCAGAGAGTCACTCACCACGAGAAATTGCACCAACCCTTGGCTTTGCCGGTTCATTAGCTCCTTCTGCGAGATGGCCTACCGGTGCTATTAATATCAAGGCGAATATGGGCCCGCTGTGGTCTTGGACGTCCGCCCAGCTTTTCAGGTTCCAGAATCCAGAATCTTTGTGTTTCTCCCCCTCTCCGTTGCCCTCGCTTCCAAGGTTCTTCGATTTCTGTTTCCCTTTTGCCCCAAACGGCGAATGGAGTGTTCCAGCCCAGGGCCCAACCTTACCACTGGTCCAGTCCAACCAACTCCAGCTGTTCCTCCGGATGCGTCCCTGTTGGCCATGTCAGTCTGATCTGTCTGCCGCATCGCACTATTTCCACTAGCAAGATCCTGCCCGCAAAGCGAGAGGCACCACGCGATGCAACGGTGCGACGGTGGTACAACCGTGGCCATCACGTCGGTTTCCTGAAGTCGCTCGCTGGTACGATTACGTCGTTGCTCGTGCTTATCCTGATCTTCGTCGCTTCTCCCGGAAATCGGATCCACGGATCGTCCCTGGAGGATCCAGCGATCATCTCAATGATTCAATCAGGGACTCAAATCGGTCGATGCCGGCTTGGCTCAACGTCCTTACCAATCGAGCTTGATGTCTGGTTCGGCCCAGTTACAACTCCATAATGATTCAATTGTGTCGCTTTCAAAACTACTGAAGGAACTCGGCTATAGAAAAACTAATCGGCTGCCCGGTCTCCGACCTAAGCTCGAGAGAACTAATTCCGATCCCTTTCTCTCGCAGAAACTGTTCGTCTTCTACCGTTTGTGCATCTCGCACGCGAATATATCCTGAAAAACCATGAACTCCCGGCGCGCTGAGTCGAAACTCAACCGCTCCATCGCTCTCTTCTGGGGTAGCCCCGACAATGGACGCGTATATATCGGTATACCGACTCAATGCCCCTTTCGGAACCAGAACTTCTATGAGCTCAATCCCCGTCGCTCCTGACGGATGCTGCGTCACAGAAGTCATGTCGTACGTGACTCGACGGGTACGCGGGGTTATATCATGGCAGAAAAACGGCGCATCTGTGCGCCCTCGCGGATAGAATTCGTCCCCGGGCGTCGCGTCCGCCTTGGTATACCCTGGCTTCACAATCTTCCAGCGCACATCGAACCCCTCGGCGTTTTTGCGACCGCCCTCCCGTGGTGGAGAGTACGTCACTCCAACCCCGCCATCTCCGGGGATACTTGCAAGTGCGTTTGCGATGCGTTCCTGGCTGGCCTCGGCTGTTATTGAGTCGAGCGTTGTCAGTGCGAAGTCTCCGGGTAGTCGCTCCCTCCAGTCTTCAGGCTTTATGATCCAGTTGTAGAGCTCGAGGTAAGTCCCGTCGCGGAAAATTATCAGCTTGTTGCGACTTAGTCCGCCTAAGAATGTGTCAGCGTTTGTCAAGATGAGGTAAAGATAATAAGCGTTGACTAACCTGTATGGACGCCACCGTCAATCACGGTAAAATTGCCTGAAATCCATTGGGGGAGCGCCTCAAACTGCTCTTGGCTGAATTGCAGGAGGAGATGGTCGATATAGACCTGCTGAGACGGCATATTTTCTTGTGGCGGTCGTGTGGAAGATTGGTGGAGGGTGTTGGTGCGGGGTCGTGCTGATACCATATTCTTGCCTCGCCCGCTGCTCGTCATCCAAGCCAGTCTTGCATCACCCTCCAACTCCGATGATACATCTCTGGACCCTGATTTCTACCCCAGTCGGCCTCTACGTGCTAGTCTCACTATCCCAGCTCCTGCACTCGTGTCTTATCAAGAGCTTGGCTCCGATTTTTGCAAATCCTCCGCATAGGATCTGAGCTGGTAATTAGAACATACTTTTCGATGCGACTCGATTCAAGTGATGATCCCGCATACAGACACGATCACCCGCGCATGAAAACCCCAGCGATTTGTGAAAACCGGATTTGTGCTCGCGTTTGACGCCGTGACCCTTCCCAGCTGCTGGTCTTGCCTCGCTAGAGCTAGTAACTAGAGGTCATCTGAGCAAGGGTCTTGGACCATCACAGGTCATGGATAGTCAGTTGATATCCAGCCAAGCCTTGGAGGTACCCTGACTAAGCCCTCTATTTCCTCCAATATGGGTAAATTCCAAGGCATATTTGACTTGAATGCTCACTTGCTCAATTACAGCTTCTTTAGGATCATCGAGCCTGCTATTCAGAATCGTTCCATCTCATTGCACATCCGACAAAGATCAAAGCGTAGCCGTTGAGAACGTACGAAAGGAAGCCTAGGCTATGTGAACGCCATCTGAGTTCGGTGTCAAGAAAGTTGCTCCCAGACGATTTTTCGTCCCTGAATGAGGATATCCCTGCGGGACTGGATATCGCAGGCCACGATCCTGTTCCGGTGCCTTCGCAGGGGCTATGAAGGTATGTCCAACTATGGAGCCAGACTCGATCAAACGTAGCCATGATCTCGACCAAGGCGGATTGGGGATCAAGATAGGTACCTATTTATAGCTCTTGCAGAAGGTACGCCTCATCCTACCTACAAAGGCAAGCAGAGAGATAAACACTATAGCGGCTCAGGAGTCGCACTCTTTGTAGGGGCAGGGGCAGACTAGGAGGGTCGATGTATCGAGCAACAAACGCCATATCGATTCTCTAATCAGAGATGATACAAGCCTAGGAACACCGTGTGCATCTCACTTCAGAATCACAGATATATGGGGCGGATCCATCGCTCTCACTGTAACTGTGGAAATAGTGTTGTTCGAGCATCCCAGGTTGTCCAAGGTTCCCTTGAAGGCCAATCACGAGTGTGAAGCCATCGAAAGGTGTCGATACGATGGCTTGGTCGGTGAGCTTGGTCTTCAGGTTGTATATTGGTTGCTGATATTGAGGCTTTAGGGTTCCATTTGATTCTATAGAAGGCTTATCTGAAGACAAGAATATTTCTCCTTTGAACGTTATTTAACTCAGCGGTTGAAGGCCGCTGTCTGATAGTGACCGTGACTACCTATCTAGGTACGTAAGGTCCTGGTGCATCCCCGTCCCTTCCATTTCCAGCTTGTTCCCCTTGGCCTCCACAGAAAACAAGGGCGATGCCGGTTGCATTTATCGATCTCCATTCTCTTCGCATCTCTGCATCTATCTACTACTATTCATTACAAGAAACCACTTATCCATTGTTACGAACTTCCAAAACAAATGGAAATCGCAGTTCGTCCAGAGGTCCTCTTTCTCTCCTTCTCCACCCGCGGTCTCCAAAACTATAGCTTGACCCTCTCCGATATACCCAAACATTTTATACTCAACCAGATACATGAAGCACATGTTGCCCTCGAAACCCTAAGGACAAGCCACCCCAGAGCCGTCATAATCACCGACGAGGGAATAGCCAAGGAAGAAAATCGCGAAGTCCTCAAACAAGTAGCCAAATACGTCAAGGATGGAGGTCTCGCCATTGTCGCCGGTTACTGGTTTGCAAATAATGTCTCCTTCGATTATTCCGGAGATCCCAAACCGTTCTTCGGTGCCTTTGATCTGCCTTGGGAGGCGGGGTTTGGTCATAAGTATTCCTTATGGAAGCTTAACGAGGATTGTTCAATACCGGCGGGCGCTGAGATCTCCGGGATGCCTGATCATTTCGGAATGACGGCGATGACTCTCAAAAATGTGAGCCCCAACGAGAGGATATATGTCCCCCATGAACAAGCTAGACTCGAGTTCCCCGCGGACGACACGGAGGCAGCAGTTGCTGGAACCCATGTCGGGAACGGGTATTTTGTCTATATCGGGGATCTCAATTGGGAATTCGGGTCGGAGCTTATATTGCTGGGCTTTATGGGGCTACGAAGGTCCTGAGGAAAATCCTCGCCGTGGAGATGAAGTCGGCAGGCTGCATGATTTGGATTTGTCAATTTGGTATGGGCTACACAGGAAGAGGGTTCTGAAGTGAAAACGCTGTATATCATTTACTATAGAATAGCTCCCATAGGCTGTTATTAGCAGAGTATCATGGTTCAAAGAGTGATAACCGATAGTGGTCGATATTGTATTACTTGTCATAGCGACAGGTCAATCTAACTTGTCTTCTCTTATAGTAGCCTGGCAGTTCTGTGAGATGTCGATCGGGTCCGAAGTGCGAATAGTTACACCCTAACGCGACTTTATGAGAAGTCTGGAACCGAACCTGTGATTCTTGGTGGTCCCTCACCCCCACGCTGTAGCTCTACTTTTCCCTCCCAAGCCCCCTTTACCCCCTTGACATATTCACTGCGTCACAGATCTCTCGTTAATTCTCGTCTCTTCTAACTCCGTATTCGTTTTCTTTCCTCTGTTGAGTTCTAACCAAAAAGTCTTACACGGTTAATGCCAGCAACACAATGGCTTCAGCAAGTCTCCCCACCATCCTCCTCCTCTCCATCTCCGACCACGGCTTCCTCGAGGAGATGTACGCCTCGCTCTTTGAGCAACTCTCGCAATCCGCGACCCTCAAAAGCGCAAAGACCGCCTCGGACGCAATCCAAGCCCTAAACGAGGAAAATCTAAAAGCCGTAATGGTCACAGACGAAGGCCTAACGGCACGAGCCAACAAAAAAGTCCTGGACAAACTCAAAATATACGTCCAGAACGGGGGGCTCGCTATCGTCGGCCAGCATTTTAACTCTTTCACTAGCGGTGACGCATTCGATGGGTTCTCTGCCGCTTTTGGTATCCCCTGGAAGCGTGGGGACTATTGTCGTACGTCCTTTTAACTTTAATCAGGAGTGTGCCCTGCCTCCTACCGCTGTGGCGGCTTCGTTTCCCGGGTGGTCTTAACATGAAGGCGGCACATGTCGCGCACGTTCGGGCCGATGAGAGGGTGTATCTCGGCAGCTGAAGCTGGTCGGAGGCGCTGGAGGCTGGTGTTGCTGCTACGCAGTTGGGAGTGGGTGTCTTGCTTACGTTGGAGATATCAATGCCGAAACTGAGTCGAATAAGGTTATCTTGGCACTTTGCGGCTTCTAGCGGATTGATTATGCTTCTATGGGATTATTTTCGGTGGACAAAGTGCTGGTTTACGTCCACATTTGTGGAATATCAATGTGGTAGTTGGGCTTTAAGGAATTCCGGATCCGCAACGCATCAGAAGGGGTCAATAGAGCAGCATAAAAGCCGAAAGACGGCTTCCTTTTGCTGGCAATGGTGAGTGAAAGTGGGTGGGCGGGTGTGTTTGCACTTATAAGTGGACAGGGTAAGGAGCGGCCATGAGAGCTCGAAACAGACCGCAACTAATGAGGGCTATACAAAAGCAAGGAATCACCCTATTGATATAGATAGTTAGCTGAAGCTTCCAAATGGTAAGCGTCTCCATCTGCATCTCCATACTACCATTTGCGAGGAATCGAATGGTACAGGGCCACCTGTCCTCTTATTTGGTCCATTGCTGCAATCCGGGGCACCTAAGTTTCGCAGATATAGCATTGCAGGCTCGAATTGCTTTCCAGGCAAGCTCAAAGCCGCGGACCTAGGACTCGTTCGGTCCCCTTCTGTGTGCAGTAAAAGCGACCCGTCGAGCGGGAGATGCTTCTAATGTCGACTATCGCCAGAGACTTTGCACCTGTCTAGACCTCAGGCCATAATTGCCTAGAAAAATATTAGGAGCGTGCGATGCGAATGCCAGAGGTTTGTGCGAGTATTGAGGAGCAGTTCAAGGCGAATGTTGTTGACAAGCTGACCACTAGGACTTTAACAGAGTGCTTGGTTAGAACATCTCTCCTGGTTCGACATTGTTGTTTGCTGGCATGAAACTCACTTACCTTGACCCAGCGTTTCACAATCTGTTCCAAGTGGACAAAGTTACTACAGCACTTTCCAGTTTTCGTTAATCAAGATTGTCATTGAGATGGACTCGTCCATCTGCAGCCGGCCTTCCATCCCATAATTTTGACTCGGCAAATGGCCTTTGACTGTGGGAGAAGACATCAAGAGAGGCGACTGCAGCCCTTCGGTCGAAAAGAAAACATTGAGTCTGAGACTCGAAGACAATTCTTGGGTTCCGCTCATCTCTTGTTCAGCTCAACAGTACGAATCGATTATGATCATGACCCACGAAACTTCAAATGTGAGCAACGCTGGGGCTGTTCTTCCCTGAGGTACTAGACTAATCTCTTTCTAGTATAGGCTAAGCACAATTGAGCACGTTTCTTCAATGGTTATTGGATGGTCTACTACCATGGCGGACCCCCAATCTCCTACAATCGTCTATTGGCTACACTGAAGGATACACCCCCGTGCTTCACGCTGCTGCGAGGCCTTCTCCAGTTGCTGGCAGTGCTGACCCATAGACCGGGATAAGCTGAAAATGACTCGCACAAGTAACCATGATCAATCCGAAGCGCAATACAGGCCAGAAGCTGTGATCTTTGCTTCGCAGGTTTGATGCATTTGACATAAATGACTCTTTTAAACGCCTTTTCTCTTGGATAACACAAGATACCCGAGCTCATCCTCCAGACCTTCTGGTGTATTCCTCGTCCGAGCCGCAGAAGTTCGAAACACAATCCTGTCCACCACGCGAACCTTCTAACATGCCGCTGGACGAGCATGGGAACAAGTGGTCATGGTACGCACTCGCTACGCTAATCCGTGATAACCCCTAACGACCCGCAGTGAATCATGCCTGCGCGGTCACAGATCCGCGAAATGTAAGCACTTCGACCGGGTGATGGTCAAGGTGCCCAAGTCTGGACGACCTCTGAAGCAATGCCCTCACGGCCGATTGCAGGATTGCGGCTGCCGCAAGACATGCGCCATCATGACAAGGTTATCATCCGGTGTGCATCTCCATACTTGTTTGGGTTGACCAAGTTTTGCTAAGGTTCGCTCGGTTTTAGACTCACAAAATCTTTGTCGTCCATTGTACTATGTTGGAGATCAGCATGAGCACCATAGCTCTGGCATCATGGGAGAAGATACAACAAACGTTCGCAGCCCGGCCACACCGGCTGCCAGCCGAAATCGGTCCGTAGACCCGCCCATATCGACACCGACATTCCTACCTCCACCACATCACATTTTGCCCACACAATTACCACGCCTGGCACAATGGCCGTTACCGCCAATGCTAGACACGCCGAGTCCACCGGGCCACATTAGCATGAGTACAGACACCAGCATCCAGGCTCTCGAAACCCACCTACAGGCCGGGGAATATGCCATCCTCGAGCGGCTGTATTCCATCGGCCCACCAGCAATCGGCGACCTGTGGTCGCCATCACTACAGATAATTGAGGAGCCCATCGAGACACCTCACGATCTGTCATTGGCAGCGCATCATGCGGCCCTTGATCTCCTCAATCTCGGCATGCCCTTCCCGCTGGTTGCACAAGCACATACATTTCCTAGCAGTGAAACTGGAAGCATAATTTGAGGAGGTGCATAGCGAGGAGCGGCTGCGACGTGATATCTCTGATAGCAACTGCCCAATATCCTTGTTGAAAGTAACAACGAAGGGTTGTCAACCACGCGGTCCTCCTCGAGTTCCGCTGCTAACTATCCGTCCTCTATTCTCAGCATTACAACTTCCCACAGTATTAAGTCTCAATATACCACCGATACTAGCACATCCGACAATCGACTCGGGTTCACGGCGTCTTCAGGCCCGTTGCGCCAACCAAGCCAATCTATCTGTCACATCGACGTGATAACTCCCAACGACGGAGATCTGCCGAGTTGGTTTGACGGGTATCTGGTAACTAGGAGTAGAAAAATGCACACTGGGTGCGGAACCTGTGTCAGAATTGATAATGTGTAGATAGGCCATGCGGGGCGGGGGGTGCCGTTGCTTCCTTGTGCGTATCAGACTGTTGCTGAAGACGTGTGTTGAAGATAATGGGTTGAGAGAAAGAAGGCAATCTTTTTTGGGAGGCTTCGAGGCAGCATTTTAGCATTATCTTATAATGATGATCGGTGTGCTTGGGAGATCCCCAATCCAAGTTAAAATTTGATTCTGGTATGTGTTGTAAATCATAGTCCTTGCTCATATACTTAAAAAGGCATATATCCATGGGGCTGAGCACATTTGCGCTACTAAGAATTCCTTTGAAGACACAATGAACACTCCAGCTTATAATGGCATGATGGGCTTATAATGGTGCAAATCCGTTCCTGCCAAACCATTCCCTGGACATATAATCCCAAGGTGTTGCGCTGTACATATGATATTATGAAAAAGCATACCTCGATCTGGCGTTGCTCGTCAGTGGGTCGATGCTACAGGGTACTATCTATGGTAGTAACACACTTCCCATCTGCGCTGAGGTGCAACTCCTTTTTCATCATTCACCTTCTATCTTTCGGGGCTTCCCACGCTCCTTTTTCTCTTCGCTTACTTGCTCACCATAAATAGCTTCGTACACACACATAAGCATGGAAGAATTGAACCAACAGCTACCTTTGTTAGCCACGCGGCTTCAACACTGGTTCCTAATCACCAACCAACACAGGTAGGCTACACTGACTTTTCCCTCTATGAAACATACAGATCATCTCGTATACTCTACAGAAACAGCCCGAAAGCACCCAGAAAAACCACCCCCAAACCGAGCGTCCCAACTCGCTCTAACCCCACCCGCGCCGCCATGCCCGTCGCCGTCGGCTCCGCCGCCTCCTCTCCCGTCACAGTCACCGTCTCATTCTCACAAACAATCGTCCGATTCTCCACCCCCTCGCAAACCTGCGGGTCGCCCCCAAAACCCTTCAACAACGCCCTTACCTCTTCACCAGCATAGCTGTCATCCGCAGGACACTCGATCTCCGCAACAACCGCATACGCGCCCTGCTCATACGGCGTGCAAGTCTCCGCGACGCATTGCGTGACATTGTGGTAAAACTCCTCGCTCACGCAGAGTGGGTGGTTGACGGGTTCCGGGAAGAACACGAAGAACTGGTTGCAGCACTCGCGCGGACATGTGGGCCAGGGGATTCCGGAGGGCGTAAAGTTGAAGGCGCCGTGGGGCATGCTGTGCTCGTGGCCAGCGCCTTGGTTGTCTGTGCTGTTGTGGCCGCTACTGCTGTGGTCGTGGTCTGTGCTGTTGTGGCCGTGGCCAATGCCTTGGTCGTCTGTGCTGTTGTGGCCGCCCCTGCTGTGGTCGTGGTCTCCGCTGTGGCTATGGTCGTGGTCGTGGTCGTGGTCGTGGCCGTCGTCGTCGTGTCGCGCTGCCAGAGGCCAAGAGGCAAGAGAGGGCGGTGCAAGAGACAAGAGGAAGAAGATGAGCGACAAGGCCGCGATAGGTCCGGAGGTAAGGGATACCATTTTGCGTAATGTACTGATATACTGTCAAAACCAAGAACCGCGGTGCTGTGGTAAACTCCAAAGAACAGAAGATGCCACCAATGGCTTTTATATTTCCCAAAAACACCAGACCAGTTTGTCCTTGCATGATCTCACACTCTATCCGAGACCTCCGCACTGTTGCATCCCAATGCGAGGGGTTCCAAGGATCCAAAGCTTGGCCGTTCTCATATCCCCGCGATCCAAACCCGCGAATAGAATTCAATCTAGCGAAGCGTTCAAGAAGAGACGTTGAGCAGATTTGAGGGCATAATCTACATTCATGGGCGTTGTTGGCGAGTATACGACGAAATTTGCGGACAGTTTTGGCTTTTGGATGGTTTCAACTAGATTCAAATCAGCCAAGTCAGCCCCCGTGTCTTCATCTAGGCCTATCTTGCTGCACAAGGGCATAGTGACTGGACACCAATTCTCTCGCCTTAAGTTGGTGGCACTGCTTTATTCATTACTTCTATCCGGAGTCGGGCGGGCGCTTGTGGCTCGATGATCACTCAAGGATGCATTACTCTGGGCGTTGGAGGCTTGGGAGCCGTGAGCATTGGCATGATCACTTGTCCTCTCCAAAGCCCACCACAAAGGGCACGACACGGAGAATGACGTCGGGTTAAATAACATTACCCCTGACCTGTTTCAGCGTTCGAACGTCGGTATTCCTCCAGATCGCGACGCCTATCAACCCAAGCACCCAGACAGCCGTGCCAGCCGTCAACATCATTTCTTGAGCGTCGGCGTACGCTCGCTGAATTGCAATACGCGTACGGCTGCCAATTGGGTAGCTGATCTGGACATCGATGCTTCCATATATCATCAGGAAATTGGCCTGCTCCTCGAGCGGAAGATATTCAAGAAGCTTCTTGGGGAAGATGTCCTGCCAGATGGCACCGGAAACCGTGGCACCGATTGCACCGCCGACACTGGAGAACATGGAGAGGACGGCCACAACAGCGGCGAGTTCCTGGTGGCTTGCGGAAGACATGGCGGCAATTTGTGGCGTTCCCATGAGGATTCCGCCGGAGATGGAGAGGAAAACTAGGCACATGACCATGTAACCGACGTTGTAGTCTGGATATCGGAAGTGGATCATCAGGCCCATGCATAGGACGTAGATTGGGATACCGACGTAAAGTGTGACGAACTTGTAGCGACCGGTATAACGAATGACCACTCCAGTGGCAATGGCGGCAATGCTACTGCCGACACTGTATGCGTTGGCCACGTAGCTGGCCTTCGTGACGCTGAGGTCGTTAACGGCCTGGAGGTAGGAGGTGAACATGGCGAACCAGCAGTAGTAGCTGACGAAGAGGACAGCGCCGAGGAGGCATGCACCGACCATGTTGCGATCAAGCAGTAGTGAAAATGGCATGAAGGTAACGGGGGCGAGGAACCTCTCCCATAGAGCAAACAGGATTATCAGGACCACTCCAAAGACTAGCAGGCATATGATCAATGGTGACCGCCATCCATCCGCCTGGAACGCGTAGAGATTCAATGGTAAAAGAAACAGAGCGAGGCCCGCTGTAATTAGTAAAAGACCAATAGCATCAAATTCGCGGGCATAGTAGATAAATGATTGCATGAGGGTCCTCGAGCTCTTCTCGATGACAAGGACACCTTGTTTCTTTGCTTTCGAAGTGTTCCAGACCAACAGGCCAAATAATGGGAGACACAGGAATGGAATGGCGATGCAGAAAAATCCATAGCACCACTTCCAGCCGGGGCCACCTAGAAAGCCCTCTGCGATGGGACCTCCCAACCAAATTGTTGCAATTGTTGGAGACGATGCCAGTGCCGTCATCAGGGCACGGTTGTGTAGGGAGGTAGTATCAGCGACAAAAATGCCCACGGTATAAAGAAGCGAGTTGTTTCCGACAGCCCAGAACACCTGGGCAGCGGCGTACATTTCCACGCTCTCAGTTGCCGCCATCATGATGAGGCCGATTGTGGTGATCACCAGGGCAAAGGCATAACCGTGGGGTCGACCAAAGATGTCGAGTATCTTGGCGATGGTCAGGTTGCAGACTCCTCCAATGACGCTACTGAGAATAGTCACGGTGGGCGTAAGGGAGTGCAACAAAAAGGCCGAGGTGACATAGGGGGTTAGAGACCCCGAAGCGTTTTGCTGCATTAGCATTGCAAAGTAGACGATCCAGATGAGAACGTAGGCGGCGATGCGGGTGGTTTTGGACCAGACCGTGGCAATGGCCTCGACTTCTCTCACGCCGGCTTGAGTCTCATTGTCTCTCGGTTGGTCGGAGTCGCTCGAGATCTCACGGCGCCATGTGTCTTCAACATCCTTGCGTTCCCTGCCATGGCGATATGGCGCTGCTGATGGTTCGACGTTTTCCATGGTGTGGGAGCCAGACCTCAATGGCAGGTAACTTGCAGTTGAAAGCGAACTAAACGGAGAAACACACTCAAAACAAAAGTAATCTTATCGCAGATAGAATCATGATATGCCAGAGTGCCAATGCAGTAGGTTTATACCACCTGGGCAACTTTGCAAGAGCCGGAGATATAGAGGACCGACCCACTAGAGTCTAAAGCCCAATGGTAATTAGCTCAATACCACTCAAGCTTGTAGGGCTAAAATATCCTCTGACCTGGTGATTTGTGCATTAGGCTGCTTTTAACCTTGGCTAAGCTTGTTCGGTTCGAGGCTAATTTCTGACACCCTTGAAGTCCCAGCATCTTGATTATATGAGCGCAACCAGCAGGAACTTGGGCTTGGATAAGATGCACGGACTACTCTGTAATGTATGGCCTCGGCTCTTCTGACAAGATCAGGTTGTTATTCGTCCTCGTGGGCAGCAGGTCTAATTCCAGCCAGCCTGCCAGGTCTGCTATTGCTTGGCCACAATCACAGCATGACTGGTGGTCTCCATTGAACAAATGGACCGGGCCGGACCATACGGTGTACTTTTGCAGGAATTCGTGCTTGGAGACAATCAAGACCTTCCGCCAACACGTCGCTTGAAACGCTGAAATCCTATACCATCCATTCATGCAGGACAACAGACTCAAGCCTCCTCGCTTGGGCCTACCATAATCCAAGTTCGACCGGTTGGTCAAGCCCAGCGTCAGCAATACTCGCAGCTGCGCGATGGGCATTGGACGGAATTGCGAGAGCCTTTTCATCCCAACCTAGCGAGCGGATCATTGCGTTCAACTCGAAGCACCCACTCCCGATGCCAGGAAGCCGACGGGGCATATCCCACACCTGACAAAATTCCCGAGCGGCCATACAAGCGCAGCGAGCAATTGGCTAGACAGGAAGCACGGGTCTCGCGGCACAAGGGGAAAAGCTCGCAATCATGCGTCCAGTGGGTTCTGTGTAGTATTCCCAGTGAGCTTACTTTTACTCTGCGATATATTTGCAACATATGACTGCCTCGATATCAATGGTATACAGCGTATCCGGGCCCTGTCATTCGACCACCGTCCTACCAAAAAGCTACTGTATTAGCCTTTACTTTCAAAAGGGCACCATGATAGACTTCATTGTCGCATAGTAAATAGCCCCACGTCTAGTTCACAATGACTGATCTACTTCGAATAAACGGCTAACAAGCGCTGCTGTTGTGACTAGTGAGCAGTGTAGGCCGGGTTGCTATCAAGAGTACACTGGCTCGCAGCTACACGAGTGCAGCCTCAGTATGGATCCCTAGGTCTATTGTCGTTTTTTCTGCCTCAATCTATGCGTGAGTAAAATAGCTTTCCTCCAATGCTTGCTAACCTATCGCCATGTGTCTCTCGTCCCTACTGCAGGCAACTATGGGCGACGTGACTCCTAGAAGCTTCCTCACGTAGTCTGGTCAATGGTTTCCCTATAGAAGGTTTGGTAGTTTGCTCAGTGATTGTACTGAGTTCTCATGTATTGATATCAAGCCTATTCCACACGCTACCTGACTCTGGGCCAATTCGGTGGTAAACCATCCATGACTAAAGTTACCGGGTAGCTCAGATAAGGACCATCATCTTCAGCATTTATTCCTATTTTCTGACTTTGCCTCAAAAGCATCATAAGGTAGAGCTCCGGTAGCACTCAGAGGCGGAGAACTTATAAATCTGTAAGACTCTATGCATCATCCTGAAGCCCAAACTAGCCAAAACAGATCATAGAGTTAGCTCCGTGATGCCTTTGGTTAGGCCGAGTTTTAGTTTCACCTATATCTACAACGACAACAGCTGTTATCCCCAAAGAACCCACAACCATAACCAAATCTCCAAATGTCACCACCAAAATCACGCGCAATCCTCGGTCTAATGACCTTTGGCCCGGACCCCACCACCGGCGCCCGAATAACCTCACTGGCCACCTTTGGGCAAATCCTCGATGCATTTCAAGACCACGGCTACACCGAAATCGACACAGCGCGAGTCTACATGGCCGGGAACCAGGAATCCTTCACAGCACAAGCAGGCTGGAAAGAGCGCGGCCTGACCGTTGCGACGAAGTGGTACCCGCTTGAGCCGGGGTTCCATCAGCCCGCTATTCTTCGGGAGAAGCTTGAGGAGTCCCTGCGTGAACTCGGAACGGATCAGGTCGATACGTTCTACCTGCATGCTCCGGATCGCGCTGTTCCGTTTGCGAACACGTTGGAGGAAGTGGATCGGTTGTACAGGGAGGGGAAGTTCAAGAGACTGGGATTGAGTAACTATACGGCGTATGAGGTTGCGGAGATTGTTACGTTGTGTGCTGCGAGGGGGTGGGTAAGGCCGACGGTTTATCAGGCGATGTATAACGCGATCAGTATGTCTATCCTCCATGTTCGATATACCGGTATGCGGCTGATGGACATAGCTCGATCTATCGAAACGGAACTGATCCCCGCCTGCCGTCGCTACGGGCTCGATATAGTCATCTACAACCCAATTGCTGCCGGGGTTCTAGCGGGCAAGTATAAATCCCCAGAAATACCCGCAGAAGGCCGATATAGCGCTCAGAGCCCGACAGGGCATACCTATCGAGACCGATACTTCAAGGACTCCACATTCCGAGCCCTGGGGATCATCGAATCCGCAGCGGCTAAGCATCGATTAACAATGGCAGAGTGTGCCTTCAGGTGGATTCGGCATCATTCGCAGCTCCGCATGGGTGCTGACGGGAATGACGGGGTTGTGATTGGGATCAGTAGTTTATCTCAGCTGGAGAGCAATCTGGAGGACTTTGAGAAGGGGCCGTTGCCGGAGGAGGTTGTTAGGGCTCTTGAGGAGGCGTGGACGCTCACGAAGGCGGATTCGGTTGTTTATTGGCATGGAAGGCTTGAGTATGCTTATGATGTTCAGAAGGCGCTGTTTGGTAGTTCGTAGATTCGGTGTGACATTTCTCGGCGCCTATGTGGCAGAATTCTTCAGTTCGGTTTGCAATCCTTGTCATCGAGTATACCTAGCCAAAATTGCATCAATTGATCGCAGTCCTTGTTGGAGAAACCGAGCTGGCTCGAATTAGGGCTTGGCCCACTTCCCTAGCTTGGTAATGACCCCCACTCTCGCCTGGACGCATCGGGAACCTTTCGAACGTCTTCCGGCAGAGATTATAATCCAGATTCTGCACTATTTTGACGACATAGTTCGTCAAGATGATCTCGGCTCATTCTTCCCCCGCATCGACAGCGTCGTCCGCTCTAACTCGTGCTTCCTCTTCCGAGAACTGATATCCGGTCCCAAGATCACACTAGATCACACGAGAGATCAGAAAGCTCATCTATGGAATAGCGAGCATCCACGATTCGTCAATCAAGTGTCGAAATCTCGATGAGTATTTCGATGAGTATTTTGAGTTCATTTCTGGTGACGCAGTTTGCCGTCGCCCTCGAATAAGCGATGCGATCGCATTGAAAATGATTGACGTAGCGGTGCGAATCGAGCGCCTCGGACCAAACTGCCTGGCCATCCTGAAAGACTAACTCCAGTTCTCTGTAGCCAGACGCGCCAGATACAATCCAAGTCAAGATCATCCTGCTTGGGTTGAGGAGGCTGAAGTCTACCGCACTTTATGGCACCTCCACCACTACTCCGACCGCAAAGTCACAAAGAGCGCACCCATAAGCCTTCCAAGATCCGGGCCCGCACCGAGGGGTGGAGAAACCTGGAGCTGGCCACAAGGGTCACTGGATGGTTTAAGCAGTACAAGAATCTGGCTTCCAGTACCAAGGATTTCCTTCCCAGTCAGGCGGTGATTGGTCGTGTCAGCTGTGCCTTGGAGGAATTCTGGATTCATAGGCGACTGCTCGAAGAGATAAAGAGGTACGGTTTTGCGGATGATTTTGAGTCTGAGGACTGCCATTCTTGGCGAGCTTTGAGCCGTCGCCGCAACTGATCGCTGGCCCGATGTTGTTTTCTGGTGGTGGGGATGAAAGACGCGATTGGGTCAGTGGGCTTGTTTCGAGGTATCGGTCAATCCATCATCTTGTCGTTTCCTCTCGGATATGCAGTAGCTTTTTTATAATACAGTTAGTTGTGGCTCGAGCACAAGCTCCCGATGGAATGGGGTAACACCTTGGTAGGAGTAGCGCATGTGTATATCTTCGGGAGACGACGTACAGGTACGATGTCCTGAGATAGGGAGTCATCTGAGATGGAATTATAGCAAAAGGCACCTGGTGTTCAATAATAGTAAATCTAATCCCTTGAATTAGATGTTCGTGAGCATGGAGTACTGGAGAAAGTTGTGACAAGTCCACCTAGTCCTCAGTCCTGTTGAAGCGGGCCGCCCCGCCAGCTCCGCGGCGTCACCACCCCATTTTTGCTTCACCGGACCGGCCTGCCTACAGCTTCGACTTTCTCTCTTCTCCCTACAACGCCTAAACCCATAACACCACCACGATGGCACAACAACCGACACACTCTACGCAACCAGAATCCCGATTAACAATGCCACTGCTTCCCCGGACCCTCCTCCCAACCCTCTTCTCCTCCCTCTCCCGTGCAACCTCAACACCGACGCGCTGGACCCTCCTCCGCAAACTGAAAAGCGAGAACCCGAATGACATCGTGGGCGAATTACGCGGGTCAGCCACATTCACACCCCTCCGATCCTCTCCGACCGCGTCAACATCCACAACCATCACGACCGACCCAAACCCCGGCACGAGCGCGAGCCCGGACGCGGAGACCGACCAAGAACTCCTCTACAGCGAGGAAGGCTCCCTTCCCGCATCCTTCGGCCCAGGACTTAGCTGGACGAAGAAATACATATGGCGGTTTACCCGCGACGGCAACGTAAGCGTGTGGTTCGTCAAGGTCGATAAGAAGCAGGACGCCGAAGAGGAGCCGGACTACCTGTTCCACCAATTCGATTTCGGGCTCTCGCCCTCCGCGCCTGGGTCAGGGACGGATGTTGTGTCCGGCGAGGAGCTCGTAACGCCGCCCACGCCGCCCGAGGTTCCCAGTGCGGCGACGACAAAGGTCATCGCTGCGCGCGGGAGCCATCTATGTATCAATGATATGTATCGCACGGCGTACGCGTTTCGGGTCGAGGAGGGGAGTGGGGAGGTGGTTTCTTGGGCGAGTCGGCATGTAGTGCGGGGGCCGAAGAAGGGACAGGATATTGTGAATCTGTATTCGAGGGAGTTATAGACTTTTAATTGGGTGGGTTGAATGGGCGCTACGACTACGCGATCGCTGATTCTATCGCTTGATGCTTCATGGCATACTTGTGCGATATCCTTGCCGTCTCATTTGGACGAAAACCCTATCCCTTCATTTCCTCAGCTCAACTCTATATACCATGGTCTGTTATCTCACAGCGTGTATATAAAATCCGGCCTCTTATCACCCAACAGCGAGATCTCATTTTGGTCTAGGCCTTCGACCCAGTGGTCGCGCTCGCCGCGCTTGCGCTTCGCATTTTCCCTGCGCAGGAGGATATACTGCAGGATGGACCCTCCGAGCTGGAAGAGGACCAGGTATGCGAGGACTGTGCCGTGACCGGGGTAGAACCGTGGTGCGTCTTTGCCGCGATAGATGTTCGATGATACGATGCCATTGAGATTTCCCCAGCCGATGACGAAGCCGAGGGTTACTCCGCGTTTGTAAACGCCTGTTATTAGATAACTGTCAGTATCTTGACCTGGTAAAGGATGGATGGAGAAAAAACTGTTGGTGACCAGGGAGCTGGGAAACGGGCGTAGCTTACCTTCGACATTGTTACTTGTCCAAGAGATCGTGTTCGAGATGGCAGGGTAGATACCCATTGCTCCCAGAAAGGTCCCTGCGTATCGTGCACCAGCGCCTTTCGCGCCCAGGAGCATGGCAAAGCCCGTTATCCCCAAGAAAGAGACGAGTATGTTCCACATCCCACGCTGCCGGGTCCGGTCAGCCATGAACCCCACGGCGACGGTCAAAACGGCTGCGGCGGCGTAGGGAGGTACACTAAGGAGCTGGGCGTGGATGTCCTTGTAACCCTGTACCAGTCGTTGTTAGCATGTAAGTCTTCTGAAGGGGTTGCTAGCTCTCTTACCAACTCGTTAATAATGGTCGGGACGAACAACGAAAACGCATAAAGAGACCCATCGGCACCCATATAAATAATCATCCCTGTATATGTCTTCCAATCCTTAAGACTGTTCCAGAAATATGCCATTTTGAACTGCTCATGCTCCGCACTTGCCTGCTGGTCCGCCGAAAGCCGCTTCAGCACACGCTTCCGATCGTCGTCCGACAGGAACCTGGCCTCGTCGGGGAAATCGTACACCATCCAGAACGATATGACACCAATCACGATTGTAGCAAGACCCTCCAGGATAAAGATCCAGGCCCAGCCTTCTTTGCCGCCAAGACCGTCCATGTTGGCGATTGCGGCCGCGAGAAGGCCGCCAAAAGAACCGGCCAGTGCGGCGGCGGAAAAGAAGATGGCCATGCGCACGCCGAGCTCAGAGCGCTTGTACCAGCATGAGAGGAAGTAGTTTACGCCTGGGAAGAGGCCGGCTTCTGATAGGCCGAGGAACCAGCGGACCTGGGTTGATTAGGCTAGGACGGCGTAGGAGAGGAAGAATGGGGGGTGACGAACCGCCATGAGACCAGCCCAGTTGTGGACGAAGCCCATGCACATCATGCAGATGCCCTATGCGCTCGCGAGTGTTCAGTGTCGTCATCTACTCTGGGTTGTGGGGAGCTGTCTCACCCATAGGACCATAATGACGGGAATGAAAATGCTGGGTCGCAGACGTTTGAGTAGAACGTTGGTCAATGGCTCGAAAACCGAGTACGAGACGAAGAAAATGGTAAGTGCAGCATTGTATTGGCTGTCGGTCATATCAAGATCCTCCTGTAGATGTGCGATCTTCGCATTGCCGATATTGGTCCTACAACACGTTAGACGAACCCCTACTACAGGTAAAGCTGGCGCTCACCTGTCCAAGAACGAAATAAGATAAAGCAAACTAAGCCAAGGAACAAGCTTCAAGTCCAATTTCCAGAGCAGAGCGCGGTCCTGCGCACATTGTCAACCTGAAAGTCCGTAGCTCGTGTGAACCAAGCAACTCACAATCTTCGCCCTCTCCTCATCGCTCAAGCCCTCATCTGGATCCTCAAACTGAGTCAACTTCGACCTATGCGGGTCATGCGATGAAGCGACTTTCTCGAGATCGGAGAGCTTAGGCTCATCTTCATGAACCGACTGTGCCGCCATAATGATATCGTTCAAGCCCCCGAGCTGAAAATGTGGTCCGATAAATGCCGCAGAAGAAAGAAGGGGAACACCGAAAGTCTACTTGGGGGGGGGCGGACTATTTAAAAGGAGAGGGGGACCTGCAGGCTGATGATGCATGATCAGTCTATGGTTGTTCAAATCATTGCTGATCTCGGGGATTTTCCGCCCATTGATAGCAGAAGGACCGGACTTCGGGTGTCCTCGCGATTTGCAGAGACGGCAACCTTGGAATACCCCCGCGAGGGGTCATCGCATTCCACGACTCGCGCGCTGGGCCGATGTAACCGTGGCTCGTACAGAAAGAGGGGAAAAGACCCCGTGGGGGGAATTGTGGGCTGAGTTGCGTCACGTCCAGATAAGAGATTCGCAGAGAAGCTTGAGGGCAGAAGGCGTCTGTGGCTGGCTTAGGATTCTGGGCGTGTCGATCGGGGGATATTCCCCGCACGAGGTCCCACCACATACGAGCATAAATGGCTCGGAGATAAGACGAATTATCAAGATGTTGATTTCTAATCACAGGGGTTGGAAAGCCCATTTCCAACCGTGTGCATTTCTCACTGTCCAACAAAAAACATCATGGCACTATCACAACAAGCCTCAATATTCCCTCTCAACGGTGGTTGCTGCATACACCTGCAGGCTGTATTTCGCAAACTTGCTCTTCTCCCGCAGTCTCTGGCCATAGGACCGGAAAATAAAGGGAACCGGACAGAAAACAAGCGCTCCGGCTGCCAACACTGACAAGGCCACATTAGCCCCCAAAGCTCCAAACATTTCAGGTGCGATAAGTGGAAACAGAGCTGAAAGCGTAGAGCGCGCGAGGGACATTGCTGCAAACGCGCTCGCAGCGTAGCTGTTGTAGCTATCCGCCAAATACCCCGCAAGCACCGTTCCAAACTCATTGAGGGCAAACCCAACGAAGAAAAGTGGAATGAAGGTCACGAACCAATGGACGCCGTGTATTGCCGGAGGGACCATCCACGCAAACCACCAGAGTCCAACAGCCAGAAATGGCGCTCCGAGTGAGATTCCAGCGAGTTTATGCTCTGGAAGCAAGGGGAGTCGTTCGCGATGTCGCTCGGCTGCGACGCGTTGGTCCATCAGGCGAACCAAGATGCTAGGAAGAAACCCGAGTCCAATTGCGAAAAAAGGCAGGTTAGAATCCCTCGTCGTGAAGCCCATTGACTCGTAGATCGGAGGCAGGGACTCTGTAAACAGGTACATGACAGCAACACTGCATCCGCTCATCAGGGAGCAGGCAAAAACAATTGGTTCGGTGAAGAAAAGACGAAGTGGCCGAAGAAGGCCATCGCGAACGAAGATTGACAGCTTAGGCACCTCGTCCGGGTTCTGTGCCTGGAGGCTCATGTTGCCTGTCACCTGACGCAGTTTGTTGACTTCCCAACTGAGAAGCAGCGATGGACGCGACTCTCGGATTGCCAGCATCAGCAGTCCAATGCATCCTGTCACCATCGATGAGATATAAAACACCCACCTCCTATGCGTTGTAAGTATCGCCTCAGGTGCTGAACTGCTAGAGAGAGGTACTGACCACCCAAGTGAAGCGGTAATATAGCCACTCATCACAGGTCCCATGGCCACAGCGAAGTTAGCAACCACCATGTACGCAAACACGAGCCAGATACGATCTCGCGCGTTGAACATATCCTCGATACTCCCGGTAATGATCACTGTTGGGATTGCGCTCAGAAATCCGGTAATCGTTCGACCTGCGATTGCTGCGCCCAGCGAAGGTACCGATGCGATCATGACACTGAAAACGCTGTAGAGCACAGTGCTGATGATGTATAATTTCTTTCGTCCAAAGGCTTCGGAATACGGAGGAAAGATGACGTTTCCTAAGGCTTGTGCGAGACAATACCTGCGACAGCATTGTCGGCATTAGCCTCGGTTGGCGGACACGAGTGCTCAGACGGATCTCGGAAGTACGTACGTGGAGACAAATAGGAAGACTGCCAGAGTGAGGTTGATGCCAAATTCGTGTCGTGCATCTTTTGCCGCTGTTGCCTACCACCCATCAGACTCATGAGACCACGTCCGCCGAAATGAGTATGGGAAGTCCCGCCGACAGGTCGCTGGAACGAATTGAGACATACCCCAGCTGCATTGATTGCTGTCCTATCAGGGGCGAAACACCAAAGTCAGCCAAACTCGATATCTTTTCGAGGCCTATAAATGGAACTGGTACTCACGTATAGAACTCAAGGAGGATGATCAATCCGATGTCGTACGCTTTGCGGAGTGTGTGCCAATTTCGTGGGTGGTTCGGATTAGTGTTAGCCCAGCGGACGTGGAGTCCATCTGGGGTAAACTCTAGTCCCTGCTCCTCGAGAGCAGTCTGGAGTGCTTGGGCATCTTCTGTTTTCTGGTCACAATCGGACATTTTGCGTACAAACTGGTATAGACTTACCAGACAGACGAACGCTTGAGTACAAGTACACCAGCTTCGGAGTCAAGGGGTAGACTCAGGTTCCACCGTGACATATCTAGGAAGCCTGAGCTCTAAGATCAGCATGCTTGGCCATTCATTCTCTCCTATATTAGGGTTTGAGAAAGATGGAGCTTGACGTAGGTTCCTGTGATTGCGCTAGAGTAAGAGCATCCCTTTCTAAAGTGGCTTTGGCACAACGAGGGAAGGGGGTTGGGTCTTGGGGCATGAAAAGCCCTGATGCAATAGCCCGACACGGACATATACGGAAAGGAATACCCAGAGGCTCCGAGCTTGGAATGTCCCAAGTGCTCGAGCGGAATATCTCCGAGGATTTGATTCGCAAACCGGGCCTGAATCGCGCTTAATCTCCTATGCCAATTGAGTACGCGTATATTCTATCGCCCTATCCACATTCTTGCTGCGAAGTTTCAGGAAAAGGGCCATCGCCGCCTTGTAAGGTCACCTCGGCCTGAGCTCGTCATGAGGTGCTTTAGTGGAATGCAACAATGACGGGATTATGATTCAAAGATGGCTTGAAGGCCGGTTAACATCGGTCAGTACTCATGTACAGCAGGTTATACTCGTGAGAGTGGTGGGTCCTCACCATCTGCTCGGAACCAAGCCGGGAAAGAATGCTGTGGACTCTAGACTTGGAGCACGAAATTCAAGGGAACTTTTAGCGATATCACTCGCGACAACTCAATAAACGGTTCCGCCATGCATCCATTTTTTGACGGACAATAATTTCAGCCGAGTCGACCTAGAGATACGGTGGAATGGAGTTCGTCCCAGATTGCATTCCTGAGGGTGGCACCAGCCTGCTTTGCTACTATCCTTCATCGATAATCAAGAATATAACCGTAAGGATCCGTCCAAGATTTGCAACACGCGGTTGGCCTTGTTTATGGTACTTATTTGCGTGTTCGCTCACCAGTTTCTCAAATGACTTGACTCGGTCGGAGTCAAGCACTGGACAAACTTTGCCCAAGAGGCGCCATGGAAGCTTGACTAGTGCCATTGCGAGGTTTTGGTGAAGCCGCCAAGCAAACCGTCGTCTTTGCTGTGGCCCCGAACAAATTACCGTCGCACATGGAAATGACTCGCGTTTCCTCATGGACGACTCCACGCGTACGACTCCGAAGTACAGCTTGACACAGGCCGGGATCTCTTATTATGAGCATCATTGGATGGCGATGTCAACGCTGGCTATGTGAGTGAGAGATTAGATGGTCCCTCGTAGACTGAACCAAAAACAGAGCGACCAGATTTGGTTATCAGATAATCGATCAGATAACCTGGACCCACGCATTTCCATCGTCCCCCGAGCCACCAGCCTACTTTGGCAGACTAGGACGACGCTAAGAAACTTGCCTTTCCTGCGCGAATCCAATCAGCTGCATTGACTCTCTGTGCAGTGGCCATCAAGAAAATTCTTCTTGCGCAGGTGGCGCCTGGCGAGTCGGCTGGTGTTGGCTTTCCCGGAAAGATGCGTATCCCCGATTCCAAAAGCCAGAGATGAGAAGCCTGCAAGAGGAAATGGGCCCATGACTCCAATTGCATAGCGGAGAACCCTGTCCTTGAGCCCACCTTTTTCCACCACGTCGAGATAATGCGCCGCTTTTCGCCCCCTGGTGCCATTGGAATTCCCAGGACGTAGACTATTGTTGGCACATAAATATCTCACTCCTCCCGTTTTGCTCCTGAAATAATGTTTTCTCCAAGTCTACAAACGACAGTGTCAGCTACCTTCAGTCTTCTAGCGGTCTTTCTTGACAATGAGGTTCAGGCTTCCTCTTAAGCGCGATGAGTTGCCGGTTGATGAGAGCAACCAGCGACCGGTAGATCATGAAGCCCCCGCAGAGAAGGTGGTAGGATCTCAGCCTGTTGAGGTTGACCCCAAGGAGAACGGCCAAGATGATGTTGTGAACGCAGAATTCCAGCATGGTGTTCAAGCCGCCCAAGCCATGACTCAAGTGTGGTCGTTTAGCCATATTGTCGCGGCTTATGTCTTGTAAGTATTCCTGGTATCGAGGGCTATTTCGTTCATATTCAGAGAGACTTACTTTATATCCCTAGGATCTGGATCATTCACTTTATTATGGCTTTCGCATCCGGTATGATCGGAAATTTGACCCCATTCGTCACGAGTGCTTTCGCAGAACATTCCCTGACGGCTACAACATCGATCATTTCGTCTCTGGCTGCCGGTCTCATCAAACTCCCTTATGCGAAGCTTATGGATATCTGGGGTCGACCCCAAGGTTTCGCAGTCATGGTTGGCAGCATGACTATGGGGTTGATCATGATGGCTGGGTGCAATAATGTGGAAACATACTGTGCGGCGCAAGTATTCTATCAGATTGGATACACAGGCCTCGACTTTACAATGACTATCTTCATTGCGGACACTTCGAAACTCAAAAATCGTGCGTTCTGGATTGCGTTCGTTGCCTCGCCCTATATCGCAACCGTTTGGGCCTATGGCCCTGCATCGCAGAGCACCCTTGATACCATTGGCTTCCGTTGGGGCTTCGGAATCTGGGCCATTGTTATTCCCGTGGTTTGCGCACCACTGTTCTGGCTTTTCTATCACAACCAACGCAAGGCGGAGAAGATAGGTCTCATGCCTGTGCACGAATCCAACCGCACATTACCTCAGTCGGTTCTTCACTATGCCAAGGAGTTTGACTTGCTTGGTATCTTCATCTTTGCCCTTGGTCTAGCACTTTTCCTACTCGCTTTCAACCTTTACACGAAGCAGCCTAGCGAATGGCGCTCGCCACTCATTATCTGCTTCCTTGTCTTTGGGGGCCTTCTGATAATCGGCTTTATCTTCTATGAGAAATACCTTGCTCCTGTCACATTCATCCCTTGGTACCTTCTCAAGAACCGCACCGTGATTTTCACCTATACCATGGCAACAAGTCTTTACATCGCGTGGTATGTCTGGGACAACTACTTCTATTCCATGCTGCTCGTCGTCTACAATCAGAACGTCACAGAGGCATCATACATCAGCAACATCTATACAGTCGGGTCTTCATTCTGGTCAATCGTTATGGGTATCCTAATCCGCTACAACGGCCGCTTGAAGTGGCAAGCTCTCTATTTTGGTGTCCCCGTCACCATTCTCGGCGTTGCCCTCATGATTCATTTCCGCCACGCAGGCGTTGACATTGGCTACATCGTCATGTGTCAGATCTTTATTGCCTTTGGCGGGGGAACACTTGTCATCTGTGAACAAATGACTGTCATGGCTGTATCCCGCCAGCAAGATATCCCCGCCGTCCTCGCAGCCGAGGGCATGTTTATCAATATTGGTTCCGCGGTCGGCTCAACCATTGCTGCTGCCATGTGGACTGGTATCTTCCCTCAAAAGCTGAAAGAAAACCTTCCCGCCGATGCCCTGTCCGACCTCAACACCATCTACGGAGATGTTACGGCGCAGTACGGGTATCCCGTTGGAAGTCCAGAGCGCCATGCCATCAATCTGTCTTATAGCCAGACACAACGGCTCATGCTGATCGCTGCTACGTGCCTTTACTCTATTACTCTTACGTCCGTATTGCTGTGGAAGGATGTTAATGTCAAGAAGATCCACCAGGTCAAGGGACGCGTTTTCTAAGCGACGCTATCTCTGAACTTTCGGTGGGCAGGGGGTGTGCTTGGCTTTGCTCGCAAGCTATGCCCGATCCTATTATAAAATCATATTGCCGTCTGTGGCTCTGACGGCCCCTACTACAAATGATAATCTTAATTGTAATTGCTTACCATCTAAGCCTTTTATATTTGCTACCTATATTTCTCGGAGTCCTGACTCGGTTGCCTTGGCACCTTTATCAGCATATCAAGTGGCTGAGAAAAGTTCCGGGCTAACAAAAGATATCACTCGTGTGGAAACTATGCTAGCGTTTGTGTCAAGGTGTCCGCCTCTGAAAATTTGTCTATTAGTTGGCCGCGGCAAAAGTGGGAGATGAAAAGGTTCCAAGATCGTAAGCAGGGCGTGGTGGGAACAGGCTATCTTTGGTGGAGGAGGGAAAAAGCGAGAGCCATTCAACTCAGTGAATCAAGGTAGCGAGTCATACTAAGGGGTAGGCTTCTATCTGTTCCCTATATCCTGGACCCTCCTGAGTAGCAATACAACACTATATATCAAATTGGATAACTCATAGAGAAGCCTTGAACTTTTGTTGGATTTGGGCTCATAAAAACCTAAGTACATTTTTTTATCAGGATTTGCAGAAGTTATTCAGCAGATACGGGTAGAAAACCATTTTGCTCGGATAGACAACGTATAATTGAAAATTTGAGCATGAGATAAAATCGTTGACGCAATAAAATCCTGTTCAAGCCTCCAAAAGCTTCGTGCATTGCAATTGTCTGAACTTCGGGTATTATAGCTATCCCGATTCCCTGTAAAGGAATGCTGCCTTAATACCCAGAGGCTATGGCTGCAAAATCCCTCTTAGTGAGTCCGCTGGAGCATCAAAGAGATAACACAAATGACCATAGTATCAGCCGCTGCTGCGAGCAAAAAGACCAGCTGCTGGATCGGTTGGGACAGCATCATGGGTCAAAAAACGAAACTGGCACCTGCTTAGGGCCGGGTGGCCATTCAATAAGTCGAACACTGCTGCCGCGGCCTTGACCGAAAGCATCTTTACCGCAACTTCACCATGCGCGGGGCCATCGCTAATACTCTCAAGCTGTGGACTGAAATCGTGATGTGCACGGGTCAAGACGCGGGTGATCTCTTGCTTGTGTGACTGCCTGTACTGAAATACGCCCAGGCAACGAGTGTATCCACTCTCTTTGATCAAGCTTCCCATATCAGCAGAGATAGGGTATGTCGGAGTGTGGACAGGGACGACCTTTCCAGGCAGTCTCCTGCTGTTGGAACTAGCCAAGAATTCGACGGCATCCTTCTCGGTGACGAAGGTTATCATCGCTGTGTTATACCCGGTTATAGCAGTTGTATTGGCAAATCGAGCCTCGTAGATCTCGCCTTTGACAAGGGGGAGGATCTCGTCAATTTTGATCTCGCGCGGAAGCTCATCGATGCGAATAGTACGATAGACATCGTGGTCGAGGACGGATGGAATATAGCGTAGGCCGTATTGGAAAACCCACAGGTCAGCGTAGGGTTGGCGGGTGAGCATATTGGACTTTTTACCGAAGGCGCCGTACTCTTCATCTATATTGTCAAAGATGCTGGCACCTTTCAGTGCCCAGGAGACTTTTCCATCCCACATGACGACAGTTGGGGTGGTCTTTTTCTTCGAGTCTGTGGGCTTTTGTTGACTCGCGTCGTTGGAAAGGTGTTGAGGTTCGGTAACACGGTTGGGACGCTGAATAAAGAGAGTTGTGTCAGTAATATGCTCAATCTGCGGCGGTAGGGGTTATGCTGCTTGACCTTCAACTCCAGCGTAGTTGTCCGCACATTCTCCGCTAAATCGTCCACAAGCCAGCCGGATTTGGGAGGTACGTTCTCATCAAAAGTAGGTGCCATGACCTCTGGGCTGAGAGGTTGGATTTGGATGTCTTCTATAAAGCCGTCGAGAAGGTCTGTAGAGTAGGTGGAAGGGGTTAACGCCATAACCTCGTTGTCGTCGCTGTCACTGTCACTGTCGCTTGACGTTTCCTCTCCGTAGTGACGCCAATTCCTCCTTTGCTTGTCAGAAACTGAGGTGCGAGTGAGAGAGAGGATTCGAGAGTCAATAAAATACATAAACACGCAAAGTACCACAAAGATGGGCAGCAACAGGGAGAGGAGGAGGATACTGAGGGTTGCTATGTTCCCGTTGGGAGGTCTGAGGCTACAGTGTTCCATTTTAGGAAAGAAGTCAACAGAGCTGGGTCCCGGCGGTCGTCTCTTGTCCTTACTCAGCGCGTGAAGGAGATGGAGAGGGAGAGAGAGAGGAGAAAAGAGAGAGTAATTGAGAGATTTAAATAGGCAGCAAATCTGTTGTGTGGTTGGTTGGCGCAGTGAGGCAGGAGATGCGGGAGAAGAGAGTTGCTTGTGATATAATCTGGCCTTTTAAAGCCTACAGTCCCAGAGAAATAGTCAACTGTATTTAAGCAAGTAAGGTGTAAGAGATAACCAACAGCAATCTATTACTAGGAGGCCTCTAATTTGACAATCAGGTTTTTGTCATGGTGCAAACGGATGGAGAGGGGATAGATCTTTGTCTGGATAGGATCATGCGTCAATTTGAGATCAATAAAAACTAAGCAACAAATGTTGTGATCAGTCTCCCTTCTACAGTCCAACAAAACATACATTCACTTCACCCTGGTCCTTTGTAGTATGAACCAGTCTGAAAAGCTACCCAAGAAACTCTCCTTGCGCGAACGCGATCCAGGGCAAATCGGTGTCCCAACATCTCTGCATGAGTTTACGAGCATTCTGAATCTAGCATGGGGTTAGTAAGGCATCTCAAAAGCAAAAAAAAAAATTGACGTACCTGTTTCATCCCAGTTCCTTCCAGAACCTCGAGACGCTCCTTGATCTCATCCCGCTGCTTAGGATCCCGAGTTTCGCAACCAGCCGTAAATATGGGAAACAATACTCCCGCCTCCATAGCAGCACCAGTCTGAATGGCGGTCACGGCTTGCATCAACCCGTTCAAGGCCTTCAAGACTTCCTCAGACCCGGAGTCCTCGCCGAGAACGCGGCGGCGCAGATGGAGTAGGCCAGCATAGCGGAACGCGCGATCAACCGCTATCATATCGGAGGACTCCGATTCAAGATAATGCTTATCGTGAGTATGCACATTGACATCCAGCATCTCCCAGTCGTCTATCAGAGCCTCTGCCCTGCATATGATGTCAGGAGACGGGGTCCACTCAGGCAAGAAGGTCTGCATATCGCCAAATCTTTCGTTGTCGCACTGGTGTACTAGCCCTCCCAGTTGGGTCAGGAACAATCCGGTGCGGGGAGTGTATCCGGTAAAACAGTCCACCGCAAACTCGTCCCACTCTTCGTCTGCGTGACAAGCCCCTAGGACGGTAGAGTATTCTAGTAAAGGAGGCTGATGATGCCGGCATGATAGCGCGCCCAATACATCCACATAGCCGATCCAGCGAGTTAGAAACGCCCCAACGCGGTTGCCTGGGTAGGTCATTTGACCTTGGCGAGCGAGGAATAGGTCACGGGCTAGCTTGAGGAGGGTCTGCCAAGGGACTGGTACCTCGAAGGCACCTGGCGAGACAATCTCCAGCGACAGCAGCATGATGGCAGTAGCAAGATGACTGTCACTCACCTTCCTGTGAGAGTCTTCCAAAGCGAGGCGCAGGGACGGAAAAACGTCGCGGACCCAAAGTGCAATCCGAGTAGCAGGCTCGGGGTGTCCTAGGAACCTTGCTCGGTGGCTTGCGGAGTAGGCGAGCATAAGGTTGAGAAGATTAGGGTCATCAATAGCCACTGTCCAGTCAGTAAGAGCGACGGGAACAAGAGAGGAGAGATCTTACTAGAGGGCAGGACAGAGCTGAAGGGATTGTCTCCGCAGTCATGAGGGACAAGGACCCTCGCAGTGTGGTTGAGAAAGTGGTGAAAATACATCAAGTTGATAGGCACCTTCAGAAGCGAGGCAGGGAGAGGCGAGAGGTATCGTGGGATATTAATAGGCACGGGCAATGCATAGTAGGCATACTTGCTGCTATCACCAGTATTGCGGTCTTTGTCTGTCTGAAGGCTTCCTGGACTGGAAGCATGGCTCGATGTCTGAGACTGGATGACATCCAAAGCGTCGCTTACATCGACTGCTGAGTGATCGTCATTTCGTCCCAGATCCAGATCTGAGCGGCCACAGTCCAGGCCATAGTGGTCAGTTACACTGGTGAGATAAGTCTGCCATTTTCGCTCCGAGGTCGAAAGACCGCGCTTCTGGTTGAGTGTCGGTGGTATATCATATTGGCGCGCAGAGGACGAATACGATCTGGTGTGCCTGTTCCTACCAATGCTATCGCCAGGCGGCCCATCCAGAATGCCTGCCAAAAAGCTATCTGGAGAATCACCCTGATCCCGTGGGGTTCCAGAGGTAAAAAGACTGGTATCAAGAGATCGGGGCGATGTTGCGTCAAGAGAATCGGTGGTGCTAAGCGTGCAATTGACTGAGGCGTTGGGAATTCCGAGTTCAGTGGATGGCAGTCCAGAAAGGTTCTGTTGATAGTCCGGCATTCTTCCACGTCTGGATGGCGAGTCATGTCTGTTGAAATCAGCTGTATCTAAAGCAGGTCGAACGAAAGATATTGGCTGAGACACTTGACCGCATGGAAAATTGAAGTCGAATAATGAGGGGACACTAGGAACGGCGTCTGGGACAGTCGGATAAGGTAGGTTCCCCAGCGAGCTTCCAACGGACGGTCTGTGGGACGCGTCATCGCCCATCGCTGGGAATGTCATTGCTTGAGGAGAGAAGCCCGGCCAAGAGCTGGTATCCGGTCCTCGCGACAAGTCCAATTCTACTGGAACTCTATCGGTTGTACGGTTGCATGCATTGAAAGACTGATCAGGGACAGTCGGAGAATCATGGAAATCATGCAACCTGCTAGGATACGTTCTTCCTACATTCATGTCCCCTGCAGACTCCGCCTTCCAGTAGAGCGTTTCTGTATGCTCGTCTTGCGAAGTGCTCATCTCCCAACCACTAGAATCGAACGGTCGGATAGGGCTCGCAGGGAGTGTCTGGGGAAGCGACGGGGGTGACAGGGGGAATGGGAGTGAATGTCTCGAGAGGCTACTAGTCTGTGAACTCGGGGAATCGACAGAAGACTTTCTCCTCGTCCTTCCACCCCAGTTCAGCCGGAGGCTGTAGTCGCAAGGCTCATTCTGACGTTGGCAATTCAAGCACGACGGCTTCTCCTCCCCACTGCATCTATAGGATTAGCTGAGCTGGATGAAGAAAGTAAAAAGTAAACATACCACTTGACCTTCTTCGCCTTACACGGCCTAGACAAAGTCAGTGCGCGTCAGCTTAGCGTTCGAAAGCCTCCTTACCAGCATCCTTTGCGAGATCTCCTTTTCGGCTCGGGGGCTCCGGGCCTTCGAGGGCGCGGCATTTGATGCTCAAATCAAAGGCGCCGGAGAATAGAGCTGATTACTTGACGAACTAATGGTCCGGGGAGCAAGATAGTGCCAACTTAGTCTGCGGAGTAAGATCGCCATGCAGCGCGAAGGTATAGCGGTAATATCCACAGGGCTGAACGAGCGAGATCTTTTTCGTCTGCGAGTCGGGCGTTTAACCCAGGAGGACAGGAAGCGATAATCAAGGGTAATACACTCGCGCTTGTTATTCGTACTCATCGATGTACGAGATACGGCAAAGGGCCAGCCAAGCGGTACTAGGGGGTATAGAGATGGTTTGTGGATAAGAGTTGATGAAAAATGGGGGCGATGGAGAGGTTTTCCAAGATTGTTACCTCTCCTTTGAGGGGAGCGGAGGAAGTTGCCAGTCACGAGAACTTAGTATTCGCTATAGTAATACCAGACATGAGGCGCTGTGCAAGAACAACGTCGCTATTCTCCACGAGATCTTCCAGAGCGTGGTTGCGATGGAACAATGTGGAAACTGGGCCTCGGGCAGCAAGAAGCGGTGGCAGACGCGAAGCAGGAGGCGAGGCAGGAGAGAAGAAGCAATGTTGGAGGAGATGACTTGGGTTTCAATTGCCCGGCTGGAGATCGAATGCAACTTGAACAATAATGCACTGGCACCTGGTCTGCTGCACTGTTATCGGCCGTCTGCGCCAATCGCAAAGCAGCGGTGGGAACGCCTCGACCTGCCCCTCTCGGAAGTTGACACCTCAGGCCCCAGCTGATAAGCCTGGGGCAGCGGCGCTTCGGGGTTACAGCTGCGCCAGTGTGGCTGACGTAATAATCCCTGTTTCTTGCTTTTTGCAGTGTTCTGTCCGGTTCGACGCTGGTATGACGATCGTTTCCATCTGCCAATGGTCAACTATTAATATAGCTGCTGGGTTCTTTATTATTCTATTTACATGGTTGTTGTACCTGAACCTATTTCGTACCTCAGCGTTTTATAGATCATTCTTTCTTTCCATCACTATTCCATCTTACTCCGCTCTGTTATCATTTATCTAACCTGAAATTCCGAGATAACACCCGCTATCACCCGCTATGGCGTCGACTGTTGCTAAAATCCACCCATTGCAACGACTGCCCAGTCCCTCCAGGGGCGTCTCGGCATTGGTCCATGTATGCTAACTTGTCGAGAACGCCACTATCTACTCCGTGCCCTCTCTGACATTATCCAGGCGTCCGGGCTAGCGAGTTTTATCTGGTCGTTCAAATAGTAAGTAGAGTACGAGCCGAGCATCGCGTCATGGCAAAAGAGCTATCTACATCGAAGCGCCTGGCGAGCTTTAGTCTCTCCATGCATTCAACCCCTGCTAACTCCCCCTAGCATGCATGACAACCCTAACCATGCGTAAGCCTTACTCGCCCAACTATTCCAAGGTTCCTCCGAAGATTGACCCTTGGTCCCTCCTGTAGCAACGAAGCATACGGATGGCACTTCCAGTACCTGACCGTCATCGGTCTCTCCCTGGCAACTCTCACCTTCACCGTGGGCCTACTAGCAGATATCACACTATCTCCGCGGCTTTTCCTGGTTAAGAATCTACTATCCATCTGTAGCGCCCCTATGGAGGTTCTCATTAGCATTCTATACTGGGGTCTCCGTCTTGTTCGTCGCCACCATCCATTCTTGCCCCCCTTTCCCTTACTCTATATTAACCAACCGGTATAGGTCGATGAGCGGCTCGTTGTCCCCGATTGGGCTGTTATTCCCATGAGTGCTGGTGCGTTACGCCCAACCCCCTCCATCATCTCCCAGTGCCATCAAACCCTAACTATGAACACAAAGATATAAGCTTCCACGCCATTCCCTCAATCGTCTTCCTAATCGATCTGCTCTTCCTCTCTCCACCATGGACAATCACAATCGGACCGGCTCTTGGCCTCTCCAGCGCAATCGCCATCAGCTACTGGTTCTGGGTTGAGCGGTGTTTCCAGATTAACGGATGGTATGTTACTTCCTCCCATATTCCCGTTTCCTCTTCCCATATAGCAACTAGAGAATTAAACTTACCTCGTACACAAGGTACCCCTACCCAATCTTCGAGCAACTTCCCCTCGAGGGCCGCATCGGACTCTTTGGCCTAAGCGCTGTGGTTATGGCTCTCAGCACGGCGACGCTGAAGTGGCTCCATGGTCGTGTTAATGGTTTCGGAACATCGGTTAAGGCGCAGGCTAGGCCCGGTGCTGTTAAGATGAATGGAGGTCTTTAGGTTATCTTGAGTTGACCGGGCTCGGATGGTTTGAGTTGGGGTTGAGCTGGTTTGGCGGATCTTACTAGAAGCTGGCTGTGATAGAAACATTTGCATTGCATGGATATACGGTAGAGAGATAAAGGCGAATATATAGAATCATTAAGCAAGATCAAGTTCATCAACGGTAGTCGAATATATAAAACGTGATGCATCATCTGAAATGTTAGAACAAGCATTCTTCTTGGAGAACGATTTCAGTAAGCTGGCAAGAAATGGCCCGAAAGCCGAGCATGCAGCCTATATTCGTCGGCAAAGTCCCGAGTTACAGATAAAAATGACAGGATGCAGTGGGTGTCTCCAACTGTCAACCCCACAAAATGGATGAGCCTCGGGATCCCCGCAGATTGTGTAGCCGAGTTCTAATGTCCTTTAAATGATGTACAATGCGCATTCCTGGGCATCAAATCGCGGCTTGAAGTCTAGATTTTGTGGCTGACATATACACTTTGATTCCAGAGGTACTCTTCTCTTTGAAAGGCGAGAAGGACCTTTGAGCCATGCAATACCTACCAGAAAAGGACTATGACCTCCCTCAACTTGATTTGCTTACACTCTTGTTTGGTATGGCCGCTCCGTTATAAAAAAACAGAAGGAATCTAATGTTAGTAGAATCAGCTCTCTCCCTGACGAAGGAGTCCACAGTTCTCCACGCAGAAGCTGCGGATCCAACGAACCATGTCACGAAAGCCCAGGCACGAACAATAACCAAGCGCCTCGCCCATGTCTTCCGTACGGAGTTTGGAATCGGTGCTACCGGTCTTGGTAAAGATGCTGTTCTGTGTATTTCAGCAAACCAAGTCCTTTTGCCTGCTGTTTTCTACGGCATAATCGGCGCAGGAGGGGTATATGCTGCGGCGTCGACAGCGTTGACATCTCCAGAGGTCACGAAACAGCTTCGACAATCAAAAAGCAAGCTGGTAATCACATGTGTAGAGAACAAGACAAAAGCGCTGGAAGCTGCGCGGGAGTGTGGGATCCCGCCGACCCGGGTACTCGTGCTTGAGAGCATGGGCCACAAGCGGCTCCTGTATGACACTGTCAACCCAGCGAGGGATTTTCTCCAGAATAGCTCTGAGCTAGAGTGGGATCGAATCACGGATATCGCGGCGTTGGAGAACACGACTATCTGTCTCCTCTATTCCAGTGGGACAACGGGCCCTCCCAAAGGTGTCATGCTGTCACAGATGAATCTGGTCTCAGAGGCACTGTACACACAACTGATATTGCGCGAATCCAAAAAAGGCTTCCCTCATCTGAACGTACCGTACAGTACAATCGGTCATCTTCCTACGGCACACATTGCAGGAGCGTTGGGATACTTCATCACGCCCGCTCTTGCTGGAGGCACGGTGTACTGGATGCCCAGATTCAACATCGACGAGTTCATCGATTACTGCAAGAAATATCGAGTGACATTCCTAGCAACAGCGCCTCCGGTATATCATGCCATTGTGCGAAGTAACAGCGTCTCGGACCACTTTAGTACCCTTGTGCGGGCAGAGTCAGGTTCAGCGCCACTTGATGTCGGGCTCCAGGCACAAGCGGAAAAGAAATTAGGTTGCAGCATCAGTCAGCGATGGGGCATGACGGAAACGACTGGGAGCGTGACCACAATGCCATGGGGTCAGTCCGACAGCACAGGGAGTATCAGTCCATTACTCCCAAACACGAGGTTACGAATCGTCAATGAGCAGATCAAGGATGTTGATAGGGAAGAGGAGGGGGAGATCCTGCTCAAGGGGCCGATGATCTCGAAAGGCTATTTCGACAACCCTGAGGCAACCCTTGACTCCTTCACACCCGATGGCTGGTACAAGACAGGAGACATTGGGGTCCACAAGAATGGAAGAACCTATGTGGTCGACCGCAAAAAGGTAAGCAGAGCAGCAAGTCAACGCTGGTTGACATGCTAATGCTATGTAGGAGCTCATCAAATACAAGGGACTGCAAGTCTCTCCAGTGGAGGTAGAGGGATTCCTCCGCACCCACGACAGCGTCGCAGATGTTGCAGTTATCGGCGCGCCGGACCCGGATGCTCCAGGGAATGAATTGCCCCGCGCATACGTCGTTCTCAAGCCCGGCAAAGCCGCGTCTGAAGCAGAACTTGAGGAGTACGTCAGGTCGAATCTCGCCCGTCATAAGCAGCTCCGTGGGGGCGTTATGTTCGTGGACGAGATACCGAAAAGTGCATCTGGAAAGGTTCTCCGAAGGATATTGAGAGACCAAGCAAGAAGTGCGATGAGGAAAAAGGCGAAGTTATAGATGCAGTGACGAGGTCCACTTTAGATTTCAAACATGTCTCAACTAGAGCATCGAGTCAGCACATTTCACAATGAGAGTTTTCAAGAGTATTCAACAAAGAAATGTTCGATCAATATCAATAGCAATATCAATAGCAATCTCAAGGAGGATGAAAGAAGGGGAAGTGATTTTGGATCATCGACATTAGAGCCATGTCCGCTTACATAATCACGTGGACATTCCGCTGCGAACACTGACGAAAGCCTCGCAACAGCGACATCCCCAACACTCAAACACCAACTCAATTCCACCAGTCCCTCAAAATGCACACGACTCTCATTTCCAACCCGGTGCGCAGCGCTGTATTATGTACTCGCCTGCCTACAGCCGCCCTAAACCCAATCGCCTACCAGACCTCTTCCACCCTCTATCACACCATTTCGCTCAAGTGCCAGACACGCTCTGCCAGCACTTGCACACAACCCTTCTCCCAGCAATCTCAAAAGCTGAAGCTCTCATCCTCCCGACCTCAAGCGTCCCTCGCTCCATCATGCGTCGTCAAAACAACTTCAGTCCGTTGCAACTCCAGCTCCAGCTCCCCCAACGCCCGTGAGGAAGCCGCCAAACTCGACTGGAACTCCTTCTTCAAGCTCCGGGCATCTCGCCGGAGGTACACGCTTGCCTCTTCGATTGCCAGTGCGTCCGCTAGTACAATGATTGGTGTGCAGGTCCTCTCAAGCCAGAATCTGGAACACTTGGGCGCACAGGTTATGGGACTCGACCCGTTTGTTGTACTGGGTATGGCCACGGCAGCATGTGGTGCTGTTGGTTGGCTTGTTGGTCCATTCCTGGGAAACGCCATCTGGGGATTGGTTAACCGCAGATTCAAGACGGCTGTTGCGGTGGTGAGTCCCTCTTGTCTCTGCTTTGTGTTTGTTCATAATAATGTGACGCTAATTCTATCTTCAGAAAGAGAAAGAGTTCTTCGACAGAATCAAGCGATACCGAGTCGACCCCTCGTCCAATTCGATCGCGAATCCTGTTCCAGATTACTATGGTGAAAAGATTGGCAGCGTCCAGGGTTACCGACAATGGCTCAAAGACCAGCGGGCATACAACCGCAAGAGGCGCAACTTCATTGCCTAATTGTTTGCCCCAGGTGGGTAATCGTTATGGGTTGGTATGTCAGATTTGCTTCCATTCATCGGCAGCGTACCGTTATCTATTACTTGGACCTCCCCTTGGCTGGGACCTATCTCTTCTGTACTACTATCTCTATCACGCCTACGAGGTATTTGAGCGATTACAATGGAATTTCTTTTGCATAAAGTTTACATTTGTCTAGACTCGTCGTATAAGACGTTTTCTCAACATACTCCGACATACATAAATAGCATCGTTCTCATCATGCAGGCAGCGAGGTTCATGTACCCATATTGCTAATCTACAATTTCGACTCCTTTGTCGAGCTCGGCGGATCAATGTTAACGTCTGACCACCAAGGATAACTCGCAGGCTGATACTGGTCCACATCCCCAATAAACCTTGGCTTCCTCTTCTCAAAGAAAGCAGTAACACCCTCCTTCTGGTCCCTACAAAAACTCGTCAGCATCTCTTCCAGACGTTACATCTTACTTGGGAAGGGGAAAAACGTACGGAGAGATAAACCGATGGTAGATAACCTCCGACTCCAACAAATGCGCCTCCTCCGCCGAATCAGGCCCCCTCCACATCAACTCCCGATTCAGCGCAGACGCCATGGGACTCACGTTCTCCGCGATCTCAGTCGCCAGCGCCAGCGCCCGTGGCAGAACCTGTGTCTGCTCAGGCATAGTTTCTTGGAAGAGTCCGCCAAAGTGCGGAGATGTAGATGGGTACACGGCCCCCGTTGTGACGAGGTAGTTTGCGCGCGAGAAACCGATTAGGCGGGGAAGGAAGTAGGAGGAGCAGGATTCCATTGTAATTCCGCGGCGCGCGAAGACAAAGCCGTACTTGCTTGTTTCATGGGCGATCCTGCGGTTCTTATTAGCTTCTGGTGTTCAGGATGGAGCGATGTGCTGGCTATACCTGATTGCAGCGGGGAGAACCATGGTCATCCCGACTCCCACGGCGGAGCCTTGCATCGCGGCAATGGTGGGCTTGCGGCACCTGTGCACCGCGAGAGCGACTCGGCCGCCGCTATCGCATCGAACAAAATGCAGTCAGCTAAATGCTCCACGCGCGCCAGTCCAGTGAGGGCTCTAACCTATCCCTATGATCCTTCGACCTCTCCTCAAGAGCATGGAACCCAATTTCTAAATCCGCGCCAGCGCAGAACGTGTTCCCAGCGCCTGTCAGGACAACGACTCGCACGCGTTCATCCCGGTCAAACAGGGTGTAGACCTTCTCGAGGTCCTCGGACATGGTCATTGTAAAGGCATTGCGCTTCTCGGGTCTGTTCAGCGTCACAATCACGACCGGGGTCGCGGTTGCTGAGCCGACGGGGTAGTGTGATACCTTAATGTGCTTTGTTGCGAGGGTCTCGTAAGACGCGGGAATCTCGAGCGGGGGTGGCGTGAAGTACATTTTGGGTAGATATCCGCAGGCGGGGATGGAGAGGAGGTTGACCGTTGAGGTTGTGTCAATCGGCTTTGTTTGGCGTGGGAAGAGGTTGTAGAGATGAATTTATTTAATCTGACAGTTCCCCTCTTACCTTTCAACTAGTACTAGCCTTCATACCCGAGAGCCGTCGGCTCGATGATACAGCTCCTCTGATTATGCTACGAAAGGAATGGGGAGCTGGAGCCAGCGGGCCCAAGCCACGATGCCTCGGCCTCCGGCAGAGCTGGTTTGCCCCGCAGAGCCTGCGGAGGATCAACTGGTTGGCGCCTGAGGCAGTTCATTGATATTCTAATCACAAAAGCTCATGACTTATATTGCAATTTGGATTACAATTCAGTGCATATACAATTCTAAAGAGTGGCTATAGTTGGCAAGACCGAGGCAAATTGAAGGAACCCGTGTGGAACTACTCCATGGAACAATGGGTTGAGGGCGTTGATTCCTGGTAGTGAATTTCGAGATTAATAGTCGGTACCTCGACTGATAATCTCTTTGTTTGACTCGCGCAGGAGGACGGTCTGATATCGTTAGTCACGTCATGATGAAAGCAGGAGAAAGCATACATGTTCGAACTGCGCCGAGTATGACCCCTTGATGTCCATCAGGGGTGGATAGACGTCAACAATACCGTGGTTGACAAGGCTGTTCATCTGTAATTGCGTCAGAGGTTTTCTTCACCGCGTTTCGACTAACTTACGCCAGCCAGATACCGCTCTGTCCCAAGACGCTCTAGATAGCGGCGGGAGAAAACAATTGTCCCAAAGTTCTCATTGATCGTCTTCCAGAGAGACCTTGCGGAGGCCAAAGGCAAGGACACATGTGACGGAGCATCGTAGGACTTTCCATAACCGTAGACGCCAACCTATATAGCGAGTAAGTACGAGAATAGAGCAAGCCGCTTGGTCAGAACGTACATCATCATATGTGTAGCCGCGGCCAGTGCTTCCAAAGGTTTCGATGGCGAAGATTTCACCCTCCTCCATCTTTGTCTGATCCGAATTCTTGGTGAAAGGGATCGACTTCCCGCCATGGATGCGGTACTGTTTGATATCGTGTCCACTGAGGCTCCTCACAGCTTTAACAGGGAATGTCTTTCCGTTCATTTCAACCACGTAGCTTTCCATGGCCTCTTGAATGGCGGCGCTCACATCGCTGATACGAACATCAATCCCTGCATTCTGCATTTTGTCAGCATCGTCCCCAGCTCCTTGGCGAGGTTATTACCTTAATACCAGTGTTGGTGGCGTCCTTGACAGCAGCGAGAAGGTTGTCATAGACCGGGTCAAAGGACATTGTAAATGCGCTGTCCACAATCCACCCGTTTATGTGAACGCCAAAATCGACCTTCATCACGTCCTTTTGCTGCAAGACAATTTCCTTCTGGCCAGGGTTCGGCGTAAAGTGCGCCACGCAGTTGTTCAACGACAACCCCGTTGGGAACCCCAATCCCGACTTGAGGCCATCACCAGGGGCCAGACCAGCATTATCCAACAGCGCTCGCACTCCGTCATCGATGTCGACGGCGATCTCGGTGAGGGTTCGCCCTGGCTTGGCAAATTCCTGCGTGTGTTTCCGGACCTGGCGATGAATCTCAGCAGCCTTCCGATATTGATCTAGAAACGCGTCGTCCTCGAGATGGCGACGGTTCATATACCGAATCTCGTCGGCAGTAGTCCGCGAAGTGTTGTCGACCTTTGCGGCGTAACTCTGGAGCTCGCCGGCAGGAAAACCTCCTTGCGGGAAAAGCTGAGAGAGGGGGACTCTAGGTGGTGAAGACTGCTTTTTGGTAGATTTCTTCTTGTTTTTCTTCTTCGGCTTTCTCTTCTTCTTCTGAGCAGTGCCGTTCGTGGTTGCGGCTGTTAACGCGGTCGGGTCGGCTTCGTCATCGTCGCCTTCGTCGCTGTCTCCGATAGTGCCGTCCCCGTCTGTGGCCAGGTGCACGCCTTTCGGCATCCCGCCAGTTGACGTCTCGATGGGGCTGTTTGCGTTGCCTACCCATGTTAAGCTTGAATGGGAGAAAGATATTGACATAGTTGGCTTACCTTGGCCTCCATGGCCATCTGCTTCAGGAGATTTGGCGCCCATTGTGACATGGATCGAGCTGCTAACAGAATAATGGATTTCGTGAGGTGATTGTCATGAGATGCTGGAAAAGCGACGTTGTTGCCTGAAAATATCCCCGCTCAAGGCACGTGATGTAAGCGCGCTCTCGAGCTCAACCCTGACTGTTGTTAAAGATTCTCAAAAGGAAACAATAATACTTGACCCCTCCTGAGTCGGGCGAAAGTTCTTAATCAATTCGTTTTTTATACTTTCGCTCCTGATTCTACACGTTACTATTTACACGTTTCAATGCTGTTGATCTGAAGTTATACCTATAATGTCTATCTTTTGTTACTAATTCTCCTCAATCCTCCTTCATATCCATGCTGCCCAGGTACAATATGAGCTCTTTTCCCTAGCTTATTTTTCACTTCAGCTTCCTCGCCATGAATTCTGAAATCAACGCAAAGCCATGAAATCAATTTCTGAAACGTTTACAAGGCTGAGCCTCAACTCAAAATGCTCCTAGTGGGGCCGCAAAAGGGTTTGGGTTTGCATGAGAAAGCCAAGAACTTAGCGAGGGTCGAGCAATAACCATGTGCAAGACGTTGACCCCTGAATAAGATATCTCTGAGACCCTTGGTTTTGTGCAACGAGTTCAGAAGAAAACAAAGGACAATGGTCTTGTCATCATGTAGCCCAGCATATGTAAGCCCTGACGCAAAGGATCCTCGGTGCGTTTTGCTGCCATGTGTCCATAAACCCCACAACAACACTAGGTACAAGACAGTCACAGGGCCGGCGACGGGGCGGTGTCCACGGCTCGCTGTGAAACCCCGTTTCAGGGCGATTACTATTCCCAGTCACGGGCCATCCAATCATTCTTTCACCATGCCAGATCGCACTGGTTCCGCAGCCTGGAGCGAGGTGCTAGCGACACGGCCAAGTCACTGCTAAACTGCTTTAGCAAAAGATCGAGAATCCATCACAAGATGGTCGAACTTCCATCTGTGGCATCTCCTCTTCCTTTTTCTCGCCTCATCTCCTCGCTGTTCGAATCAAAGCTTGAGCGGTCATTGCCCCCGCTCAAGATGCCCAGATGACTCTTTTAAGCAGGAAGCAGAGGCTCTTCCTCATCTCTTTTACCGTTTTCTACGCCTTGCTCTTCATCGTCTATCGCTTCCGCTCCGCACGAGATCCGGGCTCCTATTTCTTTCGGCCAGAAGAAGGATATCGACCGAGCTACAGCATTCGGCGAATCGACGAGTCGCTGGAGTATCTCCGTCCCTATAATCAGTCCTTTAATGACCCTACACATCCTGCAAGAAACTTCACCTCTGCCTCCGACGATGCCACCATCTGCGTCGGAATCGTCACCGTAAAGCGCCCGCTGCAGCAGAACATTGACACCACTGTCGCTTCAATAATCGATAACCTCTCCGAGCAGGAGCGTTCCACCCTTTCTATTCACGTTCTTTTCGCCTTGACCTCCCCAGCCGAGCATCCCGATTATAACCAGCCCTGGCTCCCCAATGTTGTCGATCGTATCCTCACCTACGAGCAGCTCGACGCCCCTATCGCAACCATCCGCAGCCTCGAGGAAAAGAAGGATGTGAAACGGAAATCCATCATCGACTATCAACTGTCGCTCAAATCATGCTACGAAGATAGCAATGCGCCGTGGATTATGATGCTTGAGGATGACATTGTTGCACAACGTGGATGGTACAACCACACCCTGCAGAGCCTCGAGACAATAAAGTCTTGGCGGAGCAGTGGCTCCATCAAGAATTGGCTGTACGTCCGGCTCTTCTATACGGAGAAATTCCTCGGTTGGAATTCGGAGGACTGGCCCGTCTACGCGGCGTGTAGCATCGGAGTCATCACCATAGTCGCAGTCATGGGTTTCATAGGCCGGCGGAAAATGCGGCCCCTGCAGGCAGTTCTCACGAACTCGTTTATCGCGATCGTGTGCTTCGTCTGTGTACCCCTGCTCATCGTTTTATACTTCCTCGCTGGCCGAGTCACGATGTTGCCCATGAGACCGGGGATCCACTTGATGAACGGACATGGCTGCTGTTCGCAGGCGCTTGTTTTTCCGCGCGAGAATGTCCCTCTGCTGCTCGAGAAAATGCATCAAGCGCGATATGAGCATCCCTATGCAGTGGACAGTGTGATCGAGCGTTTGGCAGATGCCACTGGTCTAGACCGGTTGGTCATTGTTCCCTCGCAGATGCAGCATATCGGTGCTGCCTCGTACAAGGAAAATCGAGACCGGTACGATCTAAAGGGGCCGCACCAGGTGCAAGGCGCACATGGTGTCTGGAGCATGGGATTCGAGAAGGCGTTCGAAGGGTGATATCGCTCTCTGTTCTGTATATGTTCCACCAATATTTTGTGATGTATAGTAGCATTCTGGTATATATCTTATACATTCATATATTAAGAAATACAATTGCTGTTCTCGCGTCTGGAGCACAGGCAAGATTGGCTTACTATTCTTCGACGGTTGCAATGTGGCTTTTGCCGTGATGCTGTTGTCATCCCTACCTCCTTTTGCGTTTGTTTGAACCGAGGACTTTATAGACTAGGGACTCTAGTATTCCGCCGTTTACCATGTTTATTAGCCTTAACCGGCACGGACCACCGACGTCAGACACCTAGGGCATCGGTTCAGAATGCCCAAACGGGAGATGGAATCCAGCGGAAGCCTTGGAGGGGTTGGAGTCCAGCTGAGAATCACCATCAGATCGCCGAATGCCGAGCTGTCGCGACTCGCCAATTCGCGATAGAGGAATAGCTCGCGCCCAGCAAGTGCCCGGTCGAGGTCATCTGCCAGGTGCAGAATCATGAAATCAGCCGAGGGACCTGAAGATCAATCGCCCGGAACAATGGGACAAGTGGGCTAGATCGCGGGGTATCTGTTGAGATTCCGCGCCGCCGAAAGGGCAGTCATTGCAGGAAAGGGGGACCGGGGGAGGAAGTGAAGGATCTGTTGGACCAAACTCAGCAACGAGTTGAGCGCGATCGCACTATCAAGGACAAGAATCTTGGGAAAAGAGGCATTGCGTCGGGGGCTGATCGTGTTGGCTCTTACTCTTGTTGTCTTGGCCGACGAGGTCATTCAGTCGCTCAGAGTTTTTTTCTGTTCCCCAGGCCGGCTAAGTGGTTGCGTCTCGCCACTGCTCCTTTTTTCCCTCGCACGAGTCGCATCACATCATCGATCCAGTAGCGCCTCTTTTTTTTTTACCTACTTAGCTTCCCCTCATCCCATCCTTTGTTGACCTCCCATCTCCATATCACCTCAAAGATTTCGCCTCGTCGCATTGCGAAATATCGTGTTGCTCAGACATCAGATCTTCCCCGCGCTCTTGTTGCACACCCGCATACAGTAGTGCCATAGCTGCTTTTCCCGACCCGCATCACCTCCTCCCTCCTACCTTTCCTACCCCACAAATTCGCAATGGCACGCAACATTTCGCACGGCCGCGGCGGCGCTGGTAAGTCGAGTTTCATGAATGCATAATAGCCGAGTATAAACGAGAGAAGCACTTACTGACCTTTCCCTCCCGTGACAGGCAACATCTACTCCAGCGAAACCCGCACAACCCCGCAAGACCTCGTCACGCCGACCATCAAGCAAGAAGTCTACACAACCGGCCGTGGCGGATCAGGTAACATGGTGCACAACGACCCCGACCGTCCAGAGATCGCGCGCGAGAGCCAGGACGTCGAGGCCCCGCCTAGGCGCGTTCAGGAGGGGGCGCCGCACCATACCGGTCGTGGTATGTTCTTCTACCCCCGCTCTCTCTCATTCTCGTCTCTATTTGAGGCCAGCGCTTCTGAGGTTCAACCATCTGCTAACATGTGTGTCACTTCAGGCGGAGCCGCAAACCAATATATCCCCACAGCGGAAGAAGAGAGGAAGGCCCGTGAGGAAGAGGAGCAGTTGCGTCGGGTCATCACGTCGAAGTCGGTCCGTGAGCCGCGGGATATCGAGGAGGGGAACGCGAATGCGGAGCGGGGCAGGTCTTCGCCGTCGAGCTGATTCATTGATTGACTGATTGCTTGCTTGCTTCGTCGCTTCGTTTATCGGCCGGTTGGTTGGTTGGTTGGTTGATTCAATTGGGTTTGATCGTATACCATTCGTGTTCTTGTCGGGTTCATTTTGTTGCCCTGCTCCGGTCTTTTTCGTTTTGTTCTTTGGAACTTATAGTACCCATAATATGCCGCCCCTGGTTCTTCTCTTCTCTTCGTTCTTGAATTGAAATTGACAGCATCCGGGAGATGACGCCGTCCTGCTCACTGCAGTTGGAGGTTTGAGAGGGTAAAACGATATTATCAAAGATTGAAGTCTTGAAGGAAGATACTCCATCTTGAGTTTCATTCTGCATAGGTCCGGTCCCCGCAGTTCATAAGCCTCCTCTCGTCCTGCAGGTGGCGAGTCTAATCTATTTATCGAGCGCACAATTCATCTATCGTCGACAACACTAAGAAACGCCTCCAATGAGATGGCACAGCGTTATCAAAGAGCGCATACTTTCTTTTTGCAGCTTCCGGCGCCAACTCCGGCTAGTGTTTTCTTCGCCGCTACTTGATTCTACTTATTATTCGAGTACTTTCTTCAAGATTATGAATTATACATGCCAAAAGCGGCGGTGTGAGTTTCGTTTGAGGGTATCTTATGTCTTCTATGTACAATGTGACGGGTTCTGATGTTGTGAGGATAAGGCCCAGGCCAGTTTCTCGCTTCAGGTAGCGAGCAGGGTGGATGTGACGGTAATTTTTCCCGGTGAGTCTCCTCCCACCTGATCGCCTGCATGGCAGACGGGATCCTTGATGATGCCGTTGCTTCCACGATGCGCACCATGCTGAACTTTTCGCTGAGCTGGATAGCTGCAATTGTCCGTCTACGGACGCAATCGGATCGAGTCGCTAGGACATGTGATCGGTGACCGCACTTTTCGAAGCCACGCTTGGATTTCACAGAGATCCCCGAGTCCAAAAGATCCACTGATTCAGAGAACTCGGAGTTGGACGCCCTATTTAGGTTATCACGCACAGAAAGTATTGGTGAGGCAAAGGGTGTCCGGGGTTTCTTCACACCGGAGGAAGATAATAGCCCGTTGCGTCTAGAACCCAGGTGATTGACTTCCTCCAGTTGGAATCCAAGTGCTGGCCAATGTCTCGAATCAGCCTGAGGCCCCATTCGCCCATCCACCATTGCCGCCTTAGAAAGTGGATGATCACGGCGTAATGAGCGAGGATCACCAATGCAAATGGTTCGCGTTGTCGATATAGTTCCATGTATTTTTGCGGCACCTGGAAAATCCAGTGAAAGGCAACGATCATTGTTTCTCCGCCTCTTGCTACCTTGTCCAAGGCGGATCCCAAATGCTTGATTGTTGTGTCGTAGAGATCCTTGTCGTGGTCAGGATTCTGGTGCGCCAAATTCGCGTTCAATTGAGTAAGAGACATTATCGCTAACCGAGAGGTGTCGGGCATCTTGGGCGTGGCCTTGTCACATTGCAGCAACGGCTTGAGTTCCCCGTTTCCTACCCAACTGATGATGTTGGCGATTACGTCTTCTGACTCCCTTGTTGATATAAACACCTGGTACAGTTCATCCAAGGCGCTTTTGCCCGGCGTCTGGCCAACAATCTCCGGAAGGGCAAATGAAAAAATCATCATGATGTTGGACAGTGTGAATGCCGCGTCAGAATGGTATGGCTTCAGCTTCCTGGCCAATTTAGCCAGGCCAATCACAGCCTGATTCTGATGCATCTTCGAGGTCCTAACGTACTGCTCTTTTGCGGCATCATCGCTGTTGGCCGCTAAATGCAGTGCAGAAAGCGCCAGGATTCCATGCATAAGAAACGGATGGCGCATAGCTTCTCGAGGAACAACGGCCTGCCACACAGATTCGACGGTACTGTTGCGGGAGACAGAGCGATACGTCGTCGTACACCACTGCATCATCAGTTCAAGGTCCTCGATATTGAGATCCCTGGAAGGGAGGCGAGCCACAGTGGGTTCCGTAAGACTTTGATGTTGAGCCATGAACGCTGGATCGACAACAGACGGTGAGACTTTGGCCGGAGTGGGGACAGGTGTTGATGACCGAGACTTGATTTTTTGCCAGGCCAAGGTGGCGGCGGCAGGTGGTAGATATTCGCATATAAGATTTCGATTGTGACAAGAGGCGCACTGGGGTTGTTCTTTTCCACACTGCACCACGAACCACCAATTAGCACATGCGTCGCTCGAATCATTCTTTTTGGATCAAGGCAGGACGTGCTGCAGGTGGTGGATCCGAGGAATCATAAGATTCCAGACGGAAGCGAAGAGAAAGACAAAGATCTCAGAGTACGTACGCACTTGGGCGGCGCAGGGCAAGAGCATTGAGGGTTTGAGAGAAATAGACAGCGCTAAAATCCCAAGTGAGGGCACCACTGACCTTGATTCGCCGGCCTCTGCACTCTAAGCAGCCATGCCGAGAGCTGGCCTTGTAGCTCCGTCGGGATGGCATCCCTGGTGGTTCATCAATAAGCGCTGGCTGTCTGGTGACTCTAGCGACTGAGACAACAGTTGAGGGCTCAGGCAACACCAGTTCTGTTCAGGGTAGTGTTCGTAGCGTTTCGGCGATAGCATCTTCCGGGTCTATCCAACAACCATTGTGTTTCTCGCACGACGATGGTTTTTTTGGCGTTCAGAGCACGAATTGGCGCCCTGCGATGGACTGGTATTTAATCTATTAGACTTCTCTCCTCTGTCTCTCCACTCTCCCCGAAAGTGGACACTGACCTGCGCGACCAGCTGGGCTAACCGATTGATAGATCAGTGCTGCAGTGGGGCGGGCGCACATCACTGACTGTGTGCTTCGTCTCTCAATCCAGAAACAGTTGGTTCAGGAGGCCAACAGCAGCGCCGAACGTCATAACGAAATCAGTAAATGCTGCGCGTCGTCCCGACCTTCCAGACGACCGTGCTCAGGTGCTTAATTTGCTGTTGGACCACAGGGCTCGGCGCCGGAACTTGAAGGGTCAATACATTATGCAGTCTGTGGACAAAGCGCAGTGCGCTGCATTGGGATTGGTATTTGGCTTAAACTGTCCAGAGGAAGGATCCAAGGGCTGCCGACTTCCTCCGGACTAGGAAAATGGTTGGCAAGGCATCCCCTGACGAGTCCCTCTCTGCTCGTCACAGCTCACGACTCGCATCTCTTCTCCTGCTCCAGCACAGTGCCGCAAGTTCAAGACACTTGGAACAGAACTCACAAAATCCACCATCCAATGGACAATGAGTTTGAGCGACATCCCCACATTTTGATTTTCTGGCTCTCTGAGGCGATCAACACCCCTGACGGAGCTTCGTGGAGGCAGATCTGCTGGCGCGCGGAAAAAAAAATGAGCAAAAATACAAAATCCGAAGAAAGAAAAGAGCCGATATCATTGCCAAGCAGGGATCCATGATTTCTCCTCGTCATGCCATCTTGGGACAAACTCATGCCGGGGGCTCCATCTGGCCCCGTCTGCTTGCGTTTGGCTGCCGGGGCAAACCTAAAAACCCAAAAGTGCTGCGGGCGAGCTTTGCCTATCGTGGCTTAGTGGCCAGCCCTCCTTTTACTGCTTCGGGGAAAAAGGATTCTCTGTACGCCGTACGCTCCTTGATTGGCTTGCTCTCTGATCAATCAACAGGGGCAGAAGACTGAACGCTCTGCCGGAAGCCTGGAACGCGGATGGATCATGGCCGAGTATCAAATATCAACCTTGAAAGACACGGAGTACTCCGATACCGTACGGAGTAAAGGTCAAGAATGGTGGGCTGAAAATCTTCTTTCAGCCTTCCAGACGTTGCCCCACACTCACCGTTTGATCCACGTCCTCTTCCGTTGCACACTCGGCGGCTAACATCGCTCTTTTCACAGTGTCGCAGTATCGCAGTATCGTAGTATCTCGGCTCATCTTCAGATGTTTTGTTTGACGGCCTCTGACACTATTGGCCAATTATCAACTTACTATCTCCAGCATCAGGCTCAAGCTTGCGTCACTAGCACAGGTCGGAAATGCAGAAGCGCAGAATGTCTGCCTCCACTGCCGCTGATCGCACAAACATTTTCCATATAGCTTGATCTTCGCTGTCAGACTACATGATTCTCATGACTATTCCGCCCAGCCCGAATCAACTTATCCATTTAGTCGAGGCCACCTCCCCGACTTAAGTCATTTGGATTTGCAGCAGTCGTGTGCCGTTTATGCTAGGAAGGGCATCGTGGGGCGTCCTAAGGAGGGAAATGTAGCCGCCGTGGTCCGACCCACGATGTACATGCAGGGGCTCAAGTGCCCTTCATTCGTTGGCAGAATTTCTCCGATGGTTCTCGTGCCCACTGACGCCTTTTTTCCTGGGCCCTATCAGATTCCTGCCATAATGCTATACTCGTCCAAGCTTCCAATGGCATTGATGCTGCAGCCAACATGAACAAGGGCTCGTCCGCCACATAATCCTGAACACACAACCAGCCTTTGTTTTTATCACGCGCGATGTAGTTCCAATGCTATGGTATTGGTATGCGCAGTCTACCTCGCTTAAAGCCGGATCCCACCTCAGCAGGACAACACATCCCACACGTCAGGCATCTGAGACAAGACACGAGACATGTGATTCTCCATCAACCAACCAATCCCTCATTTCTGGAATTGTGGTTAAAGATCAAACTACGTTGGATCCTACAACCATTATCCTGTTTAGGAATATCAGGCCTCGATCCATTCTCTTCAGGCCACCTATCTCGTCCTCTCAACAGCCCGCGAACCGTCCATGTTCCAATACTGCTCACGACATACTGAATTCCAGATGCAGCAGGACGAAAGAGAAAATATCGCAAGAAAAGAAAAAAAGCAAACATAGCCTCGTCCTACCCCATAGTACGTTTTCTCCAGTTCTGGACGATGAAAAAAAAACTAATCTGCGGCGCCAACTCCGCTATCCGTCCGATAGTCCAACGATCTAATGCTTATGCTTATTTGGAGCCGATGCTTACCATTACCAATATTAGGGCTATACATCGGAGATCGGTTAATCATTGATGTTGTATCATTGTGCCAAACAGCCGATCTGTTGATTCCGGTACTCAAGAGTTGGTCCATATCGTGCTGCTCCATTTGGAGACACCTCGGCCAGCAGTTCGTGGCCACCGAGAACGATCGACGAGTCAATATTGTCGATCTGTTGTCAAATATTGTTCCATAAGCGTCGATGGCAGAAGCGTCTATCCCAACTCGAAGAGCTGGCGATTTGCAACCGATGCTATGTAAGGCCCAATGATGCCTTGCAGGTTCACAATCGGAGCAATGGACAACACATCTGGCCTGTGATTTTGCTTGTATGTGTGTGTGATTATGTCCGCGTCCAGATTTGCTTTTACTACCTACATGCACACAGTCCTGGACCAGTTCAAAAGCCAAGCCCCGCCACTGAAATAAACGTATCAATGATCGACAGTGCAGAGGTCTACGTTGGACAATCTCTCAAGTCCACAAACGAGAGATTCCACTTCTCCCAGCATTGACTCATTGAAGCCTGAGGAATGGCAGTCTGACACTACTTGACACGATCGACGGTAATAGTCTCCGCAATGGATGATTCCCTCAAGCATGATTTGAAGCACGAAGCAAAGCCCACAGTCCCCATAGAGTAAACGGTGGACTAGGCTACTAGATCCAAATGAGGAGCACGTCAAACCCTGAACAATCTTGACTCTGAGCGATCTCCCACATCGGGTGGGAGAAACACCAAAAGGGGAAATGGCGTCCACTAGTGCAGATCATTGGGGCCACGAACGGAGATTGCGAACTCTTTAGGGAACTGCGGTTCCTGTCATGTCAATCGAATTCGGGATGATCGGCGGGGTTCGAGACTCGATTGTTTTCGTCTTCTGTGGTCGCAGGATTTTCCTGGACTCTCGGGATAAGGTTGCCGTCCACGATCTTTCCCCCTGGGGACGCTGAGAGCGACGTCGGTCGCGGACTGCTATATTAGGAAGCACACCATTCTCGCGCGATTTTTGCATTACTGCACGAGACTACTCCTGTGCTCCCGTGGTACTGTGATCTTTTGGTGTTCCTCCTGCTGCTTCTCCTTTTGCTTCTTCAACAGAGGATCGCCGTTACTCGCGGCTCGTGCCGTGATAGTTTTCCCTCATTCGGGGCCTGCATTGCCGTTTCAAGGGAATGTGTACGTTGCCGTGGCCTTCATTCTTTGAAGCATCCTGATCACTACGTGGCTGCTCGGTCCAGTACTTGCGATATTTTGGGGTTCGGAGAGCTAGCAGTTGCCTACCTCCAACTGTTCCGGTCCGCGCGATGCTTCTACTTCTTCTTGAGGGTCTCTCGCTTTCGGGCAGGGGAAGGTCGGCTCATATCATCGGCATTTCGTTCTCAAAGCTCCCCTTTTCGTATACCAGTACACTTCTTTTGTGCTTGCAGAGCATCACAAGAGCAGGGTTGCCTTCTCTACAGTGTCTCTTCGTCCCCAGACCTGTAGGCACAATGGCATTTTCCTTTCCTTGATCAAGGGAGACTATAAGAAGTCGCCTTTATGTATAATCTGGACGCTTATCGGAATACGGCACATACTTACCAGCGGCATTATTATGAGTCGTTGGGACATCTACATATACTGCCAACCTGGTCTTCTCCCGTCATATGCTCTATTTACTACTTATCTTTCTATATCTAGGTAACTATACTCAATTTGCCGCCGCAATGTTGTCTACCGTATTCCGCCTACTTGTACCGACATCCAGCAACCAAGATTGCCATGGGTAGCGGTCGTGATAGCAAAGCAGACAATTCCCAACAACGTCCGTCCCATCCCACACTCAACCCTCCTACTTCAGACCACCAACCGCGACCTCTCCGTGAAGTGGCTAATCTCCGGATCCGACACATTCTGCCCCGCATGCGCAAACTCTTCCAAACACCGCCGATAGATCTTTCCAATGTGCTAGGATCGCCTTACGCCTCACCGCAAACGTCCCGCCCCCCAATGCAACGCCGTCGCAACATCCGGGTGTCCCTCCCGAAACAAATGCTTCCAGAATACACGCATCGAATACGGTGAATATGTTAGCGTTGCAAGTTGAGAGGGTGTCATCCATTATTGCCCGCGCGGGGTTTATCCAGTCGATCGTCTCCCAGTCTGAGAGGGTATGGACAAGATCCGCATTGAAGATCACCACATGGCTATAAACTAGATCTGGCGGTGGGGGTGTCTGCTCGACCAGCTCCTGTGTGATTGTCCTTTCCGGGGCATTGAGGTCGAACGGACCCGCTTGGTGAAGATCATCATTGGTTGGAGGTCGGCGTAGTGTGCGTGAATGTGGTGGCAGTAGGTCTGGCCCTCACGGATAATGTTGGGGAGGAGCTCGTAGGTGCGGAAGGAGGACTGTTGGCTCGTATCAATGGCTTGGGGCGTGTCGTATCTGGCGTAAAGGTAGGTGCTTGCAGTTAGGTTGATCCATTGGCCGTGGGATTCTCGGTAGTGAGCAAGGACGATGCTCAGACGGTCAGGCGGTGGGATCCAGGATGCGAGATGGGGGAGTGACATGATGGTGGGCGCAGGCTGGAGGCGTAGGTGAAAGGTGGTTATGTTAGGGCAAGGAGAGTTGCACACGAGAACGCCTGCAATGGTGCAAAATACACCTAGAGTCACCGGGCGCTAGCTGATGGGTAGTGAGGTTAGCTGTCAACAAGGATGGGTAGAGGGAGAGCAAGTGCTTCAGATATATCTTGCTGTCACGTCAAGATTACCCTGTATTCCCAGGGTTTTTCCCGGAGGCTCCCATTACTTAGTCTCTGTCGGGGATATCAGCCTGACTTGGCAGTGATTGCTTGATATAAGCTCTGGTTGGTCTCAACAGGGGTGTTTCGTGTGTAGGGCTGAGTTTGTTTGACTTGGAATGAACTTGGGCCGTCGAGTGGCCTATAACGATAGCCGGTTTACGAGCACTCCACTATATATCTCTGACTCTCAAATGTTCCGAGGCGCTGCAACGATATTCCCAATCAGTAAATTCACGAAGCTCAAGATGCCCGCAGAATCTGAAAAACGGTAGGCACCAAAAGTGTCGCCCGGAGCGGATTTTCTGGCACAGTGGCCCAGTCCAAATCGCACCTCCGGAGAGGCGTCTCGAGCTCAAGTCTGTACTGGCGCATGTATCCGCAGCATGATCCCTCGTCCAATGATGTCAATCGACCGCATATGTCGTTTGAGAAACCCATTTCTGCTCCAAAGGTCCCGTATTGCCAGCAGGCATATACACAATTACCAGGTCCCCAGTTTTCAAGATCGTTCGAAAAAGGACCGTGGCATTGAGAGATGTGAGAGATGTATATCACGTGATGCAATTCCTCAAAGCTTCCGCCCCGTTTCCGCTCTACCTGGTGACGTCAGATACACTATCGCGCGAACAGAAATCAGGACTATGTAGTCGTCGAGAACAGAGCAGAGTCTTCTTCACTGAGAGTCTGATAGACCCTCGAGCGACGTGAGCTGTGTGTTTGCGGAAATTTATCCATCACATTCAAGAGCCTTTGGCTGAACAGACCATTCCCTTTGCGGTAGGGGCGATCCTTCGCGACTGCAACGCCAGCGCCTGAGCGCACTGTGTCCCGCGGGGTGTCTTCCGTTCTCGGCTGGAGTCTGATCCCGACAGTCTGGGTCGCGAGGTTCCTGCGCCGGAAGAGCCAGAGGACTGGATGCAGAATTTGGAATCTCAAAATAGGGGCTTTCTGGGCGTCTTTCTGATCAAGCATTCAAAGGAGATAATTCATCGAGTGAGCAGTATCATAATCTTGAGAGATAGCGCTTTATCGATAATGCGATCGAAACTATGAATATGGCGGCCGGAGATAATTCGGATGGCTGGAATTGAAGACACCACAGCACAACGAAAACAAAGGCTGCAGAAGAAGAATGGAATTGAAGAGCTTGCAGAGTCGTAGAGGACCCTCAATCGTAAAGACTTTTCGCCGAAGTCGACAAAGTAGAGGGGCCAGAGACTTGATGTTCAGTAGATGAGCTCATCCGTCCCCCGCCCGTGACTTTAGTCGCCTGCTCTTCTCCTCTCCCCGACAACTCTTTCAACACCACCCATCCTCGCCGATTTCGCCTTCTTCTCTCACCAGCTCTCTCCCTCAACTTTACCGCCGTGCAAGTCGCGAAACTGTTCGTCAACGCGCAGTTCCCGCCTGAATCTGCATGTGGCCTCCTCGTGTTACCCCGAATTTCACCTGGTCTGGACGTTGTGAACCTTTGGTCCTGGACCCGTGGATTGAGGGAATCTCCCGCACTTGACAGCTCCCGCGGCTCACTTTGGAGGACGATCCCCGGTAGCTCTTTAGAGCTAGAATTGCACTTGATATCGGCAATTTGCGATGTAAGAATGCTCAACCCGCGGAAGATTGTAGTTGTCGCGGTGTCTAATCTTCAATTCATTAGATCTTCGTCGCGATAAGTACCTCGCTGCGGCACGTCACCCCCCTCACTCGCCACCTTTATCACCTCAAAAATTTTTCGCTCCCGAATCGCAGGAATCTGCAAATCCAGACAAGCTGTCAACGACCGAACAACTCGTCAAGTGAGCCCGCGCTATTCCTTATTTTCGAGCGGTCCGCGAGCATTCAACTCGACCTCTTGCGAAAAAATTGAGAAACGGCACGTACCTATACTCGAACAACGGTCGAACTTTGGAGATTAAACTCTTGGCGCCTCACTACGTACCAGCGAACATATTCCACGGCTAAACAGCAGTATCGTCAAATCAAGCTCATCTCAACCGCTTATAGCTATGTACGCCGTCGATGATCGATCGCACGCAGCTCATCCTCCCCAACCACCACCGCTTTCCATGGACCGAATTCACCCCTCGCCTAACGTGTATCCTGGTTCCGCAGGACCAGTACCTGGCAGTATGGTTTCCCCGACTAACCATGCGGAACCCGTCTCGACCATTCATGACAACCGCATCTGGTCGTTGCAAGTTGTGCAGCAACCTATTCGTGCCCGGATGTGTGGATTCGGCGACAAGGTTAGTGGCATGCTCTCCAAATAGTCGTCGATGTTCAAAGCTGATATTCTTCAGGATCGACGGCCGATCACACCTCCCCCGTGCATCCGCTTGATTGTTCGAGATGCACAAACCGAAAAAGAGATTGACATCAAGTATTTTCTCCTCTTCTTCCACTGGGCAAGTATCACGTTGCTAATCGCATGTTAGTGAAATGGACATCACCTACTACGTTATCATGGCAGACCTGTGGAGTCAAGACGGTTCTCACGAAGTAAATCTAGTGAAGCACTCTGCCACATCCCCTTCCATCTCCACGGCAATGTCTTCTTCATACCCGCCGCCTCCGCATCCTACTTCTCCCGAGTATCCATCATCATATCCACAGAATGCGTATAACCAAGCCACTGGCTACCCGGTGAACAGCAGCTACTACGGCGGCAACCCTCAAATGCCATACTCTTACCCCAACCCGCAAGCGCAATACTACCAACCGCAGTACTATGCAAGCGGTGGCATGGCTCAACCAGTAAATGTGGCCGGCGCTCAACCTGTCGCCTCAGGCCCTGGCGGCATGTTCACACGTAACCTCATTGGTTGTCTGAGCGCCAGTGCTTTCCGCCTATGTGATCCGGATAACAAGATTGGCGTGTGGTTCATTCTGCAGGACCTCAGTGTGCGCACGGAAGGCATCTTCCGGTGAGATTTGACTGCCACCATTTGAGTAATATGTCACTAACCTAGATTAGCCTGAAATTCAGCTTTGCCAACGTGGGCAGGGCTATTAACGACATGAATGATCCCCACAAGGTCATGGAGGTGATCAACAAGGGTGCAGCACCAATACTTGCTACCGTCTTTTCAGAGCCATTCCAGGTGTTCTCTGCAAAGAAATTCCCAGGCGTCATCGAAAGCACAGCACTGAGCAAATGCTTTGCACTGCAAGGAATCAAGATTCCGATCCGGAAGGACGGTGTCCGAGGTCAAGGGTCCCGCGGGCGCCACAGCGAGGACGAAGAAGAGGGAGGCGGAGAATTCTAAAGGATGAATCCCCTGGGTTGGTTATGGTTCAAAAGACGGAACCTTTCCGTTGATTCTGTACGGTTATCTATGCGAGGGTACGGCGTTCGGTTCTGGTGTTATCAGGTTCTCTCTTGACGCAGGTGCGTAGGCTGCTTTCGTTTCAGGTGTTCTTGGTCATTATCGGTAGGGCTGTCTCATTACTCGAGTTCGGATTGGTTTGTTCAGGGCTCGTTGAAGTTACGGAGCAAAAAAGTTGGCCAGAAGATCAATCGAAAGAATTGACCAAGTGGGTACTCCCCAAATAGGTGAAGAAAAACACCCGTTGCAGCTGTCAACTGCATGCGTACTCTAGAGTAGACTGAGATACAGTTTGCCACAGCTTCTGTGTCGGCCAGACGAGATCGGTTGTAGAGTAAGGTGTTCTTTGGGCTACAATTTAGGTTCCTCAGGTGCTTTGCTTATTATGCTTGGCGTACTTGGTCCTGAAATGTGGCGGTGATGGCGGTGATATGGGGGAGGGAAACCTCGGTTCTGCAGACACTGCTTCAACTTTGGTTGACCAACGAGAAGGGCACCTGGCGGCTTTGATTAGGATCGTTCGCGCTGCTACTATTCTTACCCGGCTTATTTCCTGCTTTCCCACGGCTCACAGTGCACTAATTCTTGGAGGAATCCACGGGGAGCCCACCGGAATTACCTGGGGGAGTCAACAATGTCTCACTAACTCTGAGACATTTGCCTTCTCCTGTCCGAGATCGACGTCATGTCTCGCTTCGTCAACCTCTCATCGTTACCGCGGCCGCATCGCACTCCTTTTCACTGCGTTAACCATACATCATGGTGGATTAGCAGCGTCGCATTTAGTCCAGGATAGCTCTCATGCGGTACTCAAGAGTCTCAGACAGTGATTCCTGAGCCATGCCTAAGCGGAGGCAACATGCCGATCGTTTGTTTGACGTTGGCATGATCAAGTATAAAAATCCTCCATACTCCCCAGGTAACCATGGTTATCCTCATCAGATCAACCTTCTCTATCTTTCAATCCTCAATCCTCAATCCTCAATCCTCAATTAATCAATCAACACACCAACCATGAAGCTCGAACTCATCTCTTCTCTCCTCCCTCTCATGGTGGCCGCCGCTCCAGCAACAGCGCCAGCTGCTGAACATCCAGCGGCCTTCACCGTGATGGCCTCTCGCTCCGCTTCCCCCATCCACTTCCTCCCTATGAACGCCGCAGGCCAGTCATTCTGGCTCGGTGGGTCTCCAGCAACATACTGCCCGCTCCCTTCCGGATGCTCTCCAGGCGACCTGACCGTCCTCGCCGGCAACGGCGGGTCCCTTGTATGTCCCTCCATATCCATGTCTCTCCTCCTCAACCACCACAACCACCCACTAACAAACATCCGCAGAGCGTCACCGTCCCTGGCGGCCAACAGATCTATGTCTCCCCCGAGGGCGCCCTCAAGTTCACCCAAGCCCACTCCGCGAGCATCCCCGCCGGCTCTTCCCGCGGCCCATTCGAGTACGTCCCTGGTGCGGCCAACCAGCCCTTCGGCCACTACGTGTACTCCGGCTGGGGCGCGTCGGGCTTCATGGCTTGCCCTACGGAGGATAGCAAGTGGCAGGTCTTTGCCGCGCTGCAGAACGCCACTGTGCCCAGTGGGAATGTCCAGGATTGCTTGGGCTTCTCGGCTATTGCGACGCCGACCAACGAGACCGGCAACGCGTGGCAGTACACCTAAGGTTTGTGCGATGGGTTAGATGAAATGGGTACATGGTTGCTCTTGAAAAGCTGCTGGTTGGTTTAGGGGATGTTGTTGCATGTATATAACTGTTTGTCCAAGCGAATACATACGGCATTTTCACAAAGTTTTCTTGATGGAGTAACGTCTAGCTCTTGTTCGACGTAGAGAAGACCAAAGAAAGACGTCTACCGCGCAGTGTATTCGAAAGAGACCTGATTCAAGAAGTCGTAATGCAGACATCATATATATTTCGTACCTAATTTCTCCATATACGGACAGCCTTATCCTTTCCACCACTGCCGACCTTCTGTCCATCGGGACTCCAGTCCACAGCAAATACCTCATCCTTGTGCCCGGGAAGATCCATAGAAAGCTTCCCTGTCCGGACATTCCACACCTTCAGTGTTGTGTCCTTTGAGGAGGAAACCAGCAGACGTGAATCAGCCGAGAAACAGCATTGGTAGACTGCGCCGACGTGTCCCCGCAGAGTTGTAATGAATCTATACAGACTTGTTATTAGCAACTTCGTACAAAGCGGGTTAAGGAATTATAAGAGATGTGACTTACTTTCCATCACGGCCGTTCCACAGCTTGACGTGGTTGTCGAAACCAGCCGAGGCGATGTACGCCATGTCTGGCGAGAATGTCACATGGTTGACCTCCTTTTGATGGCCCAGGAGCCGTGCGACGGGTTTGTTGGAACTCTCTGGGTCCCAAAGGTACATTGTGAAATCGTCACTGGCGGAGACGAGTTTCTCGACAATTTTGTTGTTTATCGTGGCCGCTTGCTCGAAGCGTTTCTTGGCCGCGGCAACTTTCTCAGAATCGGATTCCGGGATCTTCCCTGTATGGTCGTGGTAAGCTGTTCTGAGGACGAAATCGGTGGAGAGTGCAAGGTGGTTGACGCGGTGCGCATGAGCGGACAATGTCTGGATGAGAGTGCCGGTTTGCGAGTTCCATACTTTGATCGACCGGTCGTGAGAGGATGTGTAGATCTTTCCTGTCCCGCCCCATCGCACACAATTCACTGACCCCTTATGACCGGATAGGACGATATCGGCTCGTTTTGAAATGACGTCCCATATGCGCACTGTCGAATCTTTTGACGCGGAGGCCAAACGAGGGTGCCCCGACTGCTGTAGATGGTACGGTTCCCAAGCCAGACTGGTGATCCATTTGGAGTGTCCCTTCAATGGAGCGCCTAGCGCTTGCCCCTTCTTTGCGTCCCATATCCGTACAGTGTTGTCCATGCTTCCTGTCGCGATCATCAATCCGTTTGGGGAGTAGCTGACGGCCAATACCCAGCTCGTGTGTCCCTTCAGAGTGTGCAGCGGTGTTCCCGTGTCACAGTCCCATATCCGAGCTGTTGAGTCACCGCTGCCGGTGACCATTGTGGAGGAATTGATAGGTGAGAACGAAGTTGCGAGGATGGCCTCTCCGTGTCCGGCGATCGAGGCAGAGCATCGTGAAACGGCCTTGACGCGGAAGACAGCTTGCGGTGTGAAGTAGAGGTGAACTGTATCTTCGGTGGTCTTCAATCCCGGCTTCAAGAGAGAGTGGTAAAGGTCCGCTAAAATATCGATCGCCTGGCTGTCCTTGTCCTTGTTGTCGGACTGGTAGGTAAACCGGTATGGTACCCGCTCATCATCGTCCTAATTCACACATAAAATGAGCATTGGCTGACAGATTCGAGCAACCAGCGCGCATACCTACATTGCCTTGTAATGTGTTGAGAAGTGTCTCGAGGTTTTTCACGGTAGCATCGCCCACTGGGACGGACACAGCGGGACCTGTTGCTGAGCCGGTCGCTTGGTCGAAGAACTGCACTCGAATGCTCCCTAAGTCGCTAGGAATGCTCTCAATTTCCTGCTGGAGACGCGCCTTCTCGGCGATCTCCGTCTTTTGACGTTTACTCGGGGGAGGAGGAAGGGTAGCCATTTTGCGCTCGTTGAAGAAAATGTGAAATCTCCGCCATAAAAAAAGTTCGACCCGCCGATGCCTTATCGCGGAGGGCGCTAAGCCCGTTTCGGAAGCATGTATAGAAGAAGCTCCCTCATCACCTCGTCTTTCGTCCTCTTTAAGTATTCTCAGTGGATATGGTCCGCGCATCATTAGCATCCAACTAACTATTCTCTCTGCTTTGAGATGTCTCGTCTATCTTCTAGAGCGTCTTCCATCGCACCCTCCCGCTCTTTCACCCCTTTGTCAAGGCAAAGCAGTACCCGGAACAGGACTGGTATGCCGACTACAACCGCTACGAGCGTAGCGTCCCAGGACATTGTCTGCGCCATCAGTGAGTCACGGGGAGTCTCATCGACTGTCGGGCTTGCCTTTGTGAATCTATCAACCGCAGAAGTTGTCTTATGCCAAATATGCGATAGCCAATCCTACGCCAAAACGCTTACCAAGATCAGCGTCTTCGAGCCCACGGAAATCCTGTTCATGAGTACAGCCAAAGACTCAAAACTTCACCAGTTTATTCAGGCAAATTTTACGGGTACTTTGCTTACCTTTCTCGACCGCAGATACTGGGCTGAGAAAACTGGACACGATTATGTGGAGCGGTTAGCGTTTGTTGAAGACGCCGATTCGATCAAGATTACGCTAGGAGGAAACTACTATGCCGCGTGCTGTTTTGCTGCGGTAAGTAGGGGTAATGCTGGAAACAAAGACACGCTGACATGGCTTAGGTGCTCAAGTATGTAGAGCTTGAGCTTAGTCGGATATTCACATCGCATTCTCTTCGGATCCGGTTCGAGCCCTCACAGGGGTCAATGTCAATTGACCTGTCGACAATAGTCTCATTGGAGCTGATTCAGAACCTTAACGACACCAAGTCGAAGGATAGTCTTTTTGGGCTTTTGAATGAAACCCTAACACCAATGGGGCCGAGGCTTCTTAGGGCAAATATACTTCAGCCGTCAACGGAGGAATCGATCCTTGTTGGACGATATGAAGCGGTGGAGGACTTGTCGACAAAGGAAGAGATGTTTGTCTCTGTCCGGCAAGGTGAGTCTATGCAATCTTACTTGTGGAGGAAACCTATTAAAGCAGTTGATACGCAGCTCTGAAGGGGTTCGTCGATGCAGACAAGGTCTTATCAGCAGTAAGACCATATCGCGCCCTGGTGCTCGCAGCTAACGATCAAGCTCATCCTTGTCCCTACAAAACGAACCTTCCAATATGTAGAGCAGTGCGTCAACCATGTTATAATGCTCAAGACGTATGTATCTGCCGTTGACTGGGTATATAGAGCACTTGCAACTGCTCAAAGTAGCCTTCTGTTAGCAATCAGAGAGGTATGCCTTGTCCGCCTATACAGCTATGAGGCCTCTTACTCTTGATAGATCTGTGCTCCGGCTGGTCACAGTACAGTTGCGCAGTTGATAGAAGCAAGCTTGAACGACGATATAACATACCAAACCAAGCCTCTTGACCTTCGCAATCAAAGGATATATTGTATCAAGGTGACACTATTCCCGCTATCTTCATGATTCCGCTAACCACATTTTGTCCCATTGGCAGGCCGGTGTCAATAGCCTGCTCGACGTCGCTAGGCAGACTTACAAGGAGGCCAACTCAGATGCTGCCGAGCTTGTTGCACAGCTATCAGGTACCACATGGTTCGCTTTGAATACTTCTGGCATCTGACATGTCTCGCAGAGACTCATGACCTAGGGCTAGACCTAAAGTATGACCCTGCACGCCAATACTATATCAGCCTCCCAGCTACAGAGATGCGAGCAGCCCCCGACATATTTATAAACGTTTATCGCAAAAAGAACCGTATAGAGTGTCAGACCCTTGACCTCGTCAAACTCAACCAGAAGATCGCCGACGCTCATGCCGAAGTCATCACCCTAAGCGACAAAGCAATTCTAGACCTCATCGAAAGTGTACTCCCCCAAGTATCCGTGTTGTTCAAAATCAGTGAGGCCACCGCTATGCTCGACATGCTCACTGCCTTTGCCCAACTTGCCACAATGAACGAATACATTCGCCCAGAGCTCAAGATCGATGTTCTGGCCATCAAATCCGGACGACACCCCATCCGCGAGAAAATCCACAACAAGAAATTCGTTCCCAACGACGCCTACGCAACACACCAGACCCGCTTTCAAATAATAACCGGCTGCAATATGAGCGGGAAATCAACATACATCCGCTCCCTCGCCCTCGTGTCCATCATGGCCCAAATTGGCTCCTTTGTTCCTGCAGAGTACGCCTCCTTCCCCATATTCCACCAACTATTCGCCCGCGTCTCTACAGCCGACGACATGGAAGCAAACGTCTCAACCTTCGCCGCTGAGATGCGCGAAATGGCTTTCATCCTTCATAACCTCGAACCTCGGGGTTTAGTTATCATCGACGAACTCGGCCGCGGCACAAGCACAACAGACGGCCTTGCCATAGCTCTCGCCATCGCCGAAGCCCTAGTCCAAAGCAACGCTCTCGTATGGTTCGTCACCCACTTTCAAGATCTAGCCGTGATTATGGCCGAGCGGCCGGGCGTTGCATCGCTACACCTCGCAGCAGATATCGCACCCGATGCTTCGAAAATGACAATGCACTACAAGATTACCGAGGGACCCAACCAGACCCAGTTCTACGGTCTCGCGCTGGCGAATCTAGTCGAGTTCCCGCCGAACGTTCTTGACAAGGCGCAGACAGTTTCCGAGGGTCTAGGCCGCATCTCGCTTCGTCGGCATGGTGATCAAACGAAAGCAAGGGCGATTGCTCGCAAGCGGAAACTGCTCTTGTCGCTGAGAGAACAGCTTATCCAAGCGAGGGATGGGAATATGCAGGGAGAAGCTCTGAGAGGGTGGTTGGAGCGGTTGCAGGATGAGTTTGCGCTGCAGATGGCAGCTGCTAATGAGGATATTGCTGGGTTGGATGGGGGTTCGGGTACTGCAAGTGAAGAGGAAACTGGGGAGGCTGCCAATTATGCTGAGCCTATCCATGGTGATTGGGCTACCGAGGCGGATGGGAGTGATACTCATGAGTATGTCGATGAGGACGAGCCTATGGATAGTGAAGAGGTGAACGAGCACAACTCCAAAACGCACCTCCTCCATGAGACGGAGTCGGACTCAGAAATCACAGGGCCGCCTACAGCCTTCTTATCGACTACAGAGTGGCCCACGACTGAGTTTTCTTTCAGAGGGAGTCTCGCGGACCCAAATTTGGTCATTCGTAGCCATTCGAACGCCGGTGGTGTCGACGACGACTTAGAGACGGAATAGCTGGCTTCGCAAGGACAATGCGGCGTATAAATGGTATGTTTGACTTAACTCGGATGCTTTTCTTCTATTTATTTACTGTCAACACACCACTTCTACTAATAACACCTCGCTTAACAACATTCAGCTATAATATGGAAAATAAAGTTTTGACAGACAATCAGCCGAAATGGAAGAGTGTTTGTTTGCCCTTCTTTCCTTTTCCTTTCTTCCCCGTGCCAGCAGAGAGATCCGGAAAATCTTCCGCAGAAGATCCAGGACCTGGGTCTGCCGACGAAGCCCAGGCATTGGCTGGTTGTGGCCGACGGTCGTCCCAGCGGACGGTACCGCGTGTAAGTCCCGCCATGAGGACATTTGGTTTAGGTGCGGCCGGTAAGGACGGGAACGCTTCGGAGTCTCGGGTGTTGACCGAACCTGAAGGCCTAGATGAAGCATTCGAACGAGATGATGGATTGGCGTAGGACCGCGATGTGGGAGGAGGTGCTGCAATTGTAGTGCCGCCCCAAGCAGCGGCAGTAGCGGTAGCTCGAGGTGTAGGGCGTGATGAGGACGAGAGGGGAGGGAAAGGGTTGCTTGCAGAGGACGCTGAGCCACTTCGGCCAGCAGCGGCACGAGAGGACTGAGCTGTTGAGGACTTCAATCGAAGAACGCGCCGAGCACCGGTGCCACTGGTGTTGACTGTGCCAGGAGCCATGCCTGGAATTACACCGCCAGGACCTGGAAGAGCTGGGTAATCCTCGTTGATTGCGCGCCAATCATTCCAGGCTTTCAGCAACGAGCTTTTCTTCGCGTCTTCCTCGTAGATCTCTGCGAGCTCCTTGATGAGCTTGCCAAGTTCGGAACTGGATGTGTCGAAGAGAGAGAAGAAAGCATCAATGAGTTCGGTGGCGGATATTTGAGAGGTGCGGTAACTTGACACTCGTGAGCGAAATTCGCTAAGCTTTGTTTGATCGTTTCCGAGGAGGTTTGATGCTCGCTCAATAACGGCAGTGTGTCGAAGGCGGCGGGCTCGGTCTTCAGGAGTAGCAGAGGTGATGTTCAGATCTTCCATCTCGTTCACCGGTGTAGCGGGGGCAGGTGGTGTTCGAGTAGGAGTAGGCCCGGCAGACCGTGGAGGAGCACGCACAGCCTGTGTTTCGTCGCGAGAGAGCTGGCCACCGAAACTTCGCGTCGAGACTGACTGGGCACTTTGAATAGCCATCTGTCGCTGATATGCAACCTCGGCTCGCGTCAGCGGTTGCACAGTTGATAACGGAGCCGTGTCTGCGTTCGGGTCACGTCCACGGCCAGCACCACGGCGCTGTCGCGGAGGTTGATATGGTGTTCTGTAGTCAAAAGCGGTCATGTCCACGCGCGCATCACGTCCCGAAAGTCCATTGGGATGAGACTCAAGCTGATGAGCCTTCAAATCCATCTGTGACTCGAAGACTACAAACTTCTTCTCCAAGCACTCCTTGTCCAGACAAAGAAAGTGGTCCTTTCCGAAATGATGTTCTAGTGCATTGTAGTCAATATAGTATTGCTGTTGTCGGTTTGTGGATCGACGATCGCAAATGTGACACCTTTCGTGGCGGTCACGGCAGTGAGCGTATAGCTCATCGTCTCCATAGAATCTTTGACGACAGAAACCACACTCGGGGTGACCCTTGAAACCACTCTGATCAAGAGCTCCAGGAACATCATCGCCGTATCTTTCATGCTTGCGTAGTTCGGAAACAGTAAAGAGCTCGTGCTCATGGGTGAAGACTTTCTTGTTTCGAGTACATAGATCGCTGAGATGCCGCGGCAAGTGGTAAGCTTCTGACCAACCAGACAGACAGTGGGCATAATACATACCACATTACTTTGCCATGCTTACTCTTGACATGCCGATGTAAATCCGGCCATCCCAAGCAAGCCACATCGCAGGTTCGTTCCGGGCAGTTGTACCGTAATAACAAGACTGTGTCCTCGAAGATCTCATCCTGCTCGTACTTGATACCCAGATTCTCATCTTTCTGAGAAAAATCGCCGTCCGTAAAATCCTCGTATCGCTTTGCGGGGTCGTCTGTGAAAATGACATAGCTGGCCTCAGTCTATTTCAGGGCAGAGCGAGTTAGACACAGATCTCAACCGTAAGAAGTGCGGAGACATACACGACAGTGTGCGCAGGCCTTGTTTTTGTACAGCGCGCGCAATCTCAGCGCACAGATGTGACATGTGCGGTGGTTGCATGGTGATACCGAGTTGTGCTCAACCTTCGAAGCGCAGATAAAGCAAATCTCGGCGTCGTCGGCATCATCCTCGGCCTCCTCTGCTGCCTTTGCCTTCAATTCTTGCGTAGTAGAGTCTAACAGGGTCTGGCCCGTGGCAGCTCCAGGATCCTCTGCAGCACCATCTAGCTTACCAACGCCGCGATTTTGCCCGCCACGACCTCCTCGGCCTCCACCTCCGCGACGCGGACCACCACCTCTTGCTCTCGATCCCCATCCGGGGCCATCTGGGATATCGGACTGATCGAATTGGCGGGCTCCGCCGCGGCCGCGCCGACGACCGCCGCCACGGTTTTGTGGAGCGGGGGTTTGGGAGGGTTGCGATTCCGACATTGAATAGGTGGGGTTAGGAGAGGAGCTGCGAATAGAGGACTGGAGAAGGGAGAAGTCCCAGATAACAGGCTAAGGAAAACAGAGAGCTATAGGCTCCCTTCAAAGGTCTTGTGGCCAGGGGGTTGAATGAGGAGAACGTCTGGAGCAGTGGGGAAATGAAATGAGGGCGGCAAAAAAAACTTGGGTGGTGTCAGGGAAGACCGCATCGAGAACGGTGCTCAGTGAGCATACATATGAAATTATGAACTCGTAGCTTCTCGTGCCTACTAACCGGCCTTGGCTATTAAAAAAGGCCTGAAGAATTACTATATTCTAGTTCTACAGAGCTTATTGAATTCTTGCTGGTTCATGGCTCATAATTACTCAGTTCGAGTCATTCCTGGAACGCTTGGCGTGGAGTCATGATTGAGGCTGAGGCTGAGGCTGTGACTACTCCTGGGTCCTCAAACTGTTCAGTCATAAGCAAAAGTATGTGATCTTCCAAGATAAATAGGGTCTAGGTGGTATTTCAATCGCGCCTGTCTGCAAGCCAACACCAACTCCCGCTGTAGGGGATAGTAGGGAAACAGAAATGAAACAAAAGAAAGCAGTTCGCCCAACGATGAGATAATATGGAATGCAAAAAGTACATAACCTGGATTGTCGACAGGTTGATAAAAAGGATAGACCGAGATGATCAGCGCCTGGTTGCCAAATGCGGTGCGTGTAGTAAAGCCAGAGATTCGTAAAAAAGAAGGATCACGAAAGTGACGCGATTACTTCAAGTTGCCTCGCTAGAACGAGCAAATAGTCGTAACAAGTAGCTTAGCCGTGAAAGCCTTCGGCGGGCTATTCGTCCGGACTATATAGATTTTGGCTGAGAATTTTGGTCATCGTGAACATATGTATGCGATCTTGCTTAAACACCGCGCGCATCGGTTCGTCGCATCGAATTTGTCGTCTATCACTGGGGTCCTGAAGATCGTGCTCATGAATGTACTGCCACAGCTTCTTGACTGTCTGTGGTCGTGAAAGCTAGTGAGTGTGTCAGATTTGATCCATTATCGACAGAAATTGGGGCAGCACGAACCGTTACAGCGCCATCCAGCAGCGCCGAAAGCGCCGGTGAGAGGCTTAACGGCTTCTATAAGGATATTAGTATAATGTTGTTGGCCAGAAGCTGCATCAATGTCCACATACGTGAAACCCGCCAGAACGGTTGACCTTCTTTCCTGAATCGGAACCGGATCCAATGTCTGAGTCGTCCTCTGCCTTCACGCGTTTCGCCGTCTTCGCAGTAGTGATCTTCTTCTTCTTAGCTGGGGCCGCTTTGCGCGAGCCGGCACCACGTGTGGTACGGGCTCGCATGTTTTCCTCGGCCTGCAACTTTGCAGCGAAGAGCGCATCAGCGTCGATATCGTGGTTTGACTTCTGTTTCTTCGAAGGCGGTGGGGTCTTGCTCGAGCGGCCGTCAGACTGTTCAACGCTGTCCGCCTGTCGCTTGTGTGCCGTCGAGGATTGAGAGGGAGAAGATGGTTCCACAGGTGTTGCAGAGTCAGGGCGCTGCTCATCGCCATTTGTCGGGGAAGAAGCACCTATCCCCTTCCTCTCAGCGAAGAGGTCGAACCTAGCCATGATAAGCTGCTTGACAGCAGCCTAACCGAGCAAAAGGCGTCAGCATGATCGTTGACAAAAGAAGGAGACAGTGAGGAACAGTGTGCAACAAGAGCGCAACAGACCTTCTGCGGGGTAAGGTCATAGCCGACTGCTTCCTGGAGTCCCTTGCGAATGCGCTTCTCTGAAATTGTGTTCAAATCGCTCTTGGACAAGATCGAATCAATGATTGGAATGTATTCGTCGCGAGCATCCGGGGAGACTGCACGGGGAAAAAAGAGATATGATGTCAGTTGACAGCTAACTGGGCCGCGGCTAAACGGGGACCATATAGAGGCGGACTTACGCGACATCCTGTCTAAAGCTTCAGATATGGCTTTCCCTTTTGCAGAAGAAGACGAGAAGACGAATGCGATTGTGCCAATTGACGAGTGCAACGGCCTATTGCTATGTCGTAGGCACGCGGCGGTCAATTGGAGGAAGAGGTGACAAGGGTGCAACTGGGGAGGATCGTCCGAATATGGGTGTAGCGCTGGCGCTTAGGACCGGCGGGGCATGGATGGAGAAGCTCTAAAGAAGGGCGGAAGCTGATGTACAAAATATAAAGGAAGAGGAACAAAGAGAAGAGCACAACAGCCGGCCCACAACAGCCAGCAGCTTCACCAAAAGTATAAAGTGAAACCCAAAAGATGCGTGGTGGTTGCGCTTGTTGTGAACTCCGCAGCAAGCAGCACCACAGTATGACCGGCAGCGGCTGCGGGAACTTTCCTTGTCAGAACCACTTTAACAGGTAATCACGTGTAATATTTATGCCTGAGGCAATAACTGACTCAGCTCTGAGTCAGGTACTCGCACACAAGTGAGAGTGGGTTGTGATTTGTGCTTTTTGCCCTAAAATCAGCCAAAACGGGGTCGGCCAGCAGATTTCCATCCCCTCCAGAGATCGCAGCGTCTTCCATCTCGAGATACACCGCGGCCACTCTCGCCTTCACAGCGCCATCTGCGTCCCGCAATCATGGCTCCCAGTTTTGATACTCTGTCCGAGCAGGACCTCCATGAAGAGGAGGAGGAGGAGATTGACTTCTCCGGTAAGTTGAGACTCGACCCTTCGAGTTTGCGGGCCCCTCCTCGCTAACCATCGCGATTTTGTTGTCTAGATCTCAAGGCCCAGTACGAAGTGAAACTCGAGGAAGGATTAGACACATTTATCGTTATCGATGGACTCCCCGTTGTGCCGGAAGCAAACAGACAGAAGCTCATTAAATTTTTGTTGAGGAAACTCAACACGGTCGGCCACACCTCCGAAGATGCCGTCTTTATGCCCATCAACGCGGAGAACATGTCTGAAGGGTACGTACCGAAAAAAATCTGGCCGATAAAGCCGTCGAGGTCAGCGGAGGAGGGTTAACAGGCGATATTAGATTTGCCTTCGTTGAATACGAAACCCCCGAACAAGCCGTCGCCGCCGTTAAGCAGCTACACGGAACCCCCCTCGATAAAAAACACACTCTCCTCGTCAACAAGCTGATGGATATTGAACGATATGGCCGGGAAGGACGCATTGACGAAGAATACAAGCCCCCAGCCATCGAACCATTCACAGAGAAGGAGCACCTACGATCGTGGATTGGAGACCCGAACGCTCGTGACCAGTTCGCCCTTTACCGCAATGACAAGGTCGGAGTTTTCTGGAACAACAAGAACAACCCACCGGAGAATATCGTGGATCGCGCCCACTGGACACAGCTTTTCGTCCAGTGGTCCCCCAAGGGCACCTACCTCGCATCAGTTCACCCCCAGGGTGTGCAACTGTGGGGTGGCCCAGCTTTCTCCAAACAAAAACAATTCCCCCATCCGTTCGTGCAACTCATCGAATTCTCACCTGCCGAAGGCTACCTTACCACCTGGTCCTCCCGGCCAATCCAGGTGGAAGAAGGCCAGCCCGTGTTGACCTACGAAGAGGACGGAAAGAACATCATCATTTGGGATATTGTCACTGGAAAGCCCCTGCGGTCTTTCGTTTCTCATGATCTTGCAGGTCCCGAGAGCGATGCACAGCCTAAAAAGAAGGTTCAGTGGCCCGCTTTCAAATGGTCTGCCGATGAGAAATACGTCGCGAGAATGCTCCAGGGCCAGTCGCTCTCCATTTACGAGGCGCCGCGGATGAACTTGCTTGGAAAGACATCCGTCAAGGTTGAAGGAATCATGGATTTCGAGTGGTCGCCAGCAACTGTGAGCCGTGACGGCGTCAAGCAATACGAACAACTACTTTGCTTCTGGACCCCCGAAATCGGCAGCAACCCTGCCCGAGTCGGTCTAATGAGCGTTCCTTCCAAGGAAATTGTCCGAACCCGTAACCTCTTCAACGTCTCCGACGTTAAGCTGCACTGGCAGTCCCAGGGTACCTACGTCTGCGTCAAGGTCGATCGCCACTCCAAGTCCAAGAAGTCCATGGCCACCAACCTCGAAATTTTCCGAGTGCGTGAAAAGGGTGTTCCTGTCGAAGTTGTTGACAGTCTCAAGGATACAGTGATCAACTTCGCCTGGGAGCCCAACGGTGGACGCTTCGTTCTTATCACAACCGGCGATGCGCCATCCGGAGCCGGTGCTCCCCCCAAGACCGCCGTCTCATTCTTCGCCCCCGAGAAGAAGGGTGTGCAGGCCGGCAACTTCAAGCTTGTTCGCACAGTGGAGAAGAAGAACAGCAACGCTATCTACTGGTCTCCCAAGGGCCGCTTTGTGGTTGTTGCCACAGTGCACTCTCAGTCGAGCTACGAGATGGACTTTTGGGACATGGACTTTGAGGGTGAGAAGAATGAAAGCGAGAAGGATCTTGCAGCCAACCTGCAATTAATGAAGACGGCCGAGCATTACGGTGTCACGGACGTCGACTGGGACCCTACTGGTCGCTACGTCGTCAGCAGTGCTAGCGCATGGACGCACTCCGTATGTCGTCTCTCTACTCTATGTCGTATCTTGCTAATTTGACCTCAGATGGAAAACGGATGGAACCTTCACACCTTCGCCGGAGAGACGCTATCTGAGAACCCCACAGACAAGTTCAAGCAGTTTATCTGGCGACCTCGCCCTGCCACTCTGCTCAGCAAGGAGGAGCAGAAGCAAGTACGAAAGAACCTGCGTGAATACTCAAAGGAGTTCGAAGAAGAGGACAAGTACGCCGTCGACATTGCCAACACTGCCGTGGTCGAGAAGCGCAAGCGCGTTCTCAACGAGTGGGTGGCTTGGCTCCGCCGGGAAAAGGAGCTCCTCTCCGAGGAGAAGGACGCATATGGCTTGCCCGAGGACGCCGACGAGCCCAAGAACGCCAGAGATGCCCCTGCTGTCACACAAGACCAGGGCGAGACGGTGGTCGAGGAGATCGTGGAGGAGATTGTGGAGGAAACCGAAGAGATCATTGGTTGATTTATCCATTCCTCTTCTTTCCGTATTTAATTCTATTTTAACTTCATTTTCCTCCGTGTCATCCTGTCGATATCCCTTCCTGCCCCTTCTCCCTGCATGTCCCTTCGTGCAATTTGGTTGGCGTGGTTCCAGTTTGGAGAAGGTTGTCTGGGACTGTTCAAAAGTGAATAGATATCTGTATTGCATTTTTCCCCGGTGTGGGAATTCTATATGCGTGATGTTGGTAGCATGAGTGATGACAGACAATAACGAGCCGGCAAATACTGCGCAACTCGGATATACCTCCCTGCTTGAATCTTACAATACATTCGCATAATCAACTAGTATACAGAAGATGATATAAAAACCACCATCCCAACCCACCACACCCCGATCCTCCAGCCAATAGACCCCAGAACCACCCCAGTATCTCCCAGTCTCCATACCCAAGCCCCCGGCTCAATCTCTATCCCCACCTGCCCCTCATGGTCAGCCTCACCCTCGACCTCATCCCCACTCCCATTATCCTCCCCATAATCATCATCCACCGCAGCGAGCACATTCAGCCGATAATAATCCTTCCCATCTCCCCGACCCCCAACCACATTTCCCGAAGGCGCATATTCACATACAAGATACCACCCCTGCGCCCTCTGGACTCCTTGCTCCTCCTCCTCCTCCTCCTCCTCATCATCATCATCAGGATCACTCAGGCCACAATCAACAGCTGCACACCCAACTTGCGTCGTCCCCCTCCAGACAAGCTGCGTGAAATGTCCCGTCTCCTTGGTGAACCCCGTCGGCTTGTCAAAATCATACATTTCCCTTTCGTCGCCCCATACTTGCACGGCGCTCGTGGCGTTGCTGTAGCCGTATGCGAGGTTTTCACCGTAGGGGCCGTGCTGTAGTGATTATCATCTGGTTAGCCAATATCCCGATACAGTACTAAACCTGGGGATACTCAGGAAGGGGATTGCATACAGAATGCTCCCAAATACAACCTTCCGCCCAGTGCTTCGCATAGTCTGCTAGTGTATCGTTCCATGTGAGCGCCGAAGCGTTGTGCTGTGCGCGGTAATGGTTTGTAGTTGAGAGGACTGAGGATTTAAAAAGTGATGAGGAGGTATATGAGGGATCTTGCGGGATTTCGGGAGACGTTGTTGCTGTTGCGGTAGCTGTAGCCGTTTGGACTGCAGTTATGGTGATTGTTACTACCTCATTGGCTGATATAGGTCTCAAAATCGAGGAGAGGATGAGTAAAATAAGCGTTAATGGCGATGTCGATGTTGATGGTAGGAGAAGCCGCATTATGAGGGTCTGAATTGGAAATGTGTAGTGCAGCCTTCTAGGCTGTACGTTTAGTGTCATTTTGTGAAATCAGTTAAGAGGTAACGGTGAAAAAGAAAGACCTAGTAATGCGTCATGTTGAAAAAGTCAGTTCTCCAGAGCATTCTGGATGGCGAACATTTGCTATATCTACCTTGTGAGGTGTTTGCGATGGATAGATAACACCAAGAAGCAATGGACTTTGTCCGAAGACAATCCCACCCTGAAAGAACGCGGACATTGACATCATCCAAAACATGGCCTGTTTTGGAGTCCTGCAGAGAAACATAAAGGCGCTTTGTTGTATGGATGTGGGTGCTTCTTTGGGGTGTTGCAGTAGGCGCCGCCCTACCCTCAGTGATGTCCGTTCTAAATTTAGCTGAAGCTTTACACATCCACGAAGACTGATCTAGGCCGTAGAAGACACTATGAAGTTGCGTTGATAGTTCATCTCTCCAAATGGCTTTGTAAGGTATAAGCACATCCGTGTATAAGTTGCTCCTGCTAGGAAATACTTGTTGTATGCAGTGGCCATGTAATTGTTGAAATCATGGAGATAACGAAATCTAATATTCTCCCAGAATTTCAAGGGTATATTGTATATACATCACAGCTCTTCGCTAACATCTACATAACATTACACCCAATTCCATACATAGCGCGTTCAACATCTCGCTTAACCTGGAACCAATCTGCGCGACGTTCAGCAAACTCGTAGACTTCTTCTACTCGCCATATGCCGGAGAACCGGCTGGCGTCAGCAATGAGTGCTGCCAGCTCTTTTGCATCTGAGGCGTCGATGAGGTATATTTGCGCGAGTTCTCGAAAGGCCTTGAAGTAAATCAGGAGCTCATTGTTTTTAAGCGTTTGGACGAATTTAAAGTAGTGGTTCATGTCACTGGTCTTATTAGCAATGCCAGACTGAGGAGAATGGAGGGATCGTACCTGATCAGCTTCAGAGAGCCCTCGGTGCTGATCCTCTGACGTTTGAGGTGCTTGCAGAGGGCTGTGAAGAGTCGCAATCCAACCTCCTGGTTGAAGACGTCCAAGGTGCTCTTGTCTGTACTTCCTACGAGCATCCCTGTATGTGATGAGACCACATCCACGACGGCTGCTGCCGCTTCTGTGATATCTACATCCATGGTCTTTCGGTAAGGGTCGGTAGAAACGCCAGGATTGAAATCGGTCGCCAGCTGCCTTGTTGCCAGGATGTAGTCCACTTCCTCCATTAGCACATCAATTCCCTTGTTCAGCCCTGCGGCGACCCGTTCGTCCAGATTCTGCTCGAATTTCTTTTTCTCCTTAACCGCGGGATCTAAAAAGTCATTCCGGTCAGTGAGCTTAGATCCGATCAGTTCCTGCTCGTAGAAAACGTCAATCATTTGGAGGATGAGATCTCCGACATTCACGAGCTCGAGGAATGTTACCAAGGGCTCAACACCGGACTGATCACGATCACCTTGCTCGCGTGGTCGGTAGTTGGAGAGGTGGTCAACCGCCTTGTCAAATCCCAGGATAAGATGGCGATGGCCAAGGATGCGGAGCAGCGTAACGAAGATTGCTTCGCACTGTTGTTTGACAGCTACGCCTGTCTCACCACCAATCTTCACGAATTGTGCGGCGCGTTCCAGGCTCGATTTAGCCGCATGGACCAGCCCTAATGCGACCTCAATACTGAACAGGGATCGAATACCCTCCATTTTCGATTTCATGACCGCCGCCTTTGCAGCCAGCTCAGTCGTGGGCGCTTCCGCCACTGGAGGGGTCCCGGGCGAGGACATCGTCGAGAATCTGTTGGTTTTCGGTGACAAGACCGAGTCGCCGCTAACAGAGTCACGGTCCGCTTTCTGTTCGCTTGATTTCGAGAACCCTGGTAGAATGTTGACGGGCGCCATAATCACTTTCTTGAAGGAGGTTAGGAAGTCGCGCTTGTCAGCCTGTCTATTAACATTTGACATGAGGAATGATTCCGTCGAGGCAGCCTGCTCCGAAAGGGCCCTATCCCATTCCCCAACAGCAGCTTCTGAACCCTTCCGGAAGAAGTCCAACTCTTCCGCGAGATATAAATCCATATGTGGCTCATACACTTGAGTGATGGCCTGATACAAGCACTCTTTGAAGATGTCCAGCGAGTTCTGAATGGGCAAAAGAACATCACCAAGATTCAAGCATTGCGCGAATGTACCCGAGACTGCCGTGAGGTACGACTCCAGATTTGAGCGATGCAGTTCATCAAATATGGCAGTCAGAAATGGGTAAAGCACATCATGGCCCACCTTTTCAATGAACGGTGAGGCCACTTGTAACGCTGGTGGAAAGGCGCGGTTGATAACAGAGACCTCTTCGTTGAAGGCCACACTAAACCGGGTGAAGAATACTTGCGTCTGGTGAAGCTTCACCTTCTGAGTTGAGGCGTCAATGCAGTCATTTAGTCTTCCGAGCTCCGACTTTTTCGTGATGATATGGTTATGGTGAATAAACAGCTCAACGGCAGAGCCTCCGCCATTAAGCGTATATAAGACATGGGCATATTTCTTCATCCGATCGTCAATATCATCCGTTTCATATCCGTGTCTGAACTCCTTTAACGCAGCCGTTTCAAATATTGATACAGCGCTCCGCAGGTGTTCATGCCGGTTCTCCCAACCCTCTGTCATGTCGCACTTGGCAAAGGCTTGCAGCTGGTGCAATATCTGTGCCTGTTGTTGAGGGTCCGTGTACTTTTTGAACACCAAGTTGTCCGGAGAGGCTCCGAGTGTGGTAATGTCGTCGTAGAACGGTGCCAACGCCGCATGTATCCTTCCATACTCCAGTCGGGCTTCTCCTCGTATAGACTTGGCCAGTTTTAGCGCTCCCAAAACTGGATCAACATCCAAGTCACCGATATTCTCCGCCGTCGTGGTCGATAGGTTAATCTTGTCGAAACCGTCCGAGACCGTTGTCACTTCGATGGCAGGCTGGCTCGGCTCCGGCTCCGGTGTCGCCGATTGTTGGATTTCAACGCTTTCCCTGTTGGCAATTGTTCCTAGTCTCTCCTCTGCACGTCTGCGAGCATCCGCTTCGTCCCAGCAGCCTATCCTTTTGAGTTTTTGGACCCATCTTGAATCATCGTATGCCATTTCGCGCAAAAGTTTGGACGCCCGGGCGGCTCGGATAAGGTCGACCGGAGGAAGGTGATCAAGAATAACAGACATTATTTCTATTCCCAGTCAGATATGTCAGAGCCACTTTTGTTCTTTCCAGAACCTTACCAGCGGGGAGGGAGGCCCTGGAGATCTCCTCCATAGAGGCCATTTTGAGCGATGCCAGTACATCGCGGCGAGGCTTCGCGCCTTTGCCTGGCCCATTCCTCGCTGTAGACATGCTGTTTTCTCGTATCCCGCATTTGGAGGACAGCCAAAAGTATAGCTCTCTCGGTGTCGTCCGGGATCGTCAGGGTCCAGGTGTGTGGCTGAGCTTCGCGATTGATTCAATAACGTGTGTTACGCTTCCGGAGACGTGGGGGCGATTGCTGGGAAAGACCAGAGTTGAAGCATCGAGCAACTGTAACGTGATTATATAAGGAGTAATCGCATCTTCCAATCTGGTGTTGCTGGAGGTCCAGCTTTCGGACCTCAATGTATTGACCACGGTTGGAGCTCTTGTTGGCCTGGGGAAAAGTACGGCTGGATCGGCGGGGCGTTTTCCCTTCCCGACCCCAAGTCAAGATGCTCCAAAGTGTATCTATGTACCTTTATCTCGTCGGAATATCCTTGAGCATGCAATTTCTTTCAATGGAAAAAGCAGCCTCTATCAGCACCGTCATTAGTAGGTTAATCAAGTTTTAGAGCCTTCCCAGATGCCAGTCGTCTCTGGAGATGATTATATATTCTGACTGTCGTGGTAGGCAGTAAGCATCGGATACAATGGCAGAATTAGTACCAACCGGACACACAGTTTACAGTAGACACTATTCCTTGCTATCCATGATATGCCATAGAAAGGCCCTAGTAATGATTACCGAGCTGTTGAAATAGTTCAACTGTCGCCGATGCAGTATGCACGGGGATGATTCGGGATCTAGCCGAAGCGAGGACACTGTCGAGCTCGATATCGAGTTTACCCCTAGAACAGACATGGAAGCTTCTCCATTAGGTGCCATTGATAATTTGGACTTAACAACCTGATCTCTAACTTGGTGGATTGATAATAGAAGAGGTTGTTAAAAGACGATGGTGCCATGCAATTGCTGCGGCTTCAGCTCGAAATCTGTTATTCCGATAAGTCGCGAGTTTTTCACCGAAGACGGCTAGCGCCACGACCGCCAGCGGCCAACAGAACGAACCTGATTGGAAACAACCGAGAAACCTTGACCGTTGGACAACCTCGTCGACTTCACTCCAAAGCAATCTCCTGTGCGCTCATCCGGCCTCCCCTCTCCCCCTCCCCCCTCCCCGTCACCGGCTATCGTACCTTCCAGTTTATCTGTTGATCGGAAGGGTCCTTCATATCTCCAGTATGCTGGCACGTACTGTCCTGCGCAGCGTGCCCTTCCGGGGTGTCGCACGTCAGTCTTTGAACAAGACCTCCTCGGTACGCACCACCCGGGCCTCCGGCTCCATTGGCCTCAATGGACGAGGACAATCGCTCTACAACATGTCCTAGATATGCCTACGATGATCGATCACTGACACTCTGCCCAGCGTGCGTCTTCCTCGGCTGCCGGTCCCGAATCCGCCAGCTCCCCCTTCCACCTCACAGTCACTGCGTCCGTCGCTACCGCCATCGCCCTCGGTTCGGCTACGTATCTCTATGGACAGGAAGCTTTTGCGATGACACCTGCTGAGGAGGGGTGAGTCAACACACTGTCCTATGGAATGGCTTCTGATCTCGGCTGTTTCCGCTCCCCCGACCGAACCACAACCTGGGGTCCAAAAGATGACGAAAAAGCTGATATATGATATTCCAGGTTGCACGCTACTCAGTACCCTTGGGAGCACGCCAAGTGGAACAAGACCTTCGATCACCAGGCGTGAGTCTATCTCTGCAGCCCTCACCCTAACAACTGGAGACACCGTAACTTACGAATTTCTTCTCCAGTCTCCGCCGTGGTTTCCAGGTCTACCGCGAAGTTTGCGCCAGCTGCCACTCCCTGACCCGTGTCCCTTGGCGCTCATTCGTCGGTGTCACACACACCGTTGATGAGATGAAGGCCTTCGCCGAAGAGAACGAGTACGATACCGAGCCCAACGACCAGGGCGAGATCGAGAAGCGCCCCGGAAAGCTCTCGGATTACATCCCCGCTCCCTACCCCAACGAGGAGGCTGCTCGTTTTGCCAACGGTGGTGCTCTGCCCCCGGATCTCAGCTTGATCGTCAAGGGCCGTCACGGTGGCTGCAACTACATCTTCTCTCTGCTGACTGGCTACCCCGATGAGCCCCCAGCTGGTGCCACCGTCCAGGAGGGCATGAACTTCAACCCCTACTTCCCCGGAACCGGTACGCTTCTACATTTAGTGTTGTAATTAGCCCTTGACTAACTGTGTGTAGCCATTGCTATGGCCCGTGTTCTTTTCGACGGTGTTGTCGAGTACGAGGATGGCACCCCGGCTACCACCTCCCAGATGGCAAAGGACGTTGTCGAGTTCCTCAACTGGGCCGCCGAGCCTGAGATGGACGACCGCAAGAAGATGGGATTCAAGGCCATCACCCTCCTCACTGGTCTCTTCGCCCTCAGCGTCTGGGTCAAGCGCTACAAGTGGTCTCCGATCAAGACACGAAAGATCGTGTACGGCCCTCCCGTTTCCCGGCGCTAGAGAGGTTGCAAACGGACTGTATAAAGTATGAAAAGTGAAGGATCTGGCGACGAATAGCGAGCCGTGATTAATTCGAACCTTCAATCGTCTCGTTAGCCCATGTCGTTTACCCGAATCTTTCACTCGGTCTTCACTGGATGCGATGGCCTACTCCATGTTTTGTTAGATGTTTTTGCAGGACACCTGTATCTGTACCCTAGATATTTATTTTCCGTCTAAAACTTTGTGTGAAGATCAATGTCACTATTTCCTTTGTTTTTTTGTTGTTTGTTTGATTTAGTGATGTTTGCTCGGCACGTACTCTGATACCAGGTGTCCTAGAACAGGGATAGTTATGAGGTATAAGCTAGAGTGTATTATATTTATCACCACTCAACTATGTACAATTGGTACTACCTTGAAAGGTGATAGTGTTAGCCTCGCCGAATGATCAGCTACCATAGCGCTCTATCGTCCTTTCGCCATCGCCAAATAGAGGTCTCATCACATGGTCATAACACCACCACATCGAGCTCAACACTGAATCTGCAAACCATACGACCCACCCAGGACTGCGTCCATCCGGACCGGCAAATATTCGCGAGAGTGCAAGCGTGAGTAGCAGCATAGGCCCCCAGATGGTGACAAACACTCCCTTGCCGACCTTTTGCCGCAACGATGTAATGCGATATGGTTGGATCTGAGAAAGATACTCCCGATATACCAGGGGGAGGTTATGTTCTTCTGCACCAGTGGTGATCAAATTGAGGTAACGAGCTGATGGCTGGGCGTGGCGCGGGTTTGGCCGCACATGAGGATCGGATCCTGTTTGGGGCTGTCTGAGTTCTTCCATTCCCGCTGGAGAGAGTAGGGTATGGGCCTTCATCGGCTGAGTTTCTGGGCGCTCAGGAACCGGGTCGTGCGGATCATAGGAGCTGGAAAATGGGTAGCAAGTCACGACTATGTCCTTGTAGCCACGGCCGCCGCCTTCTGTGGCTATTATTTTGGCATAGTCAGATAGTGTTACTTCGTAGACAACGCCAATGAGAGGGCCCTTGTAGCGGCCTTGATCACATTTTTGGTGTTGACCATCGAGGAGGGAGTCTTTTTCTGATATCGAGGGATCGTCAAGAGTATGGCTTTCGGCTTCTGTTGCATGGGGTTTCCGGAAGTGTGTTCCTGCGAAGCAAGGTTCTAAGTACGGTAATCCCGGAAGGTCAAAAGTCAATCGAAGTTCTGGAACGAGGACGCTGAGTTGTGAGAGCGGCTTGATGCCGCGCATGCCTAGGAAAGTCTTTGAAGCGAGATTCGAGCCGTAGGCTAAGTATAGGACGGTCTTTTCAGGGAGTTCCTCTTGAGAGACGTGGGATAGCTTCCCTGGGAGATATTCATCTTGATCGAGGGATTGCGCTGAAATAGAGGCTCGTTGCCGGCTAGGCGTCGTCTGTGGGAGCTCGCGGGCGGTCGAGATATCGCTGTAGCTGGGCGGGATAAGATCTTCTCTTAGCTGCTCGAGGGTAAATGACTGGGACATTGACATCGTAGGGGCCTCGAGGACCTCCTCCGGCCATGAGTCCTCAGATTGGGCTTTGTGCATTTTGGCTGTGATCAGGTGGGAGCCGGGACTTATGGAAGACAAACGGAGCAGGACGCCATCAAGGGATGGGGCCTCTGATATACTCTGGACGGGCTAGCATGTTCACCCGTATACGGACTGGCACGGAACCAATCCAGATCCATTATTCAACGGTACCTTAGAAATCAAGCGCCAACGTCACTGGTTTGCCTGAAGTCGGGGGTTGGAACAACACGGGTGTCGGAGCAATTGGGGACCGAGCGAAGCTAACCGCGGGCGGACTAGGCTGAAGTTCTTGTGGAGAAGGCATGGCACTGGCAGATTCAGACAGTACATCGATGTAAAATATGCGCGAGTGTCCTGTCTGGTCGAGAACAACCTAAGGTAGAAGTATATCTACTGCAGAATATGCAGCAGATCTGATCTTGTGGGGACTGGCTGTTCCTGATCGAAAATGCCAATCACAGCGCTCGATCCCCCACAGGTTTGCTATGGCGCGATCCCGCCAGCCCAAGGGGTCATCCTTGGATAGCGCGATCTCGAGTAAGGGCATAAATTTAGCAAGCAAATACCAGACCCTCCTCACCCCAGATTTTCAAGTCTTACCTAGAAGCATACATCCAGATGGCTTCTTCTTAGGCTTTGGCTCGAAGAACAAACATACGTCGGAGCTCATCTTAGCTTATCCTCAAAAAGGCATTACTAGCCTCACCTTAACTGCTTTTTTTTTCCTCTTCAGGAGAAGAAGGTGCGGTAATTGATAATTGAATTCTGAATGGGCGTCAGTTGGGTGCCTGAATCTGAGGGTATTACTATCACATGATGGCAGCGTGTTCTCTACTTTGCAACAGGATGCTGAGCATGGTTGAGATCTTTCCCTCAACATGCATGTTTTTCCCATGAATCTATGAGCACTCTTCCCATTAACACACAATGTCATCCTCGCATTCAGAAACAGCTCGAGGAGGCCATGCGTCAGAATGCATAGCAGAGCTCTCCTTACGCCTCGCAAATGCAATCGGGGAAACAAGAGCCCCCTTAAAGCCTCTGAAGAAACCTCATTGCTTTAGCTTGAACACTGACCATACGCTGTTTATCTTTTCGACCCAGCTGCTCAAGGCCCTTTTGACGGAATCCCCGAGCGTTTCCAGTTTAAACGGGCTTCTCTCCGTTGTGCACCAACAGAGAGATAAGATAACCCATACCTTGGAGAGAGTCTCACTACGAAGCCTTGCTGAGTACTTGCTCAAATCACCTACAGATGATGGCTGCGAACTGGGGTTATCACTCTTAGTGGTTCGCTGTCTGTTATCTGAATTATGATACTGCTTGTCTAACTCTGCTCCATAGGGCGAGCCAAAGTGCCTCTTAGATACTGCGTCAATGAGTTCTCAGATAAACGTTCCTCAACTGGACAACCTCTTACAGCTAGCCCAGAAAAGCCTAATCCTGAAGATTTACACGATATTCACCAATGAATCATCTACTGCTCAGCTTAGGAGGATAGTAAGTTTTGAAACTCGATTGAATGACAATCATACTCACGAAAAGCAGTCTGGTAAAGCGTTAGCGGAACTACTCTACAACTCCGAAGGGAATTGCCAATTAGTCGGGGAAATGGCGAACAAGGATTCAGCAAGGTATCATTCTCACTATCCGGACGTCGAGATGTGTGCTAATGGTGACCGCGTTAGGCCCATCATCAACACTCTAGAATGTCCAGACACCGTACTCTCATTTCTCGCAAGCGCTATACTTGCAAGGCTTTACTCCTCTAGGGTAGGCAACGCCTCACCCTGGGGACCGTGGGGACAGGACAATTCATACTCGAGGATAATGAACGACCTACAACTTGAAGAGAACGCCATCAAACAGTATTACTTCTACGTACGCGCCAAGAGACAGCCGTCAAGCGGGGAAAGAGTGGCGCTTCCCATGTACTGTTTACTGGAATCGGATGGAGAGAATAAAAGCGGCCTTCCACAAGGCTCCGTCCTGTTAGGGCTGGATGAGGGCCGACTGGACTTTCTACACTGCGACAAGGATGCGGAGGGTCGTGTTTTTACCTACATGGTACTTCAACCAACAAAGGCGCCCAACAGCCGATGCGTTGTAGCTGGTGGCCAGGAAGGAGGGAAGCTTTTTCTATCTCTGCACATTGATGCACGGGACTCAGTCATGATAAACAACCAAAAGCGGCGCTTGCAAGTTGTCTGTTTCGGTATAGCGATCGAGAATGACCTGACGAATTTGAAGAGAGGCCTCGAGGCCACGGGGGTATTAAGCCAACGACAGCGTCCCCGAAGATCATCATCCCTTATGATACCTCTGGATGACCTTGACCATATTGACCAGATCGATCGAAAGTTCTCCCAGTCTTCCTACTCATCATCGGCCAGTTCAACGACAGACCAGGCCACATCTGCTGTCCCATCGCTCAAAGAGGCATTAAGTCCCGTTGATGAACTAGACCACGTGTCAGAGACAAGCAATGATAGTTCCCCCCAGAGCCCACTGACAGAGCTCTCTCGAACTCCCACCGATTACATAATTTCATCGCCGAGGAAACAGCGTGTCTCTCAACCTATTAGTCCTGGACTTTCTCGGGGTGATGGAGTGACGAAAAAGTCTGCAGTTAGCGAGCTCGTTGTACCTCCCAAGAACCCTAGAACACGGCAAGCAAAGGCTAATCACCAGAATATTGTGAACGATATGCAAGAGACGAAACCAAATGAAGGCCAGACAAATGTGAGCGGGCCCGCGCACAGCACTCGGTCAAGGGCCTCTCAAAGTAGAACAGATGTGTCCGCAAGTACGGGACCGAAATATGGGCGATCGGACACTCAAGAGTCTCTAGTGTTCACTACGCATCGACCTAAGGGAAAGCTGTATACAGCGCTGTCCAAGACCGTGGTGGGTCATACTGAAGACCACGACACAAGCGAGGGCTTTGGCGAACAAGGACATCAAGTGGGTACGGAGCTGACGTCCGTTCCTTCTCCTTTGCCCGGGGGCACTGGCTTGACTTTACATAAAAAGTCTAAGAAGCGCGACAGCGCTGGATGCACAAGCCAGAGAGCCGCTCCGAGGCCCAAGGGGCAGTCCAAGGGGGTGAATAAAAGAAGAGGAAAAGCAAACCCTAAAGAACGTGCTGAGACTTTGTCCCCGACAACGGCTAGCACTGGGAATGACAAGCATGGGCAGCAACCGGAGGTTTTTGTGGAAGCTCCACAACGAAATGCTGCAGCAAATGACCATGAGTGCGACAGTAGCCCCCTTCCGGAAATGTCAGACCAGCTCAAAGATAGCATCGATGCCCGCAATTTTCCTAAGCATACGCGCCGTAAGGCCTTTGGTGCTTCTGCACTCCGCCAACAGGATTACTCCAATGGTTCGATTGTTGAAGCATCTCGATCTTTGGCGCAGCTTGAGACCTCGTGCGACCTAAATAGGACTCTCAGTAGCTCGGCCCATACCAAATCTAACAGTGACAAGCAACAGAGCAGTGGCCAAACGGTTGCGGAGAAGCTAATTGCCGTCCTTGAAGAAAGTGGCATACTCCCGGAACACTTCGACGAGAACTGGGACAAGGAGAATATCGAGAATAATGCCGAGGATGTCCTTATCCCAGAGGAACCACATACGTACAGCTCATTGTTCAGCAGCAATGGAACGCAGGGCACGTCTAGCCCCCAAGAAGCAGGTATGAGCCTGCAGGGCACTACTGTGGTCGAGCCACGTTCCACTGTATCACTCGCTGGAACGCAACACAGTTCTCTGCAAACTGGCACTGATCGAGACCCGTCAAAGACAAGCTTCAGAAAGAGAGCTGGTATATTTGGGAGAACGGGTTATGAGCCGAAAAGGGCCAGGAAGATCTCGTCTCTTATTACAACCTCATCTATTGAGCCGCAGTCGACGCAGTCGACCGTCCAATTCTGTCAAACGAGACCACGAACCCAGCCTAAAGAGGATAGTCGTATAGCCTTCCCCTTCCACGAGATTTCGGGGAATGCCAGCGTAGGCCCCCAGATGCCTGGTCTCTCAGACGCAAATGCGTCGGACATTATATCCGCTGGCAACGAACCTGAGAATCGCTGTCTGACTCCTGTCAAGCCTCTACACTCAGTGCAACAAAGGGGCCACAACCACGCCGGTATTTCTCTCGAGCCAAACTTCAAGATCACCATCGATAAAAATGGAAGCCCTCGGCGCTCACAGGGGAAAAGCGAACAGTTCACTGCACCGCAGCGAGCGCCGTCCTCCACACAAACGATTGCCAGGGCCATTGCAGAGCCCAGTGCTGTCAGCAGCGCACCACAAGTGAGCACGTCTCGGACAGAGAAGCAGTCATCGTTCAACAGAGAGGGTGTCTCAAAGGTTGCTGTACCCTGTCGGATTGAGTTGTCAAAAATGCCGCAAGAACAACGTCTGACTGATGGAGACGACGGCCAGGGGGAGGATTTGCGAGGCTCCTCGGCTAGCGAATTGCTTTCAAGAATGGCTGCGCCGGACTCGAAGCGGGCGTTTGGGCTGACATCAGATACATCCCACAGGCAAACATTACTCCAGGAACTTCACAGGGAGGTGGAAAGGACGCTGGTCAACACCGACGAGGTGAGCCAGGTCAAAGGCCCTAACACGCATTCTAACCCGACTAAGAAGCTCTCCAGCAATTATATCGTTATATTGAAGCCGAACGAAAAGCAGTCTACGAAGTTCTAGAGGAATATCGTAACACAATTAACCGAGTTATCGAAGCGCAAACAAAACGCATAGCGCTATGCCAGCAAGAGAAGGCATCCATTATGCAGAAATATGCAGTTTGCCAGGGTCCGGGTCCTCGTCTACAAGAGGACCTCGGGAAGGGGGTCTGAACGCTGTCGACTGATGAAGACCGTTGGGTACGTTGCTCGAGGAGGTCTGGCCAAGTAAGTTCCATGATGGGGTTGTTGAAGTACTCTGTAAGCTTGTACGACGTAATATCGCGATGTTCTTGTTTTCTTGCTATTTCAGTTATTCAGGCCGGAATGTTGAGCGCAAAGGGACACCTGGGCGTCTGTACATCAGTACTTTCAAATTAAGCAGCGAATCAGGAACGAATGTGTGAAGAATTTCCAATTGATTTGCTCTGACTCACCGATATCACGTGCGCCCGGTATCGGGTAGTCCTGTCCACCTCCGCCCGTATTCGATTTTGAGGGACTGAGCTTCAAACTTTTTTTTTACCCCAGAAAGCAAGGTACCCTTTGTGCAAGTAGGAGAGAGCCAGCTTGCAGACTTTTATTGCCAATTGCAACCCCTGGAGCGTTCCTCAGGCCATCCCACACACCCGTCTCGATTTCCACAGCTTTCCCCTCATAGTTACTGATCTACGGCTACCCCGCGAAACTATGACGGTGAGTCAAATAGTTTTACAGCTCTTCAACGCACAACAGCTTACTTAAAATCACAGTTCTTCCAGAAAAACCCCAATGTTGGGGATACCACTCATCTAGAAGATTCAAGAAGTAAGCTCTTGCAGGAATTGTTGCCATTGCGGCTCGCAATGGAGCTCTTTGTTGACCATCAATAGTCCGCGGCTACAACCCTCTCACCCCCCCCAACCTCCTACAACATGAGATTGCCTTGACCGAGAAATCAAGACAAACCGTCCTCCAGGGACGTGACGAAGCCATTGCTGTCGTTCATGGCAAAGACAAGAAGCACCGTCTCCTAGTCGTCATCGGACCCTGTTCAATTCACGATCCCGAGATGGCTCTAGAATACTGCGACCGGTTATTGAAGATGAAGGAGAAATACCAGGACGAGCTTCTCATTGTTATGCGCTCGTACCTTGAGAAGCCTAGAACGACTGTCGGCTGGAAAGGTCTCATCAACGACCCAGATATTGACAACAGCTTCAACATCAACAAGGGCTTGCGGATCTCGCGCCAGCTCTTCGTTGATCTGACAAACAAGGGTATGCCCATTGCTAGTGAAATGCTGGATACAATTTCGCCACAGTTCCTAGCAGATTGTCTCTCCGTCGGAGCGGTTGGAGCACGAACAACGGAATCGCAGGTCCATCGGGAGCTGGCCTCCGGTCTGTCCTTCCCTGTTGGTTTCAAGAACGGTACCGACGGCTCGCTTGACGTGGCTGTTGATGCTATCGGTTCCGTTCAACATCCTCATCATTTCTTGTCTGTCACAAAGCCCGGTGTTGTCGCTATCGTTGGCACCGTGGGAAACCCTGATTGCTTTGTCATTTTGCGTGGTGGCAAGAAGGGTCCCAATTATGATGCCGCCAGCATCAAAGAGGCCAAGGAGAAGCTGATTGCCAAGGGCTTGACTCCTCGCCTGATGGTCGATTGCAGCCACGGAAACTCGCAGAAGAACCACAAGAACCAGCCCAAGGTCGCGGAAGTTCTAGCCGCCCAGATAGCAGAAGGGGAGGAAGCCATAGCTGGAGTGATGATTGAAAGCAATATCAATGAAGGTGAGTGCTTTTTCAAACCGAGTTTGACGCACTTCTAACCTAACGGTATAGGTACCCAAAAGGTCCCGCCCGAGGGCAAGTCCGGCCTCAAATACGGTGTCAGTATCACGGATGCTTGCATCAACTGGGAAGATACCGAGACGACACTCGAGACGCTTGCGCAGGCCGTTCGCTCGCGGCAACAGAAGCTCGCAAATTGAGCTTCTAGGTAAATGGTACAATCTGCTTAAGACTTGTTACATCTCGGGCATCTAAAATGGTTTTGTTAGCGGATTTGCAATAAAAGTAGGTTAGTGCATATCAATTCATTCAACGGCGCTTCAAGCCGTGGACACCTATAAGCCTTACTACTAGTAATCTCCTGGAGACGCACCTAAAAGTTTCGAATAGTGGTCTTGATACTATTGATGAAAGGTTAAAGAATTAGTAAGTGGGTTAGTAAGGGAGGTAAGCAACGAAGACCTAAGTCAAAAGGTGGAAGCCCTTGTGAGCGCCATAATGGGTACTGTTGAGGAAGGAGCGATGGACGACCAACAACCCCCACAAGACCTTTCAATTGATCCCGGACCTCTCTGACCTCTACAAGAATCTCTTACTGTCAGTCTACCAAATACGGGGTAGCTTTAGTCGAATTACATTTGATCTATCATCGTATTCTTCTTCTACAGTACTATCTACGGAGGAGATCCGAGAAGGGGTTGCGGCTGAACGCACGGATTCCTGAGGCTAGACAACAAAGTACACTATACGGGCGATATAGCCGGGAGCATCCTGGAGTCCAAGCAGGCAGGTCGGCGGTGGCTGCAGATGATACTGCATGGCTTGCAGGCTGCTGGGGCGAGGAATGCAAACCTTGTCCGCCGTGATATTAATAAGACTGGTTAATATCTTTCCTAGAGTATAGGGCACAACTCGACTCCGTATGTGTCTCGTGCAGATTCACCACTTCCTTGTAACAAACTGCAAACTCATATTATTACTAACAGGAACCCTTAAGACTCGTCCAAATAAGCTACACGCAGTCAATCAGCAGACTTCTAGGAACCTGCAAACACAGGTACCCGGACAACGCGCGCAAGCTTGGAGCTAAAAAGCCGCATTTGTTTCTCAAACTGGGTCTTGAGCACCTGAGCCACATTCCTGAGCCACATTCAAAGGTTGTACGAAACTTCCAATGCTTTAACGCGCCACCTGGAGGGCATGTCAGAAATGCTGCCGCAGCAAGGGTGAGAGACGCCGCACTTCCAACAAGAAGAGGAGACGACACTTTTAACGCTGTTCACCACACTGGACATCAGTACAACAGAGCAAACGGATCACCAACCAAAATCTGCCCCATTATCACTGGAATAAAGCCCTATAAACGACGATTCTACTCCATGGTTACCCTGAATCTACGGTCCACTTCATAATAACGGCTCTATTTGACTGGCGCTAATTTCAGCCAGTACCGACTCACTCCTGTAGCTCTGGTCCAGGAAAGGACTTAGTTCCCAACCAGCCCCGAATCCAGAACGCCACGGCCCAACGACAACTTCAGTGTCCCTTCAAGACAAACTTCAACAGCTCGTGAAACAGATGGAAGCTGATATAACTAGGAAAGCTTGCGCTGATAAAATCAAATGGTATATCCTAAAAACAATCACCGACATACAAAAGTGAAAGCGAAATGGGCAAACAAGGACCCTCTAGAGAGCCTACGCCTGCTGACACGACAGTTCCCTGGGATACCTACATGGCCCAATCAACAACAAGGCGTCCATGCACCGCATTGCCCCCAGGCGAGCGTTCAACGCTGTTTGGACATCCTTCCTCGCCGTCAAGGCCGCCGGAAGGAGGGCAACCGCTTATAAGCGGAGCCCTCCAACCAGACGGCCTTGGGCGCGCAGTCACCAAGGTAAAGACAACCCGACTTCTTTCCGAATACGAGACCTCAAGACCCTGCTATAACAGCGCACTGCCAAGGAACACGGGCAATACAAGCATTGACAAGAACCTGCTGTGCGCGGTGCAACAGATGGTGACAATGGTGGTCACCCAAGCACTGGAGATAACTGGAGTCACAGCGGCGATAACACCAACGGTGACAGTGCTGTATACGTCTGTCCCAAATCCACCTCGCTTTACCGTGCCATATCAAAACCAAGCGCGTACAACTCTCCACTTCCAGCAGCCCCAGTTATAGGCCCAGGCCCAGAGCTATCTGCAGCAGCCACAACAACCGCCGCAGGGGTACCCAGCTCGAAACGACCACGTCAAACCCGCTGAAGCCATTCAGAAACGGGGACGGAGCGAGAGGACGCCCCAACCAGAGAGGGCGCTGAAACAGGAATTGGCCTGGGCGCTCCTCCAACGTTGACGCTCACGACGGCAACGATGCGGACCAGGAGGATGTCGCAGAACGGGAAGCTGAAGACTGCTACGGAGAAGAACACAGTGAAGACGAAGCCCCAGACGAGGAAGCGCAGGATTGCCGGAAATCCAATGACGCTTACAACAGTGGAACTGAATCGACCGCTCCTGCCAACACGACTCAAACCGCCCCCGCCCCCACACTATCGAGTAACACCACCGACGCCATGGCTGGACCCCGTACGAACGTCCCTAGGAGGTCCGAATCAGCCGCGGATTCGAAGGTGCGGAAAGCAGCAGAGAGAAAAGCGGAAAGAGAAAAACAAATGCTGAATGCGCTGATTGGGCGGATGCCAGTCTCTTGAGGTTCGCACCACCGAAGTTCCAACCTAGAGTCGACAGCGAAGTAGTGGTTGATATTTGCATCTCTCCCGCACCCGAACTCCCAACCTGGTCATAACCAGACGCTGAAGCACCCGCGGTTGGCATGCTCAAGGGCATGGTGCCCAGACCAATCGTGCTAGATACCAGTGAAGACTTTCTGGACGGCGTTTGGGCCTCCGAGGGGGCTCCGGTCCGACAACACATCCGTTCGGACAGTGAACAGTGAAGGGTACGATGTTCGGGATATCATGGGAACGCACCCCAAGCCACATGAATGGATCCCGTACGACGGCTACAGCACGAAGCTTGACCTTGCCAAAGCGGCGGTCAAGCAAGCCAAAGCACACAAAGAAGCACTACTCGATGCTGCGGATCAATTCACAATACAGTTACTCCATTGGCGCTGTGATACCCGTATGCACAACTACAACTTGGCCGACCAGCCGTACAAACACGACGAAAGCTGGTTTGTGCCACTCACTGACAAAGAGTGGGCTGACTACCGGAAATGGGTTGACATGGAGAACATACGGGACGATGAAGCACACACAAACTGGCTGAGCCAGGAGGACCGCTACTCAAAACTCGAGGACTATAACGCATTTGGTACGTGGGGGCATAGTGGTCCTAACTGCAGGTCTATTTACGATTCGGTCCTAAAATCTGGCCGCCTCAAGAACCCGCTTGTGATTGATCTCGTTGATACGCTTTCCAAGGCGGACAAAATGATTGAGAAGACAGTAGCTGGCCTGGATAAGTTGATCAAACTTGAGCAGGCAGAGCTCAAGAAACGGAAAGCCACCGAGTCCAACAAGAAATGGACAAAGAAGGTCAAGATGGGCCTAGCCAAAACGCCCGACGACTCAGACTCAGAAGAGCTGCCTGAGCTTCCCACGCTGGCCATAGCAGACAACGAGCCCGACGTACCAGGAGACCTCGAGGGGTATGCTGACTGGGCGCAGTCCCGCCACCTCCACTGGTGCAAGATCAAAGTGACTAGGAGAATGGAAAGTCAGCTGGAGGCAAAGCCGACTGGACCGCTCGACACGGATGAATACGACAAGTGGCCCAAGGGCCTACGGCACCTACACTATAAGATCAAGATCAACATCGACACCAAGGAGCATCTTTGGAGCTACCCTTGGTCTTTGCTTTCACTGGCTTTACAGTCAAATTGGCGCTGGACCAACGCAGGAGAGACATTACTCCTCCGGCTTGAACAAGCTTTTTAAAGATACCACCTTAGCGCAGAAACCGCTTGGACAGTGGCTCCCGGCAGGGGCGTTCAGAGGACTTCTTGGCGCTGGTGGCAGGATAAACGTGTCGCTCTAAGCGGATTGGAGTATTAGGATTGTTGGGAGTCGTCAATTCCACCTTTGATGTAGATAGTGACATATGGGTCTGGACGGTCTGGACTTTTGACTCCAAGGATGAGACAAGGGCGAGCTGAAGCCTGAGCGTCAGAGTCCAGATCCAACTACCCTAGGTGACGCCGGGTGTAGCCCGTTTCCTATCGTCAAAATGGCTCCACGGCCCCCGCAGAGCGTACTTTGTTATCGAGCTTCAAGAATTCGTACGTACAGTCACGGGCCTCGCGGCTCCTTCTCCGTAATTAGTAGCTTCTATGGCGCTGACAAGGGCTTCCACCCTTTTTACTGAGGCCCTTCGTTGCTTACCTACTCACTGACCTACAATGCTTTAACCTTTTTTATCAATACCGGCAAGACCACTATTTGAAACTTCAGGTAGCTGCGTTGATAACTCGTGTGAGCATAGGGAGCTATACTCCACTACACCGAAGCATGTGAAAGATGTGTATATCTATATACAAGCTACTATGTACAAAAGCTAAAATAACAATGACAAGAAGTTGGATAATGATAGAACACTCCATTCAGCTTAGGGATAAGCTTAGACAGCAACATTGTTCGGGTCCTCATCGTCCCTTCTGGCCTCTCTATATACGTGGGAAGGGACATGAAAATATTCGAACCCTTCCTGAAGCTCAGGCATAGGATTACGCCCGGGAAGCCACGCACTCTCAAGGGGCAGTATGAGGCTAGGGTTTAGGTACTTCCTGAGCTTCAGACCCAGCACTTGATTGCCAACTCGTACAGGCAGTGAATCTCTGTCGAGTCCCAGTGGCGGGGAGAAGGTGGAGGACGCGGACTCCGAGTTATTTCCTCCAATCTCTCCAACAGGCGAAAGGTCCCCGGAAGACGACGCAACAGCATCATTGTAAATACTTTTCAAAGCTATAAACTTCGTCAAGGGTTCGTAAAACTGCGTGAAGTAGTATGAACACCACACGGTCGAAGCCAGCAAGGGAACGGTCAACAATGACAGGGTGATGGCGGCGCGAAGAGCAAGTGTTCCAGCTACAGCTAGCTGAAAGACTACCAAGCCCACGAGGACTCGGCTACAGATCATCGGCCATGCTCGCCCTGTAGAGTGCTGTCGGTGGTCCATAGCATAGAGCAGTTGATACTTGTAGATGAAGTGGCCAAGTACAAAGTAGATCAGACCGAAAAAGCTGATCAGCCACGAGCTTGGGAATACACTGTAAACCACACAGATCACCAAGATCAAAATCGTCTGTGGGATTGAGTAACCGTAGCTGAATGTGGGTGGCGCAGAGAGCTCGGCAAAATCCCGCGGCGTCCTAGCGGTCAAGAAATTGATGGGGTACATGAGCACACTGCCGAATTCCAAGAGCCGGAGTGGCGACAAACCCACGCCTTGGAGAATGAGAAGGTTTGTATAGAATGGAGCAAGGCCCTCTAGGGATTTGGCGAGAGCAAGCGCAATGGTGTTCGCATCTTTCAGCCTGTCTCGAAGGTGCTCCCAAAGGCCGTAGAAGTTGGTAGCAGTCCCGATGACCGTAAAGATGACGAACAGGTTGAAGAATGAAAAGAAGAAACTCTTCGAGATCACGGACAGTTCAATATCCCCACGAGATATCATCCCCTGGTGGTTTGCGAGCCAATTATAAATATAGGGCACAGCAACAGTCAACAGCGAGAAAGCCAGAGTGGGAAGACCAGTCTGGACAAGTGACATTGCCAGAGGGTGCTCTTTCAGAATTTCAACTAACCGAGGGAACACCTTTCCGAGGGTTTCCGGTTGCAGAAGAGTTCCGATAGGAAATAATAGTGCTGACCAGAAAACAGTCAGAAAGCCGATAGCTATAGTGACAGACCATGACTGCAGCATTCGTCTTGACCGTGGCATGTATGTGTTCTTCCAAACAACATCCGCTGGGGAAGGAGCCAGCCGGGCGAGAAGCTGCATAGGATGGGGATCGAGAATAGCCTGGACCAGCATTTGCGCAGCAGCGATAGATTTCATGGTCACAAATGCAAGCTCAGTGGGCGGGTACTCCTTCTGACGCGCGTCCTGAATCTGCTCGTCGAGCCTGCGGAGCCTCTCCTCGTAGTAGTCGATGGCATCAACATTCCGGTACTGTAATCTGAAACGGCCGTACCAGATGCGAACCGTCGGTCGATTTCCAGCATGATCATATGAGTCTTCCTGCTCATTCGAGAGAAGGGGGTCGTCCTCCGAAAATAAGGTTGAATTAGGCGGCTGCTGATGCCTTAATGGTAACGTGTCGCCAGCTTTCTTGACCCGTTTGTAGCCCAGATATTTGACCCAAGACTTTTCCAAATTCCGCAAGACCTTGACGCGCTCCTCAATCAAATGATCCAGAGAACTCCAGTTTCGACAAAGGGTGATGCTTTCCACTTTTCCGATACGCAACCCTTCAATAAACTTTCTGATACTTTCCTCAGTGCCCATTTCAGGAGGAATTCCTGACAACCGGATTGTCCGGTCAGTGGTGCTTGTTTGGCCACCGAGGTATTTCTGCCTGATGTTGATAATCTTCTTGGTTTCTTGAAGAAGCATGTATACAGCAAGGCCGCTGAAAATATAGGCGAAGACCACATATGCCGATAGATACTTCGGATCCTTGGAAAAGTCCTTCTTCTTATCCTTGCTATTATCAAGATCTTTGTCCCAGTCCAAAAGGCCCCACTTCCCCGTGTAGCTGTGATGAATTGGAAGAAGGACAACCACGGCAAAAACAAAAACGGTTGATAGGAATCGGATCGCAAATCTTAAGAAGGAGAGGAACTGCCAGTTGCCTCGTTAGTGCTTTAGCTTTAACAATCTGCTTGAACAAACGAAAGATCCACACGTACAACAAACGCATCCAACCCCGCAGATTGCAAGACCTGCTCTTCAGTTATGTGATACAGCACCGGAATCCATCCGAAGAAACTATCAGGGAGCTCCGGTAGGTGTAGGGCCGCACGGCGCTGTCGCCTTCGAGCCGCGTATAACTCCGTCCATTTCGGCCGCAGAAGCTACTTGCGAAATTTGAGTGTTAGCCTCGAGCCCACCGGTTTCCATAAGAGAGGTATGAGCATACACAGAACGCTAAAAAAGCAGTTATCCCCAAGGCCGAACTAATCACAAGCTGTGTGTATATGTTCCGTGTTGATTTGCGTGGATCAGAGGGGTTCGGTTCATCATGAGTCCCGTTGTCGGCGGCGGTAACGGCAGCAGTTACCGCTGCCGCCATAGCGGCTTGGGTGAACGACATATTTATCAGAGATTCTGCGCCGACTGGGTTTTCATGGATGCATCGGGGGAGCTGAGTGTCTGGTCTCGCTCAAATTGGGTGCTCGGATCCTCGAAAACAGCTGACGTCAGGGGTAGAAGATCGGGTTACACTGCGTCGCAAGCTGGAGATGGATTCGATGATCAGAGAAGATTATGCCGCGAATCAAGGTAATAAGCGCGATTTCCGTCCCTCTGCTCGCTGTTCAGTTCGTTTTGCGATCTTGTGGCGTTCGAGCTAGCAAGAGCGCCGATTCATGTAGACATTTGTTGATCGTTGCGGAAGTTGTACATGCTGAGTCAGCTAGTAGATTATGCCCAGCTTCAGTTTAATTATGGATATTTTATGCAGGCCGCTCGGCTTCTGAGATTTGGACGGTATCATATAGATGGGTAACGTAGTCATGTAAAACATTAGGTACTCAAAAAAAGCTACTTTGTATGAATCTTGACAAGGCCGAAATATACTTCCGGCTGCACGAAGCGCCCAGGCGCTATGCATATCGTGACGCATCATAATACAGATCAAGTAGACAACCAGCAGACCAAGCTTGGGTCGGAGACTATAAAAGCAACCTAGTTAGCACAAGCCTTCCAGAGAACAAACGCGCTGCAGGAAGCGGGGAATATACATACCGAATCAGCACAATGGCTACCATCCTTGTTCGTGAGCTCCGTGAGGCCCTTCCAAGGACTTTCTCTGAGTGCCCGCTTACAGCCTTCCAGGCGCCTGGTTACCTGCTGGAATGCTTCCGTTCGCTCATGTTCTGTCTGCCTGCGGGCAAGATCAAAGTGGAGCAGGGCACGAAGGTAGTATCCCCGTTGCCATACCCACTCTGGGCCTTGATGATAGTTCCGACCCTTGGAGGTCGCGAAGTCGGTCGAGTCTTCAGAGTTGTGATAGTTGGGACGGTAGTTTAGATCGGAGGGATCCAGTGTGGCCATTCCAATTGGACCGACAAGAACCGAGTCGGCAAGAGCAAGCGCGGCCAACGCTTTAGATGGTGTGAAGAGATCGGGAGCAACGACCATTGCGATGGGGAAGTTTGAGCGGAGCTGATAATCCTCATACGGCTTGCCGGATCGATATAAATCTTTGTAGATTCCTCGGCGATTAACGATCCCTGGGTCAACATCGTGTTGATCGTCTTCCTTTGAATCCAGTGGGATATAATAGCAACGCTCGAAATTGCTTTTGATCTTTGCAGCCCAGTCTTCGAACGTGACGGATTCGCTGTTGCCGATATCCACCTTGTCATGCGGATAGAGCCCTTGTTCTCTAAGGGTTATAACCCACGTCAAAGCACTGTAAACCAAACCGGTGATTTCGATTGCCGCACCATCCCGTGGTGTTCCTGGAACCCCCTTGTTGCCAGCCTTTTCGCTCTCACCCATTTTGTCCTGCCACGTTCCGCAGTTGAATTGGCTTCCGCCGAAGATAAGCCCCGTCTCCCAATCAACCTTGATGTCAATCTGGAACCCTTCTGGTTTCATTTGCATATCAAGTTCAGGACCGGCATTGTACTCGCGGAACGAGAGACCTGAAGCGTGTCGTTGGAAGACTTCCTGAATTACCTCCAATACCGTCGAACTCTTCGAATAGGCTCTAGGATCATCGAACGGGAACCATGTATCATCATACGGAAGGAAGCGCCTGGGAACCTTCTCGTTCAGGATCTCTAGGCCATCGGGGGCCATGATTGTGTAATCCTTGATTGCCTGCAACAAAAACCAAATCGAGTCGCGGGAATTGTACCGTGGTAGTTTGCCACTACCGAGAAGATTCGGGATCATACCGTGCTTGAGCACACTAGCAAAGGCCAGAATATGCTCCTTGGCATCGTGGAATCTGCCAGTGCAAAGAAGAAGACCTCTGAGGGAGATGAAGACATCTCGACCCCAGCATCTTGCCCAGTCAGTCGCAAAGTGAGGCAGACCGGCAGCAAGGGAGGGAACTTGTTTTGTAGGCCATAGGGACGCTGAGTTGACAAGCCCTGTTTGCTGAACACTGACCATGGCGAGTTGTTGGATAAAGACTTGGCCGACCCGCACGTCGTTTCCCAGGAGCTGTATACCCCTGTTCCAGGCAGACACATAGGCGGTCTGGACAATAATAGCAAAGTAACGGGGCAAGAGGAAACTTGGCAAGCCGCGGACTGCCTGGAATTTCTCCTCCAGCCACTTAGCAGGACGCTGGAGAGAGCCATACTCCGGCTTTTGTGCTGCCTTTGCCAGGCGCCCGACGATGTAATCAAGTGCCCATTGGCCTTGCCTAAGGTGATCACACAAGGCATGCCCTAGATCATTATACCTAATGATGTTCTCGAGAACACTCCACCACCCTTGTAGACCTGCATAGACTAATGGTCCATAGTTTGGAATGCTATACACTCCATCTTGGCCGCCACTCGAGTCCCTCTCTTCAGCCTCACAGCGATACAGCACAAAGTTGAGATCAATCAAGCTTAGCTCTGAAAATGCATCACCTGCACCTTGAGTGATGCTGTCGTTGGTGAGTGCAGCTGCATCTTCAAAACCAGGGATCGATGTTTCGAACAAAGCGATGGAGCCAGGAACAAAGGTGTCCAAGACCGAGATGATAGTGTTGTTATCTTTCTCCTCAATCCTAGTACCCTCGATCTTGTGAACTTGGCTTGGCAAGCCCCGAAGGTAGGATGGATCTGCTAGAGCTTGCTCTTTGTCACTGTTTTCCTCCTGAACTGTGAGCTGCCAAGTTCCGATAGGGTTAACACGAGTAGAGGCGAGTTGGGTAGCCGGGAGAAGGGCCCCGCTGCCTTGGCCTGGGAAAGCCGTGTGGGCGATCAAGAATATGCCCTTTCGACTTTGAGGATGGACCCTATGCACGGTGATATATTCACCATCGTGATGTATGAACGTCTCGTCATAGCCCCCCAAGCCCATCATGGTATGAAGCTCGTTAAGCAGCCGTTTGAGACCGCAGATCCCCGGGAGACTGGCTAGCTCGTCAATCGTGGGAGACTCGGGCAGTTCAGACACGGAATATGAACGAGTCTCGTGCACTAGATCCACAATCTTTGGATAGATTTCATCATAGCCCATGGCACTTCCCACCGCAGAGTCGCACATGGCAACGAGTGCGGCGTTTGGTAAGGTGTCCTTCCCACTTCGCTTTTGAGCCGGCATTTCGTTATCATGTGTACAGTCCATGAACAATGCTGGGACAGGTATGGGGCGGATTTTGCGGATGTTCTCTTTTTCGCCGCCGTCGGAATTGGACTTACTGAAAGCTAAACCTGGTGAGGGTAGATCAAGCTCAAAACTGCCAATAGGACGACCGCCATGACGGTGCACCAACCTGCTGAGCTCCCCCGGACTCCAGGCTTGCATGGCCTCACGGATGAGGGCATTGACACCAAGCCGCTTGACGAAGACATAATCGGCCTCCTCAGAGCCGGTGAAGAGTTCGGCGAAAATGGCAAGATCAGGGCGGACTTTCCGTGCCTCATCAATAAGATACTCCGCAACTACCAGTGGAGTTGAATGGCAGTTGTCAATTCGGAAGCTGGAAAAGTACTTGGCCATCAAGCGCGTGTACTTTGCCATGAAGTCCCACAAGAACGGGCTGTCCTTGGGCGAACTTCCATACCGTAGTTTAACACAATCGCCCCAGACGATCACTTCTCGTCGTAGGTAGGCCCTAGAGTCTGGACCAGCATTATCACGCATAGCATCAGCATTCCAAATCCAACCATTGTTTGCTAGAGCTAATGCCTTTGGGTTGTGCTTTTTCGTGATGTCGTTCAAAGGCAGCCGGGTAAAGTATGACTCTATAAGAGGATTATCTTCAGTCACAGGCCCGAGCTTTGGCCCGTGGTCGTCGATCCTCATGTACTTGATACGATTGAAGAGTTGATCTGTTATCGCGGACAGGTCTATATCATATTCCTTGTAGAACGGGACGTTGACTACGTCGAGTAGCTTGCGCAGAGCATCATACACGGGGGGAAGATCTGAGCTGGCCGAGTCAAACTGGCCGAAGAGAGCAGTAGCAATGGCAACACCAAATTGGACGTCAATGGCTCGGCTGAACCGTCCGAGAATTTGGTTGGCAGTTGGAATTGCCTTTTCACGGATGAGGGTGGTCTGTTGCTCCAAGGTTAATGTTTTGAAGCTATTTAGGCCGAGTTCGGCCCATTGCCCACTTTGTAAATCAATATCCTTGGATAATTTCCACTCATCCAGTATATTTTGTGTGTTTGCCTTTACATCAAGGACATAGAACTCCCATAGCCGAAGATCTTTGAGCACATGCTCCTTCATTCCGTCCATCACAGTTGTCAAGTCGTCAACTGTATTAATATCTGTTGGCAAGGAATGCTTTTGCAAATCCTGACTGAATTGCAGCAATGCAGTATCCAGATCCAATGCGGCTTCAAGCCAAGGGGCGGTCTCAATGCTGTACCCGGCCTCTGGGTGTTCCTCGAGCCACTTGCTGTTATTCGCAGTATGATTCCAGACGACATCAGCGAGAGATAGGAGCGAGTGCTCCCCCTCCATGGTTTGGATGAGCTGGCGGACATCTTCTTCTCCATTCGGAAACGCGACATCATCAAATTGAAGCTGATCAAAAATGCTGTAGGGAGAGTTCGAAGCACCTCGCTTCATCAGCGGTGTGAAATGGACCATGTTATACTTGCGACGGGATATGCTGCTGAGATGTTTGTCCCAGTCCTCGGGATACTTGCCCATGAACTTGGAATTCACTGAGAATATGGATAGGGCATTGAGTGGGATGCCTCGGCCACCGAGGCTCAACCGAGGAGAAACATCGATATAGTGCGTGGGTGTCCTTGTTGGCTCCACAACCTGGCCGGGAGAAATGGTGAAATCGGGAAGAGGAGAATATGTCACGTAGTAAGCGAAAGATCCGGGGCACGTAACGGGTACATCAATCTGGATATTCCTGCTGAAGTCTGGAGATAATCTACCAAGAATGTATTAGCAACTAATGCGCTCCCAAGGGAAGGGAGTCCGGGCCTCACTTGAAGCCTCGATAGGCCGAGCGATCAAACGGTTTCCCGATCTCAGGCATGTTGACCCAAAGCGTGCCATCCCTGCAAATCGAGCTGCTTCCCTCAATCACGAAGCGGAGCGAATACTCAGGGTTGTCCGGAGGCGGAAGATAGATGTATCCCCCGGGCACATCTGGAGAACCGTCATCATTCAGAGGCAGCAAATAAATAGTATCGTGAGCCATTGCAAGCGATGTGGCACTTTGCTGTCGCGTTGGTGAATGCGAGCCGACTAAACAATGGGTAGCGGGCAAGTGCCGTTACTGAGACGCAGATTCGACTGCGAATTTGGAATTGGCACTTCTCGCAGACCCTGGCAGGCCTCGCTACGAGAAAACAGGGCACAGGATATATAAGAGAAAGACGCCAGCTCGACTGTGCCTGGCTGGCCCCGCCGGAGGTTGACGTCATTGCGGTCTAGATTCTGCCGCTTGAATCTCGTGATCTCCAGGTGGGGATAAGCAGCTTTGGAGGCTGCACGCTTGGAGTATGCCAACTCCAACTCACGGCTTGGCATCTCAACGAGTCCAGGATTGTGTGACACGCAATACAGATTAATCGAGGCCTCTCTGACAATTATTATGGATATTATTGGTATAAGTCTATCACAGTCCGAATCTATACCCGCATGCAGAGAACCCACGACCTTAAATCCGTCAATGCAGAAACAGGGGAATATACAACAAATAGGTATACTCGTCAATTATGGGCATCACAGTTTCGCACCCAGAGTCACCTTCGCGTCGTCGCCTTCTTGCATTTCCAATTGAGAAGAACCATGGAAAATCGGCTTACTGCAAGAAATGAAGGAAAGGAGTTCCGAGAATCAATAATCGACACATATCGGAGGGGTGGTAATGTTAGGCCGTAATTACCGCTCAATATAAGAAGGAATTTCCTCAACAGTCATTGTGCCTTGGAGAACGCCTGTGAGAACAGTCAGTCTATGTTCGGTTGAGTGGGTACGGGTAATGCTTACGATAAACTGCCGTAAACAGTGGAAACTCATCCTCAAGACCTTGCTTTTTCAAGAACTGATTAACCTCAACTGCTGTTAGTGTGCCTTGCAGCTTTTGGCCGTTCAGCTCCGTTTCCTCAATTTTCTCGATTGGCAGGTTTCTCTCAATGCTCAGCTTTGCGCAACGAAAGTTTCGTCCGCCGCTGCAGCTTGTAATCAAATCCGCAACACCGGCACTCTCTTCCGTGAACGTTCTGGTGTTGATAGTGGCTCCAAAAAACTGCTCGCCGAACTTGACCATTTCCAAAAGGCCAACACGCATGATCGCGGCCTTGGCATTGTCTCCCCAGCCCATACCTTCGACCCAGCCCGCAGCGACAGCCACAACATTCTTAAGGGCGCCGCCCAATGAGACGCCGGCGACATCGTTGACCACCCGAATGTGGAAGTAGGGGCGGTGGAAGAGCGACTTAAGAAGGCCATGATCGATAGGAGGGAATTCCGAAGGCAAGGCTTGCAGCTTCACGCGTGAGAACTGTCCGGAAACATCCTTGTGCTCAAAGTGCACGATGTCGTCGGTGGATGCGGACGGAGAGCGATTCGGAGTAGGGGCCTTGGAATCAAAGTGCGGAGGATCATAACCAATGCTGGACTCGGACCACTTCTCCTGAGCGACTTCATTGGCGATGTTGGCCCCAGAGAGAGCACCGCAGTAAATCCCAAGGATCTTGCCGATGGTTTCGGAAAACAAACTGATTCCCTCTTCATTTACATCCACACCCTTGATGCAGGAAACACCGCGCGCATATGGAAGAATCTTGCCCTTGATCTGCCCACAGATGTTGATGATAAACTGATGCGGAAGGTTGAAAACGAGAATGGTGCTGTCTTTGACAGCATCCACCAGTGACGGATTGGCGTGCAGGTTCCTTGGGAGGGCAATTCCAGGAAGGTATTTGATATTCTCGTGGGTTTTGTTGATCACATCGGTGAGTTTCTGCTTTCCTTGGCAGAGAGGAGAGGCAGGATCGTAGTGCTTGGACGACTCCGGAATTTCAACTTGTTCTTCAAAAACCCACATCTGGACGTCCTCCTCGAAAACGGCGGGATTGCTGGCGGCATTCTCGGCAACTATTTTGGCAATAGCAGTGCCCCTTGAGCCATCAGCGCATGAAATTGTGAAAGAAAGAGTGCCTCAGGACGTACCAGTTTCCTGAACCGACCACAGTCACCTTGTGCTTCTGCTTATATGGTCCGAGAGAGCCCATATTGATCAGACTTGTCAATGGCAGGGACGAAGGCGGGGGATGGGCGGTTAAAAGAAGTCGAAAGAAGGTATAAGGAGTGTGTTGTAATGGCGTTGGCTTGCACAGGGACTGGCGGTATATTTGAATGGATAAAAAATGTTGAGGGATCGGAAGCCGAGGCAGGACTGGAATGGCACACGAGCTGGAAAAACAGGACTGGGGAGACAGACGCATTCACGAGGATTTGCGGAATGCAGTTTGGTGGCGATAACAGAGATGTACAGGGTACAAACAAGCCTAGATTTCGGACGATTCGGCGGCGCTGCGATTATTATTGGCAAACTGTGGATCTTCTTTGCCCCAACAGCCTAGTCCGGAAACAGGGAAGGGCGGCAGAACAAGACGAGCGATCTGATGTTGGGTTTGCAGGAGTGGGTGTCAGACGAGATTAGTGGTCTCGGTCTTGTCCGTTGAGTCAATAATAACTCTTCTGGCTAGGCTTTAAAGGAGGGGTAAATGCAGGCTGGCAACCACAAAACACCAAAAAGTATAAGATGCTCACGTGGTGTGGGGAGACATCATGTGAGTGCTCTTTTCATGATCTGCCGGCAAAATTCGATACTTTTTGCGGAATGGCCGAAGATGAGGCGGTGACAAGTAGATGGTTTGACAACATAATTTTCTGAGAGTCCTCAAACTCTCTGGGCTGTCTTGACTTGATATCGAACGTTGAACCGCGATGGTAAGTTACTCAACATTGGCAATTAGAGGGTAAATTTTTTAACAATTTTGTCTAGGCACCGGTCAAGAAACAGAAAACCCGTGCAAGGCCCGCCGCCGGAAACGGCTCCCTTTCCACAAAGTCACTTTTTGACGACGATTTTCGGACTAGCAAGAAAGACAAGCGCACCATCAAACACGCCAGTTTCGTGTCGAAAATTGAAAAAGGTTCGGCCAAATCAACCAAGCGGCGCCGAGCGTCCAAAAAACTCGTCGCGAGCCTTGAATCACTAGCCGATGCCTTGCCTGACGCCGAGACAGAGCTGAATGATCCGAGTCAAGTCAATATAATCAAACAGAAGACGCTTAAACACAAACCAGGCGCGCTAAAGCGCAAGGAAAAGTTGGAGAAATCAGAGCGTGATCGTTTCGCGAAGAATATGGCACAAATGTCGAATATTCCTGCAGCGACTCAGCCGAATTCCGAGCCCGACGCTGGGAACTCAGTATCAAATCGCTGGGCGGCGCTCCGTGGCTTCATATCGCAGACTATGGAACAACAGCCCGCTTTCAAGACAAACAAGTGAATATACTGGTGCCAAAAAAAAAAAAAAAGCATCGACTTCAGCCTATTTTGGAACCAGTGAGCTTGGCTGACACAGTCAGCTGCACTGGACAACATTCATCCGATAATGTCGCCATCCCAGTACAACTTCAGGCGCGGCTTTGTCACTCAGTATGAGTGAAATACGGTCGTTCCCAAAGCATGAGCCCAAATTTGGCCCATGACCGAAATAGTCCAAGGTGACTGGACTACTCACCTGGCCGACTCTGCCATATCCGTAGGCTTTGATGAGAATGCAGCGCATGGGTTAGCAGCGATTCTTCGGTCTTGGACATGTTGTTCTCATGAAAACCTTAGATGCGCTTCATGTTGTGTCTAGGAACACTGCGTGATATACTGTATCAATACACGAAGGTCATGAAATGAACTAGCGGAAAATTAAACAAACTCATTCTGCAGAGTAGTAGCATTTAGGTGTTTCGAAACCTCTATATGCATGTTGGGAGACTCTCAGAGTCGCGAAGCGTCTGGGAAGTTGATGAGACTAAGGCCCCGCCAGCGTCTCCAACGGCGGTTAACTGCGGGGAAGGCGGAGATCATCACGAGCATCTTCTCGCACCATGCACGACTCACCCTCTCCGGCTTCCCACCTCTTCACTAATCCTTCAGCATCTGCTCGTTCCGCTCTATGACTTATCATTTGTTAGTTTGAACAACACTTGCTTCATCACCCACTTCATATTGCGACTGCAGCGCCCCTCATGCTGCGGCTGGCGTCATGGCCATATCGGCCTCAGGTGCCCCGTAATTGCGCCCTTCGCCGCTATCGGCCTGCGCTCGCTCGACCTTCATTTTACGAGCGTCGCCCATTCTCGAGCTCGTCTGCCTCCTTCCCTACTCGGTCTCAATTCGACAGATCTGACTTTACAAACCAACCATTTTCCGGTGTCTACGAGTCCGGGCTGCCCACGGCCGGCCCGTTAGGATCCACCCCAGCCTTCGGAGCTCCAAAAATCACCCCAAAGACACTGAAGCAGTACCTAGACCAATTTGTCGTTGGACAGGATCGCGCAAAAAAGATATTGAGTGTAGCGGTATATAACCACTATCAACGGGTACAGGAGCTGCAGAGACGCCAGGACGAAGCCGACGAGCTACTTGCCAAGCGTGCGCGGAGGGATTCCGTTGAGCATCATCCTGTTGAGGGTATGACTTCTTGCCGTCTGAGTTACATATCTGTTTCTGCGAGACCGGTAACTGATCTAATGAGTAGACGAGTACCCAGGCCAACAACGCACCTCCTATCCGTCCCCGGAATCAACACGCTTCGCCCTCGACGCGAATAATCCGGAATTGGATGAGTCGGGGGCGCAACTAGAGCTTGAGAAATCCAATGTTCTTCTTCTCGGACCATCTGGAGTTGGAAAGACGTTGATGGCGAAAACCCTAGCTAGGGTATTATCCGTTCCATTCAGCATCTCAGACTGTACCCCCTTCACACAGGCGGGCTATATCGGCGAGGATGCAGAAGTATGCGTGCACCGACTACTAGCTGCTGCGAACTACGATGTCGAGGAAGCGGAACGAGGAATAATTGTACTCGACGAGATTGACAAGATCGCGGCGGCCAAGGTTAGCCATGGCAAGGATGTGAGCGGTGAAGGAGTACAGCAAGCCCTCCTTAAGATCATCGAGGGGACAACGGTACAGGTGCAGGCAAAGCAGGAGCGGAGTGCTCCTCGCAGTACTGGCACGCCGAGTTCATCAGCATATCCGTCGAACAACCCACTAGGCAACCCACCATTCACTCCACCCAATGGTGGCATGCCGCACAAAGGGGAGACCTACAATGTCCGCACCGACAATATCCTCTTCATATGTTCCGGCGCCTTTGGAGGACTGCACAAGGTAGTGATGGACCGAATATCACGAGGATCTATGGGCTTCGGCCAACCAGTCCGGAGACCTCACGCATCCACGGAGCACCCACGCGCCTCAGATACCTCAGCCAACGAACCGATACCTATCCTACCAGGCTCAGAAGAGGAGACTCTATACAAAAAGCACCTCCCATTCTTCACACCGCCCTCAGTCTCACCTTCCCACGCCGAGCCCACCTATTTCAACCCCTTAGACCTTGTCAACCAAGCCGACCTCCAAAACTTTGGCTTCATCCCCGAACTCATTGGCCGCATTCCTGTCACCGCCGCCCTGTCCGCACTGAGCCAATCTCTTCTCGTCCGAATTCTCACCGAACCACGCAACTCTCTCGTCGCCCAGTACGCAACGCTCTTCTCCCTGTCCGGAATCGAACTCCGCTTCACCACACCCGCCCTTCACAAGATTGCCGCGAATGCCTTCACGATGGGCACAGGCGCACGTGCGCTCCGCACCGAAATGGAAACAATCCTCAGTGATGCGATGTTCGAGACGCCTGGATCGAGTGTGAAATTTGTCCTTGTGACAGAGTCTGTTGCTGGCCGCAACGAAAAGCCCGTATACTTTGGCCGTGGTCAGGGAGGGCGGTTCCACTCTATGATCGCGGCAGAGGAGGATCGGTGGGAGGAGAGAATGCGGCAGAAGAATTCAAAGGGCAAGGAAACAGCGCAGGCCGCTGGATTGGGGGAGCAGCATCCTTCCATCTCAACATTTAGGGAGTACCGGAGCAGGGCAGCTGGGTCATGACTGGCTCTTGGCTGGCTCTTGGCTGGCTATATGCAGACAACCCTACTCTGTTGCATCATATGTCCTGGTGCATGTCTTGTACGTTCTACTGCGCTTTTATTATGTTTCTGAGCGATCGTAGCCGTCTGTCCTTTTGTTGGATGATGGCATGGCAATTTATTTGGGAATTTGATTATATATGTCCCTTTTCTTGGTACTGACGAAGAAATGCCATAAACCATCCCGTATCTACCTGGTATCCTGCTTGGAACTTGCAGCATCATTGAATCCCATGGAACGTATTGAATAAAAAAAAAGATACTTCATCGCTTATGTATGCATCGAAGTTGTGGAATCGCCGACCTTCACTGATATGGCTGGGCGTATTTATGTTTCAATAAAGCCTGCGAATGAGATGCCGACGACGCAAGTCGCTGTTCAGAGGCGGAGGTGCCGGGTTGTCTCGGTGTTCGAGGTGTGTAGGCTGGGAGAGTTTCACTATGTGAAGCTGGTTTTGGAACGCCTTTTGTCAATTTTGACCAAACGGCACTAGAGTCGATTGAGAATGCTGTAAAGAAGTCTCCAGCCCCGCGTTTAATTTCAACATGTTGCCACTGTGTCCATCTTGGGAGAGGTTCGAGACCTGTGAGCATGATGAATCGTCGAAATCGGTGAGCATAGACCAAGCCCCAGCCCGCAAAGAACTCTGCTAGGTGATCGGTGTCGCGGCATTCTTGGCTAGCATCACGGGGAACATCGGGAGACTCTTCAGTAGTTCGTGAACCGTACATGGGAAGAGTTGGGGGGGAGATAACGAATGTTTTGATGTAGTCGGCTTCGAAGTTCGGGTCATCAGATGCCGAAACACCGAGTTGGCTTAGCAGATGATACACTGCAAGCCACCTGGTTCTCGTTAGCATTTGAAGGAGAAGGTGATGCAGGACGCCACGTAAGAGGCAAAACTCACTTGGGCTGTTGCGATTCATCGCTGAGCTCTGCTTGCTTCAAAACCCATTGTTGAACGCCAGGGCGAAGCATTAGCTTCCAGTGTCCAGGAAACTTCTTCTGCAACCAGTCGTGAAACCACGCTAGGATGGTTAAAGTGGCGTCCAGCCGACTGACCATGAAATCCTCAGTGATTAGGAAAATGCCACCATGAGGGAATAACCGCTGTTTATGAACTTCATGGCCGACGTATTGAAGTGGCTGTGAAAGCGAGATATTCCAGCAAACCGTCACGGATCTATGGAGGAGGTCTCTAAGCAAAGGAACTTTGTGATAGTCGATAAAAGATTCATGAAACTGGTCAGGTGTTAGTAAGACGACCTTCAAACAGAGCGAATCACACTTACAAGGATAGCGCCGGGCATATTGGCTTTCCTGCTGGTAGCTACAAACTTTTCCCAGTCTCCTTCAACACGATTGGAATATAAAAGACGAGTGTGTAGTTTCAAAAATGACTCCATCGCATCCCTTTCCCTCCTGACCATTTCTGAGTCGTCTGGAAACCAGACGTAAAACATATCCGCCTTTTGACCCTTTACAGCAGCGCCGAGCGTTGCCAAATCGTCAAAGGTGATATTGAACCTCTTTGAGAATTCATCGTCCCAATTCGCCATCGCATTCGAAGGTCCTTCGGCGTTGTCCGGCTGTCCCGGGGCTTGAGCACTCTGTGTGTCGAGGTCCATAGGCTCGCTTATCAGGTGGTCAGAGTTTTCGGGTATGTGAGATTTCAGCTGTGTCGGTATATCATATGCACCGGGTCTGGTGGAAGCAGGGGATGGTACTGAACTGGTGGAGTGTTGTACACCGAGAGTGGGCGGATCGAGAGGCAATTTTCCAGTGATCCCCTGTGCAACGTCGGGTTTATCTAGTTGTTTGGCGCCTATTGATGCCTTTCCTTTTATTGACTCAAAATAACCGGTAGGGGAGCTGATAACAGGGCTTGTGAGCTGCGGGCGGTTTATTATCGGACGTGAATTCAGCCTGTCCAAGGGTCCGAGATAGCTCCTTAGAGCAAGTCTAAGATAACTCTGTCCATATCCGGTAGGAGTCTCATCCAGAAAGCTGAAGACAGGAGATCTGGGTAGGTATGCAAGCAGCACGTCGTCTGTCCTGTTATTGATCTCAGCTATCGCAAGCAGACTGTTCTGCTGGAGTGTCTCGGCTATTGTGCGAATCCTTGGCTCTGTGTCATCAAAGCCCTCAATCCATCCATTGGAGAACTTGAGATTTCTCGACTGGCAGGAAGGTCTCTATGTTAGTGAGGGACAACAAGGGTGAAAGCCAAAGTCAGCTGCTTACCCGTTCACAAAGTTGTTGGTACTCATCTAGGGTACACAGATAGCGAAACCAAATCTCGATCTTGTCACCGACCTTTGTTGAAAGGATCTTTTTTGCATAACGAGTGTCAATGCCACATAGCCTCGCATTTCCAATGTCCTGCTTATCTTGGCCAAAATACAGGGAAACGTAGAATTCCCCAAAGTTCCAGAAGCGACCACGGGTTGATTTTACGAATCTCGCCTTCGAACCCGGTATCCTGGGGGGCATTTCTGGCAAATCCCCATGGTCCATGATCCGCGAGTCACTTGGAGCCGTGGGTACAAATGCCCTGCGAGATGGGTGGATTTGGTCGCTTGATCCAGGCTTGGAGTTTTCTCGAGTGGCGTCGTTTGACCGGGGTGAAGAGGCCGGAGACTCTTGGATATGCTGGGGTAATATGGGTGAATTCAGCAATGAGCCCGGCCTGTCTGTGTCCGTGGGACTGGCGTTGCTAGTCTCGACTTGAACTGGACCTCGACGAGAACTGCTAAACTGAATTGCGCCGGCAGACCGAGCAGTTGCCCAGTCGGATGGCCGCCTGAGTTCAAGTTGATTTATGTCTGGAACGCGATCCCTCTGAGCCCTCTTCTCAAATTTATGCTTCCAAGACAACGTGTAAGTTTTGTGAGTGTCAGTTGAAGGGGTCTTCTTAGGGCGAGATGTCATTGGAGCCTTTTGGCTTGTTCCGAATAGCACAGGTGGCAGCTTCCGAGCTGCCGGCCCCTGTCTGGGAGGGTTTACCGGACGGGGTGCAGCAGAGTTGGGGGTTGTGTTCAGAGGGGGGATTGAAGCACTCGAGGCTTCAGGCCTTTGCTTGCTTGGAACAGCTTGGCTGCCATGGCTTGACCCAGACAAAGCGATGTTGCGTTCTCGCTTAGCTGCTCTTCTCTGCCTTCTCTGTTCCCGTTCTTCGTTCAGCTGAATGATCCTGGCCTCCCAAGAAGCCACATCGAACGCTTCGAGTTTCCCGTCCTCAATAAGTCGCTTCTTTCTCTTCCAGTCGCGCAAAGTCTCATCATCACCAAAGGCATCGGCGGGCTCCCAAGTACATCTCTCAATCGGATAACCCGCCCACTCAACGAGATATCTCATGCCATCTTCAAATAGATCTTCCGACAGGATTGTTTTGACTTCATACTCAGACTGTTGGTCACTTTCAATGGTGGAGGTAAGAGAGATCTCATCATCGCTGACGGTACCCATCGCCATGTTCAACCAATCATTGAAATAAAGTAGACGAATGCACCTACTGTATACCTAGGTTCGGCCAATTCGAGTGCCGGAACTGGGGAATGTGGGGAGTATCTGAAGGCTGTTCAAAGTATTTCAAGATAAAGTCGCGCAGCTCCATGCAGTGGGAGTACACGGACAACCACGTGGCTTGGAGCAGATGCTCCGTCGCTAGCGCTGTATTTCTCCAGCCTTGAATCGCTTCCTTTGAAACGCCGTGCATACGATTGTGAATGAGTCTTTCTTCGCAGAAGGCAAAGATATGAAACGAGCGGGGCACGTGACCCACCAGGCTAGGCCCCAAGGGGGAGGGCGGCCACTCGGCTCCTGCGACGGAGCCCGGATTTCATAAGGAGCGACGAGCAACCGTCTGGAGAGCCTCCTATCTTCCGCTTCCCCCTTGCAAACAAAGTCGTGTGTGAGTTCCCGTTCCGTCCCTTTTGGGCACTCGATTCTGTTCCTCGTGTCTCGACTCATCGCTGCCTCAGATCCGCAACTGACGTTTTCTGTGCCCCTCCAGATCTGAGTTTCGCTGTGTTGTCGGTTTCCGCTCACCAGCTGCCTACCGATCCAGCCACGTCAAATCTTCATTTACCCGCAAGCTTTACATATCTATAAATCGGAGCTTCTCGAGCTCTTCTAACGGTTAATCATGGCTAACGACGAGTATGATGTAAGTTTTCCTGTCCCTCTTCAGTTCGCCTCCGCCATGAGCAGCACTAACTCGACTGCCTGATAGTTCCTCTTCAAAGGTACGTTGCCACTGCCCGTCCGCGCCCGCCCAAACCGCCATTCGCCTGGCGCATTCCCTTCACTCGGACAACACAACTAACATGGGCGATTCTTCGCGTTCATACAGTGGTGCTTATTGGAGACTCCGGTGTTGGAAAATCCAACCTCTTGAGTCGTTTTACCCGAAACGAGTTCAATCTAGACTCCAAGTCAACCATTGGTGTCGAGTTCGCAACTCGCTCTATTCAGGTCGACTCCAAGACAATCAAGGCTCAGATTTGGGATACTGCTGGTCAGGAACGTTATCGTGCCATCACATCCGCCTACTATCGAGGCGCCGTCGGTGCCCTCCTCGTATACGATATCAGCAAGCACCAGACTTACGACAATGTCAACCGGTGGTTGAAGGAGCTTCGCGATCATGCTGACTCCAACATCGTCATCATGCTGGTGGGAAACAAGAGCGATTTGAGACATCTCCGGGCTGTACCCACAGAGGAGGCAAAGCAGTTTGCGAGTACGTCTTTCCCAATTTCACAGTCATCCAATGGCCGGAATGATCAGCTAACAACAGTAGGCGAGAACAACCTTTCCTTCATTGAGACTTCCGCTCTGGACGCTAGCAACGTTGAGCTTGCTTTCCAGAACATTCTCACAGGTACGGACTCTCTTGTGATTTATTCTCGCAGCGGCTTTTCTGATATCCCTTCTCTTTTCTAGAAATCTACCGCATCGTCTCCAGCAAGGCGCTTGAGGGCGAGTCCGGACAGACCTCCGTTGGAGAGCGCCGCCAAGTTATCGACATTCAACATTCCCAGGACACCGAGAGCAAGCCAGGATGCTGTTAAACAAGTTACATGATGTTTCATTTCGAAACAAGATACGCCAACCGCAACGAGCCTATATTTGGAATGAGATAATTGAATGGTCTTGATGTTTCTTTTTGCCCGTTGATTGGCCTCTACACAGATGAAGTGGGACTGTTGGGAACGACATACGAATATATGGTACTTACCCAGCCTTATTCTTTTCCTCCTTATCTCCACCCTACACTTTTGTTTCTGCTTCACCTTTCTTCTTCTTCTTTCGACCCTGTTTTTTATTCATTCTTTGTCTAATTCATGACATCCCGTTAAACCCCTCAGTTATCAGTTGGTGTTCCATTACCTTATAAAATTCTCGTCCCTGGCGTCCATGAAGTGGCAGTTAAGATGGTCTAGGAAAGTCGAGGCCATGCAGAAACACTTGTTTAGGAAGATATATGAGAAATTATGTCTCGATGTTTGCCTCGTATTGACAGGCGGCTGAAAAGAAGACCAAAAAATGGCTGGCCTTTCCAGGTGTCCCCAACAGCCCCCGCTTTAGTAAGATTCATGGTGATTGTGATGAGCCCTTCAGTCAGATTTATCCGCATACACTGCATTGTGATACAAAGCGAGCATCGATCCTAGGTAATTGACCCCAGCAATTACAGCCACCGCGCCCACCGAGAACTTGGTCTATAAGTAGGCATCCAAGATTAGCGCGCGAATCTCTTCCGAGTTTCCGCATCATAACCACTTACACTGGTGCTCTCATTGCGCAAGACCAAAACCAAAATTCCCAACACAAGCAACATGTTGCTAAAATTCAACATCATCACTGGCACCTGCCACATATATAGCTGGATCCGAGACGGGCTTTGATCGGTCGAGTCGATCTTCTCTCCGTCTGCGCTTAGTATGCTCCGCAGATAGGCCCATCCTCTCGGGCTGGCTCTGGCGCGAGTCAGGGCGATGTTCTGCTGTGTAGCTAAAGTGACCGCCGTGATAACAAGAACCAGCCCGCTGTACCAGCATATTCTGGAGAACTCGGGGATTGCATCTTGGGTCTGTGGCCAGGCGAACAGTTGGGTTAGAACTGCGGCTGTGAGCCCGCCCTGGAGAATCCGTTCGATTAGCGATGCTCATTATAATCGATGTGGTGGTAGTATTGCACTCACGGATATGCTAACATGGGTGAGCTCTGTTGCTTTTGACTCGCACCAGCCCTCAACTCGCTCTTTCACAGTCTTGCTATCATCCATGCTGACTGCATTCTTGAAGGTAGTCTGGTTCAAGCTCCATGGCCAAAAAACGACCCGAATCCCGGCCAGTATTGCCTTGAATATGGTCTGCAACATTGCTGTCAGTGCCGAGATCATGTCGTTAAATGAACCAATGGTCGTTGGTATCCCTCAATCAATAGATGAATGTTTGAATCCTTTGTTTTTTCACTAACAGTGTATGTGGATTGGAATTATTTTGCTACTTATAATTCAAGGCTGCCAGCTCCTGCTCCGCCTCTCCTAGTCCGGGTCTGCCTTTCGCGCAATGGGATTGGGCTCTGTGCTGCGCCTTGCAACCACCGGCGCCTACATCTCATCCATGTCACTCACAAAACCCAATCAACCTCTGTAGTAAGTTGCTGTTTTTGTCAGCCTCACAGCGGACCGCTGGAATGACGTGTTCATTGAGAATGTTTTTCAGTCTTATGCCTTGTGATTCTCACTTAAATGCGAGCGCCCAGCTGAGACGACCATGAACGCTTTCAAGAATCTTACGGCGAAAATGCCTCCCCACACACCCGTATCTCTATGGCGGGTCACCAACGAGAATCGCTTACTCCTGCGCTTCCTCATGCTGCCATGCCTCGCACTAGCATGCAAGAGTGGCTCTCTGAAACAGATCCTGAAGAATATATGGCAGCCACGCGAAATCCTCGATCCCAGAGTCAATGTTGTCATCTCGGTCTCGCTTACGATAATCGTCACTCAAACCAAGAAACTTAACTCATTGTTTTACTTATGGCTGCTATTTATGGTATTTGTTGTCAACGACTTTGATGTCCAACTAAACCATCCACAAGTATCCCCATGGTACCGCGAGTGCTGCTTCTGTCTCGCGATCGTCCAAACTTGTGTGACCGTCTTCTTTGCCCTCAAAGTCGAGAACTCCGCATGTTCAATATGCTCACGGAAGCGGTTCTCCTTGGCCGATGTTACCGGAGAGGCAAGAAACTCTCGGCCTGTATATTTTGTTTCAACGCCGGCCTTTGGCTCCCCGCTTCTGAATAGACGCATAAAACGCTTGCTGGATCGTGGAAACGCACTGCTTGCGAGAGGCTATGTCGACTACGTCACTAAAATCGCTGGAAGGAAGTTGAGCGATAAAGAGAAAAAGATGTTGTTGTCGGATCCAGCATACATGGCCAGGTTTATAGAGGCATCAGGGTGTCTTTTATCCATTCCGATACTATTCCACGGGCTCGAATCACCTTCAAGTCTGCTTTCACTACCGTTGGGAAAACGCTACAGTCTACTCCTGATTATCATGGGCCGAAACATGCAGACGGCTCTTCTTTGGACTCCATGGGACCTTGTATGCCACCATGCACTAGAGGTCGGCGGGATCCTTTATGAACTCAAGCGATCAGGAGGGCTGGACGATTCCATTGAGCTTCAGAAACCCCCTCGAAACCTCAACGGTTCTAAAGATAGAGGGAAAATGGTTTTGTCTCGTACCCAAGTCGGCAAGACGTTTTTCAACCATGACGAAATTCTCCAATGTGGTGAGCCTAATCAATCTCCATAGTTCTCATGGTAGCTCACTGATTTTCTCCCGCCAGGCGATGAACTGATACAAATATCCCCGAACTATGATTTAATAACCTATAACTGCCAAGCACTGCGCTACAATCTCTTTCGAAGAATCCTAGATGATAATACTAGCAATGTCCTGCGAACAGACTGGTCATACGAGCACCCAAATGGTCTTCTGATACCAATGATATTCTCGGTGTTCACCGACTTTGACCCCTTTAGCAATTTCACCACAATCTCTGGGCTTCTTCGTGGCATGCTGGGAATCATACACTTCGACCACATGCTCAAGGGAATTACGTATGGCACATCAACAGCCTACGGGCGTCAATTCTGCTTTCGCCGCGCTGGTTTGCTGGTTGGGGCCATGCTTCTTTTTAGCCGTGTGGGCTCACCGAGCCTAGCGAGTGAGAATGAAGAGCGGCCGTCCGTGAAAAGGGTCCTCGTTGTGCTGTTATATCTCCAATGGGGATTGACTAGTATAGCTTGGTTGTTTCAGGTTGGTCGGGGGTACGCTCAAAAGAACAAGAAAGAATTGGAGTCTCTACGGCTGCGTGCGATCACCCGTGTCCTTGTTGCCCTTGTTATTTCGATCTTAATGTATGTTGAGAAAAATTCCAGAGCAAATGCATGACTAGATACCTGGAGTACTAGTATAGGTCGGCCTTTTCATGATATCTATGACTGATATGTTGAAATCAGTTCTCATCTGGATTGAAACTCTATATACTTTGTCATATACTTTACAAAACTCTTCATTAATTATCTTGTTCAACGTGTGATTAATGTCTCAGAGCAGGCACCTGATAAGGTGCTTCATCAGTCCATAAGTTCTTGTCCGCATAGATAGGATTCAAGTGCATGTGGTCTTCAACCCTGTTTCTACACCTTTCAGCTTGAGGACAGAGGGTCGTATGTATCCTCTTTACTGCGCAAAATATATCTATGACAGAATATTAGCACCAGCCTCACCATAGCCACCTCTATCTATTATCAAATCTCTCCCCAGATCCGTCGACAAGCTCGGCGGCCTATCCTCTACAGCTCTTCCCCATCCACTTTCCTCCTCACCGAGAACCAACTCCAACGTCCAGCCCTCCGTGAAAAACTCATGGCTAATCCAATTCCTTGTATAGGCCTGGCCATTCAGCCTGACACTCTGGATATATATCCGGTTATAAGCTGGATCGAAGTTAACGCTCCTAATCACGGCCGTCTGATTCGTCTGCGGATGCGTGATAGAAATCTCTTCGAAAAATGGCGCTGTGATAAGATATACATTCTGCCCCGGGTTGGGGAACAGTCCCATCATTGAGAACGCGGTAAATGCACCCATTGCGCCGGAGTCGTCGTTACCTGGAAGCCCCGAGGTTGATGTATTGAAGCGTGAAGGAATGTAGCCGTGAACGCGCTTTGAGGATAGGCCTGGGCGACCCGCGTAATGGTACTGGTATACTGTTAGGAATACAGGCTCGTTGCCTAGGTCTGCGAGGCCGGAGTCGTGGAAGAAGTCGAGGCGGGAGATGAAGGCATCGTCGCCGCCAAGTGTGGTGATTAGGGAGGACATGTCGTGGGGGACGTAGCTAGTTTTATTGTTAGTAATTGGTAGAGACGACAAGGAATTTAGGCAGGTTGTTGGGGACGGACAATTGGTACTCCCAGACGCTCGACTCAAATGTTTCTGATGGGTTGCTTGTAAGTGAGCACCACGAAGCAAGGGCGCTGCAGGCGATGGGGTCCTGGTAGCCCCATGTTCCGTTCAGGTATCTCGGCTGGAAGAAACCAACAAATCCTGTATCTGTACCGTTGATGAAAGATGTCTGGTCGTTCTTGAACAGGTTCTTCCAGTTACCCGCGCGGGAGAGGTAGGTTGTGTACCTGTCTTTCTTCAGTCCTCTTCCGACAGTTGATACGCAGAAGTCGTTGTATGAGTACTCAACCGTTCGCGAGATACTTCGGGAGTTTGTTCCAAAGCCTAGATAATCAAAGTCGAGATATGGGATATAGTTCAGACGCTTCCAGCTCTGAAGCCCGCCACGGCCCTCATATGACCATTCCAATGGCTCGTTCTCAGCATCATTGACCATGGCTTCGTAGGCGAGACCCCAGTCAATCCCCGTAAGATTCTTAACATACGCATCCGCGAGAACAACGTCAGCGTTTGAGCCGCCCTGAGTCCAGCCTTTGCATAGACTCATACGGCAGTCTGGCAGCCAGCCTTCATGCCTGTACGTATCTAGAAGACTGCGGACCATTTGGGACTGAGTCTCGGGGTCAATGATGGTTAGAAGTGGGTGCTGTACACGGAATGAGTCCCATATGCTAGACACTATTAGTAGATCATCCTCGACTCATAGTCACAAGCCAAGTTCAAGCTCACCAATAGAAGGAATCAAAATACGGCTCTTTGCTCTCCCAAAGTGGATTCTCTCCTGTCATATCCTGCGGGCTCAGCATGTTTCGATAGATAGCACTCCAGAAGCTCCTCTCCAGCTCCACATCAGCTCCACCAGATTTGATAGAGATAGGGCTTAACCTTTCTCTCCATGCACCCTCCGCGCCAGTCCGCAATCGTTCAAAATCATTCAAGGGGTTCGGAATCCCCCTCTCTGCGTTCTCACAGGCCTGTTGGCTGCTTATGTAGCTAACGCCAACTCTCGCAGCCACTGTCATATCCTCATCGAATAACCTTCTGAACCTTAAGAATCCACCAGCCTGCAGGTAAAACAGGTTGAACCCCCTCTTCACATACAAATCTTGCGTCTCTGTACCTGCACGGTCGTTCACCCACACTCCACCATCGCGAATATCTGCTCCGTAGAAGTCCACACAGGTGTATGATCTGTATGACCCAGAACCAAATGAAGGGAGGAACGTCCCGTTGGCCAGTATTCTCCCGTTTTCCGGGTCAATGGCGATAGAGGCATTTTGCCGACTATCCCAGAGATCCGTCAGATCGAGCAGTATCAGCGGACTTGCATTTCCCGAGCCGGCACTCGAAGGGAAAGTAAATCGGAACAAGGCCGCTCTTTCAGAAACGGTCATGTCCACTTTTATCCCGCTTTCTAGAGTCAGGCCAAAATACCCCGGCCTCGCAACGACCGAGTCATTGATGTAGCCTGTTGCCCGAGCACTCTTTGGGAAGTCACAAGTATTGACATCCTCACTATCGGGACAGACTTGTGGAAAGAGAGGAAAGTTTCCTAGGGATGGATTCCCTCCCGTGCCAGAGTCATGAAGAGCTGAGAACCCCGTCACACGGCTTCCATCTGTTGAAAACCCGCCCGTGTTCTGGCCATCTACATCTGCGACGGCTTTTGCTAGACCGTATGGGAGGGAGGCCCCGGCGAAGACGTTTCCACCACTCGTAGAGCCAATGAGGGGGTTTATGTATTCGAGGTTATCTGAGTCGGGAGTTTCCTGAGCTCCGACTCCTAAGACAAAGGTAATCAGAATAAGCCTGGAAAGCAGCATTATTGAAAGAACATTGTCAGTTGCAGCTTACAAAGTGCTAAGGAAGATCTGGAGTATCCCAGTCTATGTTGTGAGACGCGGGGCACGTGCAAGGATAATCGAGTCAAGATCAGCATTCCAGTGAGGAGAAACGAGGAGAGTGTTGCACTCGCATTATTGATAATTGAGAGAATGATCATCCTAGCTAGCGGGGTTAACTGATTTTAAGTGCTCCGAAGGGCGCATTCCTGTGTCCTAACCTGCACTTGGCAATCGGTGTTTAACAATATATTTCGGTCAATTTGACCCTCTGTCCAGGAAAGTCGCGATGCGAATTATGTAGACGACCTGATAGCCAAGCGAAAATAACTAATCCGCATCATCTTCTAAGACAGGTCTGCTTGTTAAGGCGGATAAGCCGTTGGGAAAGTGCCGAGCCCTAACTTATCCACGCAGATAAGGGACAGCGTGCCAATCGCTCCTGCCATATCAATGGAACCCCAAGGCTATGGGTCATACCTTTCTATTTCTCTTCTTTCTCCAGATAGGAAAGCACCCTTTCAAGGCTGGGTTGTTCCTTCTTTATTTGAGTCTGAGTGCCGGCCCTCATCGGAGGAAGGAGCGAGGGACGCGGTCGCGCCTGCCTATCGTACATATACCCACGGAAACAAGCCAGGCGCGCTCTCACCATACCTCCGGGCTATAGTCTCATCAAGCATCCTCAATTGGTGTTGATTCTCTACCTTGTATGGTATAAGCCAGAACCTGGCCCCGGGCCGGGCCCGGGGATATAGATGTGTTCCCGATTAGGAAGGTGGACCCACCTGCCAGATAAAGTGGTGGAGGCGGTGAACCACTAAAAAATCTCGTTCTGCCGGCAAGCCAACTTTTTTTATTTTCGCCGAGCAACAAGACGGAATCATTCTACGACTTTCGGAGTTGAACTCAACATGGCTTCCGTTTACAAGACAGTCTCGAAGAAGCAAGCGCGCGAGCTCGCGAAGCAGCAGGATCAGGATGAGGAAGATGTTATGATGGAGGAGCTTCTAGCCGACGCCGACGATACAAGCGATAGTGATGAGGACGAAGATGAAGATGCCGTGGAAACCGCGAAGAAACAGCTCGCTGCTGGACTCATGCCCAAGACTCGTGTTCTTATGCTTACGTCGCGAGGCATCACATCTCGGTATGTGCGCTCCTGTTGCGACGATAGAAGTTCAGGGTAGCTGACTATCTGATTTCTAGACACCGACACCTCCTCGCCGATCTTACCTCATTGCTCCCTCACACTCACAAGGAAAGCAAGTTGGACTCAAAGAAAAAGGCCGCCGGTTACAACTTGCTCCTGAACTCTCTCGCCGACCTCCACTCGTGCAACGTGATTTTCTTCCTCGAGGCCAAGAAGAACGGTCAGGATTTGTACCTGTGGCTTTCGCGGCCACCGAACGGCCCTACCGTCAAGTTCCACGTGAGCAACCTTCACACAATGGCCGAGCTGAACACTGGTTTTGCCGGCAACTGCCTGAAGGGCGGTCGGGGTATTGTGGTCTTCGACAAGTCGTTTGATGAACAAGGCCCAGTCATGGCCAAGCCAGGAAACGAGTACCGCGGATTGATCAGGGAGATGCTTCGAAATGTTTTCTGCGTACCTAAGCGTGGCGTTAAGGGAATGAAGCCTTTCATTGATCGTGTTATTGGAATTTATGGCGTCGACGGCAAGATTTGGATTCGGGTCTACGAAATCCGGGAGTCGGAGAACGGAGGAAAGAAGAAGGGCGACGGGGAAGAGGAAGAGGCCAAGCCTGCGCACAAGAGCAAGGACGGACCGGAGCTGTCCCTCGTCGAAATTGGCCCCCGATTTGTCCTGACACCCATCGTCATTCTGGAAGGAAGCTTCGGCGGTCCTGTCATCTACGAGAACAAGGAGTATGTGAGCCCGAACCAGGTCCGTCGCGATATCCGGGTCAACAAGGCTGCGCGGTATGCCAAGCGGAGAGACGTACAGACAGAGCGTATCTCGAAACGGTCGAATTTGGAGATGGGCTTGGGTGAGCGGAAACCCGGTGCACTCGATACCCGGACGCTTTTCGGGTGATTATGACTTTTCCATCTTTCATGCTTGGTGTACTCTTAGACTTGATATCCTCGAAGGATGCATTTGTGAAGGATTTTCATCTACGGTCTTGTCAGCGGCGTCTGGAGTGGTATACATAATAAAAAGTTCTGATGCATATAGTGCATACATCCTACATCTATTTTCCCTGCCGGTCCTGGTAGTACTTGCTCTAGCCAATTTGCGCTGTCGATTAGATAAGCGGTCGCGTCCAAGTATAAGAAGCTTGAGCAAGTCACAGCTCCTGACCTCAACTCATCCAGCCACCATGGCATTCTCTTCACCATCGAGCCCTATGCGGCTACAGGGAGCTTCTGCGCACCTTTCTATTATCACATCCAACACACGTATCATGATTCAGTCCCTTCTCGATGTGAACAGCCCCAAGGGTGGGGTTGCAACTTAAGTCATACCTCTTGCGACCGCAGTGAGCTTACTGCCATCACAACATTGCTTGAGCGATTGCTCATTCTTATATCTAATCAAATTCCGACGCCTGTTCTTTGCACCCGAAGATTAAACAATCCCATAACTAAACAAGCTACTAGGTAAGTTGCGGATGACCCAAGTAAAGTGTCTGATTGCGACAACTGACGGATCCAGCACTCCTGAAAACATGTCCTTCCACTATCTAGCTACGGAGCTTTTGCTTCATATCTTCCAGTCATGCGATACGATTACCGATATTCTAAACCTCGCATCAGCGTGTCGCCGGTTTCGCGACGTCTTCAATCGATCGAACAAGCTCCAGATCATGATGGACGTTGCGGAAATGGAGTTCGGTCCCGTTGACGACATTATACAAATCGTGACGCATAATACAAGCCAGCCGGCCCATATTTTCCGCACAGCACCACTCACAGCACCTCTCCTCAGACAAGTCGTGCAGATTGGCAGAGTCGCCCAGAAGTGGGAGACGATCTACCCTGTCAAGAAGTGGAAGCTCGACTTTGAGAATAGGCGCTCGCTCAGCGACAAGGAGCGCTTTCGTCTCCGCCGTGCGATTTTTCGCCTTTGGCTTTATCATCGCGCTTTTCACACGCGAGACTACGATCGCTATAGTCGCCATCTGCGGAATACGGTCGCGGAACGCGCGCAGCTCCTGCATAACTGGTCGACCGCTGAGTTGGCAGAGATTGAAGACGTCCGCTTGGTCATTGGCGATATCGTCCAAAACCACATTTGTCCAAGCAATGGGACTATCCAGCGAAAGTTCCGGAATCGGTACCCTGAAAGCAACCACCAGCTAACCTTCAACATCCATCTAAATTACCCTATGGCCCAGAGCGGTCTCACCCCATATGGGTTCATCGATCCGAACCCTAATTCGACAGAACAATACTTCCATACAACCCACTCTACCAATTTCTCCAACTCTGCAAAATATCGATCGCGTTTCCGGAACGACATATTCCACGAGCCTGGCTCGGAAGGGTGGGGCGATGAAATTCCGCACTACTACATTGTACAGGATATGATGAAGCTTGATCCCGGCCAGGTTCTGTGGTTACGCGAACACTGCCTGCTCAAGGAGCAGGTCGAGACATTTGTGCTTTCGCTAGGGGACTGGTTCCGGGATAATGGCGAGACGTTTGGCGATACACTGGAGTGGGTGATGAATGAGAGAGGCGATGACATAGGAGAGTTTCGAGCTGCAATCTCGGAGCGGGAACTTGGGATTGCGGAGTAACTGAGTTATCTTATCGTTATATTGTGGAGTTGATACATAGCTACGTAGTAGTAGTACGCATGTTAAACGATTTCTCGGGCGTAATAAAGGGCTTACAATTTGTTCCCGCTATTTTTCACGTTATCTCAACATTTGTGGACTAGCACTAGATACGGAACGACCATTCGAAACCACTGGCACAAAACCGAGAGCGCACGCAGATTATCCAAAAGGGTATCTATTATTACTAGCCCATCTAATTATTGCCCCGTCTCTAAGTACATAATAATGTTACAGTCATAATATACAGTTTATCGTTTTCTGCTCGCCGCCCTTATCATGATCTATCATGAGGAATGGCCACTTAGCAGCTTCAACACCAGCTCATACGTTCCCAGTGTGATTGCCGCCGAAGGAACCGTGCGGATCATGTGAGCGGTCAATCCTCCGTATAGCGCGACGAAGCCCTCTTCCTTGACCATTAATCGCAGACATTGCATCACGCCGGTGTATTTCTGGCGGCCGTCGGCCATGGGAGCTTGTCGGAGGCGGGTTCGGAGGACCTGTTGAGGAATCAGTTAGCAACCTGAATTCGTGTTCAGGGAGGCGACGGAAATGAAGGAAAAAGCGACATACCTCGTGAGGGTAAGCAATCAGAACAGCAATCAGCTTCGAGACTCCAGCGGCACCGCTCAGAATGAGCCCCTGCGTCACCTCACTCGACTGGGCCTTGCCCTTCTTCTCATTATGCCGAGCAACCATAACCTTTATCCGCTCATACGCGGCCAGATGCAGCGTCGTCTCAATAACTCCGAGATAACTCGCCATAAGCCCCCGATATAGCCCCTTGACCCCCTCCTGCTGAATAACCTGCTTCACGCAGTCGAGACTATTCCGATACATTTGCGGCCGAATCGATCCATCCGCATTGACATGCGACCGGTCGAGCTGCAATCTCGTCTTGACCAGCCAAATCGGATTCGTGGCTGTCCCCGTCACAACGCCCGCGGTGGCGGCCGACAGCGCATGAGTGCTCGTCGCATCCTTGTCCATCCCCAGTAACTCTGGATATAGCCTCTTGCAATTCCCGTATGCGTAGAATTTGATTGCTGTCGCCGGGACAACTCCTGTAAGGCTGGGGCCGAGGCCGCGGAAGAGGCTGCGCCAGCCCTCAACGCGGTGAATGGAGAAGAGAATTTCGAAAGTTTCGCTAAAGTGTAAAATGAAGGAACGGGCAAGAGAGGGGCGAGTTCGTTGCAGGGTGGCAGTAGATTTGAGGTGAGAGCGGTAGAAGTCAGATTGAAGACGAGTTCGGAGGACGTCGAGGGGGGATGTGAGAAGGGCGGTTGCCATGCCGCCAGCGCTGAGATCCGTCAGTTTGTAGACTAAAACGATGAATAAAATAGTGGTGTACTCACGCGCCAGCTACCAAATGTGTCCATGAACTGTTCGTTTGTTGAATCTGCGGAGGAGCGATCGGCTTCTCAGACACGGCGTTGAACGCCGCGTCTTTCGAGTCGTCGCGTATAGCCTGCATGTCTGAGGAGCTAGCCCGAATATAAGCTACCTATATCGAAGAGCGCAAGACGATTAGAGACAGAAAAAGGTGGATTTAAGCAATGTCAAGCCATGTGAAATAATTTGGAGGACTCTTGGTTGGGCGGAAGAGGTCCAGAATTTTTTTTACGGAGCTGGGCGGTGATTATGTAAGTTGCGGCGATAAGCTCCGGCGATTATCAGCCTGCCTGGCGCGTCTGGTCCGGTCCCAAATTCCCGACGTCTACTTTCTCCGCTTTTTGAGTTTTACAAGGATTCAAAGGGAGGATTATTTCTGAGAGACGCAATTGACCTATGGAATCCAAAGTGCTCGGATTAAACTCGAACTCGATGTTACACCTTCAAGTGGAGCACACCGCTCTGGATCATACCACCAGGATCGCTGACCGCTGAGATTCTGACGAGATAAACTATATCGGAGGATGGATCCACCCAGGGACAAAATCAGTACTGCCCTGGAGCCCTGGATCGTGAGTGGCAGTAACACGGGTCAGCGGACTCTAGAGCACATAAACTACCTAGGTACTCTAATCTGCGAACCAATGATATGTTGTGGCTCCAAACCTAGCAGTACTCTCTGAGCACCCGTCCAAGACCTGAAAACCCTTCTTGGGCAACTTTCGTTCCTGCGAGGCGATTTGCCATTCCCAACTTCTTTGAAAGGTCCCAGGTATCTCCTTTGCAGATCAGTCCGTACATCATGCCAGCGATAAAGGTGTCCCCGGCACCAATAGTACTAAAGAGATGTCAGTCATATATCAAGAGTAGTCCCCAGTCTCATTCAGTGACATACTCAACCACTTCAAAGCCGGGTGGGGTATATGCTGAACTGTGTACAACGTTTCCAGTACTGGTCTCCAGGGCCACAGCACCATCTTGCCCCCAGGTACAGCAAAGCAGTGAGCTAGCGAGTGGTTAATCGATATTTATTTGAGGAAGAAGGGGAGTTATACGCATTTCGCGTCAGCGATGACTGTTCTTGAAGACATTCTTCGGCAGAATTATACCCACTATTCTGTCGTAGCTTAGTGAGCTGCCACAAGATAAAAAGGTAAGAGCTTACCTGAGCCCAAGTCTTTGAGTAGAAAACTATATCGGCCTCCATTGCAAGTTCCTGGAGGCCGTCACGCCCAGGTTTCTCGACTTCCACGCTAATCCTGGTATTAGGGAAGCGATCTCGAAGATGACGTATACATGCAAGGGTCACGTCTGGTATACGGCCCTAGAAATCGGGTTCTTGAGCCATATGAACAAGAAAGCTGCCAATAGCACGATGGGAGGAGCGAACCTCAAAATGAAACCACCCGACCGGACTCCTCAGCCCATCAACAATGCTTTCGAACTCCTCTAGGGCCATCTCCGGAAGCTCATTGTAATTGACAATTGTCCTACTCCCAGATGCCTGACTCTTGATGATATAACTCGAAGCCGGCTCCTCAAACTCCTCTCGATATATACAATGCTCGAGAGATACATGAGGCTCGAACGCGCTTCTTATTTGCCGAGATGCGACAGATGTCCGCGCAGGTAGAATGGCAACAAGGTTGAGAGGAACTTGTATGTCTGAAGGACTTTCAGCCATAATTTGCTGGAGAACCTCTAGGCTGTTTGGACAGTTGCCGCCCCGTCGACGCGAGATGCTTGTTGCACGTAGTTTGTCATCTTCGCCTGGGTAATAAGGTGTGCTGCACAGGCGCTGTTAGCGGACTAGTTTTGATCATCAGTGGAGGAGTTGATTCACGTTAGGATTGTATCGACATAGCATGCTCCTACCGCAACTAAAGACATTGCGCTTGTAGAATCCGGAAAGTTGAGGTATGTTGAGGCTTAGATCTTCTATAGAGAGGTAGCTGTTGGGCTTGGCTCACATGTCAGAAAAGAGTTGCATCATTCTGGCTGTGGTGGGGTAGATTGACCCACCATTTCCATACTCGCCGAGCCTAGGGCTCCGGCGACAATGATCTTGATTGATATTAAGATTATAGTCTTCCAGTAATCAAGTGAAATATGTCCCAATATTCTAAAGCTCAAGGTGATTGTCTGATTGGTACATAAACTTCATGTGCTCTCGTCTGAAAAAGGGTCTATATATAATTGGATTATTCCACGGATTAATATCCCAAACACCAAACAATTGTGTCACTCAGCCCAACCGTTTCTGTTTATCTATCTCTCGTCCGCCGGTCATATCACAGACTGATGCTCAATAGGCCAGAGGTGTTTAGAAGATCTAGTATGCTTTCAAGGTCCATTGCCCGACTCTTCGCTAGCTGTTATATCTTCTTAAGGGGGGTTGTCGGTGGAACTGGCCTAAGTTCCGAGCTGGAAAGCTTCTTCTTTATAAAAGCGGCTTGGCTAAGTGTGTCTTTCGAAGCCTCTTGATAGCGAGAACGCTTTTAGGGGAAAGGATGGAAATGGAATGGGATTGCTAGTAGGACCTTACGCGATAGTACTGGAAGAGTAGCACTCAATTTTATTTGGGTCATAATGACTTTCTGAACCTCCCAAGCACTGACGAAACTGATACATCGAGGGACTCACTAGACTGAACATTATAGGTTCTTGATTCCTCACCTCCTCCCAGAGTTGACCCCAGTATCCAAGCTAAAAAGATGCTTGTGACCATACATACATTACTCACACCAAGCATAACCTTGAAGCCGCCTGTGGAATCCTTCATGTTTAACCACAATGGTTGGTATGTGGTTGACCGGCGTCATATACTTTCGAAACCCGACCCGAGGAATAGCTGCTGCTTTGGGTTCTTCCAAAGATTTCGGCACCCCAACTCATGCCCTCAACACGCTGCTCTGACCAACGATGCGCAGGACCTGTTGGGATAGACGTCCTAGGTATCCGAACTGGCGTAGTATTTACCTGAGAAGGCTGATTTGCAGTCTTTCGATTCCGTCTCGACCTCCGCGTCCTGCTATGCGGGTGGTTCATCTGATTGTTTATCTGCCTGTTGAATGGTGCAGTGTTCTGGCTGTTCTGATCATTCTTCTGGTTTGTGGGCTGGCTAGGAGGAGGGCGTGTGTTGGCTTTTGGGGCAACTTGTTGAACTCGAGGCTGGGCTTGACGCTGCGAGGAAGAGGGAGTGGGCGGACCGTTTATTGTGGTTTTTGGAGCCTGCACTGCTGTCTCTTTTACGAGAATAATATCATCGTCCTCGGTGGCACTCTGCTCCGCCGCTGTCTCTTCGTGGCGATCGTGACGGTCTTCTATGACTGCCGCGGCCATTTCTTTGAGGGTAAGGAGGCGTCGCCTACATGATAGACAAATCAGTTTTAGTACGTTGCTTGCAAAATCTCCGGGAGCGGGAGAGTGCGTATACTTCACGGCGTCCGGAGAATATGTCTCGCTCCCTAGGGCATCTGCAAGCTGCTTGTAATCGGGGGCTGGAGTGTTCTGCTGTGCAAAGACTGCAAGAAGCAGGTATTTATCTTTTCGATGGTCCCATTTGATTGCAGGGCGCCGAAGCTTTGAGGCGACTGTCTGCTCGTCCGGGGCAGCGGCGGCTGACTGTTTCTTGTGTCTTGCCATAATATATTAGGAAGCCTGCTAGTTGGGTGGCAAGACGATGCATGACGGGGATGGGGAGAGGGCTGACGAGATGGTTGAAGGAAAACCATGCTAATCCGTGTCCAGGGTGGCTATCAGAATTTCTGCGCATGCCGCGTCGCCTGAAGACGCGCGCTGGGCTAAAGACATCAACTCGACTTATGAAAAAGAGAAGAAATTTTTTTGTGAGGCAATTTCCAACTGTCAACTCATCGAAAACGGCCTTTGCATCTTCCGGACGGGCTCTTTCGGCCGCCTTCTTCATCTCGCTGAAAAGTGTAGGAGAGAAAAGCGTAATCAGACTTTTGTTCAACCCATAAACTTACACCCAGGAAAGACGGTCTCATTTCGTCGGTGAAGGTGACTTATGAGCTGGTCACAGTCCCTCAAGAAGATGGAGTCTTGGGTGGGTGGGTGAGACATTTCTGAGCAATCGGCTTCAGCCTGCATGCACTCTCGTTTGGATAGGCCTTCCAAAGTTGCCAACATACAGCACTCAGGTTATGTATCTCAGATTAAGGGGTGGAGGCCTGGTAAATTGACTGACTTTGGAGGATATAATCTGTGCCGTTCAGTTCATGGAAGGTGTCCTCCAAGTCTCTTTTCTGACTGGGATAGAAGTTCGGCAGTCTACCTATGTGGGTAGCTAGTTTCCTTGAGACCAGAACGACGGAACTACCTAGGTATCTACTGAAGAGACGAACGATAGTTTTTCTTGGGTTTATACTCTTGCTGCAACATAAACTTCTGCTGAACATCCATTAGGTCAAGCATATCCACGTGACCTGTTCAGCTTCCTACTCTTCTTGCGAATCTTCCACAATTTCCAGAAAAATCATCTTCTCTGTCTCAGAAACTGACTGTGTAGGAAGCTTCATTGCAGTGGACTCATCATGATGGTGAGTCTGTGCTAAATTCTTTGAGTTGTCCAAAGACATGCAGGCTTCCAGCAGCTGCCACCACTACTAGTAGTGGTATTTCATCACCCCCAGCTTTTTTCTTATTGGCTTAGGAATTTCCAGGAATGAACTTTCTATTTCATCCTTTGTTAAGAGTATAATTTCCTCTCATTGACTCACCACTTCATTGGCAGCCATTATTGCGGAAGATGGCATATATAGGGAGCTGTGCACCCAGGTGTGGATTTCTTCAATCTTATGAATCCAGATTACCCTGCCATCTACCCAAGCACTTACAGTTACTTTACCTACCCAACTCTATACCTACAGACACCGTAGAAGAGTTCCACCACGATGTCGACTGAAAAACCTCCTACCTCGACGCCGACTGTCGTCCGACGCAGCAAGACAATGCCGATAGACAGTCCGACGGCCAAATTCCTCTACACCATCCTTAAACAGCTCGACCTCAAAGGTGTAAGTATACCACTGCCTTGAGAATTTTGTACCTTGCTAATAAAGCAGATTGACTGGAGCCTCGTCGCCTCGCAGCTCGAAATCTCCAACGGCCACGCCGCCCGCATGCGTTACCACCGCTTCAAAAACCAGATGGAAGGCACAACCTCCACGCCTCGCAAGCGAGCCGCAAACAAAAAGTCAAAGACCATCACCGGATCTAGTAGCGAGGGCTTCTTCCAGAAGGAAATCTCGCCGCAGCCTCTTCAAATGATCAAGACGGAACGGCCTCCTAGCCCCTGCGAGATGAAACCATACATGAAGACCGAGACCGATCAATACCCGCAGCATGTTCCGAACTTGGCAGATATCCCACAACACGTTCTGTCACCTCGGATTATGCCCATGTCCATGCAGGCGGTTTCGCGTGCTTGTGGCTCTCCGCTTCCGGCGCCGATGCCATATCGGAGGATGGAGCTTGTTCCGAAGCTGGCCATGTATGGGCCTTCGTCCATGCCTATGTCTATGCACGCTCCGATGGCGATGGGGTATACCCAGGGACGCTGCTCGCCCGTTGCGTGGACGCCTGTGAAGATTGAGGAGGAGGATAATATCTTTGGGAAGCAGGGTATGGATGTGGATACCGGGAAGGAGGAAATCGTCCATGAGCCGATCAAGCCTGTCGAATAGATGGTCCGTGTCTTGATTTGTGGTGCGATACTGTTAAGTTCTAGAGTGTTTGTGCTTTCAATGGCGGTGTTCTGGATTAGATTGTTTATAGAGGCTGGCTTGGATATTTGTCGTTAAATGAGCTCATGCTGAGCGAATTCCCGCTATATGCCAAATATCACTCCAAGCCCTGTATCAAGCTTTCTTAAATCTCTTCACAAAAATCGACCAAACATAAAGGAGATCTTCATCAGAAGCGCCAGTTAACCAAGCCTATGCAACCCCATCGGTAGTATCAGTCTCGTACCCGGCATCTCCACGAGATAAACTTAGCGAACGGGTTGGTGCACCCTCCCTTGTGGTTCTGTCGAAAACTGGAGTCGCTACCACCTCCTCATCTCCATCAACGTCCCTTTGAAGGGCCCTAATTTGTTCACGCACAGTACGAGAAGTAGCTCGAGAAGCCGCTGTAGAACAATTGTCGCTGTGTACTTTGAAGTCGCGATCCTCGCTCTGGCGATCAGTCTTGATACGATCAGCCAGGCCAAACACTGATGGCTCAATGCTGGAAAGCACCGAGCTACTGGTACCCTCGCTCTTGATCTTAACGCCAGAAGAATCCTCTTCTCCACAGCAGTCATCATCATCGTCGTCATCGACATATATTGCCTCAATCAAGCTTCCACTCGTATCCTTCTTAGATCGGCGCTTGGTTGGAGTGCTCGCCAGACCCAAACCCTTGCCTTTTCCAGTTGATGAAGAAGGCTTAATAACCCCACCGCGGCCACCAGTCCTAGGAGTCCTTGGAGTGGTCGAGGTAGATACAGGTTCAGAGGCACGTCCACGTGGAATTTCTGACAAAGATACTCCTTGTCTTGCAGCCTCTCTTTTAAGCTCCTCTGCCTGTCTGCGGTATTTTCTGAACTGATATTCAATGGTATCATACGTCGCGCCCTGGCCAAAAATGGCAGCCATCCTGGGATAATCGAGCTGGAGTCCCGGGTTAGATTATTGTGCTGAGGCTTGGGGACCGGAAAGGTGTGTACCTTTAGGCCTGGATTTGCTGCCAGAAGGGTTGCCACGAGGCGTTGTTGGTTTTCAATAGATTTCCAGTTGACCATTCTGGGCAACGGACAGTAGTATATGGGTGTTGTAAGACAGAATCTAGGCTAAGTCTCGTTCTAAGTAGACGGGTTAGAGATTTGGGGTTCGAGATGGATGATGTTATGGATCCTTGGATCCGATAGGACGTGTTCACCTGGTTTTAAGAGACACCAGCAGAGTCACACTTGAGACTTGAGCCTTGCAGGAAAGAAGGTAATGGGCTTGATAAAGGAAGAGGCGATGCTGTATCCCAACAGCCCAGGATGTGGAAGAAGATAGTGAAAGACGAACCAATTCAGAAGGCTGTCCTCGTGGCGGAGAAGGGAAGGAAAAGGAAAGATACGTCCACTAGGCACTTAAAAGCCTTCACAGCTACTTGTTCCCTGGCCTGGGCTGGTGAATGTGACCGCGCGCGGAGCGAGCATTAGAGGGTGAATTGGGGATTGAGGGGATATTTGAGGCCAGTAACACGTCTCCCAAGACACCTTCCCAGGCAACCTCCTCTCTTAACTCTCCTTAGATCTCCTTACTTTTCCTTAAACCTGTTCTTCCTATCTTAGCACATAGACACAAAATCCTCTTTGTCTACTGTTATCCAACCATATCGAAACAACCGCAACAATGCCCATGAGATGGACACCAGAGAAGGACCAGCTCGTAAGTTCTCCATTCTCCCCATCCACTCTTATAGAGGTTCAATCTAACCCTAGCAACCAGCTTCTCCTCAAAATTCTTGAAACCCACCAGCTCGCTGTTGACACCAAGAGAGTTGCTGAAGCATGGCGTGAGTTCTCCCATCCAAGTACTCCGAAAACCCTATATCCTGCCCTTTCCAACATGGTTGTACTGACATAAGCAGCCGCCGGCGAAGATAAACCAACCCCACGCGCCATAACAGAACGTCTAGTCCGCATGCGTGCCATGGTCAAGTCTACTGCGTCAGCAAGCGGTAGCCCCGGAGGCGAGAAGACCGGCGGTCATTTCAGTATCGGCAAGGGAGTTGGTCGGGGTAGTCCTGCATCTACACCTCGTGCTTCTCATGCCAACCCACGAGCCAAGGCCCAGTCTGTGTCTGCGCCCGCCTCCGCTTTCTCGACTCCTCCCTCTGCCAAGAGAAAGCGGGTAGAGACAAAGGTTGAAAGTGACGGTGAAGAGGAGGGTGACCCCCCCATGAAGACTAAGATGGATGTTGATCAGGATGCGGATGGAGAGTATGAGCTTGACGAAGAATTTACACCTCCAATCAAGAAGGAAGGGAAGAAGAAGGTGGCCAGGGTACTTTTTCCCAACGCCATGAAGGCTGCCTCGGCTGCTGGGTTTGGCAGCGTGCCGGCTGGTGGTGTTGGTGGTGACGGCACCACTGCTACTACTGATTTTGTTGTTGAAATTCGTGCTGGTAGTACCCTTGATCTAGCGGCTAGCCCTGTCAAGCGCGAGTCTCGTGCTCGTCGCCCGAGTGCTATGCACTATGGTATGGTCAATTATGGGGATACGCTTGACGATGAGAATGTGGCCGGTGGAGGTGATGATGATGTGGAGAGTTCCGCCTCGAGTTATGTTCCTGATCAGGCTTTTGATATGGATGAAGACTTTGCATAATTGGGAGATTGTGTTTTCAACCCCAGGATAGTTCAATTTGTACTCTAATATGCTTTGAGAAGAGATAGTGGCTGCATAATATGATCCAATAGGATTCCAAACTGGATATTTGCCCCTAAAAACAGCATGTGTTCCTTATTGATGGATGCAAATCAACCCGCAGCTCATCAGACGACTAGCAGATGAGAATGTGAGAACCCAAGCCAAATGCAAGTAACATCCAGTAAAAAGACAACGATTTTTTTTTTTTTTTAATCCAATAGCAGCCATGCGAGGGATAACAACAAGCGCCCAAGTCCAAAACTAAGGCGGGTTCAGGCAAAAGGATCATCTAAACCATTCTCATTTAGGACGTTCTCTTCCACTTTGAAGTCGTCTTCCACTTTGAAGTTCTCCTCCATCTTGACACACTCCTCCCCAGCCTTCGTCTTACGATTTCTCTTCGGGGTGCGCTTCGGCTTCTTGGCCGAGCCTTCGTTGTCGTTAGCGGGAGGCGCATTCTCATCAGTGCTGGCTGCGCTCTTCCTAACCCTGCTCCTTTTTTTTTCTGGGGTTCCCCCCTCTGTCGCGTTGTTGCCGAGAGCAGGGTCGTTTTTGGCTTTCTCTTTGACACGCTGAATGCGATGCTGGACTGCGCTGGCGGTGCATTCTGTACATTTGGTGAAGTCAAAGTTAGCAATGAGATCATCATCTATGGGATAGATGTGCCGGTTTCCAGGACTGAGATCAGCGAAGGGGGAAGGAAGGGAGTCTAAATGAGGCTTGACGTACCAGGACCCATGAATTCCGCTATAGCAGCATGATTGAGCTTGGTAGTGGTCATGGTGATGATTGCTAGGAGGAGCTGAGAAGGGTTAACTTGGGCTTTGCAGTTCCATGAAGAAGGAGGGAAGAGAATGTGTATGTACCTTGGCATCCGCCTGATCATTCCAAACCATAGGCATCCTGACGGTTCTTGTTGGATGTAGGTTCGAGAGTGGTCTTGTTGTGTAACTTGCGGCAGAGTGTGATAGTTATATGAGTGAGGTTCTGAGCGTTGGCGTATGGAGGTAAGATGGCGCGGAGTGGAGTTCAGAGTGAGTGAGAGCAAGTGGGAGATGTAGCGGAGAGGGGTTTGAAGCAAGTAAGAGAGTAGGAGAGTAGGAGGGCCTTGTGGAGGATTAGGGACAGCGAGAGCCAAGTTGGAAAGAGAAGAGCAATAACACAGACGAGGGGACGAGTCGTCACTCAGTTCCTGGTGACCCTGGGTATGAGACTCGACAATAGTCTTTGGTAAAGAGAACTTTACCAAAAACTGAAACAATAAGGCCTGGTTCAAGTTCAATGAAGAGAGTAAAATGGTGAATATCTCTCCTTCGCTCATCCCACAATGCCTGTTAAAACCATGGAAGTGTTTGGAAGTCGCTCCACAGAGAGGATCGTGGAAGAATACGAAGTATGGGGGAAGACGGTGAATGGGGAGCAATGTCCTTGGTGGTACCATGATGCTTGGTCACAATGAAAGACGAACATACTGCGTCCCTCAAGCTGCTTTCCTCTGTTCTCCAGCCCCCGGCAGACCAAACCATACCCTACACAGCTGCTGAAGTAGTAGTAGACCTGCATCTCACAGGTATACTAGGAATGATCCTCATCAGTCAAATGAATATCCTCGCCTACTACAACCTAGAAATGAACCTATCGTGAACCCCTAAAAATTACAGAGAGAACCCATCATATTGGAAAAGTTCCTTTCCAGAGATTGGCCCTATGCAGTGGGCTTCTGCCCATAAACACCGACTCTGTCTCAAGACGAAATTGTCAGTCACCAGATTCAAACCCCACCATAACCTCGTCTCCCTTACTTACACATTGAAATAAGCGTGAACATTTGGATCCCGCAGGCCACTCCTCATCTTAGCCAGGAACACTTCCACTTCCGCATATTTCCACTGGAACAATCAGAGAACGTCAGCCGGTGCCTCTTTGTGCAACACTTGATAACTCACCCCCATGACTCTCGTCAGCAGCGCCATTGCCCAACCCGAAATGGACCGTTCGCAATGCACCTGATTCCAGATACCGAGTCTCTTGAGCTTCTTGTCCTTGCTCCACGAGCCGATGGGTAGCTTGAACCGCTGCTCAGTGACGTTTACAAATCCCGCTTCTTGCATGTAGCCTTTGGCACGTTCCGCAATCTGAAAAGTCTTGCCGAACTTGTCTCCGGCCTCAATGAAAGTCTTTGACCAAATAGAGAGTATGTGGTCGTCGGTCACCGTGCCATCATCTGAGCGGAACTGTATGGACATTTCTAATTGGTCGATCCAGCCACCTGGCCGCAGTGTCCTGGCATGGATTAGCTTTGTAGCACGGACTTATATGTTGACATAGGAAGGGCTAGGTACTTGAGAGCTTCGCGATAGAAAGCGGGCCAGTCGGCAATAGCTCCGTATAAAGATCGAACGTGCACCAAGTCGAACTCTTGAGAATATACCCAGGTCTCCGTCGCATCGTCAATCTCGAATCGCAGGTTGGGAGGCACGAAGCTCGGCTGGATGGGCGATAGATCTGTACCAATAACTTCTGCTGAAGGATACTCATCTGCGAAGTCTCTAACACGTCTCTTTAGTAGCGACCCTGGGCGCAAGAAGGTCTTTGCTCACATGGCCCAGATACCCGTCCCTGTTCCAACATCGAGGACTTTCTGCACAGGCTTAATATGCCGCATTTGCTGAGAAGCCAGGCGGTCTTACCTGGATACCCTTTTTAATCGGTGCAAGCACTAGCCGATTATCGAGGAGTAGGGTGAATATATGATGGCTGGATCGTCGTCAATGTCAGCCAAAAGAGAGGACCGCAATTAGCATACGCGATATCGAGCTGCTCATTCTGCTCCTCGTCATTCGGGCCCCTAATGAGTAAACAGTATCAGCTCTGAGAAAGGCCATTTTTCGAGGCCAAAGATACCAGTATGCACCATCTTTGTAGGCATGATATCGCCGTCCGTTCTCATATCGATAGGAGGTTATCATCGAGTTCAGGGAGGTAGTGTCGCTCGCACTAGAGAAAGATGGCATCCATTAGCATGCAAGGCTTTGTTGATAACTTGCCAGCGAAAGGGCCTCATCACTTACAAGTCTGATTGATAATCCGAATTTACATCTGAGTCCTGTGGCAACGAAAAATCAGACCGGTTTGATGGGAGAAAAAAGAGTGGAGCTGTACAATCTCAAGCAGATCGTCGTTTTCTGCTGGAGGCGCATTGGTAGGCTCTGGCGAAGCTGGGGCCGGTTGAGAAGAATCGGCCATCGCAATCAGGCTTCTTGACCTTTGTGGTCTAGTATACGTGAGGGAGAATCGATAGACCTAGCAGAAGAATAACAGTCGGAAAAGGGTTCCGGGCTTTGAGTTTCTTGGTATTCCCACGTGTTCAACAGAGATGGAAGCGATTTTCTGCCAAAGACCACGAGCTCTTGAAGGTATGGAATGCGATGCGGGGTTGGCCGCCGCAATTTATATAGCTGCAGGCCGTCAGTTCCGCGATAATGCCGGGAATAATATGCAGCTATGGAGCAATGCGGTTCAGGACGCGGGCCGGGTGGGTAAGAATCCACTGGGAGAGCCTGCTGGTACATCGTAGTTGGATGTCAGAAGAACAGTGGAGCTGGCGGGATTCCGCGTTGTGAGCTGAATGGCCAAGCAGCAACCTCCCTCGAAAGTTGAGACTAATGGCATCAACTCCCAGTTGGTAGTCTGAGACTAATTTATTGTGGCGCTCAGCAAGATTGGTCGACGAAATCCAATAGTCTGACGACTGGCTCTCGGGTCTCCCGTGCATCGCACCCGCTGACACGGCCTTTTGCTCAATGCCATACGCGGTGGCCATGGGCATGATAACGCAACTGTTGGAGCTACTCGATAAGCGGAGTGGGAGATTGTGTGAAACGCACAACTTGCGCCAATCTGAATCAAAGACATCTGTAGGCTGTCGATTATTTCCAGATAACGGGTTCTTGAAAGAAAACAGAAAAAAAGAGAAAAAGTAAACAACCAATAGCTCCAGGGACTTATGAGAAGACACGACACTCTGGGAAACGCCATGACCACTACCAGTCTTGTACAGCCCCAAACACCAATTCCACGTAATAACTCATGAGAAAACAATCAGCCGCCCACTGCACCGTGAACATCCAAGAATATGAGGGAAAAGAATTTTTGGATCAGCTTGTCACCAAGCATACGAATGGCCTGCGTCACCAATGTCATCGTAACCATTCCAGTCTTCGTCGCCACTCACTTCATCATCAAGAAAGTCCCCTTCATTGTACTGGGTCTCTCTAGGTCGTTGGTTGTCAATTCGAATGACTACCACGTCGCACATCCCCTGTATAGCAGGTATATCATGGTCACTGTCACCGTCATGTACCCGAGATCTTCGTGGAGATGGGCTATGGGCGTCTTCACTATCCGAATGTTTAAGACTGGCGAGCCGCGCGCTTTTCCGTTTTGATGGGGATGCGCTATCATCAGGAATTGCGGTTCCGCTGACTCGAGATGAGCCTGGTTCCTGCGTCGGCCGGCTAAGGGTGCGAAGCCTTGGGTTTGGAGGTGAGCTGTGACGCAGAAAAGCCCGCTCTAAATTCCCAATCCATTTTTCGCGAAACGACGCACGGTCACGCCATCCAGTTTTCAGGATTGCGCTGATGATTAGTCTTCGCAGGTCGGATAACTCGGGGGCAGCCTCAATGAGAGAAGCAAAGAACGCTTCTGCTGTTTTCTCATCCCACCTGCGTAGTTGAATCAACTCCAGGTGTCGCAGGGTTGTAGGCCATGTGGGCACTTGGGATGGGGCGAGTAATTGCTCGAAATGAGGCTCCAGATCGTGATAGCTTGAATGGTCGAAGATCGAGATATCCATGACAAACTTTTCTAGATTTCGACAGGCCCCTTTAAGGTCAGTGATGAAAGAGAGGCTCAAGTGGCGGTTGTGACTGAGGCTCAACTCGCGCAGGCTGCGACCATGAGATGCCAGAAACTGGGTAAAGTTGGCCGTTGTTACATCGTCACAGTTGTTGATGGAGAGTGATTTTAGGTTGAGCGGTAGCTTTGGGAAAAGATGGTCGTTCAAAATCGAAGACTCTTGGAACTCTAAGCGTCGTAAATGAGGCAACTCGTTGAGAGCCATGGACAAGACATGTTCTCTGTCATCGGGCATGCCAACAACCTCGTCGCCATCAGCATCTTCCGCGGCAATGTGCAAAATTTTGAGTTCTTGGATACTCTTGAAAGACGGATCACGGTGTCTTTCTAGCATGAGTGGAAGCAACGCTTGCGTGTCCATAAAACGAGCGTTCCAGTCCCAGCTATAGAGTCGCATGGAGCTCGAGTTGATAGAGGTAAACAGACTGTCTGGGTAGACCCACTTAGACCGCGGAATTTGCCAGGAAGGGATCCCAACAACGAAGTCATTATTATGGTATAGCCGCAAGATCTTCACCTGAGGAGTATACTCAAGTAATTTAGGCAAGTCGAAGTATCCCAGGGTGGGCCCGCTTTTGTAAACCAGAATGGTTTCGACATCAACATGCAGCTCCTGAATCTTATTGATATAATTGTTGGAAAGCTGGTCTTGAGGCCTTGCAAGAAGGTTCAACAGGCCATGTGATTTTGTGGCAGGTATCAATGGTGGAGAGTGGTAGAGCGCCGCTAGGGCAGGCTCGTGAAAACTGCGGCACAACAGAGCGACATTGACGAGCCAACTCACCGAAGAGTTCCTCTTAGCTGCTCCTTCGTTGATAAGAGGGTAGGATGCGCGAAGGAATATATCAAAGAGGATGTGGTATGGGAGGGTGTGCCACGGCGGGACGACTCCAGAACCAACAAATGTGTCTTTCTCTTCTTCGACTTTCCTCCTCTTGTTCAGGGGACGTCCAAGCTCCAGTCGCCTTTTAGTTGGAGTCCTTTTTGTTTTCTGTGTCTGAGATCTTGTCTTCACGGTTCGAGAACGGCGGGTACGAGTGGGTGTAGATTGTTCGGTAGGTGCGGCAAGCTCTGGAGTTTCTGTAGGTAACACAACGTCCGGATAGCCATCCAGGCTATCATCTATGTCATCGTCACTAGAGTCTTCGCGATAAGATACGGGATTGCGACTCGAATCTCGGGGTCGCAGGGAGAGCGAAAGGCGCCTGGGTCTCGGTTCTGATTCAAGCTCGTCGGCCAGCGGCTCATCCGGGCCGCTTTCTTCGTTATATGACTGAACATGGGTACGGTTCGATCGGACCGGGCGAGATCGCATTGTGGAGCGGCCACGAGGGGAGTGTCTCGTGGAGGACATGTAGGCAGCCCTACTGTAGTATTCCGGAATCAGGTGAGTGGAAGGTGGTGGAACGCGAGTTCATGGCCGCAAGAAGCTCGGTGCGGTTAAAGAAGGAGAGCGCGCTACAAAATCCGGGGTAACGATGTAGACATCGTTTTGGCGACGAGCAGATGAACACTGACGAGTGACTGTTGCTTGAGAACTTGAGCGTACCGGGGACGTGCCAAGTTGAGGTCATCGCCGCGATAAGGGACGTGCTGATAGGGAACTGGGGCTAAACTAACGCGGCTAGGGAGTCATGTGCTACAGATTTACTAGTCCCAGAAAAGCCTAGACGAAACGCCCCAGGCTGTCTCAAAATAGCAGCAATAGACCGCCGCCGCTGTGGGCGGGTTTAAAGCGCCCTCCAAGTCCAGCCCCCTCTTCGCCTTGCGATTCGTGATAATGGCGCTGTGCTTTCTTCGAATCCAAATGATCATGTGTTTTTGCACCCTTGCCTCTACCGCAACTGCTCCCGAGTGAGAGCTTGTCTTTGTTTATATTTACCCTCAGTCTGGCCCATGCGCCGAGCCCAGGCTGGTCCCTGGTCTAGCTGTGCTGCCTCTCGCTGATGCGAGTGCTGTTTTCCGTGATTCGCTTGCCCAGGTTCAAGAGCAGACCCTCCGCAGTTCCTCATGCGCCTCTCCGATTTATTCTTTGAGACCACAATATATATTCCACATATTCGATAGCAAGGATTCCTTGGTCGGCCCGCTCCTGGTTCGCGATGCAGGGTACGTTCCCGATGATCAACCAGGCGGATCATACTGAGCTCTCTGGTCCGCCCGTGGTGATCCAGCAATATGCAAGATATCACCCTCCTTCTCTCGATCCTGGCCTCCAGAGTGGCTCCTCTATAGGCAGTGCTCGTTCTCCGCCCTTGCATCGCAAAGCAACTCCGCGCAGTTTGCAATCGTCGCCCACTGTCCCGCGTCCAGCTGCTCCACCGGGACCGTCCGTGCGCTCCGGCCCGTCGATGTCTCCTCCAGTATTCGATACCCTGACTCAAAGACGGCCGCGCGACTCGATCGACCAGGTCGAAAGTCGATCGCTCCCATCCCGCGACATCACGGACGACAGTATTGATGATGCCTACGTCATGTTCATCTTCTACTGCAACCCTAACGTTCCTCTATCCGCTGATTCAACTGAACTACGCAAAACATTTCGGTGTCCCCCCCGCAGCGACGGCAAAAGCTTTAGTATATTCACATTATGGGAATTAATAAGGAAGCTTGACAACAAGGAGTTGAAAACGTGGATCCAGTTGGCTATTGAGTTAGGAGTTGAACCGCCTGATATGGAGAAGAAGCAAAGCACCCAAAAGGTCCAGCAGTATGCCGTTCGCCTCAAGGTACGCTTTCCCTTGATATCTCACTACAATAACTCTAGGTCTAGATTTGTTGACAAAGCATGCGTGTAGCGCTGGATGCGAGCGATGCATGTCGATGCGTTTTTCGAGTATTGTCTCGGTCACCAACATCCGTACTATACGCAACTTCCTGCGAGTAATGCTGTCGTCAGCGATAGTCGTGACGGAGTGCCCCTGGATGAAGACCTTGCTTTGCGTGCGCTTGTTCCGCAATGGAAACCTAAACGTGGGAGAAAGAGGGCGGAAGAAAAGGACAATCCGAGCGACAGGGCACTCAAAAGACCACAACTGGATACTTCCGTCGGCGTCTTCCCGGCTGGATCATTCCCCACACACTCCGCAACTTTCCCACACAGTGCCATTCCCTTTAGCGCCTTGCCGGACGATATGGAGTCGGAAACCCCGTGGATTACAGCATCTTCCTTTCCCACAGATGCCCCGTCCGATGTTTCCAATGCGCAACAGGGGCAAGACCTTCGCTGGAAAAGCCTTGATCGAGAGGCGTCCCCTCCCGGCTACCCACAGTCGGCCATACTTCCAAGAGGTCATCATCCTTCAGACGTCTTTCCTTCTTCCACTGCCTCCACTGAACCCCGGTCCGCTGTCACTCCATCCTCGGGAGAGAAGTCACGTTCCAAACGGCGGCACGGCCCTGCTGTCTCATCTGCTTGGCCAAATACCAATACTTCCTCAACAGGGAAGATGCGTGGCCGACCACCAAACAGAGGAACAGTGTCGGGGCCTTTCTCATCTTTCCCCGTGAACCCTAACCGCTCCGATCCATCACATCTCCACCGCACTGCGATCAGACCATCACCTACGGTCGTATTAGAGCAAGATCCCGTGAACTCGCAGTACCACCAATCCCCCACGCCGGCTAATGCACCCGGCAAGCCCAGTAAGCTCCAGCTTCAAGTTCCACAGCACTCAGGTGCTCCAGTACGGCTAGCAACGCCGCCTACGTTGCTGCTCAACGGGGTAAGCAATCCCTCGGGCTCCATGAACTTTGAAGGCAACAACCGGAACGGAACTACAGATAATCGAGCTGCAATGTCGACCACCGCACCTATAGTCAGCTCGTCGTTGAATGACACTCGTAGCGGCGCCACCAACACGATTGTTACTCCCGACGGGGTGGTGCGAATACTGTCTGGCGAGCTGCTCCGAGCAAAACTCACCGGTCGCGAGGGCCCTCTCAGCGCAGACGAAGCACGCGCTCTAGCGTCAATCGTCGTGGCGAATCTGACTGCTTTGTACTCCAAGTTACCTTTTGGCGCCGCCGCTCTGACGTCCGCTCTGCACCTGGGACTCGGGCCATATTTCGGATACTCAGGGATCACAGATAGCACACTGGCTGTGCATGTCGAAGCGAGACCCACAGCTGCTGGCGATGCGACAATTCCGGTTTATAGTATCTCCCTCCAATACAAACCCGGCTCCCGATCCTCAATAAATGTCTCGTTTGACGAGCTAGCTATTGGCAACATCCCGATCCCTCCTAGTAAATTCGACAGCCTCCCGAAGCAGGCTGATGAATTTGACACTAGCGTCGCTGAGTTAGACAGCCTGACCGACGCCGAATTCGAACTCGACACTGCGGACAGCCCAGTCGCGGAGACAACATGGAAGCAGCGATATTTGAAGCTCCGCGCGCAGATGCAAAAGAGGGAGCGGTCTCTATCGCAATATAAACGCAAGATTCTTGAGTCTGTCATGGCAGACATATAACGAACCCCTTGGCCAGCGTCCTGATAATTGCATCTAAACATGCGCTATATACTTGGATATTGCCAGCACATTGCTGTTGTTTTCTAATATCTACCAATACCCCTGTTTTGCTTTTGCGAGTTATGAAGGACTCAGTGCTACGACTGTTTTTATTTATTGGCTTATTTCGCTACAGATACCCAGTGAGCAATGTCTTTTGATGGTCATGTCCAGGTACGAATAATATGATGAATTGTTTCAAGCGCTTAAATCCGGGTGTAGATTCTCAGTAGCGACGACTGTATCTAGCGGGAATAAACCATTTGCATACCCCAGAGTAGAGCATCAAACAACGAAAAGCAGAAAAGCCAAAGATCATTCCCAGAGGTGCATCTGCCCAAGGGTTCGATAACCAACGCAGCAAACTCAAATCTTGGAGCCGTTATGCTCATTCCCAATGCACCCTTGAATCCAGGTTAAGGGATCTCACCATCCACGACCTTGTGTTCAAAGATCCTGGGCCTTGTCTTCTGGATCCGACAACCAACCGCTTTAGCACACGTCCTCCTCGCCAGTCTCCGCGTCCTCATAGATATCATCATCCACCTGCTCTTCTTCGCTCTCTTCCTGCTGCCCCGTTTTCTTCTTCTTCTGGGCTCTGGCCTTTTTGCGGGGAGGCTTAGACTCGGTGGAAATGGTCTTTGCCTTTCCCTTCGCCTTGTTCCCGGCGGGCCCTGTATAGAAAGTTTTAGTCAATATATAATCGTAGTTGTGGAAAAGATGAGGATGAAGACTCACGCTTACGGCTGGCCTTCGCCAGCGATCCATTGGCCGGAGCCTGGTCCTGGTCTGTAGTGCTCGATGCCGCTGGCTCGCCGTTGCCGTTGGTGTTTCCGCTCGCATTCGCATTCGCATTCGCAGTCTGCATTGCAGTTTCGTTTGCCTTGAGGAGGCGGGAGTACCGCTTTTGCGCTGCAGTGGCGGTGATGATGTTGCAGTCGCGTGCGACGGCAGCGAAGTCAATCTAGACGAGTGAGGTCAGCTTTGCTTCGTTTGGGTTGAGATGTAATAATGTAAGCTCAGTCTTGGATGAGTCTTCAACGAGAAGGAGCGGCAGTGGGTTAGGATTAGGATGGGAGTGTGGTGAGAGCCGGATCCAGAGTTAGAGGTTGCTTACCTTCCCAGTCAGGGTCTTGATGCAGCTCACTAGGAGCGCGATGTGCTCCTCAGGAGTCACGCTGGTCGACATGGTGATTATTTTGGAGATGATTATATCTGTTAAGTGGTTTGAAGGGGGAAAAGTAGGCTTGTAGGTGTGATGGACTCGAGGAATCTGTAGACGGTTTGGGTAGACGCAGTGTGGGAGTTGAGAGAGGCTGTAGGGAAGAAGAGTTTGAGAAGTCAGAGAGGATAGGGAGAAAAAGAGAGACAGGTTTGTGAGCAGGAGTTCAGGTTAAAACAGGACACCTGTTGCTGGAAGTGAAGTGGGTAGAATGCGTCTAGACTGGGGGTGTGAACATGGTTCACGAGCTGGGGATGAATGAGAAGTTGGTCAACGGAGAGCGTCTGGAGCTGCTGATGATGATAAATACTTAGGAGTCTCTGGTCCTCAGTCTGTTTATCAGAAGGTTGAAGAAGCCCTGGTCAGATCTACTATCCAGAGGACGATGGAAGAGCATATGAGCGGTAGGGAGAGCAGCAAGAGTATTTCGAATTGCACACTTACTGAACCAAGTATCTAAGTACCACTCTGCGCTCCAGATTAAGTTCAGGCGCGCTATCTAGCTGCTTATTTAGGCCGTGTAACTATCCTCACTATAGCTTTATCTCCGGTCCACGAGTACTGGTGCTATATACTCCTCTCCATTCTACAGTAGTTTAGCAGAACCGAAGTCAGGCAAGAACGATGATTGTCTTCGAACCCATGGACCGCTACAGGAAGTTACGATCAGGCGCCTGTACCTGCCTCGAAGGAGGCCAAGCTCTCGAGGGAGGCACGAATGGCGCCATCGGCAGGAGCAATAATTACGAGCACCCATCGCACTTTCCATGCGGGGTTGGGCAAAACAACTGGGGCTGTGGGGGGTTCGGTGGGCAGCAAGCTACGATGTACCATAATCACTTCAGAGACCGAGGGCGTATACGAATCTTCAAGCAGTTTCTTTTAGATGACCTTATCCTAATGCTCGCAAAATAACATACCTGCCTCAATATGACGGCGTCACGCAATTGATTCCGATTTAGGGCACGATGCCACAGACGGCATAAAAAAAGATTTCCCAGATTGATATCCTTGTTCCAACTATCCACAAGGCTTGCGTCTTTGCGCCTTGAACCCCTCTTTTTTTGGGAGCTCCTTGCCACGAAGAATGACCTGCCAGGATCCGCACAGGGAAATGAGCGAACACCAACGAAACTGCGTAGCAAGAGGTCAGTTATCATCGAGTAACGCAGGCCAAGGGCTCAGGGTGCCGTACCTATGTCCAATAGTCGGAAGACGAAGGTGGCGATCTACTTCGAGGAACTGTTTTCTACTATAACAATCGTTAGCAATCATTCCGTGTAGGGCCACATCCTCCTCGTAAAGATCCTCATGAACGGCAGAGAAGGCAGTCATGACATACTCACAACGGCGATATTGGCCTCCTCCCCCTCGGTCTCCTCAGCACTGCTATCCTTCTCTTTGCCTTTACCCTTGGCAACCCCCTTCTTAGCCGGAATGGGCTCTGCAGACGACTTCTTCGCGCCTTTGCGCGCAGCGGACTTCTTTGCTGCTTTTCCACCAGCCTTTGCCTTTGCAGCGGTGCCTGTGGTCTTGGACTTGAGGCCCTGGAATCCATAGCGCTGAGCAAGTTGTCGGAAACGGTTCCCAGTAGAAGCGGTGTTCGTGTGCCCCATGGCAGCGGCGACTCCGGCAAGGTCGACCTGGATGTTTGTAGACGGTTAGCATGGAACTTCCAGTTGGAATGGCTTGAACATGTGTCTCTTACCTTGCCATCACTGTCAATGTTGCGCAGGCATTCAAAGCCGAACTGGACATCTCCAGCGGGCACGTCGTTGACAGAGCTGTTTTCGGTCTTGGATGTCATTGTGGCTTCTTGAGAGGTGGACGAATAGGTTAAGAAGTAAGTGGGGTAATTGAAGGTTGTGTTGATGGATGCTAGAGATCTTGAGGATGGTTGAGAAGATGGAAGTGTTGAGGTAAGAAGTGTTGTAGTGAGAGGTGTGGGAGAGGAGAGATGCAGAGATTATAAAGGAAGGTGAGGAGAGAGAATCAAGTAGAATGAGGATAACACAGGCTTATATATCAAAGGTGAGGGATGGTTTGATGCAGCTTGAATGACTCTCAATACTGCCCTCAGACTGAGCACATTTCATTGACCTTATTACTATTTCCCCCTACTGTGATTGTATCCCTCGTTTGTCCTTTTCTTTACATAGAGCCAAGAGTCCTGTGAAGCCAGGAGTTGTCACTTCACCAGGCACTTAGTGTATAGGTATGTGCCTAAGTGAGGCATCAAGTATGTCTCTTGGAAAAGCTACCTGGTCCAAAGTCCGTACCTGTAACAGTCGAGATTTCCCCTTTCCAATGCTGAAATAAAGCCTACATAATGGCTTAATGCAGGCAAATCCTCTTATTATCACCATCTCGATACTCAGACTCCAGGACCTCCTTTAAAAGAACCCTGCGAATCCGGCCTTATAAGCGCCCACTTGTCTGTCCACGGAGCGCGGGTCGACCCCGTTCAGTCACAGGGGCGGCGCTAGGTCATATACCCGGAATTGTGATGTCTGTTTCGCAGGTTGCGAAGGGCGGGGGGTTAGTACATGGTTAACAGGCGTCTACCTAAGCCTAGCCCTTTCATCGAGGTCGGCGAGTGGCGATTGCTATGCGTGCTTGATTTTTTTTCTGTGTTTTTTTATATCTGGACAACGTAGATGCACGAGGTCATACGAAGAGTTGTACACGAGATTATGGCTTTGCCTTGTTGTACGACGCAGAAAATATGTGTAGATGTGGATGGGGCCCGAGTAGGCCACGCTCTCGGTGGGAGTCCTAATGAATACTGCAGCTGCGTATGCATTCAGGCTTTGAGGTATTCTCGAAGGGCAAATATTGGACGTCGGTATGACTTTGTAGTTCGGTTCTATAGGGGAATGAGGGCCAGTATCTCGTTGTGTGCACCAATTCGGACTCATAATCGCTAGCAATTCCTAGGTCCCCTTCGGGCGTCATGGATGACATTGAATATCCTGCCTGACAGGGGAGGTGTAGTTGTCACTCTTATTGCGAAGATGCAAAAGACGGCGGAGGAATAGCGCATAGATAATGAAAAGGATCTTGGATGAATGAACTTATAGATAATGGAATCTCTAGATATTTTGAAGTTTCAACGTATATTCATGGTATAGGCATTTGGGACCTAGGCGACTATGGTGTGCTTTGACAAAAACGCGCAGCCGTCAATGCTTTTGCAAGGAGGGAGGCTAATTATACGGGACTCGGCGACCTTGGCCTTTCTTTGGCCTTCGGAGGTTGGTTTATTGTCACCATCAAGCGCTTGTGCCGTGCTTTCAACTTCTGACACGGTAGCGTAGGGTCTTTTGTTCCAAAAATGGGTGGCAGCGAGTCTTTGTTGCGAATGTATATATCGGACTCGGGTTGCCTCGTCCACTGTGGATTGTTCCACATCTATACTTGCACTCATACTATATAATCATTTACTTTCTTAAGGCTCAAGCTGTGCAGTGGCATAAATTGCTCCCATGGCGCCCATCCAACCTCCGAGCTTGTTGAAGAGAAAGACAAACTACTGGGATACCTTGAACCGGCCTCGGTTGACCAGAAACGCTTTGAGGGAAGTACAGCAGAGAGTCGCTAAGCCAGTCTACGGACCCCCAACGTATGTAAATATCGAGCGCCCCGGCGATTTCGCTACTGACGGAGTCATAGACCTGCCCAAAGGGCCGAGGTTATTCTCCAAGGTTTGACAAGAAACGGTTGAGGGAGATCTCGAAATTTTCGCGCCATGGAGGCCCAGACCTTGCTGGCCTAAGAGGCGTATGTTGCCTTACAAACATTCTCTCGAGGACCATAGCTGACATAGATTTCTTAGTTTCCGGAGCCGCAAGTAAACCGCGATGACTCCATCGAACCAACGAATACCTCCTCGGGCGAGGGGTTGAAGTTTTGGGACTATGGGTTAAAGGAACAAGCGGCTGGTCCCGCAAACACCACAGCGTATAGCGATAACTTTGAAGACCACCTGATCAACCATTTAATATATCCTCCTGGGTATAAGTACCCAGATAGTAGGGAGCCCGCGCCTCCAAAAAACTTGGAGGAGATCAAGGAGATGATAACAGCTCCACGGGCTTCTGTATCAACGTATTCAAAGGACGATTTTGAGGAATTCGCAATCACGTATTGGAAAGTACGTACCGAACAGGAGGCCAAGGATTCTGTGATATCGATACTTGAGGGCAGGGCGTCCGGGCATGCTGGTAAAAATCGCCGCTTTGCCAACCTAGCCCATCTGACTGATGGCATCCAAATCCACGCCAAACCGGACATATATCATGGTGCACGTGCGGCAAAATTGGACTCTGCAATCCTCAACAAGCTCAACGACTTGATAGTTCCATCGCAAACTGATGGACTTGTTGCTCCGAATTTTTTCTTGAAGGTCAAAGGTGCTCAAGTCAGTGCTGTTGAGGCTGAACGACAAGCTTGTTATTATGGCGCTCTTGGGGCTCGAGCCATCCATGCCCTCCACTCACACAAGCAAGAGAAGCCTGTGTTTGACAACAATGCTTATACCATATCAGCAACATATTGTCGCGGACTCTTGGAGCTATACGCAACACACATTGCCAGTTCAGGTCGGAATCTCGGTGTCCCCGAGTATGTGATGACACGCCTTGGGGAATGGACCATTCATGCAAATATGAAGAGCTTCCAGCAAGGGCTGACTGCGTATCGAAATGCTCGAGATTGGGCCAGGAAGAAGCGAGACGAGGCTGTTGCAGCCGCAAATAAAAGGCAGTCGGTCCATAAACCTCCAACAAGCCAAGCGAGCAACGTGCGCAAACAGTCTATGAGCAATGTGAAAGGATATCCCAAAAGCAATGCTGGAATCCAATCAGGAAACTCAGACGAAGTTCAGTCTCGGCGGAAATCGACTGACAAGGGCGTGACAGAGCGGAGGGCAATTCCGGAGCGGCCGAAAAATACGGAGAACCGCGCGGTAGACTAAGACGCGTCTGCGCGACTTGACGGCGTTCGGATTTGACTCGGTGCCCGGTGACAAGTCATCAGAGGCAAGGAGAAGCCTTGAGGCATTTTCGTGCTTACTCTGTGCTTTCAAGAGGTACAGAGTCAAGTCAGATCAGGTCAGCTTACGCCGTCGAGAACCGAGGAAAGTCCTCTCTGTACGGCTACGGTGAGCCAAGAAGCTCGCCTTCCCCTTTTACAGTTAGCACTGCGGTTTTCGCCGCCGACGCCCCGTGACTTCCGAGTCCAGCCTCCAAGACAATCAGGTGCCACCGTGCCACTCAGAGTGGGCGGCGCTCGCTTTTCTCAGCCCATCTGCGACCCAACATCTGACCTCCACCTGCCCTCCTCCTCTCCTCTTTTCTTTCTTGCTTCGGGTTCGAATTCGCAATTTCCGACCGGGACAAGAGGGATAAAGGAGGGAAGGGGCCATGATGGAACAGGGAATTACAGTCTTTCACAAAGATGAGACTCTCCAGAAGCCCAAGGACGCCGCCCTCCGCAAGCCCAAACGCGGCCCCCTCGATATCAACGAACAAATTGCCCTGATTAAAGTCTGCGAGAAGCGAGCGAAGTACAAAGAAATATCGGAGTTCACTTCCGCCAAGTTTTGGATCGAAATTGAAGTCGCACTTGAGCGGGAAATCGGTCGCCGTTACTCTCACTACTCCTGCCGCCGCCGTATAACCGAGTACATCTCACAACGGGCCATTTGCCGGGACGCTATCAGAGACGGGCACTCAGCACCTCCTCAGCTGCTGGAACCTGAGATTATGTCGTTGCTGGATGCATGGAAGGAGATGGACGAGTTCAAGGAACAGTTGGAGAAGGAACGGGCTCTCAGCCAGCTGGTCCGTAATCCCGAGGTGCCTCAAAGCAGCAAACTTCAACGAGTGGCCGACTGGGTGAAAAGCCTCCCAGACGTGGAACCACAATCAATATTTACACCTCCGACCACCGAATCATCGCCGTCGCTCGCTGTCAAGGATGAAGCATCTCTTTGGGCAGCTCGCTACCGAAAGGCCGAGGAGGACCGATTCGTGAGGTGCACTCAACTTCGAAACATGAACTTTGAGTTATCCAACAGTCGACAACTTCTATCAAACATCAAATATCAATTATCTTCGACGCTCCAAGATCCGCACCATATGCAAGCGCTTACAGGCGTGAAGAGACAGCGGGAAGACGAGTTCCTGCTTGATCGACCTACACAACGTCCTCGCAACCAGTTCACCGACCCTGATACAAGCAAGCCCATCATAAAACAGAGCCCCGGCAACTCCCACGTCCTATTGCGCTCGGAAAACGTTCAAACCCAGCCTCCGATCGAAACGGTGTTTGTCAAATTCTGGGACAGCATGCTGCCGTACTTCAAGGAGCGGGCATTAAAAGAGGGCCTAAGCCTTACGAAGTCTGAATCCATCATGCACGAGCTATTCAAAGAAGTCGGATCCGCCATGACGCGAGCGTTCATGAAACTCGAACAAAGCACTCGAGCCGCACCTGCTGTCTAGCACTTTTTCTCGCATGTTCAGCTGCGCATTTCGTCCCGATTATATCCAAGCATCATGCCATTTTCTTTCTGGTATTACGAGCTGTCTTCCTTATTCCCGACATCATTTTCCTGCTTCGTTTTGTCTTTCATCTTACGGAGGTTATTTGCATTACTCTTCACCGTCCTGATGTCTATCTTTTCTGTTTTCTAGACTGCATAGAGTCGATACCCCTGCTTTCTGGGTTGTTTCAAATTGCATTGCGAATCTTGCATACGTGTTCCTCGTCTATATCTTTTTCTTACCTTTGTACATACATTGAGCGACCTTGGAGTCTTCTCGAACATTGAAGAGCTAGCGATACGATATTGAATAATTGGCTTAGGTCAAAGCAAGTACCTATGAAATACGTAGGAGCATCTAGGTGGGCTGTCACGCTGTCACGCCAAGCACTTCAGTAGTCTTGGGGCGGTTGTAACAACTGCCTACTGAGAACCTAGGGTCTGCTTCAAGTTGAGTAATCCTGAAGCGAACGTCAGAGTAACTCCTGCCTGCCAGATAAGCATCAAAACAACTGCTTAATGTTAAATCGGCCTTGAATGATACTAGCAAAGAAGAGTGACTGGACGCTGTTTATGAAATATGTGCATTGTAATGTAGCTTGGTGATGATGTACACAAGCAGTTCTCAATTCGCCATGTACCCTAATTCAACAACGCCGGAACCTCACAATTTTGCCAAACCAGTAAGTAGTGCCAAGAGAACTAATGACACAGGGTAATCCACTCATTAACGATCTCCTCCATGTCATGCGCGATCCCCCACTGCGAAATCAAACATCGGAACAGTTTCTGCATCGAATTCATCTCATACAGTAGATTTCGAGTAGCCGCAACACCCGGCGGCGAATCCGTCCTTCCCTCTACGACGAAACGGCTCGTCTCGGACCCAGTTGAGGGTCGGATGTTCTCACAGCCTAGATTGAGATCTGCGCGGGAGAGTAATGCATCTTGCCATACGATGGTGCGGGGGAGATGGATGTTTGCGACACCGGCCAGAGCGAAGACGACGTAGACTGTTGCTGCAGCGAAGAGAGAACTCGGCATGTGGATTACGTGTGCACGGCCGCGGGGAAGTTGCTCAATTATGTCCTGGATGGCAATGGCGTGGAGAAGGGCGCGCCGAGCATCTTCGGTGTGGACCCAGTTTAGCATGTCGAAGTTGGAGCGCAGGGTGCGGGTGCCTCCAGAGACGTGCTGTGGAATTTCATGGCGGCTGCAAACGTGCCGGCAGAGGACGGTGGAGTTGATCATGGTGTCAAGGCAAATTGTATGCCAGCGCAGGAGAACCTCGAGGCGCTCGGCGGCGGAGAGATGAATGCTCATTGTGATGGTTTCGTGGACTTGGGCTAGGGCCCGGCGGACGTCCGAGCGACCTGGGACACCTACGGCCGCAAGATCGTACTCATCTGAGTCGGAAACAAGGGATTGCAGGCCCTCCAAGATTACCCGAAGGGAAAAGGCAGATAATTGGTAGTCGAGAGGTCGGAAATTGCCGATGGGAGGGAAGAGGGAGCGGAAGATCAAGCGGAAGGAAGGCTGATCTGGTTTCTGAGAGCGCATATGTGTCAACCACTCGTCTGCGGTGCTGGCATCAAACGCCGCTTCACTGCTAGGAAGGGTAAGCGGGTTAGCGACGTGGCGAGTGGAGGCTCCATCGCCAGACATCTGAGCAACGAGTCCATCTAGGATATAGTATGCCAGCAGAGCGCGTTGCTGAATCTCTCTTGCGGCCCATGTCCGCCATGTGTGATCCTTTTCGGAGCTAGATGCGTTAGGGAATGGCACATCTTCCATTGAAAAGGGTTCGCTGTCCAGCATGCCGCAATGTCTTGCCCAGAAGAAGCCGAGTGGACGAAACACCTGACTTGTGGTACGAATGGCTCGGTTCTGCATGCAGAGAAGACAGCGATTAGAATGTGCCCATGGATACAGAGGAGTCAACCTACCTTGGACAATGCACCATATATCTGCCCCAGTAACGCTGTTAGCAGAAGCTGAACACCGTTACAAGCATCGTACGGCCCGCGGTGAGTAATTAACGATTGCCACTATGCAAATCAGCAATCCTTGCGACTTATGAGTGAAGACATGGAACTCACTGATGTCGAGATTGCAGTATGTGCCAGACGAAACAAGGCTTCTCCCGTGGAAACGGAGTCTTTGGGTCCCAAATACCTAGACGCAGGCCATGTGTATTAGTTATGAGTTAACTCATGAGGCATACTTAGCAAGTGGATAAGCTAGGTGGATGCCTTACAAGGAACCCAGGGCCATCGCCACGAGGAGCAATGGGTGTGTGCAGTCACGAAAAACGAAAGTAGCCCGATGGAGAATGGGAAACGTAGGGATAAACCGCACGAAGAACATATGCAGGCATTCGTCTAGAAAGACGGATGTAATCGAAGTAGCCTTGATCGCGGCTGTAACGCTGGAGGACTAACGGCCCGTTAGCCACCCTCAAGGACGAAGATGTAGTGCCTACCGAACTGGTGACCATATCTGACACGTCTCGCACGGCCTGATGACTCCCACCCGATGGAATAGTGCCAATCGATGACGCTCTATCATCGAAGGAGTTGGGAGACCCAAAATTCATGCCACTGATGTCCTGCACTACAGGAGGGACAGGTAGGGCACCGAGAGGTATCTGCCACTGATCCGAGGTATCTGATGACATGATACTCTGGAACAGGTTCTCTGAGTCGGGCCATATCAGGGCAAAATCAAGGTCTGAGGCCGTAGCCTGCAGGCCTGACGCCTGATGAGTACCAGATGCCTCCCAGGTTTGGCCTGGAGGGCAAGCTGCGACCACATCTTCTGCTGGTGCTCGAGGAGCGTCCCAAGGTAGCGTGTCAAATGAAGCCACTCGGGACACAGGCAGTGATTGCTGTGACTGTGTCTGCTTGGTGGCTGCTGCACGGCTGTGCAATTTCTCATGGCGGGTCAAAGCATCTTGGCGCGCAAATGGCCTGCGACATTCTTTGCAAACAAATGGCTTGGATCCGGTATCTTCGTCATATCAGTCATCCATCAGCTCCTGTATCGTATCTCTTGGCATATCAATCGCCTCGAAGCGACTAGGGAGTCCTTACGGCAGCGTTCATGTCTCTAAGTGCCGGCGTTAATAGTGTCTCCACTGACGGGGGAAGATGCGCCGAAGCGATTAGATATTACTGACCCTCAAGTGTTCCGCTTTGGTGAAAGCCTTTTGGCACGCACCACATATAAGAGGCTTCGATGGCGTCGATTGTGGCATATTGGGTGTCTATCAAGAAGAAAAGAGGCAACCCATCAATTAATCCATAGCCATTCCAGACCAGAACCTTGCTGAAAATGAGGAGTCCGGGGGGTGTGGAGGGCAGTGCAGAGCAGGTACTACTAGAAGCGAGTGTGGGCGAGTGTGGGAGATTTTGTGGGGCGGCAGTGGCGATATCTGCCGACAAAGTATCCGAAACACCTGCCGAGATCAAGCCTCAAGCCAGGTCTTGGAATGGCTGCTTGGCAGTATCGGCTACGAGATTCGGGCTCCGGAAGAGGATTTTATGCTTCTATTCCGTCGGGATCGATCCCGGATTCCGTTGTATGGCTTTCACTATCTAGTGATTCTCACCGTGTTCACTGTAACCCTGCAAGTGACGTTGAAGTTCGAATGTGGGTGGCACCTGCCATTGCCTATCTTGCGTTTAATTTCAACTTTCTTCTTGCTCCTAGGCACCATATTGGCCACTGTGGCATCGATAGTCGCTCCCCCATCGGCATTGACGCCCCCTGTTTACTGTTGGAAATCGGATGGGGTGGGATCCATCTTCTGGCTCATGGCCTTTCCAACCGTGGCTAGAAGCCATCTAACCGAACTTTTGGAGCCAATGAACCGCGTTTCGAATCAATCGTTGACATTTGTTGGCCACTGGCCTGCGTAGAATTGCTCGGATTTCGTTCCAACCTGATCCATAGCCTCGTCAGCGTCGGTGGTATTGATCATTTTGGACACACGGCATCCACAATTGTTGCTGGTTTTTTCCATCTGACTCGGTAACGCCGTGGGGACTCTGGAGAACCCCCATCGTGTCACGCTCTCCGCGAGGTTTTCCCCAGCGGTGCCCAGGTCAGTCACCGAGGATGTCCAGGTCCACAGTGTCAACTTTCCCCGGGGAGAAAACATGTAACCTGAACCCCGTGATAGGCCAGCTGATCGTATCAAACCCCAGCAGAGTCCGCGGATCCGGGACTTCCTATTTTTCAGCATCCGGTCAGGGGATTCGAGAGAGCTGACTCGTTGTCTGGCACGTCACAGGCACTCCGTCTCTTGTCCTTCCTATATCCCCCCGCTACGCAATCGTTGAGACAACAACTACTTTGACCTTCATCACGGAGGATACCCTGAAGACACGATTTCAGTGACCTTCGCTATCCTCTCTTGATATGCCTAACTCCATGGAGATGCAACCAACCTCCGCTGTTGAAGACGCTCCAGATATGGAGTCTCAGCAGGCGTCAAAGAATGGTGTTGACCTCGTGGAGAGCACAGAGGCTGGAATTCCTTCCAAGTATCCCGACATAATGGCAAACCGTCTTTCAAAGGCACACCGTGATTTCCTCATGGAACGTCACGGTACCTTGGAGCTGGATCCTGTCCCCAGCATGGACCCTGCGGATCCTTATAACTGGCCGTTCTGGAAGGTGAATGATCAAGTTGTTCAAATAAACGTGACTTAGCTGACATTCTGGCGGTTGCAGAAAATTGCAAACCTCGTTCTAGTAGCCTTCCACGCCTGCATGGGAACATTTGCCGCAGCCGGTATCATCCCCGCTTATGAAACGTGAGATTGCTGTACGATATTTGAGTGTTCCCGTCTGCTAAGTGATAACCAGGATTGCCGAAGAATTTGGCGTTACACTCCACCAGGTCACATATCTTACATCGCTTCAAATCGCCATTCTTGGTGGTGCACCCTTGTTCTGGAAGCCTCTTTCCAATCGATATGGCCGACGCCCGATCTTCCTTCTGTCCCTGCTCTGTAGTTTAGTTTGCAATGTCGGGTGCGCAAAATCCACAGATTATGCCTCTACTGCGGCGTGTCGGGCACTGCAAGCATTCTTCATATCTCCGGCTTCAGGTATGACTGACCTTTCCCAAGTGGTCCAATCAAGGAGGTCATGCTAACCACATTTCGCAGCGATTGGAAGCGGTGTTGTGATGGAAACATTCTTCAAGAAAGATCGTGCGAAGTATATGGGTGTCTGGACCCTGCTACTTACGCTGGGTATCCCTTGCGGACCCTTCATTTTCGGCTTCGTGACTTACCGTGCGAGTTATATCTGGATCTATTGGGTTCTGGCCATTGTAAGTGTCTCGATCTCTGCGAGAGACCTACTTTCTGATCACAAGATTAGATCAATGGTGTTCAGTTCATCCTGTATCTCTTCCTCGGCCCGGAAACTCGGTATATCGGGAACACCGCGGATCCTAAAGAGCCTGCGTGGAAGAGAGAGTATGTTCAGATTCGACGGATTGACCCAACACCTCTCCAATGGATTGAGTTCATCAAGCCGTTGGGACTGTGTATGAAACCCTGCGTCATGGTTCCTGCTGCTGCGTACGCGATGATCTTTCTCTTGAGCAACGTCTTGGCCACCGTTGAAGTGCCCCAGCTGCTCCAAGGAAAGTTTGAACTCAACGCAGAGCAGCTCGGTTTGCAATTCTTGGGCCCGATCATCGGATCCCTCATCGGCGAGCAGCTGGGAGGCCACATGTCCGATCTCTGGATGAACATGCGCGCGAAAAGGATGAACCGGAAGCCAGAGCCCGAGTTTCGACTCTGGCTTAGCTACCTGGGTTATACTTGCTCCATTGTCGGTATCATCGTTTTCCTTGTGTGCACCGAACATGCCAAGCAGGGCCAGTGGAACGTAGCTCCCATTATCGGCATTGCGATCGGCGCTGCTGGTAACCAGATCGTGACCACGGTTCTTATCACGTATGCGGTGGATTGCCATCCTGAGGATGCTTCTAGTGTGGGTGTTTGTATCACGTTTGTCCGTCAGATCTGGGGTTTCCTCGGTCCGTTTTGGTATGTTGTTCGCGTTGAAGTGCTGTGATTCGCATCAACTGACTGAACTTAGGTTTCCGGGTATGTTCGAGAATGTCGGAGTCGCTGCAAGCGCAGGTGTCTGCGTGGCACTCATGGTTGGAGTCAGCGTCTTCCCGACCATCGTGTTGCAGATTAAGGGACGCTCGTTCCGGCCTGCAACAGAATAGTCAGTATCAGGAATTCGTTCCCTGTCGAGATGGCAACAGGTGAACATGTTGGGATTGGGTCTCGGTATACGGTATAGATCGCACTGTTAGATTGGTAGTCGGGTTAGAATGGAATAGAGGGATAGTCGATAGTAAGGAACACGAAAGGATTTCGAGCTTGAAGAGCTTTCACGAAAACGGGAAAACACTTACTATATGACTAGTTTCTGTAGATATCTAGTCCGTAGACCATCGGGACGCGGTAAAACCAGACCACACAATCAGGCAACTCGGGATTCCGATCGGCTCCCCGAGAGAAGTCCAAAGCAAGGAATCTTGGAACCTTGGCGGGGGAGCTTATTATTACTGACGCCTTGGCTCACCAAACTCCCAACAGTCTGGATAATAATGAGTGGGCAGTTTTCTTGTCATGAAAGGATCGAGAGGGAACTTGTTTTCTGATCCCATGATACTAAATTTCTGAGAATCATTGATGTTAAACTCGAAACTTTAGAGATGCGGCAAGATTGGCAGTGGATGTGCTTTTCCGATGGGGATAAATTCATATCCCGGACAACAGTGCCATCTTTTAACCAGAGGGGGTAGCAATATACATAAAATGTGCACATTATACTCCACTAGAATGCACATCTATCCCATCCTTTATTTCGAACATACAGTATCTAAACAGTCCGCATATTCTACCAACTTGCCAAACCAATTCAACAACCACAGCTGCTCTCGCGCTTCACCGCGACAGTCTTTCTCCCCACACTGCAGTTAGTGCCAGCCACCAAAATGTGGGGACATCGATGACGGACTTGGGGTGTGGGGAGAAATTGTGGGAGTGAGGGGGATGTAGTACCCCAATATCTTTGACCACGAGACTGCAAATAAAACCAACGTACTAGTCACTTCCACCTGCTCTTTTGCCTATCTATTTGCGAAGAATTCAAACACACAAGCCAAAATGTCCACACCAAAAGGTCCCTTCCGCCTCGTAACCGTCAACACTGCCCCGGAGCGGGCAAAGCGTCTCATTGGGCGTATGGCCGAAGCCCTCAAGGATCGGTATACGATCATTCACATCGATAACTGTGAGAGTACGTTACTGGATTTCTACAAGTATTATCGAAGAGATAAGGACTGACACGATACAGCAATCGAAGAAGTCGCGCCGAAGGTTACAGAGCATAACCCCGACGTTTTGGTATCTTTCCTTCCCAGCAACACTCTTGTTCAACCGTACTGACATCACGCAGTTCAGCGCCTCAATGTGGACAGCCGAGCAAGCCGCCGAGATCCAGGCCATTGCGCGCTCGATCCGCCCCGATATCAAGCTCCATGCGATCCCTGCTGGGTTGCAGGTTGAGCGGGGGCCCGATGCTGTGGTGGAGTATCTGCTTGAGAACGTGCCAGCATTGCTCGATGCTGAGTAAAGCCTCATATTCAAAATTGAGTTGGCCGATTTGCTATGTATAGAACGCATCCAATCCCGGAGTTTGTCCCTCGACGTTTTTTCCGCCACTCGAAAATTCTGTGTTAGGGTTTCTTAACTCCTGTATATACTTTACTATGCGACACTCAGACTGCGGAATTGATGATTGATGATGACCACCAAGGTTCATGGCTGTTGTAAGTCTTAGGAAAGCTGCTCACTAAAGGTTTGTGACCCGGTCGGGGATATTTCGGTGAAATCGGCGAGATCCCCGATAGGTCCTGAGAATAAGTGCACCCTCCTCCGCTGCCGTTTATCCTGTTGTCGAGGATGAGACAAGCAATAGAAGACATTCGAACGAGGCAATGTTGATTACTCTGCATTCACATTGCCCTTCCTTATTAAGCCGTTCGTGATGTTTCCCTGCCATCCAGAAAAGCCAGTGACCTCATCGAGTGATTTGTAAGCATAGGTTGGCTGCAGTCTTGGGAGTATAAGTACGAGGTGCAACACAATCAGTTTATTAAGAACATTCAACAACTCATTGAAGATTGTTAGGCCCTGGCATAACATTCAAGACAGTTTCTACGCCCACGATGTCAACGACAGACCTCGCAACCGCTCCCTCCCCGGCTGTAGTCCCAGCGGAGGGAATCCCATACTACACGCCCGCCGCGAACCCCGGCGCAGAGGCCGACCCGACAGAAAAGGAAACGCCGACTCTTTTCCGCCCCTTGAAGATCCGCGATGTTACACTCAAGAACCGCGTTATTGTCGCGCCGATGTGCATGTACTCGACAAACCCCGACCCCGCATCCCCCTCCATTGGCGCCTTGACAGACTTCCACGTCGCGCACCTGGGTCATCTCGCCCTCAAGGGCGCAGGCCTTGTCATAATCGAGGCAACATCTGTCCAGCCCAACGGGCGTATTTCACCTAATGACTCCGGGCTCTGGCAGGAGGGCACGGCCTCCGAGCAGTTCAAGGGTTTGAAGCGCGTTGTCGATTTTGTGCATTCGCAGGGCGGCAAGATTGGTATTCAGCTTGCGCATGCGGGGCGAAAGGCGAGTGTCGTTGCGCCGTGGTTGGCGAGTGCCAAGGGGGTGCGGAGTCTCAAGGCTGATGAGGGTGTGTTTGGGTGGCCGAAGAACGTGGTTGGGCCCAGTGGAGGTGAGGAGAATATCTGGGTGGAGGGTGGAGTGTCGTATTGGGCTCCAAGGGAGCTGAGTACGGAGGAGGTGGAGGAGGTTGTGAGGGCATTTGCGAGAAGTGCAGAGCTCGCGGTCAAGGCCGGGGTGGATGTTATCGAGATCCACGGTGCGCATGGGTATTTGGTCAACCAATTCCTGAGCCCTGTGACGAACCGGCGGACGGATAAGTACGGTGGGAGCTTCGAAAATCGGACAAGGTTCCTTCGCGAGATTGCGTCCGCGATTCGGGCGGTGATTCCCGAGGGCATGCCGTTGTTCTTACGAATTAGTGCTTCAGAGTGGCTGGAAGGACAGCCGATCGCTGCTGAGCGCGGCTCTTGGGACATCAACTCGAGTATTGAATTGCTCAAGATTCTGCCGGAGCTTGGTGTTGACTTCCTCGATGTGAGCTCTGGTGGGAACCACAAGGACCAAAAGTTTGACCCTCATGGAGACTACCAGGTCAAACTGGCTGCACAGCTGCGCAAGGAAATTCGGGCAGCTGGCGGGACAACGCTGGTCGGTGCTGTCGGGCTCATCACGCAGGCTGAGGCGGCCTCGGAGATTGTGCAAGGTGCGGATAACGACGAGGCGCACCGTGCAGAGACAATGCTGGCCGGGGCAGAGCCAAGGGCTGATGCTGTGCTGATGGCTCGCCAGTTTCTGCGGGAGCCCGACTGGGTGATGAACGCCGCGAAGAAGCTGGGTGTTCATCTTACCCCTCCTGTTCAATTTGGTAGAGCATATCTGCGATAAATGGTGAGAGGATTAGAGACATAGACGACTTGTGTTTTGATAACTTGTTTAATGTGAATAGCATACCATTCTAGACGCTGAGTTCCTAATCCTGAAAATACAGTAAACCGCGCAATGCATGGCTGTATGCCTAGAGCATTTGTTCTTCTATTTTTGCCTTATGTGGGTGTGTCCACGCCTTTCTTTTTCCCTCGCAGCGATTGACCGGTTCCTTGGAAACGGGGCTTCTCCTCGTCGACGGCTTTTCCGCTCTCGTCCCGCTTTTGAACCGGCTTGAGGGCGTATCCAAAGAATAATTGGTTGGGAGGTAAGCGCAACGGCTGCGGTCCATTTGTTCTCCTGGCTGGAGGCGGGTGCTGAGGATTCGTCGCTCCAGGAGTAGGAGTCGATGCTGTTGGTGTTGGAGACTTGCTGCCCTTCTTTGCATTCAAGCGATGACCACTTGATAGGAAGTTTGACGAGACCGCCCGTGCACCCGCGGCGGCATCAGTTGACTCTGGGGCAATGGCTCCATAATTGATCGCCTGTGCCATGGTACCGTGTGGATGAAGAAGTCCGCCAGCTGGCAACCTCCCGCTGACTACGCTGCCTGGAGTGCTAGTGCCACTTGGGCGCTGCGGCTCCTCGTATCCCACGGGTGGCGCAAAGTCGACTTCAAGATCGGTCTCCAGGACAGATATAGCACTTGTCTCGTTCACAGGCTTCGTTTCCAGCACGGCCATCTCATAAACTTGGTCATTATATGCAAATGTGAAAATGTCATCTTTCGTGAGGCAAGAGAAGTTGCGGAAAGCGTTTTCGAGGACCGCCTTGGGGTCGCTGATGTCGAGGAAAGAGGTGGATTGGGCTTGGAGTTTGATGAACCGGCCGGGTGGAAGGTCGGTCGACTTGACCTGCACAAGGTCACCGGGCTCGAGAAGTAGCGTTTGCATGAGCTGAAACAGTGATACGTCAGAGAGAAACACCACAAAGAGCTATGTCAGGTTGCCGTGCTTACCCAGAATGGCAGATAGATCTTCCCCTCCTCGGCGATAAACTCCAAAACACCAGCATGAGATATCTTCTCCTTTGCACCGTTGTGTAATTCGAAAAGCATAGGGTATGTGATGTGTAGTCGAGTTAACTTGTCTAGAGCGCTGGGGGGCATGATGACTTTTCCGCCATGGTTGACATTCTCTCGTTCCGGTCCAGGCATCATAGCAACAGGATAACACCGGTAGTATTCATCGAATCGACGTGTAGCACCTCCAGGTCTGAGCATGGAGGTACCCATGACTCCTTCCATGGCATCATCCTCCCAATAGCCACCTCGAAACTAAATCAGTCAGTAAGTACACCATCTCCCAACCGATAGTAAGCAGGCTGAACACAGCTTAAACATACCATGGTCAGTGAGCAACGGCGCGTCTTCTCGGTTGTCTTCAGAGCTCAAAATGCTGATGCTCACTTTCTTACCAAGCAAGGGACTAGAATGAGCTCGGAATTTTCGTTGGTTGCCTCGAGTTAGAAAGATGGTGAGTTGCGGAAGTGAGCTCGGAGTTCTTTGATCACCCGCCCTAGTAGTGACGCAAAGAGGCTCCACAATGATTTTCCGACCCGACCCCAGACATGCACCGCAAGGAGCAGCCAGAAATTTCTCCCCACTCTCGTTGCCCTTGCTCTTTCAGTGTTATTCACAAAGTTAATTCAATACACATGTCCTCCTCACTCCCGCGCCCAAGACGGGCGGGCGAAGACTACACCCGCACTCACCACCTAGACGAAGGTGACGAAGGCGGTCCATCAAAGAAGCCCCGTTTCGACCTCCGTAATCCCTCAACACTCGCCCCCGACGCGCTTGACGACGATGCAATCCTAGATGCAGATGAGATCGGACGGCGCGGGCAACAAGTGCGCCGCAAGGCCGTCAATCTCGATGGCTATGAATCCGACAGCGACAATGAAGGTTTCGACGGGCGCGCCTCGGCCAAAGCACGACAGAAAGATGCGAAACAAGAGGAGGAGGACGATGATATGTTTGCTGAATTACAGGAAGACTTCGGTGCCGAGGAAATAGATGGTGACGAAGCGCTACGGAAGAACAAGAAGAATGTGCGGTTTTTACGGGACGACGAGATTGAGGGACAGGTTGCGTCGTCAAAGAGTGGGCGGACGTTGCGCGTGGACTTGAGCCAAGGTGCTGACGATGTCCATATCGACGAAGATGATAGCGAGAGCGATGTGGCCGAGGAAGATCGCGCCAAAGTAGACACTGGCATGGACGAGGAACTTGGGGCGGGTTCAAAGAAGAAACACGCACCCTTACTGGATGCGTTTAATATGCGCTCCGAACAAGAAGAGGGTCGCTTTGATGAGCAGGGGAATTATGTCCGAAAGGCGGCAGATCCGGATGCTGTACACGATACATGGCTGGAGGGCGTATCGAAGAAGGACATTCGACTCGCCAAAGAGGCGGCTGAGAAGCGAGAATCTGCGAGAAAGGAAAAGGATCGCAAAGACGATAGTGTTTTAACATCAGATGCCCTTAAAACGCTCATTACAAATTTACAGCGCGGAGAGACAGCGCTAGATGCTTTGGCGAGGATAGGGAAGGGTGCTCGGAAGAAACCGAAGTGGCAGACGAAACGAAATCACAAACGATTAAAGAACGAGGACACAGAGATGGCAGAAGACGATCCCAAAGAGACGGTCAGGAAAGAAACAATTGAAGCTATTACTGCTGCGGCTGATATTCTGATGGCGCGAGGGCAAGCCGAAATCTACGACACTGAGCGAGAGGTGTTAACCAGACAGTACCGCCGCGAGACAGGTGAAGACTGGTTTGACCCTCCACAAAAAGAAGATGCAGTGGCCGCAGACTCTGAGCCAGCGATGTGGGAATATCGCTGGTCCGATGCCCGTGACGGGGGTGCAGTGCATGGACCTTACGATGGTCCAACCATGCAGTCGTGGCGGTACGCCGGTTACTTTGGCGAAGGGGTTGAGTTCAGAAAGACGACAGACACCGGCGAGTGGAGTAGCACAGTCAACTTTGTATAGTAACGGCCACGAGCGGGTATAATATGAAGCATAAATGGAGATTCCAGCTTTAAATGATATTACTATTTTCATTATCATGTAGACCTAAACCCAACCCTCAAAATATCATAGTGAGCTGCAAACCAGCGCCAGCATTATCGTACATCAATTGATCGATGCGGATAGCAGAAACATCGGAGGACAGGTTTTCAGATATGATCAAACTAACAACTGGCGTCAGGGCTTAGGGGGAAATACTTTCCCTGTTCCCTCACAGCTTTGAGCAGAGGCCGCAATGCCCTTCGAAGACTCCGTTCCTTAACACCTAAACAGATCTAAACCAGATTCCAGAACAGTCTATGAGATTTCCATGGCGTCCCCGTTAGCAACAGAGAAGGTGACGTTTCCTTGATCGCCAATGAAACGCTGCTCGTACTGGTTGACGAATTTGACACTGCGAGCCGGATCATAGAACAACCGGAAGCTTCGTTGTACATCGTCAACACTAACTTCCTTAGCTTTGCGTTTTTGGCTGAGGAGATGAGATGTGGTGATGATATTGCTGGCATATCTCAGGTTAGATTCCTGACCGATCTTTGTCAAAAGAGCCAGGGCATCGGGGGACAGGTCAATTTCCTCCTCTTGGGCTCGGATTGCCAGAATCTGTCTGATCTCATCAGCAGAGTAAGGCTGCGTGCTCACAATGACTACACGATCGAGGAAGTCAAGAGGGAGACCATGTGGGGAATTGTATGTGGTGCCTCGAATCCGCGAATGGCCACGATTGCTGGCCATTATAACAATCGGAGCAAGCTCCGCCTCCAGAGCCCGGTTGATATAGGAGTAGCACTCAATGTCGAGCATGTGTACTTCATCAATGAATAGAACGCCCGGGATTATCTCTGCCTTGCCCTCTTCCTTCCATTCTGCGACCTTGGTGTTGATTTGGTCTCTGACCTCACTTCTGATCTCACCAGTATCTCCAGAGAAGAGCGCCAAGAATCCCTGCGAGCGCGAGTTGATGACATCGATCTCATGAAGACTGACAGTGTGTACTATTTCTTTTCGGACTTGGAGCTCCCCCTCCGGGCATTGAACGAATTTCACATCGGCGCCCATTGCATCGTAATCGCGGGAACGGGCATAGGATCGTCCGAGCTTGGTGATTTTGCCCGACGACTTGTCAATCGAAATAATGTCTCCTGCCATGACCCTCTCCTTTGTCATTGAATCGATCATCTTCGTTCCCATATCGTAGATCGTCTCCATATCGGTGGTCTTGATCGTGAGCTTCCCTTGTTTGTTGCCCTAGAAGAATCAGTACCCTGCAGCATTCATCATTCAAATTGCTTTCAGTCATCACTTACGCCAGTCACACTCCGATCAATCTGAATTTCGACAACTTCGCCTTCAATGATCTCACTCTCCTCTTTAATTCGAACCCCGATGGACTTTCGGAAAGCTTGTGTAAGAGCCTCGGTCTTTGACATCTCCATTGAGAAAATCTCGGAGGCCGCAAGCATAGTAAATGGGACGTCTGGCCCAAGGGACTGCGCCATACCCATGGCTATGGCGGTTTTACCTGTGCTGGGTGGCCCTGCAATCAGGACAGCACGCCCGGCAATCTTTCCTTCCTTGACCATCTGAAGAATGACCGCAGCAGCCTTACGGGCCTTTTCCTGTCCCACAAGGCCTTGAGAGGCCGATCGCGGTTGCAAAGAATCGGCATCCACACCGAGTCCTCGAATGTGTGAATGGGCAGCGATGAGATTCAGACCCCGGAGCTCCTTGGTCTCCGCGACGGTGGAAATTTGCTGATCAAAAAGTGAGCGACAAGTGAAAGAGCAATAACATTTCATCGGAGACACTCACCGCAGCCATTATGAAATACCGCTTTAAGAACAGCTGCTCTCAGTACTCTGGTCTGGATTTGGTCGCAATCAAGCCTTGCTTGAAATCCGCGCCGCAAGAGCTGGAGCTGGATCTCACCGCCCGGCAGAACCTTTTCGCACCAACGCGTCCGCCATGGCAACTGATCAATCAAACTGTAAGACAATAGAGACAACTCGAGCCGGATTTACTCACCACTTTTCCTCACTCAAGCCTCGCGATACATATCACAAGCCACTGATGCCTCGCTTTTTGGCGGGTCCGCGTCGCCTCCCCATATCCTTCCTACTTATAGTGGGATGTTTGCTCGGCGACGAATTAAAAGTAAGTCTTTCACTACGCGCCAATCTCCCCGTTCGCTTTTGCTCTAACATTTCTTTCTCTTTCTCTTTGTAGACTGAGGCCTTCTCACCCACACACTGAAATGGACGTCGACTTCTCGATGTCACAGAACCCTCAGAATTCTCGCGATCCCCGCCTTGTGAACCGGCCGCAATTACAGCAGAGAACTAGCCAACTGAGTCAACATGAAGCACAGCAGCGAATACCTTCAGTTCCTCAAGCCCAGCAATCAGTGCCAGAAAACCAAAATGATACGCCTGCCGATATATTCGTTCGTGGCATCTCCGAATTAGTACACGCCGCCGCCGCTGCAGCTGCGAATCAATCTGAAAAAGAAAAGCTGCAGAAGAAGCGTGATACTACAGCCGAACTGCTTCGGAAGGCGAGAAACCATCAGGGATTTCCATCCACTGTTGAGTTCTTTCAAAATGCCAAGAACGAAGAGGACCAAGTTCTAGCGAAGATCGACCAGAAAATCAAGGAGAACGAAACCAACTACAAGCGTTTGCAAGCCGATTTGAAAAACAATTGGGCGGCCACGACAAACTCTTCGCGGTCTCCTGACACTCAGGAAGCCATATCACAGTTGGAAAGAGCTAATAAAACAGCCAAAAATACCATCTTAGATCTGCGAGATGATTTCAAGGATCTGAGTGGCCGCATTAGGTCGCAAGATGACCAATTAAGAGATTTTGACAGGAGCTTAAAAGCACTTCAAGACACTGCGCGCCGCAACAGGGCACAAGATGATCAATTAAGAGACCTGGACCGAAGTGTGAAGGGACTCCAAGACACTACGCGCCAACAGCAAAGGGTCCTCGCAGACTATACAAGCTTGGATAAGGATGTACAAAGTCTTCAGGAGATTGTGCGCAACCAGCAGAAGAGCTTCGCAGATTACACAAACTCTCTTAGTGTACTGAATAACAGCCTGGCTAGTGTCTCCTCGCGCCTTGAACAACTGGAACAATTGGAGCAGGGCGCAGTACCATTGCGACAAGGCACAGCGGAGCCAGGACAGGGTACAGCAGCTGAGACCAAGAAAGCCCTGCAAAATCTTGAGGTCCAAGTAATGAAATTGGAAAAAGACGCAGCAGTGTGGGGCGAAAAGACCGGCTTCTTGTCCTCGTCTTATCAGCGCATTTCAGCACTACCCGACCAAGTCAATCGAACGCTACAGCTTCAACAGGAGAAGCTAGATCGGCTTGTCGACAGCCAAACTGTTGCAAAATTGAATGCTACAGTCACAAAACTTGATGGTCAACTGGGGAATCTGCAAGAAAACCAGAGCATAAAGGATGATTTGGTGATGGCCCAGTTTGAAGAACTCGCAGGCACTTTGACTCGTCTCAAAACGGATCTTGAACCGAATCTTGAACGTTTAACCCGAGACGTGGAACAATTGTCAGCCAAGGTCCCAACTGAACCGCTTGAACCGAAACTTGCCACTCTGGGTGGTGATGTCCAGCGCCTGCATCAAAGTCTCGTGCGACAACACGAGGGTATCACAAATGTGGGTGTCGGTCTGCAGTCCCTTGAAATGAGGTACAACAATCTATCAACAGACTATATTGTTCAACATATGCTTGGGGCATTCCAAGAAATGTATCCAGAGTGGGACCCAACATACAAAATGTTGACCAGAAAGGTAGATCAGCTGGAGGAGCATGCCAGAAACTCAACAATTTCCACAGACGAGTTAAATCACCTGAAAGCTGAATGTGCCACATTATCACAGCAATGGGCAGGCATGTTAGAGCGATATGAGTGGCTATGCCAGGAAGAGTTTCGGCAGGTACAGACACGCGTGGATGCCCTCGCCGCAAAGCAAAGCGACATTGACGGCGACCTCACTTCGAAGAAAACAGCAGACCAGGCGTTACTCCAACAGGTCGAACATGAGCGTGAGCTGCTAAACAGCCGAATATCAGTCTTGTCCGAAGATGTTAAAGCGCTGAAATCAGAATGCGCACAAGCCAAAACAAGCACCGACAATGACAAAACGGATATGCGGTCCCTAGAGCTTCGCATTGGGGGCCTTGAAAAGAGTTCGCAGAAAATAAAAGAGCAGCTTGATGCATTGTCAAAACCAGCGCCACCGCGTGAACTGTTTCTAGAGAACGGAGGCTCGACTCGAGAACCCACGCCAAAAATGCAAGCACCACCTCGGCCTAACAAACCCGACCTCCTGGACACTGCTGCAGCTGTTAAATTGAAGCGCCGATATCCCTCCACAGTTTCAGACGACGAAAGATCTCCAGCGCACAACCCATTTTCGCCGGACACCCTCGTCTCACCCACTGTTGCCCATGGTGATTCGAGGAAAAAGAAGAAAAAGAAGAAGATAAGAAATGTCGAAGCCGAAGGTCCCATAGAGATAGATGACTAGGTGCGGATTCGTCCTAACATTTTGTTCGAACTTGCAAAGTGAAAATGGCGCAGCTGCTTACTTCTCTGCTTCTTCTGCTCGTATTTATCTTTCTGTTTAAATACCCTATTCTTTCTCGCCATCCGTGAGTTTCAGTTGATGGCAATTGAATATCAAGCATTGGCGTTGTTTCGGTGATGAAGCTCATGATTCTTTCTTCTTGACTGTATCATGCAGTATCCGTTACTGTATATACACTCTTTCTATGTCCCTCTCTCTATCTTTGGAGGCTTCAGGACCTGTCTACTACACACTCCTATGTAAGACATTAAAACAACATAATCTAATCTGATAATGCCACGGCTCCTCCAGCTTCATGCTTTCCAGTTTATTCCAATCTATGGTGTCTCTTGCAGAAACTCAACAACAACTATAGGAACACAGTCAGCCTCTGCAAAGCCCTCCAATCTAGTCGAAACCAGTAGTTTGAAGCAACTTACCTTTTCTGAAGGCCTCCGGGTTTTCAGAAATAACCCAGTGACCAGCCTCCACGTCCACAACTTTCGAGTTAGGGAAGAACCCTTTGATCGCGGGGATTGTCTCGTCAGAGACATAGGGACTCTTCGTTCCTCGAACAACCATAGTCGGCCCCTTATATTGGACGGAGCCAGGCTCACCGAACGGGAACTCACCTAGGGCCTTCAGGGACTCGTGTAAGGTCGAGAGAGGCACCCGGAACTTCATCGTTTGGTCTTCAGGTGAGCGAACAAGGTTCGTTAGGAGGAATTGTCGGATTGGAAGAGACTAGATCAATGTTTAGTACAGCATTTGCATGCGTGCTTGCTTGTAGCCCTTGAAGCAAGATTACGAGGAACTTACCTCTTCATAATCTTGAAGAATCTTATCAGCATCCGATTGTTTGTTTACATTCGCAGATTCAACTTGCTGCATTCCGCGAATGTATTTGCCAAAGTCAGTGCGGAGCACGGCGCTCACTGGTGCGTTGTCCACGGGTACCAGGGCAGAGACCAGCTCGGGGGCGTTTAGGGCAACGGTCATGGCGGCTTTGGCGCCCCTTCATCGGAAAATCAGACCATATTAGACAGGATATTTCCATTATTGAACGTTTAGTATGGGTCAGGACATACATGGAGTGTCCGATCAAGGCACACTTGCTCAAGTTCTGCTCACGCATGAACTCTGCCACGTCGTCTGCCATGACGGGGTAGTTGTGTTCCGGGTCATGGAAGGAGTTTCCATGGTTTCGGAGGTCCTATTAAGTGTTATTATCAAAGAGATTTCAACACTTTCCATCCTGGAGTGTATGGGTGTGTGGACTAACCACTATGTACACCCGGCGTTTGAGGTCACGTGCCAAAGCCCTGCATCCTGTTAGGTTCGTTACTCGACAACATAGCAAGAATAGGCATACCGGCTGATGCTCCTATTGTTCTGCTTTGATCCAAATAGTCCATGCAAGAAGACAATTGGATTCCGGGTCGGTTGCTCCTTTTCCGGGCCAAAGACCTGGAAGGAGAGATCGGATCGGAGGAGTCGACCGCTGGTTGAAAAGGCTCGGCTACTTGGAACGCCGCGAAGGGCTATCCGTGGTGAGAATGGCATAGTGTGGTGAGAGTTGGAAAGCTGGACATGGATTGGCTGTAATGATTTATAGATTTCGAGGAGGAAGGAATTGGAACGATGACGCGCGTGGGTGGAAGTCTCCACACCAGCAAACCCTGGCACGTGATTATGGAGGTATAAGACGATTCCGAATTTGTCCTAACCTGAGAAGTATTCGACAATCCTCCCAGGAGACGGGTTGCGGCATGGCTCTGAATAAGTCTGTTTCTACGCAAAAATTCCTTGGGCTCTCTGTAGCATCACTATTGGGTGTCAGACGACTGAATGCTGCATTAGACAACGAAGCGAAAGGACGGGGAGTACTCGGTATTTCTAAAATCATGAGTAGAGATTGTCATTCAAGTACCTGGACATCGTAAAGTCATAACACATACATCGGCGACTCGCTTTAGCTGCTGGAGATCGCATTTGTTTTTGCTCTTTTTTTTTTGGTAAGGGTCATGGAACAGGATGTTGCACTCATACATGATGGCAGAGATATGATCGAGTCTCCAGCACGAACCGAAGTGAAACGAAAGTGAGAACATCAAGTCAAACGTGAGGTATTAGCAATGAGTTTTGTGTTGTTTGAGTTGACACACGTTTGCTTCTTACTGCTCCTTCAGAGAAAACATCTCGCCATTCCAGCCATACGCGCGGTTGAGTCTTCGGCCAAACACACGAGCCATGGTGATTGATATTTTGCCTTTTGGCTCGCTGAATTGAATGCTTTTTTTAACGTCCTCCTTAGTTGGTGCAAACTGCCAAGTCGAATTGTACAGCTTGAGGACAGTGAATCCAACAGAACTCATCGCATGCAGAAAGTCTTTCCATGGTATCTCATGAGGCATATTGGTGATGGCAGGGTTGAAAAATAGAGCCCGGAATACTTTCAGAGCGCGGGCATCAACGCTGAATGAGGGCTGAGCCTTAGCGGAAAGCCCCGATGATTTCTTGGTCTGCTGCGCTGATGAACTGCGGAAAAGGGTGTAGACTTCTGACATGGGCCGATATGAATGATATGAATCAGATCCGATGGATGTGCCCGGGGGGCTATTCTCAGACTCGACCCAGTCCCGAGTGCGGCGCAAGATGCTTTGCTGTGAGAGGAATTTGTCTGCAGCTGTTCCACGCAAATCACCGGCCTTGAGCAACACTTGATCAAAGGCAGCCCAAACAGCATTCAGACGGAGTTCAGCGCTCCGCAGGGCGCCCACATTTGCTTTGGTGCGGGGTGCCTCAAACGGGTAGGCGAACTTGCCACTAGAAAAGTCACAAAGGACCCCGGTTTTGATAAAGTTGCTGGGTTCGAGAACGCTGACATAGCGGGAATTCGCATGGAATCTCTTGATGTACTGGCTTTCCAACTCGTCTCTGCGCTTGATCAAAGTAGACTCCCAGGTCCAAGCCCATGGCTGGTATGAATTGATTTGACGCCAGCATTGTGAGAGAATGGACAAGTCGCCCACCATTGCTGAAACCGTGGGAGTTAACATCGCCCGTGCGCTTGGCTCAGCTTGGAGTAGTCGTTCTAGCTCATCAACGAGTACTGGCATCGTGATGAGAGATAACACATCATTGTCTCTCCAAAGGTACGTGAGCAGCCACAGAAGTTTATGCTCGATCTTATCTCCCTTTCCTACATCCTTCATCAAGCAAAACACGTGAATCTCCTCCATCAAACTGCGTGACGGCTGACGGCGAAACATTCGGCGAAGGGGTGGTGAGCCTGGGGCCGCATGCCAAAGGGTGCCTTGTAGTAGAGCGGGGGCACGGTCAAGAAAGTGATGGAAAAGGAGCAATGCTTCTAGATAGTCTCCAGGTAAGTCCTTCGACGAGCTGATATCCGTCGCATACTTCTTCTGCAATACGGCCACCTTCTCAGCCAGCCTGCTAGCTTCGGACAGGATTTCCAGGTTCCAGTACGTCTCTCCCACAGAGCTGCACATAACCTGGGCCCACATCGTAGGCTGTTGACCGTCAGAGAGCAACGGATGATTGGCTTTGCCATTTCCGTCTTTCAGATTCTGCATTAGATGTTCCTTGGCCTCGAGTAGCTGCGTGACGAAGTAGTCGGGGTCTTCTCTTAGGGCCCAAAGATGGTCCTCAAGAGCAGAAGCCCTGGCTGACAGCATCGACTGTACAAGAGAAAGGTCTAGTTGCGCGGGAAAGCGATACGGAGCTTCTGCAGCCATAGCTGCCAGAGACGCATAGCCGGTTACTTCGCTCTTGAATTGGGGTTCCGGAAGTACAGGGAAGGAATCACCGATCAAGGCATCCTGCGGGATATCGTGGAGAACCTGGTGGCAGGAGTCGACGAGAAACTTCAAAACTCGATCCTGTGCTTCCAGCAAAAGCAGTCCTTCTTCAATCCCGCATTGCTTCTTGTTGACATGACCGTCAAAAGCTTCAGGTTGGTATTTCCTGGCCACTAGCTTTCCATACTCGCGGGTATTCTCCGTCAAACCGTTGACTCTCATGAAATAATTCTCTAGAAGGGCGGGTTTGCCACTTGATAGCTTGATGTGCAGTTCAGGAAATCTTCGGGTAGCACGACCCAGTTTCATGGCGTCAATGTCGGTGGCAGCAAATAGCGAAGGAGGGTTGCGGCCTCGGGAGTTAGCCAGCAACAGCAATGCTTTGGGAACAAGAAGGTCTTCTTGGTTGATGTACGGACATAAAAACCGTTCTCGAGGAACGCCGTCGTAGTCATGAATGACATATGAACCTTTCCAGAACACATCGAAGTCAGGACGATGAGAGGATGTCATATTCGGCCAAGCACTTAGCAGTATTGCGAGTCTCTCTTGACGGGATTTCATGAGCCAACGTCTCTGAATAGTGTTTTCGTGACGCTGCAGGATTGCCTGGAGAGTCTCATAATGTTCATAGATACTCCCGGATCTCGACCTGATCTCTCGACGGACGTCCTCCAGAGACTTGACCTCTGGCAATGGGCCTTCACCAATTAAATTCTCAAAGGAAGGGTAGGCTCCGCCAAAATCAGCCCGGAGGGCCACGTCCTTGACTATGTCCTCAAGCCTTTCAGCTATGTCCGATGCTATACGAGCATTAGATTGTTCGTTGCCCATGGTGGCGATAATGCCCTGTTATGGGCCTTGTGTTGCGGTAGGGAGGGTAAGGTTGAGTAGTCTAGTTGCTGAGATGTGCGTGTTAGTCAAGATGGCATGCATTGAAGGAAGGCTAGGCTGTGAAGGAAGCAATGAATTGACTCACTGGGAATGTAATGCCCCAATGCTACCGACCGAGTAAGCTGATAGCAGCCAGCTCTCAGGCCCAGGGGTGTGAGAGAGAAGGGAGACAGAGATGAGACCAGTTTCCTCTCTTGTTCCTGTGTAGTATCACGTGTCTCATGACAGTAAACGTTCTCAGGCAAACAACTCAGTGAGCTTAGGGAGATTCGGAAAATTCAATTGCAGGCGGCACGGCGTTTGTCTACCAGTCACAAAACTGCCGCAATTAGCTTTGTAAATCAACCCAGATAATTCGGGTGGAGTGAATCGTTAAAGCTATAAAAAATCATTGAGGGCTTGGTCCTAGAGGAAAGTACCCTAGGTAATCGTATAGCCTAGCAATCTACAACCTGCAGTGATATGCCTAGATAGTGATTATATATGCGTCCTTGGGCTGCAGTCAACAATCAGTAACGAGGTCAGTAACGAGGTCAGTAACAAGGCTGTCAATGAGATAGGCAATGAGGGCACAAACAAGGCGATTAAGAAGATGGTTCCTGAATGTCCTAAGAGCACTTAATCATATTAAGTTCTAGAATGCCTCCAACAAATCGGGCCTATTCTGTTCTAGGTCTATATATGTGTTAGCATGTAAGGCACGGAATGATGTGAGATAAAGGGCCTTCGGTTTTCCCAGAAGGCAAGAAGAAGATTCAAAGAGAACCAACACCTAGCCGTCAACAACTCGAGTCGAGGAAGCGGCCTGCTCTGACTCGACAGCCTCCAGGTAGAGCTTCACCGTGCTCCAGTATCTCTCCGGATCAGCCTTCATATGCGCCACATGCTCTGAACCTAGAAACTTCTCCCGCCGGACCTCAAAGCCCTTCGACTCCGCATCAGCTGCATGCCTCTCCACGTCCTTCCAGTCGACCAGCTCATCGGCATCGGAGTAGATATAGCACCTCGGCGGAGGGCGAACTTTATCAAGTCCACGCATGAGCCGACCATCGTTGATGGCCTGCCGGGCAACGCTAACTGCATCTCTAACCCCCAGCACCTTTCCAACAGCCTTGCCGAGGACAAACATAGAGGTTAGATAGGCGTACAGCAGGACCTTGCTCAGAAGGCGCAGGATCCAGCGCTTGGGAAGGACGTAAGAAAAGGCCTTGATTGTGGCAGAGAGGGTAGCTGTGCCGGGTGCACTGTCAATGACGGTTGAAGAGACGCGAAGCGGGTGACCGGTTGCCTTCTGGTAGCCTTCAAGGAGATGGGTGACGGCGAATACCCCACCGTTAGAGAACATATGAATGAAGACAGGGCTGTCGGAGTGGAGGGTCCGCAATACTTCGACAGCTGGTGCAAGTCGGTCGTACTGGGCTCGCTTCGTAGGACGGAGCATGAATTCAGACGAAGAGGTTCGAATAAATATTATCTGGGCATGGGGGGCTAAGCGCCGGTATTCGGCGACGTATTTGACCAGTGATCGAGAGAAGGCATTCATCCAGAAGGCGAGAACAATTGTGTTTGAGTAGTTCCCCGTGTTCTCGACGGATGCATCTGGCTCTTGGACATAAATACAGGAGGAAAGTTGTTTGAATGGAGAGAGATGGTTCGCTTTCTGGACAGCTGATGCCATTGTTGAATGTGCGGGGTCCTCTAGTTCAATATACAAAGCAAGAATCCTCTAATCTGAAGCATACAGAAATCAGAGAATATAAAAGAGCGAGGTGAGTAGCTGGATTTTGAAGAGAGCGACAAGGGTCAGGTATTGATAGTGAAAGATAGGTGGAAGAGCCTGGAGGGTGGTCGATTTCCAAAATAAAAAAAGCCCCAACTCTGGATTTGTTGACCCGCCCTCGCCGAGGCTCCACATGTCTGGGGAAAGGGCGAAAGGTAGGACTTGAAAGCTTGCACAGAAACCATCATTAATTCGCCCTTTTATTTTGATAGCAAGCAGCAATTCTCAGCATTCCCAGTACCTGGTCATGGGGCTTCGAAGTAGCTAAATGCTCCGGCGTTCTTAGCACATGGCCGAAAAGCCCCCCGAGTCCGGAATATGGGCTGTGGAGGAGGCTCAAACCAAGGGATCCCTGCTCGGTGAGAGAGCGAAATTTGAGTTCTCGGCAGTCAAACATACAGGCCCGTTACCAATAATTGGATGATGGGAGGTTAGACGCGTAAAATGAAATCTTAACGAAGGATATGGTTGCTCAGTGAACGGTCGCAGCGCCTTTCAATCCGGGTTGAGAATGGGACAACATTCGAAACGCACCCAACGAACCTGGCCAATGCAACGGCGAATTTCTGTAGCGGGATTGATAAAATCAGCACAGGTGTTACCCGTATCCCTTGAGTCGAACGCCACGGCTCTCTCTGTATTGCCTAGGGTACAACGTACGGAGGTTCTAACTTCTCAGGGCTTACCGACTCGGCGATCTGCATTTCGTCCCCAGTCAACAAACCATAAAGCGATTCTTTGCTCCATAATGCTCTTCTTGAAGAGCAGCCGCTTCCCAGGCAGACAGTCCAGACTCTTCGAGATTTGCGGTCTCGAATAATTGGTCAACTCCTGGGTAGCAAAACAAGTGCGGCTGATTCTCCACATGAACCAGATATTGTTGGGTTGTGCCTGAATCCACTGGCAAGCGAAGGATATGAGGCGCCTGGGCTCTGAGCAAAATTCTGCTGCCTGAGTCTGATAGGAAAGACTTTGACTGTGGATCCCGGACGGCTCGGTTCAGGTCTCTGAGAGAAAATATGAGCCCCTTGCGGTACGGGCCGGACAGGCGCGACGCAGCAGCAGATCGGACAATTGGAGGTTGAAGGAAGTCAAGAGGTCAGTGAAGGCAGGAGAGGAGCCCAGTGAGTGGCTGCTGGTTCATTGAAAATGCGAGTCATGGCGTGGCAGGAAGATGCGGTGGGTGTGGTGGGGTGAGAGACTGGGCTTCCAATGGATGGTGGAGTGAAGGTCTTGTGCGGGGTACAATCCAAACCACTGGACCTAGAAACGAACAGACCAAACATGGTACCTTTTGTCACTTACCCCCTCTGGTCCATGGTTCTATTTTGTCTCGCCTTTTAGAGCCACCGCGATCCTACCTTTACCCGATTTGACCTCCTCGACGTTGATTGCTACCTCTGTTGCCGAGCGGCCAGGCGAGAAACGTGCTGGGTCCTACCTCCAAAATGTCCGAGCCCGCCTCGGAGCCCCTGGACTTCAATGCCTTTCAAAAAGGTAAGTCAGTTGCGTCCGTCTCTCTAGGACGACTTTGAGCATTGCGTTCCCTTTCTTCTTTGTCTGACAGACGACAGCTCTCAAGACCCTCGATGAGGAATTAGGAAAATTTGAATTTATCGTTGCCTTCGCTCCTATCAAGCTGATAACCGCCGGCGGGTTTCTGGCCGTCAACTACCTCAAAAATCGAGATACAACGAAGGATATGAACTATCTTCTTGACCCGGAATGGGCGACGGACGAGGACATAAAGAAGCCCCTGGAACAAGCGATCCTGAGGGTATCGAAAAGACTTCAGATCAGCGAGCAGTGGGCGACCGAGGACATGTCACTCTACGTAACCAAGGAGACAAGGATACATTTGTTCAGAAAGGCTCAGAAGCAGAACATTATTCTGTTTAGGGGTGATCATCTCATAATCCTCGCTGCACCAATAAAGTGGGCTCTGAAGCGCAAGATACGGTGGATGTTTGCACCGGGCCGCAATCGCATGGTCGAGGTAGACATGGGCGATCTTCTTGCAATGTTGAAGTGGATTCGAGATCGAAAAGGCGGCTTGTTGAACCGAGAGCACCTCCGTACACAAAGCGTCAACTCATTCGACGTTGTCCCTGATGCAGCGGGGATGGAGCAGATTGCCGCTGCCTACCGGGAGAGATATAGAGAGGAGATTTTTGCCTGACAGTGTAGGTCGATGCCGAAATCCCCATGTTTCTCCTCCTTAATCTAGCAGGTGATCAGCCTGCCCACTCGATTTCTGTGTATCATGTCATCTTTTGTTCCTGCTCCCTTTATGAATGGGCAGCAGTCTTGATCAAGTGAGAGCTATCAACCAACAATATGATGCTAACTAACATCTAATCTGATAACAGAACCCAGGACTCCAAAGAAAGCATTATCAATGGAGTCTGGCATAGACTAGCTTTGTTTCACGACCTTGAATGAGTACAGCATGACCACATCACGACCCAGACCTCAGTGGCCGTGGCCCCTCCTCTCCAGCACTCGCCTCCAATAGAACCCTGTTTTTTATTATTCTCCATGCGCAAGTATGACGGGCCATTGCAGACTCAACCTCCAGATGACCTGAACTATCAGAGCACCCGCGACACCATAAACCGCAACAAGGAATGCCGCCTCGGCTAGGCATGAGAGCATGAAGCACGGGTTGGAGCAAAGATATTCCCTAATAGCCTTTTTGAGGTGAATCCGCCTCTGGTAATTGCTGGATGACGTGTATATGGTCAAATCTGCCACTGGGCATTTTTTTTTCCCGGGACATTTTGTGATTAGGCTTGCGTATGGTCTATGGCAGAGGAGATAGAAGCCGCTGGCTGGAAAGAATGACTATTACATACCACCCGTTCTACCGACACCTAACCATCTTAACGACAAAGCTGGTCGATGTCTATACTACTTATGGCCATGCTAACATGCATTATCTCTTCAATCTCGCCAGAACATCTTCCTCGAGTATTTTATTCGGCACCGCCCTGATCGCCCCATCAAGCAAACCCTCCTCCCGCCGATTAATCTCCACATACCTCCCGCCCCAGCTATAAATCACCTCCCCGTGCCGCTTCTCATCATTCCACAGCATAACCACACTCCGCGCCACAACCTCCGGCTCCTGAACCTCAATTCCCATTTCCGCCAATACATCGCGAGGAACCATGCCTGTCGCCGTCCACGAGGGCGCTATCGCATTTAGGCGCACGCGAGGACAGCGATATTCACCAGCCTTGAGGCTATCAGCTTGTAGACCGTTTACAAGGCCTCGAAGAATCCCGAGAACACCATGCTTCGCCACAGTATAATCCGCCGCGCTGAAGTTCTGGAACGAGGATGCCGATGCAGTGAGTACTATACTTCGTAAGACTGAGGCGGAGGTGCGATCGGATGTTTCACGGCGGAGGTAGTAAATCCCCAAGCGAACCGTATTGATCACGCCCAGAAGATTGACATTGACGGTCCGGAGATCAGGTGGCGCGAGGAGTTTTTCGCCATCATCTGTTGCACCCTCCTCAAATCTCTCCTCGAGAAAATTAGTCCTCGGTCCAATCCCCGCATTCGCAAAGACATGATCAATCCGTCCGAAGTGACTGAATCCGCGGATGAAGAGGTTGCGGATACTAGGCCAGTCTGTGACGTCCGTCTGCTGGAATAGAAGTTGTGATTGTGATGGCTGGTCCTGCTCTTCGGCTTGCTGTTGGAGGAGGAACTGGTCGGACAAGGGGTTCATGTCGCCCGCGATGACTTTTGCGCCGAGATCGAGGCATAATTTTGTGGTTGCAAGGCCTATACCAGAGGTGCTTCCTGTGATCGGTGGATGTTAGCTTGTTGGAAGACTATGCTGTACTAGGGTAGATGGTTGGCCGATGGAACTTGGAAATAAAGGTGGAGTGAGTGGCGGGAAGCAAGTAGAAACCTGTTATAAGGACAACTTTGTCCTTGAGGGAGATGAGGGCATCGTCATGGATCTGAAATTCTGGCATTGTTACACTTGGGACTAGAGATAATCGTCGTTCCTGAACATGCGCTGATTGCTCGGAGAGGTTCTTCTCAATGCGTTTTTATGAGGCAATGGCCGAGGTCAAAATGCGGGGAACAAGAAAAGAGAGTTGAGAAAAAACCATGAATAACCGAATGGTAGAAGGAAATACATATATATTCGTAGCCAAATGAGCTTAACGCTCTACTCATGCGTTCTATCACACTCGCTATGCATGCAGGTAAAATACAATTAGACCAACGCCAGATTTGCAGCACTTTTTCCAAGACTGAAGTGGAGGCGACATACTATCGCCCCTTCGATTCAGGGAACTCGTCATCCAGCTTCAGCCTTGCCGTAACATTCATACTCATCAACTCCTGGATGAGAAGCTTCGCGGCGTATGGGATAACCATCTTCACCACGCTCCTGGAGGACTTGCAGCGTTGGCACCAGTTCAAGTACCCCATGAAGCCACACTGCTCGCAGACGTCGACCTCGTGACGATCGGAGGAGATCATCAGTCGCTCCAGAAGGAGCTGACTAGTTCCGTAGGCGATCAAACAATCACGTTCCATCTCTCCGAGACGGAGACCACCGTCGCGGGAACGACCTTCCGTTGGCTGGCGGGTGAGAATAGCGCGTGGTCCTCGAGCACGCGAGTGCATCTTGTCTTGGACCATGTGCTTCAGTTTTTGGTAGTAAATAGGGCCGGTGAAGACGTAGAAGGGAAGGGCTTCTCCGGTGATTCCAGAAGTAAGGTAGTCCTTGCCACCGTAGCTGAATCCTTTGTCGATCAGAATCTGGGACATCTCCTGAACAGGGCTACCGCCGAAGCACGTTCCATACCCGTGCTGTCCTGAAAGAACACCGGCTTTACCGGCGACAAGTTCCAGCATCTTTCCGACTGTCATACGGGACGGGAAACCGTGGGGGTTCATGATAATGTCAGGATTGATACCCTGGTCAGTGAATGGCATGTCCGCTTGGTCAGCGATGATACCGACAACACCCTTCTGTCCGTGGCGAGAGGAAAACTTGTCGCCGACCTCGGGTCTTCGAGTCTGACGCGTGAGGACTTTGACGATTTGGTTCTCATTCTCGGTGACGGAAACCATAACCTTGTCGATATACGCATGGTCGGGAAGTTTGTATGTCATAGGAGTGGGGCTGTAGCTGATCGGCTGGCCTGCATCGGATCCATTGAAGCCCGAGGACATAGACTGATCCGGCGTAGACTTGTTGATGTATACTTCGCCAGCATTAACTTGTTCTCCTACGGCAGCCAAGCCGTCGCCTTCCAGAAGGGCATGCTTCCTGATTGGCGCGCCATTCTCGTACGAAGGCGGGTTCAGGATGTCCTTTGACCCGTTCGAATAACTCTTGAGGTTCGTGACATACTTGCGGAAAACCTGGCAACGTCCGAAGCCTCGGTCGACCGAACCCTTGTTCAAAACCAGGGCATCCTCAATATCGTAACCAGAGTAACTCATAACGGCAACTGTGGCGTTTTGACCAGCCGGCAGCTGATCATATTTGGTCAACTCAATAGTGCGAGACTTGACCATGGGTTTTTGTGGGTAAACCATGAGGTAAAGAATCGAGTCAATCCGAAGGAACTGGTTTGATGCGATAGCTCCAATCGCTTGTTTACCCATAGCGCACTGGTAGGTGTTACGCGGGGACTGATTGTGGTGAGGATAGGGAATCAAGCCGGCGACAGCACCGAGAACGGTAAAAGGCTCAATCTCCATGTGGGTGGTAGTGTCGGTGATGTCCTTTCCATAGATAGCAATCAACGAATCGTTCTCCTCGTTGACGTCCAAATACTCAACTAAACCTTGGGCCAAGAAGTCGTCAAACTGCATTGTTCCATCACGCAGCTTCTGGAGATGATGCTTTTTGACACGAGATTTGCCGTTCTCAACAACAATAAGCGGCCGGCAAATTCGTCCATCGTCAGTCGCAACATGGACAGCACGCTGGTGGTGGTTGATGTAGATGCTGACGAATTCGGAGATTCTCCCCATGCGCCGAAGTCTTCGGAAAGCATTCAGGAAGTATTTTGGCCGGCGGGTGAGGGCCATAGGGGTACCGTTGATTGAAATCGTGTAGCTTCCAGGAGCATAAATCTCCTTTCCTCCCACGGTCTGTATGTCTTCGGCGCCGAGCATGAATATCAGATTTCTGATTGGACCTTCTTCGTCGTTGGTTGTGATATGTGTCATAAGGGCAAGGTTCTTCACAAGACCACAGGCTTCTCCTTCTGGGGTATCGGCGGGGCAAAGCATTCCAAACTGAGAGGGTTGCAGAGCTCTGGGACCGCTGACTTTCCTCGTCTTTTCGAACTGACTGCTAATACGTGTCATCATTCCCAGAGCAGCGATGTAGCTCAGCCGGCTGAGCACATGTGTAACACCAGCACGTTCCATACGGAAACGCTTCAAACTCCAGTTTCCTGTCGAAATGGCTCGGTTCATTCCCTGCGTGATATGGTTGCTATGCATGCTGATAACACTCCAAGCGTCAAACGCTTCAACTCGGTTGCGCTTGTTCAGAACTTTATCAATATTCATCTTGATATCGAAGCAGAATTTCTTGAAAAGATCTTCGAAAAGCAGAGCCAGGAGCTGACCAGCCAATTCCAATCGCTTGTTTCCAAGATAATCACGGTCGTCAACCATGGAGGCATCGTTCTTTGCCATGAGAACACGACGTGCCATGTTGGCAACATAGATAGCCTTCGGTCGGAAATTCATGTCTTTCACTTCAATATGAGATATGATGACGGATGCAATCGCCTCGACGGCTTCTTGCACGTGAGTCCGGCGATATGACATCTGCTTGCGGTTTATCTTGATCCGAGAGCCAATCCAGTCGAGAGCCTGCTGCTGTGTGTAGATACCAACTTTGATCGCCTCCTCAAAGTTGATCGCAAAGTCCTCTTGGTACACCTTATCCACACCGGCAACCAAGAGCATCATCTCCTTGTCTGTATGAATTCCCATTGCTTTGAGCAGAATGACAATGGGGATCTCCTCGCTGAGCACGTTATGTTTGACATAAAGCTTGTCCTTCTTCAAGATGATATAACTCTTAGACTTTCGCTCGTTGGAAGAACTAAGATGATACGTTAGTTGAACCGAATGAGCAAAGGGCATACGCGCTCACCTGGTAACAGAAGCCTGGACGATCTCCTTCTTTGGGTCCGTTTCAACGATAATTCTGTTCTTGCTCAACTGCTCCTGGACAAGGATCACCTTCTCCGTCCCGTTGACAATGAAGTAGCCACCGGGATCAAGAGGACACTCATTGAGCACGGTCATCTCTGCTGGGCTCTTGTTCGCCAAGACGCATTTCGAGCTGCGAAGCATAACTGGCATTCTACCGACAGCCACACCTTTTCTTCTCACTCGCTGACGGCCACGGATGTACTCAAAGTCGACTTGAATCGGAGCTGCATAGGTTGTGTCACGTAGTCGGCATTCCTGCGGGGTCACCGAAGATTCGCCGAACTCAGCACGCACATCCTGAGGCTCGTCCGCGCGTCGAGGGAAGCCTAGGTAGATGTCCGTGAATTTGATGTAAAAGTTGTGGTCCACATCGCTACGGATAGTAGAGCTCGCCTCGACGATCTTCTTCAACTGAACCTCGACAAGGTAGTTGTATGAGTCAATGTGCTGCTTCACTAGACCCTTGACTTTCAAGAACGCAGGCAACAAATTCCATTTATCCCTGGCCGTATTTATGGGATCGGTAAGAGATTTATTGTAGTAAAAGGGTTCCAGAAGCGCGTCGAATGGATCTCGGTGGCGGTATGGGTATAGCGGCTCCGGTACTGGCTCTTGCATCTCTGTGTCGGCTGCTGCATATTCGTTGTTGGGTGGCCGATCAGGATTCGACGTTTCCTTTGGTTGCGACTGAGAAGGACGCTTTCGGCGGGAGGCTTCTGCGGTCTTGGAGCCTGGTGCAGCCTACAAAAGGGAAGGTCTTAGCATGACGGACAAAAAAATATATCGGATACTCGTTACCTCTGAAGGTTGCGCAGCCCGCGCGCTGGCAGGAGCCACAGCTCTTCTCCTGGGCGGCATCGTCCGGGTAGGTCTCTTTCAAAAGTTGAAAGCAGCGGTCTTGACCAATGTACAATCCAGGGTCAGAAAAGGTCCATGCTAGCCAGGTTGTGTGAGCGTAATTTCTTTCTTATCGGCGACCCGCGAGGGGAAAGACCCAAAATTCCGAATGATTTTCCACCCGGACCCAATGAAGAGGAACAATTATGTAAGCAAGCAGCCGCGATACGGCTAGCTTCGGATCCGCTATCAAAAGCATCAACATCCCAAACTCAACAACCTTAGAGCTGCAATCACAACATACATACTTTTAGGTTTTCTTCATTCCTTCAGTATCTATTTCTTTGCCATAACCTAGTTCCAGAGAATCTTACACAAATAAGCCCATTACCATTTCCAAGCGGCACTCGAAGGTCGAACTAGGTCATATTACAGGCATCCGGATATCCTCAGGTGCCCTTCGAGTGATGGGCCGAAAAGTCTTCATAAAAGATGATCTGGATTTAAACGCGTCCTCGATTTCATCCAATGATCGACCCTTCGTCTCCGGCATAAAGAAAGCACAGACCACAGCTGTGGTTACTGAGCATCCCCCGAACAGGAAATAAGCCCCGAAACTGCTCTTGGACAGCAAGATTGGCGTTATCAGCGCGACTAAGAAGTTCGAAATCCAGTTGCCCATGTAGGCGGCCCCTGTGGCCGCCGCACGAGTGCGTTGAGGCTGAATCTCGGAAGCATAAATCTTAATGCCGACGGCCCAGCTCAGGGAGAATATCACTGCGAAGATATAGATGCTAACAATGACGACCCAGCGACCTACGCCGGTTGTGGCATGCACTACATTACCTGCATATAGGGCGCCCATCAAAAACATGGTGAGGGCAATACCAATTCCGCCGTAGATGACGCTGTGACGACGGCCCCATTTGTCTGCCCACATCAAGGCGGGTATTGTCACCGCAAAGATCACCAGAGCTGAAACACCGGACGCAAAGAAACTGGCGTCTGCGGATCCAAGACCAGCCTGTTCAAAGAGCAAGGGCGCATACTTTGCCACATGAGATTTTGACTTATCATAGGTTGCAGGAGGGCATTATCACTCACATAAAGCACACCATCTATCCCACTCAGTTGTTGCATTGCCATTAGGAACACAGCCAGGGCGGTACGTGCACGAACATCCTTGGAGAAGATATCGAGCAGTTTGTGCTTCGTGGATCGAGTGCCTTGTAGTTCTGATACGGCAGTATTCACACCGGGATCGTTCGTCACGGGGACGTCTTGCGAAACAGACCCTTGAACAATCATACCTCTATCCTGCTCGATTTCGCTTTTTTCTCGCTCTGCGTGGCTGACACCAAGTAGGTCCCATATAGCATTTGCTTCGTCTCTGCGACCATGGATGGTGAGCCATCTTGGAGACGGTACAAGCCACATGAACGCAGCAGCAGAGTATAGGGCCGAGAGACAGGCGAGGATAAGAAACGGCGTTCGCCATGACATTGAGGATTGGATTCGAGCGGTTCCATAGCACGTAAAGAATCCAACAACCAGGCCCAATGTAATTAACAACTGAGGACCGGTTGTCAGAGCTCCTCGAACACTGGGTGGTGAGATCTCGCAGATATACCTGCAAGCTGTTAGTGACAGCCCCTTAATCTGCTCGGTCCACCTACACAACCAATGTACCCAAATAAAGGCCCTCTCCGATTCCTTCGATGCAGCGGCCGACCACAAACATAGCGACATGAACAGCCGCTGCCTCCAGAGCTGCACCGATTGCAAATATTAAGACACCAATGCTTATTCCCTTAGGGCGACCCAGTTTATCCGCAAGATATCCAGCAAAGAACGAAGATATAGCTGCCGGAATCAGGATGGAAGAGACCAGCAAACCGTGTACCGTTGCAGATTGGTTGCCAAATTGCTCCACGAAGCTATTCATGACCGTGACTGGACCAATAATTCCGGTGTCCATACTGCAGACATAGGTCAGCAACTGAGCATGAAAATGATTGCGGATAAGACCTCACCCAAATAGGAGGCCACCGCATGAACACAGTACGCTAGCCGTAACATATCGAGGAGGCCTGCGAGGCAACACCATCTTGATAGCACCGAGGATAGAAATGGATCACCTAGGTCGCCAGCCACAGCAGCAGACTTGGTCGTACTCCAGCTCCAAGAAGGATGGCGGGGCACTCACCCTTGATCTGAAATTTATACTGATAAGCTTCGCTCCAACTCCGACCCTTAGCATGAGTTAGTACCCACACCACCTTCTCCCCTCCCCACCTGGATTAAAAATCCATCTTTTCGAGCGGTCCAGACAAGCCCTAAGACAACACAAAGGGTCTTCGATTCTGAGTCATAATAGCCCCCGGCTGCTCTTTTCGAATTCAAACAAAGCGCCAATCATAGTCTAACGACATTTTCCGCCTGTTAAGGCAATTCCATCCCCGCGGTTAGACCCAGTGCTGTTTGATACTACCGTCATGAGTTGTGGTGTGGTGGTCGCGGGGTTTATCTGTATTGTGCTGGTGGCTTCGTAGGATGCGGTTCTTCTTGGGGTAAGTCGTATAGAAGGCGCCGAATCGACCGAAGGATTTCCTCCAGGTAGTCATTTGTTTTGCGTTCAACTTGGGCGCAGATTCGATCGTTTCTTTTGTACTAGGTTGCTCAAGCCGCTTTCTTATCTCGACTCAACGCCTGGGCGATCAGTCGCGACTCTGCCCTCAACGTCCTTACACAAGTGTGGATATGCTACCATTTGCATGTTTGGACTTCCGAGGTTTGCCTTAAATAAGCAACTGATATGGGTAAGTCAATACATGGGCAACTGAGCAAGGACCTAAGTGAGGACCTGAGTGAGTATTGAGTATGAGATGGAGAACTCCTTCAGAGCAAGCAGCTGAGCAAGCAACAAGGCGCGTCGCTATTTCTGTCGGACGCGCGATCTCAGGCCCGATGCAAATAGAAGACTTCAATACATGTCATATTGTTTTCCTATAAGCGTGATACATCATGGACTAAGATGAAGGAGTTAAGACGGTGGCCAATGTCTGTGCATGCAACGAGATTTCGCATCGAGTCCAGCAAGTAGCATGCAATGCAGGTCCCCCCGGTTTCCCCGCATATGCTGGCGTAAATGACAGCATATTATCCGCTGATAAAAGCTGCAGAGTTGAACCTCCCAGGCGCCTCACTTGTACACGTCTAGCCATGATGCCCGACGGGATAAAGTGCCCATTTCGCGTTAGAGATCGTGTTCATGGGGATACCTTCAAATGTCAATATGCAACTACGAGCAAACTCTGGCAACGATAGCTCATCTCCCATTCGTGGCCTACTTTGGCAGCTTGCCAACAGCGCCTGGGTGAGAGGATATCTGCTCATGGTGTCAAACGTCAATCGAGAAATCCCTTTAGCAGGTGAAGGCGAGAATCTGCACGGCGCGACTTTCGGTTTTCTTGGACCTTGGTGGCACTTCAAGGGGTCTGCCTGGAATTCATATGGCGAGTAATTAGGTACGCGCTGGGTGGTGGCTTCTCCTTAGCCCAGAGCGATCACCAACGCGAAATCTTTGACACCGATGTTTTGAAAATACCCATTATCAGGGCTGATCAGGAAATCAGCAGTAGTTCGTTCATACCCACTAGCTTGCGGGGTTGGGCAACCATTCGACACTTCACTGCATGGCTTGTTACTGCCCGAGGAACACATGGCTCGCATGGAATATCTGGGGCGAGAAGCTGAGAGGGCTGTAAGCGCGAGAGAGAAGATGACGTCCCAGGTTCGTGCGATTGATAGCACGAAATGTGGGGATGTTGTCCACACATAACCAACTAACCAAGAAGCCTGTATAAGGTATCAAGCGGTGGACATTCTTTGACCGCTAGTTTTAAACTCGCTGGTCTGGCATCGAGGCGGACATCATGCCTTCCGAATGAGCAATTCAGTAAGCGATTCAATGAGAAACTCAGTGAGCAACTAAGCAAGCAACTGAGCAAGGACCTCAATGAGGAACAAAGCGAAATACTTAAGCAGAGTTTTAAGTCAATACCAAGTATGAGCTCGCGACCAGAAACCAGATTAACATGATGAGCATGACAGGAGTTACGGGATGACTATGGAGGCCGTGAATACTGGCGAAACCTCCCGTTTTGTTCAAGAAAGAGTTCTGGCAGATATCGTGTCGCCTGAGTTGAAAGCAGCCCGCTCATGATTAAGAAGGTCCATAGAAGAACCTTAACCTTCTTTACTCCTCGATAAGATTTAGGAGTTGATTAAGGTTGGGTTCATCGGGTAAAGCCTCCGAGCCCAGGGTGCTTGAGCCACCCAGAATCCTCGACTACAGGCAATACATCCAGCCTGGGCCTGGGCCGCTCTGCAATGGAGTAGGTGGCATGCATCGGTGGCGAACAGAAAGGGCAACTCGAATCGTTGAGGGAGTATCTGGGGTCTCTTAGAAAGCTGTTGAGAACTTGAGGCGCGCCCATCAGAAGGTGCAAACCTCGGCACCTGTGGTTCTCGAGATTGTGCCCTTCATCTTGTTGTACGTTGGTGACCGTGGTCCACATTCGCCAACCTCCTATCTTGGTTCCCTCGTGGTACAGAGACCAACGGCGAGGACAGTTCAGAGAAAAGTGGCCTCCAGTGATTGGGCGGTTTCAGTGTAAAAACCCCTGAACCAAAAAAAGTTCGTCGAGAAGGTGATTTGGAACCATACGGGCGGGTGCTTTCCCTGGGTCTACAGTCAAGGCTCCCGCCGCCTTTCCGTTAGTTCAGTTTTACTCAAAATTTGAACCATCGCTTGGTGGCATCGCATATGAACGATGATCCTCTGACGGTTCTCGTCACCGGACTAGATAGGCCAAGCCAACTAGCTGCGCATATCGATAAGGTGGTGATCTCCATGTTATCGATAAGTCCGCCGGCACTGCTGACAAGAGCCAGAAACTGAATCTTTCCAGGACTCAGGTCCAACAGCACGAACAGCGGTCACTTTTCTATTTTCAATGGGCTGTTCAGACAACAAGGCTCTGTCAGCACGATTCACAATGAGGGACTTAGCGGAGGATGCAAAGCGTGTCTGCCGATGTTCTGGGTCCTGTACACCGCTCCTTCATATCACCAATCAGCATCACACAATCCTTCGACTGGTTTCAACCTCCAATCGCCTTCGTCCAAAGTGGCAAGCCATTGCATCAGTTTGTGATGAGACAATCATCAAGCTCCCGTTCAATCATCATTATTGCCTTCAAAGGTTTTGAAGCTCCAGGAGACTTCGTCTTCGTCTGACGTAGTCTTCGTGCCATACAGTCTTTTGAGTATCTACTCGGGAGTAGGTCAGCGCAGCGGGAATGTGCAGGGTGACTAAGACGGCGCCCGCCCTTATTCTGCCACACCTGGTTGGCTTGGGGCTGTTGGTCGCGAACCTTTGGGTCGCGCGTGGCAATCCGTAATTGCTGATTTTATTGTCGTACATATGTTGAGGCGTTGTTTGGTTGGCTGTGATCATCGTTCAATAAGCAGGATCACAGCATTCAACAACCACAGACCTCTCCGTAAAAGCGTCGTTGGGTATTCTCTTCGCCGATTACCTCTTGCGGTTCTCGCAGTTGTCAGTAGTCCAAAGGGACAAAGACTGATACGGTGCCCCATTGCTTGGATCCTTCCGACCCAGATCCTCCATACATCATCACCTGCCGTCGCTAGGGCCTGATCCGCCGTCACATCTTTCTGCGCAATCAATTTGGGGTCTCCACTCGCTGCAGCAATACCAGCAGCGAGTCCCAGCGACCAAGCTCTCGACCAGCGCACCCAGCAAATGTCGAAAACAGCCTTTCCTCTTCCCCCCGGCTCAGCCCTTTCTGGCAAGATGTCATCGTGAATCTCACCAAATCAAGCATCCAGAGTTATGAAAGCGCGACGCTTGCTATCATTGGATCTTCTCTCCAATGGAACAAGCTATTGGGAGATTTACTCCAGAATCCCTGTCAGGTACTTTCGGCGAATCCTGGTCCTGAATCCCTGAAGGCCGGACTGCCTCAGCTATTCCCAAGAGAGCAATGCATTAGCCCCGAAACTCATAGTTCCCTGGCCGAATCATAATCGAGGATTCGAGGGAGGAGAGATCCAGTACTCGCTCTTCTTGATCCATCAAAAAAGCGTACTCCGTATGATCGGCTGGGGTTGGTCTCGGTGGGAGACAGCTCATCAGCTTGGGCCCGAGGTCACGATACATACAACGGTCAAGGCGCTGCAAACGCACTGATCACAGCTCTAGGGGGGTCATTCCTAGTAGGTAGTACCTAAGTTTTGTCCTCATTTTCAACAGGTTGATGTGCAACGAGACGCATTAAGTCGTGAGCTTCAAAGCTGGGAAATATAGAGAGTTGTGTTTTCAGCAAGCGGCAAGCGTTCTTCAACTAGCGATAGAACAGGGGATTCTGCATGTACAGATAGGCTGGTGTTGGGGATGGCAATAAGGAAACTCGTCATTGGGACAGCTTCGTGGCGGTACTCGGTAGGAAAGGACCTGCTCAAGACATGACAAAAGAGCATTCGCGAATCAAACAAACGGGAACTGGAAAGGAAAGGGAATGAAAAAAAGAAAAAGAAAAGAATATGGGTAGGTGAAATACTTGGTGAGAGAACAGGCCGCTAAAGCTCAGCGCGACCCCTAAGATTTGATAATGATGAGCCTAAACAAGCGGGCTTCGAGTCACTGCGTCCAGGAACGCCAGCGACTCCCCGCTTCAATGCTAAGGTTTCTTCCCAGCCGCCGCCTCTCCTCCTCCTCCCACTTTTCCCACCATCTTTTTGCGACTGTATAACATATCTTTCTTTTCTTCTTGTCATATAGTACAAGCTATCCTTCCTTCCCTTGTATCGTTCACTCGTTATTGTTCACCCCGCTCCGCTCCTCTCGACGCGAGAGAGCGCGCGCCTGGGACGAAACGGACGCCTGTGATTTCCCACTGCATCAAGATCTCCGCACCCTTTTTCAAAGAGCACTGAGAACAGTGTGAACGGCCACGATCCTTACTCTTGCACTCAAGCGATCACTAGCCATCGAAGTTGCTTTCAGCTCCTGTAACTCAAACTATCGAGGCGTTCATTGTGGGTGAGTCGCTGTTCTTTTTCGAGATTCGCTTCGCCAGATCACCCCTCAGCCCCTCTTGCTGTCTTTACTCCTTACATGAGTTGCTATCGGAGAACCACACCGCCAACAATGACACACTACCCTTTGGTTCCTGTGTACTTTAATTCCAGATCCCCCGATTTGCTTGCTGTTGTTTTCAATATCTCATATTTCTTCCTCCCACACTTCATCAACATCCATCCTGAATATGGCATAGCTAACCTCTGTCTCGCCTTTGCCCCTTGACGGTATTAGTCCTGATAGCTCCCCTCCAATAACTCTTGCCCACCATGGCATTCAAAAACGGACTAAGTGAACGTCTCGATGAACTCCGTTTCCCTTCTCCCCGCTCGCCGCCGTCAGAGACACCTTTCCCTGGTTACAGCTCACTTTCGCCGGGCCATTCGACCTTCGTTTCGGCGTTTTCGCGGCCTTCGGGCGACGTTCGTACACATCTGCAGCGTCGTTTTACGACAGACGCAAGCAAGTTATCCTCTTGGAACTATATAAATCAAGTCGGAGCCGCTCCTCAGGCCCCAGATGCGCTAGATCTCCTCTCATCGGTAAGCTCCGTCCCAACCCCAGATTGCGTCGAATACCCCGTACTCCGCACCCCCGATACCACATAACGCTCTTTGCGTCGTTTTATCGCGTATTTTACATTTTATTTTTGCATCCTCAATAAGCCTTGCCCAGTCCTATTGTTCTTTTTATTCTATTCATTATTGCGCTATGAAACCAGGTTGCTTTTTTGTGTTACTCTGAAACTCACTCGTTTCTCACTTCTATTGTTGCGTCTCCTCCATAATCCATCAATAATCTATTGTTCCACGACCTTGAAACTCGATAATCGAATTGTTGCTTATTATTTCTCAGTTCGAAAAGAAGCGTCAGCATATCGAATACATGCGAGAGCAAAAACGGAGATTTGAGGAGGACATGAAGCTTCTGGACCTGCAACATGAGAAGGAACAGCATGAGATGAACCAGCTTGCAAAGGATCTTGCTAAAGCAGGTATTTCCGGCCCAGTCAGCGAACCGACAACACCCCCAGAGTATCGTGAGCACGGTTTTCCAGGCGCCTTTTCTCGTCCCACTCGCTTTTCAACTTCCAGTGTTACCTCATCTCCCGGCTTCTTCAACGTCTTCGCTTCTTCAGTTACAAGTCCCCCAAGCCAGGTTAACCACGAGTCAGCTCAAACTCCAACAAACCGCTTCGCCGTACACTCCGTTCCTGGTTCGCGCAGAAACTCTGAAAAGGAGGACTTTGGGAACGAGCCCACTTCTCCATTTCGCCCCGGACCATCGTAAGTAGTCAGATGTGCAATCCTCAAAACACCATCTCTCCAGCAATACCGTACCCTTGCCATCCCCTTCACCTTTGTCTTATTCACCTTAGGCCAAATGTCTCCGTGTTCACCCATATAACACAACAACCTTTATTTGGTCAACTGTTAGTCTTTGGACGACATGCACTTGCTCCTTTCCTCTACATTTATTTTACCTCACATGACCCTTATTGTTGTCAATGACCTGTGTAACTGACAATTGTTTCTTGCTAGTATTCACCGCTATTCAATGCCGACAACCGGGCTGGGCTCTCAAATCCGTCCAAATATTTCAAGCTTCAACAATCCTTCTCTAGAGACCTTCAACACTGCCAAATATCTACTCCACAACGACGACGATCGGTCAACTCTTAAAGACGAAGACCGGATACCCACCCCAGACATCAAAAGCTATCTCAAATTGACCGAGCCAGACGATAAGTTTCCCACTCTATCCCGTCGTGACGGCTCGAGCCTGGTAAGTGGATTAATATTTTTTTTCCGCCCACAGAGGAATACATTGCTAATTAAGATATATAGCTATCTGCAAATTCAGACGCCCTAGACTTGGCAAACTCCAAGACTCCGAATCCTGAGTCCTGGAATTCTCACAGTCGTCATCGTTCGTCACACCAGAGCATGCCTCAAAACGCCCTTAATATGTTCCGTCTAGGACAAATTGGGGCCGATGACACCCGCGTTTCCGGTCATGGCTCCTCTCGACATGCGGCCAGGCACTCCTTAGAAGCCAACGTTCTCTTTTCTGCAGAGGGAAACCATGACTCAATGCCTTCTACTACCTCAGGCCGCCCGGTACCTCTCCAGTCGTCATATTCAACTAATGACCTGCCTACCGTAAAGGGTGAAGGTTTCAACCCCGCAATAACCCCGCCCCGAACGCATGCAGAACAACACGCGATCCTAGGCCGAAACCTTGCCAACTCTGTTACACCACGCCAGCAGAAGGACTCGCCTGAGCGAGAGGAGGCTCGCCCACATAATTCTAGAGCCCAGGCCACCACGCTGCAGGCCAACGCAACCCCCTTTGGTCCCCAGCTTAATGGCAATGTCTCTAATAGCACAACTGCGCCACAGGCGGCGGTCCCCAACTTCCAACCGCCCTTCTACAATTACGGGCTACAGATGTACATGGGAGCTCCAATGCAGGTCAACGGCCAAATGCAGCCTTACAACCCCTCGCCATCGTTTACAGGATACCCATCATACGGAAACTATCGCCTCGGAGATAGCTCTACTAAACCGGTTGCATCTCGCCGAAATGCCGATGGGGAATCAGCCCAGTTGTCCCGCTTCACAAACTATCCTATTGATCACTACCGCGGCGAAATTTACGGACTTTGCAAGGATCAGCATGGCTGCAGATACCTCCAGCGAAAGTTAGAGGAGCGAACCCCAGAACACGTTCAAATGATTTTCGACGAGACGCACCTGCATGTTGTAGAATTGATGACGGGTATGTAGTCCCTCACACAACAAAGCTGCCGGTTACTTCATCATACTGACTGAACCCCCTCTTCCCAGACCCATTCGGCAACTACCTATGCCAGAAATTACTCGAGTACTCCAACGATGATCAACGTACAGCACTCATCAACAGTGCTGCGCCTCAACTTGTGAAGATCGCGCTCAATCAGCATGGTACCCGAGCATTGCAGAAGATGATCGAATTCATCTCGACCTCGGAACAGACTCGTACTGTAATTCAATCTCTGCAAGACCATGTTGTTGAACTGGTTCAAGACCTTAACGGCAATCACGTCATTCAGAAGTGTCTCAACCGCCTCTCAGCGGAGGACTCCCAGTTTATCTACGACGCCGTAGGCGCTAACTGCGTTGTCGTTGGCACTCATCGCCATGGCTGCTGCGTCTTGCAACGATGCATTGACCACGCATCGGGAGAGCAAAGAGCTCGCCTTATCGCACAGATCACATCCAACGCTTTCTCATTGGTTCAAGACCCTTTCGGTAACTACGTTGTGCAGTACATCCTTGACCTTGCGGAAGCGCATTTCACTGAGCCTCTATGCCACGCATTCCGTGGCAACATTCCAGCACTGTCCAAACAGAAGTTCAGCAGCAATGTTATCGAGAAGTGTCTACGCACGGCCGAACCGCCGATCCGGCGCCAAATGATAGAAGAGATGCTGTCTGGTCCCGAGCTCGAGAAGATGCTTCGTGACTCCTTTGCCAATTATGTCGTGCAAACTGCCATGGATTTCGCCGATGACGTGACCCGGAACCGGATCGTTGAGCACGTGCGTCCCATTCTTCCCTCCATTCGCCAAACGCCTCATGGGCGTCGCATCGCCAGCAAGATAATGGCTTTGGAGGGCTCCGGTCGGAGCAGTGCTGCCACCAGTGGCCAGGTTACCCCTAATGAATTGAACTCCGCACAACTTCCCGGTCCCTTGCAGGCACCTCAGAGCAACTATATGTATCAACAGAACACTTTCCCTATCTCAGCTGGAGGTGCGCAGTTCGGGAACCAAAGCTTCGTTCCTGCTTCGGGCACTGGTTCCACTTCGAACACGCCTTCCGGTGCCAGTGAAAATTCCTCTGTTATCTACAACTCTGCAATGCAGCAGCAAACAGGTAACTTTGGTCCACAGGGTCAAATGTACACATACTTTTGACCCCTTTCGCTCCCAGCGCCTCTGTACTCTTACTGAAATGACGATGCTACGATCTTTGACGATTTCACGGCCACCCATCGACACGATGTCACAGTATGGGGATTGATACCACTTCCGAGATCTCTATCTTCGATGCAATTTGTATTGCATTTTCTGGCCTTTTTCTTGACGGACATGATGCAACCCTTCACGGAAGTATCAATCTATCCTGTCTTGTACTTTTGCACTTGGGTGTTGACAGTCTACTGATGACGACAGTGCTTGGGATATTCTTTTTTCGTTATCTGTCGGAAACTGATTCTTCTTTGCCTTTGGCAAGTTAATGCACGGCAGGCGCCTCATCCGTTGTCCCGGGCTCGTGCTTTGCTTTGGCGATTTCTGCCTGTCCTCTTTTCAGGATATGCTGCGTTGCTCTTCACCTCGAAGATTGGCCTCGAGATTCTTCCTGCAGGTTGAACCGAGTCACCACCTTCTGCGTCAGCTCTTCACATCTTATTCTATGCATATGGGGATGAACTGCCTACCATTTCTGATGCCATCTTTCCCGGTTTGATACCAACACATGCGGTAGAATAGATGTATCCATATCTACAGGCAGCGAAGACGTCTTTCTTTCTTTTCCGATCTTTTGTTGTATTTTTTTTACCGTTTACTTTTCTGTCATTTCTGATTTCTGTACCATCTAGCCATAACTAACGGTAGAATCAATCGTTGCTCTTGCTCCACGATGACTCATCCTTTTCGAGGTAACAACTAGTTAAATGTAGGACATGTCTTTTTGATAGTCCCTCCAAAATCTAGCCCCTATCTGGCCTCTCATAGTAGCAGCATGCTTGAGATGAATTGACCGGGTTAGAGCTCGCTGCCGCACAGCTGGGATAACTTCATGGATGAAGACTGCCTGCTTCCCGCAATCATTCCCTCCTTCTAAACCCACAACCGCCCGGCTTCCACAAAGCTATCTCCGTGGTGAAACAGATTATGGGAACTTATGGCCTCAGCAGAGGTAAAACCATCTGAAGATTAGGTAGAAGTGGGCCCCTTCTGCTCAGACCATGCAGCCCGTTTGCTTGGTCTTGATTTGATTCTGTAACTAGCTACTGCCTAAGGTATGCAGCGTCTTACCCCAAGTAGGCTTGTGTCGGTCACGGTATACTAAACATAAACTAACCATTCATAAGAATACAGGCAATTTAGAGCAGGCAGGAATCAAATTACCAGCATACTATACTCGACGATGTTTACATTGCTCATGCTACGATGTAGGTACGCTAGACCCACTACTCGTCACGTGGGATGCCTTCGCTGATTAGATAACGATCGTCAGAAAGCTTCACGTCCCAGACCCAAGTATCCTCTTGATCCAAGAGATTCCTTCCTATGCTACCGATTCATGTCGCCCAGTCCCTGAGCCCGCAATGGCCTTGTCGGGAATTGCAATCGCGACAACTCGCGAGCCTGTTTGCTGTAGGTTCCTCTCAATCCATTTCATCTCGAGTATCAAAATGCTCGCAACGCGTCATATCGTTAACAATTCACCATATCAACTTAGCCCGGACTATCTAGCCCACCTACTGTCGTAGTCCACGGTATATCTGCCACTTGCAAATCGACTATCGTGAGCAATGTTCTCTCAACTATCCAAGTGCCGCATGCTATAGTTCGGAGTCCGGAGTGCATCACAGGCCGCCATCTCTTGACCAAGATACTATGGGCGATACTAGACGCCCTCGGCCGAAGAGATGAGTGGGAGCGCTTTGGGAAAGGCAGGTGTGAGCACGTCAGTTCCCTCACGGTGCTTCTCGGGGAATGTCTGGCTTCAACCCCTGGGAAGCCGGTTGAAAAGTTTATACTGGTTTTGGATGGCATCGATAAACAACGAGAGGCACCCCCTACGTTACTGTCGGCGCTGGCGCGTCTAGGGGAAGTGGTGAGTCAGATACTGTCCCTATCGATTCGAAGATAGCGCACTAATCATCCTGTCCACAAGATACCGTCCCTGTCTGTTGTCTTAATCCTAAGCTCTACTCCGCGACCACTATTCCTACAGGCGACAGGTGTCCCTCATATCAGTTTCCCTCCCTATACCCGCAAGGAAGCCACCACCATCATCTTGAATGCAGGCGCACCGGCAGTGCTCGGCCTTGCGGCCGAAACTTCGTCCCAACTATATCCCCACTTCGTCTCCGCAGTCTACGACTCTCTTGTCGGTCCCACTGCAAGTTCCATACCGGCTTTTAAGACCATTTGTGAAAAGCTATGGCCGCAGTTCGTGTCGCCCATCACCAACGGTGAAGCTCCGCCGGGCGGCAACGAGGATTGGGATTTCTCTCGACTTCTAGTCAAAAACCGTGCCTTGTTCAGACGGCGAGGCGAGGCAGCTCTCGTCCATCACATTGTCACCGAAGACACGCCTCCCGCAAATGGCTCGCTCCTAAAGTCATCATCCTCATTAGCTGTCTCGGCCCCTTCACCCCTCCCATCACTACCCTACTTCGCTACACTCGTCTTAACCTCCGCCTACCTAGCCTCACATACCCCGCAAAGACTTGACACAATCTTCTTCTCCAAATTCTCCTCTTCATCCTTATCCGCTCGAAACAAACGCGCACACCATAGAAGGCGACTAAAAGTCCTCTCCCAGGCCCAAGCATCAGATCAAAAGGCCCAAGATCCGTCAACGCCAAAGAGAAGAGGCAAGGGCTCGAGGACAAAGACCCGCATCACCAAATCCATCCTTGACTCCGCCTTCGCTACCTCGTCCGCAACAACCTCCGCTCCCGGCGGCGGACCTGGTATCATGGGCCCGTCAACTATTCTCACTGCGCGTCCCTTTCCCCTCGAGCGGCTTATCGCAATCTATCACGCTATTGACCCTAATCCGCCCGCGAACGCATCACGGCTCACTGCAATAGCCGATACGATCTACGCGGAGCTTGCTACTCTGCGTCGGCTACGGCTGGTCGTACCCGCTGCAGGACGTGCAAGTGGGAGTCGCATGGGTCTTGGTTCTGGAGGTGTCAACAGCGGGAATACGACGGCTGATGTGGGTGAGAAATGGTGCGTGAATGTATCCGGTGATTGGATCGGGGAGATGGCCAAGGGGATTGGAGTTGAGGTCGGAGAATGGTTAGCTGGTGGGTTGGATTGATACCGTGTTCTCTTTTTTTCTTCTTCTCGGGGGCTTTTGTGTGGAGTTTCTCGGTCTCATATTTTGAGAGTCGTATAATCATAACATATTGGTAAGGCATTAGAGTGAGTAACAATAGAATAACTCCAGAAGAAAAAAACCTCCATAGATAGCCCACATTTGACCCTATGGTAGCAGCGCCGCCATCGGATTCACCAGATCCATTCATCAACTGTCGCCTCAGAGCAGACTAGTAAACTGGGCGTCTGCGGTGCGTGCGATGACAGGCCGCCAGACTCAAAACAGACAGACGTTATCGGGTCTCGATATTGGTATTTTGTCAGCGGTGAAATCACGCCCTCTCCAGTGCGCAGTGAGAAGAGTTGAATTTTATGGTCATCAGAGGCTATACATAGGTATCAGTGATGAGACATTGCGGATATTGCTAGTTATGAGGAAAGGAGCAGATGAGCAGAACTAACCGCTGGCCAGAAGCCCGAGCTCTGGGCTCACGTCGAAGTCCGGGATAAACTCTGGAGCGTCGTTGAGGAAGCTGAGGTAGGGTCTGGTGGAAGTGTGGTGTTTATTGTTTGGGTTGGGATTTCGTTGGAGGCCATTTGGTGGGTAGCGGATGTCGTACATTTGGAGCTAGGTGTGTTAGACATGCCGATTGCGCCGGAGAGATAATATCCTGCATACCGAATTTATACCGGCCACGACGATCCGATAAGGATCAATATTCCGAATTTTTGTGACCGCATGAGGGTGCTGAAGTCGTGCTGCGCTCCCACCGCTACGAATATCATGGAGGAAGATGGTCGAGTCTTTCAGTCCAGCTGCTATCACATCTGATGAAAGCCATTCGACCGCGGTGATAAGGGCGTGGGATGAATCCACGCGACGGTGCTTGGGATGTCCTGAGGCAGGCAAGCCTTTCTTGGAAAGTGCCCAGTAGCTTCCGAATCCCTCCAGCGTGTACAGTCCGTCGGAGGTCCCGACTGCGAAACGGGGCACGTCACCTGTTGGAGATGACGAAGAGCACCATAATGAAGAGGTTGTATGGATACGGATGGGATGTGAAACTAGCTCAGGATCAGCATTCACTATTGCTTCCATTCGAAGGCAGGTCTGCTTGGAGGGTACTGCTTCATACAGAACGGAGGCCACCGGTAGTCGCCTCCTTCATCGGGATCAGGGAGCATCCGTGGCGCAAGAAAGGAGTCACCGTTTGGGCCGCTGTCCATCGTCGCTCTGGTTATATTAGCCATAAAGAGCAGACGTACGGATGCACGGAAAGGCTCATCCTCACAAGAGATATCCAGTATGGCTCAGAGAGAGCGATGAGAGCTAAAAGCCCTAGTGTTAGCATCTTCTAAAAGGAGCATGTTTGTCAAACTGAAAGTACCCTATATTGCTCTTTGAAAAGAAGTCGTTCCATAGTCCGATTATAAGTCCACTTTTCCTGATCGAAATCAGGAAAACACACTCTGATGCAGAGCCAGCTGTCAGTGTCAAGTCCTCGCAAGAGTGCAAGGTTCACTCACGACACTGACGACTCGCCGCCGCGATGCCCGCCTGCGAAAGTGATCAGTTTGGTTCGGCATATGCGGAGTTGCCTAGCAGAGTACTCACTAGCAATCAAGATTCCAGACCGCGGATTGCGCACAACGTGTTTGATGGTATATTGGTCCGGCCACGGTTCGAACTCATGTAGCTGGGCTCGGCATAATTGACTTGCATACGCCAGTCCTTGTTGTTCGTGGTCAAGAGACCTCGAAGATGGGAGTACGCCTGTCTCCCTTTGGATTTGGAAGAGAGGATGTCGTAAGCTAGCTGATCTCTTAATCTTTTCCGTCTCAGCTCTCTGGATAAAGCGCGCTTTCCGTTGTCGCTTCTGTGAGATAGTCAGCAAGCCCGGAGACGTAACCTGCAAATGGAAGATAGAATACAACCTCCTGATCAGCTCTTTTTCGCTTGACAGCATCTTTTGAGTACTGGGATCCTGGGGTGGATTTGTGATTGGCCTGGATCTTGAAGTACTTTTTCTTCTCCGGATCTAGAGCAGCATGTCAGTCAACTCGTAGTATTTATGAATTCAAGCAACGACGTACCAAAATAGAACCCTGGAATCTCTCGATTCATGATGATGAATAGATATTTCCCCTTTGATGGTGGGCAAGCTAAAAGCTAGATATGTGGGAGTGCTGCTTTTGCCATCAGAACAGCGCCACTTTAGTAGGGTTCGCGCGAGCACAAACCAGCTGTGTTTCCGGTCCGCAGAACCACAACATGCTTGCCTTTATTTTAACAGAATTTATGATCAATATTTCAGCAGCTCGCATTTTCCAGGGGTCATGCCTGAAGCATCCTCGAGCGACGTTGAAAGCGTTCTATTCCTCGATTTAGGAAAGTCTGCACGTTCTTCCCGTGACGTCGATTCTTGCTTATGTCAGCGTTCCTTGTCTGGTCTGTGCTCTTCTTCTACAAAGACCTAGATTTAATTTGATGGCTCTATGTACGGAGCAAGGGATCTTCTTGCACTTGACTGGAGGCCCTTCAGAAATACACAGGGTAAAATTGATGCCAAAAAGGAACCCGCGAAAAGTACAGACGGAAGCTGTTGTTCACTATATATCTCTGCCTGTCTTGGGATCTCAAACCTGAACAACAACAACATCCCAATTAACACATGACAGTTCATGTTGCTTAGTGGGATCTATGGACGGCTTTGTTCTGGGTTAAGCCGGACTTATGTCCGTCGAACGACTGGGGCACTGACAACTGAGGAAGTCTCGATGGAGGTATCACCGGTTGCCATAGCCCTCCTTCTTGGTTGCCACATCCTCAGGGCTCTTTCCGCAATGGCTTCGCAATCCATACGTACCTTTGCTCTGTCAAGGCTGTCATTCCGCTTCCTATCATCAACCCTCAGCTGTTTTCTTAGCTTTTTCGCGCTGTTTCGGTAGCGATTATATCGCCTACGCCTCCATCATTACCTTGGCCCTGCACCGATCAATGGATGCCCCAAAGATCACCCCTACAAACCCTTTCAGAGCCCGCCAAACTACGGTGGCACCCAACGAGCCGACTGGGCCAAATGAGGCGAATGTGACTTATGAAGCAAAGGCTACCCTTATTACCAACGCGCAGGAGAAGATGTCCTCTATGACTGACGCCGACGATGACGACAGAGAAGAGAATATTGACGACCTGATCGAGGAATTGGCGTTTCTAGATGGCGGACATCCTACTCACACCAACCGAAAGAGCATCGAATCAGCGAAAACTTGCAACCCCAATCCCGGGTTTGATACGGACATTACGACTGGTCTGAGTTCTGAGGAGGCTACCATCCGTCGCAAGAAGTATGGACCCAACCAATTGAAGGAAGCGAAAGAGAATCTTTACCTAAAATTCCTGAGTTTCTTTGTCGGTCCTGTTCAGTTCGTTATGGAGGTTAGTATATAGGGTCACTGTTTTTTGCGTTATCCAGGGCATCTCAATAATGCTAATCAAGCATAGGGCGCGGCAATCTTGGCAATTGGTCTCAGAGACTGGGTCGATTTCGGTGTTATTTGCGCTCTTCTTTTACTCAACGCGACAGTGGGTTTTGTACAGGAATATCAGGCTGGATCGATTGTGGAGGAACTGAAAAAGTCCTTGGCTCTCAAAGCCATTGTGGTACGAGACAAGCAAGTTGTCGAGATTGATGCAACGGAAGTAGTGCCAGGAGATGTTTTGAAGATTGAAGAGGTACTGCCTGTGCCTCCAAACAATGACATAGCCAAAGCTTACCTCCTTTACTTATAGGGAACTATTGTTTCCGCCGATGGCCGAGTCAAAACGAACCGACTACTTCAAGTGGACCAGTCATCAGTCACGGGAGAATCACTGGCCGTCAATAAACTCAAGGATGAAATCTGCTTTGCATCTTCCGTAGTCAAGCGTGGCGATGCGCTCTTGGTCATTACCGCCACGGGTGACGATACCTTCATGGGCAAAACAGCGGCGCTGGTCAATACTGCGTCCGCGGGCACTGGTCACTTTACCGAAGTCCTTAACCGAATCGGCGCCGCTCTCCTCGTTCTAGTTGTGTTCACCCTTATCATTGTTTGGGTTTCGTCGTTTTACCGTTCGAATAATATCATCACCATTCTCGAATTCACACTGGCCATTACCATGATTGGTGTCCCAGTTGGTCTGCCCGCTGTGGTAACCACAACGATGGCTGTAGGGGCTGCTTTCCTAGCGCGAAGAGAGGCTATCGTGCAGAGACTATCCGCTATTGAGTCTCTCGCAGGGGTCGAAATACTCTGCACCGACAAGACTGGGACCTTGACGAAGAACAAATTAACGCTTTCAGATCCATACACCGTCACTGGAGTGGACCCTGATGATCTTATGCTGACTGCTTGCTTAGCGGCGTCAAGAAAGTTGAAGGGCATGGACCCCATCGACAGAGCGTTCATCAAGGCTCTTCCCAATTATCCTCGCGCCAAAGAGGCTCTTACGCAGTACAAAGTGCAAGAATTCCACCCCTTTGACCCAGTTTCCAAGAAGGTTACCGCCGTAGTTCTGTCTCCGGAAGGCCAGGAAATAATCTGCGTGAAGGGCGCCCCTCTCTGGGTTTTGAAGACTGTGAAAGAGGACCAGCGGATCCCCGAGAGTGTTGAAGAGGAATATATCAGCAGGATGAATGGTTTCGCACATCGCGGCTTCCGCTCTCTCGGCGTTGCTCGGAAGTATCGAGATGGGCATTGGGAGATTCTTGGAATAGTGCCATGCTCAGACCCTCCGCGAGACGACACTGCGGCAACTATCAACGAGGCGAAGACACTGGGCTTGTCAATTAAAATGCTTACCGGCGACGCTGTTGGAATTGCTCGGGAGACTTCCCGTCAACTAGGACTAGGCACTAACGTCTACAACGCCGAGGGGCTAGGCTTGGGAGGTGGTGGTACTATGTCTGGGTCGGAGGTTTACGACTTTGTTGAAGGCGCCGACGGATTTGCGGAGGTCTGGCCTGAACATAAATACAATGTTGTGGAAATTCTGCAGCAGCGCGGATATCTGGTCGCAATGACAGGAGATGGTGTCAATGATGCACCGTCCCTCAAGAAAGCTGATACAGGAATCGCTGTGGAAGGGTCTTCCGACGCTGCTCGATCCGCGGCTGATATTGTCTTTCTTGCTCCAGGCTTATCGGCCATCGTTGACGCTTTGAAGACTTCTCGTCAGATCTTTCATCGTATGCATGCGTATGTGATCTACCGCATTGCACTCTCCCTACATCTTGAGATATTCCTCGGCTTGTGGATCGCGATAATGAACGAGAGTCTGAACCTACAGCTAGTGGTTTTCATCGCCATATTCGCAGATATCGCTACTCTGGCAATAGCCTATGACAACGCTCCGTACTCGCAGTCTCCAGTAAAATGGAATCTTCCGAAGCTTTGGGGCTTGTCCGTGGTTCTGGGTATTGTCCTCGCTGTGGGGACGTGGATTGCGCTTACCACCATGATCAATGCTGGTGAGCATGCGGGAATCGTGCAGAATTACGGCAAACGCGACGAGGTTCTCTTTCTCGAAATATCTCTCACCGAGAACTGGTTGATTTTCATTACCCGAGCCAATGGCCCCTTCTGGTCCTCCCTGCCTTCGTGGCAGCTGGCAGCAGCAATTCTCGTCGTGGATCTGGTTGCAAGCTTCTTCTGCTACTTTGGTTGGTTCGTGGGTGGCCAGACTTCCATTGTTGCCATCGTTCGAATCTGGGTATTTTCATTTGGGGTGTTTTGTATCATGGGAGGGTTGTACTTCCTGTTGCAACGTTCTAGGGCCTTTGATGATATCATGCATGGGAGATTCCCGAGAAGACGCGAAATCGTGGCTCAACGCCCACTGGAAGACTTCTGTAAGTGTGGCCTTTGTGCCTGGATCAGCGCTCGACTAATACATACATAGTAGTGGCTATGCAAAGGGTCTCGTGCCAACATGAACAGCATGAACAACGAGAAAAGGGCTTGCACGAGTTTGAGACCGGAACTACCATCAAGAGGAACAGCTGCCCGCGACTCACATTGACGAGGCCGATATCCGATGATCCGCCCACAGAGAGGTGATTTGGGAGTTTTGTATCGTTACTTGCGCCATTCTTCGAGGCTTTCATGGAACTTATTAGGGTAAGAATTCCTAAAACTAAGCCTAGGCTTTGCAATATAGAATAATCGGATGGTAGTTTTCTAGCCAATGAACACGTTTGGACTGGAACCTGACCGTGTCTTTCTATGCTCAGTGTCTTGTCTGCGTTGCGAGACTTGTTTAACAGACAGAGCGCTATTCACTTAGCATCCACAGCGGCACCATACCCCGTATCTCAAAGCGGGACATTTAAAAATTAGCTTGATTACAACTAACAGCCGGTCACTCCGGCGTCTTTGCGGTCTCGTAGCCCCGTCCTAAATTACATCTGGTAGCCATACAAGAAAAGTTTATAGCGAGAATCAACCACATGATCGTGACAGGTCGAAAAGGGACTGAGGGTAGGGATATACATAGCAGCAGCAGTAGGAACAGGATATGCAGACTGAACCCCAGAGGAACAAGATACAAGAGAACATATGAATCAAAGCCAGATGAAGACAAGGCTAAATATGAAAGAAAAGGAAAGGGAAAAATGATGGACTAGACTATGTGCATGATGAGCGGTTGATGAGGATGAGGATTGGATATTCGGTAGTAGTTGGAGACGCGAGATCTTATGACTTTGTGAGATGATCGATTGCCTATATTGGCACGGATTAGCACTTGCTTCTCGCTTCAGATATTTACACAAAGTGGAAGAAAGCATACCTTGTCGATATTATAGTCGAACTTCTCTAGAGCGGCAAGAGAGGCATCTCGCGGGAATCCCATGCCCGTCAGTCGTTGAAGATTGGGATCATCCTGAGTCTCATTCTGGAGGGCCCAGCCAGGCTGCTTGGGCGCGGAAATCTCGGTAGAGAGGGTTCCGTTTGTGCCCTCACCAGCGGGTGATTTAACATTATCCAGCGGGGCGAAGAGTGCGTCCCAGTCGTGGTTGTCTGGCTTTCCAGCGGGGTTGGCTTGGCCCGGAGACGAGGTGTTAACATTTTGGTCGAAAGAGAAGAAATCAGCACCAGTGGCGGCCGGCTTCTGCTGTTGAGCTGGGGAAGAATCAAACGAGAAGTCGAAATCCATGTTGCCATTGTTGTTATTCTGGCTGTCTGATTTCTCCAGATCATCATCGTCATCGTCATCCGCTTCTTTTGCAGGCGCCAGGTTCAATCCGGAAAAGGCTGCCTCGAAGTCAGGGGCCTTACTCCCAGCTTGAGCCTCTGCAGCGGGGGAGGCCTTGTGCTGAGCTTCACCCCCGACAATAGGCGCCCCAGTGCCAGTCTCAACAGAATGAGGAGCATCCGGAGCAACGGTCGGGTCGGCTCTGTTTGGAAGCAATCCACTAAACTCGGGGGGGAGATCGCCGGACTGTTTATTTGTGCTCTCATCGTATTTCGGGGGGCTAGGTTGCGACTCGGCTGGAGGCGGAGGAAGAGGCGAACTAGTAGACGAACCTGGGGTTGGGAATGCGGCAAGTTGCGCTGGCTCAATAGCATCAGATTTGGGCACTCCCTGACCTTGAGGGTGAACAGGAGTAAAGTTATCATCAAAGCCAAGCTGCGCCTCACTGTCCGTGCTCTCGTCGTCATCGTCGTCATCGTCATCAATCTCACGGATTGGAGGGAATTCTGACTCGGGAGCACCGTTGGTTTTGTCTGTGCCTGGTCCCTTCATAGCGGCAAAAGCTTCTTCGAAATCATTGTTCTGTTGTGATTTAGACCGTTGATGTGCGGGGCCACCAAACAGCTCATCGAAACTCGGATCCTTCGTGTCAGCTGGTTTCTCTTCGCTACCAAGCGATGTGGCAGTGCGCGAGGGAGTTTCAAATGCTCCAGGGATTGCTGGGAACCGGTCCTCAGATTCGTCGAAAGGTGATGCGGAGGCAGCACGACTCTCGCTGCCACCGGCCTGAGAAGGAGATCCAATACTAGAAACATCGCGCGTACCAAATCGACTACCAGGCGGAGAAACCTTGGTTGACGTGGTTTCTGAGTGTGCGTCAGTCAAAGGAAGAGCATTGGGCGTCATCTGCCTGGAAATAGTAACAGCTGGTGGCTCCGAGCCAAATGCACCAGCAGACGAGGGAGGAGGGGAAACGGAAGGCGTTGGTATACCCGAGCCACCCAGAGATCTCGCCGAATCCGCCTGTGAATCAGCACGGAAGGATGTAGGTGGTGGAGGAGTCACGGCCGTGGCTGGAGGTGCGCCAAAGGAAGGGCCAAAGAGACTGTCAAAAGTACGCTGCTGGTCGTTGGTGATCTGCGGGGACGTGGCGTTGTTATCACTTGAACCAGTCATTGTACGCTTGAAGAACGGGTTCGTGTTCTGGCTAGTAGTAGAAGCAGCAGGGCTTGTGATAGCAGGTGGATTGCTGACAGGAGCAGAGACTTCTTCGGACTCCGTGGGCTGCTCAGCGGACACAGTGTTAATCTCGTCTTGGATCTTGTCACGCTCCCCTTCCACAGTTGCTAGTTGCTTTTTATTGATGGCAACGAGGCCCTTCTGCTGACGGGCGTCCGAGCGAGCTTTCTCTAATGCGGGTTTCAACTGCGCCACAGCTGCGTTAGCCTCCCGAATCTTCTCCTTCAGGCTCGCGTTTTCCTGTTGATCGGCTGCGAGAGCGGCAGAGACTTGATTGTATTGGTTCTGAAGATCCTGTCTGCTTCCATCGAGCAAAGCGTATTCTTGCTGGAGCTTACTCGTCTCAGCTTTTGATGCCCTCAGACGCTCCTCCAAAGCCTTGAAATTCTTCACTTCCTGCTCGTACATTACTCTGGCCTGAGCGAGGCGAGTCTCGAAGTCGCGCTTTTGCTGAGAGGTTTGGGACAATTCCTGCTCGGTAGCCGTTCGCTTTGTCTGGACATTTTGCATCTCGTTCGCGAGAGAGCCGATCTGATTCGAAAGGTTGGCTAGCTCGGTGGTTTCCTGCGTCAGCTTGCTAGACTCCTCAGGATCATTGTCCCCGAGAAGGTCGTCCGAAGGCTGAGGTGGAGATCGAGCCGTTGATGGGACCGAAGAGGCGCCAGTTGTTTGCGGCTGAAGGCTTTGGCCGAAGGATGATGTGGGAATGAACGGTTTGAAGGTTGTTGCACTTCCCGGTGGTGACGTCTGAGGGCCTGGCGAGCTCGGAGTTGCGAAAGGAGCATTTGAGTTGCCAGTGGACTGCGGTATCTGCGCAGGCGCAGGGATAGGAGCTGCTGGCGCAGTTGCAAACGGATCCAAGCCGAATAGATCGTCTGCGGCGGTACGAACGGGAGCAGGAGGCGGGGGAACAGGTGCCGGGGCGGGTGCTACGGCCTGCGCAGAGCCTGGTCGACGCATACCCGGGGGGATAAGTGCCGGAGGCAAGGTCTGTGGCAGGGGCGCTTTGCCGGTGAACTGCTGGCGAATCAGATACATGGCAACAGCGAATTCATCTCTTGTCAGTTGACCGTCAGCGTCAATATCGGCGAGATCCCAGATCACAGCGAGGGTCTCTTCAGGGAGCTGAGCTTTTGTGAAAAACGCAACTGCTTGGTCGCCGCTTATGACTCCGGACCTCGTGGTATCGACAGTGTTGAAGTAGTTGTCAAACTGGAGCTTCTCCGCAGGGGTGACAAGCCAGTCACCGCCCGTCGACTGCGCCGAGAGGGGAGAGCCAAACTGTTGTCTGTTGATCGGGCTCTGCGTACGCTGGGGTCCAGTAAATTGTCTAGGGATAGCGGGTACAGGAGGGACATCGAGTCCGGCCCTGGAACCACTCATCGAGGCGCGCCCACCGCCTCGTCGGGCGGCTGCATCATACAGTCCTGGAGGTAGCGTCTGGGGAATCCCTCTCATGACACCAGATTTATACGACGTGAGTAAGTGCATAGCAATAATGAACTCAGTGCAATCCAACGCGCCTCTTTTGTTGGTGTCGGCCAAGTTCCATATCCGGCCAAGAATTTCGTTCGGAAGCCTCGCGCGCTCAAAGATTTGTTTCGCGGCATCGCCTAGTAGAGGTAAATAAATACTCAGCCATTGAAGGAATATTGAGAGAGACTGCAGGCCTGACTTACCAGAGATACTCCCGCTTCTAGTAACATCTGACTTCTCAAAAAGCGAAACAAACTTGTTGACATCATCGGGGTTTAAGGGTGGAACTCGAATGCCAGCTCCAGGGGCAGGTTGGGGACTACTTGCGCCCGCATCGCGTGGAGTAGGGCTTGTAGTATCAATAGGCAGGCCGTCAAACCTAGGTAATGGACCGGCTGGAGTTGGTCAGTTTCAGGCAAAACATTGCGGTTATTGCAGAACGATAGGCGAAAGGCGCGAGTCTCGCGCCCTTAAGACTACATACGTTGTGAAGCCAATTCATCCGTTGGCGCACGACCAGCCTGGGCGTGTCCAATCAAGCGCAACACGATTCCGAACCCGGACGGGGTCAGGAGCCCCCTGTTTTCCTTGTCGGCAATTTGCCATATCTAATATTGTCGGAAAGAACATGTAATTAGAATGTACGCCTCGCTTCAAAGTAATCACCGTATAGAGCGTGAAAGCTCGACATACCAATCCGAGGGTTTCCGGAGAGAGCTTGGTCTTCTCGAAGAACGGGACGGCAATCTCGCCTGTGATGACACCGAGATTTGTTGTGTCGGCAGCTTGGAAAAGCTGGTAGAAGACTCGTTTCTCTTCAGCGGTTAAATTGAGGTTCTGTTGACGTGCTGCACAAGAAAACGTAAGCATCCGTCAGTTCCGTTGGTAACTGTCGCTATCCAGGCAACCCCCAATGTCTCCTGAGCCTGGGAGCTCCCCCGCGATGACGGAAGAGGAATTGGTAGCGCAAACTTACCATTGTCAGCCATATTGATAGCTGACGAGGAGTATGGTCCTCCGCCTTGGATTCCAGTGTAATTCTCCGAGCGCTTGTGTGATGGTGAAGCGTCAGTGCAGAGCACTCGAAGAGCATAGATGGACGGGCGGCCAAGGCGACAGTTGTCTCGGGGGTTCGGGAAGCAAATGTGACGATCGTGAAAGGGAGGAGACGCGAGGGAGAGGAATTACTAAAGTCAACGAGGGAGGATAAGGGGACGGATAAGGAGAAACTCGCGACTGAGAGTGAGAAGGAGAGGTTGTCTTAGTATTATTATTAGGACGCTTGGTTGGAGTGAGCAAGCGCCTGGAGGCTTGACGACTGGACTGAGGGGGTCGGACGGCTGTCCACGTTGGCTGGGCGGTCAGTGCCGCTAAAGTCCTGCTCTCCCGGGGTTCCTCATTCGCCTTCAAGATTCAGGGTTGGCTGTGCCTTCTTTTCAAGCTTATTTATCTCCAGTACACGTGCATTTAACTTCTTTGCTGGGTGCTTTTCCTCTAGATTGCCGTTAGCCAAGCTTAGTTGCGTATATCGTTCCTCAGCCGCCACCATTACGCCCTCGACTGTTGAAATTATTACATCGAAATGTACGTTCTATGATTCATCCTCTTACTCAAAATGACCAGCAAGTATTAAATAGTCAACGAGAGATAAATTTTCGATGCTTGGGGGATATTAAAGTTATATCAGACAGAAATCCGTAAGTAGTCTGCACTAAGCCAATGTCTCCTATTTGCAACCAGATTATGACTTGGGCTAACTCCTGGCTTCCAAAGGAATCATTACAGCAGCATCAAAACACTTAGTACTCAGCTTCGACGTCCTCCTCCAACGAGTCGCTAGCAACTTCCTCGTAATCGCGCTCCAGAGCGGCCAAGTCCTCACGGGCCTCGGAGAATTCACCCTCCTCCATACCCTCACCAACGTACCAGTGAACGAAGGCACGCTTGGAGTACATGAGGTCGAACTTGTGGTCGAGAGCGGACCAGGCCTCGGAGATAGCGGTGGTGTTGGACAGCATGCAGCTAGTCATTTGATTAGCATCTTTCCGGATTGTATTAAAAGAGATTGATGGATGAAAACTTACACAGCACGGTTGACCTTGGCGAGGTCTCCGTTGGGGACCTGTTGAGGGGGCTGATAGCAGATACCAATCTTAAACCCAGTGGGGCACCAGTCGACGAACTGGATGGTACGCTTGGTCTTGAGGGTAGCGACGGCGGCGTGGGTCTGCTTGGTGACGACATCACCACGGTACAGCAAGCAGGTGGCCATGTACTTGCCGTTGCGGGGGTCACACTTGACCATCTGGTTGTTGGGCTCGAAGCAGGACATGGTGATCTCCTGGACGGAGTTGGCCTCGTGGGAAGCCTTGTCGGCGGAGATGACGGGAGCGTAGGCAACGAGAGGGAAGTGGATACGGGGGTAGGGGACCAGGTTGGTCTGGAACTCGTTGAGATCAACGTTGAGAGAGCCGTCGAAACGGAGAGAGGCAGTGATGGAAGAGACAACCTGAGCGATCAGGCGGTTGAGGTTCTCGTAGCTGGGGCGCTCAATGTTGAGGTTGCGACGGCAAATGTCGTAGATGGCCTCGTTGTCGACCATGAAACTGCAGTCGGAGTGCTCGAGGGTGGTGTGAGTGGTGAGGATGGAGTTGTAGGGCTCGACAACCGATGTGGCGTTCTGGGGAGCAGGGTAGACACAGAACTCGAGCTTAGACTTCTTGCCGTAGTCAACGGAGAGACGCTCCATCAGGAGAGCACCGAAACCGGAACCAGTACCACCACCGAAGGAGTGGAAAACGAGGAAGCCCTGGAGACCAGAGCAAGAGTCTGCCATGCGGCGGACCTTGTCGAGAACGCCATCGATCATCTCCTTGCCAACGGTGTAGTGACCACGGGCATAGTTGTTTGAGGCATCCTCCTTGCCAGTGATCAAGTTCTCAGGGTGGAAAAGGCTGCGGTAGGCGCCAGTGCGGACCTCATCGACAACATTGGGCTCAAGATCGGCGTAGATGGTACGGGGAACGTATTTTCCTTGGCCTAAGAGTGCACAACGCGTGTTAGACAAGCATTGCCATCAAACGACATGAATAAATTGATGATAACGCGTACCAGTCTCGGAGAAGAAAGTGCTGAATCCGTGGTCAGGGTCTTCTTGCTTGCGTTCTTCGGTCAAGTATCCGTCGGGCTAGTCGGTCAGTCAGAGAGTTGCCCATGTTGTCAAAAGAAAAACACGAGAGATATTCGACGATAGGTCCAGAATGTTGCCCCCTTCTTCAAAGTTCATTATCACGTACCTGGATACCGTGCTCAAGGCAGTAAAGCTGGGAAAAAAGCCGCCAGTTAGCTCATTCACCTCGCTCACACGTTCAAATGCCCGATATTTATCCATCTTGTTCTCCCAAGAAAATATAGCAGCGGTGTGATTTACCTCCCAGCAGGAATTGGCGATCTGGCAACCAGCCTGGCCGACTGGAGAGCAAGGTCCATGTCAGTAACACGTTACCCAGCTAAACCAAACAAGCGAGGGGCACGGGTCACAAAACGCACCGTTCAAACTGATGACTTCTCTCATATTGTCGAGGGGGGTTAGAGTGCGTTTGGAGGAGGAGATGGATGAAAAGGATAGGATTGAAGAAGAGGGCGAAAATCAAGAGAAGGCCCAGCGGACGATCTGGAGTTCTGGACGGACTGCTTCAGGGGTAAGTTTGGGTAAATAGACGGGAACCACAAAAAGAGAGAAGAGATACGGGGGCAACAGAAAGAAAACGCTGAGGGAACCGGTGGGCGTGCCGGGAACTTACTATTGGCAACGGCGACACTTAGCTGCAAAAGCAATTGCCCAAGATTTCGGACAAACAGTCAATTCGATTTGCTGAGGACAATTTTTTTGTTGTCTTTTCTGATGCGCTGTCAACTTAACCGCTTTTGCTGTGCTTGGTGCAGTTGTTGATCCATCCATTTTGGGTCGCGTTGGGGTTGAGTCGCTTTTATTGGCTGCCACGGACCCGCACGCCGCTCCTGGCGGTGAGCAAGCTGAATCAGCAGAATCCAATCACGTGTAGCGTCGCAAGATGAAGCTATTCGGGACCTCGGGAGCTCTCCGTCTTGGATAAGCGATAACATGAGGCTCAACCGAGAACCCTAGTGGTATTTGGTGCCTTGGAGAAAACTTGAGCTCCTTGAATGGTTGACTGATCTTCACCATATACCTCGCTCTTTCCACAACCGATCGAACCATGTAACAACCACAATGCTCCTCCTATACATCTACATCACCACGGCAATCCTCACCCTCCTCGCCGTCGCCAATGTCGAGAAAACAATTTTCCTCGGCCCATCACCACTCGCCATTCCGGCGCTCAATCCAGCTCTAGACGACCTAGGCCTCGAGCGCCTCTCACCAGAAAATGGCATGCTGCGAACGAACCTCAACGCCTCGTTCCCAACAACAGACGCGCCTGGCACAGATTCCTGGTTCTTCCTCGAAAATCTGAATCCAGGACAGCGGTATGAAGTGCGGATCTGTTGGTTGGCTACTGTATGTTCCATCACTCCTTGTTATTCCTTTCAACAGGGGGCCTAACATGAGAGCGCATTTAGCAACCGACAGACTTCACCTTGCGGACATACACCCTCCCGCAAGTTCTCGAAAACCGTTCTCTCCTCTCCTCTATAAGCGCCTACTCATCCGCACGTCTTTCCGCGGTGCCCCAATCGCAGTCACAGAAAATACTCACCCGCAACCGGCGCGGCACGCCGCAAGACGCAACAACCTCAGACTCGGTCCTATTCCTACAAATCGCCGCCGCGGCGGATTACTTCTCTGTAGACCAGGCGTTGATGGAGAATGTACCCTCAGTACTGGCTGATATCATTCTTGATCCTTTTTTGGGCAATGTCTTTCCTAGGAGTCTGGTGCCGACAGCGTGCTGGGCGACTATTGTTGCTCTTCTGGCCGTTTTTGTGGCTCGGTGGGTAGCTGGGCAATTCGGGAGACTGGTGGATTCTGTTGATATGAGGTTATTTGCGGGTGAAAAGAAGGAACTATAGTCTGCTTCTGATTCACACAGACGTCATCCTAGAGGTCTGAATGAGCTACGCGCTATGTTGCTATTGATCGATACTCGGGGTCAACTGCTCTGTTTCCAGGATGAGTTTAGTCTAGTCAGGAGCTAATCTCGTTCTAGTCTTTTGAGATCCATTAAAAGCCACGCGTGTATGTGAGGCATCGCAGTGTATCGATTGTTCATAACGGCATATACAATTGAAAGGAAGGAAGGCCTTGATTTCCAATCAGTAGCAAAAAAAAAGACATCATAGACGACTAACACAGGGGGAATAAATTGGGAAGAAAATGGCAAGAAATGAGAAGGAGACGGATAGATCAGTCAGCCGCTCTATCACTAAAGCCAGGAAAGACGGTACAAAGGAAATGATAACATGGTATTAAACGGTCAAAACTCATGAAATTCCGCTTCGGTTTAGTCTTCAAAGAAATGGAGAATGGCCCGGATGCCCCTTTGGCCAAGACCATGGGGTGGGTATGCGATGTAGAGAGGCTCGTCCACAGCTCCGAGTTTGGCGCGGAACTCGCTCTTGCGGACAAGGTGGAACTGTTTAGCGAGGGCGTCGTATGTGTGCGACAACATCTTCATCTTAGTGCCATGCATGTTGTGGCCCGGTTTCAAGGTGTTGGTTGCACCAGCACCGAAGGTAAGTGACTTCACACCGGTTCGACCAGCCGCTTGAATGGCGTGTGTGATGAGGGATTCGATGACGCCGTTTGGCGAGCCTGGGAAGTCAAGGGTGTACTTGACCTGCATGCCGTATGTAGGCGAAATGGTAACGAGGGTGACAAAGGCACAGATGGTTCCTTCTTTGTCGACGGCATAGAAGTACCAGCGATGTTCGGGGTCGCGCCATGGGTGAATCTCGGACAGATGTACTTGCGTACCCTTGCGGTTCGCTTTCCAGTCCTCGATTCGCTTGTCTATCTGTTCGCGGATACTGTCCGGTACCATCTCGCCCTGGTTCTGAGCAACGATCTTGACACCCTCGTTCTCCGTCCGTCGGAGCTTCTTGGCCAGTTCGCCGTCCATGGCAGCCTGGTTTCGAGAAGGTTCAATTCGTTCTTCAGCAATGCAGGACAAACTGCGCCAACCAAGTCTCTCGCCCAAAATTGTCTCTACTTGTGGAGAGCATAAAAGCCAAATGGGCTTGTATTTGGTTTCACGGCGCAACCATTGGAGGAACTGGGTGATGACCCGGGTAAACTGTCTCTCATCACACAATGGGTTGCCTGGAATCACGACGTAGTTATTGGTGCTGACGACGTATGAGACAGCAGCACCAGTAGCCATGTCACGCCAGATCTTGAAGCGCTCATCACCCCATGATGTAGAGGTGGCATCACCATAATTGGCAATCATGTGCTCCATTGGCTGCAGCTCACTCTCACTCTGTGCCACGGCGCCCCTCTTCTCACGGACCCAAGGCGGCTCGATGGTGGAAGATTCAGGGTGGCGCAGCTGGAGTACAGGGGGTTTGGCGGGGAAGCTCTTGGGGTCACGATGGAAGAGGGAGGCGAGACGGATATTGCCCAGCTTAAGGATGAGCATCAGCAATCGTTCCAATCCGATACCAGCACCTGCGTGCGGTGGAGCTCCCCATCGGAAACCTTCCATATACTCCTCCATCGTATCCGGGTTGATCCCCACCCGACGCATGTTTTCTTCCAACATGTGCGGATCGTGGATACGTTGGCCACCAGAGACGATTTCCTGACCTCGAATAAACATATCAAACGAGTTTGTGAAGCGGTGGTCATCCGGGTCAGGCATGGCGTAGAAAGGACGAGCATCAACGGGGAACTTGTCGAGAATGTAGTAGTCGGTTCCATACTTCTCCTTGACCAGTTCTCCGAGACGAATTTCGTCACGGGTACCGAGATCCTGGTCCTCGGGCAGCGGATTGCCTTCGTCGTCCCGCCAGCCTGACTCATTGAGCAATTTGATACCGTCGGTGAAGCGAATTATTGGCGTCTCGTCGAGCCAAACAAGGTCTTCGGAGGGAAACTGATGCTTGATAATCTCGACCTCGCGACGGTAGCGGGTGTAGATGCCCTTCAAGATGGTCTTGATAGTTCCGTCCAATACCTCGAGCATCTCATGGTAGTGCTCTTCAATCGACATCTCGAGATCGAGGCCGGTATATTCTGTAAGGTGACGGTGTGTATTTGAGTTTTCGGCGCGGAAGACAGCACCAATTTCGTACACACGACCAAAATCTGCTGCAATGGCCATCTGCTTTGCGAGCTGGGGACTCTGGGCAAGGAAAGCGTTGCGTCCAAAGTAGTTCACCTCGAAGACACTAGCACCAGACTCGGTGGCGGCGCCTTGGAGTTTCGGTGTGTGAATTTCAATGAACTCGCGTTCATCTAGAGCAGTCCGGAACAGATTGCTAATTGCGGACTGAATTCGGAAGACGGACTGGGAGGTGGGCGTGCGCAGATCAAGGAGTCGGTTTGTCAGTCGGGTTCGGTCAGAGATGTGGCTACGGCGGCCTTCCACAAGATCCTCTTCGGCGGTGCGGATTTCTGCCTCGTAGACACTGAAAGGAACAGGATCCTCGCGCCGCACGACAAGGTGGACCTCATCGATAGACAACTCGACATCGTGGATTGTGCATCCCAGGACGGGGACATCGGGGGCCTGGATCTTGCCCCGAATGCGGACAATACATCCTGTCTTGAGATGTTCAGCCCATTGGACCATAGCGATGGACTTGACACCAGGCTCCTCATGGAGGACACCCTGGAAGGTTGTCAACTGCTGTCGGAAAACAAGAAAGACGAGCTTCGCGCTCATCCGACGTATGATGTGCAATCGTGCCGTGAAGAGGACATCCTGTCCAACCATGTCCGAAGTAATGTCGTCGAATTTGAGGCGCTGTTCGCGTTTCCGAGACCCCGACTGTACCAACGGCAGGTCGCCATAGCGCGCCCGCATTTCCGGGGTCTCTTCACGAACCGCCTGGGCAACCTCTTCCTTGTGGCGACGCTCAGACTCTGACGAGCCGAGGTCCTCACTCATACGAGAGCGCTGTTCGCTCTTTCTCTGGCGTCGAGCGAGCCGTTTCTGCTGGTTCTTGCTGATAGTCCCAGCCCCTGAGGGGAGGGAATCATCGGAGACGTCTTCGGACGAGGAGACATAATCCTTATCACGAAGGAAGCCGCTCAAGATATTGCGACGGGGGGAGGAGGTCCCGGAAGGAGAGGAACCCTTGGAGTGGGGTAAAGAGGGAAGAGAGGCCTCGTCTAGCTTCGGCTTGATCTTGGACAATGCCCGTTTGATGGACATGGTGACTGGTAGCAGATGAAAGAGTGCGAGAGACCATGAGAGAGTTGAGAGAAACACAAGGTAAAACGGGGGGAGGCAGGAGAATTTGGGTGTTGGGAGAAGGAGGGGCTGAAAGGTCCAGTCCCTGACCAGCCGATTAGTGAGCGCAGCACGTATCTGTGTCAGCCACTATTCTTCAAGAACCATGGGCACTCAGGGGAAAAGAGCTCAAAAATGCTTCAATTGCGAAAAGAACATGCCAAAGGCTTATAAAGAGACAAGCTATATGACCCTGACTTCAGCCTTATTCCAGGTTTCTCCTCTGATTATGTGATGTCATACATAGGGAATCTGGGAGAATCCGGGATGGGCTTCAGACAAATCAGTTGCGACAATTCGACATCATCGCGACCGCGCCGGACCGCTCTTCGAGAAAAAATAGACTGCCCCTCGTTTGCGGTTCTGACTCCCACGTGAATCATCCTTGCTAAGCCATGACTGATATTATTTGATCTTTCGCTTGTATACTCCGCGAATCCTGTCAACGGTCCCTCTTCGGCTTTAGCCCATCGTAGCAGTCTGGGCCTTCTTGGCTTGTGCATTCCCTCTGTTGCCTCACCTTCTGCCTCTCTCTTATCTCCGTCACTGGTCTCGTTCCATCCTGCGCTCTCTCGCCTTTTTCGCTCATTTCCTATCCTACAATTATTATTGTTAATAACCCTCAACTCCCGGGGACCAGATCCGTCGCCTCCTAGGTTCACTCTCCCCCTGCAGGGATCTGTAAACACCAACTCCTAAGTCCAGTGTGACCTTCATATTACTCCGGGAGAGTCCGAAGCTGCATAAGCCTTCGCTTTGTTCCATGGTCACTCGTTGTCATGGCTTCTTCACGCTTGTGGCTCTATGTGCAAGCCATTTTCTGGCGCTTTCTCATGCGACTGGGAATGATATTCCATCACATTCCGCCTCCGCGGTCTCCGAGCCCTACATTCTCCCGCTCCTTCCCGTCTGGCTCCTCCAAAGTCGTCTTACGCTTCTACTGTCCGGCAGAGTATCAACGCTATCGCAAGGAGGGCCGTCGGCTCCCGGTTCTTGTTAACTTCCACGGAGGCGGTTTCACCCTCGGGGCTCCAACGGACGATGCCCGTTGGGCTCAAGCCGTTCTAACCCAAGTTGGTGCCGTCGTAGTTAGCGTTGGCTATCGTCGAGCGCCCGAACATCCGTTTCCCGCGGCCGTTGAAGACGGCGTCCAAACTCTTCAATACCTCGCTGCCCACGCCGGAGAGCTCGGACTCGATATTTCTCGTATTGCGCTTAGCGGCTTTTCCGCTGGGGGGAATTTGGCCGTCACGGTGCCGCTCCGACTCCGAGACCTTTTGGTGCAGGCATCGCCGGAACGCTGGTTAAGCAGGGCTGAGTCGACCTCACAGCTGATCACTGCATCTGCCATCGATTTACACATTGTCGCTATCTTCTCCTGGTATCCCATCCTGGATTTTGACGAGTCCCGTGAGCATCGTCGTGCAATGAGCATTATGCCAGACAAGACTCTCCCACCCTTTTTCACCAACCTCTTCGATCAGTCTTATCTCCCCAATGCGGAAGAGCGCCGGTCACCATTTGCCTCGCCTGTATACGCTACTGATGAGGCATTGCGCCAAGGCCTACCGCACGATATTTTTTTCTACTTTTGTGAATGGGATATGCTCCTGAACGAGGGCCAGCTATTTGTCCGTCGACTGCTAGACCTCAAGAAACATGTACGCGGAATGATGATCGAGAAGGTGTGCCATGCCTGGGACAAGTCTCCCAATCCGTTCCGGGACACTACAGACGTGGATAATCACTATAGAGACGCTTGCGCCTCTATGAAGGCCATCTTTGGGGAGCTCTGAATCGTTTTATCTCAATCGTGATTTCTTTATCATTATAGAATTCGTGCAGGCATGATTGGCGTGGCGTTGTGGTGGGGTCTTCTCTTGAATTTTCAGAGGTTCTTCTACATTTGTACATTAGGGCTGAATTGAATCTATCCCTAAAAAGCTTCGGTCGTGCCTCGGCGTCGTGTCCAAGTCGAAATTCGCGATACGGCAACGTTCTTAGAAGATTCCACTGTCTGTCGATCCTCACAATACTGAATAGTCGTCGCACTGCAGGTTCGTATTCGCTCGAAGACTGCCGTAAAAATGTGGCAATCCCCAGGTTTGGTTGTGCTTGACGTACAATTTGGCCCCATTGAATACGACACTTGCCTCGTTCTGAATATCTTCATGCCGCCCTCTCCTAAAGTACTCCTGGTCCATACGGCCTGCAAAGTCTCCAATAAGAGGTTGTTATGCGCTTGGGGCACATATCATGCTCCCCACGGCCCACTGTCCGGATCGGCAAATGGATGCTGCCGGAAGTATATATATATATATATAATGAGCGCCTTTCTGCGTGATAACACGAAGGATCTTTCAAAGGTCTACCCTGAAAATGCAGAAACTCGCATTAGTGAACTTTCAGGCCTGTTTGCCATAACATCTGCTCAGCTGCCGATGGCACCTGATCTCGTCCCCGTCCCATCCTATAAAGGTTGTCCTCCAGATGGCCCTCTCATCCCTCGTCTAACAGACCTAGCGAACTCCAAGTACACCCTAGATGTAGCAAAGGACCTTAACGCAAGGCTCAACTCCACCGTCAAAGGTGAGATCGAAGCCGGTTGGATCTTTGAGAATGTCTCGTTCTCTTTAGCTCTTGTTTCTCCCTACGGTCCATCGGGGTCAGACGATAATGGTGCGCCATATGAGAATATCACCATCGTGGGAACAATAACGACCTAGGCGTGATGGAGGTCAATGGCGATACGCAGTATCTGATCGGCTCGGTATCAAAGGTGTTTTCGGATTTGATGCTGCTCAAATCTGGGGTTGACCTGCAGGCGCCTGTTACGGATTTCCTGCCGCAATTGAGCTCTCCCAGGTCGAGGATTCGTTGGGAGGGCATCACGCTGGAAATGCTGGCTGACCACTTGGCTGGTATAGCTCCTGCTGGTAGGGTCACTTCCATTCTCAAGCTGGGATATGTGCTCACAATATTTAGCTTTCTTTGAGTTCTACTTCCCCAACTCCTTCCACGAAAGCCTTGGGTTGCCGCACCTCAAGGATTCCGAGTATCCCAAATGCGGAGATTTGCGGCCGAATGCGGGCTGTACTAGAGAAGGTGGGCTCTCCTTTCTCCTAAGCATATAGAGTACGGGATATCGATGCTGATGAATGCTAGAAATGATTGAGAGCTTCCTCACGAAAGAACAAGTTGTTCCAATCAACTCCAGCCCTCTCTACTCCCAGCTCTCGTGCACCCTATACACTTTCTGCCTCGGAGAATACACCGGCAAGAACTATTCCCAGAATCTCGAGGAAACAATCTTACGAACCCCTGAGCCTCGGCAACTCCGGCGTCTCTCCTGGAGATATAGAGAAAGCAGCCATTCCTCCAGGCGTATCTGGATGGGGAAGCGACTACGGTTTCAATGCTCCGTAAGCACCTCCTTGCCCCTATGCATGGGCGAAGGATCATACTAACAGCGCGATTGGCAGCGGCCTTTACTCTACCATTAACGATATGAGCATCATCCTCAGCTCCGTCCTAAACCACGAGATCCTCGACACTCCAGCTGATATCCGCAAATGGCTCAAGCCCTTGTCCACAATCAGCCCCCTTAACACCCTCGTTGGACGACCCTGGGAGATCCTCCGCACAACAGACCTCCTCCCTGGCAAGCACGCCCACACTGTGGACATCTGTGCCAAATCTGGCGGCGCCATGGGGTATATGGCTCAAATTGCGGTTACTGACCAGTACGGCGTCGGTCTCGCAGTCCTAACCGCCGGCCCTGTAGATGCAATGGGTATCCTCTACCGTGCCGTCTTGGGTACATTCGTTCCCGCCATCGACGAGGAGGCACGTTCCCAGGCACGCCAACTCGCAGGGACCTGGACGTCGAAGCCAGGTAACAGAACTCATGGAGCAGAGCGTATCAGACTTATACTTGACCTGGATGACGGCACGGGCTTCAGACTCGCCTCCTTCACCCGAGGAAACGCTTCAATGATCGAGGCTATCCAATCAATATGGACAGCGGAATACCTAGCCCTGGGATTTGGAATTCTCCCCGATGAATTGCGCGTGTACCCTACAGACCTCGAAACCCCAGTCTCAGCCTCTGAAGCCCAAGCTCCCCTCGCAGAAACCCACCATCACCATCACCACCTCGGCGCTCGAAGCCGCGACGATGAAGACGACAATAATGAAGAGGGAGACATCCAACTCGTCCGCCAGGAATGGCGCATCAACCTCGACATCGTTCCTCTCGGCAGAAGCCTCATGTCTGACCTTCCCGGCCAGAATACGGCGACACAGTATTGTGGCTCGTGGCAGACGGTGGACTGGATGGCATATGGCGGGATCAGTCTTGACAAAATTGTGTTTGTGGTTGATAAGAGGAGTGGGGATGTGCTTGGGGTTGGAGTTCCGGCGTTTGGAGGGGGGTTGTTGACGATGAGCCAACTCATACTAATCTTCCTTTCTTTCCGGGTCTACTTCCTTTGTGTAGTTGATGGGTATACCGAAAATACTCGGCCGAGGTACAATTAGCCATCCTTCCCTTCCTATCCTTTGGTTCTCTGTATAAATTTGGACTGGACACACAATTGGACCTTAACAACATGATAGTTCATAGTATATTATTAATATATTTCCGATGTTTTTCATATTTTGAATATCAAATGAATATGGTATGCCTACAATATATGTTCATTCATGATCCGTCTCCGTCTCATCACTCAAATCAGCGTCGTCGTCAGACGGCTCATCAGCATCACTATCATCGTCATCTTCCGGATCATCAAGACCCGGAATCCCACGCCAATGCACATAGTCGCCCTCGAGCCACCGTCGGCTCCTTGGCAGCTGGTACGGATCAAATGGGAAATAAGCGTCAAGCTGATATCCCAGATCATCTCCTGCCCGAATCTCTCGCTCCACCTGGCTAAATCGCGGATCTGCCAGGGCCGACAGGTTCCGGTATGTCGTCATACGGAGCCGCTTGTTCGTCTCGAGGATGGTGAAAACGTAAATGAGGTTGAGGTGTTGGGACATGCGGGCGAATTGGGAGACGATGGCGGGTGAGCAGACTTTGAGCGGGTTGAGTTTGGAGTGGATGGCCTTGTGCAGGACATCCTTGACGGCTGGGGGGAAAGTGATGTCTTCTGGCTCGAGGTCGTCTATTTGGTCGTGGGTGTCGCCGTCTATTGCGGCTGTTGTGAGGTCACGCCAGCGGAAGCAGAAGATGTAAAGGAGGGCTTGCGCAGTGGAGTAGAAGGGGCCGAAGCGGCGGAGGTCGGGGCCGCGGCAGGAGGGTTCGTAGTCGAGTCGGAGGTTATTAAGGTGTGTGCCGAGGAGGTCGAAGACATCACGGACGACTTCGCCGGAGATGTGAGCGCCCCGGGCAACGAAGCTAGCAAGGTAGGCGGCGGCTGATTGGCGCATGATGGCAGGATGCGCTTTGTTGAAGATGATTTGAACGCACGTGGCGGCGAAGCGATCCACGAGGAGAGGGGAGGATTGGGAGAAGTGGAAGAGGAGGAATTGAGAGTGGCGGGAGCGGTAGGTTGGAAGGATGATGGTTTGAAAATGGCTGAGGAGGAGGTCCAGAGCGTTCTCCTTGTCGTCAAGGGTGCCTGATGTAAAGGGTGGTGCGTAGTACTCAAAGAGGGTGTCAATCATCCCATCCAATTTGAGGATGTTCTCTTTGATAGTCTTCAGTCTTCCAGAGTCCTGCTCGATGGACTCATCGCTGAGTACAGAGGCGTTATCATCATCCTCGTCTTCGTCTTCATCTCCTTCTTCGGCGAACATCACTGATTCTGGAGAGATATCGTGCAGGACGTCTTCGCCCTCTTCATCCTCGAGGTCCTCCATATCCACCTGGATCTGTACGTCGATCTTGACGAGTTTCTCGGTGATAAGAGCAAGAATGTCGGCTTGCAATTCCGGTGCATAGCTGATGACTCTGATAATGTTCTTGGTGTAGGCAATGTTGGCCTTGGCCGAATCGGTATCAAACGGAAACTGAGAAGATAGAATAGGCGAGAGAGAGCCGCTTCCGGATGGAATCAGCTGCATGACGTGGCGCAGGGCCATGTGGACGCGGCCATACGCCAAAGCGGGATGAACATGCGGATACCCTGGTAGCTTGCCTGTGCCTTTCGGAAGCGCCCCCATGTAGTTGGTCAACATCGTCAGCACGGCTCCCAGATAACTGCCCTGAGCGGCAGCAAGGTTGCCCAGAAATCGGATATAAAGCTTGACGTATGACTCGTCCCGCCCAAGCCATTCGCTGCGCAGCACTGCTTGAACCAGCCCGTTGCAGCTGCGATCCAACGCCGCCACGTTTGAAAGAAGACCCAGAAGATGATGCTTCAGTGTATTGTGTGTAGGTACATTTAATGAGGCCCGGCCGTTTGCATCCTGGCGCCGAGGGTCAATGGCAAATATCTCCTTGACGCGGTCATAGGCCTCGCTATCGCCGCCGGAGACATGCCGTTGGATGGCCCGTCGCACTTCCTCCCGCACCACAGCTGCGCTCTTGTCTGTTGTCCCATTGTTCCCACTCTGCGGCTTATCGCTGTATGGAATCTCACGCATCTCCACGTCGTCGTCGAACTGCACCCGAGTCTTTTTTCGAGGACTGGGCAGTGTGTCTGGATCGGAGACGTTGGAGGATGCGGGCGACAGGGAAAGGTCCATTTCTTCCATCCTGTGTTTTATCCCGGCAGTTGAGCTGGGTGTTTTAGAGGTCTTCAGTATCGGTACTGGTGAAGATGTTGCTAGCATCTTCGAAGGCGTGTGTGGTCCCGTCACTGGGCCGCGCGAGGCGTTCGTGAGGGAGACCATCAGGATTAACACGAGTATTCACAGCTAAATTTTTTTAACAGGCAAATGCAATTTCGAAAATGTGTCATTTGACGGACTTCCAATAGCCTTCTGGAAGCCAAACCAAGAAAATAGAAAGCAAGCACACGACACTGTAGGCTACAAAGAATAGACACGGTGAAAGGGGAAATGCATCGAAAGAAGCCTCAGCTGTCCGTCCATCACACTCGAGGATTCTGTCAAATCTGCTCTCATGTGTGGGCTTCGAGGATGATAGCTGTTTGTGAAGAGAATATAAATCAGAAGAAAAGAGAACGACGCTGTGTCGACCGCAGAATCTTGAAGCGGAGAAGAGAAGTGGGCGCAACTCGAATTTTTCTGTGGGGCAGTGGAGCCTTAAGCCTTGAGACTCGTGACTGCGCGTGATCGCAGACGCGACCGTGCTTCCCACGAGCCCTACCTACAATTTTCCTAAACAGGTTATATTGATCAAGTGTTTGGACTAAGAGCTGGTTTAACTATTCAGGTCTTTTTTGATTCAAATCTCCTAGACTAGCCGATTCGAAATCTAACCTGATACTCGAATGTTTCCCCATATGCTATAGTGTATAGAGGCCATAAAAAAACAGAAGAACGGGAGGGAAACATTGTATCGTAGCAATATTCTCCGTGGTATATAGCGGGCAATAATCGACAAGGGTAAGCGAGGGTCGTAAATGAGTGAAATTAGTTGGTCGTGATAGAACACCAGCGAAGAAGCGAAACATCAAGTTGCATTCCTCAGCCGGGAGCAGTTTAGGCTTTTGAATTCATAGCCAGGAGGTGGAAGCTATCGGCCCCAGCCGATCGTTGAAGATACTGCCATAGAGGTCTTCAATCTCCACAAGGTAGTCGTCTACCGTGTATTTCTTCAATCCTTTATTGCGCAAGATCCGTTCTTCCTCGTCAAACAACGGCGCACCGCCAAACTCCTCTACCACTTCATTGACTTGTTCCAGCTCTTTCCCAAACGGATGAGGCTCTGCGTTGTAGTTGTCGTACGCTGGTCGAGCCGGAGTGTTGCTGCGGTTTGCATGTAGAGGTGGCGGAGACATGCGTGATAGGGAACGCTGGCGAGCTAGCTCTTGATGTGTGCGCTTAGTGTGGGACAGCGCACGTCTAGGTACCATCGGCGCATCGGTAGAAGAGGTGGTTGATGTCGAAGATCGGGGATGACTCGTCACAGTCGCCGAACGCTTGGGAAAATACCCAGTCAGAGGATTCGGCTCGATTGGCGAGTCCTCGGGAGTCGTCATCGGAGACGGATATCCGTGAGGGTTGAAGGAGAGTTCGGATTCATCTGGAGATTGCAAGGACGAGGTAGAAGACGAAGAAGATGCCGAATGAAGGTCGGGAGCATTGTATGCGAGCATGTTCGTTGTCGACAATAGTTCCACCGGCGCAGAGATCTTGCCTCTCTTGATCGTACCAGCAGAAAACTTGGGTTGACCCTCGCGATAGGGCATGGGTGCGGAGACCTCAATGCGCTTGTTGCGCTTGGTGAAAGCACGAGTAAGGCTCGACATGGTGAACAATAATAAATCAGCTAGCGGAATGGGCTGACCAGGTGGAGAGGCCCTGGGCTCTTTAAAACTTCAATATCTGACAGCCAAGCGAAACTACGTTTTTTTCTTTGTAGCTTGCGGACCGTGGTTGCTCGAGACTTGTTAACAGATCTCCTATTTTTAACCTTCAAAGAACCGTTTTCAGAGGCGATACTCGTTCGTTTCGCGGGGAGGGAAGAATGTATGGCGGCCGATCGCGGATGTGGAGAATAGTAAGGAATGGAAGATCAGTCAACGACTATCCGTTATCAGACTTGGCTGTATAGACTCGATCGCTTTCGAGAGCACTTTGTGAATGAGTGCGGTTTTTATTTCTCTTTTGCACAGCAGAAGAGAAGCGATGGGTGGTTTTAAAAGTCGTCTCCAAAGATTGTGGGCTGCCTGACTCAAGGGGTGTCGAGTTGCTGCAGCAGCGCAAGATTGTACAGGGAAGATCAAGGCGGACAACCAGGACTCGCCGAAGGAAAGAAGAGAAATGAAGTTATAAATCCAAGGATCAGAGCCTAGAGAAGGAGAGAATCCAGGACAGTCTGATCAAGGACTGTAGAATGGAAAGGAGAGAAGACCGGAATCTAGGAGATAAAGCTCGAGGGAAAAGGAAGGAAGAGGAGGGAGGAGGCGACGGACAGCGTTGAAGAGGGCGGCCCGAGAAGGGTCTGGGCAGTGGGCAGCAGTAGTGGTTGCTCTCACAGTTCGCCTCTGGTCGGGCCACTCGCGGTGCCTGCTGAACCGCCTATCCTTGGGTCAACCACGTTCGTTTTTGGTTCTCGCCCGTTCCAGCGAAAAAATTGTAGGGCTCAAAGAGGGACAAACTTTATTCAACTGTTCGTCTGCTGAGGGAATTTTCCACTTCTTCAGTCCCAAACAGTGATGAACCGCGGTTTGCTCTGTTCCAAACACACGGACTGCTTTAAGGCTGAAATCCAGACCCTTCCCAACGTCGAATTTTTACAGATATTGGAGTATCAACAGGGCAGGCCAGGCGACACACCCAGCTGATACAGTCAAGGTTGGAATGCCTCTTCCGGTCATCAAGCAACTCGTCACACATCAAGGACAGATCGTCGCGACGTCGACTCGAGGGGTCAACTGAGGAGAAAGTGACATCGTGAAAGCCAACGTGGATCTGGCACTCTGATTGGAGGGCCGCTGGCAGACGATAATAAGAATCAATCAATATGGACCAGTCGCCGTCTCCCAGCTCAGCCCAAGTCATGCTTGCAATCGCGCCGGTTCGTTTTGGCGCCAGGAACGGGAAAGTGAGCGGCCTCTAGAAACGCCCAGCTGCTTCAAGTGGTGGAGATGAAACAGCCAACTCCCGCCATCTCGTTTCGAAATGATCAACCCAAGGCCCTTGAGCGTGGCATCTGTCTCGGCGAGAAGGGGAAATAATCGGTCTCGTCGTCATGCGAGAGGCAGTGGTCATACTGCGCTTTCGGAGATATCTGCAGCTGTGGACGCAACAAACTCATGATGAGAACATGTAATAATGGACGTCATCTGCTGTGTTGTTTCTTCAAGACGAATCAGAATACTTTTGGACTCCTTCGGTGATCTTCGGGCGAAGACAAGTCGCACCCCACCCGGTGGGCCCCAAGAACCCGTGGACTGTGGGCTGTCCTCAACTTCGGGTCACCTCAGTCCCTGACCTGGATTGATACATTTGGGCACCAGGCAGTTTGACAACGAAATTCATTTGTATTTCGGGGGAACCTGTTTTGGAAGCCTGATATGTCGGAATAGCCGTAGGTATAGGTACAACGAATACTAGCAAATAGTTCATGCAGCTCGAAGAACTGCCGATGATACGTCCGGCGCATAGACCAGAGGCCGTGCTTCGTTAGTCCATCGGCTGTTCGGATGATACTATCTCGCTCTTTGATAATAATCTATCAGCATTGCAGTATCTAGTTTAGAGACAAGACTCGGGACACCTTGACGTGTCTCTTTGAAATCCCGAATTTCTCAAAATGTGAAACGAATTCTCCTGAGCATTTGACTAGAACTCGAGGCTTGCGCATGATATGGAGCTGCTCCAGAATCTGGACTCTGTACTATGTATACACTAGTACCTTCAGCTATAGTACTAGTACTCCAGAGCAATGTCGTCTCGGACGAACCCTACTGGTACATTTTATGTATACTATGCGTTCCGGGGTTTGTAGTACTGATGACTTGGGAAATGGCTCATTGCCTTCGAACAAAGCCTCATCTCCGAACTGACGGGTATCTTAACTTTTAATTCACCCTGAGGACTAGAACTGCGCTTTATAAAAACCATCCAATATTCTAACATAGCCCTACCATGCATCACCTTTACCAAATTCAATCCTCATCCATCGACTCCCAGCCATCGGCACCCGCTGGGGCACCATTCTCTGTAGCACCCACATCGTCGTCGTCCGACTCATCCTGATCAGCTTGCATACCAATCATACGTTCCTGAACATCACCCTCAAGAGAAGGCATGCGCGAGACAAAAGCCCGACGCACCGCACCATTAGTGGAAGTGTCCCAGATCTGCACAACGCCCTTGCTTCCAGCCACTGCAAGCCGGAAGCCGACTTCAGGATCCGGCGCAAAGGTTGTCGAGAAAACCTTACCGACCTCGAGTTTCCGCGAGACAACCATGCTGGGCTTGTCGTTTTCAATGTTCCACAGCTTAACCTGCTTATCTGTGGATCCGGTTGCGAGGAATCCGGGGATGGCGGGGTTGATGTCGAAGGAGGAGACGGAGGAGTCGTGCGCCTGGAGGGACCAGACAGGCTTAGAGTCCTTGGGAGTGGCGGGGACGTTGCGCACGTCGTATTTGTAAACCATGCCGCCGTCGGTGGTGGCGTAGAAGTAGTTCGGGTCGTGAATATCCCAGCGCACCGTCTCAACGTCGCTGTCAACGCCCCATCGGGCCTTGGAATCGGGGGCCCTCATGTCAGCGGCGACGATCGTGCGGTCGTAACTACCGCTGAGAAGAACGGTTGATTCCTTGGGGTGCCAGTCCAGAGAGCACACCTTGTCGGTGTGGTGCGAGTATGACTTGGCAGCCTTGGTGGTGTTCAGGTCCCAGAGCTTGACGGTCCGGTCGGCGGAACCTGAAGCCAAGAGGTTGCGATGTTGACGGTTGGCAGCAAGGGCGAGGACCGAGTCAACGTGGTACTCGTCGTTGGCCTTATTCTTCTTTGACTTCTTCTTCGACTTCTTGGCCTCGGTCTCCGAGCCGCCTTGACCAAGGATCGCGTTCGGGTACATGCTGTCAACGACATCAAGATCCCAAATCTCAATATCGGGCTCCATCGTTCCCACGGCAACAAAGTTTCCGGTCGTACGGCCCTCCTCGGCGGCCTTACCAACAGGGAAATCGAGCCATTCCAAGCATAGCGGGATCGCGGGCAACATGATATCATGGTGCACGTAGAGGTTATCCGCCGCATCTTCGTAGACGTAGACTTCCAGGTGAGCGACCTCGTCCTCGAGTTTACCTGCCAGCAGCAAGTTATCTGTCGGAAGAACCTGCAACTCCTCGCGCTCCTCATCATCCTCCTCCTCCGGCACAACCAGATACGGATCCTCCTCATTGGGCTCGTGGTACGCCAAAGATTTCACGTTGCCGAACATGGTAACCTTTTCGCCATCCTCATCCACTTCGTCACTATCATAATGATCGAGGTCGTATTCTTTCAGGTCATCATCTTCCTCGCTAAACAATGCATTAGTCTCGGCCAACACAGCAGTCATAAATGCTCCAAAAATTTCAGCGACTCACGCCTTCTTTGCTTCCGTAGTTTTCTTGTCGTCCTTCTCCTTATCATCCTCGTCCATCGCATCGTCTTCCTTCACATCATCATCTTTCGCCCGCTCTTGTGCCTCGGTCAGATCTTCTCGAGCATCTTCGAGCTGCATCCGCGCAAGCTTCGATATGCGGTTCATTTCCTCCTCATCAATCTCATATTTCGTCGGGAATTGGGCTGCGACCCCGCGTCGCACCCAGGCGGATGTAGTGATCATAGACATCGTAAAAAAAACAAACCCCAAAGTCCGTAAATGAAAAGCGACGGTAATATGTACTCAAAACGAAGTCGATATACCGAGTCAATAAAAGTTTGAAAAAATGTGGGAAATTGGAGAAACCTCGTTCTCTTCAATTCACCCCGCCGCAACTTTGAAGACAGCGATTGTAGATTTTTTTTTTCGGCGAGGGTTGTTTAAAATGGGCAGAATACCTTACCGATATATTTACCGCCCTCATGGCCGATCAGGCCTTTCGGAAGTATCCTTAGCTTTCCCCGAGTCTCCGTCGTCCATCAATTGAAAAGTCTCAGCGAGAAACCGACGGATTGAAGCAGGTTGGACCTGAGAGAGCACCGTCAAAATGCATTCCCACCTACACACTCCGTACAACATCAGTCAGTCCCCCTCTAAGCACTTCATTCCCCGCAATGAAGGAGCCAACCAACTAACCCATCCCACACAGACTGCGAGGAGATCATGACCGCCCTCGACGAATGCCACGCCCGAGGTTTCATTCACAAGGCCCTCGGAAACTGTAACGACATTAAGCGCGATGTGAACCGATGCTTGGCCGGAGAGCGGTACGCCCGTGCGAAGCGCAATCGGGACGATGCGCGCGAGAAGAGGAAGCGCATTGAGAAGATCTGGGCTGATGAGAGGGCGGCTGCGACTGGTGTATCGGCGGCGGATTTGGCTACGGCGACGGCTGCAGCTGCGGCTGTGGGAGGGGAGAAGCAATGAGATGATGTGGTCTTCCTTCTAGGATTGTATCAAGTGGATATTATCTGCATATTCTGGGTGCTGAGGCGTTTATGTATGGGCTCTCTTCTCATGCTTTGGGTTTATTGTCTGTATGAGGCAACGGCATGTTCTATCGATGCTTCAACATTTGATGAGTATGATTCGTGATGTACAAAATCTGCTGTGTTTGATTCCATAACGCCATACCCAACGGATAACAAACAGTTCTTTTCATGATCAGCAGACTAGTCTTCTGAAACGTCAACCGGAGCGGCCTCATCGCCGCCTTCCGCCGGCTTCGCACTCTTATGATGCCGCCGTCTCCTCTTCGCCTTGGGTGCAGCATCTCCGTCCTCCGTTGCTTTCTCAGGCTCATCTCTTTTCTGATCCCGAGCTTCACCACGACTGACATCCTTCCGCTTCGCCCCAGGGTCATCGTCAGTCCTCTTCTTCGGCTTTCTCACACTCAACGGATTTGGCTCTTTCTTCTTGACTTCTTTCTTCTTCTTTCTCTCCCCTTCCGTCTTCTTACCCGCATCCTTATTCAATCCGACCCGGAACTTATCCTGCTCAACCCCCTCGCGCACCCCCTCGGACGGCGAACTCATCGGCTCCAAAATCATAACTGACCGCTTGACATAGACAATCGGCACGCCCGGGATTGAACGCGCACCACGTCTTAGCGCCTGCGCACGTCTGATCGCCTGAAACCCCTCTTCCGCAGCGGGGTCCCGCTTCCGCTTCTTCCCCGCTTCTTGTCCGGAATTGGACTCTTTCGGCGTTGGCGGGTCTGAAGTCGCAAGGATGTAATGTTCTTTGTTTCGTTTCACGTCGGCTAGAGGGGAGAGGAGAGATAGGAGGCAGCTTGCTTCGTCGATCGGCGTAGAGTCTTCGTTGTGGGAGCAGTGGCGGAGGGGGAGGGTTGTGGGCGGTGGGAGGAAGTCAGGACGGACTTGATTGTTTGTTCGTGGGTTTGTGGGTTGATTTTTCATTATCTCGGCCAGTGAGCATTTGGTTAATACTGGTCCGTTCAGTCAGTTTTGGGCGTTGCTGCTGCGATGCGAGGGGTTTTGACATACATGGCTTGACTTGACCTTGTAATGTCCGTTCAAGCGCCGGTAACAAATCCATCTTGAACGAATGTACTGCGCGAAGTAGATTCGAGTCGACTTCAAGATCCATATGTTAGCAATCGAATCCCTTTCGAGATCTCCGAACCAAGCGCATCACGCCCGGGAAGAGATAGAAAAGGGTTCGTACCCAGAACTTGATATGGCTCGCGGAAACCAAAAGCCAGCTCATATTGGTGCATGAGCTTGCGATACTTCTTTGAGCGCTTAGCCCTCATCTTGGCGGTTTGCTATGTTGGTCTGGTGTTCAGTCGAGTTTCGCTCTTTTCCCGAAATTTTTGTCCGGTCTTTATTTTCTGCCGGGCGGTGAATATGTCTTAGATACCACCAGATGGCCCATGCGTCTTCCGTCGAAACAATCTCCGGAGTACGGAGTATCTTGAGTATGGTATCCATCGCCCGGCCGGCCCACCCCTAATCTCTCATTGTTGAGGTGGCGAGGCCTCGCTCGACGAACATCTTCTTTCTAACCTGCTCCTTTGAAAGCATTAACCCAGTTTCTCTGGCAATTCTCTGCTCTGCACGGCTGATATCCCTGCCCTGCCAATTCGACAGCTATTTTCATGATTCCTAGTTGTAGCCTCCCAAGCTTTTTATCCTACTGATTCAGATGAATTGTCAGTCCGCTATACTAGAGATGGGGGAACCTAACAGCCCGGTATCCGAGTACAAGATCATGCTAAGCTTACACATGACGGCGAGTGGTCGAACTGGCTCGCGGAGGTCAAAAAGGTTTCACAGAAAGCTGGATTCCGGAAATATGTCAACCCGTATCGTCACAAGGTATCCAGTCTTCCTCCATGGATTGTGACGGAACCTTCAGTAGAAGAAGAAATTCAGATGGCGAAGCTCCTCGTTATGAAGGGAAGATCTCACGAATGAAGAACGGCAAGCAAGAGATGATGCTCAACGAAAGTCTGAGTCGACATACATGGATCACGCCGGAGGCATCAAAATCTCGTCCCAACGCGGCGTCTTTTTAATCTTTGAGAATGATCCTGCGGGAGGTGCTTCTGATTATAAAGAAAGATATACTGGCGTATCCAGGCCGGCGAAAGGCAACTCGCAAGCAATGGAAAACAGTGAGCACAACGCCGCCGCCGAAGCTGGATACTACTAGTAGTGATAAGCCCTATTCATGGCTCATGAAATGGGAACATGTCTACGGCAAAGGGAAGAATTGCAAATGCGAGCTGTTCTACGATGATGACATTGTGATAAACGCCTTCCTCCGTACCATTAAGTCTCGCCCTTCCTACTTTTGGGATGCAGAGTTTCATCGATGCCTGGGCCCGACTTCACAGAAAGATTTTTCTCAGAAGGTATACAGAGATCTAAAACAAGCGCCTTATATCGAATCTTGCATGGTCGACCGGTCTAGAATGACCATGAGTCAGGGACAATCCCATTGCAGTCTACAATACCTTCAACCGGATCTGCTATGTTCTGGGACTGCGAAATTTCCTCGGCTTGATCAGCTTCCTCGTCTCCTGCTCTTGATAACCTTTACCAAGACATTGACCCCCCGACAGCGAAAGGTAGCCGTGCACCTTCCTGCTTCTTCAATCACTTCAAACCACACGAGATCCAGCACAGGTACCGCGCCTGCAGAAGAAGCCGTGTTGATCATATTAGATAGTCAGATATATACAGCTATTGGTGCGGCACGGAGTGGTAAATGTGCCGCTTACTTGGAGTTGTCTATATGGCAGTTTACCGTATGACTTCCTAGGCTGCTATAAGAGAAGAGTGCTTTACCCTACCAACAAGATCCGAGCCTAGCTCAGTTTAACTCCCCAGTTTCAACGATGCAGTATTACAAAGGATCACGAATATACAGATGAAGGTCATGCTGAGAGAACATCGAATGCTGATAGTTATATATAGATATTAGATCATAGTCAACACCACAAAGGCCAAAGTCAAAGCCGAATCGCCGATCCATGCAAATGCGAATTTCAACCGTGTTATACTGAAACTTAATTATTGTACTCGCGTTGCCCGTATATCCACTAATGCAATGTCGTATCACGTCATGTTGAAAAGCTCTATACGCAGTTCTGGAAAAATAGATTGTTCGGAGGTCGAAAGAAAGAGTCCTGGTCAGCTCGCCGGTTGATCGGGTATTAATTTCGTGCAATTCGGCTCTGTGTCATGCTGTCTCTTCTTGCAGACGCCAACAACCACGCTAATATCGTCCATTTTTCCTGTTCAGCGAGTTAGCTGGAATACTCGGCAGTGGTCAACATAACAAGAAGAGGTAGTCTTACCACCCTGGATAGCAAGGCCCTCCTCAACCGCCTTCTCCATATACGGGCTCTCCGCAAATGGATCCTGCGCAACCGCCAATGCAGCCTTGAGCAACTCCCTCGCCAGGAACACCATCTTCCCCTCGGAGAGCACAGCCGGCGGCGCCCAATCAAGCTCCTTATCATCATACCGCCCATGCTCCCACTTCTTCAATCCCTCTAGCGTAATCGAGAGAACCTCGTGTTCCCATAGGTTATCGAGGACCCCATCCGAGAGCGCAAGGACAATATCGTCCTCCTCCAAATCAACACGCGAGAGCACGGCGTTGTTCCGGGGGGTATCGACGCTGTTGGTGCCGAGCTGCACGGGACAGTCGAACCAGTGCCATTGTTCCTCTGTACGAAAGAGGACTTTTTCTTCGCGAGGTCGGATGACGAGGACTTTGCAGTCGCCAATGTTTGTTACGTAGAGGAGGGGTTTCTCGGTGCCCGTAGTGGCGTCACGAGTTTTGTGCAGGAGCGCCGTTACGGACGTTGTTGTGCCGAACCATTCGCTCGGAGAGGTTGTAGCTCGAATTGTTTCTTCGTATGCTTTTTGAAGGTACGCGATTGGATCCACCGTCGCGTTTGGGTCGGGTATTCGTTCAACTTCCAGCGCCCAGAAATGTAGTATGAGTCTAGACCAGAGCCTGTCGCTCACGTTAGTTCGCAGAAACAAAAAGGAGAATGCAGTGAGAAATCAAAGAAGGATGTAGGCATACGCAGCATGACCCCTCGGCCTCGTCGCCCACGCCCCAACCCCATCATTCACCCCGAGAAAATTCTCCGTGACCAGCACCGCATCATCGCCATTATTCAGCCCGCGCACCAGCTCCCCTTCCACGGATATTCTCTTATCCTGGCTATGATAGTGTGTCGTGAGTGGATCCGAGAAAGATGAAGAAGGCGGAGAGAGAAACGGCGGTGGAAATGGTCTTGACGTCCGTTTCGCGCACAGAGCGTAGCCCGTCTGGAAGTAGAAGGGCGATCTGAAGATGGGGCACTGTGGGCAGCGATCGGGGACGGGGGTGGTGATTCCGTAGGAAGGCCAGACGGCGCGATGATAGTGCCGCACGTCGGTCTTCTTAGAACCCCAGCTCCACCGCGGGCGGAGTGGGAGGAAGAATGGGGATGAGGCTGGTGGGCAGCGCCGCAAGAATAGCGACGAGGACGACGGGGACGAGGTGCTGGCCCAGGACGATGCTGCGGAGGGAGTCCTAGGAAGCCTAGGCACCATGCCCGCAAGAAGAGAGTATCTGTTGATAAACCGAGTGTAAAGCCGAAGCGCGCTCTCCACAAAAAGCTGGAGATGGGCTAACGGTCGAAGGAGTGGGAGGAGGTTGATTCTTTATCCGCGAGACCCTTGAGATTAGTTGCAGTGGGAATGCGCCGTTTTTTTGACTGGCATGGGGAATGAAGTGTTCACGCTGACGGCTTTTTTTAACCTACTCCATCACCAGCTTTGTTGAGCCAGTCAGTGGCGCCCTAAATGCTGAACTCGCTCGCTCGTTGGATAGTCTGGGTTCTACTCTGTAGTTTCGAGACTACGACATACGGGGCGTCTTTTTTTGCATGGCTTGTCAGCTCTTACACACACGGACCCTCCTCCGAGCCCCGATCGTTGCATTTCCATCGACAATGACGGAATTACAGGGATGCATCGGTGAAACCTTTTCCTGCTTTAAGCTGCCTTAACTAACAACATGGGATCAGGGACAAAGTATTTGCAGATGAACTCGTGTTTGTAAATGACAGACTGCTCAATCTTACCCGATGTCATTGCTGACCGACAATCGGCCAATGATCTATGGTTCCCCACGGAAAACAACGCCAATTCCCCGACCTTATCAATCTCATATCTGTGCCCTTATCAACAGTAGCTCTGCTTTTCTTTCAGATACAGATAGCATCGTCGGGCTGGTGATAACCCCGGTTGACCGCTGCTTCCGGATCTCCTCTGCGAAGACTGAGAACGCGCGATTGATTTCCACGGAAAGCTCCATGTCATTGGCATCGCTGGGCCGAACAGACGCGATGCCCTCAAAGATAGCTTTCGCAAGCACATTGCATCGAGGGCCAAAAGGTAGCGGGCCGACACTCTTTCGACGCTTTGCTACCATAAGACTCAGAGTCCGCTCCGAGCAAGGACAGGGATGCTCCACGTCTTGGGTGCAGTCCCACGCACAACTGCAGGTAGACCGACAAATACACTTTCTCTCACGGACGAAATCAATGAGTCGACGTCGATCATCGATGCGACGGATGTCGCCAACGCATTTGCTTTCTAGCTTGGCTAGAGTGGCCTGACGTTGGTCCAAAATCATCTCGCGGTCCCAGATCTCTTTGGGTATGGTTTTTGGGTCAATAAAAGGGAGGCTCACCGCGGGCACCGCCTTGTGAACTGCGTCCCAGCGTGGCGTCCAAATGAGGTACTTCTCAGACTGAAGTGCCAGAATCTCTGGTGGCGGCATCTCGTACATTGGAGTCGCCTTGCGCCATTCTTGACGGAACTCAGACGTTTCATCTTCAATGACATCAAGAGCGCGGCGGCGGTACCCAAGAAGGTCGTCGAGCAGGAAACCGTCGGTTTGGATTTTGTCCGACTTGTAACGAATGAACCCCACCTGATGTTCCTTGACAAGCTCTTTGTTGAGGTGATTGCACACGTCTTCCTCGTCCAGCATCTGTTTACAGAGGAGAAAGGTTTTGCATATCTCCCGCGGCTCTGGGAGCTGGAACGACCTGTCGCTTTCCGGACGTCGGAATCCCAAGGTGAAAGAGGCACACAAATGCACGGCGGCAATCTCCATGATGAGTCTGGCGTACAGCGCATAGTACAGATTCTCTGTGTTCTCGACAAGGTCTGTTATCGAGTTGGAGTTTACCAGCTCTTCTGCGTGTTTGATATGGGCGAGGATGCTGTCCGGGGTGCCGTCCAACTGATCCGCACCATTAGCAACCTGTCTGCAAATAGGAGCGCATTGGCTACACACCTCGACGCCATAATGGATAAAGATCATGACAATGACTTTTGCCATAGTATAGACCTTTGCCCAAACGAACAAAACACTGCCCAGCCACTCATCTGCGCTCTCGTCTTTAAGCTCATCCAGGTACTTGAGGTAGGAGGAATAAATGTTCCAGTCGGGTGCGCTCACGGTATAGGGTAGGGCAGGACGTTCGGTAGGCGCCGTGAGCTAATCAGACCAGTCAGCGCTGCATATTGGACGAAATATTCATTGGATGTGTTAGTGCACTTACTGCAGATGTATACGAACCACCGGTACTATTCGACGAGCGCATCCTGAGCTCCTCAAGCTTCTCCTGCTCAAGCAGCTCCTGCGAAAACTTGTAGAACCCATCGGTGCAATCTTCGATATCGCAGTGCTCAGTGTTAACGCCACACCAACTCGACTGAGAGTCGGTCCGCTTCGACGAAGATGCGCGTCTGGGGAACAGCTTGCTTATCGCGAGATCCCACAGATGAGAGACCGAGGAGCCGCGACTAGAACCCATGATGCAACATGTGCAGCAGGGAATGCTTAGTTGGTAACACGTTGGTAAGTAGCTAGCGACTGTGGTGTTTCAAGAAAGAGGGTGAGTGAACATGCAGCGTGAAAAGAGGGATTGAAAGAAAGAGTAACAGAAGATAAATATGCCAGAAGTGTGTTGCTGGTTTGTTCAATGTAAAAGAGGTAGATATAACCTAAGTTGCGTGAATTTGAACTTGACTCCATATCCTTTGCCTCTAACTTGTGACCAAGGCAGGAGCACAAAACAGACTCTCTCTTTCCTGCCCCAGCAGACATGGCGGGCTCTCCGGGCCTGGAAGGTCAAGAAATGACGAAGCCTCTGGTGGGATTCACTAAGTTGGATGTCTCAAGTGCATTAGATGATATTTTGCTCATTGAAGAACAACACAACGCCAGGAGCAGCGCACTGCAATCCCACGACCAGCCAGATGACATTCAAACCTAAAACGAGGAAGGTCATGGATCCAGTACCATTTATGAAGCATTATTTACAGTGTCAAATCATTTCGGTTGATATCCCATACATAACCGGTCATAAACTCGTCGACGGACGCTTTCAAGAAAGAAACAGCACATTTCACGACCTGCCCTACTTCCAGCGAGGATCCACTGCTATGCTAGTGTTTTCGTCGTAGAGACAGTATGGTAAGACGACATCTGGAATTTTCCAGATTGTCTTGTTTGCTCGGTCGAATAGTTTAGACGGCATGTTTGCGCTTTCGCTAAATGATAAGGACTTGGAAGAAACCTCAGCATAGCCCTACTCCAGCAAAGCCTGAGGAGCCTCCATTTATGGACGTACCTGTAAGCTTTTCAGTCCTCGCACCCATTCGAAACCCGCGTCACACTGCTCATCATCCAGTGGGTTTCCGCCCTGGTCGATAGGGTGCGCAAGAAGTCTATAGCAGTGTTCCAACCAGAAGACCTCGAGCTTTGCACCAGGCGCGGCTGTCTGCTCATCAGAACGCTCAACCTCTTCAAATTCATTCTTGGCTCCGCCAAGCCAGAACAAGAACGCGGGGCGAGCCCCTCGACAGGTTCTCAGTTTCAAGGTCTGCAGGCGTGGATTCCGTTTCACAAGCATCATCAACTGCCACGGGGTAATCCCCGCCCGCCGGAGAATAAGTGTCTCGAGGCTATGCAGGCCAGCGCTCTTACATCGACTTCCGATGCCGATGAGCGAATTCCACGCCTCGCTCGGCGGCGCAGGCTGATGCCATGTCGTAGACCCTCTCACTGGATGCTCGAACTGCAGAGCAAGATGGCGCAGGGTATGCTGACACTTCGAGCCTAGCGCTGCCGCACCGTCTAGGTTCAGGTCATAGGCCATGAATTCAAGGTATCGTAATGACGGTCCGTATCGCCGGACTACCCGTGTGAATATTTGGTTCTGCAGTCGTACCATCTGCTCTTGTGAGCGTGGTTTGTCCTGTGCTGAGGTTCGTCGTCCTGAATCGCCCTTTGAAGCCCTGCTCTGTGGGCGGACCACTGAGATTGTGTAGCTAGATTCCTGGTCACCATTGTCCCAGAAAGTGACCAGTTGGTCGGGCCTTGACCACCCAGCCTGTAAGGAGGCTATGATCGAGTGCACGCGCTTCTCGAAGACAGCAAGTCGTAGACGCTTGAGGCTAACGAGATGGTAGGCATGATGTGGGCGGCAAGTTGTGCCAAAAGCAAGCAAATCTTGAATGGATAGATAGGATAGAATCTGGAGAACTATTTCGGGTGGTAGGGTTCGTATGCCACCTTTCATGGCTGGGTTGTACCACTGGTGCTCAAGTGTGAGTTCGCTTTGTCCCGGCATCTCTACCGAGATTCCGGTTCAAATCTGCTTCAGTACAGTGGCGAGCTCAACTGTACTCCAACCTGATACACGCGGATGGTGACCTAAAGCTGGGCCTTCAAGAACTGCCAAGAAAATCGAGATGGGAGTTGAGTAATGTTGCACAAGAGATTTCTTGATAAGTTGCACAAATCTAGGGGATCATCAGAATCATAATTGTATCTCGAAGGTGCAGTTGACAATCGAGGGTTGGACGGTGTCAGTGTATAAAAGAGACTATGGTATAAGTCACTTTACACTCCCGGAACAGAGACAGCACGAGACAATTAGGAATCTGAACAGATTCCAGCAATGGGGAGTCCTGCTAAATGTGTAGTCGATGAAGGAGAAGAAAAGGGAAAAACTAGGCAAACCTTGTCAATTTTGATATGGAGTACTGGTACCTACTACTTTCTTGGCCACGATATCAGTACCTCGCCGTTGGTATCACAGGCTGTCTAAAGGCGCGAGACCTTGGGGTGATCTACCCAGGCTGAAAATCCCCAAAACAAGCGGGGACCAGAGACCAACAAGAGTTGATCATCTCAATTTCGTCTCAGAGGCCAGCTCGCTGAGTGGTTATCCCGTGGAGTACCTATGGACAGCTTGCAAGGTAGGCCTGGTAGCCTGGTAGGGCCCATATGCGCAAACAAGTCATGGACCAGGGTGCGTCATCTGGCATGTAGTGTGACTTCAGCCACATCCAGTCCCATCTGCAGGAAGCAGGAGAGTAGGGGGCGATTTAGTGTAATTTAAATGTTAGTGCACTTGCTGAGGGAGCATGCTGTTCGCCCAAAAGCAATCATGCAGTAGTCTTATGAGATGTGCTCAGCCCCAGCATCTGTATCGCGAACCAGAATGGTCCAACGTTGCTGGAGCGATCCTTGATCTAGGTATCGTTTGCGCACTGACCCTGCACGGATACCACATTCCAGGCCGACCGATAGTAGATGCTGACAGGGATTGAGAGCATAGGCATCGGCCGTGTCGTGTTGAGTTGTCGCCCAGGGAAGAGGCAGGCGCTACGCTCTGCGGCACGCTCTTCTTCGTGCCTCGGTCGACACGGGAGATTCGAATCACAAAAGCACTGATCACCAACAGAGACTGCTGCCGAGCTCGATGCCAATTTGCTAAAGTGAGCTGTCGAACAAACCTGAAGTGTCAACACCGCTGGACGCTCGATGTCGGAACTTGGGCGTGTGGGCATTCCTTTTTGCAAGCCAAGGAAGCCCCTGCTCGGCCTGTCTGTCCATCGACTGCATCCAGCTCTTGCCTGGCATGGATCTATTGTCTTTAGGCGAAGCTGGGGCCACAGCGCGATTTTGCAGGGAAGAGATAGGAAGGAGCCTGAGACGGAAGGAGCCGACTGGGAAGGAGGGCCCGGGAATCCAGACAAGTGGAGTTCCAGGACAAAGAAAGTAGCCGCCCATCTGTGGAGGACACCACGAATTTGACATAAAAGCTAGGCTATTCTTGGAGAAAGGTTCAAGGCACGAATAGTCGGCAAGCCTGAGCACCAGATCTCATTCTTCGTGCTGTGGTACAGAAAGTTCTCGATTCCTGGGCTAGCTTTGTTAGTCCAGCCGAAACCCTACATACACGCGGGCTATCGCAAGCTATATGTCATGTACAAATAATCAGACGATCCATGCAGTCCTCCATCTATTGGACTCGAAAACTACGTCCGCTAGCAGTCTTCCTCTCTCTCTCCTCGTTCTCCGGTCTTGCACGGTTGAGCACTATGTTTGGTTAGTTCAGATCACAGCCATCAGAGATGGAATTGACACGTACCCTGGAGGAAATCGGCTGTCCGCTTGCGCATCCTGGTGTGGATGTATGCCTTAATCAACTGTCAGCAAGCCGTTTCAATGCTGCATGCGGGTAGCACTTGGAATCACCTTGGATGCTTTAATGTGGTAGTGGAAATAGTCTCGGAAGGTCTGAATGTGAGAGATGTTTTCATGGCGCCGCTGTGGCGTCAAATGGCGAGGAAAAAGCACTGCGCCAGGTCAGTCTGAGACTTGCCAAGAAGTGAGTTACGATCTTACCAAAAGTGATATAACTAATCTGGCCGTCACCCGCATCCTCAAGTCCAGGGACGCCTGCCAATTCCAGCGGGCGGTCGTTTCGGAAAAGAACTTGGGGCGCATTCTGCAACGTCAAAACACGTCGCCGAGCATCGACGAATTCCTGTAAAAAGACCTTGCCAAAGATACGGTCTGTTTCCTCTCGGAAGATTGTGCTGAAGATCACAGTCACTCGGTCGTGACTCGCCTTGATATAGATTGCCTCTTCTTCCCGGTAGTGGACCGCCATGACCTCTCCTCCCTCCGCAACTCCGGCAGGCGCTGACTCCGATGTATACCGTGATGCTTCCTCCGCCAGCTGTGCGAACTCGTCAAAGGCCTTCTCGAATGGCGCGGCCATTGCATTGCGCTTCAGCAAAGCAAGTCGCATAATGAGATCTTCTCTCGCTGCCTGATCATCGGGGAGCTCTTCCAGATCGATTTGTACGGAGAAGTCGTAGCCCGGCTCGGGGGCGACAATGTAGGGACCGTACTCCCTCTCCAGGACCTGCTGGGCGCCATACTGAACCAATTCGCGGAAGCATTTAACGTTGATAGAAATAAGAATTTTGGTCTTGGTTTCCGGAGTAGATAGATGGAAAGTCACGCCGTCAAAGTCGGAGACGATCTGGTCGACAGACGCCGGCGGGGCTCTGGATAAGCAAGCAAGCTGTCAGTTCCCAATACCATGTGTATGCATTGAGGGGGTAAAGGCGGGGAAGCAGGGAGGATGTACCCAGAAAACCGCTCGGTTAGCAGAGACCGGATAAGAACATTCTCGTAATCAAGCAAAAGCATCCTGACTGTCACACTGATCAATTGATCTTGAGTTTCCTTCTCCTTTCTTCTGCCTAGTTGGGGTGACGTTTGTTGGTGTTGGCGCAGCGTCTGGGAGACTCGCAAGGCGGTGAGCCGGCGTGCGGCTCTGGCTGCTGCGGGTTGCCGTAAATAATTCTATGGCCGGTTTTCTGCGCCAGCGGTTGCTCTCCAGAATTTTTCTCGCAGGTCGGACGGTTCACCATGGTGAAGTCATATCTGTAAGTTCAAGGTTGGAGGATTTTGATAAAGCATATTGCATTTGCTAACATCTCAATCTCTCCAGAAAATTCGAGCATTCGAAAACTTTCGGGCTCGTCACTTCGGCATCCTCCAATGCAATCTGGGTCCGAGACGATGCGCTTGCCGGAGTTGCACGTCAAACAGGGGCTGGTCGGGCAGTGGTAGGTGCCGGTGAAGAGGTTTTGTGCTGGGATGTGAAGAAAGCGGAATTGCTAGGGAGATGGAATGATTCCGAATGCCGGGCGCAAGTCACTGTGATCACTCAGAGCAAGACGGATGAGGATATTTTCGCTGTTGGGTAAGGTCGGGACATATTCTGGAATACGCTAGTGACTGACTGTATTGGTTACCTAGTTACGAGGACGGAAGCATTCGCTTATGGGACTCAAGAACCGAATCAGTGATCATCTCGTTCAACGGCCACAAGTCCGCCATCACCCAACTTGCATTCGACAGCGCTGGAGTACGTCTTGCCAGTGGCTCACGGGATACAGATATCATTGTCTGGGACTTGATATCAGAAGTCGGACTGTTCAAGCTACGCGGGCACACCGATCAAATCACCTCTCTCAACTTCCTCGTTCCCTCTCCCGAATTACTGAATCAAGCCGGACTGAGCGACCACGCCGGATTTCTCATCACGACTGGCAAAGACTCGCTAATCAAAGTATGGGATCTAGCGTCGCAACACTGTATCGAGACACATGTGGCACAGTCAAACGGAGAGTGCTGGAGTTTAGGTCTTGCTCCCGATCAGAGTGGTTGTATCACCGGAGGAAACGACGGTGAGCTCAAAGCTTGGTCCCTTGACGAGGCCGCTATGCTCGAAATTTCCAAGGAGAAGGCCGGCTCGGAAAAGCGTAAGATTCTCGTTGATAGGGGAGTATTCTATCGCAACGGAAAGGACCGAACAACGGGGATTACCTTTCACCCGCGAGCGGACTATATCGCATTGCACGGTTCAGAGAAGGCTGTTGAGATTTGGCGTATCCGTTCCGAGACAGAAGTGCAGAAGAGCCTGGCTAGAAAGCGCAAGCGAAGAAAGGAAAAGGAGGGCCAGCGAGCGACGGAAAACGGCGAGCTTGAAAAGGCCGTGGAGAAGGTGGAAGAAGATGTTTCCGCTGCACCAGTTACCGAAGTCTTTGTGTCTCATATTATTGTCCGGACGGGCGGCAAAGTCAGGTCTTGCGACTGGATCCGGACAAAGTCAAGCGGAAAGATTCAACTGCTGGCTGCTACGACAAACAATCAGGTGGAAGCCTACAGTGTCGCGATGCATAATAAGAAGAGCAAGAGCGAGGATGAGTTAGACTACAACCGAACCCTGGCCGTTGATATGCCCGGTCACCGCACCGATATCAGGTCTGTGGCCCTGAGTTCCGACGACCGAATGCTAGCTTCTGCCTCCAACGGAAGTCTGAAAATCTGGAACGTCAAGACGCAGAACACTCTGCGAACCTTGGAATGTGGTTATGCTCTATGCTCTGCATTCCTTCCGGGTGATAAGATTGTGGTCGTGGGAAATAAGGATGGTGAGTTGGAGGTTTTCGACATTGCCTCCTCTACTCTTCTTGATACAATCAAAGCACATGAAGGGCCGGTCTGGTCCCTCCAGGTACATCCCGACGGCAAATCCTTGGTCAGTGGTAGCGCGGACAAATCTGCAAAATTCTGGGATTTCAAGGTTGTGCAGGAGGAAATCCCGGGTACCAAGAGAACAACGCCCCGTTTCAAGTTGATTCATTCAAGGACGTTAAAGGTTGCAGACGACATTTTGAGTCTTCGTTTCTCGCCCGACGCCCGCTTGCTTGCAGTGGCACTTTTGGACAATACAGTCAAGGTGTTTTTCGTCGACTCTTTGAAACTGTTCCTCAACCTCTACGGTCACAAGCTCCCTGTCCTGAACATGGACATTTCATGGGACAGCAAACTCATTGTCACCTGCTCGGCGGACAAGACGGTGCGCGTTTGGGGTCTGGACTTTGGTGATTGTCACAAGTCCTTTCTTGCCCACGAAGACAGTATTATGGCAGTTGCCTTTGTGCCAAACAACAAGGACGGTAATGGCCATAACTTCTTCAGCGTCAGCAAAGACCGCGTCATCAAGTACTGGGACGGCGACAAATTCGAGCACATCCAGAAGCTAGCCGGCCACCACGGCGAAATCTGGGCAATGGCAATCAGTCACTCTGGCGAGTTCATCGTCACCGCCAGCCACGACAAGAGCATCCGCACCTGGGAGCAAACAGACGAGCCCCTGTTCCTCGAAGAAGAGCGAGAAAAGGAACTAGAAGAGATTTACGACAACAACCTCGCCGCTTCTCTTGAAGACGAAGAAGACAACGCTGATGGAGAAAAGGCCGAAGCTGTCGACGCCGGAAAGCAAACAACGGACACCCTCATGGCTGGAGAAAAGATTATGGAAGCCCTCGACCTAGGCATGGAAGATCTCGAAGTCATGCGCGAATGGCGTGCGGTCAAGGCGCGACAACCGAATGCCGCACCGCCAGCCCGCAATCCTCTTTACATCGCCCTCGGCAACGTCTCCGCCGAGCAACACTTGCTCAACATCGTGCAGAAGATCCCCCCCGCTGCACTCCAGGATGCCCTCCTCGTCCTTCCCTTCTCCAAGGTCCCCGCCCTCTTCACCTTCCTCAACATCTGGGCAAGCCGCGAATGGAACGTCCCACTCACCTGCCGTGTTCTCTTCTTCATGCTCAAGACGCACCACCGCCAGATCGTCGCTAGCAAGATGATGCGCCCCATGCTCGACAGCATTCGCTCGTCTTTGCGTCGGGTCCTCAAGCGCCAGAAAGACGAGATGGGATTCAATCTTTCCGCCTTGCAGTTCGTCGGCCAGCAGATCAAGGCGCATGGTACGAAGGATTACATCGATGAGGAGGTTTGGGAGGAGCAGGAGCGGTCGACGGGAACTGGCAAGAAGCGCGTGTTTTCCAGCATTGCTTGATCGGACAGCCTTTGGCTACCATACTGTACATTTCACATTTGTATACATGCATGTGTATGGCGTTTATCTAGATTCGCTTCGGTCTTGGGGCTACAGAAAAGTTATATATCCTTGGAGTTAATGAGACAAATGTACGCATGATTATATCTTCAAAATTATCAGTCCATCTTGATTGAAAACTAGCCCTACAAATAAACTCCAGAATCCACTGAGTGCTCCATCCATACCGTGAGCAATCCTCCTTCCATTCCATGGTCTCCGAGAAATTCAAGATAGAAACCTATATCAAATTCCCATTAGCACAAGCTTCAATCAAATGCAAACAGGACATCAAGGTCCAAACAAAGGATTGAACCCCCGCATTGCAGACCCAAAACACCATTTCAGCAGAACCATTATAAGCATCGACGACAAGGCCTCCCTTAATTTGGGATAACCTCGGCATACCTCTTCCGGCTCTTCCTAATAATACCGGTTCTTGAAACAATGTTCTCATCATTGTGGTGTTTGGGTCGCGTGTTGCGAGGAAAATCCGAAGGGAGTAAATGAGTAGCATACCTATCATATAATTAGTGCGTCGTAGATTGCATGTATAGAGTGCGTGGGCTAGCAAGACGTTGGCAGTCTGTGTTCAAAGCTTCGAGTTTTGCGAAGGGAAAGTTGAAAGTGAGGTGGAGCGGAAGAACTTTTTTGGGGACATAGCTTTTGTCGCTTAGCGGCTTAGTCAGCGCGTGTATACTTCGCCAGGTTGTAGGACGTTTTGTTTTTAGAGATTATAATAAGGGATAACATTGCTTCTGACTCGAGAAAAAATAAAACGCTATCAAGGGCTACATGTATAAATGTGTACCCAGTGAAATCCCATAAACCATTCGCTATGCAATTGCCAAAATTGAGCACACATTGTCCAGATCCTCAAAAGAAATGGACGCATGTCTTGTGTTTGTTAAGTTCTTTGATGGTCCCCTCTTTATCTCTGTCCATACTCAAGAGGCATGCTTCATGGTCCCACAAGCTGAGCACGTCCACCACTCTGATTCCATAAACGCGCCACAAGAGTGACATAACCAACCAAGGGGCCGATCCTGGGTATTCTTCTCCAGCCTAGCGAGCGATTCAACTGCGTTTCTCCGGTTCTTGAAAGATCTATGGCCGACAGTGCGATTTATTTGACTCTTGCCTTTGCCCTGTGAGCTCTTCGACGTGGTGCCAGAGCTTGGGGCGGATAGCGGGACAGATGTAGATCGGGTATTGGCTGGTCGTGGACGCTCAGCTGCACAGACGTCACAACATAGAAAGGTAGGCGGGTTAACAAGTGTGCATGTAGAACAAGTCCAGGAGTCAGCAAATGAGCTGTCGTCTAATGTGAGATCGGCCTGTCCCTGCTGCGAGAGTTGCAACGTTGGTCTGCTGCTTTCTGGGACAGGTGGCGGAGAGAGAATCGTCCGTGGCCCTGCCGGGTTTTCCTGGCTAGGTGGGATATATGACGGGCCATATTTCTCTCTCTCTTCCTCTTCAATCAGGTCAATGTACGCTTGCATAATGGCTCGCTCGTTGGCGTCGTCCTCCTCGGCTATTGTTCGGAAGCCGTTCCTAGATGCTTCTTCTACCAGCTCAGTAGAGTTCGATGCACCAGAGGCACAGCCTCGAGTTACGTCGATACGCCGTTGTGCAGCATCGGCGATGACTCTTCGCATGTCGGAACCTCGCTGATAGATTGTGCCTCCTACTCGGCGCCCCGACCCCGCGAGCTGCGTCTGTCTTGCCTCCGCAGCGGCTCTCGCGAGTCTGCGGGCTTCATCAATGGGCACATTCCGTCCACCGAGACGCCTACCATGAGACAAGAATCCTTCGCCGGTATATCCTTTAATAGAAAGCTCCATATGCTCATCACGTAACTGATCCCAGAGAGCATGGAAGTGGCGATCATGCGGCCCATGGACAATGTGGCAGAGTCTGATTTAGATCAGCACAGCACGATAATTTTCGGGTCAGACTCTTGGTGACTTACTCATGGAGCATAGTATCGACTACCTCATTAAGTGGTAGAAACTGGTTCTGGTCGGATGGGTACCGCAAGCGGAGGCAGATCTTTGCCCCAGCATTGACATTAAGGCCGAGGAGATTCCGAGTTTGCGGATAAAACTCGCAGAGGATTCCAACTTTCCATGAGCGCTGTCGCATGATCGGTTTGACTAGAGAGGCGATCTTTCGGAGCATCAGAAGGGCTTCGGTCTCTCTCGGGCGATGCCTCTCGTGCTGATACTCCAGCACCAAAGGGTCTTGCTCGCGCATGATAAAGGATTGGCCAAATAGTCAGGCCAAAGTCAATGTAATTAGGGGACTCTTCAGATGCACGTCTGGGGAAGAGCGGGATGAGGTCTGAGAGGGAGAGAGTGATGTTGTATAGTCAGTCTCAGGCTTCTGAGGCCAGGGACTCTTCCAGGGGACCACGTGGATACGCAAAAATCCGGCAGGGAGTGAGAGGACTTTTCTCGAGAGAAGCTGCCAGAAAATGCTGGGTACTCAGATAAGCAGGATGAGTTCCTGGTGAGGGCGAGAATTATTAATGAGTCCCCAGGCATCAACTGGCGTGCGACTGCCGCAGCTCACGTGACTGACAGCTACTGTCTTCTTTTTGCCCAAAGACTGTTAAACTATTTTTATATGTTGAAATATGCTCTCTATTCATATCAAATCAGTGCCGCAAGCCTCGATCGTGAAAACATTGAAGATGAGTAGGGTGGAATTTTGAACCCTGCAACGCCCGCAAGGAGAACAGTGCACCCCAACAGCATTAAAGTAGCAGCAAAAAAGCATTTTTGTGTCTCGTTAGAAAATTATTCGCAATGATAAAAAGATCTGTAACCACTTGAGCAATCTGAAAGGTTGATGAAAGCAATATACCAAGGAATCACGCTGCCATATTCCGGCGTCCCCTTAGCCCTAGATCTACCAATCTACGACCCTAACCAGAGGCTCAGTCCTATGCGGCGGAAACAGAGAAATGGGGTTAGAACTTACCTCGAAAGTAGCAACCACCTGTGCCACCTCATTCATGCACAAGTCAAGATAATCGCAACCTAGTGGTTGGATGCCAATAAGTCCCAATGAAGCTTCCGTGTACTTCTGTAGTACGCCCATTCTATATATGCCATCTCGATTATATAGGAACCTAAAACCCGAGAACAATTGCGCATCGAAAAATACCCGGACACCATGGCCATCGAATGGAGATGGCTTGGACGTGTTTTCATTCTCGTAACTTTCCAGCTCCTTCTTGATGGTTCTTGGGCTCCTTCTCTTCGCTTTGGGGTATTTCGTTCCTAGAATTGTGCTGCGGCCGTTGTCATGTACAAACTCCAACGAAAGGATGTCTGTCACCGGCCCAATAATGTGGTAGAACCCTTCGCTGGAAGCAAACGTTATCCCAATCTTGACCAGCGATGGCAAAATTTCAGCTCTTTCGATCCGTCTCCCGGCCAAACAGCTATCGTTGTGATAATCCTGCAACGCCCTGCCGGCGTAATCCAGTGGAGGCGGGCTTGATCCTGTCTTTGTGAAGAGAGTTTCTTGGATCCAGCGGCTGATTTCCCATAGTTTGATGCCCATTTCAGTTGCGACTTCGTGCTTTGACGACATCCGGTACGCAAGGCGCCAGTTGACGACCGAGGCGCTGGCAAGATCCAGGGTCGAGTCCTCGAAAAAGCCGCGCTCTCCGTCTTGCCAGAATCGTGATTTCCAAAAAATATTGTCGTGGAATATCGGTAGCATAGCGCGCGACGCCTGTCGAAGACTAACGTAGTCGCGAGTGGGAAGCAGCACTGCAATGCTCTCGCGGAGCTCAAAAGGAAGGTTTGCAAAGCAGTCGCTAGTATCGGTACTCCTTTTCCGGAGTTTCCTGCAATTAGCCGAATTGGCAGATGGCATAGGACATTCATCCGCACCCTTGAGCCAGTGCCTCAAGTTGGGTAAGCTGTGGGCTGGGTCGCATTGATCATAATGCTTGAGCTCTGGAAAAGTCAGGATCAACAAAGGGAAGGACTGAAGATGGCTGATGCAAACCTCTAGGGTGTGGCATGCTCGCAAATATCTCCCAAAGTCTGTCCAAGTTAACGTTGTCCTCCCCAATATGTCTTTGTAGATATTGCCAGCAACTTTCGTGGATGGTCAAAGCGAGATCTATCCCGTGCAAGGGAGCATTCTCTCCCCAGTGAACTCTCCTATCAGCTGGTTCTTTTAGGGCAGACGGGTGATATCTGGAGGTCAAGCCAGAGATTCTCGCGACTCCTTTCTTTGAATAGACTATCACCAATAAGCAGATGACTTTAGGATTTGATTGCGGGGAAAACTAACTGACTCTGACAATATCAACCCATGTGGGATACGGTAACGCTGTGTTGCACCCACATAGAACGCATCTCGCGACGTGTCGATTCGGATTGATGCTAATCTGGTAAAGGCTTGCCATCTTGTGTCGATCAGTAAGTGATAACTGTGTGAAGATGAAACTTTGCCTATAGTCAGTGCGCCAGTATATCATGGGGAGGGTCAATGGTGTTCGTTGACATATCCTCAGGAGTACTGTTCAAGCCACCAAACCTTCAATATGCTTTTGGGTTTGAATCTCACCCTCCATTGCTACCGGACTTATTTTGCAGTTCATACGACTCCATCGTATGACACATCAAAGGTTAGACTCTGCTCAACTATGTATAACATGCTACATCCTGCATTGACACTACGTGGGGCCAATCAGTCAACAACATGATGCTGCTGGGTCGAGCTGATAAAAGCGACTTCGCCCTCCAAGACGAAGGATGGCTAAGCGCATTCGATTAGACCTGTCACGGCAATAATGAGCAGGAGGTCTTAATACTTTTTCACCCCAGATTGAGGAGATACTCAGATAACAACGCCACCACTAGCACGGTTTCTCACGTCATTCAGGTCACCTGTATTTCTGCTAAATGCAGGTAAGCATGCTGGCACTGAATGATGAGGGAATGCTGTTGATGGGTTTAGTCTCCCGCGCTTGTGGGATTACCGCAAAAGATAGGAGCTCCAAGGGGGCCACTTTGGCGGAATTCAGGGTTGTCGTGTACTGTTTGGATGAAGACCGAAAAGTATGGTTTTGCGATGGTTATAGCAGTGGCGTGCAGTGAAAATGAAAAGGTAATCCTCATCGGCCATGAACGGGACCCGAGCTGCTCAGGAAGTACGCGTTTGCTAGCGACAACATCTGGACAGTCGCCGGTTCTGTCACCAAGATAGGCAGGCCATTGCCAGATGCGTGCAGACCGTAATCCAGTACTCAACCACATGCAATACGAGGAGAATATCTTTCAGTCCCTTGCCGTTCTGGGGGCTCGCTTCCGGTCGGGGAACGGGCGAGTTGGACATTTTACACAAGAAATTTGGCAACTTTCCGACCATGAGGAAAAGCGAAACCGAAGGGAGATCTGGAGTCGCCCTCTTAGTTGGAAGGCTGGCGGCCCCAATCGAATGAAGAAGGATGTCTCTAGTTGCTTTGCGGCGAAGTCTTGAAGAAGACATAGGTATCCCAATATTTCGGCCTTTAGCTGAGTTGGGAATGAGGTGCAGCTTGAGCATCTTGCGGGGCACCATAGTGACGCTGACTTATTGGGTTTGGGCGGGAAATGTCATCCATCGCGCGAACATAAGCTCTCTAGGTAACTATGTGTATGGAAGATGCGTAAAGAATACTAGCGAGGAGTGAGAGAATAACAAAAGATGGCTGGGTGTTGGGGTTGTTTCGTGGTCATGTGACGGTGGTCACTTATCGATAGTACTAGTATGACCTCAGCTTATCAGACTTTTGGAGTTTTGATCGTCAAGCAACTCGACTCGCACGACTATCACCAATATGACTAGTGACGACCAGTTTTTCTTCGATTATGTGAGTATCCTCTATCCTTTATATTTGGTTTTTGATCGGGCTCTAATTTTCAGCTTGCCTCTATTCCTCACGACATAAGGAGATACTCCTTAGACGTCGCTGATACGATAGACCGGCATATCGACGCAGCAGCTCTCGCAGTTCGGGAAACTCTCGCTCATCAATCGTGGCTGCCCTCAAGTGTTCGGCCGAGATCGAATATCCGGTCCTTCACCCCGCCTTCGCAGTCTTTGTATGATCGCGTGCACAGCTGGACAGCTCGGAATCGAGCATGGACTGCCGCTATACTGGCTTTCGTCGGGACGAGCTCTATCCTGTATCTCGGCAGTAAGAAATTGAGGGCAAAGCGACGGAAAGCGAGAAGAGCTGCAAATGGTGGGCGGAAGGAAATAATAGGTAGGCGAGGTTGAGCGTTTCTGGTTTCCTGATGGCTCACAATTGACACAGTTGTTGCTGGATCGCCGCATGAGCCGATGACTCGGTCGATAGCAGCGGATTTAGACCGAAGAGGCTATATTGTTTACATCACCGTGTCATCTGCAGAAGAAGAACAACTTGTTCGGTCGGAGCATCGACCTGATATACGCCCTTTGTGGCTTGATTTATCGACAGTAAGTGTAGCTTATCCTAAGGTGGTAACAATGCTCACAATATCGCTCAAATTTTAGCTGTCTTCGTCGCCGCAAGATGTGCACTCATCATTAAATGAGCTGCATACCATGATCACGCAGCCACACTCTCCCATGCCTGGCGTACCGCCGCACATATGCCAGCTGAGCGGTCTTATCCTAGTACCCTCGCCCAACTTTGTAGCTGGTCCGGTGGCTACAATCCCACCCTCTTCATGGGTCGACACCATTAACACCCGTCTTCTATCTCCTATTCTAACCACTCAGCTCTTCCTGCCCCTCCTCACACTCCGCAACACCAACAGTACTATTATCCTTGTCTACCCCTCGATATCGTCATCTCTTTCAGCACCTTTTGCTGGGCCTGAAGTGGCTACAGCTCGCTCCCTGTCAGGATTTGCGACATCGCTCCGAAGGGAGCTGGGTCTCCTGCGCCACAACAATGTTGACTTGGTGGAGTTGAGGCTTGGAAATATTGATCTTGGGCCGCAATACCGAGCACCAAACAGTCATATTGCAGGAACCGAGGTTCTCACATGGAGCGTCCAACAACGGGCACTGTATGGGCCTCAGTATCTTAACAGCATTGAACAGCGGCCTGTTGCATCCGCCGGGCCTGGCATGGTGCGAGGATCGCCTGCTAGAGCTCTTCATAACGCTGTGCTCGATGCATTGGAGCCGACATCGAGAACCATTTTTGGAAAACGAGCCGCAAAGAAACCGGTAAGGTACGCCGGGCGAGGGGCTAGGTCTTATCATTTCATCGGCCAATGGGCACCCCCCGGTTTAGTAGGATGGATGTTGGGTCTTCAAAGTCTTCATTCAGGATATCTGCCGTCTGCTGATAGCCCCAGCGGTAGCGGTAGTGAGACTGGTTGGGAAAGGGTCGACCACTAAATCTATACCTTCGTGTCCGTCAGGATGAAACGACATCGTCTTCAGTCAAGCATTCTCTGCTCATTGGAAAAGGAATAGTTGGTCTTGGATGATCTACGTAATATATTCACAATCTAAGCTCTACCATTGGAGATGATCCACTCTCTCTAGAAGTGCGCTGGATACGCAAAAGGCTGTACTGCTTTCCAGACTTCATCCTGTGCCAGCTAGCTAGACAGCTTCTATACCGCGTCGGTCTTTGATCCCAGTTCCACAGTGTTACGAAAGGCGTCTTGAGTAGATATACATGGATAGAGATGCTCACAACTGACTTATGTTGACTGAGACACTGTTTCAAAAACACTGGTGGGGAGGCTTTGTTCTGGCGTCCGACTCCTAGGACACATTGGGCAACTGGAAGATTATCGCAATCATAAAAATGATCTCCCTCCACTGTTTCCACGTCATGGGTAAATCAGCAACATCGAGAGATGCCCTTGCGACTCTGATTTCGCCTGGTTTGTCCGTGCCTGGCGACAAAGGAGTACAAATGCCGTTCCGCGTGTGAGCCAGAGAACTCGTCGGTCGAAGTCACACCCGCAAATCTAAGGAGTCGGCTGTCGGAGAAATTCGAAGAATAAAAATAGCGTCCTGGTACTTCCCCACCGTCCAGTAGTTTACTGTCTAGCAACGAACCAAACTCGAGTCGCCCGTGGTTTGACAGTTTCATCCTCAGGAGTCTTGCGTCTCCTGGCGATCTGAGTGGTAGGCTATCCATGGCTACGCGACAGCTCATGTCCATCAATCGGTCTGGATTTTCTGATTTTCTTCAGACACTGAAGCACGAGACTCGGCCTGACTTGACAACATCAGGTGCTTGGTCTTCAGAACGACAGAAACGGCAGATAAGGGGATGGGCTGAACTTGAAGAAGCCATGAACCCTGACCACAGGCGCCAATAGTACGTCATGGATCTGGACTACCATATTCATCGCATTAGTTATTTGCTTTTATATTAGTTAGTTAAACAGCCCCTGACTAAGTTGCTGTCATCCTCTCTTGTTTGACTCGTCTTGCAATGGGTCCTCCAAGTCCAGTCCACTAGTACTAGTACGTAGCCTAATGTACTCGTTATACTGCGACAGTACCAATCCTGTTCCTGCAGAAGCGCCGGGATCTCTTGGGGTTCTGCATGTAATACCGTTATGCTTGGCAGCTTAGTACACAATGGATACGCTCCTCCACAGAACATGCAGACTTCCCGCGTCAACAATTCAATCCACCTTTCACTGGCACCCAAGCACCTTCCATCGCCCTGCTCTGTCTTCTTCTTCCCTGAACCATTCCTCGATCCTGATACCTTTCTCATGGTTCTCTGTATGATCTGCTTCCCTGCATCTGTTCTCTGGCGCTACGAAATGCCGGCCCAGACACAGTTCCCTGGCATTTAACCTTCCGTCTCTATTGCTCCTACAGTCGACTACTATCTCTCTCATCGCTCCTTACTACCAGACGACTAATCATCTTCAACTTGACTATTCAACCCTGGGCCGTTGTCCGACGCTGTTAACCAACCCCTTCTCTTTTTCTCCCCATATCACTTTGGGGCTGTCACTCCTTTTAGTAATTCCGCCCCTTTGTGATATTTTTACTGTCCATCGCTTGCGCCGCCCCTATCTGGCTTCGAAGTCCGCCGGTCTCGAGTCGCCACAACTCACCATCTGCCAGAATCTACACTATAGCTGTCTGCTGCGATCATCACCATTTCTACTCAATGCGCGTGAGCTAGGTTCACCCCGAATACGACCCTGATATGAACTTATTGGTCCCCGCGCACCTATAATTGCCCGCTTCGAACACCCGAAAAACGTCACCTTACAATCGGAATCTCATTATGGCATTCCGGTCGCAGTTCACAACTCGCTCGCCCTCCCTTGAGCCAAGCCGAAGTGGTGCCGCTTCGCCGCGCGTTGAGCATTTCGATGGCGAAGTCCCTCCCGCACTGTCCCCGCTGGATGCTTTTGCGGCTCAAGGTCGGCTCCTGGCGCGCCAGTTGGAAGAATCGGCGCGGAGGGATCGACGAATGAGTCGTTTGCCCCCTGCTAGTGTCGCACGATCTTTATCCCAGCCTCGGCCAGGCTATTTTCGATCCGCGTCGTCTGGCGATTCCGCGCAGAGCATAGGAGGTGGGGGATTGGCAAGACAACCGACCCAGAAGACTCGCCCGGAGTTGGAAGAGCCGCGGTTTCGCCCTCAGTCAGAACACCCTCGCCTAAGTGGCGTATCTCATCTAGCCAGTGAGCGCAGTTTCCTCGACGATGAAGACGCAACACCAAAGAATGAATCCCCCGTCGTCGACAACTACGGTTTCAGGTTTGACGCGGCGCGCGCTGAATCTCCGGAGGAAGACAATACACTGCAAACTTCGTCCCGCCGGTTTTACGCTGCAGCACCAATCGGATATGCGATACCTGGCCATGATCCGTCTAATGCTTCATCAACTGACTCGGTTTCGTCTCGCCTGAACATTCCTCGCAGTCTGGCACCTCCTGCCTCACCACTATCGCGACCGACCAGCAGCTCTCGTGCGCCCCAGCCAGAAAGTTCGGATGATGATTACAGCAGCTCAAACGCCGGGTCAACCTTTTCGAAGCCGCGCAAACTGTCTTCAGGAAGCGCAATGTCAATGCCACAATCTCCGATGGCTACCATGGCTCGCTCGCATCCTCGATCGCCATCTATAAGTTCCGAGGCGTCGAATAGTAGCCATCTGCCTCGTCCGTCATTCAACTTCTCCCGTCCTTTGAGTAGATCTAGCACCAGTCTTTCTGCGCCGATCGGTCTTGGGGTGTCAGAGCAGGCACCCAACGACGCGCAGAGCGCAATGCATCGCAGCAACAGACCTGGACCCATTATTGTCCCAAGACCTTCCGATATGCCTACTACACCGCTTGATGAGCCGTCGTCGGCGGTGTCTTCGTATATATATGCGAAGTACTCTCTCCCACGTGGACGTGGACTGGGAAGGGACTCGGTCATATTCTCCGGCTTACAGACACCCCATTTCGAATGGCAGGAGCCGTTGTTCGAGAGCCCTGAGCAGCGACCAAAAACAGCCGAGCCCCAAAGAATTGCGAGAACGCCTTCTCCTTCCCCGTCTCGTCAGGAAACAGCTGCTCCCCAGAAAGCACACTCGGTCTATGAATCGCCAGCAGAGGATGATAAGCTACTCACTCCAGTGGCTTCCGGATCATCTATCAAGACGGCGCCCCCTCCTGAAAAGGGTGAACCTCAAAGTGCGCCACGAGCACCCAGCTCGGAAACATTTAGGACCGATGATGTCTCGGAAACTACATCTTCTGCAGATTCAGCATCAACAATACGCCCGCAGACCGCCAAGGCAGCTGTGCCCTCCGCCATAATTTCTACAGAGGACCACGTCGCAAAGGGCATTGAGCTTCACGAGAAAGGGTCACTGAATGAGTCAACTTACCATTTACGGATTGCAGCCAAACAGGATCATCCGGTGGGCATGTTACTGTATGCGCTAGCTTGTCGGCATGGTTGGGGTATGCGACCAAACCAGCAGGAAGGTGTACGATGGCTGCGCAGAGCTATGGACTCTGTCGGTCTCGAACTGAACAGCGACGCTGACCCATCTGTACCAGCTAAGTCGCGGGAATTGCAAAAAGCATATAGGGCCCAGTTCGCTCTCAGCGTCTATGAGCTTGGTGTAAGCCATTTGAATGGATGGGGTATTGAACAGGACAAAACCCTCGCGTTGCGCTGCTTTGAAACCGCTGGCCGCTGGGGGGATGTCGATGCGCTCGCCGAGGCAGGTTACTGTTACGCCGAAGGGGTTGGGTGCAAGAAAGACTTGAAGAAGGCAGCAAAGTTCTATCGAGAGGCTGAATCAAAAGGGATGAGCATGGTTGGAAACAGCTGGTAAGCTTGCCCATGAGTGATTTATTCGCCGCTGGTGCTGACTTTTACGCTACAGGATATACAAAGACAAGTATATGACAGATGATGAGCCCAACACCCGGTCTCGAGGCCGGCAAGCCAGTACCCCCGAGAAGAAACAACGCAGCAAGTCTCGAACGCGCAGTCTTTTCCAGCGCAAAAAGTCCAACGCCCATGAACCATAGACGGAGTTTCCCTTGGAATGTTTGCATCTTGCATGGAGAACAGGCTACACCATCGGCAATCCCGGCCCTGCGGCAGAATTATGGTTGCTTTTTTGCATATCACCGTCACTTCTTCATCTTTCTTTTTCTCAGCTTTTGGAGAACTGAGTAACTTCTTACTTCGCTTTCATTCGTCTCCCGCACATTCAAGAGCATACTTGAGCACTACTGGGAATTGAGCGTCGGGATATGCAATTATTTTGCTTTCACCTTCGAGATCATTGTTTTTCTTCCATTTTTTACCACCTACTTGACTGATCCCGAGAATTTCCTTGCTGTTGAGCAGTTTTTCCTTTGCAGGCGCCAAAGTTCATTTCTTGGATACCCTTCATTCTAATCAGTGGCTGGTTGAAGTCATGTCTTCTTTTCTTTTTTTTATTTTCCTTTCACAGGATATCCCTGTCCTTTCATTCTTTCATCTTCTTTTTTTTTATCGGGTCAATTTTTCTGTGATGGAATCGTTCGTTGTCTTCCTTAGGTAGCTAATGAAACTAACGAAATCGAACTTTAGTACTAAAAAAATCTCGTATTGCAGGGTTCTAATTACAGCTGCTGTACTAGCATCGGCGCATATAGTGGTGGAGGTGATATTGTCAAGGAAGGCGTGAATGACCCTTAGTCTTTCGCTTGAAGGCTGCACGTCTTTCAAACTCTCCAAGAACCAACATCCTCCTTTCAATGTCATTACTATCGACACGAACGCAGTTTAGATGCATATTTAACTTCATGATCTTCAGTCATCCTTTACAGTATGACGGGAGGAGCCTTTTCTTGGCACAGCTCGCTTGCTCTCTGATTGCGGAGGCGGAAATTTCGGAACTCTTTCGAGTTTGGTGGTTAAGCGTGAGGAACCGAATAATCCGGGGTGGTCGGAGGTGCTGCTGAGATAAGTCAAGAGGTTTATCTCTCCTTTCGAGCAATTTTCGCCAGTCCACGGGCACCGTATTTGTTGCTGCATGGTTCGCCGAGCGATCACCAAGCGTTCCTGAACGAATGGGTTTATTTTTGTTGATCCAACGAGCCATCGATGCAGCACAGCGGGCTGGAATTAACCACCCTGCAGGGAGTCAACTTTCAACCTTGGTGGGTAGTATCGCAATGTTTTCTCCGTTGGAGCCAGGGTAGTTTGGGATAAGCGCACGGAGGCACTGTCCAGAAAAGGTTAAGTACCATCCGCCATGGGCCATGATGGGCTGCTGACTCCTGGGCTTGCTGTACGACAGCCGACGGTCGACGTCGCGACCAGCAAGCCAACCGCAAGGAAGCGTATGAGTCGCCAAGTCGCCACTTGTGGGCGGCGGTTCCTATTCGCTTCCCCGGGCCAGATCATGCTTCGTCTCTATCGGCCTCTTGGTTAGCACGGGCTCGACTGGCGAGTACCTGTGGGCCAGTGGCTCGAGTGGGCTGTCTCAGTCTCCCACACTCCAATGGTAGGTAACGTAACAGCGGAACGACCTGGGGGGCAGGCTTAATGGACATGGGGTAGATAATTTGGGGACTCGGCTCGGACTCACAAATTACGAGAGAGGGGTTTCTCCTACAATGCTCCAATATTCGGCTCGACCTTGCAGAGCTTTCTCTTTGTTGCGCTACCTTAGTGCTGTCTCTGGGACCCATAGTGGCCTGCTTGCTGGTCAGAAAGCCGCATTCCACGGTATAGTTCGAATTTCATTCCCTTGAGCACTTGGTCCATGAAGGCTGTTTCATGATGTGCGTCGGACTCGCAGGGAGACATGGATGCATGTCAGCCCTCCTGGTGTAGATCCCACCCTGGTTTCATGGGAAAGAGAACCACCGACTGCTGGCACCGAGGCTTTATATCCCGGATCTGGATCCTGTGGCCGAAGCGTAGGCCCAGCCCAATCTCCCCCTTTCTGAGGCTTTCCCCGTAAACGTACTTGTCGCCGAGTCGCCGGTCATCATATCATGACATTTCTTGGGCAATCCCTTGACCCTTGCTCCACTGGCAAAGTCCGCGGTGTTTGATGAGTCTTGTGATCGCCGGGCGCCCTCTGGAAGGATAGTTAAGGTGCTGATACCATCTGGCTAGGTACGTTTTACCTAGCCAATTTTTTATCCCAGTTTGGTGTTAGCGACCTTTCAGTGCTTTCACGAGCTCGCCGAGGGATTATTCAAAGGTCATCTTTTCTTCACCTCGCCATTCTTTCTTGCTTTCTCTCTTTCCTATTTCCTTCGTTTTCTTTTCGTCTCTTCTTGACTCCTCCGAAGGGACAATTAGTGGTGGATCTGGTATGTGTGCGCCCTACCACGCGCATCTCTATAGATCTGCAGTTATTGACAATCTTTTCAGTTTTTAGGGACGCACCTTATTACACATGTATGTCCCGCGACTGCACGAGGCATCCTCGCACCCGTCAAGCGGCACACAAACTGACCTCATTGGCCTTGCCCTAGAATAAGTACAGCCGCAGTACAAGATGTCCGACAAAGCAGCCGTTGAAGAAGTCGCCCTGCCTGGCGCCGCGAAGCCCACGTTCTTCGCCAAGGTCAAGGCTCACTTTAAGAAGTGGTGGTGGGTTCATCTCATCATCTTCTGCGCATGTTTCCTCATCATTGCGCTCCCACTGTAAGTCTTCCCTGGGTTGGGTAACTCCAATGAGCGGCCAAATTGACAACCCGCTCTCAAAGCGTCTATGTCGGCTACCCTAATATCGCCCAAGACGATATCAACGACTCGACCTTGAGGGTCGAGTCCATGGTCATCAGCGACCCAAAACCAGAGAGCTTCCAGCTCGATCAGAAACAGACCATCGGCTCTGGCAGCGTCTTTCACCCCAAGATTTATGAATTCGAGGCCGAGGTCAGCCTCCAGGGATCGCCGCCTTTTGCCACTGCGACTGTTCCAGAGGTCGTCTCAGCCAAGGATAACACACCTGTGCACATCCAGCAGCGCCTCGATTTGACGGACCCCGACCAATTCGCCGCTTTCTCGACCGCAGTCATGATGAACGAGGAGTTCAACCTCGGTGTATATGGCAGACCAGACTTGAAGCTGGGTGCCCTGCCAAAGATTGATGTGAAATACAACAAGACGGTCACTATGAAGGGTGAGCTAAGGATTTTCTGTTTGCTAGATTGGGAAAGTTCACTGACAACCCATTTAGGTCTCAACAAGCTTTCTGGGTTCAAGATTGAAAGCTTGAACCTCGATCCCGGCCGAGAGGATGGGAACAATGCCAACGGCACGGTCTTCATTCCCAACCCTTCCGTCTTGCAACTGAGCATGGTACGATCAGCCTCGCATCATGTGCGTGTCGCGTCTGCTAACGTGCTGTGTCTAGGGCAACCTCACCCTGGATGTTTCATCAAATGGAACCTACCTTGGCCAGTCGTTCTTGAATGATCTGGTGCTCGTCCCCGGTGACAACCGCGTGCCAATGCTCTCCAGTCTGAACAACACTAGGCTTCTTGCAGCTTTGCGAGGAGGCTCAACCACGATCCCCCTGACGATTGTCGGGAACTCGAGCGTGTACAACGGGCAAGAGATCCCGTATTTCACCGCCGCGCTGGCGGCAAACGAGCTCACAGTCGACCTTAACCTTCTCGAGGTGCTTGGCTAGTTATTGATGACTCGTTTGTATGGGTAATTTTTTTTTCTCGATATCCTTTTTTTTTCAATTTTCTCCACATTTCCTCCGTTGTAATGCTTCGACATGACCAGATGGATCAGATACCAATACCACTACGAGATCGTGATTCTGTTACGGGTTTTTATTTTCTCATTCCTGTGACTATAATCTTTTCGGCGACAGTCGCTGTGACCACTAGTCGTGACTACTACAAATGAATACAATTGCGGTCTATCTCCGATGTCCACCGTTGACTGTTATCTCAGAAAACTCGTGTGGGCCTCCGTTTCCTGATAAGAGAGAGTGTTTCTGCTTGGCGCCTCCACTTGGGTCTTCTCCATCATTCTCGAACAAAGAACACCTCCATTCATCGTGCTTCCCTGCAGCTTATCGCAGCTCTAGCTCCTGTCACCTCCCGCCAGCTTCCTCTTTTGGTCGTCTTGGTGATGATAACGCTTTGTTTACCCCAACTTCCAAGTCACTCATCCGGTCGAGTCCGCTGACTAGTAGCTCAGTTGCGCAGGTATAAAAGGGCTCATTGTCGGTGTGCAACATGGAGAGTCTAAACAGAATCATCTCTTCCTTTCATATCCTCGTTGCTGCCGCTGCCGTGTTACATCATGGGTCTCCAAGTTAGAGCTCTCGCGCTGGCTGCCCTGGCCACCATCAGCCAGGCCTCGCCCCTTGTATACGCTCGCGATGACTCGCCGACGAATGTTACCTATGCCTTCACAAACTCGAACGGCCTGAACTTTACCCAGATGAACACAACCCTGCCCAATGTGACCATCTTTGCAACAGGTACCTACCCATACCTACTTCAGTCATAACGTCCAAACCCTAACACCATACAGGAGGCACAATCGCCGGCTCCGCCGATGACAACACCGCAACAACCGGCTACCAAGCCGGCGCATTGGGGATCCAAACCCTCATCGATGCCGTCCCCGAAATGCTCGACGTTGCCAACGTGGCTGGCGTCCAGATCGCCAATGTCGGCAGCCCTGACGTTTCCTCCCCCATTCTCCTCGAGATCGCGCACCGCCTCAACACAGTCGTCTGCAAGGACCCTACTATGGCCGGCGCAGTCATCACCCACGGCACAGACACCCTTGAAGAAACCGCATTTTTCCTCGACGCAACGGTCAACTGCGAAAAGCCAATCGTCATTGTCGGCGCCATGCGGCCCGCAACAGCCATCTCCGCTGATGGCCCGTATAACCTCCTCCAGTCCGTGACTGTCGCTGCGAGCAAAGAGGCCAGGAAGCGCGGTGCGCTTGTGGTCATGAACGACCGCATCGCGTCCGCTTACTATGTCACCAAGACGAACTCGAACACCATGGATACGTTTAAGGCGCTCGAGGCCGGGTTCCTGGGCGCCATCGTCTCGAACACCCCGTACTTCTTTTACCCCCCTGTCGAGCCGACGGGCAAGACCGCCATCGACGTGACGAACGTGACTGATATCCCGCGTGTCGACATCCTCTACTCGTACCAGGACATGACGAACGATACTCTCTTTTCCGCTGTCGAGAACGGTGCCAAGGGCGTTGTTGTACGTTCGCCATACATTTCCCCAACTCCCTCAACACAAATCACCCACAATACTAACAATCATTTGTATAGATCGCAGGAACAGGCGCCGGCTCCGTCTCAAGCACCTACAGCTCCGCGATTGCCGAACTCATCGAGGAGAAGGAATTTCCCATCGTACGCAGCACGCGCTCGCCCAGCGGCGAGGTTCCCTTCTCCGAGTCCGGTGATGATGGTATCTCGAGTGGATATCTGAACCCGCAAAAGGCGCGTGTGCTTCTCGGGCTGTTGCTTGCCAAGGGGAAGAGCTTTGCGGATATCTTGGGGGCGTTTGGAAAGGTTGCTGTTTAGATCTCGAATCTTAGACCAGAGAAGGTGGGGTAGGATATGATACGATATGAGTATATATAATGATCATGTATGTATGTAATATGAAGATAGATAGATAATTCTGACAAACTGAAGGATAATCATGATATAATGAGCTGTACATAACTATAAATAAAAGAAAAATAAATACACCGGATCTCTTCGGTAGATATTACCATTTGTACTTCTAAGATCGACGACCGACCGGCATGGAGCCATGCGCAAGTATCATGTATGAGAAATATGACACCAGAATCCCACAATATTGCACAGCAGCTGTCCCTGAGTGAATCAAGTAATATTACGAGGACTTATTTACTTTTTGCTATTTCTCTCAGAGCGAGCCACGGAAGCGCGACGCTCGATGCCCCAGAAGGGCGACCGACGGCTACGCTGCCGATAACGACACCGCTGCAGGAATGAGGTGACCCGCGTCCATCGTAGTACGACATTTGGAGGGAAATTGAGAGATAAAGCGAGCGAGCGCACTCTCGGGCTTGCTTTGCATTCGACCTGGGACTTATTATTGGGTGCCCAGCTACGAGAGGCCATTGCACTGATAGGGGAAACGCCCAGGACGTTGCTCAATGGGGGAAGATAAGTAACCTTGCAGTCCCCCCAGGATCTGCCGTCCCCTATAAGAGCGCTCAGAGTGCGATTTTGTGGTCTTTCTTTATCGCTTGTGTGATCCAGCGCCCTGCAGGCTTATCATTCCTTTCAGGATTGGGACCTTGGGGCTTGGTCGCGTGTTTTTTGTGGCCTTAAGTTTCCCCGTTTCCCCGTTTGCCCCGCGGGGACCGGGTGGTTTGTTTACTTCTGTCTGGGAAGAATGATTTCTTCCTGTTAATGATGCTGATCCTTTTTCTGATTGATATCAGTATAAATATGGATTGTTTAACAAGAATGAAGCAGAGAGCCGCCCGTTTTGTGTTCACCGTTTCTCCCCTCTCCCCGATGCGATGCCGATGACTCGAAGACGTTTACCCAACCCAGTCTGTCTACATATCATGCAGTGTATTATATCCCGTCTCAATGAGGCTGCGCGGTCCTCTTGCGTCCCCACCGATATGCCAATAAAATAGCCCACCCAGCTGTTCCCGCGTCACGAATTTCGCCTTCTGCTCTACCGTCTGCGGCGTGTCATATGTCACGAACCCGCCGTCCCCACCGACACAGTACGCTGCTCCAACCTCTTCGTCATGATACTCCGTTGCCTCGGGGCGCGGGAGCTCGCTATAATCGAAGACGCCGTCCTCACCACCACAGCCCTCGTACGGTTGCCCGATCCCGTCGCAGCCGAGGAAGGACCGGCCGTATGTGGGGATCCCGAGGAGGAGTTTCTTTGGATGCACGCCTTGGGCGAGGATATATGACACGGCGGAGTGGCACGATGTTGCGGACGTTGCATGTGAAGGGCTATACAGCTGGGCGTGGTGGCCTGTCTGCCCACCCCAGGGTCCCGCAAAGTCGTACCCCATTATGTTGATCAAGTCGACATAATTCTGGGCCTTATCGAGATCGATATGTTGCAGCGCCCATTGGCCCGCTGGGAGGCAGGTTGCCACTACATAAGGCGACGGGAGGTAATCCCGCAGCCGGGCGAGGAGACGGACGTAGTCCTGTCCTTGCTGCGAATCTGACGGGTGCTCCCAGTCCACTTTATCGACAGCCATCAGTATAGGTCCATGTGTTGAAGAGACAATGACGCACCGTCGATTCCATCGAGACCGAATTCGTCCACCAATTGCCGAGCAGACTGAGCGAACGTTTCTGTACGAGATTGGCTCCGAGCCACTGCTGCGAAGTTCTCGCTGCCTTTACCCCCGCCTCCGATCGAGAGGATGAGCTTCATCTGGGAATACTGCGGCTTGAGCTGTGCGAATGCCCGGAGGCAACCCGTTGTGCCATCCACGGGCATCTGCGTGTCTGCCCACTCATCGCTCAACTATTCCAGTCCCCAAGAGACACAGGTCAGCACAAAGTGTTTTACTTTTGAGGTGTAGCCAGACTATGGCAGAAAGGGATAGGTTACATAAACCGTGCCGTCTTCTTTGACCCTAAAAGAAACAAAACAAGGTAGGTTAACAAATCTGATTCTACAATCGTGGGCAGGCGGGCTCGACACAACCCTCCCACCTCCCCAGGTGGTGGTGCATGACTAGTATGTACCAGGCAAACGCGTAGAAGATGTGAGAGATGAATCCCAATCTGAGCGACGAGGGCGGCTGCTTGCGATATATGCGCCAATTCGGATAGTATGCTGCGTTGAGGAAGAAGGGGATTTCATAAGAGCTGCCACTGGAGCGTTCTGCGGTTTTGCGGTCCCAGCGGGGGAAGCCAGAGCCGGAGAACATGGCTATTGCGGCGGCGATACAGGTAAGGGGTGTGGGTGAATGCTAACAGAGAGGAATAATAAGAGAGGCGCTATACATAGGGAACCAAAACCCACGAGAGGGAGAAAAAGAAAAGCAACGCCGACGAAGAGGGACAGAACTTAGAAGAGCAAGAGCAGTTGCTCGATTCAGCAGAGCGTCACGTGTGGGCGAAGAAATAAATCGTGAAGTCGACGTGAACAGGGCCAGCAGGCTGGGAGGAGAGTCTGCGATGGGCGAATTGGAGCGCTTTTGATTCTGATTTGCTTTTGTTTTGCAGGCCAGCTGGAGAAACTATAATAGAAAAACATACCCCTCAATCGGGACCCTCGACGAAGAGCATCGGGACAAGGCAACCGGGGCTCTGAGTCTGATCGTCTGCTGCTCTACAAGAATGGCCATGACATACGCTGGAATCCTTACTTCGATCGAGGCGCTGCACCTGCAGATTTTTTCTCTCTTCAACATGCGCCTCACCCATGTCATTAATACGGCCTCCCCCGCTTTTACCGGCCCACACACATACAAATGCATCGCTCCAGCCAGTCGATCTGCGGAAATCTCCTGTCTCCGCATATGCTGACTACTGCAACCAGTGATGTAGGCAGAAGCGCGAGGGTGTCATCCGCTTTCTTGCCCCATAGTCATGCTGATGAACGTGTTGGATATTGTCGAGGTACGAGCGTTAATATTACCGGTAAGGAGAAGGCCCAAACGCAACTGGGCTCTGTACAGCACCCCACCTTTGGTTCGCTCGGGCTTCTGTATGTTGTACTGCTATTTTTGTTGCAACTTTCATGGCCATGTTTCCTTTTAATTGACCTCAAATCCAGTGACCGGGATACCAGCCGAGGTGCGGGCCATTGGGTGCCCTGGAAGCTTCGCCCATACTCAACTGGCTGCGCGACTGCACGGGCTCGCAAACCGGCAGAGCCTGGTCGGTCGACAGCACCGTTCTGACCCGCCGGTGAAAGCCTGAGAGTGCTCAGTGGTGGCAATAATAGTACAGCAGAGTAGCTTTCGACTTAGCCTCGTTCCAAGACGCCAGGTGGATCAAGATCGAGATTTATCGCCTTCTCTTCCAAGTTTAACCTCAGGAGAGGGGCCGAGCTGGGCTTGGACGGATTCGCGGAAGGAACAGCAAAAGGGGAACGAGTCCCGCGACAGGGAATATTGACAGCAAACAGCCAAACATTGCAAGCATGGGGATCCGAAGGATCGCGAAATCTTGAGCCTCGCCCATGTCGATTGGGCCAGAGGAAAGCGACCTGTCCGGAGGAAGCTGGGGGATCGCCTTGCCCCCTTGTCCGTCGTTATTCCTTTTGACTTTTGTGCACATTGCTTTTTCTCGCCTCTCAAGATTTTCTGCTCGTTGCTTTTTTCCTCCTTGGGCTCTTAGGCTCTTGGAGTCTGGGACTCTTGGGCATGTGCTCACTGTGATGCTCGCTGCGGATGGGCCATGGCGTTGCGTGGTGCTTCCCATTTTGTGGGGAGCGACATCGAGCAATGCCATCCCCGCATGGTATGAGGAAGCTTCCTCGGACAATCTGGTTGGCACAGACATGCGCTCTCCTAACGCTTCCTTCGGATTCGGATGCATGGTTTGCAAACATCCATTTTAGGTTCCGGCAACCTCGCGGAAAGTACCTCCTCTGAGGTTAGGTCTCAAAGTTCTGTAACGCTTTCTTGTAGTATAGAAGTCGGCAAGAAGTACGAATTTCGGCTTGAATCGACTCGTCAGTCGTCACTCTTCCCTTTATCAAATAAATACCCCGTCCGGCATCCTCTGCCAGCCATGCTGCATCTGCAACATCCGTCGCGTTGGTGAGTGGCACCCATGTGATCATTGTCCTCCGGACATGCCCTTGCCAACAAACCTCCATTGCATGCAGGGGTTGTCACCGCTCAAAACTGTAGCGCTTGTAGGGAGCTTGGAATTGTTGAAATAACTGGAGTTGCTCAGGCTGACCAAAATGAAGAGTAAATGCTCTGAAGTTGCATCCGATTACGTGGTGGAATTCGCTTGACGCTCTACTACGAGCAGCACAGGGCCTTACCGTGCATCTGGAGTCTGGATGAGGACACCAGCCACAGCGGCGACTAGGTTGACCCGAGCTAAATGACTAATGTTAATTTTGCCACCGCTTTCCTTCTTCGTTTTCCTTCCGTGGCGTTCTTTGCTAGAAGTCCATGTATCCCCTTCAATTGACCGTCTGGAAGACTATCTCCTCCATCTCTGTTGCTACGGTAGCTTTAATCGCCTGCTCCTTAATAACTGCTTGTTTCACTTTTATTATCTCGCTGTTTGACTGGAAGCGCCATGGCTGCAGACATCAGGCACGCTGCATCTCAAATTGTATCTACAGACCGCACCCGTGACTTGAATTACAACCAGTTTTCCTTCATCCCCTTCCTCCGCAAGAGCTATGGCTTTGGCCTCGCGTCCGATGTTCCCGTCTGCAAAGCCTACAGTGAGGGCCACTGCCCACTGGGCCCTGCCTGCCCCGACCGGCATCCGACTCCCTCGCGGGTAACTACCTCCACAACCACCGCCTCCGGATTGGCGCCTTCTACCACTCACGGATCACTCGTCTGCAAGCACTTCTTGAAGGGTCTTTGCAAAAAGGGCATGAAGTGCGAGTATCTCCATGAATACAACCTCCGCCGCATGCCGGAATGCCAGTCATTTTCTCGGTCCGGATATTGCCCCAACGGGGACGATTGTTTATATCAACATGTGCGTGAGCAGGCCCGGTTACCTCCGTGCGAGCACTACGATCAGGGATTCTGCTACCTCGGCCCTATATGCGCGAAGCGACATATCCGTCGGCGTCTGTGCCAGTACTATCTTGCTGGATTCTGTCCTAAGGGTCCTTCCTGTACCGATGCCCATCCTCGATGGTCGGAGAATCTACCTAAACCTACGGTCCGTGTCGAAAAGACGGAAGAGGAGCTCGAATATGAAAGGAACCTGATTCGCGAGGAGCAGGAGAGGGAGAGGGAGAGGGAACGCGAATGGAGGAGTGAACGTGGCCGCGGAGGTTTCATGTCGCGCGGCCGATACCGTGGTAGAGGGCGTGGCTAGGCGACAGACTTGAGATTGAACCGACACATTTCACACTCTTGACCACTTCTCAGAGTCGACAGCGTCGAATTCTGCCCGATCGATGACCACGCCCCTTTCAAGGGACGCTCGGCTTAGCCTGCTTACAGATCCCTGCTGTCCGTTCCAGTCTCCAGGCGACTTTATCGAGCCCGGCTCGGAAGCTGAATCAGCTTAGGTAACGACGGATCTTCAGGCACATAGGAGCCTGGGCTCAATGGAGGCTGGAGCTTTACAAAGTAGCGCCAAAGCGGACTCCGCTCCATATCAGCCTCCGCTCCAGCCGCCAGTCCGAGCTTAAGCTATTTACCATTGGTATCTGCATACTATATAGATATCCGAAGCATGATGACATACGTCCGCCAAACCACTCGACGTGTATCTAGATAGGACCCAAGAAAATGTATCAATCACTATGACACATATAATTTATTCTAATATCCTGTTAGGCTAGTATCTAGGCTACTCTGGGACCTCTGGCGGCAAGATCGCCATGTGTATATCAATACTTGGAAGATCCGGGGTATATTGAAGAAGAGCGGGTGTGCCAATCGGTAGTAGATGGCATCACTTGAATCGCAAATTGCTTCATCAAGGTTAACAAAGCCGTAATTCCGAACATGATTTGCAACATATTAGCAAGCACCCAAGCATTCCTTTCCGCTGCAGTATTTGTCAAGTATCAGTCAGGCTGGACTAATTGATGGGGAAGACCCACGACCAGATTACCTTAGCCAATCATAAGCTCCCTTCTGCATCTGTAATCGATGACAAAATATAGAGCTCCCAAGCCGTAAATCCACCTCGAAGGTTGGTACAACCCAGAGAGCCCCGCCTGATCGAGCTGCTATAAAAAGATGACTGCCCCTCTACTGGACCAATTCTCCCGAAACTCATCCTATACAATTCTCTCTTTTCTTATCCTCATTCGAGAGTCTAACCGTCGCAATGGCCCCCAAGATCGCTATCGTCTTCGTACGTACTACCCCTCACAATTGTCCACACGCATGCACAGCACGTCAGCTAACTCCTTACAATAGTACTCTCTCTACGGCCACGTTGAGAAGCTGGCCCAGGCCGAGCTCAAGGGTATCCAGGCTGCCGGCGGTACCGCCGACATCTTCCAGTAAGATATACCCCGCACAAATGGGCTTACAATCAGAACAACCCAGCTTACAATCAAACGCACAGGATTGAGGAGACCCTGTCCGAAGATGTCCTCGCCAAGATGCACGCTCCCCCCAAGTCCTCTGTGCCCGTCCTTGAGAAGCCCGACCAGCTCCTCGAGTACGATGCCGTTCTCTTCGGTATCCCCACCCGTTACGGTAACTTTCCTGCCCAGTGGAAAGCCTTCTGGGACCGCACTGGTGGTATCTGGGCAACCGGTGGTTTCTACGGCAAGTATGCTGGTCTCTTCATCTCCACCGGTACCCTCGGTGGTGGCCAGGAGTCCACTGCTATCGCTGCGATGAGCACCCTCACCCACCACGGTTTCATCTACACCCCTCTTGGCTACAAGACCGCTTTCCCTCTCCTCTCCAACCTCACCGAGATCCATGGTGGATCCCCCTGGGGTGCCGGTACTTTCGCTGTAAGTTATGGTCCGAAACTTGCTCCATACGTGGGTCATTCCTAATGTTGCCTTAATAGGGCGCCGACGGCTCCCGCCAGCCCACTGAGCTCGAGCTCGAGCTTGCCGAGACTCAGGGCAAGTCCTTCTACGAGCACGTTGCCCGTGTCAACTTTGCTTGACTGCATGGTAGCGCGGAGGATAAGTCTGAGGAGCAACAGAAGGATACATCAGTGGCAACCAAGTCGGAGAAGCAGGGTGCCAAAGAGACCAAGCCAGAAGAAGATAGCGAGGGCGGCCCTTGCGGGCTTCCCAAGAAGTGCAACATTCTCTGATCGGTTCGGCTCCATACCCTTTTTTTTTTTTTCGTCTTAAATGGCTGTTTTATTTATCGCTTCTGTTGACCAGACTTGATGATTTATGATCCGGGATTATATATAGATAAATAATGATATAAAAATCGAATAATTTTCCTTGAACATCTCACTCCAGCTCCCTGATCAACTGATGCCGCAGCAGTGGTATTATTGTATGTAGTATAACCTCCATTGATATCTACACAGAAAACCTCGTCTTCATAAGAACTTGCCTTTTGAAAACCTCGAGCCAAAATCGGCCGCCTTATTCATCATCTCCCTCCGCTGCGCATGCGATATCCTCCCACCCAGCCCCATATCCTTCTCCTTATCAAAGGCCCTCTTACTCGGGTCATCCTCCTCCTCCTTCCCCTTCTTCTTCCTCTCCTCAAAAGCCGCCGCATCCTCCTTCCGCACCCGCTCATTATACTTCTGCACCTGTTCCCTCATAGCCTGCGCCTTCCGCTCCTCCGCCTCGGTTCCCGCACCAGCACCACCACCACCCGCACTACCAGAAGACCCCGACGAAACAATACCCATCGCCTCATTCTGCAACCGCCGTATCTTCTCCTCTGGCGTCTCCGTCCACGAGCTATCAACCCCACCACCACCGCCAGACGAAGCCCCGCCACCGACACGCGGCCCGCTCTGGAACTTGCGATTCCGCAGCTTCGTCGGATCGACCCGTGACGAGCGTGTGTCTCCCGTCGGTGGCGCGAGCATCCACGCGTCTCGTTGCGGGGCCGATTTCTCAGCAGCTTGTTTGTCTGTTGATGTGCTTATGCTGGCTTGCTGTGTAGGCTGTGGGAGAGGCACGGAGCCTGCGGGCGGAGGAAGATTGGGGCCGAAGTCATCGTCGTCTGAGTAGTCGGAGTCGGAGTAGTCGCCGCTTTTGGAGGGTTCGGTGGGTGGTGGGAGGGAGGGGCCGATTACTTTGCGCCGCTTGTCGGGATCTGGGCTTGCCGTGGGAGCTTGGGGTGAGGGGCCGGCTGCCACGCTGTGTTTTCGTTTCGAGGGGTTGTCCATTGTGTAAACTTGGGGTTGTGATGTGTGTGAGAGTTGAGAGGTTGCACACTGTTTCTGGTTCTAGGTTTACTGCAAACAAGACAAACCCAGATACGCTAGTTACCTACTCCGCAGAGCATACCTGGAGGAAGCGGAAATTATAAGCGCTACTATTGGAATTAGTGTATTTAGTTAGGTATTCCTGTGATCGGCCTGGTATCGTAATGTTGGCAATAGCTAGAGGAGCCACATTGAAGAGTGAACCAACTGCTGAAGAGAGGTAATGTCGAAGTCATGACATTTAGAGGGATTTGCCTGCTGCCACCCAGACATTGAAATATGTAAATTGTCCTGCCTGCAGGCAACAGTCCGAAGTGAGCAACTTGACCAGGAGATAAGTACACATTTGATGATAACCTGGCCAGGAAAAAAAAGAATTGCGAAATTGCGCCGACGGGGAGTCGAACCCCGTGCAGTTGCTTGGAAGGCAACTATGTTACCGGTACACCACCGGCGCGGTTGTTAAAAGTTTTCCGTCCTGAAAAGCTCTAAGAGGCCAAGCCAAGAAAGTGTACTTTTTTATTTGGGTGGATCATATGGATCGTGGCGTGAGATTTGTTGAGTCGACTGAGTTCACCCGTATGGGATGTAAGAATGATGCCGCTTCAGAAACAATAACATTAAATGAGAACATTGGGCCATATTTATGAGGACCGAGGAAATCTCTGTCTGTTGCGCGGTGATTGCTGCCATCTGAATCCAGCCTCGTAAGGCGGATAAAAGGGCGGTCTGATAATGTGGCAGAATACAGTGGGCATTACGACATGAACTGGACGCTGACGAGAGTTACCTCGACCGTTACTCTTTCTTTGCCTTTCACCTTTGCTTCTCCATTTCCTTCTCTCCATCCCCTCTCCCTCCCCGAGCTGCCTAACATGGCGTCTCGTACGATCATTCTCAGATTTGAAAGTCGTAACGGCCAGTTTCGACTAAACGTTAGCCCGCAAGATCAGTTTCCTTCTCTCCAGGCAAAGGTATAGCACTCCGTCTGCATTTCCCCCTGTGTCGGGGCGTGAATAGCTAGACGACGGCCAAACAGCGCTGACCTACGAACCGTAGATCTTAGAACACCTTCCTCCAGGCGTCGAACCTTCCTCGATTAACCTCTCCAACAAACCTATTGGCGCTAGCGGCGAAGAGCGGCTTCTGAATACACTCGAGGGCGTCTCTTTTGAGCAGGTTGGATTGAAGTTAGTTCAATGGAAACAACGCTTCAACATTGTCTAGCATAGCTGCTGATAGTGAGAATCTAGGCACGGAGATAAGCTCTATCTTGGTTATCAACTCAAGCAGGATCTCCAGGATGGCGCCAAGAATGGATTCACTACTGACACGACCGCACGACGGTTGAACGGAGCACCTGTATCGCAAGCGAGCACACCAATACCCCAGTCTCGATCGAGTAATACTGGTGGCAAGAGTCCGTGGGAAACGGTCAGACAATCAGCCCTTGATAACCGCTTGGAGAGGAAAGATGGGAAGATCCGGCGGAGTCGGGATCTGAAGATGTGCAAACACAGCGCAAAAGGCATGTGCGACTATTGCATGCCGCTCGAACCTTACGATCCGAAGTACCTGGCGGAGAAGAAGATCAAACACCTCTCATTTCATTCTTATCTGCGCAAAATAAACGCTGCCACGAATAAACCGGAGCTCAAGAGCTCCTTCATGCCACCACTTAATGAGCCTTACTATCGGGTACGGCCGGATTGTCCTTCTGGCCACCCGCCATGGCCGGAGGGGATCTGCACCAAGTGCCAGCCGAGTGCGATCAGTCTGCAGCCGCAAGAATACCGCATGGTTGACCATGTGGAATTTGCTACACCAGACCTTATAAACTCATTGCTCGACTTCTGGCGCAAGTCCGGTTCGCAGCGCTTAGGGTTCCTTTACGGCACCTACGAAGAGTATACGGAAGTGCCGTTAGGTGTCAAGGCAGTGGTACAGGCGATATACGAACCCCCCCAGGTAGATGAAGTTGATGGAGTTACCCTGCATGAATGGGAGAATGAAAAGGACATAGACGAAGTTGCACGCCTTTGCGGCCTCGAGAAGGTTGGCGTTATCTTTACTGACTTGCTTGATGCTGGTCAAGGAGATGGATCAGTGATCTGTAAACGGCATATTGATTCATACTATCTCTCGTCGTTGGAAATTGCCTTTGCGGCAAGATTGCAGGCAGGATACCCAAAGGCAACGCAATGGAGCCGGACTGGCCAGTTCGGTTCCAACTTCGTGACCTGCGTTCTTAGTGGAGACGAAGAGGGCGCAATCACCGTGAGCTCTTACCAGGCCTCGGTTGCGGCAGTTGAGATGATTAGAGCCGATATAGTCGAGCCATCGGCGGAGCCGTCTGTGATGCTGGTGCAGTCTGAGGAGGATACAGACAGCAAAGCGCGATATATCCCGGAAGTTTTCTATCGCAAAATCAACGAATACGGAGTATCTGCACAGGTGAACGCGAAGCCCAGCTTTCCAGTCGAATATCTCTTCGTTACCCTAACCCATGGGTTCCCGACTGTACCCAATCCGGTCTTCGTTGACAGCACATATCCCATTGAGAATCGTGAGGTCATCGGCGAAAGCCAGGAACTTCGCTCCCTCGCTCGAAAACTTGTCTCGCATGGCGACCCTGATAAAGCAATCCGGGCGGTGTCCGACTTCCACCTCCTGTGCTTCCTTCGCACATTATCCACGTTCACCAAGGTAAGTCGACTAAACTAACATGGGCTTATCACCATGGGGATACACACTCACACTACCTTCTGGTATTACAGGACGAAGAAGCCCTCCTCTGCCGCGTAGCAACAACCCGAAGCCCCTCAGACGGCCTACAGCTCATCAACACCCCGGGCTGGGCAACGTTGGTCACTATTCTTCAGGAAACCGGTGAGAGGCCCCCCAAGCGTCCCTGGCTGGAAACTCCACGTCCTGTGCCCAAGCCCCATTCCGGATCCCGTTACCCTCTCTCGGGCCCTTCGTCTCCCAAATCTGAAAGTGAACAACTTGCTAAGAGGTTCAAGCGAGCTAGTCTGAGATGACTGGCCATATTTCTCGAGTCGCCGATGCCATTCAATCCGCTCTTACGTATGCTGTCCTGTCCGCTTTTAGACAAGACAATGTGATTTGACGGAACTGTTTACTTGCACATTCTTGACTGGACAAATTTGTCCAGTTCTGCTCGAATCCCGCCGGTATACGGACTACCTCCACAAAATCGATCGCCTTTGCTCGTCTCCTACCGGAAAATATCACTCGAGCCCAGTCACCTCCTGTTAGCGGATAGTCCAAGGGAACTAAGGGACTTGGGATATCAAAGGTGTATTTGTACTAGAACATAAGCAGCGCGAATGAAGAACGTAACTTGTGAGCATAACATAACTTTCGTATATTCGTGATGATTCAGAAAGGAAATTCGCAGCTTGCGTATCACACATGGTTATGAATACAATTTCGGAGGAAAAAAAAAAAAGGAAAGAAAGAAAGAACCAAATCAAGAAATAGGTGAGATCCAAAAGCACCAAACGCAACGTCCAGTCATGGAATAAATCATTCCTCCGACACCATCTCCCTCAACCTCTTCTCAAGCACCCTCCTCCCCTCCGTCGTCCTCCAAACCTCATGCGGCGCATCCTTGACAATATCCCAGTTCCTCAGGTTCTTCGTGATCCCTGTCAGATCCTCCTGCTTGCTCGCCCACTTCTTATCCCCGTCGACCTTAACACCCGAACTCACAACGGTAAGTGGCGTATCAGCCATCTGGACGTGCCTCGCAGCCTCGATCTCCGACCTCGTCATGGACCCCGCAACGAGGTTCTCTTGTAGCTTCGCGCGAATATATTTACCCGTTTGGTAAGCGCTGCGACCGAAGACGCGGTCCTCGCGTGTGCGACCCCGGAAGATTGCGCCGAAAATACGGTCGAGGCCGAGTGGGGACAAGATACCACGAAGCCAGAGGGCAAAGCCGCGACCTGGTTGTGCGATGTCGGCTAGGTAATCTTCATGGAGCGGGTCGATGAGGAAGATGCCCTCGACCTCAAGAAGGTGGCGGCTTGCGAAGATGCGGTTGTAGATGCTGCCTATTCCTGCGGAAACAAGGACCCATGGACCCTCTTCATCAGCGAGGGCGAGGGCTTCGGAAAGGGCGTCTGAAGCCATGCCAGCGGAGAAGGGAGAGGGTGCGTTATCGGACCAGGCCATGCCCGGTCGGTCCCAGTAGCAGTAGCGGGTTATGGCGCCCTTCTGGTGCAGTTCGTCGATAAAGGGCTGAAGCGTGTGTTCGACAGGGCCGTCACCGGCTTCAAGAAGGACGGTTGGGGTGTCTTTGTTGCTTGTGTTGTTACCTACACAGTTGAGGTGGACTTGGTAGCTGCGCGCGCTGACGTAGTATTTCTGTCCCGGGGCTTTGAGGCTCGCGTCACGCGCGCGCAGGATCAAAGTGATCATGAACAGAATGGATATGATAGCAATGACAGCCATGAACAGAGTTTCAGCGAATACAGCGAGCCATTCACGCAGAGAACGGCGGGTCTCCTCGCGGCCTGTAAGGCGTTCCTCCTCCTCTCGCTTTCCCCATGCGACGTAGCGGTTCTGAACAATGTTATAGATTGCGATAATGGTTGCCCAGACCACGGTGGCTATTCCGACCCAGCCTTCTTCAACTCGAATGCGTGGGACAGCAATTGTGATGATCATGTCGATGAAGAGGAAGATGGCGAGCACTACGCCCCATATTGTCATTGGCTTGGAGGGTACGGCGAAGAAAATTATCCCAAAGAGAAGGTAGCCGACTGTTAGGGTTGTGTAGGCGAAGGCGAAGAATCCGGATCCTCGAGTATGCAGTGCTGGTGCACTGACGAAGAGCGACACTAGGAGGAATGTCCACCAGACGAAGCTAATGGCGAGGAAAGTCGAGGAGAGGCCCCGTAGGGCTCGGACGCTCCAGAGATTGTAGGGCGAGACCTATACAGCTGTTAAACATAGCTCGACGAAAGAAGACTGGGCACATACAGCAGGGTCATCAGGACTCAAGTAACCCTCGTTCTCGCGCGGGAGCAGGCGAGTCCGCTCATTTGCCGGTTGCTGCTCATGGTCCTCCCCCTCAACCCCTCTATTGTCGTGCTTCTGCCTCTGGAAGAGATTGACCATGGTATCGGTATCTTTCTCTGTTTGTTGGAATCGACAAACTAAAACCAAAACGCCGCGATCTCAGTTTTAAAGAAGCAAGAATCTGGAATGACGATGTTGACGTCATTATATAGCAGCTCCACGGCGATCAACCCACGAATCATGGAAGCTCGTCCTCTGCTGGTCGGCTTTCTCAAGCGCTTGAGCCTTGGGCAACGGTGATACCCTCGTCGATCCGTCATTACGGTTGTGGGTTGCGGGTCATGACCCCAGTCTATCTGAATTAAGAGTTGTTGAGAACGGGTGGGGTTGAACAAGCTGAAGTTAAGCTTCCGACCACCTCTTAACCTTAACTCTGCTTCCTCTCCCGAATTCCGAGCATAGCTCTTTCCAACTTAATCCCCTTGATTTCGCAATAAAGACGATGAGCGACCTGCAAAAGTCCTTCGCCAAATCGAAACTCGCCAAACTACCTCCAGAACCCCCGCCTATTCCCGAATACCCCGCAGAGGAGGATGACCGCGATGACGGCGATTCGAATTCGTCAACAGAGACAGTGACTCCGTCGATTACAAAGCAACTGTTTGCTAGACCTGGGGGAGCTCGAGGGTACGTTAATAAGCCGTGTCTATTTCAAGTTATGATTAGAGAATGAGGCTAATGCGGGGTACAAGCAAGATAGACCAACAACGACTCTGGAATGGACTGGCTTCTTTACCCAAGAACTCTACCTCGCGCGTCAGGTCAACAGCTTCAAAATCATCCACCATGTATACCTCAGTCCTCCGATGCGATCAGGACCCCTTTTCGTTATGCATCACGGCGCTGGTTCCTCGGGTCTCTCCTTTGCAACATGCGCCGCAGAGATCCGCAAGATTCTCCCTGATGCTGGATTCCTGTCTGCAGATGCTCGAGATCATGGTAGTACATCCATAATAAGGACAGATGTGGATGGGAACGCGGTTGATGGAAAGGTTGAGCTTGATCTGAGCTTGGAGACCTTGAACCAAGACCTGCTCTTCGTTATTCGAGAAACGCAGACGAAGATGGACTGGGAAACGTTGCCGGATATTGTTCTGGTCGGGCACAGCTTAGGAGGCGCTGTGATTACGGATGTAGCGAAGAAGGGGGAATTGGGTGCGAAATTACTGGCATATGCCGTTTTGGATGTTGTAGAGGGTAAGTACTAGTTCCTTCTCCTGCTCATCCTGCTCCTGACCACAGCATAGGATCCGCCATGGATGCCCTACAAAGCATGGAGACATATCTTTCCACTCGCCCGTCTCGATTCCCTTCCCTGGCCTCTGGAATAGAATGGCAGTATGGTTTGCCCCTTCTCCCCTTCACCCTTCACACCTTCTTACAATACACCCCACAGCACACGCTCGCGCACTATCCGCAACAGAACCTCAGCCCGTGTCTCTGTCCCATCCCTCCTCTACCACGAAGACGACGCCGTTGACCCTTCCAAACCCTGGGTCTGGCGAACCAACCTCGCGGAAACAAAGCCCTTCTGGGAAGGCTGGTTCGTTGGCCTAAGTCGAAAATTCCTAGAAGCGCGCGGGGGAAAACTACTTCTCCTAGCTGGGACGGATAGGCTGGATAAGGAGTTAATGATTGGGCAGATGCAAGGTTTGTTCAATTTCCCCCAACATCCCTTCCTCTATACCCGATGAGAAAGTATCATGCCTCTAATGATGTTTCAATGCGCAGGAAAATACCAACTGCAAGTCTTCCCTGACGCAGGTCACTTTATACAAGAGGACCAACCCGCGCGAACGGCCCAGATCTTAGTTGATTTCTATAAGCGAAATGACCGCAGCGCGCTGGTTCTGCCACCCAAGGTCGCTGATATGCAAGCATTCGCGGCGATGAAGAAAGGGCCAGGGGCTGGTGGTCCTATAGCCAAGCCCGAGGGCGGGAGGACAGGATATTTGAAGAGGTGAACGGATAGAGCGCATTCATGAATAAATGCGCTTTAATGATATCCACAATGATATAGAGCGCGAGAGACGCTATCCTTGGAAACGGTATACACAGGAAGACGAAGGATGCGCTACGCTACACATGACGAAAGCCACACACACACATATATATATTTATACCAAGATTATGATCCTTTTTGCATTAACCGTATAGCTTGTAGTGATAATGATAATACATATCCAATATGGGTATCCCATCCGCCCAGCCTCGCGCCAGTCTACGCTCTCCGTAGATGTGTTTCTTTTAGTAGATAGATGATGATTCTTTTCATCAGGTAAGGGGTAGATAAGCGCCACCAGCAATAATCAAGTTCATGTTAGTGAACTTGACCTTGTACACGGGGCTCTTCTTCGTCGGGAACGCGCTGATTTGATCTGGGGTAACGACGACGTCTTTGCCCTTTTTCTTGCCCATGCCTGGACCGACAGCGCTGGAGGTTTGCGTGCTGGTTGTTGTCGTAGCGGTGCCATCGATCTTTGTCCCGGCGCCGCCTTCACCAACGACGCGACCCTGTGATGAGTCCTGCGAGGGACCAGTGACGTCCCAGACACGAACTGTGCCATCTGCGCCGCCGGATACAAGGACACTGGACTCGACGCTCCAGCTAAGCGACCAGATGCCGCCCTTCCCGTGGCCGCGCATGCGCTTGAGCAATCGACCGGGCCCGAGGTCCCAGAGAAGGATGGAGCCGTGGTCGTCGGCGGATGCGAGGGTTTTGCCGTCGCGGCTGCAGGCGAGGGCGGTGATGTTGCCTGTGTGACCTGTGAACAGGCGCACTGCGTTACCTGTGGTGACGGACCACATGCGGACGGTGTGGTCGGAGCTGCCGGTGAAGACGTATGCGGAGTTAGGGTGGAAGCAGACGCAGTCGACGTCCTGATCGTGGCCGACGAAGATGCGTTGTTGTCGGATGTGATCAGTCACCCAGAGACGGGCGGTCTTATCGTGGCCGCCAGATACAAAGTAATGCCCAAATGGACCCCATTGGAGATCCCAGACGGGTTGGTCATGGCCTTTGTATACGACCATGCACTGCCAGAGGTCGAGGGACCAGAGTCTGATGGTTTTGTCTGCGGAGGAGGAAAGGAGCCAGCGGGCGTTTGTGGGAGCGACGGCGCTGTCGGTGCTGGTAGCTGATGGGGCGAATGCGACTGCATAGATTGGCCCGGAGTGTCCAATAAGACGGCGCGAATTTGACGGGTGGTCATCCGCGTTATCGTATTGTGAGGTGATCTTCTTTCCGTCTAGGCTCCAAACTCGGATGTATGACTCTTGCATGCCAGCTGCAACGAGCATATTATCATCCGAGAAGTCCAGACAGTTGACCCTAGACTTGGTCAGTAAGCTCATTTTAAGAAGTCAAAGGCCAGACAAACCCATCGAAAGTGTTATGAAAAGTAAACATGCAGACACTAACGGCAGGACCAACACCACCTGTTCTCGATTCGATGCGAAACCGGTCACGGTTCTCCTTGACCTTTTGAACTTCCATAGCCACATCCCGCGCAGTAGATGGAGGGTACGGGATATCCGCGCGCGTGGGGGCTTCATCGTCATCCTCTTTCTTGATGATCTGGTCAAATTCCTGGACCAACGTATTTTGACCAGGCCCCGGTGGGTTCTTCATATCCTCATCCGCTAACTCGGCACGGACATCACCCTCAAGAGCCTGCTCCATAGGAAGTCTCCCCAGTTTCAGCCGGGTCAAGGCTCCAGCCATAGCAGGGTTATCACCCGTGTATGCAGAGCCGGGGTGGTGCCCTGGAATACCCTCGTCTTCTGTGGGAAAGCTCTGGCCCATACCAGCCTGGGCAAGCATTGCCGCAAAGCTGAACCTATCATCAACGGCACGTTCCTTGGTAATGATGGTGCAAAAACTGCTAAGAATAGCCGACATGACGGACCCGCCTTCCTTCTGTTTGCTCTCAAGGAACTGCATTAGATTGGCAAATGCGGGGTTGCTAAGCACCAGGCGATACTTGTTGCCACGGTAGACTTTGGCAATTGAGTTTTCTTGCACATGCTCTGGTAGGCTGATAGGCTCCAAGGCTCGTACATCCTCGGTGTGTTCGGGTAAAAAAAGATTTTTGTTGACATCAAAGAACTGGCGAGCCTCTGGAGCATAGAAAGAGGTCACCATATTGAGAAATGAATAGACAAAGAGCGGCCATAAGACACGTCTGAGCTCAGGCTAGAGATATATTAGTATCCGCAGGAGTAGTAGGCACATAAAAGGCGCACCTTGTACAAGTCCAGATTGTCTTCAACCCAGACCTTGATCAAATCTAACGAGGCGCATCAGCTGTGCTCACAGAGAGAGCTTAACGGCACAAGCAGTCTGGCGCCCTACCGAAACCCATCCTGTACTTCGGACGCGCATCCTCCCCCAAGGGAGGTAACGGCCGGCCGTCAATCTCCTGGTTTGCAGACTCCATCCGAAGCATAGCTTCCGTGCGACTATAGCCCTTTTTGGCCAGATAGTCGATGACCTACTTATATGTTAGAGAGAGATATATATAGAAACAAACGACAAACACCGCGAACAGGCCATGCGGGATGCATGAACTCAAATTCCGCAGTGGACCGAGCTGAGATGCAAACACTCACAATCTGATTCAGGTTTTGCTGAGACATCGCGCCACTGGGCGGCGGTGGAGGAGGCCCCGGTGTAGGCGCCCCAACAGGCGTCGTAGCCATCTGCTGCTGAGGAGGCATTGAGCCGCCAGCACCGGAGCCCATACTCCCAGTTCGGGGAGCAGGGCTCGGGGCCCCGCCAGGCGCAGACATGTTCTCTTCTCCTAAGACGCTCTCAGTCTGCCTATCCTGTTGGGGGTGAGGAGAGTTGAACGCGTGGGAACTTGAGGTCGATTTGCCGATGCGCGACAATGAAGACGTGAGAGACGGAGATGGATTCTATTCATGCATCTTTTTGATTTGATAGAAGTTGAGGGACGTCGCCCTGGGCTTAGGTAAGCGGTCAATCCAGCTCTCCCCACAGCTCACACGTGACTTTTGGTCATTTGAGATCGGGGAAACAATGCTTCACTTGAAGTCCCTAAGTATACCTCAACAAACCAAGATTTACAGAAACAAGATGGCAGACGGAAATGACTCCAACGGACAAGTCAAAGTCTTTACCTCTGCAGACCGCATCCGCCAATTGAACGAAATCGACAAGGTACGATCACCGCAAACAAGTCTCCAACAGCATATCCATTCAACAATGGTCTTAGAGCCTGCCTCTAACCTTCTCTCTGCTTATGTAGGATGTCGCCAAACTTATCCACTCCGCCGGCCTCGCAATACAAGCACTCACAAACGCACGAGCGGGCGATTTGTCTGCAACCGATACCTCTCTCGATTCACACAAAGCTCGATTCAAAGAAGCTACGTCACAGTACTTTGCCCTGCTCTCGTCTATCGATGTCCGGTTACGCCGTCAGGTCTACGCGTTAGAGGAAGCTTCGATACTTGCGCCGGATTCATCTTCACGGGGCGGCGATCTTGCGGGCGCGGGCGCGGGGGCCTCGAATGTGTCAAACCCGTTGGATGTGAGTTGGTTGAACAGTCGGAAGGATACTGTGGGCAAGGAGAAAGAGGCAGAGCTTTGGGCCGCTGCTAGGGAATTTGTTCAGCAGATGGAACAGGTACAATCCGGGGATAAGGACAGAGTAAAGGTAGAGGGAGGGCAGGAGAACATGGAGGTCGATTAAACCGCCAGCCAGGGGTACAATCCACTCTTTGTTATGTCTCGAAGAGAGTCACCGTGATTGGAGTCGCCTTTGCATTTCTCAGGCATGAATTCTTTTGACTTTTGTCCTCTGTTTAGGATGACTATGTTGCGTCCAATACAGAAGGAAGCATTTATGATACCCACACACTAATGCATTGTGAATAATTCTGACATGTACGGTGAGGCGTTTTCGTTTGTTATTTCCAAGGACCAAACTGAACTGTAACTTCCGAATGTACAATAAATAATGAATTGGCGTCTCTAAAAGTACAAAGATGCCATTGATACTGAACGAAAAACGCTACTACCACGGAAACGAAGATGCAGTCTACCGCTGCAAAGATCGGATCATCTCTTGCTGGGTAGCTCTGTCTCTGTTTGTTTCCGATAGCGGAGCGAGGCCTGTAGAGTCAATCAGCAATCGAGTCGCAGCCAGGCAAAAACAATAACTTACTCCTAAGCTCGCCAACAACATCCTTGGCTTTCCCAAAGTAAACCTCCTCTATAAGTACAAATTAGCAAGCAAGCCCCGAATCATAAGAATACCACGAATTACGTACGTAGCAAGTTCCTCATCTTCAACTCCATATCCTCCACCAATCGCCCAACGTTAGCAACATGGCTGACGTCCGACTCAACAGGAAGATCAAGCTCAATCTGCCTAGTCATATTTCCGCTCAGATCCATCTCGCCAAGAGCCTCGGTTTCGTTGGCAAGATGCAGGATTACCGTGCTGGTGAGCTTGTAGTGGGCTGCTCGTCCTCGGTCGGTAGCTTCGAATACGTGGATGCTGTCCCATTCACCGGACTGTTTTCCGCCGGGCGATGTTCCTGTTTCGCGGTTGCGGATTAGTATTTGAGGAGAGATCCCAGCAAGCTGTCCACTTTATCGAGTAGCTTACCCTTTTTCAAGAGGATAACACCGGCGAATCCATCGTCCAAATCCCAAAAGTACACACTCCCAACGCCGCCCTCGTAGTAGAGCTCCCGGTAGACATCAAACGCATCGTTAGCGGCGACCTCTAGCTTCCGTACTCTCTCACTCGGAACTGTCCCGTCATCGAGAGGGGGGTCGAACTCGTTGCTCCAGGGAGACCTGTAGCTATCGCCATCGCGGTTATAGTCGCAGAGCAGGTAATCGCGCTTTGTCTTGGGGCATCGGCGGATCTCGAGCGGCTGGTCGACAGAGGAGAGAAGATCTTCGGTGAGGTCAGGGACGATGGAAGTAATAGCCTGCAGATTCTGCTTTGTATCGCGGGGATTCAGCCGCCGGAGGAGGTCGCTGTAGTAGGCATTATTGTCAGCCAGCGGGAGCTACACGCGGGGTTGAATGGGATTCGGGGTACGAGTGCCTCTCTCGCTGTTCTTGGGAGGAAGGGAGATCCTGGGAGCATTGGCACAGGTAGAGAAAGTGGTGATACTAACAGCGCACTATCGAATTGAGCGTCGGCCATGATTATGGAGTTTTTGGAATATGATGTAGCTGTGTTCTGATGCTGTTTACTTGCTTGGTTTCGAGGTGTCCCTGAAAGGCGGCCAGAAGGTGCGTGGACGCAGCAGCCCATGAGGTGGAATTAGATTCTCCACCATCGACCCCAATGACGATAAGCTTCTGTACAGAAATATCGCTCGAAATGAATAAAATACAGGTAACTAGTTCCAAGCGGGCTTTAGTCGTTCTAACATTATTCGTCACTATCGTCATCAATCACAATTCTCCTCCTCTTCCGGGATAGTGTTTGCGTCCGACCCGGCGTGATGAAAGTTTCTGGGTCAGGCAGGTCTAAAAAGTCATCAACAGCAGTGACAATCTGGCTAACTCGACGTGGAGGATGAAAAGGCTTTGATCGCCGAGGACTATTAAGTACCGAGAACAGTTTGCTTGGAGATGGCGGTTCAGCATCACTATCGCTCTCCACGAGATTCTCGGTGTCTTGCAAACGACCAGGTCTGATAATTTTCGGTCTGGGGTATTGTGAGGTTTGGCTGTCTTCGCTAGTTCGCGGTATTGAAAAGACGGCAGAGTCCTCATATAGAAATTCGGTTTCTCGAGCTAGAACTTCCTTGAACCGCTCTTCACAATCTGGTGTGACTTGATTCATCCTCTGCAAGGCGCCGATGACACGTCGCGTGAGGGAACCATGCTTCACTAACTTGGTTGGACGTTGGACCAGCTGGAGACGCGGGAAAGCATCGCTTCGGGGATAGCGAATGAATTGTGGAGTTGTGCCTCCTATATCCTGATAATGACGCTCAAGATCATTTTGCTGAGCTGAAGTGAGCAAGACTTCTGCAAGGTCTGGAACTGGGACAGGTTCTGGAGTCGGTGCCCGGGGTTTAGGCTTTGACTTTGCCTTTGCCTTCGCCTTCAGCTTTGCTGTTTCTCCTAGGCGTGATGCCTTGGTGAAGCCTGTCTCAACATTATCGGGCATATGAAACTGTTTCGGGGGTCTCTTAGGGAGCCGACCTTTCCTTTTCTTCGGCTCCGGCAGATCACCAGTTGTGTTCTCTTCTGGAATTTCAATTTGACGTTTGTCGGGTATTGGCTTTATTCCAGCGGGCAGTATTCGTGGGGATATCTCGTCATGGAAGGAGAATTGCGTGCCGCTTGCTATCAGTTCCTGCATTTTCTCATAGTTATCTCTTGCCTTAAGGTAATTCTCCTCCTCCTTGCCTTGCATCAAGAGGAGAACGATGTTTCCTGCTCGCTTGCGGCCAGTTCGTCCCATGCGTTGGAGCATGCGAATCGGAGAAGCGGAGGCATCATAACACACAATCAGGTCAACTTCTCCTATGTCCAGTCCTTCCTCGCCGATGGAGGTTGCCACGATGGTGTTGTAGGTCCCGTTCTTGAACTTTTGTATAATATCGAGTTGAGTCTTCTGGCCCATTCCTTCAGAGCCTTTGGCGCTGCTCTGCCCAACAAAAACATGCGGTCGAACCATCGGTTCGTGTCTTTTCAGAACTCTTGTTACCTCTTCAGCACTGTCACGGAAGTGCACAAAAATCATCACCCTAGTAGCCGATTGTTCGCCAGCATCCAAGAAGTGGTTCAAGACAACCTGCTTCAGATATCCCAACTTTGGATGTCCGATAAACTCGGGGTTCTTAGACCACGGTCCAAGGTAGTTCAAAAGTTTCACAAAATGCTCGTCTTGTACAATTTGGCGATGGTACTTGCCCTTTTTCTGTCCGTCGGAGCCCGATTGAAAGTGTGTGAGGTGACGGTACAGTGGAGTTATTCCATGGTACTTGAGTAAGTCGATACCATGTGCCATGCTCGCGAGAACCGTGAATATTGCCATGACCTTTCCCTTCAAGCCTAGATTTGCATTTCTCCCAGCATCAGATGCCATCCATTGCTGTCTAGCCTTTGTCAGACCGAAGGGGGTCAATGACATGGCATCCCTGCCCCAAAAAGCATTCAGCTCCCGAAGCTGATCGACAAGGGGGTTTAAGGTGCTGGATAAGAGATCCATGCACACGATCATCTCGTCAGAGTTTTGGAAAGTCTGAACGTCCGTGTGCCTCGCATGCACGTATTCTCTGATATCAAGAGACTGTTCGGTACGTATCTCCACTTTGGAAATCTCGAGGCCATCGATAACAGCTTGAACAGACTCAACAGTTGACCCTGGTGTGGCTGTCAAAGCGAGGACCCGAAAGCTTTGGTTGAATCGTCGGAGGAATTTCACGACCTCCACATAGGCATAGCGGCCCGTAGCGCGGTGAGCCTCATCCACCACTAGTAGCACGATCCGCTTGGGATCAGCTATCCCGGACTTGAGGTCGTTAGTGAGAGTCTGGGGTGTCATGAAGAAGACGCGTCTGCTTCTCCATTCTTCTGCTCGTACTCCTGGAGGAGCATCACCTGTGAGCATTGTGGTTTGAGATCGTGGAATACCTGCGATTTGGTAACATGCAGATATCTGCTGAGATACCAGCGGTTTTGTTGGAGCAACGAATACTATCTGAGCGTCTTGGGTCCAGCGAAACCAATTGAGCATAATGGTGGCCGCAATGAAGGTTTTCCCCAAGCCGGTGGGTAGTGCAACAAGCGTATTATGAAATAGGCCTCTCTGGGAAATATTGAACTGGTAGTCTCGGGTCCTGCCTAAATTCGTAGGAAAAACCCATGTTTCCAACTTATCCTGGTTCAATTTGTGGTGGGTGGGCCGTTCGACCTTCTCTGGAGGAAAGAATACCTGCTCACCACGCACAGGTTGCGTTGCTGGGTTCCGAGGGGCCATATCATACAATGTTGTTTGGCGGACGCCTAGTGGGAGACTTCGAGACTGGGAAGTTTTCCAAGGTACCTGCGGGGCAGTGTTCGCGGGCGGCGATAGAGACAGATCTGAGTCGAAGGCATCGTCTGGGATGTCGTCGAAAAGATCAGTTGTGTCAGAGGCAGGAAGGGAGGAGACGTTTGAGTCTTCTCGAGCAAGAGAAACCATGGGCTTTGACGACTCTTCCTCAAAAGACTGCAGTGAGGCTTCTATTGCGGCTTTCAGGTCTTCATCACTGCCATCCAAATGGTTTTGCACTTGTGGCTGTTCGCAAGTTCGATGCCCGGCGACCATCCCAGTCGCTGAGTGAATGACAGGAGGGTTTGAATCAGGCTTCTTCCATCGCGGTCCACGGATTCGTTCAGGAGGCGAAGCAGGTTGTGTTAATTGTGTGACGAACATGTTCTCTCGAATGGTGGTCTGCTTTGGAACAAACACCTTGTACTTGGACTTTTGCTGATCGGGAAAGAGGTATGGCGCCTCTTCAGCTGATGAAGGCTCATCCACATTGTTCTCGCCGTCTGAGTCGAAGCCAGGCCCATAGTCGTCGCTTTTATCGTCATCTCCCACACTCTCGCGACGCGCGCTCCCTGCTGTTTTTTGGTCGCTCAAACGGCGTCGTTTGGGCGATCTCGGAGAGTCGTCATCGTGGGCCACAAAGTCGTCCAAGTCATCATCCAAATAGTCACATACACAGTCATCGATGCCCGACATATCGAGGTGGACAATGCTTGTGGGGATAACGCGGAATGACGGACTCGAGGCGCGACGCGAGGTATCACGAAATCAGGTGACATGACTCGTGTTGCCTTAGGCCGGACTCGAGATTTCCCTTCTCGCTTGGCCAATTGCATGACCGCACTGAGCGAGATTGGTGGGCTCTCTCGCGGCCAACCGGGACCCATAATGGCCTCGTCCTAGACCCCGGATTTCCCTCCCTCTCGACTTTGGAATCTTCTGGCCCAAACAAGAATGAGCGCTACACAGCAGCCACCGACACATCACATTGCATTGGCGCCTCGCCCGAGTGGCCCCTAATCACGACCAGCCTATTGCCTCCGCCTCCGAACTGAAAATGCTGAAGCAAAGAGTCGGGTTTAATTTGAAAGGGCCGTTCAGATGATCCGATCTGGTCGGGCCTGTCGCCCGAACCAGGGAATTGATCGGTGCCACGGCGAAGAGCAGTGAAACTCAGCTAATAGAAGGCCGCCATGCGCGACAAGCCCGACGGGGGTTTCAATAATAGCATCAGAGCAAGGTGCCTGAAGCTTTCCAAGGTTCTGATTCACGGTCGACGCTGGCCTCTCGTGTTGCACCAGCAGCTAATTTCACCTGTGCTTGGTCCTGTTTTGCTTTTTCGCCCTCGTTTGTCTTGTTATCTTTATTTCTTCGCTTCTCTTTTCTTCTCTTCTTCTCACTTCCTCTCCATCGTCTCTCGTTTGGTCTCACTTCCAACCTCGTTCCTTTCCAATTCTCGATCTCACCCATTCCCAACGTCTGTCGTTTCTGCCTCATCAATATGAAGCTCTCTCTTGTTGCTCTTTCCTCGGTCCTCGCCCTGGTCGCTGCCCAGGAGTCGTCCAGCACCACTTCTAGCCCCCCTGCCACCACCAGCTTGTCTGCTGCTCAGCAATGCGTTCTCGATTGTATGCGAGCAATCCTTACCCCAAAGCTTGTGCCTTGGACTGACAACACTAGGCCCCGACGACGACATTTGCTGCAAGGCCGAATGTGTTGGGGTTCCTTGCCCCAGCGACGAGCAGGCTAACGACACCAACGACTGTGTTGCCGAGTGCGACCAGGGTGATGGCTCTGAGGCTGACATTGCGGCCTATGCTCAGTGCCAGGCCCGCTGCTACACCACTCACTTCTTCCCTGCCACCGCCACCGGTGGTGCAGGCGCCTCCAGCACCAGCAGTGGCTCCTCCGCTACCACGACCGGCAGCTCGTCTGACAACTCTGATGACTCCAACGACTCCAACTCGGATGACTCTAACTCTGGTGAGTTTCCCCGCACTTGGGCGTTGTCCTGCGCACTTGCACTAACAGCCTCGCAAAAGACTCCGAGTCTTCTTCCTCTTCCGATTCCGAGTCTCCCAGCTCGACCTCCGACGCTGAAGACCCAGAGGACACCAACGCTGCCTCCCTCGCTCAGATCAAACTCGGCGCCTCTGCCGCTGGTCTGGCCGGCTTCCTTCTGGTTGCCTGGGCTCTGTAAGCGGTGGAAACCAGTGAATGAAGGCGCGCTCGTGATGTGAATCTTCGGGCGCGTCCGTACGAGGGTCATGGCGTCAAGCGAGGCATGGATGGGATGGGCTGCACGGAACATAATCTAATGGTTGTCTACATAGTCTTTACTTTCTCCACTGTTCTAATAATCTTTCGATTTGAGGATACCATATTTTGTCACTGGAGATTCTGGATTTGAACAATACCTGTAACTTATCGCACCTGACCGGTTACTCCAACTCTTTGCCCAGCACTACTGCACGTATGTTGTCGAGTATCTTCGACTCATGGAATTCAGCACGCCACGCCGATCCGCGTTAGTACTTAGTGGCATCACAGTCACCTTCTGATCTTCTGAGCGCCTGACCCATCAGACCCATGAAAATGGTCATCTAACCAGACCCTTTCTTGACTAACTTGGTGGAGCATTCATGCCCCAATCCCAATACAGTTCCCTCCTCTTTTAGTTACTCGAAGCTGAAGAGGGGAATCTGCAATCATTCGTTCAATTGAACGGAAGCACCCGCTGCAAGAGGGAAATCCCCATCTCGCGAGGCCACCAGACCCCAAAATTAATCCATCGTTCCAATACCACGTCGCTAACCCCGACGCGTTTTTCACCGAATGCAAAAATAATTCACGCGTCATGTCACTCTTTCAATCGAAATCTCACCCTGACTCCAATTCCAAGTCAAATTTCGAGTCATAGTCACAGACACAGTTTTGCGTTCTCGCCCTCGATCGTGAGAGATTCGACGCAGTGATCTCCGACAGAAAAGAGGAGACTTGTCCTAGACGTTATCAAGCAAAAATCGAAGCCCTTTTTTGAGAAGATTCATGACGTTGCAGTTCTTGGTCTTTCTGTAATAAGAGACCTCGAGAAGCAGGACAACTCGGAGGACAAAAGAATAGGACGCTGGAAATCTGAGCGCCATCTGACATTCGGTGTAATCATTCTTTTAGATGGCCTGAAAGAGGACGAGAATAAAGACACGGAAGACGAAGAAGCGACGGAGTCCTCCAGAGACTCGACGCGACAGCACGTCCCACAACCGCAACTGCCCGTACAACAACAACGCATTAACCGTGCCCCTCGACGCGTCTACGCACGAGCATTCGAAAGCCCGACTCCGGTCGCACCTAAGTTAGCAAGATCAACTGGGGAAGCAATCCAGAGAAAGCGAAAATGGAGTCTGCCGCAAACACCCGAGGAAACACTCACGACGGAGGATCAGACAGCGCAAAGAAGCACACGGAGACGTCTGCAGCTGCGCTGATCGCGTCCATTGAGGCCTTCGTGGTTGAGTGCATGAAGGATTACGATCCCAGCCATAACCCCGCGCATATTCGACGCGTCGTGTCGCTTGCACTGCGGATACTGCAAGCAGAAAGAGAAAGCGCCGAGACGGGGACGGCGACGGTGTACGATGACCTGACCGTGCACCTCGCCGCGCTGCTACACGATATCAGTGACCGGAAATACCTGCCAAAGAACTCGGATTCGTCGATCCCGGCGGACAAGCTTGTGGAGCATGTTCTCCTCGAGCACGGCGCGGACGCGACGCTCGCGCAGCGGGTGCAGACGATCATCTCGCACGTTTCATATACGACTGAGAAGAAAGACCCCGAGCGTGTACGTCGCTTGATCGAAGAGGACGGCTATGTTGAGCTTGCGATCGTGCAGGATGCAGATCGGCTGGATGCCTTGGGGGCTGTGGGGATTGGGCGGTGCTTTACGTTCCTAGGGGCCAAGGGACGGGATATGCTTAAAGAGGGTGAGACTTGGGAGATGGAGAATTCGATTCGGCATTTCGGAGAGAAGTTAGAGAGGCTTGAGGGGATGATGAAGACAAGGACGGGGAGGAGGGCTGCGAAGGTCAGAACGGAGAGGTTAGTGGCTTTTCGGGAGTGGTGGGAGGACGAGATGGAAAATATGATTTAGTCCAGAGATAGTTTCCTTATAGAATATAGGAAGAGAATTCCGGGGTTTTCTGTCTATTGATTCACTGGGTATGTAACACACTGGTACCAAAACAGCCAAAAGAATGCAGGGCTCGAGAAGCCAGTGTTGAACGAAACATGCAATTGCAACGCCGCTCATATTAAAAAGGGTATGTGTCTCCAAATGTAGCGGCGAACAGGAGTAAATGATAGTTCAACAAGCAAACCCTAACGCCTGACCAATATAATGTCTAAGGTTTGCGTAGCATCGATGTCTTCTCGATAGATATCATATGTGATGTACTGACTTGAAGTTCAAGATCAGACCCGATCAACGGCGAAATCTAGCACCTCACAGTCATCTTCGAAGAACCCGTCCTCGCCGCTAGCTTGATGCTGCGATAGTGAGTGTTTCTTCTTCCTTCTTGTAGTGATGACCACCTCTTCAACGTTGTTAGTACTGTTGCCCAGGCTGATCAAGTTCTCGATTCCTCCGCTAAATCCCTGCTGATGCTCATGTGCCACATCAAGGCCGTCATCCTCACTTCCGGTACTAATTCGACGGACGTGTAATTTGGACATCGGGATGCTATCACCAAAGACCCACTGACCCGTAGGGACTGGGCCTGTAGAGCCACCTGCCTCTCCCGTTTCAGAGTAGGTAAACAGGTTGACCCTCTGGTCCGTATGGAATGGTTGGTATGGGGCATTGGTTTCGAGCTCAGCTTGCGAAAGTGGCTGGCATTTGAGCTTTGTTGACGCGGACGGTCGTGAATTGTTCGATGGTAGCGCCAGGGATGCGTGAACAGTCAGTTCCGGGTTAAAGTTGCTGATACCCATAGGCCCACAAGGGCTTGACAAATTCGAAGGTAGCCGGAACTCGAGCTCTTTCGAACCAATCACTGACTGCGGCTGTCGTGATTTATTTGACAGCATGGATCTCTTGATTCGGTACAGCCGGAAATAACCGTTGGCCACCAGAGCTAAGAAAGGCTGACCCTTGTAGATGATCCAAGTGACACGAGACGCGGCAGGTTCGCGAGTGAAACCAGAGATGTGTAGCCTGTTTTCACCCACATGCCGCAAAGTATTGACAGTGCCACTCGCGGCAGCTCCCATTGACTTGCTAAGTCCGGCAGCAACCGCCTTGCCACCCATCCCGGCAGCAGCAGGGATGGCAAATCCATTCATGGCGGGGAATGCAGAGCCAGCAGATGGTGCGCGGCCCCTGACGGCCTCTAGGATAGGCTGCGTCTTCCCCCCAACAAGCTTGATCGCTGAGGAAAGCGCACTCGTATTCGTCGTTCGCACAGTTAACTCTTCCGTGGGGTGTTCAGCCGGCGGCTGCCTTCTGCGCGAAGATCGAGCTCTACGGAAAGGAGGCCACTGGAAAGCATTGCGCGGAAGGTCAAAGACATGCACTGTGCCCTTGAGAGTGATAACGGCGAGGCGTTCTCCAGAAGGTGGACACCAGATCACATCCACGATATGTGACTCTGTCAAACGAGAATACCGTGCAACCTGACGCACATTCGCAGATACCCCAGCCGAGTCTTCAGCGAGAAAGACCCCTGCACGGCAAAACTTGGCTTGCATGAGATCCCATACGTATTGAACATCGCCTTTCTTGCTGGCAGTCAAGAGCAACAAGCCACTAGGCGAGAAGGAGAGAAAGCTACAGCCATTCGGCACTTGGAACGTGGCGACAGGATTGAAGAGAATCGCGCTCTTTGTATCTCCGCCGTCCTCGAGTCTCTTGAGATCCAGGATTGAGACAAGATCTGGCTCAGCTGGCGAAGCGGTTTGGGTTTCCTGAGCATGCGTTGGTGGGAAAGCGTTGAATCCCTGCGGCGGAAAGTCCATGACTTGAGAACGACGTTGTTGGGAATTCTGCTGCTGGTCCTTATTCCAGTAATTGTTCCACGCTTGTAAGCCTTGATCACTCATCCAGCGAGCGCCTCGTACAAACTCCTGTGCAACACCCCTGGCTACCTTGTCGAGAAGGCTCTCTCCCTCACCAACGTCGGTTACACAGGTAGTTGCCGGTCGAGACGGCGGACTACGAGTCTCAAGCCCATAGACTTTCCCCTGCACTAAAGGGGCCGGCACCAACCCATTGATAGATGCACGGTATGTTGCAAATGGGGGCGCTATCGCGAGCCACCTTCCCTTGAGTGCAAGTATTGGGGTATCGGCTCTGGTGGCCCCATGAGGTGAGTCATTTCGAGATCCATCCGGATCAGTTGAGCTCGACGAGGTTGAGTACCGTCTCGCCTCTCGTGACTGAATTCCTGTCCAGGTTTTGCCTAGGCACTGGTACGTACTCATACTATAAATATACACCTCTCCACTGATACCAGACGCTAGCACAAGATAGCTACCACTGGCGAGGAGCTTCAGATTTCCGGATGGTGAGGGAGCATAGTTCGCTAGTCCAGGCAGGTTCTCAAAGCACGGGGTAGGGTTCGTTGCGAACAGTGTCGTGATGTGTCCTCCGGTTCGGAGAGAATACACCTCAACTCTCGTTTGATAGAAGCGGGTGTCATCCCTGTTCTGGCGCTTCTCAGCACCCGGATATCGCCCGGTGGCTACAGATATATCATTTGCATCAGAACCAGTGGACGACGCGCGACCATCATCTTCAGCTGGGTTGCATGGTCCGTGAACTATGACAGCAACATGAGGTCGGGAGACGGAGGCAGGGGTGGAGTCAACGCCTGGTAACACCTTTGCCTCAACAACCCTTCCATTCAAACCATTTAATTTCCCAAGCAGGCGAGTCTTCCGGTCCTCGACGGCCAGTACCTCCAACGCACCGTCCGTACCAACCAAAAGAACGATACCGCCTGTCCTGGATGGTTTGAACGAAGGGCTGGAGATTGTGTCAAACGCGCAAAATGAATACTGCCCGTCAACGGGCGACCGTGTTTGGCCTGATAGAGACGGGATATCAACCTCCGGGGCTCGGTAGAAATGGGCCTGCGGTAAATGAGGAGGGGGTATTCGGTCGCTGAATGGGCTGTTGACGGAATGGCTCTTATGCCTGTCCACAGACTGCTGCCGAGAAAAGGCGCTGCTAGAGTAGCCATTTCCGTAGCTCAGGGGCCTTGTCCTTGGAGGGGGAGAGGCAGAAGAAGGGTTGCTGAACCCGCCCTTGTCTTGGGTTGTTAGGAAACCGCCAAAGGGCGAACCGCTGGTGAGATCGTCCTCGAAACCATCGTTTGGGGGGCTTTTCCCAAATGGAATAGACTTCGCCCATGTATTCGTTCGTGACGCAAAGTCCTGCTCGGTTGTGTCCCTGAGTGACTCTAGGGCATCGAGAACCGGCGAAACGATGTTGATATTGTTATCCGGAGGCTCCACAGGCGGATCAGGCTCGGGGAAGGAGGATGGTTCGACCTGAGACACTGACGGCGGGGACCCTTCTAGTCTACAAGCATGGGTTAATCTCCATCCACACCTAAGAACATAATACACTTAGTGAGGTAGACTCACAAGTCTTCCACTGGCGCCTTCGAAGCCACTTTGCCCTTATTCTTCCCCTTGGACCCGCTTTTGCTCTTTTTCTTGCTCTTTCCCCCAGTATCATTATCTGGCTTGAGGATATTCGTATCGTCCGCGGAGATATTATCACCTGGGAACCGGCTCTGCTGGCGAAACAAGTCGTCCGAAGCTGCCGGGGGCATTCAAATGGTGGACTGCCTCTATGAGGCAGGACGATCAGGGAAGAACAGCCGCCCTCAGGACCCTTCAAGAAGGTCTGAGAACGGAAGGTCGGCGGTGTAAGTAGAGCTCTGTTCGCAGTCCGCGTCGACGATGCGCTCGAGTCGATGTGTACCTGTAGATCAAAAGAGAGCTGTCAGTGTGACTCATCAAACAGACGTTGTTAACTTATTGCTGCGCGGGTGCTCACACTATTCTCCGGATATAGAGTAGAATATAAGATCAAGAAGATGACACGGCAAGCGAGCTGGTAGTTGGTGAAGGAGTCGAGACAACAGGGTATCTCGACGGGGTAACTCGGCGATACGCGTCGATCCGGAGAATGGGGACGCTCAGCTTTGGGTTGACCAGAGCTTCGGAAAGGGCCAAGGATAGCAATGGTGAATAGGTACGGAATGCGCAAGTCGAACCGAGGATCAGAGTTCAGAGGCAGAGCAGTAAGTTGGTAAGTTGTAAGGAGGTTGGGGGTCGATAGGCGATAGTAGAGGGGGTGATGATGGTGAGGGGTCAGGGGAATACTAAGAGCCTGCGAATACCGTTTTGGTAGACTGACAACGATTCAGGACTGTAATTTATCCATGACTTTCCGATCATTTTCAGGTAACGAACTAATCATGTTAATACTAGTAACCCATCCTTCAAGTTTGGTCTTGCGCCTCCCTCTACCTAATGCTCATGACGAGGAGCGGGGTGACGATTGGCTGGTGGGGAGACAGAGCCATGACTCTTGTAACATGACGCAGACAATAACAATACCCTTATCCCAGCATCTCACACAGGACAGCATCCATAGAGCTAGGTAAGGGTTATACGGAATCTAAAGTGCCATAACTTTAGAAATCTTGATGATGTACCTCCCATCACCTGTTTGGGCGCACAATACTACTATGCTTACCGAGTACAAAACAATACAGCCCCTTACGCAGGACACATGAGGGGTAATCCGGGCAGACTGCCTAGAACCAAACATGGCAGACACATCTGTATACCACGGTTCCTGACCGTCTCTTCTATGGTTCATTTCAAGGATGACCGTTTCTAGCCGCCATTTGGCAAGCACTCGCGTGTCCCGTGACCTAGATCACGAGCGCTTGAATGTCATCAGCTGTGCAGCTGAGAGATCATCCCAAGGGGTCAACTGCACAGTGACGCTTATGCCCAGGTGGTCCTCCGGGTGTTTCATTCTCCTCCTGTTCCCTTCCAAGTATGCAAGCTAACACGTGTGATTCTTCGTCTTCAGGATTGCGTCCTAGGGGATATTATATAAAGAAGCTTCTCGTACAACAAACGCCCCAGGATTGTTGCCTCCGAAGGTACAGCATTATAAAAGTGATAAAAAGTATTGGTACAGGTAAAACGTTAGGCCAGCAACCCTGGGGCTCGGACTCCCCCATACACCGGTGAATGCTCGGCTATCCGGTATGACGACACTCAAGTCTTCTTCTTCGCAGCAGCCTTCGCCTTGGCGGCCTTCTTCTTGTTGCTATTGATCATGACGATTCCGATGAATGTCCCAACAACAGCTGAGCCCAGGAGAGTAAGGAAGACGGGAATGCGGATCGCCCATACGCGGGGGAGGAAGAAGGCATGGAGGGGATGGCCAGGGTCGACAAATGGCTTGTAAACTGTTAGCGAATTCTTGACGAAGTAGAAAGGCTAAAGAAGCAGATACCATCAGAAGAGTCCACGCCGTGTAGTAGAGAAAGATCGCGGTAGCGGCCAAAAGCATGGCGGATCCAACGAGTTGGCCCAGCTAGACAGCGCAAGTCAGCAAATTGAGATCGGTCATTCTCATCAAACGATCAGAAGTAAAGTAAGATCCTCACCATAGTGACAATAATCTCAGACCAAACAACAGGCAAAGACGGGTCTTGAAGAGTTTCGTTGTATACGCGACAGGAGACTCGGCCAGCCTGGCTCCTGAAGAGTCACGTGAGCAGTCGCGCTAAGTCTTTTATCCTTCGCGACTTCGCCGCCTCACACTCCGTCCGAAGAACCTTAACAGCTCGAAATCTCGGGCCAACCACAAACTTTTCACATCGCACCGAGGGCGCAAGGAAGATGTCTGACCCAGTTGTCTTGCAGTCGGCAGTGCGAGTGCCCACGCCGCCCCCCGGCGCTTCCTACTCCCCTCAACCGTCCGGGTCACGCAAGCGATCGCCTCCCTCTCGCTCACCTTCCCCGAACCGGCGACCTTCACCTCCTGGTGACTCACAAGGAGCTGATGGCGATGTGCCGCATATCGATTCGGAACGTGCGATTGAGCGCGAGCGCCAGCTAGCGGAGCGGCTCCGCCAACATGAGCAACAGGAAGCTGCTCGAAAACCGATGACGGAGGAGGAAAAGCAGGCCGCCGCTAAAGCAGAATACGAAAAGCTTCTGAACATGCGGTCGGGCGGTACTTATATCCCCCCTGCGCGACTTCGTGCCCTACAGGCACAAATTACAGATAAGACCAGCAAGGAGTACCAGCGGATGGCGTGGGAGGCATTAAAGAAGTCGATCAACGGTTTGATCAACAAGGTCAACGTTTCCAATATCAAATTCATCGTACCAGAGCTATTTGGTGAGAACCTGGTACGAGGACGGGGTCTGTTTTGCAGAAGCATCATGAAAGCTCAGGCAGCCAGTTTGCCATTCACACCAATCTATGCAGCAATGGCGGCAATTGTCAACACCAAGCTACCACAGGTAGGAGAGCTGCTACTGAGCCGCTTGATTATTCAGTTTCGGAAGGCTTTCAAGAGGAACGATAAGGCAGTGTGCATATCATCCACGACATTTATCGCTCATTTGTGTAATCAGCAAGTCGTGCACGAAATGCTCGCCGCGCAAATACTGCTCCTCTTGCTTCACAAACCCACCGACGACAGTGTTGAGATTGCAGTTGGACTGACGCGAGAAGTCGGTCAGCATTTGGAAGAAATGAGCGGCCCTATTGCCTTGGCAGTGTTTGACCAGTTCCGAAACATCCTGCACGAAGCCGACATTGACAAGCGTGTACAATATATGATTGAGGTGCTATTTCAAGTACGCAAAGACCGATATAAAGATAATCCGGCTGTCAAGGAGGAGCTTGACCTGGTGGAAGAGGAAGATCAAATTACACACCGAATCGGGCTGGATGACGAAATCGAGACACAGGACAGCTTAAACATTTTCAAGTTTGATGCGCAATGGGAGGAACATGAGGAGGCGTATAAGAAACTCAAGGCAGAGATTCTAGGCGAGGGAAGCGATGATGAGGACGAGAGTGACGGGGGCGACGAGAGTTCGGACGAGGAATCCGAAGAAGAGCGGCAAATGGACATCAAGGACCAGAGCAATACCGACCTTGTGAACCTGCGTCGAACCATTTATCTGACGATCATGTCCAGTATCGACTTTGAAGAATGTTGTCACAAGCTGATGAAGATCTCGCTGCCAGCTGGACTGGAGCCCGAGCTTCCATCGATGATCATTGAATGTTGTTCCCAGGAGCGTACGTTCTCGAAGTTTTATGGTCTCATTGGTGAGCGGTTCGCAAAGATAAACAGACTGTGGTCGGATCTCTTTGAGAATTCGTTCGCCAAGTATTACGATACTATTCATCGATATGAAACCAACAAGCTGCGCAACATTGCTCGTTTCTTTGGGCACATGCTAGGCAACGACGCAATTGGCTGGCATGTTCTATCCATCATCCATCTTAACGAAGAAGAAACGACGTCAAGCAGCCGTATCTTTATCAAGATCCTCTTCCAGGACCTCGCAGAGCATCTTGGTATTCCCAAGCTACGCGAACGCATGACAGACGAGATTTTGCGTCCCAGCTTCGACGGGCTGTTCCCACTAGACAACCCTCGCAACACCCGCTTCTCCATCAACTACTTCACCAGTATCGGTTTTGGTGCACTGACGGAAGAGATGCGGGAGCACCTGAAGAACATGCCCAAGCCCGCGCCCCCTGCCTTACCTCCAGCTCGCGACTTGGACTCGGAGTCTGTCAGCTCCCGTTCGTCTTTTTCGTCACGCTCCCGCTCTTATTCCCGCTCTCGCTCCCGTTCATACTCGCGCTCGCCATCGCCGCAACGTGACCGCCGACGTTCGATCAGCCGGGGCAGGTCCTACTCGCGATCCCTGTCCGGTTCCCGCCGCAGCTACACCCCAAGCTCCTACACCGCATCTCAATCCAGATCACCAGCTCCACGGAGTCGTCGTCGACGCTCCGTTTCTTACAGCCGCTCGCCATCCCGCAGTCCTCCTCGTCGAGGTGGCCGTGGACGAGCCGACTCCCGCTCTCCGCGCCGGAGCCCAAGCCGCAGTCTTTCTCGATCTGTTAGCCCTCCCCGACGAATCGGCAGAGCCCGCAGCTACTCCCGATCGCCATCGCGTTCCGTCTCCCCTCCGCCCCGCCGCACGGCCAGACGTTACTCATCAGAGTCTCTCTCACCACCTCGGCAACGTACCGAGAGAAGCATATCCCGCTCCCGTTCGCCTCGCCGCCCGCCTACTACCCGTCGTGGCCGGGATCACTCAGTCTCTCGATCGCGCAGCCCGCCACGCTACGCAAGGAACCAGCGGCGACGGAACTCCAGTTCAATATCTCGTTCGCCGTCCCCACCGACGAGACGGAGGGCTCCATCTTCTACACCACCGCCCCGTCGTTGAGTATAGTCTTGGGTTATTATAGGTTAGGCAGACTGCAAGCGCCATGGAAATGGAGGTATCTTAATTGTAATGGTGTAATCTATTACCATTAACTATAACACGATCCAGTTGAGCGCTGTTCTTTACCATTTTTCACTTCTATTGCTCTATGTTTGGTAGCTTTCTTCGTTATAAATCATCCTCCTCCACCTCACCTGCCTCCCAAACACACCTTCGACACAAGCACGCTCCTCCCAATGCCCCCGCTGCCCACTCCCTCCTCTCCTTTACCCCCAAGCCCACATCACAATAATGGTTCAGGATCTCCGCATCCTTCTTAATCCCCTCACCGCGCCCCTTTTCCTCCCTCTCCTCCCATTCCACTTTGCCTTCTTTCTCCGCCTCAGCCTTCACCCTCCTCGCCCTCCCCCACTTGACCCTTTCCTCCTCACTTCTAACCACAAAACAAATCTCACCACCCCACTCCCACCTCACATTCGGATCACATGAGTGATTCGCCAAACACCACAGTGGATGCACAGCACACAATTCGGGACCGCCATCCCACGTCGAAAGTCTGCCCGACGCCGTACCCCGGAACTTCGCATACAGCGTGTTGAACACCCACGTATCGTATTTACTCAGTGTAACATACGGGTCAAGCTCCATCTCCTCAACAAATCGCATCGGCTGCAGGATGTTGAGCTGGAAGCTGAACGGCAGCGAGCCCTGACTTACCTCTCCAGGAGCCTCGGGGACGAAATCGCCCCAGATATATTTGATCTCAGGGAGTTCGAGCGGGTGGACGTCTTGTGTAGTAGCCATTGCTAGTGCACGGCCCAGGAGCAGCAGGTACAGATAATCCGCCTTATCCTTGGGATCGGGGATATCCTTCCCAATGGCCTCGAGGTTCTCCATGAGGCCGCACACAGCGCCGTGGTAGACCTCTTGCGCGCGATCATGGCAGGTCTCCGAGCAGAAGATCGTGTCAGAGCATTCTGCGCAGGGAAATGCAGGATTTGAGGCGGAGAGATCCGGGAGGGGCCCGTTGCATGCGTCGCAGAGGTCGTCATGAAGGCGGTTTGTCGCTGTTAACAAGGAGGATTCGTGCAGGATTGTTTCGCCAGGATGGAGGTCTTCTTTCGCGAAGAGACCGAGTTGAATCGAGATTTCCTCCTCGGGACTTGCTTCTCCCGCAGGTGCTGAGGAGGGGTGGAGGACGGGTAGTGCCACAGCGCGGACTTCGCACTTTGGCGCGACAGATTTGAGGCGCTCATTGAGCAGAGATAGCGTCTCGGGCGACTTGCGATCTGGTTCATGAGTGTTCCATGGGTAGAGGATTCGGCGCGCGGAGCCTTGCGCTTTTAGGGCACCTGGGGAGATTTCTCCAGACTGTGTCTCGGGATCGACGCCCTCGGAGACGTAGTGGTATTTCTTGATCAGGGAGATTTGATCTTTGAGTTCTTTTCGCGCGGGCGCTGCGGATGAGCCCTCGTTGTCCGTGGTGCTCGATAACTCATCCAACACAGTTAACCCGCGCAGCGCGAACTCGAACCCATCTCGTAGACACCCACACCGGACGAGACTGCGTACAAGAAGCGCATATACGGGACCGATCAACGTGTTGTATTCGTCCGTTGTGATCGGCGCGAAGCCCTCATCCTCCTCCGCGTCCTCCCCTTCCTCCTTCTCCTCCTTCCCCTCCTCATCAGCAGAAGGTACCTCTACCCTCCGCCGCGCATGAAACTCACACTCATCCGGATTAACCACAGAATCCAGCAAGGATAGTGCGCGATAAGCATCCGCAGATGCAAGATCCGGGAACCTCAAGCGTTCATGGACTAGGCCGCGCTCTAGATGTAGATGCGGGTTGTGCGGGTCATTTTGGAGCTGTGATGTAACTGAAGCGCGTTGCGCTAGTGCCTCTTGCATGTTGAGAGTGTGCGCTAGCTCTGTGAGGTGCTGTGTTCTTCCCAAGGTCCTCCCTATGAAGTTGTAGAGATGCACTCGCTCCGCGGATCTATAAGAATCCCCAGATTGAATGGGCAGTGGCGAAAATCGGGTGTTTCGGGCGAAAAGTGGCTGGTTGGTAGATTCTTGCTACCTAATATTTCAGTCGGATTAATTCAGTCTGTATATTATTGCTCACATCCAATTCATCTGGAGTTTGAATCGTGCTCTTGAAGCTGGAAAATTTCATGGTGGGATGGTGGCGGCTTAGTCAAGCTTTATGCATGCTTATCTAGCGCTTTGTGCAGAAATTCAAGTTATGCGTCTCGGTAACCCTACCCTCCGCTGCGGTAGAGGAATGCTTAGATTTAGATCAACCAGACGGTCTTGTAGGCAAGCCAGGAAGATTTCAATTTCTGAAGCAGAATAGTATTGTTCGGCTTTGCTTAAATGGTTTATTTGAGTACGTATGCTGGAAAGCCGGTTCTAACTGTTGACTTAGGGCTATTTTCCCTCTCTCGAATCCCTAAAGTGACACCAGCATCATTTTTTACATTTATCGGCCGAAATACTACGTCAAGACTTACAGAATACCCGAGTCGCGGATATTCTACTATGAGAAAGAGAGTGAGAGAGGGTAAACATGTGTCTGCATCTCCATGAACATCAAACCATCACGGATAGTAGCGGGCTCAAACATTCGGTAATACGCGGGCCGGGGAGGAACCAAAGCTTTCTGGCACGAGGCCTGGGATGGACCGTTATTGGCATTCCTCAAAGCCGACAGCTACTAGTAAGCGGGGAAGTTGAAATATGCTTTAGCTCTAGGACACCTGGTGGAGAACGCAATTGGGAGGCTTGGAGAAACATACGATGTTCCTTATTATATAGTCTTTCTTGATCGCTACTATGTTGACGGATGAAGTATCTAGAGAATACAGAAGAGAATTATCCTGTATATATTTAATGGTTTTCTAAGGGATGGCTATCTTATACCTACTGAATTCGGTGAAAAGCGCCCATTGTGTGCCAACCGCAAACCTCGAATGAAGATGTTATGCCTATCAACTCCACAGTTGGAGAAGCCTCCAAAACACCGCCTCAAACTTAGAAATACACTTTCACTCTCTGGCCGGATACTCCAGGAGTAGCTCGGGAATCTGGGGTAATGTGGGGGAGCCAAGAGTCAAGTATATGGTACCAACCCTGAACCATATATAACATCCCCTTTCTGTCAACCAGATATCCACTTCAGAACCACCCTATCCCTCCACTTTATACACAACCGCGACGATGCCATCAGCCCATGTCGAAGAAGAAAAGCCCAAGATAAATCACCAAGAGTCAATTCCCGACGATGAGGCCCTTAAGCCGCCGCCACAAGAGCCAAATGCAGACTACTCGGGATCGCAGAAGAAGACCGACCCAGAGGAGATCCGGCTCGTGCGCAAGATTGATTTCATCATGATGCCTATTCTGTGGATCATGTATTGGTTCAACTATCTCGATCGAAATGCGATCACCGTTGCGAGACTGGATGACCTAGAGGACGAGTTGAACCTTTCTTCGACACAGTATCAGACCTGTGTTTCGATCCTGTTTGTCGGGTATATCTTGGGACAGATTCCTAGTAGTGGGTTCTCCAATCACCTTTTCTCTGACCCAACTTGGGTGCTGGAAGTACTGACAAGTTAGATATGTTGTTGACCCGCGTCCGTCCCTCCCTCTTCATGTCCGGTGCAATGTGCCTATGGGCTGTCGTCAGCACACTGACCGGAATATGCCACGACTTTAAGGGCCTCCTTCTGACCCGCTTCTTCCTCGGCATAACTGAAGCGCCTTTCTATCCGGGCGCTCTGTACATGCTATCTATCTTCTACACGAAAAAGGAAATCGCGACCCGCATTTCCATCCTCTTCACCGGCAACATCTGTGGCACAGCCTTTGCCGGTCTCATCGCCATTGGCGTCTTCAAGATGGGTGGCGTTGCTGGGCTATCGGGCTGGAGATGGCTCTTCATTCTGCAGGGCATAATCACATTTGTGATCTCGATCATCGGTGCGTTCGTGCTGCCTGATGAGCCACGGAATACCAAATGGTTGACACCCGCGCAACGAGAGCTGGCGCATAACCGTATGCAGAGGGATACGGTAGAAGTGAGGGAGAATACGGCGGCTTGGACGGGGCTGAAGGAGGCGGCCAAGGACCCTAAGCTGTGGGTGTTGACCTTCATGCAGCACTTCCATATGGCCGCCAGCAATTATAAAAACTTCTTCCCAACAATCGTGGAGACGCTCGGATTTAGTCAAAATGTTACCCTTGCACTGACTTGCCCGCCGTATCTGGTTGCCGGAATTATTTCGATTGGGTGGGCGTGGAATTCAGGTTCGTCTTCTTTACACGGGCATTGAAAGACGGCGCTAACAGAGATGACACAGGTCGCGTCAATGAACGTACATGGCACATCACTGCTGCTAAAGTCCTTGCCGTGACTGGCTTCGTCGTCGCTTGTACCACCCTCAACGTGGGAGCACGGTACTTCTCCATGTGTCTCTTTGCTACCGGGGTGTACTGCTGTAACTCGATCATTCTGGGCTGGGTGGCCTCAACGTGTGGGCAGACCAAGGAGAAGAAAGCGTCTTCAATTGCGATCGTCAATACCGTAGCGGCAATATCAATGATTTACACTGCGGTATGTTATCATCCTCATCTGCAGCCGGTATGGCCTGTGTGAACTCACTGTTGCTCTAGTATCTATGGCCGGACTCTGATGCTCCCCGCTATCCGATCGCAATGGGGACAAGTGCCGCCTTCTCGGCCATCTCGGCGATTCTTGCGTGGGTACTCAAAGCAATGCTTGTCAAGGAGAATCGCATAATTCGGAGATCGCATGATGAGCAGACGATGTTTTATGCCTACTGATGGGGTGGGAATCAAATATGTTATTAGGGAGATGAAAGCATCGATATGAAGTTAGATAACACGCAATAACGTCTCATTGGCATGGTACCCGTCTTTAAGAGGCATTTATGAGGACCAACTCTTCGACTGTATTCATTTGGAAAAGGATTTGTGCAAAAGGCATAAATTCTCGAGCCCACCGTTGGTGGCAGTTCTAGCCAGAGCCAGAGAACTGGTCATGCCGTCCGACTGTAGCGCCTGGTCTCTGGCGTTCCTACCATCTGCAGTAACCAAGAGCAACTGCGTGTGACTTAAGAGTCTACGTTGCTACAGTAATGAGCAACGCACGACAGAAAATCTGGCCCATTACTTGTTCAACACCATGTTAATCACTCCCGAAATAGCTATGCAGTGTTCCTCATGGTACCGCAACGCAACAACCTGCAATCCCTGCGGCGCGTTCTCCAACACTTCAGGGCTAGTATCTGTCAAGGTCCAGTTAGCCATCTGTCTCCGTCAACAACAATAACACTTACAAAGCGTCTTCAGGTCAGCATCGAAGCAATCATACCGAAAGCTCGGGATCTTATAATTTGCCTCCTGAGTTTACTATTCCTCCGACGCCCGATCCTTTTCCAAATCGACAATGCCAAAACGGCACAACCAACGGGCATATCCATCGCGTTGTACACCGCACATACGGCCGAGGTGTTGTAATCCCCATGCTACGGCGCCGGGTGTGGCATAGGCGCTGTGATGCGACTAAGAGCATCTAGTCCAAGAAGCAGGTATGCGTCTTGATACCTTTTCCGGAGGTCCGGTCGGGCACGACGGTCAAGCCAGGTCTCCGTCGGCGGAAGAGGTGTTTTGGGCCTGCCGGTGCAGACTCGTAGCACGAGGGGCTCATTAGACTCGTTGAATTCGGCGCAGAGACCCGTCACACCTTCTTTGGTGTACATTTGTACATTCTGAATGCGATGGTGGCGGCTTTACGGTACACCGTGCGCCATTCAGGACCCGAGAGGTCGATTATTTCGTGACCGGCCTGATGCGGAGGCGACTTCGTGGAGTGTGCGGGAAACCGGCGGACTAAGTGATTTATGCTATCATCGAAGAAGAAGCATAGTCTTGGTCTCGCGGCCGTGGTGATGGAAGTGTTCTAGGGAATAGGGATGACAGCCGGGTTGCTGAGCCAGGGCTTTGCAGTGAGAACGACTTCGCGAAAAAATACGAAGAGAAGCAATGTCATTCGCGAAGGGTCTGTTGTTTGCAAAATTGCTGTCAGAGGGCCCCGTGCCGCTGGGAAACCCTGGGATCCGTGCTGCAGTTCGCTTGAGTGTGTATAATCCACTTTACATTGCAGGCATCCGAAGGGATCCGCCACCGTCTGTCACAAGGCCTAGAGAAGAGTCTCTGAGGGTGACAGAAGCGCCTTCGCCACCGGAGTTGCCTCCTGCGCTTAAAGATCGACTCCATGGGCTCAATGTCGTGTCATAGATGTTGTTTGTCGACTCTACCAAGGCAAGCTTGAGACATATTCATCTTAATAAACGGAATGGCCCCAGCATTCGCAGAATTGACACCACGAATGTGGCTTTATTTGCTACATGGCTGATGCACGAAACCAGGCCAGAAATGGTGTAGTGGCCTATGACATCCAAAGGATCTTTGATCGAGATCGGAAGCCCGTGAAGTGGTCCTTCACATTTCCTACAGTGGACCGAAAGTACTCGTCAAAATTTCTAGCTGCGATGATTGCCTTGTTGAAGGAGTTGTCTGTTGCACAACTTAGGGCTTGCTGTGCGAGGGCGGCGCGCTTGCAGAAGACCGTGGACTGTCAGTGTATGTCCCACTCTGCAGCCGGCGAAAGATCTATGGGGTCGGAGTTATGGTTACCTCGAGTTCGTGGGTGTAAGAAAGGAAGAGATGTGGCTACGGTCTTGCACGCAGGCAAGTTCGTGCGCAGGAGGGAATCCGACCAGCCATGCTACTGGAATCCTCCGGCTGAGTGCGTCTTGTCGCGAGGCTGCTTTGGCTTCCAAGTCGGACATTGTGAGACTCGGGCCAAGTAGAATACTGGACGACTGAAAAATATTTCACAAGTATGGTTGGATTCCGTCTTTGTATGCCTGTCGTTGGGCCGCGGCCACATATTACTCCATGTCTTGTTAAACCACTGGAGATCGCAAGGAGCGCTCGAGGAGCGCCGGTTCTACATTGAGTGTGACCTTACGCTTCAAGACACTTACTATGCTCACAGAAAATGCTGACGAATTATGCAGCTAGTGACACCCGTCAACAGGCCTTACAGTAGCCAGACCGTCAGCATGCTGTACAGCCATATAATCTGCTGGAGTTGCATGGCACAGGTGACTATCGATATAACTTATCTAGTCACCGCAGTTGGAGCCTACATCAACCCATCAACAATCTTATTCTCACAATATGACTCTCCCAGGGGCCCTAGGACAAGTCCGTTCCCTTTTCCCACACGCCGAGCCAGACTGGTGGAAAGAAGCGTATAACCACATTTACCTCTGGACGGACGGAGACTGCGTCGAGAGTCCCGTCGTCACCGACGCAGAGTGCAATGCTTTGCTCCAAGTTCCTCGGGTGCAAGCTCTTCTTAACTCTAGCCCGTCGATGCAAGTGTTAGACCTATGCTGCGGACAAGGCCGACATACAATCAATCTCGCGGGGCAGTTTCCGTCTGTTGGGATTCTCGGCGTCGATCAGAGTAAGTATCTCCTAGACATGGCGCGGAAGCGAGTCGAAACTCGAATGGTGGAAGAAGGAAAAGCCCGCAACATCACATTCGAAGGAGCGACGCATCTTCGTGCCTTGTGTGTCTGTGTAAATGTGTGGATTGCTCCTTCCCTGCCATGCTTGCTCTGCAAGAGGCAGGTGCGATGGGTTGCTCCTTCCTCATCTTACAGGTTCTGCGCTTGGACCTCGTCGTTTCTCACATACTGCGCCGTCCCGTGTCAATTGATAGGATTGATAGAGACCAATCCTCGTCGCTTTGAGGGTCAAACCAAAAGGCCCATCTGTGTTGCCTTCTCACGCTTGCCGGACTTGATGCTAGACTCGAACTCGATTTGCCCCTGGAGCATAAAAGACACTATTGACTTGGACACGCATGATGGTGGGAGAAGCTCATACGAGCTCGAAGCAACCATTGGGCTCTGGACATGGTTATATTACTCTTTCAGTCGCTTACCATGCGAGCGCATTCTCAGCTCATCCCCACAAACCGCCAAGCTCAAAGCTTGGGGCATAAAATCCTTTTGTGAGCGTGGAAGTTCTGGATTGGATCACTTCGACCTTCCGCTGTTCAGTTCCCACAATATTTTACCTGGAGATTCCGTCGCAGAAGAAACAGTCACACTCTCTCTAAACGAGTCTTCCTATTCGCGTCGCGCAAGAGATCTTCTCTATTGTTTTTGCTTCGCTTCTCCACATTGTCCGCGACGTGGGCGGCACGACAACTCGGCTCGGAGATGGATTGGCCAACAGCGTCATTACCCAGATCCAAAATGCCTTTACTGATAATGGCCTAGGCTCTCTTGTTCTGGATGGGTTAGCATGTATCCTCCCAGCTTTGATTGTTCAGGAAAAGCTGCCAGAACCGCCGAACCCTTGAGTTCATATTTGTTGCTAGCTTACCTGCTACCTTGGTAGTAATACACCACCGCCCACCTTACAAAACAATGAAGAATTCTGCATTTATATCTCTTCGAAGAAAGCTGGCATAAAGTACGAATCCACAAGCTCCGCACGGACTTTAGGGCTAGTGGGAAGCCGAGTATCTAACTTCCAATAAATCCCACTGGCTGGGATACTGACCCAGTCAATCAAGCCAAAGAAACGCCATTGGGCACAAGATAATTAGTGGCACGCGGCCGGTGATCGGGAAAGTAAGCCGCTGACGTCGTAGGCTGAAGATCCCCGTTGGATATGATGCAATATTCAAGGGGCACAACCACGATGGCTTATAGATAGTCTTATTTTTCCCGCAGCTTCGCTTCGAGGCTCCGGCCGAAAATTAATCCTCAAGAGGAATTGAAAGCTATATGACCCTAGGTGACGTGGCATGAATGATAGGCAGTGCGCACTGCAATTATAAAACTGCTCATCTTCCATCGCAATCTGTATTTGTACCTAAGTCGCCCCTCGCACCTTCCGAATCTTCTGATGATTGCTCCGATCTTGGTTGACGTCACTCACATCATCTACAAACCCCGCCAAATCTGTCAATAAAACCTTTCCCCTGATCGACTCCTCTTGTTCAGAGGGCAAAACATGGAATGAAGATAGCAAAAGAAAACAAAAGGGATGGAGACAAACTCACATTGCAGTTCTCGTCTAGTACAATCCTGGCGTGTTCGCCAGGTACGACCCCGCCCTGTTGGTCGCGTACTGTTGCTGCAAATTGGGCGAGCATGTGTCGCTGTTTCAAACCAGATCAGATCAGATGGTCAACTGACAACAAACACAGCCACTGACGATGATAGGAAAGATGGGAAGGGAAAACATACAGTCACAAAGGCATCGCTCATCCCTCCCTGTCGCTGGACGTCGTTCTCGCTCATGATCCGGTAGCTGTCGTGCATGCACTTTGCGCTCTTGAGGCCGCCGGCACTCGGGCCAAGTGTGTTGGCCGGATTGTTGGGGTCGAGGATGTTGATACCGCGGCGGGCGTCGTCCTGTGCGCGTTGATCGGGGGAGAAGATTTTGATCGTGTCGTCGATACCGGAGGCGGCAATGATGGGCTCGTACGGGTGGCCTGTGATGAGATAACCTGTTAGGAGGGAGAAATATGCAATTAACACAGCAGACTGAACTTGCCTTGCACCACGTTCACAACCTCATCGTCCCCCTTGAGGATGTTGACTAGCTTGCAGGTGTCACGCTCCCAGATGAACAGGTGACCCGAGTCACTGCCGCTCACTACATACTCGTCGTTCAGACCGAAAAAGTTACAGTCCTTGACTGTTTTGACATTGCAGTGTCCGCGATAGACCCTGGTATGCGACGAGCACGGAACATCCTTCTCGACCTCGTCTTCTCTTGCGCTCCTCTCGAAACCATAACTGCGGAACAAGCGCTCCGCGGCATCTGAGTCGGAGCTGTCATCATCATCGTCGTCATCATCATCCTCGGCGCCCTCATCGTCCTCGGTGTCGTCAGTATCATCCGTTTCGTCCGTCGCGCCAGAGTTCATAACTGGCGCGCCGTTATAGTCCCCATCCTCGCTCGCAGTCTGGGTACTTAAGTTGGGTGTCCAAGATTCCATAAATGCCGGATGGCGCTGGTGGCTCGGATCTCGGTTGAAAGTGAAGCTGATATCGTGGATGGCAGCTTCTTCAATATTTGCTTCCGAGTCATCCTGGGACCTCTCTATTTCCATGTCCCCGTCATCGTCCGGGCTATCCTCAATGGTCGCATTGAGACCCCCAAAAGCGCGGTTGACGTACTCGAAATTTACTCCGGTTCCGACTTCCATCAAGATTCCACGGCCGACCTCCAGCAGCCAGAAGCGCGTTAACGTTGAAGGGTCGGTAGCTCGAGGATTTGTCCCGTTGGGGGTTCCGTTGGAATTTCCGTTAGCAGCTCCGTTAGGGCCGTCATTGTGGCGCCCATCGCTCCCGGAGGACATATCAACCTTTAGAGCCTCCCCGAAAGCAGCGACTGCGGCCCGCTGCGTGGGAAAGAGTATACGAGTCGAATCGTATTCGAACCTGGAACTATCAACATTCACAACTGGCGCATCACCAGCAAGGTCGCTCAAATACGGAACCAGAATCGTTTCGATAGCGCCGTCAAGAGCATTCTGTGGCAAGGGAAATCGATCACGGTTGCGACGACTGGCGGAGCTGCCCTTGAAGCCAGAAAGGACAGCACTTCGACCTCCTTCGGTGAACAAGATTATCGCCTTTAAGAAGTCGTAACCAAATTGCTCCTTCTCAACAATCACGTTATCCTCTCCCGGTGCGGGTCCAATTCGCTCAAATTTTTCGAGGGCATCGTCTATCCCGAAATCCTGGATGTCGCCGCCAAGAGCCCTAGCAAGTGTACCAGTAGCTTGCACGAATCTATACGCCGATTCCCGGTGGCGTCGAAGGGTTTGCTGAAAGCGCACAACTTCTGGGGTCGGATTAATTGGGTATCCCCAAGTTCGCATCACTTGCTCCATCTGGGGCAAAAAAGTAGATGCAACCATAAGCACAGAAGAGAAGGCATCTCGAAAAGGCATGGCGGCTCCGGCTTCACGAACAGCCGGTTCTAGCGAAAACATGGCCTTTCGAAGTTTGACAAGGCCCTTGGCTATACGCAAGCTCTGTCTCTGCGCACCATTCAACACAGAATACCTCGCGCGTTCCATCAGTTCGGCCGAAGTCGCAGCACCTGATGCAGTGGAACCCGCCTCATGTAACAGCTCAGGAAAAGAAATGTTTTCTGTCTCTCCATTTCCATATCGGACGCGGAGTGCCAGATTCCCGTCTTCTTCTTGTGATGCTGCTGCTTCGTTTCGCCGCGATCTCCGTCTACCGTCACCGCTAGATTGGGAAGACAATGAAGTTGCATTTTGGCGCTTACGCTTCCTGGCTTTGGAGGTCCGCCTCTTACGTGACCCAGATTTGCCGCGGAGAGAGGTTTGATTTTCTGGTGCGTCTAGTGCGTCGGGGGCCCGGATCAGGTCGAAACTGTATATATGGTCGCCGGACCAGCTCACAATCATCTCATTGGGGTTGGCATTACTGATTTTACACGCTGTGATGTGGCCTTTATAACGCGACTTGGTCCGTTCCTTGCCGTTGGGCGCAAATCTCCGCACACACCGTGTTGCCTTGCCCATCAACTCATCATCATGCCCGTCTCTCGAGACGGGTGACGCACCAGGATCACCTCGCTCGACTGAGATGTCTCTCCCCAACATACGTCTGTCGTGGAGGAAGCAGTGTAAGTGAGCGCCACCCAATGCAATATAATGTGGCTGACTTGGCGAGCAAGATATCGTGTTCAGATCGAGCCGGTGTCGTTTATACGAGATCAGCGGCGGGGGCACATTGGTGTCATCATGCCCTTGTCCCGCGCGATTGGTCATGTACAGCAATCCACCTCGAGGTTTAGGGTACGCAGACGAAGGCATACGCAAATCCCACTGACGAACTTCGCCGTCTTCGGAACACGTCAGGAAGAGATGGGGCGATGATTCTGTCACAATACGCTTGACCCGATCCGCATGGCTCCGATAAATTCGCGCATTGGTGTTTCCCACTCCGAGGGAGCGCGCATTGCCGAAGAACTGGTTTAGCGATTGGCTTCTAGCCTGGGATGAGAAAGGCAACGGCGCACTTTGGGAGCTATTCCGGCTAGAATGTTCGATATCGAAAACCCGGACCTGAGAATCTCCCGCGGCTGTTACAAGTGTCCTGTCGTTCGAATGCGGCATAAAGGCGACAGAGAAGATATTCCCCGTGTGGCCGGTGAAAACGCTAGTATTCAGGGCAAAAGGCGTCGTTGATGACTCCGGCTGGTAAGAATAAATGTTCAAGTGAAAGTCATCTGAGCCGGACGCAAGAAGTCGACCGGATCGCGACCAGCTAATGGAAGATCAGTTTCCCAATTGACGGGTAACTACGATGCCGAATATGCAGTGGGAATGTGTGAGCACGTACCTCAAAGCATTGACACAGCCAGTATGGCCTCCAAGTTCGTTAACAATGTCCAGATCCCCGACCCATTCTTTTGAACCATAAAGGCCGCGAATGTTAGCCGCAGTCGAAAACCCGCCAGCTTCCCGACGCCAGATGCGATCATACAGAGACCTTGTCATTTTTCAGTTAGGCGGTGGGAATGAGGAAAGGCTGCTTTCTAGGCCGCTCGGGCTTGAAACATTGCGTGCAGCGCAAACTGCGCCCGCCGATACACCAAAGTGATGTCAGGCGAAGGAGGTGGCGAGGTGCGAGAGGATTACGGAGACATCAAGAAAGCAGCAAGATGAAGATGGCAGGAAGAGCGACAGGGAAGGGAAAAAAATATGGTAGGAACGATACAGTCCGAGCAAGAGTTATCGATCGAGGTCCTTACTAACGGAGCCGAGAGTGGTAGCAGCGGGGGAAAAGAATGAGATCAGGGGGAGGTCACAGTTTGGATTTCCTAGGCGAAGAGGCGTGTTGGTTGGAAGTTACGAAGGAGGGGAGGCAAAGTGCCAGCAAGAGGCTAAGGCAGGGTGCGCGCGACAGAAAACGAGCGACTGGGAGAAGAAATGTCGGACGGGGAGATCCACCAAGTCCAGAGCTGCTCGATACATGGACAATAGTGAACCAGGTTTGTACCAGAGTAGACCAGGCGGAAAGGCTAATGTGACCCCAGGAAGGAGGCTCGATATCGAAGGAGTCGATACCACACCACCGAAGAGACGGTCCGACACCGCGCAGCTGGCTACAGTAGGAGATGAAAAAGAGCGGCAAGTCGAGCATCAATGGATGATGGTACAGTCGTGGCCTAGCCGTACTTTGGGGGAGGCCAAAGATTGGACCATGATGTCACACCCTACTGTCCATCGCCTGCTTCCCAGGCTTTCTCGACGGTTCCATCGCGGTCTGGACGGCCTCGCTCACCCTCCATCGCGGACGAGGGGTAAGCTAAGGCAAGGTCTGTCAGAGGTGTCTCTGATTTTGCGATTTTTTGCACCCTCAAGGTTGGCCCAACTGCGCCACGAGTTGCAGCGTCCAACCGCTCATGACGCAGTTGACAGCGCGCGAACCCCAGAGGGGTGCTTAGTCAGGCCATAATCTCCAGTCTAGGCCCACTAAATTCATCCTAGGGGTTGCAAGAAGACGCCACGATTGGCTTGTCATGCGCAGACTCGAGGTACACGTTACGGAGTAATTCGAATAAATTATGCCGATAGACTCGGAAATGTTTACCAAACTGCTTTTATTCCTTCTAAATCCTGGGAGTTCTCAGGCCATCGAATGCGCAGCTGAAAAGTTCCCTGGGAGGCCTTTGTTTACGCTCAAAACCTGAATGCCCCCTCACTCCTCTCTCGACTCCTCTCTGGTTCTCAAGGCACTCATTGATATCGCTGCAGATTCGGCTAAAATTAGTCTCGACGTGCGCAAAAGTTCGACAACTGGCAGAACCCTCCTTGCTCCAATTCGGAAATGCACCTCTCACTACTGATTCCCACTTCAGCGGATGAATGAACTTTGCGCTCCGCTCTGCTCTTCTTACACGCGACGCCTCAACCGCATTATCACCCACTCAAACGACAAGCGAATAAGTTTGCGCGAGAAACTGTCCAGTACTCAGGCACAAGACCTGTCGTTCTCATGTTCCCGATATCATAGCAATCAGAGTCCGACTTTCGTCGATTTCGAGTATTCAAAGACATGTGACATCCGCGACCGGCCGTTCGCATCGATCCAGTGATAAAATCTGGAGACCACGCGTCGATTCCGCATAGGAAGTTGATTGGAGAAATCAGGGGTATTACCCGGCTTGAGACGACTCGTTCAGGATTGCGTTGCAGGATTTAAACTGCGTAGAACCAGCAATCAATCCATCCGACAAGCGGACTCCTCGTGCCATGAAGCGGTGGTGATGGAAGAATCAACACCTAAACGGGAAAGATATTCTGCAAAAACAGGTTTTGTCCCCTCTGGTCACGGCCCCTTCGAAGTCACGTCTGCCCAGGGCGTCTGCCCAGTAAGGTGCAAGAAAATGTCCTTTGGGGTGGTACCGCAAAAGAAAAAAACGAGAAAACAGGATCTTTCTTGTTGATCTAACCGAAGGGGCCGACATCGAATGACTGACATTGCCTGATGGTGGATCATCTCCAGACACCAGTTCTTGGGACTGCACTCGTAGGATTCTCGCGTGGTTGCGTCTCGATCAAATGCTGGGCCAGCTGACTAACCCGTCTTGTCTCGGATTGCACGATGTTTGCCTCGATTCTGCGAATGGAGCTCAACTCCTCGACCATCAAAGTGAGTAGCTCATCAAGGTTTTTGGCTATTCGAAGCAAGGCAGAGCTCTCAAGATGCTCCACTTCCCCGTAGCCGAGTATATCAAGGCTCTGGAGCTGCCTCGATGCCAACTCGAGCCTCATCACCAAAGCATTGATATCTTCCTTCCAGTTGCACTCAATAGGGTCAATGAATATCATAGATTCATTGGCCCCTACGTGTGGGAGTTGAGTCTTCTTGATTCCGTCGACGTTGTGAAGCCAGTCCTCAAACTCTAGAATGGCCACTGTATAACGACCTCTGCCGTCGTCCGCAATATCATACACTTCCTGGGCCACTTGTGATAGAACCTGCAATTGTTCCGCAAATCCTTGCTGTCCATTATGTTCGCGCGAATTTTTCAGCCAGTAAAACAACGCCTGCCCATTGAATCTCCTTTGTGACTCTTTCTCCTTGTCCAGGATTACTCTGTAATCTTTCGCGACTGAGTCGTATTTACCGCGTAGTTGAGCCTCGGCATCAGTTTCACATTGTATGCTCTGCTGCCATGTAGATTTGTGTAGCAGGCTCAGTTGCAGAAGCTCAGTCTGTAACGCCGCAATCTCCGGCCAGGACGAAGGGATCAATGACGAAGCCGCGTCGGGTACCGCAGGAGTCGAGGGAGTTGGCGTGGGCGGTTTTGCTGTCTTCTTCGGACTGAGGTGCTGCTGATAAGTATTAAAGTGAGTTCTTTGCTTTGGTGTAGCTGTCGCAGACGGAGTTTGAGGAGTCATGGGCGTGCTCGGCGCAACAACCTGGCTCCGGTGTCGTGTATGTCCTCTAGTTGCCACAGCAGTTCCCGCGCTCAGAGTCGGCGGCTGCCTTAGAGAGGATGACCGAGTCGGCCGAGGGGGAGGAGGCATGTCCGTCTTCTTCGGCGACGGTGGCCGTCCGGGTTGCCGCTTGACGATGTCATCCTGCTTGACTGTGGATGTTGGCCCTCGACCAAGCGTCCTTGCACTGGTAGGAATCCCGCCAGGTTTGACAGATGACGGAACCCTTAATTGACTCGGTCGGACGAGGCTTTGGCGACGAGTCGGCAGAGTGGAAGGGGTGGAAGGAGTGGATTTTGATGCGGTTTCCTCCGTCAGTTGTGCGGCAGCGGAGGAAGGCTTCAGGTTCGCGACTGTGCGTCGGACGGTGGCCGGCTTGGGTACATGCGTCAGTCAAAAGTTTGATTAGACGCAAGGCAAAAGACCCATTGAGACATTGACGGAAATTAGGCCCAATCTTACCTGCTTGCGGGGATCGCGTGTTGGAACCGAACGCGTGGGGATTGGCATGGTCTCATTAGGCGGGCGTTGAGACGGTTATCGCTCCGAAGTCCGGTGTCAGAGAGTTGAAGAGGGGAGGAACATATAGCAAACCAGCGGATCCCTTTCTATTGTTGAAATCGAGTTCAAAGGCTTGTTGGAAGAAGCTGCGGTGAGATTCCGCCGTCAACAAAGCAAAGCTTGGCACAGCCAGATGCGCCAACCAGGAAGGCACATTGGCGATCCTCGATCAAGGAAAATAAGTACAACGTAGATAGTATAGTATGTACAACGTTGGGAAACTATGGAGTTGATCAAAGGATTGGAGCCTTTACTTGGCATGTTGTAAGCATCAGAAATGCCACCAAATCAATGGTGATGAGCAACAAGGGATTAGTTAGTTAGCCCCAAATAATCTTACTCATCATTTATATATTTCCTGTCATCCTTATAAACCCTCTTCTAGTGCAGGACAACAAAATCATGGGCCTGAGCCGAGGAAACTGTAGACCTGGAAAAGGCTAGATGGCAGCTAAACGGCATGAGTGCATCATCACCAGACCGCGATAACATTCTTTTCGTTATGATGCCATAACCCTACTCTATTGAGTGTAACGAATACAGGTGGATGAATGCCTCCGACAACGAAGAGACCAATTCATATTTCGTTCGGTCAGATGAGGTCGCTTGAATCACAAGCTGCCCCGTCGCGGGAAGGCAACACCGTCAACAGCCGCATAATCAGTGAACCAGCTCACTTTCTCCCCCGCACCTTGGTTGACCAGAGCTGACGGAAGGTCCTTGCCCTCTTCAGCATCGAAAATCTGCTTCATAATATCCTTCTTCCCGCCTCCCGTGGCAACAAAGGCGACGCTCACGGCGTGGGTAACGACTGGTAGCGTGAGGGTGATGCGCTTTGGTGGCGGCTTGGGGGAGTCGCTGATCGCGGACACCCATGCGTCCTTCTCCCGCAGTAACTCATGGCCAGGGAACAGACTGCATGTGTGGCCGTCTGGTCCGCAACCGAGAAGGATGAGGTCAAACACGGGCAGCTTCACGCTGTCCTTGGCCGCAAAAGAGCGCATCAAGTCCTCCTGGTACAAGTCCGCGAGCTCTTGAGGGTCATCGTCGTTGACATGGCTCTCATCGATAGGGTGGACTCGGGGGGTGCCTAGTTCTGAGGGAATCTTGTTGAGAAGCTCATCCTTCAAAAGGCGATAGTTGCTGTCCTCGTGGTCGAGAGGAACGGCGCGCTCATCAGCGAAGAAGATCTCCCACTTGGAGAACTGAGCTGTATCTTCTGGAGACCCGTCACCCGGGGCGAGGAGCGCTTTGGCGAGCACGGCAGGGAGAGAGCCTCCGGAGACTGCGACGCGGAACGTATCGTGGCGGCTCAGCGCCGAGTTCTGATTGCGGAGGACATACGGCCGTAATTGCTTGGCCAAGGCCTCGGTGTCTGAGAAGCTGTAGAGATTGGGTGCTGGGCCAGGCATGGTGAAGAGTCGAGTTGCAGAAGAAAGTTCAATGTGAAGTGACTTGAGCGCAACGGAAGATGAAAGACGAGGATCAAGTTGACGGAGGAATGGTTGCCGCTGTGTCTCGGTCAACAGCTTCAAGTAGTGGGGGCGGCGGGGCAAGAGGGACGCTGTGATTATGTATGCCCGTTCTTGCCGGAAGCGAAGAATGTTAAAATCTGGAAATGTAACGATGAAGGGAGCCGGTTAAAGCTTGACCTGCAAAGCTGTCAGCACCGAGGAAGAGGTCTGTAAGGCAGATAGTAATCTGTCAGTTGTCTTTCCGCGATGGATTGAGCTGGAGTGGTCGCGATCACTTCGTCTGTCGTCACAGCACTATGACGTCGATCCTGCGACCATAGGAGAAGAAGCGTGGAGCAACAACCACTGCGCAGCATCCATCTCCCATGACGGTAGTGGACTGAGTGTTCCGCGATAAGAGCAATGGGCCAGCCATGCTCACGCAATGACCGTTAGGGACCCGGTTCGCCTGTCTTGAATCGTGTCTCTTATGTACAAGCGCAAAGTCTAGATCAATTTCCTCCTCAGTTGCCTGAGGAGGGCATCTGCGATGATGTCAGAGGCTCGTCCCCCTCGTTCTCCTGCGAAACAGAGGGATTGAGCGCCGCGAGTATCGAATCACGAAGCAAGAGAGGGATTTTGCAACCGCACCAGGTCGACGCTACGAACGTTTTTGGTCCACGTACATTACCACTATCGATTGCGGACCGCACCTTATGCACAATTACAGCATTTTGCAGGCGCCTCGAGGCAGTCATACTATTTCCGGATTAAACTGCTGTGCCTGGAGTACCTTCTCGGGGCAGCCCCGAGTTAATGCAGGACGAGAATGATATTGACTGACGGAATGGGGAGAACAGACCGGACCATAACCAAAATGCGCTCCAGGCGTCAGTATGCGGGGTTCATGCATCAGTACGGGCCATTCCGTCTCTTGGTTACGATGAATGTGTCATCGATACGGCTGAAGAGAGGGGATCCCCGCAATCCAACTGGGAGAAACACGAACCTTGGTGCGCGATCATAGAACGCACTGTGGCTGTTAATAAACAGCAACAATGGTACCGGCAAAAGGACTCCTGATGATAGCTAATTTCACGTGCGCGCGAGAGATGGCATTATTGGCAAAAATCGTTATCAGTGTCGAGAGGATCGACCGATATGGCATCGAAAGATGTCGGCGAACTCGGTAGATTGCGGATGGACCGACCGGCTGGCGCCATCGAAAATGCCTCATTGTCAAGCTGCAATATTCAGAGTAGATAATATGTTTCCTAACTTGAGTACAGTGGTCAAAGTGCTGTGACATTTGATGTGTCCGCGTCGTCGTTGGAAGTCTCGACGACCCCGCATCTCCGATGCAGAGCACTTGGAGGCACAACAAGTCAAGCCATCGCACCAACATGAGTCTGGTATGCTTGCCTGGGGTGCATGAATCGAAAGACACCAGAGAATTTGAAGCGGGTAGCATGCCCGACCAATCAATCAGGACACGGACTTATAGGATTCGCAGACGGTATACGGAGTAAACACAATCACACCTTCAGGCCGCGCGATCGCGGGTAGTGGTCCGCAAATAATAACGAGAACCAGGTTGGGCAAACGTTGAGCACGACAGTCGGACAGCGGGATTCTGACTTGATATTTGAAACGCCCGAGGTGGATCCTCACGACCGCTCGCAAGCATCAGCGGAGCACAGCCGTCAAGTCTGACGCCCAAGACGGCATCACGCAGTGAGTGAGCATTATGGATTACCCGGATCTTAGGTCAGGTCTCTTAGGCCATCATGAGTGAGGTAAGACGTGGCTATTACCAGGAACCACAGCCACCGGCCATGCAGTCCGCGGACGTATACCCTCTGTCAGCCCGACGTGATGATGAGGCCATCAATAATCAATAAAGCGGCCTCATCCAATGTCACGAAATTCCGTTTACGAGGAGAGGAGATCGCGACGCGGAAAAGAAAAGCGATTCCTATCGCCAACGCGCAAGCTGACTCGCCCTTCGTAAAGCAACCGTGGAAAGCGAGATACGGGGCAGTCGAAATCGCATTCATCCAAGGGGCGGGCTGGCAAGTCCGAATACTGAAACGAGGAGATAACCATGGATACGTCTTTCCCCAGAGACAAGAGTGCGAGGTGAAGATTGGGCTTGAGCATCGTTGTATGCAGCGTGGGCGATCACTTGTTAGTCATGACGACACGATCGCGACCACCGACACGTAGAGCACGACACCTCTACAGAATGGCCGATATGCACAATTATCTCACTCTGCAAGCCATGGTTAATCCCTGTGATGATACGCGCCTGTCAACGGACATTTAGTCAAAGCCAAGGGAGACGTTGTAATCACAATGACAATATCCAGCTTAAGCTTCACACCTCCCCAGAACATCCCAGCAGCATCCCAAGGAAAGATAAGCAGCTACCCACATTTAGCTGATTTGCACGCAAGAACCAAAGATTTTGTCCATGGGGTTCATCTTCCAATATTCTTTCCATGGTTAACAGCTGGACACTTTAGATCGAGCCGTGGTCTCCATCGTCCCCAAGTAACCCCAAGGTTGACCTGAATCCGGAGACTTGACAAGTTGACTGCTTTTCGCTTCTTTGTCCGTAAGATATTTGTTTTTATTAATAAATCTTTATTTTATTTTATTTTTTTTTTGAAATAAAAAGAAGACTAATTCCTTGAGACTTCCTTGGGCTGAGCCGGGGTGGGGACTAAAACAGGGACTGGGAGGAAGAAAAATGCAGAAAAAAAAAAGGGAGCCTGAGGGTAAGTGGGTCGATCTAAACTTTGCTGGTCTGTAGCCCTGTAGTACATATACACAGCTTCGCCCTGCTCGATCATCCGAGTCCTCTTCAACCACGTTGACTCTCACCACTGCTGCTTGGGCACTGCCTCTGTCCTTACACCTCATTCGGACTTGTAGGCACCCAACACTCGATATAAACATTGTCTCCCCTTCTCGGCTTCCATCGCCAACACTGCTATCGCCCCCCACCACCACCATACACACCATCCATCATGAGCTCCTCCTCCGTCCAAGTACCGCGGCCACCCTCCGGCACTGGAAAAGACATGGGCGCACACACCTCCGCCGGGTCAACTCCAGGCTCCTTCAATAGTTTCGATATCGTCCGCTGCTCCCGGTGCCAGCGCTCCATGAGCCTTGAGAGCGAGTCCACACCTGGCGTCGTCCGCTTCGGCATGAACTCCTACTACTGCAGTCGCTGCGCCTCGATGGTAGGCTTCGGCCGCTGAAGAGCGAATTCGACATTGTTACGATACAAACACATCTCTACCCACATAAAATCTCTGCGAGAGACAAACGTACACGAACTACGCACTCGCTACCACAGCGGTTACTGGGAATAGCAATACAACAGGCCCCTCACGCCTAGATGGTTTGCGGATGGTCCTTCCCCGCACCACACCATACCACACCTCGACACACTACACCACTCACAATGACAATGTTTCTCGGGACATTCTCACTGTGCTGGCGCAGGTTAGCCTCCAGAAACTTGGATGGCGATACTTGGTTGCAGCGATCGCATTGGCTGGTCCAGCCCTGAGTCACTGTTTTGAACACTCCACTCCCTAAACGCGACCGAGATTGCGATGCGATAAACCCTCAACAATAAGGGAACCGACATCGCGTTGTCAAAATGCAGCGCGCTTCATCGGTGGCTTATCGCCCTCGCAAATCTACAACTCCACGCCCGCAAGATCTTAGTCTTGCTCTGCCATGATACAACATAACGTCTCGGATTTTGCATCACATGGAGTTTTCCCTTCACTCTTATTCGTCACTATAGATTTTGGTTCTCTATCTTCTTTAATTCCGGACCTGTACTTATTACTCTCCTACCTCATGTACCCTTCTGGCATTCATCTCTTTACCAGTTTCTCAGCGCAATACCCACGACTTTATGATCCGAGCGAATTCGGAGGTTTTCTCCTCCACATGACCATGTTTCTTTTACCTAGAGTTTCAAGAGCAAATCACCTCCCCAATAGTGGGATAGGCTACATAATGCAAAGAATACCTATATCCACAGCAACCCTCAAGGTTTCAGTTTCTAGTAGTCTAACCCAATACCCCATGCCAGGGCGAAAATCAGTACGCTTTTTAACATGGCAGATTTGCAGATTTACCCAACCGGGAATGCACACTGTCTATCATAATGTCAATCGGCGCCAACCCCAGAGATCCTCGCTCGCAAAACGCACACACCCATGATCAACACGGCACCATGCTGCTACTGTGCCATGAACACCCGTCGATCATTCTTCAATAGCATTAGCTGCTAGCACGGGCTGCGTGGGACTCGGGCAAACCGGTGTGCTGGTGCTGTGTCTGTCACAAATTGTACCTGACATGATCGTGAACTCTACTCAGCAGACGGTAAGAGGTATCGCAAACCTGCGACGAATGGCCTTCCCTCCCTTAAACCAAGCCGGACCAACCAAAGACCATCTGCCCCTTTCGTGAGAATTGTCCACTCCTCGCTTGAATCTACCCCTTTCCAAAATTCGATAAAAAAAGTCTTCATGCACCCCGCAGTGGAGAGGAACGACTTGGTCCAATTTTCTCCGTGTGACTCAAATCTGGGGACGCCGAAATGTCCTCGCACATGTCGCCCCAGACACTAGCACCCAGGCTACAATCGTTTGTAGCTAGATGCTGGGTCTGTCGCCTGCGTTGTGCTATTTCATGTTCGGCGTGGGATTTTCCTGGCCCAGGAGAGGTCAAGGGGATCTGCAATTCTGCGACTGGGCCAGATGGGCATGGAGGTCAGGTTAGTCGGGGTCACCCGTTCAATCTCGCCTGGTCGGGATTGCAAGTTGAACCCGATATTGCCTCCCTTTGAAGTGCGAATGGGACTTGTCCTCGGTCCACCTTGCCTCGTATCGCTCCCTTCACCCTTGCTGGTCCGTCGTAAATAATAATAAGATTATGGACTTCTAGATATCCTCGGGGTGGAGCACGGGATTGCAGGGCGAGCTGAAAGCTGTGCGCCGGATTTCAATGGACTGGTCGGGTTCATCGACTGACAGGGTGGTTCGTGCCTAGGAGGTCAGCCCAGCCACAGCTAGCCGTCTCGGACTCTCGGAGAACGCCGAGGGACCGTAACACCGTGCCTGTTTGGCGAGTTGGCTCTGGGTCGCTGATCGAGGATGACCTTGCTCGACGGTCACTGGACAACAAAGCCATCACAGCCACGAAAAAGAAAAGAGAGACCGAGAGCTCGCTGTGCGACTGTGCAGCAGAGCCCCCTTTCTTTTTCTCGTCTTGAGCTTTTGGAATTCCGGCACGGTGGGGAGTCCGCTGATCAGTGGATCGACGATGTTGAACTGGAGCAGCTTCATTTTATTCTCAGAATGTGCTTGTTTCATGTTGTTCGCACAGGGGAGCTCAGGATAGTAAACACAGAAGCCATTATTCGCGGTGATTGTCCTTGAGGGCACAGTCGAAGGATCGCTCAACATTGCCCAGGTATGTTCAATGCTATTTTCAAGACCATGTTCGGAGGTGTAACGTGACGATGCTTCCGACCCATGTGATGATTCTCGGTACTGCAAACTTTCTCGTCAGAGTCTATCGGCCTCGTTCGGCGTCTCCTGACACAGAGTATGTACAGACTTTAGTCTCAGCCTCTCACCCACCCGACCGGTAACTCAAGTCTCTAGAGGCTGGGCTCAAGCATTCATCCTCTCCCGTGCGTCCAGTAAAGTTCGCTCTCGAGCATCCTTGCTGTCACGAATAATCTTCGAGATCATTCTGGGACTCGTGGCCCTTGCGCCACAGTCCTGACGGTCATCAAACACAGCCTCAGCCTTGTCACGCTCCGGAAACGGAATGGCGTCGCCTCACATCGTCCTTGAGAGGCTCGACCACCGTTCCCCTCCGCCTGGAGTCTGCCGGTCCGCCCGCACCAATTCGATAGTCTCACAATCAGCCTCATGTAAGGTTCAGAGATTGAAACCTGGAGTAGGTCGTCCTCAGACGTCCACGCGACGCTACCAGCATGACTCATGACTCTCGTTTTGCAGTACGATCATGATGCAGTGAAATGCTCATCTCGAGGTTGATCATCGCCTGCTCGGAGTATATTTCGGCTTGTTGGTGAAGACCGGGGGAAGATGCACGCTGGACCGCTCGCTCCAGCGTGCAGTTACGAGGGGCAATCATGCACGCACCCGCGGACATTTGAGTCAAGCTGGCGCTGAAATTCAGATATGGACGAAGCTGCTGAACTGGGCTACTGGACCCCTCATATGCAAAAGCTCTATCCAGGGATCATCCTGGAAGAAGAATCGCACCGGTCCTGAATCTCAACAGGGGACTCGCGTTGCCTGTGCCTCGAAGGGCGGCCATGTTTCGCAGATGACCTGAATGGCACATCGCGGCGCTTGTTCGCCCTGTGGGATTCCTGGTACCACCGTGCTTCGCAGGAGGGATTTCTTGTTATGGATTTGTCCGTGTCATCAGACATGATACATCACAAGTTGTGTCCCACATCAATCTATTTTTTGAAGCGATCAAAAAAGCAAGACTTTTCGATCGCGCCGCCCAATCAGATCTTGGACTCGCATCATCTCGAAGATTTGATTTTCACATTGAGCTCCCTTTGCAAGCGAGTTTGCATCTGACTGGATGTCTCGTTTCAAACGCATTCAAGCTCCTGCCATAGCGTTCATCCCTCGCTTGATTTGACATTGCCTCATTCTTGATGCAGGAATGTTCTCTTTTCACCTGCGCACAAGGAGTCTATGCAAGGTCGGAAGCCCACCACTCACAGTGGCCTTTGCCATCCCTACGACTGTAACTTCAGCATCCTCTGCTATCGAACGGTCCTGAGCTCAATCTAGCGGTGTAACTTGCACGACGCCAAGATTACTCCTGGGAATGACAAAGCCTGGTGGTGACTCTTGCTCGGACAGATGTCGACGACTGGGATGCGTCAATGTGATTGTTGTATGGGCTCCGGATCTGGATCTGGCTGGATCTGGTTCTGATAGAGTTGGGCGAATCTCTCACATGTAGGATAAGATTTGATATCCGGTTCCGCGCCCAAAACAGGTGCGATGCAAGAAAAGAAAGTACAGTACATAGATCGTTCTCTGCTTCCAGCTGTGGCCAAAGAGGGGAAGAAAAAGAAAATCCAGGCTTTCTGCCTGTTGCCTCTAATTCTGCTCCTGCTCTCTCCTCGTCTTCCTTCCTCTTCTTCATCCTCCTCCACCACAGTTGATCATGCACGACATATCAGGCTCGTCCCGACTCCCTCGATTCCCAGATCCCAGTCGAGTTGACACATCTCCATCCTTTTGCTCTGCTCAGACTGCGCCTTGCTATTCGTCAGCACCCTCTCGCCCTTTGCCATCCGACCCTCGATGATGAATCCGCGCTCTTACCCTCTTAGCACACTCGTTTCCTCTAATCCTCTGCTGCTTCACCTGTTTCTCTGACTTGTTATTGGGTTAACCCAGAACCGCCGATCTTGCTACCATTACTGTTGCCCTTCCCCTCCCCCCTCTTGGTTCTTGTATCTTGAAGCCGCTGAACTGCCCCCGATGTAGAAGGGCCCCGTTCTGATACCACGGCTCACGTCATTGCTCGTTCCTTCTTCTTGTCGAGCCAAAGATCAAAAACTTTATTATCTGGCTTTCCTAGTCCCTGTCATCTGCGATCTACCGTTTCTACACCGCACAAAAGTTGTCCGACACAGCGTTTGCGAAACGTTGGCGATATCAGAACATCGGAAGGATAGCAGCGTCGGGCGTTCTGTCAACAGCCAACTGCCTAAGCCTTGACTATTCCCGTTTTTGTTTGATTGACGTGACCGGCCGTTTTTCCGGAGTCCTTGTCCTCGTTTTACCTCTTCTCCGGGGTTGTGATATCAAGTGCTTGTTCGGGCGGAAAGTCCGTCATACTCTGATTGTCAAAGAATCTGCGATTGTCGCATTCAATCATTCTAGAATCTACCCACTACGAAGACATTTGTGAGACGGGAAACAATGTCCCCCCCTCGTGAACGCGGCCGACCGACCCGACCTCGAGGTTCCGAGGAAGAATTCGTGCTGTTTCTCCAGGGGGTGAGTCTCATACCCCCCCCTAATAAAATCCTCCTAGGCAATATCTTACTAGGAGCGCAGATCCCATCCCGCTGCCGCTGGCAAGAACTCAAGGACTTGGTCCGCCAAACCGCTCTGCACATTCGCCAAGCTGTTGTGTACGATGACCATCATGGATTCCCCACAGGGCTCGGGCAGATTATAGTGAAGAATGAGGAGGAAGCCTGGCGGACATACCGTACGCAAGTACCCCCTCTTCGTTGCAGGAAGATGCTAATCTCAACCCGGGTTTTTAGACAGGCTATCCACAAACGGGTGGGAAGGACAAAGCCTGGTGGTAACTCTTGCTCGGACCAGCTCGCCTACTCAGCCCATTGCAGGGCCGACCAAAAGCCCACTGCGCGTTATTCCGCCTGCCTATGTGGCCGGATATTCAACGCCTCCAAAGGTTTACCAAAACTTGGCCATACCACCTTCACCCATGTCCGCAGAGTAAGTCGGTTCCTATACTATTAGTTGAGCATCTCGAATTGAGTCAAGACAAGGTCCGTTCTCCCGCCGAGCCCAACCTACCACAGCCCGGAGTATGTCCCTGTCATAAGTCCAATGGCTGTCGCTCATCAACCGTTTGTGCAAATATATGTGGACCCGTTGTGTCAAACGGTCCCAGCTTTGCCCAACTCACCTGCTCTCCAGCCGTCCTTTTACGATCCAATGGGCGTCGGTTTCATTCCTACATATGCCGTGCCCCACCAGATGCACCCACCCAGCATAGCAAACAACATCAACTCGACCCCTCTGAGCTCGTCCACTCCGCGCAAAGACCAGTACAACTACAGTAATCCTCCAAGTTATCCGCGCCACCATACCCGCCGCACGATCCTGCTGCATAACCTCGACCCGACAACCACCCCACAAGAGCTGCACACTTTCCTACAGCGGGACGTCACAATCGAGAGTTGCGAGGTACTGCATGCGGACGGCTGCTGCAACAACGCGCACGCCGCTCGATACAGGGCATCTGCTCGCGTTACGACACGCTCAGCAGACGAGGCCAGGCGCGCTGTGGCTCTGTACAACAACGCAGTTTTCAAGGGCTTTAGGTTGCGGGTGAAGATTGACAGAAGCATCACGCCCGCAGCGCCGTGTACTGTAGCGCCCATGCATACCACCGCCACCAGTCAGAGCGACTTTGCCGTATGTGAGACAAGCCAGCTACAGCCCACCCCACCCACAAGCGAGGGCTCGAGCTCCGATTCGGATGAGTTCAGCCAGATCCACAAAGACATGCAATGCGAACAAGTCATACTGCCTCTCAGTCCAAAGTCAAAACCTATCGATAGATGTGGGCCGTTGGTTGTCAACGGGTCTGGGATCGGGCCAACAGCTGCTATGGCTATTTGATGCATTTATTTGCCATTCACCGTGACGCTTAGTGTTATTTTTGTCTATGGAGGACGAGGTGATTCTTGGTCGGCTTTTTATGCTTGGAGCTTTCCATAACTCTTTATCTACGCAAGGTGTTATATACTAAATATTGTGGGCTAACTAGGATATGGCATGAGGAACGAATATAGCAAGGAGATGGGTCAACCTGTTCCTTTGGATTACGGATTTAGATCATCCAGGCCATGAAGCTCCGGATCGTTGGTATAAGGAGTCTCTACCTCAACGTAATTACGCACGTATCACCCGGATAAACAAGAACAAAGAAGACCCCTTAGGATCAAAATCCAGAATCAACGAAATTGCCTTCAGTATAATGTGTCTGGTACCTAGATAGTACTCCATGGCATCAAATGTCCACAGTATGTATATGCTTCATCAACTCAGTAGCCCCATCGACAGGTGCGGGGACCATACACACAGCCTCAACGTCTGTAATGTGCACAACTGCCTCCATCATTGCATTGCGTAAACTGATCAGATCTTGCCACCCGCCCGTCTGCAGATCAAATGGTGGAAGGCGCCCCGCGAGACCTCAAGACAGGTGAGGTGAGGCGGCTAGCGTGCCTCGTCTTGCCCTGCCTTGCGGTACGGGGAGGGGCCGAATCGATCACCCCGTTCTGTGTCCTGCCTTGATTCTGGGCGGGCAAAGGACGTAAATAAGGGGTTCTTTGGGGAGTACGGGATTGGATGAAGGGGCCATATTCAAGGTCTATTGTGAACTGAAGGTGCAGCGGTACAGGAACTGCTATCAGAGGGAATACAGTGTTTCAAAACTACTTATAAACTATACAATTATGCACTTGGGAGTATTTCACGTTTCTCGGGTTGGTGACAGGATGAGGATGGAGGGGATGGGACGGAGGAAGGACATGTACTCCGTACTTGGCTTGTATATGAATAGCTTCCTTGGCTGCTGCTAGCACTACTCTAGTAAAACTGAACTATGTACCTTGAGCAATACTGGTGTCTTCTAATCGATTTCGGTTGTCGATAGCGGATATGCTGATGGTAAGATAGTTAAAGAGGGGAGAGGAGTGAGTGGGCGGATGCTATGCAGGATGCTCTCGTGGGAGATTCGAGTCCACGAGTCCAGTTCTCGACTTAATTTCATAGAGCAATGGCACGAGAATGCAACCTAAAGCAACCAAATCATATCATATCATTCATCAGTCATCGCACCTAATACATAAGTCAAGTACCTCACAAACAGAGTACATCATGATCCATCCACACAATCATTAATCGTTCCTCCGGGTCCTTCTCCGGTCAATAGGCCGGCAATATATCCCATAACCAGACCAGTCGTTGTTATGTATCATGGGCTCATCTCATCAGTGCAGTACCTCGTACAGTCAACCAATCCCTCGATGCATACCAAATCACGAAAAAAAAAAGAAGGAGAAGAAGAATAAGCAAAACAGAACAATAACGCCATGCAGGAAGACCGAAACACTGCTAACTGAAGGATCAGATAAAGCATAAGAGGTAGGCCGGAAATAAGGATAAAATAATACAATACGTGTAAGGATGAGGAATTAGCGTTCGAACCGATAGAATGCGGGTAAAAGGACTGTGAATCTGTGATTAATCGCGCATGCACTATTTGGCATGGTCAATCAGTTCGGCATAGAGTGGTTCGGGAATCTTGCGGACGATCAGAACAGTCAGGGCAATGATCTCTTTTGCGTTGAGGGGCGGGAAGGATCGGAGTATTTTGTTTGGGCTGTTCGCGACATCAAAAGTTAGATTGAGAAGCAAAGTTGATAGATCAATCGAGTGCGGAGAAAAGCAAATGCAGAGGTACAGTAAACGCAAGTCATTTAGAGTATGGGGCGCAGATGTGACCTGTCGACTCATTTTCTGGACCCTTGGTTGCTTGGTGACGCGAGAGAGGTTCGCATGACTGGCTGGGAAACAGGTTGAGGGAGAAAAAAAGAAAACATGCAATGATAAGTGACGTACCTTGGACTGTTGAGGAGGGTGTCTCGCATCTGGATTAGTTGCGCCACGATGCAGAGAATGTTTAGATGTGGGCCGTAGGCGAAGAGGAAGTCCCAGAGGTGGAGGACTTCGGGGAGCGGAGGCGTGCAGGCACAAAGCGTCAGGACAGAGGGGAAGGCGTATAGTTTCGCCTGGAGTCCCTTGGAGAAGAGATAGGCTGCGAGTTTCGGCTCCACGATCTCGAGGCATCGGTCTACAAGGACAAGACCTCGATGGACGCCGTCCATGGCGCCGCGGATATACCCGGGACACTCGCGCGTGATGAAGTTGTGGAAGAGGGCAAAGGCTTCGACTTCGCTGCGCGCTGAGTAGAGAAAAGGCGCGCATAATACGTTCATGCCTTGCACGTAGACTGCTGTCTCGCTAGTGATTCCCGGACTGATTGGAGCTGCGCTGCTATTGCTGCTGATGAGGCTGTTGGGTGTCATGTCGTCTGCAGATGGCTCTTCCTCTGCGATACTCGGGGGCGTATTGATGAGCATTTCCATCTCCCGTCTGCGGGACGAGGGCCGGGACTTGGGCTTGTGCTTGTTCTTCGCATCGTGAATTATCCATGCGACTGCATTCAGAAGCCGAATGAGACTAGCTTCTGTGACCCGGCGTTTGAAGAGTGGATCTGTGGCTAGAGTGCGGAATGTATCATTGCGGATTTTGGCATACGCGGGAGAGCGGCCGCGATGGATGAGGGATAGATAGTGATCAGTAGGAAAGGGAGGGATATCGAGCAGGATCAGCCATAAGTAGACTCTATATGTTGACTGGATGTAAGGAGTTAGCGATAGTACGAAATAAATTGTTCTTGTATAAATAGAGTACTGACCATGCCATCGCCGTCTGCTTCGACTCGTGTAGACAAAACTAGATATCGCAGTTCCTGAAGCGCCTCCTGAACGTTGCCCTGCTGAGGCCCGTCTCGCAGTAGCGTCTCCAGGAGCGATCGTTTTACCCCAAAGCCAGACCCTGTCTTTCTCCCCGGCCGCCGTACTGTTGGAATCGCTGGAGCTTCGCGCGAAGAGGCATCGCTGTTCGATCGCGCGCGCCGATGGGTTCGGAGCCGGACAGGGGAGTCTAGTTGAGTTGGTTTGGAAAGCTCGTCGGGTCCTGCGGAGGAACGGGCGGACGAAATCTGAGACAGAGGAGGACCGGACGAGAGGTCGTGATGAGATTGGATCTTACGCAGACCTCGCATTGTCCGAGGTGATGGTGATCCGGCGAGGGCAGCTAGATTCAGCTGAGCCTGGGTGGGTGGTTGGGAACTCATGGCGGCACACCGAGCACCGAAGGCGCGAGGTGAATGGGGAGGGTGGCAGGGAAGATGGTCGCGGAGCGGAGTGCGGTGGGAAACACACCATCCTCCGGTCAGCCAGCACCGGAGAGATGGTCCATGAATGAATCTGGGAGCTGTGGCCTCGAGCAGGAAATAATGGAGTCTGGACGATGTTCGAGTTCCAGCTGCCAGGATATTTCGGTGGCGGGCCTTTTTTCGCCAATGACCAAGGAATGCGGAGACTTGCTGTTCCCACGCGACGGCGCGGTTAATTTGCAGCACTAGCACGATCGGGGCGTTTGCTGTTGCCAGGGCGCTGCTAATAAATCTAAGAATTTAATTTCCATGCATGCGCAAACTATCGAATCTGATGTCCAATTTCGAAAAACCGACAGTTGGATTTCATATTGACATAGCTACCAGAGCTCTCGGACATTATTTACCATAGACATTTCAATCCCCCCATCCACAACGCCCTGTCTAGCAAAAAGCAAAGTAAAACAAACGACCCGCAACAGCTCACGTCAAGTGTCCCGTTTGCCCTGTCCATTCTCAACTCCACCTATCACCGTGTTGACAAACTCCTGGTATTTGAGCACTTCCCCTCTCTTTCCGCTGCCTGTCTTCCCAACATTCCCTCCAAATGCCCTGCGGCCGGTAAACCCATTGAGAACCTCATTAACTTCGCGCTCCGTCAACGGGCGCTCTCCGTCGTCTGGAGCGGTGTGTAGAAGAGCGTCTCGTAATTCATCCACATCGATCTGGCCGCTATCGTCTTCATCAAATGCAGATAAAGCATTCATCAGCTCCTGTCGCGAGGACAGTGGTGATAGTAGTTGCGATAGGGTATTTAGAAAGGTAGGAAAGTTGATCGTGGCGGCACCTCCAGGAGGGAAGAACTGGGACAGAGTTGAGGGGTCCTGGCCTATTCAAGATTATTTTTAGCGATCAATTCGTAGTAAACAATTCAGACATTTTGAAGAAGGTCTGGAGCCCACGCACCAATGTTTGCAAGTACATCTGCTACGTCATCTTTGTCAACAAACCCATCATTATCCCTATCCAGAACCTGGAAAGCCTCCCGTATCTCTCGTAATTGTGCCGGAGCCAGCCGTGCTGCTGCGTCGGAAGTGGCAGCCATCATGCTGGTGGCTGTCGCCTCCATACTCGACGGAGAAGATTGGAGCGCGCTGGCGCCTCGACTCGGGGACGAAGGAGGGTCTCTGGTGAATCGCGGCTGGGGAATTGGCTCTTTGTTCCTGGACGAGGCATCATCTTCAACGGTATAGGACTGGTTCAATTTGCTGGGAGATACGACGGGGGTATATCCCCGGCCTGGCGAGCTCCCTGGCGTGACTGGACGTGCTTGGGGAGGGGAACTGGGAGTGGACGGGCGCCGGAATGGTGACGCACGAGGGGAGTTGAATGACAGCGGGGAGGGTCGAAAGGGCGCATTGCTAGAGGGCATCTAGAGAGAGTTAGTAGATGCAAAATTCATCAATTCAAATAGACCTACCATGATCGAAGACTGGGCGATTCGAGCTATGTTCCAGTCAGAAACAGCGTGTTGAAAACAAAGAGGGTGAGGTTATACTTCCTCTCTGGGCCAAACAAAACAAACATCGGCGATTCGGCAGTTCAGTCGGTCCGGCCTGAGCACGTGCGGGGCGTCCTGACAAGTATGTGCACACGAACAACTTTGTGTGGAAGAGAGAATATAGAGTAGATATGGCTAGTTTAGGGAATGAATCAGATGAATGTACACAGAATAGCAATTGAAGAGCTGTGGTCAAGCCGCCCTCCGACCGAGAGCATGCGGCTTCCCCGCTGTGGAGATCGGACCAAGTTGAGTCGTCCCCTTTCCTTTTCCCCCTGAGTGACCGTCGACACAAAGACAATGCTTCAGTCCGACGATCGCAAGCCGTTGTTTCCATTCCCTCCTATCTCTCTGACATCAGTCACTCGCACAAACTAGCAAATGTCTCGACTATCAACTTCTTATCGATTGGCGCATTGATTGAGCTATGCCGCTTCTACTCTTCGCCGGCGTCCTGGAGCTCTCCCACCTCAATTAGTATCGCCTATTCTCGACCCCGAAATTCCCCTCCTCCGCAAAGCCCATTCGCCTTCCACCAACAAATATGAGTGTCACGCTACCCATTCGGACGTCTGGTGATGCGTCCTCGAGTCCACCAAAATCCAATGGACTCCCCCACTTATCGCCTGCTCCGTCAATCTCCCAGAAACCGTCCCCAAGAAGCTCCCAGACATCGGCGCGACGTTCTGGAGACCAGCGCGCTTCGCTACCGAAAACGAAACGCCGACGGTGCAAATCACAGTATCCCCGCGACTCTCCCGAGCGTCATGTCGAGTTCATCCTCGTTGCCTCCTTCCATATTGACCGCGGTCCAATCATGGAGCATCAGTACCCAGGTCCTATTAGCAGTGATGAGAGCATGTTGGCGGAACTTATGCTGCCAGACCAAACGCACGTCCGAAGTCAGGATTGGACAATGTTCTTCCTGCACAAGGATAGCGGTGCAGAAGGAGAGGAAGAGGAACGGGCCGGGACCAAGAAGAAGAAGAAAAAGAAGAAGAGGAAGGATGATCTAGCAGATGCAACCTCCGACGATGGAGAGGGCGAGAACGACTTGGGTGGAGTGTCTGAGGAGATAACAGAAGGCGAACAGAGCAGCGATGAGGAAGACGGCGGCGAAGGCCCTCCGTTGATGTATGTCCTCAACCTGGTCAATACAAAGCAGGATAATACGGTCAAACGGTATGTTCACCGTTATAACTGCTGGTGTACGAAATGACTAACTTGATATAGAGGCGCTGTGGTCAAGGCAATGGCTATTTGCACTCGGCATTCTTTTCTTCATATTTACAAAGTACGCCGCTCAGATCACTCCTTGACAAATGCAATGTCAACTAACGAGAGAAGCCCATTCTTCTGTTAGCCCTAGAGGACTATTTCAAGTCGCCGTATCCCGAAACCCTCGAAACCTTATATAATGCTGTAAATGCCATGGACTTGTCGTTGATGCCCAGACTAAACCTCCTCGAACGCCAAATCCTACAGGCCAGCAACAGCAAGGACATGTTCATTGAAAAGTTCGAACAGATGATTGAACAGCGGCGGGCAGAGGACGACGAGCTCACCGAAACAGATGAAGACAACCCTCCATCCCCCAAGAAACCCTCCGCTTCCCCACGCTACATACTTCCCCGAGATACACACGAGTTCGAGTCCAAGATTATCTATCACGACATCCCCATTCCGGTCAAGGTACCGACAGTCATCTGGCCGGAGATTGTTGGGGATTTCTCGCTTGTCAAGCTCATCCAGATCTTCTCCGCGCCGCATGCTGCAACACCACAACCGTTTCCACTCCACTCCCACTTGACCACTAGCGGCGCGTATACACATCCAATTATTGTCCTCGTTAATGCCATGTTAACGCAAAAGCGAGTGATATTTCTCGGCCATAACCGTCCGTCAGGAGAGGTTGCAGAGGCGGTACTAGCTGCCTGCGCGCTGGCATCAGGCGGAATCCTGCGAGGGTTCACTCGTCATGCCTTCCCTTACACAGACTTGACCAAGATCGATGACTTATTACGAGTACCGGGGTTTATTGCCGGAGTAACGAATCCTACGTTTGCCAACCACCCCGAGTGGTGGGATGTGCTATGCGATCTGCCTACGGGCCGAATCAAAATTAGCAACCACATCGAACCGGCACCAGTCACAGACGGTCTGTTGTATTTCCAGCAGCAGAGCCCAGTTAGCGTGGTTGGCCCAAATTCGGATCCTACCGGAGACAATCTGTTCATGGAAGACGTGCTACGCAGCATCGCGAACCGCTATGGTGAGAACGCAATCAGAGCCAAGTGGCGAGCGTATATTACGAAATTTACACGTGTTGCCGCCGCCTTTGAAGAGACGGTCTACGGCGCATCGAATATATACATTATCGGTCCCAACGAAGAGCTTACTCCAGAGAGCCCTAGCGGCCTACAGGCGGACCCGGCCGACCCGACAACCCTTCGCGGCCACGGCTACGTATGGCCAGACGAAGCCGCCAAACAACGCGAACTGATGGCCTCCGTCTCCCGGATCGAAGGCTGGCGCACCACCCGATCCTACTACTCCTTCATACAAGACATTGCAGCGATGTACTACCCTGCGCGGCCCATCCTCAAACCCGACCTCCACCACCACCACGACCGCCTCCGCACTCTGAAGCTTCCCCCTGCCGACGCAGGTGCCATCTACCTCTCCTTCTCCCACGCCATCAAAGACGACGCCGGCATCTGCCAGCTCCTCACCGTCACCCCCGAGAGTCAGGCTGGCCTGTTTTATCTCGCCATGGGACTTCTCCACCCGAATCAGACGGTCCGCGAGGCAACCGCCGACCTCCTTGAGCGAATCGCGCTCCACCCAGCAGGCCGGCACTTCTGGGCGCAGCTCAACCGGTTCGCAAAGACGGCGTATTTCCGCATCAAGCGGGAAAGAGACGCTCGTGACGCGGGATCATTGAAGTCGGCTAGTGATAGCTTTGGTCCGCCGCAGAGCCTAGTCGGGGTTGCGATGAGTGGGGTGCGGTCTCATGGGAGTTGATCTCTCTTGCACCGTCCAATCTATGTCTATGGTAAACGACTTTTTCGTTTGAGCGATGGCAGTTTTGTTTCCGTTCATCTTCCTATTTTCCGTTTATACGCGTATCTGATGCTTTCTCTTGTCTCACATGATACATTTCATACACCGAGTTGGATATACCTCAGTACATGTTAGAATCACTGTATCTACTGCATTTGGGGTGGAAAAAAAGGAATTGAACATTAATGAGAGCCTCAACCTAGTATACAAAACTACCCTGGTCTATTTTCTTCGAGCTGCTAACGGCCGCATCTCTGCCTCAAGGTGTATCCAACGTAGTTTACGGCCATCTTACATCAACTCTCGATAGAAAAAGTAGACATAAGTAGACATATTATTACATCTAAATAGCATATACAGTGGTCTACATATAAGTCACAGTCCCGGTCCAAACAAGTCGCTGTCGTCATCCATACATGAATCCAAACTGACAACGCTCAAGCAGCAATATATAGAAGAGAAAATGAAAGAAGATAAAAAGTGGGCGAGATCTAGAAGCGCTTGCGGAGTTTTGAAACAGAAAATCCAGAATAAAAAGGTGACAAAGTCAACCTAGTATAAACGATCCCTCTGTGATTAGTGATTATATACTTAGCAGCGACCCAACGACGGCCGATAGAGAGATGTAGAGAGGTAGAGAGACGGATAGCTTGACCGACGCATCAGTATGCGGTACGTTGTCCTCGCTAGTGCTGCTCGTCTCCCCGACTGTAATGTTAACATTCGCAAAGTCCGACCCGCACCGTCGATTTACTGCTTTCGCCGAAGGCAAATACGACCCTGCCAGCGGCTGGCCGTCAACTTGCGCCCATTGGCTGAACACATCGAGCGTAGCCTGGAGACATGCATTGCACGTCGGATACGGCGAGGTATCGATCACACTGCCGTAGGGGATGAGATAGACGTCGTAGTCCTCAGGATTCGAGGTGTTCGTGACGGCGTCGACGAAGCAGTAGTTCGTTGTGTCCGGGCTCTGGAGACATGTTGCACGGTATATGGGCTCGTAGGTGATCATGTTGACGTAGGCGTTTGAGACGAGCGGGTTGCCGTCTGCGTAATCGATGCCGCAGTTGTTGTCGTCGAGGAGGTCGGCGGCCAGGTCGGACATTGTGTCGGCACAGGAGGAGACATCGGCGGCGCAGGCGATGTCGAGGACGTGCGATGTTGAGGCGGCGGAGGTGAGGGTGTGGAAGAAGCCTGTTGAGTCGCGGAGGAGGGTGGAGATGGCGTGGCAGTCTGTAAAGGACGAGGATGCGAGGGTTTCTGTTATGAAGTCGCTGCAGGAGTCGGTGGTGAAGTTGGTGGAGAGGCTAGTGTCGAATGTTGTGGGGAAGCTTGTTGACGAAGCAGGAGATGGCGATGAGGCTCTTGGGAGGAGCGCTGCGCTATCTTTGTTTTCGTCATGCTCATAGATGATCGCGACAGGAGCATTGATATGGACGGAGACGGGTGGAGCATCCGCAACGGGCACTATGTCGACGATCCCTTGGTCTGGACCAGGTCGCGAGAATCGCGACTCGAGCGCAGAATCTGCTGGTTTCTCCTGGGCAAGGGCTGCTGGGAGGGCCAGAGTTGCGAGGAAGAGCGTCCTCGAGAGTTTGAGGAGGCCGGTGGGCGTTTGGTGGTGCATTCTGTTCAGGGCGTGGATTCGTTACGGTCGGTTTTGGTGCAGGATGACTGGCGACATGAACGAGTGACAAGAGCGATTACAATTAGGGAGAGTGGTAAGAATATTAAGGAGAGATACGCAAGACGGGCAAAGGGGATAAAAGAGCGTAAAGTCGGCCCGGGATGCTATGGACAAGACATGGTATGGTATAGAGCAGGACTCCGGAGAGTGGCAGAGCGAGTGGACGGACTGAAAAGTCCAAATCACATGAAGATGTGATGCAGAAAACAAATGACCGACAGCAAAAGGATGGAGAGGGAAAGAAGAGAAATAGACAAGAGGAAGAGGAGCAGGATAGGGGCGTGGAGGAGGCACAGAGGCAGCTACTTTAGCGGCCTCAATAGAAGCGTCTGGACTCTCGGCCTCGCGACAGCCACGTTGTGCCCGGAGTCAATGCTCCAATAGCACCAAATAGCACAAGAAACGGCGCTGCTATTTAGGGCTGACAGGCATTCCATTTGGTACACGACAGACTTCTAATTCAACTGCCGGCGAGTCAGATTGAGGAAACCTGAAGGAACCAAGAACTGAGGCCCCCTGCCTCCCTCCTTCGACTTTGCTGATATTAGCCCTAACGGGCATGCCAATGCAACCGATCAATATCTGTGATTTAATCAGAGACTCGGCCTCGGAAATCTCGACTTGGGCTCTTTACGAGCACTTGTCGAGGCGAGGAGAAGCGGCGGGTACACCCAATCAGAATGTGAGATTCGTCCTCCACAATTCTCTCTCCAAGTCTATCGCAGTCAGCAGCGATGACTCTTCCCTCCCAATTCATCTCTAGACACCTAGACGGCCAGAGACCCTCCGCTCCCCAGAACCTCTCCGCTCAACCATGTCTGCAGATCTTGTCCCCGAGACAAGGGTCCTTGCCGTTGCCAGCCATGTATGCCGATTCCCCCACTTTTGCCCACCCCCACCACTCATCAGAATCTGAACTGACATCCTCAGGTCGTCTATGGGTACGTCACCTTTTACCATCCCATGTAGTTCAATTGAACTAATTTTGAAAAGCCATGTCGGCAACAAAATGGCGACTCTTGTTATGCAATCCATGGGCTGTGATGTCGCTGCCCTGAACACTGTCCATTTTAGTTCGTCCCCTCTGGCTACATATATATATTGACATATATTAACGTATTTTTCTAGGCAATCACACCGGCTACCGCCAGTTCAAAGGCACAAGGGCCACCGCTGAGGAAATAACCAACCTCTATGAGGGTCTCTGCCAGAACAACCTCACTGACTTCGACGTAATGCTCTCCGGGTACGCTCCCAGCGCCGCAGCTGTTGAGGCTGTCGGGGCAATCGGCCAGGATCTCCAGCGCAAAGCGGCTGACCGGCCGGGGTCATTCTTCTGGGGTGCGTCCTCCCTGCTTGGTCTTCTAGCCTACGAGATAGCTAACGACTTCTATGTACCAGTCCTCGACCCAGTCATGGGTGACCAGGGCCGTCTATATGTTAACGACGACGTAGTCCCAGCATATAAGAACACCATCCAACACGCGGACCTGATTCTCCCCAATCAATTCGAGGCCGAGTAGCTCTCTCTACCTACTTCTGTCCGTGATCAGCACGACTAACAAATCAGGGTCCTCTCTGGCATCAAGATAACATCTCTCTCAACCCTAGCAGAGGCAATAACCACCATACACTCAAAATACTCCGTCCCACACGTTATAATCACCTCGGTGCAGCTCTCCAAACTCACCACCCCAGCAACACTCCCCACCCCGACCCCATCCACAGCAACATGCAGCAACACAAACCAAAACCTACTTACAGTAATCGGCTCAACAACCCTCTCCACCGGCGAACCCCGCCTCTTCCGCATCGACGTGCCAGCTCTCGACTGCTTCTTCAGCGGAACAGGTGACATGTTCGCGGCACTGACTGTCGCGCGGCTACGCGAAGCCGTCTTCAACGATTACGATGCCGGGCTGCGGGATACAAAATCATGGGTTTCAAAGGACGATGTGCGCGCGACGGAGTTGCCGCTTGCAAAGGCTACGGAGAAGGTCCTTGCTAGTATGCATGATGTTCTTGAGAGGACGATTGAGGCGCGTGATGCGCAGCTGAAAGCGACGGCGGGGGAGGCGGGTGTTGGGACGGAGGAGACAGAGGTCAAGAAGGAACATCTGAGGCGGACCAAGGCGGCGGAAGTCAGGCTGGTGAGGAATGTGAGGCTTTTGAGGGAGCCGACTGTCGAGTTTAAGGCTGTCGAGTGGGTGGAATGACTGGAGACCCACAGGAGGGTATTCGTGCCCATGCATACGTAGAGTTGGGATAGGAGGATGTCCTATATCATTATAGACAGACATTTATAAAGTATCATCATTATCATCATTGTATTGATTCTAGATCATTTTATGAGCGCAGAGAGCGTATTTGTCTAGATATGTTCCCATCTCTTCTTACGAGACGACTTCTTTTTCAAAAGCCTAGTCATCCCCCCCAATACCATATCTTTCCCTACTAGTAGATCCAGCCTCTAGTTTAGTTAGTACCCGTGCTTCCAAATCCACCAGCTCCGCGGACACTCTCGGCCAATTCCTGCACGACTACGACCTCCGGGGTGAAGATCTAAGCAAGTCAGCACTCTACTCGCAAAAGCTCTTGAAGATAACAAGGTCGTATTGATGCGACGTACCCTCTCCAAAACCAACTGCGCAACACGGTCCCCCTCCTGGACCGTGAAATCGACGTCGGAAAAGTTGAAGAGCAGGACCTTGACCTCGCCTCTGTAGTCTGCGTCGATCACGCCGGCGCCGGTATCGATAAAGTGTTTTGAGGCAAGACCGCTGCGGGGTGCGACCCGGCCGTCTAGGAACAATTTAATTAGCCTGATGCTTCGATCAATAGGTAATATGAAAAAAGAGGGTCGTACAGGTTCCCTCGGGAACAGCAATTGCCAGCCCAGTGTCAACGAGCGCCTTGCCCTTGGCGGGGATAACAGCTTCCTTCGCAGCGTAGAGGTCGTATCCAGCTGCAAATGCGGACCCGCGAGTTGGTGCGCGGGCAGAGGGGGCGAGCTTCTTGACGAGGAGGGATTGAGCTGGGGGAGCGGCGCCCGGGATGGATGTTCCGTTGGAGCCCATGGTGGAGGTGATTGTGGTTTCTGTTGTGTTGGGCTTTGTTCGCTTGGCGAGGGGAGAGGCGGGGAGGGACGGGGGTTCGTGAGTGCTAGTCGTGGATTCCTGAGGTGGTGGTGTGGTCTCTTTGGTCATGGTATGGTAGAGGTAAACTGGTCTGAAGGAGGAATTGAAGCGGGAGAAAGCACGAATATGGGAGAGAGGGAAAGTGCGGTGGATCAAGTGCATTTAAGAGTGCATTTAAGATGCAATTCTTGAGTCTGTGGATGCAGCTCTTGATCGATCGGAACGCGTCTGGCGGTGAGGCGCGCAACGCGTAAAGTGGATGTTTGCTGCGTTTGTCTGCGAGTCAAAGTTGCGCTGCTGGTCAGTCCGACGTTCCCTACTGCTCTCTGCCGACGCCCCGCAAAAACCAATTGCTGTCCAGCAATGAACCTCGGTCCGGGAGGTAAGCTGGGTCGCTGTGCTCCCCGAGCCCATCTTATTACTGGGGATGTTCCTGGCTGGAGATGCGTCCCCGACTGGCCTTTTCTTTGAACTGTAGAAAGGCTGATCCTGTTTTGGTTGTTATTCATCGCCCATCATGGCTGGAGCCATTCGTCAACCGATCGATATCCCAGCCCTCGAGCGGTACATTGACCAGAATGTGCCTGTGATCAAGACACCGTTGGAGGTGAAGCAGGTATGCACCAACTTTGGGTTTCTAGAATAGATCCGCGCTCACGCATCGCAGTTTGGCTTTGGCCAGTCGAACCCGACGTACCAGCTTATCGCCGCTGATGGTCATAAATTCGTCATGCGCAAGAAGCCACCAGGCAAACTGCTGTCGAAAACTGCACACAAGGTGGAACGGGAATATAAGATAATCCATGCCTTGGAGAACACGGATGTGCCTGTCCCCAAGGCATACTGTCTCTGCGAGGATAGCAGTGTCATTGGGACACCCTTTTACATCATGGAGTTTCTGGATGGGAGGATATTCACCAACCCGGCCATACCAGAAGTTTCTCCGGAGGAGAGGACTCTTCTGTATGGGATACAAGGCCTTCAATGTCATGATTAGTCGCTAATGTGTGTACAGGTGGAAAGATGCCGTTCGCACCTTGGCCAAGTTCCACCGCGTTGATCCCAAGGCCGTCGGGTTGGAAAGCTTTGGAAAACCGACAGGGTTTTATGATCGGCAGATCGCCACGTTTACAACGATATCCAAGGCCCAAGCTCAAGCTGTCGATGTCGAAACCAAGGAGCCGGTCGGAGATCTCCCCCATTTCATGGAGATGGTGCGCTTCTTCCAAGACAAGGCCGCCCAACCCAAGGACCGAGGTACTCTTGTCCATGGTGACTACAAGATCGACAATATGGTTTTCCATAAAACCGAACCCCGTGTCATCGGTATCCTAGACTGGGAGATGGCGACGGTGGGACATCCTCTCTCGGACTTTAGCAATCTTACTAGTCCGTACTTCCTCGAAGGCACAGAGTACCAGGCGGACAGTTTTAAGCCCGGAGTCGTTCCAGGGCTACCCGCACGTGAGGACTGCTTGCGGTGGTATAGCGAATACGCTGGATGGGATCCAACTCCAGAAGTCATTTGGGGAGATGCGTTCTTTTCTTGGCGGAGTTCGGTCATCATGCAGGGAATCAAAGCCCGATATGCGCTGAGACAGGCCAGCAGCGCGCGAGCCGCAGAGTATGCCCAAAAGATGGTGCCCTTTGCATTGTCTGCGTGGGAGCGAGTGGAAAAGGTGCAGAAGTCCCTTCGACAAAAGGGCAAGCTGTAAAGTAGTTTGGCCTTTCAATCGAACCAGGATCTTTAGCTTAGAGACTACGGAAGGCGCCTTGTGTGGCGTGAGAGCCACAAATAATAGGTTTGCCTGGCCATCTATTTACTCATCCACAGCGAAGACAAAGGGTGCGTGGCCCTTTGTTTTCTTTTTTGGACAATCTGAATCTCGCGGTCAGTCTGGTTTGGTAGCGGTAGACAATAATTCAGCCGATTTATCGTTTAACCTTGAGAGATCATATGACATGAGATACTGGACTACGCAGCGGCAGCGGAGCCCATCAGGCGCGTTCTGGTTCATGTCTTACTGTTTCTCCACCAGCTAGTGGCATGCCCCCTCTGTAAGCTTGCCAGCTGTCCAACAGCCTCCCAGCATCGTGCAGAAGGGAGGGGTCAAGGACTCGAGGGACTGCTTGCTGCCTTCAAGCACAGGTGTCCATGCAGGTAGGATTGTATCAGGATAAGCCCCATGAATGACGAACCTGCGAGCGATCTCGGATGCTCTGTAATTGGAAACCTGATGGGAAAGTGGCAGGCAGATTCAAACGAAGAACCTGGAGGCGTGCTCTCTGGAAGTCTGGGACTGGTGATGAGAACGTTGGAGAAACTCGTATAATGCACGCCAAGAGGGGAAGACCCGAACCAGTGAGGCTTTACCAACGCATCGTCAGCAAAGAGGCGATTCTGGGTGGAAACTAATTGGGTGCGGCTCATTCGGTGCTTTTTTTTTCTTCTCCTGGTCTGTTCATCGTTGGTCTTGCGCCTTGTGAGACGAGTGATCCGCCTTAACCCGCCTCAGCTATATTTCGCAGCAAATATAGGATGTCTCGGCCAATTGAAACTAGAATCGATCATCTACCCAAGATGGTTTTCCAGTATGTCCACGCAGTGCAAGGCGCACGCACAGGTGGCGCGACCAGTGAGAATCAATTCTTGCAGGTTCCCGAACGTCGAGGCTGCACTTATGATCCGGATTTGGCGCGAGGCCGGTTGGGATGAGAAACTTGGGCAACACACAGAGAGCTTTGGTGCCGATCACAACATGATTAATTTGAAGCAGTGAGCGGCTCATTGATGCCGCTAGTGAGATTGTGGTCTTTCCCGTGAAGCACAAGTCATCGGCACAATACAACATACGCTGGCTGTGGTCAAGTCGGCAGTCTGGAATCGCTCCTTGTCAGACGCGAGGCCTCAATTTGGTCAGCGGAGTAGCGTTTCCTGTGAGTTCTGTGCCTCGTCCGATGAATCTGGGAGGACTGGCACTGGCACATCCCAACCTGCTCATCATCGTGGAGGTTTGAAGAAAGTTTGGAGAGGACCCGTAAGATTCCGTTCGAACTTCAAGGAAGCGCCCTGAGCGTCTCAAAAATCTACGAAGGGCGCTAATATCCCATGGATGCATGAGACTTGGAGGTGTGATCCATGATCAGACAGCGGCTCTGTTGGTCGCAGATTGCTGCTGTCGAGTCTGAGGGTGTTTCGTCCTCCGCAGTGTCGCGCAACGCTGAGTGGACTCAGTGGGGAGAGGGGAAAGGCAGGGAAACGTGGCCGATCATTCACTGCAGAGTGACAGTTGCTGGCAGCAACCATCCAACCATCGGCCGCCAAGCGAGATAGTACGATTCCTGCTGACTTTGGAAAGCTCGCATCCTGACCACAGTGCGGTATTCGCTGAAATCAATTGCATTCCCAAGAGGGATCTGGAGGATGTCGTCAAACTCGAAGGCCAGCGGGAAGCAAGGGCGCTAGCCACGGATCTCTGGTCTGCAGAATCATGGATGTCAATTTGTCAATTTGCGAGCCTGAGGAGTCAAGGCGCTTCAGTTCCCGTGGTCCTTGTTCTACCCGGACAGCCCGTATTCCACGTCCCGCCCAAGAGCCTAGGTTGATTTGAGTCCTAGCTCTAGGTTTTTCTTTTCTTTTCTTTTTTTTTTTCCTTTTTTTGTCTTTTCCTGCCTTCTCTGGTCTCTGGTGTGCTTTCATTTTGTTTCATTTCTTTCTTTCTTTCTTTTTTTCCCCCTCTTTCCCCTCCCTTGACAAAGTTGACAGACTGATGTTGGGGTTCACGGTGGATTCGATTTTCGTGGCGGTCAGCATTTGCAAGGGCGCATTGCAGCCTTAGGTACCAACCTGCTGACAGCCCGGACTTCTGTTATCTCCACACCGCAGATGGCAAACTCAAACAAAACAGCAAAGGCCGAGCTTCGAAATAAGTCACGTATGGTGAGATGCGAATACGAGCTGCTCGCAAAGGTGGAGGGCCACCTCGTGTAGATAAATTGTGTCGAAGGAGCTGGAAAAGCTCAGGCAAGTTTCGATGAAGGTTCGGTGCAGGAGGATGGCAGGTGAACAATTCAGCCTCCTTGTCACTGGCAGCCAATGGACAGCGCAGATGCAGAGCCTCATCGGCGTGGGTGGAACCTGATTTGGCTCTAGTCTCGTGAAAAGGCTCAGGCTCGTGGGACGGGGGCGTGGCATTACGCAGAACAAAGACCAAGAACCTTGGAATCGTCCATCACCACCTTCCACGTCGAGGCTTGAGGCTGTCCGTCAAAACTCTTTTTAAGCCCCTTTTCCCTCCAATTACATGATCATTCAATCATTATTTTGCCCGCACCCCACCTTGCTCGCCCTCGAAGGCTCGAACATATTTTTTTATGTTTGCCTGGGTGGCGCGTCTGAACTCTCAAGTCAGCCTCCCCTCATTCTTCCACCTTGTTGCTTTTTTCTCCGCTGATGGCAAGCATCATCAGACTCGACAGCAGTGTTGATCAGTTGCATTGCAAATCGTGAAGAGGCCCAGGGAAAAGGAAAACGCTCGCGAGGTGCGGAGACGGTCGACAGACACCCAGGAAATTAGCATCACGTTCGGGGACCTGACGGAAGCACTGCTGCCACTCAGCAGTTCTCCACCCCAACCACACTTGTGTCCACTTGCTAACCCGGACGAAAGGTGCGGCGCTTCTCTTATTCTTCACGCCCCGGCTTGATATCACCTTCGTCATTATTTTCTCCCACCTTTTTTTTGTCCAGACTCTTCTGCTCAGACACTTGACCGCTTCAGAGGCTCTGGGAGCTCTGCGTCGTGTCCACCTTGCCAAGCGGCGCGCCCTCGAATAGGCAAACTGCGTTGCATCCCAGCCGATTTCTTCCCCGAACTACGCGCGCCTGTATTCGCATCTCTTCGAGCATTCTTTTCAATTTTCTTTCCTGCTCCGTATCTTCCCCCTCGTATTCCTCTTTTCGTTTTTTTTTGCATTTCGCATATCTTTGCCGCCTTTCCCCTCTGAGGTCATTATTGCTCGAATCCGAGAACCCCGAGCCCCTCCGCCTTGACGGGCGCTTCAAGCCAGAAAAACTACCAGCTCACCACCTGCGCGCGATCGACGCTGGCGTCATCCCGGTCTCTCAAGTACTCTCTTCATCTCATCTGAAGTGCATAACTTAGAAATTATTTTTGTCGAGCGGAGGAAGTTTCGTCTGATCTCTCCTCGAGCCTCTTCCTTGAGCCTCAACCGGTGCGTGACTCTCTCCGATTGAGCCTCATCCGTTCCTGGAAAAACTGGTGAGCTTATTTTGCCTCCGCTTCCTACCTCACCCCAACTGCTTCGGAATAAGACTTCTTCTCGCCTGGCACCTGTGTCCCAACATCCAACTCGTCTCGCATATGCTGCTGTCCATACATTGCTTTCCCGGCTGGGTGTCGCTGGTGGCTATCAACATCTCTCGTCGTGCCTGTGTAACCTCTGTTGTCGCCATGCTATTAACCCGTCCTATACTCAATCAACTCGCCGTTAGTAAATATTTACACGTACTAACATCGCCTCAGGTCTAAAATGCGGACTAGTCTAACTTCTTGAACAAAGTCTAAGTACTCCCTCTTGTTCTCAACCCGGGTGCCGTCGTGGATTGCCCGCTAGGGAAAAAAAGGAAACGGAAGAAGAAAAGAAAGAGGCTCAGATTTCAAAGCCCAAGAGGGCCAAATAGAAAAGCTCTACCGCTTGGATTTAAGAGAGTGGCGCTCCTGATGCGCCAAAAACCTCCGCCTCCATGAACGAACCATATGGATATGACGATCAGGACTCGCCCGGAGGGCTCAAGGCCATCCAGCCGGACTTTAAACCAAGAGAACCGACGCCGCCGCCGTTTGTCCAAAGCACATCACCTGTAAGGAGTGGCGGCAGCCATCCGGACAAGGAATTCTCCAAGTCTAAGCACGCCGGGGCATTTACTTATGGACAGGCCGAGTCCGGTGCAGCTCTGCTCCGCGGTACACTTGCATCTGGCCTCCCTGATGTTGTATGGGCTGAAACACAGAACCCGATTGCTAGAGACCCTCATCCAGTCGACCATAGGTTCTTCAGACCACCACCCGGCTTGACAATAGGCAGGAAGCATACTCCTGAGGAGCAGAGACCCAAGCTTGCCGAGTCGGACCTGAAACAAAAGGCAAATGCCGCACTGGATCTGGCCCCTGTTCCCGAACCCGGCCTCAAACTACCTCCGCTAAATGATGTTGATAGCAGAGAGCCAAGCCAACCGGATAGAGAGCGCTCCGCACTCTCTATAAGCCAGTTTATCATTCACGATCCGGGGAGCCAAGACTCACTTCCTGCGCTTGTCAACACGTCGGCATCCCGCCCGCCAGACAATGCCGGCACTAGACTACCGCCGCTAAAAACGCAGCTGAGCGGACTCGGAACGCTGCCACCGCCGTTGTCGAATGCACCTCCTCCACGGATTGTAGGCAGTACCTCGTCATTCCCCTTGCCTCCCGTATCGGCTGTTTCTCCTCCCATGATCCGGGCAGAACCCAGCCCGTGGGATCCTCATCGCGGGAATCGGTTGCCGGCCAAGATACCGCCCAGTCCGTATAGCCATCTTTCACCTGCAAGCTCGCAGGCTATATCCGCCGTCTCGTCTCCGGTATCGCAGCCGACATATTGGCGAGGCGGCCCAAAGTCGGCCGGGCCTTATTACGAGTCGTCTTCCATGTCCTCCAGAAGCCCAGCGACTAATTATCCGACGCCGACCGAGCATGTACCGCCAGGATCTTGTGAACCGGTCAACTATGTCTCTCCTCAGGGCAACGTGCCACCCGCTGCGCCAGGTACCTTCAAGTGCGACCACCCTGGATGCAACGCGGCTCCATTCCAGACACAGTACTTGTTAAAGTAAGTTTCTAGGCCGTGATATACAAAAAGAGCCGTAGCCAAGACTGACAGATGCAGTTCACATGCAAATGTCCACTCGCAAGATCGACCTCACTTTTGTCCAATTGAAGGCTGTTCACGTGGTCCGGGAGGGAAAGGATTCAAACGGAAGAACGAGATGATTCGCCATGGACTAGTGCACAATTCCCCGGGATATGTCTGCCCGTTTTGTCCAGACCAGCAACATAAGTATCCGCGGCCTGATAATCTCCAGCGGTATGTTTCACTTGTTTAGACAGGTTCCGGCAAACGCTAATTGTATAGACATGTGAGAGTTCACCATGTGGATAAGAGCAAAGACGACGCGGCCCTCCGCCATGTCTTAGCCCAGCGACCAGAGGGCAGCGGACGGGGACGACGCCGCCGGATCAACGCCCAATAACTATACGGCATTGCAAATAAAGCACCTGAAGAGATGGCTTTCCACCTGGAATAACGCGGCCCTCTCATTGGTTCACAGCACATGCATTACGACCCTGCTTTCTGTTTCGACTTCAGCGATACCAGATGTTAGACATTTGCGTGCTCGGTCATTCGTTTTTGCATTTTCTGCCCCGGCGGAGATGGAGCGTGGGGTGTAAATCCGGTCCGGCGTTGATTAATTGATTGATTGATTACTTACTCGCGTGTTTGGTTTATTTATTCGACTCGGGTTTATTCACTTTTCGACTCGATATTTACCGTTCCAACGATTTTTTGAGGAACATCCAGCGTTTCCAGTTTTCTGCGGTGTTCTGCATCCACGGAAGCGCGGCGTCTTCTTTCTTCCCAGGGCGTGGCTTGAAGCTTGCGGGCTTACTACTCGGCGTTGAGGAATGAACTGAACTGAACTGAACTGAGATGGGAGTGAAGTCAAGTGGAAGAACAGAATGGATTAAGCAGGGGAAAAAAAGATAGGTACATAAGCTAGCCTGCTAGCAATCAACTATTCAACAATATTTTCAACAAATACGTCCCTGCACTGTCGCTCACTACCCCGTATCGCATCGCGTATCCGTAACTCATAAAACTTCCCTGGAGCCGTTGCGCCGTCTACCCATTCCATAATACAGTCTAGTCTGACCATGTATCTCATCCGGAGAGCCAGCCCCAGACTTCCTCCTCCTTTCCAAGCCACAAAAGGCTCAACAGAGAAGGATTAATTAACCCTAGCGTGGATCCTCCTCACATGATCCTTCATATTATCCACACGCGAAAACACCCGCGTGCACCCTTCTTCCGCCCACTCACACCGAATCCCAGGGTTGTGTTTCGCCTCATGCCTATCGCGATCCTTCTTCGAACTAAACCCTGCACCGGGGTTCGAAGAATTGGCCTGCGGGCACCCCTCGACGCGACAGAAGAGGTGCTTCCTGTGTCGATTGTAGTGCTTCCTCAGGTCGCAGCCGCGCCGGAATAGCGCAGGCGACGTGCAGCCCGGGTAGGCGCAGGACCAGGTGTTCGGTTGGGTTGGGTGTGGGGTACCGTAGAGTGAGAGGTCTTTTGAGTTTGTGTTGGACTGCGAGTGCGTGCTGGAGGTTGAGGGGTGGCGGGTGGGGATTGAGGAGGTGTGTGAGGGGGAGGGCGGGTCGTAGTCAAGATCGTAGTCGAATGTTGATGGGGCCGGCGAGGTGTGACCTGTTCCTCCTGCGGGGAGGGAGGAGGAGGATTGGTAGAGCTGAGGTTGGGAGTTGATGCGCGAGGAGGAGGCTTGCGAGGGGTGTTGGAGCCATGTACTCTGTGGGTTGGGGGTGGTGGTGGTGGAGTAGTAGTTTGGGGTCGAGAGGTAAGGTTGGACACCTGCGCTGGCGCCGTAGTAGCCGGTTGGGTCGAGCGGAGGGTATACAGAGAGGTAGTCTGGCATCTGGATGTCCTGTTGCTGGTGGTGATGATGATGATGATGGGGGTGGTTGTGCATCGGGGCAAAGGAAGCCGGGGAGGCGTAGAGGAGCGAGTTGGGGTCTGAGTCTGCGAGGAGGAGATTGTCCATGTTTGCGGTTGCTGATGGTGGTACTGGTGAAGTACTTGTGGGAATAGAATAGGTCGAGTAGCGGTTTCGTCTCTATGATGTTGTTAGTGGGGTGGTGAGGGGATAGGAGGGGATAACCTACAGCTCTGTCGTCTCCCATCTTCCATGCCCGTTGCTCTCTTATATCGTGGTGCCCGTGGAGACCGTTGGATCGAGGTGTAGCTACCAGCATGACTTTATATAGATGGACAAGATATTGCGTTGTGGTGATATCAGGTCTATTCTCGAAAAGAAGTGCAGTGTCCAGATCAATTTAAGCCCCCAGAGTGCACGGAAGCTGTTTTAATATTAGCAGCGATACTAGACAGTTCAAAGTAAGTCATGACTTGGCCCTCATCAGTCAGACGTGGCTATGCAAGCATCAGTTGCCAGCCAACGGGATAGCTGAAGAGAACCCCAGACCCGGGAGAATGTCTCTGACGGAAAATGGCCCCTGCTGCACGATTGCAGACGGTCGAACCAGTAACTGGGCCAGTCTCAGCTCGAGCGCAGCACAACTGCCGGTTGCTATTCGTGGGATGAGGGCGATCCCCAGCCCGGGAATCCACCGTGCTAGCTGAGTACATACGCATACTACCTAGTTCGGGCAGCAGGAGTCATGCAGAGTCCTGCCGCTTCCTATTCGTGCTCTGCCCATAGGGCTGAACGAGATCCCAGTTCCTCAGGACCGGTCCAAAACCTGAACCTGAAACTTGCGACGGAATCACCGACCGTTACCGCTTCAACCTGCATGCCAAAGCTTCACTCTAAACGGGCACATTATGCGCACTTGCCATCTCCAAAATCCTTGGAAGCTGACTTGGCCGGCAAGTGCCAGTAGTAGCTCCGGAACTCCAGACGTCCAATCTCACCGTCATTCCTCACCACTCACCACACCGTCACCACTCTCTCATATCCAGAATCTTCCAAGTATTCCAAATCGCAAACCGCCATGTTAATAATAACCCAACCGACCCAAAATCCTCTGTCCCCACTGTAAACCGGCCATTTGTCCTATCGTAAGCCTACCCGGATCGGAATCAGGCCCCCCGCGTGGCTGATGCCTCAGAGCCAAGGCGCAGACGCAGATCCACCACGAGTCTCTTACCGCCAGGCTCGCGGGTTGGCTCAATCGTCATTGGCTGCAGGGCTCTCTCGATGGGTCGAACTGGCGGTCCATCATCACGACTGGAAAGCCGTTGAAGACCCTGCCTCAGGGTGCCTTCGATATTGTCATCAGGAGATGAGGAGCGGTGTCGAGCGCTCTCCCCGAGGTTCGGGAAGCGGGTATCGGGGTGCGCGAGAGTCTATCTTGCATTAGAATTGAGTCATTGTGATGAGTCGGTGTTGGAGATGACCGTGTCGAATGTGGTCTCGAGTCGCTTTCTCTCAACTGCCAATCTGACTTAAATCACGTGGCTGAGTCCTACCAAGGTTGCGAGCCAACAACAACAGACAACAGCTCCTCATTAACCTGAAGAAATGCGCAGCACCTCCCAAAATTAGTATATTACTACGAAATAACCCCCTCAATGTCATTTCTTGGTCGATACGCACACTGTCGTTGGTCCCTGTCTTCAAGTCCCATGTCGTCTTGTCTCGAGTCTTGTCTCTCTTTACTTTTTCCTCTCTGCCGGACCTCCGGGGCCCTTCCCAGCCTGCCCCTGCCCCTGCCCCTGCCCCTGGTTCCCCGATCCGCTCGGACGCGAACGTGTCTCATATCCGAAGCCAGGGCCCACGCGATAGACTGATTTTCCTCAATTTGACCTCGTATCCGTTGATGGAGCCAGAGTTAAGCTCTTACTATGATTAACTCCGAGTCTAGGTGACTGCCTTGCATGGCCACCCAGCCATCCGTGGGAAGCCTACAAAATCATGTTTTGTCAACATTATTCCAACAGCCCCCCAAAAAACAAGGCTCGTTCCGGCTCCGCGTTGCGCTCCGCTCAAAAAGTCTCCGTCGTCAGATCCGCCGAGCCCCGTGGCCACCGCCATGATGACAATAGTAATTGTCTCCTTTCGATTGCTAAGCCATTTTATCTAGATGCATGATTGATAAGTGCTGTGCTTGCGCGGCGCAAGAGATTGATAATCACTTTTCTTTTTCTGAACAAGGCAATGCACTGCAAACATGCCATTGCGCCGGAGCCCGGGGGGCGGGAGCTGGAGGTGGAGCTGGTACTTTGGAGATTAGAATCCTTGTCCGAGGGCAGTGGTTTTCCTTGGATCAACCTTGAGAAACACTTGAGTGTCGCGAGTCCTGGCTGAGGACCTCCTCCCGGCTAGGGTATGGTATGTTCCTGGCTGTTGCGCTGCGGCGATGCAATGGCTGGGATAGCTTGCGAATTGGGGCCAGGATTTTCTGTCGTTCTCGTCCATCCACTGTTGTTCAGTACTCACTGTCTAGAAAAGTACAGATTATGTGTCTCGGGTTCTTGGTACGTGGTGGGTGTGCGATACTATCTCTGATTCGACTGATTTTTCTAGTTCATGTCAAAATGCTGTCTACTCCGGAGTATGGAGTACAGTGGGGAATGATTGACATCTGTTGGCGGCTAAATCGGCGCAGATCACAATCCTGCCTCCACCAGACTCTGAAGCTGATGAGGAGAATATTCAGGTATCATTATTTGTCACGATGTTGTGGTCTATATCCACCAGGCACATTTTCTGTAACCAGTTTGCTCGAGTATGAGCGTTCAAAACATTGTCTAACAGGATATTCAACAGATTGCAGGTCATTCCAAAAAAAGAGGTACCAAAGCAGACACTCGAGTCATTTCCACTCAGCGAATCAAGCGTTAGTTTCGGCGCGCAGGAGCGGGCTGTACACGTCGGGGCTCGTCTTGTCTTTGTCCTCAGCATTCCGATACAAGACATAATGCTGGATGACGAAGATCAGGTCGAAAAAGATGGTGACGTTTGACAAGAGGAATTTGATAGGGTTCCCCGTCACACCACTCCAATCGTCCTGAAAGGCCGAGTCAATGATCAACTGGACAAGCGAGAGCACGCCGCCAGTCAGATCCAGCAGGATCTGGACGATGCTCCAGCCACGTGTCGATTTACGCTTGTAGTTGACCCAGGCCTGCGGAACGTATTTTACCACCGTAATCACTAGTTTCACGTATGAAAGAGCATAAATCTGAGCCTTCTGTCAGACATCTAAAAATAGGATTCAGGCGGGATAGCGGTCTCATTGGCTGTACTTACAACGTCGATCCAAGCCCAACTCAAGGGTTCATAGCCATTGTCAGGGCTTTTGGCTAAGACAATGAAGATGACCACGGCAACCGCAACGAACGACCCCCAAAAAAGTCCAAGGATCGGCCAGCTCACTCTCTGGAAGCGCGACACCTTGAACCCCCATATGCTCGGCCAGAACTGCGTGTAGACTAGGAAGCTGAGGACAACGGCATGTAGAGCGAATGCGAAATCGTTGAACCGCACAGTGGGCTCCTCAGACTGCGGATGGCGAGCCGCATACTGGCTGCGGATTACGGGGGAGTAAAGGAACGCGCTGGTATATACGGTGTAGCAGACAAACCCGAGGACATTGATCGTAGGGAAATCGATGGCTAGCCCCGTAGTGGCCTTTCGGCGGAAGTTGTCGATCGGTTGAGGGTAAAAGGATGCGGACCAGCAGAACGTGCTTGATGCCGGTCAGCTTCGCTATCTGCGCTGGAGATATATACCCCAGAGAGGGTCTACTTACTAGATCCACCCAAGAAGACTGTTGCGTAATAAGATCGGCAAGTTAGTATAGCGCTTACCGATCGTTCAATGACCTGACGAGGGCTCAAGAAAGTATCACCTACCGTGAGAGCGCCCTTGCAAAGATTTCAAGCTGCGAGGACATCTTGATGCCTGTCCATGAGGGGCTTTGGAGGTTGGACCGCTTCAGAGGCTCGCGTGATAGGAGGAGATAAGATGGTCATCGATCGGGCAGAAACACAAGGCGGTAAGACCCGGGTTATGGGTCAGCCGCCGCTGAGCAGCGGTTGCTCTGGGCGATCGCACGCTAAACCGCAAATGGCAGACTATTATTGGCTGTCGCTCTCCCAGCCTCTCACTTCCTCCAGCGAGCTGTCTATCTCGGTTCATGCAGCTGGGCTTTTCGCTCTGCCAGTCACCTTTCTTTTCTTGCATCTCGCCATCTCCCTTGCCCATTGTTATTATTTCAGCTCTGTGTTGGGAAAGTCTTCATATTTGCGTGGTGAAATCGTCCGTACTTCATTCTCTTCCCCGCTTCTATACTCGACGACTACTTATATCGCTCTTGACTTCTCCACCGCTGTTCCGATCGCATACCAAGAGTCGGCACATTCTTCTGGCCGCACATTGACAGGCATCCACGTTCCACCGATAAGCCCTGCTGTCCATCGTCGCATGGTGCATTCCTCGAAGCGGGGGATCTCGATAGATCTCCTTTGATTATACTGTCTGCTGCTTCATTCATCGTTCAAATCGCCGGGACAAGTCGCAAACGGCTCTCGAGCCATGTCGGACAATTCGGGGCTTACGGCCGCTGGAGGCGCCTCATATACCTCCAATACACTGCATGTTGGGGATGGAACATGGGATCTCGACCGGGATACGTTTCTTTTGCCCAATCTCATGGGAGTAAACTTTGAGACGATGCGATACAATGGTAGGCAGAATATTCCATGCGTTAGTTTAGCATCTTCTGACGTACGTAGGAATGGGAAACCGATTTCGAGATATGCCCCATTACCACACCCTGATTATCGCGCATGGTGTCATAGCCGCAATCGTGTTCTTAGGGCTGGTTCCCCTGTCGATTTTCCTCGTTCGATACTACTCGCTGCGAAATCCATACTCGGCATTTAGGTATCATGTCTGGTGCCAGGTCCTGACATTATTTTTGAGCACTGTCATATTTGTTCTTGGTTGGTTCGCTGTCGGCCCAGCCAGGAGCCTCTCAAATCCTCACCATGGAATCGGCCTCGCCATCTACGTTATGATTGTCTTCCAAGTGTTCTGGGGTTGGTTCGTCCACAAGATTGAGCGGAATAAGAAACGATTCCATGTACCTCTGAAGCTAGTGGTAAGTTTCTGGCCGTGCTCGCACTAGCAGTATTAACAGGCGATAGATTCATCGATGGATTGGCCGTGGACTAGCGATTCTTGGCATCGTCCAAATCCCACTCGGGCTCACCCTTTATGGCTCACCCAAGTCTCTATTCATCCTATACGCCGTCGCTGCTTTTATTCTCCTTTTGACATTCTTTATACTATCGTACCGATATGATTCCGACAGGGGCTCCGGTCCGGACGGAGATGATAGTCGCTACAGCTATGTATCCCGCCCACCAGACGATGACCATGGACATGGTGGCTTTGGACGGATGGCCGCAGCCGGTGCAGCAGGAGCCGGATTGGCGGCCATCTTCCGACGGCGTAATCGGGACCATGTTTCTGACGGCTCCCAGACATCGTACATGGACGAAAAGTACTCGGATGAAGGGTCTCGTCGTGGTGGTGGCTGGGGAGGCAGATTCCTAAAGATAGGAGCTCTTGGAGGTGGCGCGCTGCTAGCTAAGAGGTTCTTTGATAGGAGGCGTGAACGAGAAAGCGACGCCGAGTCCGGAAGATATCGACCTGCCCATCGTCGAACGGACAGCATGACCGAGGAAAGCTTGAGCCGGCTGGACGACCGCCCTCCGCCTGGGCCTGGCTCTGGGCCTGGGCCAAGCTATCCAGCTCCTCTCAATAGACCGCCTGGTGGTCCTCCAAGCAGACCCCAAAGTCCGGGTTCGTCTTACTACGATTACTCATACCTCTCACGGGAGGACGAAGGCCGGTCTTCTCATCCCGTTCGAAACGCGTTTCTCGGAGCCGGGGCGTTTGCAGCTGTAAAAGGTCTCTTCTCGCGAAAGAAGAAAGATGAACAGCGCCATGTGGAGGAGATGCGACGGCACGACCTTGAGAATGAAAAACTTGCCCGAGCGAATAGCAAGCGACGCTACCCTGGTGATGGATATCTACCACAACGCAAACGTCCAGCTTCGCAAACAGCAACCGATGTCTCCACTGACCTGACACCACGCCCTCACCGTCACCCCTATGCACCAGAGTCGGGTCTTTCCGCGTTGCCTGTCGCCTCAGGTGCCGTTGACGGAGCACACGGAACCATGCCTCCAGCTCCTCCGATTCATTACGACCCTGCTTCGACAATGACACCCACACCAGCATCCGCACCCCCACCACCACAACCCCATATCGAATCCGCGATTGCAACTGCCCCCATGGCAGCCGCAGGCCCCTCAACCGGCCACCTGCCACCTCCTGGCAGCGGCACCTGGCAACGAGAAGACCACGTCGAGTCTCCTCCCGTCTCATTAAAGATGAAAATGCACGACGACGGCCGCCATATCACCCTCCGCCGCTTGACGGAAGAAGAAGCGGCCGCCAGCCGAGATGCCCGCCGAAGAGAGCGCCGCAACTCGCGTCGCCGAAACGGAAGCGTTAGCTCCCTCTCCGGCAACGAAGGCACAGGCAGCCGTGACCGCTGGCGCCGCGTCGAGGAACTAGAACGCCAGCAACACGAGCAGATGCTGCGAGAACAAGCCGCTGCTTCCGCTGCGGCTGCAGGAGCTGCTGCTGCTACGGCCTCTCCGCCGCCACTTGCACAACCTCCCCTGGCAACAGGTCCGGCTGCGTCAGGAACTATACCCGCCGCCGCTTCATCATTCCTCCCGCCACAAAGCACAAGTCATCTCCCTCCGCCGCGGGCGCCATCCACAAATCCCTATGGAAGCATCACGTCTCCGACATACACAGACACCAACGCAAGCGAGTACGCGAGCAATCGCCGACGGAGACGCGCCGAGAGAGCGCGAGCTAGACAGGAAAGACAGCAGCATCCCAGCGTGGAATTCACATGATAAGCACATTGCACCGCCATGGTTCCTTTTTACTCTACCCCTACCGCCTTGTATAGACAACATCTTTCTTCGCTGTGTATCTTGCTTGACCTTTTCTCTCCTCCCTGCTTATTCTCTCTCCCTCGCCTACCCATGAATGCACACATCGCCAACATATTCCTCAATGAACATTTAAGGTAATGACACTAGCGTTGGTTTCCCACGGCTTGCTCCCGTTTTGCCTCTTTCTTTCTTATGTTGGTTTCGATCGTGATGGAATGAAACGACTTGAATGATATCGGCTCTTCTCTGGTTAGTAGCCTGGTCATGTCCATGATTAAACTGCGAATGCTGTGTTTGGACACGGTATGCAATGCTATGAACTTGAATGTGAAAAGCTGGACTTACATGTATGTATCTGAATCATGGATACCATTCGTCATGTCGATATGTGATGTCGGTTCATACTTTGGGGGCTCTTATTCGGCTTACTTTGAACGCCTTATGTTTCGTGTATTATGTACTTCACTGGTTGGCTATACTCGTCTTGCTTTGATACGTAATGCAGACTAATGTTTGTGCGTCAATCAGTATCCACCAGACAGCAAGGCAAAGTAAAATATTATCTCAGCCAAAGTCTTCGCTCATGACAGCCCCTCTCTGTTCAAACAACGGTACCGTCCAAATACATTCACATCAGGCCGCCTTCGTAATCTTGAAGGCGCTCCATCTCAGCAGCTATTTCGATTCGCAACAAAACAAGCAGCCACCGGAAGGTGAGCTCAAATAGTAACCGCGTCAGGGAAAGTACCTTCAGGCCGATCCGCGAAGGCATGTAACCGCGAATCGCGGCTACAATTGCCGCAATATGTTGGAGGTAGACTACTGGGAAAACGATGTTGATTTGAAGAATGCACGCACCATCAATGGTACCGACAGCCGACAGCGGCTCGGGCCCAATAGGAAGTGTCTCACATCTCGACAGGCACGGAACAATCATAGTAGTTGGAGCTGATTGGTTCTCTTTTGTAGCTAAGATTCCCCTCCTCCATGGGAAGATGCGCAGCATATTTGTCGCCAATTTTCCGAGTGAGAAACCATGTTGTGGGAGCTGCCGTATTGGTAACGAACTCGCAGATGTTGTTTGCTTTATCGTGGATTCCTCGCAATCTGATGGGCCCTGATCTATCTGTTCACAATCAAAGTCAATTATGCCTCGGCGCAGAGGAAGTTTGTCCACCGTCGGAATGGGCGCCGGAAATGGCATATCGGGATTTTTCAGAGGTATACCCAAAATCTCCAGTTCGCGAGTGGAAAAAGGTCGAGAAAAGTATCGACAAGGAATGATGCTCCGCGTTTCCCAGGATTGCTTTGGTCGTGACGGGCGAGGCTCAAGGTATTGTTCAATAATGGGTCGCTCAGCGTATTGGCTCACATTTCTACCGGTTCGTAGTGGTAGGGATAGGGAAAGGGTTACTGGGCGCCGGTCCCTGCGCACGGATTGTTCAATTGGTCCGGATTCAAGAAAAGGTGGAATATTCTCCGCTCTGCCGTGGAACGGAATGCCAATGTCGGAAAGGAAAGAAGGCTTTGTTGGTCCCGGCGGTCTTGCTCTGCGACTGTTGAACAGAGAACCAAAAAGGTCATCGCTGGAAGGCGCTACCTTGTGCACTCGATTGATGGTATTCTTGTCAGATTTTGCAATAAAGAGAGCATTCTGCTTGTCTTTTCGCCAGGATCCAAGCTCAGACTGATTGCCGCTCAACGATATCGGTGTATTATGCGGATTCAATGGCATTGCGCGATCGAGAAACGGGTCTTTGTCGACGGCCATGTCGGAATACAGTCTTGGAAAGGTGAAAAGTAGATCTTTGTACTCGCCATCGCCGTCGACTGTGTCGAATGGGTGCGAATCGCGCTGGTTGAAGAGAGGCGAGGTAGAGCCCTCTTGTTCGGATCCGGTGGCTTTTGCATTCCGTGCCTGGTGGGGTTCGAGACGATAGCCACCAGGAACCTCATTTTCCTGTGCAAAGGCAGGTTCATGGGGGAAGGAGAGAGACAAATTCATTGGAAACTCCTGCGTCATGTGGGTAATTGGAGCTTTTGCGCTCCGCAAAGCCATGTAGTCGATGTGAGATATTAGGCGCCTAGAAGCTGAATACGCCATGCGGCAATGTCAATCTCAATTGCAAATCAATGTAATGGGGGTGGGTCGAGGTAAAAAAAATGCAACTTCACGGGGCCGGGTTCTAAACTGCGGAGTGTAGACATTGAGGAAGGAGCCGCCCAGCTCTAAAAGGCAAGCACAGTTCACCCATTTGGTATCTCGAGTAAGTATAAGAGATTGGTAGTCTAGCACCATATGACCAGCAAGTCATAACGAATTGCTATAATTTTACATGTTCAGAGTTGGAAAGCGCGAGTGGATATGTACATCAGGTATCTATTTCAGAGAAGCCTGCAGGGTCTCGAGCACCTATCACAGAGTTAGTCTGGCCAAATGATATAGACCCCGGATGACTGAACTTACTTCCAGCTCAATCTTGGCCTCAGCGATGTCCTGCTCGCTGCCGCTGCCGCTCGCAATCTTCTGGGCCTCGGCGATCTGGGCGCGGACGTTCTTCAGGAAGAAAGATTGTTAGTACTGAAATCGGTTTCTGGAATCAAATGTCCTAAACCCACCTCGGCGCTGAAGTCCTCAAGAGGGAAACCCTCAACGGCGTTGATGCTGAGCTCAGAGTTCGGCTGGACAACAGCGAAACCGCCAGAAACTGTACAAATCCGGTTAGCCTTGCTGCTGCTTTGTTGATTATGGCCGGTAAAACACGGTAAACGCGGCGCAATATGTGTCGGAGTGGATGCCGGGTCGGACATACGGAAGAACTTCTTGTTGGCACCACCCTCCTCAACGATCTCAACAAGACCGGGCTTGAGCTGCTCAATGGAGGGAACGTGGTTGGCGAGGACACCCATCTCTCCGGACTCGGCGGGGATGTTAACCTGAACACTGGATCGGAAGACTCGTCAGTAACCGCGCGACATGGGAACAACGATGGCCGGTCATGCGCGGCCGCGTCGGAGGGAGAAGGTGACATACACGCCGGTCGATCGGAAGATGGTCTATACATAGCGGAAGGGGTCAGTATTAAAGTCTAAGGGATATCGAACGGGTTCACCGGGCGGAAGTCGTACCTGGTGAGGGAGAACCAGGGAGAGCTTGATCTTGTCGGAGACGGCCTCAGCGTAACCGCGGCGCTGGAGAGGTACGCGGAAAGCAGCAGGGCGAGCCCTGAGGGCAGAGCGAGCGAAACGGAGGGAGCTCATCTTGCAATTGGGGGTTTGAGGAAAGGTGATGATGGGTCAGTCTCCCGCTTTGGCCTGGAGTTGCGAGTTGCAAAGGTCGACGTCGGATGCCGGTTGTTCCCTAGCGCCGAGTCACGTGAGTCAATACGTCCTTTGCCAAGAGTTCAGCGCAACTCACTTACACTGTCTTGGGCAGTCGGCATCTACTGAGATTGGAAAGAATACTAATCTCTGTATAAGGTAGCCTTCTTCTCAATTGTTCTATCTTCCTACAGGTACTCCAAGGTTTTCCACCAGGCGTTCCGCACCGGTATGATCGGTACATCACTGGGGTCTCGGCGGTTTAGATAAATACAGTGCGCACCTGAGACTCATGATACTGACAGCAAGGTATTCCTTTCATCCCATAAGCTCCCTCCATCCTTCTCGACTCGAAGTATCTGGACCGAGATATCAAGAAGCCAGACTCAATACCCATGTCACGTGATTAGATATCATGTGATTTTATCCAGGAAACACCTCCCATCACCTCTTTTTGCAGCACAACAACGTCGTCAATCCTAGATTAAACGGTTAATATTGAGAAATACATTCTATAACTGTCTTTCTAACGCAACAAATCCTTAAAACTCACTCCCTGCAACGTAGTCGTCGCGCAAGTTAAGAAAATCGAGAAGCACGCTAGCCCAGGCTCGGTAAGCGAAATCCCACACAAACGGCCCGCCGAGCCCTAGCGGAACTGGCCTTGGGTCTCTCTCTGCTTTTCCTGATCGCTGGATAACCTCACCCGCCAACTCACGTCAACCGTCTTTCAGTCGCGACGAATCTGTCAAGATGGCCAGTACGTTACTCTGCATCTCTATACTGCTGATGAATTCGATCAGCTGTCAAAAAGCAGCCAAAATCGCGGCCTCGAGTCAATAACTGACGTTTCCTTTTCCACAGAGTCAAAGAACGCCTCTCAGCACCACCGCAGCCAGAAGGCTCACCGTAACGGGTGCGTCCGATCCGAGTCCTATTTGTTCGCCTGATTTTTTCGTCGATGGAGGTTCTCTATTGCTTCGTCGGGCTTTGCTGGGATACTCAGATCTGCTTGCAATTCAAGCGACAACCTCTTCAGCGACGAAGCATTCAGGAACCAATGTCGAAAAAAAAAAACACATTGCTAATCCTCCTTCGCCTACAGTATCAAGAAGCCCAAGACCAACCGTTACCCCTCCCTCAAGGGTGTCGACCCCAAGTTCCGTCGCAACCACAGACACGCTCTCCACGGTACCGCTAAGGCTCTCGTACGTGCTCCTTATACTCGATTTCGCATCGCAGACTCCGACCGACCATATGCTAACGTCTCTACAGAAGGAGCGCAAGGAGGGCAAGCGGGAGATCGCCTAAGTCATCTAATATAGAACTCAGAACGAAAAATGAAAGCGATTTGAGCTGGTGATTTCCTTACGTGCAATGACCTCAATTCCCCAAGAAACGTCCATCGAATCGAATCGAACGGCTGGCCTGGTTGTCAAATAAACCAATAACCAAATGGATTCAGAATGAATTCGTGGCGCTCTTCTCTTTCTCTCTGTCCTCTTCTGGTTCCAGCTGTCTTCGGATGGTACACGGAGTATCAACTCCAGGCATATGTGTGTACAGCTTCGTGCTTCTTTCTAATGCGCGCTTGCTGAAGGATTTTTCAACGTGCCGAGATAAGATCCCATGCCCTCCAACTACCAAACACCCTTCATCTTTCCTCGTGGCGAGGGGGTGCATGGAAGGAGGGCTACATACTTCGTAAGCTCCGATATGTATAGTCTGGATTTGATAGTTGAATTTAACTGGTCTTCGCAATTTGACTCGTCTCGCATCATTTGAAAACAGTGCCCTTGGTTGCTTGGGGCACAAATGTCTTATCGGAAGATGCTGGCTGAGGGTGGAGAATACTGCAGCAAATATCTATACGCCGATGGATATCTATATTGAGGTATTTCAGGCAACCCCAACGCAAAGCATGAGTAGCACGAGGATAGTAACTCTGTCAGGACATGTACAAGATCTGATATACCCTGATACTAAAGCTACCACCCACGTACCTAGCAGCGACGTCGTATCTAGCAGAGAACCTGTTCTTCCTTAATAACAAGTGACTTAATGTTCCATTCAAGATACGACGTCGCTGATTGTACCAAATGCTGGAAGCTGTCAGCTCTGCTTTGTCCACCCCCACGGGGTCTCACTCCTACTCCCCGACTTTAGGCTATATACCGGACATCTCCAACTCAGCCCCTCCACAGTCCACAATTCATCCACCAAATAGAATCCCGCCAAAGCCGCGGCGGTTTTCCGATCAACTGCTGTAATTGGATGCGATGCAATGGATAGCTGTGAAAATGATCTCACTGGAAGTAAGCTGTTCGGATTGTTGTTCGGACTGGTGTCCAGCTGTTCAGTGCAACGTGGGGTAGGGAGTGGCATGAGGTGCTTAAGGAATTGAGCTCCTGGCTTCTGTCAACTTCAGATTCTTGTTTCTTTTTTGTTTCTAGATATCGTTCTACTGTGTTGTGTTGACACCTCACTCAGACTGTTTTCCAACCCCTGATTGCCGCTCGCAAAGATGCTGTACGCCGAAGACGACAAGCTCATCTTCCGCTTCGACGACCACACCCTCTGGATTGAACCATGGGGACCCAACGCCCTCCGCGTCCGAGCAACAAAGCTCGCCAACATGCCAACAGATGACTGGGCCCTATTCTCCAAACCGTTGGGCAGCAACGCAACGATCTCACTTCCCACCACTTCATCCCCATCTGGCAAAACTAAAGATAGCGAAGCAAGCATCACAAACAACGGCATCAAAGCCGTTGTTACTAAGCGCGGCAAGATTACAATCTACAACGCTGCGGGCAAGGTCCTCCTTGAAGAGTACGCCCGGCACCGACGCGACCCCACAGATCCCAAATGCAGTGCTCTGGAAATCGAAGCGCGCGAGCTCCGTCCGATCCCTGGGAGCAGTGACTACCATCTTACGCTGCGCTTTGAGTCGCTGGACCCGCGCGAGAAGATCTTTGGAATGGGGCAGTACCAACAGCCCGGGTTGAACCTGAAGGGGAGCGATATTGAGCTGGCGCATCGTAACTCGCAGGCGAGTGTGCCCTTTGCGTTATCATCCCGTGGGTATGGACTCTTGTGGAATAACCCGGGTATTGGACGTGCGGTGCTGGGAACAAATACGATGAGCTTCGAGGCGTACTCGACCAAGGCGTTGGACTACTGGGTGGTTGCGGGCGATACGCCTGCGGAAATTGAGGAAGCGTATGCCAGCGTGACTGGGTATGTGCCCATGATGCCAGAGTACGGGCTTGGCTTCTGGCAGTGTAAACTGCGGTACTGGAATCAGGAACAGCTGCTCAATGTGGCGAGGGAGTATAAGCGAAGGAATATCCCTATCGATGTTATCGTGGTTGATTTCTTCCACTGGAAGCATCAGGGGGAGTGGTCGTTTGACCCTGAGTTCTGGCCTGATCCTGGTATGTCACCACGAATCGCTATTTCATCAACATTGAAACGAAACTAACAAATGCAGACGCCATGGTAAAGGAACTCCAATCCCTCAAAATCGAACTAATGGTCTCCATCTGGCCTACTGTCGAAACAGCCTCAAGTAACTACCCAACCATGCTTGAAAACGGCCTTCTAATCCGACACGACCGAGGGCTCCGCATCGCGATGCAATGTGACGGCGACATCACGCACTTTGACGCAACGAACCCTGCCGCACGCAAGTTCGTTTGGGAGACCGCAAAAAAAAACTACTACGCCAAGGGCATCAAGATCTTCTGGCTCGACGAGGCAGAACCGGAATACTCTATCTACGACTTTGACATCTACCGCTACCACTCGGGGAGCAACGTGCAGATTGGAAACATCTACCCTAAGGAATATGCCCGGGCGTTCTACGAAGGAATGCAAGGGGAGGGACAAGGGAACATCGTCAACCTGCTCCGCTGTGCATGGGCGGGTAGCCAGAAATACGGAGCGCTCGTCTGGAGCGGGGACATCGCGAGCTCGTGGTCTTCCTTCCGGAACCAGCTCTCAGCCGGCCTGAACATGGGTATCGCAGGGATTCCCTGGTGGACAACGGACATCGGCGGCTTTCACGGTGGAAACCCCGATGACCCTGCATTCCGTGAACTCTTCACCCGCTGGTTCCAATGGGGCACGTTCTGTCCTGTCATGAGACTCCACGGGGACCGGGAGCCCAAACCAGAGGGGCAGCCGACTGCCCCGGGAGCCGATAATGAGATATGGTCATACGGCGAGGAAGTGTATGAGATCTGCAAGCGGTACATCACGATTCGAGAGGTGTTGAGAGAGTACACCCGTTCGCTGATGAAGGAGGCACATGAGCGCGGAGCACCCGTAATTAGAACTCTGTTCTATGAATTTCCGAATGACCAGAGGGCCTGGGAGGTTGACTCGGAGTATCTGTACGGGTCACGGTACCTTGTTGCGCCGGTGCTCGAGGCAGGGCAGCGGAAAATCTCTGTGTATTTGCCCAAGGGTGCGAGCTGGAGACTCTGGAATGGTGATCGAGAGGGCGAGGGCGGAGTTGTGACACATCATGGAGGCCAGGAGATCGAGGTCGACTGTCCTATTGAGTCGATGCCGGTTTTTGTCAGGGTGTAGTAGGTCCGCACATATGCGCGTAGATGGATGGAGTGAAGTCATGATTTCCCGGGCAGGTCCATGATCGACGGGAGATCATTGTATTGGGCAGAGGAGAAATCACGTACCTTAGCCTGAAGATCACCACTTCCAAGTATATCTTGCTCCGAAATCATAGAATGCAACGATCAAATGCAACACTGCCTGCTTTCTCTCGTGCTCTAGATCACGAATGATTCTCTGTGTAGATCCTCACGATCAGACCACGTTGAAGAAGCCATTTCCACTCACCTGCATATATAACCCCACCGGGTAAGAATGATATCAGTTAGAAACCTGGCAGGAAGTCCTGATGGAAACTCTATTGGCATTGACATGGTCTTACTTGCTTAATCCCGGAACTCATCACGTTCCAGTCTGTGTGATGGGTGTTGTTCCAAGGTCTTGTGCAGCTCGCGTCGATGTGATGGCCGAGTACGTATGTACGTACCCACTGCAAGCACCATGATGGCGATGGATATCCAGATGATCGTGTGTATTATGTACTCTGTATGTCGGTTACCGATACAATTGATGACATTACTGATTTGAATCTTCTTTGAGAAAGAAGAATTGTTGTCGAGGGCTAGTCTAGCCAGGCTGAGATGTAACCTGAATCACCCATGGATCCATGGATCCATGGAACAGGAAGAACGCAATGCCCTGCACAAGGTCAATGATACCACGGTACGGGTCAACTACTACATACTCTGTCGACCAAGCTTGAATTGGTGCCGTTGGCATCCTTCGAAAATGGCCACTGAGGAACTGAGGAACCAAGTTGCACTGTTGCCTAATCCGGCCGGTGAACATCAATCCACTGAGGGGAGCGTATGCGTATCTACTGTCTTTGCTACAAAGTGTGGAGAGAAGCTTCAAGATTCCTGTGGGCTTACCTGTATCCGGGAGGCATCAAATTGGTTCAGATTTTGCTGCTCTCCGTAGGTAGAGTATATGCGACCTGAACCCTAGACTATTTTGTCACTCATGCAAGCCATGTGGCCCCGGATCTACCTCCAATTACTAGGAGAATTAGGCAGGAGAATCCCCAATATCGACAGAGAGATGGCCCAGAAATCAGGACTGCTCAATGATGATCTCGCAGAAGACGCGGCGGAAGGGCCGAGATTCAGGCTGTAGAACCAAAGACCAAAGCACACAAGCCTGCAAAGGGCTCTGTAAGATCAGACCAAATAGCACGAGGTTCTATTGAAGCGATAGCCTTGGTCATGAATCTCAAATAGCTTTCCCCCAGTCTCTGCGCCTGCGGAGGCCAGTCTAGGACGAGCCCGACCCATTATCGATTCCCGGAACTTGGTTCCATGGATGGAACTCAACCTTACCGTGATCTGAGCCTTGGATCCTCAACACGCGGCCGCATAAGGTATAGCGAGGGGGTGAAGAGCCCGCAAGATTAGCTTTCCACGTTACGAACCAAGTGATTGGGTCTCGGTCGTGCCATGGGAAAGGCGATAGTCGAGCACTGGCCTTCAAGGCTTTGTCATTCCGCTGGTTCTTTGTCTTCTGATCGAGAATGGATCCGACAACGAGGGAGACTAGCGGCGTAGCCCGTACATGATCGCCCTCGAGGTTGGGACAGCTACCGTAGGCTGAACGGTTAACGTTTCCGTGAACCAGGTGGATGGATCGCCTTGTTTCGTGGCACACCTTGTCAGCATGGCTGGTTAAGTCAAACACGCTGATTTGTCAAGGGAGATCTGGGCTGGCAATTAAGCTTCAAGTTTCAACAAAGAAACCCGGAGGGCCTCCTCTTGCAGTTTCCGGAAGACTGGAGAGTTTGCCTAATTATATTGAAAACGCACATCCAGGGCCGTGGTACTGGCGCGTCCAGAAATGATTATCACAAAACCACGGAGGAAGATATTTCCATTGATCTATCGGGACGATTTGTCAGTCTCGTTCGACTTGGTTGAAAGCTGCAGAGAAAAAGCAATAGTTCTGCTTGTTGGTCCACTTACCTGGGGGTCTGGAGACATCTGATGGCTCGTTCAGGTGGAGGACCTGCGGATATGATAGACCCCGCAACAAGTAGCACGAGCGGGATGCGTCCTACTCAAGGACCTGAACCATCCATGATGGAATCGGGGTTCATTCAACAACTGGCGATGACCAGAGCTCGGAGTGGCGTCGAGGTGAGGTTCTGCGGTAATGTTTTCCGCCAAACATACGGGAAATACCGCATACAGCAGATACCAAGGGTATTCAGGAATACAGAACTAAGCCTAGAAAGGCAATATGAGAGGCTCTCTCTGGTCGGGAACTACAGACGGCCAAGTCCCCGAGGGGGATTTCCTGAAGCCCGATGGAAGGGCATCCAATCAAATCTTGCACTCTGGCGTTCCTCTCCCTACGTCATGCTCCGATTGAGGTGCTTTGCCGACGGGCTCCAGAGATCTTGTGTGCTGATGACCGTTTTGTTTCTCGAGCTCTGGCAAGCTGGATTCAATTCTGACGGCCTGGTTCGAGCCAAGGGTGTTGTGCTGGGTTGTACAGTCCCTTTTCTTATTTGGTGGTTGAACCAACACGCCAAATGTGAACACCGAAAAGATGAAGAAAGACCACAAACGAGCGGGATCTTTTGAGTGGGGAGAAGGAAGTGTCTGTTAATTCAAGTGGGGACTTGGAAATCGATGAATCGCAAATTTCGATTTTGAACTCTGTACATACGAGTTTCAGAGCTGACAGCTGGTGCGTGAGTTCGCAGGCCCGACACTCAGGAAACGTGCGGATGCAAAAGCGCCGTTCGCTCCACTCTGTTCTCATCCTCGGTACCTCAAGCAGGGGTTCCTGGTCTTGATGTTGTACAGAACTTGAAAAGATCATTCTACGGATAACCATACGCTCTCCTCTAGGCAGAAAGAAACGCGGTCGCTATACACCGGTTTAGGATCAGACGAGCGACAATTTGTTATTAACGCCAAAAGCAAATAAATTCTCCGGCGCCGGATCATGATGCCTGGGGCAGAAGCCGTGTTCCCCTTTTGGCGGCGGTGGAGAAGGGGATGATCGATGATCAATCCATGGCGTGCACAGTGCGCGCTAAGGGCAAAACTACAAGGGTTTATCTCAAATACTTCCCGTGTCGCTGATTGGGTCTTGGCCTTAAGGTACAGCTTGGTCCTGGTGCCCTGCCTAAGGCCAGATGTCGCACCGCAACATCCCTGCTCAGGTTTCGGCTAGACTCCACTGGCGCTTCGTGATGAATCAATAGTTGTCTTGACTTCCGCCTGTCTGGATCCAATCATGTTGCTGTTTTCGCTACCTGAAGCATGGATTGTCGAGAGCATTTGGAACGCTGCTCTCCAAGTTCCAACAGAGAGTGAGTTCCACCCAACGGTGGATGTACGGGTATCCCGAAATCAAGAGAAGTATACGCCTGCATATGAAATCACGTTTCTCGGGGTTCTCCGTAGGTGTACCCCGTAGGTATGCCTCGTTCCACGAGGCTGGATCGTGAGTACCCGTCGCATGGCATGGTCGCACAAACAATAACAGATGACTCTGACATTGTAGTGCCCGAGAGTCCTCTTCAGATGGTCGTTCCTATCCTGGAAGTGTAAACTTGAGCTGTCAGCTTAGCCTCACGAGTCAAGGAACCAGGCCAAGCGGCATTACTCCATCAAAGGAGTGCTTTTAGGCTTTCCAACGTTATCTGCCACAATCTGCCCTTTTTCCGAATGCGGTGCCTGGCGAGATCTCAATGCTGCAGGCGAGCCGCTTTCTTCGTGAACCGATCATCTCCGGGGGCTCAGCTGGCGGCTGGCCGCTGGAATCATGCAACCACAAGTGGGAGATCTCAATAGCGTACGGAGTAGAACGGGCGAGTCCTCGTCAAGACCAATATCGAGATGTTACCAGTCAACTAAGGATTTCGTCATTAATATCCCGTGGCTTCTTGGACTGGTTGTCGTGGGGAGAAAGCAATATCAAATCCAAGACTTCTCCTCTGATCTCCCGTTTATCTTTGCCAAAAGCTGCTTAGCCTCATTTCATTATGACAAATACCTTAAATTGGCAGCCAATCAGTATTCAGGATCGAGACGACCGTTTCTCGCGTCATGCAGATGGAGGTTCGTGCTTCCACTATTTTAGCGCCATCCACCAGAACAAAAAAGAATGGCTTGATGTTGTATCGATCGGATCGTTCTTTCATCCTCTCCTGTTTCCCCTTTTCGAGCTTCGACTTGGCGACGGGCCAACGGCGTCTAGCTCGTGGCGGCGATGTCCTTGAAAGCTGAGTCCTGCCGCGTCAGTCTTCAGCGAAGGAATATGCCGCGTAATTGGGGCGTGGAAAGGGTAAACTGTCAGGTACCAGAAGATGACAGTTTGGCAGGAGTCTCCACTCATAGTCTCATGTACTATCTCGGCGCTGATCAGCGCATCCTCGATATACTACTTTGCTTTGCGAAAGCTGAACTCGTAACGGTGGATTTCTTCAGATTTCTTCTTGAGTTCGTTTGATTCTGAAATCGCAATCAATAGTCCCACTGGTTCTGGAAGAATTTTGGGCATTATGGTCCAAATATGCATAAGCGATATGCACTACGCAAATGGTGGAGAGACTATGGGGCTGCCCCAGAACGATATAAGTCGATTAGCCCATCAGGTGTATACGATCAGATCAAACGCCAATAGCCGTCGATGCTGTGGCTCGCCGCTTGAGGAGGTAGATACGCGCCATTTCATGGCTGTTGGAGGATGATAGTCGTGCCTGTCAGTGTGCAACCTCACTGGGGAAGCCGAACCTGGGAAGTGCCCGATGTCCCCGAGTCGCCGTCGCCGCAGAAGAGGTAACCTTGAACAACCCAAGCCGAGTGATTGATATCGTGATCAGCCGGCGTATGTACTCTGTATGCAATGAGGCGGTCACGTGAGAAGGGAGGCTTCCTACATCTCAATAGTGCACAGCGCAAACGAGGGCAATGTTGCGTGTCTGCAACCTTGTTGCCAGTTGAAGAAGGAGATCAAAATCTAGATTCGAGAAGATTGCACGAAAGGGGGATAGCCACAATGAGATCTATCCCATGCCTAATCCCTGCAGAATCAGTGTGAGAACATAGCATTGTCAATGGACGATTGGGCGCGTATGTTTCTGTTCGGTTTCCTTGTTGCTTCCTCGCCACGTCGTCCGGCTGCAGTGCGTTGATGATCGAAGGTCACACGAGGCTTCAATCTATCCAGGATTCTTCCTGGGCGAGAGATGGATGAACGCCGAAGTGCTATGGGCCAATGATCGAAGGTCCCTCTCGCCTATCTGATTTAATCCCAGCTGTGCGTAATAATTAGTTGATGCGCACCAAGTGCATGATTGAAGTCGCTCCAAGGTTATGCGAGGCTCCGAAGCTCCATCAACATCGCCTCGCCTCGCCATGCTCTCCACTCTGCAGAGCCCACTATGTACCCCATATATCATCTCGTACCTGACAAGACGTCGGCGTTGAGAAGCCACAGGGTAACGCATGAGGGTGGATGTGCAAGATGCAGACGATCGGGGAGGGCGATCGCAGCTGTTTCGGGTTAAGACGTTGGAATTCAAATTCCAAATCACCAGAGGCGCTAGCTGCACCATCAGAATCGCCGCCTGAATGGTTCAATCTGCCACAACTTCCATTTCAACCGAGGACAGTTTCCCCTCAGACATGGCTGGCTGAGCCCCTGTCTCGTCATCTGTCATGTTGACTGACACTGTGGAGCTCTTTGTCTAAAGTAGCCGCACAGCCTGAAATGGCACCCTCATCCTTCCTGCTGGGTGCAGAACACGAATAATCCTCCGGAGTCCGTAGCCGCCACGGTCAGTGCTCAACTCTGATGATTTGAATTGACAGGTCTCCTTTTTTGCGTCTGGGCACTACACAGGATTCCTAATTCCGAGTAATGCTTTATATCATCAGAATTATAGCCCCGCCTCAACCAGAATGACCCTAAGGCTAGCCTAGCTCCTCCACGACGACCACATTCCCCATTAGGTTTACCCAGGCCGTTTCTGCCGCTCCGGGTTTCTGTCAGGGCTTGAACTTTGGGAAAGCATTGGCCAATCCCCTCCATGGCTAGTCTGAGGATCGCTGAATGATGGGTGGAGAAGAGCCTTCAAGGGAAGACGTTTGGACCTTAATTGGCAGCCCCCTCTTCGGAGCTGTTCGCGCTCTGAATCTGGTGTCAGTCATTTCTGGTCACCTAAAAACGCTGTGGAAAGCCACACACTGTTCCTGGTCCTTGGTCTTGCAGCATGATTTGACAATTGCTTTCTTCCTTTGGTTTCCCCTGGATATGTATCCACCAATCCTTTCAACCGGCCGTTGATCACCCAAGTTGATGGGATTCCTCCCAGTTGGACTCTGGAAACGGCCGACTTCTCAGGCTTCAGCTTCGGTCGGAGGCAATCGAGCCGAGCGCGCGCTTGTCATGTCGAGTGTGCAGGTATTCTCATCCCTTTCGCACTGTCGTAGCCAGGTTAACCTTGCGATCAAAGACATTCTGGCACAGTAGATATGCACAGTTTCGTTTCACATCCGAACGGAGAGTGGAAACCGAAAGCCTTTTCGATGCAACATGATCCTCTGATCTAGCCGTTTTCTGCGTAGTGGCAAATCTCCCCACGATCTGGACGGCCAGCGCCTCAGACAGCTGGTATGAGGAGCTTTTTTTTCCTTTTCTTTTTCTTCAAGTATGATCATTGAGCTATTCCGGCGACACTCTGGAATCGTCTTCAAGAGCACTATTTTCTTGGTACGTAGCAGGATCGGAGGATTGCTTTTTCGGCACCGATGGGTCCGACTGTCCTGAAAGAGAGACTGCAAAGCCCCGGCTGGCGCTCTTCTGGGTCTTTCGGCAACTCCACTTGAAGCAGAGAGACCGTAAAAGCTGAGAGAGCCTGGTGATGAGATAGAGAGTGCAAGATCAAGATGGCTTTCTTCAGTCATGATTTCATGGTGCTATTGCATGTTGAAGCAGCAGCCTCCCCAGGGTAGCCTCGAAAGCGTTTGTGCTCGCGAGGAGTGGGGCCAGCGATACATTACATACCGATTCAGTACCGAGCCGTAAATCCCAAAGAAATAAATAAACCCCGAATTAATTGAAAATAAAAATCAAAAATAGAGAATTAGAAATTAGCCCATCACTTCGATGGAGTTATTGTCCCTTTCCTACTTGAGCCTGCCATTCCTCTTATTTATTCCTCCGACAACTGTCAGCTCCGAGATCTTGGATCAGATCTTCTCTCATAGCGTGCTCGAAGTGTGGAGCTGGATCCATTGCTCTCTGACTCGTCTCCCTGGTCATCATTACTTATTGTCCTTTCCTGCTCTGGTGTCTGCAACACTATACGTGCCTATCATTCTCGGCCACCCTTAGCCCCGTTCTCTTCCTCCGTATATCTACCCTGGGCGAACCTCATTCTCGGGTCGCTCTTTTCTACATCACCAACACAAACAATCTATACCTCACCACATAGTCAACACAACCAACAATCCTCACACACTACCAATTCCATTCTACTCGGCCAGTGTTTAAGCCTGCGTGCGCTAACGGCACTCCCCACAGTAAGCATTCCTCTCAGACTTGTCTCATTCTTCACCCCCACCTGACAGCGCCAACTTTCTTCTTGTTTCACACAGTCTGACTTAGTCTTATAGACAGTCAGACTCTCTCACTCTCGTCACATCCAAATCAAGCTGCGATGGCTCCCACTCACCGTCGAGGACCCTGGGTACCTGAAGAGGACCAGTTGCTCCTCCAGTTGGTTCGCGAACAAGGCCCCAACAACTGGGTCCGCATCTCACAACACATGCACTACCGCTCTCCCAAGCAATGCCGAGAGCGCTTCCACCAAAACCTTAAACCGTCATTGAACCGCGAGCCCATCTCCGCTGAAGAGGGCCTGATGATCGAGCGCATGGTGAGCGAAATGGGCAAGTGTTGGGCCGAAATTGCACGCCGACTAGGGAACCGCAGCGACAACGCCGTCAAGAACTGGTGGAACGGAAGCATGAACCGCAAGCGCAGAGGCCTGCACAGCTCAGGCTCATCTCACTCCCGCACATCCAACGGCCGCATCGAGGCGCCTTATGCTCGCGCCTCGGTCGCCAGCAGCCCTATCCTTCGCCCTCGGTACTCCATCTCCCACGACAGGCCTCTGAGTTCTTGGACGAAATCGCCCGCTTCTTCCCGCAGAGAATCCTGCTCCACAGCTTCAACAGACTACTCCCGGCACCTCACTCCCATCTACACTCTTTCTTCTCTGAACCGACCCGTCGAAGCGCCCTTGACGTCGCCTGCATTCTCGGATACATCCAACGCTCCGTCACTCGACCCACCTTCTATGATCTCGGATCACAACTCTATTTCTTCCGCATCGCCACGAACTGTTGCCTCACCGCAGCTTCTACCCCTCCCAGTGGACTCCCGCCCACAATACGAGCTACCCCGGCCACACACCTCGGATGATCTCTACTTCAACTACGGAGCCTCAAAGCCACGATGGGCCGACCAGCCATACTGGCTCACTGAGGCATCACACTCGACCGAGCCGCGAAGAGACTCGCGAATGGGGCTTGACAACCTTCTCAATTGAACTGTCATGAGCTGCACGGAATGATCACACGAATCTCCTCTGTCCTACCATTATACCACCACTATACCGCACCACACTTATATTATACCTTAATGCCGTGTATTATCTTATTATTATGATGTTCTGGCAGCGTCCATCTTGTACATGTCTAGGTCTGACCCCTTGTCACTCTTTCACTCCAGAAGAATTTCCTTATGTATCTCTACTTTTCTCTTATTTTGGATGGCAAAAGCATGGTTTGAATTTCTTGGTTCTTTCGAGGCGCTGGAGTGTTTTTTAGAGAAGAGAGCAAAGGAGCGATGATGATTCTCTCTATTCGTTTGTCTGGGATCTTGGGTTGCATTGGGCTTGGATTTAATAATACCCCATGGTTTCTGCTGTTTCATTATTTTACTGTAATACTCATAATACCCATCTCTTTAATGGCATCGAATATCATGAACTAACCAATCCATCCATCTCTTCAAATCCCTCCTATAGTAGTAGCAGCTACATTATCCCACAACGGAGTACTCCGCTGGCTTTCAGCACTTCCAAATAATGGTAGTATGGTAACACAAATAGTGCATATACGAGGGGATCTCGTTCTAGTCCCGGACGGACCGGACCTGGTGGCTGGCTGTCATCACCCTCCTCCAAGTCCACCCACCATTTCTGGACAACCAGTTGCAGCTCACGAGGGACGTTCGAGCTTCGAACAGCTAGTAACGAGTGCAAGGGGAGTGGCTGACGAGCGTCAGTGAGTGGCGGCAAAAAGCGAAAAAGTGGAGAGAGAGCGTGCATGAGACTTGCGTCTTGCAGCGCGGACCAGTTCTTGCGAGTTGAGTAACGAGTTACTAAATTACTCCATTATTCATACATGCATGAACATTAGTACATATGTACATACAAAGGTATGTACAGGGTATCGACTACTAGTATGCGCTACTGTTCGTGCTCTTGAGTTGGGAACTGAGGGGAAAAAGGTTTGGGATCGAGAGGTCGATTTTCAATCTGGCTGGGATTCGATCCAGGCTGGTGGATGGCGATGATATTGACGGGTGGTGATCACTGGGTGGTTCATGCAGGACGGGTTGAGATCGGGGTGCTACCGCTCGCTGCTTGGGCGAACTTTGAATCAGGCTGGACTGGATTGGATTGGGCTGGACTGGCAGATGGGAGTGATAGTTGGGGTTTGAGACTGACGAGAGTGTGAGGGGAGGAAGGATTCGATTCCATGTCTTGGGCCAGTTCAGATCAGTTGCCTACTGCGACAAATTTCGACTGCTGCAATTATTGATGCTGTCGACGTGCTCGCTGGAGAGTATGGAGTGTCTCCAGCAACCGATGATGTACATCCAGACCGTTCGACCGGTTTCAGTCTACGAATCCACCAGTCAAGCGAGTGGAAGCAATGCGAATCCTGGAGTTCGAACCCTGAGCAGTGAAGCGGGAAAAAGAAACTACAGAACAAGGCGAGACTGCAAACAGAATTTGCAGCCACAGGCCGCAGCAGGAACCTGAAGACGACGTAATATGTCAGTCATTCGATTACCATTTCTCATTGTCAACGCAACGTCTGCCCGAGTTTCTTCCGAAAACGACTGGCCTGCCTCCTGGCCGTTGTTCGACGGTATTCCCGGAGTCGATACAAGGAGATAGCCTCAGTAGTCGCCCCTCTTGTTCCCCCGCGGAAAAGGCTCGGAAAGCCTGAGCCTGAGGGAGCCCAGGGAATCATTCAGGCCCATTCATTTCTGCCTGACTCGCCACAGCGATGGCTCGACACACACACACTTGCACCACGTCTCTCCAGCGATAGTCAAGCTGGCTTGCATCAGCGCCGATCGATGGGCCGTTGCGGTGCCAGCCGTTTCGTATTGTCCAGTCGATTAAGCTCTCATTTTTCATGCTCGGATTCTCAAGTCCGATCGATCCCTGTTGCCCCCTCGTGTCATGGAGGAGTAAGCTGGGAGTCAAGCTCGCAGCCTCGCAGTCGATACTGCACTAAGAATGATGGATCGAGCACGGACCGACTGCTGGTCTGGGGACTACTGGGGACGGCGGCGAGTCATGTCGCGCAAGTGATCCCTTTAGTTGAAGGATGCAGGAGTCAAGGATCGTTTTCCTTTGTCTGGCCCTGCGCAGTTCGCAAGTTGAAACTTTTGCGCGGGGCGGGACAAAGCCACGGGGCTCGGTCTGGGACAGCTGGGTTGCTGGGGACAAGAACAAAGAAAAATGACGAAGACGAGGTTCTGAACAATCATCCCCTCGCTTGGTACCAGCCTTCCAACGAGAGGCGGCGTCGGCGCCGGCGCGAGCGGGGACCCACGGTTCACGGAGGGACAAGGGAAACGTTCCAGATCAAGGAGACGCTCCGATCTTCCAGCCGTCCCTCAACGCTCAACATTGTCCATCGGGCGTTTGGTTCTCACGTCAGGCCGTTTTTTACCTTGCGATCTGGATCCTGCTCGAGTCAAGAATAGGCGCAACAGTGGTCCAAAATGCTCTAGCTCGCTCTTGCTCGCTCTTGCGATGCCGCTGTGCCATAACACAAGGAAGAGTCTTTGTGTCTCGCCACTTACGCTCGAACCTATCGCAGCAGGTCTGGTTCTTGAACTGCTACGAGATAATCGGAGCTCACATTTCCTTATCAAGTTACATTTTCTCCAGGTGCAGCAAAACGTTTTCGCTCGTCTCCATCGCTATGCAGGATCTCGTTGCACAAATGTCAAAGTCCAACCGTCCAAAATCAATCCCCGGCTGCTGATCATCTTCCTTTCTTTCAAAGTTCCCAATCTGATTTGAAATACTGCACTTTAGCGTTGACGGTGCTATGGCATATCCAAACACGCGTGGCGAAATTTGAGGTTCACCAATGCATCATCCGCTGCGACTCTCTGATCTATCGCTTGGCAGTTGTTGACTTGCTTAAGAAGGTAGGTACGGTGTGCAGCGGTGGAGCCGCAATGCAACGACCCAAATTTGAAGTATGGATAATCGTTACGTCTTCATTACTATCAACCCCTCGCATGACTTGAGCAGTCAATGAAGCAGCCGGGTTCCAGTCTACCAGGAGATTTTGATATCGAGATCATTATCAAACTCGATCGATGACGGGCGTTTACGCCGTTTCGATCCAGAAAAACAAAAGCGAGATTTAGAATGGCCTTCCAAGGATCTGGCCCCCGGCTCTCCACTTGAGCTCACGGCACCGTTGACGATACCCTTTCAGGAAAACGCACTGGACCTCTCAGAGGCCATTCAAAGGAACGACAGCTCTTTGATCCTGCGGTTGGTGGGTGGTCCTTGCGGCCCAGAACCAAGGTCAGCAGCGGGGTTAGCCTAGGATTCCGAATCCGTCGAGTCCAGTCTAGGTCTAGTCTCCCGTCTCGGATATGAAACGGTCGCCTGAGGCTGGTTCCGTGGTTCTGTTTTACGTAGAGTACCTCATTCTCTGAAAAGAGTATAACTCGTGCAAAGAGTCGTTAATTTATGCTGTGTTGGTCTTAAACCCAATCGTATACTCACAATAGTTTGACATAGATGTCCGCGAAGCCAATCTCGTGCCCACCTGTCACGAGATATCGAAATCCGTGCGGCGCTAGCGAATTCGATGTTTCTCGATTCCCAGGTTGATGAGACCTGTCGACTTTCTGGAAAAGAACGCCGGAGAACTCATCACATTCGCCAGCGGCGGACCCGACCAGCTGGAGACTCTCGGCTGAGAGGCAGACTGACCAGGGTTCTTCACAGAATCCCATCAGTCTGGTCCTTCAATCCAGAGCAGTGGGAGGACTCTTCTTCCATACATCGTATGGTTTACTGATCGAGATACCAATTCTACCCCAACTTCAGTCGTCGCCCGTCTGAACCGTGCATTCGCATCTCCTAACAGACCAGGTGGACCCTGCAGTGCCCCCCCTCCACAGAGCCCACACCAAACGCTCACGGTGAGCTTTGAAGGAAAATTCAGATCAATGATTGAGCACCTTGATTGGTTCACGGAGAATCTCGGTCAACATAAAGCTAGCACAGATGGGACTAGCGTACCCGCTGAGCGATCCACGAATGCTGGAGCTCAAGAAGAACTGCCCAGGTAATTACAGTTGGATTTGCGTCTCAGATGTATTTTTATTTCAAACGGTATGATACGGACTCTGTATTGAAAGTACATGCAGTTTTCCGAGTCTCGGGCAAGGAGCAACACAATATGAGATGTCTTTCCCTCATCTTTGGAGAGATTCTTTTGACCGGAGAAGTCTTGCGAGGATTGGATTCAATAACTGACTTTAGTGTTACATCGCAGCACAGACCCCTCTCTGACTCTCCTCCCAATCAGTCACTAATCACTGACCAGTACATCACGTTGTACAAACCACCGTCCCTACAACATCACGCCAAACGAAGATATCCGTCTCCATGCTTATGGACTGTCCGCCGGTCAGGTTTGCGACATGTTTCTTGGACGAGAGAATACAGCATGAACTATCCCTAAGCTCAGGAGAACCATTTCTCGTTTGTTAAACGTGACCACGTGCTGCACAGTGGGTGCAGTGAATCGTAACACCAGCAACAAGAGTCAGAGGATCATCTCAAATACAGCATAAGGCTGTACGTAAATCACATGGAGCATATGTACTTACTCAATCTGTTCGAAGGAGGTTGAGTGCCAATGATGTCGTGCGTCTCACTAAACAGTTAGTGGGTGATTGGGAGTCATTCAATATGGAGTGGTTGTGATGTCAGACTGGCCACTGGTGTCAAGGTGCTTTCTTTTCTTTTTCCTCCATCTCGGTTCTCGCCTCGAGAAAGCGTTGAGGTCTCTCAACTCGCTTGCAAGGTTCGACAAGGGCAGCTGGAGCTTGTCACTTGCTAGCTCAGCAGCGCCTCAATCCGGCACTCAGCCAGCCCCTGAACAAGCACACCACTAGGTTGCCATTGATGTCGGACGCGGTGATGCAAGAAGCTCGTTAGACGCCATGATCTCCAGCTCGAATGCAAATCAGTCGCTCCCTGTACCCGCTCTGCCGGACCTTCTCGCATTCAAGGACCCAGTCAGAAGGGGGCCAAGGGAGATGCTCTCGCATCTGCGTCTCCCTCTTCGAAACTGATCCACCGAAAGAACCAAAGAACCCTCGCTCACGAGGCATTCTTCGTTTGGTAACTGCCAATTACTCAATGATTTCTCTGTCCGAATCACCATCCGGCTGTTTTCGCCCTCTCCTCGCGGGTCGCCACGCACTTGTGCTGCATGCATGCGCCAGAACAAAGAGCCATCGCTCGGGCTAGCTCCGGCGGGAAAACCCATGACAGCAGGAATGGCCGATCACAGCTCCTTGCTTATTCGTAGCGCTCGGGACTCTTCTGCCTCAGACTCTCCTGGCCAGTACCTTGGCTCTTGTCGAGGGTCGCGCGCAGGGTTTCTATTCCTCTACCGGCAGCAAGGCGAGTCTGTAACCAGTGAGTATCGTGCTGGACGCTGGACAGGGGTGTGATGCACATCGCCTGAAAGGAGTTCCCTTTCCTCTGCTCTGTTCAATAAGGCTGACGCAGCCAGTTGAGAAAAGAAGTTGAGCAAGCAAACACCTCGAGGTTACGTTACAGCAATCTGACCGTTGGATTTGGCCCTTGGGGCAGGATGCAAACCCCTGCGTTTCGTGCGATGCGCAAGCTGCAAAGGCTCACTAGGCCACATCATCTTGAGCTGGCTCTCCTACCTGCCAATGCTTCAGCTATCGCCATCCGCATCGCATGAAGGGGCGCAGCGCAGCAACAGCTGGAAGCTGCCAGTGGAAGCTGGAGCTATTGCACTTTCCTCCTGCAGGGTACACTGGAGAGCTCAACAACTGTACTCAGTACCCGAGTCGAATAACCCGTCCAAGCAGTGGATGATCCGAGAGCACATCTATCCCTGTCTGTCTTGTGCTATGTACGAATTGACTCTAAAGATGATCACCAAAACCCACAATCCCACATCCATGTCCTCGGTTCTACACTGAATAGAAAAGTCGGGCATCGGAATGCTTACCTCCGTCTCTCTCTTGGTTTTGCGTTTGATGGCCTATCCTATGCATCTTGACGCAGTCATACTACCATACTCCATTCACCGTCGGCCCCAACCGACGCATTCGAGGTCTTACCACGCACTATCGTACATAACGGGGCTGCATCTGGCCGCAATCACTATCCGATGCATAAGGGCGAGCTTTATATTGCAGATCGTATGTCAGCTCGATGATTGGAGGATACCACCAAGGCTCAAGCACGAGTTGCTATTGCTTACTCTATGCGGGTGTTTCTACCAGGCCGGTTTGGAATTTATAGTTTCATCTCATCTTGGAGTATTGCTGAGTATTGCTGGGTAATAGAATAGGATTTGCTCTGTATTTTACTTCTGACTTCGTTACGGGTTGGTCAACCCAGGCTGATACCTCTCTGCTCACTGGCCCTAACCGTTCTCACGACCTCATCCAGCCTTATTCAACTGGACTCCAAAGAGAAAGAGCACAGAGTAAGAAAGTCTATCCCCCGCGATTCCAAGTCTCACCTAGTCTATACTAACCCATTTTCGCAAAACAAACGTGTAACCTCGTCGTGCTTGAGCTGGGATCGAGGTAGCAAGTCCGCACACCTACATCCCAGACAATCTAGATCAGCACCACCAGTACCTCGCGAAAAGCCCAGCTCGTCAGATTGCATCGCTCTCACGACCGGTCACCCCAGCATGCTCACGATAGATTGGCCCTCTCGGCACGTTCTGGTCAAAAAGGCCACTTTCGCGGCAGTAATGGGCCGTTGAAGACGTCAGCAACAACTGATCTCATTCTCCCGTTTCTCAGTGGTGATAATGGGGGCTCATTGCAACGAGGCGTCCACATCACATCGCCCTCGGAGACTCTCAGCCAGCACCGCATGTCGAACCAAAGCCTGGCATGGTGCTATATACCGACTGCATGGATGCACGGAGTAGAAACAACCGTAGTTTCCGCATCGGGACGTTAGGGGACGGGTCGCTCCTTCCTTTCCGGTACACCTGTAGCCACCTTTACAAGGCAGGAACGCTTCGCAGCGGAGCAGGGTCGCTCCTTCCCCAGTAACATCCCTCATAAATCCGCTTGAGGAAGGAACGACCCTGTTCGGGCCCCCGTTCGTGCCTTCCTTATACGAGCGAGGGCATGGTCGTTCCTTCCTTTGGCACTGCACCTTCCTCGCTAACCAAGTTCCTTACTCGAGGAATCAGCGACTGAGGTCGGACGTCCGGCGTACCTCCCGTATTCGAATAGGCCTGTTTCGTAGGGTATAGAAAGCCGATTGCTAGGTAATACCCAAGGACTTTGGTTCACTGCGCCAGGACACCGCTCCATGCCGCTGCTTCGTTGAAATGTGGGATTCCCGTGTTCATCCCTTCCAGACCACTGACGGCCCAAGTTGTATTATTTCAGCTTGGGTAAGGTGAGGTGACAATGTGGACGCTTGGCCGGCCGCTTGCAGTATCGTGGCGCCTCTGTTGAGTGCGCCTGTCGGGATAACCCACAGCCATCGGACTGGACTTCCCGGATGCCAGGCGCGATGGGGGCATGAAGGAAGGTTGTCACTGATCTTGTGGCCAAGGTGTGGGTAGGACGGCAGGGTATAGAAGAAATCAAAGACAAGCAAAAATATAGGCCGCGTCTAACAGGTTGCCCGACTGAATTCTGGTACCCGTTATCGAGACATGTGATGGACAAAGTGATGCCCTGACGATAGTCGGTTGAGCTAGTCGAAGCTCGAATACTTCGTCTCGCAACACTATGTGTGTGTAGATTGGGAATTGGGCTGCTGTTGTCCTCTCCCTTTGCCAGGACCATATTGGGGCATGGGGTATTTGGCGAGGTGGTTGAGAGGATTGGTAAATCGACGCTTCTTCACATCTGGACAGCGCTTGACGTCTGGATTTGATCAGGTACTTTAGGCCTCGGGGTCTCATGAGACGAGGATGAATGTTGAGAATGCAAAAAAGGGCAAGAAGAGAGAGGCAAGGGAAACGTTTCTTTACAATGCAGATAGAGAGTCGAGGTGTATTGTCTTCTCTAGATCTAATCAAGTATTGAAGATCAGATATCAGTATTAGATTATCCAGTCACCACTGGCATCAGCGACGCCAGGATGACCCAGTTATGTATAATGTGAATGGAAAATGTGAAGCGAGTCCACATACTTCAAGCATGTGCGTCGGTAACGTTGCCGTAGTATGCAAAAGAAAAAGCGCTGCATCAAGTGAACATATCCTCCGCCCTCCTGCGCGGTCCGCCCCTCCCCTCGAGCTTATCGGTAAACAGCTCCTTGCCAGCATTTGAGTTGAATTTTGACGGGAACAGCTCGCGAACAGCTGCGCCACCCCGTCCCTTGATGGAGATTCCGTTGTCCGCGGCGCCGCGGATCGCATAACCCTGATCTTCATTGCGGGCTGAGCCGCGGATGTTGACGCCAGAAGACTTGGAACCGGGGAAGAGCTCGACATTGCGGTTACGTCCGGAGTCAGTGTCGTGTGCGCCGTCGACAAGCGGGATAGAAATACGCCGGGCGAAGAGGTCGGCCGTTTCGTCGGCGGCGTCGATAGCGTCGGACCGGCGGTGGTTGCTGACTTTGCCAGGGAACAGCTCTTTCTTGAGATAGGTGTCTGCGGTCTTGTTCGGGAAGAGTTCGCGCGAGTCACTGTCCGAAGCAAAGAGCTCGCGACCTTGATTGCGCCGGGCCGGCTGCGGCGTGCGCTCGCGGAATCGTCGTCGCGACTCTTGCTTTTCGTCGATATATCCGCCTTCTTGCATCAGTGTATCGCGACCGGGCGACCCGCTACGGTTGCGCAACCGCCCTGATGCGCTGGAATCTTTGGAGAACAGGTCCGGCTGGCGCTCGCGGCGCCCACTTCTCCCTCTTCTCCGCCCACGATCCCCGTCCGACTGGTCAGCAGCACTTGCTGGCCCCGAGTCATCATACATGTTGGCCGAGAATCTATTATTGTCTTCATGGTCGCGGTCGCGGCGCCGGCGCAGTTCTCGATCGTCGAATCTTCTGCGCCGATAATCCCCATCACTTTCCCCCGAGCGGCTGCTTCGCCGCCTGTCCGACGCGAACTCGTTCCGCACCCGCTCCCGAGGATCATGCTCGGGATGCATCATGTAAAATCGGCTCGCCTCGTGGGCGCGCGGCTTCTTTTTGTCGGTCTTTACAGCCGACCGCACCTGCAGTACGGAGTCCGGGTGCGAAGCAAGCACCTTGGCCGACCGGAGTCGAAGGGCTGGAATCTCCCCAGCCGCGGTCGGCGTCGCCCCGTCGCCATTTGTTTCCAGCTCGCCATCGTGTGTAAGCGCCGCCAGGGCCTGTAGTCCGATCTCGGGTGTCGAGTAGACAATGTTCGCTGAGGTATCATCTATCCACTCGATTCGAGAGGGTTGCTCGAGGGGAAAGTGCGAAATTACGAATTCTTTGATATTGTCCGTTGCTAACTCGTCGACACCGCGAATGTGGACTTTTTCGTATTGGGCCTCTGCTGTTTGTGGATCGATGACCGAGCCGTCTGTTGTGGTTGTGAAAGTGTGGAGGGTTTGTTCCTGCGATCAGTTAGCTTTGCGTCCATGTTGACACTTGTGAGGGACCGAATTTACCGTTTCAATGACTTCAGATTCTGGGAGAGGACCGAGGTCCAGATCCATATCAATGTCCATGGACGCGTCCATGTTGTGGGTGAATTCGTGGAGAGGTCGAGAGGAAAGGGTAGAAAGGTTGGTGGAACGGTTGGTGTTGCGGTGGGCTGGTTACTGACGTAAAACGGAGTGAGACTAGGCGGGTATAAGATAAGGCAGATATATAGGATTGCAGCGACCGGTAGGAGATATGAGCGAGTTAAAGATAAAGTTGAGCAGAAGTGAGCGAGTTTGAGAGGTAAAGCTTGAGGTAGATCGGCTTGAACAAAGCGTCTGAAACTTCCGCGGCAGAGGCGCAGACCGCCTCCGCCGTTTAGACTTTGAACTCAAGTCCGTGCTTACTGACATCAAGTGAAAGTTGCTAATTCATCGCCGAGTAATCTGGGTGAGATACAATCTAGTCCATCCCAAACGCCTATCATATCCAATTCAATACCAATATCTCAATCATGATCGTCGTCTCAAACAAGAACCAACAGTCAGCCATCACCGGCGACTTCCCAACGCCAGTATGCAAAAACAGTCCCTCGAGCAGAGCAGAGGGCAGTTATACGTGAGGCAGTACCGTAAACCAAAACCATAGATGAGGGTTTTATCAGAAACACAGGTATGGAAAGAAATCCAAATCAAATCAAACGCTCATGGGGTATATTTCAAGATGCGCGCATCACAACCATATATCGCCTTCTTCGCCATTCACCCAATGATTCCAGACTCGCTCGTAGGCGCCTTCCAGATCGCGAACCCACCGGTTCGTGTCAAATAGTGAGCTTCTCCAACGCTCTTCGAATAGCATTCTGCGGAGCTCAAACAGCCGCCCAATGCCTCGACCTTGTCCACCGATTTCGTAACGCAGGCCCCGGCAGAGGTGGGCTGCTTTATTTTCGTAATCCTCGTCTGACGTGGCAATCAGTTCCTCTCGCGCCTGTCGACCGTTTTCGTTGTTCGGCAATGCGCTGCTGAGGATGCTGCTCGCCATACGAGAGCACATTTTGTATCTGTACCGCGGGAGGGTCAAGAGGGGAGTGCCACTCCACAGAACGTCAGTCGCAGTTGTATGAGCGTTACACTCTGGTGTATCAAGGAAAAGGTCTAGGATTTTTGCTCGCGCGATATGCGCATTCTTCGGAGCAACATCGGTAAAGATTATTCTTGACGCCGTTTCCTCACCGGCCCAGGCAACTGCGGTCTCCCTTAGGTTTTGTTCGCCCAGCTCGGGAAAGCGAAGGAGCCAAAGAACAGCATTCGGAATTTTCGCGAGTATCCGCAGCCACGTCCGGAAGGTAGTAGGCTCAATCTGCAAGGTTTGTCAGTCCTGTGTGTCAGTGTTGAATGGAGAAAAAATTACCTTGTAAAGCTGATTAAAGTTCCCAAGAATAATTGTATCATCACTGAGGCTGGGGAACAACTCTTTTCGCATCTGCCAGCGTCTCGCCTGCTCCTGTTCCCAAGCGATGTACGGGTCTCTCGCATCTGGGGCGCTTTGTCGGTGGTCACAGCAGAAGAACGTGTCTCGGGTAAAGACTATTTTCTCTCCGTAGACCCAGTCCTCGACATCTTCGCCGTGGTCCTCTTCGAAAAGGCGATCCTCGATCCGCGTATTGCGGTTTCCTGGTGAGAGTGTGTCCATAGGAATGGACAATTTGTCGGCAAGAATGTAGTCACACCACTCCGCACCCAATGTCCCCGCAAATCCCATAAAAGACATGTGGATAGGGGCGGGTCTCGCAGCAAAGACCTCGTTACGCGCACCGCGAGTGTACCCGTTAAGATTGATGAGAATGTGTATCCCATCCTCAACTATCTGCCTCACAAGCCGTTCAACAGGCCATCCGCTGGCATCATGGAACACAGGGGCCTCTTTTTCAATCTGTGCTCGATGGATCGACTTGTCACTTGCTGTTGTGGCATAACAGTATGCTTTGACTTTGGCCGGATTATGTAGCCCGAATACCGACTGCATGAGATGAGCAAGGGGATGGTTGTTGAAATCAGACGAAACATATCCGACTTTGAGGTATGGTTTTGGGGGTGCAGGGGGAGGATAGACCGTCTGTGGGAGCCAAGGAGACCGCAGGGTTGAACAAGATATGCGAAGGCCGTTTCGTTGCGATATTTGCCGAATCTGCTTTGCTGAGAGAGGGCAAGTGAACGTGTGGAATGGGAGGACAGTGGGCGCGTTTGGTGCCGAGAGACCAGGAGGGAGCTGTGGGCGTCGATACTTTGTTGGAGGATAGTCCCTTCCATAGATGTATCGGTCCTGGTACCATTGCCAGGTAATCGACCTGATTACGCGTTCCACGAGCTTGACAATGCGAGAGCCTTCCCACTTTTGTCCCGCCCACGACTGAAGCATCGCGAGCAAAGCCCCAGCTGCGGACTGGCGGCGGCGACCGCCGTCCATTGCAGGAAGCAGCTGCGCGCACAACTGCTCTATGGTATTTGGGGTCAGGACGCCACGGCCCCAAGTCTCCCCTTCTTTGAGCTGTCGATCGACAATATCGACCACACGTTTGATCCAACCGGAGCCTGCGCCGATGCCGTACGAGTCACGAAGCATGCCTTGGTCATCCACATGCCAGCGGTCCCGGAAGCCGAATGCATTAGCGACACCTCCGCGGCCCATCCAATTGCAGACGGAGTTGAGAGCATTGGCCAAGCCACATACTGCCTCTGCAAACTCTGGGTTCACTTTCACGGCACGCTTGTAGTACGAGATGGCGTCGTTGACTCGGCCTGCATCTTTGACCGCATTCGCTAGGTTGGCCAGTGCGATGTCAAAATTGCCGTCGCACGAAACAGCCTGCTCATACATTCGAATAGCTGCCTGTAGCTGGCCGATATCCTTTAGCAGACTACCCAAATTAGTATAGAGGTGTGCGTGTCGCGAGTCGAGATGCAGACCATAGTTGTAATAAGCCAGGGCGAGAGATACTCCGGTGCCAGGAAGGACACCAGGGATCTCTGGGTGCTGCATCTCACCGCTTGACCGGGCGAGACCTTTTCCAGGGGTTGCATTGCTATGGATGCCAGCAAGCAAGATCCCAACATTGTTCGCCGTGGATGGGCTCGGCTGAAGGGAAAGAGACAGATAATAGAGGGCGAGGATGTCCCGAACGCCTGGTGCAGCAGATCGAGGCCCACCATTAGGACTGCTTGACATGCCATCTTGGTATATCTTGGCCAACGAAAGTAGCGAGTTGCTCGTTGTAGACAGAGCTGCCTTTCTTGCCAACCCTTCAGGGACATACTTGATGCCTGGAGGCGTTCCGCAAGGCGCAAAGACAAGCTTTGACGTCTGCAGAGCCTTGTCCGGGTACAGAAGAATCGTTTCCTGCGGATCAAAGCGGTCACTGTGTGACCCTTGCGAAAAGGCAGCAAAGACCTGCTTGATCAGGCTCTGGATACCGTGCCGCCTTCTTCCTGCACTTATCAGAATCGCATCCTCAAATGCTGTAGCCGCTGCCACGTAGTCACCCAATGCATAGAGCATATTGCCCTTGGCGTGGACCAGCGCCAACATCCGGCCGTTATCGCTGCCCGGGACAGCATAGCCACTCGAACCGTACCCAGCAGCAGCAGCGCTCTCCCCTGACTGACGACGAGCGAAGCTGGACTGGCCATAATCCTCATCGTAGTCAAAAGCGGCCTTGTCATATGAACTCAGGTCAGACGCACCGGAGATCCGACTTTCCGCGTCGCTCTCTGTTTCACTCGCATGTTCGTCGCCCTTGAAGCAGTCGCCATTCTTGGATAACCGCAATGAGTTTTGAACAAAGTCGATGATGTTCACCGCTTCCTTGCCACGCTGGCTGCTGCATAAAAGACCTATGAGGTGCTCAACGGCTTCAAAATAACTTGGACGTAGTTTAACGGCACGAAGCCAATGCTGCAGCGCTTCCTCCCGTCGTTCCAAAGCCAGAAGCGTGGCCGCCAAATTCGAGATCGCTTCGACGTGACTAGATTGTGTGAGATCTTTGGACCTCAAATTCTCCATTCTCCGTCTACTTACGATGAATCACGAGCAATAATCCTAGAATACCATCTCATTGCCTTGTTGTAGTCGCCTAGTCCATAGGCTAGGCAACCGCCGAGGAGCATTCCGTCGATCCATTCCCATCCACTTTCCATGCAAAGATGCGACAGCAACTCTAGGGACGACGCTGCATTGACTAATGTCGTATTCTCGTTCACTGGCGAATTGGAGAAAGAGTTGGAAATGGAGTTTAAACGGCCCGAGTGTCGTAGTCTTTCGACGATATGGTTGCCAGGCGAAACCTGTTGAGACTGAGACATGGAATGTCGCTCGTAGCGGCCATTGCTGTGTATGTTAGCATTCATCCTTTCTTACACTAAAAGCAGGAAGTCATACTGGCTGGACGGATAGCTATTGTGCCGAGTAACTTCGGGTGGGATTGTATTGGAGAAATCGAGCCCAGGTTGGCGTGGTGGTTTAGGGTATATGCTAGGTTTCACGAGATGATTTTGGCCGTCTTGAGTAGCATTAGAAGTACTGTTTCGACGCGCCCGATGGATAGATGCGAGCAAGTCCACATAAACGCTGTGCGCCCATGACAACACCTTTTCCTTGAACTCTGCATTATTGACGCGGGAATTAGTAGTGGCTGATACGGTAGTCTGAAACCCGTTGTTGCCAGATGTGCCCGACCATGACGAATGGTGTCCGGGCGCTAGCGGGCGCGAAGCAAAGCTAGCTCCAGACCCAGAACTGCTGCTATTCCGCGTATGGAAAGGGAGGACACGCTGGTTATTTGATGAATCAAGGGGCTTCTGGTCTGAATGCCGCGGTGGAAAGTTGGGCTTCACTGAGGCCTCAGTACTCTGGGTCCATTCCCCGAGTTCGGGATGAGTAGGAGTCAACTCGGGATAAGTAGGTGTCGGCGCAGCGTTGAATTGCTGATGGCCCGCATCAAAGTATTGAAAGGGGGCCTGAGTATTCAGACGAGGTTCACGAAATGCGGCAGGTCGATAAGGAATATATGCGCCGTCTGGCCAATACGGTCCGTAGGGTCCAGTCCCTGCTGAAGCCGTTGGACCAACACACGGTTGCAATGTTGCTGGCAAAACAGTTGGCACGTATGCGCCGTTATGCAAGTAGAAACGTTGCTGAGATGCTTGCATTGGCAGTGACTGATTGAGTACCGAATCCATTCCGGGCGCATTGTTCAGCGAGCGTATCCAGCTGATCCCATTGAACCCTTGTGTCATCTCATCCAGTGTAGCATTGGCGCGACTTGAATCTAGTTTGTGCATCGGCGGAAAGTTCATCGTGGACTGTTGCCACGGGTCCGTCAGAAAGCCAGCCTGCGGTGGAATCAGCTGGCCTGGTTCCAGCTGGGAAACTAGTATATGTTTCGTCGCCGGCGGTTGTATCGTCATATCTCCTGGTGTACCATCGTAACCCGCCGCGAGCGTTCCATTCGGTGTCTTCCTCCTCAATGCATGCTCTCCGATTCCATTTGACGGTCCGGGATCATTACCGTCAGGGCGCTGGACGGGCTGGGGATATTGTAGTCGAGTGCGGTGAGCGGGTTGGAACGAATTGTTAGGGAGGTCGTAAGGAGGTAGGGTCGCAGCGAATGACGAATCCAAGCCGTAGGGCGCGTTGAGGGGTCCGGTGCCATGATAACGATTTAGGTGATGATGCGGTTGGACTGGCGGAAATGGCGCCACGGAGGGCAACATGGTGATCTCGCCCGGCGGCGCTGTACCTTGTTCCCGGGGCGTTATCCGCCGTGTTTACGCAGCCCGAGGCCAGACGCAGGGATCTGATAGTGCGATAAAGATAGGGAGGGTGACAGCGCGAGTGAAAGAGTGACGGAGAGTAAGAAAAGGTTAATAATGGGAATAATAATGAGGCACTGCGGAGAGAAGGGGAGGGGTTAATGGCGTTCTAAATTCGGATTCAGGCAACGACCCAAGACAGAGATAGCGGTCAAAAGGTCGAGAGACATCCAGTTCGGAGTTATCGACAGCGAGCATCCTTCTTGAAACGCTTCTTACACCTCATGCTGGGCCGGGCCGACTCGTTGGGGATACTCAATAACGCCCCCCACGAGTTGTCTCAGGGCTCGACATGAACGCGTGCGGGTATGAGGGAGCTGCGGAAAAGCGATGGAGGGAAAAAGAGTGGTGGTGGAGGGACTCGTCAGGAGGAGGCGAAAGAGTGGTGGAGGAGCGGAGCGAGAAAAGTAAGTAGTATTGTAGGTAAGCGCCGGATTCCAGAGGATGACGAGAAGACACGCAGGCGCTCCGCTCAAAGAAGCGCTATTTGCTGTGATGGGGAGCAGCGGCGATGCAAGGGAGTGGAAAGGGATTCAAGAGCCACAGAGCCACAGCCCAAGTCGGAGACAGTGACGCAGATGTCCGCGAGACACGATCAGCAACAAAGACAGGAGGCGCTTGGCAGAAATGCTGATGGTGGTGGATGCTGAATGCTGAATGCTGAATGCTGAAATGCTCAGAAGGCCAGAGGCAAGAGAGGCAGAGGGCGAGGAATCGGAAGAAAGAGAGAAAAGAGAGGGAGAATCACAATAAGGACCAGGATGAATATAATACGAAGAAATATAATCTAAAATAATAAAGACCAAGGACCAGATGCCAACCAAATCAAACAAAAAAGATGAAGATCGGAGGAAGGAAAGTGGACTGACTACACACAGAGAGTGGAGGAAAAGGCTGAACATGGCACCAGTAGCTGATCGTCAAGGCTGTTTTAGTATTTTCTCTTTTTTACTTTTTTCTGGTTCTTGTTTTCCACTCTTTTCTTTTTTGTTCTATCTACCGTCGCAGCGATTTCAAATGGGAGGAAATCGAATTGCGTTCGAAAGCTTTTGCAGTACACTTCTGATGAGAGTTGCGAATCCCAAGATGGATCCAAACATTGGATGGGCTCAGGCGGACGCAAGGAGCTGCTTTGGGGCGGAGATGATCCCAACGGTCAGCGGAGAGGAGAGGAAAGGGGGGGGTGCAACTCTAAAAAAGTCTGATAGATTAAAAGGGAAAGGATGCGAAGTCTGGGGTAGAACGAGCCTAGGTATAAAGCAGTATCGATTGCCGGAGCTGAACCGGGGGAAGTTTCGGATGCGAAGCCAGGGTTTGAGCCATTGCCTGAGACGTTGAGCCTGGGTTATCTCTGCTCATCAGAGGGAGACGATGATGAGTTGACTCAACTTCCAAGTCGAGAACTTGGAGATTTCGGTCAGAGCGGAGCCTCCCAGACGACGGCAGCCAGACTTTGGAGTGTGGGCGCCGGCAGGGCTTCTTAGCTCGCATCGACTAGTTGCTGCGGCGGATCCCCTAGGAGGGGGGTGGTGGGGGGGACAAATATGGATGGTGACCAGTGCTCCTCTTATCCACCACTTAATCCATCACCTTTTTGATCGAGCATCCATTCAGCTGCGGAAACTGGCCTGCTGTGGCTCGCTATTGGCGCTCCCATTCAGCAGCGGGAGTGGAGCCAGCGAGCAAGCTGGCCGCATTTGGACGTTTGGGGGGAGGCTGAGGCGCCAGGATCCAGTGTACGTATGTACCAGGATATTACCTAGCCGGTTGTTCTTTGACTCTGGACTCTGGAAGATTAACAGTACCACATATTCAGGAGTCTCGCAATCGAACGAGGTATGTAAAGAGACTGAGAGACTGAAGACAAAGTCAGCGGCGATCCAACGGCTGAACTGGAGGAGCAGAGACGCCAGTGGACCGCTGCTCCCGGGCTGATCATCGCGACCTCACCCTGTTCCGAGCGCCCAGGAGCGATCTTCTCTGTAGTAAGCGTTCAGTGCGACACCAGAAAAAAAAAAAAAAAAAAGAAACATGGAGGTGCCAAATCCTTCAGCCAGATTGTGGTTAACCAGGGTGTATACACTTAGTCAGCGTTATCATCAATTGACAAACGTGGAGTAATCCTCTGATTGCGAGTGCTCCAGACGAACTGACGAGTATCTCTTGCTCGCTCACACACACGTCACGTAATCTAAAGTGGGGAGGATCAAAATAGTTTCAACTTTCATCCATCAGCACATCCAAGGACCAGATGGCCACCCATGCTTTCACTCTCCACGTCAGATTAGCTTTATAGCATCGGCCGAGCCTGCGCCGAGCAACTGAGCAGTGACTTCAACTCCGGCTATTATTATCCTGAGTCTTAAGCGACTTGGTAAGATGGGAACTGGCGTCCAACTTAAATATGATCAATACGTACAGTTTCCCCGTGAATAGACAACATATCAACCCGGATGTCAGGCGGAAATCAGGCTTACCCGTGGACGTCATGAGCGGTCTATCAATAAAGATCAGCAAACTTTGCTTGTTTGAAGGCATCTCGTTGCTTTCTCTGAAATTAGCTTTGAGGGTGATTCGAGAATCAGTACGAGCCTCGAAAACAGAGTTGATAGAGCACGTTGGCTTGGAACTGGGCTTTCTGTTCAAACGATGTCTCATGCTCCCCGCGCTCTCTCATCTCTCAACAAGAATAGTGGTGCTAGGCTGAAGAGTGGTAGGGACTGGAGACTTGCGTCTCGGCGCGTCGTACCAGGAACCCGTCAATGATGATCACCGTGGGGAGAGAGCACGGGATCTACAGCCTTTGGTGTGTGCTTGCTCGGACTCTCACCACCACCACTACTGCCAGCTTGTCACTAATATCCTTAAAATGTCTGTCAGTCTTGATCTTCATGTCGTTGCCCGGTGTTAGCCATGGCAAAGCGCATGAGGCCCAGGCGCATCACCAACCGGATGTCGTCGTTGATTCGATGCAAGCCTCTCCATACCTTGCACTGCGTGCATCGAACCCTGGTCTTGCCAACGGCACTAGTGCAGAACAAATGCAGACAGGTGCGATCTAAGCCACACTGACGGTGAAGGTTGAACGCGATGGGCGAGAAGGAAGAGCAAGAAAAAAGGAAGGGAAAATATTGGAAGAGAAGGAATTTGATTGGTTCATTTGTCTGGAAAGAAGATAAAAGCTGAGCTTCTACGGAGCCTGCTGGACAAACCAGAGGATATGGTTTACGAGATGTTGACCAAATAAATGGACCACTGTATCCATAGATCGAGGCAGAGCCTCTCCCAGGATACCGCGGTGAGTAGAGGGTCGGTTGATCTTCTTTGCGCAAAATAAGCCTATACCACGATGCAGAGTTCAATCCAGGCCCGAAGGCGGGAAGGAACGGTAAGAGCCAGAGTGTTGCAAAGGTCAGAGGGTGATCATTTGCTCCATGGGAAGCAGGCCACATGAAGCTGCAAGACACGAGGACTAGCAGCGTGGATTGAACTATAGTGAAAAATCTCGAATTGAACACAAGTGGGAATCCTAAATCATGAGTCGTAAAGGTTTTTTTTATGCCGAGGGCAACGGATCTTAATCTGTATCTAGCATTCATTCCAATACACATAGACGAACGCCATACGAATCGTGATCATTGTTTACTCGGAGGGGACTGTATCTGAATTAGCATGCGGCCATCCAAGCAAGAAGTGCAAACTCACCGTCAATCTCGCCAGCCTTGACGTCGTCGCTGACGTCCTTGGGGCTGCGGCCATCGACCTTGCAGCCAACGGAGAAAGCAGTACCGAGGATCTCAAGGACGGTACCCTTGAGCTCCTTGGCAAGAGAGCGAGCGCGCATCTGGCGAGCGATCTCAACAATCTCGTCAAAGGCAATGGACTTGGTGTGCTTGATGTTCTTCTCCTTCTTGCGGTCACGAGGAGGCTCCTTGAGGGCCTTGATGACAAGAGAGGAAGCGGAGGGCACAACCGAAACCTGAGCCTGACGGTTCTGGATGGTGAGCTTGACAGTGACACGGAGACCCTTCTGTATTGTTTGAAAGAGCATGCATTAGCAAACTGTTTCGCGCGCATCCATCATCAGGATAGTTTCTTACCCAGTCACCAGTGTTCTTGGCAATATCTTCACCAATCTTCTTGGGAGACAGACCAAGGGGACCGATCTTGGGAGCCAGAGCAGACTGGGCACCGACCTCACCACCGGTCACACGGAGGTGGCTATCAAAGTTGTCAGTCTCGAAATTGCAATTCTTGCAAAATGGGTTCAAAACTTACATGATCTTCACCTCATTGGGGTCGAACTTAGGAGCTACCCAATGGGAAATATGTTAGTCGCCATGGCGAATAAACCCAAGGAGATGATACTTACGCATGGCGAGTGCGAAAGGTTGTCGATCTGCCTTGGTTCTGTTGTTGAAGGGGTTGACACGGAGAAGAAGAAGAAGAAAAGCTCCCAGAAGTTTAACGGTTTGGACAGGACGGAGCTAAAGGACTAAGCGAGCCCGCCAAATTTTGACCATCCCGCCGAATTTCGAGCATCCCGATTTGGAAAGTGAATAGGGCATAGCCCATAATCACGTGATATGCAATCAGTGACATAATCGGGCTTAAAGGAATGATGGTAATTCTATATCGAACTAAAATGCTAATACAGTGGCAATTCACGGTAAGAAGGATGTTCAAGTTCGAAGAAGCATTTCGAAGATGAGGCTCTTGTGGAAATCTCAGAAAGCCCTTCGCTCCTTCCTCAACAGTAAATATTACACAGAGCTCAAATCTAAAGAGTACGTAGTTGATATATTTCGGGGTAACAAAGCGAAAGAAATCACCGCTAAAGATACACACGATCCGAGGACCGACGTAGGGCCGCCTATGGCTCTCGTAATCGCCATTACCTCGTGTCACCTAGTTCGTTCCAGTGACCGCAAGCCTGTTCAAAGTCAGATATGGATAGTAACATTTTGGTAGCAAGACTCACTTCATAAGGTGGTCCATAAAGGTCTGCAAAGAAACATCGTCGGTGAAGATTGTCTGCGACGTCACACCTCCACCATAACCTCCTGTCGTATGTGTCGTGGATGGGTTGAGCTTGGACAAAAGGAAACGCGCTTGGGAGCCACCGGCATCGCAAACGATGAATCGGGGCAGCGGGAAACGATCAGAGATAAGTTCCTATGTTCATATTAGCGTCATTTCGGATCGAGACAGGGGGATTGCTCACCCTCGCGTCTTCCTTTGGTGTCTCAAGAAGGGTCTTGAGGTTCTCGTATCCCTCCTGATCTTGGTATCCTGCCTTTCGCCATTCGGCAATGGTCTCTCCATGGAAGATAAGAATGTGGAAAAATGTGTCCAAAAGGAGGATGTGTGAGGGTTGGATGGAAGCCGAATCCAGCAAGACTGGTTGACTCCCTTCGTGCTCCAAGGAGTATGAATCTAGTGTCGGTTGAATCATGATAAGGGAGTTGCCGACGTCCTCATGGTTCAGGACGTGGCGGTAGAAAGCGGTCTCATCGGGTGAGTTGTTGAAGACCTGCAGGAACTGGCTGCGACGGAGGTGGAACATGAACTGAGGGTACAGGGTAAAGTTCTTCTCGAGTCTGAATGAAGTCGGGTCATCCTTGCGGTAATCCGCAAAGCGCGAGCAAAGTCGGATGAGCATGCGATCAACCCATCGAAGAACATCTGGGCCGTCATCAACCTCAGCCTTGAAGACACCAATACGCGCCATGAGGACCGCGGCAGCCTCCTGGTCAAAGGACTGTGCGAGGGTAGGATCTCCAGCGGGACCGCTCAGGTTTCGTGCGACAGTTGTGACACGGAGGTGGAAATGTCCGGACGAATGTTGGTAGTAAGTCAAGAACTGCATCATGCCCCGCTGAGGTCCTTGTTGCACAGCTGCAGGTCCGCCTTGGTTGGCGATTTCGAAATAGATACCGTAGCTTGATGATGGGTCAATGCCACACATCTTCCAAGCACAAGTGTTGCCAATACCGCACTCTGTCTCACCCACGGAGCTCGATTTCTTGTTGAGAGAAACAGCATGGCCAATAAGCCCAGTAACCTTGAGCTCCTTTGTTGTAAGAACCTCGAGGGATGCATTGAATCCCATGAGAAGGTTGTCGTTTGCGTCCTTGTCAAAGACTCGGACGAAAGATTGCTTGAACTGAGATGATGTGAAGCTGTCAGTGAGCAGCATATGACCTCCAGTGTAGTTGGCAAGGTTCTTCATTTCCAAAAGACCGACTTGGTCAAGGCATCCTGCAAATACGTCGATTACGTGGCCATTGTTGGCAGCGCGCTTGGCCAAGGCATCGTAGTACTGCAAAAAATCAGCACAAGACAATATCTAGGTATAGAGAAGGACACGCACCTTCAATGCCTTTTTATAGTACTTGATATTATCGCGGTCAATGTCGTGATGGGAGCGAATGGGCTCCTTCAGTTCAGGGCTAACGACTAGACCTGGGCCCTCAGTTGCCGGTCCGCTTGTAAAGAGCATGATGTGAGCTCCCGCATTCTGAAAGGATGATTCGAGAAGACCGACAGCGACACTGAGGGCAACGCCAGTGCACCTCAGGGGGCGTTTGTCGTTGGCTACAGGCCATGGGTCACGCTGCAGCTGCTCGAGCATGTTTGTGATTTGGAACTCCGCTTGTTGAACGGGGAGGAGGAATCGTGCCGCAGCGCCAAGTGGTGGGCGAGCAGGCTGTTGGGGTATGTTCGGCACATTCGGACGGACTCCAGAGGCGAGCCCAAGCATTTCCTGCACTTGCTTCGCGTTGTAGTCCTTGCTACCCCTAAAGACGTAGGATTTGGCGCACTCGGCGTATCCGAGCTCGTGAACTTGTGCCTGAAGAATGGGTTAACAGCAGCCCGAACGAATTAGAGCTGTATCGAAAGTAAGATTCCTACCATAGTGCCAAAGGTAACCAACCCGACCAGAGCATTGGGAGGCAGCAGAGACAAGCTCATAATCAAAGAGTCCTTTACAGCCTTCAGGCTGTCCTCGTCCTGGCATGTGTCGACAACAAACACGAAGATGGGAGGGGCGGGGGCGGGGCGAGCCAGTTGGTACTCAATGGTTGTGCTCATGGGGTGGAGCTCCGGAGGTATCGTGCTCTCTGTGATATCCTTGTAATGCGGAGGAAGGGGGTTGCGCATGAGGCAGAAGGGACAGATCCAAATGCGAGCGCGGACGTCAACATTGCTACGTACGTTAGCCAAAAAGGCAGCATACTTGATTCTTAGAAACCATACGCGTAGGGATTCAAGACTGCCCGACAGGGGGCTTTGCAGGTCACTGGCTCATATTGTAAAAGAGGAGCATCTGGTCTCTCCTTGAGAGGAGTGTAGATAGCACCGATGGGGACGACGAGACGGGACGCTTCCTGTCGAGAGATTTAGCATGCGGACATTGATCATTAGTCCGGTTTCGCAAACCTACCATGCGAGAGCTTGGAAACGTATTCCAGCTCAACCTGATTCCATCGCGATCCTCGACGTCGCTCCACTGGTCCTTGAGGGCCTCGTAGTCCATGTTGCCGGCAAATCGGAGAAGAAGCTGGAATTGGCCGAATCGATGAACCGAATCAAGATCTGCCTTCGATAACCAAACTATGCAATAGAAGAAGCCCCTCGGAGCATGTCCTTTCGTTCAAGGGTGAATTGCCGACGACTGTTGCTGTCCGGAGGCTAATGCGGGGGATGTTCCAGCAGGTGTTGTGGGCGTTTGGAGCTGTTTGAGGCCAGGTTGCAGCGCCGTGGGTGGTTCTGGGCAACCGTACCAAACCACGCTAGTGTTGTTTAAAAAGGCCAGCCTCCACCAGTATTTTTCTCTTTTTTTTTTTCCTTCTTAACAAATTTCTTCTACCGCCGACTCAACACTCAGCTTCGATCTCTCTCAGTGACGGGGTTGTTTTTCTGTCGAGCGAAGAACGATTACGGCCCGTTGCTGGGCACCTGGTTTTGAAAGGTCATTCTGATCCTTTTGGATGAATTGGGAATCAGCTGTGGTCACAAAAACTTCCTTTTGCGCGACGCATTATTATGCTCGTTATAACAGACTCAAATCAAGGATAAAGAAATGTTATTGAATTGAATATACGTGCTGCAAACCGGATTATACCAAAAACAACTGTCAAGCCCGCCGTATCAAACTCCCAAAACGCCATGTGCCTTTGTGTGTAGAAAATGGATACCGTGAGAAACTTGGGCATATCTTTGTATTGCAAAACTTGAAGCGATTTTCATGCGTTTCTCTGCGACTTTCCAGCCTGCTTCAACAGGTAGCTGCGCTTGAAGTAAGTGTTGGGGTGAACAATGGTGTCGAGGTCGATTTCACTTGCCGAACCGTCTTCTTTGGCTCTTTTGATCTCAGCTTTATGAGTGTACTCAAACACTCGGTTGCAGGCAATGTGATACCGAGTTTTTTCGACATCCTCTCGTACCCCACGCAACAAGTCCCGGTCATTGACGCCCGTCGACTGAAGCAGCCCAATTAGGTTGTCAGCTGAAAAGTGACGGTATGGACACCCATGAGTCTGTCCAACCCCGGGGTTTGAGTCCTGGAGGATCTTCTGACACGAGTAGGGTGGGTAGCCACGGCCCCTTCGGTTGACATCACCGCCCACATCTCCATAGACGTGGCGGATATTATACTTGTATCGGGAATTGAATTCATCGTCAGTGAAGCCCTTGAACGACTGGCGCCAGAATAGAATACACTCCTCGAGAGACAGTCCAATGCCCTTGAGGAACAAACTATACTGAAGTCGGCCGAAATGCTTCAGATGATTGTTCTTGCGCAATGTCATGTGTAAGCTGCGCATGCACAGCGGAAAGTGTTGCGAGAGAGGATCGATGCTGCTGGCAGTGACTGGAGCTCCATCCACAAACCCTTCTCCCTCGGAGTAGACGGACTCGGCGCTTCCAAAATTCTTCGACAGGTGGCTGAGGATCGGGGAGAGGCGGTCATCTTCATCGAGTCGGGGTAGAGCCCTACTCGTGAGCTAATTCTAGAGTCAGTTTCGATCAATCCTCGAATTTGACTTCACATACCTCCAAAGCACGCTCCAGTCGAGTTGTGAATTCAGCAATAATCATACTGAGCTGCTCCCTCTCCGGTACGTAAGCCTTGCCCCTCGACAGGAATACGGTCCGTCTTTCAATGAGTTCCGGCACTTTTTCCCAATCCACTTTATACCAGACTTCCTCATCCGAGCGGCGCAGGCCCGGTGTCGCGGCAACCAAATGCTCGGCGACCTCCCGCCTTTCCTCATCACTCACGCTTTCCCAATCAAGGCTCAGGCTGTCAATAAAGGCTCGTCGTTCTCTGGAGTCGTCCGCTTGAAATCGGAATCTAAATAGCATAGTCTCCGCCCTGGCGAACCGTCGACGGAGGTCTTCCGTAGCTGAGAAGGCGAGACGGAGGATAAAGTGCGAATAGTGATCTTTCTGTCGTTCATTTTTAAGCCGGGGATCCTCGGCGCCGTCGCGAGACGATGTGTTTGAAGACAAAGGAAGGAATTTCTGGAGGAGGGGTGTGATGTGCGCCGTGGTTTCTGCGGGAGTCTTGTTTCGATAAGAACATGCCTCGATCTCGGCAAGGACTGTCAAAAAGTCAATAGCATGACACGGCCAGGCTGTAAAAAGTCCATACTCTTCAGTCTATCGATAGCCCATTGCTCAAATTGCTCGAGTGTTATCTCTGCAGTGGGTGGCGTCTCGTAAAAGTTCAATCTATGAGGATAGTCCTGTTGCTTGAAAGCTGGAGTCGCAAACTGCTTCTTTTTGTGACTGAGAATGGCCCTCCGCTTAGGATCAATTCGCTGGAACTCTTGCCGAATCATTTTTGACCTTGATGGACGCTTTCTATATGATCGATCGTTGGTGTAATGTTTGTGGTTCAAAAAAAGATGCCTCCTCCGCTTTTCATCTGTTATCACCAATCTCACGCGGGGACGCGACACGCGACGCCCACGCGCCATTGGAACGATTAAAGTCACGTGAATATATCCGATTAAAAACGCTTGGCGACGGCCAGCCGAGGGATCCATGGCTTGATTGCCATCGAGGCCAGGCACCGTACGTCAGGCGACGACAAGGGTCGTTGGTGAGCATGTGAGAAAGTCTGGAGGTGTATACTCCACGAGTGCGAGCTGTTAAATAACTCTACGTACGGCATAATCCAATACGAGTGCCAGATCTCTGCTCCGAGCCTTGTGGTCTCCCTCAGGCCATCGAGTCAGAAAAGCGATCCACTCACCGACTTCCTAAACAAGCAGGTAGAGGTATATCGCGGTGCTTTCCCCGGGTTCGTGCGCTGATACGGAGTACACCCCCTCGGCAATCAACAGGAACCATTGTTTTGATCTTGACGGTTTGCTCCGGAAAAGCAGCCACACTCTCCGGTTCCTCATCTTCACATTCTCAGTTTCTCATTACTACACATCTGCTGAAGACATGATGGAGGCCTTATAGCCGAGTCGACGAGAGAACCACCCACTGTTCTTCACAGCATCAAGCGCCGTCAAGTCCACCCTAAGCTCTTTTCTCAATTCAGTTCATCACCAACCACGCGGTAGTGGGCGCAATGGCCCGCACTAGGCAGCTCAAGAAGGCTGCACGGATCATCCTCATCGGCGCGCCGGGGGTGGGCAAGGGAACGCAATCCGAACGACTGCTCTCCAAGTTTCCCGAACTAGCCTCGATAAGCTCAGGCGATCTTTTGCGAGAAAATGTTCGAAAGAAGACACCGTTAGGTACGTCGATCTAGATTTTTTTGTTGTCTTGTGTGCGCTCCGCTAACAATGTATTGTTCCACTTACGACAGGCTTGGAAGCAGAAGCCACAATCCAAGCAGGCAACCTCGTCCCCGATTCCATGATTCTCAACCTCATCTCCTCCGAATTCAACACAAGAGGCTGGCTCTCACAGTCACAACGCCCGTCGGTATCCCCTTCCGCTTCCTTCATCTTAGATGGCTTCCCTCGCACCGCTACCCAGGCCTCGAGCTTGGATTCCCTCGTTCCAATAAACTTTGTCGTTCACCTAGTCACGCCGCCTTCCATAATCCTATCGCGGATAGCATCGCGTTGGGTGCACGAGCCATCCGGCAGGGTTTATAACACAGATTTCAACGCTCCAAAGGTCCCGGGAAAGGACGATTTGACCGGGGAGCCCTTGACTCAGAGAGAAGACGATTCAGTCGACACATGGAAGCAGCGACTTCACAAATTCGAAGAAACAAGCAAGGCTCTCCTCCAGCACTACCAGCGCAAGGGCTGTTTATGGCGTGTTGAAGGCAACTCGAGTGACGAGATTACACCGAAGCTTTTCGCCGAGTTCGAGCGGAAGTTTTGCTAGGCCAATCGTGGCTTCAGATATACCACCGATATCTTCATGTACTACTATGAAACCACGCGATTTATGTATCGCCACGGAAGCTAGGGCTTATATGCATATATATATATATGAATCATACGCTATCTCTCAATCAAAGCCCCCTTTGGCGTTTAAAAAGAAAAAAAAAAAAAAATCAACTCAGGATATCGTAAACAGACAAGTATACAACATGATTCAAAGCAAAGGCAATACCCAATAGGAAAGATCCAAAAGTATCACCGGACATAAGCCGACTCTACTTTTTAGCATCTTTACCATTCACCAGCTCCGTCGCTCCCATTCGAGTTTTATACTCCCTGGGGCTCTCCCACTCCTTATTTTGACGGAATCCCTTCCACATCCCATTGCCCCGCATCTTCGCCCACCATTCTGCGCTTTTGTATTTCTCTTCCGTCGTCTTACCACCAAATTCGGCGCCCGACTTGGCCTCATAGACCGTCGCCAGCCCCCGCCGCAGCATCTCATAGGAAACATCCCGCCGACGAAACGGTATTGGGAAATCAAACGCTCGTCGGATGTACACTGTTGCTACAGCGCGTTGATACTGATCCGGTCGGTGCACATAAGCGCGCACGCGCTTGTTCAAAAGGTACGACGTAAGCCATTCGTGCGCGTCACGGGCAAACGGCTGCTCGGGGCGTCCAAAGTGTGCGAGTTCCGGCGCGTCAACGCCAGCTAGGCGAATGTGAATCTGTAGTTCATAGCCAGTCGTTAGCCATTACCAGCCCATCAAATCTCAAAGTATAGCCACCACCAGCCCGATCAGAGAACAACGAGAGAGAAAGGCGTGTCCGCACAGTATTATCCCTCAACTCCTTCTTCCCCCGTGGCACCCTCTTCCAGGGCATCCACCCCCACCCCGCAAGTCTCCCACCAGGAGTATGAAAGACCCGAAAGTTATCTCCATCACCGACGCTCGTCACCTTTCCGAAGATACTCCGGCGTCGAAAGTAGGCTGTCGGGATGCTCGTCGCATCGGGGAAGCGGCGGAGGTAGCGCCGATGGAAGCGTGCAGCGGATAAGATCGCTGATGTGAGAATTGCGGTTGGGATGAGAGTCTGTGGGCTTGTAAAGGAGGACCAGGTGAGTGAGTTCAGTGCATTGGTTATTGTGGTGGTAAAAGCGCTTCGTTGTTGTTGGTGGTGGTTGTGGTCTTTGGAATCGTCATTGTTGCCGCCGGGGAGTTGCAATTCTGGGGACCATGGCGGCCATCGCATGGCGGCTCATGCCCTTGTATGTATTTCAAATGGTGAGGAGGAAGGGAGAAGAGCGTATCGAGGTTGAAGTTGGGCTTTTGTCGAATTATTTGGGTTGCGAGGGTGTTGGTTGCCTCGGAGTGGGGATAAGCGGTCAAGATATATATTTTTGTCACGCGGGCTCTCGCCTCTGAACCAGAATTACTACAACGTTTGCGGATTCGTGGGCTGGAGATCTTGACATTGTCTTCCGCGTTGTCGCTACTAGTAACGTCTGAAGGAGCAACTGACCATGTAAGTATCAACTGTCAAACGTTATATAGAAGGAGGCGCCGTATACAGTGTATACTTAATTCCCCGCCTTACCATATTAACATTGGCAAAATAAACAATGTCTATACATCAGGATAAAAATGTACAGGAGTAAGCGGAAACCCTGTTCCCTCGGTTTATAGAACAGAAATTGACAGATCTACACCCATGCGCCGTGTAAGAAAGAGACAGAAGGGGGAAAGAATGCAACAAGCCAGCTTATTCATGGTATATCCACCTCTACTTCAATGTCACTGGAAGGCTGGTCTTTGCCGTCTCTGCCGCTGCGTCAGCGACCTTGCGAAGCTTCTTATCTCTGATGTTCTTAAGGTACGCGAAGAAGACAATGAATATGAGTTCCATTCTAAAACTGTCAGTATATAATCATGGAAGTGGCACCTGAAAAGGACATACCTCTCTTTAGTCATCATAAGAAGACCCTGAACTAAAAGTCCCTTTAGGATCTGGGGACCAATGCCCTTGAATAGAGAGAGTGGCCCTTCATTTTGAATAATGAATTGCATGACCTCACCAAAAGTCTTGAAGGGCTTGCCCTTGCGCTCTGGCGGTGGGCGTGACTGAAGGCCGACCTTGGCAACGATCAGTGGCTGGGTTGCAATGGTGGCCATGGCCTTGGAAAGAGCACCGAGGACTATAAATGATCATTAGCTTAAACGTGCCTGCAACCACCGACTTCTTCCAACTCACGGAATGCCTCCCAAGGCTTGAGACTGGTCTTTCCAGGGAAGATGACGTCCTTCAGGCGTTGATAGGCACCGTATGTAATGGCTGGATTTACAACAAGAATCAAGCTCGCTTTGAGACCTCTCCACAGACCTGACCAGCCATCTTCACTGTTCACCACCTCCTTGCCGGTTTCAATTAGGCCCTTCCGTTCGTCCCTGGGCTGCGTCTGTTGGCGCGTCGTAATGACCGCAACGGGAATTGTAAACACCTGGGCAACAGCACCGGCCACTGCGCCGAGACTGAGCTCGATAGCCGTTCCCGGGGGCTTGGGTACATTCTTCGATGTCATGTACAATGTTCGCACAACGCTGTACCAGTAGAAGTAGGCGAAATTGGTCGAGGCAACACCGATCAAAGACCCAGTCATTCCCGAGTAGAGACCCTCAATTCCCTCCTTATCCACAATCTTCGTAATCGCATCCCATGTCGACGTGTAGTGAACCGCATCATCCGACTCTTCCTTCTCCGACTCGGTCGTCTTTCTTACTTGTACCTGGAGCTTGGTTTTGACCCTAATAAGAAGAAGAAATCAATCAGCAAGGGAGCTCCCATTCACTGATAAAGAAAAAAAAAAGCATACAAGTCAAGTGGGTAGACGATTGTATTTGCAAGAACGGCACCAGCTGCACCCGCAACGGCGCTCCCCCACGGAGAGAGGGCAGGCTTCGATTGACCGGCCATTTTACCCAATATTGTACTCCTACGGTTGACAAGTAGAGACCGACGTTATATCAAGTAGACAGATGAACAGGCAGGAATCCGCAAGTATCTGTCTTGAGTGCAGTCTACTCCGCTTAGACTGAGGGCCGACAACGGAGGAAGAATCACTGGCGAGAGTAAGTGATCCCGAAAAAAACTCAGTCGAAGAGGAGGGCCACCAGTGAAAAGGACGGAGAAGAGAAGCGACTGAGAAAAGAGACAAGGGACAAACAACCAGAAAGGAAACCGGTTGACAATCCGGCGAAGATGGGATTTCCTCTGCTTCGCACCTCGGCGCGGGTGCTCTGCGCATGACGAAACGAGCCGAGGTCCAGTGCGCGATTCCTGGGCCTTTCCTGCTTATCGGCCTGCGATCACTCCCGTCCCTCCCCGCCGAGCAACACAACACAGATTGCATTCATGCCTATCCGGAAATAATAGTGCAGGTCATTACTTGCTTGGCTGGCGCTATTTTCCTTCTGATCCTACCGACAAGTTTTCTAGCTTCTTTAGATATATCTTGCTCTCGGATTATTGTTGTTTCGATCCCCCGTTACCTTGTGTGGATCCGAGGAAACAACAGTCGTCTTTGGGCTTCAACTTGACCTCGGATGTGTGACCGACACTATCCGGGGTGATCTGCGGAGGCTTCCGCAAAGGCCACAAGCTGAGTTCCGCTTTGAAGACCCTGGCTGTTCATCAAACGACAGTCCCGCTTCTGGGTCAGGATGTCCAGGCCTAGTGCAGCAGCCACACAAACACAAAAGACCCTAATAACCCAAGCCTTGGTATCCAATTGCCTTTGTTTATTCTGGGCCATTTACATAGTGGACTGACCCGTAGTCTAGAAAGCTGAACAAGATGTATCTACTGCTGTCTCTCAGCCACAGGCCCTGGAGGCCGCTATTGATGCTGTTGAGCACTACATGAAGGCCCTGACTCTGGCAACCTCATCGAAAGACAGAATTCTGCTCGACGCAAAGTGCAAAGAATGGCTCACAAGAGCAGAAAAGATCAAGGAGGCTGATGATTGGCGATCCGCGGCACAATCACGAGATAAGGGCTCTGTTTCTCGACCTCTGGCCTCTGCGCGCAAACTTACTACGCGCGAGGAGATCATCATCCTGGAAGGAGCAAAGCTGAATGGCTTCATTTTTCCTCCATGGAAAACAGACCCAGCAATGGGAGAATTTGAAAAGACAGTTGACGGAGATGGGCTTTTTACGTATGCACAATGCCTACTTTGTTACTTGGGGAAGCTGCTGGCTCATCGTCTAACGGTTCTTTAGTGATAAACCTGACCTTCATTTGTCTTTCCTACAAAGAGACATTTTTGCTGGTTGGAAACGGCCCCATGAGCTTCTCGCGGACCATACAGATGAGGCAGGAGCCCCATTAGCGCCAGTTATGGCTATAGCTGGAAAGACAGACCTTGTACAAGACGTTTTGACAGATTGTTCTGTTGTTGCTAGCCTCTGCGCGACCACTTCAAGGACAGAACGTGGCTTAGACGAGGTAAGAAGACATAGCCCTACGCCCAAGTTTCTGTATGGCTCAAACATCATAGAATTTACTTCCCGTTGTATATCCCTGCATCTACGGACCCAGATCCGAACTGTCGCCGTCGGGAAAGTACATATTTCGCTTCTACTTCAACGGCTGTTTCCGCAAGGTAGTCATCGATGACCGCCTCCCGTCGTCAAAAACCTCGAGATCATTGTATATGATCGATCGAAACCGCGCAAACTTCATCTGGCCTGCGCTGGTGGAAAAGGCATATCTGAAGCTTCGTGGTGGATACGAGTTTCCTGGCAGCAACTCTGGGACGGACTTGTGGGTACTGACAGGCTGGATTCCTGAACAAGTCTTTCTTCACAATGATGATGTGACTGCCGACCGGATCTGGTCGCGCCTTTTCAAGTCCTTTCATAATGGGGATGTTCTCTTGACGATTGGAACAGGAAAACTCACAGAGAGAGAACAGAGAGAACAGGGACTTGTCAGTGAGCATGACTATGCCATACTGGATATGAAGGAAACCAAAGGACGCCGACAAATCCTCGTGAAAAACCCCTGGGCTGGGGCTGATGTCGTATACCCAGCCTATTTCACAGAAGCAGAGCCTCATCTCAACTCGCCTTCCCTTTCACCTGGCTCGTTCTGGATGGACTGTGGTAAGGTGCTCCAGAATTTCGAGAATCTATACCTCAACTGGAACCCAGCACTCTTCAAGTACCAGGAAGACATCCATTTTACCTGGGACCTGGAAACTGGTAAAGGAATGGCAGGATGCTTTGTCAAAAGCCCGCAATTTGCTGTTGTTAGTGAAACAGGTGGTACTGTATGGATATTGTTGGGCAAACATTTCAGGTCAATTGACTCTTGTGCCGCCTCGGACACACGCATGGGACAAAATGGGTTTATAAGCTTGTACGTGTTCAAAGGAGGGAAACGCGTATCACTTAGTGATGGCGCGATCCATCGCGGTCCATATGTCGACTCACCCAATACTCTGATGCGCCTGGATATGCCGCCAAAAACGGCATATACCGTCGTCGTGTCTGAGGAGTCCTTGCCTCCTGTCAGCCAGAACTTTACAATTTCTGCGTTCTCCATGTCACCTGTGCAGATATCACACGCTCCAAGCAAATACATGTGCGTGAACAAGATCCAGAGCTCCTGGACACCGTCCACAGCTGGAGGCAACGCGGAATCGGCACGATACTCCCTCAACCCGCAGTTCATCCTTGAGATCATGGACCCTACGGATGTATCACTTGTTCTGGAGCCGTCTGACCCAGAACTCGCTACCCATGTTAAACTTTTTTACTCTGACGGAAAGCGCATAACGCGAGTCCGCAGTCGTGACATTGTCGCGAATAGCGGTGACTACCGGCGTGGGGGTGCTCTTGCAGAAAAGAAAGAACTAGGGCCAGGGAAATATACGATCGTGGTGTCCACATTTGCGCCAGACCAGCTTGGCTCATTTACTCTCTGGGTGTCGGCAAATATCCCGTGTGAAGCGAAGCAACTCCCCTCAGAATCCGCTGGGCGGCGCGCAGTATTGTCTGATGTTGGCGTCTTACTCCCAGGCCAAGACAGGATGCTTGCACCTTTGCAGACACCTAGACTGACTCGAGTCAAGCTCATAGCGAGGAGCAGGCAGTCTACCATCGGTAACCGGTCTGTTGGGCCTTCTCCCGTTTTGGTGACCATTGAGCTCGGACAAGGACCCTACAAGGAGATCTTGGCAACCTCCGAAGATGGATATCACAGTGATTCTTTAGCTGGGGTACGCGTGGATGATTTCGACCTGCGCCCAGGCTTGGAAGAAAGAGGCGGGGTTTGGATTGTACTTGAGAGGATTGGAGGACCTGGCGGTCAGGTGGAGGATCACTTTGAAGTCGAGGCTCTGGGTGAAGAAAGAGTCGAGATCGGAGAATGGATCGTGGAAGACGCATGATATAATGTTGGAGTACTCTATATGTGTCCGCCTAACCAGGTGTTGTTTGTTGTTGATAGTAGCGCCGTTAGTAGATACAGAGTGGTGGTTCAATGTGCGGGGAGCCGCAGTTTAGCGCCCTGTGAGGACCTGCAGAACCTCCAACGTCATCCCCGCCATTTCGTGTTCCCCTTCCCTCTACTATTGCCCATCAATTGCGACTCTGAGATCTCAGGTCGTCATCAAAATATGGCAAGCAACATTCCTGCCGCCCTGAAGTCAGCGGACATTGGGCGATTCGCCGTGCGAGCGGCCCAACTCGAGAAGGCGAAGCCTATCATTGCCTACTGGTGTGAGTCGCGCAAATACCCCCATGGAAAACCTTTAGACTGATGGAAACCACTTCTTTATGATAGGTAATTATTGGATTGCGAACCAGATTATTGAGAAAGGATTACATACCGCCGACGATGAAGTCAAGCTGTACACCGTGGATTTAATGGAGAAGCTGGAACAAGTACGCACACATGATGATACCTTGTTGAACACCTGCGGAGAAGGCCCCTGAAATGCTGACGACCCCGACCATTCTACAGTTCAAGGTCGAGAACCCTGACAATGATGCGATTCTGGATTCCATGGCTGCAAGTGCCTACGTCGAGCAATTTGCTTTGGAAGTCTTCGGTCGTGCAGAAGCCGCCATGCGGGCCGACAAGGTGACAAAGTACTTGCATTTTCCTCCCCGACCACGAGCTGGACTGTGGTTGACGATGGCACAGGCAAACAGCAGACACCTTTCAGGCTGCAGCAACATTCCTCGAACTGTGCCAGATCTGGAACCCGCTCGAACCTGAAGCTGCGGCCAAGGTGAAATTCGCAAAGTATCATGCTGTGAGAATTGTCAAAGCGATCAAGGCAGGGGAGGATCCCAACGCAACGAACCCAAAGATTGAAGAGGAAGAAGCCGAAGAGCTACCAACGGTACAGCCTTCTGAGATCGAGCCCTCTGCCGAAGGTCCCTCGCAAGCGGCACTGCAACCGACTATTGAAGACGTTCCAGATGAATCGCAGTACTCAAGATCGCAACCTACCATTCCACAGACTCCAAGTACCTTTACCGAACTGCCCTCCGCTCCGCAAGGTGCTGCGTCAACCACGCCCAGTCATGAGCAAGACTCACCCCTAAACCTTCCTTCAGCACCGGATACCTTCGCCTCGTCATCAACAGCACCGCCTCACCTCCCTGATACACCCACCAACATCGGAGTGCGCCACCACCGCCATGCGCCCTCGAATGAATTCCAGTCTTTCCCTCCGCCATCCGCTCTACCCCCCGCAAGCCCACCGACTTCTTCTCATGATGTAAGCTCGTTTTATAATACGCGCGCAACTGGTCCCGCGGGGTTTGCGCCCCCAGCCGGGCCTGGGCGTGTAGCGTCGTATTCAACACAGCATTCCGTTCCTATAACCCATTCTGCTCCGGTCGCTGCAGCACCCCCACCATCTGCACAGACAAACCCAGAGAACATCGACGATCAAGCTATTTCCCAGGCTCAGAAGCATGCGCGGTGGGCTGTTTCGGCCTTGTCGTTTGACGATGTCAATACGGCTATCAAGGAGCTGCGAAACGCGCTGAAACTCCTCGGTGCCGAATGATCCAGAGAGAGGCCTGAAGCTGAACGATGCTAATGGAACTTGGAGGAATCAGAGTAGAGGAGGCGTCTGCATTGAAAACCGGTTCAGATAGTAATGGTGCTTTGAAAGCGTGTATGTACCCTAACGTTGCCTCCCTATCCTACTCTAGTAATGACTACCACGATACCACGAGCTGCTGCACTTGTTCGTATTCGAAGACGATCGGAGGAGCTCAAACCTACGCCCAGAGTTTCCAGGCTACTTTCAAAAGACAGCTCAGACGGCGGTCTGGCAGTACACAGGGTCTACCAATTCTCTTCGGATGTCATTGACTCCCAGGGTCTCTCGCCGGCTTGCATGACACTTGAGTCCTTCCCAGCCACCCCCTCAGACAGGCACCGCATGGGCGAAGATGCGAAGAGAGAAAGGCATCCGCCGAAATCCAACCTGCACTCGAGAAAGTCCAGCTGCAGGTAGAATGACTCTGGCCGGCAGCTGAGCAGGCTGTGTCTTGGCTTTTCGCCCGTCTCATTGGCTCGACCACAGGCTCTCAGTAAACATTCTGATATTGCCTCAAAAGCTCTTGCATGAGAACCCACTCTTACCAGCAGACACTTGTTTTGCCTTTCACTTATTAATACCCCTCCATGCCCCTCAACGTCATCCCCCTTTTTAAACCTCTATACCCAATGAGCGTTCTTTGTCATATTCATCTCTGAACTCCACCATGAGCAGGCACCAAACAAGGGCTCGTGCCCCAGCCACTGAGGTGATGGCTATAAGTTCTGAAGATCTCGCACAATGCAGGAGGGATCGTGACTTTACCAACATCCTTGACCTCCGGAACTGTTGGCATACTAGTTTCCTCAAAAGGCTTCGAGAGCACGGCTATAGAAGCTGTTTTCTCTGGAAGCAGCTTCAAGAGTCTGAGGACGCGAGATCAGAGTGTATTGACAGCTTCCTGGATATCTACGGAATGGAGTACTGGGGTGACAGGGAGAGGCGTGGGAGGTACCTCATGCCTGACTCCATTGCTCGCGGAGATGTGGTCAAGTATCCTGAGAATCGTACTGAGTGAGTGCCCTCGTCTGGTCTTTTCGTCTTTTCTTGCCTTGCCTTGCTCTGCGATTTCATTTTTATCATCCTCTTCTCACTTTTCTTCATTGCTACTCTCTTCTCTCCCTTCTGTTGCTTGTGCTGGTCCGTCCTTTTGCCTCATACTAATCCGGGCCCAGACTTAAGCAGACCCTAGTTCTCCTTCTCAAGAAGAAGGCAGACGACATCCTCAAGAAAGGCGACAGTTCTCAGCAGTCTCAGTCTCAGATTGAAGCCTGTCAGTCCGAGCTCTCCCAGCCCACTTCTAAGAAAAAGTACAGTTCTAGATACTCCGCTCCCAAGAAGCCCACTCCCGAGAAGAGACCTCCCTCCGAGGACTTTGATTTTATCCCTGAAGAGCGCGAGAGTTCCGGCGAAGGTGAAACCGAAACCGAAACCGAAACCGAACTTGACACCGAGGCCGAAGTCAACATTGATCATGCCGAAGAAGAGATTGGGGTAGAAGCAACCGCTTCCCAGCTTCCAGTTTCCATGTCTCAGGACATGTCCATGACTGAGCCTGCTTTCATGCCGGTTGCGTCAGCCAACATTCCCACCGCCACCCGCCGTGTCAGAAGGCGCAACACCATAGAGCACCGCATGACTCCTCCCAGCGACGAAAACTCGGCGTCTTCTATTTCGGTACCTTTTACCAGTCCTTCCTGCGGTGGCTCCTCCAACACCTCCACCGTGAGCCTCGTGGATGCCAATCTCGCCCGTGCCCTTTACGCCAAATATCGCCGTGACACCTTCTTCCTCATAACCACCGACGGACCCCGCATCATTGCCGCAGCCTGGCATAAATACAAGGACTTTGGCGCTGCCTCTTCGTTCCTTCTAGACATGGGTCGCGCCCGTGGCCTCGAGAACCGCTGGTGGACCGCAGAAGCTCAAATGATGATCGATGGAGAGAGCGGACCTAGTGAAGCTGACTACGTTCTCGCCGCCAAGGATGTCATTTCCGAAGCCTCGGTCACGCTCGAATGGTCTGGCGAAGAGGTCCTTGTGCGCTGGGACAACAATGACGACTGGAAAGTTGTGAAGCAGATGACTCAAAAGGCCTGGATGAGCCGTGAGTTTGGTTTCCAGATGATTGATGTCTTCAAGGTCAAGGTCTTGCTTCATTTGGAAAATAACTATTAGCTTGGTTTGATTGACCTCGCTGCTCGTTGGATCTTCTGATAATTTATGTACTTTACTTATGTACCTCCGAGCATCCGATGGACTGGACTTGGGACTTGTCATGAGAATTATGCATTGACCACGAGGACAATTTGAGATCGGATTAATTGGGAAAGCTTGGACACGATTCCACTGGATGTCCTAGGGAGAAAGTTAGTCAGTACAATGCACCTTAAGTTAGTGACCCTAAGAAAATGCCTAATAGGAGATGTTGAAGAGTATGAGATTAGTTTTGTTGTTCTGCAACCAATGTCGTAGCCTCACCCCTCAACCGTCATCAATACTTGATTAGTTGACGCGTCAACGGTGACTATGGAGAGCGCATCAAGAATCTCATCAGGCAACTCGTTGGGAGCCTTAACATGCCCTGCACGAGCATATCAACTAGGACCACCGGCTCGATAAGGCCCTTAATGAGGTGCTCAACGGGACTCTCAACGAGTTACTGTACAAGATTCAGATTCGGTCCGCATCTTCGATCGTCATGAAGTTAGCAACAGGAAGTCCTTATTAAATATTATATGTTGGCTCGAAACGGAGAGCTGCTATGTAGAGTATCGCGACAAAGATTAGAGAATAAGCTCGACATGTGCTCGTATTAATGGTATATTACCTGAGACATCGAAGTTGGAGGTGCTCCAGAAAAGTGGTTCGGGACTTTTCGCGTAGCGCGAACCATGGAACTATGAATGCGAAGCTCATGGGGGATCGGACTCCGGAAATTTTCTGGAACACTGACGTCAACTGATCTTCCAGTAAAATGACTTTGTGGTTCCAATTCTGGAGCCTTGGGTCTTTGCCTCACAAAAGAAGCGAAGTTCCCGCTGGTAAGGACTCGAGGAATTTGTCAATCGTTGATACTGAAATTCGCCATAGGTGTAGGCAAATGGTAGAGGAGACTTTAGATTAAAAGTCCCCACCGAGCCGCAGATCCCAGTTTATTCCCTGCAGATGATCAAACGGGAAGAAAGATGCAGGGGAAAGGGGAAATTGCGAATACGTGCAACATACTGTAGTTCAATCAAGGCGACTTGTAAGTGTTAAAGCTGTGCACTGGATAAGACAGCTGCAAGCAACATATCTGGAGCACAGCCTGTCTGACTTTTGATCATCTTGACGTGAGCGACGCTTTCCCCGTTATTGTGATTTGTCTCCCCAGACTTCTCATTTTTTATGCAATGACGCTTGCAGGGATGCGCGGGCTCCCGGGGACCACATCTATTGCATTATTTTCTATGATCAGCTTCCCATATGCAGTCTGTTGTGTTGCCTTATCCACTTCGTCCCGACGCTCGGATGCCTTGCGTGACAGCTGAATCTCACACTACTTGGAGAGGCACATTTAATGACACGAAAGAAGGAAGAGCATGGAGGATCTGAGTCAACAAACAATATCTTTTCAATCTTGCGGCTGTGTTCGCCCCTTTGGCGGAGAAGGGTTCGCCAAACTTTGAAGAATAAGCGCGAGGTCAAAGCGAAAGGAGCTCCTCTGCCGAGATCATCGACAGTAGTCAACCCAATTGCGCCGCCCTTCCTGCGTCCGTGTCCTCTAGTATGTGGAGTTGTCGTAGATGGTCGACACAATCACACCCTTGACGTGTTGAAAGACCAGATACTCGGCTGAGACTTTGCATACTCCTCAGAGGAGGAAGGAACAGGGATGTGCTGCGCGGCCTGCCTTTCTAGACGTTCTAGACATGGGCTCAAAAAGAGCTTCAGCGCATCCGAAGCGAGATCCTCTCTCGAGAAGCAGAGACTGAGATATTCCGACTCAAATTTCCTGGGGTGGAGCGTTGGGTGCAGACGTCCCACACAGCGTCGCTTGGCAGGGGAACGACATTTTGACCTGTCCTCATGACCAGACCTCAAGATGCTGCCGAAATTTCTAGATGCAGCACTAACGGCGTTCGCTGGGCGCTGGCTTGGAGGGGCGTCAACCCCATATTCGTCGTGGAGTTGCTTTTTCCGGTTCACCTCCCCAGCAATTTGGCTTCGGCTGAATCGAGTCAATCGATGGAGGCGCATTGGCAGCAGGCCATTGAAGGCAGATAGATAGATGCCCGAGAGGACATAGATAGGATTTGCCCTTGTACACGGAGTTAGACTGTGCCATTTTCGCATAGTCAGCGGGGCGAAGGGGCAGGACTATACGGAGTAGATTGCATTCCTGAGGATCCTGGCCTGACAAGGGTATTAAACCAACCCACACTGCGTTGGGGATTGCTTATGCATGTCTTTTCGAGGATAATAATAACAGGTTTCAGTCGATAAGTGATTTTCCTCCGAACGTCCGGGGAGGGCTCGAGTTTCGAATTGTGGGAGTTCTGAATCGTCCTCTCCCCAAAGCGGTTTACTCCCAAACTTTCTCCTCTTCCTCGACTCTCTTCTTCTCCCAGCTTCCCTCCTCTTTCTCCTTGCGTCTCCCCAGTAATCCTCACCTTTCGCCTTTCGCATTTCGCACGAAAGATTTACCTCGCAGGAAGACTTCAAGAAAGGCCGCCGATACTAGCCTCTGCCTTCTGCCGTCGTGTCTCCGCTACAACCTCCGCGGCGCTCTTACCACACACACCACCACACGCACCACTGCACTCCTGTCTTGCTTCTTCCGATCCTCCACATATCTGAACCTCATTTTAGGTCTAAAGACCCGTCGTTTGCTTCTGAACCGCCGCTCAAAATCATATACTCGTCAAAAAGAACGGTTCTACTACATTTAATACCTTTCAACCCCTCCTTCACCATGGCCGACCAAAAGCCGGCTGTTCTCATTGTTGGAGGCTTGGGTAAGTGCATGCACCTTTTTGATATGAGTGATGACACATAGTGACTAACAGTACTGTCATGGTATAGGATTCATCGGCCGCCACTTAGCTCTTTACATCCACGAAAACAATCTAGCCTCGGAAGTTCGACTTGTTGATAAGGTCCTCCCGCAGCTTGCTTGGCTGTCGCCTGAATTCGAAGAAGCTTGCTCCAAAGAGAAGTTCGTTCAGGCTGATGCTAGCAGGGAGCGTAAGTATCCCCTCAACTTGCGCTCGATGAATTCACTAGAGGTCCCGGAGCTGATCCGATCATTTCTTACATAGAGCACTTTTCCCGCATCTTCGATCGCGCAAATGGCAAACAATTCGATTACGTGTTCAATTGCGGAGGCGAGACGAGGTACTCCCAACCCGACGATGTATACGAGGTTCGAAGCTACAACCTGACTTTGGCCCTGGGCCGCGAGGTCGCCCGTCGAGGAATTCGCTCCTTTGTTGAATGCTCCACTGCCCACGTCTACAAATCCGGCTCTTCCCCGCGAAAAGAAAGCGATAAACTCCAGCCATGGCACAAATTAGCGAAATGGAGGATGAAGGCGAACGAGGAGTTGATGAAGATTCCAAATCTCCACTATGTTGCTATGCGACTGCCGAACGTATATGGTGAATACGAATCCGGGTACTTCTCTACGGGAATTTGTCTTGCGCGAGTGTACGTGGATATGCAAAAGGACCTTGAGCTTCTTTACAGCAAAGACCTTAAGGTGAACACTCTCTACGTGAAAGATGCTGCTAGCGCCTTATGGAAAGCAGCGGAGTGGAGATATAATGCCCCTACAGATGGATCGGCTCCTAATATTTTCAACGTCGTCGATCACAATGATACGCGACAGGCCCACATAGCTGAGGCTCTTACGGAGGTATTCGGGCTAAAATGCTCTTTTCTGGGCTCTCTCGCATCGCAATTCGCCAAACTGAACTTGGATGATGTGGTTGACGACATGAACGAGGTATCATTGCAAGTCTGGTCTGACTTGATTGAAGAAAAAGGCATTGAACGCCCTGGACCCATTAGTCCCTTCCTCGAGAAGGACACGCTCCGTGACCAGGATATGTCGATTGACGGCACTCTTTTCGAGAAAACAACCGGTTGGAAACCGTCCAGGGAGCGCTTCACGCCTGATTGCATTCGCGATATGGTTGAAAGCTACAAGCGAATGGGCTGGTGGCCATAGATGATTTCACACCATTCCGCCTCTCAAGTTTTCCTATACCCCATTGCCGACTTAGCGATCCTTCAGAGCAAAGTACGGTGGAAACCGTTAATGACCTCCCGATAACGAGAAACCGTGGTACTCGGAACCGCGCATGAACCACGCGACATTTTGCATCTCTCGATCAAAAGCAACCTTTCACATATAGACCGCATTCTCTCTCCGCTACCCCATTCGTTTGTTGCTCGAGCTACCAGATCTCTGGCACCCTTTCTGTAATCTATAATAGCTATACCTTTTTGCATGTCGATTTTGCTTGTTTCTCTTCTCACCTTGGAACACTGGCCTGTTCTGGTTTTTTCCCCCTTCTACTTCTCTGTAAGCATTTCATCCTGATTCTGATGTATTGTTGATTCATGTTAGAGTTGGCTTGTTGAATGGAGTGCATACATGGATGACATCTTTCTCTCCATGTCTCTATGTTCCTTTTCAATCGATGTATTTGAATTGTATTAGCATTGTTTTGACGCACTTACACACCTGCCTACATACTGGCTTCCTCACGTTTAATTACCGCCCCCATGTAGCATCTACAACTATGGAGCTAGAGTGAAGAAAATATCATTTCTCGTGTAAAACAGCTAAGGTGCATTCCTCTCTTAGTGTACTATAGTATATGCTATGATGTCACGGTGTACCTGCTCTTTAGTCGCTCGGAGTGCGAAATTGGCAGCGATATAAGGCAAACAAGGGTTGCTCAAAATGCAAGAAAAATAGTGATGACAGAGTTTTGAAAACGGCCGTAGACGTTTGAAACCGTAATAAAAAGGAGTATGAAGAAGTCAATAACCATAAAGCCAAAAAGATAACCTGCTCGGGTTCGTTTAAAACTCCCAATCCTGATCAACAGACTTGATGGCCCACTCGAACTTCTCGCGCAAGGATTTCGAGAAAAACTTCTCGATAGGGACGTCGAACTTCTTGCTGAAGACGACTGTGAGTCGAGGATCTATATAGTTCTGCTATAAGTTAGCAACAGCTAATGAGACGAAGATAGATGACTCACAATCTTCGAGGTACCAAGGGCCACTTCCTTGTTGTCCTCTTTGTCCTGAGCCTGGAGCTCCATGTTATCGATGCGTTGCTGGATCTTGGTGACGGCGGCTTCCAGTTTTTCGACAGTCGGGCCTCGACCTTCAACCTCGACCTTGCCAGTTTTATTCTCCTTGGCAAACTTCTTCTCCATTTCCTTGACAACTTCCAAGCGGGTTTCGAGTTCACTGGCCTTCATTTCCTTCTCACCCTCTGCTGCAAGCTTCTCGTTGTCTTTTTCGAACTTCTTCTTGATCTTCAGCCGCTGCTCTTCAATCAAGAAAGCTTGATGTTCTTTGATCCACTCCTTGTCGATGTCCTCATCTAGCTCGAAGAATTGGGCGCCCTTTTTCTTCTTCAAGCTGGAATCCAAATCGAGCATCATCTGTTTAAGGCGCCATTTCTGATACCGTTGGCCCTTGATCTATACGCGAAGATTAGTGCTTCCGGCATTACTAAAATTTTCAAAGAATGCTGACGTACTCGCTCGCTCATTTTCTCCATCTGGTTAGCATGTGAAGCGGTAACTGTTCGCTTATGGTTACACAGAATGGCAACCTTGCGGTTTGCGTCGTTGTATGCCTTGACCTTCTCTGCGTTGGTACCAGTGGCGTTCATGTCCTTGAGTAGTTCGGACATTGTGTACGAGGCGTTGTAGGTACGGAACACCTTTGCTGTAAGGCCTTGCATATATTGCGAGAGATGCTTATTGAGGGCAGAGGTCTATAGTAGAAGTCAGTGGGTCCGTATACGTCTCAATGGAAAGCCCAGCTTACAGTTAGACGATCAAAGATCTCGTCACCTTCCTTCTTGGGCGCCTTCTTGAAGATTTTCAGATTCTTGAAAACCTGGGCATCCACCTCAACCTCATCGTAGAACCGGATACTATCCTTACCCAGGAAGTCGAATATCACCTTATTAGGGGGCTTGAGTGTGACGTTCTCATATTTCAGAGAGCAACAGCCGACGGTGTCCGCCTCGTCCTCACCCTTTTCGTTACCCGCACGAAGGGCGAACTGGTCAATGAGATAAACAGCCGTGGCTTTCTGCCGCTCAACCATCAACTCGTTCTTCAAATTCTTCTGATAGTCTTTTCGGATCCTGGCGATGTGCTTCTTGAGTTCTCGGGCCTTCTCAAACTTCTTGTAATCGCTTTGACCCTTGACATCAGAATTGGCTGCAAGCATGACATACTTGTAGTTGCCATTGATATTTTCCTGCCACATGGCGAGCCATGTACCTTCTTGATCATGCTTCACCTCTTTCCACTTATGACCTTCCGGTGGAGGCGGAACGCGGGCATCTTTGCCAATGTTGATGGTGATTTGCTCTGGCTGAACTCGCGACTTCACACGACCCGTCTTGGGATGTTCACCACGGCCACGGAAGAGCGAGGGAGGTTCAACTCTGAAATTGCCAACTTTCTGCTTGCGGCCATCCCACATACAGTACATATAAGGTGCCTCCTGTTCATCCTTTTCAGCCTTTAAGCGTTTCTTCTCGGCGGGTGGAAGAGCTTTCTTCTCCTGGCGTTGCGCATCAAAAAACTCGAAAATCGGCCGGAAATCACACTTTGAGAATTCCTTAATGTCGACCTTGTTGCCCTTTTGATCCTTGGCACCGCCAGTTTTCTTCAAGATCTCCTTGAAGTCCATGAAGAAGTTCTTTTGGAAAGTGGGATTCTCCACATGTTGCGTTGAATTTAGCATGGTACCAAAAAAGGTCGCGACTTCTTCGGCGTCAGGGTGAAGGTTGACAGGGACACCATCATACTTCAATTTCACATTCTTTGGGAGCGGTTCATATGGAGGAGGGAAGACAACGCCATTGTGTTCGAGTGTCTTCCACTTGATCGTACCATCACTCTTTGTCGGGTCGTCCCACCATCGGTACTCTTCCTCTTCCTCAGCATCCTCAGCATCCGCACTTTCTTCTTTCTTGATCGATGCCGCCTTTCCATTCTTCTTGGCCGGAGTTGTCGACTTTGGCTCGGCTTTGATTTGCTTAAGTGGCTGCTTCGTCGTAGGCTCCTTCTTTACCCCGTTCGCCACTTTCTTGGGAGCTGCCGCTGGTTTGGCGGTTTTCCGGTTTGATTCTGCGCCCTTTTCGGCCTTGATCTGAATCTTCTTCTTCTCGGCGGCCAACTTTCTTTCAATCGGAACATCGGAGTCGGATTCGTTGCCGATTGCTGTTTCTGAAGCCTTGGGGAGTTTTCTCCCATTGAGCGCGAGCGGCACGTCTTCGTCCGTCTCTGGATCCTCGTGTTTCACCGAGGTGCGGCGACGTTTGCTCTGTCGGACAGTCAGTCGTTGAAACAAAGAGCGACGATAATAATGACACAAGACTAAGGGACGAGGGATGGCGTACTAGTGGCTCGTCCTCCTCGCTGCTCTCAGGCTCCGCATACGACTTTGCATTGCCAACACTGGTTCGCGCCTTTCTTTTGCTAAGACCGTTGATGCCGTCTGTATCTCTCATCTCAGTGTCGCCATCGTTTTGTACGGGCCCAAATCGGATGGATACGCCAGGGTCGACATGGCCGTTGGTTTTGGATGCGCTGTTCGTGACGCCGTTGGGTTGACCTACTGTGTTGATTGTGAAAACAGCGATTAGAATTAGGATTGTCAAGTAAGAACGACAAGTAATCACAGTCAAAGACGAAGTGAGGCGAGCAAGGAGCGTTTGAGGGCGATAACAACAGACGGTGACTTACCGGAAGATCTACCGTTCATTTTAACGAGTGGGGTATCGTCTTCAGAGGAGCTCATGGTTGCGAAGTCCTGGGTTATAGGACTGTACCGTGGAGTAAAGGTTGAGTAAAGATAGGCTCGAGGCGCAGGATAAGAGCGACTCGAGGTTGACCTGCCAAGTCTGCAGAACAGAGCTGGCGCTCGACGAAGGATGAGGTCAATAATTGTCTGACCAATGAAGCGAGAGGAAAGAGAACCGAGTATTCAATGGAACGAAGTGAACGAGAAGGGGGTGAGAGTTAGAAAAGGGGAGGCATTGACAGGGGAGCGTGGTTTAGGAGGAAAGCGGAAAGAGCACACGCAAGAAGAACGTTAAGCAAAAGCGAGCGTCGAGGAGAGAAGAGGAAAGGAAAGGAATGGAAAGCGATGCTGTCTTGGTTCGGGGCCTGAGGCGATCCGAGCCTCTGGATGTTTCTCCGGACCGTCCAGCCACTCCCGTTGCAGCATTTACCTTGGTGCCTTAGTTTCCTTCTCCCTGCCTGAATTCCTCTGAGCGGCTTCCTCTTTGAGTCGGAAAGGCAATTTTCAAGGGTGAATGTCACGTGAACTGGCCAACTTGCAGCTGTGGTCTTCCGTGTCCCGCCGTAGGACCTTCCCGCCTGGGTTTAGTGTTCCGGCTGTCGGGAAGAACAGACACAGGAGTTGAATTCGTCGACCTCCCATCATCCACTACTGACCACCTCCGCCGGCGATTGAAACCCCCCCGTGGTGCTCCCCTTCCGCCGTCCTGTGGTTTCTATCTTCGGTGATACCCTCTCCTCAGTCCTACGGTCCGATCTCACCATGCTTTCTCGCGCTGTTCGCCCGGCCGTGAGGGCTGGCGCTGTTGCGGTCACCCGGTAAGTCCTTCCGGTTCCCCAGCCAGCTCACCACTTTCGCGACGTTATGCTTCCGGCTCAGAGATTAGGATTGAAATCTGCTTGACTGGGAGGATTGGTGATGGCTACTGACTATATCAAAGCACTGCTCCTCCCAATGCCGCCAACTTCGCGACCCTCCGTGAAATCGAAGGACGTCTCAAGTCCATCAAGAACATCAAGAAGATCACCAACACGATGAAGGTCATCGCCTCCACCCGTCTGACTCGCGCTCAGAAGGCCATGTCCGACTCTCGTGCCTACGGTCAGACCTCCAACACGCTTTTCGAGCAGGCCGAGACCAAGGCCCTCGAGGACAAGAAGACTCTGCTCGTCGTCGCCAGCTCCGACAAGGGTCTTTGTGGTGGTATTCACTCCGGTCTCAGCAAGGCTACTCGTCGCGTTCTTGCCGAATATCCCAACTCCGATATCGTGGTTCTCGGCGAGAAGGCCAAGGCTCAATTGTCTCGTTCCAACCCTGAGGCTATCGTCCTGAGCTTTGCCAACGTCTGCAAGGACATCCCTACCTTCGCCGATGCTCAGGCCGTGGCCGACCAGATCGCTCTGCTGCCTACCGATTACGCCAGCGTTAAGATCATCTACAACAAGTTCATCAACGCCCAAAGCTACGAGCCCGGCACTGTCGAGGCTTACTCCGAGGAGGCCATCACCCAGTCCCGTTAGTCTTCCGTTTAATACCTGCAAAGCGCAGCCAATGCTGATAATATTACCTTGCAGCCAATTTCTCCGCTTACGAGGCCGATGAGGAGACTCTCTCCAACCTCCGCGAGTATGCTCTTGCCAACAGCTTGTTCTGGGCTATGGCTGAAGGCCACGCCTGTGAGATTTCGGTAAGCTTTGTCCTTTGATACCTTCGGTCGACTAGTGCTAATAACATTTCTTAGGCCCGTCGTAACGCTATGGAGGTTAGTATCCTCGTTGATCGTGTCGTAGAAGTAGCGCCAGACTAACCCAATCCTTCAGAACGCCTCCAAGAACGCTGGTGAAATGATCGACAAGTGAGTATCGCGAGTGTCCTGGCACATATGCTTTATCTGACATTATTCTAGGTTCCAGATTCTGTACAACCGTCAGCGTCAAGCCGCCATTACCGGTGAACTGGTTGAAATTATTACCGGTGCCGCCGCCAGCGCTGAGTAGACGCTGTTATGATATTTCTTGGGAGGGAGTCGCCATATGTAGACTAACTCGAACATACCTAGATTCTCACCAACCTGTAAAATCTATCTCTATACATTTCGTTTGTACTGTGTTTCCTCTTCGTTTGAGAATAGCAGCGATATGCGTGTTACACGTTTGTTTTTGATATTGACTCTCTAGGACCCTCGAATCATTCAACGAGGTCTGTGTCGCCAATCCGGCTTACACACAATTAGGTACAACGAGGCCATTATTCACCCACTCCCCAGCTTCCTTCCCTAAGAGCCTTCACACCAACAGATCTCCACTTGCTGATTTGTTTACCTTTACATCCTCCTCACTTTCCCCTCACTTGTGGAGCAACACTTTTCTTCATAGATTCCTCAGCAAAGGCCCAAAACACCATCAAGACAAACCTCACCTTTGTCTGAAAATGTCCTACTAATCCAGACACAAAACAATGGATTGCTATAAAATCCTCGGCATCGCCCGAGACGCCAACCTCAAGGACATCAACAGCGCCTACAAAACTCTCGCTCTAAAACACCACCCCGACAAGACAGGAGGAGACGACCATGCTATCCTTCAGTTTCAAAGGGTACTCAGTACTTGCTACATGCCTACCCCATTCTCCATTCCTTCAAACACGGATCGCTAACAATTCCAACCACAGATCCAACAAGCCGTCGAAATCCTCCGAGATCCAATCGCCCGCAAATCACACGACAAGCATCTCGGCCCACCACCCAGTGAAGATGAGCGGCTTTTCGCGAGCCCAGATTACAATGGCTGGGTATCGACAGGTCTGCATGTGCGGGATCTCACCCGTAGCGCTCGATACATGTACAGCTACGGGAATAGTGTTCACATGGATCCGCATTCAAAGGAGTCGCAGGAAGAGAAGGCTCGTTGGGCGCGGGCTCGAGAAGAGGAGGACGAGATGTGGAGACAGCGTCTTCAAGATTTGGCGAGACGCAACGCGGAAAATAGAGCCAGGCTTGAGGCTGAGGCCGAGGAAAGAAGGGCTAGATTTGAGGCTGACGTTGAGAACAGAAGGCCTAATCTCGCTCCCTGGTCACGTTCGTTTAGGCCTTCAGAGGGTGATATCTATGAAGAAGACGAAGAGGAGGATAACATCGAGGCTGAATGGTGGGCGGGAGCCAAACCCAAGGAGATGAAGGGCGCCAAGTCCGAAGCAGACTCTGGTGCAGTCAGTGACCTTGCTTACGACGAAGAAAGGGACGTTGATATCGGAGTTGAACCGGATCATGAGATCAAAAATGGCAACCATGCTGATGATGGAGAGGACAAAGGCAGTGCTAACACTTATGAAGCCGGAAACGATCTTGTCAGTGACGGCGAAGTCGAGCTTGACAGCCACTCTGATACCAAAGAAGGCGATCCCACTACGGGACTCCCTGCTGATGTCGACGGTCACGCCCTCCCGGATTCAGCAAAGAGCTCTATCAAGTCTACCTCCGATGACGGATCAGTAGTGATCAGATTCGAACTCGGGCCCGAGTTCCACGCCGAATTTGATATCGAAGCTATTATCGCCGAGGCTGAGGGGAACGCAGAAGATTCCACTAATGTTAAGCCTACAGTCACGGAATTTGATACCAAATCGCCCGAGAAACTCACAACAGAATATCACACTGCATCCCCCGGAAGCCCACAAGACCTATCCGCTAGCCCCTACGTGATGAGCGGCGGCCTTGGCTACCCAAGTCCCGGGTCCCCAATCGACGCAGAGAAAACATTTCTCACACATGCCGAATACGGGAGCGAATCATCGATATACTACGACTTTAGCGAACCAGAAGCCCCGTCTATACCAAAAGACGCCGAGAACCAAATCCTCAACCCACCACCAATCCCCCAAAGTCAAACCTACAACTTCAAATTCAACGCCACAAACGTCTACCCCCACCTAACCCCTTTCATTCCCTACTTCGCCGCGAAGCTCGCCTACACGGACGGCCGCTACACAAGGGACGATTTCCAGACCGAACTCCGAGGCATGGTAATGGAGACGTACTGCGGTTGGGTCGAGACAGTGCGTGCTACGATCCCGGGCGCGGAGTCCCGAGAGGCAACCCTTGATCTCATTCCGCAGGACTGTCTGCATCTGGGATACTGGGAGAAGGTATATGGGCGTGATGAGTGCGAGGAATGCCATCTCTGGAGGCCGATATATACTCTCGTCTGTCCCGGCTGCGGAATTAGGAAGTGCGTGGGGTGTAAATTTGATGATGCTGGTGCTTGAGCGATGCGTCACGGTGTATTCTGGCTCTCTTTTGTTGTTATTTCCGCGAATGGGCACGCTTGTTTGATGTATACTAAAGTGCTTTCCCGGTTTCCAAGGCGTGGTTTGTATTTGATTTGCACTAGTTTGAGACTGGTGAGAGGTCGACTTGATTGCTCGATCTCACTTCCGAAAGAGGAGGAGTGGTTCGTTAGCTTCCTGGTATAGCGTGATAAAGGTGAGAATATAATATGCTTCATGACACTTCCGCTGGCTTCCTCATGGGTATTAAGCCCTCCAACAATACATATGCAGTATCCTCAACCAACTATAAACCATCAATGTCGTTCTTAACCGGTACCATTACACCTACCCTTCTCAGCCTTCACTTCTTATTACCCAGCTTCGACCCAACGTCGTAAATACATCATTTAGCGCTTGTTCTCCCGGGATATGTACCTCGCCTGCAGCGTGCTGTAGGGTTGGATGAATGCGGCGAGCCGATTGGAGATTAAGCTGACATTTTTCGCCACCATACTCGGTAAGTTTGCGGGAGGCCAATCTAGCTCGATCCCTTGACCTTGTAAGGAATGCCCAGTAGGTCGAAGATCATACATGGAGTCCGTCTGAAACTAGTTTCTGCCCTTCTGGGAGTATCCCAGGGCCAACATAGAACATGCCCATGCCATGGCTTGAGCGCACTACCGGATTTATGCTAAAATCACTTATCGAACCGGTAAATAACCAATTCGCGGTTGCTGTTCTCGCCGAGCAGATACCGTTCGGTTCCATATATCCTTCCTTTGCCCGTGAGCTCAAAAATCTCGTAGTTCTTCAAGGTGATAGCCGAAGAAGGCGTCCGGATGCTCAATGAAGCTTTTAGGTTGAACGGCCATGTGGATTGGAGTAGATGGAGACAAAAGCCCACTTGAGCTTTTTCATCAACTGCCTCGGAAATTATGGTGTACCATGGCTCATCGCAAACGCCAAGTGTAAGGGGATCGGCTTGTAGGCTACTGTTTCCACGATAAGGAGGCAGTACAAGATCAAGATTTCGCCTCCAACAGGGACCGAGCCCACTGATTGGAATGCTGATCACACGAACTTGCGAGGTCCATTCAGCCGGTCCAACAAACCGATCAACGGGGCCTGTGCATATGTTTTCGTAGATCTCAATAGCCTGATTATCATCCACGATGTTCAACCATTGTATGCCGGGGAGACCTCGCTGTCTAACAGAGTAGAATCCCAACTCTCTGAAGCCAAAGCGCGAAACAATGTGAGGTCCCAGATCTTGCCCTTCCTCCCGTAGGCGTCCTGTTGGATCCAACGAGGGTCTGTAAGAAGATGGCTTGGAGATATCCCACACAGAGAGCGACTCTATCGGAGCATCGTCGTCTGCAGTGTACAGACTGCGATTGGGTTGCCAGATGTATATAGCATAGTGGGTTTGGCTATGAGTTGAGAAGAACCTGTCTCTCTCGCTGAGCGGATGTCCCAAAAACATAATCTTCCATTCATTTCGAAAGGATATGCTCCATCCACTGGAAGTCTTGGTGACATCAAAGGAGGAAGCAAAATGTCGATGAACGCCATCGCTGTCATTCAACCAATGGAACGCTTTCGGTTCGGCCCATTCCACAAGGAGTACTCGTTGTTGAAGCCGAATTCTGCGAATCACCTTTCCTGTGATGATAAATGGGACCATGAATCGTCTGTCGCTGTTCAGATCCATAAGAGTCAAGCAGGAATGGTCTGCGCTTGGGTACACCAACAGACCATCCTCATACGACCAGAAAGGCTCTGAGAAGGGCAAATCCACCTTCTGCATCAGATGACTGGCATGCATGTCCCAGGGTTGCACCTGAAACCATTCCCGGTCTCCGTTGAGACCAAATTCCTCGCACAACTTGTGGCGTTGAATCGATCTAGGTTTGCCCCGATTGAGATGGTCATATCTAGCTGCGACTTGGTCAAATAGCGAACGCCAATATTTGTCGTCTCTCGAGTCCTGTAGAGCATGTGCGGGGTCCGCAAATTGATTTCTGGCCTCGCTCGCTAGTGGAAACAGCTTCTTTAGAAGCGGGATGAGATTTGCTGGGTCTCCGAAGGCTTCGTTCCACAACCGCGAGACGCGCCGGCAACGGACTATATCCCTGGGACTGAGCAAGTCCGCAACCATCCAGAAGAGCTCACGTGGTAGCAAAGGAAGATCCAAGTGCTCCTCGGAAGACTGAGACATGGCAGTTTCTTCCATAGTGAAGATTGCAGGGTAAAGCAATTCCGAACTGGCTCATCGCTACTTGGAAAAGATCATATCATTTAGTGCCGAAAGCTCATAATCAAGCAAGAACGTGACTAGTCAGAAGAGGAAATGGTAGCTATTGGAGCTGTCAAACTGGTGGGTCATGTCAGGTACGACGACAAGGAGGAGTTGGGAGGAGAAAGCGGGGGCGGAACCGGAACCAGCCCGCCAAAGTCACATGCCAAGCAAGAGCTTTAGGACACCTTGCTTCAAGTTTTTAACACCTTGTCACTGCGCAGTTTATTTCTGCTGACTGCAATGACCTTTGTTCTCTAACTTCAGGGATTTCTGCTGCCCATCAAATCTGATTTTCACTAACTCCGTCATGCTGCAGTCGACTTCAGCGCTTTTGCTTGCCGCGTCGCTTCTGGCAGCTCTGCCAGTCAACGCAGATGGCCTCTATACTAATAAATCCCCTGTCCTTCAAGTGGACCAGAAAGGATACAACAAGCTGATTGCTAACTCTAACTACTCATCTGTAAGTACTTATATTCAGGCTCCCAGCATCTCGAAACCAGAGCTAACGACTCTGAGCTAGATTGTAGAGTAAGCTCCAACCCCAACTTCTGTACAAGCTTCGAACAGCTCCTAAGCAACCTCTCCTTCTTCCAGGTTCTACGCCCCATGGTGCGGACACTGCCAAAACCTCAAACCTGCCTACGAGAAAGCGGCGAAAAACCTCGACGGTCTCGCCAAGGTAGCCGCTGTGAACTGCGATGACGAAGCGAACAAACCATTCTGTGGACAAATGGGAATCCAGGGCTTTCCGACATTGAAGATCGTGACTCCGTCCAAGAAACCCGGCAAGCCCCGGGTTGAGGATTATCAGGGACCTAGAACCGCTAAGGGAATCGTCGACGCAGTGGTTGACAAGATTCCCAACCACGTGAAGAGAGCTACGGACAAGAACTTGGACGAGTGGCTTGCCGAAGATGAGGGCTCACCCAAGGCCATTCTCTTCACCGAGAAAGGGACGACAAGCGCTCTGATCCGGTCTCTCGCGATTGAGTTTCTGGGCAGTATCAAGGTTGCACAAATTCGAAACAAGGAAACGGACGCAGTGGAAAAGTTCGGTATCACAGACTTCCCGAGCTTGGTCTTGCTTCCTGGAAATGGTCAAGATTCTATAATCTACCACGGAGAACTGAAAAAGGGCCCCATGGTCGAGTTCCTCAGCCAGGCCGCGTCTCCTAACCCTGATCCTGCACCCGCACCCACAAAAGCAAAGGATAAGGCGTCCAAGCCAAGCGAGCGGCCGAAACCAAGCGAACCTATAGCATCCGAAGAAACCACTGAAGAATCCAAGCCTTCAATCCCAATCAAGGTACCTACATCTGCGCCTGCTATCGACACTCTTGCTACCGCGGAAGCCCTGGAAGCCGCCTGTCTAGCACCAAAGTCTGGTACTTGCGTGCTTGCTTTCCTGCCACAGTCCGACGAGCCCGATGTAGAACTCACTGGCCGCGCAAAGGACGCCCTCGAGAGCTTAGCTGAAGTTGCGCATAAACACGCTCAAAGGAAGACCAAGCTCTTTCCTTTGTACAGCATCCCCGCGGATAACACCGCGTCGAAGGCCCTCAGAGCTGGACTTGGTTTGTCCGAAGTCGCGGAGACAGTTGAGATCGTTGCTCTAAATGCACGACGAAGATGGTGGAGACAATATGACCCCTCTGAGAGTGCAGACTATGGAGTTGTGCGGGTGGAAGCGTGGATTGACGCCATTCGATTGGGCGAGGGGTCGAGGAACAAGCTGCCCGAGGGCGTCATCGTCACCAAGGACGAGCCCGAGAAGAGGGTTGACCACGATGAGCTGTAATATGCCCCTGTCACTTTAGCTATCGATCATGTAATAAATGTGAGAAATGGCTTTGTATCATCACACTATTCGATCCGTAATCTCTATTCGAACTTTTACGGGATAGACCTAGATTAAAGAAAATCCAACCATATATACATCACATTAAACACGCATAGGCCGGACACACAAACACCAGCGTTTCATGCATTCTAGGGCGATTCCATTTCCAACATGGTATAGCATCACAGTTAGTCAAAGTGGTCTAACTAACTACCTCTTCTTTCTACCCTCCGTCCCCTTCTTAATAATCTTCTGACGCTTCGACTCAACCTCCTGATCGTACAACTCGCGCGCCGTCTCACCCTTCTTGCGCTTGCTCTGCTTCGAGGACTTGACGCTGACAGTTGCGGCGCCACCGGTGCGGATCTGCTTCTCGGCTTCTTCCCATCCGGCGTTACCGTTTGTTATCTCGTATCTGGAGGCTATAAATCAGTTATTGTTCGCTCAGTGTGATTTGGGTCTTCTTGATTATGGTATATAGAGTATAAAGGAAGAGATGAAAGGACAAAAAGGGGAGCTCACTTATCCAAGGGCAGAGAGTCGATCAGGGCGCGCTGCTTCTCACGGAGCTCGGCGTTGACTTCCTCGCCTCCTTCGCGCAGTTCATCGTCGAGACTTGTCTCGAGAGGCTTGAAGCGCTCCTCGACGACTTCGTCGTGGGCGTCGCCAGCAGTTCGTGCCGAGGCGATTTGCTCTGCGGGGAGGGTATCCGCGACAGCACCCTCGACAAGGGAGCGGAGGTGAGTGGAGACCTTGCGGATGATCTTGAGGAACATGGCGAGCAGTTGGGAGGACTGGACGGTGGTGTGTTCTTTCTCTAGATCGTCAAATGTCTTGCGCTGGAGACCGATGGCGAGCAGGATAGACTGCTGTACACCAGAGAGGGTGACGCTGCCGCTTATACGGCCGGAGAAGTACCAGGTTGCGATGGTGGGAACGAGATCGAGGATGACATGGTAATCAAGGAGGTTGTTTGCGTAGCTGTCGAGGCGTTTGAGGTCAAAGGGGGAGAAGGCTGCGTCGAGGTCGGATTTGCGGAGAGGGGGTGGTGTGAGGGAGGGGTCAAGTTTTGCGCCTGCTGTTGCGGATTCGCCGATACTGAGGGATAGGATGGTCGGGAAGGCTCGGAATTGGTAGGAGAGGAGGGAGACGAAGCGGCGGTGGAAATCGCGGGAGAAGGCACCGAGCCAGCTCGCGTCGTTGGAGCCTGTGGCTAATGTGCGGAGCATCACGCACGAATGTTCGCCGGTAAGATCGTTGGGTGTCTGGCGCAGGTAGACGGGCGAGAAGGAGGCGCGCTTCCAGAATTTGTGCAGAGATGGTGTGAGGCCGTAGCTGACACCGAGGTAGTCGAGTTCATCCGGTCGCCGTTCTGAGAGCTTGCCGAAGAGTGGCGGCATGGACCGAATATCACGGACTTGGATGTTGTCGTCGAGGAGGTTGGAGTTGGCTAGTTCCTCATCGGTGACCCTGACCATTTCCTCTTGGGCGCCTGGTAGGTTCTCTGACAGATCCGTGAATTTACCCTCGAAGAAGTCCACCAGGAGCTCCAGAGCGCGAGATCCGTAACCCATGCTCAGATATTCTGGGTTTGTGGCGATACGGACAACTCTAGCTCCAGAAAGACCGGCAAAGTCTTCATCCTGGAATTGTTGACTGACGAGCCATGGGATCAGGTCACCTCCTGCACGCTGCCCACGGCTCAAGCTGTTAAGAACACTCTGTCGGCTGATGCGACCTTCCAGGGCAACCTGTATCACGCACAGCGGCTCCGGTAGCTTTGCCGCATTCTCGTCAATCGGTGGCACAAGGACGAACAACTGATGTGCCGGGGCGTCACTCATCAACTGGAGGTCGTTCGGGGTGTTTTTGTAGTGACTGGCGACATAGAGTGCCATCATCTGTTGCAGGAACTTTTCGGAGACAGGGTGGAAGGAGAACAGGGTGTCACGGTTGACTTGAAGTAGCTGGCATTGTGATGGGTGTGGGCAGCCTTGTGTGTTCATCTTGGACTTGGGCAGAGTGGCGTCCAGACACAATACCTTGTTCAGCCATTTCTCTACCGCGTCGCCGGGGGCATATCGAATCGGCTCCGCGAGAGTGATTTCCCTTAGGGACCGGCCACCCAAGCCCCTATCCGAATCCTTGGAAATTTTACCAGTTTTGCGATCAGCAACATCAGTGTCATCCTGGCCCAGAACCTTTACGCCGCCTCTTGATTGTTCGCGGAGCTGTTGGATCAGCTTCAGGGATAGGGACCTGCCGGTTCCTTCATAACCGTTGATTGTCGAAGCCATGAAAACGAGGTATGGGCCCATCAACTTGCGGACCAGGGGTAGGGGGATGGCGGCAGCTTCATCGATGACAAGAAGTTCCGCTTGTCCTAGCACGTGCGCATCTTGAGGTTGGATGTACTGGATTGTTTGGCGGTGCTGACGATGAACGTTGACTCGGACAATAGCCTTGTTGAAATCAGGGTTGGTGGACTGGAGAATGGTGTAGTCGGTGTGGTCCTGATAGCCGAGGGCGTCGAATCCCTTGAAGACAAACTCGAATAGGGTCTTCAAGTTCTCGGGGCTGGGAGAGGTGATGAAGATGTTGCTGTAGCCATGGGCAATTGCGGTCGCAATAGCGACACCTAGGGCTGCTGACTTTCCACGACCTCTTCCAGCCGTGAGCGTGACAGTACTCCGGAGCGTTTTTTCATCAATCGCGTCAACAAAAGTAAGAAGTGCCTTGGCTTGGTCGACCGTCCGGGCAAGACTAATCAACGGTCCGACGATCTGATTCTCTGCCAGGTCATCCTTGATTTTGTTCAGCTCCTTCCGCGTGCCGGTATTGCTCTCATCAGTCGTCTCGAGTTTCGGGAGTGGCTTCACGTTCTTTCCACCAGAAATTGGCAAGACGTTCATCTCGTCGTCAATGACCAAGCAGGAGTCGCAGCTACCGAGGGATAGGATGAAACGTTCGTTGAATCGAGCAACCACATCGTCATGCGCTTCCGTCCTGTATCTCGAGTGAATATCCATGGACAATGTGTACAGTTGTTTCAGACTGCTCATGCCCTTGAGCAAGAGCACCACCATACCACCTCCTTCGACAGTTTCGATGGTCCGTGCGAGTAAGTTGGGTGTAATGGCTTCAAAGTCCTGGAGGATACACATGCTGTAGGTGTTTCCGAGAATTTTCTCGGTTTCCTTGTAGTACACATAGCGAATCTGGTTGATAGTGACGAACAGTTCGAAAGGATCCTGATCATTCACCTCCCGAATACCCTGCTTCACCTCTCTCTTGATCTTTGCCTCTCGCTTCTTCCGATGACTGGTGAAGCCCAGAAGATCTTTCTTGTAGGCCCACAAGACGGACTTGTTCTGCTGTTTGACATCGAATTGCGACTTGATATGATGGAGATTGACGATGATGTCCTTGGCACGGTCACCCACAACGACAAAGAAGCTGCGTTTCTTCTCCTGGATGCCATTCTGGATGAGCGCCGGAATACGCGAGTCGATCGCTTTTCGAGGCATCTTCACGGGGATGCAGGCGTACCTCACCAAAGATCCTGGTCGGGGAAGTCTCTGCACTTTGGCAAAACGAAAAAAAAGTTTTGGCGGTGTTCAAATTGCCGGTGTTTACCGCCTGCAGGGAGATACCGCCTAACTGTCACGTGATATGCCAAGCTAATCTTGGGGTGCATGATTGGACAGCTTCGCTTTCGCTCAAAAGACCCTCTTTCAGAAGACGAGGACAACTGTGGACTACTAGTAGGGTGGTACTCAGAGTAGTACCTAGGTAGTAGGAGTATACCACTGAGAGCCTGGCACGGAGTCTGCAGTAACGTTGAAGAAAACTCCGGATCATTGCAGCGGCAGTCTTCAGGAGAGGGGACCGAGTCGTGGCTCGTGAGTCGTCATCGAGCAGGAGCAGACCCCGTCCTGCCTGTTTTGTTGATGAGGATTGACCTGGCGTTACCCACTTTCGCGTGTATTCCTTATCGCAAGTCAGGCTAAGGTGCTGAGGCAGGATTTTAGTGGAGGATTTAGCCCCTCTAGCCGTTGATCATGCCCGTCAACCGTCCTTAATCGCGGGTCTGGAATGTCTGGTTCCATCAAAACTCCCTTTTGGTTGACGCAATCACTGCTTTTCAAAAGAAAACCTTTCGCTTCCTAATTATAGGTCCGATAGCCTTTTGCATTTCAAGGCTCTTGCTACCCCCCTTTCCCTGCTTCAAATCTCATGTTATCCAGCCGTTATATGCCTCCCTTGTCTCCACTGTTTGAACTCTCCGCAGTCCCGTGGTATCTGACTTTGTCACACCTCAACGCTCTTGCGCAGCCTTCCCATCGCATGCATCAAAGGAATCCGGGAGTCAGCTTCTCGATGATGGATTTGGCGTTATCAGGATCCTGAATGGTGTTAAAATGATTCGATTATCTACAGAAAATGCGCTGCGAGCTGTAGTAGGGTAAGTACATCTCATAGTCTTTTTTCAACGTCTAATGTGAAGCTGCGCTCTCCACAACTACCGGACGACGACGGCCTTCTCTGCGTTGCCGCTTGAAACTCGCAATGGTGACTTCATCAAATGTATCGAAGCTCGATGAGAAACACCTTTCACGCGAGGCATCACCACACACTTCATGGTCTTGAGCTTCAGCAACAGGAATTTACCGAGCTCAACAACTAGTCAATGCGCTAACCGTTGTGTTGTCGTGTGACAGGGCCTTTTTTCTTAGTTGCACATTTATCGTTACTTCTTACAGCACCACATTTGCCTTTGGTAAGTACCACTAATATATGCAACTGTAATGGCATTTCCGCTAAAGAGTTCCTATCCTAGATCAACCCTTCCACACCGCTGTACTGGCCTGCTTTCTCTCCGGGGTCTCGATTTTGATCTTGAGCAGATTTGCTGATCGAATATCGAACGTTTCACTTCCTACAGACAAGTACTCTGCAGTCCCACTCTCGGAGCTTGACACCACATTTGGAGCCCTACCAGCTAATGGACTCGACAACCATGGACCCTCTACGCATGATAGACTATCTTTAAGATGGTGGCTGAAGGTCGGAGTTCTCTCCGGAATTGCCTGCGCGCGGATTGCGCTTTTTCGCAGCAGTACCGAAAACATTGAGTGCGCTCCCACTGGATATACCGTAAGTCTTTGACGACCACTCGATAGACGTATCATGACCAAGGACTTTGCTCTAGTATCTGGTTCCATTTCTAGTTGCAGTCTACGACAGTTGGCGCAATCAGAGAGCCGCCATTTGTTGGGCACGTCCAAGCGGCCCGCAGAATGCCCTTGTACACGCTTTCATCTCCTTGGCCAGCCGAGTTCGCTACTTGACTCTGCAGAGTCGTTTACGATACGTCATATCAGCCACTTTTCTGGTCTTTAGCGGCATTATTCTCGCCTCATTCAAGGGTGATCAATCAACTTATATTTGTCCCATAGTATCCGGGGAGCATACACGACAGCAAACCTTTGGATATCTATCACTTCTCCTGGATTTTCTAATAATAACCGGCTCCGCCGAGCTTTCCAGTGAAGGAGGCCGCCCCGGAGACGGAAACAGAAAGCAGGGCCTAATTTCCTGGGGTTATGGTCTTCTCGTGAGTTTGTGGCAGCCTCGTTTTGGAACTTGCACCTAACTATGGCATCACACAGGGCGTTGCTCTTTTTTGGATACCTTGGGTAGTTTACTTGACCGTAAAGAATGGAGGTGGCACTTTTGCGACGTCCAATTACCTCCGAAGTGCGTGGGGACAGGCGGCTCTGGTTGCAATTGCGATCACTTCTGCATCTCAGATGGTGAGTTTTAGTTACTTTGATGCCCATACAGTCAAAAGGACTAATGATAAGCAGCTCCCACAGTATGGCATGGTTGGGCTCTGTGTTTTGGGTGGCTTCATTGCGAGTTACTTCAATTTACTATCGACGATAGTCAATGGGCAGGAGCCCTTCCCGCTGATACACCCGTCTCATGCCTTTGCTGCGCTTTTCTTCTGTTCCATCGGAGGCTTGATTTTTCTATTCTCCAGGACGGCCTCGGACGACGAGCCACAGTTCTTGACTCGACTTAACTGGGTTTTGCGGTTCGTGATTGTCACCTTGTTCGGAATAGGGCTGTTCTGGATCTTCAGTCAGCCTAGTATTAGCCATCTTCATCCAATAGAGTTGCTCATCCATGAGGCCGGGGAGAATCACGATACATGGTTGAGAACGGCCAAAGAGAGTATTGGTTTGGCAGAAGCTGTTCAGCACTATCAAGTCAAATACGGACAACACCCTCCACCGTATGTCTTTTGGTCATCCTTTATGGGTTTCGTGCTAATTGCGTTAGAAATTTTGACAAATGGTATGACTACGCCGTAAGCAGGTCTTCAGTCACGATAGACGAATTTGATGAAATACACCGCAATCTACTACCCTATCGCGCCTTGGCCCCAGCACACATACGAGAATTGACCCAGAAGCTGGCCACAAACCCATTCAATGATATCGGCGCGCTGAGCATCCGCAATGGCACCGTCAGGGTGCAGGAGGGTATTAAACCAACACACGCATGGATGGTTCAAAGTGCGGCTAAAATGATTGAAAAGTTCTCTGAGCACCTTCCCGATATGGATTTGGCCTTCAATTTGAACGATGAGCCTCGTGTTGTAGTGCCTTGGGAGAGAATGGCTGAACTACAGAGCCGGGCTAAATTGCCACCACTTTTATCTAGTGACAAGCTCGCAAACGAGTGGTCGACAGATCGTGAAACAGGATGGGCCCCCTTGGAGCCAGCAGATCAAACACTCGAGACCATGTTCGCGGATAAGTCTTTTCAAAGAATATTTGACCCGTATGTCGTCCCAGCTTGCCCACCCGGATCAAAAGCGCGATCCCAACGGATATGGGACAGACGAAACCTGTGTCTCGGATGTCTTCGCCCACACTCAATGGGTCAGTTTCCCACGGATTGGGGAGTTTCAACCGACATCTGCCATCAGCCTGATCTTGCTGACCTGCATGGTCTCCTCCTATCTCCCGCGTCATTCAAAGTTACACAGGAACTAGTGCCAGTTTTTAGCCAGAGTTCTGTCTCTGTTTTCAACGACATCATCTTTCCGAGCCCTTGGAATTACGTCGATAAAATAAGCTACGGGCCTTCCCCTGAGCACCCGGATGCCAAATATTCCGACAAAGAGAACACTCTCTTCTGGATCGGAAGCACAACAGAAGGCGTCAGCAATCAGGGCAAATGGAAAGGAATGCCCCGGCAGCGCCTTGCACACCTCGTCAACAACAACACATACAACTACGTCTCTGTCCTTCTCCCCACGGAAGAACCGAAAACATACTCCTACCAGGTATTCAACGGACGAGCCCCAATCCAAGATCTTGGTCTCAGCGCCTCCGTCAGCATCACAGAACCCATCGTCCGCTGCCGAGACAATGACTGCACCGACCAAAAGGACGAGTTCAGCCCAGGTGGCCGCGTCGAGTTCCAAGACCACTGGAAATACCGCTACCTCTTCGACTCTGACGGTGCAGGCTTCAGCGGCCGCTTTCTCCCCTTCCTACAGAGCCGCAGTCTGCCCTTTAAAACCGGTCTGTTCAGACAGTGGCTCGACTCCCGCGTCACCCCCTGGCTTCATTACGCACCCATCGATATTCGTCTCCACGGCCTATGGAGCACACTCGCCTACTTTAGTGGCGTGGACGCGACAGTTGATGGCAATCGCAGGATCGAGATGAGACGCCATGATATCCAGGGTCAGTGGATCGCCGAGCAGGGACGCAAATGGGCGGAGACCGCCCTGCGTAAGGAAGATATGGAGATTTACTTCTTCCGGCTTCTGCTTGAGTGGGGGAGGTTGACTGATGATAGGAGGGATTCATTAGGCTTTACACTTGATTCCTAATTGCTGTTTCAGGTCAATGGCGTTTTTCTCTTTTTCCGGTTTTCTCAGGTGAAGATAGTTGGCGTCTGGTTTCATCAAAGCTGATGCATTTTGTTTATGGATTGAATATTACTATTTTTCATTTTATTTATTCTTTTGCCAAGCCCTTTTTACGCCCTGTTTACGCCCTTTTTATGCCCGTTTTTTATAATCAACTTGAAGCTCCTACAGTACCATTCATCAACTCATTCATAGACCTATCGTCGTCCCAGGCCTGATATATACATACCAACACGAACAGCCCGAGGCAGAAGCCAAACATTCACGCGAAACACAGCGGCAGATGGGTATGGGAAGAGGGTATGTGGTGTGCATATATCCAAGAAAAAGAAAAGGAATAGAGGTTTCAAATGAGGAGTTTGAAAGACAGGTACTGAACAAAAGAGGTCACCACCTCCTTTATTCCAAATGCCACCGTCACGAAGTCTATTCAATAGAAGCCGAGCGGGTCCTCATTGATCTTCGCGGGAATTCACGAGCTTGAGGTGTGTTACCTACTTCGGACGCACGCTTCTTAGCGGAAGCCGAGTCCTCGTACACGCGCAGAGAGTTAATGTCCCAGTATGCCTCGGAGAACGCAGAGGGGTTGTTGGCGACGTAGTTCTGGCAGGAGCCGTGGGCAGAGCATGAGCCGCTGCCCCAGACGTTGCCGGCCCAGTCGCCGCAGAAGGTTATGTCGAAGATCTAAGAGATGATGTATTAGTCTTTTTTCTATGTTTGTGAAGGGAAGAGAAGGGACGGCTTAAGGAAGAGAGCAGGGATGGGAGGAGTACAATTTGCATATCAGTAAAGTGAGAGTCAATATCGCAGTTTCCGGCGAACCGAGCGGCGGGTATACCCCAGGAGGAAGGGTTAGGGTTCCCCGAGGAGATATCGCCTGGGATGCTAGAGCGCGGGAAGAACCAGATGCTGATTGCGTTGCCGGTCCACTCGGTCGCATAGACGCCACCGCCTGCGCCGTTGAAGCCTGCGCCATAGGAGTTTGAGGACGTAGCTTGGATGCCGCAGCCTGCATTGTTGTCTTGTCCTGATGCCTGAACATAGCAGTTGCTTGTGAGGAGGGAGCCCGAGAAGCCAGTGGGGTCGATGGAGCAGCCGTCGCTGGTGTGGAGGGTCATATGGTTGTTTGTGGCCTCATTGACGTTCTCAATGATATCGATTTCACCGCCGTTGGGCCAGTCAGGGCCGAGGATCCAGCTGACGGGTGCTGTTAAATGTGATACACTTTTTTTAACTTTCGGGTCGAGGAGTATCAATGGTTGAACTTACAAGGCCGGCCAGGTACCGCAGCCCGTGGGCATATGGCCGAGGTCGATGATGAAGAGACCATGGTGGTATGTTTGGGTGCTTGACAGGCGCACGCTTTGGCGCCCAGAGCTGGCGATGTTGGTGTGGTCCACGCCCATGTAGACGGATGACCCGGCTGATATCAAGCCTGCGTTTTGCGCGGTTCCCCGGTCCACGTAGTCAACGAAGCCGTTAGTCGGGTCGCGGTCGGTGAAGAAGGAGAATTTGTCGAAGAATGAATCTGGGCTGTAATCATCCCACAGCACGTAGGCAGCGCTAGCAGATTCAGCTGCTAGGCCTAGGACAGGGAGCAAAGCCGACGTAACGCGCATTTTCACTTATCAATGACGAGATTTATGGAGAGTGTAACACAACGTGAGAGGCAGCAGAAGCAATATTCAAGAAAGGAGTGTGGAGAGAGAAAAGGAGTGACAGCACAACACCGTTGCTCTTCAAGGAGGGGATGAAGACTGAAGACCTGCGGATGAATAGCGCATAGCATCTAGGGCGCTTCCTGAGGTTATATAAACCTCAGCGCAGCCCTTGGCGAGAAATTCTTGGATAAACCATAATGCTCAAAAGGTATCATCGGCCACGATTCATGCACCAGACCCGGTCTCGGGACTCGAGAAAAAGTGTCTCTTGGATGGCATTGGCATGCCCGAACGCGAGCGAGACTAACCATCTAAAAGACGGAATCAAGGCACCCTCCATCGGGGAACAAGCAGTGATTGGAGGAACCCATCGAATCCATACCCCAAGCACGGCCGGGGGCCGAAAAGTCTGGCTCGAGGGTGTAGGCTGAGTCTGGCTCTGGAAAAGAAGGGGTATAGAACAGAGGGATAAGGTTCTATGAAAGGTCCGCCTGCCGAGAGCAATGTGACAGCAAAGGCTTCAAGAATCAGGTACTCCGTACAGCGGAAGCGGTAGATGAAGGTAAGCGCCAACTTCCAATGAGCGTGCTCAACCGAGTGATCATCTCTAAACTGTCTGGAAGCAGTATGGGAATGAGTGCGTTTCAGCCGGCAAGGCGCACTCGCGGATTCATCATGACCTCGCCAGCTCTAACACTCTTGTCCGTGGAGCGTTACTTTGGCTCGAGGTACTCCGTATCCTCGGGGATACAATGATGAGTCTGCAAGGGCAGAGAAGTTTGAACCTTTGAAGAAGACATGTAACGTGGGGAGCTGCAAATGACTGCAGATCGGCCAATGTGACTCGGGGAAATATTCAACGACGATCCAGGGCGCCAGAATGCAAGCGACAACAATGATTGGCGCGTGGGGAGATGAGAGGAAGCGCAAGCGTCAAGCTTTGCATGCGATCGCGACAAAAGGCGGCCTGAGTGCCTGATTCGGCCTGCTGATCGTCCCTCCTCGACCGGCTTTCCTCTTTGGCGCTTCTTTCCCGGCGCCGGCGTTTCTGATCTATCAAAGTCGATGTACTCTTCATCTCTCGGAAGACTCTGCTAGGGCTTGATGATTTCCTCCGTGAGTCTAGACACCTACCTGCCTTTCTGAGCCCGGCCGAATGGTCCTCAGGAGCACGGAGTAGAAGCACGGTTGCAGGAAATTTGGTCTGACCGGTAATGAGTAAAGCCTATATAGTAGTAGTGGCAATGGTAATGTAACAAGGAATCGAAAAGCGGGCTCAAAAAATCATCATGCAGAATCGCTCATTCGCTATGTACAGGACAAACAGCGCATGCCAACATCTCCCATTCTCCAACGTGATGTTGCCGGCGTCGCGGCGGCTGCGACTGACCAAGATCCAGCAGACATTGGCGATGATACAGATGTCGGCAGGAGAACACCACCACGGGTCCCGGTATCGCGCCAGCCTGTTCTTCGTTTGCAGGTTTCAGCCCATGATCACTTGTGCTCGGATCCACGTGCCCGTCGAGATGGTGCGGCGGCTGACCGATCGGCGCAACAGCTGCTGCTTTACCTTTTCCTCTGGCGGACGCAGGGTCGACTCGGCTTTCCATCTGGCGCGCGAGGCGGTGCTGCTCTAGTTCGTTTTGCCTTGTCTCCCAGGCATGCCAATGTTGGGGGCCGACTCCGGGGCCCCAAATGCGCTGCCGGCACACTTCGCAGACTTGACCACGAGGCCGCCATCCCCGCTGCCGGAGTCGTGTCACTTGTTCAACATGCACAAACAGATCTCTATCTAGCATTCCATTGGCGAGCGACAGCAGTGACTTTTCATAAGTGTAGGCAGAGAATACGGAAGCCAACACAGCTCGGAGCTCAAGTAGTGATGGAGACCAACGCACTGCCCGAGTTAAAAAGGCGCGTAGTATGCGGAGAAATGCAACATCGTTGCGTTCCCCCCCTGTCGGTGGACCCGCCGGCCCGCTAGTTCGAACCGTGCTCGAAAGGAGTATAGTGAAGACCTGTTGCACCAGGGTCCGAAACGATGACACTAGTTGAGAAGCGTTGTTTCCTAACGGCGACACCGACTCTGCCGCCTCTCCATTTGCAATAATGCCTCGCTGAATCTGCCCAAAGACACTGCTCGCAATGCGGACCACACCCTCGAGTAAGTCAAGCCAAAGCTCTTCGTCAAACGACAACGGCTGCTCCAGAGCATTGTTTTTGGCGACCTTGCCGTTTCGCTGAATGATGATGTTACGTGCAGTCTTGGGCGTCTTGCTCTGGCCTTGGCAAAGCCATGTTCCGACTTTGGCGTATTTGTTCAAGGATTCCATAAGATCGTCGATTGCTTCGGCCGTACTAGCCGAGTCTGGTGTCTCCTGCACACTCTGCAGAATCCCCACCAGTCCAGACTCTAGAGTTTTTAGATGCGCAATGAGTCGATCCATAGCGGCTCGCACTTGGCCTTGTCTGGCCAGGAGAACAACAGCAGCATCAACTACCCCACTTTCCTCCATGGAGGGGAGCAACTCTTCAAGGCGGATGTCACCTTCTCGGAGTGCATCCACAAAATTTGCAACCTGGGCAGGCTCATACTTGCAAAGTAGCTGCACGTAACGTTCTACCATCCAATTGCCAATCGGTTGGAGCTCACGTGTTTCGGTTGTTGGAAACTGCATTCGCTCGACGACCACAGTCAGATACTCATACTGGCCGTAGGTATCGTCCTGCAGTGCCTTGATGAAAGTGCCATGGGTCTCTGGCGCAAAGTCCCGCATTGACTTTGCTGCTCTTTGGACATCTATTGTTGCAATTTCACGGGCATGGGTCTCGATCACGCTGATAACAGCCTGTCTTTGCTTCTTGCCCAGGTTAGAGCCAGGGCGCAGGCAGTCTTGAAGACATGTGAAAATTCGATCTTTCTCGCTCGGGTCTTCCAAAAAGGTGAGTATCAGCTCCGGATATTGTTTCTCAGACTTGTATGTAGACTTGAGGATTCGAAAAAAGCGGGCCTTTCGGAAGAGAGGAATCATTTGCTGGACGTCTGGCGGATGGTAAATGGAGAGCAGGTATTCGGCACTTAGTTGGCAGTCTTCTGCCATCTCTTCGTTTGGGTATTGACATAGCCGCTGGAGAACTTGGTGAAGGGTGCTGCCAGAAAGAAGAATGTATTGCGGGTATTTGGGAAGGTTTCGTGCAATGAAAATATCCAGGTAAATGGTATCAGAGGGATCAAAAGTCGGTGGAGTCAGAGTCTGGAGCAAGATGCTGATCAAATACTGTCGGTTGATAGAAACACCCTGGTGAGGAACAACAACCTCGTCCGGATCTTGCTCATTGAGGAAGCTATCCTCAAACGCTTCGTTGAGCATACTCATAAAGCTAGACGTGTCAAACTGCAAGAGTACCTCGAGGGCAGAGAAAGTTCCATTCGCCTGGGAATGCGTCGTATTACTCGCCTGGTTCCCGGAGAATAGATAATCGTAAACAGCTGCTTTGGCCCGGAATGCCTCGTCCTCCGCCATATCGTTTCCAGTGGGGTAGGAACGGGAAGTTAGAATGAAGGAAAGATACGGAAATACTTTCATGGCGTTGGTGTATTGCTTGAGCTCATTCACCGAGTCGCCATTGGTGACGGCGTGCTGAGAAGGGATGAGCCTCATCAACTCCTGGAGTGGTCCAATATAATCTCCGAGGCAGCGATTCCAGACGTATATAAATGCATCGTAAAGGTTGTGCTGCTTGCACAGTGTCGTCACTTGATCGATATCCATCGTGCTGGTGTCCAAAAGGCAGATAATCTCCTCCAACTGGCTAGCAGTATGGGTAAGGATGAAGTGGTTGATGAGAGCTTTGACGGCTGTCGGAGGGAGCGAGAGAACTGTTCCCTCGTGGATAAAAGGCTCTAGAGCATCGATGAAGATACCCTGCGAGTCATGTTCTTCGTACCAGTTGAAAACCTCGTCCCAAAGGAAGTCCTCCTCAGCCATGCAGACGCAGGCCGAGAGGGAAACCTCGGCTAGCTCCTCTAATTGTTGTCGATCGAGTCGATCGTTGGATGCTTCGGTATTTCGTCCAAAGGCATATTTCAGGGAAGCGGACACCATTTCCAAGAGCTTCTCACGGACTATCGGCTGTCGCAAGGCATCCTCATCGGGCAACCCAACGGTGAGCTTCTCCGAGTTCCCACTGTAGTACGCGGTCGCCTGCCGGATGGCTCCAATAAAGTCCCCGGCCTCCATCAGTGCAAGTAATCGATCTGCCCAATTTGATAGGCTACCGATCTGCATCTCGTTGTGACCGAGCATAAACAGCCGTCCCTTGTAGGAGCGGAAGCTCATATAGAAAGCATCAGCCACGACACCATGCATCGAGGTATCTTGCTCATTGAACTGCTCGACCAGGGAGTGGAGTTGTGCTGAGAATAAGTCAACATGATAAATATGTCTGTTTAACAAGTCAACAGCATTCGTCACGCGCATTGTGTGGTCCTCGAGAATGAGCATCTGCTGCGTAATGGTAAGAACGGCCAATACCGATCGGCTCAGCCATTGCACAGCAACAATAGCCTCGTCAGCCCTCCATCTACACCGCGGACGGAATTCCAGACTCGGAGGCCGATCTCTGGATGGGTCGTCGTCTGTTTCCACTTCAGAAACATCCATCACGGTTAGCACATTCGACCAGCAATAAACGAGCTTTGTCTTTGAGGTTTCCGAGTCCTTTCCCTTGAGCTTTATCGCTGGGAACCATGCTAGAGCGCCGGTCATTGCTCCGTGAGCGGCAACCTCTTTCGGGCGCGCCGATTTGTGCTGTGTCTGGGCGACAGGAGTCGTAGAGACGATGACTAGGAGATAAGGCGTAAGCATAGCGACCAGGCCCAAAGAGTCATATGTCTGCTCAACATTCCCCAAGGGGAGAGGCGCAAAGGCAAGCACAGAGCTCGGCTTCCGCGGTCGAGCGGCCGCCTCCACTGTAGGCTGTGGATAGCGACCTAACACCCTCGTCGTCTTTACAGTACGTCCCATGGCACCCATGCCGCGAGTCGCCAAGTGAGAAAAGGCCATTCCACGCTTGTCGGCGGATACAAGTGCAGTGCGCCTCGTCCCCAAAAAGCCCAAATGTATGACTGGCGATCTAGCAATATGACCATCTGATGTTCTCGTCTCAATCTGGTTTGCGGGTATCGGTTGGATATGAAGAAATGGTCGCGCCGGTCTTGATATCTCCCACGTGAATATGTCGCCAGAATCATGGCCTCCGGCAACAGTCGAGTGATCCGCAGAAAGCGCCAACGACTGAATGGCACCGCATTCGACAGCTGCATGATAGAATTAGCATAATTACGGGCGCAAAAGCCTCAATTTTGAATTTACCCTTTGTACCCGGCCCGATGACAGCCCTCAGGCTCTGTTGATAATCAAAAACCAAAATGATTCCTCTAGAGGTTCCAATGACGATGGAGGTAGATACCACCATACACGTCGGAGAGCCAAAATTCCGCTTGCCAACTTCTGAGAACGCCTGACCAGTGATCTTTCTCAGTTTTGTCCAGCGCACAACTTCCCATGGCTCCTGCTGAAGGTCGGGGTCGGACTCGATAGTAGCCGGGGATAACCGGCTTGTGAGCGACGACTTGCGTGAGTGGAACTTTGTGAGAAAAGGCGAGGACGGTCGGATGCTGCCAGGCGATGAAGAAGACAATCTAGATTGGAACCGAAGGTCAAAAGGGCGGTGCGACGGACTGGGGCTTGGTCGCGGTGAGCCACGAAACGCCAGGGCGCTACTACTCGGTGTGGACGGAATCGACCCCTAAAGACGAAGCATCAGCAAGTCTCCTGTTTTAAGAGCGGTATTTTCTCATCAACCAACACGCAAAGATGGCGTATCATCCGGGTTAGACCCTATCTCGTCGACACTATCCGACGGACCCAACTGCGCGGCACGCGGTGACTCTGGAAGGTCAATTGAAGCGTGATTTTGGCCGGCCAAGTCCGGTATGTCCTCCTCTATATGTGCCATTGAGTTGTCCTCCAAGCCTTCCTCTAGCGTTCCGTCTCCGTTGACGCCATTGCTTGCCTCGGGGAGCTGCTCGTCGTCGTCTGCTGGACCCAAATCGGGGTCGTCCTCTCGGGCCCGATCATCACGGCCCTCGATCGTGGAGCTCATCAGCGGTATGCTTGAATGCTCATTTCTCCACACCAGCGCAAAATTAGGGGTATCTTGATACGTGTGTGCGCAGTCGGGTCGAGATGTGGGCTTGGTCTCGAGGGAACGAGCGGGCGGCGGAGTGGGAGGTTGGCGAGATGTCCGACAACTAGCGCCGCAGAAGGAGGGTGCTGGACAGCCAAAGTCTGTGAGTGCCTAGTGTCAGAGTCTCAGAGCAGGAAAGAACATCAAAATAAGGCGTCGGCCGCCAGGCACAAATGACCGCACGAAACCGAGGAAGAACCACGTTTGAAGTGAGATTGATTACTCCGGAGAGATAGTCTACGGAGGAGTAGAGTGATGCCACTGGATGGAGGCTGTGCGGCTGCTTCCAGTCTCCCTTCCGTGGTTTGTCTGGGGGCCCACAGCTTCTCCCACGTCTCGGCGAACAATCGCATTCACCTGGGCACAATAATGTCCCGATGAGGTGGTAATTGAGAGATACTGATGTGTCCAGTGTGGCAACAATTTACTTATATACTATTACTATTTTGTAGCCACGAGATTCTATCTGAACAGTGCTTATAGTGGTCTGTTTGCTGCCTAAGGCATCAGGTAACCCCTGCTGCTCTTGATCCCCTTGCGCTATTGCAGTGATGGTGCAAGAGGTATCTATCTATAACATCAAAGACAAATCCTATATTACTACTATTCAAGCTAATGATGCTCAGACACCAAGACATGTGGAAAGGGTATCAACTTCCAATGTATGTATGCACTGCTTCTGTCTTGATATCGAAGTGTGTTCAACATATCTAGGCTAATCCCGCTCTATTCGCGATATGTCTTTTCTGCAATTCAGCCAAATCTGATGTAGAATCGCACATCACATATAAATTCGAGGTAATGCATCTGCCCAACGCTCTTCCAATCACCGATATTCCGACCATGTTACAAGCAAAAAGCTCTTCAAAGCTTTGACATTACTCGTCCAAATCGAGCTGCATGTCTCGTTCTACATATATGAAAGCCAGGCATTAGTATCAAGTACTGTATGTATTAAGCATCAGAGCAGCCTCACCCCAGATTTTGTTAGCAGAGGCAACAATGACCTCTGCTTTTGCGAGCAATTTTTTCGTATATCGTTCAACTTCGGAGGGAGGAAGGTGGTTTCTCTTGCGTGGGTTTACCTATTATGAGATCAGAGTTGAACTCTTTTCTCATGATTTACTTACCATCATCAACACGGGTACGATGTCTTTCGGGTTAGCCTCAGCTAATGCTCTCAGGTTGCGGAATCCGTTATCGCGCAATAATCTGGCTGTCCAGCCCTTGACGTAGGTCACCTGGGCCATTTCGAGAAGATCCGCACGGGCGCCCGCTTCCAATCGGTCGCGCATATGATCAAGAACGGCCGCGAGCATCCCCCAACCCATGCGTTGGCAAAACTTGACTATTCCTGCCGCGAATCCGTGGCACTGTTGGGCCAATGTCTGAACTCCGCCCCGGGGAATCCGATAGCGGTTGGCAATCACCGGCAATGGGACCTCATTGCTCAGATCGCGGAGCTGAAAGGCTGTGTAAGCGCGCCGATATATCCTGGCCTGAGTCACCTGTTCTGGTGTGTTTTCTTTCATCACCGCGCCACTTTGCACCCTACAACAGCAACAGAGTCAGCACCGTGGGATGTTCAACAGTCAAAGAGAGCCATACATGGTGTTTACGAAACCCGGCTGAACCCCGACAAATTGAAGAGCGCGCAAGCCACTGTCGTCAAGTTCATCTAATTGATCACGAAAGATAGACCAGTCGATCTGGGTTGTGGCCGCGACCTGGAGAGGCGTGAACATATAAAAGATATGCATCTCACCGTCCATCACAAAGGCCTGAAGCGCCCGTTTCAATTCTTCATGGACAAAAAGGCCATCTTCTGGCGCAAAAGCAGAAGAGACCACAGCTTGTCCAAGCTGAGTGGCCACAAACGATTCGTCGTCAGTCTTGACTATGAGTTTCTCCGCCGCCAATTCTTCGAGTGCAGAGCTCATGATACTGTAAGATAGCTTTTTATCAACGGTCCGATAAAGCAGTGTGCACTTGACGTATTCTTTGATAGCTTCTTGACCTGAAACGAGACCAGTAGCGATGGCCTCCAGGAGTGCTCTACTCACACGTGAGAACTCGCTGTAATTCATAAGTTGACACCCTCACTTACCTCTTGAGTCCGCGCTTCTCCGGCGCTAAGCAGCTTTCAATAGCTGGCATATCTGCCTCCAATAGATCGCACACAGCTTGAAGGTCGGGCTTCCCGCAAATAAGATACGTCTCGCCCGCCTCATCTTTGCCTTTGCGCCCTGCCCGTCCGCACATCTGTCGTCTTTGACTTTTTAGTAGGGTTTGCAGCTCAATTCTAGTTGTCGAATACTTACAGCATTGCCGGGCCAACGAGCTCTCGTCCCATACGAGCACCATTGATGATAACCCTCCTTGCGGGAAGATTGACACCAGCAGCGAGACTGCAGGTGGCCACAAGCACCTTTAGCACACCCTGATCATACGCTTGTGCAATTGCCTCGCGCTCTTCGGTAGTCATTCCCGCATCTGGATAATGGTCAGTCTAGTTATATTATGGTTGAATCTGAACTCACGGTGAAAGCCAACTCCTTTGATGAGCGTCGTTTCCAAAGCCGGATCTAGACCACTAGGGAGACTACGGAGATCCGCGAGGAGATCGAGCCGTTTATTCACGTCATCTACGTCCAAGGTAGACGGGTCGGGCATTGCCTCACTTATTAATGCAGCTTGGATTTGGCAAGCTTGTCTGCTACCACAAAACACTAAGACACCGAATCCTGCGGTAACCGTGTCAATTGAGAGAGCTACCATCGCGTTCGTCATGGGGTTGGAAAGCTCTCTAAATGTGGAAGTCTGGATTATACGCTGGGGTGGCACAGCCTCACTAAAGGACAGCCCTGGAGTGGATGCCAGTTTTGAAATGGTCTGAAAAAGTTGCCTCGACGTTGCCGCCGGGTAGATTGCGTTCTCAAAGACGAGATGTTCGTCTACAGGGACAGGCCGATAGGTCGAAATAAAGTATCTAGCATTTGTCCACTCTGCTAGCAGCTCCGTGTTCTTCTTTGTTAGCCAGGAAATCCTTTTGTTTTGGGTTCAGCGAAAAACACTCACCGATATGGTAGCGCTCATTCCAATGATCTGAATATCCTGATGTAGTAATAATAATTTGGTGACCATCAACTCCAAAAGGTAGCCTCGGTGCTCGTCGTCGAGCATGTGCAGCTCATCCAAGACAACCGCTCCCAACTCTCCAATAGTGCACTCCTCAATAGCAGTGTTGATCAAGGAATTCGCCTAGCTAGTCAGATGCAGACCCAGATCTCAGGAGCATCCTGCGGAAAAAAACGTACCTTCTCGATAGTGCAAATAGCAATATCCGTGTCCGCCCAGGACGCGGTCATTTTGCTTCCACCATAGAAGCCAGAAACACGGATCGTTCTCTGCACTCTTCTCCAGCGATGATTGCTCCCGAAGCCGTCGTCGTCATTGTGATTCATTTCTTGATCTTGACGTTTTTCAACATCCTGAACGATGCGTCGGAGCCATTTGAGTTTCTCTTGGACCAACGCCACGTAGGGAAGCACAAGAATTGCCTTGCACGAGGGATTCTCAATGATGCGCTTCAGCATGAGAACATCAGCCACCAGGGACTTTCCGCCACCGGTAGGCGCGGTATAGATCAAATGCCGCTTCCCCTCGAGAAGACCTTGGCCAGATAAGCACGAAGCCTGCCATGGGTAAATATTACAGACGCCAGCAGCGACGAAGTTGGCAATAAGAGAAGCCGGTAGGCCAAATGCCGGATCACTCAAAGATGGAAGGGTCCCTTGTGCAGCCTCTTGCAACAAAGAAGCTGCTCGCGGCTGCTTATCGCTTCCCTTTGGGACGCTGCCCGCAGCAAAACGGATCTCACTCGCAATCAGGCGGCTTTTCGGAAGTGCCACCTGCGGACGGATGAAGCCCAGCCGTTGGGCATTGGTTGGATCGGATTTTTTGGCGTTATCATCATCGATTATTTGGGAGGGGGCCTGATACTTTGCATTACCGTGCAAAGGGCCATAATTATTATCAACATGCCGGCTTGGGGGTCGCTTCTGACCGGCCAATGGTGCTACAACATAAGGCTGCTTGCGGGCGATATCGACGGAAGTCTGAAAGCCACTGGTCTGGAAGCCTTGACCAGAGTGGGCAGACATCTCGACCCTTGGTCCAATTTGACTAGGGTTTAAGGAACGATCATTGGTGATGCGGCGGGAAAATGCTCATTCGTGGTCGGGTTGAATCAACCGGCGGGCGAATTTCCCAGAAACCGGGAAAAAGCGAGATCAACTCTATCACCGCGACCTGTCGGTAACAAGTAAGCAAATCAGGCAAGAGCGGCCCTGGTCCTATGACTGCGTCTGATCGTGCCTTTCTCATTGATGAGCCAGCAGAAGCGCGAAATCGGGCATGCATCCATCCACAGAACGACGTGACTCCAGTTAGGGCCTGAGGCAGCGGCCTCTGTTTATTGTTGCCTGAGGTTCCGAGAAAGGTGGACCACAGCCGACCAACCAGTGTAGTGAGCCGATCCAAGCCAGCTCGACGTAAAGATTAATAATACGTAATGTGGAAATGAAAAATGTTTTTTTTTTTTGCTTTTTCTCTACTCCCGTGCGCAGTGTGGGAACGTTCCTGGATCATCTGCTCAAGAATAAAGCCCTGCCTGGCGGCTTTGATGATCCACATTGGCCGAGTGATGGCTTACCTAACATGGATCAAGGATGAGCAGGGGCCATGGCGCCATGATCGCGCGGCGTTGACCGTTGCTTTTGGGGATCAATCTCCACCACCATCAACGACCATTCAACTCGCAAAAGACGGCCTGCTGCAACTTGCGCGTGAGAACAGCTGAATGAAGGCAACAGCCAGAGATCTGGCCCTGAGAGCAGTTCCTCAACTTCAACTCGAATCGGAAGCATTTACCTTACCTGCATTCGCTGTCCCACGCCATGCTTCCAACACCCATATCATATCATCTGCAAGCCCGAGCAAGGGTGCTTGATCTTCAGAGCGCGTCCGAGAGGACTAACGAGTCAGTCAAGCTTACCCATGATCAATGTGACTCGACATTCATTATTTGCTTCTTTTCCATACATGTTTGAGGAAGCCTCAAACATAAAATTCCGCGACTTGCCCTCAAGCGGTTCTTCCGAGTTTTCTAGTGCGCTACGAGTTAATTGGCAATACAGCATGCCCCTAGTTGCAGAAAGCCAATGTTGTCTTCCCTCGCTTCCAGATTGCTTTCCGGCGCAGATGTTTGGGCTTTCCATTGTTCCTACGCGCCAATTAAATGACGAGCTCCCAGCCATGGGTAACGGGCCTCTCACGGAGATCAGCCACGATCTGCCGGTGCGCGAATCTTCCATTCGATCCGGAATAATCACGGACAGCACAGAAACTTTATGGTCTTCCTCCACCAAATTAAACCCACGAAACCGCAGCGGATCCCATGAAGTTTGCTCAACCATACAATATCATTGGTATTCCGTACTTTGCCGCCACTTTCGTCTCGTCTGCCGGTTATGGGAATAAATCGGATATACGTACGAAGTATCTGCCTGGCGAATGTTGAATTCCATACACATTTCTGCATTAAGTGTTAAGCCCAGGTTCACCCGCTTAGGCTGTCAGCCTTCTCGAGCGTGTCTTGTCGTGGTCAGATGTTGTTCGAGGTATCCCTACTCCGTGGCCAACCCAGAGCGACAAACGTGAGGGGAGCCTTTGTCATGAATTCTGGTGAGCTCGACTTCAACTATTTCTTTGCGCAGGACTAGATATCAATGTGTCCCGGCATTGACGTACGTATATCATTATGTGGCAACACAGACGTGGCGATACCTCTTAATCTGGCGACTTAAATAGCCCACCAAACCAGCTGCTGTGGGGTCATGCTTTGAGGCGTCTCCTCCGCTTATTGGACCATAGGCCCAAGGGGTCAGAATCCCGAGGAACGTTTCTGCAGCGCTCACGATTGCCAGGCTTCTGTACCGATCCTACAGAGTACGACATACTGAATCAAATCGTAAGCAGGGGGCGATATTGAGCACCGACCGGGGAAACGGATAATTCTTTGACGGAGTGCTCGTCAATGGTACTACCTCAGTCCCATTCGGCAAAGTCTCGGTATTGAGAATCAAACTCTCGCTAAAAAGCCCAGGCCAAGAGATCCGAGCCTAAGCCAATTCCAGCTTCGTGGGGAACGTATTCTCCAATTTATGGTCTGCCGCTACTACTGACGGTCAATCAATGATCACTGTGCAACATTTCCTCGCTTGAGTCGCCTTTCAAATCAACCCTTGCTTGAAGGTCGATAACTAATTTCACCTGCGGGGATGTACATCTCTTTTTAGGGCGGTTTATCGATGATGCCGCGCCTGGTAACCCTGGTTGGCAAGCGATTCCATATCCGCGGGCGCCTCCAACCGTTTATATTTCTCGCGCCCCATATATGTCACCTTGTACAGGATACTTCAAAGTTCATCGGCAGTTTGAAGGGCGCCAGTGGCTCAAGTGACAATCTATCCAGTTTCTCCCCAGTGTATCGTTGCGTTGCTTGCCATTACCGTGACGAAGAACTTGGAGCTCTAAATCTTGTCGGTTGAATTGTCGTACAACCCAGTCTTGAGTTTGCACATGTCCTCCCCGCCCATGGATTACCTACATTTTATCACACAATTTCCCCTCCGTTGCTACTACACTGTGCCCATGACGATACATCACTGTGAAGCGCCCTCAGCGCTTACCTCGGGATGGATATTGACGACCGAACTGTCTCGATATGCCCCGCCAAGTGATCTCCTTTCCAACCATATCACAGAACCACGATCTCAGCCCTGCACTGGCCAGGGCTCCGAATACCAAAAGATGAGCGGGCACACGAGGCATATAATCCTCTCCGAATGTAACACTCGGGTACTGAATCTCACAGCGCTACTTGGTGGTCCCAAATAGCCCGGCGGAGCAATCCCTTGTCCCGACAACCACTTAGGCCGGAAGTGCTGGTCGAACTCTCCTGAGTCGCCTCAGACAGACAGAACGCTGGACCGAACTCGGACCCCGTACATCGTCACGGTGGCCTGGAGCAGACAAGGTAAATATCGCGAGAATGGAGCCAGGATGGGGAGCTCCGTTGGAGAATAACCTGAAAGGCGGGCGCCGATGATCTCCGCATTAGCACAGCTAGTCCTGGTGCGCGACCCTTTCCAGCAGATGTATAGACTTGGCATTCGAAAGATGCGACTCGCTGGGCCCCAAGAACATGATGCGCCACTCATGGGCATTCCTGACCATAGCTTACCACAGCGGGAGTGCGCAACCAACCATCGTAAAGACTCTGGACTTCCCATTATCCTTGTCGCGCTTGGTCTGAATCTCATGAAGAAGATCAGGCCCGTGAGATCTTCCCTCCTTCAAAACTCCCGCGTCCGTCTGTTTCTGCCCCTTGGCCCCGTTCTCCGTCGAAGCATGGGGAATCCTCCCATGGCCCCTCCTCGATATCATCACCATTCTTCACATCGGGTGGCTCGGCCCACTCCCTCCCTCGCTGCACCAACAAGTTACAACACACAATTTGCTCCCGCTCAATCTGGTCACCACGCGTAGATCCCCCACAGGCCGCCTCAGCAAGCAAAAGAGTTGCCATCGAAAGTTGAATAGGACAGAAATTGACAAACTAAATTTGACTGTTATATGTACCTCGACCTTATTGTAATCTAGTAGGAGGATCAGACAAACGGGATACTAGGGTGCGACGGCGGATGGCACCGTTCCCAGACTGCCAGAACGCTGGGGCTAGATAGATATTCATAATGGATATTGGCAAAAAGGAAAGGGAGAGAGGCATCGTGCTTTTTTCCTGGCCTCTGCCCTCTGGTTCTTGGTGGATGGAGGGATCCGTCATATTAACACATCGGGACTAGGGGCGAGGGACGTGGACTGGTCGGGATCCTGGACGGCTTTCCTGACTACTGAATCTTTCTGCTTTTCCTCCCTCGTCCTCTTTCTATTCTCCTGTGCTTCCGCTCGGGGTTGATTCTCTTGACTTTTTGTTGTCTCATCGTGTCTGCCTTTTGTCGGATACTCGGGTGGTCTCTTCCTTTCCTCCTCTTCATCAGACTCTACACAACCACCCCCCCTCCCCCAATACCGTTCGTTTGGGTTGGATTGACTGCTTGATAGAGGGCATTTACTACTCCTACCGGCTGCTGCTACTACTATCGCTTGTACTTGCGGCGATCACGGCCACTGGAGTGCATCAGGTTGAACCCCGGGTGACTTACATTCTTATCGGGCTCTTGTTCCTGCTAATTATTGCCCTTCGCCCACGACTGCCCTCGACGGTCTGGCGGCCTTCTTGTTTGGTTTTCCACCGCCGCTAGGCTACTTGACTTTCATTTCACTTCTCCGACTGACCTAGACCTTCTTCTTCCCTCCTGCATCTATCTACCGTCTGCTTTTCTTCTTTCGCTTCCTCTCTATTGCATTGCTCCCCATATTCCAAGTCGCGTCCGTCGAAGCTTCCCACCGCATTCTCCATAAACCTCGCCACAAGGAGTCACGTCCCTTGTATCTAAGGTGGTTGTTGGAAGGTTGCCATCTTGATATCCAGTTCTTTTCAAGTTTCCAATAACCACCAGGCAATTGATTCCTGCAACGCCCTTGCTGGGGCACAGGGAACCCCAAAACTGAAGGGGCAACACGAATCTTGACGAGATTAGAAAGCCGTCTTTCTTTATTAACTAACCCTTTTTGTCGAATATCTACCTCCCCCATCTCCGGTCCTTGGGTAGACCCTCGCGCAGCGGTGATTTTCTGTTTTCCGCCCATTCTTCTTTTTACTCTTGCTTTGCATTCATTTTTCCGTCTTCGCTCGTCTTTGCCCCCTTGATACTCGGCAGATGCCGTGCAATAATACCTCGACCCATCCGTGCACTCACTTCTCATGAGGGATCGCCTCCCCGTCACGGCCCGTTGCTGAAATCTGCGTCTCGCTCCCGAGGAAGTTTGGTGTTCCCCCAGTCTCGTGCAGAGGCGCATTGCAGCCCCAGCCCGCCTCGCCTCTTTTATTTGTCGCGTCTGAAGGCTGGCCATGGCCTCGGATAGGTCACCGCCCCAAAAGTCTCACCAACACCACGTGAGGCCTGACTCTTCTTCCAACAATACAACTCCCTCCGCAGGCAACCGCCGCATGCCTACCCCTGGCCAGTCTTCTCGGAGGGGGTCTGCGGATTCCTCCACACTCCTGGAATCCGCCAACGTTAATGACTCCCTCCCACCACAGCTCATGACGGGTAGCGCTTCCCCCTTTGAAGCTACGGCTACAGAGCCGCCCAGCACATCCGCCACCCCGGCGCCCTACGGTACGCGGTCAAGAGGTCGAAATGCTCCCCGGCCCAACTACGCCGAGGATCGTGACCTTGATGTCGACTTGGAAGTCCAGCAACCACACGCAAAATCCGCCAAACGAAGTAGCGCTGCCCCCACATCTAATGGCGCCCCTAGAATTGATGGCGAAAAATCAAACTCTCGAAAAAGCACAACTGCAGCGAACGGATCCAACTCCACAGCAGCCGCCAAAGACGGTATCCCCGGCACCTCATCATTTCTAGCAAAGCCGGATGAGGTCAGCTCCTCGTCAGGTTCATCAAGAAAACGAAAGCAACCCGCGAGTGCTACCACACCGACTTTTGCAACTGAAAATGCATCAAAGAAATTGTTCACTTCAGCTCCGGGTGCCAACTCTGGTCTGGGTGACTCAAATATGGTCACCTTTGACGACCGGGGGGCCTACCTGAAGAATGGCAAAATTACGGCCGATGATGGCACTACTTTTGCAGTCAATGGTCAGTCACCGAAGAAAAAGGTCGTTTCGCTTACTAACACCATCAAGAACACGTCTATCTTATTTGTGAACCACCAGGCGAGCCGTACTATTTGGCGCGAATTATGGAGTTCCTCCCAAATAAGACATCTGGCCCGATCGAGGCGATCCGGGTCAACTGGTATTATAGACCACGTGACATCCAACGCAACGCGGCCGATACGCGACTGGTATTTGCTTCGATGCACTCTGACACATGCCCGCTTACTTCGCTGCGCGGGAAATGCCAGATCAAGCATTCTTCGGAAATCGCGAATCTCGACGAGTACAGGAAGACCCGGGATTGTTTCTGGTATGACAAGATGTTTGACAGATATATTCACCGCTACTACGACGTGATTCCCACGAGCAAAGTAATCAATGTTCCTGCCAATGTCAAAAAGGTTCTTGATGAACGGTGGCGCTACGTCCTTGTTGAAGTCGGAAAGCGAAAAGAGTTGACCAGTGCGGTTAAGACCTGTAAGCGATGTGGTCTGTACGCTGCCAAGTATGATCGAAATATCCCTTCCAAAAAAAATAACGAACTAACCTTCATAGTACCGACTCCGTGGATTGCGCTGTTTGCCACAATACGTATCATATGCACTGTGTGAAGCCAGTATTGACAAAAAAACCAGCCCGAGGTTTTGCCTGGGCATGTGCAGCATGTAGCCGAGCGCAGGAGCGGAAACTCGAGGCCCGAAACACCCCAATGCTTGGAGAAGCTACTTCAGATGCTCCAGAAGTGGATGAAGAAATGGTCGAAGAGGAGGAAGAAGACCCAAACGCTGCTCCCAACGGCACTACAGTCAGCACCCCGGCACCGATCGAGGAGGAGGCCGTTCGACCGGCTACGCAAGAACAAATCGCGCAAGCCAAGCTATGGCCCTACCGATATCTAGGTATTCATTGTCGAGTGGAGGACGCTTTGGACTACGATGACCGCATATATCCTCGAGCCAGCTCGCGACTGGGGCCTCGGCACCAGGCAGTGGTGAATCAGTGGCCCGGACGCCCGATCGAATATGTCAAGCCAATTGACATCAAAAAGAAATATCTCAAGGGCTCTGGGGGTCGTCGAGACTCGCGGCTCACAAAAGAGACCGTGGCTGCCCTCGAAGCTGCGAAGAAGGAAAGGGCAAACCGACCGATGTGGGTCATGGAAGAGCCTCCCGGCTTTATGCGCAGAGGTGAAGACGAGCCAGTACCCGTAACTGGCCTGGCAGGAAAGCAGGTTCGAACAGCAGAGCTGCTCTTCAAAATGCCTACTGCAGAACAGATGCCAGCTCGGGGAGAAGATGATGGTCCGCGTTTTACCCCCGAAGATCGAGAAAAGTTTATTGATGAATATATGGAGCGAGCAAAACAAATAGCCCCAGAGGTAGGTGTCGAAGAGCACTCTACTGACTTCCTCGACAAGGCCCTAGAGCTCCTGTATGCACAGAGCTTCGACGTTGAAGCCGCGCTCGCGAAGCTGAAGCGGATCAATAAACACGACGATCTCGATGTACCGCGTTTGCGTCCCGACGAGGTCAAGGCCTTTGAGCAAGCAGTGGCAAAGTATGGGTCTGAATGGCGCAACATCACCAAACACGTTGGTACGGTCCCGCATTTCCAGATTGTGCGGTACTACTACATGTGGAAAAAGACGCCCCGTGGCCGTCAAATCTGGGGTTCTTACGGAGGTAGAAAGGGCAAGAAGGAGGCGAGACGCAACAGCTCTGCGAAGCTGGTGGATGATGTGGCAGACGACCACGACGACTCGGCCTTTGACAATGATAAAGCCATGGAGAAAAAGCGTGGTTTCCAGTGCAAATTCTGCTCGACACGGTCTTCACGACAATGGCGGCGTGCTCCTGGCGTGACCCCTGGCACCACAGTCCCAGCTGAGCCGACCGGGCGGCAACGAGATAAAGGTCCTCAGCTTACGTTGGCCCTTTGCTTACGCTGTGCCCTTCTCTGGAGAAAGTATGGAATCCAGTGGGAGAACGTGGAGGAAGTCGCAAAGAAGATTGGTCAAAGTGGCAACAAATCGTGGCGCCGCCGTGTGGACGAGGAACTATTGACCCAACTTCTCGTGGAGGATCCTACAGTGACTGCTGATGCTGCTCCTGCTGCTGCTGCTACTCCCACAAATACGCTGCAGCAGGACTCGAAGAAGAGAAACCGAAACGAGAAAGAGAGTACGGCGACCTCAACAGCGACCTCGGTGGAGCCCGTTGCGAAGAAAAAGAATACAAACGCTGAACAGCCGCCGCCAATTGAGCCGGAACCTCCAGTGGCCAAAACACTTCCGTGCGCCATTTGCGACAAGATTGAGCCGATGGGTGACGACTATCTATCTTGTCGAGACTGCCGCCTTACCGTTCATCGCAACTGCTATGGAGTGAGCCCGTCGCGGAACTGTGTCAAATGGTTATGCGATACCTGCTCCAACGACCGGAGTCCGCTAATCTCCACGACCTATGAATGCGTTTTGTGCCCAGTGACCTGGACGGAACATGAGCTGATGGAAGCGCCCAAGTCAACAACGCACAAGAAGAAGACGGATAGAGACCGCGAAAAGGAAAGGCTTGAGCGCGGTCTGGTTGCCGACGCCATCAAGCTTTATCGAGAAAGACAAGAGGCTGTTGGCAAGCCGATCGGCCCTCGAGAACCACTCAAGCGAACCGCCGGCAACAACTGGATCCACGTTGGTTGCGCAATATGGACGCCGGAAATCAAGTTTGGAAACGCAAAAGAACTCGAGCCCGCAGAGGGATTCGGGCTCATCCCAGCTGAACGATTCCGCGAGACGTGCAAGATCTGCAAGTCCAACAAAGGCGCATGCGTCCCGTGTCATTTCAGCGGTTGCAACGCCCACTTCCACGTTGGATGCGCGTTCCAGGCAAGGTATAAAACTGGATTTGACATTACTTCCGTCAAAAGCTCCCGAAGAGATACTACCCCTAGTGTTCGGCTTGGAGATGAAGTTGGGGCAGCAACTCCGGCAATCTGGTGTCCTCACCACTCGGTTTCAGGCGTCATCCACGAGACAGGTCAACTGACAGAAGACGGACTCAATGCGATTCAACTATATGCTCGTACCTACAAGCAGGCGGACCTCAGTATAACCGGAACTGTTCGGAGGGCTGCCTACAATCAGACACCCGCCACGAATCAAACTGGCAACTCTACCGTCAATCGACGGACGTCTACTGTCAACGGTACTACTACTCTGCCGGTGATGACAAAAGACAAACCGGCAGCATCTGAAGACGCCGCGGATGAGATGCAGGTCGACTCCGACACCCGTCATCAGGCCAGCAGCGATGACAGAAAATGCGCCACGTGCTCGACTGCGTACACACCGAAATGGTGGCCTATCGACAACGCTCGGCGGCCAACGACTGCCGGCCAAACGTTCCATGGAAATGGATCCTCTGCGAGCCCGCCATTCCCCTATCGGCATCCGCAGTCTTCCGTTCCTGCGCTCAATGGAGACCACGGCTCGGAAGATTCGAAATCGCTGTTCGACTGCCACAAGTGCCATCTCAAGAAATCAAAGGCTCAGCCGTCTCCAGAGCCCCGACGATCGCCGTATCAAACCCCGCGACCGGCCGTACCCACGGCTCGACTTTCGGACTACCACAGCCATCCGTATGGCTCCCCTCATAGTCACCCTTCACAACAACCACCACCAACCGGACTATCCCGCCCTGTTGGGCTCTCCGCTGCCAGCAGCCCGGAACGATACCCGGGGTATGAAAGACCAGGGGATTACGGCGAAAGCAAGTTGCGCAATGGCATACACGGTGCCGGATATCGCAGCAGCCAACCCCCACCACCAACGATTCGCCAATTAAACGGCTACCAGCCTCCTCCAGCTCTCGGTGCTCAGTCTCATTATTCCACGGGGGCGCATCCTCCTCCTCCTCCTGGCCCCCAGGCATATGCGGCGCACCAAAGCCCATATGGCCCAGTGTCCTTGTCTTCACCGCACCCACCGACAGCGCCAGGACCACGTCCTTATGCATCCGCATCGCCGCCGGATGTACCGGCTACGATGGTACGGCACCACTCCCCGCCGCATTCACTGAGCGCGTTGAACGGTGGACCGCCGCCGCCACGAGTGTTCTCCGCCGACCGCGTTTTGAGCGCATCGACGCGTTCGCCCCCTGTTTCTCAAGCACACGTGGATCCTCGGGGCCGAACACCGCCCAACAAGCTGGACGACAACACAATCGCAGGCGCAATGTCACTGAGCAGCGGTCGACACACGGCAACCATGAACGGAGCCAACGGCGGATCTGGAGCCAGTGCCAGCCCGTCATTGAAGAACCTCCTTTCCTAAAGGCTGAGCAAACTGGCTTTACACTTATTACTCCTTATAGAACATCAAAAAAGGGCATGTATGATATAGCTTCTTTCTACCATGTTGTATTCTCTCTTGTTTCGTTGTTATCTGCCTCCGTCTTTTCGTGCTCACCCTGGGGGTTTTCCTTTTTTTCTGGCATGGGGAAAAGCGGGGTTTGGAATATCGTTCAGCATGAGACTTAGAGATTACTCTTTCTTTTCATCTTTTTTTTTTTGTTTTCTTATGGTTCTTTTGTGGTTTGGCTTCGGACACCGAAGGTGCATGAGATAATTGGAGTTCACATACGAATGATTTGGCAATGCAAGCAACTCCAGCCTTGGCCGGAGCAATCTTACACAAGATTGGAGCCTATCAGTACCTCTGAATATGTAAATATGTAGTTGTCGCGGCAGCAAAATATAAAGAAACCAGCGGCACTCCTCAGCAATGAGCATCGCGGTTCGGCATGGGAACCTAAATGATAAGCGCCCGGATAACGGACGGCACTCGATATCTGTTCCTCAGGAATGATGTGGACAAGACCTCCTGGCGCAAATCGCAGTTCAAAAGAAGGATCAAGAGGATCGCCAAGATGATCCTGGGCCAGGGCGAGCGTTTCCAAATCCCAAACTCGGAGGTTCGAACATCCAGGGAAGGAGTTAAAGGTCATTCTGAAGACTAGTACAAAGGCGTCTCTCGTGCGTCGTTGATTACATCGATGTAGGGGGTACAACGTTAATTCCCGATATTTATGCGTATCTTGTCACTTTTGTGTCTATTAGGTATGGAGACGCACGGAGTATGCCAGTGGAATGTGCAAACACCACCTGCATGATCCCTTGCGTGCTTACGTAGGAGCTACTAATCCACCAGGTACCGCGGACCCCTTCAAGGCAACTGCGCATCTGACTCGAGGGGCAGCATGCGATTACAAATTGAGTCGCTGCGCAAGTTTCTCTGGGCCTGTCCTGGACACCTGTCGCTGCAGAAAGATATGCTTAATTGTAAACTATGGAGTATTATAGCGTCGAAGGTCGCGGTTGCAGCCTGAGGTAACGGATTACGAAATGTTGGCGGAGAAAGTGGCGAGACGGACCGATCATCGTCTGGGTGGTTGCCACACTGACACTGCCATAAAGTTATCACGATAACATCATAGGGGAAGGGCTAAAAAAAAGCTTGCCACTTCACGTGCGCCAAAAGGATTATCATCTGCAGCTGATACCTCGAGTCCCCAAGCCAGAGGTGACGACGATGTCGGATGCGCCAGGTCTTGATAGGAGCACCGGCTGCACTTGCGCTCGGGAGTCGGGCGCAGGCAACAGAGTCTTCCAGAATCCGCCTAGAATGAGATTAATTAAGTGGAGGACAAGAGGCTAATTTCAGCCCACGCTGTTCTAGAAAATTTGTCGCGGTTTCGATTCGACCGCGCGACCGGTTGGGCACAGTGTAATCTAAGCTGATCCACGCCTTAATTTCTGGAGTAAAAGAGGTTGCAATAATAACAGTGATATGAGACCACGTTCATGGTGCATTTTGAATGGTGAAATTGACTGCCCTTCTGGAAGGCTGGCAGAAGCACAGAAGCGTTGCAGAAGCCGCGTTGAAGAAGACACTCTTCATTGATTATCCTTCTTATCCTTCTTCGACCTCTGATCTTCCCACGACCCTTGTCAAGTTGACGCTGAAGCCATTCCCCTCTTGCCTGCATTATCTGAGCATCATCTCGCCTTTCCCCCTTCTGCCTTTCTCTCTGGTTCCCGCTCTCACTTCTCCTCTTCTCCTCTCTCTCTGCCTTCTATTTATTCCGCCCTCTGCTTCTAATAATACTACCTCAACCGGCACTATTCTGCGCCCTCGTCCTTTTCAACCTTTAGTCACCTTCTCCACGTCTCTCCCTTCCCGATCATCCACCCGTGCAACTTCCGTCGACTCTTCTCCCGATCGATCTTCATCATCCTCTCCACCTTCTTTCTCGCTCTTTAGTCTCGTGGCTTTTTTTTCTCCGTCTGGCCCTGTCGCTGGCCCACCATGACGCCCTAGGCCCTCGCTTTGTCTTCTGACATCTGGATTTTGTCGTCCTCGACTCTTTCCCCCATCGGTTGTCTTGCGACTTTGAGAGCTTCTCGAGGTGGGAGTTTGACCGGGCGCATTTCGCCCCGTGGGACACTACTCTCAGAGAGCAATAAACGAAACGCTACCAATTGAATTCGCTCCCCTGCGTTTCTCTCGCCGAATACCCTCTATTTCTTACCTGTCATCCTCGAAGCCACCTACTCTCGGCTTATCCGTGTGAGTGAGACTGTACCCTGCCACCCGTTGTGCCTCGCGCCCGCGATCCTGTCCGGAGGAGAGACCTTAGGGCGGCGGTACGGAGTACATACGTACAAAGAACCCTTGGGAATCTTGTCTCAGAAAAAAAGGGACTTTTGCGTCGGCCGCCGTTTTCTTCCCGCAAGGAACAGTCAATCGGCTCTGTTCATCGTCGTGGGCGACTGCAGCGAACAAACTCATTGTTTTAAGTTTGCGCCTTCGACGACTTGCAGTCCATCCATCGCCAATGCTTCCTTCCAGCCTGCAGAAACAACAATCCCCCCCCTCTCCCCTGCCTCGTCCTTTGCTTGCGCCGCCTGCATATATTCAAGACACATGCCCTATGAATGTCATCACTGACGCAAAGCCAGCAAAACTTTGAATAGATCCACATCTGTCACCTCGCTCACTTCGCCCCGTTATTTCCTTGAAGCCGCTCTCTCTTTCTCTCGGTCTCTTTCTCCCCTGTCTCATTCTTCGCTCTTAATACCGGCCATATCAGTTCGTTCTGTCTCGGATCTCTTTTTCTCTCTCCAAACGACAACCCGCATTATCTGGAAATCTCGACCTATGAGGGCAGGTCTAGACCGGATAGCGTGCTCTTTCGCCCCGTTTCTTTTCGTATATATCGCTGTCGCGTGATTTGGGTTCGGGTCGCAGAGATACCCAGCCATGGGTGTCCCGAATCCGGTCGATATGATGGATCACATTGATTGCTCTGCGGTCTATATTGATCCCCGCATTCAGTCGGAACGTTGGGTATTTCAAGGTGCATCTGATACACCATCGGGGCCTTTGATACTTGCCGATGAGCCGGAATCGCTCCGATCAGATGTCCAGGTTCTGTTTGACGTCTGCAGACGAAGTATGCCTGTCAATGATTTCCCCACGATTTTGCCATCGCTAACACCATTTTCCCCCATTATAGTCTACCTTTGCCAAGCCGGAGCTTCTCTTGTGTCAAAACTGGCAGAACTCAGTGATACAGCTGCGAATAGCTGCACCCCGATTTTTGCGTTTTTCGACATTGATCTGAACACAGACGACCCCCCATCGTTATCCCGTCGCAGTACCAGTCGTGGCTCTTGGCAAGAACCGCCGTCTCCTTCACCGTTGCATCGCGGATTTACATTCTTGTCTCAAAATGACGGCTCGTCAGACTTAAGGCTACTGTCGGGTCTCTCTGCCGACATCAAGGTTCAAGATGCTCCTAATCTCGTCATACCGGTCGCAATCTTACGTGCTCCTCCTCGCGATTCTACTTCTGCTGCTCTCGACCAACGACAACCCCAGAATATTCCTCAACCTCTGCACCTTTCGAAATGCCTGGATGCGGGTGCTGTGGATGTTATACCTTCGCCTTTGGACAAGGCCAGAATTCAGGGTTTGGTCGTCCATGCCTATCGCGTACGGAAATCGGCTCTCAAGGAACAGTCACGGTTTCTCTCGCGGAGGAAGCTGCGGAAGCACTCGTGGGTGGGAGTGCATGATGAGCAGCCGTATTCTTACCTAAGAGAAGCCATGTAAGCCTTACTCTCCGTATGCTGCTTCGTGATTGGTAGCAGGTACTAACCTCGTTTGTCTCCAGGGTCTCCAAGCTTATGAAAGGCATCTGCAATCCCGAGGATGTGGTTGATGAACTGTATGACGGGTAAGTCAGCTAAGCACAAACGAGTACGTGCGTATTGCATGCTTACGGGTCACAGAGAATTCTACGTCAGCGAAGAGCGCGAAGAGTTTGTTAGAGAGCGACTGGCGCGGTGGGACTTTGCTGCCCATGAGTTTTCTGATGACGAGCTCGTTTTTGCGGCCCATGAGATGCTCCAGCATGCGTTTACGATCCCTGAGTTGGAAGAGTGGCGGTTAACGTCAGGTGAGTGAAATTATATCTGGTCAATAATGGTCTCTCTGACGAGATTTATAGGCGAGCTTCGAACATTCTTAGTGGCTTGTCGCGCTTCCTACAACTCATTCGTCCTCTACCATAATTTCCGACATGCCATCGACGTCCTTCAATCCCTCTTCTCCTTCTTACTCCATATTGGCGCCCTGCCGAGATATCGATCTATCGGGCTCGAGGTTGACACGAAATGCCCAATCACGGCTATGCTCAAACCGTTTGATGCTCTTACTCTATTAATCGCAGCCATTGGTCACGATGTCGGCCACCCTGGTGTCAACAACTTCTTCCTGGTCAAGCTGAACGCGCCCCTGGCTCAGCTGTACAATGACAACTCGGTTCTCGAAGCCTTCCACTGTGCAGCTTTTTCACAAATACTGCGCCGCTACTGGCCCGCCGCGTTCAAAGACAAGCAGCTCCGGAAACTGCTCATTAGCTCCATCTTGGCAACCGACATGGGCGTTCATCAAAAGTTCATGGAACGGCTCGGATCTCTGCAGGAAAAGTACTCCGAGAACAAGCGGACGACAGATGGCTGGAAACCTCAAGATATTGACCTGTACAAAACACTGGTTTGCGGTTTGCTGATCAAGTGTGCCGATATCAGCAATGTGGCGCGCCCTTGGGAGGTTGCAGAGAAGTGGACCAAGATACTACAGGAAGAGTTTGCCAACCAAGGTGAGATGGAAAAGGAGGTTGGAATGGAGACTGCCCTCTTCGGTGGGCCCCCAGAGATTGGCAACGTGTACAAGCTTGCCACCGGGCAGATGGGCTTCATGTCGATTTTCGCATTGCCCCTTTTCGAAGGTGTCTCGGATATTCTTCCCGGTCTACGATTCACCGTCGAGCACATCCGCAGCAACCATACTAGGTGGCACTATCTTGCAGACCTTGAGCGGAAAAAGCCCTTTCTGATGGCCGAGGCTGGCCCTGATGGTCTTGTTTCCCCTCGCTCCCGAAGTCCTGCTGCCAGCTTCCAGGAGCCGCAACCTACACCGCCGACCTCGACTCCTACTCCGACTCAAAACGGCCACCGCAATACCTCCATCAAGACTTTCCCATCAAAGGAGCCCGCGCAACAACGAAAAGAAGACGAACCAGGTGACTACTTTTCAAGGTCGGCACGTACTTCGGTGGGCAGCGAATACAATGAGAACCAGATCAGCCCGGTCGTCTCTCCAGACACACCCGGCCCATCGATGGACATCACCGGGTGCTCGTTCCCGCCCGACGAGCCGTCTCGAAAGTCGTCCTGCGCTGTCCCTGAAATCAGTTCTGTGCCCGTGCCTCCACCTTTGCCGGACAACAATGGCTCACTTGAACTCCATATAAGTGGCGGCGATCGCGCCATTCAGTCGGAACCTACGACGAACTCGGTTGCCTATGACGCCTCGGTAGAAGGGAGTGGTACTGAAAAGACAAACGGGCCGCGGAACAATGGAGCGTACCGTCGCCACCATGCCAACACTGCTTCTTCTGGATGCACATCCGCGCCAACTAACTCCCAGCGCAATAGCTGTACTCGAACACACAGCAATGCCATGTCGCCCATCTCACCTTCGACCAACGCGACGAGCGTCCTTTCCGCGAGCAGCGATGAACAGGGGTACACTCGCGAAATTCCACGGAGCGACTACGCGGATTGGGACAACCGCAGCCCGCGAACAGGGTCGCCCAAGCATGGCCCTGCTGGAGATCGAGGGTCCGAGAACACACTTCATTCCGGTGATAGCCATGTGTTCCATGACGGCCCCGACAAGAACCACATGCCCCCGACGGTGCGAAACGGAACTGGAAGCTCGACCCAGTCTATAAACACCGGGAGCAGCAAAAACGACGGTCACAGCCCGCATTGGGATGACCTTTCGGGGCCTGACCAAGGCCAGCGAAAACTGCCGAAGCGCAGAAGCCGTCTCCGCCTCGCCTTTTGGAAACGCAAGAGCTATCACAACAACCACCACGAAGTGCATGGAGAAACGCGATAGACATATTCTCCGATCGTTTGGAGTGAACCGTTTTTACCTGCCCACTTTCTACTTACCCGGAGCGGCCACAGATTCTTCATGGATGGCCGCTCACGGCACCTTTGGATATACGACGGACTGTACGATTTCATGATCTCGATTGATAGACAAAAGCCGAGCTTTAGGCCTTGGATACCCTGGCCGGCAAGGTTCTGGATAAAAGCTTCTTGTTTGGGACACGAAACAAGAAATCTATGACGATCAACCCCCTGGACCACTTTTTTTTATTACATGAGCACAGCAGTAGTTATATGTAGTGGTCTTTTTTCCTATGCAAGATGGCGGCTGGCGCTGATATTAGGGGATGTGGGAGGCAGTTTGTTCATCTTTGCTTCATTTCGTTCCATTTCTTCTTTTGAACCTCATTTTTTATACAACTTTCTACTACGGGGCTTCGTTATGGTTATAGGGGCAACTTAGAGTCGGGGCGTGTGGATTGGCGTTTTTCTATTTTCTCGGTTGAGATGGTCTCTGGCTCTGACCGGCCGGACTGTATGTTTATTCATTTTATTCTTCGTGTAGCAAATGCTGCGCTCCATTCTGCCTTGCATTCGCCATTCATCGTCATTGTTACTGCCATTTCCAGATATCTATCCACTCGTACTGTATCTGTTCAATATCACATGATTCAATTGAAGACCATGGATAGTCTCCTCCTTATCTTTACATTGATTTCGTTCGAGACGTGAGCGGTACCCTTACCGACAGTCTTCGCAGGTCTTGTCTACTGGAGCCGTCGTCTGTGCGGAAGGTGTAGGAGGAGCAGCAGTCTTGGGAGCAGGGGTAGCGACAGTAGACCCCTTCCTCAACGCCCGATCCGTATGCCCCAGATCCCTCGACGGATCAATCACATCCCTAACAAGGGACTTGAGCACTTTCACCTCTAGAACCCGGTCAATACACACACCTCAAAATCCATAGCGACCCCGCTTCGGGATCAAGACCCCCAACCTCAGAAAGAGATAAGAAGATACACACCAGGAAACCCGCCATCCCTCTTCCGATCCCAGAGAACCTCCCCCTCCTCACCCTCACCACTGGGTAAAGTCGAAGATGTCGAAGCAGATGGGAAAATCGTAACCCGGAAGACACCCCCCGTCCTCGGCACCAGCGCGATCTCGCCAATATCAGTGCTGAATGTGGAGAGGAGTTCTTGGGCGAACTTTGCTCCATTAGATGTGTTAGCCTAGCGGAGCACTATTGTGTCGCATATCATGAAGTGAAGTGGAGAGATAGTTATATATATGTATGAAGAACGGTAGGTGAAGGGGGGACGTACATAAGCGGCCCTGAGCATCCATTTACACTGCGTGCAGTATTGAATTGTTATCCTAGGTCCGGAAATGGGTTCTTCGGGCGTTGGAGCTCTCTCCCCTTGTGATGTTGGGGCTGGATTTGCTGATGATACTGGCGGGTGTGACTCGATGGGTGCGACTGGTTCCGTCATTTTCTCCCTCTTTTCTTCCCTTCCTTTCTTTTGAGATCTCCTCTGCCGGTTTTGGGTTTCAAGACGCCGTATCAATAATTTCGCATGAGATACAAAAAGACGAATATAGTTACGAGCTTGGTGAGGTGTAGACTGGCTGGTTGGTTTGTGGTTGTCAAGGTGGGGTGATGATGGGATCCATTGGATGAGGGGGATGATGTCAGCTGAGAGAGGAGTCGTTTTTGGCCTGTCGTGAGATATGTTGATCGAGGCTCTGCTATTTTGCCCGAGAGGGCACGATGTGTGTACCTGAGGTATTATTATTCCGTTCATACTCCTCCCGAGTCTCTGCCGTTGACACGTATGTGCCACTACTGACTACTAGTACAGCGGGTGTGCGTACCTGCATTAGATGGTTTCTGTAGCCCCAGCCATGTAAGCTAGCAGCTATTATCAAGTAAACCCAGTGAATCTAATTTACAAAAAGCGGGCCGCAAACAAAATCAAGGGTCAAGACGCTGGAATCAATCAACAGCCGCACCAGGTTGCAGGCTTGCTTGCCATACGTTTCGTTCTGGAACCCGTAGAACCCATCCACACCGTTCGACATTGAGAAAAGGAAATGAGAAGAAAAAGAAAAGCCAGCAAGATGGAGGGAAATTTCAACATGAAGAAGAAGAAGAGGAAGAAGGAGATTTTGAAGAGGGAATCGAAAATAGAAAATATCAGGGCTATCTTGCGGGACAATAATCATCGACAGTAATTCCAACAGGTGAATGCGATATAACCGAAGTACGTGCAAGTCCAGCGCGCGCTTTTCGGTTGGCCATAGAAGCTTCGCAAGCGGCAATCGAGACGGCTGTCGGGTAGGTTGTTCGGGTTGATATAAGCCGTGAGAGGGGGGAGCGACGCGCTTTCGAAGGGAGCCAAAGAATCCGAAGGCACGGAATTAGAGAATAGAAGGTAGAGGTCGTAGCGATAGGAAATGCCAACTCGCGACAGTAGCGTGGTTTGGATTAGAAACCAGCCCGTCGGGATCAGGGGATCGAAAAGTGTCATAACGGCCATTACATGACTGTGCAGCAACCTCCCTGTTGCTGAGGGGCGTATGGGTCTTCACGCTTGTCAACCTGCGATGGGCATTTAGCTGGGTGTGCTCTCGCTGTTCCTCCAGATACCAACACATACCTGTCCCCATACAGAAGGTACCATAAAGTCACGGGTGTTGTTGCAGTAATTAATCAGCCTAGGAAAAGCAATGCGATCAGCGAGCCGCGACAACCAATTGTTTATAACCGAGACTTACGACATGGCCGCTTCTGACACCTTGACTCGGGGCCGGTCGAGATCCTCCTTCAGCCGAGCATTGAGCTCTGTCAACCGGCGATACTTGAGATCGGCCACACTCTGCTTCTTGTTTCTTGCATCCCCACCAGATCGGAGCTCATAGGTAGGCATTTTTTTTTTTGCAGACGACAATGTATGATATTATGATCGGAGTTCGATTATACCCGGGTATGCGACCGTGCGGGAGAGAGGCGAGGTCGAGAGGGGGTTCCGAGTTGATTTTGCGCTTCTGGGTGGACAAGAGTAGGGGGAAAGAGTTAGTCGGAGGGCGAAGGCGAGGCTGGGCGGGAAAAGGAGCCAGAGAGAGTGTGTTGACTGTGCGGTTGTGGAGGGAGGGATTTTGGCGTCAGAGAGGGAGCGAATGTGAGGTTGAGTTGGGATACTGAAGGAGGAGAAGGAGGGAAGTCAGAGGGAAAGCGACTAGAATCCGAAAAGAAGAATCGAAGGAAGATCAGGATGAAGAAAGCGAGCGACGAGTGAGCAGCGAGAGAAGCGACTCTGACCAGAGAGCCGGGAGTACGGACGGACCATGCGCAGCTATTATGAGAGGCCCAAAAGGGCGCCCCGTACGGTTACGCGCGATTACAGAGGGGGGTCAGCAATCAGGCAATATTTGGGGGCGCAGAGTAATAAACTCGGTACGGAGCATTCAAAAAGGAAATAAAATGGAGAGCAGCTTGCTCTAGGGTCTTAGCCAGAGTTAATTCCACCCCTGAATCAGGCTCTCCTGCCCAAGCCGGCTCAAGTTCGGGAGGATGATACATATTCAACGGTCGACGATCGTATTTTCCCCTCTTCTGATAGACAGTTATTGAACAATAATATTAGCCCACTAGTATATACATTTACTGTGCTTTAGCACCATCAATGATCCAACAAGTGCTATTGAACCGTTCTCTGATAGTACTCTGGAGCAAGGAAGGTACTGTGGAGTCCCCCGTCTTCCAGAGTTTACCGTACAGTGACCAGGCGTTTCATCCAACCCAGTATGGATCATTTCTCCGTTGACCTCACCACTTCTCCGACAGATCTCAAGTTCTTGAGCCGCATGTTGAATGGTGTTGAGATGAGAGACGCGCAGATGATATATCGCTGGAGTTCCTTGCAGATCATTGGATATGGACATGGTTCCGTCGTGGTCACAGAGGACCTCAGCCCGTAATTGTCGCGCAGAAAGCCTTTCTCGACAGCGCTTCTTCAGCACGGATTGCAGTCTGGCATACAAATCCCGCTGAAGAATAGAAGCACGGATACTCTTCACGGACACGGAGCCTGACAAGAGACGCCAGAATCTGGTTTCGTGAATAATGTCGCAGAATCCGGATTCTAGAGCTGGTCTTCATTGTTCTCTCACGTGATCGCATCGCTTAAGCCAAACTGGGAACTGAGCCAAACTGCGGTGGGTTGGGTTTTTTTCTGGCTCTCGCACAACCACCGACGCCTCCCCTCCCACCTGTCTTCGCCGACCGTCGCGTGGCAGCATTCATTTCAATAGGGACTTTTGGCTGTCGACTTTTGCTGCCCGCCTGTTGTGCGCATTTTTGACTCGCTCTGCGCCTATCCCTTGTCGAGACTCGACTCAACGCTTGTGTGCACGCCGTGCCCTATACAAATAATCATCGTTTATCCCTCGCAACACATCGCCCACCATGCCGCCTCCACCGCATATCAAACCCGAAAATGTCCTGAAGGTAGGCCGTGAATTCGAGGTCGAGATGGAAAAGGGAAACATAAAATTTACTAACGCAAAGCCTGCCTGCAGAGGGCTCAGGAACTTATCGCCGTGGGCCAGGCTCCGGCCGCCCTTAACGTCCTCCACGAACATGTCACCTCGAAACGGACGCGCAGCAGCCCGATCGCTTCCCTCGAACCGGTTATGCTTTTGTTTGTCGAGCTCTCCGTCGAACTCCGCAAAGGCAAGGCTGCCAAGGATGGCCTGTACCAGTACAAGAACATCGCCCAGAACACCAACGTTGGAACCATCGAGGTATGTTGGGAGCATGGCACCATAGATGCAGTGGTCGATGATGCTAATGGAAGTCTTTTTCATAGGTCGTTCTGAAGAAGTTCATCGAACTCGCGGAGAAGAAAGTGACGGAAGCACAAGCCAAGGCGGACGAGATTCAATCGTCCTTAGAGTCCGCCGCTCCCTCATCAAATGTTGACGATCTCGAGGCCATCGAGACCCCCGAGACCATTCTCCTCGCTACCGTCTCTGGCGAACAGTCCCGCGACCGAACCGACCGTGCAGTTGTTACCCCGTGGCTCAAGTTCTTGTGGGAAACCTACCGTACAGTGCTCGAGATCTTGAAGAACAATGCCCGCCTGGAAGTCATGTACCAGACAACTGCCCTGCAGGCCTTCCAGTTTTGCCTAAAGTACACCCGCAAGACTGAGTTCCGCAGACTCTGCGAACTTCTCCGCAACCATGTTCAGAACGCCGCCAAGTATTCCGCCCAGATGCACGCGATCAACCTTAGCGATCCGGACACCCTTCAGCGCCACTTGGACACCCGTTTCCAGCAGCTGAACGTTGCCGTGGAACTTGAACTCTGGCAGGAGGCCTTCCGCAGCATTGAAGATATTCACACTCTTCTCAGCCTCAGCAAGCGCCCTGCGAAGAACGTCATGATGGCCAACTACTATGAGAAGCTGGCCCGTATCTTCCTTGTCAGCGAGAACTACCTCTTCCACGCTGCGGCTTGGAGCCGTTACTACAACTTGCTTCGCCAGTCCGCTGTCACCCTTGCCGCCAACCAGGGCAACAAGAAGGAACACCCGTCAGTTACCGAGGCTGAGATGACCAAGACCGCCTCCTTTGTGCTTCTTTCTGCTCTCTCCATTCCTGTGATCAGCACTTCTCGCTCCCGTGGCGCTTTGATCGATGTCGATGAGGTCCGCAAGAACAAGAACACCCGCCTTACCAATTTGCTTGGTATGGCCCAGGGTCCCACTCGTGCTGTTTTGTTCCGTGATGCTCTCAACAAGGGTCTCCTCAAGCGTGCTCGCCCTGAAATTCGCGACCTCTACAACATTCTCGAAGTTGACTTCCACCCTCTGTCCATCTGCAAGAAGGTCACTCCCATTCTCATGCAGATTGGTGCCGACCCCGACATGGAGAAGTACGTCGTGCCTCTCCAGCAGGTCATTCTCACCCGTCTTTTCCAGCAGCTCTCGCAGGTTTACGAGTCTGTTGAGCTCAAATTCGTGTACGAGCTGGCTCAGTTCCCCGATCCTTTCCAGATCACCCCTGCCATGATCGAAAAGTTCATCATGAACGGCTGCAAGAAGGGTGACCTTGCCATCCGTGTGGACCACATCTCTGGTGTTCTCACATTCGACACCGATGTGTTCTCCTCTGCCAAGGCTCTTCACTCCGGAAGCGCTGCTGGTTCTGCGGAGACCGAGCTGGGCTCCGTGCAGCGTCTGCAAAACACCCCTGCTGAGATCGCCCGTCTGCAGCTCACCCGCCTGGCCAAGACTCTGCACATCTCATGCATGTATGTCGACCCTTCATACGCAGAGGCCCGTCTCCAGGCCAAGCAGACTGCTCTCGCACGCGCCGAGGCCGGTGCTGCCAAGGAGCACGAGGAGACTCTCGAGCGCCGCGTCGTCATCGAGAAGAAGAAGGAAGCTGCCACAGACGCTCTCCAGCGCAAGCAGCGCGAGGAGGAAACCCGGAAGCGTCTCCGCACCCAGCAGATCCAGGAGGCTGAGAAGCAGCGTCTTGCTGAGGAGCAGCGCGAGCGTGAGAAGAAGCGCATCAAGGACGAGCAGGAGAAGATCCGCCAGGCAGAGCTTAAGAAGCAGATTGAAGAACTGAAGAGTGGTGTCAAGGGTATTGATATTAGCGAGATTGACCTCGAGGATCTCGATGCCAACCGCCTCCGTGCTATGAAGCTCGCCCAGTTGGAGAAGGAGAAGAACGAACTCAATGACCGCATTCGCACCACTGGCAAGCGCATCGACCACTTGGAGCGTGCCTTCCGCCGGGAGGAATTGAAACACGTTCCGGAAGACTACGAGGCCCAGAAGAAGCGTGATATGGAACTGTACGAGCGCCAAAAGGCCGAGACTCTTGCTGAAGCCGAGCTCAAGCACAAGGAAGCTGTTGCTCTCAAGCATCGCCTTAGCCGTCTGGTTCCCCAGTTCAGCAACTTCCGCAAGGATGTCTCAGAGAAGCGTCACGAGGAATTTGAGAAGCGCCGCAAGGCCGCCGAGAGAGACTTCGAGGCCAAGAAGAAGCAGCGCATCAAGGAAGTACAGGAACGCCGTCGCCGTGAGAGAATTGAGCGCGAGAACGCCGAGCGTGCCCGCAGGGAGGAAGAGGAACGCGCTGCTCGCGAGGAGGAAGAGAGAGTCGCCAGAGAGGAGGAACGCCGCCGCGCCCTCGCCGAGGAGAAGGCTAAGCGCGAGGAGGAGAGGAAGTTAGTACCCCTAAATTCTCTCTAGCTCCGTTGATTCACCTACTGACCCACTACCCAGGAAACTCGACGAGATGGCTGCCAAGCAGAAGCAGCGCGAAGAAGAAGCCGAGGCCCGCCGCCTCGCCAAACGAACAGGCGCCCCAGAACCCGCTCCTCGCGCTTCAGAGCCTGAACGTACCGCTCCCCGTCTCAACCTTGCTCCTCGCACTGGTGGTGGTGCTTCTAGCTGGAGAGAGCGTGCAGCTGCCAAAGAAGCTGCCGCTGCCTCTGGCGCTCCCGTCCCCACCCCCGCCGCCCCCGAAGCTTCCGCTCCCCCCGCAGCTGCTGCTCCAAGAGAAGAACCCCAGCCTCTGCGCAAGACCGGCGGCTACGTCCCCCCTCATATGCGTGGCTCCTCCGGTGCTGCCCCTGCTGCGCCTCCTGCCGACCGCTACGTTCCCCCCTCGCGCTCCTCCCAACCCCCCTCTCGCACAGAAACTCCGCAGTCCTCGTCCGACAAGCCTGAAGAACCCAAGAGCAGCGGCGGCAAGTGGGTACCCAGATGGAGGCAACAGCAGCAGTAAGGTAGACACCATCAGTATCCGAGCTAGCTCCTGTTCTCTATCAAAAGTTTCCTGTATCTGAAAGAACAAATGGGCGTGTGAAATCTATTCTCTTCTTTTGTCTTCTTCCATTTCCATACCCATCTACCTCTCCATGCATCACCCTCTACCTTCCTCTTGCTATGAATCTCTCTCTCTCTCTCTCTCTCTCTCTTCGCATTGTTCTTCTATCTATCCATCTTTCTATACAGTTCACCCTTCCCTCTACCTCCCTTTTTTTTGCTACGACACGCATGAGCCATGGGTCACGAGCCAGGGCAGGCTGTACAGATGAGTTGTTTTTAGCTAGTGTCTCTGCCTGGGCAGTTCGGCCCCTCATCTCATGACATGATGGTTTCTTGTTTGAAATGCATTATGTCTCTCTTGTCATAAATGAACTTGATCTACTTCGTTACTTTCAGTTTTCTCTTCTATCTCATCATGCTTGGTAGGTTACAACGGCAGTACAGTAGTTGGTTTATTAATGCGAAGTCACCCGAACATGTGGTATATGGATAGGCATGATATGACAAGAGGTATATCTCTATCCAGATAGAACTTTTGTCAGAGCCCTAAGGATCCTCCGTAATCTGCACAATCAATTCCTCATTTATTTCATGACACCAATTGGACCCAGCTAAATCGTAGCAAGAGAAATGTACCTGATACGTCCGTCTGTATGTTTTTCTAGCTCGACCCGCGAACAAAGATACCAAATAAACCCGGAGGAACACTAGGTAGACAAGAGCAAAAAAAGTGGAAAATCGCAGTCTAATGATATGAGATACCGGTGGAGGTACGGAATAGGAGACGTCAGAGATCGACACATCCACACGGAAGTATGCAAGTGTCTGTGAGAATGAAAGATGGCAAAAAGAAAGGAAAGTCACAGCCAGATAACAAATCTATATACGAGAAGGAAATGTAATAAAAGAAAGCGAGTATGGGGGTATGGGTGATGGAGAGAACATGAATGATAAATGGCCCATAGATATTTTCGTGAAACGACAGACAGGAAATAGGCGCGCGGAACGGAGCCGTGGAAGAGAGAGCCAGATTAAGCAGCAACGGCTTCTGAACCGACAGCAGCACCAAAGAGCTTCTCCCTCCACTCTCCGCAGAAAGCCTCGAAGCCGTCCACGACATCTCGGCACTCGCGCCCTGCTTCGCGGTCCTGTAACCGACGATCCCAGTCGCCCTTCTCTATCCAGCGGTGTCCCTCTTCGCGGCTTTCTTCTTCGCGGCGGAGCTCGGCAACGAGTTCTCGTGCGGAGCGCAGTCGCCGCGATGCGGTTGCGGTAAGTTGTCGGGATTCGTAGAGTGTGTCGCTCAAGCTGCGGAGAGACATGGTGATATCGGAGGTTTGTGAGATGAGGGTTTGAAGGGAGGTGAGCGGGTTAGAGGCGGATTGTGAGGGAGTACTTGGCCGCGAGGAGTGGTGTTGTTGGTCTGGGAAAGGGTAAGGGAGGCTTGGTAGGAGGCCCTCGTCGATGAGGGGAATAAGAGCGTCGATAGCATCCTCGGAGAGGAGAGGGTATGGCGCGAAGAGAAGAGGGTGGGTGAGGTTTTGAAGGGTCCGTGTTTGGTGAGTTAGATGCGATGTGATGGAGGAATGCGCGGTGATGAGCCTGTCAAGGTCAGTATACTGCATGCTTTTGTGAAGTGGGCAAACGAACCTCATAGCGTTGTTCTCAATCCCACTCTGCACCCCGAGATCTTGCAGCGCCAAAACCGCACGGTCAATGACATGGTCACTTTCACTTCCATTGTTTTCCAGACCTCGCCGAGCTAGACTCTCAATCTCCGCCATCTGGTTCTCAAGCCCCGGAGATACATCGGCGGCCTCCTCAAAATCCGAATCATTCCCATAGTCAGAGCCATCATATTGCGACTCGTGCCTCCGGTGCCGATTCGTACCATTTCTTAACCTCGGCCGGGGCGGCTGTAGCGAATCGCGGTCTGATAAATAACCAGGCGAAGGTGTTCTTGTCGTCATGCGTTCGAGCGGTTGCGAATCCGATGGGGCGGCGTCCTGCCCCGATGCATATCCATAACCACCGTCGTCTTCCTCCCACGCGTCCGCTAATTCGTCTGCGAGGTTTCCCAGCCCTCCACCCCCTTCTGCTGCTGCTCCAAAGTCGCCCGACATCCTCACGGATCCGTTCATGCTCTGCGCGTAATGTTGTCGGGGGGTAACAGGGGATGGCGGGGCGGATAGGCGAGGGCTGCGAGGGGATCTGGGAGAGCTGTGGGAGTAGCCGTTGGGCGCGAAAGTCACTGGCGACATGGGGTCTATATCGGCGTTTGATGAGCGACTCCGACTGTAGCGGTGAGAAAGTCGTAAGGGTGAGGGTGGACTGGACGGCATGTTGCAGGGGTTGAGAAGATCCGAACGAGTGGCTTCCGACCAAGTCAACTCCGATCGACTTGGGACTCGTTGCAAATATGTCGCGGTATCTCGTCCTCTTCCTCTGCCCGCAAATGGATGCGTTATGAGAAGTAAACTGCCTCAAAAGCGAGCGGAGTCGTAAAATTGGGGAATGGAGATCGTGATTGACAGGGGTTGGGCAGGCGGCGGAGTTGGAGTTGCAAACAGCGGAGATCACGGCATTACTAAGGGGTCAAACAAGGCCATGAGACAATCAAAGGAGAGTGAAAGTCACACCGGCATCAAAGCAAAGCCTGTGTCTAGGACGATGAATATAGAAGAGAAGAAAGCCGTTGGGCTGGCTTGAGTTAACCTGAGCCCTGAATTCCCGTGACCGCCATGAGCCCCAAACGAGGACGTCCCGCGTTGCTCAACTTTCTCCCCGCTTTGGAGCTGCTCGTGCCCAAGACATTTTCTTTACCTTTATTACCCTCAGTTAATCATCCCAAGCCATTCGCAATAATGAGTTCAATCCGCCGAATGTCCCCGACGGACCTCCTGTCTTTGAATCTCACGAACCTCGACCCCCTCACCGAGAACTATGACCTGGGCTTCTACCTCAATTACATGATGCGATGGCCCTCGCTCTTTAGCAGCGTCAAGGACCGCAAAGAGGGAATTGTCGGATACAGTACGTGAACTTCCCTCGGAATACACTATCATCCTCCATTCGAAACCAATTACCTCGGGTAACCACTGACTACTTCATTCCAGTCATGGGCAAGCTCGAAGAACAGCACCCCTCCATGCGCCATTCAGAACACTATACCCCATGGCACGGACACATCACAGTTCTAACCGTTGCGCCGGCCTGGCGCCGCCTCGGCCACGCCCGCCGACTCACCGAGCGTCTCGAGCAAGGGTCCGACATCAACAATGCGTGGTTCGTGGATTTGTATGTGCGGGCGGGGAATAAGATAGCGGTGGATATGTACAAGGGAATGGGGTGCGTTATCTTCTTCTACTTACCAATAACTTTTTTGCGGTTGCTTCCCGCGAGCGACGGTGCTAACGGTGTGATCAATGTTCCAGGTACTCGATCTTTCGGCGAGTCGTCAATTACTACAGCGATGACCCGACGGGAATGTCGGAATCTGGAGAGGATGCGTTTGATATGCGCAAGCCGTGCAGTCGGGATAAGAAGCTGGAGCATATAAGAGAGAATGGGGAGAATTTCCCGGTTAGTCCGACGGATGTTTCTTGAGGTACTTGTGGTTTTGGGTGAGTGTGCGTTTGCGTTTTGGGTGTTTGGAGTTGGGATAACGCCTTGGAGTTACAGCGGCCTAGATTGCGTTGTGCTATCCTTGATCTCTTCTAGGAGAGAATATTTAGACTAGATACATCAACGATGAATATATGAGATGTACAAATATATATGCATTAAACGCTACGTCCCTTCTATATTCAATGCCCATTTGCGCCGTAAATGCACTTTCACCAAACAGATGCAGTTTTTTGTCATACCGCGGTGTCCATGAGTGGGATATAGAATATCCTTTTCGCTGCTAGAGATACAACGCCAAGGGTTTCTGCAAGGAGCAGTCAGACAAAAGTCAGCTCAGGCTCGAACCGCGACCTTAAGACCCGTGCGAGAAAGCCGAACGCCCAAAAAGATGGCAACCGATACTGTCAAGGCGCAGGCCGTGAACAGCTGAACCCCAAGATACTTGTGCGAGTCGCTCAAGATAGCACCTCCAATCGGGGTTCCAATCAACAATCCCACAGATGTAATCGCAAACACCATGCCCATCCGCGTGCCGAGTTCGCGCATGTCCTTGGTTAATGAAGCCATTACCACGGGAGGGAGGGAGACGAAACCGCCGGAGAAGATGCCGTATAAGACAGAGAGGATGATTATTCCGGGGACGGTATGGACGCCAATCCAGACGTAGGAAAGGATGGCGGTGATGGCCGAGGCGGGTATGAGCATGTTCAGCGGGCCGGTATGATCGGCGATGAAGTTGGGCAAGATTCGACCAAAGGTAGATCCTGCGTTTAACATTGAAAGCAAGTAGAAGCCGAGGTTGTCGTCGACGATGCCGGTTTCGATGGCGTAGGACTGGACGTAAAAGAGGAAGTTGTAAAAACCTAAAAAGCCCATGAACATGCCAATGGAGAAGAGCACGAAGATGGGCTCTTTGAAAGCTCCGAGCTGAATCAACTTGCGCTTCTCCGTAGGTACGAAACGCATGCGCATGACTGCAAAGGAGATTAAGCATGTTCCAAGGGCAAGGAATCCTATTGCTCGAGTTGCCCAAGGGAAGCCGACCTTCTTCTGCAGCTCGTTGAACATGATCGGATATATGACACCGCCAATGCTACTTCCTGTGGCGGCAATTCCGTTGGCGAGACCTCTGCGCTGTTGGAAATATTGAGGCAAGATAGCAATCGCTGGAACGAAGAGGCAGCCACAGGCTAATCCAATGCAGATACCTTGAGCTAGAATAAAATGCCAAAACTGAGATGATAGGCTGGTCATCATCAATCCGAAAGGAAGCATGAAAGTCCCGAAACCAAGAAGAGCGCGAAAATATCCAGCGTCGAACAATGGACCGGTCACAACGCCGAAGAGCATGAGAAGGAAGGACTGCAACGAACCGACCCAGGCTATTGTTGACGAGGACATGTCGGACAGGAGAGTTTGTTCATAGTATGTCTGGTAAACGCCCCATGTATTTACCACACCCCTATACGTATGGTCAGTCAAGTATGTCAATGGATCAAGGGAGGATCTAAGATGGGACGCACCATGAGTTGAAGAAGAGGAAGAACGAGCCAAAGACCTGCAGCCATGCTGTAAGGCCAGTATCAAAGGTCGGTTCGGGAACTTTCTCGACGGGTTGAGCTGGCGGAGGCGCGGTCTTCTCAACATCTTGACCATCGGCTGATGCTGCCTCAGATCGTTCTACCGTGTCAACATCCATACCCATTTCCAGACGTCAGCTGCGTTGAGGGTCCTGAAGTGAGAAAGCCAAGCTCTATCTACAGCGCTGCTGTCTGATGAATAAAGAATGCGCTATCAAGAGACAAGGCACAGCATGTAGAGGAAAAGCCTGGGAAAACCTGGATCAAATGAAAGAAGCCGAGCAGGTCCTCATGGAGACGCCTCAAAATTTATAGTTGAAAGGATTTCTCTTTCAATTTACGCAAGCAATCCTTATCCTTGGGTTGCGCGGGGCGCACTAAGCCGCTAAGCTTGGGAATAAGAGCAACGGCAAAGCTCAGTAGCCGGGGTGGCCCACATGATAGAGCCTGATTTGCCTCTGGATTCCATATTGAAGCGAAAATTTGGAACCAGGGACTGGTCCATTCGCTGTTCGGAATACTGTCTCTGCTCCGTATAGAAGCCACTCAACCGGTGGATGTTCAATCATATCTGACCAGCAGCACCGGCCTGGGAGTATGAGGGTCTGATCCTTACGGCATTGCTCTGATGTGGAAGAGCCGTAACCGTCAGGAGGCGTCATGGTTTCATGAGCCATTCTCGCTAAACTCGCTAATACGTTCCTGAGACAGCATAAGAGCTCTGGACCAACAGTTGATGTGATGGTTTGGACGCAAAGATTGGTGGAAGACGAAAGAGAGTGCGGTCACTGGAGTGGATTCGGGCCTGGCGTGCCGACTTATCCAGCGGGGGAAAAGGAATAAGAAGCTTACCCGATTACAGCCTAGCCTGATGGTTGAAGTCGGCTTGAAGCGCAATTCCATATCTAACAGCTGTCGCAAGCTACTTCTCTGTGGGCTTTTCGCTAGAAGCGCATTATCGGAAAGAGTTCGCGAAGCTTGAACAGTGTTGATGCATGGGAACAAGTTCAAAGCTTTCGGAGAAGCGTCGAAGATGAAGATCGGTGGCGTTAACTCCGATCCCGAACTACAAGTCATGTGACCTGGATATAGATCCATAGGCTATGGTGTTTACATTCAGATTATCAAGCAAATTGGAACCTCGAATACGGAGACGAGAGGATGATCCTAGGGTCAGACATCTAGCGCATTTCTTGGGACAAAAACGTATGACATGTCTCCGCAACGGTTGTGTTGAGACAGGAATACACCCAGCACAACCTACGAATACGCATACGCATGTCCATACATAGCATCTCGGACTAGCGCGAGAGGTCTAAGTGATTTAAACAAGAGATCGCAGCAGTCCGTGCATATTCTAGAAGCTGGGTTTGACCCGATTGTTTGATCTATCAAGAGTATTGGAGCTCTGCATCGCGCCATAAAGACGAAAATGTCCGTGTTTCTAGGCTACTTTGTTAGACTAGCCCAAGAACGATTGAGAGATATCGAGTTATGATAGGTCATTCGTTAATCAGAATCTAATATAGAAAGCTCTCTCGAGTTAGGAATGCTACCTGGGTTACAGGATAGCGGAGTCAACATCAAACTTTCTCTTTTGGATTTTTTTGGCGTCCAAATATTCACTGCAATACTGACATCTTTTTGGTATTTTCCCTTTGCAGGGCCCGGCTCGCAAGCCGGTGCCCATGCTATTCCTGAACTCCAAACGCTATGCGGGAACTCGAAGAGTTCGACCAGAAGAAAAGAAATAGAAAGCCCATTGTAAGATACAAACTCGTCATTAGATTTATAGCAGTTCCTCGCACGTCCAGTCCTCGTAGCTGATGCATAGTTTTAGCTTCGGTCCATTCGAGAAATATGGTGAAACGCTTACGTTCCGTCCGGCAGATACCTCCTCACAATGAGAGGGATCTTCTTTTGGGCTAGCTCCTTGAGAGCGATTTGCAAAGGATCCGTCTCCCCTTCCAGGTCCACAAGCACCGGCGCGTTCAGACTGCGACAACGTCAATACAAGTTCAATCGAACTCTCCATTTGTGCTCAAGTCAAGCCCTGGAGGCACTAACCTGATCTGCAAAGCTCTTGTGCCGAGAACACGGGCCCTCTCATACTTGGTCATGTATGGGGTTGTCGTGCGCTGGTCATTGGGAATCTTCTTGGCTCGTGCCTGTTCGACCACCTTGCCCGCATACCCTGCGTTTGGGTCGCCCGAAACCACAACACGATCTCCGTTCACGGCAGGCGCATACGAGCCGTCTTCGTATCCATCGGCGCCACCTTCGCCTTCAACGTCTTCTGGGTCGAGGAAATCTTCGGGCTCATTATCGTCGTAGTTCTGCTCGGGCTCGTAGTCGTAGCTGTGGTGGAGACAATGTTAGAACACTCGGATTTCCTCAGTGACTAGCTGACTAGCAAGATCAAGACATAAAGTCCCGCCATTGACGTATTGGGAGGGTTCGGTCGCAAGGTATGGTGTTCTCACTTTTCCTCAGCTTCGTGGTCGCCGTAGTCAGACATTGTGGCGGGGTTAGGGAGGGTGAATGTGACAAATCAAAAAACCAAAGGACAGGCGAGACTGAAGGTCACTGAGCGCTCTATCTCAGGACTTGGTGGATGGAGCGACAGACCAGGCGGCAGGGGTGCTTTGTTGAATTCTTCATTGTCGCGACACCAAAAGGGCGGCGGAAAAGTTCCTGATGCCGCTAACTCGTTTGGGAATAGCCGCTCTCACCGCCTATCGGCAAAATCTTGACCTCTCAAGAAATTTATCCAAATCCTCGGATTCTCGTTCATCGAGTATCTGGTGTTTCTTGTCCTGTACATGTCGATCAACATATGAAGGAGGTGCCCGTATGCTTGCTTAAGCATGGGTCAAAAAAGAAAAGCATCCGGGGGTTATCCAAGCCCTAAACGACTACAAAAACATTTAGCCCTGGACTCCACTGGTAAAGCTTCGTCGCAATTTCAAAGGCAGGCCCGAAGCTAATCGCTTTGCTCTCTACCAGATTCAATCCACGAGGAAGCACATTCCGACGTTGATTACTCCTTGCACGATGATGCCAGCATCACCAGCGGAAGCCTCAATGATACCCCGGCCACACCAATTTCCACGACCTCGGTCAGATACCCATCGGAATTGAAAACTCACCGCTGTCCGTTCGAAGGCTGCGACAAAGCGTTTAATCGACCCGCACGACTACAGGAACACTTGCGCTCACACAATAATGAAAGGCTATTTAGCTGCTCTTTCGACGGCTGTGACAAGACCTTCCTTCGAGCCTCGCACTTGAATCACCACGTCAAAAGCGCCCATACCGGAGTCCGAGACTATGTCTGTGATCGTCCGGGTTGTGGAAAGAGCTTCGTGACAGGCTCGCGGCTTCGACGGCATTTGGCTGCACATGATGGCCAGGACAAATACCGGTGCACCGGGTATCCGCCCTGTAACGAGACCTTCCGCAAGCACTCGACACTCCAGAAGCATGTTCTGTCCGCTCATCTGAAACAAAAGCCCTTCCAATGCACACACAATGACCCAGAAACCGGTGAGAAATGCATAATGGCGTTTGAAACGGCGGGCCATCTGCGTACGCATGAAAGCAGAGTCCACTCGGAGAAGCGATTTAGCTGTGCGGAGTGTACTCAGCGCGCAGAAGAGGACCCGTCATTGATGGCCCCTCCTGTTACATTTCCCACATACTCCCTACTGCAGAGCCATATTCGAACTGCACACCCTCCACAATGTCCTAATTGTTCTGTGGCCTGCTCGACACCGCGTGAACTCCGCCGCCACTTGGAAGTTGCCCACGGAAACATCAGCCTCGAAGACCGCCGGATATTCCCCTGCACAGTACCCGGCTGCGACCGCAGCTTCACGAAAAAGGGAAACCTAACGGTCCACATCCGGACTGTCCACGAGGGAGAGAAGCGTTTCGTCTGCGGCGAGACAGACGTCTCCGCCTCAAAGCGAGTTACCGGCTGGTCCGGCGGCGGGTGCGGAAAGCGATATGGCAGCAAGCTCGCCCTCGAAGAACACATTCGCACAGCTCATCTGGGCTTCCAGAACTCCAAAGCTGAACGACGCCAGCGCCTCGGTCTGGCGAAGAAACGCCAAGAAAGCAGCAACCTCTCCGCGTTGGCTTCTTTGACAGGCGAAGGCTACGACGAGGAAACTGGCCGCCAAATTACATGCTTTGTCAACGCGTGTCCACACCGCTTCCACCGCAATTATGACCTTTGGGTCCATATGGGCAGCAAACATAATTACGCGGAGGATGACATCCGCGACTTATTTCTCCAGCGGGCTCTGCTCGGGGACGACCCTGAACCAGTCCCCGGCCATGTATTTGGGATTTACGGCCTTGAATTCGATACCGGCACTCCTTCGTGTGATCCTATGCCTGCAGAGACTCATACGGACCCAACCATGCTGCTGCCGGAGATTAGCACAGATTTCCCAACCTACCCTTCTCAAGCGACTACCGGGTACTATGACGCTGATCTTCTGATGCAAGAGGCCGCTCCTACGCCTACCTCTGCCTCCGTTGCCGACACCAAAATACCCAACCCCGACGACATGATGATGATCGATCCGTTCCTGGACTACAGTATGAGCATGGTTAATTCGTAGCGTGCGCTTGCTTTCATATATCCTCTTAGCTTTGACTGAGTATGGCGTTTGCGTATATTCTCTGTTTCTGTTCTTTCTCTTTTCTAGCTGGATCATGTCTGCTCTTTTCAAATATTATCTAGGAACCGAAGACAAGTCTCACTAATCAGCCAACGAAGTAATGAAAATGTCGAACATATGGTTTTCTCGTCGCGTAATAAATTACATATATCAACAAAGGAATTGCTACGAAATCTTCAAGTCTGGAGGAATCTAGATCCTTAGTTGATGCGATGTAGACTATCGTATCGTAGGAGCGAAGCTCGGACATAGTAGTGAGAAGTAGGAGGATCAGGGCAAGAGCACATACACAATCTCAGTCACCACCATCGTTTTCGTCACCCCTCAGTCGAGGCCTCGAACCACCACAGCTCGGTCACGTCAGGGAAGCCCTCAACTGTGCAAGGCCAGGTCCAGAAGGTATGCAAGACTCGAACAGCTGAGACAAGTATGTATACACAGAGCCTACCTGTTATGACTCAACAGGGAAAGGGCCTATGAAGCAACTCACTCCATGGCACATGCCCAAGCCTAAACTTACCAGGTAATGGTAGGTAGATAACAAGTCAGTAAGAAATAGTGAAGGATGCTAAGGGAAGTGAGTCATGCCCTGCATGGCGACATCAGCCTGTGTTTCAGTGCAAATGTAAGAAAAAGTCTATAAAGGCCCGGAACATTCTATAATGAAAAAAAATATCAGGGCTCCGCTTCACATAGGCCAAACAAAAAAAATCACAAAAAGAAGTGTAGACTGGAGATTATGGGACAGGCAGGTGTTTATAGATAGTAGTATGTTTTGTTTGTCTTTTTGTCTTTTTCTTTACAGTAACTGGGCAGATGCAGTGCAATGCGCTGAGATTCGACCCCCAGCTCGCCGCTCGGTTGACCGATTGCTCGCTCTTCGATTCTTCGAAGGCTAAACGGAGAGAAACCACGATTGAGTCGATGAGGTCTGCAACCCAAGGATCAAAGGAGAGAGTGAGGGGAAAGTAAGAGAACGTAAACAGTAAAAAAAGAGAAAAAAGAAAGATCTCGTACCAACCGGCCAAAGCAGAAGTAAAAATCCTATCTGTCTGAAGGTGATAGATATCTGGTCTAAGATTCCCAATGTAAGCTGAGTATCTTTTTTGCGTTTTTCATGAGTTTTTGGTATCGTCATTCATATGCTTCGTGACCGTGGTGCTCGAGTAAATCGCACATGTAGTAAGACCTCGTTTCACTAGATCTTTTTTTTTTTTTTTTCGAATGATGAAAGTGTCGATCAAACTGAGGAGGTAGGGAGCAGTTAGACGGTCTTGCTGCGAGAGCATGCGGGCTTCCTCTCGGGGGAAAGTGAGATAAAGTCGTACTCGTCAGATGTTCTGTGAAGAGAGTGATAGAAGGGTTAGCTTGAACTGTAGAATGAATAAGATAGGAGTGCTTACGCAGTCTCTGAATGGCTCCCATCTGGAGTGCAAGGCAGGGAAGCCAAAGGTTCACGAACAGGAGCATGAACAACTAGCTGCATGTCTCTGTGGCCAGAGCGGCGGCGCGAAGGAGCCCTATGAAGGCGAAAGTTGGCAACATTGTGCTGGACAAAAAGGGTCTTGTTATCGTAAAGCCCATCGGCAAGCCCGTAACTAGTTTTCCAAACGTCCTGGAAGTAGTCGACATTGCGGCTGGGGAAAGTACTGCTTTCCTGAGGGACACACAAGGATGGGGAGAACTGGGCTCCTCCGGTAGAGTATCTGTGGCGGGTAACACAATACAAAAACTTCAGGCGTTCGTCCTTCAGATCTGGCGACGGCTTGTCCAAGACAAACAGGCGGGCAATCTCACAGAACAGATGCACGGCTGCTAGACCCCGGGCAACACTGAGCCACAATGCAGTTTTGAGCATGAGATCGATGACATCGTTGTCAACGCCGAATGCAGCCCAGCTTGCTAGATCTCCTTCGAGTGCTGGCTGTTCCGATAGGCGAGGCGTCTGGGGCGACTTGGGAGGCAGCCATCCAGACGCACGTGCCTTGGCAGGCTCGTTCTTAGAGACATGCTCTTTGTAGAAGCGGAAGAAGGAGGTGAGCTCTATGTCGGAGCCGCCGTAGCTGTCCCAGTACAAAGATGCCCTGCATGCGTCTAGGCGATGTTGTCTCAAGCTAAGCATGCTGTCTCGTTCGACCGAAACAGGAAGAGTGCTGTAGAATGTTTCTACGATGTGTTATCCGTCAATTCAAGATCTTGGAGCCGCTCTCAACTTACTACCTACGCAGCTTGATTTGGTCATTGCCGCGCAAATATCGCTCTTGAAAGACTCGATCACACTGATTGATGCTTCGAGTTGGTCACAGGTCCAGGAGGCATCCGCACGTCTAGTGTTCATCCAGAAAATTGACGTTTTGGTTCCTTCACGAATGGGCTCTAGCAGTTGTCTCAGCATCTCCAGCTCGGTGCCAAAGAAGTTTTCATCGACGAGGTTCGTTTCGGTGGGAGAGACAAACTGATTGCCGTTATAGCAGCCAAGAAGCCAATGTTCCATGTCCAGTTGAATCCTCTGAAGGAGTTCAAAGCTCTGGAGCAAAAGCAGCAAAAAATGAGCGTAGGTGCCCGGGAAGAGGTTGGTTGCCAGCTTGGGAAGAGATGCGAGGACGACGCTCCGAAAGGAGCCGGGATCGAAGCCCTTGGTGAACTTGCCCATCAGGTCATCCAGCTTCTGGTTTTCAGCTTCGACAATTTGAGTGGCTTTCTCGTCGACTAGCGCATAAGGACTGCCCTGAGCATCGAACGGGATATCAACCGACTTGGTAGGGCCGTCTTCGGGCTCGGGAATAGTGGGAAGCACCTCCATAGTGGATGGTTGAAGCTCGAGGACGGTTCCACTTCAAAAATGCAGCAAAACAAGTGACAATACAGATAGGAGAAAACAAAAAGGAGTGAGTGACAGAACGAAAGGTTAAGTAGGTAATAAGTATGAGCCTCACAGAAGGCTCAGCCTCAAGACCTTGTTGTAATAGAGGTTAAGGGCTATGAAGGGTGAAAGAAGCATAACACAAAGTAGCAGAAGAGGAAAAATAGGGAGAGGCTATGACTGGGAATAACAATGGCGTCAAAGAGCACATTTCAGGTGGATGGTGAATGCAAACATTTCCATTGAATCGCCAGCAGCAACCTGGAAGGCCCACCACACCAACTCAGAACTCCCTCAATACCGGATTCGGAAGAATAGGACTCCCAGGCACGAAGTTTACTTCTGTCCCTCATTATTCGATATTGAATGATTATATCGGATGGAATATTAACCCTGCCCCGTCCACTGACTACCCTACCGTGATAGCCAAGCCAGACATCATACCCACCTCCGCAGAAACAGCACAGGCTGTCTTCCCTACCATTCCTTCATTGCTACTGAACCCTCAGTTGAAGGGTATTCCTCCATTTCTCAACCTATTGAGCCAGGAATAAACCGCGGCCCTGTTAGCGATTCCAGAATAGCTTGTGAGCCTTACACTCCTCTCTCGACGTTACAACGCCCCTTCCTGGGTTCTCTGCGAGTCGATCATCCAACATCTGAGAAGATTTATGCTGGACGACGGAGGTGAGTTTGCGCTTGTTGACCTTTTACCATGAGAGTAATCTTGGTTTGCATTTCCATGCCCTGAGTTGTCGCAGCAATGTCCTAATGATTGGCGGAGAAGTTGATGAAATCTCGATTGCAGAGGCCCAGTTTTATCCCCGTTCCCTCAACTTAATCGTTTATACCCCAACATCGACAATCCATACTCCAGCCACCGGTTTGCTATTCCTTATGATCGAGATGCTAAAGAGCGAGAACGGTTCCCCGAAACACCGAAGATATATCAAAGCTGGATGCATCGGCAGACGCGGGGATACTAAAGCTTGCAGATATGACATCGACATTGCCCCTCCATAGATAATATCGTTTGTTATAAGCGTGATGATGCCGAAGTTCTAATTGGGTCCGGGAGTAGGAAAGGTCCTGAGGTCAATGAATCCGCCTAGGCCTAGCCTCCACGGTTCAAAGACCTTCTAGAACGAACCGTTGGCCCTGCTGGATCACAGAATCGGAGCCGGCTGTTGTGGCGACCGTCTTGGACAAACATGAACAGATTCCAGCCCTCTAGCAGGTGGTATTGTATCAAGCTTTGCTACAGCCCTGGAACGTTGTAAGACGTTAAACCACCTTTCCAACTCTTACACGTATGTCAAATTATGCTAATTTGCATCTGCAGTTGTGGCTTAAATATAACCTGGTATCCTTGAGTGTTCTAACGATTTTGCCTCTATCTCGGCGACGCCATACCCTTGCAAGCTTTGGTCCAACGCCAGCGAGTGCAATATGTCCCAAGGCATGAAGAGTCACTTTCAATAGTGGTTCCTCGGCGACGCAACTGGCGGGTTAGAGGTGCGAACGCTGGCCTTGCCCGATCGGTTCATGAACTTCCATCCTTTTCATCGAAGGACTCTGTTTCTTTGAGACTCCATTGACACTACGCAATACACTTGGCCGCCTGGGTATTCGTACTTCGGTTTGCGGCCCTGACCCACGTGCACCATCTCCTCGGGCCCTGATTATGACCCACTATCAGCCGACCCCGGGGGTAACCAGCGCGGAAGCCGGGCCACAGGGCTTGGTCCTGAAGGTCGAGCTGAAGCGGAGTGGGTAATAACCTGGCCGTGGGAACAACCAGTGGCCGGACACCTTATGCATCTGGAAGAGCCAAGAGGTGAACGTGGCGCTGATGGCTATTATCCGCACATAACAGCGGAACTCCGAAAGTACTAGGTCAATTTTAACCACTCCTGTGCTGAGACTCGCTGAAAATACAACGTTATCCTCCAAGGCCTTGCTCCGGGCCGCAGGGCTGACTTGGAGCTGACCCGGGGATAATGGACGGATTTTACAACAATTTGTACAACTCATTGCAACGTCCACTACTATAAAAAGGACCTTCAGATTCGCCATATCGACAACTATTATCCATCATCTCAAATCCACTACGTCCGCTACTATTCAAATACATACCACTGTGAACATGCCTCAACTCGTTGGTAAAGAAGTCGGCCCCATCGGCCTAGGCCTGATGGGCCTCACTTGGCGCGCAACCCCTCCTTCCCAAGAACAAGCCTTTGCGACTCTCCGCGCCGCTATCGCTAACGGCTGTAAGTCTACTCCTTGCTCAATTTCTCCACATTGCATCCACAGTCAAGAGACCTGACAATAAAACGAATCTAGGCACCTCCTGGAATGGCGCCGAATTCTATGGTACCCCCGAATACAACAGTCTTGTCCTTTTAGAGCGGTATTTCGAAAAGTACCCCGAAGACGCGGACAAAGTTGTCCTCAGCATCAAGGGCGGAATGAACCCCGATACCCACCAGCTCGATGGCTCGCCTGAGAACACCCGACGCACGCTCGACAACTGCATCGCGCAGCTCAAGGGCCGCAAGAAGATTGACATGTTTGAGTTCGGGCGTCGTGATCCAAACGTACCCCTCGAGGTTACATTTGGTGTGGTTGAGCGCGAATATGTCCAGACGGGCAAGATTGGCGGTATTGCGCTGAGCGAGGTTCGCGCGGAGACGATTCACGAGGCCGTGAAACACACCAAGATCGTTGCGGCTGAGGTGGAGCTTTCCATGTATGTTCCTTTCAACTCGAACTTAATCTGTGCGCCTTATTGACTGATTAGGTTCACCCCCGATATCCTGAACAACGGCATCGCAGATGCCTGCGCGCAATACGGAATTCCGATCGTCGCTTACTCGCCCATGGGACGGGGCTTGTTGACAGGCCAATTCAAAAAACACGAGGACTTGCCCAAGGACTCACTGCTACTGCAATTCGGATTTCCGAGATTTCAGCAGGAAAACTTTGAGAAGAACTTGCAGCTGGTTAACAAAGTCGAGGAGATCGCCACGCAAAAGGGCTGCACTCCTGCGCAGTTGGCGATCGGGTGGACGATCGCGCTGTCGCGGAGATTGAACACCACCATTGTCCCAATTCCGGGAGCGTCGACGGCTGCAAGAGTTGAGGAGAATAGCAAGTTTGTTGAGGTCTCGGACGAGGAGTTGGCGCAGATTGATGAGGTCCTGAAGGGATTCACGACTGCGGGGGAGCGTTATCCTGCTGCCATCCAGACCAACACTTAGCTCACCTCATTAAGTGGTCAACAGTTGCAGCGCATTTACACGTCTGGTTTTTAGTTACGCGAATCTTGTTTAAACCTGCAATATAATTCTATCTCTCCTCCAAAAGCTTACAACAACCAGACACCCATGCCCTGCGCAACAGATATAACAGAGTCCAGCGCTTTCTATAGTGAACCGGAATCGATCATCAACAAAATACACCTCGTAACCGCTCCATGTAGAATCGATGCGTTGGAGGACCTTGCGAGGGTCCACTTCGGAACTTCCCGCATCGGTGCTAACCCTAAGTCCGACCCGCAAGCCGCAAATCCTAGTAAGCATCAGCCACCAGCCTGAGGTCGCCCGATGGCGCAGAACTAATGTGAATATCCAGATCTAAGCCAAACAGAATAGGCTCGCAGGCAAGCGGAGCTTAGGTACTAGTAATCAGGGACCGCCTACTTAAGACCCGTGGACGCACCTTCCTATCTTGAAGCAGAAAGGAACGGTTTCCAACCGCCATTCGTTCCTTCCTTCTATAGTTGGCTGGCTGAGCAAGGGAAGGAGCACAAGCATGGGTCGTCTTTCCTTGTACGCCACATGATATTGAAAAGGATGGTGCGATCCTGCCATGTACCTTCCTAGATCAGAATAGGAAGGAACCAGGGGCCAAGGTGCTGGTCGTTCTTTCCCTCATAAGTGGTCAACTTTTAGGGAAGGAACGATCGCGGTGGCTCCTTCCTTCTATACCAAATCAAGTTGATACGGAAGGCGCGACCCTGCCATGCACTTTCCTATGATGGATTAGAAAGGGACGATGCACCGCCGAGGCCCAAGGTGGTCATTTCTTCTTTGATAGTTTCTTAGTCAAACAGAAAAGAAGCGATCAATTCGGTTATCATAAGACATAGACCGAGTCTGTTTCTACTCACAAGCTAGGTGCGATATATCGTCGCGGCCCAAAGCCAATAGAGATAGCGCGAAGGGACCTCGGAGATAATTCTATCATGGGGCCATAGTGGCTTGCAAGCCGCCCAACACTTGAATATCAGTGCGCTCTCTTCATATACTGATCCCTATGATTCTCCGCTCCTGAATCGACTCCGCTTAGCCAGTCTGCTAAGTTGTTTCCGAGTCTCCGATATGCATGGTTCTGGTAGATATTGGAGAGGCGCTACGGATTAGATCTCTCGCGTAAGCACTCGTTTTGATGGGGTATTATATCGTGCCCCAGATTACCCCGACTTCGAGATTGATAGGCGCATCAAAAATGGCCATGTGAACATGTAACACATTCAGGTTCGTCAAGGCGTCGGCCATTCTCTCACACACCACAAACCAGTTTTGATCACTCCGTAGCTTGATGGGGCGTAGGGTAATTCTTCAGTTCAATTAGATGATCAACGATTGAAGCCACCGGGTTTAGGACTTTAGGTGGGGGCTAGGCAGAGGCTAGAGTTCGGGCACAAGTGTACTACGGGCTTAAGGGCCGCTGGAGATATCACAGGTAGTATACGAGCAATCACTACAACGTACTAGAATATGCAGCGTGTGTAGAGCCTGCAGATATATCTATGGCACGCGATTAACGTCCAGTTGATTCGATATTATATCTATCGAGAACTTCTGAGACACCAGCAAACATGGCAACATGGCAGCTCTACACTTCCTCCACTCGTAGCTCTTCGTGACTCCGCCACTCCTAGCCCACGACTTTCCAGGCCAAGCAATCACCATAACTGGCGGGAACCGCGGCCTAGGCTATGAAGCCGCTCCATCCCCTCGGTATCCAGCGGTCGAGCGGTAAAGGATACTCTTGAGAGAGATACAGGGCGACGCAGTGCAGTTGATTTATACGAGCTCGGCATGGCGAGCCATACCTCTGTGCAACTGTGACGGGGAGGAAGGCAGTTGATAGGATTGATGCCGTGTTGCTTAATGCTGGGATATTCACTTAGGACTTCGTGCCCTAGGATGGGTACGAGAGTACACTGACTGTGAATGAGACTAATACGTTTCTCCTAGCGGCTCTGCTCGTGGCGGTTCTACGCTAGCCTGCGGAGGCTTATGGTATCCTTCCTCGTCTGAGCATCGTGGCGTCTGATCGCCATGTCATGAACAATCTGCCCGAGTGGAAGGAGGAGAATACTGCCCGGCTACTGAACGATCCGAAACGGGCAACGATGAGCCAGAGATATGTCTTCCGTACCCTTCAGTACCAATAAGGATGGCCTTGCTCCCACTGGTGTCGATTAGGTACCCCGTCTCCAAGCTTCTGCAGATCTTGCTCGCCAGAGCCATGGCGAAGAGACTCGTGGATGCAGATGGCAAGCCAACGGTCGTAGTCAACTCGTTCACGCCAGGGTATACGCACTCGAGTCTCATGAACAATGCGTACGGGGTTACGGCGTCAGCAGGTGCGTTGCCTGCAAAGAATATAGCGCGCAAAACAGAGGTGGGGTCTAGGGCTCTTGCTGCGGCTGTTTCGATGGACGCGGAGAGTCATGGGAAGTCTATGAATGATAGTGAAACTGATGAGTATGTCTTTCTTCTGTTATTGTCGGGTATCCAGCTAATGGAACTACCTAAGGTTTGCATTATCTCCGTTTGTGCGCAGTGCAAACGGGGCGAAGGCACAGGAGAAGATGTGGAAGGAATTATTAGACATCCTGGAGATAAGGTGGTTGGTATTAGTCGTGTTCTTGGTTAGCTGTGCGATGTGTAGTTATTTGGGTTGATGATATACTCCTCATACACAATGCCTCGCATTCCGAATACTCGCTACTGGTTGACTGTAAGCGAGGTCCCGCGGAGAAGATGGCATTTTAACGGAAGGCTAAGATGGCGGTAAAATGGTGGTTTGCACGAACGAGGCACAGTACGGAGTATAGCGCAGATATTCTGATCTGGGCTGAGGGTATCCTTGGCGCGAGGGAGGGGGGATGTGGCTGGTCATCACTCGCCGGGTAGGTCAGTGCAGAGGAGGCTAGACGCTCGACACCGGGATATAGGTTTTCTCTCCGACATGCGGACCCTTGTACCGAACATAGCGCCTAGACTCTTCCATGTCACGCTCGCCGGAACATCTCGAGGGTTGTTATGAAAGGATAATGCAGGACATGACTGGATCCCACTGTCTTGACCTACTAAGCACCGTGAACAACGCAAAGCCATTCGGCCGCGAGCTTCGAAACACCATTTTTAGCTGCAGGGCAGTACATGCCTGAATGGAAGGCACATCAACACATTGGATTAATGGGGTTGGAGAAAGCGGATGTCTAGCATTGATGCTCAGCTGGATAGCGCGCATGCCGGCCCAGTGTCCACAAATTGACCCGGAAAGCCGGGTCCAAATGTTTGCTATGGAGTCGGCGATGACAGATCCTTTTCATCGGTGGCGCCGTTGGCGAGGCATTTGCAATTGCCACACAGTATCGACAAGAAACCTAAGAGAGTTTCAAATTTTCTGTCTGTGTTTAGAGAGGGGAAAGTAAAAGTAAAGGCCGGCGAAAGTGAGTGGGTGAATGCTGCCCGGCGACGTCGGGGATGGCGGTTCACCTGCTTGATCGGTTCCGCCTCGGGCATTGAGAGGCTCGTTCATTGGGCGGTGTCTTTCAGATGCTGGGATTGTCAATTGGGGAAAGGCCGTGCTTTCATTGAATAGTTGGGAGAGCAAGGTTATGCTGCCGGGGGTTCCTGGTCAGTGCTACCTTGACTGCAAGAGCTTGGGCTGAGTGGAAAAGCTCAGCTCACATACTGGCCATCACTTGACCAGATCTGGGTTAAGACTTCAAGACCAGAGTATAGGGTCCTGACGAGCACTCCATTCGGATGTTCTCCATTATCTTGGCTGTCAGCCTGATACTGAAGGTGCTCGAGAAATTGAAAATAGATCTCGGGACCATGCGGGCGTTGCGCACTAATGCAGATCAAATCTCTAGTGTATGCATACTCGAACAGCAGGGCTGGAGCCTAGTTTCGTCGATACAGCAAAGAGAAGCGCTGCATTGAAAAGTAGTAAACCGTTGCCGATGTTGACATTGGTTGAAGTAAAGGCCGAGTGGGTCCTTTAGCGAAGGTAGCGCACAGCTTGAACCTCTCAAGCTCATCACCGCTCCGGTTTGGGATCAATTGTCTGGTTGACTCGGCCCGCCAATCGTTGAGGTCATACCCGCCGCTGCCGTTCCTCGCCCGGTAGGGATCGCTGTTAGGACGCGTCAGGGAGCGCTCATCAGGCTGAGAGCTCAGGCCATCGGGCTGAGTGACAACTATCGAATTGTTCGAGGTTGATGCTTTCGAAAGGACGGTGAACTACTCCGTATGTCTGCGAAAATCCACAAAAGGATAGTTCCCACTTGAACAGACAATGAGCATTAGTATTGCGCTCTGTCAGGAGAGACCAAGAATATGACTGGCAGAGTCACTTTCGGTGAGATTGATCTCAGGGCACCATGCAGCCACCGTAAGGCTGGCAGGGCCAACATGAAAAGGAGGTGATGTGGTGATGATTTGTTAGCTAAGAGCTGACTGTTTCTGCGGGAAACAGACTATTGCGCCTAGTCTGCAATAACAGGCTAACCACTCCATAGCAGCGAGCTTGAAATGGAATTATGGAGTCTGGATGAATTAATAAGTTAATAACCACGTCTGATGAACGCTTGGCTGGACAACCATTTGGCTGAATGTCTCGGTTCGCCTCGTGGGGAGAAGAATGGATTCGAAAAAAGGGGATGGAAGCCATCTAAGACATGCAGGGCCTGTGTTACTATATTTGGCTGCGGGCGGTATTTTGCCGTTATGCTTTTCGCCTTTGTTGGGGGATGAAGAATTTCTCAGTGTTCACATGTCCTGGTCAGCTTGTCAACGATGCCCAGCAGACGAAAGTTTTGGCAAGGCGAGATTATAAAGAGCTCAGGGCTGTTGAACGCGCGGATTAATTTGGCAGCTTGGCATTAAGTCGCAATAGCCTATTATTATATACCCGACTGCAAGCGAGTTGGACACGACAAGATCAAAAAAGCAACAGGCGCCCTATCTGGAATCGGTGGAGAGCTGCAAGCCAGAAAACCTCTGATCCAACGTCGATCTTGGAATCGCACCTAAAAGTCACGTACGTACATGGTCCTGCTGCAGTGTCTGGTTGAGCCACAGGTGATGACGCCAGTCACCGGCCACTGTGCCACCGCCCTCAGTGTCCCTCCTGCTCTTCGTTCAGCTGCTTGAATTGGGGCTCTGTTGCATTCCAATTCAAAGTTTCAGTCAAAGATCTGCCCAACTCCCCTCAAAAGCCAAAAGAAAGAGTCAGGCGAGTCAAGACGGTGTGGCTGAGACTGCGGTCTGGGCGGTTGGAAAACGGTTACACTTTCCACACTTCAGGACCCACGGAGCATCATCTCAACCTCCGCCGGATCCCCGTCTCACCTCAAGCTGCTTGTCTTTTTTCTTTGCTGCCTCCTGTGCCACTCACTTCTCTTTCATTCACCCTCGCTGCTCTTCTTTTCTTTCTCCTTCAGTCTCCTCGCTGGGTATCCCGACTCCTGCCCCCTCAATCGACCTTGGTAGTGTCCAACTGACTCGTCTAGTCAGGCGCTGACGACTCCCGCGGTCTTGCGCCATCCGAACCAAGGACCAATTCAACTTGGCCGCCCGTCCATCTTTACGTTGCCTCCGTGTCATTCGCTCGTCTCCCCACACGCTTATTCTTTGGCCACATCTATGGACTCGGTCGGCCAGATTTAACCTTGGCGGGTCTTGACACTCTGTCGCTATCTCCGTGCGGAGGAGCCGGAGCCCAAAAGCCAAAACACCATCTTCAATTGTTCCCCTCCCCCTCTGTTTCTTCCTTTTCTTCCACTCGCTCGCTAGTCCTTCGTTTTTAAAGTCCTAGAGAAGCTGGCCTTCTGTCCCCGTGTGAACCAGATCAGTTATCGCAAGCATGGTTCGCTCACGCGGTGAGTCCCGCACCTCCGATTGGATCAACCTTGACATTCCCGGCAAATCGCTGACGTCCCTTGCGTTTCTAGTGCGGTCGTTCTTATCTTCGTTTGGTGGATCTTCGCGCAAAGCAAGTCCTGACAGAAGTAATCGAGCATCTAATCCTCCATCGAGATTCGATACACCGTCTCCAGACACACCATCTCCACACGATGGCTCCCCGTCAAAAGCTGAGCGTCGCATGTCGCGGCCTGGCTCAACGGTCTTTTCGCACAATCCCCCGTTCATGCACCTAGCAGAGGACACTCCCGCCGAACTCCAGCGCATATTCTCCTATCTCAACAGTCATACGAACAAGCTGTTTTACGAGGGATATTTCCTGAAACTAAATGATCTGGACAACAGTGGGTACCACTTCTTGCACCAAAGTTTCGTGACTGACTTCCGTAGATGGCCGGCCGTGTGCTGATCGACAGTGGGTGGAATGCTATGCTCAACTGGTTGGAACTGTCCTATCTATGTGGGATGCTACTGCGCTGGACGCAACAGGCAATGCGGATGAAGTTCCTCCAACATTCATCAACCTCGCAGATGCATCCGTCAAAATGGTGAGCTTTATTCTCGAAGAATAATGGACACATGCTGATTGAAGCAGATTGATAGCCTCCCTACACAAAACCAAGCAGGTGCACAGTCCCTCCAGAACGTCTTGAGCGTCTGCTCGGCGGGCCAAAATCGATACCTCTTGCATTTCGACTCGCCGGACACCCTGATTCAATGGGCAGCGGCGATCCGCTTAGCGATGTATGAGCATACTTGCCTGTACGAGGCGTATACCGGTTCTATTATCGCGGCAAAGGGAAGAGAGCTCAACGGTATCAGCGCAATCTTGGAGCGCAACCGGTTCAAGCATGAGGATTGGGCCCGAGTCAGGTTTGGAGCTGGAACCCCTTGGAGGCGTTGTTGGTTTGTGATTACTCCACCAGATGAGAAAGAGCTTCAGAAAGCGCGGAAAACCATGAAGAAGAAATCCGCCTACGATCGCGCGCCGAGGCTGGTAATAGGCAACATCAAGTTCTACGAGACGAAGAAGACAAAAAAAGTGAAACCTATTGCGACCATCACCGACGCCTACTGCGCCTATGCCATCTATCCCCAGTCAAAGGCTTTGATTGACCAGTCAACGCTGATTAAAATCGAAGGAAATTTTGTCCTGCACTCGCAGTCGGAGGCAAAGAACGAGGGCTTCGTTTTCGTAATGCCAGAGGTTCATCCCGCTGTGAGTGGCTTTGAGATCATGCTTCGCTTCCTAATTCCGACCTTCGACACTTTCAATCTTTATGGACGGCCCACGCGACTCATTGCCGCGGTAAACCACATCAAAAGCATCATGTTCGCCTTCCCTGATCAAGAGCGCTACGACTACATCGACCTGGTGGATGTCGCAAATCTAATGCAGACTCCCGAATCCCGCAACTGGAGCGAGGCAGAGTGGAGGAAGCAGCTCAAAGATGCAACCGCACGCCGAATGGCAAACACGAGCAGTCGAACAAGCAGCATCTCGGCGACGAGGCCGCGCTTCCGCACGAGTGTCCCAAGCCGATACAGCAATGTTCCCACCGACCCCTCCAGACGCAAGGGCCCCTTCCCAGAATATATGCCTGCTTTCAACCAATCAGTAGACGCTATAGTTCAGCAAGTTCCCAAGGAAGGATCATATCCGCAAGCTCAGCACTCCCGAAGCATGTCCGATACTGCAGGATTTGCTCCCAAACACCTCCAGAGCTCTGCCATGGAAGACTCTGCGACATCCTCGGCCCATGACTTGACAGAGAGCCCTATCGTCGGCACTTCTCCGGACCGGAGTAGCTCCGAAGACGACTGGAAACGGTATTCTGAACAACAACTTCCTTCAGCACCCGTACCCACGCAGCAATTTGCGGTTCGAACACCTCCGTCCGATGTCGCTCCACCTCCCGCCTTCACCCATAACCCCAGGGAGAGGCCTTCTACTAGGCCAGAGCCGTCACCCGATGCGCGAAGAGCGAATGTGCGCATGTCTGATGCCACTCTTGCTCAGCTTGTCGCTGCCTCCGGCAATATGAACTTTGCAGACAGACCTACCACGTCAGCAAGTCATGGCAGCAGCGACCGCGCGAATAACACTTCTGCGCCGCTACTTTCATCACACGGAGTATCAGGTGCACCACAACTTGGCCCTGCATTTGCTAGCTATATTACCCCGCGGACTGAGCCACAAGAGCAGGGTCCGCCCGTGCCTGAGCATAGCTTCGGGTCTGTCAGCCCGTCATCACCCAGACCATCACCCAGACCGAACAGAATGAGCACTCAAAGTATACGCGTTGATACGGAGAAGGCTGTGAAGCGGAAGCCTGTAAGCCAGATCGCCAGCCCTCAAGATTCCGTTAGCGAGCCGAGTTTCGACGATCTCCGTCATACTGTTGATGAAGATGCATTGAACCTAGTCGGTATCGTTGATCGTCCAGCCATCTTCTCACCTCCACCGCGGCCGCCGATGCGCCAAGAAACAGGGAGTGTCTACGAAGACGACGCGTCCACAGCGTCTCCTGATTATGCCAGCACCCACGGATCTTTGTATAGCAAGAACTCGGTGAAGTCAATCCCCAAGCGAATGGGTGTGATGAAGACAGTGGGAACGGAAGAGCCCAAGAACTTGGTTATCGGTGATGCGCAATATTCGCTCGACACTAAGCCAGAGGTCAACCCGGATATCCCCGCTATCGACTTTGGGCCGACTTTGACCTATCTACCCACTACCGGCCGGCCCAATACATCAGACACGCTGAAGAAGTTTGAGCATCACAGAACTGGCTCCGATGCTACGGAAAAGCAGCGGTATTCTCGTCACATGGACGGTAACCATTCAAGGTCGCCAAGCCGGGACGAGTACCGTCGGAGCGTGCTGTGGCAGCCAGGAATGGCTGTACCACGACCGGTAACCCCAGGGAATGGTCTCACACCAGAGCAATTTGTGCAACAACGATCAGCTGCTAGTCCACCGATCCATGTCCACCACCGATCCCCTTCAACCTCAACAGCAACTCCACCTCCTCGGCCCGTGTCTGGGGATTGGATGGCTCATGCAAGGTCTCCGTCTCAGATGAGTCTGAACCGCGATAATCACCCGCGGCCGAAGTCTCGTGGTGCTAGCAGTATGATCAACCACACTGACATTGCGTCTCACCTTTCGGCCCGCGAGCAAGAGCATGTTGCTCGTATGACAGGCTCGTCCTTTTTCAATCTGTCTAGTGAAACAAAGAAGACACCTCCTCCTGTCAATCCCATGGGTTTAGTTGGAGCTATTGATGCCCGTGAGCAGGAGAAGAGGCTGATGAAGGAAGGCATGTCAAATCAGATGGTGCAGCATGCGATTGCTCAACGCCAGCATCACTGGCAACACCAGCCGCAGCCACAGTTGCAGCATCAGCAGTTTGCCCCCACGACCCCGCCTCAATCCTATGCAGTTCAAACAGGCGCCAACAGCATTTACAATATGCCTACCGCAAGCCGCACGTGGGACGCCTTGAACCAGTCATACCGGCCTGAAGAGCCGCGTCGCCAGTCTTGGTACAACCAGCTACAACCACCGCAGACAGCACCATCTATGCATCCCACAACCCAACCTAGTCCTCAGCCTGGATATTTCAACACTACCCATCCGTCGTACTACTAAGCCATCATTCTCATCCTCTCCTTCCGTCCCTTTCTACCGACCGTTTCCTACATATTCACTCCAACACTGCACCACTTTCTCTTCAATTTATGATCTGCCTGTGATTCATCATTTCCTTACCCTCTCGACTGTCTGCATACAGGAAACTTTTGCATATTAGACCTAGATCTCTCATTTTCCATCCCAGGTTTACCATCGTTGGTTGCTCTCATTTGTTTACATTTCTTTTTTTTTTTTTTTTTTTTTTTTCCCTTATATTCAGCCTCATAGCAAATGCTTCGCACATTAGTGGAGTTGTGAGATTTGGGTCCGGCGCTGAGGATTCTCTTTTTTTCAGATTGATTACCGTCATCCTTGTGCATTACTGCCATCATCATCTACTTGTCTTCTTTGAAACTTTGGACGGATGCAAAAATTGGTGTTTTATTTAAACCTCTCCGGATCAGTTGCATAGCATTTTTGTCTAGCCTGAGTGGAATACATATACTTGCTTTTCGTTCTGAATCTGAGTCGTCGATCGCTGCGAAATTGTAAATGTTGCTGCCAACCGATTTTGTGTCAGCCTTGAATGCTGTTGGAGACTTGGAGGACAAGTCTCAAGTCTGGCCTCTTCTAATCCCATAGAACTGTGCCATATTTTTCTACTGCTCTTAGGAATTCCTTTCAACACTGTAATTAAGCAGCAATGATTTGTTTCATTTATTGATTGATATAGAACTTTATCCCAAAATCCAGAGTACATGCGTAAGAAGCAAAGCGAATCCGAATCTGAATATACATGAAACAGAAATCCGAAACGCCTTAATTGCCAATGATCCTTTATTCCTCTTCCAAAATATCAATCGCCCAGTCGACAGCCCCTTCTACCTCCGTGTTTCTTAACTTTCATACTTCGGTTGGTACTTTACGCCTCATTTCGCTTCGCGCGAGCCTCTGTACAGGTGTGTCCGCTGATTCGAGGTTATCCACTTGGGCATGGACAGAGGCGCATTGATTTTGTTAAGTTGGTTTAATTCGAGTGCAGTTTCTTGACTCGGTTGACACCCTCATAGAGAGTTCGGTCGATCGCAGCCGCAACAGTAAGTGTACCACCAACGATGGCGCAGACACCAGTCAAGAAGCCCGTGAAGGTCTTTGGTCTCGCCTCGCGGTTGATGACCTTCATTGGGGAGATGTCATAGTTAAAGAAGACACCGGGGATACCGTTTGCAGCGTGGATACGCTCCTTGTGGCCCTCGTCCGAGGCATCACCGCCGCGCAGCGAGCGCTTGTGCGATGTTACCGAGTATTGGTGTGTTTCGATGCTTCCCTGGGGCCCGAGGCCGAGACCTTGGGCACCGAGCGGGGCGGAATCGGCCGAGCCGTGGATGGCGGCTGATTCGAGGGGGTCCCAGCCGAGTGGGAGGTAGGAGGTTGAGACGACCTTGATGAAGTACATGAAGCTGAAGCCCGGCTCGGTGGACTCCTGCTTTGTGCTGTCGAGCGGGTTGGTGTGGTGGTGGTCAGTCCATTGCCAGCGGTCGGAGAGCTCGTCTGGGAGCTGGGGGCCGAAGCGCAGCTGGTGGATGGTGTGCGTCATGGTGTGCTGCTCGTTTGCGGGGAGGTCGATTTCGAGGTAGTTCTGGATGTCGTGGACGTGGAGGTTCCCGCTTGAGAAGCTGCGGCCGGGAGCGATGTGGAAGTTGCCGACGACTTTGTTGACGCGGATGACGCCCTCGAGGCGGCAACCTTCGCGGCGCTGGGCGTCGATGCGCTGTGCGTAGCCTTCGCGCTCACACTGCTCAATGTTTGCGCCCTTGCCGAAGGCCCACTGCTGTTGCGCATAGGCATCGCGGACTTCGTCGCAGGTGTTGCAGCAGCCTTGTTTGATGGCGTTGGGGGGAGCTGGTGCGCCGCCGCATTCACCACAATAGTCGGGGTCCATGTGCTTGGCTACTTCTTGGTGGCTATAGGGATGAGTTAGCTGGTGCTGTAGGATGGGGCGCAGCAATTCTCACAGTTCCAATGCCTGGATATCCAGTACGCGACCTCCCTCCGAGGCAGGTGAGAGGCGGACCTTGTTCACGCCGTGCGCGACCCCAACTTGTTGTTCGCCGGAGACATCCATCACGTCCAGTGTCGTAAGCTCGCAAGGCAGACGGGGAAATGTAATGTTCAGATGGATCTCCATCTTCTCTCCTGTAATAGCGCAGCGATTGTGATCAGCTAACCGAGTCCCCGCATGGCTTGTGCCAGATTCCAGTGTGGTGTATGGTACCTCTTGACTTATCGACGACCAGCTCCGGCAGAACCACCACCCGTCTGTAGTCTACCCATTCTCCCCAGACAAGCCACAGAACAATAAGCAGAGAGGCAATCGTAATGACACCACCGGAGGATGTGCGGATGCGTGCCTCGTCGACTGTTTTGGCGAAGGCGTCTAGCCTTGTGAACCGTGATTTGGCCGGCATGGCTACAATCGATCGACGATCATACGGTTGTGCGTTTCGAATGGATCCTAGGACCAGCTAGGCCCAAAGGGCGACGGCTTCTAGCGTGCAACTGACTGTCAGCTAGGCTCGACGTGGTACACAAAGAAAGAGGTGCACCAGCAAGTTCTAGTATGCAGGCCAGGTATCGCCGCAAGAGAACTCACCTGAGCTGGAGAGGCCGGAAGAGAGACAGCGCGAGGAGCCAAGTGCGAGTCTCCAGTCTCGTCCGCAGATGTGACCCTGCGAAATGAGGTGTCCTGGTGTTGCGCAAACTGGAGAGAGCGAGGGAGGAGTGGCTGTTTCGATTCCTTTGCTCAACACGAAACTCGTAATCTATTCCACACTGAAGAATGCGTGGTATGTAAGGTAATTACACCGAGCTGCCAAAGGACAAACCGCAATCGCCGATTGGTCGAGTGAGGGATCCGCTCTGTTCCTGAAGCACAATCACGTGCTTTGAGCCCCATCCGCTGCCACCTAAGCACGTGACACAGCTGCCTGCGGAAATTCCAACGTCACTGGCACTTTTTCTGCGCTGGTTCCCGCCTTGGACTTTTTTTGCTTGTCAAAGCCGCAAACCGGAGGCGCGTCATCGCTTTGTTGATCTAAAACAACCCTCAGGTCTTCTTTGACGACTCCTTGTGTCAACTTTTTCTCTTTGATACATGCCATAAAACTACTGCGAGTCACTGAGGCGCTCAGCGCTTTGTTTCGCCTGAGAGCAGCCCAACACGAAATCCGACCTGCTCCTACCCCTCGACCTTCCTCGTCTCTCCTCCTACCATATTTTATCACATACTACGTCGCTTTACCGAAACCATGATGAAGAGAGGCAGGGCTTCTCGCGGAACCACACGAGGCCGCGGTGGTGGATCTTCGGATCGTGGAGGCATTCGCAAGCGGGGTGCACCGACAAAAATTGATCGGGATGGTGATTTGGCGATGGGGGCAGGCGCAGGCGCCATTCGTGGGCAGAAGACGCGGGGTGGCCCTGGTCGCTCGGCCCTCTCTGGGTCCCGAACGCACACCATCGACAAGACCATGGACGCTATTCAAAAGGCGATAACTAGCGGCTCCAGTTCACAAGCGAATATTCGACAAGGTGGTCGCGGAGGTGGATTAGAACAGGTCTCCGTCACTGGGTGGAAGCAGAGCAAGGCAGCCTCCAACCGCGACGGCGGCGTCGAAAGCCTGGTCACTTTTCTCGAGAAAAAACTCACCGCACCCGATTCGAAAGCTGGCGCGCGCGCAAGAATATCCAAGGTATGTGCAACACTACAACTGGCGGTCATCGACATGAAATACCACCGTCGTCCTCTCCGATGTGCTCTCGTTTCCAGGGATGGTACCTACAAAACGACGATCGGCGGATGCCTAAGCTCAATAGGCGCTTGTTCCTTTGGATGACTGCGGATTTCAAGGTCTCTTATGCCTTGCTAACTTTGCTTAGTCGCGGGTCGAAGGCGACGCTCTAATCGCGTCCATCCGACCGGAATTACTAGAAAGAATGCTTAAACTTGATGGCTTCAGTTTTGCTGGAGCCCCTCTCGCGATTGAGAGATACGATCAATCCTCCGCCCCTCTGCTGGACGCGGCTATGTCGACACAGAACGGCGCACCGATGTCAACTGCAGACACAAAAGCGAAGATGACCGCGATACTGGGACGGCGCTATTACCAGCAGTCGAAACTGCTCGACCTCTCCAAGCTGGCGACCGATCCAGACTTGATGTCAATGGGAATCTTCGGCTCAACTTCTACCGAATCCAAATTCTTCCCCGCCCTCATGAAAGTGTGGGATTTGAATTTCGACAACCCAACGGCTCGGCGCGAGGCTGTCGAAAGCGTCAGCCTTGCAGACAACCAACTTCCTAACGTCGCTTTCGTTACGACGCTTTCACAAACGTTTCCCGATCTGAAGAATCTCGACCTTTCAAACAACAATTTCAAAGACGCTCAGGCTCTTATTGCTTGGCGGTGGAAGTTCCGAAAGTTGCAATTCCTCGATCTCACGGGGAATCCCTTCAGCGCTGATCCTACATTCAAAGACACTATGCTCAAATGGTATCCGGAACTCCGAACCCTGAACAACACACAGGTGCGCACCGAAGAAGAAATCGCTGCGCAAAAGAAAACTCCGATTCCCGTCCAAGGCCCTCATTTCCACGATGAATCTCAGATTGCTGAGAATTTCATCCGATCCTTCTTCTCTGGCTATGACAACAACCGTGCCGAACTTATCAATGGCTTCTACGATAACAACTCCACATTCTCCCTCAATGTCAACACATCCGCCCCGAAAGCAACACAAGCCGAAACCGCCCCTTGGGATCCATATATCAAGAAAAGCAGGAATCTGCTAAAAATCAGCCACCTCCCTGCGAGAATGTCCCGCACATCCACCGGTGCGGAGAAGATTCGTGAACTCTGGACAACACTTCCGCAGACGCGGCACCCCGACATCGCAACGCAACCCGAGCAATGGCTGATTGAATGTTTCCCGATACCTGGACTTCCTGATATCTCGGGCCAGAGTCCGACCGGTGTGGGAGGTTTCCTTATCATGGTACACGGAAAGTTTGAAGAGAGTAATGCAGGAAAGGTAGAAACACGAAGCTTCGACCGCACGTTCATTCTCGGACCCGGTGCCGGCGTTGGAGGAATCAGAGTCATCAACGATGTACTTTGTCTGCGCGCATATGGTGGCCACGAGGCATGGCAGCCGGAGCCTCAACCCGCAGTCCCTCAACTCGCCGGCGCCCCCGTTGCAATTCCAGCGGCGGCCCCGACTGGCCCTCCTGGATACGGCACTCCAGCTCCAGGAAAGTCCGACACCCAGGTGCAACAGGAGCAGCTCATCATGCAGCTGAGCGCCAAGACTATGATGACTTTCCAATATTCGGAACTGGCGCTTTCAGGAAACGGTTGGAATATGGATGCTGCCCTGAAGAACTTTGCGGAGTTAAAGGTATGCTTTGTATGCTCGCTTTTATCGGACTCCTACTAATTACTCAAAGACCCAGGGGACGTTACCCCCAGATGCCTTCATTCCAGGAGCTACCGTTTAGTTTCAGACTTCACACATACACACGAATCCCTCACGCTACAACCTCCTTGGATCGCGACAGAAGACGACTTATTCACTCCTTTTTCTTTTGACTGGGTATTTGATTGATTGATTGATGCATGGCTTAGGCGAATGGTTACTACAGGATTCTTTTTATATTACTACCAATATCCCACTACATGTACTATAAAGACAAAGATCACGAAGAAACGTCCTATAGAGAAGACGAAACAACACATTGAATTTGTTGCTTCATCAAGTCTCGATATCTAGATAAATTAAAAATAGATCTGTTGTGCTGATCCACCAGCAAGGACAAGGGCGATGACTTGGCACTGTAAGCCCACCCGCGCTCCGGAGCTGGTCCAGGCCAGGTTCCCGCCAACTCTCTTACTCCAGTTCGTGTGGACAGCTTCCCCTATTGCTAACTTCTCCCGGCGCATGGCCCGCAGCATGAGCCTTGCATTAATGCCTGAGAGCTAATGGAATGCCCGCAACGATTACCACACACAACACTGGCCAGATGGCTTCGAACGGAACCGCGCCCCCCGACCCTTTGGACGCAGGTGGGTTAGCTAGTTTACCATTGCAATTGCGGCACAGCTTGCTGATAGATTTGTGAATTAACCAGCGGACTACGACCCGATCGATCACCTGAACGCCATCTTCTCGCACCCCTCCACCCTCTCCTCTGTCTCCGACGTATCCCTCCAATTGCGGGAATATGAAGCCGAGCTCGACACCGAGATTGGCGCCCTGGTCGAGGACCAGGTTACATCCAATGCGGAAAGCGTCCAGCGCATTCAGACCGCTAAGGCCGATTTGACAGAGCTGTTCAAGAAGATTGACGATGTGCGCGACCGTGCATCCAAGACGGAGCAGTCCATCACGGAGATGACGGCCGATATCAAACAGCTGGACAATGCGAAGAAGAACCTTACACAGTCCATGACGGCATTGAAGAGGCTTCAGATGCTGACTACCGCGTACGACCAGCTACGTGTCCTGAGCCGCACGCGGCAGTACCGGGACTGTGCCCAGCTGCTGCAGGCTGTGATTCAGCTCGTGGCGCACTTCAAGTCATATCGGTCGATTGATCAGATCGCTCTTCTGAGCAGGAATGTGGCGGATATACAAAGGGACCTGTTGGAGCAGATATGTGAGGACTTTGAGCTGGCATTCGCCAAGGGTGAAGTTGGCCAACGGAAGACTGCTCTTGCGGAGGGGTGTTCGGTCATGGATGCGCTTGGAGAGCATGCAAAGACAAGGGTCGTGAATTGGTACTGCAACTTCCAATTGCGCGAATATCGACAGGTTTTCCGTAATAATGAAGAGGCAGGCTCGCTGGACAACATCTCGCGCAGATACTCATGGTTTCGGCGGATACTGCGAATATACGACGAGGAGTATGCGGCCATCTTCCCGACCTCTTGGAGAGTGGATGAGACGCTCGCAAATGTGTTCTGCGAGGGGACGAGAGATGACTTCAAAGGGATCCTATCCCGGTCCGCGCGCAGTGGTCAGACAATCGATGTCAACCTGTTGCTCTCATGCCTACAGGAGACGCTTGACTTTGAGCATTCACTTGAACGACGTTTCTCAATCCCCTCTCGGCCGTCTACGGATACATTTGCCTCAGCGGAAACGCCTGTATTCGGTCAAGCCATCTCCGAAGCCTTTGAGCCTTATCTCAGTGTATGGGTAAATGCTCAGGACAAGCAGCTAGCCGCGCTCATACCGAAATACCGTCAACAGCCGTTAAAACCTCCTGGGGAGGAGTTCGACTCGAATTCGGTTATTTCCTCCTCCATGGAGCTTTTCACATTTTACAGACACTCACTACAGCAATGTGCGAAACTCTCTACGGGTGTAAGCCTTGCAGACTTGTCAAAAGTCTTTGCAAAGTACCTCGATCAATACGCACAACAAGTCCTGCTCTATTATATCAGTGACCAACCGACTATGCATAGCCCGCTAGGTGTACCTTCGCTAGAGGACTACATCGCCGTACTCAATACCGCGGATTACTGCTACACCACGTGTAACCAGCTGGAGGAGAAGATAAAGGGCCGCATCGACAAGAATTTGAAGCAGTCAGTCGACCTGCAAAGCCAAGCGGACTCGTTCATGGGAATTGCATCTGCTGCTGTTCGCGGTCTTGTCCGCAAAGTCGAAACCGAGCTGGAACCCTGCTGGCGGGAGATGCGCAACATGCCGTGGAGCAGGCTAGAAAGCGTGAGCGACCAGAGTCCCTATGTCGGCGAAGTATTGTCGAAGACTAGCACGAAATCGGGCGAAATTCTGCAATTGATCCATAAACAACAATACGCCAGAGCTTTCGCAGACCACATCGTGGAGTTCGTCTCGAACATTTTCCTGCAAAACATCTTCCAGTGCAAACCCGTCTCGGAGACGGGCGCTGAGCAGGTAAGACCACAAAGGAAATGTCGATGAAGTATGAGATCTAACTTGGAGAAACAGATGCTTCTAGACACATACACCCTAAAAACCGGCCTTTCATCCCTCTTACCTGCCCCTGCCCCTGCCAGCTTCGTCAAACGCGTAAACAACAGCTTCGCAAAGATCGAGACCCTTCTGAAAACTCTGCAAGTCCAACCCTCACCCCCCGAAGCCCTTGTACAAGCCTACCTCATCCACATCGCCGATCGCAGCAACGTAAACTTTCGCAAAATCCTCGACCTCAAGGGAATCCGCAGCCGGCAGGAACAGAACCACCTCGTCGAATTGTTCCAGGTCCACCGCACCTCTGACCGCTACGCGTCTAATATCCAGGAGAGTAATCCTATACTCGCCGCCTTCCAGACATCATCCACTTCCTCCTCAGCATCTGTCTCACAGGGTCTCGGGCTCGCGAATCTGGGCACCTCAGCTGTCTCCGCGTCGAATCTACCTAGCCGATTCGACGCATCTACGCTCGGATCAGCACTCATCTCTGCTGCGAGAGATGGCGTTGATAGACTCGGTACGCCCATGAATTCGTCGAATACACCGGTCAACCCCACTGCCGGTGGCGCGGGTACTTCATTGTCTCCGGTAACGACACCAGGGCCTTCTGTGCACACGCAAAGTCAAGTCGGCGACGTCGGCTCGAATTTAAATGAGAATTTGAAAAACCTTGGAAAGTTCTTCCGTAGGGATTTGGGGTTTGGGGGGAGGTTCGGGAGGGGTGGGGATGATGGGTGATCTGAGTTGAAGGGCTACATATCCTAGCACGACGGCAATGGGGTTTCTCTACTCGATTATTTATGATTTCGAGTGGTTTGCGTTTTTATTATTATACCATTTCTTCATTATTATCACCATTTGTTAGAGAGCATGAGCATTATGGGGTTATTTAGGGAATGCAAGTGGCATATATATATCACACACATGAGGAAAAAAAAGAACCATACAGCTTTATTACCATACTATTCCCACCCAATCTATACATCTATATACACGAAATTCTCACTTTTTAGAGATAAGAGGTCTACAATATACTCCCCACATCATCATCCCCATACGTCTTCTTCCTCAGATTCTCCAACCCATAAAGCGAGGTATTCAACACCGTCTGCGCCTTCTTGTCCGCACCGGCGGAAACAATCGATGTCCCCGCGGCATTTATACTATCAGTAAACGCACTCGGGGCGGACTCCCATTCCAGCATCTGGCCTCCTTGCTTGAGCGTGAATGCCTCGAGAAGAGTCTGAGAGGACGCAGGTGCAGATCGCCAGTCCTGCGTTGAGCCGGGTTCGCGGATGCTGTCGACGGAGACGAGGAGGGTGTTGTCCAATGGGTGGGGCTGAACGTCGAGGACGTTGCCGGTTATTGTTAGGGGTTTTTGCTTGATGAGTTTGCTGTCTGAGGAGAGGGTGAACGATAGAAGGGTGGGAGAGCTGGAATTGTTAGATGAGTATTCTTCGGAATCGAGGGTAGGTACGTACCCCTCGAGAGCGACAAGGATGAGTCCGGTGGGGTCTGAGGAATCCAAATTGAATGACGAAGCCCAAATACTGCGAACCGCGACGTCTTTGCCTTCACCTGTCTCTTCCACGAGAGGCACCTTGTGCAGGACATGAGCGGCTGTCCAGTTCCATACGAGAAGGTATGGGTCGCCGCCGCCCGATATCAGAATCTCGGGTGCCCATTGTGGAATGCAGAGGCTGCTGATGAACGAGCTATGCCCGAGGCAGTAGTTCTCAATGACGTGCGCCTGCGGTGGCCCGCGAGAGACACGGATATGCTCGTCCCTATCGGCGCTGAGGATGTAACCTCGCTTCCGGTTTGATGAGGGGTCAGGCGAGGGGAGAGAAACGAACGCTACATCCGTAAGCAGAGAAACGTGGCCAAGGAGCAGCTGGTGTTCGAAAGAGGGCCCGTCTTCTGGGGCCTTGTCGGCCTTTGCGGCGGCCTTCTTGGCGGCTTGCTGCTTTTGCATCTCTAGTGATTTGAGGTTCCGCTGGGTGTGCACGGTGAGATTTGTTGCTGCAATTCGTTTCTGGTGCTCCCTTGCTGCTTTCGAGATGCGCGGCTCAGCGCTAGGTATTAATGGCATGGAGTAAACGTCTCCGAACTTGTCTCCAAGCAGGATCTCGTTGTTGTCCATGAATGTGATGGAGCATGGCCGCTTGGGCATTGGTCTGAGGCACGCGTAAGTCTTCATCCGATTGACATTCTAGGCGAGCACTTACCTCGAGCTGAGTTCCAGGAAGGTGCCCTCTGCCTCGATCTGGAATACACGAATGCATTTGTCTTCGGCGGTCAACGCAACCACATACTCGCCGTCAGGCGTGGAAGTTAGGATAGGGATATGCGACCATGCAGCGGTTTTCTTCTTCTCAGGTGCTGCAGTGACCTTCTTCTCCTCGGGGTCAACCTTTCGCTTCTTTTCAGGAGGACCTTCATTCTCCGGGTTAGATCCAGCCTCGTTGGCGGTAGAAGTGTCCGCACCGTCTTGCGGCCAGACGGAGAGGCGCTGCCCAGAGTCCACGGAGAAGGTATAAAGCTTCGCGCCGGAAGATGCTACGAGTACATCCCTAGGACCTCCGGATACCCTCTGGACGAATTGAAGGCCTTGGAATGGATGTTCGAAGTTTTGCGCCATTGCGATGGTCGACCGCGGAACACGTTGTAGCGCAACAGGAGTGACCAAAAAACGGAAGAAAGCGTTAACGAGACCAACAAGACCTCCGACTCCTATTAGATGATAAATCCCCGGATCTTCAAGCCTCCATGGCCGTATCATTGTCGTGAGCTTTGCGCTGGTATGGGCGGAGCTTGAGCGGGGCGCACGTGATCGGCTAGCGAGCAGAACACAAGAAACAAAAATCGCCAAACGCACAAATCCGAAGTTCTTCCAACAGTCGCATTCGACACAACAACATCCACGAATTTTCCCTTGCCCTTAAACATCCTATCTTCAGTGAAATAAGGAGAAATGGGGGGCAAGTCAGCTACCAAGGCCGCTTACTTCGAGAAGCTCAAGACCCTTCTCGATGACTACAAGACTGTGTTCATCGTGGGTGTCGACAATGTCAGCTCTCAGCAGATGCACGAGATCCGTATCGCCCTCCGTGGTGAGGGTGTTGTCCTGATGGGCAAGAACACCATGGTACGTTCTGAGTCCTTTGATATGGCTGTGAATTGCAATTGACTCGTTTCCAGGTTCGCCGTGCTCTCAAGGGCTTCATCAACGACAACCCCGAGTACGAACGTCTCCTTCCTCACGTCAAGGGTGCGTACAATAATGAGAAGACGATGACGGAGTTTGTGCTGACTTGATTTCAGGCAACGTTGGTTTCATTTTCACCAACGGCGACCTCAAGAAGACCAAGGAGACCATCCTCGCTAACCGCGTGGCTGCTCCTGCTCGTGCTGGTGCCATCGCGCCCCTCGACGTCTGGATTCCTGCCGGAAACACTGGTATGGAACCCGGTAAGACCTCTTTCTTCCAGGCTCTCGGTGTCCCCACCAAGATTGCTCGTGGTACCATTGAAATTACCACCGATCTCAAGCTCGTTGAGGAGGGCTCCAAGGTCGGTCCTTCCGAGGCCACCTTGCTCAACATGCTTAACATCTCTCCCTTCACCTACGGTATGACCATCGCCCAGGTGTACGACAACGGCCAGACCTTCCCCGCTAGCGTTCTCGACATCGAGGAGAAGCAGCTCCTCGACGCCTTCAGCAGCGCTATCAACGCCATCACCACCATCTCTCTGGCCGTCAACTACCCCACCCTCCCCTCGGTCATCCACTCCGTTCTCAACAGCTACAAGAACGTTCTGTCCGTTGCTGTTGAGACCGAGTACAGCTGGCCCGAGATTGAGGAGCTCAAGGACCGTATCGCCAACCCCGAGGCTTACGCCGCCGCCGCTCCCGCTGCTGGTGCTGCCGCCGGTGGTGCTGCCCCTGCCGCCGCTGCCGAGGCTGCTCCCGCTGAGGAGGAGGAACAGTCCGACGAGGACATGGGCTTCGGCCTCTTCGACTAAGCGTCTCGTGTTGCCGCACGGGATATGAATGCCATGTATTAGATACTCTTTATGACCGATCCTGCTGGTTGGGTAATGAAATGGATATCATGGTGAACAAGTGGTTCTTGTAGTAAGATATGAACGTAGTCACGTTTCATATTCTTATGAACCATCAAGGTACGTTGGATTCTGCTTTCTTTTCTTTCTTTTTCTCTTACCACTCATACCCTGGCGGAGGATGATCCCATTTTTAACTCGTAACACTTCGGTGTGCTGAAGATTAAAATTGCAACAACAACACTCTAATTTTTTGCTGACGCCACATCCATCATCTCACTTGATTATCACTCATGCGATGTGGCTTTCATATGCTAACTGCTTGCATAGGTTTCTTTCTGTAGACTGATCTGGATCGGCCTTCGTAGTTATCGGAATATCGGGATTGGTTTCAGGGTTATCTACGATAAGCCTCGTTGCTGAAATTAGCTATAAATCAAATACAGACAACTTGGAACGTCTCTTCTCCATCCTACTTGAAACAACCTGTAATCGTAGCTCTCAAGGCGGAAAGCTCATGTGCACTGCAGAGGAAAATATAAGAGTGGAGCGCGGGGCAGATGGACGGCCCGAGGCACCCTGCGAGCAAGAATATCATCGTAGACTCCGGCGACCAAGTTCCCCCTCTGACAACTATCTACCTGCCTGTAAAATGACACAATTCGCGCCATTGAAGAACGATTTGCTGCTGAGGGCCGCTCGGGGTATTTTCTAGTTCCATTCTTTCAGTCTTGAATTGCTTCAGGCTAACAACATGACCAGGCGAAAAGGTCCCGCGCCCGCCGATCTGGGTTATGCGACAGGGTAACGAAACCTCCATGTCCCCAGTTCCCCTGCGATATGTTTTTACCCGCTTGATTGCAGCATATACCTGATGCTAACTCATTTCCTCAATAGCCGGCCGCTACCTCCCCGAATACCACGAAGCTAAGGGCAACCGGGACTTCTTCGAATGCTGCCGGAACCCCGAAATCGCCAGCGTCATCACCATCCAGCCCGTCGAACGGTACGCCGGCCTAATTGACGCCGCCATCATCTTCTCCGACATCCTCGTCATCCCGCAAGCGATGGGCATGACCGTCGAAATGGTCGACAAGAAGGGCCCCCACTTCCCCAACCCCCTGTGCTCCCCGGACGACGGGCAATACGCCGAGATCATGAAGCGGGATGTGGATGTGAAGAGCGAGCTGGACTACGTGTACAAGGCGATTACGCTGACGAGGCAGAAGCTTGAGGGCCGGGTTCCGCTTATTGGGTTCTGCGGTGCGCCGTGGACGCTGCTGTGCTATATGGTTGAGGGTGGTGGCAGTAAGATGTTTGTGCAGTCGAAGACGTGGGTGTATAAGTACGGAAAGGAGTCGCAGGCTCTGTTGCAGAAGATTGCGGAGATCTGTGTCGAGTATCTGGCGTTGCAGGTTGCGGCGGGTGCGCAGTTGGTTCAGGTGTTTGATTCTTGGGCTGGGGAGTTGAGTCCGGCTTCGTTCAAGTCATTCTCCCTGCCGTACCTGCGGTATATCTCGGCGAATCTGCCGCGGAGGTTGAAGGAGATGGGCCTTGAGGTGGTCCCTATGACTGTCTTTGCCAAGGGTGCTTGGTATGCTCTTGAGGATCTGTGCGAGTCCGGATATAACGTTGTTGGATTGGACTGGCTGCATGATCCCGCCGAGGCCTTCCGGATTGCCAATGGACGGGTGACGATCCAGGGTAATGCTGACCCTGGCGTTCTTTACGGAGGGCGTGAGGCCATTACGCAGGCTGTCGAGACTATGGCTGAAGGGTTCAAGAAGGGCAAGCAAGGGTGGATTGCGAACTTGGGTCATGGTAAGTATTCTCGCTCTTTATGCAATATACGTGCTAACGGTATAGGTGTAACACCATTTGTGAAACCCGATGATCTCAAATTCTTCTTTGAGGAAATTCACCGGTTGACAGCCGATTAAAGGTGTTCGAAGTGATTTAAAGTTATATTCGTACATATGTTCGGGCACTAGACGCCGATATCCTCATTCCTGTGACATTCCGGTCAGCGCAAGATGTTCCTATGGAAGAAGCCCAAAAGCAAGAATAAAAAGACAGCGCCACTTACCAAAGCTCAGGCTTCTCTTTGATAAACTTCTCCATCATCTGTTTGCACTCCTCGTGGTCCAAGACCACCACTTCCTTGCCGCGGTTCTTCAAGTATTCCTCTCCGCCTATGAAGTTCTTGTTCTCGCCGATAACCACGCGCTTGATCTTGTACAAGATGCAGGCGCCAGTGCACATATCGCAGGGCGATAGTGTGGTGTACATCGTAGCGCCCGCGTAAGCCGAGGCCGGTAGTCGGCCAGAATTCTCGAGAGCCGACATTTCGGCCTATGAAATTAGACAAGCGAGTCAGTGCATCTTCTTGCAGTGCACAACATGGGAAAGGTTAAACTAACGTGTAATGTCGCACTCCCGTTCTGCACACGCATATTATGACCACGGCCAAGGATAGTGCCGTCTTTGCTTACCAGCGCCGCGCCGATAGGCACACCACCCTCGGCCGCGCCTTTTCTCGCCTCCTCAACAGCCGCGATGAATCCAGGATCGGTTTCCATGGCGTATTAATAGTAAGCCGGAGGTGAGGCAAAGTAATCCAATTGAAACGAATTGGAGAAGACGCTGATTATATATGTATACGAGACTGCGATAAGAGCTTCTGTGCAGAGCGTGAAAATCAGGACAGATGTGTGGTTGACTGCCGTTCTGGCTCTAGCTTGACCCGCATTTGGAGATAGCTGTTGGGTCCAAGCGGCTCCAGCTACGTAGGATGATAGCGAGGTATCGAGACAGGTTGGGGTCGGGCGACTATCGGAGATCGAATGGCTGGCTAAGGCTCTAAGCCTGGAATGACCAAGTGAGATCGGAGAAGTGAGACTGCATCATTGCTGATCAATTGATACACAGTAAGCTGAGCCTCGAGAGCCTTAAGAGGCTTAGAGTAAGGCACTGGTGCTTCATGTTCTTCATCAGAAATGCAATTGAGAAAAAGGTCAGACAGAAACGGTGCATGTCGCCGACCGCTTGGCTTCTGGAACGAAGAATCCCAGGGAGAAAAACCCCTGCATCCTCTAATTATAGACCAACTGCTGTTCGCAAGAAAAGAACAAAGGAGGCTCGATAACCCCCTCCTTCCTGTTTGGGCAGAATTCTTATCGATAAGACATTGGTAATCCCAGTCGCCGCCTGAGGCAAAAAGTAGGCTCCACTTGCTGGAAATTTCAATCCTTTGATGGAAGACTTTTTGTTTGAACCAAGGACTGGGAATGCAAACAATACTGGAAGCTAAGAATGATACATAAAATACCGCAGTTCAGGTGAGGAAAAGCCGGGTCTTTGTCATGCAATTACCGACGTCAAAAGAGAAATTCCAAGAAGTCCATGGAAGAGCACAGAAGCAGATCGAATCCGCTTGGCGGCGAAACCAGCGGGCGGCCGGTGCTGTCGAAACGACGAGAACGACAAAGATAGAATTCCATGACAGGCTGAGGCTGCCGGGCGGAGCGTCCTCTCTTTGAAAAGTGACATTGATCTCCTGTTTCAAAACCCTCTCAAATTATCATCTTCTTGTTGCTGCGCCAGCTTCTTAGTTTTAAACCCGCTCCTGGAACGTATCTCCGGTAAAAGCTGATACCTCGATCGCTGAAGGATTGACAGATTCCACTGTGGGAAGCAGGTGTGTTGGTGCCTGGTCTGTGTATCAAAATACCTCCACTTACCAAAGTTACCAGCCCTTTACCATCATCCCCATCTCTTCCTCCAAGCCGCCTTCCACATCCTTCTTAAACCCTCCCTTCAACACCGATAATTTCCTCCTCCTCCTCACTGAAGGCACCGCCGACTTTCTCTCGAGACTGCTCCTACACCCAGGTCCGGCGATTCTACCTCTCTCACCTCTCTTCCTCCCTTCCTCTCCTTGAAATCCGAGCTTGAACACCGCTTTTCTTTTCTGTTCAAAAGTTCTTGTTTATCCGAATCTTCTCTTTCGCTATTCCCCGCGAATCCTTCCTTGTCACCCCTCCTTTTAGTTTTCGCTAGAGTTAGATCACAATGGTCAAGGAGACGAAGTTTTACGACATCCTCGGGGTTAGTGCACACGCAGAATTCTGAATTTTCATCCGCATTGAAACTAACGGTGTCACTCATAGGTTGCCCCGACGGCCACTGAGGCTCAACTGAAGACGGCCTACAAGAAAGGTGCCCTCAAGTATCACCCTGGTATGTGACACTCTGGCAAGCTTGGATACAAGTGCGCGACCACTTATCTGACCTTTTATTCGTACAGACAAGAACCCCAACAACCCAGAGGCCGCCGAGACATTCAAGGAGATTTCCAAAGCGTACGAAGTTCTCTCCGACCCCCAAAGACGCGGTATCTATGATCAGCTTGGTGAGGAGGGTCTTGAGGGTGGCGGCGGCGCCGGCGGAATGGGCGCTGAGGATCTCTTTGCTCAGTTCTTCGGCGGCGGAGGCGGCTTTGGTGGAATGTTCGGCGGTGGCATGCGCGACCAGGGCCCGAAGAAGGCCAGGACCATCCACCACGTTCACAAGGTCAATCTCGAAGATATCTACCGTGGAAAGGTTTCGAAGCTGGCTCTTCAAAAGTCCGTCATTTGCCCCGCTTGCGATGGCCGTGGTGGTAAGGAAGGCGCCGTCAAGTCTTGTACCGGCTGCAATGGTAGCGGTATGAAGACCATGATGCGCCAGATGGGTCCTATGATCCAGCGCTTCCAGACTGTCTGCCCCGACTGCAATGGTGAAGGAGAGATTATCCGCGAGCGCGACCGCTGCCGACAATGCCAAGGAAAGAAGACCGTTGTCGAGCGCAAGGTCCTCCACGTTCACGTCGATAAGGGTGTCAAGAACGGCCACAAGATTGAGTTCCGCGGTGAGGGTGATCAGTTGCCTGGTGTCATGCCTGGTGATGTCGTGTTCGAAATTGAGCAGAAGCCCCACCCCCGATTCCAGCGCAAGGACGACGATCTCTTCTACCAAGCCGAGATTGACCTTCTCACTGCGCTCGCCGGTGGATCCATCAACATTGAGCACCTGGATGACCGGTGGTTGTCTGTAAAAATCGCTCCTGGCGAGGTTATCACTCCTGGTACGTTAAGCTTGACCGATGTCTGTTGAGGAAGAATAAAGCTAACCTGGTATGATAGGTGCTATCAAGGTGATCAAGGGCCAGGGTATGCCCTCTTTCCGCCACCACATTTATGGCAATCTCTACATCCAATTCGATGTCAAGTTCCCCGAGAAGGACGAGCTTCAGAACCTGCACCTGTTGGAGCAGGTTCTACCCCCTAGGAAGGAGCAGACCCAGCCTCCTTCAGATGCCATGGTTGAAGACTATGAGCTGGAAGATGTTGAACAGAACGAGCGCTCACAAGCGCGCGCTCACGGCGCTGCCGGCCTGGACGAAGATGATGATGATGTTCCTCCTGGAGCTGAGAGGGTGCAGTGCGCTTCTCAGTAAGCCATGAGGGAGTTATGACTGTGGACTTTTATCTTGTTTGACGTGCCAGGGCCTCATGAACTTCGCTTATGATACCATGTTGAAGGTTTAGCCCTTGGTACTATTCGGTTTCGTTTTTGTTATTTCGATACATGCTTTGCGATGGCGTTTTGCACCGAAGACACGGATGATAACTGGAGATTTTTTTGCTTCTCTTTCACCTTTTCTGCTGCGGTACCTCACCACCCGCTTGATTCGTATACATAATCTCCTTCAGTTTTCTCCTCCTTTTGTCAAAGGGGATCTAGGGCAGCGGAGCGTTGTGACGCGGATCAACCTCGAATGCTCGGTTTGGTTGGCTGGAGGGGTAGTTGTTCCCGGGTGGTTACCAATATTATAGACTTTGCATGAACTTTGGGTACTGATTTCTGATCGTGATCGGATTCGCCTGATAATTTTGTAGCATGTCCTTGGCTACGGTCCTTAGTGCTTTATAAAGTGCGGTCGATATACCTTTGTAGTCTGCTGAGGACCCTGGAAGCCTATGCAAGCACCTTGAGGACCGGACGAAGATCAGGCCTGGAGGATTCTGATGACTATACATTCAGTGCCTTGGTTTCGGCGCGCAGCAGCAAACCTTTGAAGCTAACATGGACTGTGGCATGACATCCGTCCAACGGTCTAACCACACACGTTGATGGAAGTAAGAAGTTGATTCCTCCTGCTCGGTTTACGGTATTGTCAGGAACCTCTCATCAACTTTCGAAGAGCTCCGAGTCTCCGGGAAACAACCAAATTCTCCATCGTCAGTCTTATTGCCATTAGAATTCCTCTAGCCAGCATTATTAGTCATTGAATCTAATGTTGTCCATTAAGAAGTATCTGCGGCTGTCTTGGCTTGAAAGACGGTTCATCGTCCAGTGATATATACCTTCGCCATACAACCCAAAAAAGAAAGCTAAACAGGATTCCCAAACACTATGTTTGATTGGAGTTCATCATACAAGCGAATAAGGATTTTTGATACTATTTCACTTGATAGAAGTGGTTTCTTCACCAAAACAAGTAAGGTTAGGGCACGTCAGCCGTTCTGGACATCCAGGGTTGATTGCGCCTTTAGACTTTGCCAACGCCTCCTATAACCTACACACTTCAAGTCATGCGAGTAAAGTAACCTCCGGCATTTGTCATAATAGAGCCATATATTCCAAGTCTCTTTGCTGCCCAGGTCTCTCCCATGACACTTCCTTCATCTCCCGTTCAGCCCACCCTACCCTACACTCGCCCTTTCATCTTCAACCCATCCCCATCGGGATCAACAAACAATGCCGAGAAGAGGCCGTGGAAGGTGCGGAAAGAAAACCGACTCTGCAATGCAGGACACCAACACTCCCCGTCACTCTGGCTTTCCTAAATTCCCTCCCGGTTATCACCCTGGTTTTTTCAAACATCAAGAGCCCAAGCCTAGCGAGCCCCGTCCTGTGGTATCCGGTTCGGCATCCTTTGGGCCTATCGCTCCTGGTCGTGACAAATGGATACCTCGCGGGAGGAGAAACCCAAAAGAAAAGGGTGAAGAGTTCGTTGCGGAGATTGATGATTCCTTTTCATCGAACCCGCCACAGCCTATAAGCCAGAAGTGCGAGTCTCCCGCTCCTACTCGTGGCGGATACATCCCTCCTCACCTGAGGAACCAAAGGGATAAAGAGCTTGCTGCGGAGATTTGTGATCGATTTGCGTCGAGTCCGTCACAGTCTCCGAGCCGGAAATGTGGATCTCCTGCTCTTGCTCGCAAAGATAAAGAGCACGCTGTGGATATTGATTCTTTGGCACAAAGTCCACCACTCTATCCATATAGGGGTTATCTTCGTGCTCTTAGAAGGTACGAGCCTCTCTCCCACCCTGACACGGGTCGTGTGAGGTGCCAAAAGGATAAAGAGCACGTTGCGATGATTTATGATTCCTTTGGATTACCTGTACTGCCTTCTTCAGACCAAGAGGGAAGTCTCAGCGGGTGGGCGGAGTTCGAGAACCCCAGTTCTCAGCCTTATACTTCGTGGAGATCTAGGGCTGCCGCGAGAGAACATGATACCCAAATGCAGTCATGGACTTCCGCTAGTAAATGGACGCCTCGAAAGGCCGAGGCGGTTACTGCTCGAGAAGAAGCCTCAAGCGAGGTTACTGAGCCCGTTGCACCCGCACCGACTGAGGCTACTAACAGACCCGCTATCCCCGAGCCTAGAGAAGAACCCTGCCAGGTAGCTACCAGGTACGTGAGAACAAATGCCCACACCGGCTACATACCCAACATAGCAGATAACCGTGGAATCCACAGCCCCTACGGCGGCAGAGCAATCGAAGTCCTGATTGGACGCAAACGGGAGCGATATATCGTTCCCAGCAACCTAGCCCGCCAGATTCCCTGCCTCAGGCCCGGCTGTGAATTCAATGGGATAGTGTACCTGCCTAATGTCAACGAAGATATCGGACACACATTCATGCATTTCCTCTACACGGGCGAGTACGAGACCGCCAAATCACCCTCGGCTACAGCATCAGCTACAGCCCCAGACGACACCACCGACCCCCAAACCGAATACAACCGGAGTGTCCTGGCGTACCAGGCTGCGATAAGCTGCGGCTCGGGGCTTGAGGGACTCGCCGAACATGCCAAGGATCGCATGTACCTTCTCTATGATCATATCCCCATCTTCGACATCCTCTCGCTGGGTCGGAGGACCCTCGCCACAATTGACGACGCGTGGTTCTCCAACTACCTCACTGACAGGATCATCGAAAGATTCGAGGAAGACGAGGGGATTTTCGTGGACAAAAAGTTCTTGGAAATGTTTGGGCAGGCCGTTGAGTTTGACAAGTTCCTTGCCCAGGTTATGGCCAAGGCATATGAGACGAAACTAGATTCGATTCGAGACGAGGCGCACTCGGCAATCGTGGAAGCCCAGTCGAGAGAAGACGTCTGGCGAGATTGGGAGGAGCTCTCGGCCTACGAGAACGAGGACGAGGACGAGAACGACAGTACCAAGGATAAGAAGGACGAACAGGACAACAATGACCAGGAGGCTGAACACAAGCCAGAGACAGAAGAGCAAGAGCCATCCGAGGAAGCCAAGCTAACACTATCCTCGGATGCTGAGATGACCTCTGATGAGAATGAGAACGATAGCTGGAAGCCCGACCCGGCTTCATATGACTCTTCGGACAAGATTTACCCTATGCACTGCCCCAAATGGCGAGAGCACTTTTCCGATGAGAGCTGCCACTCTTGCAACACGTACCTTGAGAGTGTGGAAGTCGATCCGCGTTGGTGACTGGTGGGAATTACAGAATGTCAGGGCTGTCAGGGCTGTTGCTGTTGGGTTTGTGTGATGGGATTTGTTATTGGAATAAGATGATTTCTTGCTTTGCTTTAAGTAGCATGCGAGTTGAGTTCTGGGTAGCTGCGAAAAACAACGCAGAACGTTATCTGGGCTTCATGCAGTCGTCAGACCAAGGTAGTCATCACAGCACATGATCATATTTGAGGAACGCCGATGCCTCTATCGGGGTACCTGCAGGGATACTTGGTCATTGACCATAGTAGTCTACGAGCAAGAGTGAGAATCAGCTGAGCGAATGCAACCAAGAGAATCCCATCCTAGGCATGTCAATTGAGCCGTAGCAAAGTGACCGAAGTGTAGGAATGTTCCGCCGTGTATCCTACCTCACCTGAACCATATCAGGTGCCCCGACCAAGAATCTGGCCAGGCACTAGCAAATAGAAGCTATACCCTGGGTATGTTTTCTCTCGACTCCTGTACCAGGTCAATCATGCTGAGTACTGCATTGCATATCTGTGACATGCACAGGCTATACTGGCTGGCCGTTGCCCTCTGTAACCTGCCCCTAGATAGCGCCGAGGTCACGAGGAGGTACACAGGATGCCCCGGGGAGATTGAGAAGCCGAAAGTGACCTGGTTCTGGACCGGAGTGTTCGGGCTAGACCATCGGCATGCCGCAAGGGGTGTATGTGCATGGGTGTGTCAGCAGGCGCCGGGAGACATCGAGGTTCGAGCCGTCCGTCCGTTGGTCGCGGAGGAAGAAGGAAGGGTAATTCCTCAAGGGCAGACGAAGTGCTGTGCTGCGAGGGGGCACAAGTCCCGTGCAGGTGTCGTTACACTGCTGCGCTGCTACGCTGCATCTCGGGTTCAGGCAACGAATTGGGTTGATTTTGGTGAGACCTGCGTAACATTAGCATTCGAGGGGCTGCGAGGGACATGATATCGCCACCGCTGGAGGAGGAATTGAACAGAGGTGTAGCCGGACGAATGAGTGAAATGAGTGGGCGAAGTGCTTGAGATTGGACTCGAAGGATTCCTCGCTTGCCGTAAACAAGCGGCTTCAACTGGGAAGTCTCAAGCGGTTCGCAAGGGACGATGGCGTTCGATGCTGCTCGATGGATCGAAGCACGAGACCACCTGAAAAAAACTGATTCCTTGGTCGAAGAGGTCCAGAAGGAAGGCGCCCAGGCAATTCAGGGGCACGCTGCGATCTGCCCAACAGCTGGAGAATGAAGCCCGCTGCCCACGCTGTTGTGAACCTTTATGGACAGGTCTGTACGAGGCATCAGAAGGCAAGGATTCCGTCTCGAAACTCACCACCAAGAACGGTCATTGAGATAAGCCTCCTTGTCCAAGGTTGCGAAGCATGCCAATAAACTCCTCCCTGGTGCTTGCGTTTCCAGGGCGTTCTTGACTGCTGATCTACCCACAGCTCTGGGCAAAATAAGGCGATGTGAGAGGGTGCGTGGCTGGCGGCCTGCGATGGCTCATATGTGACTAAAATGACGAGATCGAGGTTAAATTCGAACCCTTCTAGAAGGACGCGGCAGTGGACTCCTTCGTGGGGGAGCAGTTGCAGCAGCTTGCATGTCGGGCATTTTCTTAGATGGGACAGGGATGTCCGATGGAGTTGCTATGTGTGGCGCATCCGCGTGTTGCGCTGCGAATTGTCTTGAGTCTCTTGTTTGTCTTGCTCGTTCTTGGCCGTCAGGTTGAGGGAGGCTGAGATTGAGAGCTGATAGGTTCGTGGAAGCGATGGCTTTAGGTAAGAGACTGGGAGGAGTCGACAAGACCTCGTGTGGCTGCAGCTCCCAGGATGTTGATCACAGTGGTAATCCCTTGGGACGAGATGCATGACAGTCGCACATCTTGCAGCCTCTGCTTATGAGCGACACTGGAGAAGAGTTCCAGAAGACGTCCAAGACACTGTCATACGGTGTACCGATGTACTGATTGTCGCTGAAGTCTTGGGAATTTTATTTCTATTTTTTTTTTTTTTGCAGCGCCAACCGGGGCAGTCAACCCGAGAGCAGGAAGGATAAGATTGATGACGCGATTTTAACCTTGATGATGTTATCCCAAATGGTGGAGAATCCTGCAGGGTTTGTTGACTTGGCTGAAGGCCTGCATCTTGGCCGGGCACGAGAGGAATCAGCATCGTGAAAAAGAAAAAAGTACAGATGGCTCCATTCGAGTGACGACGGCCGTTTCATTATTGCGATGGCCTGCGTCGTGTTCGGATGCCGCGTTGCAGGAAGAACCCCAGAGTCACGGCTGCAGCTGCCAAGCCCCGCGGCACGCAGGAGCCTCGTTAGCTTGAAGACTATCGCAACACTCAAAAAACCGTGTCTGGTCGCATTTTTGCCTCGAAAAGGATAGAGTCGACATTACCAAGCTGTATTGTTCCATCCCCAGCAAATAGACAGTATCGCTTGATAGCATCCGGGGGATAGCCTCATTATACTGCGGATTATCTCATCGGCAGCGATTGATAATTCGAAAAATAAAAGTAGCGATCCACATGTGGAGCCGAGCGTCTTTCACCATCTGGCTCAAAAATGGCGTGTATTTCACCATCTCCATTGGCTGCAGCCACAAATCTGGCCCCAGTCCAAGGGCCCGATGCTCTGGGTTGGCGGTCGTCCAGGGCAGTATCAGAGAATGCCCATCAGTATCAAGCTGCGTTTTCGTTCCCTTAGTCCTCGGAATCCGCAGTTTCCACCACGATTGCATTAGTTTTGCTACCATGAGTTGTTTGCCCTTTTCTCAACCTTCTGCAATGCTCATGCGAGAGGCAAGCCGAGTTCCTGGCCGAGATCCAGGAGCCACAGGGCACGGAACCATGGGTTGAGCGGCCTTCCAGACCAGCGGCGAAAATCCCACTAAAACTGAGCGAACTGGGCCCTATTACGCCAGCGTCCTCCGTCAAGCTTAAACCACCTGTGGCCAGTGCCAACGCTCGGTTGCAGACCGCAGCTGATCCTTTCTGTTTCTCTTCCCTCTTCGGGCCTTGCTTTTTTCACGCCTGCGTGGCGCGGAACTGTGCGTTTCTTGCCAGGTTTATCCCAGTGGGTCATCCGCGCACTTGCTTCCATCAACCACATTGTGCGGCGCCCTCCACCGGTCGATTTTGCTCTGCTGACAAGTGGGTGCAAGGGCTGCTTCGATCAGGATTCTCCCGTTATCAAACACATTCGCCTCATCCTTTGCGCTGATTTGATCGGCCTGCCTATAGCTCCTCCCACCCCACAGACTCCCGTCTCGCATCTCGCAAGATCCCCTCTACCAACGCTAAAATAATACATCAAACTGTCCTCGTAGCTTCATCTCCTCCTCTCTTTTCTTTTTCCAACTCAAATCCCTTGACATTTGGCCCTTCACTGCTCTCCTCTTGCGCCTGAGCCTTCGCTTTGGTACTTTCTGTCATCCCTCACCACGCTGTGCGCCACAAACCGTGTTCGAATTCCTCTCATCCTCTTAGATTGCGCCGGCCCATCCTTCCATCCCATCTTCTTTGCTTCTTTAATCTCCTAGCACGGTGGCTTGATCAACTCTCGGATACTTGGCCCTAGGTGATACTTCGTGGGGGAACCCTGATTTTGATTTCGCACTCACAGCTCTCAATCACGACATCGCCTTGGCCGCTCTTGGTTCATTTAAGAGCCCGTCTCTGCAACCTCATCACCTCTTATTCATCCTTCAGGCATGGCAAGTCAATTCGCTTAGACCGACTCGTGGATATATATTAGCCCATTCGCACTTTGTCCGGATTCATCTTGTTCTCCGTCCTTGCATTCCACCATCTTTCGCCTGATTGCGTTCTCGTCGCTAGACTCTTGAAAGTCGAGCAAAGTAGGGTCCTTGCCGGTGCTCAGCATACAAGTACCGCGCGCCGCCTACTGTTTCGCCCGCAAGTTACCGCCATCTCAGCAACCCATCATGCCTGGCGATCTCAGCTCAAAAGTCGGCCATGGTGTGGCCAAGGTTCTGCGCCTAAAAGTGCCTGCAAAAGAACAACACGACCCTGTTACCCGGGGAGAGTCGACTTTCTCTGTTGGGACCTACGAGACATACTCTTATGTCGAACCCGAACCCACTGCAGCTGAATGGCTCAGAGAGATTTTGCCTTCCTGGCAAGAAGTCGGCCTCTACTTCTACAGGCTTTTCCCTTTCCTTGCTTGGATCACACGTTACAACGTGCAATGGCTGATTGGAGATCTTGTTGCTGGTATGCTGCCCATTTGCACACTTTTTTTTGACCTGGCTCGTGGAGCACTGCTGACGAGAAATCAGGTATCACCGTTGGTGCTGTCGTCGTTCCTCAAGGAATGGCCTATGCCCAGCTGGCCCAACTTCCTGTTGAGTACGGTCTCTACTCTTCCTTTATGGGAGTCCTCATTTACTGGTTTTTCGCCACCTCGAAAGATATCACTATTGGTGTGAGTAGCACTGTCAAGTCTTAGTCTTCCCTGCAGTCAACTGACCCACGATTTTATTAGCCTGTCGCTGTCATGTCCACTCTTGTCGGAAATATCGTTAGCGACGCTCAGGACAAGCTTCCAGGAGTTGAAGGTCATGTTATCGCCTCGGCCCTTGCAATCATCTGCGGTGGTATCGTTACCTTTATGGGTCTTGCCCGTCTCGGATTCATCGTCGACTTCATCCCCCTCCCCGCGATTACAGCCTTCATGACGGGGTCCGCCATCAACATCATTGCCGGCCAGTGCAAAAAGATGCTTGGCGAGACTGGTGATTTCAGCACCAGAGGAGCTACCTACCTGACGATCATCAACACTCTCAAGTACCTTCCCACTGCCACACTTGACGCTGCCATGGGTGTTACGGCTTGTGCAATGCTGTACATCATCCGTGCTGCATGCAACTTCGCGGCGAAGAAGCAGCCGCACCGCGCCAAGATGTGGTTTTTCATCTCTACTCTGCGCACTGCCTTTGTCATTCTATTCTACACCATGATCAGCGCGGCTGTAAACCTGCACCGGAGAGACAACCCTGCATTTAGCGTCCTCGGAAACGTGCCTCGGGGTTTCCAACACGCTGCTGTTCCGACTGTCAATGCCGAAGTCATCAAGACCTTTGCGGGCGAATTACCGGCTGCTGTGATTGTTCTCCTCATCGAGCATATCGCCATTTCCAAGTCGTTCGGAAGAGTCAACAACTACACCATTGACCCGTCGCAGGAATTGGTAGCTATTGGTGTGACGAACTTGCTAGGCCCGTTCCTGGGTGGTTATCCCGCTACTGGCTCATTTTCGCGAACGGCTATCAAGTCCAAGGCTGGTGTCCGTACCCCGTTGGCCGGTGTTATTACAGCCATTGTCGTCCTTCTCGCCATCTACGCCTTGCCTGCTCTTTTCTGGTACATCCCCGATGCCTCTCTGGCTGGTGTCATTATCCACGCTGTCGGTGACTTGATCACTCCTCCCAACGTCGTCTACCAATTCTGGCTCGTGTCGCCCTTTGACTGCCTAATCTTCTTCGTTGGTGTCATTGTCACGATTTTCACATCGATTGAGATTGGCGTTTACTGCACAGTCTCCATCTCAGCTGCAATTCTTCTGTTCCGCGTTGCGAAAGCTCGCGGTGAGTTCCTGGGCCGTGTTACTATCCACTCGGTTGTTGGTGATCACAACCTGGAAGAGGCCCGACAAGCACTTGGTGACGATACCGACAACAAGCGGTCCATCTTCCTTCCCATTGACCACACCGATGGATCGAACCCCGAAATTGAGGTCGAGCAGCCTTTCCCTGGTATCTTCATTTACCGCTTCTCCGAGGGATTCAACTATCCGAACGCCAATCACTACACCGACCCTCTTGTTGCTACCATCTTCAAGAAGACTCGCCGCACGAATCCCTTCTCGTACGGCCGACCTGGCGACCGCCCGTGGAACAACCCTGGACCCCGCAAGGGCCAGCAGGAGGAGGACAAATCGCATCTTCCCATCCTTAGAGCCGTCATCCTTGATTTCTCGTCTGTCAATAATGTCGATGTCACATCAGTTCAGAACCTGATCGATGTCCGCAATCAGCTCGATATCTATGCTTCACCTCGCACCGTGCAATGGCATTTCGCTCACGTCAAGAACCGCTGGACCAAGCGTGCTCTTGCCGCCGCTGGCTTCGGCAATGCTACTCCCACATCCGAAGATGGGTTCCAGCGATGGAAGCCCATCTACAGCGTCACCGAGATTGAAGGACAAGCATCGGCCGCGGCTCATGCTCAAATCGTCACAAACGAGCAAACACGCCAGGCAAGCGCCCACGGTACGGACATCGAAAGCGGTCTCAAGCGCGACTCACATACGGTCGAACGCGAGACGCACGGCATCGAAGAATCATCCAACTCGAGCATCGGCGATGACGACAAGCTCAACCGTGACCTGAAGGATAGCAAGGCGTACCGGAATCGCCGAAAGGTGGCTGTGGTGCAGGGCGTCAACCGGCCATTTTTCCACATCGACATCACGAGTGCCTTGGAGAGTGCGTTGGCAAACTCGCCGGAAGAGGAGCCTGTCCATGAAAACCCAAACCAGAATGCGTGATTTTAGCGTCTGCAGCATCGCTATACCTAAACTCCCTGGATGGAGCGTCTTAAGATCTTAATCTCACCATCTACACTTATTTTTGTTGCACGTTCTAACTGACTCGCACACTATCTGTTGGATTTCCCTTGAAGCGAGTCACCTGTTGGTTTTTTCTACTCTTGGATCTTTATTATAATTCTCATGGTCGAATTCGGATCGGACCGTCGCTACAAATACCCCCTGCAGTCTCAGCCGATGTATATAGATTGATTGTTAGATTGATGCTAATGCATCCTACTGCATTCTTCCTGCACACAGCTTCCTCCTTATTTTTCTCTATGAAATAACTCATGGTCTCATCTGGCTTCGCTGCATCTCACCAGCGCATTCGGAATCTATCCGGATCTAACTTTTGAGATCGAGCTAGAAGGGTGCATGATATCCCCGATTCGACCATTTCCGAGATCTCACCGATCGAATCGAAATGATCTGCCTACCCCTCGTGGCACGCACATGGCCTGCGAGTTCCGAATTTCGTACCCTTGTTGCCACATGCGCGGCCGATGATCTCCGATCGTAGGAGTTGATCGTGCATTATGCATGGGAAGATCTTCCCGGCGCGACCGCAGTGGCCTGCCACAGTACGGGGGATGGATTGGGCCATATCAGGCACACATTGCCTCGTCTCATGAGCTTTCCCTTATAAATTTGGACTGTTATTATTGCTAACTCGGGCTTCTCGCTTTCTTGGACATCTTGTTCTGCTAAAGGGAGGGCTTCGGCGTCGTCTCCGGACTAGAAAATTATCGTCATTGGCATTCACATTTATACTGGCGATCTCTATTTCCTCGTGAACATACCTTGGAGTGCATGTTTCAAGATCTAGTTTTGACGGAATCTCACGCAGCCATCTGCCTGCAGATTTTCTGTCCATATTTCGCCTGCAGCACGCCTCGCATTGAGCAAAAGTGCGAGAACCGAAAGTGTCTATCATGACTGTACATGGCAGAGTATGTCACCATAAAGTCGCCGAAAGCCTGGATCTAGTCTCTGCTCAAAATCCCGCTCCCGCGTCTGCTAGAGCCTCCAAAAGCTCCACGACCGAAAAATGATCAGCGACCTCGCTTCCGTCCGGTTGTCTCATCACTAGCCCATTTCGGATCTTGGGTAACGGTACAATCTCATCTTCTAAACCTAGTGATATCTCAAAATCATTGTAAAAGCCCTGTACAAGCCTCTCGTGTTCCTCAAGTTCCATCAGAAGGGCACAAGCAGCGACGACCCGGAAGCTGTCTAGCCCCGTCCACCTACCGCGTCGATGTCCTGGGTCCCTTGTATCAGGTTCTCCAGCGATATGAACGCAGGCGAGACAGCGTTCGAGGTTATCGAATTCGCTTGCGTACCCGGTTATAGGGCCCGCGGGACGCATCTGGGTTAGGATCCAAGAGGCAATGCGGTCGAATTCGTCCTTTAGTTTTATGGAGCGTTCGCGCTGACGGTGGGTTTGGACGCCGGTTTTGTTGAGAATGTGGCCGATGAAAACTTCAAGTTCTGTTATGAGGTTTATGGGGTGTTCAGAGAAGTCTTTCATCGCACCGTAGATTGCATATTCGTAACTATATTGGAGAGTAACAAGTTAGCGTAATGGAAGCTAGAAGTAGGTAGTCAAGCACGTACCTTGCGCGGATCTGCCTTGCAGTTTCTGCGTGATGTTGCCAAATGGGCGAGGTGCCGAGGGTAACGCATCTCGCCGTTAGGGAGTCGATAACTTTCTTCCAGAATGCTTTCGGATTCGGTTGCGTTGTCGTGTGGATTTCCTGGCTCCAGATCTTGTGTTCGTCGATTGCCCTGTAGAGTTTACCGAGGGTCTTCTCGGAGCGGTAGTATTTGTGTACGGGTCCTGAATCCTCGTCATCTTCTGGATTGGGTCGTATGTAGTAGGGTTCGAGTTTGATTTCTTGCTTGTCGTGGACGTAGGCTAAGGGACCGGGTGCTAGGCTATGCGTTTGTTAGTATCGCTCATTGGATAATCGACGAATTCAACGTACAAATCAGGTCGGTACTTGCTCATCGAGGGCATATCTTCAAGCTTGACCGGAACGCCCGTCTTCGAAAAGTCAACAGCTGTTGAATGGAGCTCGGCGAGCTTCTTGCAGTCGGAGTGTGAAGTTCCAAGATCCATCTGGTCTGCAAGGATCATGTGCTTCGTTGCGATGACACCGAGACGATCCGACTGCATAAAGTCGACGAAAAACTCGGCCATGTCATTCTTTGTCACTTCTCGTTTGATATCAACAGGGTCCACTCTTGGATAGTCAGCGGGAGCAAAGACTCGTTCTGGAGTGGCTTCGGGATCCCATATGATGTTGTAGAGATCACCATCAAGGTCACCTCCGCTAAGCTGACTCGGTAGGTCTCGCTGGCCCTTTTGGCTAAAGACAATACAGTTCTTGTGATTGGTCAGAGGATGGTCACTTGGAGGGCGCCTATTGTAGACGTATTGGATGTCGCCATCGTGCAGAGCCGGGGAACGGGTCACGAACAGTCGGCAGTATCCTGGGGGAGGAGCGAATCTGTTTTCCATTGTATCGTAGGTCACATAGACCTCTTTTTCCTCTAAGAAGCCGGTTTCGTCCATGATGCCAAAGAGAGTTATACCCTTCCGTACTGGGATTCGTGCCTTGTGTTTCAGGAGTCGTAATTCGCGTAGAACCATGGCCTCAACCACTCCGCGGAGAAAAGGGTCTTCCTTGTAATTAAGCTGGAGGCAGTTGATGAGAAGGAAGAAGCGGTAGAGCTTGATGCACTCAGCGACATCCTGCCCTCTGATAAACTTTGCCGTATTCTTGGTGGTCGCGGTGGCCTTCCGCAGCTCCTCAACACGAAGGCCTTGCAGTTTCGAAAACCATTGATCGGGTACCCCCATATCCTCTAGGATTTTGATCACCTGCCGATTCAGCACAAGGGGAATTGGCTTTGACGCGACGTCGCAAATCTCGAGATTCGCCATGTCTTTGCTCTCGAACTTGATCATCGATGGCCTGACGCGAATCTGCGAGCCCTTCAGTTTACTGTCAAGGGCCAGCATACCTTTGACTCCTCCTATACGGATCTGAAAACAGGTGGGAAGCCCTTTCTTCATTGGTAGGACGGTGCGTATAGCCTTGACGGCATCCCAAGAAAGAGTCCCGACGCCGTCACTGAACACCCGAGTGTGATTGTCAGATTCGACATCCTTTATCTTCCAGACCGAAAGACCGCTTTCCTTCAGATTGACTGCAAAAGGCGTTTCGGAAAATGCCTGTCCAACTCTAGCTGCACACTTTGCAGGGCACGTTATATTCTTAAAGCTGCCAATCCCGTCGATGATGGTGAGGTTAGTCTGGAGTTTCTGTTGATCGTCGATGAATGGGGCCGAGAACTAAGAATGCAAACGCAGGTTAGTTGACACCCACTATTCATTAGGAAGTGTGATGTACCTACCCAAGCCGAATGGGATCTCAACGACGAATGCGAGAAGCCCAGGAATGTGTATTGCCGGCCGGCAATCTGAAATCCCTTTTTCAGAACATCTTTGAACCGAGCAAACACCTCATCGTTGTTGACCTGAGGACTGAAATGTATGTCCTGTCCATTCTCGTCGGCGAATTGAACCCGCACAAAGTACTCGTGATGATTGGGGAACCTTCGTAGAATCCGATTCATGGGCTCCACCTCTGGACCGTGCAAAGTTACCCGCGATGGGGTAACCAGTATCCTGAAGATCTGGGCTAGGTTCGGACTAGGGCGGGAGAGTCCATCGGCTTGAATAATCCCGTCATGAAGATCCTGCTCACTCTCGAGCACAGCATCGATCAAGCTGTCGACACTGAAGTCCTTCGGGTCGCATTGCGGGGATGGCCAGTCAATTAGATTGAAAAGCTTCTTCATCGAGTTGACAGAGATCTGTCTCTTCCCTGCCTGTTTCCTGCTCTTGAAGATGCCTGCCAATTCCTTGGCAAGGGCACAAATCTTGACGGGCGAGACATATGCGTTGTAGGCGAGTGCTTGTAGTTGGAAAGAGATCGCAAATGGGAGTGAGCCGTTCCTTGTATGCTGTGCCAGGTCTGCCTTGAGTAAAGTAAGTTGATCCCGGAAGGTTCCCTCATACATGGACTCAAAATTGTACGGGTTCATTGTCAAACCACACTCCTTGAGTAGATCTATTTTCGGCTGCAGATTGGAAGGGATGACTTGGAAGTTATAGACCAAACATTGGCCCACTATTTCAGAGTGAACGTTTCCAAGTGAAGAGAGACGAGAGCGAGTTGGACGTGAACGTGATGCCCAAGTGGCGGCCTTGAAATCCAAACCTAGAGTCACATCACCCGGGTTGTTGTGAAAAAAAAGCGGAACGGACATCAAGGTGACAAGTAACGAGCCGGAGCTGGTCCACACAATCTCAAAGATCGTATTGAAGGGGACCTTGATCAGACGAGTATTTTCCATACTCACCTCGAGCATGCGCTTCTTAAAGGTGACAATTCCCGGTTTTTCCCACTGGACTTCGGGGACGTACAGGAATTTGTCGTTAAAGAAGGTAGTGTAGCCACAGCTAGATCTCAACATTGTGAAGGTTATCGGATTACCTCGCTCTTCGACAACATGAGTGGGGTGATGTCGCTCGTTGGCATTGTGCGCAAGGCTCCTCAGGGCGTAGTCGAGTGGTTCTCGTTTGCTGACCTTGCAAAAGACGGGTGTGCCCAGAAGCCTCAAATTTGAGATTGGGCGCGTTTGGCCTGGCGGAAAAGTCTCGCCATGGGTAGACAGAAACCTCTTACCATCAGAGATATTGAGAAAAGTGATGTTACCGAAGCGCTTCTTCCTTGGCTTGTCGCAGGAGTAGTCTTGAATCCCGAGCGCCTTCATGAATCCCGAGAGCTGCTGCTTCAATCCATCTTCGGTGAGATCAATAGGGAGATTATGAAGGAAAACCTCCATTATGATAAGTAGAGATGAAGTTGTCTGAGTAGCTGACTTGAGATAATAACGGTGTGGCTGGATGGCTGGATGGGTATCATGAAATCAAAAACAAAGATGAGTAAAGTAGGTGATGGCTCAGCGAGAAAAAAAAAAGACAATTAGGGCCTTTCCCTAATAGAGAGCTACTGGAGCTTACATGAATGAGTGGTGTGTTACTGAGAAGTTGAAAGAGAGGTGGTGGTTGAGATGGAGCCCAAGTTGAAGGAAGCAAACAGCCTGAGCGGGGCTCAGGCACAGGCACAGCAATTGGCGCAGTCATGGAAGCTACCAGGGGTGCGGATGCTGGGGAACAAAGTATCAGAGTCAATATGCACCAGATTTGGCTCACAGCAAATCAACTTGATCAACTTCCTCATCCTCCTATGACCTCTTCCTCTGCCAACTGCCGCCCCGCAATGTCCACGGGTCCTTTCACCCTCCTGATGTCTTCCTTCTGCTCTTTGGCCTTTTCTCCAACACATTCCTGCATCTGACGTCCTTTAATCCTTTCTTCCCCCCATACTCTCTCCTACAGTTCCTTCTTTCTCTTATACTACTGTGTTTACTACTCCTTCAGTCTTTCTACATTGATCAGCAACGGGCCACAATGTTTTTCAAGTGCGAGACCTGTACGGACGGCTTCTACACCCAATGGGCGCGTGACAACCACATGAACGATGAAGAGCACTGGCCGAGATGTGATACATGCGATGAGACGTTCCAGACCTTAAGCGCTTGCGAACAGCACATGCATGATCTCGGGCACTGGCCAATATGCGAAATCTGCAAGCGTCTCTTTGGGACATGGAGCGCCTGTGAGGAACACATTAACGATCTAGGCCATTGGCCGCCAACTGTCCCATGCGAAACCTGCGACGAAAAATTCCATACCCAACCCCTCGCCGAGCAGCATATGAGAACGCTTGGACACTACGGGAACTACTGCAAGAGCTGCGATCAATTCTTTGACAACGAGAACAATCTGAGAAAGGTATACTATACTCTATACCTGGAGTGGTCTTCTTGAGTACCACGGCTGACAACGCGATTCTTAGCACTTTAAGTCGTCTAGGACCCATCAGGGCTCGAACAGGGCCTGGCGCCATTCCCACAACGACAACACCATCACGACTGGCTCAATACATCATCTCGAGACCGGATCCAGCATTGACGCTACGAGGATTAATCGGCAAACGACCCAACGCGTGGCCAGTTACATTGATACCCAGAGGCTGCTCACACATCAAAGCCATTGGCGAGACGACGAGAATAGACAGTACCTAGCGACTCACAAAGCCTGGAATGGATATGGGTGGGAATGCTACGTGTGCCACAGGGAGTTTTTGAGGTGTGTGGGTCTGGGAAATTATCTGAACTCGTCGGCGCATCGCCAGCGAATCTATCACTGCTCTAACGAGAACTACGCAAAAGAGTTTTCTAGCCTGGATGGAATGTTCAACCACCTGGAAAACGACGCGTGCTCGATCGCAAGGTTCGATAGGGGCCCAAGGGGAGTTAAGTCTTCTTCGAGGAGGTCAATTGGAAAGTATGACCTGATGCGACTGTCTCCCTCTTCCGAGGAATGATGCAGTGGTTTGTTCTTGGGATCTGGTGCAGAAATTTTGCTTTCTGCTTTCGGCGGAGGCCAAAATCGAGGGCGATGGCATGCTGCATGGTTGGGGTTTTAACGCTTTCTGTTCTGAGTATTGTATTAAGTGATTGGGAAGTAATGTGCAGTTGGTTTTAACTGCACTCGAATTCAGACATTGCATGTGGAATGCTCGAAATTTCCAACGAGATATGGACAGTGTAGCTTCAGCATTCAACGTGTAGTTTGCGGTAGATGAGCCAAAGGCTTGCTACATGCAGCGTTTGTTCTTGCACCCAATAGGATACCACCAGGACCTCGTAGTATATCGTTTTAGCAACGAGCCGTAGAGAGCATAGTATGGTAGGAAGTATTTGGCGAGAGGGGAGGAGGGATCGTTTATCACTCACAGCCCTACGTAGTCGTAGCATCGTTAGCAAAGAACTCAGACGGGGTCTTAGGAGCCCAAGGAAGACTGCCTCAAGGGGATGAGGACAAGTATCGGCATATCTTAAAGCCATTGAGCTTAGATGCGGAACGGATCCGGGGAGTTCTGGGCCAAGCATGCTTTAAAGGAGGAGTAATGCTGAACAGGGCTCCGAGAATCCTCTCTATGTTTCGCATGATGTCTATTCGGTATACGTTCTGCTTGGAGATGGCGTTCGCTTGCTGTTTTTGGATGCTGTGAAGGCAAACAGTGGTTTGGTGTTTGGCGGCTTGGGGTAGTACGACGATATATAGAAAAGCCTTGCAAAGTGGTGCGCTCTGCAGAAGCAAGATTTTTAGAGAGGAATTACCCAGAGCAACTTGAAATTAGCACAAGACAGCGTATGCCAGACAAATTGTTGGACGATGGGAGGAAAGGTGTTGAGTTTGGATGACGATGCCCGTTTGTCTTGGTCAGCTCCCAAATGTCGAGACGCGGGGCAAGGCTACCTCTGACTTTGACTTCCACCGCAGTATCCTATTACCTCAATGCACCATTTCTATCGGTTTACGGCTCTAGTTCTTATTTACATCTTCCACTGCCTCTCATAATGGCAGACAGCGCAGTTGCCGCGATCCAGCTTGTCGATTTCACCACTCGGGTCGCTCGTCGCGTGAAGAACTCCGTGAGCAACACCGGCGAAGTACCAGAGCATCTCCGCGAAATCCCCCTTCACTTACCGTTATTAATAGCGACGTTACAACAAACCAGGCTCGATATTGAAAGCGAACTGTACAGCGAACAAACCTCCACTGCCCTGAAAAAACTGATTGATGAATCCACGGCCGACATTTGCAAGCTTGAAGATGTTCTCGCCCAAACAACAAACGATGCAAATTCAAAACGTAATCGAGTTCGACGCGCGATATCAGGAATTAAACATGATAGAGAGGTCCGGAATATTACATCGAGACTTCTGCGAACGATAGACGGCTTGGTACTGCTTCGGACGGCGGCGTCGACCAAAACCCCGAAGGGTGTTCGGATGGGGCGGCACGAAGATTCCGGAGTCGGCTTCGACGATAAAGCGACCGAAGCGAAGAGTACTGACGGGTAATGGGAAGAGACGGTGATGGGACTTCAATTCCGGATGTGGGCAGCATCACGCTCTCTATCGCAAACGAACTTTAATGCATCCTGGGCTAAGCAGCTGCCTCCGATAACTCGCAAGAAGATCGCCGATCACCGAGGAACGTCATGATCCACAGAGGGGCCAGACATAACTATCTCGAGCTACGCCGTCCGGAGAACAGTGAGGATAGCACAACATCACATATGAAAGAGGAAATGAGGCTTACAAAGTGGTGCCACTACCGAAACTAAGTAACTTCGCTGGCCCGCCATCTGTTGTTCCATGGGTCGCACGTGCTCCATACACCACTGGATTTATATAAGAGGAACCAATGGATCTGGATCGCACCTCGACCAGTCTTAAAAGGTTCGCGGAAAGAGCCATGATTATAATCTCGGAATCAGATCGCGTGATGGACAACTCGGCATAAACACCAGGTTATAACCATTCATCATGTACTACGTACAAAATTCCAATTCCACAAACGGTTGTCTCGACCATTTTCCAGCCGTACATATCTCACTCTTCTAAAAATTAGCGCGCGATGGTGATAACGATGTCACCGTTTCCCCTGGCAGCGTTGGAGCCTGTATGTTTATCAGCATCTCCGCTTATATGGAAGAACAACGAGAGAAAAGAAAGACCAACCTCCAACAGTACTTCCCTGCCTGCAACTATCAATGATGGCCTGAGCACCTGCTGCAACATCCGAGCTGCACGAAATGACATGGTTAGCCGCTGCACATATCCGATCCCCGGCTTCAAGCGAAGCAACAAAAGACATACCAGTGCGAGGTCGGGTTAGGCTTTCTGTTGGGGTTACTTCCATAGATCTTGGTCGAACCGGAGGTGCAGAAGACGACGTTCTCGCCTGAGACCGTGCAGGCTGTTGTGCTCTTGTTGCGGAGGAAGTCAACGCAAGCCTGGGCTTCGCTGACAGGGACGTGGCGGTTGACACCATTGCATGTTAGAGGATAACGCTTGTCGAAGGGAGAGGCCAAGACGGCAGTGGAGGTAGCGAGGAGGGTGAGAAGAGTGGTCGCCTTGGAGAAGATCATTTTGACGGCGAGTGTTGATGTCGGTGGTAGTAATGGTAGTATAGAGATGAGGTATGTGGAAAGTTTCGGATTCTGATGATTGTCGTACTAATCAGGATCATCAAAGATATCGCTTTTTTATATCCCTCTCCCCCTCGGTTGGGGGCTTCTTTCGGGCGCAGCGATGCATTTCATTCTCGAGTAAGCTGACAAGTGAGACGAGGGGTCAAATGGTCATTGAAAATGCATCACGCATTGGGTTTCACACAGAATATTACTTGGGCCCTACAAAGTTACACCAGACAGTACTTACAATCAGCAACTATCTACGACTGAGAAGTGAGGGATCTTTTGGTGGAGCTCGGTAAGTGGTAGGGCGTGAGATCATAAGCCCTGGGTAAGTATACCGGAACAACGCTGCCGGATGCTGAATCCTTACTGACTTCGGCCTGCTAATGAATGGACTATTAGACCTGAGTGATTGAGCTTCATGCTCTGCAATGAAAAGCGACGGCAATTCTGCCGCGTTGTGTATGTCTGGACAACACAGACTCCTCTGCGACTTGTGTGTCTGATCTTCTTCATGAGTTGTCTTACCACGTCGATAACTCGTTCTACATAATTGACAAGCCATCACATACAGAAGCGCCATTATTGACCTCTGTGAAGCACAGATCCACGGCTGATCACTGAGCACTAAGTGTTCTGAGCCTCTTTGCGACACACAGCCTTACCCACACTCATCTTGTGACAAACCTAATTCTTGGCCCAATCATTTATTGCTCGCTTGCGTTACAGAAATATGCGAACTCGCAGCAAGTGTTTGAGCCTTGCAGACCTTGAACGAGGGGTTTCCACAGGATTAGGTCTGGTCACCGGAAACAGCGGAAAAAGCACCAAGACCCTGAGCGGAGATTGCTTCATGTAGACAAGCCCTATGGCCCGCAGCTCTACAGTTCAGCCCCAGACTCTTTGCCAACAACCTGACTACTACTGCTGGAATCCTCTTCAGTCGACTCAACGCCGGCATTCGTCAAGCTTCCAGATGTGGAGGTGAATTGAACTTGATTCAGAAGAAATCATTCACCATCGACGGAGTGTTCTACAAGGCTACCTGTGGATAGCGAGAGCCGAGTGCTTACATGCGTCGCGATGTCGCACTGGCGGGCTTTGACACCAACATGTTCTCCGCCTTTGCTCTACACTTGGGGGCCAAGTAGAAGAGTCGCGGGGTTGGACCCGCTTGATCCGGCAATTTCCCGCTGTAGTATCTATCACATGGACATCTTGTTGCGGCCTCAGATTAGTCCGAGGGGATCCGTATACATTCACCGTGTAACCTGGTATGTCAGCCCAGCCTCGGCATCCCCAAATTACAGGCAAGCTGGGGAGACTTGCTCTACACCAGAATCAAATATTCGCTGACCTTTCTGAACTTTCTAAGAAGCTTTTAATCGAATGATGCACAATCGAATGTTGCAAAGGAAAAAGCGACCAAATAGCCATCAAACGGCGTGCCTATTTTGCTCCACTAAAACATCGTCCTCTAATGAGACAGGCCAAGGCTGTGCCTACTGGTCAAGTACAGAAGTCTCACTTCGGCTTAATACAGCTTCGCACCTTCGCAGATCCGGAAGGGACAAGATCCCCGCAAGGAACATGGGCACGGAGCATGTCAGCCGGCCAGCCCGCATCTGACTGGCCCGCGGTCACTGTCTCGTAGTACATATAGGACTTGGGAACACTGCCACTGAGAAGCAGCTTCTATGTGGCTCTTTGAGTATCCAGGCGCTTAAGCCACGAGAACGGCACAATTACCCTATTATACCGCAAGCCCGTATAATATGTCACGCAAAGCCACGGTTAGGATCATAGCACTTCATGTACGCTATCGCGACTCCTACCATGGGAGCTAACTCGGCCGTCGCAGCTTCGTTTGCCTCCATCTCCGGCTTACTTCTCGCTTCGAGCTCGTGCTTCTCTGCTTTACTTCTCGCCTCAAGGTCGGCGTGTTGGGCGTTACTGAAGACTTTTGAACCCGCTGGTTTCTGGCTGCGCCGACGCCGCCGAGTCCAGAACACCGCAAAGACTGCCAAGAGGACTCCGGTTAAGCCTCCAAGTACGGGACCGGCCACCCACGCTCTTGAAGACCCTCCACCCGAGTCTTTCCCGCCCTTGTCGGACCCTGTTGTCTCCGGCGGGCTCACTCCATCGGATCCTGTTTCCGACGGCAGCGCATTCGTTACGGTCTCAGTTGATGTTAGGGTTATTGTGACCGTCGCAGGATCGCCTTCCTCGTCCGTGGTTGTGGCCGTGATAACACCCGTCGGATCCGGCAACTTATCCAACCCACCCGTAACCGTCAATCCAAGCCACGTCCGATCTGTCATCGTCCGTGCGGTCGTCCATGTGTAATTCGTGTATGTCGGAACTTCTCAGAAAAGGTCGCTGGTTGTCTCGTCGCACCGAATCGTTTCTCCTGATCCGAGATCGCAATCGACCGTCGCATGCCGGTAGAAGGTCGAAGTGCCTGGTATAATCACGGCCGCGGTGTAGACATACTCCATTGTCGAAGGGCCAGCTGTTATGACGAAGGGAATACCTAATGTCGTGCATCGAGTGAAATCGGACGCGGTCTCAGGGATCGCGCAATGCAAAACGACTGTCGTCAAATCGGGCTCGTTATCGAGGTTGTATACCCCTGGAACTGGTAGTACAGAATCGGTAAGACGGTCGTCGATGAGCTCATGGTTGTGAGAGGGTGTATATTCTGCACCTGACCTTAAGAACGAGGAATTTTCTTTCGAGAAGAGGGGGGCGCGGGGGAGGAGAAGAAAAGGGTCCTTGCTTCCCCTTACGGCGGTTACAGCAGAATCCTTTGCCAATGGGGCGAAATTGATTGCGCCTAGCCCTGATCATCCAAGCCCAGCCTGGGAACATAGTCACTATCCAGTGTCAAGCCTCTCGCACTCTCGAGAAAGCAACTAAAGCGCACTGTACGAAGTACCTAACCCTGTCTCAGGAGAAATACAGAAAGGACTGACAGTAGACACCTCGAAGCAGGACAACAGAACTCACCCCAGGTCATGAAACATAAAAGGAGCGCGAAGGGCTGCCGATATGTTTATCCTGTTCGAAACCAAGATTTTGGTTCGCTTGGAGCCACTCGTGCTGCAGCGTTTGCGCGCAGGATTCACAGAGCGCTTAGATATCTTGGCTGCCAGTTTCGCGCGACAAGCAGGTCTCGAAACCGTGAGAGTCGCAGGGCTCAACTACTGCTGCGTACCCTCTCCCGGCGAGTGCATGAATGTTTCTATTGCGCTTTTGTGAAACCGGACGAGAAATTCTGTGCATTCGCTTTGCTGGCTCAGCCATCTCCTGGGCCGCGCTCAGTGCGGACCACGAGCGAAAAGGGACCCAACAGGGGCGTTTTGAGTCGTGTAAAAAGATGATCCACGCCCTCGATACTTCAGACTCTGTCAACAGCACTGGTTGATCTGATAAAGGAGATCACACAGACTGTGCTTATTATGTGGGCGGTGGGATTGCTGACCGATCGTCGCTTAGCCTCAAGAGCCCCGTTCAAGTCAGATGCTTATGACCCCAATCAAATGTCAGCGAACATGGGATCACCCTTTAAGTGTCAGGTAATCTCTCGCCGAGGTTTGGGCAGCTTCCTGAGACCTCCTGGAATTCAAAGTCAACCGAACGACAGGAATAGCAACACGGTGCAGAACCCTCGTATTCAGCCCCAGAGCCGCGGGAAACAGCAGGGCGGAGTGCCTGAAGTTAAGGTTCGCAGAAGTCAATCTCACTGGGAAACGCTCAGCCGCAGGGTCTACCGTCCTCTTACACAGCAAAGTATGGCTGCGGTGGCGGTGGCTTGGTTTCACTTTGGTTGGGCTGCACAGAGAAGATTGGCACCGGCCAACAAACATCTGGTTACACCGCTCCTTAGACCCTGCGTCACACTATACCATTGTTTTCCTTGAGGTGCTCAGTCTGGAGAAGACGAGAATCAACTCTTGTGGACGACCAATCGATTGTTTGACGCTTTGTCGTCTGCACAAGTGACTTGACAGGATTTCCAACACGAGGGTCGGGTTCAGCAGCAAAAGAAATGCGGCTCTCTGGGCTGTTGCCAAGTAAAGTGCCCTCGTCTATATTGACCGAAGCAAGATGGGCAATTTACACATTCGCTGTCGATTGGCCCGGAGCTGTCTCAGGATTCCTCGGCTGGAAAGCCACATCGGACTCCGCCAATCGCTCCACAAAACCATCTCAATAGTTGGGGCGCAAAGTTGTCTGGGCACCTTGGCAAAGCAGAGCTTCACATTCAGGCGTTATGAAGCTGAAGAGAGGGAGAGACTTCTCATGTTCAGCAAAATCTTTTAAAAGGACCCTTAATCCCCAGCACCTCGCTGCTCATTTCAACCCATCTTCAGTCTATCATCTGAAATACCACACCTGAAAAATACGCACGATGTACATCCTCTCTACATCCCTCCTCGCCCTCGCGAGCCTGCACCTGGCAGCCGCAGCTCCAGAACCTGCCCACCCGGCCGGCGCCCGCATAACCGCGGCCCCGATCCCCAAGCTCTTCCGCCGCCAAATCGACGAATGCCCACCAGGCCCCTACACCATGTGTGACGACGGCTATGGCTGCTGCGAGATTGGCGCCCCCTGCACGACGATCCGCGGCGAGGCCGCCTGCGACACGGGCGAGTGCAACGGCGTCCCCTGCGGCGAGGCGGGTCTGTGCTGTGACGCGCTCTGCACGAGCTCGGCTGGTGGGTACATTTGCCTGCACACTACTCCTGGGCTCGATTTCGATGATTTCACCACCGATCTCGATGACTTTACCGATACGGATGCCCTTACCTCTGACTTCCCGACTCTGACGCTTGACGACGAGACGACCTCGACGAGGTCTCTGACCGCGTCTCCTACAAGCGATGATGAAGACACCGACACGACTGCCCTGGATGATGACGAGACAACAACCGAGGCTCCCACTTCAACAGCCGGCTTCGACTTTGGCGACGAGGACAGCGTCGATGATCAGACTGGTACCAGCGAGCCGACCGCGACCGGAGGCTCGGATCTCAATCTGGACGATATCAACGATATGCTTAATGAGGCGTCGGATGAGATCACGGGTGATAACAACGAGGATGGGGCTGGTATCGTTTCTCCGAATGGAGTTTTGGCTGTCTGGGTTCTTGCTGCGATCGGAGGTGGGATGCTACTTCTTCGTTAGGGTCGATGCCTGAGAGAGAATCTTAGTTGGTGTTTTGGGTGTGCGGTGTATGTGGTAATAATAAAATGCTTTCCTTGATTGCGGTTACAAGGACCTGATTTGTAGAATGGGTATGCTCTCCTCGAGCCGAGACAAATAGCCAAGCATGCTATCAGCTCTCTATGTGACGCTAGAGCTCTGATGCGGGTGTCCCTGAATCGCCATCGAGCAGCTCCATGACGTGTCGGACACTGACTCATCGAGTGACGAATCTTGCGTACCGTCCCACCCCATGTTCCCCCGTCGCTTTACCCTACGCCTGAAATCCACCGGCTTGACAAACCACGCACAATGCGTCTTCCACTCTCTAACCACTTGCTGTGAGGGGCATGCCTGGGAATCAAGGATGCAAAGTTGTTCGCATTGGGATTGGCGCAGCGCTAAATAGGTATTACTGGCCGAATGCCCCAGACAGGCGGGGTATGCATGAGAACAGGATTCCCCGGAAGGTGGCCACTATATAGTCGAGCGGAATATGATATAGCAAGTATCTGTACAGCAAACTGGAATCTCCTTCATCTGGTCCACATCCCTAAAAAAGCAAGGGTAATTCTGAGAGCATGTATCAAAGACTGGAGCTTAATGACGAGTTATGACCCTGCAGAAAAGCGCCCCGGGACACTCCATCGTCAAACCTACCAGAACCGCAATAGAAAATGGTTCACTCAGATCCTCGCACGGGTCACACGCCCGGCTAGACAAGAACTAGTTGAGTATGGTCATGCCCACGCAATAGTAAGGTCACAGGGACCCCCTGCCACAACACCCGCATCATACGCAGCCGAGCAGGGTTCGGGAGGACTCAGGGAGCCCTCCATCTACATGCCCCAGGATCAACATGTCGAGCCAACCGCTGGGTTGTCGGTAGTGCCAGTGTAGTCCTCTCTCAGTTGCCTTAATTATGTTTGCCTCTGTTCTGCTAAATACAGCAAAATCTATGAGTATTATAGTTACTGCCTATGGACCATTACTTTCTGTTTTAGTTCAGAGATTCCGTTCCTCGCTATAGTTTTAACTTGCTTGCTTACTAGGATATTTAATAAATCAGCCCCTAACCTGCTCCATTTCTCTCCTTCCAGCAAGATACTAACAATTTGCAACCTCGTGGTGATTCATATCTTCCATACTTGGACCTCAGAGCCGCTGTGTACCTCAGAGCCATGATTCTCAAGCTCCCAGAAAGGCTGCTATATATCCTAACGGTAATCCTTCATCCCAACTACGCCATCTCAGCTCCGATCAGCAAACTCTTACTCAGACTGCCAGGGTATGAGCGGTCTAGCGGTCAGAGACGCCGCTCGGAGATAACCCGAACAAGGAAAACCCCGACTCGCGCCACGCAGGGATCTGATCACATTGACTGGCATGGACGCACCATGGACACTTATCCGAGCCCCCGAGGCCGAGTAAAGTGCTGCCTACTGATACTGAAAGACAAACACGCACGAGGTACCCGGTCCGAAAAGCTTAGCTTGCTTGGCTACCCCATGTATATAATGCGGTAACCCCCTCGCTGAGATCATCTGCGGAATGTACTTTTACGTGTCAAGTGGCACTCACGCAATATCAGGACAGCAAGAACCAATCCAACCATGCCCGGTATAAAAAAGGTACGCAACGCAGCCAGGTCTACCATCCCACATTCCGCTTTACATCTAACGCTCCACATCACAGGCAATAATCCTCGGCGCAGGCCCAACGGGCCTCGCAACGGCCCTCCTGCTAGCCAACCGCAGCAACATCTCCGTATCAATCTACGAGGTCCGCCCTGCACCAGCCACAATCGGCGGCGCAATCGGCATCCCGAGTAACGGGACGCGCCTGCTCAGTCGGCTCAGCGATGATGGGAGGATCTACGCCGCCCTAGCAGAGAAGGCACCCATTGTCCCGAAACTCGTGTTGCATTCTGCGAGTAAGGGGTCCGTTCTTGGCGAAGCGGATTGGACAATGTATACCGAGCGCGAGACCGGGTTCGGGTATATGCGTGTCAAACGGACGGATCTTATGGATGTTTTGCTCGATGCTGTCCGTGAGAGGGATATCGATGTCCATTTCGGGAAGAAGGTCGTATCGATCCACGACGATGAAGAGGGGACTCCCGAGGGCAAAATCACTGTCCGCTTCGACGACGGGACAGAAGATACCGCGGACATACTCATTGGCGCCGACGGGATCCATTCCGCCGTGCGGAATCTGTATGTGGATCCTGGGGTGAGGGAGGAGTACACGGGGATCGCGGCGACGTTTTCGAGTGTAAAGACAGAGTCTCTACCGCCGGATCTATGTCCAAAGAATCTCGCTATGCACAGCGTCCTCACCACACAGGGCCTTTTCGCGGTGATACCCTGCACACCCTCCGGCAACGAACTCTTCTGGTTCTTCTCGCGCGAGATGCCGCTTCCTGCCAATGCCATAGCCACCGCAACATCCTCCGCCACATCCGAGTCCGAGCCCGAATCGCAACCCGGGTCTGACTCCCGCGACGGCTGGGAAATGCGCCGCCGCAACGAAGTCTCCTCGTTCAAAACCATCCTCCTCGACACCGTCTCCGAAGTCCAGGGCCACTGGGGCGCCACCATCCGCGCCATAATCAACGCGACAGACTCAATCCAATTCTACCCCGTGCACCGCCTCCCTTCTGGCGGGCGCTGGACACGAGGGAGATGCATTCTCCTTGGTGACGCCGCGCATGCTATGCCGCCGCATGCGGGGCAGGGGGTTTCGATGGCGTTGGAGGATGCGTTTGCACTATCGGGTCTGCTTGCCCGAGAGACAACGTTGGAAGGAGTGTGGGACAGGTATGAAGCGGTGCGACGGCCGAGGGTTGAGGCGATTGCGGGCAAATCGGAGACCAATCGCAAGGTGCGCAACAAGACTGGGCCGTGGGGGCTTTGGGTCAAGGAGATGGGCATTATGGTTGGGATGTGGGTGTATTGGCTACTTGGGTTGGGGAGCTGGGGGTTCGGACAGGGGTATATTGTATATGATATTGAGAAGGAAATTTAGAGAGACCGAAAGAGGGTGGAGAGAGAGAGAGTAGAGACATAGAGACATAGAGACACAAGGAAATGAGCAAGGGAAGGAAAGGAGGTTAGTAAAGAGTGAGAAACCCGAAATGACAAACCCAACCCAACATGAAAGCATAGCAAGTCCAAAAATCAACTGCAAATCCGCCTAAAGACATCCTGTGTGTGCTTCCAGACAACAGGACCGATTTTCTTCTCCCGATACAAGCCAAGCACATTCTGATTCCCCCTCGGCTCCCCGTCCCAGCTCACGAGATACGGCCTGCCCGACCCCTCGCCGATCGCGCGGGCTCTGGGCACACCCGTCGCAGCAAACAGGTGCCTCTCGCCGCAATCCTCCAGCGGAACGGTCCACGGCTTCGCGATGAAGAGCAGCACATTCATAAGGAACTGCGTGACGGGATTAAAGTCACGCAAGAGGCCGGTCCTGACAACACCGGGGTACGTGTGGACAAAGGAGATGGCCGGATTCGCCTTTGCGAGTTCTTCCAGCGACAACGAGGTCATGGTGATGGCGTGTTTCGCGCAGTTTTTTAGCGAGTAGTTTTCCTTTAGCGCGAGGTCTTCGAGGATCAGCGGGCCTTCGCCGCCGGCTTCCAGCACGGACACGACGGATGCGAGGCCGCGGCTTTTGCCCGCGACGAGGCCGTTGAGCCATGTTCCGGCGGAGATTAGCTGCGGTAGGAGATTTGAGATGAAGCGCATGCGCGCGTAGTAGTGGAGGGTGAGCTTCTTATCGAGGCCCTCGGAGGTTTCTGGCGACTATTAGTCCAACGGTCGATAGTCGCAATGGCAGATCGAAAAAAAACAAAAACAAAAATAAACACAGCTTAAAATGCACCACATCCAATCTATCAAATGTCAAATGCAAAACATAAACATACCATCTCTTCCCTTGGTCGTAAAAATCCCCGAGCTCAGCACGAGGACATTGACTTTGTCCTCCTTCTCCTGGATCGTCCTGCACGCCTCGTCGACGCGGCGAAGAAGCGACACGTCGCATTGCACAAAACTCACTCTACTCTCCGGATTCAGCGTCTGGAGATCCTCGATAATCTCCGCTGCCTGCGTCTCATTCCGTCCGATGAGATACACGATCGGAGCAATGGCATATTTCACAAACGAGCGCGCGGTCGCTTCGCCGATGCCGCTTGTTCCGCCGACTGTCCACGATTGTTAGCTCTCCCCTCTCTCTCTCTCTCTCGAGGATAAAACCTGGGGGATCTGGGAGCGGAGCGGAGCGCACCAAAAACGCCGACGAGACCCGGCCCGTAATCTTTCAGGTCGGCGTTGCTCTGCTTTACGGCGTCGAGCGAGACCATCGTCGCGGTGCAGGTTTTGGTGGTTGATGTGGGGAATTCGTCAGAAATCCGAGGCGAGAAGGTTGGGTCGTGTCGGCGCGTGGGCGAATGGGATCGGCGCTCCAACTGGTTTGCTGCACGCCGCTGCTTTGGGAAAAGGTCGCTGCCGATCCTTTCCAGCTGGACATGACAGATCGGAGAACCGGGGGCGCGGGGGTCGCTGATATCTCCGGATGGAATACTTGGTACGAACTCTGAAGCCCTAATCTGTTGCTCAGAGGGATTTTGAAGTCGTGCCTCCGGCCGGACCAGCCCTAAATCTATCATCCCCGTACTTACGACCTCGGCAGCCCCAACCCAACCGCACCTCCATCCCTCGCCCACCACCCCAGCTACTCTCTTTTGTCTGAAAGGATCAGAGTACGCAGATTGCAAGTAAAATCCATCGAACTTGTCTACAGGAGCCCATTGTCAAGCCGTTCACCCCGAATCCCCTTCTAACCACTCACAAAGTGGCACACGTAAGAGCGTGAACTTACTTAGACAGATGAAGATCGGGTCTTCCTCTATGCATAGCGAACAGAGCCCAATTCATATGTTGTCCTTGTCATATGTGGCATCACCCTTACTAGATGTATGTATACACATACTTGTCCAAGCGCCTGGAGTCATCTTCGTCCAGGGTCGTACAACCCCTATCTTCATGCATACCTTTGGTATCACCAGGAACCTGCATACAGCGACTGCTTGACATTTCTTCATATTATTCGCTCATGCAAAGAGTGTCTCGTCGGGCTCCTGTTGTAATATAGTGATATTCTCTGCAGTCCCTGCTCACTGACCTCTGCCTCCTTTTGCGAGCTTGGCCATTCGACCATTTATCAGCTCAGTCATGCCATTGCTTAGATATCCAATGAATTAGATTTTTAACCTTCAACCTTCTCATTCCTCTCCGAGAGACCTTTTTGAAGACGCCCCTTCTTGGTAGTTCATACCCCTTGCAAAACTGCTAACTAAAATGCGCGAATAGAAGGTCTATAGCCGTATAGGCCTCATCGCCACGCACAGAGCGAAAACCCCAACAGCCATCCACGCTAACAGTACCAGCCGCTCAAAGAAGAAACGCATCAAAATCAAACCTCGCCTGCGCCCTCCCCGCAGCCAACCCCGCCTCCCTGAGACTCTCCCAGTTAACATCCCCAATGCCCACCTCATAATCCCACCCCTGATGCGGATCAGCATTCGGCAGAATCTGCCAATAGAACCACGGGATCCCCGCTGCATCAATACTCGCCGCCCAGGTCCTGATATTCTCATCGCGGACATTCACATCGAGCGGACCCCCGCCGTTGCAATTGTTGTTCGGGGCCGTCGTGTAGCACGCGCCCCATTCTTGCATGATGAGCTTTTTACCACTGGCCAAGGCGCGGTCGACGTAGGGGGTTAGTTTGTCAGTCGCGAAATCCGCGACGCCGTATGCGTGAATTGCTAATACGTCCAATGAAGCGCAGGTAAAGTACCCGTCGAGAAGGGAGTTGTCGAGGTAGGCGCCGCCGCCGGTCGAGACGAGGATGGCCGGGTTGTGCGACATGTTATCTTTTATCGCCGTGGCCATTTCGCATTGCCAGGCTGTTAGGGCGGTGGGGTTTCCCTTGTCAAACAAGATATTAGCTTTGCTCTGCCGTAGGGTTGGAGCTGATGCAGCGGTTTGGAGGTACATACGTGAGGATGCATAGCCTCATTCTGGGCCTCAAACGCAAAAATATACTCCTCGCTCTGCGCCCACGTCTTCCCATTCGCCGGATTCACGTGCGCAAGGACATGCGCAATGCGATCCTTGAAGTACCCCTTTGCCTGTGCATTGGTATAGAAATCGCCCGTGCCATACCACTGCCCGTAAAAGTCGTTCGCGGCCTCGAGGGCGTTGTAGCTGTGGATTGAGATGAGAAGCTTGATTCCGTACCCGTGTGCTTTGGCCATGAAGCTGTCGAGGCGGTTCAATACGGTGTCGTCCCAGTCGTCGGGGCTGGAGCCTTGGAGGCTGTTGAAGGCGTTTATGGGGGTGCCTTTGACGGTTCCGGATTGGCCTGGGGTTATTAGGTTTGCTTCATCAGGGGTTAGGGGGCTTTGACGAGGGTGCATACCATCGAGCCAGACGCGCAGGACCTTTACACCGGCGCTGTGAAGACCGTCAAGCAGGGTCGTGGATTGAGCATCGGTCAGGCCAGCGGCGTAGTAGAGGTTTGACGCGGAGAAGGAGTTGGCAGCCAGGGTTGATGTCACCGAGGAAAAGACAACGAGGATCGAGGCAAGCGAGAACAGCTTCATCTTGAGTATCTATCTGCGTTGATTATCGCGATGTCTGCTGCTTTGCCCAACCCCGGTTGTGCTCACTCGACCTTTATACTGCGACTCCCCCTCGACACAAGTATACCAGACTCCGTCCATGAATGCTCTACATGTAACCCCAGCCCAATATGAAACGGACTACGTGATATCTTCTCGTTCTCTAGCCATTGTATGTGGTCTATCCCATCTCAACCCCACACACAATGCGCGCTAGGACGGAGATTCGAAAGCCCGTGTCTGGGAGTGACTCCGCCTTCCGGTTCAGGTTCTGGCTCGACGCCGGAGATTCGGCATCGCCGATCGGCCTGACAGGAATTTACATGTGACTGGCTGTAATAGTTTGATGTCTAGGGTGTCTACTTCCATGTGCCACTTTAGATCACACAAGACCTTGCCAGATCTACAGTTGCCCAAGCCTGTCAGCGAACGTGACCGTCCGACTTGCGAGTGTCTGACAGGATCTTGGATCTTCAGACCTCACAATCTGCATCTTGTGTTTATACTTTGACGGCAGGTCCACTATCTAGGATATAAACACTCAGACCACCATATACATCACTCATTATAGTTAAACAAGTACCCCAACCAATCCGCATCACCCTCCGGCATATCAAAGTCTAGAAAGTCAAGAACCGACGAGCCCACAGCATCAAGCGAGGCAACGGGGTCCACACTATCCTGGTCCCGAATATTACAATACAGAATCTCAATTCTCCAGCCACTCCGTATAGCACCGGCGTCATAGGGCCCCATGCGCGAGAAGAGCTCCAGCGACTTGTTGATATACTCCTCACACAGTTCCCTCTCTGCCCCAACTCTATCGGATACAAGGGCAAGGACCAGTACAAGGCAAATCTGAAAAAGATGCCAGGCATCGTTCCAGGTTAGGAGGTGGTTCGGGAACCAGTCCTGCGAGATCATGTCGATGCCATCGCGGGCGATTTGAACACACTTGACTGCGTGGCTCGCTTGTGGGTATCGACTCCCATCGGACCATTGTCTGCGGTGGAGTGCTGTGCTTAGAAGGTACGGACGGTAGAGTGCCAGCCGGGTTGTTATGTATCGGCACCGGAGGAGTCCTCGCGCAACGCGGAGACTCGGCGGACAGTGATCCTCGTGAGCGAGGAACATGTGCAATGAACTCTGCCACTCTAGGAGTTCGTGGTCGAATGCAGTGATTTCATCGGTGGTTATCAACGGCGTTTGAGCGAGCCTTTCCTGGATGCGTGCGGCGATTTTGCAAAAGTGTTCGCTCGCGGCGAGTGAGATTGTTCCGTAGTCCTATAGGAAAGTGTCAGTTATGAGTAGTCAAGTGAAATATGACGGGGTATTGCAGGACGTACCAAACTAGCCAAGGCTAATGTCGGCGATGTCAGCACTGTTTCTGGGCTCCAGTACCCTAAGCCTGGCCGACCTAATGTTGCTGCAGCCCATGTGTCCAAGCAGAAAATCGACCACCATGTCCGGACCCGAGTCATGACTGAACTCCGCGCTTCCTGCGAGATTTCGCAGTCATTATACTTGGGTATCCGAGCTCTATGCAGACCCATTGCAACCGCCATCCGAATCGTCGCACCAATAATCGCACTAGCTGTATTCGGCTTGTTGAGATAATGGAGCAAATACCCGCCGTAGAGTGCTAGAGCCTGGACTGTGTACAGATGTCCAGAGCCCAGAGAGGACAGACTGAAATGGGATAAAGCCCGCTTGTATAGGATGTGGCGCTTGTTAAACTGGGTATCTGAAGCAAAACACCCCATGGCAAGAACCATGTTGAACAATGCGAGCCACGAACTCGCATAGTTACCCGACACCCCTCCCTCGGTATACCGTTGTCGAAAATCAACCTCATCGACCATTGGCGTTATAGGATGCACGTGCGTAAAGTAGGCGTTGATCATGGTCAGTTCGTTGATCTCTGACGATCCAGGGCTATCGTGCTCATGGACACTCAAGGTTTTCCACGCCTCGGGACTTGTAGGAACTGCCTGGCGGACGCGAGGCGATAGATGCGCAATGACACGTAATATTGTCGGTACAGATGAAAAGCCAAGATACGAGGCATTCGCAGGGGTGAGCGAATCCAGCGACACCGCAATACCATTGATATCGTCGGCCACGCGGGAACCGTCACTGTCTGCATTGGAGACTTCGTCCCAGGTAAAGTCTCGCTCAGGTGGGGCCTCTAGATCTTGAAGGTCGTTCTCGGGTCGCTCGTCTACATTCATGGCGAATGATGACTGTAACATTGCTTGAGCTTTCGCAACGAGAGCAGGGCGAGACATCGTCGCAAGCTCGTCGAGGGACACTGATGGGAAAAGCGTCTCGATGATTTTCTGCGACTTCGTATGGGCGTCGGAGAGCTCGGCGTGAGACCTGCATTTATTAGTCACTAGGTAAGCCTCAGATGATCTTATAGTGTACCTCAACGAGATATTACGCCTGGCCTTGCGAGGAGGATAATGGCACAGATGGGGCACTTGGTAATAGACGCATTGCCGACAAGGAGTCGTGAAGCCATCGCATCGAATACGACGGCGGCGACACTCTGCACAGGACGAAGTAGCCCGCCCAGAAGTCCGGCTAGTCCGCGTTGGTTGCTCCATCTCGGTTGCAGGCAAGAGCCTGCGTCTGGAGCATCGAGGTTCCTACGCAGGGGAAAAATGGGTGCGAGGCGGTTTGCGGGGTAATGCCTAAAAGTGGAGAGACCTCCGACAACCCCGATCTCGATGTCGTATCGCCGTCGTCATAGCAACCCCCCTGGAAGAGGTCAATGCAGTTGATCTTAGGTCATGAGGCCTGGCTGAGGTCTCTGGTGTGCAAAGCCGACGGTTTCGATGGCCCGAAAGGTTGATGGAGAGGCGGAGCTCCGCGACATGCGAGTGAATGTGGGTGGGACACCGGTACCTGCACCTCGCAGTGCCCCGCTCCTTCCGAAACAGCCCTCTAGGAAGGGGCACGGAAGCGGCCATCCATGACACTATCTTTGGGGAACCAGTAACAATATTGGGTGTTGGTAAACAAGCAAATTACCCCAGAGTCTGTTGATAGGTGACAGCACTAGGCCATAGTATAACCGAGGCTAGCACGGGGTTTCGATGTCCCGCCCTAGTATGAAGATCGCACGATGACCTGATCAAAGTGACGGCGCATCCGAATTCTCCTCCGCTCTCGAAGAAGTGATGATCAGCTACGTGCGCAAGGACTAGTAGTGGGAAATCAGGTCAGTGTATGCCCGCTGCCATGTCCAAAGTCACGCGGGAGAACTGCGTATCCTTGACAAGGTTGATATATACATGGTGCAGATGGGTTCTAGCCTTATGAAAAGCATCCATCTTCAAACTTCGCTTACAATGAAACATGTACGAGTGGCGCTTAGGCCACGTTCGACCACTCTAACACCTGCGATATTGTACAGGCAACTAATACGATCATTGAGGTGATCCTAGGACCCTTTGTATGGCCGTATATGCCCTACGCTGAGGTAGAAATAGTCTAGTCACTTGCCGCGAGCTTACGGATACTCGCCTTCCTTGGGTTCTTCGCTTCGAAAACAGCATCTAGCTCTTCCAGTGTGCGCCCCTTTGTCTCCACGAAGAAGAGGTAAATGAATACGCACTCAAACAGATCCCAGAAGACGAAGAAGACATAGCTGTGTACCGTTAGTATATATATTAAGACCATAGGGGGCTTGACTTACAACCAATACCGAATATTCTCCATCGCAATCGGCGCAGCAAACGTATTCACGAAGCTGGCGCACCCCGCTGTGATTTGGAAGACCATCATACCGTTTGCGCGCATGTCATCTAACGCAGTTAGTATGGTAACTCGTAGCGAGAAGGATAGTGCAAATGAGAAGAGCCTTACTAGCTAGAACCTCTGCAGGATATATCGGCTGCATTGGCGTAAACGCGACAGCGAAGACAACACCAAAGATGAAGATGAACGCAATGCTGGCTGAGCTTGACGAAACACTACCGGTTTGTTCGTATGCTGCAGCTGTACCAGCGACGACCGCCAGTGCGGCAGACATGCCGAGGCAGGAGCCCATGAGCATTTTGCGGCGGCCGACGATGTCGTGCAGGCGGGCTGATATCCCAAGTTAGAAAATATGCAGTATAGGCCAAGGGTGTCTTACCTCCAGCAGTCGCGGCAATCCACCCCGTAACCGCATAGATCGCATTGAGCAGCAGAACCATATTCGTCTCTGTAATCCCGACATTCTCCACCATGATAGGTAGATAGTAGCTAACCACATTATTTCCAGAGAACTGACCAAACCATCCCATGGTGATAACCAGCATGACACGGTACAGTCGAGCTCGAGACTTGAACAGGCTGCGCAGGTCGAAGCACGCCCAGGCAGATCGGGAACGGACTTCTGCGAGGGACTCTTCGATTTCCTGCATTTCGATTGCAACAATGGGATGGTCTGCGTCTCCATTGGCGTGGTGCTTGACGATAAATTCCCGAGCTTCTTCTTGTTTTCCCTGCGCGATTTGCCAGCGGGGGCTTTCGGGGAGGAACCAGCTTCCGAGGCAGGCGAGGCCGGGGCAGAGGATTTGCAGCCACAGGGGGAGTCGCCATTTGATGTTTCCTGTGAGGTGGATGTTGGCTCCGTACATTGCTGGCAATAGTTAGTTGAGCTATTCAACTAGGAGCAGCTGCCTTACTGAATGTGGCAATAATGCTCCCAACATAGTACAGGGTATTATATATCCCAGCAACAGTGGCCCGGTGAAGAGGCGGCGCAATTTCAACGAGAAGCATTGGGGCCGCAACGCAACAAATGGTGGAAAAGAAGCTCAGAAGGAATCTGGCTGCGATGAATGCTGGCAATGTGGGCGCGAGTGCGGTAAAGACAGCAGAGCAGCAGATGAGGAACGCTGTGACCCGCAGAGTCATTCTTCGTCCATACACGTCGTTTACCCAGACGAAGAGTGCACCTGCCATCTGGCCAATGTTGAAGATTGAAAATACGAGGCCCGTCGCGGATGCACCGCTGGTGTTGTAGTAGGATTGGTACTCTGGGAGGACATTGATTGAGCCCATCAAGGAGCCGTCGTATCCTATAGCTTCAGGCTTTAGTGGTAGGTCCTGTCCGTCAGTGCTGGATTCCGGCGTACCATTCATTGTAGAGCACAGATAAATAATCAAACAGGCTGCGTAGAGCTTCAGATGTCCACGACCCCAGGGATCGGGTGTACCACCCAGCGCATCAAAGGCATGCACAATAGCGCCTGGCCGGATATCTTGCTTATCCTTTTCCATGTTTATTTCTTCGTCATGGCGGAAACCAGGATGGGGCTCGGACTGAACTTTGTTAGACATGATAATGCGATGGTTCAAGCTGAAAGATGAATGGACTATCACAGTGCTGGTCCAAGCTGTCAAACGGCTCCATATTTATACTTTGCATCCAATTGAGGCCGTACGCTCAGATTATGGAGAAAGTGCGAGGAGAACAGGGGAGAACTCCAATCTGGGGGCCGCTAAGACGGTGCCTTGTAATCCCGTCTTAGCGTGAAGGAACAGGCGGACTTGCCACACTCGGCGACAATTCGTGAGGACAATCGCATTCGATGCGGGAATCCAAAAGAGCGACATCTGCGGCCAGTATTATGTCTTCCTGTTGGGACATCACTTGTGATGTATTTCATGCACCCCTCTTACGGCCCTTTCGTGGCAACGGAGCATCCTAGAGTCGTCTCCGACTACAGTTCCAGATTTGCACCATGGCCGCTGCTCAAGGAACGACGCTCGAGACCGGATGGAGCTTCAAGCGAACCGACGAGGGATGCTTCTTGGGGGCCAGTAGCTCGCGTCCCAACCGTCGTACACATGGACCTGCTGGACAACAAGAACTTAGCGCCCCCTATCCCCAATAGTTCAGCCCCTAACCCGGGAAACCTACAGGATTCCCGACCCGTTCATCGACACCAACGAACTCGACATCGAATGGATCTGCGAGCACTCATGGACATACCAGACGACCTTCATCCGCCACCATCCCTCGATTATCCTGTGGGCTGGGAATAATGAGGACCATCAGATACAGGAGGAGTATAAGCTCGATTACGACTATGAGAACAAGAATCCAGAGTCGTGGCTCAAGGGGTCGTTTCCGCGCTAGATATTACTATGAACATCTACTACCGGCAGTCATGAAGGAGGAATCACCTTCAGTGGCATACTGGGCTAGTTCGCCTTTTGCTGGAGGAAGGAATACGTCACCAGTGGAATGGTATGTGCCCTACTCTGTCCCTACCTGCATAGCCTCTCACCACCCAACCGATATTTATCTTTGATGGCTAGTAAGGCACGGCACGCAAGAGAAATACCGACGCTACGGCCAAATCGGCGGCCAGTTCAACAGCGAGTTTGGCCTCGCCTCGTTCCCCGTCCTCGAAACCGTACGGGCAATGGTGACAGATCGCAAGATCCTTATCCGCAGTCGCGCGTTCTCGACTTACAAAACAAGGCTGATGGGCATGAGAGGCGGACTGCGACGTATATTGCAGAGAAGCTTCGGATCGTGCCGGGGCTTGGGGTTAGTATTGTACTTCTCCATCCCAATCCGTATAGAGATTATGATGTGCCTTTGGTGAGGCTAAGCTAACGATTCCACGATTATGACAGTCTTGGGTCTACCTAACCCAACTCTCCCAAAGCGAAGCCATGCTCTACGCATACCGCGGCTGGCGCCGCCAATGGGGCGAGGAGCGGCGGTGCGGGGCGCACTCGTCTGGCAGATGAATGACTACTGGCCCACGAGTTTGTGGGTAATAGTCGACTACCACCCGCGCAGGAAACCCGCCTTCTACACTGTCAAAAGGGCGCTGCAGCCGCTTGTGGCTGGTGTGCAGCGCGAGCACCATGATTGGAGTGTCTGCCATGCGCGGCCGGCTAAGGTATCGAAATATAGTGTTTGTGTTACTAGCTCGCTGAGACGGGGCTCGACGCTTGATGTTGAGCTGCGGTTTGTATCCATCGACTCGGGGGAGGATATCAAGCCGGCCATCACAAAAGCCGGTCTGACCATGCCTGACAACGGCTCCGTTACCGCAATTACTGGTCAGATTGACAATCGGACAAACGAGGCACACGTCCTAGCAGTATCCTTCTCCCGAGACGGGGCAGTGATCTCGCGAGACGTGGACCCGCCGCAGCCATTCAAGTACCTTTCCTTCGAGAATGGGGGTGTACAGGTCCAGGCGGATGAGGGATCTTACGAGGTCTCCATTAAGAGACCGATGAAGAGGTTTGTTTCAAAGAGGTTAATGGCGTTGTGCTGAGTGATAATGAGGCGGCCGAGCGAGTGATAAGTCAAGTTTCATTACCTGGGGACGGAGGAACATTGAAACGAAGTATACAGGCTAGAGTGAGACATGGGCTTTATGAAGGTAATCAATGCAGGCCTCGCACGGGAGGAATCTATGGGGACATACTAACTCCGCAAGGACCCTACCTTTGATCGTACAACGTATGCTCAGTGGTCTCGCTTACGAACACGCGGCTATTGGAGTATATGTTCATTGGTTCTACTACAAAACAATGCCTGCCGGTATCTTGATCTAGCAAAGGCCTACGTCTTCGGTGATGAAGCATTGGATGCAAAGTTTCAGAACACAGTCCTCGGCACTATGATAATAAGAACCGGAACACTTATTGACAGCTGGAGCGCGAGAAGATTTTGCCCCACGGTCAGCGTGGTTGACTATGTGTACCAGCACACAGCGGAGGATGCGCCTCTCTGCACGATGCTTATCGATATGTGGACGTATTTTGGGGATCCTTCGTGGCTGTTAGAGGGGACGGACGTCATCCCGCCGGCGTTCGCTGCGGAGACAGCAGTGAAGGCCCTCTGTTGGCGGCCTGGCTACCATGTTTGGAATAATCTCGATCGTGATTCGTATCATATCAATGAAGACTAGGGACTAGCATACCACTGGATGGGCATATTTATTAGTCTATACTATATGAATTGCACGCGATATTATGTATACAATCGCAGTGAGTTGCTGTCGATACTATGTACATTTCCTAGCTCTGCTCTAAGGCCGAGTCTAACAATCTCGATGGGTATTGGATAAATAGTCTAGGATTACCTCTATTTGTGAGAGGGGTGCAGTGATCACAATCAAGGATATATGGTGTTATGACCTCACAATGTCCCTGTCGGCTTCTTAAATCCATCCATGTGGGTCTCGTCAGTGTAAGCAGTGGGGCCTGTCAGCCATAGATGGTGCACATATGATTGGCCAGATTGCATTAAGCTCGGACCCTTGCGGGGTTAAGCTGTTTGCGGCGTTAAGAATGTGGGCCCCTTATAAAGAGCGCATTGCCAGCATGAACGTGGGTTTAATCCTCTTTTCTTCTCTTTTATTTCACAGATATTGTACATTATCTCACCACAAGCTTTTAATCTTCCATTCCCGGCTCTTCCTTTGGAATACTTTCTACTCACTTCCATCAAAGTCAACCTCCCACATCGCGGATCGATATTATCTGGCTGATCTACCTTAAGAGTCGCATCAATACTTCATCTCGAGAAGACAAAATGGTCACGCTCAACGCCGTCAAAGCGCACAACGCGACGCTAAAATCCACCCTCGCGCCGGGCCTCGTCGCAGTGTTTGGTACGACTAACTCTCTATAAAACAAAAACTCAGCTATTCAAGACTAACGAATACATCAACAGTCGGCGGCACATCCGGCATAGCCCTCAGCACAGCCCTCGCCCTTGCACGACACACCGTCTCCCCGAAAATCTACCTGATCGGGCGCAGCCAACCAGCAGCCGACGACGCAATCAGCACAATCAAATCCATCAATCCATCTGCAACACCGACATTCCTAAAGAGTGACATCTCCCTACTAAAGAATGTCGACAGCGTCTGCGCGGATATCGCCGCCAGAGAACAGAAAGTGAATATACTGTTTATGACGCCGGGTTATATGACCTGGAAGGGACGAGACGAGACGGCCGAGGGACTCGATCGGAAATTCGTACTGCATTATTATGCGCGGATGCGCTTTGCTTCCAACTTGCTTCCGCTGTTAACTGCTGCTGCAAAAGATACGGAGCCAAAGAGGAACAGACTATCCCGCGTCGTTTCAGTGCTCGATCCACACGTCGCAGTACGCCTTGGCGGATCCGGGAAACTCGACTATTCCGACCTCAGCCTCAAGCATACATTCACGCTGAACCGGTGCGGTGCGCACGCGAGTCTCCTGGGCGACTTTTTCCTCGAGGGGCTCGCGCAGAAGTATCCAGAAACGTCCTTCGTGCATGCGTATCCGTCTGGTGTCAACACAGGGTTGCTGCGCGAGTATCCCATCGCGTCGGCGGTTGCGTCGGTACTTTTCAGGCCGTTTATGTTGCCGCTTGAGGAGAGTGGGGAGAGGCATTTGTTTGCGGCGACGAGTGGGCGCTATCCTTCCAAGAACGAGGAGGAAGGGAAGACTAATGGGGATGTTGTGGTTGGGAGTGACGGGACGAAGGCGAATGGGAGTTATTGGCTCAGTTGGGATGGAGAGCCTTTTCCGCGGAATAAGAAGCTTGATAAGGTGAGGGCAGAGGGGGCTGTTGTGAAGGTTGCGGAGCATACAGAGGAGGTGTTTCGGGTTGTTTGCGAGGAGGGGAAGACGTATCCGTGATTTTGGACTTGACCGCTTGAGATACGAAGTGTAGAAGGTGGAGCCCCTGTTGAGTGCTTCAGTTATCGATGATTCATTGCTGTTATATACACTATCCTAATAACGCAACAGCGCCCTTTCCTGGACCGTTTTCTTGGCCCCTCTCCCGTGCCTACCTGCCCTGTTGTTCTTGTACTTGCCCAAAGAACGCAAAACAATGATAACTGCCATTGGCTATTGAGCAGCTCTAATCTCGAGCCAATGCAGGGGGTTATCCTCAGACTTTAGAAAGACCGAGGAATAACTAGCACCACAGGAGCCGTCCATGTACTGGGTCTAAATGTGTGATTTCCGATCAGTGCTGGGTGTCCTTGCCCGGTTTTCTACAGGTCGAGGTATGTATGGTTGTCGTTGAATGGTAGAGTATTTTAATAGTGCCAGTGAAAGTAGAGCTCGGCAATCGTGCTACTGTCCGCTTGGAGGCGGATCGTGCGTGTTTTGGACTCGGCCTAGGGGCCTGAGAGAGCCGTATCAAAAACCGGCGAGGCGGAACGGAGGAGGTGCTCGTGAACGTGATATGATGTGTTGGTGTCATTCGCGATCAGGGTCACCATCACTCCGGCGAATCCCAATTATGGTAGTGGACGGGTGTAGGTCTGTAAGACTTGAAGCTCAAATGTTGACGCCCCCGTTCGAACAGTGGGCGTTATTAGAAGGCATGACTTGGACTTAGTGATAAGGGTGCAGTTTGCATAAAATCGGCGCGGAAATTGCGCTCTTGTAACAGCCAGGCCTGCACCAAAATCATTATAGTCACTTGACTGGTTGGAGGTGTGTAAAGTTGTATGGATGCATGGATAACTCCATCATCTCTACCATTTGCGGGAAATTAGCTTTCCATGCCACCATTCCTATATTCTTATAAACCTTATCTAGCTTTATCAACAAAGACCTATTCTTTGCGATACTGCATATTTCCACGAGGCTGTCTGGTGGTTCAAGAACCTCATCTAATAGGGGTCAAGGAAGATTTTTATAGCCTCAAGTTCCTTAGTGCTTGAAATCTCTTACCAGAGTTCCGAATCAAATATCGTGAAAAGCTGGGATAGACTAGAATGGTAGCCGATACAATAATCATGAGGCGGGTCATGCACTAGAGGATGGATACGCAGGCAGCTGCCACGGAGGAAGTGGAAATTTCTTTTTATCACTTGTTTATCGTACCTTATCTTTCAAGCTACCCTAGAATTCACTCTACGGGGACTTGGTCCACAAAGGCGTTTCTTTTTCTGCATTATATCTACACATGGGCACGAGCTTACCTCTGGATATGAGAAACAATGACTTGTGCATCGTTATTTGATTCTGGCCCCAAGTGTGGCTGGGTGTCCTGGGTGTCTATCCACATGATCTAGCATAGGTCAGAAGTAGCTTAATCGCGAAGTCGTCCAGGTACACCTTATCATCCACTACATATGACTAAATGAACAAAGAAAATCAGGTTGGCTGCACTGGCGGCACCACCTCCGACGGCCAAGCAGTTGCACCGCCTCACTCCAGCAGTGAACAGGCAAGTTTGCCCTATGCCAAGGGGCTCCGGGCGGGCTTTGCGCCGCTAAAAGTGGACCCCGCGCCACAGGTTCGAGCCCTAGGACGAATGACTCGCCAACGCCGACGCCCCCAAGCCCCATCGCTCAGGGTTACAACACGTGATGCTACATTTCATAAAGCCGATTTCGCCCTATTATTTCGCTGGCGCGTTTCCAAAGTGGAGTCTTGGACAGCGAGAGGACATCTCATCTTGACATGAATCGTCCCTGCGTGCGATTTACTTGTATATCGCCGGCATGCACTTCCGCAATACCTGGACGTGGATATCTCTTGGATTAAGTAGATTACTTATCGGTACAGAATACCGCCAGATCTGCGCGGGGTGCGACTCATACTCGGAACGCTGCTAATTCAAAACCCAGGCGCCCTCGCTCGAGAATGCATCTTCGATAACCCCCCAAACATCGGCTACCGAAACGAAGACGACTTACACCGCGACTTCGACGGCTGCACAACGATCGTCGCAGACAACATCACACTCGGGAACCTGCGCGGCTCACTCGTTGTCCCTGATGTTGTAAACATTACAGGGACGCTCATCATCCCTAATAACGACGACAAGTGGGGACTGCCAGTCCTGAACTCGATTGAATTTCCCGACCTTGAGCATCTCGGCGGTCTAGATGTTTACCAAGTGAATGATCTGAAAAGTTTCACGTTTCCGAAGCTGAAGCGTGTCAGCGGAAAGATTGGTATCACGGCCATCGAGAAGGATGCCAACGTAAGTTTCGAGGCGTTGGAGCGCGCGGGAGCGCTGAGACTGAATGGGTGGTTTGAAGAGTAAGATATTGAACATTTCTTCTTAACGCTTCGTCTGTGGCCGACGTGGCTAACGCCAGATGCATGGTAGCATCAACCTCTACTCCCTGCAGACAGTCGACAACGACTTGATCATCGAGAATTGCGAAAACTGCCTGGCCAAGGACCGGACGGGTCATGTGCGAGACAATGTCCCATTCGTCTACTTTGGCAGTCTGCGATCCGTGGGGTATATCAAGATCGCGGGAGTCCTCGATGTGTACGTCACTCATACCACCCTAGCCCCTACCTATGTCTGCTTGACCTATCTGGTAACTGGCAAAGGAAAACTGGAGGTCAATACTGATATATAAATGTGTGCAGCGGCTATATGTGGGATCTCACCTCCATTGGCCCACCAGCGGACCCCGGGAATACCGAGCTCTCGACGGACTCAAGTGCGCGGTTTTACTTCAATGAGACGACCACTCCGTTTGATTTTAATCTGTCGAGCTTGGTGTCGGTTGATAGGCAGCTGATCGTTAGTGGGAATATTGAGAGGTAGTGTTTTCCCTTCTTTATATTGGGTTGCTGGTGGTGAATGGGGCCGCTGACTTGATAGTATAGCCTTCACATGGATGCGCTGAAAAGTACCAACGCGTCAATCTATATCAATGCCGTACATGCCCTGGATATTAATCTCAGCCTCGAGTACGCCAGGTCGATTGACCTAGAAGGTCATATCACAAGGTATGCCCACCCAGTTCCCCCTCCAGGCTATCAACTAAACCTCGCACTAAGACCCAACGCAGCGTCCACCTCCCAAACCTCACCTCCGGCACCCCTTTGACGCTCAAGTCCACCTACTCGTGCAAAGACCACACATCCCTCACGAACGTCTCCTGTCCCGCGCCTCCCAAATTCAGCACAGCCGCAAAGATCGGTATGGCGATCGGGATCGTAGTTGCTGTTGCCCTGGGCATCCTCGCCGTGTTTCTGTGCTGCAGGCGCTCGCAGAAGAGGGAAGCCGAGCGGGTACGGACGTTGCGCACGCGGAATGAGTTGGTCGATCTGCCGGCGTATGCGCCTGGGGCGAATGTTTCGGGTGTGTTGAGGCCGGATACGCCGCCGCCGCTGTATGAGGCGAGGAGGGATACGTAGTATAAGGATCTGGTTGGTTGGTTCTTAGGAGAGTTCCTCATCTAACCAATATTGCGTCATCTGAATGTTGAATCTGAACTCAAAGATCTCTTGGCGCTGAGGCAATTTGATCCCAAAGAGCCTCTTGATAAAACCTGCTCAGAGTTTACATTTCCACAGGCGGCGTCGAGCACCGCCGAGTTTGTTGTGTTACTCCGACCTCCCTCGCTTCTCACATAACCAACTATTTTCCTGCTCAACACTGAGCTTACGCGACCATCCCCTTTCCTCAAAACCCATCAAAGACTGCTCAGCTGCAGACGAAGCATGCCTCTCCTTCACCTGCCCATCGAACTCCTCGACCAGATCATCAGCGAACTGGATACCGCCGACGTCGCCAGGTTGATGGCCTGCAACAACCGCCAGCTCGTCTTCAACCACGAACGCAGACTCTACAACAAGCAAGATACCCGCGACAAAGCCATGTTTGCCGCCTGTAGCCATGGCCTAATCCGCATCATCCGACGCCTTGTTCTGGACTACCGCGCGCCCGTCAGCTCCGTGCCACTGAGAGCCAAATTCTACATGAATGCCCAACACCGAGTGGCATGCCTTGGAATTCCTGAATCGCAGGAGGTCGAGCTGACACTATATACGACTGTCGCCTATGGGAATCTTGACGCGTTTCGGGAGCTGCTCAGACTCGGTGCGCGTCTTGATGTCCCTAATACCTGGCATGGCTGTCTGGAAGATTTGATCGAACGGGTTTTCTCGCCGGAGAATGACTGGGAGCTCCTGCACTGGTTTTACGGCACGGGTTTTGACGCACAAGTATCTCCGGAGGCTCACGATTATCTTATTCATCCGTTACTAAAGGTTATTCGTGCTTCGGGACAGCGTGGGAGACCCCCTCTGGGAGCGTTGCGGATGCTGCTAGACCGCCGCGCCGGCGGCCCCCTCAACGAAGTGTATGTGGGGTTTAGCCCGCTGGCAGCCGCGATCCGACAGCAGCAGTATGACCCGATTCCAGTCCTAGACCTGCTTTTAGGCGCCGGTGTCTCGATTGACGGACCAGTTTGCGAGTCTCCCATTCCTAGTCCAATGGGTATTCCCATTTTTGCAGCTGTCGAAGCAATCGCGATGAGAGGCGATACAAACCTGGTGGAGTGGTGTGTTCGGAATGGCGCGAATATCAATCCTTGGCAGGGGCTTACGGAGATTGCATTTGGACACTGCTATGCCACGCCAATTCGCTTTTATCTTGCGACTTTTGACTCCTGGGCTGGAAATCCCTGGGATCCAGTCAAGGGGTTGCAGCTGTTGCTCGATCGCGGCGCAAAGATGGACTTTTCCCCTGACGACGTAGGAAATGGACAGGCAGGATCTGCTACGGATAGTCCTTTACCGCAACGCTCCGTCCGCTGGTTCTGGTGCCTCAAAGCTCTCCTATCCAACCGGAGTATGACCGATATCTTAACGATACCAAGCTACCGCCGAATGGTCGAGTACGTGATCCAACTCCACGCCGAGACCGAGGATGCAACGGCTGCAGAGACACTATCCCACTGCGAGGCCGCGCTGAGGGGGAAGCCCGAGCTGAATCCGTCATTTAATAGTTCCGAGAAGTATTCGGCGGCGAGAGAAGCTATCAGCTCCGCTTGGAAAATCATTGTCAAAGACATAATCCTCCCAGCTTATCAACTGGGTTCAACCGAGATTCTTGCGCAGTACATATTGCACAAGGGAAGGTGCATCGAACCAGTCGACTACCTGTCTGATGTACCAATTGAGATTCTGCTAGCCGCCGGCGCGGATATAAATGCTCGCCTGGCCGACACACAGGATGGATCCACCATCCTCCACCAACTGTGCAGGGAGATCGGACGTGTTTGGAGAGACTCGCCAACGGGCTGCAGGGCGCTCTGTACATGGGAACCACACATTCGGAGCTTCTCGTTGATCAAGTATGTATTGGGCAAGGGGGCGGACAGACGTGTGCGAACGTTTGATGGACGCACGGCGAGGGGGCTGCTATTGGAGAGGCTTGATTTGAGCCAGTGTGAGAGGCTTGCGAGGATGCATTGGATTAGCAGAGAGCTCGGCGGGATTTCAGAAGAGACTTTTAGAGCGCTCGCTCAATAGAGGCAATTGGCCTAAATGAACCACCTACATGTTCCCTAAAGCCCTTAGCTGTTGATGAAGTAAACGCCAACTGCATGTGTTTTAACCGACCTCGAACGAGGAGTTAGAAATGTCTCGCCCAAGCACTTTCGTATCACCACAAGTGGTGCTAAAAAATAGCCGTTTTTGGATATGGACAGGGGTATCGTGAACCCTCGATGACATCTCCACCTGCAGCCCCTGCTCGTCTGGCAAGTACGACCGTTTACCTACCGAGCCATCCTGCGGCAAGAGCAAAACACCTCACAAGTGACCAGCGTGCCTTCTGCACTTAGCCTCTACGCTTCAAACTACTACTGTTCAAATGCCGTCCTTGAGATCATTTCTCCACCCTTACCCCGACGAAATAACTCATGATCGCCGCGACCCCCAAAGTTCAGTCTGTGCCGGATCCGCCTACCGTTCGCGAGAGCGCTGAGCTGACGGTTGGACAACCACTGCACACCAGCCCCTTACCCCGTTGTATGTCATAGGACAAAAATGGGATCGTGCGGTGCATATTCCCTGTCTGCAACGACGTATCAATCGCCTTGTGTCACGAGATGAGCGACGTGTCAAGCAGCCAAGACCTGAATTGGCGAGAGCCTTACCCGGCGGTGGCAGTGCGTAAGACAGCCACGCATAGCCTTGCCATGAATGAAACTGCCTTAAACACGTCGGCTGCTTCGCAGAACTTCCTCTCCTCCCGATTTTCCTCTGCTTCCTCTGTCATTTACCGCTGGGACGCGCCCTCCGCCCCATCCCCTTCACGAACATGGCCGAAGCGCTAGGAGTTGCCGCGAGCGCGATCAGCATCCTGACGCTGACGGCTCAGATCATCGACTCGATCGACAAGCTTCGCGCTCTTCATATATTTGTCAAAACGGCTTCGATCGAGTTCGAGGATCTCCTCGCGGAGATCGAAATCATTCAAGCTGTTCTCCGCACATTGACTCCGGAAATGCTCGCCTTGCTAAATCTTCCATCGGCTGAGCGTCGGTTACAGGTTTTTCATCAAGATCTTGAGACCCTAATCCTCAAGGTGTCCAAGTACAGGAGTACGGCGGACCGAAAGTTGGGAGCTGTCAAGCTCGTTCTCAAGAGGGAGACTTTTCGGACCCAGCGACAGAATCTCGATAATCTCAAAAGCACTCTTTCCCTGCTCCAATTGGCTTGCTATCAGTGAGTATTCTTAGTATTTTACGGTGTTCAATCCACCTTGAGAAATGTGCTAAAGTGTGTAAAGTGCATCAGTCTCTCAGGCCTCTCGAAAGTCCTTAACAGATGATACAACAGCTCGTAGTCATGCAGAGGACTCCAATGGATGGTATGTGTCCAATCTCATGTCTTGAGAAGTGTAACACACTCAACAGACCTAGTCGACAGGTGGCACGAAAGCTAGACGGCGAAAAACAACCAAAGAGGTGGTATAGAAACGAATACCGTTTTCGCACCCCGCTGTACTTTATGGACAAAATGTGGACAATACGTACCACAGAACTCTACGGCTGGAAATTTACACTACAAGCCAATAATGTGATACCATGCGACTCGCCTGTGTTTCGCCACTGCCAACGAGGAGAAGTAGAGGAAGTGAAAATGTTATTTTCCAGTGGCAGTGGGTCTCCTTTTGACTGCACCCCTGATGGAATCACACTGCTACATGTGAGAGACCACTCGCTACTGCTGTTTAGCTTTTGCTTACATTTCCACAGGTGGCCTCAAGAAGGGGCCAGGTGGACATGTGTCGGTTTCTTCTGGAGAATGGCGCGAACCGAAACTGCAGAACTCAGAAAGGACTCAGTCCTCTTCACTACGCAAATGCATATCTCATTGTGACTCATGTTCCACCAGAAGATAGCGTTTGGATTTACGACTTTTATCGGCTGTTCCTACAAGAGGCTGAAGAAATTCTATTTGAAGACTACACGGCAGATGACTTTCCCCTGTTCAGCTTCAGCGCACCCCCGGACACCCTGAGTCTGATTCAAAGCCATTCATTCGACAACTATTCAGCATTACCCCTTGAAATCCGGTTCAGACGCGCAATGGCCCTGAACACTGTGCTGCATTGCAACCTGAGCCCACAGGTCGTTCAACTTGCTATGGGAGGGAGCCCTATTGACCAAGCGTCGTATCTGCTAGAAGACGTCAACGGAGAGACCTTGCTACACAAAATAACACAGGCCATGGGAGCCACATTGTCGATTGATGGCCCTACAGGGGTTGTACCATGGCTCCCACTCCTGTCAGATGCCCTATCAGCACAGGCGGATCTCCACAAAATAAGCCGTAGCTACCGCATACACAAGACACCTTTATTGGGCTTCATTATGACTTACACGTGGGGGCGAACGTATGTCTACGAGTTACAAGTCTGGAGTCTTGCTTCGGCGCTACAGCTGTGGGCCTCTATGATGAGAGATACCGGAGTTGATCTGGAGACTTATGGAAGGACGGAGGATTATTTACTCCACTCCCAAATCACAGAGTGTTGGATTCCGGTAGCAATGCTCCACACACACGAGACGCTTGACAGTCCCTTCGGGAGCTCGGACCTAATGTGTCCGGCTTTAGCCAGAATAATTGGCCTCAACTATGGCCCTGAACCAGAGGACTGGCACCTGTGGGTAACGAATCCAATTGACGAGCTTGTTGGTGAGTTCTGGGAAATGGTCGAGAGAAGTCTGGAGGTTATGCCAGGCACGTGGATCGATTAAGGCGTTGTATATTGTTTGACTTGTGGTTGCTCTTGGCGGTAGCGTGTCTATGGCTAGTCTAGGCCTCAACTAACGGTGTTTGCATTGTGTTTACAGTTAGCAATTAGCCATTAGTAACAGATGAACAACACGGCCTTCCATATAAACCAACCCGCTTTCATGCCACTGCAGGCCGCGCATAAATCTAAAGAACATATCATATTATTGAGGACATACCTAGAAAGCTAACCCCTCTAGTTAATCATGGATGTTAATATTAGTTCCACCCTCATCCATTACGCGCGGCAAATGGTATAAGACTAGACCCCCATAAGGGCAAAAGGAAGACATACACAGGGGACTATGTAGAACATGTCAGCTACGTACAGACTCGATGCCCACATATCAAGTAATCTTATCCCAGCACAGCGAACCCAAGGAAGACCGCCAACCCGGCTGAAGCCGCTGCAAGACCACCTACCCGTGGAGTAGCCGCAGCGCCCGTAAACAGCGCATCATCCGGAGTCGTTCCAGTCGGGATATCGATATCGATCCCTTCATCATCACCCGTACCGGTCTCCGTCGGACTACCTAGATCGTCCGTCTCCCCGCCCGAGGAACCAGGAAAATCGAAATCAAAATCGAACCCCGGGGAATCCGAATCCGAATCAGATGTCGGCGCGGGGCTTTCGGTCCCTGTAGGCGTCGGCCCGTCGCCACTGCCAGTTGGCCAGTCGAGGTCAAAGTCCGGCCACTCGAAGCCCGGTTGCGACGTCCCTGTCGGCGAGGGCGCGGATGTTGGAAGCGGTGGGAGTTCGCCACCACCGCCGAATCCACCGTTGAGAATCGAGTTCAGGAACCAGCCGAGGAATTGGCCGACGTAGTATGCCAACTACACCCCTCATATGACATTAGCCTCTAGTGACGTAACTCGAAGAAGGAATGGGTTGAAGGGGGGATGCGTACCGGCGCAACACTATCAACTAACTCCCCAAACCGATCATTCCACTCGGGGGTAAAGATATTCTCCGAGTCACGGAGGAGGTCGAGGAGTTCGCCGAAGAAGCCGCCGTTTAGGAGGTCGTCGAGAGCGTCGCCGATGGGTGGAGGACTCGATGAGGATGAGGTTGTGTTTTGGCGCTTTGTGAGGTGAGACGAGTTGTCGTCTAGCAAAATACTGGAGAGGCCGTCTAGCAGGAGATTGGTCGCGCTTTCGCGGGTTTCGAGGGTGGACGCGGAGTCTGCTCTAGGCGTGGCTGAGGGAAGACACGCGATGGAGAGGAGCAGAGCGGGAACGAGAGTGAGGAGGCGCATTATGGGCTGGTGTTAGATTATTAGGGGTTAAACGAATGTACAAACGAGTGTAGTTATCCTCGGGCGAAGGATCAGAAGTAAAAGTGGCATCCAGTCCAAGGGAGGTGCTGTGCGCTCCAGTGGCGCCGTGGAGCATGATATACCTGGCGACAGGCCAGCCCTGCAATGCGATGTGCCTTACAGCGGGGTCGAACCATGTGACGGATCATATCCCTTGATGCCATCACAGCATGATGTTGCGATTTACGGAAATAAGAAGGTTCGATTCGATAGCATTCCGGGTGTCTTGGGATAGATTAAGTGGCGCTCTTGGACGCTCATAACTTTAAACTCGTCTGCATTGGACTCCTGCATCCAGGGGATGATCTGTATAACTTGCATACGGGGACGGACGGACTTCCGAGTGCTGAAGTCGAAGGGGACAGAATTCAAGGGAAAAGATGCAAATCCAACTGCTGGATATTAGGGCTAATTTAAAGTCGGGGCGCCCCATTCGGCCCGCGGAAACGCGACGCTTGGCTCATTTCGGCTTGTGGGATGTCTCGCCGGCCGCGCTCCAATAGGCTGATACCCTTGTAAGGACAAGCGTAGCTGTGAGGGAGGCCTGTTCCCCGCATGGCCAGACCTTGGTGCTCGAGGGTTGGATGTGCCTGGAAGGATCCACGGAGTCACGATCCTCTAGGAGAACAGGAGAGTCCTGCGACGTACTTTCCTCGTAGTTCTAAGGCGGGCGCTCCCCTGAACCTTCCTTTTGTAGAACCATGCAAAACAGGCAGGTGCGACTGGCCGTACCAACCTGGCAGGAACGATTCACTGAGGGAAGGTGCGCCCGTTGCCACGGGGACTCGACGGTCGCTCTTCCCCTGGCTATTCCAGTCATACTCACAGCATTGGGAAGGTGCGACCCTCCTCCTACCTGGAGCCAGAAAGGTACGATCATCTGGACCTAGGCCGACGGGCGCCGAGTACAATCCGCAGGGGGGATTTGTTGGAGCCATGCACGGCGCCAGTGAGAGCCAAAGGTTAGGGTATGTGGATGCTCCATGTTTGACGCACTTTGGCCGACAATGCATTCAAGAGAAAGCATTTCGAACGGATGAAAACCGAACACAACATTCCAAAGTCTTAATGCTAGAATATCGACCTCTTTCCCCGCGATATACTTCAACCCTAAACAACCCCACCACTGCCCGTGGATCTACCCCCGCAGTCCGCCCACGGGACCATGTTCCACCGGGATGACAGATGTTCTACGCCAGGATGACCTCATACAGTGGATCATATATATCAAATGAGATACCGCTGGCCATGAGGTCCTTGCTTACACCTGTTGCCGTCTTCATTAATAATCTATACAGCTTTCTTGGACTGAACAGTGCTCTCAAACTTATACCACCATGAATGTGGGTCATAATTTCAGCACGATCCCTAGAGTAGAGGACTAACTCGAATGCAGCCCTCCGACGACAGCCAGAAGATCCACCTCGAGCACCTAGAGGGCCTAAACGACGACTCCATCATCTCCTACGCGACAATGCACTTCCCACTGGAAGAACCGACCATCGAATGGACCGACGAGTCCTCTGCCGATCTATGCTATTCGTCTGCAGAGGTTGGAAAACACGCCCTGGAAGCCTTTACACACGATGCGAAAACTTTGGAGGATGGCGATCACTTAACCGCAGAGATCCCAGATCTAAGGCCACGGTCGGGCGTCCAGAGACATTCCGTGGAAGAACCGACGCCCCGGATCTTGATTCCCAGATAGGTCTGTACGATGTGGATCTCGAGGTAATGCGGCGAGCACGGCGTTTGCGCATTCGCTTGGGGAATTAGACAGCACGAGTCATCTTCCGGCATTGGATGAGGAACCTGGTGTTTTCTTTTCCTCTGCTCTTCGAGTTCGATAAGGCCAGTAGGCATTGTATTGTAAGTATGGTAGCGATAAAGACACTCCAATCAACATGATGTGGAGATGCCAGAAAGAATAGGAGATTGTGTGTAGGTACTTCTACAGGCCGGTTCGCTGAACGCGGACGGTGAGTTTTTATATCAATAAGTGGACAAAACCGGACGCGGTTTGTGCACTCGACATGGGTCAGTACATCGATGGCCCCGGCGAGTCTGCAATAATCCATACTGGGTGGGTAGGGTTATCTCGCGACACGAGGCCTCACGTACGAGTAGACGAGTGGGATGAAATTGGCAGTCAATTTAGATCCCGATATAAACTAAACACAAAGCAACCGAAACGAACAACGAAATCGTGCCAAGTCATGCCACTGTCACAGAATCAGGGCCGGACCACATCCCAACCTGGCCCGTCTGGAGGTCATAACCCTAACAACTACTGAGCAGGCGGAAGCCCCCTCTGCCCCTCCTCCCACTTCCCACCATGACCAGCGTGATACTTCCACTCAGTAATCGCTGTAACCTGATGTCCGCTCTGGAGATATACCCGGATATTACACTCCTTGCGCGGTCCCCAGCTGACAGCCGCAACCTGACTACCCGGGACACAGTGCTGGTTGAACTCGCCCTGTTTCCAGCCATCCGAGTTGTTGGAGAACACCTCCTTGACCTGGTTATCGCGGTCGACGTAGTACACTTTCGTCTCGGTCTCGCCGCAGACAAAGGCGGTTAGGTCTGTTCGGGGCAAGGCCTTTTCGATGGAGAGGCGGCCGCGCTGCCAGGTGCGGTCGTCACGGCAGCAGTGCTCAACGATGTCCAGTCGCTCGTTTTGGCAGAAGAGCCTAACAAGGTCAGAAGGCTCTCAGCGGTAAGTAGAGGAGGAATAAATTACCTGACACGCATATCGCCACCCGGCATAGCCACACAAGCCAACCCAGTGCCGGGAAGGGCATTGCAGACATTCGCCATCTTGACCCATTCGCGGCGCGAATCTAACACCGCCCTGTGAGTATCCCCATAGCGATAGCGAGAAAGCAAGCGTCGGCGTACCATCAAATCCAAACTCCTGGATATTATTATCCTGCATCTGAACATACACCCTCATCGACCGATTCGACCCCTCAACAAAACACGCACACATCATCGCATACGGCGCAACCACGATCTTCTCCCTATCGAGATCCCCCTCGCACCACTTGCCCTTTGAGTCGCGGTACACCTGCTTCACCACGTTTCCCTCGCCGATGTAGAAGACGTGCATCATCTGTACATATCAATATATATCTCACCGTGTTGCAACTGGCAGTGAGATGGAATGTAATAAAAGCTCCGGTACATACCTCATCCACCTCACGACAAAGGGCTGCAATGGGACTGCCGAGGATTCCCGTCGCAACAACATCGCGGTCGGCGGTGCCGCCGGTCCACTTGCCGTTCTGCCAGGTGGCTTCGCGGATTTTGCCGGAGGTGTCCTGCGAGAAGACGCGGATGGTGTCTTCGTCGTTGATGGCGGCGATTGCGCAGCCTGTTTACTGATGTTAGAGCGGGTATTGATTGATGAGGGGGAGTGGGATAGGGGTCGGGGGACGGGGGACGGGGGCTTTGGGACTAACGGAAACGGATCTCTTGGGCTCCGGCGTGATTCATGGCGAAGAGCCGCTGGGACTGGTTTGTTTGTTCGTTTGGTAGATTGATGTATGAAGAGAGCTAGGAAGAGTGAGGGTGCAGTTACTTGGAGATATTGAGAGGACGGAGCGGACGAGCAGGGTGTTTATATATCTCCTTCCTGGATCCCAGTGATACACTGCACACCCCCCTCAAGGACAAAAGTTGTCCGCCTAGAACCCCGGTGGCGTTCATCACCTGAATCTCCAAGACTCTCGAGACTTTTCGAGGATTGGTCAATAAATGGCGGGGCCGATATCTCGGAGGACTGGTCATGTAGCACACAGAGACCAGACCTTCGAGATGCAGCAGTTGGATCCCAGCACGTCCCCGAGATAACATACAGTCCAACTACTGGCTCAACGATTGGACTTTCTCGGTATTGACAGAAGCTTCGGCCACCGGGACCGGTATGGTCCTATATCATCGCGAGATGTAAAGATGGGGTCTCACATTTTGAATATCGCCCAACTATGGCCATTGCGCCCGGAGCTCTCGGAAACGGTTTGATACTTTCCCATGTTTACGGCCGAAGGCGATTGGCGAGTGCTTCCCAAAGGAGTTGCTCCCAAAGGGTACGTAAAATACTTAATACCACCAGTCTACCTGCTCAGCCAGAGTAGCTAGAACAAAGAGAAATGCGGGAGCTGGATATTATAGGGAAACAATGGGGTGAAACTGGCCGGAGGGGTGGGAGTAGCTAGGCAAAGCGCACACCCAATCAAGTAACTGCGATAGCGATCTTCAACATTGAAAGTCTCAAGATGATATTCAAGAGTAGAGTGCTGCACTTCATATTGCAAATCCGAACCCCGCCGGTCGACAGCACTGCTGGCCCTGATATGAATGCCGAGAGAAACCGCCCCGGCCAGCCCTATGGCTTTCATCTTCGTGTCGGTACCAGACAGGATTGTAATAATCACGACCACAGTTACCCCGCAAAGCTGACAGGTGTTGTTCAGCTCGCGCTGCGGGGAGCATAATTTCATGTCACACTAGGTTGGGCCATTGCACTCTTGCCGTATCTATGCGAACGAGGTGGCGGGTCGAGATTGTAGTGGCCCGCTGGAGTCGCAGAGTATATGCCAAAGACTGTGACACACTGCGGCTTTCGGAGGTTGACTCTTGATGCAGAGGCTCGAGGCTTCGTCGATGTATTTCTTCGAGCCTCCAAGGCTGACAGGACTGGGAGAGGCCCAAACAATCACCACTCATCAATTCCGGTTCATCAGTTCCAGAGTCTCGCAGCGCTACGATATCTTCGAGAACTATTTCTTTCGAGATAAAGGCCAACCAGGAGCCTCCCGAGCTGAATTCGGCCTGTTACACAACCCCGCAATAAGACGCATGTCAGGTCACTACGTGTGGTTCGGAACACTTCCCGTACCCGTGATTATCCAGGGCACCATGTCGCACAGGAGAAGGTTGATGCCGTACTTTTGCAGGTCTGAGAGTCAACCGGTAGGGAACCACTCATGCTCCTATCCAGGGAGAAGCTTGAGGATTTGTGGAACCCTACGACGATGGGACTTGTATTGCCCTATCACGAGAGCAGAGGTACTCCGAGATGATCTTCTTCAGCTCTACGCATCTGCGGCCCATTTCTACATACCTGGAACAAGTGGTCCGATTGCCTGCAATCAGGGAGGGCCAAAATGCCGCTGAATAGGCCCGGCTTTTCTTGCAGCCCCCGCATTCATAAGCAGTCTCCGCATTCATAACAGTCTAAAGCCGGACGCGCCGCGGATGCCCAGTTGCTGTGACGAGTCTGGGTTCTGGGTTAGAGCCATCAGGCCGGACGATTGATGAGGTGTCATTCAAATAGCGGCATTCCATGAAGCCCCCACATATGTTTCCGTTTATGTCGGGGTAGTCGTCGGATACTGACAGCCCACAATTCGCACTGGATAGATTCTTTAACACACACAGCCTCGGCACCCGACCAGTTTTTGCGCACCCTCCGTTAACCGTCACTCTTTTCTCTGCCGGCCAGCCAATATGGCAAGCTGCAAAGCCCTGAGTTGGCTGATAAGCAGGTTGTGCATGCAGAGAGAATCAGCACAAACAGGTTAACACCTTGAAGCTTTAACGCGTGTAATAGTGAGGCACCCTTCAAAGTGCAACCAGTCGATGATTTTCTAGTTTCGCCGGGGATCTTACGCAGGATGAGCAAGTTGGCAGTATCCAGTTAGGTAAGACAAAGCGTCTCCGAGGTCGGGGCATTTGAGCTAAACCGAGTTATATCTCTCGCTCTCGGGCCTCTTCACAGTGACAAATGAGTGAATGCTAGACTCGCGTTGCCGACCGGACTGAGGAGCCGGCTGTCCCATATTGATTTACAATTCACCGTAGTTGGCATTAAGGTACTCTGAGGGACAACTGCCTCCTCGTCCACATTCCATTACTTCTCGTAACAGTATATACTTGCAGCCCGTTGAAGAGATATCAATCCGGACCGTACAATCTTGTTTCTGCTCACTACCCGTGCCCTGAGGGTTTCGTCCACGTCATGGACTTGTCATCTTTACAGAGGCGCGGTATCTGGCAGCGGGGCGCAAGGGCCTGAGGGCTGGCCCATAGAAGGCGAAAAAGGCCCTGATTGGTTCGTCATCCCACACTCCCACAGCCTCCCACAATCACCCACAATGCTGCCACAATCCACTTTCTGCGGAAAAAATAGCCTCGTCGATCGTTTGACTAGTGGACTCCTTAATCAATGTTGGAAGAGCTTATTGTAAGGGTTGGAATTATGTGCATTCCTTCGCGTTCGCGGACTTCCATCGTAAAGATAGCTGAGAAGAGCGTAGGGACCTTAACAGTGGCCAAGGGATCTCCTCCGCAGCGAACCCTAGACTTTGACGACGGTAGATCACATTCAACATTTAACTGCTAAATTTACTCTTGACCCACTTGCAAGTCTCTGCGTTATCAATCTCCGAGGCCGAACAGGATTTCCGCCGACACGGGAACATGCCGAAGTCGTCCCCAGCGACAATCAGAGCAAGCTTGAAGCCGCAGACAGAATGCTGCAGGAACACCGCACCCTAAACCATATACGCTCAAGTCCCCTGCGCAGGTGAAGCAAGCTAGCTGGTTTCAGCCACGTTTTTTTCTTCGCCAGCAAGCCGCGCAATTGCGTGACGACGGCAGGTCCAGAAGCTTAATGTGGAAGTGTGGCCGGGACCCACTTGCAAAGCCCTACTTTGCGGATCATCGCCAGGTGCTGCTTGGATGTGGGAGAGGGAAAAGAGCTTAAATAGCGGTTCTCGCGCTGATCAGGAGAGGAGGAACATCAACACTCGTTTGGAATCTACTGTACATTCCCTTGCCACTTTCTTTGCATCTATCACCATGCGCCACTCGCGCAACGCCCTCGTCGCGCTGGCCACTTCCGCCAGCGCTTCCTCCCTCGCAAGCGTCTGTACAACCTCGCACGTCCAATCCGCCCTGCCCGCGAACGGAACCCTCCTCGGCATCGACCTCATCCCCTCTGCCGTCACCGCAAGCGTCTACAATGCCTCGAGCGCCAGCTCCTCCACCTCCAGCACCGGCGGAATGAGCATGGGCGGCGGCTCAACCTCGTACAACTACTGCAACGTAACCGTGACCTACACGCACACCGGCAAGAACGACAAGGTCGTCGTGAAGTACGCCTTCCCTGACCCGGCGGACTTTAAGAACCGGTTCTACGTCGCCGGTGGTGGAGGCTTTTCTTTGTCTTCTGATGCCACGGGCGGATTGGAGTATGGTGCTGTTGGTGGCGCCACAGATGCTGGGTATGATGCGTTCAACTATAGCTACGACGAGGTTGTTCTCTACGGGAATGGAAGCATCAACTGGGATGCTACCCACATGTTCGGGTACCAGGCTCTCGGCGAGATGACGAAGCTCGGCAAGGTGCTCACCCGGGGATTCTACGGCCAGGACAACGATGCCAAGGTGTATACCTACTACGAGGGATGCTCCGACGGCGGCCGCGAGGGCATGAGCCAGGTCCAGCGGTGGGGCGAGGAGTACGATGGGGCCATCACGGGTGCGCCGGCGTTCCGCTTCGCGCAGCAGCAGGTTCACCATGTTTTCTCGTCTGCCGTTGAGAAGACGCTTGACTATTACCCCACACCCTGTGAGCTCGCCAAGATCGTCAACGCGACCATCGAGGCCTGTGACCCGCTCGACGGTCGTACTGACGGCGTCGTCTCCCGCACTGACCTCTGCAAGCTCAACTTCGACCTCAAGACCATCATCGGCGAGCCATACTACTGCGCCGAGCAGAACTACACCTCCCTCGGCTTCGGCTTCAGCAAGCGCCAAGCCGCACAGGGAAGCAGTACATCCTACCAACCCGCGCAAAACGGGACGGTATCCGCGGAGGGCATCGCCGTCGCCCAGGCAATCTACAACGGCCTGCACAACTCGGACAACGAGCGCGCGTACCTCTCCTGGCAAATCGCCTCTGAACTCTCCGACGCAACGACGAGCTACAACTCCGACACGGACTCTTGGGAGCTTTCCATCCCGTCCACGGGCGGCGAGTACGTGACGAAATTCGTGCAGCTGCTCGACCTTGATAACCTGTCCGACCTGAACAACGTCACCTACGATACCCTCGTCGAGTGGATGCAAACGGGAATGGTCCGGTACATGGACTCCCTGCAAACCACCCTCCCTGATCTAACCCCCTTCCAAGCCTCCGGCGGCAAACTCCTGCACTACCACGGCGAGTCTGACCCGAGTATCCCCGCCGCCTCCTCGGTCCGCTACTGGCAGGCCGTCCGGAGCATCATGTACCCCGACCTCAGCGCCGCGAAATCCCTCGAGGCCTTGTCCGACTGGTACCAATTCTACCTCATCCCCGGTGCCGCGCATTGCGGCGCCAACAGCCTGCAGCCCGGTCCGTATCCGCAGAACAACATGGAGATTATGATTGATTGGGTGGAGAACGGGGTGAAGCCGTCGCGGCTGAATGCGACGGTCTCATCCGGGGACTATGAGGGCGAGACGCAGATGCTTTGCCAGTGGCCCAAGAGGCCACTTTGGAAGAAGGGCAGCGATGACTTTGAGTGTGTAAGCGATCAGAAGTCCATCGAGAGCTGGACGTATGATTTCCCGGCCTTCAAGGTTCCAGTTTATTAGGCGGGCTGTCGTCTCCGAGTGGTTGTGAGGATCTCGATCTTGGGACGGTGCGAGCTGTCTTGAGCTTTGTTCCTTTGAGTTTGCCCGTCAGTCTCTTTTCCTTCGCTATGCGGTTGCCTGTACTGTTATTATCAGTCTAGAACAATGAATATCTCTTGCGAAGAGTACAAGGTTAGCTTCTGAATGTACATCTAACTGCTTTGTTTTGCTACGGTCATTGGTACTGCAGCCAGGTAGCTGGCTGGGTACGGGGTAAAGGCAGAGCTGTGGGACGCGTATCAGAAAGATGGGCTAAACTCCCGTGGCCTTCCTCTGAATAACCCTTCTTCGTTCTTCCCCCACACTGGATATCAAAAATCACAATCCCCACCCCAAAAGGTTGCGCAGAGCGGTATGCAGCGGGACTCGGCACTATAAATCGCCTGCCCTTCAGGGCCCCATTGTGCAACACCGCTATCAAGCCTGCATGAGCACCATCACGCATGGGAGCCAGTGCACACCGCTCCCAGATGGAAGCCAGAGGTTTGCCGTCGAACCATTTCCGCATGGGAATCACCCACATTGTTCTCTTGAAATTCAAACAAGACGTTGACACCAATACGTAGAAAGAGGTACAGGAGCTCAATGTCCTAATAGAATACAAGGAGTTTGGCACTGTTTGCCGGGTCCTACAGCGTTGCCAAGCCTTGAAAGACAACCGCCTTCATGGAACTTGCCAGAAACTGTACATCCTGGAGTTTGTGGGCGGATTTAATAGTTCTTATCAAGGCTTCGACGTAAGTTCGAGGCTTGTTGATATCGTGCCAAATTGTAGTGCTGATCCTTGCACTTCCTAGGGGGGCATTACCCATGCCCTTGTTGGTCAAATTGTCAACAAAGAAGATGTGGAGTATTACTTGAAGGAGGATCCTGTACACTGCAAGTTCTTCGCAGATGTTTGTCCACTAGGTGACAAGTTTATGATTGTTGACTTTTACTCCTGGGATTCCTAAGTCGCGAAATGGATGTGCTCTCGGAGAGCAAACCCTGTTAGAGCATAGTAGCTGCTACTGATTCCGGGGCGTGGGATATGAAGTTGATAGGTATGCATGTATAATAGTACCACAATCAATATAGACATCATTCTAGCGTTAGCCTGCCTGTCATTTATTCTGACACTTTCCAGCTGAGCGTGAGTACGCCAGCTGTGACGATTCTGTTGTGGCTTTGCATGTGGCTGGGTTAATTAATGTCTGTACTTGAACTAGCGCACAAGCAAACGTTCAGCTGAAGCGGGGTCGAATCCAATTGCCAAAATCAACCTTTTTGCACATCCTTAAAAGAGATAGACAGTCGCCATGGCAGATCATTTATTTTATCCCGACGTGCCTCAAAAGCCCCTCCGGATCGAATATGACGGTCCGTTGTACGATGGAGGTGATTGGCACACCTTTCCTCACCGCAGTGGGTGGCTGGACGAAGCCCACGCCATAACCTTTCCCCCCGACGCAGTTCCTCCCGAGTACCGATCGCGGATGCATTGCTGGATCTACTTTGGCGTGCTGCACTATGTTTTTGGTGATCGGCTGGACCAGTCTGACTTTCTCCTCCATGGAGACGAAGGCGGCGGGCAGCAGTACATCACGACGCGACAACTGGAGAAATATGTTGGTGATGCTGACGACTGGGAGAATAACGATCGCGGGGCGCGATGCATGGAGGTGATTCCCAAAGTCCTCGATTCGCTTGCAAACTATTCTCGCTGGATCGACGGGGAAATGTCCATAGCCGCTCGGCTGGTTGCCCTGGCTCTTTGGAACGTTGCGACTAAGCGTGGTAGCCCCCAGCCGACCCTTCGCAATCCAGGGCTCTTTTTTCTGAGTTACAAAGAAGATGAGACGCTAATCCGCGACGGATGGTGTCCGGTGGATGTAGCGAGATGTATCAGGGCTGGTATGCAGCTGGACACCCAGGTGTACCTCATGCAATTGGCTCGGCCCAAGCCCAGCTGGTACAAGCGAACGCACGACGCCTGTGAGAAGACGGAATGCAAGGCGGACAATATAGATGAGAGCACCTATGTCACGCGCCACGTGCAGGAGGATTGCAACTGTTTGCATGTTGGTGCCGATGTTGACCAGCTCCATGCGATTCTTCAAGACGGGAGAATCCCGGTTGTGAAGATAACACCCTGTGGAGAGGACGAGCTCGGAAAGAGGCAGTTCACTGTCAAGGTCGTCAAGAAACGCAGCAGCCAGCCATACGTGGCCGTCTCCCACGTATGGGCCGATGGACTCGGCAATCCCCATGCCAACTCCCTCCCGCACTGCCAACTGGAGTTTCTGTACGATCATGCAAGGCCCCTTCTGCGCGAAAAAGAATATATCCCTCATTACAAAGAGAAGACCCTTGGGGTGTTGCATAGCAGGGCCTCTCGAATTGCGCATTTTGCAGCCAATGCCACCCGGGGTGGAGACGATTCTGTACTCGTTTGGATTGATACATTGTGCATCCCCCATCGAGATGATGTTCGCAGTCTGGCAATCCAGCGCATTCGCGATGTCTATATCGGAGGTCAGTGCGAGCCGCCCTGTGGTTCCCTCTCCGCACAGTACTAAGCTGACCCATCCCAGCTTATCGGACGATGATCATTGATTCAAGCATGATGATGATTGACTCCCGCGCATGTAGCAAGTTGGAGCTTTGTCTGAGAGTACTGTACTGCTCAGGCTGGGTTCGCCGGCTATGGACGCTCCAGGAAGCACTGGCCTCGGACGAGAAGCTATACGTGCTTCTGGCAGACAAGCCCGTCAACGTCAGTTCGATCAACGAGGAGCTAATCACAAGGGTCGACAAAGGAGAAATCCCCATCCTTCAAGAGGGAATGGCTACAATAGCTGCAGGCGCTTGGTATCTGTACTTTGAAGAGGCAAATGACTATACGTCCGCATTCCGCCGCCTACTCCTCGAGAGTACCCAAGCTCGGTTAATCGCCACCACCTGGTTCAACGTCGCCACACGAGCCTCCAGCAAGGACCGTGATCGAGCGACCGTCCTAGCCGGGGTCCTCAACCTGGACGTGAAAAAGATACTGGAGGTAAAGGAAGCCAAAGAGCGCATGCGCACCCTGTACGGTATGCTAGAATGGTTCCCGCAAGACGTGTTGTTTCTCGAAGGACCCCGCTTTGAAGAAGAGGGACTGGGCTGGGCAATGCAAGTCTGTCGCTTTACCGGGGAACTTGCTCCGCTGTCGCATGATGGCGGCAAGATCACGCCTCGGGGCCTCGAGGTCTCACGGTATGCTTCGCTGATATATCCATCGTGCAGGTTCTGGGATCACGACAAATTCCTTGATACCGAGGATATAACCCAAAGGCGAAAGGACCTGGACAGCTGGCTGGAGGCGTCCGGGCTTGCACCGACGGACCCTGCGACAGGCATCAAAATCCTTCACTTGACGACAGAAAGACGGCTGGACGTCAGCGCGGATGTGACGTATGGGATCCTCATGTCGGAGTCGAGACTGGATGTAATCAGCCGCTGTGCAGTCCTGTCGTTGCAGGCAACTGAAGATGGAGTCTGTTACGGGCGATATGTCTCATCAGGGTACATCAAGGCGGACCTCTTGAATCTTCGCGCCCCTAAAATGTGGGGCTACACAATCAGAGGCACTTGGAACGATGCAGAGAAGCCGACCTGGGTTGCTGGTTAGACTCTAGTCCTAGTATTCTATTCTACCTTTTGCTGCTCTTCTTGGACTTTAGTTTCGCCAGCTGCAGCTGAAGCTCTAATTTCTTGATCTCATCCGCTGCGTCGTATTCGCCACGTCCACATGCTTCCCCTTCCTGGGCATCCGTCTCTGGATAGTCGCTATCAGCTTCGTACGGACCATGTTTGCGCTGCCCTGACTCGAGGTCTCTTCCAGCAAGCTGACGCTCAAGGCCACCCAGCAACGATCTAGAATCGAATATCCATACACCTGGGGAGGAGTGGGGGAGAAAGATAAGCTGGTCCTCGGGGATACAAATGTCCTCGATGGCCCGGTTGATGAGGAACTCAGGGCTGGTACAGGAATTGGCCGTGGCGATACTTTCCAAAGCCAGAGTCGTCGAATGCATCGCGTCGCCCAGTCCCCGTCGTTCTTCTGCCAGAAGAAATCAGAGACCTCTCTGAGATCTGCCTCGGTAGGGGTGAGGGTAATGCCACCGTCTGACAGAGCGCGCTACGGCTCCAGGAGAGAACTCAGCCATGACCAAAAGATGCATTCAGTTGCGTCAGAACGATGGAGCTATCCAGGTAGGGAATCGCTAGATATAGCTAAATGACATGAAAGAAGACATGTGTGTTAAAACCTTCGGTGCAAGACAAATTCCAACACCGTCCGTCCGCAAGCTGTAGCACAAGAGCGTGTCTTGGAAGTGTGTCGCGCCGGCCCCGACTCATTGTCTGAATTGGCTCTCTTCGTGACACCCTTTTGCCCAACAATTCCTTGTCAGGTGGGTCTAAAGAAGGAGTGGGACCGCTGCTGGTTACATTTACCTCTTGAGGGATAGTCGCAAATCAAGGTCCCTGTCAGCTCGGCCTGGAGTTTCTGACAATATATCTATTGCAGGGGGTTGCAAGCGTGCAATTCTTGTTGCGCCTTGGGGCGTAGATGCGCCCACTGAAGTCACCGAGGAAGAGCCTGTGATTCTTCTGTTGGCCAACAAGGAAAACTCTATTCGATATTAAAATGGGACATCTCCATAACAAGGTAGGGTCGTACCAATGCATGCTCATCCTTTCCATGACGCCAAAATGATAATCCCAACGGCTACGAAGCTAACAAGATGAAGAGTTGCTTGCAAGGATTAGTCTCTGTGACACTATTCACAAAGGATGATGGGCTCCCACGGGTATCATCATCACTTCAGTTTTCTAAAAGTCTCCCAGATGACCTCGGAAACAAAGTGCCCATCTCCTTTTCCGTCAGAAATACACTTGATCTGTGTCAATGGACATGTGTCGGCACTGAAGAAGATAAATAGACAGATTGTCGTAAACTCAAGGGTAGTTCCAGCTGCCATCCGACTCAACTTTTTAAGAAGTAACTAGGTTAGCCGAAAGAGCCAGTGATGTCTGAATCATCACCAAAACCCCCTTCTTCCGCGGGGTCGCCTGAGAAACACCCAGTGGGAGCTGAATCGACACCACATATATCACAACAGCCCTGGACACTTTCAAACTGGTACCAGCATATTTACTGGCCATACTTTACGTTTCTAGTCATCGTTCCATTATTTGGAATCTGGCAGGCCTTTGAAACCCCTCTTGTCAGAAACACCCTGCGATTCTCTGTGGTTTATTATTTAATCACCGGGCTATGTATCACTGCAGGTGAGACTCACTTTGGTTTCTTGAAGACGCTTGAAAGACTTGTACTAAGGCTTCTTCAACCCACAGGATACCATCGCCTCTGGGCCCACCGGTCCTACTCCGCCTCATATCCTCTAAAGTGCTTCCTCGCGCTTTTCGGCACGGGCTCCCTAACCGGCTCGATCATCTTCTGGGCCCGCGACCACCGAGCACACCACCGCTTCACCGACACAGCCAACGACCCCTACAACGTCCGAGGCGGTTTCTTCTACGCACACATCCTCTGGCTGATCCTCAAGCAGCCAAGGCGCCACAACCCGGTCGACATCTCCGACCTCCGCGCCGACCCGCTCGTCAAATACCAGCATAGATACTACTTCCCCATTGCCTTCTTCATGACATGGGGATTTCCCACGCTTGTTGCAGGGCTAGGTTGGAACGATTGGTATGGAGGGTTCATATACGGCGGGATCATCCGTACATTCCTAGTCCAGCAGGCGACGTTCTGTGTGAATTCCATGGCGCATTATTTCGGGGACCAGACGTACGACGATATCCGCTCGGCGCGCGACCATATCTTGACGTCTATCCTCGCGCTCGGCGAGGGATACCATAACTTCCACCACCAGTTCCCGACGGACTACCGCAACGGAATCGAGGTGTATCATCTCGACATCACCAAGTGGCTGATTGCGCTATGCAGCCACCTCCGGCTGGCCGGTGACCTGAAACGCTTTCGGTACAGCGAGATACAAAAGTGCCGGCTGCAACAAGCGACTAAGCGCCTTGACGAGCAGAGACGGGATTTTGACTGGGGGCCGCGTCTGGAGGATCTTCCCCTGATGAGCTGGACGGAGTATGAAGAGAAGGTCCAGGACGGGAAATCCAAGTTGCTCGTCATTGATGGGGTTGTGCATGACGTGGCGGGGTTTGTTGGCGAGCACCCGGGAGGCGAGAAGTTGATATTGGCGCAGGTGGGGAAGGATGGGTCGGCGGTTTTCAATGGCGGGGTGTATAATCATTCCAACGCAGCGAGGAACTACCTTGCGACCCTTCGTCTCGCGGTTCTGGTGGGGGGTGGCGAAGTAGAGGCCTGGAGGTGACGGTGCAAGGATTTAGCTCCAACGGGAATAGACGTGCAGCCAAAGCCGCTTTTTCGCCTTGAACCAGTTGTACATCGCTGAGGCTTTGAGACAAAAGATGACGCTTTGAAGGGTTGTCCCCCTGGTTTGATACTTGGTAGTGGTGGATCAGGAAGGCAAGAGTGCGGCTGGGGACAGAAAGCGCAATTACAGGGCTCCTAATCCAGTGGCAGACAAGCAGTAATCAACTTATCTTAAACCTCGTGTTTGGCTCTTTTCTTCCTAGTCGTTGACATGTTTGCTTCTCGGAATGAAGGGGAGGGGAGGAGAGGAGAAGCATTGTAAACTTGAATAGTAGTTGATATGGGTTTTCCTCCAGGCAATAGGGAGACCAGCCATATCAGCTCAAGACTGTTAGGTTCATAGTGGCATTTAACTCAATCTGGCAAGGAGTGCGATCACATGCACATTCCCCGCAGACAAGCCTCAACAAGTAGGTACATGCTACTGCGTCTAGGAGCGGTTGCTGAGGATCATGATTTGGATCGCCACCTCGGGGATTGGCCCTGCAGCCTGGAAAGGTTATCCAAGCAGTGAACGGAAGTCATGGGCCTCAGCCTCGGCGAGAGACCCCTTCGCCTCTGTGAAGAAACGTTTATATTCTCGACTCTCATAGGCTTGCACCATTTGCTCGATTTGGGTGAGTTTGACGTGTGTAGTCACCAGTCTAGCGAATGATATTTCCAGTCTATCCTTTTCCTTACCTTGATCACTTTTCCAGGAAGATTCCATGAGCTCAACCTCGTAGTTCCTGTCTTTGTAAAGCACTCAGTTGTCGTGATGACTCCCACACTCGAGGCGCCAAGGCTCCAGAAACTAGTGAAAAACGCTCTTGGGCTTATGTCCTGGGTACCTGCACTGGAAGGGTCTTTCTTTTTCCTTTCGCCTTACTGCCGCATGGGCCTGAGCCAACTATTTCCAGGAGTTGGCCCAATGGCCCCAAGAGGCTAGTACGGGTGCGGATAGAGTTTAATACCATCGAGTCCGTGAGATCGGCAACTCTGTTCAATTGCCCTGCAGGGTTCGGGCTCCTCTTGTTTTCCCGCCGCAGTAGTAATCTCCGGCAACAGTGGCGGCGCCATGGTTTCCCACTGGTAGCCGTTCATTTAAGTGGGGAATGCCAGGTTGAATGTCAAATGGCTAGGTACTAGTGACTATCAGGAAATCACGAGATTATTTTTAGGGGTCCGTTGGGAAGATGAGGATTCTCTCAAGGCCTGTTCCAAGTGGCTGACCGATGCTCCTTGGGGCTTGGTTGGTGAGATCCATGATTTAATCAAAGTCTACCTATTACCCATGATTGAATTGCCTGTTCTGATGTCTACAGTACTGACAGCTGCACCACTCGGATACATTCACTAGCTTAAACTAGACGCTGATATGACATGAGGCCCCTGTTGCAGGACGTTTTGGCCGCCTCTAGTGAGTCACGTCGGGACCAAATAAACCTTGCAAGTGCCCACCTTGCGGGACAAATGGGGGAGGAATGCAGGGGAATTGCAAGAGGATGAAGCACGCCACAGTGACGTTGGATATGCCTCGCGACACCAATAATGGGATTGGGCGATTAAGTGTTGCTAGAGCTGGTAATATTGGTAAGGGGCAAAGGACTGCCAGTGAACAAGCTCTGTAACCTAAAGACCCCTTTATTATCATGGAACCTCTTCTCATTCATCAGCCTCTATAAAGACATTTTGAATCACGGGAGCAGTTAGTAATGTAATTACTTTATTCGATGCGCCAATGTCTCTATATCTCAATACAGTTACCACCATCTGCCGTTTGATAGAAAGCGAGAAAGTGGGCCTGGCAGGCGGGGAAAGAAAGGTCCAAGCTTGCACTGCAAGGGCGGCCAGGGCCGATCAAAATGTCAATCATGTGCGAGCCTCAAGGGCCAGACTCCTTCGGCTGGAGCAGCCCAAGCAACTGGCAATTTAAGTCACCTTTTTTGCCCATCATCCATCGTCACCTCAGCATCAGCACCAGTACCCCATCCCTTGAATCGCGTTTGATGGTCAGATCCACCCTTTTTGCCCTCCTCCGAAATGGTTTACTGCGGTCGACCGAGCAAAGGCTGCCAGAGCTGTCGAACTCGGAAGATCCGCTGCGATCAAACTCGACCAGCCTGCTCTGAGTGTCGAAAATGTGGCTGGACCTGCCCCGGGTACCGCGATGCCCTCAGTCTGATGTTTCGAGATGAAAGCCAACGCGTCATACAAAAGGCCACGACGGCGGCGAGGAGAGTACAAGTCGACAAAGCAGAGGGACTGACGGCTTTGACTTCCCATTCCACCCAGAGCTCCCCAGAATCACACGGCGAGCCTCTTGTGTCCTCGCACGATAGTTCAGCCAACACCACCGACCCACAGGTTGAAGAGATTAGCTGCCCACTGCAACTACAAACGCTCCAGCCGTCCTACCAACCGACTGAAAATGAAGCGATAAGCTGGTTCTTACGTCACAACGCATGGCCGGGTGCTCTGTTCATGATAGGGTTTGACCCAGCCGTGCTGGATCAATCGACCATGTCCCGAGCCGAACTGGCCCGTAGAGCAAGCATATTGTCTGTGGGCATGGCACTGCTCGGCCGGCTCCGTCAGTCTGTCCAAATCAAGGACAGGGCCGTGCTGGGGTATGGCCATGCCTTGGGTCTTCTGATGCGGGCCCTCGCGGACGAGAATGAATCGAGAACTGATGCCGCGCTGTCAGCGGTGCTCTTGCTAGCTATTTTCGAGGTGACCTGCACAGCAATAAGTACACAATGAAGGCCATATAATCTAACAAAACTCAGGTCACCACCAGTCGGACGTTGGATTCAATCGAGAAATGGATAAACCACATGCGAGGCGCCTCTTTGCTACTGGAAATGCGAAGCCATCATCACCTCCAGCGCTCTGAAGGACCAATGCTTTTTATCCAGCTGAGATTCCATATCGTAAGCCTTTGGTATCTCAAAACGCCGCCTTCCTACTAATGACGCAACAATAGATTACAGGCTGTCTTCAGCGCGGACTACATGTGCCCAGATCCGTTCTCGAATGTAATCGACTCGCCATGTGGCTGCGGCCACAGTTGGAGGCCCACTGCGACTGCATCATCAACATCATTGGGCGGTTATCCAATCTTCGCGCAGACATCATTGCAGGAATCTTGACAGATGTAGAGGAGATTCTCTCCGCTGCTCTTGCGCTGAACGGAGAACTAGTGGCCTGGGCTGCAGAGGTCCCACCAGAGTTCACGTACACAGTGGTCGAGGACCCCCCGCCAAATGCCCTCGACGGAGTAGCATACGGCTGCAAGCCATACTGCAATCGATACCACGTCTACCACGACCTCTGGGTGTCTCACGCTTGGAACCTCTACCGGTGCGCCCGCATCCTCACCTGTGAGATTATCATCACCTGCCTCCGTCGGCTCACTCCACCCCGTGAAGTCCCAGGCAAAGTCCTGCAAAGGCAAATTGCCATGCTCTATAGGACCTCGCAGGATCTGGCCGTGGAAATTTGCGGCAGCGCCCCGTATCACCTCGGCGCGGGATGTGTTTATGCCGGCAGCAAGAGTGGCAAGATACCCGCCTCACAAACATACATGGGAGGGATGCTGCTTCTTCTGCCCTTGGCTATCGCAGCAGCCACGGACCGGCGAGGCCGCGAAATGCGAAGATGGGTCATCCAATGCCTGAGAGTGATAGGGCACGCGATGGGCATCGATCAGGCATTTGCAGTGATCCAAGTACTGGAGATGGAAAGTGGACCGTTTGAAGATCTGGAAGAGAGAGACGGAAACCTGATATACTTCAAGACGGGCAAGGTGAATCGGGATCGCAATCGCAATCGGGTCCTGGTTGGTGCTTGGAGTCGTATGCTTGACGATCATGATAATACATGACGTCAATTTACAATGTTTACTATCCAGCGCAAAAGAATACAAGTACACGTGCCTGCTCCTTAAGCCCCCGGTGGCTTTAGGTCAATATGCTAGAATGGCACTAATCAAGGTGCAGCTACCTAGCAACGTACTATGTGTGTAAACACCAAGCTCCTCCAAAAAAGCCCAATGCTCCAGCGCCAAAGGTCATTAAATTAGAATGACGGTGCCACCTCGGCCGTCCGCAGCCGCGCCCCAATAAAACCATGTATACTGTGATCTAGTGGGTTTTTGTATGGTAGAGTAAAGGTACAATCTGCCCGGGCCTTAAAAAGGCCTCGGAAAGAAGCATGAAGACCGTGTGTGAAAAGAGACGTGGTGAGATTTGTGTAACTTCGTAGATGCTACAGGCAACAGAGACGAAGCTATCGATGGAAGCGGGCACGTGTTCGGGACCCCCAGACAGGCAGGCAGGCACCATGCCGGCAAAGGATATGATACAGGTGTTGATGTGGGCAGTGAAGGCCTCGGCCTGTTAGATCGTTGTTGGAGGTTGTATAGAGAGCTATGCAAGGATCTCGATAAGAGGCTGCAACACCTTCGTCCATAAGACTGTTGTTCTATATTATCCAGGGACCTAAACTAACAAGAAGGTTTCTCTCCCTATATAAGATGGGGAGAGAACTATACATCTTATCTGAAATAGCCAAGGGGTACAGTGCAAAAAAGGAAAAAGCAGGTTAGTCGGGTTCAAGCGATTCCATTCTATACAATTTATTGAATAGCCACTCAAAGTGTCATGCGACTATCGATAGTGTATTACAGGAGCTTCTGATGCTATTATAGTAGAAAATACGCGCATAAAAGGTGCATCTATGGACCTTGCTGTCACGCCTCTTCGGGCCAGAAAGTGGGGAATAAGGATTAACATATTAGGACAACAAACACACAGAAAGAAGAACGGCGAAAGAGACAAGGCCCTTGTCTAGAACCTTGAAACATGGCCAAGACTCGAACATGACACTACAGGGTGCAACGGAACAAAGAGCCGTCTTGGTCAGGACCAGGCTAGGATCAAAGCAAGGTATATAAACGGCATTGTCAGCATCTGCATGGTGAATGGATGGTTGTCAAGGACCTGAGCGCCAACAAAGGTCGAGGCAAAAGCTTCATTGCCCTATCTATTCTCCTCTTGAAGGACCGACATAGAGCAATCAATGTACCTAGTCCGCCATCAGACATCCTCTCTGAGTAGCTATACCCAGGTAGCCTCATGCTCAAGCACTCCCCACAGCATCGCCCTTCCCCTGCTCCACCCCAAACTTCCTAACAACCTTCAAGGTGGCCCAAAAACTAAAGGGCAGCGCGAAAAACCACAATCCGAAATTTATACTCGCCGTCGCAATCAACACCGTCGGGACAGCCTGCACCCCAAAGCCGACCGCCACCCCCGCAGTCTCAATCCCGCGCAGCAACGACGAATACCGAATCTGTTCACCGGGGCCATCGGCCAGGTTGCTGATACACCAGTAGATGTAGTTCTCGACCATCCCCAGGGAAATGCGTTCGAAGAGGTATAGTCCAAATCCGCGGCCGAAGGTGGCTTGGTCGGCCCAGTCGAGGACGGGGTTGGTGTGTCTGTATTCGTTCTGGATGATCACGGCCCAGATCCAGGTTGCGCTGTTGAGGAGGGCGATGAGGGTGTAGGCTGTTATTGCGCGGGTTTTGCGGTTACGTGTCCAGGGGATGTCGACGAGGGAGCCGCAGAGCCACGTTGCGAGGGTTCCCACGACGGCGGACATGAAGCTGCCTAGGGCGCGCGAGCGCACGGTAAAGTATGTGGCCAGGTATGTACCAGGGTACGCCTGGATCCAGCCAAAGTACCAGAAGAGCGGGATGAGGAGGAGGATCTCCTTGCTCTTGAAACGGGCCCACATGGCGGAGAGTTCGGTGCGCCAGTGGATTTTGGGTGCGTCGCTCGCAGCAATGCGAGTGCCGTCATCCCGCTGCACTTTGTCGGGGTTGCTGAGGAGGAGGCCAAACAACAGACCGAGACACTGGATTGCAATGAACCCCTGGTATGTTTGGTATCCGACTTGCCCGCGCTTGTTGAGGTTGACGTTGATCCCGAGGGAGATTGCACCGCCGATGATATTCCCGAAATTGCGGAATGTGAACCACGTCGCGATGTAGCGGCCTCGCTTGCGGTCTTCAGGGTAGCCTGTGGCAATTGCACCCTCGACGCTCCAGAAGAAACCCGCAGAGATACCGCAGGTTACACTGCCTAGATAGACCAACCAGGTTGCCCCAGTCCGATTATTCAAGTACAACCCAGCTGCATACAGTGGATACCCGATCGATCCGAGAGAAAGGGTATATCGGAACCCGATGATGTTCGTGAGCCAGGGCCCCATGAAGCAGGTTACAGTCATGAACGCGTAGAGGAGGGCGTTGGCGGCATTGACGAGATTCGGCGACTGCGAACCGCCAACGCCCAGTCCGTTCATGGCGGACCATATCCCAGGGGCACAAAAGGCGCAGAGGCCGACAATAAGGATTTGGAAGAGTGTGCTGCGGAAGAAGACGGGTTTACCCTCTCCTGGGACATTTTGCGATGAGGCCATGTCGGAGGTTGGGTGGATTTCTGGGTCTGACAGGACCTTGTCGGTTTGTGCTGGTTGGATCTCCGCATCGGAGGGTATATTGAGAGTACCCTCGGAGGATTTTGTATCGGCCATTCTTGTCTCCTGTATAGGCTCCTATCAGGAGGTGCAGGGATGGCGGGATAGCATGATCCTTATAAGCCGAGGTATACACATTTCGCAATTGGAGTAACGGATGAGCAATCCCAACGGGCGGGATAACGTCAAATCAAGGATGATGGATTCACATCTGACAAGTGACAATCTGCTTGGCTGTGCGTGTAGATCCTATCGAGCCAATAAAGTGATATACCGAGACTCTGGGCCCGATTCGTGACATGAGGGGTTGATGAGCAATAAAACGTGCGTCTTGGAGGGGTTTGGCGTCCTTATCAGGGCTCCTGCCCGCATATCCCCAGCTGGGATGAAATCAGACCAGACGAGAATTTGAAAAGACACTCTGACAGAATGACCGCCGTCAACTCACTCAATATCCCCTCGCTTCGTCTCGACGATGACAACCCTTCCCTGATAACCTTTGAACCATTCACCCTCCCCGCAACAAACCAAAGAATCCTCGGCGCCCCTCACCCGCCAAATACGACCATCCCGCTTGCACTGCGGCCCTCCTCCTCTCCGGAGGCCCCAGTGACTCTCGAATCCGCAATCTCCACAATAAAGCACCTCCAACGCACCAAAACCCTAACAACCCTCCTATCCCGCCACGGCACCCTCCTCTTCCGAAACCTCCCCATCCACAGCGCCTCCGATTTCAGCGCCTTCGCCCACGCGTTCGGATACACCCCCCACGAGATAATCGGTATCGTCGTCGACAGACCGCTCCTCGCGCCCAACGTCGCCCCCGCAAACGAAGCGCCCCACCACGTCCGGATCTACAACCACAACGAGTCCCCTCAGGTCCCGCATGCGCCAGAGTATATCTTCTTCTGGGCGAAGAAGGCGCCTGAGATTGGTGGGGAGACGCCGATAAGTTCGAGCTTGGAACTCTTCCGCAGAGCCCAGGTCGAGATTCCCGAGTTTGTGGATCTCCTTGCCAAGAAGGGGATTCTTTCGAAGGTTACGTATAAAGTTGGACGACAGTATGTTGGTGGATCGACGCTGAGAGAGGCGTTTGGGAAGGAGATTGTTGATGGGGACGATGAGGAGACGCAGAAGAGGAAGATTGAGAAGCAGATTGCGCGGTATGGGCGCGGGGAGTATACAACTTTCGAGTGGACGGTCGATGAAGACGGGAAAGAGACGCTGATCCTCACACACCGACTCCCCGTTATCCGCACACAGCCCGGAACAAATATCCCTACCCTGTTTACAGGCTTAGCGGCGTACTACAAGAACAAGCTCGACGCGGAGAAGAGGACGGGTGCAGGACGGAAGAACATCGCCGTGCAGCTTTTCGGGGACGGGACTCCCATCCCGGAAGAGTACCTGGAGGTTTTGGCGCGCATTACAGATGAGATTCGGGTGCTGCACAAGTGGCAGGAGGGGGATGTTCTTGTGTATGACAATATTATCGCGCAGCATGGGAGGGAGCCGTGGGAGGGCGAGCAAAGCGATCGAGTCGTCTTGGCCAGTCTGTTTGATGGTGAGCAGGTGCCCGGGGCGTATGGGTTTGGGGGCTGGGCGCAGGTGGTGCAGGCGTTGGAGGGGTAGATGCCTGTTGGAAGTGATACTGAATAATTGATCAATGCACGTATTGATGTCAAGTATCAGAGCTTTCAGAGCTAGGGCCTCTGTGGAAGAGTGCAAGTGGAGCTTGGATGAACAATCATACATGGCCAAATTGATACCATTTATTGCCCTACCAACGACCTAAACTAACGCAATAACAGCCCTACTGAATACACTCAGGGTCGACCAGCTTGTTGAACAAGTCGCGGGACTTGAAACCTGGCTCACTGCTAAAGCTATGAAGCTTGACACCCAAGACATTTGACTGAATGGACTCGCTCCAGACTATTGTACCGGCCAAGGCATCTAGACAGCTATACCACTAGCAATAAGAACAGAGTTTCAAAGGGAGGTAGTGAAGTTCTTCTTACATTGACCTACCAGACGGCAGGGGATTACAAGTGGTGTAACCCCTTGTAAGGGAATATCAACATACTCTACATAATACCCTAGTAGATGAAACCAAGGAGATTGCCGGGAGCTATAGTGTTTTTCAGAAACACTCTAAGTGGTGCTTGAAGATATGACCGCAATGTGAACTGCCAGAGGAGAAACTTTGAATCTGTAAATGCATGCAGACGACATGAACTCATACATGGCACTGACACCTTCATTCACCACTATGAGGATTATTAGACCGAAAAATCTATTCTAAGCAACTCATCCTACATAATGTTTGTGCGCAGAAGGATGCCAAGGTACCTACCTAGGTCTGGCATCATATCTGGAATAGTAGCCTCCAAACGTGGCCCTGTGGCTGGGTTCGGATTCCTTGCGGAGCCTCTTGTTTAGTGCGATCATTGCGAGCGTCACAGGCAGCGGGCCTCGTGCACATATACACGATGCCAAAGCCGCGCAATACTCGAAAAATATACAAGAAACATAAAACCAAATGTCCCAAAGCAACATCCCGCAACCTGAAAGACCCACAGTCAGCCCATGGTATATCCAACACGACCAACCCATGGTCCATCACACGAGGTAAAAAACGGCGTACGCACCACCCGATCCGCGACCGTCTGCCCCCCGCGGGATACACGCGTAAGGTCCCAAATGAAGACGAGATACCCGCCCATCCAGAAGTAGATGCTCCATTCCAAGAGGCCCACGGCAGTTTGCCAGATAAGGACCTGGTCCCATCGCGGGATCCGCTGCGGTCCGCCGAGGCCGCGTCCTGGGGCGGCGGGGTAACTAAGGAGGTCTCTGATGATGGCGTCCGATTTCGAGGTGCACCCGACGCGGATCAGAAACACACTCTGCTGCATTGCCAGCGTCACGGCCGTCACGGCGAGGACGAGGCTATTGTACCACGCGATGCGGATCATCGTCAGCGGGACCGTGGGGATGGTGGAGAGTGCCGACCATTCAAAGGAGCCGACCACCGCGGCTGTCATTACGGCGCCCTATGGTATTCGGGGTCAGCATAGTGTTAGCCCGCCGGTGGAGGCATTCCATTATTCCAGCAGGTCGACTGACTATGAATCCGACTTGGGACAGCTGCGATATTGTCGAGTCCCTCCACGATTTGATAAGCTGCGCTTGTTGTTCGGTGGTGGAGGCATTCACCATCTCGCTTATTGCGCGGTGCGCCACGTTCCACGCCGCAGCGTGCAGAGGGAACAGGCGAGCCAGGAGATGGAGGACTTCATCTTTCGCGCCGAGAAGCGTGTGCCTGGTGGGCAGGATCCGGCTTGCGGTACGTACGAAATGATCTAGATTCCCCATTGCGAGTCCTGTTATTATAAGGAAATGGGATGATGCTTCTCAAACGAGAAAAGAGACGGATTCGCACTCTTTAATTTCAGCCTAACATCTTGGGGTGAGCCAACACCGCCTCTTGGAAAAGTGATATACCACTTGGCAACTGCAAGGCTCTGCTCCGAACGTTGTTGTTTTCCCGCAGAGGTAGCCTTGTTCTTGGCTACCTGGCGTGTAAAAGTAATCCTGCCTGATCACTGGTCAGTGGCCAATAATTCGAGTCCACGTCCATCCGTGTACGCGGTGTTCAACTACTGGTTACGCCCGCCCAGTCGCGGCGTAGAGTGGTCGCACCAGGGTGGCAGTCAAACGGCGAGGCGGTTCGAATTCGACCAAATAGAAAACTTGGAATGGGCCAGACATATTGCTTGAGCCTGTCAAAGGCAGATGGTTGATGACCTCGTCTATGGAGAGGGTGGCAGAGGGCCAAAGGTCCACGCTGCGGATCTCCGGATGACAACCGAGACAGGAGGTGGCTGCCGTGAAGGTGTCAAGTCATGCAAAAAGGAACGTTCACCGGGAGTGGTGGGCAGCGCTGGCATTTAATTCGGCACAGCGCCCACGGCGTGCATTCCAGCTAGATTAAAATGACAAGGGCTGTACGCGAAGCCTCAAGCTTCTTGAGTCGTAGCCTCGAACGCGAGGCTTGGTCTCTCCTTCAGTGTATGGGAAGAGCTTTTCTTCATTGGTCGCATAAGCGATGATCTGGGCACCAATGATGCACGTGTGTCTGCATTTGGAATATCTGCCGGGGTTCGTTTGCCAATGATTCCGTTACTCCATCAAGGAGGGCAACTGGCAACCCGGCAGCCCGTCGGCTTGACCTCAGCCTCATCTCAGCCATCAACATATAATCCCAAATCAGCTCCTTTTGGTTTCTGGAAAGGGCGTCTTGAGACACATCCGTGAAACCTTTTACTGATAGTATCAAACGAAGACTTTCACTCTCTCCCAGCAATCATGGGCCAGGAACAGTCCAAAGCAGCCCGCCCTACCACCCGCAAGGCAACTCAGCCAACGGCATCACCATCACCATCAGCACCACCAAACCAGAACCGCAAACCCACCCGGACCGACAGAGTAAACCGCAAAGTCGACGGCGCTCTCGCCTGGCCAGGCCGCGACAACGTCGACCCGCGAGCCCCCTACTCGTTTGGAAAATGCGCAGACCCCGCTATCGAGTCCGCCATGGACGGCATCCAGTACGACATTTTCGGGGCAGCATTGCAACGTCGCGACGACGGCAAAAAGGACGTCATCAATTTCTACCACATTGAGAATGACCGCGAGCAGACGATGCCCCGCCTCAGCACCTTTGAGCGGTGCGCTTGGGTTGTTGGCGTGGCGTATAATCCCTGGAGGGTTGTCGATGGGTTCTCGTCGGGTGTGCAGCAGCAATTTGCGCACTGGGGCGTCTATATTCGGCCCATGGCTGTTGACAAGCAGGTGAGTCGTCCAGGCAGTAGGCGGCCAGTGAATATGCTGGGAATTCGCTAACCAGGCGAGAGGGGCCAAACTACCAAATCTTCGGAATGAACTTTCGCAAGGAATACAAAGGGCAACTAATCCTCGAAAACGCTTGGGGCACTCCAGGGGAGCAAGGCACAGGCGTTTGGAAGAAGGCTCTCACCCACGAGGAATTCAAACAAGTGCAAGAACAGGGCCTGGAGGAGGTCGTCATGTACTTTAGTTTCGAAGAGTTTGTCCTAAACCGTGAGTTCCCTCTACCCCCGTCGAACCCTCGGCCTTGCCTCCTGTCCATTCCTTGAATGCGCTTGGCTGACTCCACGTATTCAAAAATAAAAAGTCCAGCTCGTACTATGGGACTTTGTCCGCCGACGAAAGCGTAGCAGCCAGGGTAAAATCGACCAGCATCGTGGAGACGCGTACTCGCTCTTCCGCGGCAACTGCCAGCACTTTGCGCGAAACGCCATTGCAGCTCTCAAGGAGCGCGGATGGATGCAAAAGAACAGGCTGCACAGCCGGTTCATCCTCAATGACCTGGAGACCGAACTCTTGGAGAAGCTCTTCCGCGAGATCCGGGACGCGCGGCCGGGGGAGCTGGAGTATTACATGCACCGGATGAACCTGCAGCTACTCACCCCCGAAATATTGAATCGTACCGCGATTTGGATGAGACAGTATAGGACGGCTGCTAGGATGCAACCGGATGCGGATAAGAGGCTTGTTAAATACCAATAATGGTTTGATAAGCGAGGACAAGTCGGTACCCATTAAGCTCAATCATTGGTCCTTACTTTAGAAATTCAATATCATGACATGGACGACTACACCAACGTGATTAAATGTAGAGAAAATGGTCCATTATCAATCTAAAGCCTCAAAAGAAAGGTATGCCAACATGAATAAACTCGCCAGATCACACAGGTACAGTGAGAATAGCAGATGGAGAAGACTCTAAAACATTATATAAGGTAGGTTGTCAAGAGGAGATTATGTCGAAGTAAAGGAAGATGCTTGATCCCTTCGGCGACATTGGCGTACTAGCCACGAACCCCCCTGCTAAAGAGCGTACGGCCACCGAACACGGATCGGATGGCAAGGAAGAGCCAGGTACGCAGGAGCCGGCCAAAGAGCGATCAATGGAGTTCACCGCTAATCCTTTGGAGGGATTGGCAAAGTGAACATACCCATCTCAGTCCATGTTGCAGTCTCGCTGTCTGTGGAAGGCTCTAGGGCCGAATTTTCTCCATATATTCACATGGCGTAACTATTTATACCCTGTTAACACCTGTTTCGCAACCATGGCAAGGGATATTGAGCAGCCATTTTGTCAGTTATTGATCTATATGTTACGTTCCGAGTAACCCGTCATAGTTTGAAAGACCGCTCTGTATTCTCACCCTCTTCTCGCTTATCTACCGCAGCCTAACGATACCACATGCTAAGGTAAACTAGTACCAGCGACATATCAAGATAGTGGCTTGCGATCGCGAAAGGTCTAACAACAGGGAAGCAGCTCTGTTCCATAAATACACTTGGAAGGCGGCGGATTTGAATGTCTGTTAAAGAGAAAAAAGGCCTGGAAAGCTAAAGACCATATATCCTGCTTACTACCAGCTACTCGAAGTGTGAATGTAGCTCAATGGCCTACAGTTACTAGTATCGGATAACGTACTCTGTACTTCACCAAGCGTTCACCACGCCCGCCCTTGCTCAGCCTTTTACTCAACGGTTTTTATATAACGTGAGAGGAGCCACCTCGGTCTGTTCTGTACCTTCCATACAATGCTTAGACCGTCGCTCCCTCCTCAAGAGTACCGGACCAGTGCGCCCCGTGAAACCGCCGTGAAACCGCTCGAGGAAGGTGCGATAGACTGTATTTCCAGTGACACAGCGCCTGCGATTTAGGAAACTGCGGTCCTTCGCGCCACCCCCGATCACGGCTCGAAAATCTTACCCGGGTTCATGAGGCAGCTAGTGTATGGTTCATCAGTTCAATAACTTACCGCGTGGTGAAGAGACGAAACTTACTGAGGATCCAAACTCCGCTTCAACGTTCTCATGACGGCTATAGTCTCGGGGCCCAGTTCCTCGACGAGGCATTCCTTCTTGCCTAATCCAATGCCGTGTTCGCCCTGTTAGACCTGGTCAGCCAATGCACGATGCCATGGATACTTAGTGGAAAGCATTACCGACACCGTCCCCTCCATCTCAATCGCACGACGCACCATCTTCTTAACACAATCCTGAACAGCTTGCGTTTGAGCCGGATTGCTCGGATCATACATGACTGCTTGGTGGAAGTTCCCGTCGCCAACGTGGCCTAGGACGCTGGAGAATAGGCCCAATGCTGATGATTCTTTCTTGGATAGATCTATAACTGGTCAGTTACTGCCTTTCGTGCTTATTTGGGATTGGGAAAGGAAACGGGGCAAAAGTACCTATAATCTCTGGCATCCGCGATAGCGGGACAGCGACGTCCGTCGACCAGATTTGCGTCCCCTCTGGTCTCTGGGCGCACATTGCCCATACTGCCTCCTTACGTGCGGACCATAGATTGTGCATGTCTTGTTCCGTTTTTGCGAATTCAAATGCGCTGCCGCTTCCTTGTGAGGAGATCTTCTCGACCTTGGCTATGTCTGCTGCTATGGACTGTGTGGTTCCGGAGAATCTGTATGCATCGTTAGAACCAGAGCCCCGCAGATGATCGAAGGAGCATACTTGAATAAGAGGGTAGGTTTCTCCTCCCACATGCGACCCCCCGACCCGCCATTCTTATTGATGACACCCATTTGCACCTCATCCATGAGCTCGACCGCTGCGATGGGAACGCCCTGGCGCATTATCTTCGATGCACACGCTACGGCGTCCCGGACGGATGGGAAGGTAACCACGGCTACACTTTGTTTCTCTGGTATCGGTGCGAGCTTGAGGGTGATTTCCGTGATCATGCCTAGGGTGCCCTCAGAGCCCGTGAAGAGGCCAGTGAGATTGTAGCCGGCGGATGTTTTCCTAGCATGGTTAATGGTTGGAGGATGAGGATCGGGGTGACGTATATACCTCGGTCGGTGGCGCGTCTGGATGATGGACCCATCTGCTAAGACGACGGTGAGGTTGATCACCCAATCTTTCATTGTGCCGTATCTGACTGCGTTTGTTCCACTAGCATGATCAGCATGCCTCTTGGCAATCAAAAGGCAGGCAGCCTACCTGCAGTTTGTCGCAACCATTCCGCCAATGAGTGCCTGCTCCATGTTAGCGCCACTCAGCCGAGCAGGAAGCCAGACGTACCGTTGGACTAGGATCCATTGGAAGCCAAAGCCCGCTGTCCTTGATGCTGTTGTTCAAGTCGACCCAGTTGACGCCTGGTTGAACGACAACATCCATACTACTTCCGTCAGTTATACGGCACGCAGTAGCAATCGCGTCACTTACTCCTCCTCGTGAAACGCAACAACCTGATTCATCTCCGAGAAATCTACACTCAGCCCAGAGTACGGCGCTGCAAAATGTCCTTCGACGCTGGATCCGCCGGCGAAGGGGACTAATAATGGTCAGAACATTTCCTCCTGCCGACTGCTGTGGCAGGAATCTCACTCATCGGGATTTTATACTCGGAACATATTCGAGCAATGGTGGAAACCTCCTCTGTATTCTTCGGCGTCACAACGGCAACGGGTTTTGCTGCGCAATGCGACGTTGAGACCTCCGAGTACGAATGCACCTCGATATAATCTTCATCCATCGTTACTGAGTCGGGACCCAGTGCATCTGAGATCGCTTGGACGCCCTATCGAGGTGAATTGGAATCGTTAGCTTCGCCTAAAAGATCGTACACCCAGTGTGCCAAACACGAGAACGGGTGCTGCAGCGACTGCCAGGAAAGGCGGCATCATGCATCTATTCCCATCTGTGTGCGATGATACCTTTAACATTGTTTCCCGGTCGGCATATCTGACTTCCCCTTTTGCCCTCGGTGAGGCAGGCTGAGCAAGCTGGAATGAGGTGAATGCAAGCCCGCTTACTGCAGCTCCCACCGCTGCAGAGAGCCAGGGAGTCGCAAACCCGCTGTGCAGGCGGGGTCCTTGCCGCGTAGTTTGTTGGGCGTATCTGACCGATCGTCTTGCATTGCGCAGCAAGTTGGTCCTGGAGGAAGACGATATCGTCGGCCGCAATTTCAATAATCGATGCATATTGACGTTTGTTTGACTCCTTGATTACCGGGCGTCAGCGTCTTTATGCCAGACTCCGGAATTCCTCCGCACCGGAGCGGCAATTCCCAATGCGGAGATCCGATATGTCCGACACAGTGTGGAGATGCGGTGTGCCCCAGATTTTCTCCGCGATCAGTGCGATCGTAAATAGGGGCATTCCAATTGCTATATAACCCTTGGATCTGGATATGGGTCTGGTTTCATACTCAAGTCCCACACTAGATCCACCATGGCGACCGACACCAAGAATATGACTGAGCACATGGCGGTTGCTGCTTCTGATAGCAAGGGGGCAGAGGATGTTGAGCTCTCGCAGGACGCGCCGGTTATTGATGAGGAAACAAACAGGAAATTGTTGCGCAAGATTGATATGAGGTTGATGCCAGTGGTATGTTTTCCCAGATCGAATATACGGACGCCACTGACAAGGTAGATGTGCTTCACCTATGCACTCCAGTACTACGACAAGGCGCTGCTCAGCCAGGCCGCAATCTTCGGCTTGAGGGACGATCTCGGTATCCAGGATGGGCTCAAGTACTCGTGGGTGTCGTTAATCTTTTACTTTGGCTACATCGCCGGCTGCTACCCAGTGAGTCCCAGGCAATCTTTCGTGTCCGCCCTGGTCACTTCAGCCTAACAGTATAGATCTCCTGGCTGTCGCAGAAATTCTCCATCCGCCGCGTCTGCCCGATAATCTGCTTCCTCTGGGCCATCGTCGTCATCTGCACCCCAGCCTGCACAAACTACGGCGGCATGCTCGTCAACCGGTTCATGCTCGGACTGATCGAAAGCGGCGTTTCACCTGCATTCATGCTCTGCACGGGAATGTGGTACACGCACTCTGAGCAGGTCTTTCGCTCCTCGCTTTGGTACTCCTTTAGCGGCGGCTCGAATATCATTTCGCCGCTCATCAACTACGGTCTCGGTCATATCAGCGGCGGAGCCATGCATCCCTGGCAATACATGTATCTGATCGCGGGGATTGCCACGCTTCTCTGGTCCGTGGTGCTCTGGTTCATCTTCCCCGGTAGCCCCGAGGAAGCAAAGGGGTTTACAGACGAAGAGCGCAAGCTCCTCCTTGAGCGAGTGCGAGCGAACAATGCGGGCTCCGAAAATAAGCATTTCAAGTGGTACCAGATGCGCGAGGCGTTCCTCTCGTACCATTTCTGGTTCATCTTTCTCCTCTCGACGCTCTCCAGTATTGGCTCTGGAGCAGTTACCACATTTGGCTCGATCATCTTCAACGGGATGGGCTTTTCGACGTTCCAGTCGCTACTGCTGAATATGCCTATCGGCGCCCTCGCCTTTATTTGTGTTCTGGGCTCGGGATATATTGGGCGCAAGGTTCCGAATGCACGTTTGCATATAATCAGTGGTGCTTGTGTCCCTGTTATCCTGGGGAGTTGTCTCATGTACGTCCATCCCACCCTTATCCCCCAGTTTCTTGCGCTTACATACTGGCTCTGCTCCAGCTGGCGCCTCCCCTCAACCGAACGCGCCGCCCGAATCATCGGCTTCTATCTCATCAATTTCTTCAGCTCAGCCTGGGTCCAATGTATCGCAATGGGAACCTCCAACGTCGCAGGCCACACCAAGAAAGCAACCATGGCCGCGGGGACGTTCATCGGGTACTCGCTGGGAAATATCATTGGGCCGCTTACATTTGATGCGTAAGTCATGACCCTTTTATTTCTCCCTCCCTTCCTAGTCTTCAAGGCGAATAGCTAACATTTGGATCGAACAGCAACGACGCACCACGCTATGACCCCGGCTTCCAAGCAACGGTCATCTGTTTCGCGATTTGCTGCGTCCTTGCGCAGGTATTTAGGGCGCTGCTTCTGGGGCAGAATAAGAGAAGGGATAGGGAGTATGGGATGCCAAGTGCGGAGCATGGGTTGGAAGATTTGACGGACGGCGAGAATAAGTCGTTTAGGTATCCTTTGTAAGAGCTTACATGGGTATGGTGGTCTGTAGGGGTACAGTATTATGGTTATGGTATTGCTGGGAGGGTTCGTAGTGAGTGTACGTTCTCTAGGGAATATAATAGCTCTGGTCTTGTGAATATTAATCATTCATTGTGGTGTGTCAGCCTCGTGCAATGCGTGTCTATGTGCCCTTTCTTGGACCTTACCAGGCGAATGGCATCTATATATGCACGGCGGGAGAAAGTAAAAAGCGCAGAGGATATAGAGGCATCAAAGATATTCGAATGTAAGACTAGATAATAGTGAGCCCATCTTTAGTTTTTCTCCTGAATATTTAAATCAGAAAGGTCGTGGGGATATATCCAGCCCCTCTTAGCCTCCAACCTCAAGCCCTTGTTTGTTACCTCTAGCGCAGAACATATGAATGAGCATGACCGGAAGGAAAAGAAAAGACAAAACCAAGGATTTGGATTAATGAACGCACGAGTTTAGACTGAGTCCCGAGAGGTCTGTTTGAGGGTAAAGCCGCTCGATCTCTCTATCTTCCACTCTCAACCATCTTCATTCTCGTGTTACGCTCATTTATCAGATCAATCTGCGCCTGCAGCCGCCACGGCACATCCATCCTATCCATCATAACCTCCAGCAGCTGGATCGAGTCGAGGTCCGTGTACTCGGGCGACAGGACCACCTCTTCGAAGCCCTCCTTCGTATCGACAACCCGACTATTCACCTCGCCGCTCTTCGAGCCAAATGCGCTCAGGAGGAGTTGGTGGTTCCAAGGGGCAATGTCGTTGTAGCCTAATGGATGGTTTGAGTGATGTGTGTGGGGAGTGATGGTGATGGGATGTGGGGAAGTACAAGTACGTACCTTGCTCTGGCCCGTGGATTGCGCGCTCGATCGTGTAGCCGCTGTTGTTGATGACCATGCTGTAGACACATCAGTCAGTACCCTGACAAATCCTCCAGGTCGAAGGGGAAGGAAGACCGAGAGCCATACATAATCACATTCCGCAGCCCCATCTTGATCATAGTCCCAATCTCCTGCACCGTCAACTGCAGACTCCCATCCCCGACGACAAGAATCGTCCTCCCCTTCCTCCCACCCTCATTTTGCATCTCGCCCTGCGCAACCGCCGCCCCAAACCCCGCCGGGACCGAATACCCGATACTCCCAAAATAAATCTGCGTGATATACCGCACGCCGGCGGCAAACGTCGCATCCGAGAATCCGAACTGGGCGGTCCCGGACTCGCCGATTATGATGTCGCCTGGTCGGGCCATGGAGCCTATGCGCTTCCAGATCCATGATTGCGTTATGTGTCTGCTATCCGCGTCGGATGGGACTGGGGGTCGTGGGAGGGTTGGGGTGCGTCGTTTGTGGCTTGTGGGGTGCGAGACGGGGGAGGTGGTGAGGGATGAGGAGAGGCGTGTGAGAACTGTCGTGCTCATTATGTTAGTAGACGATTTGACTCAAGGGGCAGGGCACGGTCTAGAGGGGAAGGCAACGTACACTCGACTAGATAAACACTCTCGTACCTCGCATGCCCAACCTGGACATAGTCCGCCGCAACAAGTATACACTGGTCCGTACTAGGCATGTTTCTTGAATGCCCCCCCGTATTCGAGTCCGAGTGCACAAACCCCACGTCAATGACCAGATCACTCTCCTTCTCGATCGCATCTGCGACACCAGGAAGCGATACCTGCCCATTATACACGCCATAAAAGTACGGTTTATCCTCACAGACGATTGACTTACCCATCGGCGTCGTAAAGGTCGGAATCTGCAGCTGTTCGAGGAGCGTGTTCATGATACCCGTCGCACCAAATCTGTGCACGAGGGCGTCAACGATGATAGCTGGTGCAGAGGATTTTTCGAGTTTCTCAATGACGGCGTTGATGGCGGATATGCATGCTTCGGAATCGGTTTTCGGTTCCAGATTGATGGGGCTGTTGAGTAGGGCGGCGGGGACAGGGACGTGTACGAAGTCCATGGGGACGAAGATATAGACTGGGCGGCTGTGGATGTAGCACTCACGGATGACCCTCTGTAGAAGTGCGGTCAGCTATTCTGGTCCCTATTACTGAGAAGTCGGGGGGTGGGGCACATACATCAACCTCCCCTGGCGCCGTCCTCGAATCATCGAGCCAACAATGCGCAACACGCACAGACTCTGACATCCTGGCGTATACCTGTACAGTTTCAGTTTCAGCAAGGCATCCTGACCTTCAGCTTGCTAGATGACGAACCCGATGATCCGGATCCACCCCCAGACAATGATGGATCATAGCGCGCGCCTTCTGGGCCCTCGTCCCCGTCGTGCCCACAATATGAATCAGCTTGACGTTCTCCGTGTATGCGCCCGCGACCCCGTTTATTGCACTGAGTTCGCCGACGCCCATTGTTGTTACCACTGGAATACAGTCCGAGTCAGTCGGGATTGTTTTCAATGAGGGTACGGGAGATGGGAGGGAGAGGAGTCCAGCCCAGGGTGGGTAATGGAGCAACTCACGCACGCCGGGGCATCCTTTTACACGGCTATATCCGTCCGCTGCGTATGCGGCGTTGAGCTCGTTTGCGTTGCCGACTAGGATACGGTAGTTAGTACGGTCTGACGAATATCCAGGATGGCTGCATAGACGAACCCCACGATAGTCCGTCAACGCTGTCAATGTAATCGAGTAGCTCCAGGTTCATGTCGCCTGGAACACCCATTACACTCTGGACGCCTAATTGACGGATCCTGGTGACTGTTAGCTTGTTCTCCCTTGCAGGACCAAGTTGTTTGCTATCCGTACCTCCGCCAGAGATACGCGGCGAGTGGCATCGTCGGCGGGTCTCTGATTGAACCCATGATGCTCTAGTACTGATATTTCGGTCGCGGGCTAGCATACAAAATGAGCAGGCGACATTGATCAAACAGGGCAGCTGAGGAAGAGAGCAGTTTCCTTTAATATTTGCAGAAGCACCCCCCCACAAGCGGAATACCTCCGTCCACAACGCCTCTTGTTACTTCCATTCCGAGGAGCGAGAGCTATTCTGTTCGTAGACAGGGTAGTCATAGGGCGTGGCTCGGAATGGTCTGCTGGCTATTTTGACCAACATCCGCTTGGGAAAGGGTGGTGGTTGGTGGCGGCTCTTCCAGGTTGGGATATCCGCTGCCTAGTCGTCCGTGTCGGATGGCAATCGGATCTCCGCTTCCCCACACGTTGGACTTTAAGGTCCTGGCGTAGGGAAAGTCGGATCTGGGGTAGTGTCAGCCATTGTTGGCCAGTATGTTGACTCAATGTATAGCGGTCCGAACAACTTGTGGAGGGTTCGAGATGCCTGGCTCGTCAAAGGCAGATGTGGCTACCTGGCCTGGGATACTTGATGTATTAAAGGAAGTTGGATAGACTAAGTCGTTTCACAGGTTCTGTTATTATTCTACTCACCCGCCAGGAACAAGTTTGAGACACTGTTCAACCCCACCATATCCGGCAACGAGTCCCAAAACTGCGATCCGTAGATCCAATCCCCCGTCAAATCAAGTCCGTCTTCAATGCCGCCAGTCATATTGTATTGCTGATACAAAGGACTAATCCTTTCGATTGGCTGGGCGGGTTCACCCCCACCCGCACACGATTTCAATGCCGCGTTGGTGAGGATTTCAAGTAGGGCTGCATACCGCTGTGCCATGTGCACGTCGTCTGGTGAGTTCTGTTTGATACTATCGACTACATCAAGGATCAGGCGTATACGCGAACTGGAGCGATCTAATCTCTCTTCCGTCTTAAGGGTAATCTAGAAAGATAAGCGATGGTCTGCTATACGGTGGGCGGGGACGTACCTTGAGAAGATATAATGCGGCACAGACTATCGGTAGCCAGATCTTGACCCCGGCGTACTTGAAGGCCCCTGTAGGTGCGAGTCTATGAAGCACGCAATGCAGCATGTCAACCGCGGCTGCTGTCGCGTCATTCGCAAATTGCGAGAGAGAGGTTTCCGTGTCGCTCTGGCGTTCGAAGATATGGGCGGCGGGACTGAGACCGCATAATCGGATATAGTAATATTCAATGTCCAGACAGGCAGATCGGAATGGCAGGTCGCTATCCTCGTTGGTATACTCTCGTTGTCGTTTCCACCGGTCAAGACCCCGTCGAAAACCCTCCCATGCCCCAAGCGGTACTCCAGCGCCCGAGCCGCCCTCGCTCTTCCTCCAGCTCCGAAGCAGCTCTCTTGCTTTGCGCATGTGTATCCCAAGCTCAACACCGCTTTCCCAGTGTGGGTCTCCGACCATGCTTGAGGGAATGTGGTCGGCGAGGTCTTGTGTATTTGGTAGCTGTGGTTCGAGGCGTAGGCGCAAGGCTAGACTCTCATCTGTGAGTCGAAGAAATGTCCGTAAGATGCGTGTCCATTCATGGTTGAGAGCAGGCTCCTGTGCCTGGCCGTGTGTATGGTCATCGAAGCAACCAATCTCCTGCGCCAAAGCGACCGCACTTGAAAGTAGCATCCTAACCTGTCAGCCAAAAGAACCTTGATGCTGGAGTCTGGACCAACCATGACATCTTATTGCTCCTATACGCCGTCGCCACAAGATTCAATCGTTCCGGTATACTCGATCGACTCTGCGAGTCTCCATCGGATTGATAATGTGGCTCGAAGAGTTCAAGTTCTCCACGATCACTGATGAAATCCTCCGGGGAATTGATGGCCTTGGGATGCCACTCAACGAACAATAACAACGCTGCAATTGCCCCATAGGTTCGCATGCCAGACGACCCGCACATTGAAGACTGGAAGAGCTTCTGAACCCATGGCCACGTACGCCAGTGTACTCGTTCCGAGCGGGCCGTACCATTATACCCACTGAGGATATGGTACCTGGATGCCAGTGCAATCAAAGCAACGGCAAGAACAGGCTCCGCCGAGGCTAGTAATGCATACCGATCAGGCGACGCATAGTATTGCGGTATGACTGGGAAGAGGTGCCATAGCATAGAAAAGTAGAAGTCGAGATACTCCACTGCCTCATCGGCACGAACGATGCCTCTCTTCACCAAGAAAAAATGCTTCCACCCGCATGAGGAACCGCCATGCAAATGACGAGGCTGCCCATCTGCGCTACGAAGCTGCGGGTCGCTTCTCAGACGCCCTTGATCGATATTCTCCTTCGAGCCCGCGACGGCAATGAGATCCAAGGCGTCACTCGCATCCAGGAGATGCGTCGACAGAATCCGCTCTTTGGTAGTCGCATCATGACTCGGTGACGGAATTCTAGCAACCCCAACCTCACTCCCAACTGACCCCAGATGAGACTGCTCCCCCTCCTGCACATGGAAAGCACCCAGAGTCTGGGGACCCACCCCCCTTGAAGGCCGTATCTTCCTCTTCTTCCTCGCATGCGTCATGCGACAAACCCTCCCCTCATCCTGACACCTCCGACACGTCGCCTCCCCCTGATCTGTAACGCATCGCTTCTTCTTCTCGCGGCAATTATCGCAGGATTGGTATCCGCGTCTCGCGCGCTGCGTGTCGGGTGAGCTGGGTTGGTTGATTGGGAGGAAGGTTATGGAGTGCGTGTCGCTTGGAGTGGGGAGGGGATCTGGATCCTTGTGGGTGGCAGTGGGATTATCCATTGCGAGTGCAAGTGCACTGGACATCTTTGCTGTGGTGGAAGCGGATGTGGGAAATGGGGAAACGCGACAGTTGACTCCAGATTCGCTGGGGATTCGGAAAGCGGGGCGATTCCGCGGCCCTGGGGATGGCCGTATTAGCCAATCAAGTCGTCAGGAAGCGCTCAGGGCTCCTTCCTCCGAGGTCTATAGAGCTGGGACAGGGCTGGGTCTTACCTTCCTGATAATTAGGGCCTTATGTCAATGAAGGATCTCTTTTTAATGCGTTACAATCCTGGCTGTTAGTCGTGCCTTTTCCTGTCGGTCCGAACCGATCTATATATTGGCTCATTCTCCAACAAGTATAAAAATATATCCGAGGCGGAGATGTCTTTGAAGCATCAAGCAAGTAAAATACCACATTGTGAATCCTTCGTCCTGTAACCAAGTAGCACTATACATTTACAGCCCCAAAAACAGCACGACGGTCATCGAACCCCCAGCTCGACCCCACCGACAACTGCCGGAATCCAGCTCTTGATCACCCGTTCCGAAAGCTGGGTCCATTCCCCTTCAGGATTCTGCGAATCAACCGGACAGATGAGCGGTTTCCTCACGACGTGCAGCTTCTGGTGGCTAAGCGTCTCTTTCATCTTGAGCCCCAACCACCAGATCAACCCCCACAGCGGTGCAGATAGTCCGATAGTGGGGACTAGATACCAGGGTATTTGGGCCTTGTCTAGACCAAACGGGGAGTCGCGCGCTGGCTGCGCAAATGCCGAGAAGAGGAAGAATCCGTTCGCCACAAAGTAGAGCAGTGAGGGGAAAAGGCCGAGTAGTGGTCTGTAGTTGGAGATTTCCTTCCATTGGTATTTTCCTGTGACATTGAGGAAGAGGAGCCCGCCCGAGACGATGAAGCCGGAGAGGCCCATGATAACGTAGCTGAATAGGGTCGCCAGGAAGTTGTATGCCGTCCTGGGGTTCAGCATGGATGTTACGGCCACCAGGAATATCGAGCTAAGGAACTGCAGGCTCAGCGCCCCCATTGGTGTCTTTTCGAGGTGAGAGTCAATCTCCTTTGCCTCTGGGCTTGGTTCACCAGCTAACCTGCGCTTGAGATACTCCCACGGTGTGATGCGCCCGGTTGCAAAGAATTTGGCAAATGGTAGAATACCCTCCTTTGCAATTTCCTGTTTCACTCTCGCCGCGGTAAAGGTCTGGACGAGAAGGTTGCCAAATGCCGAGATGGCAATCATGGCAGCCATGGCGCTTCTTGCGCGTTGATTCCTCCCAAAGACGCCTTCGAAGAACATCTCTGCCAAATCCCGGTCGCTGCCCAGCACGGCGTCCTTGGATACGACACAGAGAAAGGCGATGTTGACCAGCATGTATAGGGCAATGGCAATCCCAACAGCGATTGGAGCGTATCTCGGAAATGTCTTTCTCGGACTCTTGACTTCGCTGAGAACATAAAACGGTTGCTCAAAGCCAGAGTACGAGTATGAAACATAAAACATCGAATGGACATAGCTGGGTAGATCGCGTCGATTAGTGTCAAAGGCGTTTTGAGGATCAAAGTTGTCAGACGCGGATGCCTCTCCAGCACTTGAGAGACCTCCCCCTGCCTTTACAAATCCAAGGACGATGATCGTCAACAGGGTTAGAACCTTGACAACCGCGAAGAAGTTGTTGACCACAAGCCCACCACGGCGCGAAAAGATATTCAACGAAGTGCACAGCGTGAGAACCGCGATCGCGAGTCCAACAACCGCACCTCTTGGTGGGCTTTCATACCCAGCGGCTCGCATAACCTGGATTCCAAATGCTATGGCATTGCCAGAAAGGTTGGCGAGAACAATGAAGGGGACACCGTACATGCAGGTGGCAAGAAAACGCGGTCTGGGGAAGAGGAATTCTAGCTAGGGACAGATCAGTAAGTATGAACAAGACGGAAAGATGGTCAACGCACGTAATTCTTCTCCCCACCACTGCGTGGAACGTTCTTCTTCCCCCATATCGGCATCGTGTAGTAGGGGATGGAGAGGCCAAACTGGAGCCAGCAAGCCAGGCCCGAGGCGCCATAGACACCACCAAAGGCCCACAGAAGCAGAGCCGCACCGACACTGCCGGTGCCACGAAGGATTCGCGCGGGGGTCAAAAAAATACCAGTGCCTAACCGAGGCTCTTATTAATCAACACGACCATGACCTGGGGAATATGATCGCCCACCAATCATCCGGTTGAGAACCAGAGCTACGATGGTGAAGGGGCCGATCCTCTGATCGTCGGCGAGGGCGATTGCATTGTCGACTTCCCTCCAGTTGTCATCTGGTTCCTCCGCGCAGGCATAATCAGTAAAGTCGGTGTTGATGTCGTCGAACAGATCTTCGCCCATCCTTGTGAAATCTCAATGCTGCAGTGCGACAGGAAAGGCAGCCATGGTCGCGTGCAAGGCAACACGATCATATATGACTCGGAGGGAATTAGACAGAGCCTAGGGAGGCTCAGTGCGCGGTTGCGGCTATTGCACTGCCCCGGCGGGCACATGCACCGTCAGGCCGACTCGGAGTCTGCCTGGGGATGATGTGTTCCAATGAGATGCGTGGTGGCTGTAAGCCGCAAGGGGGATTGGAGGAAGATAAGGTCACTCGGGCCAATTGGCGTGGATTCTTCACTTGGCGAGGCTCTTGACAGGGCAAACAAGGGTGAGGGATTCGAAAACGGATGAACTGAGCAGCGATTAGGCTGGTCGGTGAGGCTCTCGGCGCATGATGAGACGAGATTGAATACGAGGCTCCCCCGCCCGAGGCGAATCCCCAGACTCGACACGAGCGCTCCTTCCTCTTCCCATCACTCAGAAACCATGTCTCTCATCGGGGTGAGCTTCTCAGATTTGATTGTCGCAGTCAACTTGTGCACGAAAATCATCGAGCTCTACCGGAACGAAACGGTGGAGCATGTCCGGCTCCTCCGAAACGAAGTCTCCTTCATCAAGGACAAGGTCTCGCGGCTCGACGTTCTCATCCAAGAATCGCGAGACCTCCTCCTGCTCTCCGAGCTCGCCGATCTCCCTCCTCAAGACGGTCGCGAGCAACTGGTCGGTCCCGAGTTCATCGAAACGCTCAACGAATGCGAGCGATTTTGCGATCACCACCGCGGGAAGAAATGGACGTTGGCGCAGAAGCTGTTGAAGGCGCAGGAGGTTGAGGAACAGTCGGCCAAGTTGAGAAAGAAACTCCGGCGACATCTGCAGGGGGTCGACATGCTCACGCAGTTGATCCAGCTGGAACTGCTCAAGGAGATTTATACAATGTCGAGTGAAGTGGAATATGTGCGACGGAATTCAGCGGGGGTACCACAGCAGCCATCTTCTGCTGCACCGGTTGTGCCCTGCTCAATAAGCGATCTATTCCACTCGGCGATCAAAACCAACCCTCCAGCGGGGTTTGTCGACGTCGAACAACTTCCGCTCTGGGAGACACTTGGCCAGGCCTGCCGATTTCAGCGACTCAGCATGAGGGATCTCTCAGACCTTGAGCTCGAGTTACATCCCAACCCGTCTGCGTACAGGGCTGAACAATATCTGAACCTGTTGAAAGCACAGTGGCTTGTCGGGGTCATCCAGAGAAGCAGGTCCCTCCAGGAGAAAACCCCGGGGAGGGCCTACCAACGGAGCCTCATCGCTCTCCAGGGACGAATTGCCGATCGCTATCTTACACTGCGAGATTGGGAGCCAGAAGATGACAACGATGTCGCTTTTTCTCTCGCTGCACTGCTTGATCTACCGCTGTCGGCTTTCGATATCTGGCCAGCTCCACCCCCGCCTCCGGACGTGAGTCACCGCAGACCAGGTGAGACGGAATTACTTCGCTTCTCGCGAGCAAAACCTGCAGGATTCACAGAGGAACTTGTCTTGTTTCGCACTGGACCGACCTCCCTCCGGCTTGTGGATAGGCGGATCTCCAGCAATCCATACCACGGCAAGCAGCAAACCCAGCGCATGATCGACACCCACGTTGACCGATTGATTCCCACCTACGCTTTGAAGCTCGCAGAGGGAAAGGCCGATTGGTCTGTTCGCCTGACGAACTCCATGGGCCACAGTGAACCACAATGCGAATTCAATGATTTGTGTGAAGCTCTCAAATTCCAAATGGCGCTCACCGGATACTCCGTGGAGCTGATCAAGGCCTCGAGTATTCCAATGAGCTTCGGCAGAAAACGCAAAGTGGGAGTCACACCCCAGGACGCTCTTGGATGTCTTCAGATCTGGGTTCCTACAGCCAGAGCTTCCGACTCTACAACGTCGAATGCGAACCTCGTGAGTTATCAAGATTATACCTATGGTGAGAAGACGATAACTATGCCCAAGGTCAGCCATCCACCGGCCTTGGTGGCCTTTACCGTGGATGGCAAGGCCGATACTTGTAGCATCTGGTTTATCGAGCGTGCGTCCCGCCCTCCGTCTCTAGTTATTGCAAGCTGACATTGCTCTAGTCTCACCCTACATCGTACTGACTCAATACCCCAAACTTGACAAGAGGTGCTATATGCTGCTCATAGGGGGTACTGATTCCACCGTAGCCTGCCGCCGCCTGACCGTTCCAAGAACGCAAGAGCAGGACCTGAACCTGGCTCTTTTCAGCCTCCCTCGCCATCGCGACTTCCATAACCCAGATGTGGTCACCCAGCTAGACTGTAGTTACATTGCCTTTGGGTTCGAGACGCCAGAGTTGTTGGAGAAAACAAAAGCCAGCCTCGACAGGGTCCTTAGACGACGCAGCGACCGTACAAGCCCAACGCAGTCAAGACGCGCATCTGGCGATAGTGTGACTCTCAGTCTAAAGTCGATCGCTCGGTCATTCACCATGCCCCTGAGAGCGGACACAGAGGCCACGCTGGTTACCGTGTCTGCTTCTAGTGCGCCAATGTCGCCGAAGGGGTCGACAGCAGCTTCCTTTACTTCGACATGATCTCTTCTTGACAACCTACCTTATACAATGTTTTAGAGTCTTCTCCATCTGCTACTCTTACTGTACCTGTGTGATTGGGCGACTTTATTCATGTTAGTATACCTTTGTTGAGGCTTTAGCTTGGTAATGAATTTCTTCTATTCATACTTAATGATATTGATCTTGCTGGCCACGGTATATTGTCAAATTTTTAAGTAAGGGCATTCAAGTTGTCTGTTTGACTTGGGTTTACCACTCTGAGGATAGGTACCTAATATACTATATTATTACTATTACCTATGGGTCCTCTGAGTATATAAAATCTACGCCTGCTATTCTGCCCCACTTATCCTTCCACTTTCTTCTTTTCCTTGATCCTCCTCTTATACATCGCAGCTAGATATGGTAAGCAAGCTCGCAAAACCCTCATTGAACGTGCACCAAACCTGTAGTAGGCCAGGTCCAGCTAGACCAGTTAGTACTGCGCCATTGTTCCCTATCTGTCTTTTTGGTCAGCCGTTCCACGTTCTTTTTCAGGTACGTCTCCTAGGCCTGAAGACGACGTATTTGACGCCCAGGCGGCATTGACGGAGACGACTGCCCCTATCCAAGATAGATACATTATGGGACAAGCTCGTGGCCCTGCGAAAGTTCCTTTGGCAATACTGATGAGGCCAGGAAGGTGATAATGGCTCCCTACGGGGCCTTTCACTGACGGAACTAGTGATGGCTAGTCGGATACGGTCGTACCGAAGACCCTTGGTTTATCGGGTGGGCGTCCAGCGAACCAAGGCGCAGCGACTAGTAATGGACTAAGGTTTGTTGAGGGTGGGATAACGGTCTACGGGGGGGTTGGACCTGGAAATTCGGGATGAAACGCAGATATGAAGGTGGGATTGGATGGATCGGTGGCGAATCCTTTGTCCGGCGTTGCTTTGGGTGATACTCGGTGTTGTGAAAAGGCTCGCAACCGAGGAGGGCCATTTAAGCGGAGAATTTGATCTCAACAATTCCTGACGGCGTGGCAGGAAAGGAAAGGTAAGGACTCAAAACGAGAAACGGTTCAAGCTAAATCAAGTGTGTTGTGCATTACAGCTCAATATGATGAAACTGGCCAAGACGATCAAACACCTTGACCTCCTGAGGCCTTGTAAACAATGGCTGAATAATTGCAAAGAATTCCTGCATATAGTCCACCTTGAGTCTCTCCTATTGTGGTACATGGCTTGTTAGTCTAGTCCCAAGTATCGCTGGGCTCGTGAACAGAATCCAGTGACATACGACCATATAGCGCTCCAAAGGTGTTTCCCTGTAACTCAGTGTCAGACTCAATATCCTAGCACGGATCTGTTTCAATGATGGAAGGAGGACGTAAACGAACCAATCCTCAACCAAAAGTATTTGCCCGGGGTCATCACGCAGCTGGTATACTTGAAAAGAAAGACATTCGGGCTCGGCGATTGTTTGCTCGTATACTGGTTTCAGGGCCTCGAGGACTCTTGGTGTATCCTCCGGCGCAAGGAAAAGCGTGGCCTGGATGTTGAACCCCGTTTGCGCTGGGATCGACATGGTTATGGATTGATATCAGGTCGAATTAAGGTAACCAAAATCGAGAGCGAACAAGATGTTGTTGATATTGTAAAGCGAGGACCTGTGAATTCCCGCTTCCGGTTAGTTTGCCCGTTTACGGAATAGCCGCCCCGTACGCCGTATTGTCATCACCGCCCGCCCGGCGCCTCTGAGTATATAAGAACCGTCCTCGCTGTTTCTGCCTCTCTTTCCTCCCAACTCCTTCCTTTTCCCTCATGCTCCCTCCCATATTCTGCACTCACCCCGGTCGCGACCCGTCGTCTCACCTGCTCCGAGAACGCCCACCTGCTTCGCCCCCTTTTTGCCCCTTCGGAAATTGCGGCTGCGCCCTGTTTCTCGTCACCTCCGGTCCCAGATTCTTCCCCGATAAGCTTGAAGCGGCTTGTTAGCTGAACTTTTTTTGCTCTCTCTATCTCCCTTATCCGACGAAATGATTTATATCCTTGATTCATACAGCTGCCACTGCCGGCGTGTTGATTTATTTTGCTCATGTTGCCTATCAGCCTCCTATGGTATCTACCTCTCCCCAACGTTCTCTATCCAAGGAAGCGTCTGACCTTCAATTTGCAACAGGCGCCATCCATGGCTGATTGCGTGTTACGCCTGATACCTGCCCCACCTTCCGTCCTTTTCCGGCCGTCACCCGCCCTGCGCCTCTGTTCTCGGCCCCCATTCCCCCTTCCAGTCGTGCTGATCTTGCGTGTTTGGGCCGCGACTGGATTGCCTGGCTGGAGATGAGGAAGTGCCTTGGACGAGTATGCCCAATAGCATAAATGCCTCATCTATAGCTCCGCTGGCTGTTGTTGCCTGTCGTCGCCTGTTGTCGCCGTCGACCACATTCTTGTGGAGTCACTGTTCGCCCGAATCGTGGCCGATTGGTGCATCATCCGGCCTGTCGCACCCCGTGATGGACGACTGTTGGAAAACATGATGGTGCAAGTACGACTATTTGCTGTTGCAGTGTCGCCTGTGGCATATCGTCGAGCTCCTAGAGTAGCATGTGCTCCGCTGAATCTGCGCCGTTCCTCCAGCATTTCCTCTTTCCGGATAATGCCCCAACAGTTCCTTGGAATGACCCCTTCGCACTAGCCAATATACAGCGTGCCATTTCAAGGCCCAGGGCGTACATACGAGCAGAGAGTGCAGAATCAACCTTACCCGCTTTGGTTCGGCTTTCGGGGATGTTCTCCTTTTCGCCAGAGAATAAGGACCAGTCGCGCTTGACCTACGGGTTATAAATACCCTCGCCCGCCTCAAATTGAAAGCAACGCAAGACACCTCCGCCAGTTTCTTTGACACCACAGTTTGCTTCCCAATTTGCCTGTCTTCCAGGATGGATCGCCAAGTTTCTTACAATGGTCCTTTGCCCTGCACTTTCCCGGCTTCACGCCCATCGATCCCGATGAACCATCCATTACCCCCGAAACCTCCCATTTCCATGTACTTCCATGTCTACACTCCTGCCCGCAAGCCTGCAACCATGCTGCGCGACACGGCAGCGCAGCACGTTAACCATGGCAAACCCATTCCTGTGAACAACGATCGAGAAAGGCCCTCTACGCACAACCACCCAACTGCATCTTCTGTTGGGTTGCTCAGCGGCCCTCACAAAGACAGCGTTATCTGTCCATCCAGTGAAGGTTCGTACAGCCCACCAGGTCTTGCTGCCCGAGGCTCCTGCTTATCAGTAATCTTTTCCATCCAGATACGATCATCGGGCTCGAAAATGACCATGACAAGGCAAGCAACAGCGACGACAGCGACGACTTCGAACCACCACATCCCGATGAATTGTTCTCATGGATACGGAACAACAGCGACGAGAGTGGGAGTTGTGAAGCTTCAGTGGCCTTCCGAAGTGTGGATAAGAGGTCGGGTCTCGACGGAGCAATTTCAACTACATCCCAACCATGTGAGATCGGCCTGTCCTGCGAAGTCCTCCCCAGTGATGCCGATGATGGCCGAGATGGTAAGATTGGCCCTACGAAGCATCTTGATGGAAGTAAGGGTGGCTTGTCCGATATTTTGGGACCGAAGGTCTCAATCGCTTCCCGCCAGCTGGTTGAAGTTTCACAGATTCCTTTCTCTGGATTCCGAGGGCCCCAGCCTGTGACTGAGACTACCTTGTGTAGCCCATCTGTCTCTCGGTCAAAGCGTCGCAGCAGAGAGAGGCCCACGCGCGCCTTGTTGGGGCTCGCTGAACTTGCCGCAGACAGGGGCCCTCGAACCAGGGCAAGGACAAGAGCGGAAGCATGTCGTTCGTTCCCAAGCCGCCAACAGGCCCGTCCTTATTCAGATGCCGAAGACGAGCTTCTCCGTGAACTGATGCACAGAAAACTTCAATGGGAAGAGATTGAGGAGGAATTTGGTCGGAGGTTTGCTAGAAGGGATCGAAAATCACTCCAAGGGCGTTGGTCGAGAAATCTGAAGTTTGTAACCCCCTCAGCGAAGTGCTTGAGAACCAGAGGGGCGAGGAATGGTGCGGCTTGATGGATCCCAGCCAATCACAAGCCAATCAGAGGGTGTGGATACATAAGGTTGAATGGAGGGTTTGAGCAGAATGGTCTTGTATCTACACCAGTGGGTTCTGATGTGTCGATAATAGAACCCACCTTCCTTTGGTCTCGCCTCCTATGGGAATGTGGTCAAGTGTCGCGGCATACTGAAGTCTCGCTTCAACTTTAAACTTCATATACCTTTGAGAAGCTCCGGTGGCAGACTGTCTAAAAAGGCAGAGGCGATAATGAAGCGGGTTGACAACCTTTGGATTCCTAGCAAGTCCCTTTCGCACCTCAAGATTTGTGTAGTTGAACAAGCAGTCAACTTTTAGTAATACCCAGCCAGAGACAACTAAACCTCTTAAGGAAATCGCTAAGTAGCTCAGCGTACGCAAAGTCAGTAGACTCTTACCACAGTCAAGATGTTTTTGGCAGTGGAAGAATACACCGATTGGCACCTGGCGAAAGTGAGCACTGAGAACTTTATTCAGAATGTTACAGTACATGTCTAGAGAGCGAGCGCCTCCTGTTAGCAACCCCATCAAACCCGTGCGATGAAGCCCTTATGCAAATGAGGCTCTCTTGGTCAGACTGGAAGACACAGTGAATGCGGATGCTGCGGAAAGCATCAGGAGTGCACTTGAAGTACATACAAAAACTAAAGCGTGAGCCCAGTAGCTATCGCCACAGGAGTGCAGGAATTGATTGGAAGATGTATTAAACTAAAGACTTTCCAGATATACATTAAATCCCGCATATAGTCCTTCTGAACTCAACTGTCCTCACTTATCAAGGTCAAATGGCCAGATTGACCTCAGTGTCATTTCATCTCTTACCGGCTCATCATTGTCTGAATCTGCGTTCGTCAAAACAGCCTGCAACATTCCATCAAAGAGTTCGTTCTGGGCTGATTGTGCCGCTTCCCAACCATCTGGCGGTACCCATCCGTCTGAGGCTGTATTTAGGAGGCTTGACAAATCGGTTCGCAGATTCTGTGCCGCCTCGAAAAGCCTGTACTCTTTCTCGTGTTTCTCAAATTCTTCTCGCGTGGGTAAAGGATAAAGACATTGACCTTCAAATCCTAACTCGTTCCAATGCCTCGCAGTCTCAATCATCTCGTGACGTAAGGCCACTGCACCATCTTTCCATGTTCTATAACAGTAACGGAACGGGCGAAAAATGTTGTCATTCATCAGCCTTGGGCCTGCAAGTTTTGGTGTGAGAAACTGCGAAGAGAGATCAAAAGCTTTGGCGCATATCTCATTTCCTTCTGCGAAGTCCGGGACCTCGTCTGCGTACCAAAACGCTGGCTCGATACTAGCTGATTGCCAATCAATAATGCTAGTGATAACAGAAGGATTGTCATCCGAAACAAATATATTCCTCGTATGCAGGTCCGGGTGGAACAATAAGGGTGCGGCGGAATTTCTGATGCGAACACTCGCGGCCATTTGCTTCAGCACAGGACGGGTACGCTCGAGAAGAGCTAAGTGCGTTTCAGGCGATCCATGATAGATTGGTCGTTTGGGTTCGGTATCCACTGGAGGAACTAGTGACAGACCAGCGTCAACAAGGCCATCACAATAATCGCCAATAGTCAACCCTAACAAATTCTGGTGGTAAGCACAATTGCCCAGTAGCGGGAGCGCCGACGCAACTTACATGGGCCAACGTTTCTATTAGCATTATGATAATATCTCCTTTCACCCACATTAGTACCCCAGTATCTAGTACCGCAGTGAGGTCCAACACAAAAGCCATCACCTAGGGGTTGTTTGCTAGCAGATCCAAGAGAATCGTCGAAGTATATGCTCCCAAAAGCTGGGAATTCCAACACGGTGATATCCTTTATTGTCCGGTAGATTGCATCTATGCACCTGACCTGCTGGTCGCCAGCCATTTTATGCCATTTCTCGTGGAGAGGAACGCCTGTTGCATGCTCCATGATAATATATTCGCTGCCGATAATATTTGTTTCATCACTAGCGTCGCAATTGTAATCAAGAATTCTTGGTACGGGGATATTCGTCTTCGTTTGTACTAGACCAATGGTTTGGTCAGCGTTTGAATAAGTGGTAAATAAGTTATAAATAATCGCGATAAACTTACAGTAGCGAATTGTAGCAACCTCAGAAATAGTGGTCAGTTTCGCTGGTCCTGCCAACCGAAACGGGAGCCTCGCCACGATATTCTTCTCGTTATCCAAGGTAAAGATAAAAACTCTGTTGAAGCCCCCTTCAATTTTTCGACAAGCCTTTATTTCACTTGCTTCGGGGCATAGCTCAATAACCTTCTGGCAAAGAGCAACAAAGCTGAATTGGATGGAGCGCGAATCAGTCTCCAGTTTATCACGCCGCAACCACCGACCGCTCGTGTAGGTATAGGGTCTGATTTCTAGAGTTATATTAGCATGAATAATCAAGGTACGACGACAGCAGATGGCTCACCCAGTTCTAACTCGGTATTCATCGCACTCGCTGTCCAAATTGTTGCGCCGCTGGCTGACTGGAGACGAGAAGTTAAAGTTGACGGGAAAAGGGGTAGAGATAAAGGGCAGCCAGGTCGACTTCTTAGCGCCCAAAACAAAGAATTCCTCAAAGTTGGGAGCATCTGGTTCAATATTAGAAGACATTTGTCAAGAAATTTAACTGGGGGCGGTAGAAAAGAAAGATCTCCTCCAGCTTCTTCCACGGTTAAAAAGCAACCGTGTTCCAGGGCGGTGTCAGGTCACCGCGAACGTCATAAAATGCAGCTCCACACATTACGGATAGTCACTTTACTATTGGAGGGTTTCTGTAACAACTACGTGCTTGATTGTCTAATAATAGATAGATTTGATACGGTTTCCCCGTTAGTGCGCATTGGGGACAAGATATCTAGCACAACTCCTCCACATAATTGCAACAGGGTTGATCTATGCCATAATCAAAGGACCTCCGCATGAGTTAGCTGCATGATATAACTAATATGCTCAGATGTTTGTGCCAACCTTATCACGCTCATCCGAGGTTCTTCTTGCCTTTCTCTTCAAGATCACGTAGTACCCTCTCGTACTCTGCTTGTNCGCTCATCCGAGGTTCTTCTTGCCTTTCTCTTCAAGATCACGTAGTACCCTCTCGTACTCTGCTTGTTTGTCCTCAGCAGCGGTATCGAATACCGAGGTTGCGAGCTTTGCGTGTGTTGTGTTTCTCTTGACCCAGTCCTTCAGGACAGGACTTTTGGCCTGCGAATTAACTTGTAAAACAACATTCAATTTCTTTGAGCCTGGGTCGTAATGGCCGGCGTCGATGCGAAGCTGAAAATCGGCGTCCTTGGTTCTGGAAGGAATCAGGCGGCTGCCTTCCACCGCGGCGCTAGAAAATTTGGAGGGTGCATTCTTGAGAGACTGCGCTTTTTGAACAAACGATCCCAAGACCTTCGACATTCCGGAATGAGGACTGGACGACGGTTCAAGGACAGTGTGAAATGAAAAGTGAAAGTGCGGCCCGAGATGAAGGCTGTCTAAGGCTGTGAGATGCAGGTGAGTGGGCAATTAAGAAGGAAGGTTCTCAAGCCCTCGACAGCTCTCGAGATATCTTATATATGCCAGGTTCAGTTTGCTTCCACTTCTAACGTTCATCCTTGTGATACATCCTTGCCGTAGTTTTCCAGCCGCTGAAGTGGGATTGTGCTTGGACCTCGAAATACCCCAGCACGAGGAGGCTGAGATTTTTTTTTTTTTTTTTTTTTTTTTGCTGGCGGCTACTCTTGAACCAATATTGGAGCAATCAGCTTGTTTCCCCTTTCTGTGGCTTTTTTCATATCAGCAAAATCATCCAAGCAGGGCAGGGGGGGGCGGCTTTGGCGAGGCGAGCCATTGCTGCCTGTGCTTTTGCAGGAATGAGTTTCATCTTCGCAGTTCTTCCCTATCTGACTGGTTCCGACAGCTCCAAAGTGCCCGGATTCCTCGCGCACGGTTAGCAAGCTCGTAGTTCACAGCTTGCGCTAATGCATGATTTAGAGTCTGTCACACCACTGTTTTTCTTCGAGGAGTCTCTACCTTCTCTAGATATAAGAATCGTCCAAGTTTAATCTGGTGATCGGCAAGCCAGAAAAACAGTTGAGGCTCGAAGATGCCTGAACGGCGAATGAACGAAATCGCTGGGTCTCCACACTAGCTGGTATTCGCTAGAACCAGAGCTACTCCACTCTCAAACCGGGTCAAAAAAAAGAAAAAAAAATAAAGAAAAAAAAGAAAAAAAGATAAAAAGAATAAAACAAAAGAAAGGCCGGACAGCCTTGGAGATCAAAGCATCTGCCTATGTACTGGAGTTCCTCGATACCAGCCAAAATGGGGGCTGTGCCCAGACTCCGCAATATCCCAGCAGGGGAAAAGGTGCCCCGCCTTTTTTTTCCGCACTGATACTCCGTTTCGAGGGTGCAACTGGCATGGTTAGAGTGGCGTCTATCATTGGCAGATGCTGCGGAGTTCTGGCGCGACAAGCCATCGCGGTCTGTGCTTTTGCAGGATCCTGCAGCGAAATACATTTTCAGATCGAGAACAAGGTCCGTGCATGTGGGCGCAGTGTGTAGCTTAGCTAGGTCGCACTGTGCGAGATATGGTCGAGCAAAGACCTACCAGATTATGCTTCTCACCTTCAATGGGAAGTTCAAATCCCCGCATCCAACACAGCGTTGGAAGTCAAAGCATCTGATTCCGGCTGAAGTGGGGTTGTGCTTGGATTATTCAAACTGCGCAATATGATTGGGAAGAAATGAAGATAGAGTTTGTGCCGGCGGCTAGGAAGCGATCTGATCCCAGATCGGCAAAACAGGAACAGAATTGAGGCTCGTAAGCTGCCTGAGCAGCCAATGATCTGAAATATTGGTCTCCGCACGACCAAACGGTCAGGTAACTCAGTAAGAGCCTCTTTGGCCGCATGCTTGAATCTGTCCACTTTGTGGTCAACCTTTTCAATTTTCCCACCCACAGCTTTACATCCGCGTTATCGCACTCGTTTCGATCGGCCAAGAACCGTTTTCGTAGGTAGTCACTAACCGTCGGCTCCCGTACGGCCCCGTAGCTAGTTGGTATTTCGGGTTGCGGTACACCAGTTACTGAACCTGTGCTTCGTTGTGACCTGGTATAACCAGATCTTGGTGGGTTGTCTGCGTGACGAGCGGGATATGTTTGGGTTTTGTTCGATCTTATCCATGATGATACTGCGCTAAATTGGCGTTGCGAGTTATGTCAGGATCGTAGTTAGTGCGGCCAACTACTACACGACTTTAGTAGCTGTAGAGTCGTTCGGACGAGCGGAGCTAGCAAAGGTCGACGAACTTAATTTCGCTAATGGTTGTTACCTCGCCACAGGTTTGCCAACAGCGCCAGGCAAAAAGCCCGATGCCTGTTGGTGCTTAATCAAAGAAGCTTTGACGAAAGGCATCCGGTGTACTCAACGGCATCTGACGGCCCACAGCGAATCCTTTGCTCAAATCCAATCGGGAGACACTGTGTGTACATGGCAAATTTATCCGAGTCGAAAGAATAGAGTTGTCCCTGGTGCTGCCGCTCTACGTGACGCAACTGCACTGATCATCGATAATATAATAATGATGTTTCACTTGTTCATTGAAGCGAACACGACGTTGCTTCCAGGATGGGTGTGAGCTAGAGAGCGCTACCACTTTCCATTCTCGTCATTTTAAGGTCGCGACACCGAAAACAATGTCAATGGAAACGGCTTGAATAACCTATGATGATGTTATACTGTTGAGTAGGTGGTGACTGCCTCAATAATTACCCTGCAAGTGATGGATTGCTGAGACTTTGGTCGTTCACGACGCTCAATTTAACCCAGCCACACTGTTGCTTACAAACTGGCACCAGCCACTGGCCCTTGCTCCGATATGTTCAGCCCCAGCATTTTGAATCTCATTGGTGGCCTGGATCAACTGACAACCAAGACCGTTCTCCTGAAGGTAGGTATTGATACTCTCGAGAGGCGGTTCGGTCATATTGTAGTTTAGTGCTCTGTTCTTACCTAGCGAGTTAACTCGGTACTCCCTCAAGGCGTGTATGTCCGCTCCAATTTGGATCGCGTGGTCGCGTATGGTGGGTGGCTGGATGCCCAGCTTGTCGCAATATGGCTTCCTGACATGCTTTCTTGGTACTGTGCGATACCTTGAAAGCTGACGACTAAGCTGGGATTTTGTCTGACCAAAATATATCAGTGGTGGTGGAAAAATCTCAAAAATTAGGTACCGACGGTAGGTGGCGGTTTTCTCAGGGACAGCTGGGACGGTGAGTGCTGACGTAACCAAACAAATAATGGAAGAGGGATGATTGTCACATGATGGTCCTGGTGACTTGACACCCCAGTCCGCTTCCCATTTCTCCTGTCTTCCTCTCCTTTGCCCTGCACTTTCCCGGCCTCACGCCCATTGATTCCGATGAACCATCCATTACCCCGGAAACCTCCCATTTCCATGTATTTCTCCTGCCCACAAGCCTGCAACCATAGTGCGCGACACTGCAGCGCAGCACATTGACCATGGCAAACTCATCCCTATAAACAATGATCGGGAAAGGCCCTCTGCGCACAATCACACAGGTGCATCTTCTGTTAGGGTGCTCAGCGGGCCTCACAAAGACAACGTTATCTGTCCATCCAGTGAAGGTTCGTACAGTCCACCACGGTCTTGCTGCTCACGTCTTGCCGCCCGAGACACCTGCTTATCAGTAATCTTATCCATTCAGATACGATCACCGGGCTCGAAAATGGCCATGACAAGGCTAGCATTATCGACGACGATAACAGCGACGACTTTGAACCACCCCATCCCGATGAATTATTCTCATTGATACGGAACAAGAGCGAGGGTGGGAGCTGTGAAGCTTCAGTGGCCCTCCGAAGTGTGTATAACAGCTCTGGTCTCGACGGAACAAGTTCAACTACATCTGTGGATAACGGGTCAGACCTCGACGAAACAAGTTCAACCACATCCGAAGTTCGTGGGATAGGCCTATCCTGCGAAAGGCACCCCGGTGGTGCCAACGATGACATCGCCACCGCGAAGCATCTCTCTGATGAAAGCATGGGTAGCTTATTCGATACTTTGGGATCCAAGGGCCTGGTTTCTGCCTGCTTGGTTAGCGAATCACAGACCGCGTTCTCTGTATGCAGCGCCCCCAAGCCTGTGACTGAAGCTACTGTGTGTAGCCCATCTGTCTCTCGGTCAAAGCATCACAACAGAAAGAGGCCCACGCGCGCCTTGTTGGAGCACGTCGAACTTGCCGCAGGCAGGGGCGCCCGAACAAGGGCAAGGACCAGAGCAGAAGCATCTCGTTCCTTCCCAAGCCGCCAACGGCCCCGTCCTTATTCAAATTCCAAAGACGAGTTTCTCCGTTAATTGATGCACAGAAAGCTTTCTTGGGAAGGGATTGAGAAGGAATTCGGTCAGAGATTTGCTGGCAGGGATCGGAAATCACTCTAAGGGCGCTGTTCGAGAAATCTGAAGTTTGAAGCCCGGCCAGCGACATGTTCGAAATCCAAAGGCAAATAACATCACATTTTTGTTTCTTGCTCTGGACATCTCATCTTTTTCCACCTGTTCTCGGGGTCCGCTGGAGTACTCTGCGTGTTAAATCTGTTTCGGCTCTCAACCCAGCATATTTTCACTTTGGCGTCTGGCATCAGTCCACTGCTCTCAATCACCTCATCATATCCGGGAAACGGAGGCTGCACGCATTAGGCAAAAAGTTGTATTTTTGTTCCAGCTATCGAATGTCCATTATTCTTCCCATACGACCGTTTCTGTTTCCGAATGTGCTAGCTGTTCAATCAACTCCGCCTTCGTATTGCTCTAGCCGTATAAAACCTTTGTAAGGCAGGCCACATCTGGCCCAGTAATTGCCTTAGGCTCCTCGTTAATTAAAGCAACCTTATCTGTAGAGAACAGCAATGGAAACGGCGGGTTGTCAGAGACTTGCACACTCGGTAGTAGGGCGGTCCTTCCTTTTCAAGATCAAGGAATCTTGCGTCTCCGGCTCCAAACATAACCAACAATTGCACCAATTGTCATCACCAGTGTAGTCCCAGAGCGTGGGACTCCCAGCCACTGGAATGGATTAACAAAACGAAAAAGTGATATAAAGTTTCTGAACAGCCCGGGCTGCTTGACAAGGTCGTGCTCGACCTGCACGGAATCCAGTTCTTTCCATAAGTCGTGCGCACTGGCGAATGCACCCTTCGTCCAACATCGTTCAATTATCGGACCAAGCCAAAGACCCTCAGTACTGGGAAGATCCTCCCTCTGTGGCCATGTACCACTGCTAAGATCTAACGGAAGATCCTTAAATATATCAAATTCACATTTCTCGCCAACCTCCACCTCATACATCACAGCTCCCAACTGCCCAATATCTGTATGTATGGAGTATCCGGCCGAATCAGCCGTCTCCATATGGGTGTCAAGAGGCATTAGCATGGACTCCGTAAAATCACATATTTTGACTTTGAAGTCGGCATCAAGGAGGAAGTTGCGGGTAGCAATATCTGCCACAATAATTCGCCGGTCATGAATTTGTGAAAGTGAATGAGCCATTGAACGGAACCAGGACAGCTGAAGCGTCTTAGATGGCTTATTTTGACTCAGGTAGGAACGTAGATCACCATTTTACATTAGGCGGAGTTAAGTGGCCGTCACTGAGCAACCAAGGAAGGGGACAACACCGTCACAGCTATCTAAGCGTTGATAGATAGCTTGCTCATGCTGCAGTGATTCTATGTTTGCTTCCACTTCTTCGTCACTGCTTGTGCTCCACCTGAGAGGTAGCTTAACGGCAAGCTGCCCTTGACGGACAACCAACCCAGTTCTTCCAATTCCAAGAATTTGATCCGGGGAAAAAGAACTAATGAGTTCGACATGGTGGGAGGGAGTCATTTAGTGCGAGTAACCTTGTGAAAGAAGGAAGAATATATTGAGGTAGAAATGTATTTAAGTGCTTAATCTAAACGAGAGGACGAGCACTTTGCAAGAGCATGCATACGGCACTGCTTAAAGAAAGGGGTAGAGGAAACACGTGATTTGTGAGACGGCGCAGACTCCTCAACATGGGGCACGGACCCACTAGGCCGCAGCCTTGACCGCCGTAGACGAGCTCTCCATGCCCCCACTGCTTGCTGTGGGTTCCTCGTCATCCTTCTTTGGAGGCGGACTTATTTTGCGTCGATGCTTTGGGCAGTCCCCGCGCTTGGTTGAACTTCCTTGGCTAGTTGGAACTGGGTTTGGACAATTCCAACCTCTCGCATGGGCGTCTTTGCACGGTTCCACATAGTCCCTATCCGGGTCGTGTGTGGTACAGCCTCCTTTTCCCTTTCCAGAGCATAGGGGGTAGCTAACTGGGGTCTTGTGTCTTTGGTAGCACATTATCGATGGCCCTGAGGAAAATATGCGCTGTCAGCTTTCGAACAAGATTCTCTGGTGGCAGAACTAACCGAGTCAACAGAATGGAGGCTGTTATGAGAGGACGGATCCAACAAAGTCTGATTTCAAGTGATTGCGGGAACGCACGATTTACTAAGTAGGATAGAACCAACTCTGGCGAGATCTTATATATATAGCTGGCGCATTCTGTTCATCGCTAAACGACAAATTACGGGGTAAGCATCTGCAATGCCCGTGTTGCCCTTTTTGACGTACTGTGCAACCCCATGTATGTGCCATCCAAATGGCTCTCAACCGCCACAAACGTGAATCGTGATCAGTCACAACCAATTCTTGAAAGCTAATCGCATAATCGCCTCGGCAAGTCGTCCCCGAGCGGGGCAAAATATCCACCAGACTTTGATTGGAGAAAGTATTTTCCTTTGAGAATCAAGTGTGTCTGCAATGTTGGATACAGTCAGCCAGTGGTGGGGCTCCTAGCGCTGCTGAAGCGCCACGTATGTTTTGTGAACCATATTTAACCAGCTTCCACCTTCTTCAACCCCCATTAACTCGGTTATCCTGATTCTAACCCGCTCTAACCTGCATCGTTCACTTCCAAAGCTATTCACTTTTTGAACCATCATTACCACGCGAACATGGTGCGACGATCCAGAAAACTTTGCACTCCCGAGATTATACCCCTTCTTGAATCGCAAAGAAAGCTATTCAGTGGGACGAAGGACGATCTTCTTGATTTACAGAAGGAGCAGCTTGCTCATTGTCTTCAGCTATGGCTAGTTTCCGATTCAGCTTCACGGCATGCGGCAAGGAAGAAGGCTCGAAGTTTTCTGTCTTCTGTTTATAATGACAGCGCTCTGGGTGCCGATGTCTTTTTGCTATGTGCCCTTGGAGTCAGTGTCACTCAACTGGGAACAGTGAACTCTATCGAAGCGGTATATGAGATAAGAAAATGGTGGAAGCAGGTTGAACATCCCGTTGGTCTGACAGAAACGTCAAGGGAATATGTTTTAGAACACAGCTCCATATTTGCGATCTTGGAAAGGTACGCCGAAAGAGCTGAAATGGAGAATGACTGTGCTTACACATTCCCAGGTCAAAGCCAAAACCTCCACAGGTGTTGGAGCACATTTCGCGGACAACTCAAGCGCAGGGTGAGGAACTGAGAGATAAACAACGCCAAACCAACGGTAAATGTCTTTTCTTGACCAAGTCATTAAAATTCCGGAACTTAACGCTTCTATATCCAGAGTACACATTTGATCCCCAAGTTGTAGGAGCCGTGACATGGCCTAGTGAGGGTCAGTACTTTCCCTTCTCGTTTACGAGACGCGATATGATCGACAAACTCCCTGAACAAATCCGAATCGGTGTGAAGAACAGCAGATTGTGGAGAGCAGAGCAAAGAAGAGGCGGCCTATCGGTCACAAATTGCTTGTCTCTATATCTTCCAGAGAAGCACGATCAAGATACTTTTCTGGTTGTTAGGATGGGCTATGATGATGGATTCAATCTTTCCAACATTCTTGAACTTGGAGACCCAAGCGGCTTGGGGGCTGGCGAAAGTGAGCATTGATGCAGGCTAGTCTTGCCTTTTCTCAAACTTCACTCGTGCGAGGAGTATGTAGCACACATCGCCAGCAGACAAATTTCTCGTCACCACCCCGTCTTTCAGCCCGAGACTTTCGACAAGGTTTCCTTCTCCATTGATGATATTGCAGGACTGGCCTTCGAACGTCATAACCATATTTTCCTTTATCTCAAGTCGCTTGTTTGATATTCTCTCCCATTCTCCGCTCAGCGCTTTATCTCCGACTGCTTCGGCCATGGCGGCGACGTCTAACGCGAAATTGTGGGCAGGAGATCCGGTGGAATGATTTGGCAAGTTCTCCCGAGGAGTTGCGTAGGCAAGAAGGTACGGCGAGCGGAATCTGGCGACTCTAAGAGTTAAGACCGGTGACTCAACTTTTGGCTGGAGACGACCCAGGAAAAAAAAAGAGAAGAAAAACAAGCACAAAACGCACAGTGATTTAGAGGCGGTTTAGATAATAACGGAAATTCTTCAAGGACACTTCGCTTGGAGAAAGATCCATCGGGTTTCACAGTCGTTAAAGATGGCGACGGTGGTGGAGTGTCTTTTTCAGATGATATTGCCATCGGTGCCCAAAAGGATGGTCCAACATCTGCGCGGGGCTGATGAAACCGGACCCCACCTTGCGCAACTCGCACCAACCAGAGCATCAACCAGAGCATCAGCCAAACATTCATCTTCCACCTAAAATTGATTCATCCGTCCACTTTTTCTTGATAATGAGCCAGTGTCAGTCTATCTCTTCCCGCAGTGCCAACCTTTTCTTCACGAATTTGAACCAGATGCCTGCGTGTACGTGACTAATTCAAATATGGGGCAACACGGCCAAGCGCACGTGGATGACGTAACAGTTGAGACCGCAAAAGAACCATGTAGAACCATTTTGAACCCCTTTAATCGACTGGCAACCAAAGACAACCCTCGATCCAAAGAGACCTTGAGATCTCTCCTAGAGACTGGCCCATGGACAACTCCGTGCTTTTGATTGACAAATAATGTCTTATTATTATCACTCTCATTGGCTGGATCGCGTTGTGGGATATAAACACGATATACTATTATGACTTCAAGGGACGCCAATTGCGAAGGCCCTCACAATGCAACATGCTCGAGTCATCCCCCGTCGCGCATCTCGCGGCAGAGTGTTACCCAGATCATGTCCCGCAGGTCCAGACCACGACCGTGCATCCTGAAGCATGCTAGTTTACATTTCTACTAGTCGAAAAGGACGGGAGAGGGATGAGATCGCGATGAAAGGCGTAATCAAGAACCAACAATCTCGTTCCGGGGCAGATATAAAACGGCTCATGTTTCCCTCATCTCTCGCTGTTATTGACACCAAACATTTCATTCAAGATCGTACCAATCTGTTCCACGATAGCTTATCACCAGTTACCAGCGACTTGTCCAATATGGTCGCTAATCACCAAGACCTCAATGCTTCCCCTTCGGACCCGCAGGCCGTTGAACAGGCCGTTGAGAAGAAACCTTGGCCCACTATCGGTGTTCAAGAGCTGGAGCCGGTCGTGGCTGACTTGGTGAAGAAAGCCTTGTCCAACCCGGCTACATGGCCCGGTGGGCTGCCAACCACTCCGGTCTATGCATTCGGACCATCCACGCCGCCGCTTGATACCGACGAACTGGAGAAGCAGTTAGTAGACGTCGTTGAGACCAGCTGTCAGTCTGACTGTACCAACTTTGACTCCCTTGGCACTTTCGACGCTGGAGAGGTCAACCCCGAAAATCTCATGGTGGAAAAGCAGCATAGTCCAAATTCTCGGTCTGAGGAGCCGGTTACAATGGGTCAGTTGAAATGCCTGCTCCAAGCTGTGCTGGAACACAAACCTCAATTGACTTCGGATATTGCGGAAAGTGATCTGGTCGACAACCAGCAGAAAGAGGAAAGAGTTGGAGCCTCCATACCAGACTACAAAATCATCCTTGAAAAGTACAGTTTCTCCACTCCAAGATTGTGTTTCAAGTTCACTGACGGGCAATAGGTGGCAAAGACTGATCGACGAAGGGCATTCTTCAGTTGGACCAGTTGTGGCAACTGAGCCTGCCCAGCTCGGCTGTGCTGGTAATGAACAGGAAGAGAGCGTTCAAGCGGCAGATGAAATTAATCTCAAGAGTCCAATCTGTACTACCCCGGAAGATTTCAAATCGTTCGAAAAGTGGGTCTCGACACCCCAATTGAAGACGGTCGTGGAAATGTAAGCCTCAAACCCCTCCTCCCATCACTTTCCAGCAACTAGCTGACGCCGATATAGCTGGGACAAAGGCGCGAGCAGATACAAAATCGGAGAGCCAGTGGAGACCAGCAGTAGTCTGGACGACTATGTTGAATATGCATTCGTTGTTCGCGAACGTGTTGGTACGTAATATTTTTTCCCGCAATCCGAAGCAATACTAACGGTACGATTAGAACGAAATTCTGAGAAAGTCACGACTTACATAGACATCAAATCTGAAGGCCTGCGCGACGTCCTGCGGGTAGTACTGCACGACATCAAAGCCATTAGCCTGATGGAGGAAAAACCATCGGTAACTAAGAAAAGCGTATCATATCTGAGAAGATTGCTGACCGGGTCTAGATCGAGCGAAACATCCTTTTTCATTTCCTCCCGGAGCTCGACAAATACGCGGAGAATATGAACAACTCAGACTGCGCGTTCCCGCGGCAGTGCCTCCGCTTGCTCGTCGACCACCTCAAGCAAGCGTTTTCCTCCATCTCGCAGCGTGTCGAGTCAATGCTGGAGCACGGCCACATTACTTATGACCTTCTCTGGGCGCTTTTCAAACCGGGTTCCCATGTTTTCACGACATGCTTCGGCACAAAAGAGCCGCGATGTGTTATATTTGACGCAGGGGAAGAGATAACACAAGATGGCGAGACGTGGTTTAATCTCGAATGCCGATTCCTTGATTATGACGGAGTCAAGTTCGGCGAGGCCGGAGTCTTTCCGCGTGTGCCAAAGTTCCGGGGGTCAAAGCCAATCGAGACCCTTGAGGCCTTCCCTCTCTGCTACCATCCAAGGCACCAGCAAGTCCGAAAAGACTTGGTCGAGAGAGGCCAAAAGTTTCGGGATTTGGCCGGCTCGCACATCCGGCACTGCAATGGCAGCGCATTCTTTATGAACAAAGGAAAGGCAATCAGAGTCAACATTAACAGTCGAGTGGGAGTGGACGCCGCATTTTTCCATGATATGCAGCCAAACTACTCCCGACCGTCACTCCGCGACCTAGGGGCCAAGGGCAAGAATGGAATTGCGGTAATTAACCTAGGTGCGATGCTCATGGAGGACCGCGAGCGGCAGAAGGAGAGAATGCAAGGAGACGGCATGGAGGCGCAAAAGTTGTGCGAAGCCAATTTCTTGGTCGCCAGCCCAACTGTCTGTTGTTTCAGTTTCAAGGAGAAAATGTTCTGTATGTGAAAGAAGTGACAGTATCTTGGTGCCCGACTAATGTGGCTCCAGTGGAATGCGCAGTCAGTGCTCTTGGGAACGTGGATTGGTCCCCCGAATCGCTCGACTGTCTGCAGATCCCTTCAGAGACAAAGACGCTCCTCTTGTCAATGGCGAAAACCCGTCTGGGACTGATACCCACCGTACCGTTCGACGACGTAATTGATGGGAAAGGTCAAGGACTCAGCATCCTTCTGGAGTATGTCGGCAAATTTTCTATTACTATGTCGAGGTTTCCACTCTAACCCGTGCTAGTGGCCCACCTGGCGTCGGAAAGACGTTCACGGTTGAAGCAACCTCAGAATATTTCAAGCTGCCTCTCTATTCGGTAGGAACCCGTCGCGGCGCTTGCTGATTGTGGCCTCTCTAACTTTCCCAGATATCTGCTGGCGAACTCGTCGTCGACCACGGAGATTCCAATGCACTTGAGCAACAACTTGAAACAATATTCAAGATTGCGAAACACTTTAAAGCCGTGCTTCTCTTGGATGAAGCAGATGCGTTCATGGAGCAGCGTACATCTTACCACGGTACTCACAATCGCCTGGTGACCGTTTTCCTCCGAAAGCTAGAATATTATCAAGGAATTCTTTTCCTAACTTCGAATCGCGGTATCCAGTTTGACGAGGCGATCCTTAGTCGGATTCATTTAACCATCAAGTACAAAGACTTGAGCAGGGAATTTCGCAAGGGTCTGTGGTCAACTTTTCTGACTAAGGCACGTACAGTTCAAGGACCTGCTATGATCGAAGAGCACGACCTCCAACGACTGGAGTCTTTAGCTCTCAATGGACGAGAGGTGGGTTCTGAAGCGCTGCTTTGCACTTCTCACAGACTGACTAGCATGAACCAGATCAAAAACATCACAGCAGTCGCACATGCTCTCGCTGAGGCGGGTGCTAGCCAGGTTAGCTATAAATACCTGGAGTTAGCCGCGGAATCGAATCAGAAATTTTCGAAGGAGTTCGGCAGACAGGAGATGTATATCTAGCAGCATACCTAGGAAAGTCATGTGGACAATAATCTCGTTCCTCGCTGTTGTCGACCGATGCGGCGCTTGGTGCGATATGTCCCTTAGTACATGATAGTTTATGATATCAGTCCTGAAGCTTCATATTTGAATCAACGTTTTCACATAACTCATGGGATTATACAATAGTCAAGTTTGAGAGCCGGAATTGGACGATCCATTCGTATCTAAGATTCTCCATAGGCACTGTGTTGCATTTGACCATCTCTTCCCACAATTACATCGGTCGTAGTCCTGCCCAGAGGATCTCCACGGAAATTTCATGCGGTGGCTTATATTCAACGGCGAGGAGGAGGGATTTGGTGCTGCCGCCCACGCGGCGAATGCAAAATTGGTCGGGCCGCGGACGGCGTGAAATGGGAGGATGATTTGCGTCTAATTCAGACTGGCTTTCGACCAACGCATTAGTGTGGTTGTCGAACCAAATACCATCACCAAGCATAAATTCCTGTCGAGCAGCCGGAATCTTGCACAGCTTCCAAATAATATCGCGCACATGATCTTCCACAGCGATCCGTCCACAAGTCTCGATGCCTTGTTCACTGCTGATAGGCCGAAGAGCGAAACGCCTAGCAAACTCTTCAAGTGTAATCACGGGAGGGAAGTGTTGTGCTCGGGATTCATCGTGCCTGCCCTGTCGTAGATGGCTTGCTATTATGGACACAATTCGTTTAAGGACGCAGTCGTGTCGGGCAATGTTTGCCCTTAGGGAGGGGTATCGTCCCGGTGGTCGAGCGAAACGGGGTGGCGACTTTCAAAGGTCGGGAGAGTAGGTTGTGGCAGGGGCGTAGGAATTCCAGGAAAGTTGTCTGACTGGTGCGTTCTTCAAATGGTTTCGTTGTGATTCGGCCTGCTCCCGCCTCTCTTTCTTGCGTCGTCCTTCATCTTCTGCGAGCTTCCTCCGCTCTTCTTCCTGCCTCAGCCTCTACTCTGCCTGCAGAAAGAGACTTTTGTAGTCTGGGGAGCTGCTGTCGTGCCATCAACTGTTGGAAAGGGGCCCTTTCGTGACAACGACTGACAAATGCGGATGGGTGCTCTCTAAGTGAGGTCGGCTGATCACGGCTCCCGGGGCAGGTGTTTTTCCGGGGAATAGTTGAATAATCTCCACTCATGGAGGGCTTGATGATTATTTCGCCAAAAACCGTCTTGTTCAGAAGCGAAGATACTCTTTCTTCCTCTTCACAGTGCTTTGCCGCTTCTCGGAGCTCCTGTTGCTCCTCAAGCTGAGGTGTGGCTCGGCGATTGTTTCTTCCATCCCTTAATAGTAATCAGCAGGTGATTGACAAAAGCGAAGTCCCAGCCGTCCAGAAGGCAACCATGCAGATTGTGTCTTAGTCAAGCGGTTGCAGCTTCGACCTTATGTACATAAATTTGAGAGAAAATACATCTCAAATCAATTAAATAGAGAAGAGAAAATAAAAAAAAAACTGATTGAGCCCATTGGGCGTAGGCGTGATCGACACCTCCCATCCTTGACCGCCTACTGATGTTGCGGCAATTTCCTACGAGGCGACCGGAGTTGGGACTCGGACTGAGAGAGCCATTGCGGCTCGGTAGTCGTCAACTGGTCTCGAGGACAGCTTTCTGTCGATTCCAGCTCTTTACCGAGGGCTTTTGGGTTCCTCCGGATTTAGAGTTCTAATAAGAGTTCTCCCGTGTGTCTCACCCTTCAAGGTCCCGTGCAATCGATCCGATCGTCTCATCGTCAATGTTGATCTCCCCCACCTGCGTGAAGTTGGCGACAGAATCCTCTCTAATCCGCCCACGGGATGTCTGTCGTTCCCGGTCGTCTTTCAGTACATCTCCTGCTCTCCTTATGGTCCCAAGTCACCGGAAACATCGGATCTTGCTCGCTGGTCCGGGCAAGAGAAGAAAAGGCATGCGATCTATACTGCATCAGATTAAGAGTACTTGTTTGATTTGGACATTTAGTGACTTCCCGTTTCCAGCCCTGATCTAATACCAGCTAAAAGATAAAGAGGCTGAGTGAACACGGACATAAAAATACATCGAAGAGGATGACAGTGGTAATGAGAAAGTTGGATCTAACCGCAGACCAAGAAAACACACGAACGGCAGAAGACTAATTGTGGGGCGAGAGCCTCAGCTTAGCATTTGACATGTATTCCCCAACGGCAGATACTACCATCAAAGCAGCCGCAGCCTTTCCAAGTCGGATCCGTATGAAAGGGAGTAGAAAGTGAAGGGCAGGCCCAGGAGAAACGCACCGCCGATACAGCAAGTAGTTTTCGTTAGAATCCATCAGATAGTTGAATTCCTCGAGCGCTGGTAGTCGCCTCCCTCTTGACTGGATGCCCAGAAGGATTGCTGTCAACGAGTAAAAGTTACTCAGACGATAAAGTTCCTGGAAAGAATATTAACAGAGGCAATAGTAAAGGCATGACGACTTCAAATTCACCTGAATCAATTCGACCAACTTTGAATTAAAGCCGGCAGTTGAACATTCTTCTGATTCACAGGAAAGGTTGTTCCAACGGGTATTAAGAGCCGACAGTACATCGCCGCTGCCCTTCATAAGACTGTCAACAGTAAGTCCTTGAAAGAGACAGAGATCTGCGTTCGAAAGCTCGATTGCCAGTGCCTCAGGTTTCATGTGGTACAATTGGTCGAGAAAGTCAGTCCGAGTGTCAAACTCCTGCAACCAGACGCGCTCAGGACTACTATACCAGCGTCTAAAGCGTACTGCTAAGGCGTCGAGTTTCATGTCCTGAATTGGGCTGTTTCTGGAAAGAACTCTTTTGAGCGGATCCGTAATGAACTGAAAGTTAATACTGTATTCGACCCATTTCTGTCTCATAACGCAGTTGCAGGCATGCTCAACTGCGTGGAATAGAAAAGGGTCTGCCTCTTTCTCTAAGACCTTGGGGCCGTAAGTATAAGCAATAGACGGACGGGTGAGGAATGGAATCTAAACTCACTTTCTTCACATCCAAGTACTTTCCATATTCTTCCGCATGTCTTCTGAGATAGTAGTAAAGCGTTGCACTTAGACAATCATACTTCGACTCGAGGAATCTCGCGGCACCTGAAGAATCTGTTGCTTCCTCCACCCAGTCCTTGAATTGAACATAGTGGAAGTATCCCTCACTCTCGGAGATAAGATGCAATGCGACCTTTTCGGCGCTAGAATCTTGTGCATCACGCGGTTTCCAATTCCAAGTGAGCAGCTTCGTCACCTCCGGTATCTCTGGTGAAGTTCCATCTTTGCCTGCTGCGAAGGCAATATCCTGGTTGAGAGACACCTTACCACTAAAGACACTAGACCCTTGGCTTGTCTTGCGCCCTTGTTGATTTGCTGACAGGTCGTGGTCTCTTGATTCCGTGACGCCCAAACTAAGATCCGGGTTCACGACGTCAACAAGAGTATCCTGAGAGGATGTATTATCAGAAGCCAGACTCTCAACGCCATTCACATAATGAACGGGGGTTTTCTGTCCACAGACCTCTGTCAGTATATTAGTCAACTCAAAACCAGCTTATCCAAGATATTCCGTACTCACAGGGCTGACTTTGGGATAGAAGCGCATCTCATCGATGAAGTTAGTCAGGAGGCCGGAGCTCCGTCTCGTCTTGCTCCTCTCTTCAGCCGCTCGGTCGTAGTAATGCACTTGACAATCGAACTCATCACCCTGCTCACAGCATACGTCAGGATATTTTGATAACACGAATGTGAGCGGTGGAGGAATGCAATCGTGCCTTATCGTGACCCGCCTGATGCTCAATATCCAATGTTGATGAGGTGCCACGAATGAGTTCTAGGCAGAAGGAAAAGGTACCGCATAGAATACTCCAGCACTGCCTCAGATGAAATAAGATGCCAAGCATGGCTGAAAGGAACGTGCAGGAGAAGGCCTGAATAAAGTTGAGTAGATAATGAATAGAAAGCAACGAAGCTGGTCTGTGTTAACTTGCGGTGTGCAATCGGGAACAAGGCTGGTGGCTTTATAGCTCTGACGAGCACATTCGGCAGCGAGGAAGCGAGGAAGCGAGTCCCTGACGGTCTCAATCTCGTTCGAGACAAAGTAATGAGCTTGCTGATGAATAGGAAGTCATTCCTACTGGCTGATCATTTTGGTCCGTTCAGTTCAGTTCCGTTCAGTTCAGTTCCGTTCAGTTCAATTCCGTTCAGTTCAATTCCGTTCAGTTCCGTTCCGTTCAGTTCAGTTCCGTTCTGTTCGCTCTGTCCCGTATTCTAGCTTTTATTAACAAGTGCACGAACCATGGGTATCTGATCATTGGGTAACCTGGTCATTGTTTGTGAGATCGCCGCATTTCCATCTGAATTGCATAAGACTAGAGCGAGGGATGATCTAACTTGGGTGCTAGACCATCTAGCCGAAGTCAACTCATGGACTCGCTGTTGAGAATTTTGGTGACTGCTTGGATGAAAGGTTCTTGGGCCGCTGTTGATCATCTTCGACCAATTTTAACGACTGCATTGAAATGCCATCTTGGTAGGCGAGGGGTTGTCGCTTTTTTGTCAGGGTCGTCTTTCTGCCAAGTACGTACCCAAGACTGTTGCTTGACTTCGTCTTCCCTTGAGGCTCATTCAGTTATCAAGATGCATCCTCTGCACCTGCAACACGAAGCTCCTCCTTTTCCAAAGCCCCGGTAATCGGCAGTCCAATTTCAAAATTGTTCTGGGAAGACATGCAAGACGTCTCAGCCAGCTAGTCCCCTGTGGTATCAATATGTCGAGATTCGCTATTAAGATGCCGACAAGGCCCTTCAGGTAGGGTAAGTCTGACTCAGCCTTAAGAAACAGGAGAGATAGATCGATTGACCTACAATGATAGCAAGATACAAAGAAAGAGCCGGTCTCCCAGTTCTTTGCCTCTCCAGGTGCTGGATGTTTTGCTTCAACTAGGATTGTGTTCTTATGGCAACCACCAGCCATAGGAACAATTCTGACGGCCCTTTACGTCGTTCGAGCTGTGGAACATGGAACTTGCAATGAGCTACCTACGATCACCCGATACGAACGACAATGATCCCACCCGTGAATGCTTCCCATGCAACAATTGGGGTTACCGACATTTCAATCGAGGCTGCGCTGCGTGCTTCGGACAGAAAGGTCTAATAGACCGATGTCGAAAAATATTCACCTTCGACAAGGGAGCCGTTTGAACGTGAAAGATCTGGAAAGAAAGGTAGAGGCGGATATGTGGGAGCAAGGGTGGACTGCTTCGCAAAGCACGCCTTCCAAAACCATGGTCTTGCTACCCAATGTGTTTTGAGCCATCATAACTGCTGTCACATGATGAGGTGGGGTATCTGCCCCACGTCCTCTACGACCTCCGAACTTGTCGCAAGGAACGGTTTGGTTAGGTACGGACACTCGCAATCCACAAATAGCCGGGTCTATTCACTCTTAGTCGTCGCTCTCACAAAGCAATCATGGCTGCGAATGAACTCTACAGGAGGATATCTTTAGATACAGAAGGATACGAGGAGATCTTGGAGAAAGCAAAAGAGGTCTGACTACCACTGTGAACTCAAAGGCTCAAACACTGATATGTCAGCATCCAGCTAGACGCCAGATTCCACGGTTCAAACGTTGAAATCGATCATCGCTGGACCACGCACAACGCAAAACTGATAGAAGGCCACCCAACGGATCGTCTCATCGTCTTTCGTCCTCAAAAATCGAGTAAACTTCTCGGGTGCATTCGCGTTTACGAAGCTGAAACGACAGTTGGAAAAACCACAAAGTTATGGGACGTTTTTGAAGTGGAAGGGACATATATAGGCAAGATTCCTAAGGATTGTCCCTTCGAGGCGATGCTGGTGGAGGTGAAATTGATCACGCTGAATGATCATGCAAATTGAAAGGGGTAGTCGGAGTTGAATATCACGGGCAAGTCGAGTTTATCACCTTCTTGCAGCGCTTGAGTTCTAGGGATGGACAAAACGAGTGACGCGACCCGGTCCTCGGCCGGGACTGTGAGGATGGCTGAAAGTTTTGAGTCCTTGTGGATGTTGCAAAAGTGATGCAGAAGGTCCGGGGGTATGTTGAATGCTATTTGAAGAGGCCTGCTTTGTTCGGGGTGATATTCGAGTCTGTTGAACATACTTGTTGAGCTTCCAAGCTGTGATTGCACAGTATCATGTGCCAGTCCATGATCTATTTCTGTACTTTTATCTAGAATTCAGACACGTCAGTTGGTATTCTAAAAACTTGACCAGCAGTCCATACAGGGTGTTAGATGAGTTGTCGGCTCAGCTTCCATATCTTTGGTGGGTGCAGTTTCTGTATCTTGAGGGCCAGGAGGGCCATTCTTGCCGAGTGATTTCACTTGATTAGACGAGCCCCAAAACTTCGTGGCCGCCTCCTTGAGCAGCTTTGGGAAGGGCGTCCGCAGTGACCACACTTTCAGCTCATGGTAAAGTCAGTAATATTCAATATTTGGTAACCCTGTGATAGAGTATTCTAGTATGCAAAGAAAGCTCGTCACTGGTCCAGCAACTTCCTTGACCTTCAAGGCGAACCTCCGTGCGGTCATTCGAACAAACTGATTGGTTTTTGACTTGCCCGTGGGCTTAGTCAGCAATGTCTTCCAAGCGACAACCTGCCGCTTCTTGCTCGCGCTCAAGAAATCGAGCTCTTCGGAGCCTTCAAGATTGGAATTCTCTGAAGATTCTTCTGAGGCAAAGAACAGAATAAGTCCCTCGAGCCTTTGCAAAAGACTATGAGCATCACTAAGATCACTAAGAGTTTTCATGGTATAATGGATTAGAGACCAGAAACCGAGCAAAATGGGCGGGAACAGAACGGAATGGGAAGGAACAGAACGGAACGGGAAGGAACAGAACAGAACAGAAATAAACTGAACTGAACTGAACTGAACTGAACTGAATGAACAGGAGAAACAGGAGACTAAATACCCGAGTGGTCAATTAGCTACTTAAATTAGCTTGCTTACTCCTTAGTTGGCGATTCGCCACTGCCGGCAAAGTGGATTGGCTATGACCCCGACCTAGATTACGAAACCGACTCGAGCACATTGATGATTGGCGCACACGCACGTCGCTCGTTGTCATCGGCGCAAAGTCTTTGTTGGCGAGTTAGATAGTCAGCGCATCATTGTATTGAGGCGCCCGTAATGGCTGCCGATCATTGCACCACTGTATTTCCGTCGACCTACCTGCTCTGTAAGCTGCAGAATGGCCGGCATGCAAGGGAAGGCGCAACGGGTACATTTTCTCGTCCTAGTAGTATAAGGTACCAAATATCACAGTATGTATAAATATCGCCTTTTCCATCTAATAATGTTGGATGCACACTGGTCATACTGCAGAACTATGGAAGAAGCCATCGCTGTGATAAATCTTTTTATTCTCCTCTCAAATTTGTTGATTTATCATGCACATCGCCAGCAGACTTTGAATACAATCAACAGACACCGAAAATCCGTCATGGCCTCTGCTGTTTGGCCACCCAGCAAAAATTCTGCTCTCTCAGGCGGCTGGATTCGCATACCTGCCAAGCAGACACTCCGTGCTATGGTAGAAGCCTCACTGCGACCTCTTGAGGATGAAAACAATTGTCCGATTTCAAGTTCTTATGTGTCGTCTTGCACCCGATCTCGCTTTACGCAAAGACTAGACCCTGAGCTAGATACACTCCTTGACTCCCTCTCCTCAGATGAGGTAAAAGTCCTCAGGACTTTTGCTGTTGATGTTGATGGTTTGCATCATGGTCTCTCTAACCCAACTTCCAAGCTTGTACATGGCGTGTCTTCATGGTGCCCGTGGCGAGATAAGGCTATAAGGAGTGTGGCTTTATGGTATACCGACAGCATTCGGGATGATATCACTGAGATCATTGAAACTTTCGGGCAAAACTGTGAAGATCAAGATCCCAAGCAAATATTTATCAGAGCCCAGGTTGAAGCATATATAGCAAAGCGTTATGCAAGCAACATCGATTTCTTACTTTCTCAGCTAGAAATAGATATGGCAGTAGTGAGTGATTTTATCTATCTTATTCTCCGATGCTAACCATCATCTACTTAAGGTTCATCTCGCGCATCACGTCAACTATGAAATGATTTCAAAAGCCATGGTTAGTTAACTATCAACTTCCTGTGACTATTAACTAACGCAACCAAGGATAATATAAGGAGTAGGGTCGAGAAACTTATAGACAGAAAGTTTGAAGCACCCGAACTGCTTCTTCTACAAACCAATCGTCCACCCCTTGAGCCTTGGAAAACCGGGTCTGAACAGCTGGGGTCTGAGAAGCTGGGGTCTGGGAAGCTGGGATCTGAGAAGCTGGGGTCGGTTGCACTGTCAAGTAGTGTATAGAGGGAATTGCGCGAGACTTCTTTTCATGGAGATGGGTCATGAGATGGTGTGGTGAAACCACCACGTATGCATGTCCAATTTGCCGTGCTTCCTGTCGCTGCGTGACTAGTCTCTTGCAGTCCGCGTGCAACGTCACTTGGGGAGCTGTTGGGCTAATATTTGCCGGATGCACTTCTTGTAGCACCGTCGAGGTTGGCTGGTAGTGAACGGAAATATCCATATTCGAACTGCTGCGGCCATGTTAGCCGTCTGGAATTGTTTTATGGGGGCTTTTGGCAAAATGGGCAAGCGCCTAAGGTCGGTTTTGGGAAGGGCAGTGTTGATGGCGGAGTTGTTGAGGGTGGTGATGAAGACGGTGATGAAGCCACCGAGGCCTGCAACTGCCGGCCAGAGATGCTCAACCATATATGGCCTGGCCGCTTAAATCTTCACGAGATTCAGGGTAAATCTGACGTAGAGACTAATGGAGAAGGGTTAGCTAAGTATATGCCCTTACAGGACGTGTTCAGTAGCTCACCATGTTTTGTTGTTTTTTGGATGAAAATAGAAGAAGAGTGGAATCTACGAGAGGAAAAGAGGTGAAGGGGATATCTGACTGGGTACTTTAGAAAAGCATCACTCTCGCGTGGATGAGCAAAGGTTGACTCCGAAAGTTCTGCCACTTCACCTAACTTCAATTGTCAAGCGGTCGCGATGGGCGGCTTTCTCCGCGGGCACATACGGGCAGCGGCTTACTGATTGGAGTAGCGAGAATGTCCTTGATTTCCATGATTAGGGGAACCGGAAGAGCAACGCGCGAAAGCAAGCAGTCAGTCAACAACGCTGAACCCGCTGAGCCTGCTGAAACTAACTCTTCAGCGTGGTGCATTACTCCACCAAAATTAGCGGAGAGGGCAATTCTTGCAGACAGGGAGAAATTAATTCTCCAACTTTCTCCCACCTCAAGGTGGGAGCTTGAGGTGGGAGTCTAGTATCCAGAAAGTGGGCGATGGCTTTGACCCTGAAGGAGTGGGACCAATGAGCCAGTCACTGTGAAAGCACCATATGGGCCGTTCTTGCGGTTCAAGACTTGCGCTTTTTTGAGGGGCGTCAAGATCTTCCCAGCTCTGCCTGTGATTTGATGAACCCAATTGCTTCCAACAGATGTTGAACAGATTTGATGATTCTTTGCCAACCCCGCTTTTGGCTTTAATGGCATTCTAAGACTTCAGGAAAAACACCCTTCTTTCGCCCTTTTCCTTTTCTCTAAGATCTGTTGCGTCGAACACACAGGTACCACAAGAACACTTATGGTCGCCTGGCGCTAAGTGTAGCTAACTCAATCACCATGCCTCACCATGGGTCTCATTGGTCCCAACCCTGTCAGGGTCAAAGCTATCGCCCACTTTCTGAGAGACTTCGCCTTTCTCTTCCAAATTCTTCTTCCAACAAACTCGGGGGATTTTTAGATAGAACATATTACTTGGAAATCCAATTTGATTTTGTACAGAATAGATTCCGTACTGTACACAAAGCTATATATATTACCATCGATTTACAATAAAATAATGCTCACTTGATCATCCCGCAATCACGTAGATCGCCCTGGCAAACAGATATCTTGCCCAAACCCACTTTCCTCGTGGCCTGGAATGCGGCCAATGAATTTGATTTCCGACCGCAGGCATCTTTACGAGACATCTCGGCTTTCTCTATTCAAGGTTCATATTTCGCCGCCAGCTCTTGCCAGGTTACCCTTAATGGTACAGGGTAGTAAGCTGTCTAAACACCATTAGTAGAGCAAGGCAGCCCTGGGGATGATACTTACCAAGTCTTGTGGTGACGGATGCCATCGATCATCTGAGTTGAGCATGAAAATCTGCCCATTATTTCTCAGCCGAACCGTTAATGAGACATCCGCGTCACATTCTTGACAGAACTCAAATGCTTTGCGGAACAAGGTGTCTCCTCGTCGATTATATTGTTGACGCTTTGCCTTTTTTTTATTAGACATGCGGCGACGGATTCTTCTAGGAGTTACCAATTTCGCCATGAGAAACCGTTTAAAGTTCTTAATAATGAACTAGGCAGTAGAAGGTATGTATCTTTGATCTCTTAGTCCGGGGAAACCTGGGTCCTTATATATATTGTTATACTCACCCCAGAGGGTGAGCCGCTCACCCTTTGAAGGTGAGCAGAGCACCCCCGAAGGTGAGTGCTGGTTGATGAACTTCTTATATTAATATAATGTTGATTCTTTTTCTCACTTGAATAGTTATATTCTACAGGAACGAGATCCTTTATATTTATCTATCTGTTCCCAAACCATGCCATAAGGTTTAGCCTCCGAAATGCCTAACATCTTGAAAGACGGGGAGAAGGGGCAGTGTTCCACCTTTTAAGCGGGCGAGATCTGTGGTGAAACAGGTCTGCCAAGCTTCGATCTACCGACGGGGCGGACCGCGAGTTATTCCGTGATCCTGGGCGCTTCGTGCACGTGCGCGCCTACACGACTGAGTGAGATTGGTGAGTCGCTCACCTTGTTCGGGTGAGTAACTCACCCATGGGAACCTTGAATGCCCACAATTTGGCCTTCTGAGATCGGGGATTGGACACTCGACGCGTGACTTGAAACGCCGGTTCTGCCAAAATCTTGCTGCCTAGCTCAGGTCCCCATCCATGCCAAATACGGGCTGTCAATTGGTCGAACGTATTTCAAATATGAAGGCGTGACTTCTAGCAATTTCCATCTCCTATCTCCGTCTGAGACTGCGGAGTTGTATCAAAGCTCCCGTTGATCCACTGGCCTTCATGGGCCTCTCTGGGATCCATCACCCGGTCTAAACCCATCCTGCCTCTTGCCATCTAAAAGCAGACTGCCACCTCATTTTAGAGAACGAGGTAGAGTCTAAAAGTCGACACTATGTCATTTCGCTTAGGCACAAAGATTGCGGGTGGTCAAGGGGTCGGGAGAGGGTGCAGTTAGTTGGGGAGGAAGTGCACCTTTCGTAGTCCTGTTGGTAGAGTTTGCTTCCAAACTAGCTAAAATGCCCAGAGAACGCCTAGCACCTACAGTACAAAGCTCCGAAGTATGTATCCAGGGAACAAGGAGAGAGAAAAGACAGCCGAGCAAGGCTGACTTCCCAGGCAACGAGTAGCGAGCTTAGCTACTAAGTGGGTGAAGTTCTTCCGCCACTCCATTCCACCTAGCTTTAATTGCCAAACGCTCGAATCACATCGAGGATTTGTGTATTAGCTTTCCAATCCTAGCGTTGAGTTGTGAGGATTAAGCCCATAAGAATCCTGCTTGAGAGGCTTGATCTCCAATTCATCTGGGAGGGAGAAGCTAAGAATAAACTTTTTTTTCGACTTGTATAGCTCTGCTGTATGGTAACAAATTACTGAGAGGAAAGCATTCGTGCGTCAGATAACTGAGTTCGATCTATCCTCAACAACTGACTCGACGGAGCTGAAGTTTGGGCGAGCGACATGAATGAAGATTTAGCCAATCATCTTCATCACTAGTGTTCTAGACAAATCATTTCTGCGAAACCGCTGAAGTGCTGCAGAGGGAAAACGGAATGACCAAATATAGACTAGCTTCATTTTTTGAAGCCCTCGAACTGTAGTACATGGATTGGAACTTGTGTCTATGCCACGGATACCTCCCAAGAGAAGCAAGAATCAGGTCAGGAGCAAGCGAAAAGGCCACCGAGGCCTGGCAATAGTATCCCTACTCGGCGTGGGTCAGGCAACCGGAGATGATGGTGAACGCTCCCCGAGCTGAGGTACGATATCCTCAATTGTCTGATGGATTGGAGCGGGATAGGAATTTGCCTGAGGAGTTGAGTTAGATAGTATAGTAGACCGCAATATAATGGTGCGTACCAACCCAGGGAGCGCCTCTAACCACTCTTCCTGCGATGATGAATCGAAGATATATGTCTGCCCGGTTTTCCGGTTCCTAATTGCGACGACCACGTCGGATTCACACTCCAGGCTGAATTCCGCCGCTTTCTTGAAAAGGCTACTCTTACGTCGCTGACGTTGTTGTGATTTTGCTTGGCTGCTCTCTGAGCGACGCTTCTTGACCCAGGAAGATTTCTTAGCTGTTTTAGACATTTTGTGCATCACAACCATGGTACCGTACAGAATGCTTTTCTAGAGCCCCGGAAGTCGTGAGATCGAGGGCTCTTAAATATTCTTGCCTTGGGCTGAAGTTCTGATTAAGCGACAGGAGATGAAGGAGCTCTCGTTTGTCTGCTGAGGGCGCCTTTCTTCAGGGCACTTCAGCGCGGGAGGCCCTCTTCCATAACTTCCTGGACTATAAAGGATGTCTGCGTTGCTGTCCTCCTTCCCTTATTCATGCCTCCTCGTTCCCTTAACGGTCTCTCATTTTCGCAGAATGGACCCATTAGCTATTTATGCTATCACCGCTGGCGGTATTTTTGCCGTTCTTTTCTTATTCCGGACCCTTTCTCTCATCGCCGGCTGTCGACATTTGTTTTCTCTCATTGTCTCACAACATCTGACGCTACCCTTTATCATTCGGAGACATCGGTTCTTGGGTCCATGGACCAGAGCTGGTGTGGTTTCTCATTTATCATATGCTGCAATCAACATTTTCCTTGTCTTCTTCAGAAACAAATCATTGACTAGTGCTGGCCGCCGGGCTGGGGAGCTGGCTCTGGTGAACTTGATTTTCCCTTTATCAACAATTCACCTAGCCTACCTGGCGGACCTCCTTGGTATCAAATGGAACTCCTGCCGGAAGATCCATCGTGCGACTGGCTGGATGGCTGTTGCCCTGCTATCATTCCACATTATTATGGCAGTTCAGGGCCAGGACTTCACGTTTCCACTCCGCGAACAGCATAACCTTTTTACTATGCTTGTATGCCTATAAACTCCTGCCACTTCCGCTTGGACTGACCTTTACAGGCTGCGATCTCACTGGGTGCGCTTGCTCTGCATTCGATTCCATGGTTTCGTCAATGGTCATACGAGATCTTTCTTCGAGGACATCAAATCCTCGCCGGGCTTTTTGTCTACGGGACCTGGCAGCATCTTCCAGCGCGAAGCACTTCTCCGAAAATATATCTCTTTGTTGCCGTGGGGACTTTTGCGCTGACTTTGCTCTTAGAGCTAATAACCCTTCTATACCATAATGGTCTTTTCGCGGGCCGCGGTACCCCCAGGGCTATCGTGTCATTTAGCGCGATTGAATCCAAAGAAGGCTCGACGGTCAATGCTGTCCATATTCGCGTTCTATTGCCTCGGCCAGTGAGAGTAGAAGCTGGGCAGTATATCAATCTTTGGATGCCCTCCGTCAGTCTATGTTCGTGGATGCAGACCCACCCTTTCACGGTTACCTCGTGGTCCAAAGGCAAGCAAGATACCATGGAGCTTCTAGTAAAGCCACGCAGTGGTTTCACTGCAGATCTTCTTCGCTACGTCTCTGCTGCTAAAGAGAGCTCGGTCTCTTTCCTGGCTTTGTTTACTGGCCCTCATGGCGTGAGTGAGGAAGCTAGTGACTATGAGAGTATTCTAGTGCTGGCCAGCGGATCTGGGATCGCCGCGGCCATTCCATACCTAAAGAAAATGATCTACGGTTACAACACCTGCACCTCTCAAGTTCGCCGGCTACATTTAGTTTGGCAGGTAGAATCTGTTGACAAGATGACCCCTGCATTGTCTCTAATCAATAACCTCCTGAAGGATGATATCATGGATGACGGCTATGTTAGTGTTCGATCGAAGCCCGGAGATTCTACTCCGGATCACAACAGGACTGACTACTATTTTAGATACTGCATATCTCGATTTACGTCAGCGACGGCATCGAGCAGAATGGATTACCATTTGGCCGACATAAGCGAGTTTACATTTACCAAGAAGTGCCTGATTATCAAAGCATTATTTCTCTCGAGGCATCCGGCGACCAGGTTGAGAGACTGCCCAACACTTGGGACGAGCAAGGTCGGACATTAGTGATGGGTAAGATTCCCAATACCCACGTGGAATACGTGCTGACCCTCCTGGCTAGTCTCTGCAACGGACGAGTTTCGGGATCACATACGGAAGGTTGTACGAGGGTGCCTGCACCAGGGCGTAAAGCTTTCGGAGTTAGAGTATCAGCCCAGCACCGATTAACGCCAACAAGCTGAGTTGGGTCGAGACATTTGAGGGTATTTCTGGGGGACAGGAATCGAAGGCTTTTCTTATTATACAGTGGACGACTTTGAAGTTTTTCTTTCTCTTTTTCTTTCTCTTTCTCTTTCTCTTTTTCTTTTTCTTTTTTTCTTTTTCTTTTTTCTTTTTTCTTTTTTCTTTTTTCTTTTTTCTTTTTTCTTTTTTTTTTTTTTTTTTTTTTTTTTTTTTTAAGATTTTGAAAAAGGGTAAAAAAAAAGCTTGGAGAAAAGAGTCGACTCATGCGAGTTTTTTGGAAGGAAAAGGAATCTGGGGGAAGAGCCTGTAAATTTTGTTTTAATACGGAAATATGCCTGTTCGCTTGTATTTATGAGCCTGGACTGATCTGCAGGAACCGATCGGTGACGGCACCCTGCTGGTGGGGCTCACGCAAGCAAAGTCCTTTGAACTTGTGGCCCAGGCCATGATTCTCGACAACCACCATCAATTCTGTTTCAGAACGCTCTCTTTCTTGAACACTGTTGACCGTTCTACCCATCATCGCAACACTCACTTTTCTAAGGCTAATTTGGCTCCTACCTTTAAAAAGAAGCTACTTTCCCCCTTTTCCACAATGCCTCTACTCAAACCCGCCCTCTCCTTTCCCGTCCTTTCCGACCGAACAGCACCACTTCCGTTACGACCTTGGCCATTATTTATCGCAACCTACTGCTGTTCTTTTTGTTTATTCATTCCAATCTCTTTGCGGTTGGTCCACTGAAATGCGATCTCTTACTATCTGCCTTCCTGTAAGTACACCATCGTTCGTGGATCTAAACCGCTCACATCTCGCGTTGCAGATTCATCCGACAGAAGTGCTTAGATTGGATGAGGACACTCGCGCCGATGTGAGTAGATTGCCCTTAAAATTTATTAAAGTAGATGCTCATGCTAGTCAAGTTGGTCAACCGGTTTGGTAGGAATGTGAGACGGGTACTATCAATTTATGTGGTACAGAGTTCGAGTTTGTTGAAAGGAGCGAGAAAGGGGGGACATATTCGATGGCACATTTTAAAAACAGAGACTGCAGTGTTATCGTCGGATTTTCGGGACGGATGTCTGAAGACATATTCCGTATCGGTTACAATTGACGTGAGTTCGGTATTCTCTTTTAACATTGTCAAACCACTACTCACTGTCAGCCACAGCAATCAGTACTAGGGGTAGTTCCTGATTTTCTAGATGATTCAGAACTTAGCAAGGTCAGTCAACTGGAACAAACAATGGCATATTCTCACCTTTGTTAGCTTGGCCGGGAGGTCGGGGATGATTTTGACGATATCCGGAAACTGAGCTGGGACCAGTTAGTTTGTTTTCTTCAGTGGGTTCAGGAGGCCAAGATGATCGAAAGCTTTGAGGTGCAGGATAATAAATTAACAGCTGAGATGGAAGCATTATCAGGTTTTTGCCCATCCCTAATTTTCCGTTCTTATTCAGTCTAACCAGGCGTTGGTCCCATAGGAAACTATGACACAGACCTTTCTCTTTGCACACCACCCGCTTTCATTAACCCTAACTTGCTGACAATGGATGGCACATCGCCGAGCTATGAGAATTTTCCTCCCCATGCTGTCGATGGGGTTGACGGGTTTGATCCAGGATGGAACAAAATCACCAAGTCACTGGAAGACCAGAGTAACGCCGAATTCGCTACCCCGGAGCACGTGGCGACGCCCATGGGACCAGGGACGTCTCCTACCTTCGATGCTTCAACTTACCCTACACCCTCTCACTCTATCAATTCGCCCCGAGCGGGGGTGTTGGCCAGCTCGACGAGTCCTGCTGACGGGATAACGCAATACCGGTCCACCAGTACCCCCTTCTCCGATGATAGCCCTTATTTATCCCCCGCAATGACACCTACGGGGCTTGCTACCCTTCCTGGGTCTAATACTCCATATGTTACATCCCCACCAGCGCTAGAGTCACTCACATCTCCGAGTCTTAGCTTTTCGAGCCAGAGAAAGCTCTTGGAGTCGTACAGGTTTGGAAAAGACGGCACACAGTTCCTCGAAAAGAGTGAAAATGACGAAATCCTCAAAGCGGAAACTGGACTTCTCACACAGGGCCCTTTCAGACCGCTGCAGCCCTTTCTAGGACTCAGCGAAGCAGATGCATCTTCCTCATTAAGCGCACTCGGACTTCCTGTCAAATGGACAGGCAAAGAAGGGGCTGTGAATTACTATAAACTGCTTGAAGCCGAGAAGGACAATGAACTTGTTCTTTGCCCCTTCGCGAAGCATATCGCACAAAGTTTATTTTATCTCAACTATAGGTGGCTGGATAAACATATAAAACGGGGTAGGGTCTCTGTTGCTACATTAATTCTTAATGCCTGCTCTGAGGAACCATCAAAGCGTCGCCGTGACAATATCACTGGCTACCATGTGCGGCGAGGAAAATATTGTTGGACGCTTGCAGCATGCTTGGGCGCCGGTATTTTGCTGCATGGGGGTGGTGCCATAGACGCTATGTATGTTCTCCGGCGGGATTCCTTCCTCAACTAACCCAGATCTCTAGTATCAAGGATACTTTCGGCATCAGCCAGCTCGATATTTTTATATCCTTTGTTTTGCGCACCCGGCCGGGTAGCGTTCGTCTTTTTCACTCACTGGAACCTGTGGTAAAGGCAATCATGCTTGGAGCGCCTGCAGTCAATCTCCGCCCGATAATTCTGGCTGATAATAATGACATTATCAGTCAAGAGGAACTAACTTTTGCCTATGTAGCGGACCAGGAAGCTTTGAAAGACCAGACAACGGAAGAGATTTGGCTGGCAATAAATGCCAACTCTCTTGCAGAGCAGAAAATATCCGAGATTCTCCCCGATTTCTGACCGTACTATATTGATTTCACTGCGTCCGTGTTTACTTTTTATAATCTTAGCGTAGTGTTCCCTCTTTCTGCATAGTATGCTCTGATTTAACCAGCTTGGAATTCTATGAAATGCTATTTGCTATCACCCTGATAAAGTAAATAAAGGCCATACACGATCCAAACAATCTAAAGTATAGGAGCCACCGTAGACTAGCCTTGCATAGCATGTCCTTGACTTCTATCTTGTTCATTTCTGCACCCATGGATTCGTTATGAACGTGCGGGTGGTGATGAGGCAGAGTCGGGCAAGCCCGATTAATGTCCCAGCAGACCAGTGGTGTTTGGTAATTAGGGGGCGCTGTATTTATGTAAGATGACTAATGCCAGTTCTCGACGCAGATAAAGATGGTAGGCTGACCTTTTGTAAATCTTGGATTGTTGCGACCGATGCTGTTGCTGACAGGAACTCTATGGGATCCGACTGCCAACGTGTTCCGTCGATGCCAATCACACCGTCAGGCTTCAGATACTTCTGCATGAGAAACATTGTAATGTCAGCCAAGGCTCGGAGAGTTTGGGACTGAGATTGGTTTGGCTGGTGCTTGACGCAGTGTTCTAAAGCGGCTGTCCAAGTTTGTCAGCAAGGGCAGATGTGCGCTTTGGAATGTTCTGTACCGATTTGAATGACCCCATTTTGCCCCAGCAGGATATTGGAGCACGTCAAGGATTGATGTTCAAAGCCCTTCTCCTGTAAGTGTGAGAGTCCATCAAGTACCTCTCAGAGTTAGCGCCTTTCGCTTGCTGTGGTTATTTGGTGATCCATACCTGGGCAAGTATAGAAGCCAGCTGAAGCTCGGACGGGAAGACATCACAGGCGACCAGGTGTTCCAACGTCAGAGGCAGGTCATCAACAATAAAGTATGTTGTGCCATGGTCCTTGAAGATTTCCCTAGGGCAGATGACGTTGGGGTGTTGGGTCTGCTGGAGTACCTGAAGCCATATATCTGCTTTTTCCTTGGAGAATCCTCGGACGGCGATTACCTTTGAAGGGTGCTTGTCATGGATGGCGATAGATACGGGACCTGCAAGATCACAGGTAAAAAGATCGTTCAAGGTGTCACAGGGTGACCCTATCCGGGCAACAAGCGATTGAGCTGCGTAGCCCTCACTTTGGGAGCTCCTCTGGTGAACGTCTTGTGCACGGCGCAGTAGGACATTCTTAGATTTTTCTTGCTTCTCCCGCTGCTTTCCCTCCTTAGTTAGTTTGTGATTACTTTGGCCTTGAAATTCCTTATGCACGGGCACTGGCGAGGGCGTTGGAGAAAGTGGTCGTTTAGCCTTGAAAGATTCGGCATAGAGTTGTGTGAGTGGCCGGTCACCCATGGTATGTGATGGCTCCAACCAGAGTTATGGGTGCTTCTGGGAAACAGGAAGATGAAACTTGTTGGCAGACTTATTTTTGGGACGGACCTCTCCTTTATGGAAAATAATCGGCCATGCGAGGGTGCGCTGAAGGGTCGGTAGCGCTGAAGCGACAATTCCCATCGCTTCAGCGCTTCCGCGGCTTGAGCCACCGCAAAGAGACCGTACCAACTTAAATAGTTCCATCCCTCCCCTGAAATATCAACGTAAAAGAAGCCGAAGTCAGATGTGGGCTTGAGATATGGATTTTTTGTTGACAGATTCCGAACGGCACCTAACCACAGAACGGCAACTCAAGTGCCAAGGTACCGCCAAAATCGAGCTTGATCACATCTCTTTCCAGCCATTGATCAGTCGCGAGATCGATTGGAACAATGTGGAACGATTACGTCAGATCTTTGCCAAGGATGGTTGTCAGCGACAAGACATCCGAAACCACGTGACTGCCACGGTTTCCAGGCAGCAACTGCGGAGAGCATGCCACGCCGCAAGAGTGACCGCTGAAGAACTCAAATCTCATCAGCAGCAATACCCTCGCCTCGATTTTCGTGGAAGCCAGGTCCAATGTCTGCACGGGCAACATCGATTGAAGGCTGCTGAGGAGACTTTAGCCCCCTCAGACCGGTGGTGGACGGTTGACCTGTATCTGGATGGTCTGATGCCCAAACACAACCTTTCGGCCCGGACTGACACTCGCTTCCTAGACATTAGCCCAGACTTACGGATTGCACTCGTCGATGAATATGCGAATGAAAAAGCCCCCACCGATGGCGAAGTGTACAGGAAAATCCGCCAGTATCAGCATGAGAGCAATGCGCTCTTTCAAAACCGGTGGTGGTCCCGCCTGTCGCCAAACAAAGCCAAGCGGCTCAGACAACTTACTTCCCAAGACAATACACATCTTTGTGCAGCGTTCGACGCGTTGCTTGCGATCCCGGGGCTCTGGAACGGGATGAGCCTTGGATCCTTGAACACTGTCATGGCGCTAAAGTGTGATGAAGTTGGTTTTCTCCATTGCTGTCTGTCTATTTTCTGACTCCTCTTCCTAGGAGATCATTCACTACCCGACACGCGTGAAGAATTTCTGGGCAACACTTGTCGACCATGACCGTACTCAGATGGCTCGTATTGACCTAAATACCGTGGACACACTGCAAATGTACGACCCTCGGGCATCCACAGTTGATCGGAAGACAGTGAAGGGGAAAATCCTCGGTGGTGAGATTTTTGCCGACTTCAGTCAGACCGAACGTGCCGCCATCTGGAAGAAACTACGGTCCCAAGAAGCGTGTGACGGCATCATACCATCCCTTCATACCTTATTCCGCGACATTACCTACCTAGAACTCTGCGCCAATGCCGTGAAACGGTTGGTTGTTCTCAATAAGCAACGCCCCACGGTTCGGAGTGCACTGGTCCACAGTTTTCGATCCCGCCGTGCCGATCGTGACTGTCGGATCCAGACCTCCGACACTACTTTCCGTCGCCAACCTGGACCCAGTGACGAACATCTCACGTCTGGATACCGTCAAATTTGGATGTACGCCATGCGACATTACCCGGAGATGGCCAAGGATATTCAGGGCGGCCCGAGGGCCAACCCTACGCGGGCAAAGGCGCGAGCGAAGGCCGACGAGAGCGTTATCCATGCTATGGCTGCTCTTGCAAAGAAGCTAGGATTTCGTACTCCACAAATCAAGGCAATCTTAAGACAATCACCTGACCAGCAGATTGCTCGGGCTGCCCTGCTCAAAGCACGGAAGCCGGATCACTATCACTATGACAGTGGAACCTTCGAGTCTCTTATCGAGCAGATTGCTGGTTGTTTTGCGCTTGCTATCCCAAACGAGGCCGCCCCAGTGGCACATATCACTGGCTGGGCAATTAAGCTAAAGGACCGCTGTGGAGCGCCTCAGGAGCAAACCCAGCAACTAGACCGCCCGCATATCTTCTTGGACACACTGCACTCGGCGACGGTGTTGCAGAGAAACCTCTCATCCCTGGAGGTGAGACGAAGCGTTTACTATGCCTTTTTTGGCAAGTCCTCCCCGACAACCCCACAAAGTGCTTCACAGGGGCAATCATCATCCAACGATCCTCTTTCACCGTTGTTTGTCCCCAGTGTTCTGTCGAGATCACCGGAATCGGCCTACGACCATATGTCGACAAGCGGGTTTGATGAGGGGTCATTCAATGGCCGTCGGGATCGGTCAGAACCTCCCGAAGGACCACGCCAGAGGCAAGAAGACAGACGGCGTCAACGGCAAGATAGACAGCAGGCGGTAGAGCGCGGCTCACCTGTTCCCCAAGAGTCCTCCATTCAAAGTTCCATAGGAGGGGCATCTACTATCTCTGAGGTCATGGATATGTATTGGGATAGCTCTGACGCGGATGATCAGCCCCGACCGGAGAATGTCGAGAGACAGCCGGAAGCTAGCGGAGGAATGGATTCAGACATTGAGGAAGGTGAATGTACAGAGATCGATGAAGAAGACCTGCTTCGCCGAGCGGAGGATGGGAGCCCTATGGTAGAGGGCGCGGCTGCTGTGGACCATTCGACTTTAGGGGCGCCACGAGATACCGATATGTCAAGCATACCGGAAGAGGGAGCAGGTGCGGTGGACGTGGACGGGGATATGGACACTTCCGTGCGGACTCAATCAGCGCCAGTGGAAGATCGCGCTGGAATGCCAACTACATTATCCCGCCAGTCCGGCGTTACGCCGCCGACCTCCCAGAAAAGGAGTATGGATGCAAGATGGAAACCATATGAAGCTGCACAGAAAGGCAACCGCAATGCGACCAAAATATCACATGCCGCTCAAGGACAACCCATCGCAGAGCACACAGAGCAGGAAATAGCTTGGCCAGTCGGCGAGCCGGATGGTCGCGAAGATATTTCTGGAGGACCATTACCAGTTGAGGCTCAGGAAGGAAGAGCAGGAGAGCAAATGGCGCATGGAGCGGAGCTCATCGCGGGAGCGGGTGAAGAACTCCGCCAAGACGATCGAGTAGCTCGGGAGCGCGCAGGTGCTCTTGCTCAGCTACAAACACCCGGGGCCATGGAGGATCATACCCCCCGGCCCGTGACTGAGCTCCCCGCTGACTTGCCGAGTCTGATTACACGATTGCGGGAAGAGGGAAGCCAGCTGGGTGATGAAAGTATAATTCCCGACAAAAATAAAACGCAGGAGTTTCCTGAATTGGAGCCGGCCACTGTTGATCATCTGGACGGTGTTGGGGGCGGGACCGCGGAGGGTGTTGTTAAACCGGGGCTTTCTCAACAAGAGACTGAACAACACAGAGCGGATCTACCCGATCCAGAACAGGCTCAGCGGCAGGCAATTGAAAGGCAGGAGGGCGAGGATCTCCTATTTGATGTTCCTGTGCTTGAAGAACCAGCAGACCAGGCAGTGGAAGGAAGACCAACCCTAGAAGGTGCCGATGCTCTTCACTCTGAAAGTATGCATGAAGGTCTTTCCAGTGGTGTGCAGCCAGAGCGGAGGGTCACAGTCACATTCTATGTCTACGAGCGACAGGCATGGAAAAAGATGGATATGGTCTCTGTGAGCCCTACTCAACTCGCTGAGGCGCAGATAATCGCCGACCGATATGCACGAGATCCCAGCCAATATGCGCGCTTTTACGATGGTCGACTACGCAAAGTTGCCGTTGATGAGTGCGTTCGCGCAGCGATTGACGACGGTAGTTTCACCGTCCTTATGAGTTTTGGAAAGGATCTGATAGTAACTCGGCATCTTGTCGCGTCTGTCGCAGAAATATTTAAGACTGCTGGGAATGAATGGCGCGATCCATATCACCCTGAAAAACGGTTAAAATCAAACGCCGGAGCCCCGTCGGCTGGTCCCGTTCAAACGCGAAAGGATGCAATTTCAGGAAAGACAGAGCGACGTGGAAGAAAAATACCGGCGCGAATAGCCACCCGACCGCACCAGGATGTGCGGCCCAATCGGGCGGAGGCAGATTCTCAGCCTGTTACCATCGTGTTTTGCGCGCGAGAAAAGAACGGACATTGGAAGACGGTCCATGAGGTCCTTTTTGACCGGACCGACCCATCGCAGGTGGAACGAGTGGCAAGGAAAGAGGCGAGAAACCGGCAGGCCACATTCTATGATAAGAACCTGCGAAAACTTACTCCAGCCCAGTGTTTTGAGGCGGCAATTGAGGATGACACAAATAAAATCTTTATGAATTTCGGGGGAGAGCTTGCGGTGGACGAAGAGACAATAGAGTCGATCGCACGCGAAGTGGAACTGTGACGCGAAGGAACTGGAAGACTCTGTAACATTGGGGTGGTCGGCAGACCAGACGGGCCGCAACTACGTAGGCAGACGACCGTCTGGGTCTTGCACCTGCCGTAGACAGCAGTTGGCGGTCCTGCTTCTGTGGTGGTCGTACGACCGCGGTCTGTCGACCGGTCTGGTCGGGGGCGCAAGGTCTGGCGTTTCTGGTGCTAAGTCAATTGGCCTACGCACCAGATCTTACTACCCAAGTCATCAGCGTCCGGACCTACCACCTTAGGCCATTGCTCTGCCCCCTCTGACCTTGTAGGTGTTCAGACCACAAGCCTATGTCTGATTTGGGCTTAGAACCCCGGTCAATACTCCTACAAGGGCTTCAGGACAGACCGGTCGTATGGCTTGTGGCCTATGTCCTAGCTTATAGTGGGATTTAAGGGAGCCGCTGATTCTCAACGAAGGTGGATGGATGACTAGCACAAATGGCTTCGGTACAGCAGTGCTCCTGTCAAAGCCGGAAGTGCGCTGATGACACTCCTGTTTTCGTCGCTGTGTTGAGATCGAACCTTGGAGACGCTTTGGTCGCGGGCGCGCTGAAGTGCTGAAGTGCTGAAACGCTGAAACGCTGAAGTGGGGCCGTCAGATGTTAACCAATAGAGATGCGTAAGTTGAAACCAGCGCTGCGCTGAAGGCGCTAGTGCCTCAGAGTTCACATGCCCAGTGCATCTTCGTTCAGCTAGAAGCTGAGCAGTATTCTTCCTTGCTGGAAACTTCCGGCACTCAGCCCATAGATAGTACAAGCCCTATTCGGCTCGACAACCCTCATGCCCAGATTCGCTCCAGAATCCTGCTAAGGTCCGGGCGCTGAAGCGCTGAAGTGCTGAAGTCGGGCGTCATGTTATGTTTATCCGAGTTCATCAATGTCGTGAGAGAGAATAAGCTCCAGGGAACCGTGCATAAGTTCCTAGGAACGACGCTGGCTTCTCTAGGAACACCGCCGCTCCGACGACTGCCCTGCCTTTCCTGCACTACGCTGTAGGGAAAGGATGACTTGTAGATCATCCTTTATCCGAGCCGGAGCTGCTCGGCCGATGCTTCGAGCCATCACCTTCGGCCGTCACAGAACATCACAGCAATGTTGGACAAACTCTCCGACACTGCTTGGTCGGGGGCAATCAGAGTGCTTACTAAGCACTGATTGCCCCGCTGCCTATTTATACTCGCTATCTGGACAACGTTAGTCGCTTCCGTTGTGAGTGCTGGCGGTATAATGGACGAACGAAACCCAGACCTTCAGTCCCTGCCTGCGGAAATCATACATTTAATCTTGACAAGTCTCAATTCCTGCGAAATTAAGGCTTTCTCACTGGTGAATAGGAGGCTGCGAGATGTTTGCCTACCATCCCTCTTTTACAGGGTGAGGTTCAACTTCTCAAAAGCTGGGCTTGATGGGCTCCAACAGCTCGGAAACTCAACAGTACGCCTGCACGTTAAATCCTTGAGTTATACGGTCCCGCAGTTAATCAATCCGGGTAAGTGGCTCGAGAGTATTCATGATGAGGGTAACTAAGCATCAGCTAGATATTCTAAGCTTTGAAACCTTCAAGTCGGACATGCTCACTCCAGAATGCTACGTGGGGGTAGCGAAAGACCTATATGATTGCGGCTACCCCGCGGACGAATGCCCTCCATACATGGTTATCTATGAAACGCTCCGAACCATTTGCGAGAATCAACAAGAAATCCTGGAGAACCAAAAGGACGTAGATGTCCTGTTGTCCGTTCTTTCGGCTTTGCCTCAACTCAGGGAAATAGAAATGGATTTCTGTCAGTCAATCGATGAACCCCAATGGGTCGACTCATACCTTTCATTTGGCACCGCGAAAGAAGTGTCGAATATACTTCACATACGGACTGTTACAAAGGCTCTGCAAAGGAGATCAGGGTGCACAGCTCCCTTGGTAACAATAGGATTGTCCTCTCTGGAACCTCCGCACTATCATTTTTGGGAGCTGCCGAAGTTTCCCAGCCTGTCTGGTGCATTGGAACTTTTGCTCAAGCATTGTACGACTTTGCGAATAACTGGCAATGGCGCGGCTCTAGAGTTACTCGCTCGATCTACCGTGAAGATTCGACAGCTGATTCTAGGGCCCATAAACATCTCATATATAGCGTGGCAGGAGTTCCTGAAATCTAACCGGCAAACCATCGTCTCGATTGGATTTTATCACACGTACCTGGTCAGAGGTTCGGGCGAGATCCTGGAATTTTCCCCTAAACTGCTTTCCGATGTGCTCCCTGGCGTTGCATTCACGACACGAAAGTCGACGGATCACTGGAAGATGCCATATTGGGAAACAGGCTGGATAATTCAGCTAGGATCCTGAGCAGGCCCTGTATGTACAAGGGCGGCCGTGGAACTGACCTAAACAAACTTTTTGGGACTTCTGACCTCATGCCCATGAACGATAGTATTCAATATTAGCGATCTTATTGCCTCAAAGATTTCCATGACACGCCGAAACGTAAGTACAGCTCCTTGTAATCTTTGATCATCTATAGCCCAGACGCTTTCATGTAATTTTCTCTTATTGACAAAACTCCCTGTTAGCTGACACATGCACTAGGCTTCTACTCAAGTCCCCACTGTTTATACAACGAGAAGCTCAAGTTAGCGAGCTGTATCGTGATTTCTTCTTCTTCCCCTTGGCCTTACTTGCCGCAGGTTGCGGTGGCGTTTCATCGCCTATCTCTTTCTCTGCTTCCTCGGGTTCTATTTCGCAACATGGAGTTGTTTCGGGGGTGAAGTGGCAGTCATCAAACCCGGCGGCAGGAGTAGACGTGGTAGATCCAGCAGTTATAGGTCCAGCTGCGTGTGGCCCGCTGAATTCTTCCAAAATTTTGGAAGAGCCTTCGGAGGAGCCCTCATGATCGTCTTGGCCGTAAAATCGGCTATCTTTTCGGATCTCTATCATGCTATGAGTATACCCTCATATCCGGAACTTTGATGCTCACCGGAGGCCCTAATTCCGACAAATCGTTTGCATGTCTCATAGCCTGTCCTCAAGATCTGGAGCTTTTTGTTCAATTGTTCGCGCAGTGCTTGATTCTCCTCGGATTCTCCTGCGATTCGTGTGATTTTTTCGGCGGGCATATCAAAAACAGTGACGGGAGAAAGGATGCCAGGCAGCGCGGATACGAGTTTAGCCTCAATAACTTCATTTGCTATATCATCGACAAATCGTTTTAGAGCGACCTAAGAATGGTTAGCGATTGAATTTATGCTGGGCGCTTATGACAACTTTACCTTATAATAGGAGAGCAGACAATCCAGTGCTTCCGACGCCGAGAAACGGTCCATGTCAGGCTCAGAAGATTCGAGCAGGTTCTTTAGAAGCTGCTTAGGGTAGATGTTGCTCCCAGAGTAGTAAGGTCCTTCCAGGTTATCCATGTTGAAGAAGTCTTCAAGGATATCACGCAAATTGCACTCACGTCGCTGGGCACGAATCTTCTGCAGCGTTTCTGTGAAGTAATGATTATAAGTAATTGGATGACCCCTCTGATGCGGTAGAAGCAATTCTTTTGTCTTCTGCTGTAGTGTTTGCCGCAGGTCCTCCAAGGCAGGCACGATAATCTCCTCAAGCAAAGCCTTTGCAGTAGCTTCATCTGCAACGTAACCAACAGCTAGTCGAAGGAACTCCCTTGCGGCTTCCCAGACCGTTGTAGTATGTCTTGTTGTCAACCCTTCCCATGGACTGCATTGCTCCAGGAACAAGTCCCGCACGATCATCGGGTTGAACGTTCCTGGTAACTCACGGCCTCTTGTTTTCTTAAGCAAAGACTTGATGTGGCTGATGTATTCATCACGGGTGACTAAAAGCTGTCCTTCTGGTGAAAATGCTCCATCATGGGAAGAACAGAGCCGGCGATAAGCCCCGTACTTAGTGATGTCATCTGCGAAATCTTCGCTCAAGTTCTGAACAACAGCTCGCAAGCGCTTTGGGTAACCATCCACAAACCGAACATCTTCAAAGAAGGGTTCATTGTATGTACCATCAACTGCAGCCCGACTAAGGGATTGGAAGGATTGACTGATTTGCAGAAGGTAAGACCGTTGTTCGTTTATTGAGATCCGAGGCTCTCCAAGTTTCTCGAGTCGACACTGGCAGTCTTGGCTCTTGGCACGAATCTCGTCAATCAAGCTGGGTAGCTCAGAGGCGATCTGCCGTAGAAGCAATCTGCTAAGTCGACTGCGTAGGGCGTCAATACCAACTAAACTGTGTGGCATGTCGGCCCATGCACCTTGCAAGAAGAAATTCCGTTCCTCGTTATTTCGACTTGTCAGTGTCCAGTTTCCCTTCTCTGAATCCATATTCTTGAGCACGTGCCAGCCAAGCCTAAACTCAACCTCCTGATTCTTGGCTAAGGATAGGAACATAGCCTCACTCTCAGAATCCGCTATTAGCGTATCTGGCTTTGTGATAACCCCGAGGGTTCGAGTTCCAGCTTCATCTGCATTTCGGGCAAGCCGCAAAACGATCTGGTTGGCAAAGTCATTTTTGGCCGATACTACCGCGAGTATGATACAACGCGGCTCCCGCATGTAGGACTGGACCACATCCTGAACCAGCTGAACATCTGCAGCTGATTGAAGCTTTGTTTCCGAATGAATGAGGCCTGGAAGATCCACAATCGTCAAATGAGGTCTATCGGGACCGGAGATCTCCACGCGAAGGATATCATTGGAAAATGCCCTCCCATGTGTCGAAATTCCCATGACTGCCTTCGCATTCTCGATTAGATTTGGAAGTTCCTTAAAGTCTTCAAGCTCCTCGCAGAAGCTGTTCAGGCGTTCTTGCTCCATCTCAGTGCGTGATTGATGCGCGACAACGGAGACTTTAACGCTGGCTTGTGGATGCTTGCGGAGGACAAGCTCTGTGGGAAACCGTGTACAAAGACTGCTTCTGATAGGAAAGGAAACCCCGGAAATGGCTTCCAATACGGAGCTTTTGCCCGAAGACTGGTCTCCACAAACGATAATCTGGGGGAGGGAGACATAATGACTTATTCCTTGAGATCGCAGGGAGTCAACCGAATTCAAAAGTTCAAGTTGCTCATAGGTGCATAGGTCCTCAAGAGCATCCGTTCTGAGCTCTCTCAGTACCATGATGTCCTGAGATCTTGTAGGCGAGTGAACTTAGTAATCAATTGGTAGGTAATGGGAAAGGGGGAGGTATGAGTTACTCGTGTAAGAGTGGCTGTCTATCTATAATCTAGCAGGGGTTGTCAGATAGTAAGCGACACCGAGGCGTAATATGCTTGCCCACTAATGCCATGGATTTTATCGACTGCAAGGGGCATCGATGTGTATGATCCCCATACGCACTGCCCCCTTCATTCTATCTGAGCCTTCCGAAAGCGCAACAAAGCAAGATTTGCCTACGATTGTCGTTGAACGGGGTCGATTAACCAAAAACGAGTCTACGACCCACAGGGATGCCCAAACGTCGATTGAATAAATCTCCTAGCTGCCTATGACAGAGAAATTGGTAAACACAGAGACCCTAGCAACAACTCCATTCACGTACCCAATTTGACGTTTCATGCAAGGCTGACACCCTGGCAGTAAGTAAGGAGTAGCATACCTAAGAAGGCGACGGCTTCCTTACTTTGCAATATCTTTCATTACTGTGAATTTCTCTGAGCAACGAGGTCTGGACCCAATGGAAATTTGCACAGTAGCACGGTAGCACGAAGCTGAGCATGAGAGAAAGAATGTTTCTATGCATACCATATGCTTGACAAGTCCTTTGGCAATCTATTGCATTCTCAGCCACACAGACTCGCGGTCAACAAGAGCCTATTTTATTGAAAGCCAGATCCGCGCTGAGGTCCAGACCGCGCGAAATTGAATGATCGCGCAATCATCGTGCGATCAGATTTGTTATTTCAACACAAGCAGATTGCTTTGCTTTACGGTTTTAGGAGGTTAGGCACCCCCTTCAGAGCTCTCAATCCTCAGAGGGTCTAAGCAAAAAGTCCCCACGGCCAAGCGAATCTCTCCAGGAACATTGTCGGGCAAGACCCATTCGAATTCTTGGCTTTCTTATATAAGGCCCTCCGTCCTCGCTTAATTAGATTCTATGGAGGATGTTCTCCATAGCCACCGGGATTGGTCGCGAGTAATATTCATCCTGTTACGTCAACAAGTCTATCTAACGTAATTCATTAATCCGCCCACCGCTGGTAATCAAACAGTGAGCTACTTTTCAACGGGTGAAACTGGCCTTGACGTCAGTATACCAGCATACAGTATCTGGCTCGCCAATATTGCGTTTTCAAAACAAATCATCTCAGCATGGATCGCGCACAAGTTCGAACATTTTATCGCTGCTATTCTAATGCAAGTGCTGGTCAACTAAGATCTGGAAGGTATCATTATGGTCATCCAGCACTATCTAAAGCGGACCTCCTTCACGAATTCGAAAACCATCGAATGCGAGAAAATAGAGAACCTACTGCATTGGTTTCTGTCACTAGTCGTCCTCTTGAGGCTATGAACCGCGCTCTAGCGAAATATTACCACTTCGAAGAATCCCCACAAACGATTTGGATCATCATTGTTCGGGTGCCAGTTGGGGAGAATGACAACAGCCCCCATCATGCTCAGGAACTCGCACTGCAGAGACAGCATAGAGATGCTGACGCCTTCAAATATGAGTTTCTGTTTGAATGGGAAATTCCTCGTCGTTATGTGGAGCATCGCATTTCGGTCAAAACATTAGTCGGTCGAGGAATCGGAGGGTTGTTAGGCTCGCAGTATTGCGCTATGGGCTTTCCAAACTTCAGAGATATGCAAAATATCTTACTCAAGGATATCCTCGAGTCTGATACTTACGGCTCTGGGCGTTGGCTAGGGAGTTTAGCCCACGCTTTTGGAGCCAGAACTTGCACCTATGAGCTCGCATCTCAGCTTCTACAAAATTGCCTAAGTGGCGGTCGTGTCGATGAAAGTGACCAGATTGTCCATTTCTGCAGGTCGAGATTCTCTGGGTCTCTTGAATTTAGTGATATATGCGACATCGAACTGGGAATTCGCGATCAACTTGAATCTTGCTTTGGTATTTAGTACTTCACATGTAACTAAGGGATAAGATGAATGCCGGATGGGACCTTATGGCGTTGACCAAACGAACGATCACAAAGGCTCGCATCTCGTCATGGCAATGTAAATTGAATAGAGCTTCACAATCGGAAAAGTCAATGATGCTGGTTCATTGAACTCACATCCGAAAATTTGATCGTTGGCCATCTGAAGTTCAAGACAGCAAGTCCGTTTCACAGCATTCCATGAAGTGGGGTGGATGTACATACGTGGCACTGATGCGCTGAAGTGGTGTTTTAGACTGTGGATCAATCAGAGATACATAAATCGAAAGTGCGGCCCTGATTGCGCTCGTGCTTCAAGGTTCTCTGCCCTTGCAAATTACCCCACATCACGCCGAGAAGTCCAAGTCCATGAGAAACGTGAAAGTGTCAGCGATCTTGTGTCATATATGCCCGATTGAGGGTCAACAAGTGATTCATTTTCTGCAAGCCAATAATAGCTTGCGTCGAAGCTAGGTAGTTAATTCTCACGCATGAATCACTATTCTTAAGTTAGACGGGCTGCCGATGTACCGACGGCACGTCGCACACATATTATGCTTGTCTACGTCGTGCTGGAAAAGCTGGCGAGGCGTGTTAAAGGGACGGTCATAAGCCGTGCAAATATTATGTTCATCCTCAAGATGTTCGTTGAGTTCGTCCTTTGTTGGATAATCAGTCGGTAAAGAGCAAAGGCGGCAAAGATGGTAGTTGAGTCTGATATATGCTGTTGCTTGGCTTGAATAGTACTAAAGCCTTTCTGGCAGCGCATACAGATAAACTTTCGTGACTGCATCGTCAAATATAGTCCCGGGCCTTTATTGTGCTCTCGAATGTTGAAGGCCCAGCTCATGTCATCGTTTTGCAGACAAGGGAGGTATCATACTTGAATCAACAGTTCTATCTGTGGGGCCGGTGGAGCTTTTGCCCAAAAGCGGGGCAGGGCAACAGTCACGTAGGTCGGAAGATTAATATTCCGGCATAATCATAAAATTAGCATAGCTATTAGGTAAGTAGTTAGTTATGTAAAATATCATGACATAATTGTGCTTCCGTGATTCAGAGCAGCTTTTTTTTTCACACACTGGCTCAGTTTCTGGATTCTTCGTGCAGTCCTTCAGGAATCACGAAGTAAGATGCCCCAACATGTATTCCTAGCTAAATATTGAACGCCTGGCTAATTATACAGATCATTATGGATTTACAGCCACCATCAGCTGTCGAAATTTCGCCGGTCATATATCGCACTGAATGTCGTGCCAACCGAAGCTTAGAAAGGGGCTCTATGTTTGCACGGAGAACGGCACACGGGAACGCACCGACATGGCGCGATTTTGATAACCATCTTGCATGCGTACCAAGGCCAACAGGGCTTTTGTCTTTTACGAACAACTTTAGGCGTGCGTTGCAACGACGCGAGTTGCTCGAGCGGCGAGGGCAAAGGGACATCGTTGTGATCGCTGTCTGGGCAAAGGACCTGACTGGCGTGTATGATGCAGAAGAGGTTGCTTCTTTGCTTGGGTATTCCGACACAGGGTCAGATCCTTGTAGAAAACGACGAGACCATCATGATGAGTACATTATTGAAGGCGGCATTCTAGCAGATGAATACCGCATTCTCGCTATTTTCAATGGGAGTGGAATGCAACGCGACGTTGTCTTTGAATGCTCACTCTACAAGAGTTCAACAACAATACCCTATGGGTTTTTCCCTGGACACAGATCACCCAATGCACTCCAGGACTTGGGAGACGAGATTCACTATCGCACTGGGGTTCGCGATGATCTGAAGCGGGATGAGCTCGTAAAGTCAATTATGGGAAGGCCTTATGTATTTCCTACTTTTCTGCTTCCGACGATTCAATATGAACAACGGCGAGGGAACGTTGGGAGGACGGATTAGCTCAAACGATGTTTCCTCAATAATGCAGCTGATCGCTTTAGCGAGCCATGAGTCGTATATGTCCTCGTCAGTTGACTCGGATTCTCTGATATATCTGCTTCTAAATTCACCTACACTAATTCATAGGTTTTCGGCATTATATATTACCCCCGCCACATTGTTGATGAATATAGTATTCTAGAGTTGAGCCTAGACAGGATATGGTAGCTGGTTTGTTCCCGCGCCATTAAACTTGGTTGAGATTGTTTGGGCCCTTACCCAGCAAGAAATCTGGTGAGAGAGCCCTCGTGTCCGTCAAGAGGATCCTGATAAGTGGCTGGATATTGGTTAATCTTGAACCCCTTAAGAGCTAATCCTACTTCTTCAAGAAGGTCAACCCCAAATGTAGGATACTCTCGGGCTTCCTGGGCAAATCGATGGTGCTCGCAAAGAAGATATCCCATCACTGTTGCTGCCGCTAAAGTGCGACGGATTGCGTGCCCTTGAGGCAAAAAAGCTGCAGAAATAACATGATATGACGTGAGACAATAAGTATTGATCCTTAATCCGCCTTTGCTGATTTCGGGTTTCCGGTTGGCAAGTAAAAGTTCCTTAAAATGCTGCGCAATTTCAGCTTCCATATTTGTTATAACACACATGTCCGCAAATCGTGCAAGTTCTATCACAGCTGAGATCTGGTGTTCCGGCTCTGATGTTTTGAATCTGATCTTGCGGATAGATAGCCATTGGAAGAAGACCTCAAGGCTTTGAACTGTTACAATTCCTTCTATGTCTTCCAGAATCGCTATCTGCATTTGACCCTCTTTAAATTCGCCCTCGAACATTGCCGAAAAATATTTCGATTCTCTGCAGAGAAGATCCTTCGAAACGACGTATTTATGGTCAGAAGAGTTGATCCGAAGTGTGACGCAAGGACCATGATAAATTGGAAGGATGCTAAAAAACGAACTTTTAGCTACTGTAGTATCATTATTAGCTTGCCCTAATACATACCATTTCGCGAATTCCGTGGCATTTGATCCAGATATATCAGTCATTGCTTCGACATGCGATCAGTGGATTCGTGTAGAAGACACAGGACTTGGAAAGAAACGTTATGAGATTAATATAGCACAGGTTTTCGATGCCATCCGCCTTTCGGCTATGTCTAGATCCTCCGCAGAACTCGAACCTTCTCACCTGCAACGGCTAAAGGTACAGGCAATGTATGCAAATTCCAATTATTATTCTCAGCTGCGAGCATTCCTAAGTTACGGATCTACAGTAACATTCCTCTTTTCTAACTGGAGGGGCTGAAGGTAATAATATGCTCGCTAGCTCAGCCAGTTCCTGCCAAAATTCTCTGTCGATGAATGAGAATAAATCTTCCATACATTGCTAAAATAGCCCTTGCGCTGCAGCTAATATGTTCACGCAAGCCCTTCGCTTAAGGGATATTATCGGATATATTCACATTTGAGGCTAGAGACCTCTTGTTTTACAAAAGAAGCTAGGATGTTAGCGCAGCCGGCATGTGCAAGGGGTGCCCTTATTGCTACATAAGGCAGCCTTTTGGAATGCGTCCTTCCTGCGCATGCTTCGCCCGGTGCGTTCGCAATTATTTATGCTAGATTGAAAAATTCAGCGGTGCTCGAAGCTTTTCTAAGGCTGTGAGATATAAAGCTGAGTTCTTCTCGTGTTTCCGAGTTTCCTCTTTGATTTATACTTTCTCGAAAAAACATCCTTTTAATGCTTTATTATCAGTTTTTAGATTGGCAGCACCAATGGCTTCAACGAGGAGCTCAGGAATCGACTACAACCAGCGGGAGATATCGTAAGACAACTCATGGTTGCCCTGCTTCAGATATCTGCTAATCCCATGTGTTAAGCGTAGTCCCTATGAGCAATCAAGGATTATCATCGTGACCATTGGAAACAAAAACTATTCGATTCCAGAAAACTATATCCAAGCGCACCTACTACCGCAAACAAGACAGTCTAAGAATCCACGTATCATACTTGGAGATATCGACTCGGATATTGGTCACTCTATCTTGCATTTCCTATACAAAGGGGAATACGAAACAATCTCTTACGCGGACACGCAAGCCGAGACACAATGCATTGAGATCGAATACAAGAGAAGCATCCAGGTCTACTACGCTGCCAGGAAGTTTGACATATGCGGTCTCGACACACTTGCCCAGAACTACATCATGGCTCTCAGTGAATCTCTATCCATTTTCCAGATCCTACGAGGGGCCAGATTGATATTTTCAAAGCTGCCCGAAGATGAAGAATGGTTTCATGACTATCTACACTCCAAACTGTCTAGCAGCTTTGCAGCGGATGAGACAACATTCCAGCTGGACGAGTTCTATAGCGATATCTTGAACGATCCAGTGTTCAGCAAAGCGGTACTGAAATATGTAATCAAAGCCTTCACCACCGAGACCTCACGTTTGCGAAACGCCCTCAGAGCTACCAACGTCGGCAGTAAGACAGAGAAAGATAGTGGCGCGCCTTCTTGTGAACAACCGGCCACAGGGCCCCTATTTGAGCCTCCTGGAAGCCGCAACAGAGGGAGTGGCTGGATACCACCGCACAAAAGATCTCGCGCCGCAAATAAGTCATCTACTCATGATATAGAACAACCGTGTGGAGAACCAGCAATCGAGCTCCTTCCGGCTGACAGTGAAGAAGCTACGTGAAAGCCTTCTCATGGTCAATGGGGTAAAAGGGCATTAAGAAGTGGCTCCGACCATTGCTATATTTTTCAATCTCAGCCATTACGCCATACAGGAAGCTGGACGCTACGCCTCTACACGCAAGACGAAAGCCAATTTTCTTTTGGCTTTGAGATATCATGCGTGGATTAAATTAAACTCGTACGCCACAGTACAGAGAGTGCAGAGTTGGTACTGTGGGAAAGAGAATACTAAGGACAGAACCACTTCAGCTTCAGTTTCATCTAGGTTGCCCAACCACAATGAATACAGGGAAAGTCAAAACTAGTGTCACCCTGGGGACGGTTATTTTGGATCCAAGCCCTATGCAAGAATGCACTACCAAGGGTGCTGCTATATACCCAGGAAGAGTGGCCCACTCGCCTTTGGAATTGCCGTTAGTGTTGGCGTTGTGCCTGAACCACTGGTCACAACAAAAGTGCTAACCACGAAAGCCCCGGAAGCGGCATCCTCCGATAATGTAAACATGGCAAACAAATTCGCGAAGGCGGGGTCCTGAGAATCTACGTATTCTTCTTTCACTTCTGTAGTCTAAGGGAAATTCTGGGGTTACTTAGCACTGAGACGGCCAACAAGTGACACAACATTATCTGCTAGCTTTGCAACCAGGATTTGCTTTTACCATCGTTTTCTTCTGGAATCTTCAGGCGAGAGCACAATGAGCGCGCGAGCGGCAGTTGACGATCCTCATTTCCGCGAAGCCACCCAAGTGAGGCCGCCGACTGGGATGGAAATTTTAGGAAATACGAACGAAATATCTCTCCGGGATGTGCTTTGGAGTCTTATGCGGAAGCTCTGTTCGACCGTTAGGTTACTTGGAGTGTCACACTGCGAGACATACTGGAACTTCCGGCGAATGGCAAAGTATTCTCTTCAACTTCACGAACAATACATCGACGCGGAGGGCACAACGGAGGTTGCAGTCGGACAAATCTTTGGATTTCTTAGATTTTCTTCCCAAAATCAACACGAAAGAGTATGCGACCTTGTCCGCACATCCTCTCTGGAGGATATGAGCCCTGACTTTTCGCAAACACGATTTGCAGCGAAATGGTCTTACCAATTAGAGATCTCAAGAGCTCCAACAGAAGCCGGTCAGTTCGATGCTTGGGTTCATGAGCAGCTTGACCAAATGATCTTTATCGAGGAACTGTGCCGGTCTTTGCATCGATTTGTTGGTGACCGAGGACCAAACGAACGCAGTGTTTGCCAAAGAATGTTTGATGAGGGCCGCTACAGGGAGCGGGAGGGATGGGCGCTATGGGCTGGACGCATGGGCTATGCGGGAACTCGTCGGTTTGTTTACTATTTTGCGAAGAAGTAGACTATGATGCCAGGACTAAGTTGGAGTTCATTTCGGCTACATACCGAATATCTTAGTGTTGAAGGAGATTTTCAAAATAGTACTCCTGTTGCAGCCAGCAGCCTCTACCATCGGCGTATGGATAGTTGTCCACTGTGGAGCATATCGAAGATAAGCTTGTTTATCCTTCACACAGTAGATCAAAGTTTGCGAGCGGCTGCTGGGTTTCGTCTTTCCTTCAACGAGTTAGTTCTGTTTTCTGAGTAAGACTCGAGCTCAAGTTGGAGTGTTCACATGATAGTCAGTTCCTGCTCAGCGTTGCTGAGTGCCTAAACCCAGGGGCGAGATCGGAACAGGCAGAAGTTGACAGGTTAGGGACCTGGTCACCCCTGTTTGCACTAGTTTGCATCAAAGCTTCAAAGTTTTAGAAGTCCATTCAGAAACCAGCGTTTTGGGCCATACCAAGAAAATACATGACGTAGTTTCTGGCACGGTATCGAAGGTACGTGATTACGAAGGGACTATTATTATTCCGGTGACATTCCCCGATCTGTACTAGCGGATGTTCGCCTTAGGGTTTCTGAAACAAAAAATGAGACTCAGGGGGTGACATTAGTTTTGGCTTTCTCTGTAAATCATGAACCCCTATGCGAGACCAATAATTCTGTGCTCATGAACAACCACCGTGGAAGAAACGCCATCAGGGATAATCTATTGATTGCCATTTAGCACAAACAAAGGAAGCCAGCTAGCGTGCGCCGAAGTCTCTTACAGAATAGCTGCCATCGGCGAGAATGCGATCGACTTTTCCAGAAACTTCAACTCCACTGCCTAGTACATGAAACTTTAGCGCGCTTGCCAGTAAACCGAAGCTTAGAATATTAGCATACCATTATAGTAACGCACATGATCTCCTTTGGTATACTGGGCCATGACGGATTCTGGTTGCTGTCAATGTTGATAATTAGGATCTGTGTTGAAGAAATGTTGTAAGATGAATCCTCCGAGACGGAGACAGTTATTTATCATCGACACATACGCTGTCCTGTCAAATACACCCTCCTAATCACTATTATGATGATCAGACCACGCGTCGGCAGCTTCTTGATTTGAACCGTATATCTCTCAAGCTGCTGTATAACACACCATGTCAGCTTGGTTAGGCGCTCGATATCCGCACGCACCCACGCTCACCCGGCCTATTCAAAGATTAGGGAGGGTGCTACCGGCAAAGATTGAATACAAACTGGTAGGATTTCGAGATTATCCTACATTATTCTGGCAATTTTTCTCCCAGTTATAGGTAGATCCGATTAAAGCGTGTTGTCTGGCTATTCTCAAGATACTGCCGTTTCCTGGACAAGGTGTCTCACGAACCACCAGTCGCTTCCTCGGCAGCGGGAGAGGCCATAGCGTCGAAGCGCTGAAGGCGGAGTTCCACTGTAACCAATCAGACGCAGGCTGAGTCGTGCTGAGGAAGCCAATCTTTCTGTGCTCGCAGCGATCAGCTGCATTCTCAACCAAGCAGACTCCCGGCCAATAAAAGCCTGCTTTATTGAAACCTGGATCTTTGGGCAAGCTCAACCCTTGGGCTTTCAGAGCTGGCAGTAGCCTCTTCCGCGGTGAGAGACTCTAGACATTCCCAACAGGGCGGGAGGGAATAATCAAACAAGGTGGACTGTTTTTCTTTGACTGCCCACTTGGTGCCACACCTCGAGCCCCCGAAGCGGCAAGACGACACTGGTTTGAACGGAAGAGCGAACCGGGTGTTTCGTTGCCACAGGATGCACACTTCTCAAATAAATTCGACATTTGAGATAGCAGCGACAGACTTGCGGTCAATGGCTCAACACGAATGGCTGAAAATGATGACCGTCTTTTTGGAATATAGTACGAGTTCGCGGGGATCTTCTCTTTTTATTGTGGCTTAGTTTCTTGAATTATGCAATAACGACGAGCGCGAGAATCGTCTTACGACAGTTAATCCTAAGCAGTGTCAATTCCGGGGCAATTGATTATGACAGAAAGTGCTACTCCACCATTGTGGTTAAAAGACCGTAGAACATGATGCATCCGGATTCACCCCCTTGAGATGTTAAGTATATGAGTCTTAAGTAAGCCCCTAGAAAAAAGAGCGCGCCCTCTCCGACCCCCTCCAGACCTTCCCACTTCTCGCTATCGGTGGCATCATCATCGCTTTGATTAGATTTCGGGGAAGATATCTTCCATGGTCACTGGAACTGGGCGGGGGTAGCACTCCTCCTGTTATGTCAGCGAAGAAGTTAATTAGTGAACCAACCACCAAGGACCTACAAGTCTTGACAAGGCCCCAAACCACGTTCCTCCAGTGGAATCAAAGACATATATCTCGCCAGTCTTTCTAATCTTGATAGCCACCAGGGTATCAGCCTTACATTCCAGGCTATATTCCGCTGCTCTCTTAAAGATAGTATTCTTCCGTCTATTTTTCTGCTGTGATGCCGCCTTTGCGGTTTCCGAGTGAAGCTTCTTCACCCAAGAGGATTTCCGAGGCATGGTGAAATATGCTATATTGGGCGGGCTTTCTCAACCCAGATCTAAAAGAGAAACGCATCGCCCCCTAAATAGCTTTGAGGACATGTCATACTTCAAGATGCTCACTGAATCCGCGAGATCATTTACCTAACCCTCTCGGTTGAACTACATCACCGTTCAAAGAGAACGTGAGGTTTTGTCCCCTACAGTACGTAAACTCTAGGAATGCCAGACAATTTACAGTAACTCAGCGCTCGATGTTCATCCTGCTGACTTTTGATGAAATGGGTCTTTTTGGAGTAGTTTTGTGGAGAGAGCAGAGTGAAGAGGTGGGTTACCCCCAGCGTCCAAACAATAGCATCGGCATTTCGCTGTTCAACCCTTGAGTATGTTACTATGGTATTCTTGAGAAGGCAAGAATGAGAGAGGGCAATATTTGCAGACGAGGAAATTAGCTGCCTCTCCCACCTTGAGGTGGGAGTACAGTTAAACAGTACAGGAACCAGAATTTTGAGGGAAGGAGATTTCTCCCAGAAAGTGGGCGGTGCCGTTGACCCTGACAGGAGTGGGGCCCTATGAGTCACCTACTGTGACGCACAGCGATACAGTTGGCTAAAATTAGCGCGGCGTGACATGTTGGTGCTGTTCAACTTATCTCGATTTTAAGAATTGCACTTTAAGGGGCCTCAAAATCTTTCGTTCATATATTTCGGCTGGTGATTTGATGAACCTAATTATTTCCAGCCCGATTGTTGAACAGAATGTTGAACAAGCTTTCAAAGGAAGTGTGGCCTTTGAAAGAAACCGCGGGAAAAGAACAGCTTTCTCTTTGGAACCACCAGACTGCGAAATGTGGGCTCAGAGCGACTTCGTCCGGCAAGCAACAGCAGGAGTGTTTACAACCGGATGGATGGGTATTATCCTTGAGGGTCGAATCCGCTATCTCATTTCCCCTGCCCCTCACGAATAAAAGCGATAAGCAGCGGAGCCAAGAAAAATATTAACCATCTCTGCAACATGAGAAGGTCTACTGGAGGAGCAACTCCACGCGCATCTCTAGATAGTATCCACTTTACTAAAGATGCCTCTTCATTCTTAGAAAGCCGGTGACTATTGGCGCGCTGTTCAATTCGATATTGCTTTCCCTTAATTCGACCGCGTAGTGTTGAGTAAGGCACATTAAAAACATCCACTGCTCGACGAAGAGACGTGATCTCGCCTTTATTTATAGCGGAAATTGCGAGCTGTACAGGGCTTCCGAAAACCGATGTCACCGTTTTAATCTCTTTAATTCATTGAAAATATCACGCTAGCCCGGATATAGGTAAGAGACCGTCATATAATATCATATGAGTGGTGGAAGAAGATAAGGCTAGCCATGAATGGATTAGCGTGATGAGTTAAATAGAATCAAAGAGTGTGAGATGGTGACACCAGTTTCCGGAAGCACTGTATCCTCCCGGACTTCCTTTAATTCTTCTCTGTGAGTTTCATCCCTACTCTTGATTTCCAGTCGGGATACTGTAACTGTCGAACTTCTCTCCCTTTTCAACTTCTCCCCCTTTTCAACTTCTCCCCCTTTTCAACTTCTCTCCCTTCTCGATCTGCGCTTCCCGCGCTCCCCCACCCTTGGGGAAAAGGGGTAGGACACAGTTGCCTTACCGACGCGACACGCGACGCGCGACACGAGACGACGCGTTTTCTTGGCATATTTGTCAGGCAAATCCTCCCTACTCTCGTGGGGCGACCTTTTGAAAAACTAGTCGAGGCAAATGCGAGGAGCCTTTTAATATCGATTGAAAGGGTGCCTGGGAGCTCTGTAAGGAGCCAGATTGATCGCTAGAGGGATACTGGGATACGAAAACCACCCGACACGAAGCTGTTCTGGCGGAGTGACAGGGCACCCTCGAGTTCAGCTAGCTCTGGGATTGAGGCAGGAACCAAACACAATGAGATTTTGAGAGATTATGCAGCCTGCCTCAGCGAGGGATAGAACGAAGCCTAAGTGCTCTCTGGGGTAATGGAAGTTGTTAAGCCTGACAGGATAGTGGTTGCCGGATGTGTTAAAGGCAAGGCCTACACCGAGACCGAACCACTTATCACCTGGACAGACACAGCGCACCGCTTCAGAGTATCAAAGCATATGGTGGGAACTGAGCTAGGTTAGTAGGGGCCTACTACACAAGCAACATGCTGGCTGGGTGCTGCTAGTGATGGCCTCTGCAAGACACGGTCGGCTGCTAAAGGGAGACCACTAGCAGTAACGGGAAACTGCTTCTTGGAGGCAGCGGGCCGTAGCACCACAGATGTGACCAGAGGGCGATAGAAATGGTATGTTCCCAGCTCGTACCTGGGCCATGGCTGCGTGGTATCGCCGGCATTCATGCTTCCAACTCGTACTTGGACCGCAGCTATGTGGTATCGCCAACATATCACTAGACAGGCCTGCGGAGACGCTGTGGTGGCTCGAGAGGACGGATGCGCGTGTCGGTTGGCCTAGAGAGGGAGAGTATAATGCCTGACTCGTACTCAGGTCCCCAGGAGCTTCCTGGCGCGGTATCGCCCATAATACTATTGCCCGTGCGGCTGGCTTAAGGTGCAAACTCCAGAGATGTGCACGCAGCAGAACCTTTTGGCTGGGGGTTCTGCCAATGGGGACGGGTAAAATCACTGTCTGAGCAGAAATGTCAGACGGAAGATGGTACTGGAATCGACCGGACTTGTTAAGGCTCTGCCACAGGTGACCGCGAACCGCCCTACCCCTGTTGTCTCTGGCGCCTGCTTTGCGGCCGAGAAAACTGAGCTTATCCACTTTACCAGGAAAAAGCGCGAACACCTGGAGGGATCGGTGGTACTAAATGGCACAGTGGTCCGACCGTCTCCCACGGCGAAGCTGCTGGGAGTGGTCTTTGACCAGGAGCTACGGTGGAAGGAGCACGTTCAACAGGCTATCAAACGAGCAACCAAAACAACCATTGCCCTGTGTGGACTACGACATTTGCGCCCCGAACAGATGCGCCAACTCTACCAAGCATGTGTGGCGCCGGTCGTGGACTATGCGTCGACCGTCTGGCACGACCCGTTGCGCGACAAAACACACCTGCGACACTTGAACACCGTTCAGAGAACCCCGTTGATCCGTATTCTCTCGGCATTCAAGACAGTGGCGACCGCCACACTGGAAGTGGAAGCCCATGTTCTCCCCACGCATCTCCGTCTCCGCCACCGCGCCCAGCGCACTATTGCCAGGCTACACACGCTACCGCGCGACCACCCTATCTGGGCCACATTGTCCCGAGCTCAGAAACGAAGGAATAACATTGGATCGCACGCGCGTTTTCCCCTGGCCGAAGCGCTGAAGACCATGAACGTGGACCGATTAAATGAGCTGGAAATGATTGACCCACGCCCGCTCCCACCATGGCGAAGTGAGGCGTTTGTAGGGATCAATATTGAACCAGACCGAGAAACAGCTATAAAAAATGCCGAAACCATAGGTTCTAGATCTGACATTGTGGTCTACTCGGATGCTTCCGGGCGAGAAGGCTACCTGGGGGCCGCTGTCATTGCACTGGATGACGACCAGAGGGTTATTGAATCCCGACAGATACAAGTAGGACCTATGGACCGCTGGTCAGTCCACGTCGCGGAGCTCATAGGCATCTTTCACGCCATTAGCACGGTACTCAAGATGTTCCACCAACGCCCGAACTACACGGACCGCAACCCAACTACCGCAACTATAATATGTGATAGTAGATCAGCATTACAAGCAATTCAGAGTGCGAAGAATGCATCAGGACAACGAGTCGTTCATGCAATCCTCCAAGCAGCCACCGAGATTCAAGCGAAGGATATCACTCTCCGCCTTCAATGGATACCAGGACATTGTGACAACCCCGGCAACGACGCGGCAGACCGGTTAGCCAAAGCTGCTGCGCACCCCGGCCAAACCCACCCCTTCCGCCCGCTGTTGACGAGGGAGATGACATTGATCCGTGACAACGTCCAGACTCAGTGGGAGCGAGAGTGGAGTTCAAGCGCTAAAGGCGACCACCTACGCAAGATTGACAATACACTACCCGCGAATTACACCCGGAAGCTATATGGTTCTCTCCCCAGAAACCGAGCCTACCTGCTCACGCAGTTACGCACGGGTCACAATTGGTTATCTACCTTTGCCAAGAAACGCGGCTTCCGCGACAACGACGAGTGCGCGTGCGGCGCGAGGGAGACAGTTGTCCATGTGTTAGTGGACTGCCCGAGGCTACAAGGGCTACGAATAAAGTTGAGGAGAGAGGTCGGGGACGCGTTTAACAGGATATCGAGTCTGCTGGGAGGCTCAACCCACGGTAAGAAAGGTAATCCAGACATCATCTCGCGGGCCAAAACGGTTAACGCCGTGCTGGACTTCGCCGAGGCGTCACAGAGATTTCGCAGCCGCGCGCCACGAGGGCAGCCTAACAATGGGAGCGGCAATTAGGCCACGACAGGCCGTGACGAGGCTCTAAGTTCGTTTTCAGGAAGTGGAAGACTCTACATGTACATAATCAGATATATATAGTTGTCGTAGCCTGCATATCGCTCTAGCGAGGGGTCAGGGTAAATGAAAACCAACCAACCAACCAACCACTGTATCCTCCCCTCTTGCTCCACCAACTTTCGATCCGATAGACGCGATTTTGGTGGCATGGTGGTTGTTTGAATATTTACGCGTTGAACGCGCGATGGTTTTGGGGGTGGTGAGCGCTTCGGTCGGGAACTACGTTAACCTTTGCATATTCTGATGACATACTGTCCAGACTAAAACATAACCTAGATACCCGGAAGAAAATCATGATTTACGCCCGGCATCACATATCAACCGAAAATTGTACTCGGTCGCAAGGTGATATATTCCGGCCGCAGAGAAAATGCAATTACAGAACCATCAAATTCTGATAACTGTTCTTTGGGTACTCTCTATCTTGTTTAAGCACCAGCGATTGTGGCTTGACAGGGAAAGAGGCTGCTACATATATGAGGATAATCAACGAGGTAAAACACTGGCGTATTAGGCTGAGTGAAGGTAGTGGTTGCTGAGGGTCTTTGACCAGAATCTCCCGCCGGATCGAACCTAGCTTATACCTTGCTAGAACTTTGTCTGTTTATATCTTTTTCTCCATCTATACCTGTTCCAAGCACCTGACCCTTTCCGTGGATTGCAAATTTGGTAGTACTCGACTCTTGACGCGTGTTGTTTTGGGCGGTAACTCTGCGGTCACTGGATACTTTCTGGACAGTAATATCAGACAAATCGCCGAGAAATTGTGTCGAGCCAGATTTGACCGAAATAGACTTCGCGGTTGTGGTGTGGCTACTTGTAGAACCGATAAATTGGAAGACTTCTTCTTCAATGTGAACGTCTTCAAAGACATTGTCACGGCGATGGGCGATGGGCGTGTAGGACGCATTTGAAGCCGTTTTAGGTAAGATAGCCTCTTGTTCGTGGGTCATTGTGATGACTTATAGTCGACTTCGTTCGTCTTCTTGATAATGAGTAATTTGGTGGGTGAGAGGGGTTCGTGGTGATGTGTGTTTCAAGGGCGGTTTGAGCCTGCGGGGGGAGATTGATCGCAAGGCAGATCACGCGGGGGCTGCTGTCACATGACTTCATAGTAGCTGACTAAGTCACAATTATCTTGTCTTCAAATCACGTGAGCAGAATAGCTCCTGGAGATACTCAGATACTCCCATCGTGAGGTGGGAGTCTGCTTAGGGGGTGAAGTGGGTATTCTGATTGTTCCCAGTAATCACGGCACAGGAAGGTGATTTCATTGTTACAGAGATATTCCAAAGGCCCACTGTCAGAATGTCTAAACAACTTTGTTAACCTGACCAAATCGACAGTCCACGTGTGTAGGGTCTACCTCAAATAAGACTACTCTGCTGTCCTCTTGAATCATGCTGACAATACCTCCATGACTGCTTTTGCTTTGAATCGCATATCAACGACCTCAAGTCCTGATAGTTCTCCGCAGATAGATAGACGGCAGCGTGGTGGCGCTTATGGACAGCCAACAAAGTGTTGCTAAGTTCCAGTCCCTTTACGAGCAAACTATCATAAGGCAGCTGTGAACTCCAGTCAAGATCCTATCTCCGCAGTGAATCGGTGAATTATGAAGGTTGAAGTCGCCAAAATCGCAAGCCAGAGCTTTGTGACACCTGTATACCGGAACGAATTACAAGCCAGCCTTGACAGGTTTCATCGAACTCTAGATATTGCTGGCAAGCCGCAATTTATATACTATGTCTATCCCGGGGGGAGGGGGAGATCACGGTTAATGAAATTTATTATTGTCTGGAGCACCCGTGAACATTTGACTGGCACTAAGGCTTTCTAGAATTTTTGTTCATGAAGATTGCCTGGCCTCTGCCCGGTTATCTCGTTTCAAAGAGGATGTCCTGTGCCGTAGCGATTTTTTAGAAGTTATCCCGGCCATTCTGCTCAATACCCGCCACTTTCTCGCCTGGAGAAATTGTCCTGAGAAGATAAATGCTGTATTGACTCATCAGACATCTGTCCTATTAGTTGCAACGACCTCATTCCAGTAGTTATCCTTTTCGCGTTTATCAAGTCTCCAATAGTTGACACGAGAACTTGCTTTGCGTCATCCATGGAAGTTACATCTTCGAAGATATTCACCCGACTACTCTCAGATAGACTTGAGGCATCCGAACAGATCGTAAGACAGTGAGAGATTGTTTCTCTCTCTTCCTTAATCTTCTGAAGCTCGCAAGTAATCTGTCCAGACACTGTTGGATCGCTGGTAGACTGCAGGCTTGCTTCAAAATTTTTGAGGTGCTCTTGGAGTCGAGCTGACGCTGCATTCACATTCTGAAGGCAAGAAGTCAAGGAGTTTTGGGCTATTTGCCGAGCAATGCCAATATTAGCCTTTGCTTGCGTTTTGTGACCATGTGGTGAGCTCGCTGCTTGTCCTGCTCCATTGTCGCGTTTAAATTGATATAGCTCAATATAACCTGAGACCTGTTTACAGATCTCAAGACAGAGTGTTGTACTCTGTCGTTCCTCTTCTATCCTTTGTAACTCTTCGCGGTTCATATCCGCGCTTGGCTTGTCTGGCAAGCATCCGGATTTTAGCTTGTCCTCGATTTCGTTCAGTCGCTCTTGAAGGTCTGTTGTGGTGTTCTGTATCATGTCCTTGTAATCCTGAAGGACTTGACGCGTGACAGCGACAGACTGGCTGATAACAAGTCAGGAAGGAAAGTCTGTGATAAGGGTCAGATCATAGAACTTACAAAGTTGCTCCGCCTATCGCAATGTTAATGGTTGCCTTGTAGTTACCAAGCACATTTCTGTAATTGGTGATATCTTCACCCATGTACTGAAGTCTGGTCCAATCACGCAAGCTCGACCTTTGTCCATCTGGGTGCTTGACACATCGGCTGATTAGATCACTTAGCTCCTGGCACACAAAACCACATCGGAATAGAGGTAGCTTCAGCGCCGAAAGCTCCACCTCATATTCTGTAGCCAGTTGTGTCAAAATCTCGAGGGTCTGACAAAGAGCCTCCACTTCATCCCGAAGTTCTCTGGCTGATCGCTTGCTGTTCCGGATACTTTCAATTGTCTGAAAGAGCGATTTGGTAGCCTGGAGAGCAAATCCAGAAAGAGCAATTATTCCAGAAGCAACTGACAACGGATCGCCCATGCTGCTAGATATGTAAATAAATCTAAGATCGATAGGCGGCAGCGGAGAATAGATTTGCAAATGTGCAGTTGTCAGTCGTCTGACATGGGAAAATAATAGAGATGAGGGGTAAGAAGGCCTCGATCAAAGCTCGCCTGGAAGTTTATCCGATTCCGCCTGATCACAGTATACGCCGGTTTTAGCCGCTCCCTTCTTCAACCTGCGCTCACGTGAGAGCACGAGTCCCCTAATGCCATTCTCTTCGATAATACCGTTATTCCCATATCAATGTTCTACTTATGTCCAGGTATCGGAAGCACTTGCTCTCCAAGATTGCGGAATCGAAATCTTGGAATAGGGGAAACTGGACGAAGGAGCTCGTTTTTTTTTTTGTGACGGATGATTTTCGAACTCTTGCCATGACGGCGGGTGCCTGCGTGAATCGTTCTCCGCGCACACAGGTAGCCTTCCCTGAAGCTTGTGTTACTACTGGACTCCGCGCGAAATAGGACCGATGGTTTTGCGTTGTTTGACAAAGGACGGACAAACATCTCGATTTAGGATTTTAGATATGATAAAGATATAAAGTTCGGAACAGGCTAGAAATGGTGCGCCGTTGATTTTTGTGGCTACACTGCTGCGAGCGCATCCGAGGAAGCCTTCGCCATCCGGGTCCCGGAATTGATGGCGGCTGAAAATAATGAACACTTTGGGTTCAGAGATCTCGCTGATGTGGGTGGGTCAGATGTTAGCCAATAGAGATGCGTAAGTTGAAGCCGGTCGTTGCGCTGAAGGCGCTACAGTAATCCTGCGCAGCATCGTCGCTCAGCGCTCCACTGTTTCAGCTGTCTTTTTCTCTTCTACATTTCCCCTCCATAAGTTATTCTGTATGTACTGCTATTTTCTAGGCATACTTTTCCGTTATCACATAATCTACCATAATTAAATCCCATCCTTTCCAAAGCAGCTCTTCTCAAAGAAGACATCAAGAGCGTCAACATGTCTTTCCCACCGAATGCGAAGCTAGATACACTGGAAATGGAGAGAAAGCTCCTTCGTCAACACCTTGGCCTTGGACCAACCCCCGGAGATCCTCCGGCCAATTCTCCTCCCCCGACGCAGCCGTTATTCTTCATAGAAATGGCACCGGACTCTAGAGGGGGAGCGAAGTGTAAACTTCCCACTTGCGATGAGATTATCATGCCTGGCGAACTACGTCTCGCTATGAGCCCTGCAATGAGTTACGGTGGTTGGTCCAGGTTATCAGCCAGTAAGTCACAAATCGCTTAGATCTATTTTACCTATCTTGCTCCCACGAGATATTATGCTTATCATAATTTATTTGAGGCCTCTACCACATCCGCTGCTTCGAGAAACTCGCCGATTTTACCCATGCAAACTTTCTAGATCGAATCCAACCCTTGACCCGACAAACGTGGAAACTGCGAGAGCTAAACGCGGGTAGTGTGCTAGACGGAAACTATCTGGTACCTGGCGGGGTTGAACGGTTGGTCCTCGAATGGAAAGTAACCCATGGGAAATGGATTGATAAACGAGATGGGGTCTGTGATGAATCCGAAGAAGAGAAACGTGTTCACGCAGACTTCCTAGCTCTGCTTCGCAATGCAGGCTCCTCGAAGTATAAGCAGCTGGTGAAGCCAGCCGGATTGCCTCTCGATGAGTACAACAATCTTCTTGTTACTCTTGCCCCATATGAGAGTGATGGACCTGATGACACGGAAGAGTGGAATCTATTTGACACGTACCTGGATTCGACTGTAAAAGCCTTCAATAATCCTCATGCACTGAGTACAATGTTGCAGCGCTGGCATGATGATGTGGTGAGTTCATTATATACAATGTTACGCTTGGTGCAAGACAAATGGCTAACCAGGTTATAAGACACTAATTAGCAAAGAAGCGGATGAACTAGATGAGCAAAGCAGAACAGCAAAGGCGGGACTCGGTGCAAAGGCCATTAGAGCGCTCAAACGTTTGTCTGTTATACCGATACCTCAACCTAGCTACTTGACTTCCTTTAGAGTGTAGGTAGGATATTGTTCCTTAGACCACGTACAAGTTCATTTTGTATAGTCACCGGATATATATGTCGGTATTCCCAGGCCCACTAATTGATCTTTTAATGTTGAGCGGAGCCGAACGTTGTCGGGACGGACAAGGGATATCTAGTTGCAATACGGCCGCAATTTGCTCGATAAGAGTCTCGACAGCTTCACTATCAATAGTAAAGGCGCCAGAGCATCCAAGCTTGAGCAAAGCAGCGCGTGCGATCCACCGGTCAGGGGATTCTGTAAGATTGCCTTGATTTGCGGAGTACGAAACCCAGCTTCCATGCCGCCTGGGGTGGCGATATCGTGAATTTACCCTCGTCGGTCGGCATTTGCGCGAACATTTGCCTGGGTAGCGTTACAGTAGCCATCTGGCCGCCCTGAACATATTGGTCGTCTCCAGGTAATATCGCCAAACCCTCTTCCAATCCCAGGGGCGCTGACGCGCTGAAGCGCTGAAGCGGGACGTTAGCTGCGAACCAACCAGACATGCGGAAGCTGAAATCAGTGGACGTTCGCTTTTTAGAGGAGTCTGGCGCAAATATAACCGCGGTATATCTAAATAATCCGTCTAAGCGCTGTATAAAAAGCGACCTTTTCCCTGCCATTTTCTTCATTGCTCCTTTCACCCTCCCAATCTCCCCCTTAACAACCTTGCTCCAATCCTGGAGCCGATCGTTTCTAGAATCCAGTCTGTTCTTTACATTATTCCTATCTGGCTGCCTTCATGACGCCTCCTCCCGTTCCCCGTGCTCAACCTGGCGAACACCAGTTCTGGACTGATCCTATTCTTTGCAAGGAGACTCAAGTTAGAGTGGGACATTTCCGCAGTCTTAGATGGCTTCCCACAAACTTCAAACCCAAGACCCCATCAATAAGATATGATTTAAGTCGACAGGCGCCCCAACACCTTGAGCGGGATGCAAGGTTTGAGGATGATATTGGTTTTTATAACTACCGTCTGTGGGCTATAAAAAAGGTTAATCGTGAGTTTCCCCAATTCGACCTATTTTTGTGGAGGGTTATCTATGTTTGGGATAGACTACTCCTCACACAATATCTAACAACTAATCACAGGGAACTTTACCACCCAGGAACGGCAGAGGGTGCTTGGCCAGTCTGGTAACGCGGTTTTCGAAAAGCACTATCAATCGCAGTTTATCTACCGTGATCCTCAACCTGTAGTTACGCCTCAGAGGAGGAGATTGAAAATATAGCCCGAGATTGCTACAGGACATACAAGAGCCGGAAATACAGTGCGAGTGTTCCGAATGAGAGGCCACGAACTTTCCGAGATTCTCTTGTTAGGTTGGTGGCCTGGACGATATTTTTGTACTGTACCACGTGGAAAGTTAGAGGGAGGAGTAAATATACCCCTCTTCTGAAAGGAAACGTGACAGCCACAACCGGGGTAGCCACGATTACCGTGATAGCGACAAGAGTGTATATGATTCCTGATTTTGAGGTCAGTGTTGAGAAAGGCAGCAGTCCCATTCTTGCCAGTTCGAGTCTATACAGTATCAAGCTTCGTTACCGTAGCCGCAAGACAGCACGGCATCATATCAAGATGCAAGCCGTAGGTACATTATCGTAGAAGCAGATCAAAGTCAATATCCCTAGTGCCAACCCATAAGTGCCTTGACGTCAGGATGCTGAAGCGCTGATGCGGGTGGTTCCGCTGTAAACTAATCAGACGCAGCCAGTCTCGCACTAAAGGCGCTAGTTCTTCGGCGATCCACCCACTTCAGCACTTCAGCACTCCAACAATCAAGTCTCGAAAGCGGGATAATTGAGACATGTGATGTTACTAATTTCAGACTAGCTAAAACATAGCCACCATACAAAAAGGCGATTGATAACTTGACTAACACTATGATAGCACTGCCTAAGAATCGTCCGAAAGGTATGGCTCAGAAAACTCATCCTCGGTTGTATTTTCGTCATCTGACAAGTTAGGAACATTTTTTTTCCTCCAACGCTCCAACTGGCTTTGTTGTTTAGGAGATACTACAAAACGCTCCTCAAAAGCCGCTCGCACGGCAGTCCTTGTGCCATGTTTGAAGGTACCTGAATGTGAGACAACAAATAGCACAGCGTTGTAAACCTTGGCAGGGTCTTTCTTTTCATCACCAAATTCGCCGCGTATCATCAGGAATAAAAGTCGGAATGCCGCATCTCGTGCTCGGGATTTATCACCCCTCACGACTCGATAACGCTTATACTCGAGTTCGTAGTCGGTTTTGCAGGCTTTCAGATCGGCGAAAATATCATCAACGGACTGCCCTCCAAGTACGTCGACCCCGAGATAATCATATGTCTCACAGAGAGTATGGTACTGAGGAATATCACCTCGCAAAGAGCGAAAACATTGTCGATAGCCTGATTCCAGTCCCTTGAGAGCAATATCAAACAATGGAATATCCTCGAGGACGAAATCAGTCCGTTGCGGCTGGGCAAGGCGTTGGAAATTAATGAAGGATGATAAAAATGGTATCATCGAAACGTCAACATTGTAGACAGCGTCACCGATTTTAAGTGTCGTTTTTCGAGGATCTGATCCGAACGCTTCGGTCGATTCCATTTTATCACCAAGTTTCGAATAAAGATCAACCGGTAACATCCTTTTTCCTTCTCTCGTCCGTACCTCAAGGCTGTCGCTTCTACCATCATGTTTGACAACCGCGTTCCCGCCATTTTCTCTAACCACTCTGATAATTTTCTTGATCAGCATAGCCAACCCCGTAAGATCATTGCCATGATCTTCTTCCCATTTGGCAATCTCACGAGTGACATCTTCGACTTCTGGCGGTCCAAATAAGCCGCCATTGTGGTAGGCACGGACAAGATTGGGTGTTTGCGATACCCACAGCTGCGGAAGGACTTCGTGGATGCGAATAGGATTACGAGATGCCCGTGTTTTGATTTCAAGAGTTGACTGAATCGGCACCTGTTTGCCTTCTTCTTTAATGACTAGTTTGGAGTCGGGGGCACGACGAGAGTGACTTGTGGATCGCGCAAGAGACAGGGTTTCCATCATGTTCAGTAATTTCCCATGGTCCGAATCCAGATTTTGAGTCTGGACTCCTGAATGTTCGCCCAGATAGCCGTCAGTTTCGTAGCGCACGACGAATTTCAAATCGCCGAACTTGTAGGAGATGACTCTATGATGCCCGGTGCTCTGGGGAACCTGAATAGTAGTGAATGCTTTCTCAAACTCGTGCCCATAGCCTCTGAACTCATGTGGTCCAATGACTGTGTAGGTTTCGGTTTCTGCCCGACAAAAAATTGCTGTATTCTTCGTGACCTCAACATCAATAGTGAAAGGTTCAAGTCCATTTTTAGAGAGACTTGGATTAACGAATGACAGGAGTTTGCGAACATTGTTTCGATCGGTTATTAGGTCAACTGTCTGGATGTTGTATGAAGGATTTTCAAGATACAACGAGCGAAAAAGTGGCTCTAGCGGACTTTCAGGATGACGAACCGCGTTTTGAGCGATATAAACAAGCCCAGAGTCTTTGGGCACCTTCTTGGGGGTATTAGGTGGACACCAAAGCGGAGGGCAACCGGGGACAGCGATCGTGGGGGTGGCGGATTCAATCCAATTGTAAGAAGACAAATGCTCGACCTCTGTGATGGAAGGCCCTCTTTTCTCGAAATTTGTCAAATCTGGGCGAGGAATGTCTGCGACCCAAAGAGAAGCCATTGTTGCTTTGGATGCGTAATGGGTTCTTGAGAGGAGGGGGTTTGGGACTGAAGAATTTATTCATGAAAGATTTTTCTTTTAGCATAATTCATATGTTTGCTGCGCTCAATTAAATCGCCTTTGGACAACACATACTTGCATGCACTTGGCCAATTTCAACTCAGTCTGCGAAGCGGGGAACCTCCTCTACAAGGTCATAGCACTTGCTTACCTTGTTGATAAACAGTTTACCTGACAAAAGTACAACGGCCTGAAGCATTCATTCCCTTCGAAGCCACCATGTTTCCTGGATCAGCGTGCTCGAGCCTTAAGAAAGAGGTTTGCGAAGGAAAAGCCTGACGAGGGCGTCGGAAGTCCAGACCTCTCACGTAGAGTTTCACATGCCTCTTCATCGAGCTAACATCCGAAGACTTGATCGTCGGCCATCTGAAGTTCAAGGCTGCAAGTCCGTTTCACAGTATTCCATGAAGTGGGGTAGATGTCCATACGTGGCACTGATGCGCTCAAGTGGTGTGTTACACTGTGGATCAATCAGAGATACATAAATCGAAAGTGCGGCACTGATAGCGCTAGTGCTTCAAGGTTCTCAGCACAAGGAGTCCGTGCGAATTACGAACATCATGCCAAGAAGTCCAGATCCATGAGAGACGTAAAAGTGTCAGCGATCTTGTAGCGTATATGCCCGGTTGAAGAGGGTCAAGAAGTGATTCATTTTCCGCAAGCCAAGAAACCTTGCGTTGAAGCTAGTTAATTATCACGCGTGGCTCACCATTGTACGACCTCGAAGTGCATGGAAGACAGCGCCTATAGTGTATGGTGCCACATCTGACAAAATATTTATTTGTCGCTCATTCATGCAGCTGAAGAAGAAACAAATTTCCCCTCTGATATGTCCAGGGGTCCAGGGCTACCAATCAGTGGCCTCCCCTCCATTTTCTCCCCTCCTGGAGGGATGCCAAGATACCACGCAAGGCAGCCATGGGAATCTTAAAGTCACCCTCCAACTCAACTCATCATCATCACGAGGCGTTGAACCGGAATTTCTAGCTGTACTTAAGACGTTAAGTGGACCGTAAGAAGTAAAACCTGATCTTGCACGCAAACAAGACCCACAACTTGTTTCTCATATATATGAAGAATGGAGGCTGCTTTCTTCTCTCGTTTCCCAGGCTTTCAGCCTAATCCGTCTATCTCTGCAACTGACGACTTTTCTCGTCTAGCACATCATATGAATTGGACTGCTGGTTCTAAGAGATACAGAAAAGAGCTGGCCAATTTCGCAAGTATTGAGTTCGCACATTATTATGAAGTTGGTGATAAGCTCCAAAGTTACCGAGCTCTTGTTCAGGAGTTGGGGATCGAGGGATCATTCGCTACCATCAACCAGTGCCGAAAGGTTCGCTCCTACCTATTCCTTCCTATGAACTGTCCAGACTGACAAGGCTAAACGATAAAGGCTCTCGCTAAGGTGAATGTCAATTTATTCGACCTGATCGACTCTCGACGCACAGGAGCGACCGTTCAGAAATTTCCTAACCAAGCCGCGCTGAAGAAGTACACCAGAGAAACGCAAAAGATATTTCCTAAGCAAGCGGCCAAAGCAGACGGCTTCCTCAAAGACCTACTGCGCAGAATTATGTGATTGGGCGCAACTTGCGGAGCTCGTCAGTTTTACCATATAATGGGTTCGTTGCTTTCCGGCTGGGCTCCTGAGGCATGGGTCGTAGTTTGGAGTTCGAAATGTTCTCTTATTCATATGATGTGCTAGACGAGAATGCTCATTAGTTACAGAGAATGGATTAACTTGAAGCCTACTCTCTTTTCATTGCCTGACTCCTCAAACCAAGTATGACGGAGTTGGATAGGAAGGTAGATGTGGCCCACTCGTCTCTCTGATCATCTTCAGGTTTTGAGCCGCCGCATCTTTCCTGCAATGATATGAGAGGCGTGCTTTTCTTTGTTCTTATTTGATTATTCTATCTAAGCTTCCTGCTACGTTCAGAGATTCGGCCTTATCGGACCGTTGGCAGCTTTGGCCATCTGGCAGAGTGAGTTCTTGCGTATGCTGAGGGAAACGCCAATCGCAACCGAGACAATATGCGCGATGAGCACATAGAAACCACAGCAGTAAGTATTTGATCCCCTGTGTCTTCATAGCGAGTTGACTCTAACATTATCAGCATTCTTCTCAAACAAACCCGTGTTACTCACCAGAGACAGTCGCAAGAATTGCGAATATACGTTCTAATCCCTGCTGGATACGGCAAATCGCCTCTTCACCATCATCATGACTTGCTTTATTCACGGCAAATATAACTTTCAAACAACCTGACTCAGCATCCTCGTCAAGGCATATAGCAGGGATATGTTCAACGTCATCTTTGCTATGTGCAATGAATGCTAGCGCGCCGACCAGTTTACGCTCAGTGTCGAAAGGCAACGAAGAGCGCCTTTGAAAGCCCGGTAGGCAATCAGCGCGATTACGTGATGGTGGCGCTGGTGTACTGCGAAGTAGGTACGATATCGCAATATTCTCGGCACAAGCAATGGTGGGATTCGATGTTGTAGCCATTGAGTTAAAGGTATTCTGTACAGACATCCGAGGTTGAGATTTGGCTGAGCCGTCAGCTATGAACTTCTCTCTCGGGTTCTAACCCCGCCTTGTGTAACCACGAAATTCTTGGCTCCTCCTGTTGTCGAAGCGCTTACGGTTTCTTGACCCTCTTACCGATATGAGACTATACTGTTCAGAGTTATTCTCGAACAGGGTAGTGTTATATTCATGTTTGATAAGCCGGGGCTTCTCCTCCTTCTGGCCTTGAACATAACTTTGTCCTCTACCGTGGCTGTTATCACTCCGAGCTGTGCATGTTAGTGCTCTTGCTTATCCTACGTGATGTCCAGCGGTCAAAGCCAGTAGTGATTTTNCGACCTGGTGGATCGCCCGCGCCCTCGGTCCCGGGGGTGTACCCGGTTCCGACGCTGACGAGCAGATCATGGGTGCGCCGCGAGGGCCAGATCACGCGGCACTCCTCCTGAGCGATGCCCATCGGATTGTTGGCTCGGACGCCACCATCCTGCAAGGTGCCCCGAGCTGGAAGGTCTCTGGGGCGGAAGAAGCTATCTCCGTCAGATCATCGATCTCTACGTCATCGGGAATACATACCACGGGGCGGCAACACTAGCGCCAACGCTGTTTCGCAATTTAGCTGCGGTGGGACTTGCCACTCCGCAGGGATGGTTCGGAGGCTATGTTTGCGTCCCAGCCCAGCAGCGCAGACTCAAAGGACGTCCGGCCTGGAGCGCCAGCATACTTTTCGTATACACGAGAAATAACGGAGTCACTCGGCACCGGCTGTGGAGGTCTAAGGTGGGTGATCTGGTCCTGACGCGTGAGCTCGCCACTCTCATCCTGCGAGATGACGGATTCAACAATATCGGTTCCTGAGAATCTCCGTAGCCTTATACGCCTTACCTCCAGCTCATCCTCCGTCTCGGCCAGTCGTTTTCTTGGTCGCTCCAGGAAGGCATACTGCAAACCCCATTTCGAGGACAAGGCCATTAGGCATCGGTGAGGATAAGCGGCCACCGCAATGTCTAAGTCAGCGAAATCGGTCCGGTCGGTGTCGTCCGAGGCGCTTCGCTGCCATCGTTCCCAGCCGGTCACGGAATAGTGTTTCGACAGACGAACGAGAGCGGGGACTTTGATGCGAGTTAGCACATTTAATAACACAGAGAAACGCGAGACGAACTGTTGGAATTCAGTTGCCATAATTCTCTCACGGTTTGCGGAAAGTCTGGGGCAATGACCGAAGCCAATTTGCCGTGAGCGGAAACGAGAGCGGAGATGGGTTCGATGGGGTCGTCTAACCACTTGCGTAAGGCGTTGAGTTGGATGGCGGTTGTGTTGGAGACGGAGGACTGCAGCTCTGCGAATTGGCATCGAAGATGGTCAAACTGGCTGTTGGCTTCTTGTTGGAACGAGGTAAACTGGCTCTGAACGTCCTTGACCTGGCTCTGAACGTCCTTGACCTGNTCCTGCAACCGCGGATTTTGTGTCTCGCCGTCCACGTGCACCACCTCGTACGGCAGCTTCTCCGATCTGGATCCGACGCCGCGGTAATTCGGAAACAGGATGGGCTTGCCGTCGGACGTTCAGCTCGCCACCACTCCGACGCGAGTCCCAGTCGCGACCAAGGCCGGGACGTCGAAGAGTCGCAGTGTGGGAGGCAACAGCTCGTTGAGGGTGCGGTCAAGACTGTTGGTGTCATAATATCCATCTTTCAAGATGCCTACGATAGCCGCCAGCCACGGCCAGAGTCTGGAGGCTGGTCCGCAGGGCCGGAAGACTTTTCGCGCAAATTCTGGGAACTTGTGATATCCCTCTTCGACGGATGTCCCGTTATACACGAGGTCGGTGGTGATGAAGGCGCCTGCAGCTAGTCAGCAGGAGTGTTCTGTGCCGAAGAGGTTCTGTGCTGAAGGGAGCTGCAGGGAAAGCAGGAGCGGGACGACTTCAAAACATCATTAATCCCACCTACCCACGCTGGTACCGATGATGTAGTCGGCGATCTCAGCAATCGACATCGCGCCGTCCAATCGCCTTTCCAGTGCCCGCAACAAGCCCAGAGTGACCAGGCCGCGGATCCCGCCCCCATCGAGGGCCACGACTACGGCACCTTTCGTCGGCGGAAGCTGACGCACGGTGAGATCGCACGCGTCTTGGCACCAGGGACATCGGCTGAGATCCACATGGTACTCGGCGCTGCGGCTGGGACTGCCGAAGATTGTCACGCAAGTGTCACACATCGCATGCCGACACGGCAGCATGTGCTCGATCGATCGGGAGAGGCAGAAACAGCAGACGGTTGGCAGGCAGACCCCCGGCCACCGGGTCCCAACCGCGGTGACTACTTCCCTGTGGATGGCCACCGAAGAGCGTCGCGGCCCCAGTTGCTCCACAAACTGCGCCAAACACTTGTGCACCGCATCACAATGCCGATCCGGGTGAGGGTCTTGGTGGATTTCCCACGCTGCCCGACAGTGCTCTCGATATAGGCTGTCGTAGACGTCGTCCGCCCGGAACCCTATCTGCGTCAGCACATACCACGCTCCCTTGCTGCGGCCGGGAGGGGTCCGGGGCGGGGGCGAACGGGTGCAAAGAGGTGAAAGTTCATAGGGAGGGAGAAGGCGGTGGGAAAGGGCGACTCACTGTGCATGCCGGGAGGGTAAGCATCGATCAGCAGCGCGGATGCGACGACGATGTGAATGTCATGTGGTGGGCAGCCAGCTCGTGACGCGTAAGCGACAAATTCCGCAAGACGGGAACCCAGCGATGGATCGACCGGCAGCTTCTCCCGGGCGATCCGAAGGCAATCGATGCGGGCCTCGGGAGTCACTAGCTGGCCCCCGCAAAGGGTCCGATTCCAGAGATGATTCAAATGCTCGGCAGAGAAGAGTAAGCCCTGCTGCATCCGCTGGTCCCGGCTGATCTGGATCTGGTCCAGCAGGGTACGCCGCAGCGGCTCAAAGGCGGCGCGAGGAGATAGGTCGTGGCGATCTCGAAGATCCAGGATAGAAATTGTCGGATCTGAGGTGTCAGGATCGGGGAAGCTAGACGACAGTTCCTCCCACGGATCCGTGTGATATTCGGCGCTGGGATCGGTCAGAACCGTGATGACGCGCATGCCGATGGATGACGTGGGACGCCCAGCGTGTATCTCGGTGGGTGATCGATCCAACAGGTCGTGGGCCGCTTGGAGCTCGGCCGAGCCATCCACAAACAGACATAGCACACTCATCCAAGGGAACAGGCCCCGTCGCCATACGTGATGCTTCAGGTCCATGGCCGAGCCACCGGTCATTGGGGGCAGGGGATAGTGTCGATGATGGTCTGC